AATAGATGAGGAAGAAAAATCTGGAAAAAGAGGTCCTAAAATGGACCCTTCAACTTCGGATATTACTTCTCTAGATAAGGAGCCGCAATCTAATCCAAATATAAGTGATCTTAAAAAAAGCGAATTAGAAGATGATGATGATAAACGTAGTATAGGAGGAGACTCAATCACTTCAGCAATTTCGTCATCTTCTTCTGGTTCTACTTCTTCTACTTCTTCTACTGGTTCTAATTCTTCTCTATCATCTTTAAAATCAGCAGGAAAGAAAGCTGCCAAAAAATTAAAGAAAAAGAAAAAGGCTTTAAAAAATAAAATGGGTGCAAGTGGATCATATACACTTCAAGGTAATAGTGATGATAGTATCGGGGGTAGTCGAGATATTTACACTGAGAGATATAAACGGAATTCTGAAAAAGAATATACAGACATTGATCCAAATGAAAATGATGATACACAGAGTATAGGAGGAGAATCAATAACTTCGTCTTCTTCTTCTGATTCTACTACTTCTTCCGATTCTACTACTTCTTCTGGTTCTACTTCTTCTGGTTCTACTTCTTCTCTATCATCTTTAAAATCAGCAGGAAAGAAGGCTGCCAAAAAATTAAAGAAAAAAGGCGTAGATCTAAAACGTAAACTTAGTAAATCAACACCTAATTTAAAAATGGGCGCAAGGGGATCATACACACTTAAGGATGATAGTAATGACAATATTACTGATACTGGGGGAAAGAAAAAAGGTGGTTTGTTTAAGAAACTTGGAAAGTCAGTAAGCAATTTCAAACTCTTTAAAAGTTCAGATAGCAAGCTAAATGAAGAAACCGAAAGTAAAAAAGATAAAAAGGGTAAAAAGAAAAAAATGCCTAAGTTAAGTAATAGATTAAGCAAATCTGCACCAGAAATTGGCCAGGATGAGAGTGGTAAAAAAGGGAAAAGAAAACTAAAATTAGTCAAAGGATTATTTTCCAAACCACATAAAAAACGACCTTATTCATCTAAAAAAGATGATAACGAACAAAGTGAAGGGGATGAGCATGGAGAGGAAAATCAGAAAAAGCATAAGAAAGGTATTATGAGTCGTTTAGGTCAATCTATGAGTAACTTGACTGGTAAATTAAAAACAAAAAAGTCTGATAAAGGTGACAAGCATAAGGAAAAAGGTAAAGATGGACGAAAAAGAAAAATTCCAAAATTGAAAATATTTAAGAAAAAAAGTCCCAAGCCTGATATCGAACCTCAAATTCCAATAAGTCAAAGAGGGCAACCTGAACATGTACATTTTGAAGAAACACGTGAAGCTGATCAATATTCTAGTGAAGATGAGGATGGATACCAAACTATCGAAGAATTAGGACTTAAAAGAGAAGAAGAAAAAGAAAAGCCTCAATCAGATAATGAAACAAAAAAAAATCCTGAGGAAATTGAAGCATTATATGCAAAAGTGAATAAACTTAGAAAACAAGCTCAATCAGGTGATGAAACAAAAGATGATGAAACAAAAAAAGATCCTGAAAAAATTGAAGCATTATATGCAAAAGTTAATAAACTCAAAAAACAAGCTCAATCAGGTGATGAAACAAAAAGTGATGAAACAAAAAAAGATCCTGAAAAAGTTGAAGCATTATATGCAAAAGTTAATAAATTTAAAAAACAAGCACAACCTAGTGAAAACGCCGAAAATGTTCCTAAAGAGGATGAAGAAAGTCCTAAAGAACAGAAATCTATACTTGAACCAACATCTGAAACGGAATCTACTTCTGCAACAACTGCTACAAGTACTGACCAAGAAGATAAAAAAACGCCCACTTCAAAAACTACTCCTTCTTCAAAAAAACCCAAGATAATGCCAAAACCTTTCCAGGATCCTCAGTCATCACCTGAAGAGTCACCTCACCCCTTTAAACTTGTCAAATTGAAAAAAGTTGAAAAACCAGTAAATACCTTCGTAGTGAAACCAAAAAAGAGTTCAGATGACCAAGATCTTTCTTCAAGTTCATCAACAACAAAAAAAACTCCATCTGCACCTGAAGAGTCTTTACCATCTCCGTCTGAAGAATCACAATCATCACCACCTCCACCTCCACCTCCACCACCACCACCACCTCTACCTACATCTTTAAGCTCTTCATCACTCTCAAAAACAAAAACCACTAGTAAACCGAATTTGGAATCAAAGACCAAACTATCATCTGATCAATCATTTAAAGAAGAACCATTAAAATTAACTCCAGATTCACTAAAAACCGCAAGAAAAAGTTTAAAAAATGTTAGTGAAGAGAAAAAACTTAATAAGGACTCAGGTAGCTCCTCCAAAAAAGTGGAAAGAGCTGGCAGTAATGGCAGTTTGATGGATTCACTGGTGGAGGCAATTCAAAAAAGAAGGGCCGACATTGATAATGATAAAGAAGAAACGGAACAAACTAGTGAAGATGAGTGGATGTAATCGTTAATTATACTTTTAACCATCTATCTAATACATTTGAGTGTAATCATATAAAAAGTTATAAAAAACTATCTTTTGTGAAATTTTTTAATCTCCTAGATATTCAAAAAAATTAATCAATGAACCTTTTTATTAGTATGTAGTATGCAAAATATGGTCTTTAAACAACTCTAAAAGACCAAACCTATACCCTTCCTAAATGTTACAATTATATGATTTTAAGTTCATTTTCTCTCCTTATTCCCTACTCTTTCTTTTCTTAAATCTAAATATCATTCAAATATTAAATCATTACAGATACCCGTTGAGACACGTACGTTGGCGCCACGCCCGGTCTAATGGCATGCTTAATTTAAATAGGGGATAGAAAAAAAATAAATGTTTATAAAGGGTATCAAGTAGAAGGTTCATACAGAAATAGGTAAGTAAATTTAATAAATCATTAAATCAATTCTCTAATAAAAGAGAAATAAATAGATTCTACTTATTTTTTACACAATACATATTTACATTCATTTTACTATTTTTTTTTTTCAAATTAAATTCACATAAACATTTTAAGAATTATAACTTTGAATTGGAATATAAATTGATATTGAAATCATGAAAGTCTTTAACTTTCTATTAACAGTCCCATTCATTTTTCTTATATATTCTCAATCTATTATTGCATATGAGAATGAACCAGTTCCACATACAGGAAGAAAAGGATTAACTAGAGAGAGAATTAATCATTTTGAGAGAATGATAAAAGAAAACGAGGAAAGATCTCCTCAATTAAAGGTTGTTAAGAGATCAAAACCATATTATGGAAAGTTCCCTATTGATGAAGAAAATATATCTACTCAAATTGATCAGAGAGGAGATATTTCTAAGGATGACATAGATGATATTGAGACTGAGACTCAGGCTCAAACCGATGTTGAGGTTGAAGATGAGTTTGATCCTCAAGAAATCGCTACTAGAAGTTTCATTGATAATATCTCTTCAGATGACGAAAACCAAAGTGATGTAGAGACAAACAATGAGGATATTAACACGAGAAATGTTGGAGAGTTTGATGTCAATCAGGATGAAGTTCCTAATAATGTCGATCAAACTGTAGATGACGTAAATGTAGGGGATTCTGTCAATACTAAAGAATCTGCAGATTTAAACACAAATTCATCAGTTAAAGACAAGAAAAAGAAAAGTTGGAGTTTTCCATCAGTTACCTTTGCAGCTCCAAAGAATCAGGAAAAGATGGATGACAAAAATAAGTTTGATGGTGTCTTAGAAAAACAAAAATTAAAGCGTGATAAAAAGGAAAAGAAATTAAGGAAAAAACAAGAGAAAGAGAGATTAAGACAAGACAAAGAGGAGAAAAAGAGGAGAGAAAAAGAAGAGAAGAATAGATTAAAGGAGGAAAAGAATAAATTAAAAGAAAAGAAAACATCGAAGTTTGATAAATTCCCAAAGGTAGGGTTTTCTAAGAATACATCCTCTGATTTAAAGGATGATGAAAATAAATCATCATGCTCTTCAAAGAAGGGAAAGAAGAACACACAGGGCCAAACCCAAACATATGAGGACACTTTGGAAGATAGACTAAATAGTCAAGAAGTTGTTTTTGAGGATATTCATGATGATATGTCTACTGTAGCTAGTGAAAATGAAATCTTTGAGAACCTTAGTTCTAATGACATAGAACACGTAGAAAGTGAAATTGACATTAAATTGGAAAAACCAAAAGATGATTTATTTGACTCTTACAGTGAAGATGAGGAATCTGAGATAAAAGCAAGAATTTTGGCAGGGAATGAAGAGGACTTCAAAACTGAAAGAATATCTTCAGAAGAAGCAATTCATGATAGTGACTCTGAATATTTTGAAAATGAGGACCCTCATATTGAATTAGATGAACAATATAGATTCAGTAAAGAATCAGAGGATATAATCTCAAAAGAAAAAGCTGTAGAACCATTAGAAAGAATTGATATTGAAGAACTTTCAGAAGATGAAGAGACTTCAAATGTTAGTGAGGCTCCAGCTTTAAGTAGTTATTCTGGAAATAATGAAGAGGAGGAAGAGGATGATAAGAATATTCAGAAATTTAGTAATGATTCCGAACTTTCAAATGATAACTTAAGTGAGGACCCAGTAATTGCTAATCATTCAATTGAAGAAGAAATAGTAATTGAAGATAAGAAAGATATGGATGAAGACTTTTCTAATAAAGATCCAAATGTTGAGGAGACTGGATCTAAAAACAAAGTAGGATCATTCTTTGGCAAGATCAAGTCATTCTTCAAAAGAAAACCTTTTATCAACTTGAATTGCAGAGGCCCATCTTGTATGAAGAGACTATCAAAGAAAGATGAACCAAAATACTCAAATGATTTCATTCCAAGAATCTATTTACTCTCCAGAGATGTTCCAAAAGAGGATCTTTATCGTGTACCAGAAATTATCTCAAGCTTAAGATCTGAGTCAAATAGATTAGTATTTGCATATCAATTAATGGACGGAAGTTTAATTCCATCATCAGCTTTAGCTCTAAACTCAAAAAGTTTTGTAGTTAGAAGATGGGGTAAAAAGGTTCAAACTAAACTTACAAAACTTAGATCAGAATTTGATAATTTGAAATCCAGATTAAGTTCAATGTATCATGAGGGAGTTTTAAAGGGAGAATTTGAATTGCTCATTGAAGAAATGGATGATTTAACTATTATGCTCTACTTGATTGCAAAGGAATTCCCAAGAAAAAGCCAATTTGCAAATAATGCAAAGGATATTCTCAGATACCCTGAGGTAGTATCTACTCCAGGGGAGAGATTGATTTCAATGTTCCGTAAATCAAAGATTTCAAAATGTTCTAAGAAATCATGCGAACCTAAACCAGAAAGGAGTGAAAGCGATAAACTTGCTATAAAAGCATTAAAGAAGAGAATGAAATTCATAAAGAAGAGATTAAATTCACTTTCTAAGTAGATTCTTTGCAACTTCACCAAGTTGATTTGCAATATGCGATCTAGCGGTAGTTTTCAAATATAATTTCGACGATTTCATTACACGCTATGTAGTTTATTAAACTTAAATAGTCACCTTTTCATTTTTTTTGGAATTATATTGCTTTTTAAAACAGTTGATCATGCCGTTTTTATGTGCATGCAAATTTACCGCCACATTTCACCGGTACGTTGGTGTTCCCGCTAGGTCCCTCCTCCTTTCCCGCCTGACAAAAATATTAGAATTACATGAAAGTGACATTTTAAAAAAAGAAAAGGTTTAAAGAGAGATAGACAGAAAAGGAAAAACGTGAGAGATTAAAAAAAAGGTTATAACTTGAGTTAGGTAGAGGTTAAAATACCAAAAGAGCTGGATTGGAGTTGAGAAGGTTTATAGGTATTGTATTATATATAAATATATATAAATAAATATATACATTTCTTTTTTGTTGATTTATTAGGGTTGAAAAAGTAATTTGGCTGATAAAAAAAGGTAGGAAAACACAACTGGAATATATCAAAGGGTTTTAATTAATGAATGACCAAGGAATGAAGATTTGAAATGCAAAATCAGAAAAGTGTCATAGAGGTAAACAGAGGAGAAGTTGGCGCCATACATGAAGAATTTAAACATGCAAATTCAAAATATATGAAAAATAATGAAAATGAGGGAGAAAGTGAGGATGACGATATTACTTGGTCTCAGGTTTTTAACATGATGTATAATGATGCTAAAGAAATAATTTCTCCTATTTCCAAGATTGTAAATTATGTAGCTCCAGACCCCAATGAGGAAGATTCTAGGCAAGCAAGAGCAGCATTTGAAGAGAAGATGTCAAAGCAAGTAAAACAACCAATCAGAAAGTACAAAATTGGGTCTCCTGGAGCAATTCATATGTATGATAAAGCTACAGGAGAGATAGTTTCAATACCAAGGAGGGAGAATTTATTTGACCAACAAAGTTTAGGAGCTGATGGTAACACTGTATTAATTAAGAAAAGGGGATTATTGGGTAACTTAAAGGAGGAGAATGTTAAGGACCCAATGGAAATTATAGAATCAGCACAGAATATTGAATCTTTCACTGGGACTGTCCAAGAAATTGAAAAAGAGAAAGGACGTTTGGGTTTGGGCTGGCAAATTGAGGGAGACCAAAGCGGCTCATATAGTGATAATAGTGGTAGTAGGAGGCATAGCTCTCCTGGAATAAAGAATACTCCGAGTACTCAATGTAATACAGATTCTTCTCCATGTACGAGGTTTGAAGAAGGAAGAAATGGGAAAGAAGAAAGGGATAGAGATATATACGAAGATGAAAAAAGTGATCAAGTTGACAAAGAAGATTCCGAATACTATGATGATGAAATCAACCAAGGTATGAGAAAACTTCACATTAATAATCAACAAAAAGGAAAAGGTCCAGGAGCTGAGTTAGTAATACCAAGATTATCATTAACTGAGAAACGGAGATCTATCTCAAAGAAATGTTCTGAAGAGGATTTAGCTACTGACAAAGATCACGCCTTATATAGAATGCATAGCGAAAGAAGACTTAATTACTATAAAAATAGATCTGATAGAGTACCTCATGGTAACTATCATTCCCACGCTTATACAATGGAGAATTTAGCCAGTACAATTCAAAGACCGATAACAACATCCAGAGAAGAAATCCTTAAATTATACACAAAAGAGGAGCTCAATAAGATTCAGTCATTTGTAGAAAAGGCTAATGAGCTGGTTTATGAGGGTCCTCTTGAGAAGAAGAACTCTTGGTCTTGGGGGCACAAACTTAGATGGGTTAAGTTATATAAATGTGAGATGCATTACTTTTTATCTCCTAAAGAATCAAATATTAGATCAAAAACACCTCTTGGAGTTATTAATTTCAAAGTAGCTGAATGGAGTTTACAGATTTCTGACTCTGACGAAAGGACATTTACTATAGCAGCTCGTGGAAATACAAGTAATGGACGAGGGTACCAGTGGAGGATTCCTACAAATTCTGAGCAAAGTAGAAAATCCTGGACTACAAGAATTGAAAAGATTCTCAAAGCAGCAGCTTTTATGCAACAACTAAAGGGAATTATCAGGATCCCAGCCTAAATGGTATGTGATTTGAGATACATAGTAAATAATTATACTTTAATAAATACACTTAAATAGTTAGATAAACAGGTTTTAGTGTTTATTAATCACTAATATACATTCTTTATATTAACTATTCAAATCTATTGTTGAAAGAGTCTTTATAAAAGCTGTTGTCATGAAGCTTTGAAAAAGAGGTATCGTACTCTTTTGGCTTTGGATCATCTAAATATAATATAGTATCACAATATGGTATGTCTCCCTGAATAAACTCCTTATTAGAGAGAGCTGCATTAATAGATGTATTTCTATTAGCAGTAAAGTTATTCTTGTTGAGAAACTGAATTTGATTGTGTTCAATTTCAATAAAATTGTTATCGGAGGTATCATTAGAAGTATTTTTTGTAGATGAACCAAGTCCAATACCAGATCCTGTTCCTGTTATTTTTCTTTTTACAGTTAAATCAGTATCTCCTCCAGAATCCGTTGTTCTACTTCCCAAAGATTTGTATGTTTTTCCAGAAATCCCATCATGAAACCTTAAAATCCTTAAAACATTATAAATGTTGGTCTTCTTGTCCTCTTTGAAAAACCCTGCTGTCTTGCTCCTCTGGATATGCCCTGTAGTATCTTTCTGGGAAAATGCTTGAACACGTGATATGTTGTTACTTTTTGATATCTGACCTAAAACTGGCTCAAAAACACAACTAGATAGATCATTTAATCCCAAAATATCATTGTCCAAATTCAAATCAGTCCCAGAAGTTGAAAGCTGTAGGGAGCTCCTATTATCTTCATGATTAGATGTATTCCTGTCTCTTACCTGTGTATTTGGACTTGGACGTAAAGATCCTTTTCGGTGGAAACTTGGACAAGTTTTACTGTAGTCGTGAGTTCTTCTTCTTGACAAGTTATAACTTGATTCTTCTCGACCATAGCTGAAATCCTTCTTCTCAAACCCAAAAGTCAAAGGAGAAAAGATTCTTGACCATGTAGACTTTTCCTTTTTGGAAGAGTCTTTCATTGATGATAAGCTTTTTGGAGTCAATGTCCCAATCATACTCGCAGATGCTGTTCTTCCTCCTGATATTGAAGACTTTCGTCTACTGTTGTACCTCTGTAGTACAGAGCTCGACTCACTCCGCCTCATTATAACTTTCTTGCTCAGAATTTCATTAAAATTGGTGGTTGAAAAGAGCTTAAAATGACTAGACTAAACTCTAAAAAAAAGAAAAAACAGAATGCTTTAGTTACCTTATTGAATATCCTCACTCTAAAACCATTTATCTCCAAAATGTACCTTTTATTTCCACTTTCTTTTTCAGCTTTCTTTGATTTCTGCTCCTTATTTAAAAGGATTTTAGTTATGCACACATTTGGCGCCAAGATAAAATTAAGAAAAGCCTAAATAATTCCTTTAAATAAACATACAAATATTATGCTGAGGTCAACAACAAAATGATATTTACTATAGTGCTTCAGTCTTAAAAGCCAGGTCTTCAAATGAACCCAAAAGTCCAGTTTTCAACTTTAGAAATAAAAAGACCCTTTTTTTTCTTAAACCGCCATCCTTACCCTCTCGTCTTTGTTTTGAACACCGCCTCTCCCCACAATTAAATTATCGATTTTGCATGTATCTCTCAGTGTCAAGTAGAAGGCGGGAAATCTAAACAATTAGAATTAAGAAATTGTTTGAGTAATATATCTTTGCAAATACACATTTTAGATTATTTTTTTTTCCAATAGTAACAAGGAAAATGTACTTCATTAGAGAAATGTAACTTAACTTTAATGAGGGAAAAGAACTCAAGACGTAAAATAGAGCCGGTTTATTATAGCCAGAGCGAAAATGATGATAGTAATGAAGATATTGATGAAATAGAGAGTGTGGTTTCTCAAAATGAATTTACTAGAAAGGGAGAAGGGATAGGTATTCAAGAAAGCTCCGAAGAAATCAACGACTTGGTTGAGTCAATAGATCTCACTCTTGTGGTGTGGCTTAGGGAGATGTATTGCAAATATAATCAACCATATTTGACTTGTCTGGATTGCTTAGAGCATTCAAACTACACGACAAGATTGGCAGAGGAGTTATTAATAAGTAAATTTGGTTCAAAATAACAAAAACTGTACATATTTGATGTTTGCGAAAGAGAAGATCGCCAAAATGTATTTAAAAAAATAGTGATAGTATTCATAATTTGCCTTGTAATCAAGTGACTACTTTCTACAAAGTTCGAACAAAGCTAGTGAAATTGCACAGGACGGTACAATCTTGAGTATTCTTGGAAACACTCCAGTATAGAAATTTTTCAAACCTCTTCTTTGAAATAGACTAGAAACAATCCTCCTGGCTGAGATTGGATCTTTCCCAAGTAAGTTGTGATTGAAGCTGTGGGTTTGGATATTAGTCTTTATAATATCTAGGGGATGGCTCACAAGAGTTGCCACTGTCCCTGAAAATGCAGCAATGGAAAAGAGCTTGATCGTTTTTTTCGGTCCACTGTCCATCTTCCTTTGCAAAATTATCCTCAACTTTTCAGTAAGAGTCCAGTAGACTGCTGTGAATGGCACATCCCTCAGAATTGTAATCCAAAGGCCTGACCATAATTGATACACATTGATGCATCTTATTGAATCCAATAAAGGTGCATTACGCCTATATACCTTGGCTCCGACTCCGTTTAGATTCAAAAATAACTCATTACCTATTTGAGCTTGGATTCGTGTCCTAACAAACTCCATTGGACAAACGAATAGAGTTGTAATTGTTCTTGCCTGGATTCCAGCAATACCGGGAGAGAATCCCATAGCATTAAGAAAATAGTAGTAAGTGTTGAAGAATATTATGTTTGAAGGGATGTTAAACATCATTGTTGGAAATAAGCCAGTCCAGAATGTACGCATTCCTCTGTGTCTATATAATTCTCTGATGATTTTCAATGTGTTAATATTACTTGGAGCTTGATGTAGTCTCACATCATTATCAGCACAAAGCTCACGATTAAAAATTTCGTTCGAATTTCTGTATACCCAATAATTTTTGATTACATCCAATGGGGTGCATGCAAATGACACTGCAAGCCCATTCAAAAATGTAAGTCCAATTGGAGATTTCAACCCGTGATACTTCTCGGCCTTATTATCCTCCTCGATCGAAGTTTTACTACGCATTAGTTGTGACAAATATTTCAAATGGTAGGGTACCTGCATTCATTAAAATCCGGGAATCCCAGGAAGGGATGCCTGCCTCTCTGAACAGTGAAATATCGAGTATTCAGCACCTACACTGTATAAACTTTGTATGTGAAAGCTTAGACTTAGAGATATGGAGAGAACTAACTATTATTTAGAGAAAGTTACTATGCACTCATCTGTGTGATTCTAGTTAGGACACCCCTTAAAGAAGTGGAATAGTTTAATACTGAAACCTATTCAGAAAAACTTAGACTTTAATCCAACAACCCAAGTAAACAATTCTTCCTCTTAGTTTAAGATATTTTGCACATTCAACAACTATAGTGAGTCCGCTTCCTTAATATTACCTCGACCACTAAGAAACATTTGTATCTCAACTATTACACCTGCTTACCAATTACCAGTGAAGCAGGTCTCCTACATATATATGTAACTGTACATAAATATATTCACATATATACACTTTAGATATTTGCCCCAATTAAATTGCTAAATGCATAAATATACTATATATATAACTTTAGATACCCATATACACCCATTTAATTCTAACCACTTGTCTCTTTGCCCTACTCTTTTGGCGGTAAAGCGGTGCATGCATTTACAGGCAATGGCGGGAAGCAAAAAAAGTACATTCAATTATTAGTTGACGTAAAAAAAAAATCTTGTTTTTTTTCCTTCATATAAAGAGTATAAATATGAGAAAAAGTCTGTGGGATGTTCATTATGAAGAGAGTTAAGGTGGGAGAAACGAAAAGTACTGTTAAGAAAGATTCGAAGGCGCCAAACAGTAACTTTACAGAAAGCACGTAAGTGATCCCAGAAGTAGTAATAGGGACAAAAGAAAGTAATTTAAAAGAGTCTTTTTTAAGGATCTTCCAAAAAGTTTTCTTGGAGGGGATCAAGTTTAAGAAACAGAAAACGGACGGATCCATGGAGTATTTACTTCTGAGTTTGTAAATCCATTGGTACTTTTTCTTAAATAATATAGTCTTTTTAATAGAAAGATAATAAATGGAAATAGCAATTCCCAGGGATCCCAAAATTTTTAGTCTGGGAGTGAGATCTGAGTCATAATGAACGTCATATAACCACAAAAGTTTGCTGCCAGTAGCTACAGAATATAGAAATATACTTAACAAGAAATACTTAATTAGAGTAGAGAGTTTAAAATGATGAAATGCTCCTTTCCCTGTAATAAACTCCAAAGACGAGTCCCAAATCCCGAGCAGAAAGAAACATGAAAATGAATAGTATTTTGCAATAAGATTATCCATATCATAAGTAAATAAGCATGGGGTGGCAAAAAGAAAGAAACCAATAATACAGTGAAAAGTCAATGCGAATTTGTAGTTGTTCATTAGAGATGTAAGGATATCCAACACCCCAAATAGAGATAGACAGAATATATATACCCAACAAAGTTTGAGTGGGTATGTGATTTGGAATGCTCTTCCTAAATTTGAAACCATAATGAAGGAATGAGCAAGAGTGAATAACACGAAGGTGAATAAAAGAGTAAAGAACCTGAATCTAATTGAAATGGAGTTATGTTGATCGAGATCTTGATACAACTCCTTTATATAACTTTCTTTTCGAACCATTCCATTAGATTCAAGTTCCACATTATTATAACACAACCTGTTTTGAACACAACTTTCACTATAACACAGTTCATCAACTTCAGTTCGTACATCGTGATTCATCATTTTAATTTTGTGTGAAGAACATAAAATGGAGATAATGAATGGAAAGAGAGTTATCTTAATTATTGGAATAGCAAACCAAAACAGAACCTTATTTAACAGTTTTGATCTCACAAAATTTCGAACTGTAGTTACTCTTATGAACCCAAGGTATAATTTATAGAATGAGAAAAACCCAATATTATCATCAAGCTCATAATCAATAAGTAAACAACCTGGAAAATCAGGCATTAGATAAAAAGAAATAGGTACCACCACAAGCAAGACTGTAAAAAATATAGGCATATATTTAATTAGAGTTGAAATTAATACATAACGAAATTTAAACGGAGTTTTGAAATAGAAACTTCTTCCTAAGATGTAGAAAAACAAAATAAGTGAGAATGAAAGCCACGTGCCAATATATCCCAATAGAGTTTGTGAAAAATAAGTAAAATAGCTATTTTCTGAACAACTATCCATTATTGAGACAATTATCAAAATAATCATAGAAATCGTCTTTAGGTGTCCGTCTGTCAAACAGTTAACTTTGAACTCAAAAACATTGTCTTGAGCTTCTTCACAGACATTTTCCTCCATCTTTCAAATATCCTCTTTAAATCTGACTTATATCTGATAGTATTTGAGGCTGAGTCTCTTGCTCCAAATATAATTACAGTTTAAACTTCTATAAAATATACATAGAATTCAGTTTCTATAAAAATAATAATTTATCATAAATATCAACTTTTTTGTTTTCAAATTGAATTTTTTTTCTAACTGTTTGGGTGGTAACTTTAGGCGCCACATTTAGAGATCATCATTTTTGATTATTTGGAAAAAAAATTAAAATACCGTTAACTAATTCACCTAAATTCTCTTCTTTCTTTTCAAATCAAACTCAAATCATTACTTAATTGTAAGCCAGTTCCAAGCCTACCTTTTCTCTTTGGTTTTTCCTAATAGATGTATTATTGACTAACCACCTTAAATATATATATATTAAAATTTTCGGTACCCGCTTTTGGCGCCAACCCATTAAATATAATTCATAATTTAACAAAACAAAAAAAAATTTTTTTTTTGTGATCTTAATTAGATTGAGGCCACTGTATAGTTTTTAAAAATTTCAAGAATTACTCAAATAAAACTATTGTTCTTGTAAGTAGATCAGTGTTACTGATGTTTATATATGTTTCTATTTGGGAAAAAACTAGATAAACAATGTGTGGAGGAAAATTGCAATGATGAATTTGTAAGTATAGAATAAAGATCAGTTCGATCTTCTGAAGAATTTTACTTCTTTTTACTCCCATTAACTTATTTTTTCACAGATTGATATCAAGAATAAGGTGGAACTGGAAGGCAGAAGTGGAAAACCTCCAAACTTGAGAGAAATTGGAGCAGCTACTTGGTTATACGTAAGTACATAAAAAATTCAAAGATCCAAATAAGCCTTCAAAAATAAAATTAATTATTCTATACTCAATTTTAAAATCATTTTAGCTACATAATATGGCAAATAAGTACCCAGAAGATCCTAATAGTAGCGATAAAGAGGTATAAACACTATAACATTAATTCGTAATATTAGCTAACCATACTCACTCCCCATCTTTAGAGATATAAAAACTGGATTTACCACTTTTCTAATCTTTACCCATGCAAGGTTTGTAGAAATGGTATGAAAAAAATTCTTGAAAATAATCCACCAAGGTAAGTTTAGTTTAATCAAATTGGATCTCTTATGATCTTCTGCCTATTTTAAAATCTGTAACATAACTCTTATAAAAAGTTTAAATGACAGAAAAGACTTCGTTCTATGGTTGTGTGAATTTCACAATAAGGTTAATCAAGAATTAGGAGCAAAAACTTATAAATGCAATTATCAGGATCTTCTTAAAAAATTCAATAATTAAAATGCTACATCCTTACATTCAAATCTTTAGTAGCTATAATCTAAGAATTTGTGTGATCTCCTGTTGTATTTGGGTCGTTACCACTAGCATTAGTATTAGCATTACTAAGATCTCGTTTTTTAAAAGCTTTAATTAAAAAGTCTACTCTTCTGTAGATATCATTTGGACTTCTGGTTTTTATAAACCAATCAAAACTGAATACATGGTCATTTTTAATTGCAGATAGAATCTGGTCCCAGCTTCCATAACCATATTGGAATGTATAATTAATTAGATACCTATCTTCAAGTTGGTTAAATGTCATATTCTTTGCTTGCTTACTATAAATGTTAAGGCTTTCAAGATCCAAATCTCTCCAGGGGTCATTCAAAGTTGAAAGCTTATCTTTGATCACTGCATTAAGTTCATCTCTTTTCTTTTGGTCTTCTTTAGAAGACTGAATCCTTTTAAAGTATCTATTCCAGTCAGCCAATTCCTCTGGACCCTTCTTCAGTAATGTATCAACATAGTCCTTAATCTCATTCTTGTCCTTATTTGACAAAACTTGTTCAACTTTGTCCAAGTTCTCCACTCCGTTAGTTTCTAAACATCTCAAAAGTAAATTGAATTCCCTTCTTGTCCAAGTCTTAAAGCCTTTTTGAAGTAAAATTCTCTTTTCTTCCTTTTCTTCTGAAGATATGTCTTCTATCTGCTTGTCCATTGGAATTTCTTCAATAGGAATTAGTAGGGAGTTTTCGTCAATAAATGGAATAGTACTTGTCTGGGAAAGCTTAATTAGTCCTGCATGTAGTTCACCCACATACCTGGATTCTCTCTTATGGAGTTCCATGATCCTCTTCTTATCATAAAACTGCCAATCATGCATCGGAGGTAGCTTATCTAATCCACGTGCAGAGTTCTGCCTATTAATGTATTTCTGGATAAGCTTTAAGGTATAATTCTCTAGCCTTCCTCTGCGTCTTTCCTCACGTTCTTGGTCAATTTTTTCAATACTGATCTTTCCCCAGGCTTGTCTATCCTGCTGTTTTTGAACCTCATTATAGTCTATCCCCTCGAACTCATATAAAGAGTTAGTATTAGTTGTTCCTGCATTAATGATCTTATCTGATTCTCCCTTTCCTCCATTGTGACTTCCATTCAAACTAAAATTCATAAGAGACCCTTGAATATGCTTCTGGATTTTCATCTGCAAAGACTCTGTCTTCTTTTCTCCCCCTGATATAATTGCTTCAATATCTTCCTCAGTAATGTTTACATTTGTAGTTTTGAGGATTTCATTTGCACCATATTGTATCATTGTCATTAACTCATTCTTGGATAATGCATTATTTTCTAATCCAACATTATGAACCGAACTCTGACCTTTAAGCCTACCTTGTTGGATAATAGCAAAATCAAGTTGAAGCTTAAGATTAGCTCTTTCTATAATCTTTTCTTCTATAGTATGCTCGTGACAAAGTCTAAAAACGAATACCGGTTTTTTCTGGCCAATCCTGTGAGCTCTGTCCATAGCTTGAAGATCAGCCTGAGGATTCCAATCTGAGTCATACAAAATAACAATGTCAGCTGTAGCCAGGTTAATTCCCAAACCCCCAGCTCTAGTGGAAAGCAGAAATACAAGTTTCTGACTATCAGGTTTATTAAACTCAGAAATCTGTCTATCTCTGTCATCTCCTGAAGTATTTCCATCAATCCTACAGTGAGGAAAGCCTCTCATATGACAATAATCTTCAAGAATGTCCAATACACGTGCCATCTGGCTGAAAATTAAAATCCTACTCCCCTTGGAGACCAGTTTTTTAATTAGACGATCCATTAATACCATTTTCCCAGAGTTATCTACAACATGCTCTCCAAAAGGATCCACAGACTTGTCTTCATATCCATCAAAAAGGTATGGATGGTTGCAAGCTTTTCTAAGTTGCATTGCAAGATTAATGAGTCTAAGTTTGCCTCCACCTTCTTTCTCCTGTAAAGCATCGACATTTTTTGAAAGAAGGTCCTTGTACAACCTTCTTTGCATGTTAGTAAGGGGTACATATAAAAGAATCTCTTTCTTAGGAGGAATATCAATTTCCACCTCAGATTTAACTCTTCTAAGCATGAAAGGACGTAGTATTCTGTGGAATCTGCCAATAATGGCCTGCTCCTCCTCCCCTGTCTGAGCTTCAAAGAGAGCCTCAAACTCTTCAGAACTAGAGAATATCTCTGGATAAAGGAAGTTTAAAAGAGACCAAAGTTCCTTTAGACTATTTTGAAGAGGAGTGCCAGTCAAAAGTAACCTAAATCGAGTATTTAACTGTCTAACAGTTTGGCTAAGCTTGGAATTGGCATTCTTTATCCTATGAGCCTCGTCTATTATTACTGAATGAAAATTCCTTTTTAAAAACCAAGTTCTCTCCTTTAAGAGCATCTCGTAAGATGTGACTATAACATCACAGGTACCTTTTTCGAGATCTCTTTCGTCAATATGACTTAATTCATTATCCATGAGATTTGACCTTTCCTGACCATTCCCTAAAAATTTGATAGCTCTAATGCTTGGACAAAACCTTGCAATTTCATTCATCCAATTCCCTAAAGTACTTTTTGGAGACAAAACAAGATGCAACCCTTTAATATCACGGTATTCACGAAGATAAGCTAATAATGAAATCGACTGAAAAGTTTTTCCGAGACCCATTTCATCAGCCAGTATCCCATTCAATCCCCCTTCATATAAGTTAATAAGCCAGTTTAAGCCTTCCAGCTGATATGGTTTTAATTCTCCATTTTGTATACAACTTGGTTGTACTTGCAATCTAGTGTGAGGTCGATAACCATAAATTTCTTCTTCAGTTTCTCTAAAAAGCTCAATATCATCATCCTTACTCATAAAATGGTTGTGAGTGGAAAGCTTTTGTTTCTTGGCTACCTTTTCACCAGTTTCTTCTATTTGGCCATCATCGTTACCATATTTAATAGGGTTTAAAGACCTTGCCAGTATAAAGCTGGTATATGATTCACTTTGATCCAACAAAAGTTGCAATCTGGATTTATTTGCATCACTTCCCACAGTTTCTCTCATCTTATCTGCCATTTTGTGATGCATATCTACCTCTCTTTTCAAGTATTTTTCCGATTCTTCAAGTATATTTTTTGGGGTCTCCTCTTCACCACTACTTATTTCGAATTCTGATTCGACACTTTTTTCATGTTTAGTGTTGGTTTTACCTATCTTGATTTCATGATTTTCCCCAATATTCACACTAAAATTTTCATGAGAACTTTTGTTTTCATTAAACTCTTCCTTGCATTTTTGGTTATTATTCATCATTGTTTTCTTTTTACTAATGTTTAATCTTCTTTATGTACCTTTTCTCAGCTCCTTCATTTATCACAAATTATACCAAAATTCTTCAATTTTTTTTCTCTCCCGACCACTTAATCAGTCTGCTTTCTTTGTATTCCTATGGTATTACTTGTATAAAGGAATACTTTACTTAAAAAAAAAGTAAAAAATGTTCCCGCCAAAAGTTCATTGAGCACATTTAAAAAGAACAAATTTACAAAATAATTAAAAAGAAGATGTGTCAGTCAAAATTTTTTAAAAAACAAGTAGCAAAGTTAAGAGCAACAGAAAACTTCTAGAAATTTTTAAAGAAAAATAAGCAATTCTTTTTTTATAATACTTAAACTAATTAGGGAAAACACTAATTTACAATGTTATTGTTTTAACTTTGCACTCAAATGATTAAATAAATGATAAAGGCAATAATTATGGCGCCTGAGTTTGGCGCCATACGTGTCAAAATTTAATAATTAAAAAATAAATAGTTAAATAAGTAAAATATGATTAGAGAATAAGTTTCTTATTTAATTTATTTAATAGAAAAAAATTATGGGAATTTACCGGGTAACAGTAACAAGGAACGAAACCAATTAAAAAGTAAATTTAGTCTAGTTTGACATCGAGTAAATTTAAATCGAATTTTTTGTTTTAATAAATATTTGCCAATGAGCCAAAACGAGGCAAGTGAAGAAACAGGTTTTAATCCTAGGGCATTTCCATTAGCTTCTCCAGATTTAAACAACAAGATTATTAACTTGGTGCAACAAGCTTGCAGCTATAAGCAATTAAGGAAAGGAGCAAATGAAGCAACTAAGGCTTTAAATAGAGGTGTAGCTGAAGTGGTTTTGCTCGCTGCAGATGCTGAGCCTTTGGAAATTCTTCTTCATCTTCCATTAGTTTGTGAAGATAAAAATACTCCTTATGTTTTTGTCCGATCAAAAGTTGCTCTAGGACGTGCTTGCGGAGTATCTAGACCAGTTATAGCAGCAGCAATTACATCAAAGGATGGCTCAAGTTTGTCTCACCAGATTACTGAGCTAAAGAACCAAATAGAGCGAATTCTAGTATAAAAAGAGTTAATTCTAAGTTCTAATAAGTGCAGTTTAGAATGAGATTCTTCTATTATTCTTGCTATATTTAACTCTAGATTGTTTTTTCCTGTCTTTAACTTTTTCTCTTTTTAAACTTTGCTAGAGAAAGTTTTATTAAATCTATTTGGCTGGAATAATATGATATAGCTCTTTCTCCCCAGTCTTGGAACCAAAAAGGCCTTAACTCGGCTGAAGAAGATTTGTAGCTTTGGAGCAAATTATGATGTTCTATGCAGGGTTTTAATAAACTCTCTAAAATTTCATAGACTATTTGCATGTAATCAATATTAGAATATTTATTTGGTTCCCCTCCGTTTTTGTCCCAATTTTTGAGAGTAGAAATTGGATCATTAGATGTTACTACATCTATACACTTAAAGAGTAAATCTTGATTAGTTAGTTTCTCCAAAGATAGTTTGGAAAATATGTGATCAGTTGGAATATTGGAATGCTTCAACACTAAAATCTTCATTTTATACAATGGGTCATCATCCTCAGGTTCTAAGTTTAATGTTAGTGTGTCAAACAAGCCGGAAATAGGCTTTGTTATAGGGATAAATCCATAGCCAAATAAGCATTCACTGCTTGACAAAATGCCATACCTAATATATACCTCGCAGTTTTTTGGAATTTCCACTTCATTCTTAATAGAAATCATGTTATTCTCAAAATCCAAGAATGGAGATGAACATTGTGCCAAATGTGAATGATTAAACATATCAGCAATTGGTAAGATTGTACGTACTCCATCAATAGGTACTGGTAATATCAAATTATTCGATTCCCCATTCAGTGAAAAGTCTGTAACAGGTATACTAATGAGTTCAAGATGATCATTATTTTCGTTAGATTGACTAATCACTTTTAAACCATTCATATTTCCTAATTTTTCGTGCTTATAAAACTCCTCATTTAAAGGCCACCATTTGATACTAAATGACCTAGTATCTAAAACGTACTTTGTCTGATTAAATTTCTTCCATGTGAATATGCTTTTGTAATCCAAATCCTTAAAAAAGCTTATGGACTCTGACACCTTCTGGTCTCCAAGGAGATCACTCAACCTTTTTGCCTCATTTTGAACGATATCCAAGAGAAAATACACATGTTTTATCAAATCATAAAGTTCATCTATGCTATTGGAAATTCTACTCCCAAAATCATTCCCACCATGTGACAGAAAATCCCTGACCTCTTTTGGCGCCATGTACATGTTTTGATTGCATGCATGCGTTGGATTTTGCCACATAGAAATTATCTTATTCCATTTTGATTTTTCTCCTTTAGAAACCTGAAATACAGTAAAAAGAAGTAGAATAGAGTCGTGGTCGATTGGTTCATACATAATATTTTGCTCAGAACCGTTGGATAAAGTGGAAATTTCGCCAATTGCAGACTTCATTTCATTAATATACTGTGTTGGATTAGTTAGAAATCTTGCAATGTACCCAAAATCCTCAGAATATATTGCATTGTAAAATGATAGTGCATGATACAAAGAAATTTCAATAATTTTCGTATCAGCTTCAATTTTTTCTGTAGAGTAGAGTCCTCTTCCATGGTCAGGATGAACACCCACTCCAAGTTTTCTGAGTACAATAGGATGCTTTATGTGTTTCTCACCTTCAGAAAGACTTTCAATTATTTCGTCAAAATAAGATGAATCAATTTCAATATTCAAACTCGAAGCATCCTCTAATGAAGGCTTACATATGTTTTCCAAGGACAACATCACCAAAGAAAGGCATTGATTTAATAAGTATAGATAGTTATCCGTAGGATTACCAGGCTTCTCAGCACTTTGGTTAACTTTGGAGATTTCATCTTTAATGATATTTTTCAAAAGAAGAAGAGCTTTAATCATTACAAAAGGATTATAAAATGGGACATTTGTGACATTCTGAGAATATTTTTCAAACAAAGACTTTGGAAAATCAACTTGAGCTTTTCCTGAAGTGCTCTTTGAAATATAGTCATTTTTATTATATGCTAATGCTAAATATGTATCCTTATCTGTCATGCTTGAAATGTAAATGGAGTGAATTAACTTGACCAACCTTTCAAAAATGTTTTTCAAGTTTTCCTGAACTTTCAAGTTATCTCCTAAATCCTCTTTTAGCCATAGAGTCACGTAAGGCCCAGGCACCCCCCATTCTTCCAAAAGTTTCTTCCTATTGTTTACAAGAGACTCATCTGCATCCAATTCAACTGGTAATTTTACTACAAAATCCATATTAGTACATTATATACAAGTATGTAACATCAATTATTTCAAAAAGAGGTCTACTTAGAGAAATTTACTAATATTAATAATATTTAGGTATAAATGAACTTGTAAATTTAAGACTATTTTATTTGAATTTGGCGCCATATAAATTTTACATTGATTACTTTATAATTATTTACAACACGAAGAAAGCATTCCCGAAATTAAGCTACCATCACCATGTTGGTTTAGGTAGATGTTTTGAGAGTGAATGGGTTTAGATAAAGTTTCTCCGCTCTTTAGCTTTTTCTCCAGAAGTTTTCTTGCAATGCTTATGAAACATTCTTCAACATTAGTGGAGTTTTTGGCGCTCGATTCCATAAAATCAACTTGAAGCTCTTTAGCCTTTTTTTGCCCAGTAGAAAAATCAACCATCTTCTGTGAGGCTAAATCACACTTATTTCCAATAAGAATTTTGGTGGAGTCAGTTGTGTAACGGTTAACTTCGGTTACCCACTCATCAATATGGTCAAAAGATGAAGTTGAAGTAGTATCGTACACAAGTACTACTCCGTCAGCACCTCTGTAATATGCTGAGGTAATGGTTCTGAACCTTTCCTGTCCTGCAGTATCCCAAATCTGCAACTTGATGATTTTATCATCAATTTTAACAGTTCTAAATCGAAAATCCACTCCAATAGTAGTGATGTAGCTGTCTGTGAAAGAATCATCCTAGTTAGTTAAAAAAAGTAGGTATTGCATTTTAAAAACATAGTATATAGGCAAATAAAAACTATTTGCTTGAATTTAAATGAACTTACTGCAAATCTCAATAATAGGCAGGATTTTCCAACTCCGCTATCTCCAATTAAAACTAATTTGAATAAATAATCACTAAAGAAACAAGTTAAAAATGTTAGAATTCTGTCACTTAATAACGGTTTTGAGCAAAGACAAACAAACCCATGGGATGGTCATTAAAATAATCTGCCATGCATTAATTTTAAATGTTTTTCACCCAATGTTATGAATGTACCAATTTTAGCTCAAATATACTAAACTTACTATTCCTTTTGTCTAACAGCCGACATGCTTGATTTAGTATGTTTATAAATGAGTATATGTGTCTGTGTGTGTATATAAATATTCTATTTTTGAGAATAATATACACTCTCCAATCTTTTTATATACCAAAATACCTCTAATAAGCCAATTTTACGTCTGATTCCCCCACAATTTATTCTAAAAATGAGCCTACTTTCGGATAAAGAAAAAAGGCATACAAGAACCAATAAAAAAGAAAACCCCTGTTTTCTCAACCTTTTTTCATCAAGTTTTTTTTGGAATTAAAACTAGCCTTCTTATTATTTGCCCTAAAATCCTCAATCTTACAAAATATGAAGTAATTGGCATGCTATCTGGAGCTCGGCGGCACATTTCGGCTTTTTTGCCGCCTATTACGTGGTTAATGTTAGAGGCCACGTACCGGTGTTTACATGCAAAGAAAAAACATGAAAAGTCAAGAATTACATGTCAGTCAGACGAGAATTATTTTCAAAAAATAAAGTGTTAATAATAGGAAATATAGGTAGGAATAAGTCTGAAAGAAACATTAATTAAATAGAGCATTAAGTAAAAAAAAAAAGGAAAGTAATGGAATTCAAAGCAAATTAAAAGGTAAAGAACTAAACTTAGTAAAACATAGCAAACAAGATGGTGTTTCAAATAGTTTTTATACTAATGATGCTGAAATTCTCAGTCTTCTGCGAAGGGTTATCTAATAAGATCAGGTCAAATTCTAGGGCAGAGTTAGGGATGGAAGCCAAACTAAGTAATGGGTTATTTAACACAAATGCTCAAAAAGTTGAGTTAAAGTTGGGTCTTTCCGAGGGAGGAATGAAGTATGCGGAAGGAAACTATTTTTCAAGGTGGATTACCAAAAGTAAGTATTCGGAGGTAATGGACTCTCAGGATCTTAAAAACTATCAAAATAGTCAATATTTTGGTAAAATCGAGGTGGGAACCCCTCCAAGGGAATTTATTGTGATTTTTGATACAGGAAGTTCCAGTGTGTGGATCCCTAGTATTGAATGTAAGCATAAAGGTTGCGAGCCTCATAATAAGTATGATCCAAGTCTTAGTACAACTTATCAAAAATTTGGGGATGGGTCTTTGGAAACTTACATCCAATATGGAACAGGCTCTTGTGTATTAAAATTTGGAAAAGAAGTCATAAGTATAGGAAAGCTAAAAATAGAGGATCAGTCTTTTGGAATGGCTATAGAAGAAAGTACATCTCCTTTTGCTGACTTACCATTTGATGGTTTAGTAGGGCTTGGATTTCCAGATAAGAATAGTAAAAAGAACAATATTCCAACAATTATTGAGAATATTAAAGAACATAATATTTTGCCGAGAAATCTTTTTGGAGTTTATATTTCAAGAGATTCAAGTATTCCAGGCTCAATATCTTTTGGAGCCGCAGATCCAAAATACACAACAGGTAATCGAAAAGTAACCTGGCATCACCTTGTTGGGTCCCATTATTGGGAAATCAAGGTCAAAGATATAAAGATTAATGGAGTTACCACTAATTATTGTTTTGGGGATTGTAAAGCAGCTATTGATACTGGCTCATCTGTTTCAACAGCTCCAAGTAATTTCATGAGAAAGATTACCAAGGTTATACCTTTGGAGGGGGACTGTAATAAATACCTATCTTCTCCTAGGATAACTTATGTGATCGAGGATATTCATGGAAATGATGTAGAGATGCATATGGATCCTCAAGATTATGTAATTGATGAAGGTGGCCCATCAGCATTCAATGCATTTAGCTATTATTGGGGCCCACAAGAACATTTTTGTAGTATCGGGTATATTCCTCTTGATATTCCAGCTCCAAGAGGCCCACTTTTTGTACTTGGAAATAATTTTATTCGAAAATACTATTCAATATTTGATAGAGACAATTTAATGGTGGGTTTTACTTTGGCAAAACATAGTAAATATGGGCCTATGTTCATTTCATTATCATCGAATTCCGAGTCCATCTTCAAAAGAACAATATTTAGACTCACTATCGTAATCACCCTGTTACTATTCATTATTTATTAAAATACTTTAAGTAAAAATAACTAAGTGGGGGTGTACAGAGGCAATACAAGACAGAATAATATAAAATATTATGTAGCAAAATCTATTTCTTTTACTACTAACAATCGAATAATATCAATATAAATTTTAATTATCTGACTGGACCATTGACTGAATTTGAAATCTTGAAATAAGCTGAGGAATACTACCACAAGCTATTCCAAATATATTTGGGTCTAAATCAAATAGAGGTAAGCTCTTTAATACATGATGCTTTGGCAATTTAAACAGCAATTTCGGAGGAAGAATTACCTGATAAATCCTTATTGTTTCTTTAGGTCTTGTCGAATGAGGTGGTAAATATGGTAATGGAGAATAATTGAACTCAGTCCTCCACCAAGTTCCCAAGTATTCTCCAACCTCCACTGCATTATCAGAACAAGCATTATTGATATTACTGCTATTATTTGTCGAGCTGCCATTAGAACCATTATTATTACTGCTATTGTTAGCAATGTTACTATTGCTATTAATGCTCGAACTTGTTAAAAATATTGACTTTAAAAAGTTTGCTAATACTATGCGAGGATTTTCCCAGGCTTTATATGTACAATTTGGAAGCATCCATTCACTGGTTAAATCATTTTGAAGTAAAACTACATGTGGACACAAATAACGATGAGTAAGCATTAAGGCAGCAACACTACGCCCGATTCCATCTTTTAAAAAGTTATCAACCTTTGTATTAAATCCATTCATCTCACTAATTGGGATGCTTGACGAGATTTCATCAGCATTATCTTGGACTCTGATTCCATAATTTTCTAATGGATAAATTAGCCATGATGGTTCATGATCTACGTTTGTAGCCATATTCTGTTCTTCATTCAAAGGATTTTGGTTTGCCAAAAACGCTGGCTGCTCTAAAATATCTTCCTCCTCGGTTTTATTATCATTCATCAAAGTGGAACTGACATTATTTAAACCTTCCTGCATTGGTGTAGAGATGCATAATAATTGCGAATATAAAATACTGTTTATAATATATTAAAAGTAATTAAATATTTGGCCTAAAAATTAGACACAGAATCTCCTGCTAAAGATGAATTTCAACGGAAAGAATGGTTTATTTGAATCACAAAAGGTAATTTAAAAATTTATTATTATTTTTATTACCTTATGAAATATAATCTTGTATAAAATAATAATCTTTAGTTACTTTAAAATAATCAGGAGGGAGGCGCGCGCGCCATTTATTGATTTTTATAGTCAGAGTATATAGGCATAGGCATGTATAAATGTCAAGAAGGTAAAGTGCGTTGAATTAAAGAAAAACAGTTAAGCCCATTTAATAAATAAGGATGATAATTAAACATAATTCACGAAAAAAAAAGAATTGAAGTGGTGGGGTGTATTATAAAATGGTCAATGTATATGACTAATAGTACTAGCAAGAACAGCAGCACCTCTTCCAGAGCCGTCATCTGATTCATAAAAATATATTGAACCAAGATTCCCACTTTCTTGAATTATAGAGGAAAGTGATTTTTTAACATAATTCTGGAATGTGGGTATTTTTGTCCATACAGATCCATCAATGGCAATGATAACTTCATTGTGTGACTTATTAATCCTTTTTATAAATGCTGCAAGAAGGACTGAGACTAAAGATGCTGCTCTCATAAGTACCATTTGTGAAATTCTTGCGATAATATGAGTAGAATTATGATCAAAATCCGATGAGAATGTTTCTCTCAAGTAATTTTCAATGGACTTCAAATTTTGGTTGCAACTACTGTCATGGTTTTGGTTGAAATTATGATAACTATCATTAAATTGGCTAATAATTTCAGCAATATGTTCGGTTTTGAATGAGTCTTTTTTGAAAAAGATTTTGGGTGTTTTATATTTTAAAAAATTGATAATTAATAGCCGAGAAATTTCTCCCAAATAAGTTCCACTAATCATTTTTTCAAACCTTTGTTTTCCCCTATTGTCGCTAAACCAATCGATAGTAAGATCACAATCAGTTGAGGGTAACTTTGACGAATAAAAATCTCCACATTCAGTATTAATAATAACTCCTTTATAACCAAAATTTAAAGAGTCTGGTTCATAATAGCAAGCATTCACTCCTGTTCCAACTACAATTCCAACCAATGGTTTGTTTTCAGATTTCCTGGTTAGTGTATTAACTTCTTTTGAAATATTCTCGTTAACTTTTGAAAAATGGTTATTTATATTGCAATTATTAACGTTTAAATCATACATTGCTGAAAGAAGAGTTCCGACAGTATCATTTACAATACATTTACAACAAGCAGGTATTCCATTTCTTTTAAAAGCTGAATTCAATTGATCGCCAATATCTTTACCTTCTACAGGATCGTTTGTTGACCTACCTGTTTCAATTCCTTTTGTCCAGATTAACAAATTTGCATTAGCAATTCCAAATTGCATTGTGGGAAAAGAAAAAGTGAAAGCAACCTCTATTGGAAAGCTATTGATGTTAATGCTACCTAAATCATTTAAATCGCCACATTCTTTTAAAAATTCATTAAAGAAAGAAGCAATTGAATTAAACATTGTTTCTGAAGATACTGTTTTATCCAATATATTAACTTCTTTTTGACAAATTTTGGAGCATTTACTACCATTCAAGACTTTCTCTGAGGCAAAAACTTTCATTTCTGTTAACTTAGTTTTCTTAAATTTGGTTTCACTTTGACCATTACCAAGTAAATTCACTCGAACACATCTTAAATTAGTCCCACCCATATCAATAGCATAATAAACACCTTTTTCTTTCCCGGTTGGAAGCTTGTCAATGCAAGAATCTAACATCTTAAAAGGTTTGTAATTAGAATAACATTTGTTAATTTTTAGAGGATTTGTGTGATTTTTAAGTCCATCTTCTAAAGATATGCAAAAATCATCAACTAATTCCATTAACCTTGATTTAGGTAAAAAAAAGTATTTTTCATATAAATCAAACAACTCTTTGGTTTGATTCTCTTCTTCCATTTTAATTCAATATAACTAATATATATTATAATCCCCAATTAATAACTGACTTTTTTTTCTATTTTCTATATTCAGAAACATAAATCGAATAGAAAAAATTTAACGTAATCTATATTAAATTTATTGACGATTATTAACTTTATCGGTTTTTTTCTTGGAATTAATTTAAATTATTTAATAATTTGTATAATAATAAATTCAGAGAAATACTTACGTGTCGGCGCCAAGTACATGCAAATTCACAACTATTGCTTTGCATTGTACTTGCATGCCGGTATAGAAATTATTATTTCAACCCCCCAGTCATGCATGAACTTTATCAAATACACGTAATGGCTGATTAAATTCTTCCCATGTGGATAATCCTTTTTATGAATTGAAAGAGAAAGAGAAATAGAAAAATCATAAATTTTAAGAAAAAAGTCGTGCAATTGAAATAAAGTAATTAACATTTTGATTAACAGTAAAACAAACTACTCAAAACAAACTAAAGATGTAAAATTTCCAAGGCGATTATATATGCGATAATAGGCTTGGGTTGCAAATATCCAAATGCGAATCACACATCAACTCTTTAATACTCGTGAAGAGTCATTTTTGCGATCAACCAAGTTACCAACACTGTCTCGTAGTAAGTAATTAAGAAAAAAAAAAGATCTGAGTGCGATTTTGTGAATAAATGGATAATTTTGCATTTACATCCAACCCAGGTGTCAAACAAGAGATTTTGGGTGTAAAAGTAGCATGCAATGTACAATTACCAAGAAAACAAATACTGATTTGAGAGATTAGAAACAAAAACGTTCTACTCACTTCTTGCTTATCTTTGTCTCTTGATTTAAAGACCTCTCGAAGTAATATAGACAGCAAGGTCAACGAGTCTGTTTGAGTAACCAAATTCATTGTCATACCAAGAGATAAGCTTAACAAAAGAGTCGTTGAGTGCGATACATGCATTCTTGTCAAAAATAGAAGAAAGCTTGCAACCAATAAAATCGGTTGAGACAACGTCATCGCTTGTGAAACCCATGATTCCCTTCATTGGGCCATTGGACGCCTCTTTTACAGCCTGGTAAATATCCTCTATAGAGGCTGGCTTTGCGAGTCTACATGTGAGATCAACAACAGAAACATCTGGAGTTGGGACACGGATAGCCATACCTGTAAGCTTTCCATTCAAAGCAGGTATAACCTTACCTACTGCCTTTGCTGCACCTGTGCTTGCTGGAATAATGTTGTTTCCAGCGCATCTTCCTGCTCTCCAGTCCTTACCACCTTTACTTGGACCGTCAACAGTTAATTGGTTAGCAGTAAGAGAATGAACTGTTGTCATCAAACCTTCGACAATTCCAAACTTATCATTAACAATCTTTGCTAAAGGAGCAAGACAGTTCGTCGTACAAGAAGCATTAGAAATTACATTAAACTTTGATGGGTCATATTCTGTGTGATTTACGCCCATAACATACATTGGGACACTATCCTTTGGTGGAGCAGATATTATAACTTTCTTTGCACCACCCTTAAGATGTAAAGAAGCTTTCTCTTCCGTTGTGAATACACCAGTCGACTCACATATAATATGAGCACCAGAAGCTCCCCATGGAATTTCTGCTGGGTCCTTTGCTTGGAACACCTTAACTATTTTACCATTGATACACAAATCTTTACCAGATACCTCAACTGTACCTTTAAAATTACCATGGACTGAATCATACTTCAAAAGATAAGCCATATATTCCACATCCATGAATGGATCGTTTATTGCTACTACTGTAATATCATTTCTATCCATACATGCTCTCAAAACTAGACGACCAATGCGTCCAAAACCGTTAATACCCAAAGTTGCAGTCATATTTTATGCTTTTTCTAATGTTAACAATAAACAAATTTCTCTCAAATTAATAAAAGTCTTGGTTTATTTCCAAATTTTTTTTTTTGAAAAAAAAAATTGAGAATAAATAATAGTGATAGTTTTTATTTAACTCGGATTCAACTAAATAAAGTGGGTTTTTCTTTATCCATATATTATTGGCGTGCAATATCTTCTGTCCCATGCGCCTATTTTTCTATTATTTATTTTTTCTTAAATTCCCCCAATATCTCAGTATAATATATTATCTTTTTTACTCGAATACGAGACATGCAAACAATTTGGCGCCATTTTGACTAAAATACCGGTAAACATTTCAATACTAAAAATGTTCTTGATGAAATATTTTACATGCAAATCAGACTAAATCAAAACAAAAAAATCAAAGTAAATTTAACATATTCCTTAGTTCTAACGTTCCATCTAAAATACCTTGTTTATCTTGTATTTAATTCGATCCTTCTAATTATTCAATCTCCAACTTATTTGCTTTGAGTTCTTTTAAATCTTTTCTCTAACACAACCCACCAACAGTATCTTTTTTCTACCGAACATTTCTGTAAATTACTACATATCCTCTTTGACTTCTAGTTTTGATTGTATCCCCCTTATGATCTATGTTAACGAACAGAATTTGTATTGAGACAAGCTTGGCCTCAGTTCTTCTACTATGCTCATCTTTGTATACTTCTCTCCAAATAATGAACTCTTTCTTGTAAATATCTAATATATATCTTCTGTAAATATGCTATTTTCCTTTTTATTTTCAATACTAATCTATTATTTTAATATGAATTCCTTAAAGTAATTGCATATGAAACCCCAACCAAGTAACCAATCTTGCGAAATTAATTGGAAAAGTGAATAAATTAAGCCATCTTTCCCACGATTCCTTCTTAAAGAATGCAGGCTGAGATCCTTATCTGAACTATTATCAATACGATTTTCCTTTGTCTGATCTTCCAATGATCTCTCATGTTTGCTCTTCATATTTATTGAAGCATTTTTATCCTCGGTACCTTCTAGCAGTAGGTCAACATTTAAAGCATATTCATCAAACCTTACTAAAATCCCAACTTGATTTAAGTATAGAAAATCTCGATATTTTTCTTGGTTATATGATACATTTGAAGTCAACTTGTAATCTTCATCTTTAATTTTATATGGTATAGAAGTGTTTACAAACTGAGTAGTAGTATCATTATTAATACTCCTTCCCTTCAAATCCTCCTCATTGGGATCTTCTAAAAACCAAGAGTATTTAATAGCAGGCTGATTTTTCTGAGCATTCTCAGGAGTATTAGTAACTACCAAAGCTTCTGATCCTGTTCCTACTCTTGTTCTTGTTCCAATTTCTTTTCCTTCAATAAAAGAAAAGTACTTACTAATCACCATTACACACACAATTATAAATAAATAAGTTATATTTGGCAATCTCTGCATGATATCACACCATGCTTTCTTTCCAGACACAGGTTAGCTTGTTCCCAAACAACAAAATAAAGAAGATTTAGTGGTAATCGTAGTAGTGGTGGTTATATTAATTCTTCTCAGCTAACCAACTTTCCTATCACACACTGAAACTTGGACTTAAAAATGCCTTGACTGAATTCTGCTATAGTCTTCTGTAAAATAAAGTGAATTTAATTGGCGCGCATATGCTGAAGCCTGTTTAGAAAGATGTACATAATACAATATAAACAATGTAGATGCGAGAATGTTTGCAGTCAACCCAAAATAAAAAAGTATTGTCCAGAACCCATGAGTAAAGTAAAGGCATAGACTATCAGCAACTGCCCAAATAAAAGTGATTGCAGCCATAAACAATGGGAAATGTAATGTGGTTGTAGTTGCTTCATTAAGAGTAGGAGAATCAACTGGCGGCTTTCTTGAGAAAATAAGACTCAGAGTTCCAATAAGAGGATACGAAATACCCATTCTAATGGAAGTTGTAATGATCATGCAAGAACTCCATGTGATCATGAAAAACGCATAAAAGTCATTTCCATAATATGAGAGAAAAATTGAAGATGCAAACAATTGAGGAATATCCTCCAATATGTGCATTATTAAAGTGTATGTCCAATTAACTCTCTCCAGCATGAACAAAGCTTCTGGCATCTCTTCACCTAATCTTCTTATCTGAGAATAAACATGAAAAGGTGAAAACAACTTTTTTGTATACTTATCGTCAATACGATGATAAAATATAAAAGATCTTGTTAAATATGCCAGAATACTTGTCAGGAAAGTTGATAATAGACACATAAATGAAACCCATCCCATATCTTGGCTTAATCTGTGAGTCCTATTACTCGAAGCCAAAGTCTTTAAAACTTTAAGTATAAAAAATAAGTTGTTTACTAGGTAAAACTGCTTCATGATTTCCCACAAAGTTAGCTGTGACTGTTTGCTCCTTATTGTATTGTTCTCCCTAAAATTATATATTAAACTACAAATGTACCCCAAAGTAGTGTCTGAAATTGAATCATTGACTTTCGTTCCTTCATTGCCAATAACTTTAAATTTAAGCTTATCCCTAGGATTTTTCATCTTAATAATGTCCTCCTCCCTCTCACTAACAATATACAAAGCATCATATCTCTGCGAGTTCTGTCTCTGTTGTTGTTTATTCCTATTAAAAAGTAAAAAAAAGAAAAACCAAAATTAGTATATACATATGAACTTACCATTCTTCCTCAGTCATATCTCCAAGTTCAGAAAACCTCATTGAATTTAAACCTTCCGAAAGCCTCGGAGAGAAATGATCTTCGAATAATATAGTGTTAACATTCATGCTATTTTCCCTACTTTTTCCATGATTTGATGCAGTGTTTGATCTATGTTCATAATTTAAGTTCTCATATGAGCAGCCTATATTATCAATGGACTCTTCCCTTGACCAGTCAATATTGTAACTCATTTCATTGACTTGTTTACTTAGATTTCAGTTGTATATATGACCTTGTTCCTAATTCCCGATTGAATAACATTTAACTTTAATATCAAGAATATTTTTGTATTTAAAATAAAAAGTATTTTTGCTTCGTTTTTGTATCCTTAGTAACTATACATTGCATGTATATATTTGTATATATACATATATGTATATATGCATATATACCTTTTTAGCTATGGCTTAATTTATTTTCATCTACTTTGTTATTTCAATTTTATGGCTCTTGCTGTTCTTTACTCCTCCCTTTTGGACTACTGTTTTTCTTCCCTGGTCTTTCTTTCTTTTTTCCTTGTATATGATCTGGCCATTTATTTTATAGAATTCACTTTTTTTCCAGCTTTATTTATTTTCGTTCTCACACACATCCACAATTTCTACGCACTTGCCGCCAAAATGTTAAATGTTTTTTTTATAATTTAAGACCATTTTTATTATCCACTTAATGATAAATAAAAATAAAAATTTTTTATTTTATACCAAATAGTTTCATTTATTCTTATCAAATTCTTCTGATAAAATAAATATTTAAAAAAAAAAAAAAAACCCTTCCTATACTTACTAAAACTCAAATTATTTTAACTAATTGTACTTACTACTCATATTCCTATCTATTGTCTGCCACGTAATTGCATGCAAGATATTTTTACACATACATGCAATTTCATGTTAGAAAATACCGGTATAAAATTATTTGTCCACACAAAAGAAAAAACTCAATTAAATCCGAAATAAATAAATAAACTAAAAATAGTCAAAATTTTCAAGATTCAAAATATAAATGCTGATATTATCAAATATTAGACAACTATCAATCTTTAATCCAAATCATAATTCAAATTTCGTGGCTTATCCGAACGTATTCCAAAAGCCAATAAAGAGGAGTCAACCTTCTTTCCCTTCTTCCTCTTGTTTTTATGATTTGAAGGCTTATTGGTTGTAGTAAATGTAGATTCCTTGTCATAAAAATCTTTATTCATTTCTGCCTTGTCAATCTCATCAAAATTACATTCTGCTTTATGATCGATTGCTTCTAAAGCAAGGCTGTCATTAACTTTATTACATGTAACATTGTGATCACTATTTCCCAAAACAGAATTTTTCTGTAAAGAGTCAGAATTACACATTTCCCAAAAACCATTTTGATTATTTTTTTGTTTTTGATTTTTTGAAAAGTTATTGGTTGAATACAAAGTAATACTTTCAAATAATTCAGTGTTTGTTGGTTCGCCTGTTTTGATCCCCCAACCTTTCCATTTATTCCCATGATTAATATTTAAATTTACTGAATTTGGAACTTTAGCAAAGCTCTGCTTAGATTGATTGCATCCTTGAGGATCCTGCACATTAATTGATTCCAAAAAAACAGTTGATTTTTCCTTGGGAATAATTTTTTTCCATCCTTTAGGTGTATCTTTGATATTGAGAGCTTCTGAATTACACAAATCATTTGCTCGATTCATTGCTTCTATTTTGAGTTTCTCCTTAGAAGAGATTTCTTCTTGTCTTAAAATATCCTGAAAATTTATCACTTCTTTCTTTGTTTTTGAGTTATCACTATTAACCCCACCCCAAGGAACTTTTGTGGATTTATACTGTATTTTTGGCTCAAATTCACAACTTTTCTCATTTTTTTGTGATTCAACAACAAATTCATTAGACTTTAGCTCTTGTACCTCAATTGGATGATTATTTTCAGAGTTCAGAGTATTAGAATCATTTTTTTCAATATTACAATTCTTATTTACCTTTTCACTATTTATAGTATTATTGATCAACTTTGGAGCAGAAATATGGTCACTTACATTTAATTGCAATTCGTTGATTTCTGAAATAATAGATGAGATATCCTCACTTTTGATTTTCTCTACTTTATCATTTTGGAATGAAACATCTGTAAGTCTTTGAGATATTACTTCCAAATCTGGAATATAAGTAAATGTTGATTTAACATCTGGATAAAATAAGTTTATTGGGCCCCAAACGTATTTTGAAATCATTGTAAATAAAGTTTTGTGAGTAAATGTATAACTTTTCCATAAACTACTCATTTGCTTTGTTGAGAAAGGTCCATTCACAGTAAAAGAACCTGATTCCTTATATAGCCACATTGGGTTATCAAGCACATCTATTTCTTGCCTTATTTCTAAACCAATATTGTTTTGGTTATTTTGAATAAATTGGTGACTATCAATCCTCAAATTACTATGGTTATTTTGAAAATTGTTTACTAATGAAGAATCCTCAGTTTCAATTTCCATTAAATTGATGTTATTGTTAATAACTTTACTATTGTCATTAAAGTTATTGATATCATTATTAATATTGACATTTTGAATAGTTCTAGAATTATTTAAATGTTTGGCATTCAAGATATTATTTTTGACTATATTACTTTTAAATAGTCTTGAATCTAATGATGTATAGTTACCCTTATAAAAGTTATTGGATAATTGTATTTCCTTTAAATCATTACATAACGTATTATGAGCCATTTCATCAGTCAAATTACTTCCTGTCTCAATTAATTTATCAGAAAATAGAATTTTACTTTTTTCATTGTCATTAACAATACCAGATAACATTTCATTGTTATGATTTTGTGAATTTTTGTAGTCTATTCCTTCCAATGCCATAACGAGTTTGTTTCTAATGAATTTCTCAGAATCAATACTCTCTTTTTCAAATCTCTTGTTTAAGATTTTTTTAATTGATGACATATCTTCCTCTAAATCATTTATTCGGTTAAGAGCACTAAAACTTCCGATAACTTCTGTCCCCTCATTGTTTCTACATGATTTGTTATGATTAATTTGTGCACATTCCTGATTAAGAGTGCTTTCTATCGTAATTGGTTTGTTTTTTCTCCAAGAATATCCATCTGTTATTCCACTAGCTCCAGTATCTTCTGATACTTTTGAAGTCTTTGGAGGAGATTGATTAGATTCAAATGTGCCAGAAGTTTTATTATAATTGTTAAAATATCCATTTTTATTTTTCCTCTCTAAATTATTGAAATATTGTCCATTAGAGCCAGTATTTTTAACATAACTAAAATTACTGGAACCATGAGAATTATTTTTTTGAACAACAGTTTCCAATTTAAAAATACTCTTTGGAACATTTAGAGGCTTATACAGTTTTAATAGAACTTTAATTGGATATATGTTTTTTGAAATAATCTGTCTTATATTCAAATTAGACTGTTCAAACTTGTATGAATTATTTCTACTTTGGTTCATTTTATATGTTCACAGTCTCATTTATCTTGACAAATTCTAATGAAACCCCAAAAGAATTATTCCTTGAACTTGCTCATAAATACTCAAAAAGGAAAGCTTTTGGCTGATTACCTCCGACAAACTGATCTCTTAAGTGAAATTATATATATTTATATAAAAAGTACGTTCCTTAAATAAATATATACAGTAATATTTAAAAAACAATCACAAAATATTGCAATATACAATAATTGGCTTAGTTTATATATTCAAATTTTTTTTTTGTTAAATAATTTATATTTATATTTATTTCTGTATTTAATTGTATATAAATATTGTATTTTTACATTATATTAAATATAATATAATGTAAAAATAAATACAATTATTTATTTACCTTTTCTTCTTGACCATTTTAAATTATATAAGTTATTTTCATTTGACATTAGTTAATATTTATGCGCCAACTTGATTTTTTTATTTCACATTTTTTTTAATTAATTTAACTCAATATTTGATAATATTATTCCGCACTGAATGTACTGGGCTGTTTTTTGCAGTTAGTAATATTCTACTTCAAAAAAGAATATGACAATCTCTAATGAATAAGTAAATATGCGGATCAATTTATTTATTCTTTTTGGTTGTCACATTTGACTCGCAGAACTTTTCAACAGATTCCCCTTGTTTTATTATAATATTTCTAATTAAAATTTAAGCGAATCTGAATTTTTAATTTTTTTTTTTTGAATATATCTGTCCACATACGTGTCAATAGTTGTTAATAAAAATGACACGTCATTTATCATGCATGCAATATTGTTATTAACGCCGGTATGTAACAAATATAGAAAAGACTTACGTAACTGGATGTGTAAAAAGATACAATTTACTATTTATTTGAATTAAATATTTTTAAAAAAAAAAGTTATTAAAATTTTTCTTTATAGAATATATTAAATCATCCCAAATTCAATCTTCAAATCAAGTAATAAAAATGAATGAAGAAAGAAAAGAAAAACCTGAATGGGTTCAGATTAAATATGAAGAATTGCCAGAGTACATAAAAAAAGAGGAAAGAAGAATGGGTGCAATATTTTATCAAGAGTTTGGGATATGTATTATTAGGCTTTGGGTAGTACATTGCAAAAATGCATGGCTCGTAAATAGTGTTACAAATGAAAAGTTTTTGATGGAAAATGATGACGAGGTAAACATAAAGAGAGCAATAATAAACAATGTAGAGTTAAATGATAAGTACCACTTTTTGCTGGAAACATCAAATGGTGAACAAATTACAAGGAGAGATCCCTATGCTAGATTTACTGATTACGAAACTGATTCATGTTATGTAGTTGATATTCTTGGGAATTTGAAAAATTCAAGTGCAAAATATTTTAAAACACAAGAACTTAATCATTTAATTATTTATGAATTGCATGTTGAAAGCTATATTCAGAGATATATTGACTATTTTTCAGTTAAAACTGAAGCGGAATTAAAAAAAAATCCGAGTTTTTTTAAGCAAATTGCTGATTATGGCTTGAAAAATATCAAGGATTTGAATTTTAATTGTCTAGAACTAATGCCAGTTGTGGAATATTGTGGAGAATGGGGTTATAACCCAAGGTTATTGATGAGTATTAACAGTTATTTAGGTTCTGTTGAGGATTTTATGTATTTGGTCCAGAAAGTACATGAGAATGATTTACTTATAATTGTGGATTTAGTTCTCCATCATGGAGCATCCAGACTCAATTCTCTTTGGAATTTTGATGGATATAATCATCAAGGAGGAATTTACTTTGAGGGAGGAGGTGATACAGGCTGGGGAGCCAAGTTTAATTTCAACAAAAAAGAAGTACAAGACATGTTGTATGAAGCATGTAAAGTATTTTTCGGAGAGTATGGAGTTGATGGAATACGCTTTGATAGTGTTCACAACATGCCAAATTGGCTATTAAAAAATATAACTTCTAAACTAAAAAAAGAATTCCCTGGTAGATTTCTGATTGCAGAGGTTGTTCCAGAAAATCCAAAATATTTAAAAGAATGTGGATTTGATTCATGTTGGATTCATTCATCATATTATGACATAATTTCACAGTTTAGGAACCAAAAAACCCAACAAGAGTGGAATTGTGGATACTCCAAATCTTTAATAGAAGGTCATAATGGATTTGATTCTCCTGGTCAATGTATTTTAACAATGCTTGGTAATCATGATCAAATTGGAAACAGATGTAATGGAGGTGTTCCTTTTGGTGATGATCGCATTGGCAGATATATCGTTGAACAGTTTGGAGGAAGAGAAAATTGGGATGCTCGAGCATATTGTAGGTTATTGTATTCATTATCTTGTATATCTTTCGGGGTTCCAATGGTTTTTATGGGGACAGAAAATCTCCAAGGAAAATGGTGGTCTGCAAAAGATAAAGCTTATAATTATGACTGGGGATTAATAAAAAACAATGACCAAATCACACAACAAATGAGAAAATTGGTTAAAGATATTAATCTTCTCAAAAGCAAGGAAAAAGAAGTATTTGCTTCAAATTACAATAACTTCAGCCATTTTAATGTAAATTTATCATATCTAATAGCAATTTTTTTAAGAAAAAGTAAGGACCAAGCATTTTTATGTGTTGTAAATATGGATAAATCTGAATGGCTTGATAATAATTACCGAGTTAATATTTCCAGGGATATAATTCAAACTTTTGGTAAGGCACTGAAACAAGAATTTAATTCTCAGTCCGAAGAATATGGAGGTTGGGAAGGTAGCTATACAAATCCTAAGAAAAAGGAGATCTACTATTTTCAAGAGAATTCTGCAGAAAATAATGTATCCTATATGTTAAATGTACCTAAATATTCCGTAACAATATACAGATTCTGTAAGATATAATGGTTTTCATATAAATGATTATTTAAACTAATTTCTTAAATAAGAGTGATAATAAGTAGGAAAACATTCATTAAAATGACTGAATGGATTTGTCTCTAAGTAATACAGATTTTTCGAATTTAATCAAAATGGTTGTACTATAGTTATTTGGAGTATCTTCGGTTGTATGAGCAGTAACATTTGCAGGGAATTCTGAGCTATCTAGAATTCCTGAAACTATTCCTGCAGCATATGCACCACAATTAATATGTTCAAGATCCTGAATTTAAAGAAGAAAAAAAATCAATTAATTCGTTAAAATTCTTGTCTTTTAAGGACATTCAAGATATGACAATATATTCACCTACCCTCGGAACAGAGATGAATTTATTTAAGAGAAGATTCTTGTCATTGATCATATCTAAACAAAGACGTTTAAATAAAAAGTTCTTAAACTTAGTAAAGTAATTTAACTTACATTCATCATCAGATTCTTGACCCTTAAGTAAATCTCCAGCATGCCCGAATAAGTATTTCCAACATTTTTGTGAAATAAAGGAAAGTATTTGAAGTATTCTGGTTTCTCTCTTTTGATGAGCTTTATCTCTAATGGTAATTAGCTCAACTATTTTATATCCAACAGAAATCCCCATTTCATGAAGTCTGCAAACAAATTATTTAATTAAGATGCTTAGAATGTCAATATTAATCAATTTAACCAACTTACTTATCTTCAAGTCGAATTCCTGGTTTTAAACAAGATAGGGAATACTGAACCATTTCCGAAAACAGAAATGCAAAGGAGCTTAAATTAATCTAAAATCAGGTAAATATAATTTATTTGTAAAGAAAATAATAATTAATAAATAAAAGAAATGACAATGTATACATAATATTTATAGATACATTTATAAATACATTTCTAAAACTTTTCCACCATATTTTGATAACTTACTTCAGATGAACATTTCATAATATTTCTTTCTAATGGTTGGGAAGCTCCTTTTTTGCCTTGTCTATCAATTCTCAGCATTTTCAATATTTATTTCAGGTGAATTATTGGATATATTTATTTATTTTCCAAATCTGTCACTTATTAGTGACTTAAATTAGATTAGAAAAGCTGCCTTGGTTTTATTTTATTATAAACCCAAACCCTTCAAGTTTCCATGATCTTGAAATAATTTTTTAATATACCGGTATATATAACAAATAAGGGTACCGGGGGGTACCTTTTATTGTGAAATTAATATTAGATTAGTGGGGCGGGGGAATTTTGACTAAACGGTTTAAATTTTTTTAATGTTTTTTTTTAGCTTGAAATTTTTTTTTCTGAGCAGATTTATGAGGAATTAGAAGGAGCTATTTAAGGCTGCTCTCATTTTGTGGTTAAATGAGTCCAAGCATGAGGATAATAGGCATAGAACAACTAATAACAAAGAAAATCAAATTCTGATAGGTAATTAAAGATTGGATATCTCTACTTGCTTCTGATGATTTATTGATTTGTACTTCCCATTTGTTATTCTTGTTATTGGATGAAATAAAAGGAATAAAATCGCTGATTTGGCTTTTACTAGAATTGCTTTCATGATCATTTTCAAAACCATAATAATATAGATCTTCATATTCATCGGAATATTCATCTCCATTCTGATATTCATACCAATTTTCTGCACTTTTGTTCATTACTGGCTTGGATTCAAAGCCAGAACTTTTACTAGAATTAAAATTCTCACCTGTTAAATATCCATATTTGGGTTGTTCATTAGAAATCACAACTTTATCCATTTTGAATTCAGGGAATGATTCTCCTGAGAAATCTGGTTGGTATTTATCCAAAAGTAAAGGTTCTTTATATTTTTTTGTTTCATTATTTGTTGTCTTTAAAATATGGCTAAAAACAATTGGCTTATTTTCAATATCATTTTCGCTTTTATTAATATTATTTGATATATCTTCAGATATAAAACTTGGAAAATCTTCGCTTTGTTCATCCTGGGTAACGATTTCAACCTTTCCAAGATACTCAAAATTTGAATTTTCGTCGATTAATACATCTTCTATTGTATTGTTTTTGGGTATTTCCTCTTCATTGATCATCTTTGCTGCAAATTCTCTCTTTGTCTCCTTGTTTAATAGTTTTACCATAGTCATATTTGAAAAGTTTCCTGCTTGAGGGAAGTGAACTCTAATATATTTAGTTATAATATTCTCAGAGTTCTTATCATTGTTTTCCTCAGCGTCTTTTGGAACATATGGAAGGTAATTTATTGGAATCTTAAATAAATGCTTTAAATCATTATGTTTAGCTTTATCATTACTATCTTTTTTATGAGATATTTTATTATTATGGCTGCTGTTTTTGTTAGTATTTAAATGTTTTCTAATATTACTATTGATGTTGTTTGAATCATCTTCATTAGGATTTTTTAGTTTCTTAATGTTATTTTTTATTTTACATTTATTCTTAATATTTGCTAAAGAACATTTTATTAATGAAAATTGGCAGGCAATTCTAAAAGGAGAATTATCTGAAAATTTCATGGGTTTAAAACTGAAACTTAAAATTCCTGGATTGATTTGATTCACCTTGAATCCAACTTGTTTCATTGGGCATCCATTTTCCAAAATAGTTAAAGGAGTACATTGAGGATTTTTATAACCATATATTAAATTATCCTCACATTTAGATTTCCAAATCTGACATTTTTCAGGCCAACTTGTTAAGCATTGACTATCAAATTGGTTTTGAATTTTGGTATTATTAACATCAATTTCATTTTGAATTAATAAATTTCTCATATTATTGTATTGTTGGATAGATTGTTGTTTCTTCATCATCAACTCTTGTTCTTCTATTTGTTGTTGTTGTTGATTGTAAAGCATATTTGAGACAGCATTCTGGCTAATTGCAGGTATCTGAGTAATTAGTTCAACATCTGAATTTGGTCTTTGAGCTACTTGTGAAATAAGTTCTCCAAGTCCATTTACTGCTGGATTTGGATCATTTCCTACAGCTTCTACCCAAGCTAAGGCCTGAGCAACTCCAGAAGAAAGCTGATCTCCTTCTACTTTACGGCTCATTGCAGCCTGAACTGCTTGTACTGAGTACTCCCAAGTACCTGACCCATGTATACTTTTATCTCTTTTATTAAGCTTACATTCACATAAAGCATTATTCATCTCTTTAGATGGCATTTTTAATGTATTTTGAAAAATCAAATGTTCGCTAGTTTCAATAATAACCATTCCACAATTCCCTGAAGATTTTGGATTAGAATTATAAGAATTACCTGGAAATGAGGATTTACTTCTAAAATCATCCGGAGAAATGTATTCTGATGAAGAGATATCCTGATTATCATATAATGATGTAGTGGCACAGAACATATCTGTTTTTGAAACATAAATAGCTTCACACGAAGGATCTTCAACTCTTAGAAAGCTTGGAGGTTTTTTTCTCCATCCTTTGGCAGATTTTTGTGGGACGCAACACTGCATTCCTTGCAATGTACAAACAACATGTGGGGAACCAACACCAGGAGGAGGTAATATACTTTGTTTTTCAAAGGCTCCACTTGGTCTTAAAGCACCTTTTTGATCTAAAAATCCTGAGTTGTATAGTGAAATACTTGTTTGTAAAATGTCATTAAGAGGAAATCTGGACAAAAATCCACTCATACTTTTAACTGCTACAGTAGAAGTAGAAAGTATTCCTGGCCAGTCTGAGTTTAAATTGCTATTAACTTGAGCAGAAGATTTTTGACTATTTTTCTGTGCATTACTAATTCCTTGTATTAATCTTTCTTCCATAGCTTGAGCATAAGCAATACTTGCAGAAACTGGACATCCTAGAGTTCCAGATTGAAAATTGGGTAAAGATACAGATCCTTGTTTATCTGGCATTAATATACAAGTGCCAATAATGCTTTCAGGACCTCTAAGAAATGCTCCATAAGAATAGTATCTACAGTCTGGAGTGTTACTACAAGATAAGATGCATTGTTCAATATTTTCTACTGGTATAGCCATTTCTAAAGAACTGTAGAATCTAGTTTCTTCTTCATAACACATATTTTTCGATAAATTTTGTTCTAAATTGTATTTATCATCATATTTGTGATCTTTATCTTCATTTTCATCAATGTAATACTGTCTATATGCATCGTCATACTCGTATTCGTGATCTTTTCCTTGGCTATTATATCTTTCATTGTACTGTCTATAGTGTTCATTACTTGAATGAACTAATCTGGAGACTTCAGTCACTTCCTTTGGATCTAAAACAACTCCTATTATCTCTGGACTATAATTAGATTCCTTATATTGTCTATTTTCGTTTTCTTCTTGTTGATCAAAACGTGAAGATGGAGAAGCTGAGTTAGGTTCTTGAACCCTTGATTTTGGGGAGGATGCAGTAGGGACAGTGAGGGTAGTGGGGTCAGTGAAAAAAAAAGAGGTGGGAGTAGTAGAAAAGGAAGTAGAGGAATTAATGGTAGTGTTAGCAGTATTTGTGGCATTAGAGGTAGTGGAAGTATTGGAAAAAGTGGTTGTATTTGAGTTTTTGAAGCTTGTTGAATTGGTATTAGTGGTATTCCCATCAGAAACAGATATCTGAGATTCTATGGTCATATTTGAAGAAGAAATATCTTTGCTTGGATCTGAAGAATTAGGACTGATATTGTTGGAAAAACCAGAGGTATTAGAAGAAGGATCTGTGGCATTGAAGAGATTTCCATCGACGGCAGTGACAGTATTGGTAGTGGTATTAATGGTAGTAGTAGTAGTAGTGGTAGAAGTAGTAGTAGTAGTAGTAGTAGTAGTAGTAGTAGTAGTAGTAGTGGAGGATGATGAAGAAGAAAAGGAACCTCCGGGTGGGAAATCGGCTTTAAAAACGGTATTACCATCCAAACCTGACTTGATCAAACTTTTTTCGATGCTTTCAATCCTGGCCATAATTGCATCCAAATCATTATCTTTATTACCACTCATTAGATTTGAATTCATGATCCTTTCATGAGAACCTGAGTCTGAAACAGAATTTGGGTTGGAGTTGTTCCCAGACCCCATTCCAAACATCAGGACACCATCAGGAGAATTATTCTCATTTTTAGAACTTTGACTTATATGAAGTTGCTGCTGTTGAGGTTTGAATATGATTGGACTTGAGTTAGCGAAAAGCTGCTCTAAGAAATTCCTTGATGGAAGCCTTTTAGGTGCACTATAAAGGATAGCAAGCTGGTCAAACGAGCTAGTTTTGTCCTTAGTAATACCTTGAATAATATTTAAAGCACCTATTGATTGAGCTAAAGCAATACCAGTACCTGAAAACAACTGTCTTTGTTGATTTATTCCAATTGATTCAACATTCTCTCCATTGACATATATTGCGTTGTTCAACTGAGGAACATTTGAAAAGTCTGAAGGCATTCCATTTTTGTTATTAATTGAACCCACACAAAAAGCGTACATTCCTGTCAAATCGTCGCAGGGAAAGTCTAAACTTCCATCCAGTTCCTGTCTACCGTTATTTCCTGTTGGTAAAGCAAATAATATTCCATTTTCTTTTGAAGTTCTTCTCATTATATGCCTCAAAATTCTTGGAGCAGCTCTATTCTCCTCTATTGTCTTTGAGTCAAACTTTAGAGGTAAAATAATATTTCTTGCTTTAGAAGATATGGCAGAATCTATTGCTGAAGCCACCTCGCTCAATGGAGCACCCTTTTTTGCACTATTCCAAACTTTATACCCAATACATTCAACATTTGCTTCTCCTGAAAGTACCATAGGACAAGCAACTCCTTCAGGAAATCTATCACAATCACATCCTGTTACATAAGCCATTGCAGTATCTTGACCTTGGTTAGTATCAATATTACTCAATAACCGAGCATACATTTCATATTCTCTGTTTGGTTGATCATTGAGATTTTGATTTTTTATATTTGGATCTGTTAGAGTTTTGTTTGTTTTTAATGAAGAATCTACTTCAAATAATCTCCTTTTTGGTGAGGGAGATCTAAAAGAATCATGGCTTTGGGTATTATAAGCGGATCCTGTATCTATATTATTCATCTGAAGAATTGTATCAAACCCTGTACCTATAAATGCATTGATTAAATTGATTTTTTCTCTTTGAGACTTAGTCATATTTTTCTGTACTTGTTCTGGAAGTTTGTCGATGAAACCCTCGGGATGGAAGGAAGTAATATCATTTGGATCATCAAATACACTGCCATTCATTTTTATATATGTAGTACCAACTGAGTTTCCATGAAACGGATTGTTAGATAATTTTGAAAACTGCGATAGTGGAGAATTAAAATGATTAACATTTGAATTGATTAAAGGTGGAGTGGAATATCTCATACTATTCCCAGATTTGTTAATCTCTGTTTGATTATTCTGGCTATTAACAAGTAAAGGTTGTTTTATACCACTTTCATTTTGTTTTGAAATAGTTTTTCTCATCCATTCTGAAGTTGTTGGAGAGTTGATTGTTGGTACTTTTATATCAGGATTATTCTTATTATTTGGATTAACTAAAGTTGGGTTAATTGTTTTAATACCATTTGCTGCATAATATGGTGGAGGTAAAGCGGATGAAGGAGAATTTTGCTGAGAAGCCGAGTTTTGCTTTCCCCAATTATCAATTGATTCAAAGACGCTCGGAGCTAACCCAGAGCCGGATTGAGAATGAATCCCTACCTTATTAGAATTACTGTTTGAGTTAGTTTGAGGAACACTATTAAACCCGACAATAGTATTATCGGTTGGATGAATACCATTATTATTTGAACTAGGATGAAAATTGCCTCCTTTAAAATTGTCACTTTGAATGTTTAGCTGACTATCATTTTCATATCCACCAACGACATTATTATTTCCTTGGGGAATGGGTTTATAACTCCAGCTCGATATTGATGGAGAATTATAGTAATTATTGTTAGTATTAAGCTGATTAATGTGATTATTGTAGCTGTATTCGGAGATCTTTTGCTCATTTTTGATAGCTGGGTTGCCGAAAGGAGGAGGAAGCTTAGAAGAAGAGTCACTCATTCCTTTGAAAATTACGGTTGCAATGTTCATTGCGAGGTCATTATCCAAGCTTACATCCTCTTTAGACATATCCACCGGGAGTATGGGAGATGTTTGATTCTTAAACTTCTGGGACAATTCTGTAATATTTTTTCCTTTGAGACTCATGCCAAGCAGGTACAATGGTGATATAGTTAATTTAGAATTACTATCAATTGGATCCATTTTCCCAAATATTGGATCTTCGATTTCCTGTGGAAACTCAGATTTAGCTTTATCCTCCTTATTTGAAAAATTGGATAGAAAGCTCAATGCATTCCAAACTGAAGATTGCCTTCCTCTTGAAAATGAGGATGAAGAAGGGTTATTGGAATTTGATGAAGAGGATGCAGTCGAAAAAATATTCAATCTATTTAGCATATTGGATGCCTCATTAAACTTTTTTAGAAAGTAGCCGTCCAGCTCTTTATATAATTTGGCTTCATCTGTCAAATAATCGATTTGTTGATTGTTAGTACCATTTCTTTGAATATCTTGAGAATTCAAAAAACGATTAAAATTTCCAAAACTATTAGGATTAATATTCCAATTCCACTTGTTGTTATTATAACTATCAACATATTTACCTTGATTTTCACTCGTAAATACTGACTGCTCACTTAACAAAGAATCTCTAGTACAATCAGCTTTGTTCAAAATATCAAGCTTCCTGATCAGTCTTAACCCTTCAGCCAAAGGAATTATACTACGTTCTTCGTACTCTTTAACACTAGACCTAACATCAATTATGAAAATCCCAAGTTTCTCATAAAATTCGACATATGAAAATGGTAACTCGGAAATTTCTGTATACTCATTTAATCTTTCAAAAAGTGAATCTGCCTCTTTTTCTCTATTAAGAGTATTTTCTGATAATAAGATACATATATATCTTGTAACTTTGAAACTCGTTAAGTAATCATTTTCTTTTACTACTGATTGTCTATTTTCTTTACTTTCTTGATAATAGTTACAGTTGTTTCCAATACAAATATCACCCACTCCTGCAATTGGATTTTTCATTTCGTTGAATAACACCGAAGGGATGGAAGTCACATATGCTACTGGGTCATCTTTTTTTTCCTGAATTTTCCCATCTATTTTTGTATCTATTGAATATGCTTTTTGGAAACTTATGATTAGATATTCTAATATCACAATACATACAGTTTTTAATACCAAGCTCTTCAAGTTGATCTTCATAAACATTTCAAATGCGGTAATTAACTTTCCTTCTTTTTTGTTTTAATAATTGATTTCTAATCTCTTGTTTCTTTTCTGTCAAGTTTTTTCTATTATATTTAACTTTTCTATCTTATCTCGGTCCTATAGTTGTCCATGTATACTTTTTTTCAAGTTAACTTATGATTAGTTGATTGAATATCTTTAACTTTTGAATCTGCTTTATTTACTAATTTTTAGCTTTTTTTGTTAATCATGTTCTTTTTATTTTCTCTACTTTTATTCCTTTCTTACATTAATTATCTTTGCTTCCTTTTTTTTATGATTATAAAAACTCTCGGAATTATGTAAATTAACTACTTTTCTTCTGCATGCAACATTTTCTGTTTATGATGTCATGCCCACTATTTTAAAAATTAATATACACGTGTCATACACATGTTTTGTAAACCGGTATTTGCATGCATTATTGTGGACAAGTTGCATGCAAAGTAAAAATAATTTGGGCGGGAAGTGTCAATATAATTTTTTAAAGATAAAAATGGATTTTTAAAAAATAAAGATATACTGAATATATGATGGTAGTTTTTGCCTTTTATTTTTAGTTAACACTTCACTTAAACAGATTTGAGATGTTATCAAAGAGAAAAATAGGTACGTTATTTTCAAATATTAGTATTATAATTGGAATACCTACTAATTAAAATAATTCTTTTCTTTACTTTAATAAAAATGATTTAAAAACACTATTTAGGTTTTATTGGGTGTGGAAATATTGCAAATGCGATTATATCTGGGTTTATATTATCTAAAAAAATAAAATCCAATCAAATTTTTCTACAAGATCCCGACAGAAATAACTTAGAAGCACTTAAAAAGAAATTTCCTGAAATTAATATCTCAGAAAGTCTTTTAAGTTTAGTGATTAATTCTGAATTAATATTTATATGTGTAAAACCACATATTTTAGGCCAGGTTTTAAATGAAATCAAAAATTTCAATATTGAAGCTGATTTCAAATCAGGAAACAAAGTTTTGATTTCAGTTTGTGCAGGAAAGACTATTGGTGATATATTAAGGGAATTTCAGTCTAATGATATACACTGCATTAGAGTAATGCCAAATTTAACCTTGTCAATTTGCCAAGGATCTTGGCTTTATCATGAAAATCCTGCTGCCCATTTTTCTAACTACAAACAAAACAACTCAAATGAAATTATTGAAATTTTAAGTTCATGTGGTACCGTTTATAACATTGATGAAAGTATCTTCTCACATTGCACTAGCATTAGTGGATGTGGCCCTGGATTCTTTTCTAATATTGCTCATCATTTCATTGAATCTGGAGTTAAGATAGGAATTCCTAAAGATCTTGCAAGAAAACTTGTCATAGAAACGATATATGGAACTTCCAAATTTCTTTTCGAATCATCTATTGAACCAAGAGTTTTCCAATCCAAAGTTTCTACTCCAGGAGGTTCCACTCAAGCGGGTATTGATGTACTTGAAGATCGGTTAATTGGAGACATTTTTCGAGATTGCCTTCAATCATCATTCGAGAGGTGCATTCAACTTAGTAAGAATTAAATCCAATTAAATACAAATTTTTAATTGGGTTATAAGTTGGCTTATTTTAACTGTCCGTTGCGTACGTTAGGGTTGTTAGTCTAGTGGTATGATTCATGTTTCGGGTACATGAGGTCCCGGGTTCGATTCCCGGATAACCCCCCTCTTTAATATTTGCGCCCGAGCGTTGATGGAGTTCATTCCTGATTTTATGGCCCCTGAATACTTGAATTTTCAGCATTAAGTAGTTTGGAAGTAATCTCTTTCGTACTTGAACTCTTTTCTAACTTAAAAAGTTGAACTTATAGAACTTCAAAAACTAATTTATTACTAAATGCAAACCATGAACTATTTATACCTTAATAATAGACTAACATTTAATATAGAGACAGTTTTTTGCCTACATAATAAAAATCCAAGAAAACTGTTCAAATGCTCAAATATACACCTGTACATAAGAAGATTCAATGGAATATCACTGAATAAATGAGAATTAAGATCAAAATTATAAAATAATTTCTAATCTGTCATATACCTAAATTGCCCATTTTATTTGCGTTCTAGTTGCAAATTAACATTAACTAAGTTTCAAAAAATTCTTGTATATGTGACATTGATCCAAGGAATTACAGGAAATCTGAAAGAAACAAACGATCTAACAGAACCAAAATATTAGTTAGTAACCACTTCATATCTCTATGCAGTAATTTAAAAATATTTAACATAGATATATAATGCTTCTAGATTTCTTTCTAACCCCAATTAATCTCGGTAAAAAAATCACATTAATATACTAATAAAGGCTATAAATGGTTGCAAACCAGAATCTTAAGATTGAGGGTTGCATTTTCTGCGTCCAGCAACAACACTGACGAATCTTCTGTTATATTGCTGTCTCTTCTTTGCTCTTCCAGTCAAAGCCTTCTTCTTTTCCTGCTTTTCAACACGAGGAGTCTGATTCTTTACTTTACCTGCACGAGCTAATGAACCGTGTGCCTTTGCCATATTTCAGAATTTAATAAAATAAAATTTACTTTAAAAATAATTAATTCTAATGATGGGAGAAAAAAGTCAACCCTTCTGTCAAGGACTATCTTTAAATTTTATTATTATTTATTTTTAAATATACGTAAAATAATTTGACTTCAACTAAATATCAACATTATTGTTTTAAGTCAATTATTATTTATATTTTTCTTAATATTATTGGGAGGTGCTTAAATATATTATTTTTGGGCTAATATGATTAAAGGCGTCTCAAAAACGAGACATGGCGCCCAACCATATGGCGCCACTTGAGAATTTATTTTGCATGTAATTTATTGAGCAAGTAAATAAATATTAAGGATTTAAATACAAAAAGTTGCCATTCAATTAAAAATCTAACACACCCAATCAAATGGATAGTAAAAGTCATATTTTAGAGGTAGTTTAATAAAATAACTTATATCAAAGTGTTATTTTTTTTTATTTGTTTAATTTTTGAATTTTTGACAAATTGTTCAAGAATGCAATGTATTGGATTTGGCGGTAACTTACTGAATGAGAAACAAAAGCAGAATCTAAAATTATTTGCAAGGGAATACTGTAATTTACGCTGACTAAATGGGTACAAATGAGGTGGAGCAACTTATATTAACATTAGGAAAGGAAATGGGAAAGGATGAGGAGGAAATGAAGAAATTTGTCGAGATAATTGTGAATAAGAACTGGTATGACAGAGTGGAGTTATTAAAGAGCATTACAAATGAGCAGTGGAAAACTATGAATATACCTTTAAGGCTAGTTGACATGATTAAAAAACGTGTATCTTCAGAGGTGAAAGAATTTGAAGTCGAAGAAGATTCTAATGAGGCAGCAAAACAAGTATTGAAAGAAAGTACGTGGGAATTTGAGTATTTGACACCAGAGAATCTAGAAATGTCTCCATCACTATATAATTCAATAGAATCTTTAGTAAACATTCCCAGGGACAAGTTGAAAGGAGTAACGGACCTATTATTTAAAATAATTGATTCAATTATTAAAGAACCAAGAAAGGGTAAGATCAGAAGAATTAAAATGAAGAATCCCAAATTTGCATCTACAGTTGGAAGCTTTGTTGAAGCTTTGAATGTACTTAAATCTGTAGGCTTTGTCCAAGTAAGCCTTAAAACAAGCGAAATCTTTGGAAATTCAGAGGATTGTAGTAATGAGGAACAAGAGGAATATATCGAACTTCCTGTTGCTTATATTTCTCGTCTAACTGATTGCCACCATCTACTAGCTATTTTCTGTGAGAGAAACAAAATTGATTACCCAAAGCTCGTTCCTTGTGATTTGAATTCAATTGATAACTCAAATGAAAACTCTGTTAAGATTTCTCACTTTAATCCATATGTTTCAAATATATCCTCGACCTCTGCCAGCTCAAATAATGAATTTTCTAGGAATTTGATGAAGTCTGCTATTGAGGAGAGAAGACAAATTGAATCCGAAATAAAGAAAAGGGAAAGAGATATGGAAAATGGGATTATAAATGAGTTTAATCCTCAAGATGATGGAAATATCATTTCCTCTAAACCTTTTGTTATTCATTCTTCAAATATACAAAAGTTTGACAACCTAGTCAAAGAAATTAATGACATAGACTCCCAAGAAGATTTGGATAATGATGTTACTTCTCATTTTGAACAATCTGAAATTCAAAGAATTAAGGATTCCATACTTGGTAAAGCTCCTGCATTCAAAAGTAGAACTAATGAGTATTTAAAGTCACTCTTAAAGAGGAAGGTTCACTCTCACTCATCAATTAGGGTGGTTTTTCCTGATAAATATATTCTACAGCTCCAATTTAGACCAAACAATACAACTTACGACCTCATACAGTCTGTTAAAGATTGCATAAATCCCAATATATCTTCTATGAATTGGTATGTTTACCAATCCCCTCCTATATTAAAGGTTAACCCAGATAAAAATCTGACTCTACTAAAAGCTGGGTTCGTTCCTAATGCTCAACTTTATTTTAAGCTAGAACTTCCACCTAATCACACTTTAAAGGGAAACTATATTAAGGCTCAGTTACTCAATGAAGATACATAAAACTATTTATATACACATTCAAAAGAAGAGAAGGGAGTCAAAATTAACCATGATTATTATTAAGAGATAATGGAAAACTCTAGAATTAAAAAAATATTGTCTGGAGTAATCTTATTTAGTTTTCAGAACCATTTTGTCCTTAGTAACAAGCCATAATAATCTAAGTGATCATGGTAATTAGTTTTAAAATTATCATCATTAGAGCAAATTTTGATTTGCTCTTGAATTTTTCTAATTGTATTTTAAATAAAATAATATCGGAAAAAACAATACTTGAAGTCATTTTTTCTTTAATTTCTATTTAAAATATGATAACTTTCAATTAACTTATAATTCTCCTCATTAATTAGTATATGGATACACATTGAAATAGGAGTGTGAGGCTGCTTTGTTTCACATTTAGGTAACGGAATTTTGACTCATCTACTTGAATACTTACATTAATTTGAATGAATTGAGTCTTTTTATTTCGGTAGTTACACTTGTATTGAAGAATGCGATTGAATCCCATTAGATTAAAAAACGAGAATTTAACATTCTATTTATTTCCATTTAGCAAAAATATTCTCTACATTCATTTAAAAGTGACTCAGAAAATCAGATGTGTTATGATTTCCATTGCAACTAGTAATTTTGGATCTTTCCCCTGACTTTTTTGGAGAGTTGGTACTTGATGATAATTTTGAATTTGACTCAGTCAATGTAGACATCATAACTAAATCACTTCTTGGGTGGAGGAGATTGTTTCCAATTAAGAAATTTTCCCCAGAAGATGTACAATTAGTTTCTTCAGAAGAATTCACGCTGCTTTTGATTTCCAAGAAACTTGCTGATGAATGCTTTAAGCCACAATCTTGCATAAATTCGTCCGTTGGTACCCTCCTTTTATTAATAATTCTTTCCTCTTCAATAGTTGAAGATGCGATAATATCTTCTTCCTGATCGCAAGTGTTATTTGTAGTTGGCCTGCTATTATTAATACTATCAATATTACTACTTTCAATGTAGTTGCTTGAAGCTAGACTACTTGAGCTTGCAATCCCGCTCAGCTCTCTGTTTCCAAAGAATGAGCTAAGTCTTCCTGCAGAATTGGATGATAAAATAGGAGGAGCTTGTGTTGAAGGAGTATCAGGAAGAGAGAAATGATTGTTTGAATATTTGTGACTTCTTGGAGAGTTCTTTGACTTACATGCTATTCTTTTATAATTTTCACTTCCATTAGTTGCTACCTCATAGTAATTACCTTTTGGGGTAGTTTTATTAATTACGATTGGAGTTTTGATATGGGAATTACTTTTTGACCCAACAACAGAATAACTGTTGGCGGACTTTGTCATAGATAATCCAATAAGATGATTGGAGATCTTTTCTTGAAGGTTATTAACACTTTCTGCCAATTTTGCGATATTTTTGACGCACTGATTCACCAACTCCTCTTGCCTCATTTTACTAGATGAACTATCTTTCTGACTCATTTTGATTGTCTGTATCTGTATTCTTAATTGTTCCGCTTGGGTTGCTATTTGAGTAATTACATTGTGATCATGTCTTCTTTCTTCAGTAATCTGCTTGAATTGATCCTTAAGCTCCCCAAAGTTTTCTTTAAGCTCATTTGTGGCTTGTATAGTTTTGTTCATCTTTCTTTGAATTTCATTTTTCAGTTGAGGAATGTCTTCATGTATTACCGATTGTATTGAATGAATGTCCTCCTTCATTTGTTTAATTGTAAAGCTCTGGTCATCATATGACTTTTTCATTATAGATAAATTTTCAACATCTCTTTTCAATGCTTCAACTTCGGTTTTGGTTTTCTCACTTTTAATCATTCTGTTATTTAAAGAATCAAATTCTATCTGTAAGCTTTCCAATTTTGAGATAATACTAGGAATATTAGAGTTCTGAATAGAATTTCTGCTATTTACAGTTTCAGATAATAAATGAAAATCATTTTTTAACTTTCTAATCTCGTTTTTCAACTCTCTCTCCTCCTGAACTCTGTATTCTTCCTTATTCTTCAAATCTTCAATTTCAGTGTGATATTTTCTCAGCTCACTAATTAAAAGAGTGTGTAACTGAAGTTGTTGTTTAAGCTTCTCAAATTGCGATTCCACATTTTCGATTGATAATATATCCAATTTCCCTTGTTCAATGTCAGAAAATCTTAGATGCAATGTTTGCATTTCATCTTTTATGCGATTAATCTCTTTTAAAACCTCCCCTATTGTTTCTCTTTGGTTACTCCTTGGAATAGCACTGTCAAAAGAGAAGATATGCATCCAGCTATTTCTTACTGCCTCACTAACTGTAGTCATCTTGAATTATATTCGATTAATTTACTTAATCAATATAATTGGTAGATCACTAAGGTTTTATTACCTTCAGTTTTAGTAAATAATTCCCTTCGTGTTATATTTAACTTGTTTTTATCTCCTCAATTTGACATTAGCTATATATCAAATGATTATTTTTTTTTAATATTTTCAAATCCAGACCTTCCCCCTAAACTTACTATCATTTAAAGATCTATGCAAATTCATATCAAGACTGCGTGTTACTAGTGTGTTAGGGGTTGCACGTCCTGTCGCTTCCTGGGTCGCCATATAACTAAATAATATTGAAATATTTATTATTTATAGAAAGATATGGTGGGTTTATTTTAAATTGGTTGGAGGATAATTATATACAATTTAGTTGTTTTCTTGAATAATTTAGATCTTTATAAGTGCCAATTCATAATAATTTCCATTTTATGGAACAAATTTTGTATTGATCCAAGTCTATTAGGTGAATGTGGGGACTTGTTTTAATTTGATAGCTCTAAATATTCCCTTATTTTAAAGTTTCTAATCAGTTACCTCGCCCCTAGATATTTCTAATAATGCTCATTTTTTATCTAGGGAAGGGTGCTGCCAACAAATAGTGAATATGAAAGAAACTTACATAGAATTAGCCTATCAAATTGGAAAAAGTTGGGAAACACTTTCGAAGTTTGTACAAAGATCCATTAATGCTATATCAAATTTACTTGCAACTCTTGAACTACATTTTGCCAATGATATCATTTGTAACCAAACTTCAGAGGAAACTCTTCAATCGAGCAAATTTATTGTAATAAATGACCTTTTAACTAGAATCAAAAATTTGTCTGTGGAATTAAGTAGCTATGTTAAACAGTTTTTCAAAGAACACCTTTCAAATCTTGATAAAACAATAAAGTGGATAAATGATGAATATTCAACTTTTAGCCATTATAATTCTGATAAAGATGCCCAAGTAGCTAGCATGAAACGAGTCCAAGTGTTACATAACTCTTTAAAACTTTGCACTTTAATTAAATCCAATTACAACTTTGTTTTGAATTTTACTTCTATAATTACAGCAAACATTGATGATTATGTTCAACAAAAACTCATCAGGCCAACAACAAGTTATTCAAAAGACTCTTCAAATTGTATTGATAAGAAAGTTCTTGAAGAAATTTCCAAGATTACAAGCTTTAATTGCTACAATTGCCAACCCGAATTAATATCAATCTCAAATTATTTAGAAAAAAATTGACCAGGAACAAAATCCATTTAGTAAAAACTGGTCGCCTATCCGTTCTAGATTTCTCACCAATTATTATTTTATTTACTACGTGTTTGTCCACATAAATGCAAGGCATTTGCAAGGTCACATGCAAAAGTATTGCATATACCGGTGCACTACCATTTGTTAGAAGGCGCCATTTTTTTTTTTAATAGATAGTAAAAAGTATAAAAAAGTCTTTAAAGAATAGGTATTATTCATTTTAAATCACTAAGTTTTGACTTAAATATTTAAAATCTGAACTATTTGATACAATATTAAGATTTTTCCCTTGATTTGTAATTTTCATGGATTCCCAACGATTTCAAGTTTTTGTACAAGGGGTGAACCAGGTATTTGCCACATGGTAAGTTAGATTTTTGTTATGCTTTTTTGATTAATTGTAAAAATTTGAAGGACTATTTTGAATCTTTCTGTGGAAGGAGGATGGTCAGGAAGATTTGCTAACAAGAAACGTGATGAATTAATTCAAGAAGTGATAATGGCTTTTCAATCAGGTAAGTAAAAACGACTTTTTACATTGAGTACTAAGGATGAGGAAAACTGAAAATTTTACTATCTAATAAAATTACAGGAAGAAAGTTGAATTCAAATGATTTAGCCAATTTCTTAATGGAAGCAATGGAAACGAGATTTTCTACTATAGTAGAGGACGACAGTGATTTGGAAGTGGCTGAACTAATTTGTGAAATGTATAATCAATGTTCAAAGGGAGATTACTCTTTAGTCGAAAAGGTAAGCATTTATGGCGAGCTTTAAGTGGAGCTCTTGATACATTTGATCATTTTAATTCAATTTATTCTTTAGATAATGAATATTCAAAAAGCACCGCTGGAGAATTGCAAGATGCAATCATACATTGTAGATGATAATGGAATGAATTTAAGTGATATAGATACAGATGAGAGTGGAGAGGAAATTTGAAGTTGGTTATAATTAAGATTGATAGGTATTTTACAGGTTAAAATTTAAAGAAAATGTCTTTTTTCCCTTAAATTGAAATATTTCAATTTTAATTCTGTGTGTTCACACGGCGTCTAAACATAATTAATTAGAAAAAAGTTGAATTTACTGAAAACTCAATTAAAAAGGGGAAATTTCTAATGCCAAAATCAGAGTTTGTAGTCAACTGGAATTCTCTATTAAATAGTGAAGATAGTAATGACGAGAAGGCTAAAAGTGATAGCTCCAATACTGGTGAAGATGGGTCAAGTGGAAGTGAAAGTAAACACTCTAGTGACAATGAGAATAAAGAAGAAAAAAATGTGAATGAAACCCGTCAAAAGAATACAAATAATGAACTAAATGACAAAGTAGAAGCAGTAAACAAACGTGAAATCAAAATAGTAAATGTAACTTTATTGGAGGTATTTTCAAAGCTGAACCTTAAAGCAAAAAGGAATCTATTTGACTTTGTGGAGGACAGATATTTATTAGAATTAAGGGTTGCTTGTAAGTTATTAAATCGATATTGTGATGGCTATATTAGATATTCTTTAAAGAATTGTTATTTCTTTAACGTTTCACTAACTAGAATGACAATGGATTTCTGGTTTGCAGCAATGAGATTCTTCTTTTTAGAGGCTGCAAGAAACTTACCCCTAAATAGAGTAAAATACGGCCCAATAGTAGCAGCTTTAAAACATAACCACAAAATATTACCAGTTTCTGTAGATCAGATGAAGTCTCATGTTGTGGTGACCTTAGATAAACTTTTACCTGAGCATATAGTTTTCTGTGATCATCTACATCCCCAACCACACACCTGCGATACTAGGCTGGAAATAAAGGGACAATCAAAGGTTTTTTTTGATGAAATCGATATTATCAAGTTTGTGAAACATTACTACATGCACCTGGAAGTCATGGATGATGAATTAATTAGAGGGAGTAGACAGTTAACGAAGTACCGTATTGCAATGTATTTCTATGAATTTCTTAAGTCAATAAAGATGCTTACTGAAAAAGGAAATGGTGTTTTCAAACTTTCCAGAATTGAGTATCTCGTAAATACAGGCACTATTTTAAGACATAGAATTTGGCACCAACTCTACGCATCTTGGGGTAGCTCCATTAACATTAAGAAGCCAAATGAAGGTAGCTCAAAGAACGAAGATAATAATTCAAGCAATAAATCTTCAGAAAATCATGCTTCTTTTTCTGAAAGTAAACCAAAAAGGCTTTCTGATGGTCCTAGTAGAATTACGAAAACATCCGCCAATAAACCTACAACCTCAAATACTCAAAACCAAAATGGATCAAACAACCCAGATGATCTTGTCATTGAAGTTTTCCTAACAATTGCTGACCATTTCCAGTGGGATAGCTAACCCAAATAATTCTAAAATTTTAAAATTTTTTTTTATAATTTTATTTTTTTCCGTACAATTTGTTTTTCTTCCACGTAATTTACCCAAATTTCTATACCGGTGTAATTTTGTTTATTGTTAATATACATGCAAATTAATTAATTTTTTTTTTACGTGTTAACTGCATGCATGCAGTTTTTTTTAATGTGGACAATCAGATTATTTAGGTAAGGGCATTTGGTTCAAGTATTAAAATTTCAAAAAATGTGGAAGAAAATTAAATTAATGAAGAAGATAAGTTAATTAATTTAAAGATTTGGAATTTTTGGACAAAATAATGATAATTGTGGGAAAATTAATGTAATGATAAATATGAGCGGAAAACTAGCTATTTTATGGTACCGACATGGGGGGGTTTAGCAGTTATGGCGATGATAATGAGTTAAGAAAAAGAAAACAATAATTTCAATAAAAGTTTATGATAATAAAAACTATATTTTTATTATTTTTATAGCAATAAGTGGAAGCCTAATAAGGAAAGAGATTAATAAGGCTTTGTTAAAAGTTACCAAAATTAATGAAATGACCAGATACTAAATTGAATTTAAAACACTTAATAAATAGCAGACTGATCGAATAATTCAGAAATCAAATAATTAATTAATTATTTAAAAATAGGAATTAATTAAGAATTAATTGATTATCACAATTTGGGTTTGGAAAAGTTCTAGTATGGGTAAGAAAAGTGGTCATGAATAGTGTGGAAATTTAATATCTAGAAATTGATTATACTTAAAGATGAAGAATTTTCCATATTTGATTGTTTTATTGGTTTTTGAGACATTGGTATGCATAAAAGCCGAAACAATATTTCCGATTGGATGCCCATTAAACGGTGTTTCAGGCTCATTTGTAAATGTAATTAAAAAAGATAACTGTGAGTGTGAGAAGGAAGTTGCTGATACTGAGGATTGTTTGGATTTATTAGATGAATTTCACGAAAGTATCAGATTACAGGATCTGGAGGCAATCACTATCATGCTTAATAAATTATGTGTTAACAACTTAAATACAGTATCTAATTCAACAGGAGAAACTGCTTTGCTAATTTCATCTAAGCAAAATGGGTATATCTCTTATACGATCTCACTGTATTTGATTGAACATGGGGCAGATGTTAACATGGTAGGCATGAATGGAGTCAGTCCATTAATTAATGCCGTAAAAAGAAGCAACTTACCACTAGTAGCACTACTATTACTTAATGGAGCCAATATAGATTACTCAGACAACCGGGACTTATCTCCACTATTCCATAGTGTTATTTCAAGAAATTTGAAAATGACTCACTTTTTGTTGCTTTGTGGATCTAACCCAAATATCCCCGACAGAAATGGTTTGACCCCATTTTATTTCTTGCTTAAAGATGGAATGTCAACAAATACCGAAGAATTCTTAGAGCTTCTTTTAGACTATAGAGCATCCATAACTGATTTAACTCTTGACGGTAAGGATGCAATTTCATTTATGATTGAATCTGGAGACAAACAATTAATGAATAAGTTGATTAATCATTCTTCATTTTCCAAGTACATTCTAAAGAATAATATTGAAGAAGAATATATTTCTGGTAATGGAAAGTTACCTGCTAATTCAACTCTTACGGAAATTAACCGAAAATTGGCGAATGCAAGGGACAAAATCCTTCGTATTATTACTGCGATTAAAAGAGGTTTTGACAGAAAGGTTATCTTTTCTCTGTTACTTCCTGAGCTTAAAACACGTAACAAGGATATATGTATTGTTAGGGACAATGAAGGTCGAAATTTGCTGTGGTGGATGACTAATATAGGGGATGAGGAGCTCATCAAACTTTTGGTAAATTTCTACAAGATCCAAACTAGTAGTGGGATTTTAGATTTCGAGCTTTGTGAGCTCCATGAACCTGATATATATGGAAATCTTCCTATTGGTCATCTTATCTATAACATTGATTATGAACAAGAGAAGATTATAAAAGACAGTAAAGAAATGAAAAAAGAACAGTCATTTTTTTCTAAGCAACCAACAATAAACACTAGAAGGCCATTTAAAGTTTCTGACAGCTTAGAACAGATTAATGATTTCAAGCTTCTCAGTAGCAATGAAAATAAGTTAGCGAAATTTCAAATCTTAGAGGAAATGCTTATGTTTCAGAATCCCAAAACCAATACAACTCTTTGGTACGAACTTGTAATGAGCTCGAGCAATGATATTACTGGTGAACAAAAAATTATCGAGTACCTCTCATCTCCAGCTATAGATTTTTACGTCAACTCATTTATTGTGAGATGTTTTTGCAAACCTTTGAAAAGATATTCAATTCCTACACCAAGATCGATACCTATTATTGGTACCCTAGAATACGATAATTCAATTTCAATATTGTCATTATTACTACTATTAAATAAGAATTATACATCAAAGGTTGTATTACAGTCTGTGTTAAGAGAGGCAATGCTACAAAGCTTTTGGTGCATTCATGCATTGCAACATGCTCTTATTACCGCAACCATTTTGGGAAAGGATGATATTATTCGGGATATACTTTTGGGAAGAGTTCAAACACTATCTGAAGTACTTTCTAGTTTTGACTATTCTTCAGAAATGAGTATTAAAGTTGCTTCTAGATTATTAGGTTCATTACCTCCAGAATTCCCAAATTTGGATGATTTAATGGCAATTCCTGTTACTTTTTTGGTCAGATTTATTATTCTTTCAAATGGTATTGAAGGAGCAAATAAAGGCATTAAGTCCAATTTAGAGGTAGACTTAGATGAGAATGAGCTAGATAATTTGGACAAAATGAATAATATTGAACATAATAAGATTTTTCAGTACATTATTGAAAAAGATACAAATAATAATGATCAAGAAAGAGATCAAAACCTATCAGAAAAGCAAGAAAATACCACTTTCATAAATCAAATGAACTATAAAGGTTCTATGGAAAATTATTACATAAATCCAGAAATTCGACATGACTTTTTTTTGCAGTATCAGTTTGACTTTACTGAAAGTAATAAGGCTATTGAAAAACAAGAGAAATTGGATGAGCAAAGAGAATTCGAGGAACAAATGAAGTATGTGAGAAGTGAAATTAGAAGAGGATATTTTGAAGAGGATGATCAAATATTTCAAAATGATACAAGTAGTGATTATGAATCGATTTTTAGTAATTTTGATGCCATTTTTTCTCAAAAAACTAAGTTGTTTAATAATTATACTGAAAAAAATGACGATATAATCAATCCGTCAAGTAGTAAAGCTGGAACTCGAAAAACTGATTCCATAGCAGGAGCTTTAAATCTGCTCAAACAGCTTTTGTCTCCAGAAATGACAAAATTTGTACGCTCCAGCACTTTTGAGTATATTATTAAACTACTGCAAAACTCTACTTGTAACTATCCAAGAAATAGTGAAGCTGAACTTTTATTGGAAGAAAATGAAGGTTTGTCAGAAATGAAGGCTTTTACAAAATTTAAAAAAAGATTAGAAAACCTAAATTATCAGGATATGAACATAAATACTCAAAGTAACCACTTAAATGAGAAGATACAAGGAATTCTTGATGATTTTGATTACTTTGGCCAAGATGATATGGAAGCCACTTCTTCGCATGATAATGGGATTGATTCATTGTATAAAAGTATGGATAAAAAGATGGTTCGTAGAAAATATTTAGGTAATTGCTTGGTAGAACTACCAAGCATTTGTAATCTTGTGCTAACAAAGGAGATATTATGGGTACCGATGATCTTAGGTCAAAATCAAGAATACGATTTAGACCCATCCACTACATTGTTGATAGATTCCCAATGTATGGATGATAAAAATGACTGTTTTATACCAAGTTTAAACAGTGAATACCAAAATGTACATCTTGGATATATTCCTAAAATACCACATAAGGCTAATATTACTGATTTGGGTTCTTTGATAAGTAGAAATGAGTTTTATGGTATGATAAAAAAGCATTCAATCTGTGATAAATCGAGCTCTTATACTACTTTTGAAGAATTGTTGGCTAAGAAAGCAACAATTATTACTTTATTGAATACAAGCCCTCATAATCATATTATCCCATCAGCTATTTGGGTTTATTCCGCGATTTTATTGACATCCTTAATATATATATTACTTTGGGCAACTGTTTCTTATTTCAAAGTATTATATATAGAAAACATGATCAATGGATGGAGCAAAGAAAAAATCAGGAAAAGATTGGATTCAATGAAAAGATCAAAGAGGATGAAAAAAAAGCAAAAGAAGAGAGAAAACAAAAGAAAACCATTTGAAAAAAGTAATGAAAACAAAAATTTTGCCATTGAATCAAAATCAAAAATCCAAATATTCACAAAGAACATGCTAAGGTATATAAGGAAGGGATTATTGAATACATTACCATATTCAGTTTTCAGATTGAGAGATTTTGCTGAGATTTTCCCATTATCTGGGTCTGGGAAAGTTCTAGATTCAGTATTATTAGCTTTATCTCTTATTTTTACATCACCTTGGTATGTTTATAAAGATCATTCTTCAAAAGAAAATTTGAAGGATAAAAGATCTCTAAATACCATAAGAACTACAAGGAGCAATTTTTTGAATGCTCCAATTAACTATTTCAGACAAATCAGCTCTCAAGAAAGTACAAATGTTCAGTTTTTCATCAAATATTTATTCTTTATGCTGCAAATTATTTCCCTAATTTACTTATTCGGAATACTTTTTCTAATAAGTGAGTACGATTATATATTCTTCTTAACAGGATTAATCATTACAGCCACACTCTGTTCAAGTGTAAGAATATACTACACACATAATTTCGTCTCCAGTTACTGTAACAAATATTTTTGTGGATTCTCAAAAGAATATTACTTATATAATTATTACTATTACAAAAAATCTGTGGAAAATAGGAAAAACATCAGAAATATATATTCAAACCTTTTAAAAAGTGCAATAAACTCAAACAACCTAATTCATAGTAACCAAATCGGGCAAAACAATAATGACAATGATTTTGAATATGACAATACCATCAATAAACATTCCAATAATGAAGTTGGTATTAACAGTGAAGTACTAATTTACAATAACCAAATAAAAATTTCTTCAAATATAATTTCACCAAAAAAATATTCAAGTCCAAAATCTCATACAAAAAACAACAAACTTTATATGGACATAATACCGGAGTTGCATGCACAAGAGCATCAGAGTTCTGGCGGGAATTTAAAACCACATCTTAATAAGGGTTTATCGAAATCAAGTTATACAGCTCTTAATTACTACAACAGTTTAGGAGGGGTTAATCATATTCACAACAATAATGATGCAAATAATTCTTCAGTTATTTCTCAACTAGATTCTTCAACATCTAATATTTCGTCACCAAATACTACATGGCTTAACATGTTGGGGATCTCATCCTCAAACGTGACAAATATTGATTCAATAACATATTCTCCTTTAAATTCATCTTCATCAAATTCATTGATAAATTTCAAAAATAGCTTAGCTTATGATGAAAACATAATCTCAGATTTTTTTTTTGAGGATTCAAAATCTACTGATTCAATTTCAGAAATATTTAAGGAAGAAGATTATATACATTTTGGTAGAAGAAAAAGATCAAATCAAGATTACTCAAAGGTAAAAAAAGTTAAAGAGATGAAAAAGAGTTCAATTAAAAATAAAAAATATATGAACTTGCGTAATATATTATCAATTCATTCAGGTGTTTTAACTGATGGTAAATCTAACCATAAAAGTTTAAAATCAACCTTGGATCAAAGTTATAGATCTCCTTCTATATTTAAAACGGATAAGATTGATGTTAATACTGATTTGAATGGTTCAAAATTTTCATCGGCAGATTTTTCAAAGCCATCCCTTGGAATAACAGATGATAAGTTTTACTCATTTTTGAATGGTCCAGCAATTAGAATCAATCAAAACACCTTAACAAACAAACGTTTTAGATCTGTTTTGTCTAATTACACTAACAGGATCAGATTCTCATGTAAAGTAAATCATAACAAGGAGGACACTATATCTAATGAATCAAACATATATACAAATGGCAAACGTCAAAAAAGAATTCCTGGCATTAGTAATAACTTTAATTATTATAAGAACTATAACCATATCAAGAAACCTATTAAATTGAAAAAATTTAAGAGTATTATTTCAAGTACAGATGATCATTTAAGTTGTGATAATATTAAGACTAATATTGGAAATTTTGTAACTAATAATCAGATTCATAAACCATTATACCGTTTAGTGGATGAAGTCAGTTATAACACTCCACATGAATACTTTAATGTTGTAATTATTTGCAAGTTAATAAGCTGTATGGTAGCTATGTCATCAAATATATCAGTAACACTTTTTAAGAGCAACTCATATCTAATAAGAGATTCAACTTTGTATTTTCTTCACAACAGATCTCCAATGACTGTTTACATTATTGAATGTATCTTTACATATTGGATTTCAAACTTAATTTTTGAGATTTTAAAAGGATTAATTATTCTTTTATTTTTTGTGAAACAGAGAAAAAGACTTTGTGGTGTTTTGGTTCAACACATTCCAACTCAGTTTAAGTACTCAAATGTTCAAGAATTTATTCAAATTGTTAGTTATTGGAGAAGTGCAATTCAACACATCTTATATAAGAATACAAAACTTTGGACAACTTTCTTGAATTTTACTGTATCTATTAATACTTTAATTTTTTTTGGCATCGGAAAAATTATGTTCTTTTTAATATATAACAAAAAGAATAAAATCTTAAATACTCAGGTTTTAGATCTTTCATCTTCCATTATAATGGCTAAAAAAAACTCAGGTTTAAACCAAAATCAAAATACATTATGGTCTTTTGATTCAATAAGCAACTTTGCTTATTCTTTTGACCAGGATGTCTCAAAATTATTATTCACATCTTCAGCTCCCATAAGAAAAGAAGGAATCAGTACTAATTTGTTAAATGAACTAGATTCAGGACTAACAGAAGATCATTATATGCATAAATTCTACAAAAGTAGGCCTGTTTCAGCAAATAATCATCAATTTATGGATTCTATTTCAAATATTGATAATATTTTAAATTCTAATATTAAAGATACCTATATAATAAACCAATATGATGATTTATCAATGATTGATTTTAACAGTCATTATTATACTAATGGCATGGAAGGTACCAGTAATTTGATTGATAATATAAATTTTATTAGACCAATACATTCTACTATAAACAATCCAGTTATTTCATCTTCATTATTAACATACTCAAATGCAGCAAGCATTTCAAGTATTAAAACTACAGCGCTTTCTTTTATGTTAAATATTCCTCAATATGCAGCTTCATATTTGTCATATCAAGGATCAATTTCTTCATCTTCAGAAAATAATATGGTGAATACTTATTCAAACTGTGAAACAATTTTTTTAACAATGGGAGTAGTTATGTTTATCTTTTCTTCATACGTAATAAGATTGCTGTATCAAATAAACAGATCATCTGTGAGAACTCACTCTTGGCTACAAAATATTCTACATAGAACTCCACCTGGAGCTGGAATTTATATTGTAATAGAGAAAGTTTTACTTGTAATTAACTCAACACCTCCTGTTCTTAAAATATGCGGATTTGATATAACAGAAAAGTTATCCGGGTTCTTTCTTTATATTTTTACTCCAATTGCAATATTAACTTTTTCTAGGTTTACAACCACTTGAAAATACCGAAAATTTTCTTGAATTCAAAACCTATGAAATTTTTGTCTGCATGCATGCATGCATGCATGCATGCGTATTGCATCCCACTAGGTACCGGAACAAAAGAAAAAAAAATAATTAAGAAATTTAAACTTTAATTTGAATATTTTTTTTTTTTTTATAAAAATGATTAGAAAAATAGAAATAATAACAGTTAAATAAGAAAATTAAGAAAAAAAATGAATTAAGAAAGCAAATTTATAGCTCATCCTTTACATTAGAGTGCGCACTAATGCTTTGTTGAGCTTCGTAATTATGATCTTGAGAACTAGCTTCAGATACTTGTTCAACTCTATCATTTATAAATGTGGTAACTGCTTCAAGGGTTAAATCGTCGGTATACAAGCTCATTTTAGAGACTTTATTTTCTCCAAATGGGAAGTAGTAAATAGCAGGAATTTCTTCAATTTTCATGTCTATTGGATTATCATTAAGCTCTAAATCAAAGGCGGAGACGAATACGCGGAATTTAGATTCCTTGGTTTGATTTGAAGCTATTTTTGAAGAGAATGAGTTCCAGAACGGTAAAAGTTCGTTGCACTTAGAACACATTTCAGTATAGAAAAAGACAATAAGAGCGTTATTGCGATCTTGAATTAGTTCGATAAAAGATGAAGGGTTTAGTTCCAGGTAATTGAATGGAGTTGTGAAATATTGGTCAACACTGGCGGAAACTTTATTATGTTTCATAATTCTTTTACTTTTGTAGAAAATAGGTATATTTCCATTTTTAGCCAGGGAAATTAAATATTCAAATCCATGTTTCTTAATTTCCTTTTCGGTTAAAAGATACTTGTTGGAATTTCCAGAATTTTCTAGTTGAAATTTGGATTTTCTAAGCTTTAGGAGGAAGGTTCCATTTTCTACATGAACATTTCTATAAAAACCTGTAAAATTTTCCACCTCTTGCTCTAGACCGGGCAATACAAGACCAACCATTAAATCTTTATCTGGATCTTCTGGGAAAAAGTTTGCCTTTGCTAAAGCTCTCAAAGACTCCATTGATTCATGATCCAAATATTTGATATTGCTTGATCCATATTGGTCTAGAGTGTCGCTTCCTTTAAGGAAAGTTATTAAAGAATTAGAACTCTCATGTATATACATAAGTTCATTACCTTTAAACGAGACATATGGTCTTATACAAGACTCAACAAAAACGGATAAAATCTTTTCATTCCACTCTAATAATCCAAGAATCCTCTTTTTTGCCACGTAAAGCTCTTTTGGATTAATTTCCATAGAATTTTGCTTTTCCATCTCAGGTAACCTGTAAATATGTAATCCAATGTCAGCTTTGTATTTAACATAAACAATAAAGGCTTTAATGGGAACACCATTTTCTCTTAATACTTTGAGTGTATTTTTCACAACTTCTGTTCTCTTTGTATTTGGTTTGCCATAGTAAACAAGGACAGGAAGATTAGAAGCATAAATCTTATCTTCTAAGTTAAATTCTTTCATGGCCTTCTCCAGTGATTCACTATTTCTGGAATCATGTTCAATGAACAGAACATTCTCTTTTGAAAGAACAATTGAAATCATGGAATCTTTCTCCAACCCTGATAGATGACTTGGATAGTGCTCATATTTATCTGTACTACCATAAAAGAAGACTAGTTTTGGAGGACTGCGAATATAGATTTCTTGAGCTATTGAAGATTCTAGAAAATTCGCCAAAGCAATCTTTCCAGTTCCATTTGCTTTTATTATATTTGAGGCAACATCTCCCAGGCCTTGGATAATACGTTTTGAAGTGTTAGAAGAATCATAAAATAACACCAATACAAGATTATTTTCATTGATGAATTCTTTAAAGTTTTCATTATTTAGCTCTGTAACATTTTCAGGGATTTCAATCTTTTCCTCAGTTAAAACTTGGCTAATTAATGTTATCAAGATGGCAATCAATGGAGCCAGCCTTCTCAGAAAAAGATTCATTCTTTAACTTTTATCTGCAGTTAATTTCTTACCTTTTTTTTAATCAAAAATTTTATAATAGGAAAATATATAAAATATCCTTTATTATTTGTGTATATTATATTAATATATAAAATATCTTCAATCTATTATTTTTCCTGTCCTACATCCATATCTTATATCTATATTCCAATTTAATCACTACGACAGAATATCACTATTTAATTGCTAATAAAATTTAACACGTATTTAATAACATGCAAATCCAACGTTTTGTGGGGCCGCGCCTTAGAACCGGTATTTAATTGTATCAATTACGTGGAATGCAAGTAATTGCATGCAAATTGCACAAATTTGCAAGTTCATGTGGACAACATAGAAATCAGAATGATTAAATAAGAAAAGTGCATAACATTTTAAAAATATTTGACAGATTTTAATAAAAAATAGGGCATACAATTTTTTTTTATGATTAAAAAAAGGATTTTGAACTTAATCTATTAGAAAGTAAAACTGATAGAAGGGTTTTAAAGACTTAATTATGAATTCCTATGTTTATTACGATTGACTATTGGTTTTTCCACTGATTTAAATGAATTTTGCCGATACCATGGAATGGCGCCAGGATGTGTGCATAAGGTGTGCTATTCACACATTTTAAATAAATAAAAGGAAAGAAATAATATAAAAAATGACAGGAACTATTGGATTGTGTGACAGAGTAAGGTATTCAAGGTGCATGGAATGAAAACAGTGTGAAAATTACTATAATGAATAAATGGTTAAAATTGGATGAAAATAATAAGAAAAGTACGTTTTATTAGGTAATATAAAGTATATATTGGAATAAGAGTATAATAGCAATTTAAGTTAAATAAAAATATAAAATATATACAATATATATAAAATATATATATATATATATATTTATATATATATATTATATGTATAATATACAATAAATGTTATATATTTGTATAATTTATGTTACATAAAAGCCATAAATATTCACAGCTACAATTAATCAGGAAACAAATCTTTTTTAATGCACTTTAAAGCAAACTGGTTTTAAAGTTTTTAATATATTTAATTGTAAAGTGGACGGTTGAGTGAATTGAAGGTTTAATATAATATTTTAATAAGGCAACAAGGAGGGGAAGTTTCTGTAACAGGAGATTTCGACTTCAATTAAGCTTAGAAATTAAATATATAGCATTTTGGTTCAAATAATATCAAATCAGAAAGGAATTCTGAAAATTAAGTTTCAGAATTAATATTTCTGGAAGAAATAAAATATATAAATAAGGATGAGATTACAATACGTCATATTATTTTTGAGTATTGTGCTTATAAAGTTGGCACAAAATGGGAGATTTGCGACAGATGTTGTAAACCAGTCAAGTTCAGAATCTTCTTATGAAGAAAATGAAGGTAGCAGACCCGAAGATTCAAGTTCAAGCTCATATTTAGGTAAATCTGATAAGAATAACTCTAAAAACGAACACTCTGTTCAAAGTACGTATGCTGATGAGGATGAAGAAGGCTCCGGTGAATTAAGTTCCGAAGGAGACGCTTCTGAAAGTGAGACAAAAGGAGATCAAAAATCATTTGAAAATAAAGGCGAGGAGATTCCAATAAATCAAAGCGAAGGTCAAGATACCAACATAGAACAGAGTTCAAATCAGAGTAATAAGCTTCCAGACGAAGAAAGTGGAGCAGCATCTTTATCGGGAGATTTTGTTTTAAGTGATAACCAGAAAAAGTCAGAGATTTCACCAGAGCAATCAATAGTTCCAGCTTTATCAGACCAAAATCAAGACGAAGTTTCAAAAGATGATGACGATATAGTTAAGGATGTAATGCCGTCTGTAGATCCAGATGTACAAAAGGCCTCAGACTCTATAAAGGATGGTATTTCAGGAGATGCTATTGGCCACGTTGTACCAACAACTCTCGATGTATTGTTAGGAGTAGTACAACCAACAAGGTCTTTTAGCAGTGAGCCACAAACTAGGCCATTGCAAACACAATTTGGGAGAAAAAGAAGCTCGGATGACGGCCAAGAATCCAAATCATCAAAATACTTGCCAACTCCAACATGTTCTGATGTCATAGAAAAGTTTGAGTGGAATAAGGATTTAATTGGAACATCATCTCAAGCAGCTTTTAAGATCATTTTTGGTGAAATTACAACTCTAAAGTCCATGACAAATATTCAAGCTGAAAAGACTATTACTGCGGCTTTCGATGTTCTTAAAGATCCCGCTGCAGAAGGAATTAATCCTCAGGAGGCTTTAGCATTGTATGTTTGTGAAGCCGATAAGGATCATGGAAGATCAGTTTACCAAAAGCTGATAGAGTATGGATATCTTTCATCTTTACTTCACCCAATTGCTCATAAAATGTGGGGATGTGTTAAGTATGGCCATTATTACGATTCTGCTGGTAACAATCCTCTGCATCTTGCAGCAAAATCTAATAGTTTGCAGGTTGTTGACTTTGTTTTGAGATTAATAAAAGATCCTATCGAAATTAAAATGGCTTTAGAAGAGAGAAACGACTCTAACCAGACTCCTTTGGATGTTGCAGTTGACGAGAGACGTCCCAGTATTATTAGAAGACTGAAAAATACTTACAGAACTATGTCAAACTTTGTTAAGAAACTTGATCCAGAGGCTGTCATGGAGGAAAAAAGAAAACAGAGAATTATGACCGAATCTGCTGCATTGTTCTGCAAGCCTGTTTTAAAAATGAGCTCTTCTGATTATGATGCGGTTCAAACAGCTCTTGAGAAGGGAAGGGAAGTTAGCCATATTATTGATAGTTATTCTAAAGAAGAATTATCTAAAGCGTCTGTACAGAAAAATCTCCGTGCTAAAAGAAAGGACTATAATGATAAGAAGGAAGAAATGTTGCATGCACGTAAAAATCAGAAAATACAGCCTCACAATCCAGTGGAACTTTCTGAAAGTATTCTCGATGACGAAGTTATTAAGTATGAACATGTTGATCATAGTCACCACCATCAAGAACTCCAAGATATACAAGGAGAAATGGTAGATGATGGAACTGAAAATTCTGTAGAAAATGACTTTGAGAAAAAAATTCCCCATGAAGAACAAAGTGAAATTGAAAATAACAAAATCCTTAACTCCGAAAAAAGTGAAGAGGAACAAAACACAAAACCAAAAAGCTTTCTTGAAAAAGTTCTATTTTGGTCAATTATCATCTTTTGTGTCGTATTTACCGTAGTTCTTTTGCTCATTTGGTTTGCAACTAAAGTTTAAGTTAGAAAATGTAAATAACAGTTCTTGGAATGTTTTATTCAATCAAAGCAAAAAAAATGACTTAAAAGAATTTATGTTAATTCACAAAATTATTTAAATCTTATTTGTTATTTAAATTTAATTTAAACTTTTATTATTAACATTATAGCCATGAGATTCTACTAAATTTATTTTTATCCAGTATTCTTTTTTTTTATGTATTATTTTTTTTTTTTAATATTTAATTCGGTACCTGATCACGAAAATGCATCTTCCCGCCTTTCCCTAATCAGATTAAAAAATTTTGTGTGTGTGCAACTTTAAAAAATAACAATTTAAAAATAATGGAGAAAAATTTTTGATTATGTGTGTTTTATTTTTCAGGTAAAGATAAAACAACTTTAATTTGAAAAAGAAGTTTGACTTTAATGTATATATGAGAATCCAAAAAATCTAAATTGAGATATTACTAGAATTGGTAGATTAGAAGGAAAAAAATAAGCAGAGATGTGGAGAAAAAAATGCATCTTTTCTTATATACCTTATAATTATTATCTATTCTGGTTTATTTTATTCCAAGTTTTATTTCTAAGACAAATTCAAAGTTTTCCAGAAGATAGAAAGGGAGAGGTTTTCAGTGAAATTAATACGAGTTTGAGAAGTTCTTGTAAGTTTTAATATTTAAAAATATATTTCATGTTTATCTCTTTCTTTAGGTTACGATATAGCCAACTACCTTAGCCAGACTATGCAAGAAACTCCACCTTCAGTCGTTGGATATTTTGAGCTAATAGATTGTCTTGAGAATCCAAAACATGAAAATGACCTTGAAGACAAGGCAAGGTCTGCAATAGAAAACATGGACAATATAATGCAGGAAATCCCAACCCAATTTATTGGTACACTATTTTATACATGTACTGTCAAAGTAAGTTAACTATGAAAAAAAAATCTCAGATTTATTTATTTTATTTGAATTTGAATTTAGAAAATTGATACATTATTGACTGCAATCATCAGAAATGGGTTTTTCTATGCAACCAAAGAGCTTATTAATAGGAAGATTTACGGAATACAACACCTTCTCCATGCAAGAGATTCTTCCAAAGAAAATGTTATCCACTTATCAGTTAGAGCTGAATCTGTAAATTTGATCGACTTACTCTGGAAGCATTTAAGCAACCAAATAAGATTTCTTCTAGATGAAAAGAACTACAATGGTGAAAGACCAGTAGACCTTTCAGAAGAAATTAGATGTGCCACATGTACTACCAGACTTAAAGAAATATATAGAATAACTTCTCAGGCCCATTTATCGGTAAGTTGATACAAATTGAATTATCTTTAGCCAATTATTAACTATAATTTACAGGAATTACCACCACCTCCTCCAGTCCCCCATATTCCAGAACTGGAAATATTGCAAAGTGTTGAAACAAATGATGATGAAATTGATGAAAATAACGAACACAAAATAAAGTCTAAGACCAAAAAAAAGAACATCCGAAAAGTCAAGAATAAAGAAAATGACCAGTATGATCACTCCCAAAACTTTTCTCCATTAGGAAGTGAGGAAGATTATTCAAAGCTTCACAATGCGGGATATATTGACTTTAATGCAATGGTTTCAGCAGAACAGAAAAATAACATCTTCGATAGTAAGATGATTTTAGCTATAACATGCGCCATTGCACTTTTGATTTTTATTATATCTTGTGTCTGTCTTTTAAAAAAGTAATGAATATATTCTTTCAAAAAGTTATCACAAAGAATTGTTTTTCAAGAAAAAAAAGTAAACCATTCTGTTAATTATAGGTACCATGCATAATTTTGCCGAAGTGGCGCCTTTTGGCGGCAACTTGGATCTTGAAATCAATTATTTTTGGCTGAGAAAGAAAGTAAATAGGAAGTAATATAATGGTCATTTGGAATTATCAATGCTCAGTTCCTCAATTGGATGAGAAATAAACATATAGATTCAGTTTCTATTTGACAGATGAACTCATTTTTAAGCTGAGATTCTTGAATCTGTTATTATTTAGTATTATATATTAATTTTTAATAAATTTATTCTTCTTGTATGTTTGTGAGTTAGGCGCCATAGTTTGTAATTGAAATATAATGGCTTAGCCAGAAAAATTAATGTAAAAAACAAATCCTTGCTTTAAATTTAGTTTCTTCAATATTGCTGGGATAGAAGGATGGAATAGTAATAAGTGAATAAGATAAGAGCTGAAAAAGTCATTATTGAAATATTTTTTGTATTTGGTTAAGTAGTTAGTACGAATAGATCCAATTAATTCGAATTCACATTGTGTTATAATAACTTTAAAGTAGGAATTAAAGAATAATATTTATCTTGAGGTTCCGGAAAGTTTAATAAATTGTGATGCACTTAGTGTGTCATTTGCATGAACTATAAAATAGGATTGGTTGATTGATTGAAGTTTTTAAGTATGTTGAAGGAAGAAATAATGGATTTGATTAATAAGTCATCTTTAACAATATCAACAGAAGGAGTGGTAGCTCCTCCAGGCGAAGTAAAGTCTAACTTAGATATTACAACAAGCCTTGATGAAGTTGCAAATAATGAGAATCTTAATCTTTCAGGGTTAAATAACCAAGTAGTATCATCGCCATTATCTCCAAAAAATTTGCAATTAAGCCTTTCAAATAGGAGTGTGAAACAAAATCACACGAATTTGAAAAGCTCACTTGGTAGAAAAGATGGATCTCTGAGTGCTTTGTTTTCTCAGCAATTAGGAGGTGTAATCAGTAATTTAAATTCAAATAGTAATTCTTCGATTACTACAACCAGTTTGAGTCCAATAGTTGTCACAGAAACAAGTAGTAGCGGGCTTCTCCATTCTCCTGCTCCTTTAATGAGTCATTCATCTCTTCCTCTTTCAACAAAACAGAAGCTTGGACAGATTCAAGGTCAGTTGCTTGGGCTGGAGAAACAATTAAGAAATGACACTCGGCAAAAAAGGGAGTACGAGGAGAGCAGGCTTCAAGTACTCAAGGAGAATACAATGAAATTAAAAAAAGCCATAGAAACAGAGAACCAACAAAGGAATGAGGCCCAATCTAATATGAAAAGAAATTTTGAAGAACAAATGTCATCAATTCAACAAAGATTGGAAGATGTGTTTTCTGGAAAACTGGATCAACTTTCAATAGCTTGCAAAAGTTTAGATGAAAGGTTGTCTATAATTGAGAAGGAAATGGCTAGTGATAGATCACAGATTATTGAAGAATTTGAACATAAGCACCAAAGTCTTGTAAATGAAATAATGAATGCCAAGTCAATTGCCGAAAGAGAATATAATATAGCAGAAGAAAAAGAGGAGCAAATGAAGCTGTTCTTGAAAGAGCTTGAAAACCATGTAGAGGAGGAAATTAGCAGAGAAGTTAATAATAAGGAGATAGTTTTGAGTTCCATTAATGATAATTTTAACCAACTTAAGGACAAAATTGAAAAGACTCAAGATAAATTCCAAAATTTTGTACTTGAGGAAATTGCTCACATCAAAAATGATATTGCAAAGGAATCTCAGAATAGAGAAGCTGCAGATGATGATATTGTCCAGGCTTTAAACCAATATACAAAGGCTCTTCAGGACGTATTAAAAATCATTTGTTAGCGAATATAGACTGAATTTATTCATTATTACTATTATTGATATTAATATTATTTTGAAAATTTTTTTTTTCTTAACTACATTCTTACATCCCATAATAAGCATCTTCCATCGTCCCCTGTAGATACCATTCTTAAAACATTGTTTCCTTGAAATCCAAATTCTACAATTTTCATAGATAATATTCCACTTTTATGCCCTTTTAGAATTCTGACATTTTCTCCTGTTCTGTAATCCCATAATCTAATAGTCCCGTCCAAACAACCAGTTGCTATTAAAGTATTGTTTCTATCCCCTCCCCAACTAATACTAGTAATACCAGGTAATACTCCATTGGAATGCTCCAATTCATTGTTCTTCATTGCAAAGTTTTCTCTATTGTACTCGTAATTCCAAATAATTAGTTCTCCATTCATATCACCTGTGGCCAATAAAGGATCTTCCATATTATTGATGAATTCAATACAGTCTAGAGAATTATTGTGTCTTTTATTTAAGCTTAGAATTTTACCAGTCTCAGATTGGATTAAAGAAAATAGACCATTAGTGAGACCAACAGCTAGCAATGGATTTTTTTTATGACTTCTCATTGAAACTATACCCAATTCATCCAAATATGATGAATCTCCGGTATTATTTTCTACAAAGCTATTTCTTGTAATTTTGTGCAAGCTTTCTCCATTTTTTGGATTCCATATGATTACACTTCCATCTAGAGATCCTGTACACGCTATTTTACCTTCATTACTAAAATCACCACATGTAATACTATCCCCGTGGCCTGACAATACAGATAATACTCTTCCATCTGAAACCATCCAGAGCCATCCTGTTCCATCTACTCCACCTCCAAGTATACACGGTCCACGAGGATGCCACCGTATAAATTCCAACTCATCAGATGGACCCTCTAAAATTGAAATTAGCTGACCTTCATTTGAAGCCTCGTTTCCATAAACTCTTACAGTTCCATCACAACCTCCTGTTGCAAAATATTTTCCATCTACTGAATAAGAAACACATGAAACGGTGTCTGTATGGCCTTCAAATAACTTTTCAAAACCTAAGTTAATTTTTTCAACCATAAGGTTATTAGCATCCATAGGATTTACTGGTAGGTTGGATAAATATGCTTTATCGTCGCACCCTCCGTATAATATTCTACCTCTTCTTGTAGGATCTATATCTAGACAACAAATCGGTGAGTCAATTGATAAGATTGTAGCTGACGACTCATCAGATACGTCAAAAAGTGGCATTTCTTCGTCTTCTTCGTCTCTAAAAGTTTTATTTTAATCAAGTTTTACATCATTGAAATGTCAACAATATTATTTTGAACCTACCTGTCAAGGTCATCTCCAGAAACTATTAATACTGGATCATCATCCATACCAACATATTCTTCATCAGAGATATTTGAATCTATTTCCATTTCCATGTTTAATTTTGAAATAAACGAATTTCTGACTTTTTTCTTTTTTTAACACTATTTAAACTTTTCCTCTGCTAAATGTCAAGCTTAAACTTTAATTAATGTGTTGTAGTTTCCCGCCCAGTACAAAATATTAAATTACTTTTCATTTTAAAATAAGGAAAAAAATTATACCTGGTTTATTACGATGTAAATATTATAAATTGATTAATCCCATTTGATTCCTGTTTGAAATATTAAACTATGCCAAAATGATTATTTTTTTAATCTCCCAATCTTTTTTTAAAACTAAATACTATGTTTTATTATATTATTGCACTCTGGAAGTTGTTCTAATTAAATATTTATCCAATTGCCAATAATCTTTTTAATTTGGACTAGTTTATTGAAAATAACAGTTGTAGCTTTATTCTAACTTCTTATCAATTTTTTAGATAATAATGAGCATGTTTTTGTTTTGAATCTTATATTATTTTTGTCTCATTCTCAATAATATATTTTCTAATAATTAAATGCCCCCACTCTTCTCACTTATACTCCTCTGCTACTTACATGCAATTTTTACACACATAAATGCAATTTTGTATACCGGTATGACAACTTCCACATGCAAAAATTTTAAAAATGGTTTTGCATGTCATCAATGATTTAGTACCGGCGTTTGTGTGAACAAATCACATGTGGATAAAACATTTCAATGATAAAGACAATATCAATAATTAAATACAAGGAAAAAAATCAAAATTAGTGAATAATTTTAAAGAATAATTTAAGGTAAAAAATGAGGATTTTTTTTAGTTTACTTGCTAACAAAACAAGTTAAGAGGTGTGTAAAATTGCAAATAAAAAAAAGGCCCGATGAAATAAATGAGCATTCATTTGTTTGGATTAAATTTGGATTAATGAATATGAAGACCACAGTTGAAAAATCCTGGATATTGTCGGATTCTATAATCTTTGAAACTTTTCGCCACCTGTAGTTATGGAGGTCAAGTTAAATTCGAATTTTAAACTAGTATAATGAAATATGGAAATGCAACTTACTTTGTGGAATTCAGAATAAATTTTGAAGCGGATGCATTGTTTAAAAACAAATATTCGTCATCTAATATTTTAGTGTATCTTCCCGTAATAATAGTCGAGGAATTTGAAGTTGAAGTACTTTCAGGCGTAAAAAATATAATCTGAAGATTATTCAAATTGGCTAAAGTTTGCTCAGCCTGACCATTTTGGTAAAACAATGAAAGAAACAAATATAGCTCTTGGATATTCATGAATTTCATAGATGAAAGTGGTGTGTAAATATTTGGAAATAAAATCTCATTCTCATCTTGAGTATTATTCTTATTTAATTGGTAATTTCTCAGCTTTATTTGTTCACGACGAAGCTTGTTAATGTTATAAAGTAAAAGGTTCTCAAGTTCTGATCTAGATTGCGCAAAATTTGTCATTTTATCTTGCAGCAAAGATCTTTCAGAGTTTTTATTTCTTTTCCTAAATGGTGAATATGAGTCTCCAATATGTTCAGAATGGTTTCCATCTATAGAATCTAGCTCTGGACTTTTACTTAACCTATTTATTGAGATCTTATTGCGAATTTTATCAGCAATATCACCAATTTGAACCTCATTTTCACTTTCAAATGGCTTTTTATTACCATTAATAAACCGAAATCTATTCAAGGCTGAAACTTTGCTAATTTGAACTCTTAAAGAGTCGATCAATGACGAGGATTGTTTATCTCCACTTTCCTTGTTTTCCCCATGGTTTTCCTTTCTACTTTGATATTTCATATTTAATCAAGTTCAAATTATTAAAAAAACTCTTAAAGCATACTTTCACCCCAAGTATTCTACAAAAAAGAGCTGCATTTTACATCAAATTATCCTGGAAAATTAAAACAACAATATTCTCATAATCTAAGCATGTTAATCTATTTTCAATATTCAGAGAACAGTACATTTATTTATTACGTGGGGTTTGTTTTGGCGCGCCCAATATGCATCTTAAGCCAATAAAATTCACTGAGAATAAATATGGGTATATAAATAATAGAGGCAAAAAAAAAGAGAAAAATAGAAATTAATATTAACAACAATTTTTTTGAAAATTAAAAATTTTATACACATCAAAATTATTTCTTCAAGTTAAACAGATCTGGAGGCAATCAGAAAAATAAAAACGTGTGAGTGATTCAATCTTCAATTCAAATAGCAGCCCCCCTTTTTATGAAAACTTAAACCAGGGATTGAGCAGTAATAATGGAAGCAAGCATTAAGAAAGATTTCGAGAAGGCCAAGTCTCTTACTGAGAGTGATTTCAAATCATCCATTTCAATACTAATCGAGTTGATTAATAAGGACAACTTAAGTGAAATAGAAGATGGGGCCAAGATTCAAGAACAGGCAATATATATGTTAGGAGAGATATATATGAAAAAAGGTATGGCAAAGGAATTAAAAGAATTTATCGAGGCTATTAGGCCAATAATAGGTGGCCTACCAAAAGCTAGGGTTGCAAAAATTATTCGAAATTTAATGGACATGATGTCTAAAATTCCAGATACTGAGATGTTACAGGAACAGCTATGCTTAGATTGTATTGAGTGGTGTTTAGAAGAAAAGCGTACATTTTTGAGACATAGAATTACTGCTCGTCTGGCAATGGTATACTTGAATTCCAATCAATTTGTTAAAGGCTTGGACTATATTGAAAAATTGATTAAAGAAATTAAAAAGGTCGATGATAAAATTTTATTAGTTGAAGTTTACTTGATAGAAAGCAAATTGGAGTATAGAATTCGAAACTTACCCAAGTCTAAAGCAGCTTTGACTGCTGCCAGAACCAATGCTAACTCTATTCACTGCCCTCCTTTGTTGCAGGCAGATATAGATCTCCAATCTGGTATTATTCTTGCTGATGAAGGAGATTTTAAGACATCATTTTCATACTTTTATGAAGCTTTTGAAGCATTTAATATTGCTAATGATGAAAGAGCACTACAATCACTAAAGTATATGCTACTATCAAAGATCATGTCCCAACAAACCAATAACTTGGCTTCTTTACTTTCTGGAAAAAATAAAGTTAAGTTCCAAATGAGAGAAGTTGAAGCTTTGAAGATGGTTGCATCATGCTGCGAAAATAGATCTTTAAGTATGTTTGAGGATGTTTTGAAAACTTATGAGATTGAGCTGAGTAGTGATATGGTCGTTCACAAACACATTAATGATTTGTATGAGAGTTTAATGGAACAGAATATTTTAAGGATTTTGGAATCTTATTCTCACATTGAAATTTCTCAGCTCGCTAAATTCCTAAACCTTCCTTCCAAAAGAGTTTACTCTAAGATTATTGATATGATTTTGAACAAAACAATACAAGGAAATATTGATCAAAGGAGCGAAGTTCTCACTATTTTTGATGAGAATCAGAACTCAAGTTTGATGATTCCAGAGTTGATTTCTACATTCGACAATCTTTCCAATGTTGTTGACGTTTTATATGAAAAAGCCACTAAGGCTATATAATAAAGAAAGAGAAAAAAGTCAACCAGTTTTGTGGAGTCTATTAGTTCTCCTATTAAGGACCCAAATTTATTGAATTATTTATATATCAATATTATTACTTTTCAAGGCAAGATTACAACTTTCTAATGGCAACTTAACAATTATTTAGAAAAAGTTTTGTTTTCTTTTTGCTCTTTTTTCATTCCCTCTTTTCTTAAATTCTGGCACTACCTTAGGTTAAAATGACTATATATATATATATATCTAGGATATTATGAGAAATTATATAGGATTTATAAACTATTGGAGATAAAATAAAGAAAAAAATCAAACTATGATTACTACAAACCTATGTCTTTCGAACCCAACCTTCCGGAGTTTAGTCCGAACCCAGCCTAAATCCTCTTCCAGAAAAGGCTCTGGGCTGAGAAGAATTTCCAGTTAATGGATTGAAGAAGGATTCACTTCTGTTGGCGTTTGGATTAGGGTAATTAATTACGTTGGGATGACCATTTAAAGCTGAAAAGTCATAAATGTATTTCTTAATCAAAAAAGAAGAATAGTCAACAAAGCTGTCAACTTGCTTTGGAGTTCTTGTAAGGAAGTTGTTTGTGCTGTTCTCAAATATAATATCTCTCAAGTAGTAGTAAGAGTGCCCAGCCAATAGCCCAATCAAGTCGTCTATCAACGAGTTACCTGTCAAAACATCCAAAAACAATAGTGCATAAGGCAGTTGATAAGCTTGTAGTGTAAACCCCCAAATACTTACTGGAGAAGTTGGGAACTTTTTACTCCAATAATAAATAATACTGAAAATCAAAGATGAACCTCCAATTCTTCTTCCTGTGGGGTACTCAAAAGCAGTACCTATTACATTAATAGCCGTCATTAAAATCAATATAAAGTATAGATAAGACCCTGAAGTGGAGCCAACTGAACCACTCTTCTCCAATTTTGATGAAAATGATGTAAACATCCATTGGCTCATAACCCATCCTAAGCTGAATGGTCCCACAAAAAAGAAGCTTGTAATAAATCTCCAGATCTGAGCCTTACGAAAAATATATTCCCAGTCAAAAATAATATACCATGGATTCAGCATCCCAAAAGTTATTAGCAAAGTTGAAAAAAATGTTATTGTTAGGATGCTTCTCGTAATAGGAGGTAAGTTCTTATACCAACCTTGTGGAGATGAATCATTAAACATCTTTCCTTTTCTCTTCCTCTTTCTTCTATTTTAAAACAATCTTTTTTAATAATTTAATTTTTTTTTTAATATAATTTTTTAAAAAAAATTAACACGTCATTAACGGTATATAACTTTTTTGCTTTTATGTCATTTTCTCTCCCATTATAGAAAATATTTTCATCATATATTAATGTGGGGGAGTTTGGCGCCAAAATACCCAAAAAATATTTATATAAATAATTAACCAATAGATTTATTGAAAATAGGTCTCGTAATATATAAGGCATTAATTGGAGTGTTAGCTGGATGATTTAAAGAAACTTGGAGTTTGTAAATATTGTTTAATGAGATTTATGGTGAGTTGAGTGGGATTGTAAAATTCAAAAGTTAATTTAGATTTGGGTAAAAGGTAAATCCAATTACTTTTTCAATTATTTAGTGCTTTCTTAAAACAATTAATTAATATTGGAGTTTAAAGTTTTGAGCAATTTTTCCGAGATGAATGAGGAATTAAGTAGTATTCATGCTGAAAATGACTCTACTGATAAATTATATAGCTCAGTATATAGAGGGAGTGAGGAAATAAGTTTTCAGTCATTGGAAGCTGGGAATGATCCTCTTTCAATTTATAAGCAGGTTTCATCTTTGAATGATAGCTTTGAGGAGAGAGATCAAAGCTTGAATTTGCAGTATCCGAACTTTGATATGGATAAAAAGTCAATTAATAAGACTTTGGAAGATCTTTCACTATTTAATCCATTCCCAAACACACAAGAAAAACCAGTTGAGGTTAAATCTTCATTGGTTTCTCCAAAAATAGTCCCAGAAGACCGTAGTAACGACGGAAATCCCAATCCAAATATGAGTAAACCCAGTTCAAATCTGAGAACAACCACAAGTGTTTCAGGTTTATTTTCTTTTGCAAATACAGTGACCCAAAACATTAGTTCTCAGATACAGAACGCACTAAGAGAGACAACCTCAAACATCATAGTGAGTAATGGGACTAGCCATAAAGTACAAGATCCCTCTAGATGGTCAAAGATTCTTTCCAAGATTTACCAGAATAAAGGGCCAGTTTCAAATTCAAGTCTAGAAATCTGTGAGGCTGATGCAGAGAACATAACTAAAAATATGAATATTTCACTGTTTCCTGGAGAAAAGCTTGTTTTATTTAATAAGGAATGTGGAATTTCTGCTCAAGGTTTGGCAGACCCAATCTTTGGATCTTTAATCATGACTAACTTTAGGATCATTCTTGCTCCTCTTTTTCAAAAGAATGCTAAAAACAGAGCATTAACAATAATTAAAAGATTTTTAGTATCTTGGATGTACAAATCAGGTTTTCTTCATATTCCAATTAATTCAATAATTCATGTTGGGGTGAGCTCTGTGGCAGGTAATAACGAGCAAAATGGAGCTTGTCAGGAGGGTAATATTAGTAATGTAGCACCAGGACAGTATATTGGGAATAACTTAAATCTGGTAGGATCATTAGGGGCAATAGGAGGTGGGCCAGGAATTTGCCAGAACAACCAAAGTAATGTGAATTCCAAAAGCTGTACTTACACATTGGATATTTCAACCAAAGATTTGAGATCCATCCAAGTTTTAGTGATGAGTTCTGAGCAGGATAAAAAGCTAACTCAAAGTATTATTCAAAATACTTTGAATGAGACTTTACCAAGAAACTTGTTTTCATATATTTTTAAGGAGAATTTTGAAAGTTTGCCATTATTTCCCTCTCTAAATGGTATTTTTGAATTTGATATCTTTAAAGAATACAGCAGGCAGGGAGTTCCAATATCAGGAGATCTTTCGAATGGAAATGTCTCAAGATTCCCTCTAAGATTCACAAATGTGAACCAAAACTTTGAGCTATGTTCATCTTACCCAAGGATATTGGTGGTACCTGAAAGCATATCAGACTCTCAGCTAATTAAAGTAGCAGCATTCAGGTCAAAAGGAAGAATCCCAATTTTAAGTTGGACAAATCCAGATTTAAAGTGTACTCTTTGGAGATCTAGCCAACCAAAATCTGCTTTTAAGAGATGCATTGAAGATGAGATAATGATCACAACCCTTTCTAGCTTTTACAAAAATAATGGAGACCCCCAAGAAGAAAGACCTTTTTCAATACTTGATGCTAGACCAAAACTGAATGCATTTGCTAATAAGGCAACAGGAGCGGGATTTGAGAATATTGATTACTATAAACACTGCAAATTAGAGTTTCTGAATATTGAGAATATCCACAAAGTTCGCGATTCTTGGAATAAGATGGCTTTGGTAATTCAAAAATTCTCCAGCCAGGATTTACCAGTTGTTAATCCAAATTTTGACAAGGCCATTGATTTACTTAATCAAGAAAATATTACTTCTGCTCAAGCTCAATCTGTGCTTTCTTCTCTCAATAGAATGAACAACTCAGAGAATTTGGTAGGTTTAAAGTTGATCTCAGAAATAGATTCGACTGGATGGTATGATCTAATTAGCATGATTCTCGCATCTTCAAATAAAATTGTTGACCAACTAATTAGGGAAAAGGGAGTTTTAGTACACTGTAGTGATGGGTGGGATAGGACTTCACAACTAATTGCACTTGCAATGCTTTGTATAGACCCTTATTACAGAACAATTAAAGGATTCCTTTCACTTATAGAAAAAGAATTCATTCTTTCTGGGCACAAATTTCATTCCAGATCTGGAACTCCTGGCAAGGGATCTTGTTTAGATAAAGAATCCGAGAGATCTCCAATATTCATCCAATGGTTAGATTGTGTTTATCAATGTTATACTCAGTTTCCAACAGAATTCCAGTTTCATCCAAACCTATTGATTATTATTGCTGATCACTTAAACAATGGTTTATTTGGGAATTTCCATTGTGACAATGAATATGAGAGATCCAGTATTCACTCTAGAGATCTCACAGTTTCTTTATGGGATGCAATCATATACTCAATTCAAAATAAATCCAAAGAAAACTTAGAAAGTGGGCAAAGTGAACCACTTCTGTCTCTGAGTTCCTGTGCTATTTTCCATAAGGAGCTTATAAATCCTTTCTATAATCCCACACATACAAAAATCAAGACGCATGCTGACGTACTTATTCTGGATTCTTCTTCCTTTGGAATTGCTCCTTGGATGCCTTTTTGGTTTAGATTCACTCCTATTAATTCAAAGACGGTATCTAATCCACTTTTATATAGTAATTGTTAATTATTTGTTAATTTCTCTAAGTTTTTCTCTTAACTTTGTACTGTCAAGTTACTTGTAGACCAATCAAAACTTCTTATTCAGTTTCTTGAATTATCCAAGGTACTGATTTGAGTTATGCTAACTGTTACATTTGATTATATTTAGTAAATATATTTAGTTAACTTGTTTTATCTGTAAATGAGACTCTGCACAAATTTTGTTTATTTTCACATATATACAATAAGCCATTATAAAGCCGGTTCTACGATGTAAGGAGCTATAGTCTAGCGGTAGGACCCCGGATTTTGATTCCGGTAGCCTGGGTTCGATTCCCAGTAGCTCCTCTTAACCGCGGGTGCGCAAGAGCGCGCTGCTTTTTCCTCGTACCAAGGAAAAAGTACTTGAAGTTGTTTTTTAATTAGTCACTCGGAGTAAAATTGAGAAACAGAGAGAATAGTGTTGATTTATTCTTTCCCACCCTCGCTCCTCTCTGTCTATGTTTCTTCTCCAAATCTTTCTTTTAACTCAGGCCAAAAACTTCATTTAGGCAGATACATAGCATTCGCAGATAGATTATATTTATAATGCATGCAAAGTATTTATTAATATGTATTAATGGGCCAAGCTCGTAATTATGTTCTCTTAAAATTATATGAAATATTTGGCCTATATATCTTGAATATATATATTTACCCATAGAAAGAAAATTCGGAATCCTGTAGATTCTCAGTAAAAACTCAAAGTTAAATACTGAGAATAAGTAGTAGAATAATTAAAAATAATCTATCTATATAATATCTAACTAATTAGGAAGAACGAAAAATGGAGTTTTTTCTACTGTAATTAAGAGATATGAATTTGTTATCTTGAAATTCATTTTAATCATTTATCAGTAGTTAAAGAATGCTCTAGTTAGTGAATATTCAATACATCCAATTGAACAATAATAACATTTAGCTTTTCTTCATCAGAGCATTTTCCAGGTAAAAATTCTCGAATCAAATCTCCTAGACTTGGAGAAGTTCTCCCAAGATCTCCATTTACAAATTCCTTAATGTATGTGCCAGATTGTGCTAATAAATCCAAAATAAAGTAATTTTCATTGATAGGAAAAATCATTAAATCATATATTTTACGATCCCTATCAATATTTGGTCTTCGATGTAAAACTCGAACAGGAGTTCTTTGGTTAAGGAGAATTGGAAACTTAAGATTCTCTGAAATTTTGCAATGTTCATTGTTATAAATTGGAGTAGATGTGTAACAAATACAACGGTATGACTTTCGCTTTTCGTTAACTTCTTTATTCATTTTCTGAACAGAATTAGAATCAGAGAAATTTAAGACTGAAATTTCAAGTCTAGAATTTGATTTCTCTTTGATGGTATCTTTAAATAATTGAATAAAACTTTCTTTCGAGTAGTATTTAAAGCGTTGCTTTGAATCCAAAAACTCGACATTATTTGGGTAAAATAAGTAGTGATGATTTAGAATATTACCAATTTCTATTGCAAAGGGTCTTCCTGTTGGTGTTATTAATTCTTTGTCATAGGTTTGTCTTGAAGAACAGTTATCTCTATTTTGATTACTGTATTCGCTTTTATATGTATCGAGATCACGGTCAAAAACCGCATTAGCATGTTTTCCAAGCATCCTAACATCAACATCCTCTCTGCCAGATGAAGAAAATATAAATTTCTCAAAATGAATTAATTCTTTCAAGGAATTCGAAAGAATCTCTTCAATAGAAGTGTCAACAATTATTTTGTTTTTGTCTTGATCTGAAAATCCCCACTTCGATTGGGATATTCTTCTTGAGAGCTTTATATAACGGCCTAGTAAATAAACGTTCTTCCACACATAAGAGACAACAATAGAAAACATAAATCCTTCAGAATGTTCCAAATTTGCTGGCATTTTACTTGAAAAAACGAATTTTATATACAAATCACTGTTTTGGTTTAGCCTTAAAGAATGGACTTGATTCTGGGGAATATCCAAATTCATATCCACACTAATGGGTATTTGATTTAATAATAAGTTTCTCAGGCAACTTTTCAAGCTAAAGCACATATCCTGATCTGAATTAAGCCTTAGCTCTGGAGTTAATTCAATGGAAATCCCTGCTTCTGTAACTTTCAATCCACTATTATAAGAAACTGCAGCAGCTAAAACTTCGCTAAAAACTTCTCCCAAATATCCTTTAATGGGTTCATATTTGTTCTCAGCATTCAAATTGTCTTTTTTGTATATGGCATAAGTACTTATTGAACCTGACTCAGAGTCTTGAACTGCGATAAATTTATTAGATTGTCTACGCCTGGCTTTCTTAACTTCATTTGGAACCTTAAAAATACAATAATTGGATTGGTTATCAATTAGTAGTAGATCTTTGCAACAATTGCATCTTTTTTGATCATTAATTGATGATGAGTAAACTGAAACAGCATCTTTACTTCCAAATTTAAAATCTTCAGTATTGAATGAAGTCTTTCTAATTGTGCATCTCCAACATAAATTGTTCATTTCTGTGATCCTTAATTATCCAAAATTTCATTAATTTTTCATTATAACCGTACCATTAAAATTTGGTGTTTTTTCCTTCTATTTCCATTAAATTAAAAATTAGAAATATCAAAATTGACAGTTGGCGCCATTTGGCATTTAATATGAGGTTTTTGTTAGATTACTTTCTCCATAATATCTCAACCTGATCGGTTCTAAACCTTTGAGATACCGCAGAATCTTCTATTTTTGTAGTAATATTCTTCATGTATGCTAATAGTCCTGTATGAGCAATCATTGCTCCATTATCAATACAATAACTATCGTCCATACTACATACGATAGCTCCTCTGTCCTCTGCCATTTGTTCCATCATTTCGATTAACCTTAAATTGCATCCCACGCCTCCCACTAATAGTATTGAATCTGAGTCCAACAGACTGATTGCTCTTTCAGTAACTTCAATTAACATTGCAAAAAGAGTTTCCTGTAAAGAAAAGCAGAAATCTTGATAAAAAGATTGCAATTCTTGTTCATTATTTTTGAGTTCCTTTTGTTTTTCTGAGATGAGTTCTTCTCCGAATGTCAGGATTCCGGAAAATGATAAATCCATACCTTTAACGACATAAGGTAGTGAAATCAAATTTTTTCCTTTTTTCGCCATTTGTTCAATATGGTATCCTGCAGCAGGATAATTTTCAAGTTTCATGATTCTTGCAAATCTGTCAATGCAATTCCCAATTGCAATATCCAAAGTTTCTCCTAAAATTTTGTATCTTTTATTAGAATAACCTATTATTTGGGTATTCCCTCCTGACGCATAAAGTACTATGGGATTTTCAACTTTGGTCACAAGTCTTCCCATTTCAATATGTGCCACGCAATGGTTAACACCAATTAAAGGCTTCTTCCAAAGCCTACTCAACATTCTTGCAACTAGGGCTCCAACTGCTAAAGGTGCACCCATTCCTGGCCCCTGTGTAAATGAAATGATTGAAATTGAATTTTTATTTAATCCTGATTTTTCCAAAGCAAGCTTAACCAAATGTAAAATGTTATTTTTATGAAATTCAGCAGTTTCTCTGGGTAAAAATCCCGAACCCTAAAATTAATCCAAGTTATTAAAAGTTAAATATAGAAATAAATCACCATCATTTTAGTAAAACTTACAGGTGGTCCCACATAAGTCATTTTTTCATTTGCTAGAATTTCCCCTTTAGATGTCACTATCCCTACTCCCACCTTGTTTGCACTTGATTCAATTCCAAGGGAAATCAGAAACTGATCATTAGACCCATTCATGGATTTAGTATTTCAATTTCGAACAATTTCTTTAAGTTATTTATCTATATTTTATTCAAAACGTAAAAATAGCATTTGAAATATCAATCAAAGCTTTCAGCGGTAATATTTTATAGGGTAAATGTCATTTTTACCTTTGGTTGAAAATATTTTTCAAATTATTATACATCTTTTACTTATTATTGTTTTAGTTTTAACCAAGAAAAGATTGCTTTTAGAATTCCAAATTTAAACTGTATTTTTTCAATAACTTAATATAGACTTTATTATGTTTACTCTACATGTTCCTTCTTATTTTTAATGAGTTCTTATTTCTATATTTTCTAATCAAAATTTTCTGAGAAATAAGTTTATTTTACACTTAAGACTCATTTTCACTCATATTTGCGCCTTCAAATTTCTAAATACCGTTGTTTGCATGCATTTTATATGTTTACTTGCTTATACCGGTCATCCACATGCAATTAATAATTACGTGTATTGTTAAAAAAAAAAATTGAAGTCAACTTAGAAAAAACAAAAAGCCGAATAATTGAGGAAATAATAATCTATGAATTAAAGATATAAAAACTAAGAAAATTAAGAGTCATTTTCAATCGAATTAAATTCTGAAGTTAAGTGGTCTTTAATTTCATCAACAATAGCACTACAGGAAGCTTCTGCAAGAGAAAATCCTTCTTCAATTCTTTTTGGGTCGTTAAAAAAGTTTCCATTCGCTGACAAATATACAACTTGGTTTCTAATTGTACAAAGACCTATTTCCAAAGTAGAGTAGTTATCTGCCCCAAGGCATGAAATTTCATTATATGTTGGATCAAGAATCATTGAATATTCATCCTCAGTATGGTTTTCTCCTCTTCCATTATATAAAGAATTTGACTTTACTGCAATAATATTTGTTGCTGAAAAAAGTCCAATAATTTCAATTTTTGCATTACATAGAGATAAGCAAGCAGCTGAGATTGCTGCAGAAAAGGCTGATCCATCATCGTCTATAATATAAAAGTAGCAGTCAATACTGCTTCTCTTGTATTTTTCATGGCATATGACTGAGCTTATAACTTTTTCAAGAAGAATTGATTTAATCCTCTCATCAGATTTTATTTCTATGTTATCAGTATTTAATTTGCTTTTAACTAAAGCAGAATCCCTAGAAAAACTTCCAATGGTATATTCCACTGAAACAGACAGTCCATCTTCAGTTGGATTTTGTTTGCATAGGTTTGGGCCATAAATACCACATAAAACCTTTGTATCTCCAATTGAAAAATAGGCTGATCCATCTGCATTTTCAATAACTCCAGTACGAATGGTAATAGGTCTTAGTTCTTCAAACTGTCTATCGTCGTTGCGGATCAAAACATTATTTTCTGGTATTATGTCAAATTTTTCTGGATTTTCTTGTTTTAAAAGTGAGGAATCATTTTTTATTAAATTTCTGATTTCTGAAATCGGAGGTAAAGGAGGAAAGGAATCAAAAACAACCATTATATGAACCAAAATTTATTGCCAAATGCTCAATATATATCAAGTTTTAAGAATTATTGGTGTAATTCTGTCAATAATATGATTATTTAAATGTTAAAAATACTATTTTAATGGGTATATTATAATGGTAATAACTTTAACTTTTGTTTTTTAGTATTATATTATTTTCAAATAAAGTTGAATTGAAAAAAAAACAGTCTCCCGCAATTTCAAAGTAAAAAGCTACTAAATACCAGAATTTATCCAAAAGTTGATAAATAAATTTTTAAAAAGTCCGAATATATTCTGGAAATAGAAGCCTAGAAATTATCCCTTTTTTACCAAAAAATTGAAAATACACAGTGATCACATATTGCAGTGTATTTCTATTCACCAATTAACTTCAAAAACAAACATTCTTTTATATACTTTATATGTATATTTTGGAGTTGAGGAGTTTGGACTGAATACATTCAATCATTAGGATGGAGAACACAGAGGTTATTTGGTGCTCAAGCAGCTATATTAGACCAGAAAATTCAGATTTGGAGAGTGAGCAAAAATCTATTGTTACTGAATCTATACTGGAAACCGAATATAGAATTGTGTCAGCAGAGGATTTAGATGGGGTCCCATTATCTGGAAATGAAAAAGTCTTTGCAGAACAACATCTATGGAGTATTCAACTTAATTCGACTCAAAATTCCAAAATTACGGAATTTCAAGAAAGTATAGTTAAAACAAGTTATTTAGGAAGGCAAATGAAAGATGACAATACAGTTTTTTTCAACAATTGGGGAAAAATAGGAAGAGTTGTTCTTTTCATATACATAACTTTGTTATCTATATTACAAGATATTACAGGAATTGTGATACCAAATTCTATCTACAAGTTAGAATTATCTGGGCCAGAGTTAAATATAGTATCAGAGACTCCAAGTATTGCTCATCTTTATCCATATTATTGGAAATATATATTGGAACCAGCTAGATATATAATATCTATGTTATTCTACTTTATTTGGGGAATTGAACTTACTCCAAAAAAGGAGTTTGATAACAAAGATGAAGATTACAGAGAAAAATCAGTTAGAGAAGAGGGAATTACATGGATACCTCGTACTTTAAATATGGTTCATCCTATTAATCATTTAAATAATCCTAAATGTGGGATTAGTATCTATTCAAAACCAACAGAAAGTACAATCAGAACATGTAAAGGATTACGAACATCTACAAGGGAACACAGAATTATATGCAATTTAACTCAACCTGGTGACAACAACAAAAGGATTAGGTTTGTTGCAATAAGACCAATAGGAAACGTCATAGCAATAGGTTACTCAAATTCCGTGACAATATGGGAATACAAACCTTCAATATTAACTAATGGGAATTCTTCGATAAACCAATTAAGTTCAATTAATGGTGGATTACGATCCTTAAATGAGAATTTAAATTTAAATGGAAAGTGGAATTACATATACTCAGTTGATCTTTTCAAGTTGAATAGTATTTCCTGGTCAAATGATGGTTCATCTCTGTATATTGGAGATGGTTCATCAATAAGAGAATTTTATTATATTTATTTGGTTACACAAGATTCAAAGAAATTGGGTTATCATATCAATTCTGAAAAATTCATTAATAATGGTAATGTTGTTGCAAGAGGACCAACTATAGCACATGACTGTGTTTCAATTGCTGTATCTGGGACATTCTCATTAATAGGGACAATTTGGGAAGGTGGATATTTTAGGATATATGATACATCTACATGGGAAAACATACAAATTATTCACAAGTTTGGATTGAGGTCAAAAACATTTATTCCAAAAGTTGAGTGTGTAGATAATTTGCTTGATAAAGACTCATCAAGCTTCATTTTTGCAGATGATCAAAGTATATATGAGACTTTACTAATTAATCAAGAGTTAACTGAGATAAGAAAATCAAAAATTCTTAATATTGGTTCAATTTCTGAATCTCAGATTTCTAATGGAATAAGACTAAGGGAGCTACCAATTCATTCGAGGAACCGTGAGAAGACTATTTTGAATTTTTCCACAACTTTCCAAAGAGTTGCAATAATATATAAGGAATCCAACATGGTTTGGTTATACTGTTATTTAATGTCCACTGATACTCCTAGTAAACTGATGTTAATTGGAGTTATTCAAGATTTTGGGATTCCCTTGCAAATAAGTATGCAAACTATAAATGAGTCCAATCATCTTGTTTCTGGAACTTTGTTATCCGTCAAATGGCAAAATTTAGACAGATTTAATAGGCAAAACTTCCAAGTTACTCAGAATACTGAAGCTTTACAAGCAACTATTAAGACATATCCTTTATTTCATTATCTACAGTGAATTAATAATAAAGCTAACAAATATCATGTATTCATTTTTGCATTCAACTAAAAGTACACTAGTGATATTGCATGCATGCAATATTCATTATGTTGTATACCGGCAAAGACCACTGGTTTGGGAATTTAACACAAACAACTAAAAACTCTTGAAAGATACACTTACTAAGGATTTTCTGGCCAGCTTTTCAGATCTATCAAGCTATTCGTAAAATGGACGGAGGGATTCTGAATAACTTGGTATCTTATTGAGTCTTTTTGTTAAACTGGTATATACTGACAGAAAGATAAAAAGACATAATGGTAGATAAACAGGCAGATGGAAATCAGACGTGCAAACAGACAATTCAATTCAGTATTGTAAATACATGCAATTTCTTTCACTATTAAATATTGTATATATTGCATACTTAAGTAAATGAATATATATATATTTATATATTTATATATATATATATATATATAAATATAAATATATATATGTATATATATAAATATAAATATATATATGTATATATTCACACTTATTGGTTATGTATAATATATAACATAATAGTGGTTTGCAATGTAATTTATACAATATATATATCTAAATAATACAGAAACTTATACCAAATGTATATTGTTATTATTTAAATATTATACATATTTATATATATATATATATATATATATTATATATTTATATTTATATTTATATGTAATAATGTAAATTTAATGTAAGGTATATACAATTACATATTGGACAATACACAAAGAGACTTAATAATAATAAAGTTTGTGTATACATATTATTAAGTATTACAAATTTGGAAAAAACTAATACATCAAATTAATTAAATAATTTAATTACAATTATTTATAGTAAAGTAACTATTTACTATTTACCAATAATATCAGTAGGAAATCCCAAAATGACTGGATTCGCAAACACAAAACTGGCGCCAAGTACGCGCGTGAGCTTTGAAAATAATATTGAAGATGAAAGTAAAAAGTTTAAAAGCACAAATTAAAAACAATAAACTTCAACGAAATAAATGGTAAAAAAGGGTTTTGATAGTATTTCCAGGGTTATTTCAAATGAGTTTTACACGCGAGCTTGTTCATTTGAAAATACTGGAACTATGGACAAGCGGTGATTCGCTTAAACGAGCAGAAGCAAATAAGTATTTGTTGGAATTTAAAGACTCATCACAGGCTTGGCAGATATGCAGTGAGCTTTTGGAAATGAGTACGGAGCCGGAGGTCAAATATGTGGCAGCTCAAACTTTGTGTCAGAAAGTTTCTAATTGTCAAAGTGAAGTTAATGCAATTGGAGGTCCAAAGGTTATTTTTGAGCAAATTTATCTAAGGAGTATTTCTGATAATTTAAGAAATGGAAGTGGAGGTAATCTAATGTCCCAATTATTAAGTAAGCTAGGAGAGGGGCTGTCATATTTGATAATATTAGGAATATCTGATGGATCTTGGATAGAGGGATTTGAATCATGTTTGAGAATTTCTCAGCCATATTTTGTGGGTCAAGGCACAGGTTTGGAGTTGTGGATGATACTTAATACTCTTAGGTATATTCCTGATGCAGGCGTACTCCTTGAGTCTCAAAAGAGGCCAATGCTAATTCAATCCACTTTACCTAGAATTCTTGATTTTTTATCAGAATCTATAACTAAAGTACTTTCAGATTCATCAGGAAATCACGGAGGTAATGGAAATAATTCAGGAGCAAGTGAAAATCAAAATATGAACCAGAAATTATTGGAATTATCTTTAGATATTTTGGTTGAATATTTTGAAAAATTCGAAATACCTTTATTTACTCATAGTCCTCTTTCTTTAGCAATTTCCAATTTATTAAAGAGTGATATCTGTGTTGCTCCTTATAGATTAGCGGAATTGTTTGTAAGAGGCCTTCCAAGATGTTCGTTTTATATGCAAAAACAGGGAATAATTGGTGATTCTAACAGTATCTTTACGCTTATTGAAGATGTAAATGGTCTTCATGTACTATTAAAGTTTCCATCTGAGGCAGAAACTGCAGTTATGATGTCTCTTTTGAACTATTTAAAGCTATTATATGATAAGCTTCGTCAGATTCCTCTACCTATTAATAATAATAATTGTAATAATAATAATTGTAATAATAATTGTAATAATAATAATAATAATAATAATAACAATAATGGTAATATAAATAATACGTCAAATAATCAAGGAACTTGTTCTGTGGATAACTCACAAATGATTAGAATTAATACTTGGAGTACTTTAAAGATGAATGTTCCACAAATTGATCTTGATGAAGATACTGAAAGATCTATTTTGAGTTGGTCTGGAGTCATTTTCAGTCTTTTAGAAGGATATTCAACCATTTTTATTATTGGAGAGTTACCAGAAGTGAAGAATCGTTGTAATTCTAACAATAAAATATTGGATAACCCCCTTTCATTTCTTCCTGAAATGCTTTCACTATTATTAATGTTACATGTAAGGATACCTGGGGTTCTTGTAAATATGTGGTGCACCTTAAGAGATTTAGTTAATGAAGGAGTTATTACAAAAGATCATGGACTATCTATTGCAAAACTTTTAATTACTCCAGCTATCCAAAGTTTAGCTACACAATGCAGAACTGACTTCTTTTACTGGGAAAAGCTTGGTATTAATGAGAATTCTATTATGAATGCTAGAATAAGTACTTATTCTAATTTTGGCTTAAAGGAATTAACACTTGATGATTCAGTTGAAGAGTTTCTTGATTTTTTGGATACTGCAACACTTCATATTAATGATATTTACTTCTTCTTATCTGCTTTGGGTCCTTCCCATGGACAAGCATTTGTTACTTACATTCAACATTCATTATTATCATGTTCAAATGAGAAAGATCCTATTGGGTGTGTTGTATTTCTTAGGTTTTCAGATACACTTATTGAGGCAACTAATTCACTTCAAGGTACAATTTCTAACATATTAGAGCTTGCATGTACTACATTACCAAAAACTCAGTCTTGTATTTACCAAATTACATTACTACTACAAAAATCAGCTCATTTACTTGTTAATCATGAGCATGCTCCTATATGGTTATTAAGTTTAAAATATTTGATCGAAATATCTCAACAGTCTAATTTACTACTTTTATCATCAACATTTGAAGAACTTTGTCAACTTGGTGTTGATCATGTTGTAAATAATCCAAACTGTGATCAAATTTTATTAGAACTTAGCCAAAGTGTGATCCAAGTGGTAACTTCCAAGCTTCAATTTTCTAATGATATTAATCTTTATGGCAATATTAGTATGATTGACGAGAATATTGGTTTTGTTGGAGGTTATGTTCACATTCTTTGTTACACTATGATTAAAAATAATCAATCTATTCAAGTATTAGCTGAAGCTTTAAAAAGTTTTCTGTATCATATGATCCATTCTACTATTGAACAGATACCTCAAGTTTATAGTAATACATCATTTTCTAATTCTATTGATATTGGTGTAGTACCACAATGTTGTTGGATTTGGTCAATATATGTATTTTTAAAGATTCTCAAATCATTTACATTTTGTATTGAAAATAACAATTATGGAAATATTTGTGGGTTTGGATTAGAGTATGGAGGAGGTTCTCCAAAAATGGGAGTTAACCACTTTATATTGGGATCTAATAATAATGGAATTTGTGGAAATGTTAATAATAGTAATGTTAATAATAGTAATGGTAATAACAATGTTAATGGTAATAATAATAATAGTAATAATAATGATTCTAATAATAATAATAATATTAATAATGGTAATATTAATATTTTTAATGGTAATAATAACAATGGTGTAAACCAAACAGGTCTTTCAAGCTTAACAATTAATTTAACAGTACTAATTAGAAATCTATTCTCTCCACAAGACCAACAGATGCTTATTTTGGGGGAGAAACTTAGATCTCTTTTATTTAATTCATTCAATCTTAAAAGTGAGTCACAAGGATATGGAGTAGTATTAATATCCTCAATGATGTATCAATATTCAAGAAATATTTCTTTGCATAACTTAATGATTTGCACGAGACGCAGTTTCACTGGTAACGAAAGTTGTTTATCATGTCCAAAGGATGTGATCGTATCAATTTGTTGTCTAATATTAAGGATCATCTCATGTACATGGTCTGCCAACTTTTTAAGTATGAATGGTAATGGAGATCATAATCATGTAAGTAGTAATAACACTGATATGTGTGGTAATAATTTAGGTAATGTAAGTAATGATAGCCATCATGTACATAGTGGAAATCCAATTGAAGTAAATCAAGGGAATCAATGGTGTACATGGGAATTTACTTATTCTAACATAAAACAAAGTTTATTACATTTAAAAAATGAACTTGAAAATATAAGTAATGATGAAAGAGCTTCAACTTTGATTGTTAGACAAAGACATGGATGTTGTACAATGATATTACATGAAATTATTAAGAGACTTCCTATAGAAAGCAGAGACAATTTAGTTAATATGATGCATAATGACGGTATAGATTCTTTATTATATGAGTTTTGGATCAAGAAATTCTGCTCAATAACAAATGTGGAGATTTCAAGATCATTTGAGCCATTCTTTATGTGGCAAATATCGCTACTTGGTAACTGTAATAATCCAACTCTATCAGTTCAGTTAGTTTTATCATCTCAATATTTGGCTTCAAGTTTGGATATGGCAGTTAGATCCCTTCAATTTAATGACAAATATTTATTGAATTCAGTACTAATTTATTTGACAAGGCTATCAACCGCAATACACTCATTTTCTCAGATACATCACATTTGGAATGAACAACTTGGTAGATTGCTTATGGTATTGTTTTCAGTATATAATAACTTTGAGAAGAATACGCTTTTACAGATGTGTAAATTTGTGTCTACTTTGTTGGAATACTTCCCTAATAACTTTTTTATGACACTTAATGGGATGTTTTCACCAGACTTTAGTAGAATTCATCCTGAGATTGGGTTTAATCCTTTTAAGGATACAAACCAACAACAACAGAACATGATTATTATTTGCTTTAAGAGTTTGAAAGGTGGTCCAAGGTTAAGACAATTTCTATTAGAGATTTCTAATGTAACTAATGGTATATCCAGTATGGATGATTGTCTTAAAAAGTTTGAAGTTTTACTCAATTATAACAACCTAAACAATACGGTGAATGTTGGTACCAGAAGTGTTAATAGTAATGGTGGAGCTTCTGGTAGTAATGGTAACCCTATAATTATTTCATAATGGACTTTATTTTAGATAATAATGGTTCAAAGATAGCTTTAATTTCTAAAAGCTCAAATAATTTACATGTTTTTTATACCTTCCAATCTTTAAAGATGGGGGGGAGTCTTTTGTTGACTCCCAGTTTTGGCGCCCAAAAATTGCATGTAGAAATGGCGGTATGAAAATTTTGGAATAGGGTAAGGATGAAAAGGAGTAAGAAAAAAAAAAGAAGATAAGGAGGAAGAGGACGAGAATGTCTGGTGAAAGAAGAATTGTAGATTGGAGAGTAGGAAATAAAAATACTAGGATAAGAGAGGAGGAAAATGGGAGTAGTGGGAAGTTGAGAAGATAGAGACGAATATGGGAGGAAAAATAGAGAGGATACGGATCAAAATGTAGGAAAACTGAGAGAACTGTAGTAAGGATAAAGTAATAGATTCTTTTTCTTTGCTGTTTTTTTTTTAATCATTCTACGTAACAGTCAAAATTATTATGATCACACCTACCTTGCTACATAGAGTTATGAGATTCAATTTCCAGTAGTGTGTCTACTAATGTTTCTGCTAGTATGTCTGCTAGTCATCCTGGGAGTTACAGGGGCATTTGCATTAATCATTTCACTGACATAAGGATGTGATAAATCTGCAGCCTTTAAGAGTCCAGAATTCTGGTTAAGTAAGTGGACTCTCAATTGCCATCTTTGATTAACACTATGAACAAGATTAGGATGGATGATCCTACACTGAGTAGTACATAGATTTGGGTGATCAACGTCCAATTTCTCTATCTCCTTTCTGTTTTTTTTACAAGAAACTGCTGGACTAACCAGGGGAGATTGTGATTCAACAACAGGACTTCTTGGTGAGGAAGGAGAATTTGATATAACTGAGGGATGTAATTTGAAGAAATAATGCATGGCATCAGTAACTGATCTCATATGATTTGAGTGCTTTTGAAGCTCCAATTCACTAAGTCCATTATTTTCACCATAGTAAGGATTTGTAAATCCACAGATATTTTCAAAGGGGTGGTACCTTAAAGACAACATTGGTGAAGCTGATGCTGCCTGAACTGAATTATTCAAAAAATTTAAAAATTCTTTTGTTCGGTAATGATTTGGACCTTCCATCTTCTTTGATTCTCTCTAAGCTTGTTTTGTGTAATTCAACTCAAATTGAAATATTTATATATTTAATATACTTATATATATATATTTGCAATTCCAGACTTGTGTGCTAAACAAATAACTCTAAGAAAAATATCGCAAATCCTGAAAATTAATCAATATATTTGTTATTATTAATAATTAAGACCTAACTTGATTTCTCCCGTTATTTAACTTTTTTTTTGTTTTTTCATTATATCGTGTATAAATCTATTTACATGCATTTTTGCATTAGTAATTTGGTACCTGGATTGGCGCGCGCGCCAACATTGCAAAGATATTTATTAATAATATATGAAGAGTCCAGTAAAATTCAAGTTTTTTTTTGAACAAATTAATACCAATTGAATAAGATGTGGATTAAAATAACACACTAAAGATTTGACTCCTTTAACTAACTTGACAAATTTTTTTTTAGGATTTAGTTGTATATTAGGACCAAAAAGTTCTTTGGTGTGCAGCTTAAGCCTAGAATATAAAAATAGAGACAGACAAACAGGAGAAAAAACAAAGAAGATTAATTAAGCTGTGAACAAGGTGTGAGCAGTGAGAATAGGTTGAAAGTAAGAAGGAAATAACCGTATGGAATTTGGGAATATTTTTTAATATAGATACACCATTACACATGCAAATGTATGTAAATTAATAAAGGACAAAATGTTGGAAGAAAAGGATAAGGACGAAGAAATCATAGAATTTCTTGAAAACTACGAATATTCAGAATCTTTAAGTATTTTTTTTTCATTAAGAAAAGATTGTTTGGGGGTGATTGACCCTCCTATAGTATTAGAACATCAAATACAAAAAAGTGATGGAAGTAGAATATCAATTCAAGGTGAGCCCAAAGCAAGCTAATAATATTTAAAGTTATTAATACTTGATTAGATTTAGAGATGCTGGTTAAAGATGGTGAATTAAGAAAATTAAAGGTACCTAGATCGATACCTTCTAAAAATATGACATCATGCATAGGTTATAGTTTAAAGAGTGATATTTTCAGAGTTTTGAATATTAGAATTCGAGAAAAGTATTTAAATCTGGAAAATCAAGTAAATGGATGTTTTTTGGATTGTCTTTTTAATGGTGAAAAGAGGGTATCTTTATTACAAGAGATTTCAAGGTTAATTAAAGTAGTTTTTCAAGATTTTAAGACTATTAGTGCAAATAACAAACAACTTTCAGATCATCTATCTTTGATATCTAATAGTTGGAAAAGTGAATACAGAATTTGTGAAAACCATAACAAAATCTTAGATGGAGATTTTTTGTTAGATATATTAATTAGGTTTGGTATTTTAAGACGTGATGCTTCAGATTTACATAATTTAATATTTACAACACCTTCTATGGGCTTATTTATCCAGTTTCTTGAGTCTGGAAATAGTATAATTGTTAATTCTTTAAGAAGGAGTAAATACAAAGAGCTTTTTGAAGACAAATTCTACTCTCTTAAACTCGGTAAGTCTCTACTTCCTATTGATTTTCATTTAAAAGATTTACATGGAACTGGAATAATAAAAAGAATGTAAGTTTTTAAAATTTTGTTTAAGCATGCTTAGCTTACATGCACTAATACTGTGTAAATTAATTTAATATATATATTAAATAGCATGCACTATTTATTAATAGTATATAATTACATTAAATGTATTAATATACACAGTCTATTTTTGCATGCATGCAATTCATGCATAATACTTTGTTTGGATTAATTATTCATGTTAAATATGTCTTAAAATTGAATTTTCCAGGGTTGTTCATAATAATCCTATAAAAGTATGTAAATTATGTAATATTACAGCAAATAGAAAAATACAAAAGAAAAGAATAACTTCTGTTAATTAAATTAATATGTGGTTACTAAATTGCGGGTAAATATTTCCTATCCTTTTTCTTTTCTCCTCCTCTATTCCAGTTTCACCAAATTTTTTTTTTTATAATCATACTCGTTTGCATTTCTAATACATGGCTTTTCATTTGATATTTGTAGTACCACTATGATCGCGAGAGAGATCTACTTAAAGATCTCATTCTTCTACTTTTATCCACTTTTCTCTCTCTTCCTCTCTCTTTTCTTGCCATTATATCTCCAAAATGAAAATCCAATATATCCAATTCTGTTTTATACCGTGCTTGAATATCTTTGGTAACTCCAATAATTCCAATTCCACTTCCCTCTGCACCTGTAAATACATAATTCCCATCACAATTTGGCTTATAATCCTTGACGTGATCAACTTTTAGATGTTTTCCTAGTAAAATCATATCATTTGCGTTATCTACAGCTAAAATAGTGCTTTTTTGATCTTCATAGCACAAAAAACAATAACCTTTTGATAATCCCGACTTCTTGTCCCTAATTAAATTAATATCAATAGGCTCTCCCCATTGAGAAAACACTATTGCAATATCTCCTTCTGTAAGCCTTAGATCTAAACCCGAAATATATATATAAGAAGAATTCCTGTACTATACAAATAAAGTGAATATAATAATAAATGTATTTCTCTATAATATAGTGATTTTTCAAGAACCAAAGTTCTTCTATATCTTCCTTTACTAACAAAAAATACAAATCTATTCTAGAAAACTTACCTCATCATGCCATGAATTTGAGTTTCTATTATTAGTATAATCGCCAGTAGCGATATATTTATTATATGTTTCCTCCCTATTATTTATTTCATTAACTGTATTTCTCCTCTTATTTAAAATACCTTTTTTTTCTGTATTTAAGTTTCTATTATACATTTTTAACTTGAATTAACATTGCCACACAAATTCACAATATCAAATTATCTATTTTATTTCATTCCATCCATTTTCTGCGAGATTCAGTTTTAATTAAAATAAAGATTAAAAAAATTGAAAGATACTTGTTCAATCCCTAGATATTGTAAGATAATTTTTTGAATACTATTTATTTATTGTGTATTCATTCCCGAACTCCCTTGAATTATTTCTTTTTTCTTTTAATCACATGAATTTACTCTTTTATTTTAAACGCATGATTCGCGCGCCAAATTTAAGAGGGGCAACCGCAGATACCTTTATTGGCGGGAATTTGCAAATAATGTCAAAACATGATTAATAAAAAAAAGTTGAGAGATGAGGTATATAGTTGAGGTGCAAATACAAAATATAAGTATTGCATAGTTATTTGTTTAGAAATATTTAATTTGATTAATTTCTATAAAATACTTCAATACTTTTTTCAACAAGATTAATATAATAATATCGGAACAATTTATGTTTAAATAATATCAAAATGTTTTTTTCTATAGTAAACACAATTCAAAGTTTATTGTTTGGAATAGTTTTCGTTTTCACATCTATCTTTTCATTTACAAAGGTGAGTTGAGTAGAATATATAAATTTATATTATCAGCATTTTGCAATTATTAATAATTGTGAGGTGGGAAAAGGGAGAAATAAGTTTAGAGGGGAGAAACAGAGAAAAGGGTAGAAAAGTAAGAAGGATTGAAAGAGAATAAAGAATTATTAAAATTTAAATGCAATTTTCTTGAAATTATTTCCTTACTTTGACTCTTTCTTCGGTCAATTTTTAAGTATATAATGCACTTTTCTCACTCTCATCTGATTCATTACTTAGTAATCTTCAATAGTTATTACTATCCACCTCACATTATTAATATATGAAAAAACCAATTACCGAACTAACTAATTAACTCCTTTGTATTTGAATTTTTGTATAAATACGACATATAATTAAAACTTAATGTATTATTGTACATAACAGAAAGTTTTAGGATTTGAGGAAATAGAAGATCAAATTAACATTGAGAAAGTGAGTAAAGTTCCGAAGCATATGGTAATTGTATTTAGAGGATCAGAAGTCCTTGAAAATGGGGTATTATATCTTTTATATAAAGCTTGCCGTATTTTAAAGCAGTGTGGAGTCGAATTTGTTACCATTTTTGAGCCAAATGGAATAGTTGAAAGTAAATTATCTTCCTTACTTAATAGAGAAGATGAGATTCCAGATAATCTACGCTTCTTATCAGGCAGTGACTCTTCACAAGATTTTCTAAATAAGATTCAAAGAATTGTAAAAGAAAAACATGCCTCTAATGAGAAAGAAATCACCTATAGAGAAATTTATAATATATTAAATTCTGGTGGTAGCTGGCCGAAAGCTGATTGTATATTGATTCTAAGAAACATGCCTTTTGACATTCCAATTAATGGGTTTAATTCGCTCTTTATCATTTTCAATAGGTTACGAGAATATACTGCTTCATTTTGCACTAGACTATTTACAGTGGCCTCACTTGGTACTTGGGGTGAGATCCCACCTCTATTTGCTCAACATGCTGAGATATAGTAAGTTTTAATTTTAGTGTAAAGGTTTGTTAGGAGTATAGGGAGAATTTGTAAAGTATTCAGAGAGTATAAGTTATAATTAAATTAAACCAAGTATTAAGTGCTTAATCATTTTCATTACCATCTCATCCATATTAAATCATAACAAATAACAACCAATTAGCTATTCATTTGGATAATGGTATTATTAATGGTAATAACATAACTACTTGTACCATCTTCATTATTACTCAACTACTATGACTATTACTACTACTACTACTACTACTACTGTTTTAACTTTTGCCACAAAGACTGAAATCGAATTCATCACATTCATGCAAGAAAGCTGTGGATAGATTGTATTCATACGTAAATGCTCTTTCTCCCCTATATTCCTAACAGATCATATATCTACACAATCCTAAATTACACATTAATTCACTATTTTTCTTCTCCCTTAACCTACTTCTACTATCAGTGAGCTCTGGGGATTTAATATTAGGAATATTCAAAAATCTATTGTACTGTACTCATACTCCAAGCAAAGGCATGGTAAATAGATTTAACTATCATTAATTCATGCAATTTTTGTAATTTACTTAAAACGCATTTTGGCGGGGTTTGCATGGCGCCTTTAAGTCTAATAAATAAAAGGTAAAGACATAAAAATAAAGTCTAACGCTAAATCATGAAATATAAAAACATGTAAAAGAAAAAATTTGTCTGCAGGATAAAATGCGTATAGTCTAAAAATCGTGAGAAAAAAAAGTGAGCTAAGAGATTGCATGACAAGAACTCAATTAAGATAATATAGAGGGAATTCTTTTTTTTTGGTTACACAGATTTAATTAAGTATATGGATTTAGAATTCAGATACAAAATTAATTAATAAAAAAGAATTGAGTTTAACCGAGATAGAAAAGGATCTTGAAATCATCATTAGTTTATTGCAATACCTGACTATTTGATATAAGGAGAATAGGTTAGATAGGCAAATCTGGGTAATATATACACTTGTAAAGCAACAAATAATAATATTAGTGATTTAAAAAATGGGTGGTAAACATTCTCTCCCACAAACTTATGAAGCATTTTCAGGTAGGATGGGAAAATTCCCATCATTATCGGAAGATATTTTAACAAAGCAAGAATTAGAAGAAGGTGTAGTAATCTTGGACTCTATGAATTCTATGGGAAAAATGAATAGTTCTAGCTTTATGGATATTGAGAGTGACAATACAAGATTTATGATGGCAAGGGCAGAGGCTGATAGAATAGCAGAAGCTGAAGCTTTAAGACTTGCAACCGAACAATCTATTAGAGTAAATGATGAGGGAAGTATAATCAATCAAAATTCTTATGTTTCATTACCTTCACGTAAAGATTCAGTTCTTTCAAAACCTCCAACACGTTCTGAGACTATGACAAGTAAGCAATCTACAAAGAATAGTTCATTAGCATTAGAAAAGGCTGCTGAAGAAGAAGTTTCGAAAGAAGAAAGAAAATCAGAATATATTTCTTCGAATTCAAATGTTAATACAGAAAAGGATAAAAGAGAAATAATTGAGATGATTACCAATAAATGCGGAGTTGTATTTTCTGAGTGCAGAAGTTATCCTATTGAAGAGGCAAGCAAATTAGGAAGCAATCTTAGGAATTGTGATTCTGAATACGCAATTGATAAAACAGCTGAGACTTGTGGATGCTTAGGGCCTAAACATGATAGGCTAAATTGTCCAATATGTAGAGGCATGCATCTAGAAGACGCTCCATTATTATATTAGTATGTTAAGATATTACTTTGAATAAATTGTTGGCACGAAATCTTATTTTATCTCTCTAAAAATGATGTCATTTTTTATTCATTAAATAAAAATTCCATGTGGATAATTTTTTCGTAATATAAAATGACGTGTCAATATTAATAAACGCCGGTATATGAAAGTATTCCGTTTATGCGCATGTGGATTTGCAAATTCATGCGCATGGACATGTTAGGAATTCGAAATAATCATTTTTCTGGAACTCCCCTTTACAACAAATACATTCAAACAAAATTTAAAAACTCTAATAATTAGTGATTTCTCGAAAAAGAGCATAATAAAGAAATTTTTTGTAATAACTTTAAGTATCATTTAATGAGTTTACAATAATACGAATCATTAAAAAAATATAATTAATATATATATTATATAAATAAATAAACATATATTACATATATATATATATATACATATATATGTAATATATGAAAAATATACAATAATATATAAACCTTTGTATATAAATATATATATTTACATAAACAAAGAGAGATTGGTGAAAATACTCCGATTACGAGATAATAGTTGGCCTTTTATGTAATATTGGGGAATATCAACGTTATTATTTATAATATATATTATTAGACGTCTTAAAACAGTATAAGAAAACATTAAAAAAACAATTATATTTCTTATTTAATTATAAAAGAACCAAATAAAAGGATTAGAAAAAATGGAAGTGGAAAATTCATCACCAAATCAATATACAACAAAAGCTGGAACAAATATGGCAAATGAACAAACAAAAAAGCGTCCTTCAGATGCAACAAAAGAAGAACAATCAAAAAAGGTTTGTACTGAAACATCGGGTAATGTTACAAATTCAATAGAAAAAAATACTGCCTGTACGACTCAGGATTCAACAAATTCAGTTTCAGTTACTGGAAATGTTAAATCTTATAATAAAGTCACTTTTACAACAAGTCTAGATTCTACTACTAATAATGATGCTGATGCTAGCCGTAGTACTACAACAGAAGCTAGATATACTTCAGGTACAAGCACAACTACTACATCATATAGGAAAACTTCATCAACAAGTAATAAGAAGGAAGGTGAGGATAAAGTGACAAACAATTCAAGAGTAAATACTGAAACAGTTTTTGATTCTGGTATGACAATTCAAAAAACTGTGAATAAGACCAGCACTGAAAATGTGACAAATACTACAAAAGTAAAAACAACAAAGACTACTACCACTCAAGAAATGAGGTTTAGTAATGAAAGTGTCAAAAATGGTACTACGAATACTGCCAACACTGGAACTACAACCAATAAGATGGGAGTTCAGTCACCAGAAACATTTACAAATCAAGTATATTACTTTGATACAGCAGACAATACAGTTGTTATTGCTTCTCAAACTCCAGCAAGAACTGAAACTAGTACAACAGTGACTGAAACATACAATGGCAATTCAATTATGAGTAGAAGAACAGATATTGAGGTAACAAGAGAAATGATTGGTACAAATGTAACTTGTGGCAATGTTAATAAGCAGACAAAAAGTCAAGAGAGAAAGAATGGCACAGAATTTCAAGTGTCAGTTCAAGGCCAAGACCAAGCAAGAAAACAATTGCAAAAGCAAAAACAAGCTTTACAGAGTTACCAGTTTGATCAAGACTGTAATGGTTGTCAGGTTTACTTTGGAGCGATCCAAACACCCAATCAGACGACTTCTAGTAAGTACGGTGTAAAATATGAAATGAATCAGTTTGGAAAGACACAAATCAAAATTACTGAAAACTACCAAAAAGACGGTACATTTACGTCAAAGAAAGAGCAGACGAACTCCGATGGAACAAGATCTGTTACTACTATCACTAATACCACTACTACTGGCGCGTCTGGTACTAATGGTGGTATGACTGGTGCTGTTGGTACTACTGGTGCTACTGGTGCTGCCAGCACTACTGGTATGGCTGGTACTACTGGTGCTACCTGTGCTGTTGGCACTACTGGTATGACTGGTGCTGTTGGTGCTACTAGAACTACTGGTACTACTGGTATGACTGGTACTACCGGTGCTACCTGTGCTGTTGGCACTACTGGTATGGCTGGCACTACTGGTGCTGCTGGCACTACTGGTACTACCGGTTCTGGTACTTATGCTACTGGCACTACTGGCACTACTGGTGCTACTGGTGCTACTGGTGCTACTGGTGCTACTGGTACTACCGGTTCTGGTACTTATGCTACTGGCACTACTGGTGCTGCTGGCACCACTGGTACTACTGGTGCTACTGGCTCTGGCACCTATGCTGCTAGTGCTACTGGCAGTACTGTTACTGCTGGTCCCACTACATACAAAAGCTACACGGGAATGATTACAAAAGAGACTTATTCAGTGGATGGAAAGCAGATATCAAAGACTGAAGAAAAATTCGATCAATCAGTTTCAGAAAGTGCACAATCAGGAGAGACTGTTACAAGAACAACCACACAATATCCGGCAGGTAACGTTGATGGCATAGCTACTAGAACGGAGACTTTAGTTACAAAGGCTGATGGAACAATTGTTGTAACTGTTGAGCAGCTATTTGAAGATAATAGTAAAATGACAACTGTTACCACCACTCCTGCCACTACCAACACCAGTTCCAATACCACTACCACCACTACTACTACTGGTCCAACCACTGCTACTACTGGTCCAACCACTACTACTACTGGTCCAACCACTACTACTACCACCACTACTACTACTACTAGTACTACAGCTGCTGCTACTGCCACTACCACTACTACTGCTACCACTGCTACTAATAACGATAACTACGTGGATGTTTCAGGTTATGATGATATATCATCAAAAGCTACAGCTGGTACTAGAACAGGAGAAGACACAAAAACGGTAACAGTTACAGTGGTAACAACAGACAAAGACTCAAAGGTGACATATCAAGAAAATTATACGGTACAAATTGATTCCAACTACACTACTACTACTACTACTTCTACTGCTTCAGGAAATACAACTAATACAACTAATACCACTACTAATCCCACTACTTCTACTAATACCACTACTTCCGCTAATACCACCACTTCCACTAATACCGCTACCTCTGGTTCTAATACAACTGCTAGTACTACTAGTAATACTACCAGTACTACTACTTCGAATAAAAACAACATGGCAGATTCTCAAAAGGGAATGAGCCAATCAGATTCAAAAGTCAAACTGCAGGATAAATATAAGACCCAAACCCAAATTCAAGATCAAAATGTATCAGGAAACTGAGTAGCTTCAGAAAAATGATTTTTTATGAGAATAAAAAGTAGTTGCTGCTGGTGTTAACTTGGCGAGACACAATATGAGTAACAAGTATTCATATATACATTTATATCTATCAAAGGACCGAGTCCAATTTGAAAGGAGTGCAAGCGTAAGGGTGAATAAAAAAATGAAATACCAACATCAATGCTAATATCGATAGTATTGGAGTGTAGGAGGAAAGTGGCAGATTTAAAGAATCATATGTTATCTAACATAATCATATACATATATATATACATATATATATATATATATATATTTTTATGGTATTGAATTTCAATGAGAATTACAGAATTAGTACAAGATGTAATTCGAGTCTTTAATATAAAAGAAAGAGCAGTTAAACTAACAATTAAATGCGATAAACATATGGTGTTAATAATAATATAAGAAAAAGATTTAAGATTGCTTGAAAGCTGTCTATTATTATTTAATGGTAAAATCAAGAATTATCTTACCAGAAACAAACGAAACAGCTGTTTAGTTGGATTTTGGGTATGGGATCAAAAGAAGGGGTTCAACAAATTCATATAGAAGTCACTCAAAGTACTGTGGAACAAAAAAGAATGTTCTTTATCTTGTTAAATATCATTAAAAAATGAATTACATCTAAAGTGTTAACTTTGGTTAATCATTTTTACTTGAGTTGTTTCTTTCATATTGTTTTTTTTTACATTGAAATAATCCTCTAATTATCGATTTGTTTCTTGCAGTAAGAAAACTCCATGTAAATAGGGATGTAAAATTTATCTCATCCGAAATAACAATACTAATCGACTTAAACAGCATTCATATGGAGGGTTGAAAATACTAGGCAAACACACTACACTTATTTACTGTTCTTTTTATTTGAGAAAGATGCTTTACAAATTTTGCCTTTACTAACTTTCTTACAAAATTATTTGTTTTTCTCTGTATTATTAAAGCCTTAGTGATTGACCTGTTGTATAAATTCTTATAACAACAGTAGAGATACAACTAGAAAATTGAAAGTAGATAAAAGAAAAGGGAAATCAACAAAACTTGAATATTTGTATTTTTTTAATCTTCTTTTTGCCATTCCATAATCTAATTCAATATCTAATACCGGCGTTATGCATCACGGCGCCGGCGCCATAGTTGTATTGTGACAGTTTTCTAAAGAAAAGTGAAAAAGCGATAAAGAAAATTACTCGAGAGTAATCAAGTAAACGGTGTGAATTTAATAAAAGATTTAAAATAATAGGGAGGCATAATATTCCTTGCTTGTATACTTGTTTGATGTGAATTATTTTATTGGTTTTCTTTAAATATTAAGAGAAATTTAAAGACGAAAATGTCAGACTCTGATAGTGAGTTAGAAACCCGTGTTTTAGAAGATAACCACGGAGGGAGAATAAACGTGGGTGGAGGTAAGTTTAAACAATGGAGAGGAAGAGTCGGATAAAGATAGCATAACAAAAAATTCTAACTTTTTTTTATTTATTATATTCAAATAGAGAGTAAATTAGTTTTAGATAAAGAAGGCATACAAAGGAAAATCGCAGCTTTGGATTATAAAACTCAATTAGGGATGAATACTGTACCTTTTATTGAAACTTTGGCTCTTGTAGATAAAGAAGGAAGTAAAGAAAAGATAGATTTTAAAGATAGTACAAAAAGAGAATCATATTTTTACTCTAATACATTGAGAAACGTGAATAGAGGCTGTAAGATTCTAGCAAGTATGAATGTAAAATGGAATAGACCTGATGATATGTTGGCTGAAATGCTCAAAACTGATCAACATATGAAGAAAATTAAGATGGATTTACTTAAACAAGAACAAAAAATTAAGGCAGTTGAACTTAAAAAGCAAAAATATGTAGAGAAGAAGTTCAATAAAAAGATTCAAGTTGAAAAAAAGAAACTTAGGAAGCAGGAAACTAAGAAGAACTTGAGGGAGATTGAGAATTGGAAAAAGAGTGATCATAAAAACAGTGCTTCTATAGAGGAATCTTTTGATAAATACTTTTCTAAAAATACAAAGCAATCCAATCTTAACAAGAATAAAAAAACATCTAAGCAGAGTATCAAGACAGTTAATACTATGAAAGCTATGAATTCCAATAAATCCACCAAAAGAGGGAGGAAATGAGTCTGTCAAAGCTTGACTAGAGACAATACATGTTTACTTTTTTAGTTTTTTTTTATAATAATTAATTTATTACTACCTAGAGAAATGTCTTCTTTTCGTTCAACTTTCTGTCTAAAATAGTTTGGTCTACTTTGAGGAAGAGGAAGAATTGGAGATTTCCTTGTCAGAATTATTGAGCATCCCAATTGTTAGATTTAGAGCTCCACTTAACTGTAAGGAAGAGTCAAAGTGATGTTTATAATCATTTAAAGATTCCAGAATCTCTGATAAATTCTTATCTCTGCCATTATTATCATTAACAGTGGTAACATTAGAAGTATCTTCACTCCTAATTTTAGATAACTGCCAAATAGACTCATCAATCCATGTGTTTCTGTTACTTGACATTTTCTCTATAGAATCACCAATTGGAGGTGTATCAATCATTCTTTTAACCAAAATCTTAAGGCTAGAAGGATTTTGGTCCTGGATTATCTCTCTAATAAGCTTCTTCTGTCCAACAAGGTAAAGAAGATTTATAGATTTACATCTTTCTTGGATGGTACTTTCAGAACTTATTGAAATCTCAAAATTTTTGTCTATAATGGCTTTGTTATTAATATTGTTAAAATTAGTCTTTTCAATGCCTTCTACCTGACTTCTGAGTTCCTTAATTTTCGCAAGATGCGACTCAATAATGTCAAAATCATTCATTTAGTCAGTTTTTACATTTATTATTATTTTTTTTTTTCTATTATACCGGCATTTTTTCCTATACCGGCAATTTATAATTTGCCGGTATAGGCATGATGCACAGTGACTTAAAAAATTAAATTTTTTGTTTATCCACCATTCCTTTCTCTCAATATATTCAAAGTTACATACAATAAATAGAGAATTTTTGTCCTAATGGACTGAAAGACAGCAAAAGTTTCTATAACTTTATGATAAGCCTAAAGCTTTCCAAAACTTCACAACAATATGACTGAGAATTACGTGTTTATTAGAAATTTATCTCCTCTAGCAAATAAGGAATCGGTACTTAATATATTTAGCGAACTTGAGGATGAAATCGTCGAAATTAGTTTTCATAATTACCCGGAAAGTGACCAAAGGTTTTGTCAGATCTCATTTAAATCTTCAAATGGAGTTACAAAAAGTATAGGATTCAATGGATCTACTTTGCTTGGTGTTCCTATGTCAATTACGGTACTACCTCCAATACAAATTCAGAAATCTGAACAAAAGATCATTGTCTCAAATAGGGAAATCTCTGTAAAAAATTTACCAAGTTCCTTATCAGACTCTAAAATTACATCAATTTTCCAGAAATATGGACAAATTGTGAGTATTAAAAGACAAGATCTAAACAGTAACTCTAATTCCATTATTATAGAATTTCAGAATGAAACCTCTGCTGCAGATCTCATAGAAAAACGGTATATAACTTTAGAAAACGGAGACACAATAGAGATTTCTTCTGATTTTGAAATCCAGAAATGTATTTCAAATCAAGAAATTAATTCAAATAATCACGATATTAACGATACCCTTTTAAATCTTGAAAGTATTCCAGTTCCTCTTGCTTACCAACAGATCAAAAAACTTGAATGGGACAGTAAGATCTCCAAGATTTACTCAATTAAAAAGAAAATTGAGGAAAGACTTTTAAACACTTTAAATGACGACCTGAAACTTCGTTCAAGTTCTAATCAAAGCTCCTTTCATCCTAAATCTCCCTCAAATCCTCCTGCTCCTACTGATAGGCAATCCCCAAATAGAACCACTATGCGCAGAACTACCACGGGTAGGGTAAGATCTCTTTCTAGATCTGTCTCGCCACCGCATCAAAACGACTAATATTACTTTCTACTTATACTAGACAAGAAAACAATTACTATATATAAATTATGACTAATTAAATATAATACTTATCCTAGATCACATTTATCTGCTCTTTCCAAGTTTTATCTTTTCACTCTGTTACTTATCATCACCCTATTCATCATCACTATCATCATCTTCTTCTTCTTCATCCTCCTTTAGCCACTCAATATACTTCACTACAAAGTCCGACTTTAATATTGAAAGGGCTTGATCTTCCGTTTTAGCTTCAGTTACCCCAACCAAACTGTCGTACCAGCCAGGGATAAATGACTGATTAATAAGATCAAGTTTCTCGAATGTCACTAGTAGAGATCCAAAAGGAAGATGAGAGTCTTTTTTTGCAGCAAAATTCAGCAACTTTGAGCAAATTAAGCTGGTAAAGAGCTCATCCTCATTTCTATTAAAAGCTGATATAAGTTCCAGAATCCCTTTCTTTTCACAAAAGCCTTTAAATCTGTTTAAATCGATTCTTAAACTATTATTATTACTTCCTCCTGCATCACTTACTAAAACCTGCTCAGAATTCTTATTAATTAAATCCAATACCATAACCATGCATGTATCTAGAATATCCAAATCATCCTTGAAAAATGCAAACCTTAATCCCTTCAGCTCAAGTATCTTGTTAGACATATGCACTGGATTCTCAAGCCCAGACTTTATAAGTAGGACAGATTCCTCAAAAAACTCTCTCGAGTCTTCATCTTCCTCTTCATCTTCCTCATCCCCTTTTCGGACATTACTTTTATCCAAGCTCCCGTTACCCGTGCTAATACCTGCTCTCCCTCTTCCAATAATTTCTGGATCTAAATCTTCGTCTTCTGAGCTTTCTGAGCCACTACTGCACAATGTCTCCCTATTTCCTGAAGAGTCAAACAAAACAATATTAGAAAGTACATCTTCATTCATGATCTCGTCATTCAACAATCCAACAGACTTATTCTCAGGCCAGATCACACCATTTAAGATCATCCCGTCTCCAGTAAGACTACTTAATTTAGCCAAATCTGTTTCATCTAAAAGTTTGAATCGTCTCAGATTCATACTCGGAGAGTTACTACTACTTCTAAATTCATCATCATCATGGCTGAAATTGTCTCCTAATTTATTTTTGCAATATTCAAGTAATAAAGATCTTGAAATATACCTCGATACCCTACTTAAAGATTCAATTTTTGAATTCTCTTGAATAATAATTTCAGATCCTATTAAACAACATGGATTCACCTTTACATTATTCATAATTTTAACACTACTTGAAATAAAGCTTGAATCCAATTCTACATTATCCCCAATAACGGTATTATCTAGTATTGAACATCCTTTAATTATACAGTTATCTCCTATCACGCAATTCTCACCAATAAAAGAATTCGAGATCTTACAATTATTACCAATCTTTGTAGACTTTCCTATAGTAACTATAGATCCTATCTCCGAACTTGGACTTATATTCACATTATCCCCCAAAAATATGCTAAATCCCTGGTATCTTTGTACATTTTGTCCAGATATACTACAATAATCCGGTACCAATGGAAATGCCCATCCCTCACATACATGCTGTTGTGCTACATGATATGTCCTAAAGTCTGTGATCTTAACAGCATATTGAGACATTATTGAAACATCTATCACGTCTTGCTTAATATCAGAACTTAAAGCATTTTGTACAAAGTCATTAAATAGATCTGTATAATCAAACGTCTCACAAAATGTCTTTAATAACTGGGGAGAACATATTGCAAGTCCTATATCCAGTAAGTCGTATCTAATGATGCACTTGCTTGTCCCATAATAAGAAGAGCTTGAGTTCCTCAACAAAGTCTTCATTGATAATCTAGAAGAGTAATCATCATCAAATCTACCCCATTGCACCAGCTCATTCGATACCTGATCATATATAACCAAATTTTCATTTTTCCTTGTCCTTAAAGTACTTAATGGTGGACTTTCCATAAATATCATTGTCATTGATAAATTTGGAGTTTGGCTACTTCTCTTTTTTTTGTGGAACTGAACTACCTCCTTTATATCTGCAACACAAAGTAGACCTCCCTGTATCAGAATAAAGTCGTCTCTAATATCTACCTGGCAGTCCAAATCCCTTAATGCATCCCCTATTGAATTACAGTGTACTCCCAACTGAATAATCTGAATATTTAGTGACCTTAATTTCTTGTTAGATGTCTTTAACTTTTCAACATGGTCCATCAATAAATCCTTATGAGAATATGCTAACAAATATATCTCAGTCACGCCATTCTTAAGAAGCATCTCTATCATGTAATTTAATATCGGTACCCCATTTATTGGTAACAATGATTCAGGAAATTCACATGATACTGGTAAAAATGAATCCAGTCCTAAACTCTCTACCACTACTACTGCTGGTAACGATGAAAATTCCAATTCATTCATCTTATTCCCTCCCACACTATGATTTGCTGATCCGGTACTTTTTTTATCCATCACCTAATTACCAATACCAACAAATATAGCAAAGCTAATAACAATACGATAGTCAGAATTTTTAGCAGAATCTTCTTTTGTTATTTAAAAACTTTTGAATCTATTAAACAAACACCTTAATTAATATTATTTCTTTATTTTATTTTTTACTTTTTTTAAACAGGTTCTTTTAAGTACCCAAGATTTTGGCGGGAAAATGTGATCTCAGGTATATTAGCTAAAAAATCACGGGTAACTTGATTCAATCAATTTTTTTAAAAGAGAGAAAATAAGAATAATTAAAATTCAAACAATTCAATTCAAATTTGTGTGAAAATAAAATACAGTTTTTTTACATTAATTAAATTTGATTGGTGTAATTTATTGGGAGTTTTCACAATCTGGTATACCAAGATCTTTCGCATGTAAGGCAAAAGTGGCTTAAAGGTGGGCTTGAAGGCATAACCAAGAAATTTGTTGTATGTGGGAACACGTGGTTTCAAAAATTCCTTTTTAAAGTTTACTACTAATTTCTCTCTTACACCATTATTTCTACTTTTTCCTTTTTGGAAACTATTAGTGCTACAATTGGTGGTAGTAGTAATAGTAATAGTAGTAGTAATATTGGTAGTAGTAATAACAATAGAAGTAATACTATATTTTATTAGATTGGCTTCAAATCCTCAGAAGATCCCAAAATATAGAAAATGGTATCTGAAAAACCCATCATTATCCCAGAACTTCTTAAGGAGCTTGTTTACAAGGAAATTGAAAACAGTAACATTTTCAAAGGAAAGACTTCAGAACGCAGTAAACTTGCTCAAAAATGCTATTTGACTTCTTTGAAACTTATTAAGTCTCATATTGTTTCTGGGGTGAAAGAGTCCAACTTTGAGAATCCTCTAGAAGATGCTCATGAGTTACTTTTAAGCAAAGGAAGATCTACTCAAATACACAAACTTAACAGACTCTACGAAAAACTTTCAAATCTGTGTCTTGCGATCCCAGAACTCAATTATTTATCAAAAAATCAAAACTCTAACTCTTTGTCTAGAAACCAAAATACTAATTTTCAAGATAAAATCCTAAGACTCTTACTTCCATTGTTCGATACCGGATCACGAGACAAGTATGATCAGGAGAATCTTGGTAACTCTATTCATAATTTAAATCCAACAAAAGATTTGCAACAATCAGTTAGTCCTGTTTTAAGCAGATTTAGAGAACCTAATACACCATTAGCCTCAGGTTCATCCTCATCATTGGGTAATGATGAATTTGCAATTCAAACAAGAAATAGTTCCAATGATCATGCTCTCACTTCCGTCTATAACGAAGTTATTAGTAGTAATAGTAATGGTAACAGTATTAACAATAGCTTGGAAGTATACAAGGAAGAGTTCGGTATGATTGAAAGCAATGATAGCTACTCTGTTCCTCTATTTGTTTTGGAAAAATGCCTGCTTTCACCCACACAAGAACTTGCTCTAGTGCACGATATCCTTTATGCTCTACAGGGATTCGAGGCTCAGTTTGTTAAATATGACATCTCCACAGACTCCTATATCCTAAATCCTTCAGTATACTCTCTGGAAACCACTAGAGAAATTGTAACTGAAATCTGCCACTTTGGAACAATATATAAAAGAATGACTAAAATCATAAACTACTACAAACAAGAGCTGGAAAATTCTTACCTTAAAGAAAGATCCATGTTAACAAAAACATTAATCGAATTCACTCAAGATCTACTTTCTGAATACTCCCAGTTCATTGTTAGTCAGCAAAATGAAGTGCAAGATTCCATGATTGCACTCTCTAAACTAGACCCCGGGGTAAACCCAAATCTAGAACTCCTCAGGTCCAATAAGCCAATGCTCACTTTAAGAAAGTTACTAAACAGAGTCAATGACCAATACTACAAAAAAGAAAGAATTTTCGCCATTTTAGAAGGTTTATTTGGACAAACTAGCTCTTCTATTATTTCATGTTTAAATATTCATCGAAATAATGGAAACCAATATCAAGAAAAAGTTTTTGAAAACTTATTTCATAAGTGTACATCAGTTTGGCTTCAAGATCTAAATATGATCTTGAGACACGGTACCACAAGAAGATACCCATATGATCTTGAATCCAATCAAAGATCAAAAACGGTGATAGATTTTGAGAGTAAGTTAGGTGAATTTTTCATCAAAGGAAACCTTCAGGAAGGGATTAAAATAGATGAGAGTCGAGTACCAAATTTTTTGTTAATAGAGACAGCTCATCAAATTACACATATTTCTGAGACTAGGATCATTCTTAAGGCGTTTTTACCACAGGATGAAGATGCAAAGCTCGCAGAGGAGCTTGGAATTCCTGAGATCACTTCAGAAATGGTTTCCGATTTGAATAGAATCCCTCTAGACTCAACTCTGAATAGTATTCAAAGCAAGTTGGATCTCAAACTCAAGGAGCTCATAATTGATGAGGGATCTTTAATATCCCGTCTCAAGATCATTAGAGATTACCTAATATGTTTTAATGGTGACTTTTCAGATTTATTAATTAGAAATATGGAAAATGAACTGGATAAACCTTCAGAATCTGTTTCTCTTCAAAATCTCGAAGAAATTTTTGAAAGTACTAAAAGATCCTGTTCAAAATTTGATTTTCAAGACAATTTTCAGGTTTCTTTATTAGATGATCAGTTATATAATAAACCAGGAAGTTGTGGATGGGATATTTTTACTTTGGATTTTCTTCTACCTGAAAGAACTAATCTTTCTTTAATTCTGACAACAAACCAATTAAAGAGATACAAAAGGATCTTTAGAACCGTTTGGAAACTTAAACATGTAATACATAAACTCAATTCTACTTGGGTTCAACTCGTTAAATATCTCCGTCAAAACGAACTCTGCATACCCTCAGACACCATTGATATTTCTCTTCTCAGACAGTCCAGTTGTTTCATTAGAAGTCTTATTATCACGCTGAACACTATTCAAAACCTCCTTTCGTTCAGTTCCATTAGCTATCTTTGGTCATCACTTGAAAACCTTCTCCCCAAAGCCTCCAATGTCTACAAAATGCAAGATTTACACAACACTTACATTTCTTATATAGAGTCTAACCTTTTTATCTCTTCTTCCTCATCCTCCTCCTCCTCCTCCTCCCCCTCCTCACAAGAACAGAAACTCACACAAGATCTCTATCTCTGTCTTGACCTTTTATTTGAGTCATCTCTCTTCCTTTGCAAAGTCATCAAAACCATACTAAACAATTTGCTTATTCATGAAAATGATCACGAAAATGATTCGAGACAGATGCATTCTTTTGAGACGAATAATATTATTCTGTCTCTTGGAGACGAAATCTATGAATCCAGCAATAATTTCAAGAATTATTTCAAATCTTTCCATACAAATCTTAGTTTGTTAATTCAGCTTAAACATGATTGTCTTCACTACAGCCCACTCCTTCATTTCCAAATCAATCTTTTCGAGTCACTCCTGGAGCAGCTCACGCTTCATTTTAAATTCTTAGATTAATGAGTCCTCTAGCTGCTAATTCTTATATTTGACAGTTCCCGCCGTTTCTAATTTAAACATAAATGCATGCATACTAAAAAGAAAATATTCAAGTTAAAAAATATTCTTATTATAAACACTAATTACTATTATTACTGTCATTTTAGAAAAAAAAAATAAGAGTAGTAATATTAGATGACTGGCACTGTATTATTTCATATTCATGTTGAAAACTGTATCCACCTTGGAGGCAGTATCAAGTAGTTCATGTACCTGATTCTCAAGACTTAGTTGTCTAATTTGGGAGGAGCGAAGGTAAGAGTCGCAAATATCCCTAAGCTCCTGCCAGAAATCCCTGTAGGATTCAACTCTCTCGTCAAACCTTGTTCTCAAAATCGGATTTTCTGTAAATCCTAAGAGCCTCTCAGCATGCTGTCTTAGTTGGAGAATTTTCTCTATCATAATATTCATATTTCCCCAAAAAGCTACGCATCTTCCAAGAATACTCTCAATCATTCTAAGCTGTGCTAAAACTCTTACTAATATGTATGAAATCTTTAACTGATTCTCATTTCTTCTTTTAATGGCATTTTGATCATAAATTATAGATGAGTTTGATCCAGGGATTGTGTTACCACTCTTCTCTGTAATAACATCAAAGCCATTAAATCCAGATTCAATTTTTTCATTCTCCAATCTGTTTCTAACCCCAATTTTGCCTGCCTCTGTCATCATAATTGTGTCAGGCCTCTCTGAAGAGTTAAAATTCACAGCTCCAGATCTAATTGAGAATTCTGATGCATTGTTGTTAGTGAGATCTCTGTCAATTTTATACATATTAGCATTCATCATATCTTCAGCAGTACCTACAGAAGATTCTCTTCCTTCATCATCTTTTATCAAACTATGAAGTTTTTCCGTTGTTATATCGAAGCTTGATATATTTGGAAGCCCAAAATCCACTCCTTCCTGAAGTAGAGACTCCACTCCTGTTGGAGGAACATCACATATACTAGCAGGTAGGAATAAAAAGTCCAAAAGTAAGTCTCTAGTGCTTGATAAAGAAGTAGTGATATATGATGAATTTTGGGTAAATTGTGGTTTCCCAGAGACCTGAATAGATAAGTCTGATGCAAAATTATTATTATTATTATTAGGTGTCTCTACTATTTCTTCATCAATAACTTTTTTCTTTTCATCAATGTCCATCATCTTTGAATTGGAATCTTCATTCCCCAAATGGCTAAATAAAGCATTAATCTCCGAATTTGAAAATAATTCTGTGATCTTTCTTATTACTCGGTCTCTTGCTGAATTGTATCCAATAAATATACTTGGATCAAATTCACTTTTTGTCATATTACCAGAACCATTATTACTAGAATTAAAATTAGAGTTACTCATGGTATTTGATCCAGATCTTGAAAGACTCTCAACTTCATTTGTATTAAAACCACTTGAACTTATGTCCATTGAAGATAATTCAAAGTCACTTCTTGCGTGAGAATCATACATCATGTTCTTACTTTTCTCTGAGACAATTGAAACATTTCCTCCAGTTAAAGATGATGTGTCTCTTCCTTCTGTCTCTTCTCTTTCAATGCCTCCTTTCACAAATTCACAGGGATTACTCTTAACACTTGTTTCTGTAATTCTTTTAATATCCCTAACAGATTCAACAAAATTAGATAAATCAAATAGAAAATTGTTGTAGGAGTTCTGAATATCTTCTACATCATTTTGAGTTACATCTACCAAACTCTTTACATGTGATAAAAGTTCAATTGCAAGTTTTGGTTCGTTTGTATTAACTGCTAGTAGAAAATCAGGAAGTTCATCTAATACAGACTCACAAGTCTGTTTAAACTTTCCAATTGCAACATAAGAACGCTGTTGAAGTATTCTCCACTTGTGTATATGTTGTTGTATGACTCTGCAAATCGTAGGATGATGCCTAAAAGCAATATAAATGCCATGTAGTTTATATGCAACACTTAATTGAAGGTCCAGCAAACCATTAATATCCATAATTGATGATGTTTTTGATGATTTAACAGATCTTTTTTGAATAGAAAAGTTTTGGCCGGTCTCAACTGTTCCAATCATTTTAAATGATTCCTTTGGAGTAATAGCTACATTATTAACCATTTTTTGGCTGTCCTCGACTGATTTAAAGAGTACAATTTCATGTCTTTCTGGAAGGGGTGAATAGATATTTTCCTGAATCTCCATAATATTTGGTTCATTATCACATTTAATATTCATCCAAGGATCCTGTTTTAACTCGCAAAGTGTCATCCTTTGGCTTGGATCTACCGTTAATAATCTTCTAATTAGCTGTTTAGCCTGTTCACCTACTCTTTTAAAACGAGGATATCTAAAATGATAATTCCCTTCTTTAATTAAACGTTCTAAATTACCTTTTCTCTCATCAAATGGAAAAGCTCCGCCAAGCATTACATAAAACAAGACACCCAAAGACCACAAATCTGCTTCTGTACCATAAGACTCTCCACCATTGGAAACACTAAGCACCTCTGGAGCCCAATATTGTGGAGTACCAACTAAAGTTCTTGCTTGAGTATAACCATGTCTTAAAAATTTTGCGACTCCAAAGTCAGCAACCTTAATAATAAAATATCCTCCAGGGTAAGATTTATCAATCAAAATATTTTCAGGTTTCAAGTCACGGTGAATTATCTCCTTTTGATGCATATACATCAAAGCTTCTACAACTTGTTTTAATATAAATCTTGCACTGGATTCTGAAAGTGAACCACATTCAACAATTTTGTAAAAAAGCTCTCCTCCTTGAACCAAATCCATAACCAAATAAAATGTGTCCCCAGAGTCTGAAAAATCAATCAAACTTACAATATTCGGGTGTCTTAATTTTTGTAAGATCATTGCCTCTTCCAATAACTTATTTTTCTTATCCTTAAAATCTGGAGTCAAATATATAGACTTCATATCAATAATCTTGACAGCAAAGTACGCCTCATCTATCGGCATCATTATTCCATCTTCTCGCACTCTCCCCACTGATTTACATCTGAAAACCACCGAAGCGCTTCCTGCTCCAAGTCTATCACATATTTTATATCCTATTCCAGACTGACCTAAAAATGTAGAAGGCAGACCATTGTGCTGCTGTTTTGAGTCTATCATATATTCCTGAAAACCTTCTCTCTGGTATACAACTTCAGTAATCCGTTTTATATATGATTTATCTCCAATTCTTTCTCCCCCCCTTGTCTAGTTAAATAATGATTAGGCAACCTTTTACTTTTGAATACCTTCTTTTTCTCTTTCAGATACAAATGGGAGTAAAAAAATACTGTTATCTCAATTAGAATATCTCAACAGCAACAATATTAATATTAATAATAATAACAATCACGCTCCCTTTTGTTGACTTGTTCTTTTTTTTCCTATTTCATCCCTAATTAACTCGTAGTGCCAATTGGCGCCACAATAGCGCCAAACGATCTTAAAATTCGGTACCTTTCTGCATTAATAAAAAAGTAAATAAAACATTATTTTAATGATACTCTTGAAATAAAGCGATAAAGAATGAAGATCCAGTTTGAGAGAGCTAATATCTTAAAAGAATTCAGACGCTGCTTTATTTGATTCCTTGTTGAATAAACTGTACAAAATCGTATCCTTTAGTTGTAATGTGATTATGAGCTGAATGAATTTTCTTTGAGAATATATTTGATGCCTGCTGCTGTGAAAAGTTGAGAAGCAATCTTTCTTTGAGTTTCTTAATCGTTTCTCCACGAAAACATGGAATTCCACTATTTATTAACATTTGTGTTAAAGATAATAACAAGTCTGCATGTTCTCGTACAGCTAAAAATCCAGACAAACAAAGATCATCAAATAAGTCTACCTGATCATCCATAAAGTCTAACATCTCTTGAGTTACCTTGAAAGCTGCTCTTTCAAAGTGCAAATTATTCCCAGGAGAAATATCAAAAATAAACCCATAATCAATGTGTATTATATGGCCATTCTTTGTTATTAAAATATTACCATTATGTCTGTCTTTGATTTGTAAAACGTAACAAGCTATAGAATATCCTGCCAAGCTAGAAATGAAGTTATATCTGGCTTGTTCGTAACTTACATAGCTACTTCTTCCTCTTTCATCACCCAAATCCTTAATACAACCAAAAGTAGACTCATAATAAGCTTTCAATCCACCTTCAGGATGAAGTTCGTGAATTTCATGCAAAGAAATACTATCTTCAATGAACTCAATTATCCCTCCATATATCACTGAATTATTAATGTCTTTGAACATCATTGGCAGAATCCTATATGGATACAACCATACAGGTATGTTATATATTTCAAAAATCTTTTGAAAAACGTGTATATATTGCATAGTGATTACATCCTGACGACAATCATCATTACATTTTACAATCAAATTAACTGTCAGCTCATAATCTTTCTTAGTTTCTGTTATATTTTCTTCCTGATCATCTATATTATGGTTTGTTAATTGCAGTGAAAGTAAGTACGGAATGTTTTTAGCACTCTGAAGTATTTTAATCTTGTTAATTTTCTTAATTGAAAGAAGTCTTGTCTTGGTCTGAGATGACTTTAACATATTAGTATTCAAAAACGGTACATTTTTGTATTCCCTTCTTTGTATTACACTTTCAATCTTCATTAACAAATCTTGAGCTATCTCAGATTTTAATTGAGCTATTTCTTTTGAATTCAATCGTCCAATTAAAACTGAAGGGTCTTCATCTTCTTCCAGAGGTGAGCCTAATCCTCCTCTCCTATTCCTATATTTAGCCATCTCACCAAGCTGGCAAAGTATGTAGAAAAATGAAAACTGAATATTAGCAATAGAATGCTGTTTATTTTCAATGTGTAGTAAATTTAGGCTGGATCTATTTAAGCTATCTGAAGCTGGTGAAATTCCATCCAAGCATTTATAAATCAAAGAAGAGACACTTGAAATTCTTAAGTTCAATCCTTCCATACTATCTTGAACTGTTCTTAGACGATTTATAACGCCTTTGTCATTCATCTCAGAGCTATTTATTTTGTTATATTTATTATTCATATCTTCATCAACTTCAATCCTTTCAATATTTTCTACACGGTTTTTCAAAGTTTTATATGTTAGTAATGAGTCGCATTCTTTAAATAAACTCTTTTGAAACAAATTCATTACTGGTGAGTTTGGATTATTTGTGTATATACAAAGTATTTGTGAGAATTTGGTGCTTTTTAGTGCCATATCCAAAAGGCAAGTTAATACCAACTGATTGTTTCTCTTATTACTCTTAATTATCTCCATATACTGCAGTAATAGTAACTCCCACTCAGATTCTTGAAATAATAGTAATGATCTAACACAACTCCAAACGATTAAAGTGTTTGTATATAAGTTATGATGAAAATAATGATGAAAGTGATGCGAATTAGAGATAAACTTTTTCTTTTCTGAGGAAAATTGATTGCTTAATAGGTAAATTACAACTGAAAATGGGAGTAAATGTCCAATATAATGTAAATAATCATGGAACTGGAATAATGATAGGTAGTTTCCGTGATTATATCTACAATTTACCACTAAGCTTTTAATCTCAGCATGAGAATTAATTTTATTTAAATAACCCTGTTCACTATTCGCATTATACCAGAAATACTTACCACTCATCCTATCATGGTAATGCTGTGGGTGGTAATGATACAACAAGAACGAAAATGTGTTTTCAAACTCAATATTATTAAAAATATGAATTGAATCTTTTCTTGAGGAGGAAATACCAATCGATTTGTTTCTTACCAAAATAGAATAGTGAATTAAATGGTCCATCAAGAATGAAACAATCCAAGTAGTGTTTACTTTCATCATATGTTTATATATCCTGGTTGGATACTTTTTCCAAAAAGATAATATTAACCAAACTTCAAAAAATCCCACTTTTTTTAAACTATATATTGAAAATGTTAAGGCTGAAATATATTTTTCAATTAAAAGCATTGTATTTCCATTAATGTAATACTCCCATATATATTCCAAAACTATGTATTGGTTATAAGGCAGTAGCCTGTTGTCATATATGTCAACCAAAGTCTCGGAAACAGTATTATTAAAATTACTCATAATTCCCTGCCATTTCCTTCCATCGTAGAGATTAACGCATAAATTGTCCAAGTAAGTTGTAAGCTGTGTTGAAGTTTGTAATAGTCTCGTGTATATGTCTTTATAGGTTGGGTAATTCTCATAAAATGACCATAAATATGGTAAAACTTGACACGATAAGAAGTAACTGGAATTTACCATCGACCTTCCTCCATTAATATATGCGTCTCTTTGAGTCCATTTATTATTAAATGTGCTAATCTTTATCTGTGAAATTTCCATATCATTTTGATTACTTTTTGAAATGGCAGAATGTTTTTTTTTGTAAACTTCCAAAGGCACTTCTTTTGATTTTTCGATAGTTATTGATTTTAAGATTAAGGAAACAAATAAAATCTTCAAATGTAAAATTGAAGAGTCAACTTGAGATGTTTTTTCTCCATCCTGATGTTCTACTTGTAGATAAGCTGATGACAAACTAGTCATTAACTCTACCTGCTTTAATAGTTTTAGTAAATCAATAAATTGGAAATAACCATGATATATAAACCAGTCAGAGCTTTCAATTAAAAATACCAGCAAAATGTAAAGCTGGTAATATGATAAAGATTTCCTTTTAAGTATTTTCATATAAATTCTAAAAATTGATTCTGGATCCATTGAGGAGATAATTGACCAAATAATACATACAAATTTTGTATAATGTTCCAAAACGTAGTAATCCTGAAGTGAGCTATTAAATCTCTCAAAATGATCATTTTCTTGATTTATATTTGGTGAAAATATATTAAAATCACTTTCCCCATTATTATAGAATCTCTCATCATTAGATAAACCAAAAAGCCCAATTAGTATTTTTTCGGCAAAAATCTCGGAAAATGATCGATAAGATTCATAATTGTTGTCTACAATCATCCATGTACATAAATAAATCATCCTGATTATTAATTGAGAGTAGAATTTATAATTTAACCTCTCCTCAATCACCTTCTCCCTTTTATCGTCATTATTAACATACTTTAATAGCTCATTCTCCATATTTATACTTGCCATGAACTTTTCATCTTCAAATTTAACACCAAATACTGTAGAAAAGTTTGAAATCTGCTCAATTAAACTCCTCTCCCCACTCTTATTATTTTTATTTCCAAATAGAAAGTAAAAGTAACATTTGTTAATCTCTCCTACAGTATTCATGAATAACATCAAATAATCGTTATCATTGGTTAGTTGATCAAAAAGTGGGTTCAAATGGTTTATGATAGAATAGACATCTTCTGAATCTGTAATCATCAAAGAGGAATGCCTTTTCTTATTTAGAAAAGTCTTTGGAGAAGATGGAGAGATAGATAATGAAGGGCTTTGCCACCCTTTTTGTATGTTATTTATTGTATAATATAGATCAATAGAATAACATCCAAAAAATATCTCATTCTTAATCAGAGATGAAATTGAGTCTCCACCCAAACTTAAATTCGAGTATGAGGAAATATCTGTTAACTTTTGCTGTAGAATTTCAAAATCCTCGTCAGAAATAATTCCTCTCATTCCACGTACTTTGAAAAGAGCAAAACTTCTGTCAAAAATTCCTCCTCTGACTGAAAAATTGCTTAATAAGCATTGTATAAACTGAAACAGGCTCTGTTTCATTAGGGAAATATACAAGTCTGAAATGAGTGAAAATACACGAATTTTTATGCTTGAACTCCATATCTCCCTGAAGAACTTTAGACAATTGTATATATACGCACCATCCAACTGAAGAGTGTTTGTTACTTGCTTATATATATAATCTGACAATATCCTGGGATTTTCTGAAGCTGAAAGCATTGCCATTAAAATATTATATCTATCAAAAGAGTGACTAATTTTATGACAGATTAAAATACTCGAGATAATTCCAGTTAGCTCAAGTACTTTTTTACTGATTTTCTGAATATTATTAGATTCTTTATCTTTTAAAACCAAATTTTGAGATGGAGGAGTTTCTGTATTACGTAAGACAACTTGATCTAAAATTCGGAGATATTCGAAAAAGTAATTTATATTTGGAACTGTAAAAATAGTTTCTATTTCGTCTCCTTTTCTGAAAAATAGATCAGGGTTTTCATACAAATAATTCCTCCATAGACTGATCCAAAGATCAATCAAATCAAAGTATCTATCATCTAATAGGATCGGTAAATTCTCATCGTATTCGCTGATCGAAAATGTGATCTCACAAAGTATATCCAATTTGTATTTTCTGTTAACAAGGTATATCAAAGCAAGCTGAATGGATTTATTTAATACTATTTGATCGTTCTTGTATTCTTTCTTTATTATTAAGGTTACATAATTATTCCAAAGTATTAAGAATAAAGAAATATCAAAAGTTGTTGTTTTAAAGACTGAATTTGTGGATGAAGAAGAAACCGAAGAAATTGTATGAATTGAATTGTTCAACTCTTTGTGATCTGATTTGTATCTTATAATTAACACAGTGATAACCAAAAACAATTTCTCGATTAAATCAAAACATTCGTATGTCTTCAAGTTCCATCCTCCCTTGTGTATTTTAACTATGAGTAAATCACTTTGAATGTCTCTTTTTATATCATAATTTTCATTCTCAAAGTTTTTAGGGTCCACCAAGATTGTTAAAACTGTGACTAACATTCTTATTGAATCAAATAAAATCACTCCATTTATTTTTTGAGAGCACCCTCCATGTAGAAGCTCATCAAATAAATTAAGTAAAAACAAACTATCAATTTTCTTTAAATCTGAGATCGTTAAATGATTGTCTTCTCCGTTACCAACTCCTATCATAGAAACACCAAATCCTTTGCAAAATAAGTTTAATAACTTGACAAATAAAATATTAATTGGGTCCAAGTTTGATAAATCATCTTCAATTTTCGAAAAATAACCATCCAAATTTTGCTTCTTCCATTCATGATGTGCAAATACAGACCGTTCCAAAAATAGTATTAACTGCTTTTTGAGAGTTATCTCTTTAGACACCCACATTCTGCATAGTTGAGTCATCATGTGCACTTCAAATACACTCAACTTATTCATTGATTTCTCCAAATAATCACTATTCTCTGCTTTAATGAACTTCTCGCCTATAAATTTTTGATAATGTAGGACTATCGATACTAACTCAGTAATAGTAAAGTCCATATCAGTCTTTTCAATAATAATCAATATAATCTTCAAGTACCAATAATTGAACTTTAAGTTATTTGGCTGGATATTTATTAGTTTCATGATCATTAATTTACATTCACCCTTCCTATCATTTCCTATATCAATAATAGAAAATATCAAGTATAGTATCAGTGCATAGATTAGTAACAAAAAATCATTGTTAATGTCTGCAATGTTCAAAACCCCAGTTCTATTGGAAAAGTAATCCAGTAAATCATTTATTTGAGAAAAGAATTTATTAATCCAATTCAACTTTAATTCCTCAATTTCCCCTTCTTTTCTCAAATTACCAATATGCTCATATTCAAATACATTCAGTAATATGGACAAATATATTGTGAAATAAATACATATCATCGAACCTTGATTCTTTTCAATACTGAGTAAGTCCTTCAAATCTAAAGGATTGAATTTGATTAAAAGACTATATAGCTTTTTAAATACGTCAAACTCTCCATTAACAAGTAGAATAACCAGATCTTCTAATAAAGTCTTCTGTTCTAACATTGAATCTGCAAATTTCAAATCTAAAGGGAGTAATGACGCGTTTTCTGGATTCTCATTTTCCACCGATTTTACATTAAGTTTTTGGAATAAGAATAAAAAATTAAATAAGCCCTCTTTTCTAGAATTTGAACTGTTTTTCATGTTCTCAAGTAAAACGATGTTTTTTGATAGGAAATCTACCAATTTTTCCATTGAATTACATTTATTACCTTTTTTATATAAACCCAATAAAGCCAACGTAGGATCTTGCTCTACCAAGTTCCAAAAATGCCAGTTCTCACCACCCATTTTGAATTATCATAGAATACCTATAATGAAATTAATATTAATTTTATTTTGATTGTTATTCATATGTAACCAATTACTATATTCACATCATATAACACATTTTCCGTCCAACTCTCTGCTTTATTAAATTCTTTATTACAAATACTGTACCGTAATTATATATTTTTCATATATTTTTTTTATTTATTCTGGTTGTTTTATAATTCTATTTTTTCAATTTCAATTTTTCTTTTTTTTTAGAGCAAATTATTTGATCTTCCCCCCACACTTAATATAAAGTTCTTCCTCTTAAAAAGCATAAAATTATTCTTAATATTACGTTGAAAAATTTTTTTTATTATTTATCAAAATTTATTTAATGATACCAATATCTTTACCTACATGATCATTTTTAACCATAATCAATTTTCTTTCTATACTTTCAAATTCTTTATTCCTTTCTTTCCACAATTTATTTTGCTTTTACATAATGTTTTTATTAACTCTACTATTACAATTTATTTTATTATACTCTTTTTAAAAGAAAAAATCAAAATTTATCCAAAATATGAGCCAATTTTATTTCCCCAATTTTTTATTTAACCAATTACTTTTCTATTACGTGTCAATTATTTATTTTTAGTGCAAGCATGTGCATGCAATTCCCGGTATAGAAAAAAAATATAGTACACGTGTTAATATGTGGACAAGCACATGCAAGAAAAAATTGGGAATACATGCAGATAAGTTTAATTCATTTATATGAAGAATTCTGGGAATTTGTGAATGGAAATTTTTATTTTTTAATTATTTCATTTTTTTTGAGGAAAAAGTCTGCCTAAAAAATGGAGGTAATATAAAGAGATTATGCGCCAAGTGTTATTTTTTGTCAATTTTAAGTTTGAAATAAAGAGTAATTGATTGGTTTAGAAATAATACAAAAAGGTTCCTAAAAATTTGCTCAAACAATATTTCCAATTGTAATTTCGAGGAAATATTGATAATATTATGTAATAGAAGTGAAAACGCCCGAGGAAGTAAATAATAAATAAAGTGAAAATTGAAGACAAGAGATGAGTGACAACGATACAAACGTTAAACAGTGGAAAGTTAGAAGACTGATAGCAACATTAGAAGCTGCTAGGGGAAATGGTACTTCTATGATTTCTTTGGTTATTAAACCAAAGGATGAAATATCAAGAATTTCAAAAATGCTTGCTGATGAGTATGGTACAGCTTCAAACATTAAAAGTAGGGTAAATAGACTTTCAGTTTTATCGGCAATTACGAGTACTCAACAACGTCTAAAGTTATATAATAGGACTCCTCCAAACGGCCTAGTAGTTTATTGTGGAACCTTAATCACTGAGGATGGAAAAGAAAAGAAAGTAAATATTGATTTTGAGCCATTTAAACCAATTAATACGTCTCTTTATTTATGTGACAATAAATTCCATGTTGATGCACTTAAAGAGTTGCTAGAGACTGATGATAAGTTTGGATTTATTATTGTTGATGGTAATGGTGCCTTATATGGTGTAGTTCAAGGCAGTTCAAGAGAAGTTTTACTCAGATTTAATGTAGATTTACCAAAGAAGCATGGTCGCGGTGGTCAATCAGCATTACGTTTTGCTCGTTTAAGAATGGAAAAGCGTCACAACTATTTGAGAAAAGTTGCTGAAACTGCAACTTCTATGTTCATTACTAATGATCAAGTTAATGTTGCAGCTTTGATTTTGGCTGGAAGTGCTGATTTTAAGAATGAGTTGGCCCAAAGTGATATTTTTGATCAGAGATTAGCAAGCAAAATTTTAAAGATTGTTGATGTTTCATATGGAGGTGACAATGGCTTCAATCAAGCAATTGAGCTCTCCGCTGATGCACTCCAAAATGTCAAGTTTGTTCAGGAAAAGAAGCTTATCACTAAATTCTTTGATGAAGTTGCTCAGGATACTGGAAAGTACGTATATGGTATTAATGAAACTCTTCAAGCCTTGGAAATGGGAGCAATTGAACTTTTGATTGTATGGGAAAATTTGGAAACTAAAAGAATGGTCGTAAAAAATCCATCCACTGGAGAAGAAAAAGTATTTTTAAGCAGCCCGTCTGAACAACATGATGAATCCAAATTTAAAGATCCAGATACTGGAGCAGAGCTTGATGTAATTGAAGTACTTCCTTTGACTGAGTGGCTTGTAAATACATATCAAAACTACGGAGCTCAATTGGAATTTGTTACAAACAAGTCTCAAGAAGGCAATCAATTCCAAAAAGGATTTGGAGGCTTTGGTGGTATTTTGAGATACAAAGTGGACTTCCAGGATTATGCCGTGGTTGAGGATGATTTAGATGAATTTATCTAAATAAAGGTTTGAATAATAGTAAGAAAAATATCAAGCTATTTTTTTCCAGTCACCCATTGTTATTCTTACTAAGTTATAACAATAATCAAGGTTAATCCAGAATTTTTATGGTAATTCTAATGCAATCATCCAACAACATTTTGTTGTATTTAATTAAATTGCAGGAAAACTGGCTTATTTTTTATTTTGTTTATTGAGGTCACAAAATCATACGTATCAAGACAATAGCTTTGATTTGGAATTATTCAACTATCAATCAGTATATATTATAGATTTTCTACTTTCAAATAAAAAAAAAAGAGAATTAATTATAATGACTAAAATGAGCTAACTATAAGTTCTCCGGTTGACCCTCCTGTATATATGGTATGCTCATTCAACCAACAGAGACTGAGTAATTTAGAGTCAGTTTTTGCAGCTTGAAGTGGTAAATTTGGAGATCTTATGTCCAGAATTTTTAAATCCATATCATGTGAAACTGATCCTATCATGTATTCACTAAATGGATTCCAAACAGCTTGTGGAACAACTTCCTTATGAGCAAGAAGTCTGCTTCTATGGATGAAACGAGTATTTCTATCAAAAGATAATGAATCTAGTCCCTTATTAATTTTAAGGTCAATTTGATTTGTTGTTCCTGCTCTTAGATCCCAAATCCTAACTTTACCATCATCATGAGAAGTACAAATTACATTTCCTGCTATAGGATTTTGACTTGATAAAGAAAATGTTGGGAATTTAATATTCCATCCGCAAATAGCTTCTCCTAATGAAACTTTCAACACTTTAATGTTACCATCTAGACTTGAGGAAATCAAATGGTCTCCCATAGAAAGTATATCTGTAACATTGGAAGAATGGCTCCTGATTTTAGCAATACAATTTAAACTACCAATATTTTGTATATTACTTGAATCGTCCTCTATACCGTCATTTTCACAGAATACTAATACATTACCATTTGCATCTCCTGCTAATATTATTGAATCACATCCTTTTACAGGACAGAGAGCTTCAATAGGGGCAAGGCTGGCTCTGAGTTTAACATTCTTTAAAATACATTCTTGTGTCTTAGCTGAGTAGTTTAAACCTACAATCGAACCACTCATTGTTGAGGCCCAAACTTTGGAAAATTCAGAGTCATTTAGTTGTTGAGATTGGACTCTGAAAATAGAAGTAGAATCTCCAGATGGCAATAATTCATTTACATTAAATTCAAATGCTTCCTTGTTCTTGTCCTCTTCTTCCAATTTCACTTTCTTGCCCTTTCCATGTGAAACTGTATTATAGAATCTGATTCTTCCATCATAAAATCCCACTACTACCATGGGATTATCTGTCTCTATCCCTCCTGCAATACTTCTAATCCAATCCTTTTGTTTATCCAAAACCTTTAATGAAGGCTTACTAAGAGTTCTTAAATATTCTATTTTAAGTTTAGATTCGCTAGTTTTCCCACTCTGTCTCATATAATCATAAACTGTACCTCTTAGAAATACCTCTTCTATAATGAAATCGAAAGTAATATGACTTTCTGTTTTCAATAAGGCATTAAGTAATTCCGAAAGTTCTGCCCTTCCAGATTTTGACTCTATCATAAAGGATCCCTCCGGAGCTTGGAGTCTTGGATCATTAATTTTTGTCCAAAAATAAACTTCCACCTGAAAATCCCCTTTATCCTCCATTGTTAGACTATCCATTTTTTTCTCGTTTCCTTAATTTCAGTACTATTTTTATTCTTTCCCTAAATATTCTTTTAAAGAATCTATAAAATCTTGTTATATCTCTGGGATCAAAACACTGATTCTCTGCACCTTAAATACAAGTTTATATTCTCCCCAATTCCAAATTTCTGAAGGAAAAAATATAGTTTTCCCGTTTACTGTCAAAAATGACCTAACCAAATATTTTTTATGCCTTTAATATTTATATACCGGCATTTGGGATTTCCCGCCCAATTATATTTACATTACTAATCAATGGTGTAATACCGGTATAGAGTATTAAGGAGGGGAAGATATGCACAAAAATGCACAAAATCTAAAGGTTAAAGATAAAAGATTCAAAAGAAAAATAAAAAAAAAGTAGAAAAGGAGAGATGAGTTGGAGTCCAAAACAAATAAAAAGGGGAAAAATAAAAGAGAATTCTCCAGAGTAAGTCCATAAGAAAAGGATCACGCTTAAAAAGTTTTATGCATCACATCTTTGATTAGGAATGTTGGGAACAGAAAACTTATCGAAGATTCTGAAAGCTGTGAGCAATGTACAAATTTAGAAGAGTCTCAGAAAGTATGCTGTATTTTGTGTGGAAAAATTAAATGTTCAAATTGTAATATAAGTACCGTTGAATATAAAATATATGATAAATTAATTTGTGGAGAGTGTATTTCTAAATTATATCTTGAGACAGACAACTTGCTTCAGGAGGAATTGGATGTAAAGGATCAGATTAATCTAAACTTAAAAAAAGGTCTAGAAGAACAATTTCAAGTCATTTCAAAGTGTAAACAGTTCATTATAGCTCTGGAAGAAATAATATCATTTCAAGGTTTATGGAAATCAATTTGTGAAATAGAAGGTACCGAGAATATTCAGAATCTATTATTTGAAAGTCAAGGTAGGTTTCATTAAGGAATTAGATATATTCCTATTTTGATACTTTTAACCACAATTAATTTAATGTAATTAGCTGGAATTCAAAAGTGGAATCAGAAAAATAGACAGCTGGAGATGGAAAACTCTAATTTAAAATCCCAACTAAGCCAACAGAATACCAATATATCTATTCTGTAAGTTAAACCTAATCTTGTTTAAACCAAAAAGATTAAACTTTACTTCTAACATCATCTTTAGAGAATCTCATATTCAAAGCTTACAGGAAGACTACAACCGTTCCAAAGAAGTCATAGAATCTCTAAAAAAAATCCAATTTGAAAAGGACAATCTAAAGAGCATAGCTAGTGAAACATCCTCCTTAATGGAGAAGTTCAGATTAGAAAATGATGGGCTTAGGGTAAGATGTTTTCGGCTCGAACAAAGAGTCAAAGAACTTACAAACAATTATGGGACTGAATCTTACCAAGTAAATTCTCCAGAAGACAAAAGACAATCTGGCATTGTTAGAACTATTTCATTAGGCTTACAAGATGACTATTTTCCTCACTCAATTCTTGAAAACTCCTCCATCATCTTTAATAACTACCAGCTCGTTAATTGCGTTGAAAGAGTAATATTAAACATCAAAAACTTGCTCTGTTGTTGAGAAAACACTTAAATATATATATTTATAACCTAATTTTAATTTCCCATATCCAACCTTCAACCATGATCCGTGCATGCAAAATAGGTACCCGGTACCTATTTTAGATCTAAGGAGCGAGACAAGTTTTAAGATCTGGTGAATTTTTTTCATGTTCAAAATAGTTAGGACATTTATTGAACAGAGAAAAAAAGTTGAAAATACTTGAGAATTCGATGGCGTTTTTGATTTGTGATTTGATGGTTTTTCTGTTTGACTAAAAAGAAAGGTTTGAAAGAGTAGCATGCAAGATTAAGTTACTTTTTTGAGAAATGTTTTGTATGGACTTACTATTCCTGTAGAATAAAGTTGTTCGAAGATTGATCCAAATTTATTTGAGTTTTCAGTGAATTGTAGAATTGCTCCAACTAATTCTCTTTTTGAGGTTTGAGTGAATATTTTGGTTTTGCTCAGTTTTAAGAGTCTAATTATTCTAAAATAAGAATATAAAGTAATAGAATGAGAGAGTTAGAAGGAATAATAGAGAATAATCGGAAGATATAAAAGAATGTCAATGTATTTGCATTTTTACTGCTACTTTGAGTCATTGAAGGCTTTTCTTACAACTTTTTCCCTTATTATACTCTTAGACTTACCTATCAATTAGAATAGAGTATCTATTACTTAAGTTTTTGATTCCAAGATCTGTCTGCTTGAGATTTTTAATCCAATCTAGATAGTGTTGTCCAATGTAGTTATTAGGGTCTAGCTGTGAATCCATATTTATTGAAAAGAGAGTTTCAACCTTTTTGAGCTCATTTTTATTCATTAATTCTTCTATTCTTTCTGGGCATTCATTAAAGTGAGAACTCTGGCTTGTCTCAAACTTTCTGGATCTCTCTAAGCAGAGCTTCTGGATCATGAAGGATTGTTCTAGTCTATTTGATCCACTGAAATGAATAATCCAAGCCTTTTCTAGCCAAATACTAGTCATCCTGTTCAATTTCATAATATAATCCATCCTTATAATGTGATTCAAAAATATACTTGGGGTAACTACTACTCCTTTGCTTTGTTTAGACAAATTCAAATTAACCCACTGATCCTCGGAACCTGACCAAAATAGATGTTTTCTACTCAAACAATAGCTTTGTATTTTTTCAATATCCAATCTCCCTGTCTCATTTAATAGAGAAATAACAATGTTTTGATCATTCAAACCAGATCTACTCCATTCTGATGAATATGGTAGCAAATACTGAATTTTCTGCAGAGCCAATACCTGAATACAAAACATTAGGGTCTCTAAATTTTTCAGAGACATTAATAATACTCCTACATTTAATATGTAGTGTTGAAATTCACATTTATCATCGACAGATATACATAAAAATGAATCCTTCATCACTTCATGAAAATCCTCAATTCTTACTGTGAATCTTGAAATCATGGTATCGGAATCCACATATAGTAGGAGATAATCTCGTCCTTTAAAGTAAGAAGCCAAATTTTGAACCTTTTTGTACATTTTAATTATGCCAATATATCTCCAATAATGAGGATTTCTTATCTCCCCAAAACGTATATCCAAGTGAAAATAGCAATAACGATTTCTTCTGGAATATCTAATTCGGTTCTCCAGAAGCCATTCATGATCTTTTTCCAACTTATTCCCAGATGTCAGTATATTATATTGACATATCCCTATTTCTTTTTCATCCTGAGGAATATATACTTCTTTCAACTCATAGTTCTCTACATTTGCCCACTCTGGAAGCCAACCTTCCATCACTCTTATTTCTTCTAAATTCAAACCTGAACATCTTACTAGAGATATGATCAGCCACTCAAGGAGTGTTACTGCAACTATATATTTTTTACTTATTTTAAAGAAAAAAGTACAAAACCCTAAAAATTGATTTTATTAAATATTCAAACTTACTAATTTCTTTATAACTCTTTAATTTGATTTATTTTTCAACTACTAAAAAAAAATTTATTTTAACTATTTTCAAGATCTCTAAATGCATGCGGTTCTCTTCTTTCCCTATATTTAGCAGAATCCAATTATTCAAATAACCCAATTGCTACAACAAAATTAATCATATCTGAAACTAAAAACAATCATCAATCAACTCCAAAGTTTCTCTCTCCTCAATTTTTTTCCTCTTTTTTTTGCTGTTTTTTTCTGATTCTTTTCCACAATAATGCAGCACGTGATGTGGCGGGCAAGGCGTGCCGCCTGAAAGGGGTACCGAATAAATAATAAATGATAGAGACAATTGAAGAAAAAAAAGTGTATTAATAGTAAATTAGAGGAAAATTTAAATAAGTAAAAAAATAATAAATAATACTGTCTCATTTAAATAAACAATCTACAAAGTGTTTTGTCTCAAATTAAGTATTAATAAATAATTACTATTACATTAATAAAAAGCATAAAAAAAGCCGGTTAATTATTTTCTGTTTCAAGGAGAAAGTTTGGATTAACTTAGAAACGAGTTGATTTATTTTTTCATTAAGAAGAAAAATAATAACTCGTGATTTCTATTTTATTATAGAAGATTTCATATATTAGATACTACTCAGATTTTAAAGACTTATTTTTTTTTAGATAAAAAAGATGTCGATTACAAGCTTTAAGAACAGACCAAAAAAAGCAATCATTAAGAAGAGAACTAAAAAGTTCACCAGATTCCAATCTGATCGTTTCTTAAGAGTAAAACCAAACTGGAGAAAGCCAAAAGGTATTGATTGTCGTGTACGCAGAAAATTCAAGGGTAATTATTTGATGCCAAAGATTGGTTATGGTAGTGATGCCAAGACTCGCAAGATGCTTCCAAACGGTTTGTATAAGTTTACCGTTTCAAATCCCCAGGAGGTACATATGCTTTTAATGCATAACAAGACTTTCTGTGTCGAGATTGCATCCGGAGTAAGCAGTCGTAAGAGAAGAGAAATCTTGGAGAGAGCTGAACAGTTAAATTTGAAGGTTTTGAACAAGAATGCCAGACTCGCAATCGAGGAGGATGAATAATTGAAATTCTTTTAGCTTAGGTTACTCTTAATTTTTCAATTATAAGAACAGTTTCCTTTGAAACTTGTTTTATTTTTGCATGTTTTTTCTTTCGTTTCCTTGTCGAGAGATGCGGAATTTTTCAGAGGGGTTGAGTGGATGGGATTTGATTTGGAAATTGGGGGGGGAGGGGAACAGACTCTCATGTTTTGAGTGTTCGCTCGTCAATATGGGATCTTTCTTTATAAAGGGGAGACTTTGACTGTTTGATGGAATTTCTTAAGTAACTGATACTTTTTGTTTGAGTGATATATTAACAATAGAATTCTAGTAGTGTTAGTGATTATTATCATTGCTAACTATTAACCAATAAATACCAATTGGTTAAATGGAACTTAATATTGAATTTGTGGATCTTCACAGAATACTGGAATAATAATTGAATAGTTATGAAATTCAGTAAAAAGCTTCAGCATTATGTAAATCAACAGTATAGCCAACATTATTTGTCCTATAAAGATCTTAAAAAAGCAATAAAACTGATAACTGGATCAGATACATCAAGTTATACCATAAATGAGGTAACAAGTAACTTTGGGAATATTAAAGCTTTAGCAGGATCCATATATAGGCCAGCAGAAAGTAGATTTATGGATTTATTAAACCATGAATTGGATAAGATTAATTCATTTAGCAGTATAATGTATACTAACATAAAGGATTCTCTTAAACAAATTCAAGGATATATAGATCAGATTAGCAAAGACTTAGGTATATCAAATAATTCCAGTAATAATAGTAACACAAATGATTGTGATAGTTCATTCTTCCAGGCTGGAATGAGCAAAGAACTTCTGGATGATTTGATTTCGCCATTAGTAGAACAGCTTGAACGTAGAAGTGGTGAAATAATATTTTTAGAAAGTTACCAACAACTGAATTATACAGGTTTCAGAAAGATAACCAAAAAGTATGATAAGATGAATAAGTCAACTTCTTCTTCTTGGTATCTTGCAAGACTTGCAAGGGAATCATTTATGAATATGAACTTGGATTTGCTTCTCGAGAGTCTTTCAAGTTGTTATGCAAAAATTGAAGAGCTTAAGAATAATTTCCTCATGAAGGAGGAATCTTTAAAGTACGATGCAGGTTTGGAAAAAGAAACCTCAATACAGCCACCATTTGAAATTCACTCAAAGCATCTTATTTTAGCTGAGGATGTGATGAAGGTTAAAGTACTATTAGCCAAAATAGTCCCTCTTGTTTCAGTTGGATTACTAAACGTAGAAGAAAGTATTAACAAGTCTTACTTATTCACTCCCACAAACAACACAAACTCTCAAAAGACTTCAAGCGAAAATGTATCATCATTGGCTTTGCAAACTTCGACAGTATCTTATATGTACTTTGATAATAGGGAATTCAGTGAATACCATAGAATTCGCGAAATAAGGTCGAGATTCTGTTCTTGTAGTTCTCAAAGTAATACTCAAATTGAAGAAAATACATCCGGAAGAATCCAAGCATACTCTGATGAGAAGATTGCCCCAAAAAAGTATTTGGACTATACATTTAGATTGAGATGGTATGGGGAAAATGAAGGAAGTCCAGACCAGTGGCTAAATTTGGATTGGATACACCCAATGGAACCAAGCTGTTCTATTACTGAGTGGCACGATCCGAAGAATAATAACTTTGTTCATCAAACAGTAAGTAGTGACCAAACGAATCAGGTAGGAAGTTTGTTTTCTTTTGAAGGATCTAAAGCTTTTGTTAGTAGTAAAACTTTGCTGATTCAACAAAAAGATGTTTTTCATATTCTCAAGACTTTTGGGGATTTGAGGCGTGAAAGCAAAAACCCATTATTATCTTCTAACTTTGATTTAAACACATATTTGAATGAAACCAGAAGAAACTTATCACAAGACCAAATAATGCTTCTTAATTGTTTTATTGAATTCATCCAATTTAGAAAATTAGGACCATTTTCTCATCTTTGGTTTCACAGAACAACTTTTGCAAGTCCAAGGAGAAATATATGTATCCACATTGATAATAACTTGAAGATCATGCCTGAAATTAACTCAGAGCTGCTTATTGATGAACATTTTCAAGGAAATGGTTCCTCAATGAATAATTTGCCAGTTCAAAGTGATCGAAACTCGAGCTCTGATAAAAGTGGAAGCAATTATGAGATTGCAAATACTGAATTAGGAACCAATTCTATTTTCAATATGAGACCCTCAATTTTGTACAACACTTTTATTGTTAGTCCACAAACAGAAGCATTAGTCTCTGAAAATATGAAAGCCATCTCCCATGGAATACTAAGTGTAAGTGTTTCCAATGACACTGGAAACCTACAAAACTCAACCAAAAACCTCTCTAAAAACCTTAATCCCAGAGATATACTTAAAGATATTCTTGGTCTTGCATCTGTTTCAGAAGTGATCGGATTTTCAAACATTGAAACTTGTACTGCCTTGTTATTCAGCAACAACCTACTTCAAGTTCCACACTGGTTTAATTTTATGGCTATAGAGTCTGAAAGCCAACAAGAAATTACCAATAATATCAAGGATTCCAATTCAGAATCTCAAGCTCTTCAAACCCTGAATAGATCGGTTTCTTTAAATAAAGAAATGACTGGAAACAAACAACTCCAATCATTTGAACCCGAGAAATCCTCCTTCAACAATTCCATGCCAAAAATCGATGTTCTACACACCGGAAAAAACGCGAGAATTTTGCATGATCAAGAAGTGACTGCTCAAAGAGAAGCCAGTATTCTAACCAATGAAATCCAAACGAATTCTTTATCTTCTTTAAATAGTACGCAAACTCTTTCCAATATGCATCCACTAAAAAATCTACCAATCAAAAAAAACGAAATCAAACGTGAATGCACACAGTTCCAACCCCACCCCCTGCATGTACCACTTCTTGGCAATGATGTGGACACCGGTATACATGCACATGCGCAGACTTTTCCACATAACATGGCGCGTATTGTCCGGTCAATTTTTTGCATGTGTAGAGAAAAGTCCGGAAATAAAGATATAAATAATAATCAGAAAAAATGTGTATCTTCAGCAGTTAGAGTTGAGCCAAAGACTTTTTTTGCAAACGAGAGAACGCTTCTTCAGTGGATGAATATGTCTGTTTTATTAGCAACTATTTCTGTCTCTTTACTTAGTTTTGGAACCCAAGTTGGTCATATATGCGGTTTAATTATGGCTCCTGTTGCTATTTTTTTTATTGCTTACTCTTATTATATTTACTTAAAAAGAAACAAAGCTTTGGAGACCAAGGAGCCAATTTCTTATAATGATAAGTTTGGTCCAACATTGTTAGTAATGTGTTTGATCATTTCTCTAACATCTGTCTTACTCCTAAATATTATTGTTGGAGGTAATAAGCAGCATTTTAAGGATATTCATGATTATTATAGAGAGGACTATGTCCACTATTACCAAAACCAACAGAATGAAAATCATCTATTAGCACAAAGTAATCATAATCAGTCTAGTTCAAATGGTAACTACTTATATCATTAATTGAAATTGAAACAATAATATGATACTTTCTAGATTTTCTTTAGAATAGTATTGTTTTATATGTTTTTTTGGTTCTATTATACTTTACTTTGAGACTTTTCCTGGCTTAAACTTAATATAATTTTTATTAATAGTTTTTCTATACCTTCTTTTTTAAGATCTCGATCATATCTAAGGTTCAAGACCTCCTTCTAAAATTTGTTGAATAATCTCAGTTAATCAGCTCATTATAACTAACTTTCATAGATATTAGATTCTCGATCCAATATCACAATTATAACTTACTAATATATCGTTAATTAAACCTATTTTTTCCATCCAAGTGATCCAAAACTCAAATTTGTCAATCGGATCAGGCTCTCTAAGTATTAAGTACTCATCATTCGAGTTTAGATGGCATGCATTTAATGCAAAATCCTTATCAGAAGACAAAATCGTGTAGTACTCTTTTCTTTCTTCAGCCTGAAGAATTCTGAACCCAACCCCAAAAAATATTGCAAATGATCCTTTTTTGTCTCCAAAAGATTTGAAAAAGTTCTCATTATTCAGCCTCACCAAACGGTACTTAATATCTGATGGATCTCTGTTTTGTGTTATCATTATCAATATTAATAGTCTTAATTAAATGATCCCTAAGCTTACCTTAAAATATATACAAGGAGATCTGAAATTAACTGGATACAGGTATAAAACTCTTTTAACTCCAATTCTTGTCTTAATAACAACAATATTCCAATCCCTACAATCTTTAATTCATCAATTTCTAATTTTGAATATATTTCAGTATCAATAAACTCATTCAAAGCTTCTTTAGTCTCTAAACCTCTAATAAACTCAATAATAGTTTCTATTCTCCTATTCATCTTATCCAACTTATCTTTCTCCTCTTGATTTAAACGATCCAACTCTTCTTTCCTTCTTTTCTCCTCCTCTTGTTTTTCCTTTAATTTTTCCAATCGTCTCTTTTCTTCAAGATAAGTCTCTTGTATACCTTTCTGCACTCTTTTCTGAAACTCTTCTTCTTTTCTTTTCTTCTCCTCCTGATCCATCTCTAGCATTCTCCTGTTGTATTCTGCCTCAATGCTCTCATAAATTGGGTTCAACTGCTCCTCGAAAATTTCATCTAAATCTTCAAACCTTAAACACATATTCTTCATCTTCTCAAGCATCTTAGGCCCATATATCTGTTCAGAAGGGTCTTTTATTGCTAGAAACTTCTTATACTTACTAGTTTTTAAAAACAAAACCTCCATTTTGGATTTCAACGCCAAGTAATCTTGTAGCCCCTTCTCCAAGTCATCCTTCTCAAATTCCAAAAGACTCCTTACCACATACTCTGCTTCTAAATATAATAGAGTTAGAAAGTGAGTTTAAATTAGTATATCTCATCTTAGAGTCTCTCCTCTTAGTTTATATTTAGTATATTTCATGATAAAGAAACAACTAATAAACACTTTACTGAAACATCCCACCAAAGACTGACTTCCAACACTTATGAATTAACTTACCCTCAAGCAAATGCAGAGTTTTCTGGGTCTCAGTCATCTCCGATATCCAAATCAATTTTTAGAGTATGTTTACCTGAATGTTACCATATACATGATTTTGGCGCCAAAAATTTTTTAGCTATGATCTCAAAAATAAAGAGTAATAAATACTTTCTGCATTTTCTCTAATTAGAATAATGTTCAAAAAGAGAAATGTTAGCAAAGAACAGATAAGAAAAGTTCAAAGTGATAACTTGGAGGAAAGTAATCCGAGAATATATGAAGAAACACACTTTCAAGGATCCTTAAATACAGATATTGATGAAATCAAGAAAAGGAATCAGTTAAAAAAAGACTCAGATCTAGTAAAAGATCCAAATTTTGAAAAAGATGAAAAACTGGACGAACTCATTTCTATTGTTTCACATAAAAGTAACCGAAAGTTTAGTCACGACAATATTATAAACAACTATGACTTAGATCTACATGAACCAAATCCTCCTAATAAGGAAACCTCTAAAACTATTTATTCAAGAAGGAAATATGAAACTCTAGAATCCAGAAATCCTAATATTAAGCTCACTTTAAGAATGGATTATCAGCACGATATTTGTAAAGACTTTAAAGAAACTGGATACTGTGGTTTCGGAGATACCTGTAAATTCCTTCATGATAGAAGTGATTTCAAAAGCGGTTGGCAGTTAGATAGAGAGTGGGATAAAGAACAGAAGAGAAAGAGATTGAAGATTAACCCCACTTTTAAAGGTAACTCCAATCATGAAGACGGTAACCTTTTGTCCGAATCCACTAACTCTAATCAACCTCCAAAGAAATGTTTCATTTGCAAAAAAAAATGGAGATCTGACTCAAATCCTATTGTTACTCTCTGTAATCACTATTTCTGCGAAAAATGTGCTCTTAATCACTATGTTAATACCTCCAAGTGTTTCCAATGTAGTCTCCCTACAAAAGGAACATTCAATATTGCTTCCATACCTCAAGATCTAATCTCCAAATCTGATTCCCATGATTCTTCCGAATCTGAAAGCCTGTCTTCTGACAATCTTTCTCAATCTTAATTAATTTCTTTCCTAAAACCTATTTTCTTTTTGGCGGGCTTTCCATGCAAATTATTTGTTTTTGCATTAGTTTTAAGTTATATTACTTTTATTTTTTCTTTCCCTCTAATTATATTCAGTCATTTTTCCATTATTCTTTAAAACCCTTCAATTAATACCATATTTTTGGTTTCCCAATCCTTTCTTCTCCCAAATCTCTTCTTTTTCCTCCCACAATTTCTTTTTTTATTCCATTTTTTTCTCCCCAGTACCGGTTGTTCATAATAGTTAATAATGACATAAATTTTAGGCGGGCTTTACTATTATTTGAACTAATTAAAGATGACCAGAAAGAACAGTAATTCTAGCGAAATCGGATTGATTTTGAGCAAAAAAGGATACAAAATAGAAGAAAAAGGCAAAAAGAAAGGATAAAACCAAAGAACATAGGTGAGACACAACAAGCTCAAGCCAAAAAAAGGATTAACTAATGAGATGAAGAGGAGGCGAAAATACAAGTATTCATGGTAAAAGTAGAAAAAGTTTAATTGAAAAATCAGAAGAAGAAAGGAGGAAGGAATATAGAACAACTAATCATTATTTTTGGGAAAAATATAGAAGAGAAATAGAGCTAAATATGACGACAGTAAGAACAAGAATTAAAGTTGGAGATAAAGAGCTTTTAATTCCAGAAAATGTCAATCTAAGTAAGGAGAATGTAGTCAATGTCTTTAAAAGACGTAATATTGAAGCAGTAGAGTTCTCTGCTATGGGAAAGGATGAAATTGCCAGATCTGCACATATGGAAGTATTACATAGAGAGATTTATAAGCCAATGACAAACATCCCACTTCAAGGAGGAGTATTGGATTCTAGATTGGGAGCTCATAGGGCTGATGCACAGTGTTCTAGTTGTGGAGGAAGTTTAAAAACATGTGGAGGTCACTGGGGTTATATTGATTTACAGCAGCCAGTCTTCCATGTAGGTTACTTTAAACACTTGTATGGAGTTTTATGTTGTATCTGTAAAAGTTGTGGAGCCTTTCTACTTAAAGGAGAAGAGAAACGTCAACATCTTGCCAGATTAAAACAGTCATGTTCCATTGCTCATTCTTATAGATTACAGTTTAGAAAGTTAGTTGAGAGATGCAAAAAAGTTAAGACTTGTCCAAGATGTATGTCTCAACAAGGCCAACTTAGAAGAACAATTAGACCAACTTTGGATCAGTTCATGAAGTTGACTCATACTATTAAGATAGATGGCAAGGATTATGTGGAAGATTTGACTCCTATTTATGTTCAAACACTTTTAGAAAGAGTTCCTTATCAGGATTTGGATATTTTGGAGACTTTTAAACCCGGAAATCTCCTCATTTCACGTCTCCCAGTCCCTCCAAATTGTATCAGACCTTCAGTTACTATGGGAGAGTCTGGAAGTAATGAGGATGACTTAACAGTTATATTGTCTGAAATCACAGATTTGAATAATATTATCAAATCTCAAATGAAATCAGGATTCCAAACTTTTCAGTTACTAGGTAATTGGGAATTTCTTCAACTTCAATGTACCAGACTAATTAATGCTGATGCTCCTGGAGTTAATCAACTCCTAGCTAGTAAGAACATTCCTAAGGCTGGTAGAGGAGTGTGTCAGAGGCTTAAAGGTAAAGAAGGACGCTTTAGAGGAAATCTAAGTGGTAAAAGAGTCGATTTTAGTGGGAGGACTGTTATTTCTCCCGACCCTAATATTGAGGTTGATGAGGTGGTGGTACCTATGATTATTGCCAAGAAGCTTACATACCCTGAAAGAGTTAATGCTATTAATATAGACTCTTTAAGGAAAGCAGTTTTAAACGGACATGATATATGGCCAGGAGCATGCTATGTATATAAAAGTAATGGGAGCAAATCCAGTCTCAGATATGCCAATAGAAGGGTTGTTTCAGAACGTCTCGAGATTGGAGATATTGTAGAAAGGCATATGAAGACTGGAGATATAGTCCTCTTCAATAGACAACCAAGCTTACATAGGCTTAGTATTATGTCCCACAAGGTAGTAGTTATGCCATGGAGAACTTTCAGATTCAACGAATGTGCATGTGCTCCTTATAATGCAGATTTTGATGGTGACGAGATGAATCTTCACCTCCCTCAAAATGAGCTAGCTAGATCAGAATCAAAACATCTGATGGGACTTATGAATAACTTAGTAACACCAAGAAATGGAGAACCTCTAATAGCAGCAACTCAAGACTTTCTCCTAGGGATGTATGTACTAACAGGAAGGGATATATTTTTAACTAGAGACCAGTTTTCCCAATATTGCTGTCATTTTTCAAATGGACAAATTCCTATGGAGTTACCTCCTCCTACCATTCTAAAACCTGTGGAACTTTGGACAGGGAAACAAGTGTTTAATATGATTTTGAGACCAAACTCAAATGAAAAGGAAAGAATAGAGGTTTCATTTGAACTAAAGGAAAGAGATTATGACTCAAAATCAGATCTTAAAGATCTTTGTCCCAATGAAGGATATGTGGTAGTAAGACATTCTGAACTTTTAGCGGGAGCTATTGGAAAGAAAGTTCTTGGAGGAGGATCTAAGGAAGGACTTTTTTTCTATATATTACGTGAAAACAACTCAAAAAAGAGCTCAGAATGTATGGGACGTATTTCTAGGTTTGTCTCACGGTACTTAGCTAACAAAGGAATGACAATTGGAATAGATGATGTAACTCCAAATGCTGAACTTCTAGTGGCAAAGAAGAATCTATTAGAAAATGGTTATCAAAAGGTTCAAGACGAAATTAACTTATATGAGAAAGGGAAACTAACTCCTCATCCTGGTCTCTCTCTAGAAGACACTTTAGAGCTTAAGGTTAAGAAGATTTTGGATGACATTAGAAATGAAGCAGGAAAAGCTTCTCATATTAGTCTCCCTCCTTCAAATAAACCTCTTCTTATGTACCTATCAGGAGCAAAAGGACAACTAATTAACATAGCTCAAATGGTTGCCTGTGTAGGTCAACAAAATGTTGCAGGACAGAGAATTCAAAATGGTTTTACTAACAGAACTCTTCCTCATTTTAAGATGAATTGTGTTGATGGAAGAAGCAGAGGATTTGTTGGAAACAGCTTCTTTTCAGGTCTACAACCTGATGAATTTTTCTTCCATACAATGTCAGGAAGAGAAGGACTTGTAGATACTGCTGTTAAGACAGCTGAGACAGGATATATGCAAAGAAGACTTGTAAAAGCATTAGAGGATCTTTGTATAAAATATGACCAAACTGTCAGGACTAGTGACGGACAGATTATACAGTTTATCTATGGAGATGATGGGCTTAATCCAATGCTTATGGAGGACAAATTAGACCTTGTCAACTTTGAAAAGCTTTTCAAACATATTTACTCCCAAACCAAAGTTCATTCCAACTTTTATTTCCTATTTAACAACTACCTTGAATTTTTGGAAAGTAAAAATTCCAAGGAAGATCCTAGCACTTCAGAAACTCTCAAACTTTCAGTGTCTAAGAGATCTAAAAGAAAGCCTTTATTAGATTCTTCTAGTCCCACCCTTTTATCTGAAACTGATAAAACTACGAATTCTTTTTCAGAAATTTCTAAAGATGATCAGAGTAATCAAAGATTTAAGCTCCTACCACCTCCAAATGAGGTTATTAATCACCTTCTCCTTTTGTTTGAAAACTATCTTTCAAATAGTTACATAGGACCATTAAAGAACAACGTGGCGCCGGCGGGCTCTCATGATGCACAAACATGCATTGAGAATACCGTTGAGATGGGAGAAATTAATAGACAGTTAATATTTGACGAGATAGATGAATTATTGGCACAAGTGGAGAAAAAACAGGAAGAAGAGAGGATCAGGGGTATAAAAAAGACAGGAGAGGGTGTTACTAGGTCAAAACTTAGGAGGATGGTAGATATAAGAGAGGAAAAAGAGAACCATGAGGAATTAAAAAAAGAGTTAGAGGAGATTGTTGATTTGAAGGGTGAGGAGGAGGAAAAAGAAAAGCTTGACTTTCTTTTTTCCTACAGTTTCAGTCAGAATCTAAGTAATATCATTTTTGATGCAAAATACTTTGAGAATGAATCTAAGGAGATCCCAAAGTCAATAATGGATAAATTAGATACTTTGAAGATTTGGTACACAAAAAATGGATTAGAATGGTGCAGGAAGAATGAGACGTGCGTATGTATGAGGAATAGTGTTCTGGCTCATTATTTGGTATACAAACATTTACCTATTATGGATACAAATGTTCCTTTGATTCCTTTTGAGATGATGGAATGGGTGGAATTTCTTATTAAGATGACAAGAGAGCTTATTCCAAGTTCGCTTTTGATCCACCAAAAGATCTCAATCTTGGAGTCTCCAACTCATCAGGAGAAGACTCGGGAGTTGAACATCTTTTCAAATAATATGAGAAAATTTCTGGTTTCTCATATTGAGAGGATATCCAAATATAGAAAGGTACAGGGGGAAAGGGAAGGACTCAAATTGGAGGAGTACATACAGGTTATTGAGGATTTTGTTGATGATTCCAGATTGGATTCCGAATGGTTTAGGCAGATTCTTCAGCAAGATCCAAACGTTTCCAGAATTGCATCTTTAGAAAAATCTCGAGAGCTTGGCGACTTCTCCAAATATATCCGAAGATTTTACTCTGGTATGATTCCTAATGGAGACAGAATTGAGACAGAATGCAAATCCGAAGAGGAGAGTTTTACAGGAAAGAAGAGGAGTATTGAAGAGGGGTTCTCTAACTTTATGAATGGTTCAAAGAGAAGAATTATTGATGAGGAAGGGGAGTCTGAAATTTGCTCCTCTTTTTCCTCTTCAAAATTGAGGCCTATAAGGTATAATCTAGACTATGCTATTACTATTAGACAGATATATGAGTTTATTAGAGCAAGCTGGACCAAGTACATGAAAGCAATCACAGAACCAGGAGAAGCTGTTGGAGCAATTGCTGCTCAATCAATTGGAGAACCAGGAACTCAGATGACTTTAAAAACTTTCCACTTTGCGGGAGTTGCTAGTATGAATGTTACTTTAGGAGTACCAAGGATTAAAGAAATTATTAATGCTGCTACAAAGATTCTAACGCCTATTATTGAGGCTAAATTGGAAAATGACTCTGATTTTAATTATGCTCAAATAGTTAAGGGATCTATTGTTAAAACTCTTCTAAATGAGGTAGTCTCAGATATAGAGGAGCTTTACTCTCCAAATGGAGTGTTTATTAACATTAATCTGAATGAGGAAACCATAAAAAGCCATTATCTTGATATTAATGCATATACAGTAAGAGATTCCATTGTTAATCACGGACCTATCTCAAAGATTAAACTAAGACTGGAAGATATTCAAGTTCTTGATCTTTGGAAACTTTCTATATTAATTGGTGGGGGAATATCTCAAATTGGATCTTCAACATCATCGGGTACCGGATCAGGATCAGGAAGTACAATGAATGTTTACTTTCAGACACAACTACTTAGAAAAGGTTTACAGAATGTTGTAGTTAGTGGTATCCCAGGAATTAGGAGAAGTGTTATTAGACAGGATGATAAGGAAGATCCTAATACTGGAAAGAAGAGAAAGTGTTACAGTCTCGCAGTTGAAGGATATGGACTTCTGAAATTGATGGGTATTAACGGTATTATTGGTACTAGAACAGTATCTAATCATGTAATGGAAGTCAGAGAAGTACTTGGAATTGAAGCAGCTAGAAAAGTAATCATTCAAGAAGTACAAAAATGTATGGATGCTTATAGTATGGATATTGATTTAAGACATATACAGTTACTAGCTGATATTATGACATTCAGAGGGGATGTATTAGGTATTTCGAGATTCGGTATTCAAAAGATGCGTGCCTCTACACTCATGTTGGCATCTTTTGAGGAGACAAATGAGCATTTATTTGAAGCAGCCTTCCAGAATAGAGTTGATCCAGTATTTGGGGTAAGTGAGTGTGTTATAATGGGAAAACCTATAAAAATCGGTACCGGATCTTTTGACATCCTTTATAATTCTCCTCCAAATGTACATGAGAGCAAATTATTTCTGAATGGGAGTAGGAAAGGCACAGTTGGTAGGCTTTCCCAATTTCTAAGTAGTATTAAAAAGTAGACCGTGCCAACCTATTTTAAATGGAGGCCCAGAGATTTTCTTTTTCTGGTTTCTTTTTAAGATTATATATTAGCTGAACTTAATAGGTAGATGAAACATACATATGTATCATTAGAATTCTTCCTCTTCGATTAGGGCTTCAGCAATGTAAGATTTTATATATGACGAACAGTAATGGTGAAATAATCTTGAATATCTCCTCTTTTGAGGTGTATTTTTAGAAAATAGTGAGTAATTCAGAGGCTGTAATTCTGAAATCTGAGACTTAGTTGACTAAAGTATTTGGGTTGCTCTCGTCTGACTTGTTTTTTTGTGAATCATTTTCGTCTGGTTTGTTATATAAAGGCTTTAAATAAATGCATGAAAATTCAGGAATGTCAATCCAGAGAGAATAGTCCCAACCAATTCTCCCTCCGTGAGAAGCATGTACAGTAGAGTTGTTTCCAGGACCGAACATTGCTCCTCCATACTTCCAATCGTCCGAATTAAGCATCACAACCCATTCTTTACCATGAGGAACTCCAATAGGATAGTGGTTATATCGTCTAGAACTAAAGTTACAAATAACCACAACGTCATTATACCATTCTTTATACTTTCTCAGAAAAGCAACAATACAATCCTGAGAGTTTTCACAATCTACCCACTGGAAGTTCCAAGATTCATCATCACCAGCATGGAGACTAACGTTGTTCCTATAAACTGCCAACAAATCACTAAGAAAGATACATACTTTCTTTCTCACATCTTCCTCTCCTTCATGCCAGTCCACAGATCTATTCTCCTTCCACTCTCTTCCTTGAGCAATTTCAGCTCCTTGGAAAAGTAAAGGACGTCCAGGCATTCCAACTTGATAGCCAAAAAGTGCCTTTAATGTCCTAATTCTATCCATATAGGGGGCTCCAGTGAATCCACATTTATCTAGTAAACTACCTTTACCATTGACAACCTCATCGTGGCTTAAAGGTAAGACCCAATTTTCATGTGACATGTAAAGACCTCTAAATGTGAGTTTATTATGTTTACCACTTTTTTTGTCAGGAGGAGTGTATAAGTAGCTCAGGGTATCATTCATCCATCCTAAATCCCATTTTGCATCAAATCCAAGTCCTCCATCCTTATGTGTCACTCCTTGCCAGGCTGTACTTTCTTCTGCCATTGTAAATACCCCAGGAAACTCTTTGTGGATGACCCAATTAAGCTCTTGGAGTAGACTAACAGCTTCAAGATTTGCATCACCTCCAAATTCATTAGGAATCCATTCACCATTTGGCCTCAAATAATTTCTGTACAACATCGAGCTAACAGCATCAATTCGAAGACCATCAATATGATAACGGCGGAGCCAATGGTAAGCAGCTCCAAGTAAGAATGAGCGAACTTCGTTTCTTCTAAAGTTGAATACAGCAGTTCCCCATTGCTTGTGTTCACCTTCTCTTGGATCTCCGTATTCATAAGTTGGAGTGCCATCGTAATATACTAATCCCCAAGCGTCCTTGCAAAAGTGAGCAGGGACAAAGTCAATAAAGACCCCAATATTTGCCTTATGAAGTTCATTAACCAAATATTTAAAGTCATCAGGAGTACCTAGACGACTGTATGGAGCATACTGACCTGTAACTTGGTATCCCCAGCTTCCTTCAAATGGATGTTGGGCAAGAGGTAGAAACTCAACATGGGTGAAATTGAGGTTTTTGACATGTTCAACAAGCCTTCCTGCTATCTCTCTATACCCCAAATAGTCGCCGTTTTCTCTTCTCATCCAACTTGGAAGATGGACCTCGTAAATTGACATTGGTTGTCTCCTCATCTCGCCCTTGCGTCCCAAATATTCCCTTCTCTGTATCCATTCTTGATCCTGCCAACAAAAACGCTCAGACTCATCTTTGTATGAATCGTCACAAGCGCTTATGATAGAGGCATAGCGCGGAGGAACTTCGTACTCCTGTGAGTAGGGATCAATTTTGACAAATACATCGTTTGAATGAGAATGTATCTCATAACCATACTTTTCACCTGGTCCCAGGTGTGGAATAAACAGCTCCCAGATCCCAACCCCATGACGAAATCGCATGGGATTTACTCTTCCATCCCAGGAATTCCAGTCTCCTACCACACGGACATATTTAGCATGGGGAGCCCAAACCGAAAACCTAACCCCTTTTACTCCGTTATACTCAACAATGTGGGACCCTAAGATGTTATCAACGTGCCAACAACTACCCGATTGGAAAAGTTCCATTTCACCATCTGTTAACAGTAACCCAAAGGAATAGGTGTCCCTGATGGCAAAAATCTTACCAGAGTTATCTCCATTGTATTCAACCAATAATTCGTAATACAACTTCCTCACGCACTCTTCAGAGTTTACATTGTCGTGTACATAACAATTACAAGCTTCATCTGAACTGCATGTCTCATTTTTAACCTTCTCTTTAATTCTCGGAATTTTTGAAGATATTGGGTTGGAAAGATTCAATTTGAGCTTTGATGTAACATTTTCTGCAGGTGTTACTTTGCTTGGAGTTAAACCTACAACTGATTTATTCATAGAATCTACAGCATTATATGTTTTCTTTATGTTTACATTGTGATCAAGTGTTGTTTCTTTCCTCTCAGAAACAATTTTCTCCTCATTTGTGTTTATAGCTTCGGATCCAACATCTGGAAACTTGTTAATTGAATATTCATCCTTGTTTTTTTGATTCCCTACTCTCTTATTTTCAATATTAGAATTCTCAGAGCTCTCTTCGTAGCCACAAAAGTGAGTTTTGGATGTAGGAATCTTTTCCTTGAGTGTTCTGAAAGCTTTTTCAAACATCCAGCTTGGGTTACCATCGATATATCTCTGTTCCATCTCAACTGGTGTATTATCAGCACCTATACGAGAAAATGAACTATCAATTGCTTTAATCTGAATTCTCTTAGCATTCCTAACCCAAGCTCTTACGACATAGTATTCATACTTGCCATCATCCCCAAATTTTTGGTATCCAAGAATACCAAATGGTTCAGGGTGTATAGCCTTGTTTAAAAGATGTAAATCATGTTCCAAGATTCTTCCATCATCTGGTACTCTTTCCAAGGCTTCGTAAACGTCGCCTTGATCATCTGGAATTGAAACCATTGAACTAGAATATGAAGTTGGACTATTTGCTGCAGTAGGAACACTACTTTCGATATTGGAATTATCCTGAGATGAAACCGATACTGAGTCACTTTTTTCTAAACTTTGTGTTGGACTTGCAATATTCTTACTCGTAATTGATACCTCGCCTGTCAATTTACTGCTGGTTTTTACTTTATATTCAGTCTTCTGTTTCCCCAATGTGCCACTCTTTTGTTCTTTCAATGACTTCATGTTATACTTTTGTAAAACTCCTCTTGTTGACATTTCTCAAGAACCTTTCATGCAATATAACTATGTTCAAAACCTTTATTTCTAACAAAAATTGATCATATATCTCTATTTTACATTCAAAAAAGAAAATATATTTTCTGTTTTTCTGTGAAAGCTTTAAAACTTCTTTTTATTGTACTTTAAATTTCTCTCAATTATATTGAATTTTCATAAATTATATAATATATTAAATAAATTAACCAAAAATTAATATCTTAAACCTTATGCCCTTTTTTGAATCTCTTCCCAAAATTTTATGTGTGAACTAACCTATTTCCTCTGCTTTTCACCACCACTTAGGCCTTATTAAACAAGAATACAAACAGTTGGCAGTTTAAAAATCCTTCAAGTCCTTAAACTCTCCTATTATATTTGTACTTTGTTCTTTATAGTGAGAAAATATATAAATCTTTTAATCCTAATATACACTCTTTATTTTCCCTTATCGATTTATGAGGGGGGGGGGGCAACTATCGGAAAAATGTTAACACTTATTTACGAGCCTTGAAAATTTGTTTATTTTTTTGGATTTTTTCCCCATTAAAATATTTCCACTCCAGATCAGATTTACAATATTATGGTAATAATAACAATAATCATTGCCATCAATACTACTATTTTCACTTGAATTGATGATATCTTTCCAATAACCCACTTTATCCTAAACTAATATATAAAAATCATTTTTTTTTTAGAAAAGTTAATTATTGGCAAAATTACTATCTAGTTAATGGCTACTTTCATTTCTATCTCCCTTTATTTCATACGTAATTTACTTGCAAATTCTGAATCACCGGTATACACATCACTTGCATCGTCCACATGACTGCATGCATGCAGGTCAATAGAAATAAACACGTAATGTGGAATATTTATTGAAAGAAGAAAATATATATATATATGTATGTATATATATATATATATATATATATGAAGAAACTATTTTATAAATGTTGTTAATAACGCAATAAATCTCTAATGTTTTCTGCTAAAATATATTAAAATACAGAAGAGGCGATGTTTGATTTAAGAATCTGGAGAATGTTGTCAGTCAACACGGTTTCAACGTCAGCATTCAACCTCTTTTTAGCATCTATCTTACCGAAATTCTCTAGTTCAAGTTCCTTGGGGGTCTTTGAAAGCCCAAGCTTGGTAGATTCATGATACTGCTTGCTAGTTTCGCAAATTCTCTTGATCATCTTGTTTGTCCTTTCGTTAAAGTTCTCTTCCTTTTCGCATCTTAGTGGTTCGTTCCATGTAGGTTTGTGAAGATTCAGAAGCATCTTCTGTTCCAAAAGGTTTTTTCTATATCTAATAGCAATAGAGTAGTAGTTTCGGTTGAGTCCATGAACTAAAGCCGTTATTGAAGGTTTTTGAAGGTGCCCTATATTAGAAGTTGTTTGTCTAGGCTCCTGGCCTGCAATTACTGACTGAGGACTAATCAGTCTAAAACAGTCAATCACAACTTTCCCCTTTACAGACTGAATCGGGTCTACAACAATACCTACAGCTCTTGGATTCAACTGCTCAAAACTTTGCTGAGTACTTACATCTGTACCTGAAAACCAGCATCCAAAACCTGGATGGGAATGATACCATCCCACAACTAACTCAGACCTTCCAACTCTCTTTAACATTTCCAACATATCTGTCTGATAAACCGGGTCTACTGCTTCTACACTTACACTATTACCTGATTGAGGCATTGAAAATACATCCACCACACGTACTGAGTAATCGTCAATGAATTCTCCTAACAAAAGTCCCATTACTTCCATAGGTACCCCAGCTCTTCCATGCTTCAGCATTTTTAATAAAGCCAGTGACGATATATATACCTGTTCTGATGTATCTGGTATTGGAGCGTCCGGATCCTGTGCCATTAAACCTCCAAACCCATGCAAATTACCCAACATACTACGCAAATTAGATGGAAATCCTGACATTCTCTTTTCTGAAAGCCACAAAAAACGAATTAATCCTTTATTTCTTCTTTATAATCAAGAAAATTTCTTCTGAGCTAATTTAACTAATTTTTTTTTTTTAAGTTTCCAAAATTTTATTCTTTATTGTTATTTCCCTGCTTGTAATTATTAACCTCACATAATTATTTTAACCCCCATAACCCAAACCGGCGCCACACTTTGCCCGCCCAAATTATCATGCAATTCTAGGAAAAGGCATGATTAAGGTGAATTTTACGGAAAGAAAAAATAAATCAAGTTTATCAGTGTTAATTTCGATAAAGATAAGATGTAAATTTAAAAGTTTCTCCAGAGTATCCAATATAATCATTCACTTATCCAAGCTTTATGGTTACGTTTCGAAGTAGGCTTTATTATAGTAAAGTCCAAAACTACATCATATACCCATTTTGGAGTCACCTGAATAGAGTGGGTCTCTCCATGTGTGTTTTGAACTTTACTGGCTTGCTTTTTTGGGACTGATTTCTTGATCTTTAAAGCATTGGGATCCGATTCATCACATATTATTATGTAGTCTGCAAGAAGTGGATCTTGAACAAAAGAGGCGTTCCCTAAGGTGGCTAGACGAGTACATAGTTTAAAGTGATTGTTTCCTGGGGGACCAACAATAAAAAGTTTTGTTTTACAGAATATTCCTTCACTAATGTAAAGTCTGGATTCTAGAGAAGGCAAACCTTTGAGAAGTTCAAACTTGGTTTCAAATGAATTGTCAGGCCAGGTATTCTTTTGTATTATATAATCAATCATTCCTTCTGAGACAATCATTACATTACTTACTATAGATAAAAGCAATTTTGGATGATAGTTATTCATTATAAAATCTTTGGAGATTATTAGAAATGAAATTGACTCCCAGTCCTTGTAATGTTTAGGCCAAAGTATAAACTCAATCTTGTCAATATGTTTGGGAGTCTTAATATTCTTGATCATGTTTGTTATCTTGGTTTCTAACCTCTTGTTATCGTGATCATCGTTCCCTAAACAACTTAAAATCACAGCCTCCTCGTTTTTCCCTAAATTTATTTCCTCATTATCATAATCTTCCTCAAATCCAATCCCATAATTCTTTCTTAAGACTTCTTCTTCATCAGATTCAAATATATTCAACCTTTTCTTTTTGTTTGAACTATTTAAACCTTCTAATTTACATTCCTTTCTTTTGTTCTGGTTCATTTTGTTTAAATTTATAATCTTGTTTTGAAAACTTTGGTCTTTAATCATTTCTTGAACTTTTTTGAATATTATATGGTCAAACATACTGGAAAAGCAAAATTCTAGATTCCCTCTGCATGTACTGATTACTTTTTGAAACTGTTCTATAGGTATTTTCCAGCTCTTCTCATTTGAGTCCCATTTTACTGAAATATTATTATTTCTAAGTGTTCTAATCAGCTCGCTTTGGTGGTGTTCATCAATTCCTTCCTTAGTGAATGTGAGCTTAAAATTGTTATCTGAAAATTTCTCAGGATTCCCTCTATATATCTCAGCTATACTACTTAAGTTAAATTTAATATTTAACCTGTACCATGTCCCACGAGAAGATTTTGGTAACAAGCTTCTCCAGTTATCCAATTCATCCATAGAAAACATTAGCTCGTGATCCAAGTTAGTCTTGTTTCCATTTATTAACAAAGACAAAACTTTTTTGTCTATAGTACCTCCCAGGAATTCTACCATACAAACTGATTCATAAAGTGTCTCAATTGGAAGTAACCACAATTTGGTCTCGTTATCATACTTCCTGCCTTTAATACATGTCTTAATCATATTAATTATTTCTTTGTCATATTTAGTTTGAAGCTTAAGAAAGAAATCTTTTTGGTTGTCAATATATAAATAACAATAAGACTTTTCCAAATTCTTAAATCTATTTTCAAGAGATTTGAATTCTCTAGACTTGTCTTTTCCTTGGATATATTTAACCATCTTTAAGTATCTTATATTGATCTTATTGAGTTGTGTCTCATCTTCTTTAAAGTGATTTTCATTTTCTGATAATAATTCCAGACTTGAATTAGATTTCTGTTGACTCTTTTTTCTTACTAAATTTGTCTCATTAGCACTGTGAAAATCCTTCATTTGCTTTATATCCAGCTTTTCTTTAAAGTTTAATGAGGGGTTTTCATGAATGATTGTTTCTTTTGAAGTCTTCCTTTCGAACTTCACCAATAATCTTAAAGGTAGACAACTTTCTTCATTACCTCCAAGATACTCTATAATAGAAGAATCTTTATTATTAACTAGTCTATCTGTAAAGGTCAAGGAAATTTGCCAAAACTGGATCATCATCAGAACCTTTGCAGATCCCCATTCACAACTTATTAAGTCCCTATAAGTCTCAAGTCTTTTCCAGTCAGGAGTTGACCTAAAAAGTTCGCTCTTCACAAAGTAGTCCTCTTCATCCCAAATTGGTTTCTGATCTCTAAACCAGCTTAGTAATTTGGATCTATAATTATTTCTGGAGCTTTCATTAAAATTTGGATAATGTTGATTTTCATCATTACACTCAGTTTCTTGGTTTGGGGAGATTGGGAATTTACTAGTATTGGTTTTCTTTAAATTTTCTGTTGTCTCATGAGACAAACTAAAAGCCTTTCTAATCGAGTCTCTAGTGTCTTCTTGCTTAATTTGGATCTCTCTGTATGTTGGTTCACCAATATCTCCTAGTAACTTATCAATTTGGTTACTGTTTGTTGGATTCTTTATTTGAATAAACTTTTTCATTTCAAATGGGACATTTTCACCATTATTAATTCCAATTCCAACAAATCCATGTGGAATTTCACATTCTTTTCTAGGGATCCCGAAATACTCTATTTCAGAGTTAATTTGAAAATTACATTGATTATTATAACAGATATCAAAGTCTTCTCTCAAAAATTCCTCAGGTAACTTTAAAAAACTGAGTAAAAACTTCCTGGCTGCTATAAGATGTATGCAGTATTTATTTCCAGAACTCATATTAATTTATGTTATATTTTACTTTTCCAGCTCAGAATGAGCAATCTCATCTCCAATTAAATGTGAGGTTGTATTCTATAATTTAAAAAACCAAAATCTGAGAGATCTATTCCATCACTCAAACTCCTAAATCGTTACAAATAGAGACAAGGAACTGATTTTTTTTTTCAAATATAGAAAGAGCTGAATTTTTGCCTATTCTTCTTTTTTAACCATATATACTCACAAGATCATGTATTTTTGGCGCCAAAAGTGGTTAGGTACCCAAAAACAGAAAATACAAGGAAAAAGAATAAGTGAGTTGAGTAATAACACAGAAATATTAATATTTGAGATTTTTGGAGGGAAAATCTCATAATTAAAGAAATAAACAAATATGAAAGAGACACGTTCAATATAGTGAGAAGCTTAAATTAATAATGTACTGCTTATTTTATGTTATTAGTAACTTCAAATTGTCTAGTGAATGTATTACTTTGACTTATCTGCCTCTGATTTGATTCTCATATTTAACAGAGGATCTCTCCCAGTATTTGGTGCAGTCTTAATCATGAAATATAGAAAGACGATCAAAGTAGCAGCTAGGGAAACACTCAACCAGAGTGTAATTTGTATGCTTGTTGCATCTCTTGGAACAGATTGAGCCTAAAAAATTAAAAATAAACCCAATTTAAATTTTACTTTTGATTACTCCATAGCCAAAGTTGTATAATAATTCAACTTACCTTGGCAGTACAAAATAAACTTGCCACAAACAAAATTATAGAGCTAAATACCTTGTTTATCATCTTATATTTTTAATTCTTCAGAAAATATCCTTCAAAGTCTTTTCCTATTAATAAATTCTTCAAATTTCCAATTCCTTATTTTTTCTCTTTTCTTAAATTAATCTCATAGTTTATCCTATTTATTAATTCCCAAAATTTCCCGCCAACACGCGCCAAAAAGTTAGGTGATGGTTTCAGCTCCAGAGTTTTCCTTTACAAATTTAACGGAAAAATTGTGTAAGGAGGTATCTAAAGAAATTAGAATATCTTCTATACATAGTTCCAGAATACTGTTCGAGAGGCTTTCTAGGAGTGATGTCGAAATTAACGAACCAGAATTAGGTTTTGACAGTAGTTTAGGCCGAATTATACAAGGTTTAACTTGGGGTTGTATTTTTTTCCAGTTGAGTGAATTAACAACACTTTTCATTAGACTATTTATCTTAGATTCATTCATTTTACTACTGTGGGCCAGCTCATTACAACAGCAATGGCTCTTATTAATTTTGTTAGTTTGGTCAATGCTTTGTTTTAACGTTTTTTCAAGTACCGAGGAGTACTCCAATATTTTTGAGATCCGATCTTCAAGCTCTCTTATTTTCTCTTGTGTTTTTTCTATAGATTCCTGATCATTCTCTTTTTTTTGTGTGGCTTCTACTTTTTTTTCTGGCTTTTTTTGTCGAGATTTAGAGCTTAAAAAGGTGGAATTCCGGATTCCTGATGTATTTTGGCATTTCCGTAGGCGATTTTCCTGATTTTCTGTTATCTTTGCCTTTCCCAGCCTATCCTGGTGAAACTGAAGTGACCTATTTGCTGCTTTGATGATCCTTAATGTATTCTCACTAACATCCGACATTTCTATATTCTCAACCAAAATAGAATGATTTTTCCCAGCTCATCCAATTATAAATACAGATCACGCCAAAATTTCATTATTTTCTACCTTTTTTAACTTAATTTTTAGCTTTCAAGAAATTTTATGTATTACCAAAAGACCCGCCAAAACGATTACAACTAAAAAAGGTAAATATAGCATAGATTTGGACAGGAAGTGAATTGTATTTTGAGTTAAAGAAAAAGGGAGAAACTAAGATAATTTTGTGTGTGGGAATGTCCTAATGAAGGACATGAGCATATTAACAGCCAATTTTTGGATAACATGCTTGTCATTTATAGTATTTTTTGGTTACGTTATAGGTACCGAAAATGAAAAGTTTGTTGAAAAGACTATAATTAATAGATTACTTCATAGAAATAGGTATTTCTTGGGATATGAGTTGGAGATAGAGGTAGATGAGGATTTGAATAAAAAAAATGACAGGTTTGTTTCTAACGAACTTTTGGGATTATTACAAATTCCTTTTCTAGAGGACATGTTAGTGGTTTCAACACAAGGTATGTGGAGAACAAATAACTGGGGAGAGCCTCCTAGCACCATTTATACTACAGGGTCAATATTGGACTTGGGATTTTCTGATGCAAGTTTAGTTTCTGAGGATTTTTGGTCATCTTTATTAAATAGAGTTTCTTCAATAATGTGTAATTCCTTGACAGTCTTTAATAATGCTTTGAATAGAGAAAAGAGTTGTACTCATATTATGAAGGGTAACAATCTGAGTAGACAAATATGCAATAACTATGATGACACCTTATGTATGGATAATTTAAATTGTTGGAGGAAGATTTTACCTTGTTTGTCATTGGACTATTCAGGTAAGGCAGGGTCTTATGGTATTCTAAAGAAGATATCTTTGGACTCCTTTGTAAAAGCATCATACAAATCGATAGGATTTGAACTTAAGAAAAGAGGAAGCAAAGCATATTTTAGGATTTTCTTTAACATAGTTTTGAAAGGAAAGCCTTTATCTATAAATGAAAAGAGACAGAACGAGACTTTGTGGGCATTAATAGGCCTTGAGGAGCCTGAATACGAAGAATTTCTTTGTCCAGTTTTTATAGAATCTAAGATCATCTATTTTTTGAATAGTATACTTGAGAAAGAAAAGTTATTAAGGAATAACGATATATGTAAGATTGTTTCCTATAACCACCCACTACGGGACGATCTATTTAACTTGGAAATAAATGCCTTAAAACTAAATAATTCTACAATTAAATTAGACCTGGAGTTTTTAAGAGAAATATGTGGAGTGACGTGGATTAAACATATTTCTGCTCTGCATCCTCAGAAACAACTTGAAGATAAGTCAAAACTAAGTTTTCTACACATTGATAGATCCTACGTCAGATCAGTAGTAGGAAATGACATTAAGAAAGATAGAACGGAAGGAAGTTTAATAATAGGTATGGATAATCTTCTTTCTGAAAAAAGTATAAGAATCTGCCATTGGGAACAGTTCCCAAGGTATATTAATCCTTGGTTCTACAAGACTCGAGTTTTGTCAGCAAGATCCAAAGTGATCAAAGATATCCAAGATATTCATGACAAAGACGGACAAGTGCTAATTTTGGACTCTTATAAGGCCTTCGAATTTTTAAATCTTAAAATCTACAAATCTCAAAACATATTGGTAAATTTTTGCATTAATTTAGCACCAAATACAAACGTTGTTGTTATATTCAAGTTTCAAAAATACTTCCTTCCACTTGAATATCTAGGTGCAAAAAGTAAAAGAGGCCAGATCTCTCCTCCTTCTGTATCTTATTGGAAAATTGAAAAAGATTCTAAGGAAGATAATGATGATTACAGAACTTTTTATCACAACATAAATATAATCCCAACAATTTTTTTGGATCATACAATGACTTTCAACATTATCGCAATTACAAGTGCTTTTGTCATTTTTGGAATAGTAACTACAACTAGGCCTATTCAGCTTAATCTTAAGAACATCTCTATAATTTAATTAATTGGATGAGAAATTAAACAAAACCCAATCTTTGTAAATATTTATTGTTTTTTAATGGATCTTATTGTAATTTTTTTTTCACACATTTTCTTATCTATATTTTTTAGACGATTTGGCGCCAATCTACCTTTATATACCGGTAGCTACATGCGGTACCAACTGGTTAGGCGCCAAATTATAGCAATAATAATTAAATAACTAGTAAATAATAATAGTCAAGTTTGATAATTAAGTTAGAATTTATTAGATGAGTAGAACATTAAAAGCTAATTTAACCGGTCAAAATTGCTTTAAAGTTGTTACAAATTGTAGGTAAAATAAACTTAGAATATATTTAGGACAAATTAATATTAACAAGAAATCAAGGCAATCTAAGTATTGATATAATTGCCATTAAGAGGTGGAGATCTTGTAGATATTAATTAAAGTTTATTTGCGAATTCAGCGTCAAAGATAAGATATATTATTTGAAAATGAAAGGTAAGGACGTGTTATCTACAGATTCAGAGACAGAAGATCGCTTTTCAAACGAAGGATTTTCTGACTCTGATTTGGAGTCTGAAGAAGGAGAGGAGATAAGTGAAGAACTTGTACCTGACTTTGATCAGCAAAAGGATGAGGAAGATGAAGTTGATATTAATATTAAGAGAAGTGAGGATAATACTATTGGCCCATTTGGATTGAGAGTTACAGGTGAAGATTTGGAAACAATAAAGTCAAGAGTAGAATCAATTGTTGAGTATTTGGACTCTAAGGGTCCTGGTAAAGTATCTATAGAATATCAGGGCTCAAGTTTAAGAAAGGCATCAAGAAGTGAGCTAATGGCCAAATTAGCAGATGACGTTTCAATCTTATATGGATACAATACTGAACTTACAAATTACATACTAAGTTTGTTTTCTCCAAAAGAAGCTTTGGATTTCTTTGAGGCAAATGAAAATAAAAGGCCTTTGACAATTAGAACTAACATGCTCAAGAGTAGAAGAAGAGATTTAGCCCAGAAATTAATTTCTAGAGGAGCAAACGTAGATCCTACTGGTGAATGGACCAAGGTTGGTCTTACAGTGTACTCCAGCAGTGTTCCAATCGGAGCAACTCCTGAATACCTTGCTGGACATTATATGATTCAAAGCGCCTCTAGTCTTATACCAGTTATGGCCTTGGCTCCTCAGCCAGGTGAGAAGGTTCTAGATATGGCAGCAGCTCCTGGTGGTAAAACAACTTATATTGGACAATTAATGAAGAATTCTGGTATATTATATGCAAATGATCTGAGAAAGGATAGGTGTACTGGTTTAATTGCTAACCTTCATAGAATGGGCATTAATAATAGTATTGTAGTTAATATGGATGGTAAAGAGCTGGGATCATTCCTTCCAAAGCTTGACAGAGTACTTCTTGATGCTCCATGTACTGGTCTTGGAATTATTGCAAGAGACCCTTCTGTTAAAGTTAAAAGAAGTGTCAAGGAACTTGCTCAACACTCTCTACTTCAAAAAGAACTTCTTAAAGCTGCCATCGATATGGTGGATGCCAATAGTAAAACTGGTGGATATGTAGTTTATTCTACTTGCTCAATCTCTATTGAGGAAAATGAAATGGTTATAGACTATATTTTAAGAACCCGTCACGTTAAACTGGTTCCTTTAGGGGTTGAAATCGGATCTAGTGGTATTTCAAAGTTTAGAGAACACAGATTTAACCCTACAATTTCCACATACACTAGAAGAATATATCCTCATCTTAATAACATGGACGGTTTCTTTGTTGCTAAACTTAAGAAAATTTCGAATGACATTCCTAAATTAATTAAAAAAGACAGAAACAAGTCTAATAACTACATTAAAACTTGGGGTAAGGAGAAGTGGACCAGTGATCTTATTCACAAAATTGACCCAGTCTCTCCCTGTGATTATTCTAAAGAAGAACAAAGCAAAATTGTTCAAAAAGACTCTAAAATACACACTACACCCATTAAAAAGTCAAAAAATAAACCAGGAAAAAGAGACAGAATGCTTTCTCGTTCTCTTAAGCAAAGTATAAACCAATCAAACTCGGAACCTCTACCAAAAAAATCCAATGTCAAAGTAAACTAATGTATGGAAATGGTTATACTATTTTATATGCATGAATTTGGCGCCCAATCAAAAATGCATGCATTCTCAAATTGTAATGCATGTGAAAAAGGCACAGGTCAATACTAACTTATATATTGGCAAATTGACCATATAAAAGATGTACAGGTAGTTTTCCCCCTGTATTTTAACCGATTTAGCTACCTTTAGGAGGTAAAACAAGTAAAAATAAATAAATACGTCTTTTTAAATAGTTTTTTGTTTTCAAAATCTTGTGCATTAGTTATAACAGATATAATTACAAAAAAAAATTAAATCAATTTACCGCCAAATTATTCCCGCCATCTGCGAACCACATTTTTTGTAGGCTTAGCATAAATTGTGAATTTGAGGGAAAATAGCATTTTAACCGTACGAATTACTGGCGTCTTCGGCGCTAACTTTTGGGGGGGAAAAAGATAATTTTCTTTGTGTTGTAAAGGTGATACATAAGGAAAGGATCAAGTGATCACAACGATATAATATTTAGAGTTTCTCAGGATAATAGACTTAAATGAATCCTGAGTACGACTACTTATTCAAACTACTTTTAATAGGCGATAGTGGTGTAGGCAAATCATGCTTACTTTTAAGATTTGCTGATGATACCTATACTGACAGTTATATTTCAACAATTGGCGTTGATTTCAAGATAAGAACAATAAGCTTGGAGAACAAGACAGTAAAATTACAGATATGGGATACTGCGGGACAGGAGAGGTTTAGAACTATCACTTCTAGTTATTATAGAGGGGCACATGGAATCATTATTGTTTACGATGTTACAGACAGAGATTCTTTTGATAATGTTAAACAATGGATCCAGGAGATTGATAGATATGCAATGGAGAATGTCAATAAGTTGCTGGTAGGCAACAAGTGTGACCTTGTAAGCAAAAGGGTGGTAACTTCAGATGAAGGAAGAGAGCTTGCAGATTCTCACGGAATAAAATTTATAGAAACCTCCGCTAAAAACGCCTATAATGTTGAACAAGCATTCCATACAATGGCAGGTGAAATCAAGAAGAGAGTTCAAGTAAACAGTCAGAATACGAGAGGTTCTGCACAACAAGGTCCCAAGTTAGCAGGAGCTCAGCCAATCAAACAAGGCGGCTGTTGTTCATAGATGTATACTTATTCTTTAAATAGAATCATGACTTTTGGAGCTTTATTTATATGTGACCGTCAATAACAAGTTTATTTTCAGAAACACAGATGATTGCTACGTTACTATACATTGTTAAAACACGAGGCTACACAGTGAAAATTATTAAATTGATATAAGATGGCCAATATTTATTTGCAATCTTAGATCCGAAGATTATCAGCTTCGAAAAATATTATTTTCGGTTTGTTACCTATATTTATATATCTTTAGGTAACAAAAAATTGCAGTGTCATTAAGAACTTCATGACTTACTTAAGGCTGTGTTATTACTCGTTTCCGGTTTTGACTTGCACTTCTTGCGTTACTATAGCGTTTTCTTCTGATCTTTATTGTTATTTGATACCTTTCAAACCCCTTCTGAAAGGCCGCGTTACATGTGAATTGGCGCCAAGCGCCGGTCAGGCGCCATGGTCAATTCTGTCTTTGTTTAGATATCACTCTGAAACTCTGTGGAAGTGAATTTGGGATGGCATCAATAAAAAAAAATTCTTTATAATTTCTTTTTATTATTTGAGCAGGCATGTAAGTTTGATACTAGCAGTGGTTCAGTATGATGAAACAAAGATTCCCCTATTGAATCTGTTAAAGAACAGTTGAAAACAGAAATCTTCGCTCAAATTTCTGATGAACCATTCGATTTTCTTAGGAAATTGTATTTCAAGCTAATTTAATTGACTTATGCTACTTGCAGAATCTATAAGGCTTATTAAGGATGTATTTCGAAAATTCTGGATACGCTTATAATGCTATTTCTTAATGATATTGAGAATGTGAAACAGATTTCAAGTGGGAGGGATTAATACTAAAATAATCTAAGTGATGAATTTATATTACATGTTAGGCTTGAAAATTTTTTTGGTGAAATAAAAAGAGTTCTGATAGTTATTTTAGCTCTTCCTACCATCATTTGTTAACTTATAAAAATGTCTTAGTACCGTAATGTAATTCAGCTTAAATAATTTGTTTAATTTTTAAGGTTATATTTTTGAGTCTGGCAGTTTAGTTTTATTTCATTGTAGTTATATTTTTATTGGCCTTTATTTTTGTGTTTACTTGGGTAACTGGTAGTCATGTATAATATAGCTTTTGGCGCCAAATGCTTTAGAAATCTTATAATATAAATCAGAGGTTAAAAATGCCTTTAGGAGGTTTCTTTGATTATTAAAAAAAAGAGAAAATAGAGAAATTAGATAGGTAGCAAGAACTATATCGGAAGATCATATAATATTCATAGAGTTCTTCGTAGGTGGTAAATAGGAGTAATATAACAAATAAGGCTTGAAAGGTAAATTACAGGAACTTATTGGAATACAAGCTTAAGAATGAATTGTTCATCATTTTCAGTCTTGGCTTTAGGGACATCATTCACAAGCGGAAGGAAGTCAAGAGAACTTTGGGAGAAGATATCTAATGAGAAAGCGAGGCTGCAAGAATATGATAATGTTGCAGAGAATTTAGGAAAAGAACATAATGATAGCAAGGGGGAAACAACAGTAAATGAAGATTATATTGTGAATAAGAGAAACTCAATGAACATAGCTGTGGATGGAGACAACAAGACTCCACCATTACTGACATTTAATGAGATGAAAGAGCATGGAAACCTCCCAAATTGGGTTTTGGATAATATTAAGAGTATACTAAAATATCAAAATCCAACAGCAATTCAATCTCAGGCAATCCCGTTGCTATTTTCTGGTGTTGATTTACTCGTACAATCTCCAACTGGGTCAGGAAAGACTTTGTGTTATATTCTTCCAATTCTTGGTAGATTAAGGAATGAGAAGGTATATTGTGCAAATTTAATTTTAAGTCCAACAAGAGAACTAGCACAGCAAATAGTTCGTGAGATCAAGATAATTTTGGATATTCATGGTAAGAAGTATCGTTGTAGGTATATTAGTGGTAAGATTGATAAAGTTCAAGAAAGTAATACAAAAAGGTTGGATATAGCAGTTTCAACTCCATATCGTTTGGCAGATATTTGCCGTAATAATATAATTAATTTGCAAGGATGTTCAATGATAGTTTTAGACGAAGTTGATAAGTTACTAGATATGGGTTTTGCTCCTCAAATTGATGAGATACTTTCACATTCAAATATTCCCAAGGGTGGGAAGGTTCAGATTGCGGCATTTTCCGCAACCTTACCTCAGAATGTAATAAATTTAGCAGATTCTATAATGAAATCTCCGATTAAAGTAACTCTTGGTCATAGACTAGCTGCTTCAAGTACAATAATTCAAGAACTTGTTTGTGTAACAAAGGATGATGCTAAAATTGAATCATTAAGACAACTTATTAAGCAAGGGAAAATAATGCTTCCTACTCTTGTCTTCACAAACAGCAAGGATGATGCTCAAAGACTTTTTAAGAAGCTTATGTATGATAATTTGATTGTAGAAGCCATACATTCTGATATGCCAAAAGTAAGGAGAGATAACATTATTCAGAGGTTTAGAACTGGCAAGATTTGGATCTTAATATGTACTGACTTAATGGCCAGAGGGGTTGACTTTAAAAATGTTTCTTGTGTGGTTAACTATGATTTTCCACATTCTCCAATTAATTATATTCACAGAGTGGGGCGTTGTGGGCGTGCTGGAAGGACTGGATATGCAATAACTTTCTTTACTTTGAGAGATATTCCAAAAATAAAATCCATAGCAAAGGTTATTAAGTCTTCAGGGGCAGATGTACCTTCTTGGATGCTTAAAGTTAAACTTAATAATATCAACAAATCTTATTTTAAGAAACAAAAATAGCTTTTAAAACATATTTTTGATGGCCAATTGATAGGAATGAGACATGATGCTCTACATTTTTATAATTATGACTTTTTGGCTTTCTATTGTTTCTTCCAATATTAGAAATTTTATTTTTTATAAATAATTTAATTGATTTTTTTTTTGACACGTATTTTTTTTTATTTACTGAAGTTAATTACGTAATATTTTATTTTTTTGTGCTTTTATTTACATGTTTACTTGCATGTACCGGTGCTAATAAAAAAGTGGTTTGCATGTGGACAACACAATCACATACCGGGCAAATTATGCAAGGAAAATTGCAAATGCCATGCAGTTAATAATGCAGATGTAACAAAGTGCAAAAAAAAAGAAAATTAAAAAAAAAGGGGAAAAGTAGAAATTAGTGAAATTAGATATTTTTGAAATTTTTGGAAAAGTTTTGAGAGTATTTAGTTGAAACAAATGTTGATGGAAGAAGAAAAAAAGATTTAGAATTAATAATAATAATTAATGCAATAATAATTTGAATATATTATTTTGGTTTGGAGGAATCTTTAAATTACATTTTGATGGGTAATAATATTAAGAGAGAATAAATTAAATAATGTTGAGTTCAAAAATTTCAAAATATGTCCAGAATTATCTTAATAACAAGGAAGTAACACCAAGTGAAGCTAAAGAACTTTACCATAGATTTGAAAGAGTATTGAACAACAATGAAAGCTTCAAAAAGGTGAGTTTTTCTCTAAATATTTCATTAAGTCGAGTTGAGGTCTTCGATTTGGAAAAATAGAAATGAATAATTAATTCATTAATTATTTTTAGGTTTGGTCAAAGTGTTTGATTGTTCAGGATGAGTACCAAAAAGAAAAGAAAAATATTATTGGAACAAGAAAAACAGTAGATATGATTAGAAACAATGCATTTTTTGGAGTAAAAGAAAATTTTAAAGAAATTAAAGATTTGATATCTGAGTATATGAATGAAGCAAGCGGATTATCAAATAAAGAAGAAGATTATAAAAGACAATTAAAACAGATTGATGATGATATAATTGAATTATCATCTAAGAGGGTTAGACATGAAGATGAATACAAAGAAAAGTTGGAGATGAAAATGAATAGCGATAAGAATTTAAGTAGTGTAATAAAGAAAAACGAGGAATTATCACATGAATTAATGATAAAGCAGGTAAATACGGTGGCATTAGAATCTTGTTCTAAGGTGAAAAAAAAGGAGATAATGAATTTAGAGGAAAAATTGAAGGAGTTCGAAGACAATACGAGATGTATACTTGGAATGATATCGATGGAAAATACTGCAATATTATCAGTGAGGGCAGAGTATACTCAAATAAATGAACAGAAGAAAAAGATGGTCAAAAACTTGGAAAATGAGAGAGAAAAACTGATTCGAGTTGCTAAGGATTCAAAAATAAATATTGAACAATTGAATAAGAAAATACTAACTAATAAAAAACAAATATTACAATTAAAAGGTGAGGAAAGTAAGAAAATTGAAATCATTGAAAAGTTAAATGAACAATTGGTAAATATAAAAGAAAAGAACACATTGGAGGATTCGAATCTGGATAAGATTCAAACAACAGCCAATGCAATAAAAAGCCAGTTAGCTCGTCTAGAAGAAAAGATGAGAGTAATAAAGTATTTATGGGAAACTAAAATTGATTTCAATATTCATGAGGTATTTGATGATAAGGAAATTTTACAGCAAGCTAAGAAGAAACTGAGTGATAAAAATATTGATATTTCAAATTATATTAGAGAAAATGGAGAGTTAATAATCAAGAAAAATGGCTTAATAGAAGAGATTGAGATATTAAAACAAAAGTTATCAGAACAGGATTTCAATTCAAATAAAATACAAAAGATCGAAATTGAATTATATGAAAAGATCAGTAAAGCTAAAATGCTTAATTCTGATTTACTTAAAAGACAAAGAGAGTTGAGCAACATAGAAGACAGAATTTCAGAAAGCAAACAAAGACTATTCAAAATAAAGAATTTGTTTGACAATATATCTAAAAAAAGAAGCCAAGAGACAAGGTAAGTTGTATAATTTAATGATTAAGTGGTGAAAAAGATGATAACTAATGATTTCTTTGATTTCTTATTTAATTCCTAGACAAAAATATATCAAAGAGTTAACAGAACTAACAGAGAGATTGGGTAAAAAACTTATACAGACAAATCCTAAGGTGAATATTACAATCGAAAGCATATCATAAATAATTCGTACAAACCTCAATCCACAATTATTATCTAAGCTTCGAATCAAATAATGTCTCTAATCAAACTCATCAATACAAAGAAAATGTACGTATTTAATAAGTATCAGTTATCAAAAATCTAATACAAAAAAAAATCTACTTGTGTAATGAAGAATCACCTCCAAAAATGCTGTCTCCAACACTATTATTATCTAAAGAAGAATATGTTCAAGGCAGATTTAATTTTGGTTAGGACCAGATAAGGCCTTAGCAGCGAGAGCTGTTTCAGATTTCTGTTTAATTGACTTCTTAAGAGCACGGTTTGCTGCCTTTTGACGTTGTTTAATTGCATGGAGTCTAGTGCCTGGGATTTGTGCTAATCTTGCACTCTTTCTAAGACTAGTGTATGCTGGGTTTAAGCATGCTCTCTTTGAAAGATTAGTCAAGTTATTCTTCAAAGTCTTAGTTCTTTTAATGCCACCCATACATCTGAATCCACGTAATGGTCTTAGTACAGACTGAACTTCAGTGGAATTAATGATACGGCTAATATCAGCATTAGTCATTGCTGGACGTGGTAATGTGTATCCAACCTTTGATGATGATCCATGAGTATAGCTACCATAAATTTCCTGGAGTCTCTTAATAGCGTCCTTGGTGAAGATGGTAAGACGACCGAAGGTGCCTCCTGGGGCAAGTCTCAATAGGTTAAGACGCTCAACTGAACATGTATCAACACCCTTAATGTTTCTCATGGCCTTAACAATACCATTATCTTCAGCATAAACAATCAATGGACCTACAGCACAGACTCTTCTTCTGTTTCTCATCTTACCCTTACCACATCTGATGGCAATAGAAGATTCAATACGTTTCATTTCCTCTTCGAGACCTATTAAATTAAGAGGATAATAAGTTAGAATAGTTACTAAAGAGTTGATTAATTGGCCAATATCAATAAGGAAAACTATTACAGGTATGTGAAAATATGGGTATGTATAGCTGTTTCTCTTTATAATGACAGTTAATTTGCATAGTTTCAGATATAAATTAAAGGAAGCATTCTCAACAGTTAAATACTTCAGTATGAGCTGGGTAACTTCCAAAATCATCCCAAAAAAGGCAAATTTATCACATAACATACTTGTTTGAAATTAACAAGTAATTTTACAAGAAAAGAATGTTTCGATGCAACAGCATATATAATCATCCAATTATCCCATGTATTACATACATACCCATTGTAATTCATATTTCCAATCACTTATTGGCCAATTAGTATCAAAACTTACCGAAATTCTTAAAGAATTCAACAGCAGCACTTGTTTTGTTGATGTTCTGGATTTCATTGGAGATAACTAAGGGTAATTCTGGGACATTATTGATACGGTGTCCACGAGCCATTACCAAAGATGGGCATCCAGTAGCTGCAATAGCTGCTGCAACTGCATGACGCTTTTCAGTAGTGTTGATCTTTCTGTGGAATCTTCTGTAAGTCTTGTTTGGACTGAACATATGACCACCACGACACATGTTACCAAAAGCACCCTGGCCTAAAATATTGAAGAGAATATTATTTCGGTTCAAATAATGAAATTTCAAATACTCATGTTAAAATTAATACGGTTCGCTCCATCAAAATTTGATTCAATCATGATCCAATAGAAAGACGGATTGCCAATATCTTCTGGAAAGTTATTGGTTAGTTCAGACCGCCTGTGATAGATCCAAAGGACTACTCCTTTTTCTCTAAAAACAAGCAGCAAAGAATCGTTTTATCCACATCATTATTCAGTGTGGTGCACGACTTATTCACATCATTTACCAAAAGCCTCCCCATTTAGATGGATAATCCTCTATTTGGACTATAAACAGTATTCATATATTTCGGATGTGGTTAGTTGGAAAATATTACTTTTTAATAAAGAAGATAATATGTGGACATAAGTAAAAAGTGTAGCAGTTAAACTCATACACCAGTTATTTAAATATCCATTATCCCAATTAAACCAACCAAATAAGCGAACCATATAACTACATGAGATTTACTTAGAACGTACCTGATCTGCTAGTACCAGAAGCAGAAACACGAGGAATACGAGCAACGGCTCTACCTGTACCCCATGACTCAGCGGAATGTTGGTGACCTAAAGTAAAAGATAGAAATTAATCGATGTTCAAAACGGTCAAATTACAATGTTATTTGTAATAATATCGAAATATGAGTGGCAGATAAATGATCAGAATCTACTATCTTAGAAATAATGAATATTTCTTCAGAACATCATGAGAATTCAGATGTCCCTATCAACAGCTTTCATCACGAATGGCCAAACCGTTCATATTTCCTTTAGTAAATCTCAAAAAACTTACCTGCTTTAGTAGAAACACCATAAGCTTGTCTCTTGTTCTTGGACATATTGGTAAAAACATAACGAACAAGATCATGTCTTAGTGGAGAAACAAAGACGGTTGGTAAAGGAATGCTGGAAACAGCCTTTGTAGAATCATTGGATGGAAAAACGCTAACAATTGGCCTTGCGAAAGTCATTTCTGGAAATAATTTGAAATTGCAAAAGTTCCAAAATTTAGAAAATGTAAATTTAAAAGAAAATAAATCAACAAATATTCAGGGCAAAAAATTGCTTTAGATGGCTTTTTTAAAACAATTAAAATATAATATAAATAAATAAATAAATATATATATATATATATACAAATATTTATATATTATAAATATAAGTATAAATACAAATACAATAATATTTATATAATAATATAATTCAAATCTATTTACGATTAAAATTAAATTAATATTACAGGATGGCGCCATAAAGTTTCGGTACCGGCCTATTGTCGTCTCGCATTCAGGCGCCAATTTGATACGATGATGCTATTGGGAAAAACGCATTATTAAACTTAGCGGGAGTGGGGAAGAAGTGGTTACATCAAGAAAAAATGAAGGTAATGCATTGGAATTGAAATTGAAAATCTCTCTTCTTAATTTTCAAATTCACCCATTAAATTCAATCATTCTGGAACGTTCCCAGAGAGGAGAGCTTGGGGCAAGCGAGGAATATAATTAGAAAACACAATAAAAGAGAAATAAAATAAAAACTCTGAAAAATATAAAGATCCTCCTCTATCTAAAAAGAAAGTGAATTCTTATTAAATGAAGTAAATTTTGAAGAACTTCCTCCATTTCTAAAAACTAGTTAAAAGTTTATCAGTATTTGTTAAGAATTCTTCACCTTAATAGAATAGTAAATAATCAATGTCCAGAGACCCACATCATAATCATCATAAGCACAACCCATATTACACCAGCATAATGCACTAAGAAAGTATAGTTACATGAGACCGATCCATTACTCAGACAAGGCCAGTGCAGTAATTGATTTCAAGGAGAAATAGATAACATTATTTTGTTCCTTAACATATTTAGGGATTATTATTCGAGATCATAAAATGGTAAAGCCAAAGGTCTTTTTTCTGCAAACATATATATCTATTACCAGTAATAACATATGGAGATAATTTTTAATGGTAGGAGAGTGAGTATGAAACAAGGAGTTTAGAACGAGATTTGGATTACATCTGAATCACAATTGCATATATTAAATTGGCCCAAGAAATAACCAAATACTCAACTCATTGTTAATGATTGCAAAAACTTCATAGCTCTATCACTCCTTCTATTATCCTTACTAACTTCAAGCCAAGTCATTTCCCTAGTAATTAGGTAGAAGAGGAAAACCTCTTCATCCCTCTCCTCCTGCTTAAATTATAAAACGCTTCGAGCCTATATAAAAAAAGCAGTGAATCTTCCCTTAAGTGATCATGTTAATATAAATCCAAAATTAATTGGGCTGATCTGTGATTGGAATATGGTAGGGTCAATCATAATACACACCAAGCATTGTTTATAAATAAAGGTGGTAATTTTCTTAAAAAGAGACCTTTTACTTAAGAGGGATGAATCTGGAAGAACTGGTTGAGCCAACACCTGGCTTTCCGTGACGTACTGGCTTGTAGGTAATAGAAAATTCTCCGAGGTACATTCCAATCATTTCTGGCTTAATTTCAACAGTAACATAAGTCTTTCCGTTGTAAACACCTGCAACAGAACCAACCATTTCTGGAAGGATCACCATATTACGTAAATGTGTACGAACAGCAACAGGTTTTTCTCCCATTGGACACTCAGCCTTGGACTTGCGGAGCTTTGCGATAAAAGCAGCAGTTCTTCTGTTAAGACAACCTCTGGCTATCTTACGTCTTTTACGTGCTGGCAAAAGCTCAACAACCTCGTCCAATTTCATGGTAAGGAGTTTGTCGAGGTCAACACCTCTGTAACTATAAGTTCTGAAGGTTCTCTTCTTATGTTCAACGTCTGCCATTTTTTTTTCTTCCAAGTTGAAGTTTATTTCTTAAAACAAGACTTCTTGCTTGTTTCCAATGGAAATTTGGCCTAATAATTCTTTTTTCATTTACGCGGAACGGAATTTTATGTTATTTAATAAGATGAACGACAATTTATATTTAATTAATTACTTTTTGACTATATAAAATTGTAGACAGAAATTTCTTTACCATTAGAAGTTGCCGCCTTTTTGTTTAAATTAATTTTCATTTACTGATACATTACATATAACAATTATTAACATTAAATTAATTATAAAAATATATTTTTTATGAGACACGTTACCTATTTTTATTTAAACACCGGCAACATAGGCGCGCAAAACATGCAACAGTGAAACAAAAAAAGATCACAAAGAATGAAATGTTGAGAAAATAAAAATTATATTGGCTTAAAAATCTAAATATCATTATGTTGCTTGTTTCATTTACCAAGATTTTGAGTTAGTCAAAGTTTATACTAATGGCCAGTATCGGCTAAATATTACTTGAATTCATTCATGATCTTCTCTAGCTTTAGTCCATTTAGTGTATATATAAACTAATAGTTTGAGAATTAATAGGAAAAGTAGTAGGTGGCCCAACTTAAGTGTAAGACGAAAATTTCCGTTTTTCATTAGATCCTGATAAGATACTTTTTTAAGAGAATTAATAATTATTTTAAAGTTTCTATGGATTTGTGTAGTGATGATAAGAAAATCTCCAACACCATTACTTATTCTGTTAATGCTTCCAGTCTCCACCATTCTTTTATAGTAATTTTCTGCAAGATGTAGATCTTGGTCAATTCCAATCCCAAATTGAGCCATGAATGCCAAATTAAAAGAAGCTTCTGAAATGGAAGAAATCATCCATCTGGAAGTTATTAGAGTATTAGAAACAATCTTATAAAGGTCTAAAGCTGCCATATAATTTGGAGATTCCATGGAAGCAATTTCAGGCTCCAGAGGTCTAATCCAGCTGGGAGAGGAATTCTTTAGGAACTTAGAAGAAAGTATATATTTAAGTTCCACTCCTTTCCCATAATATAAATAATCTCCATATTTTACCATAGAATCAACGTTCTCATTATACATTGAAAACTCTAAAAACATTTGAGGTAAATACCACTTATTTCTAATCTCTATACCTTTTCCACTATTATTTTCAATTTCGGTACCTATATGGGTATCGGAATTGATATCTTCAAGATCAGGAAAAAATTTTAAAAGTATTTTTGGGATAATCTTAGTTGAAAGGGATTTGAACCAGTACTCAGCCTTGTTAAGTCTCGATGAGAAATCTGGAAGAGGAAGCCCAATTATAGACAACACCCATTCAAAATGTCTGTTATTTTTGAGGTCTTGATCCAACAAAGAGGCTAAATTGGACAAGGAAGGATCATATCCTGTGAATGCAAGTTTCATTGTGTTTAGGATCATTTGATTCTTTTCAATTTTGTTCTTGGATCTGGAAAAGTTATTAGTAATTGAAATTAAATTTGTAACCCAATTAGATCTTTGTAAGACTCCTCTCAAGAATCCTAAAGCTGTTTTGCAGTCTTTGTTAGTACCAAGTCCATTCAAATTCAACTGAGAAAGTGCATAGGCAGATGGAAGATGACCTTGTTCATAAGCTCTAGTATACCAAGAAATCGCATCTGAATATGATTGTGAAGTACCCATACCGGTAAGATAAAGAGACGCCAAATTGTATTGTGCATCAGTAAAAAGGTGAAAGGCACTTTCATTAAAGTGATGAAAGGCTAATCTAAAGTTCCTCTCAAATCCTTCACACCCGTGAAAATAAACATATCCCATACCATTATGCCCCCCTGGATCATTGTATATGAATGCTGAAATTGAAAAATACTCAGCTGCAATTTTTAGATCTGGGGTGGTACCGAGTCCCAATGCATGCATGTAACCAAGTAATCCAATAGCTTCACCATAAATCAGTGTAGAAGGGGTATCTAGTACAACTCCAACCATTGATTTGGCCTTATCGGCAATTTTTCGAAGATATTTATAAGCTCTAGTAGTATCTTGCTTGAATCCATCTACTCCTAATAGGTACCTTTTAGCTAAAGCTAATTGGACAGTTATACTTCCAGACTCTGCTAAATTTATAGCCAGATCTTCACGATTTCTATTTTCTTTTAGATTAAAGAGTTTCTTTAGTGGTTCCCAGTCTGGAATTGAGAGACGTATTAGTTGCTCTTTTTCTGAATGCCCTTCTTTTTTAAAAGAAACTGAAGTTTTCGCTGTCTCTATATAGTTAGACATAGCGGCTTCACATGATTTGGGGACTCCTAATCCATGTTCATATCTAAACCCCAAAGTTAATTGGGCACCGGTATGTCCAGATAAAGAAGAGAAATATAAATATAGATTTGAAAGTTGAATGGATTTGGCTATATTCTTGAAAATAGTCTCATCATTTTTGCGATTCTGACCGGAAGAATACCTTGTTATTAGAGATTTATACTTTTCCAAGAACTTTGGGGCCTCTTCTTGTGAATATGGGTAAAGCTTACACGGTACCGGATCGTCACGCTTTGTTAGGTTTTCTATTAAAACACTTTTGTTTTTGGCGCCAAACTCACTAATGCTGCACTCTAGAGCATCCAAAAACGGAAAAAGCGTGTAAACCATTCCCATACAAAATTGACCTTCAGAATTACCATAATCTGACGATACCTTCCAGTATGATATTGCTGTAACAATATCTTGATCCACATATAATCCTGTGAAATACATGTCTCCAAGCATTTGAATGCATCTTGAATCTTTGAATTCACACTTTTTTAATTCTGTATATAATTTCTCGTACTTACTTTCCCTGTATAACTTTTCATACCAATCAAATTCTTGATCATGATCTGATTGAAATTCGGTACCGTATATTAAGGTGAAAAAAATAAAAATTAGTGTAATTTCTAAAATATTAAAAAAGAGAACCATTGGTGGTATTCTCATTTTTTAATTCTTTTAAAAGTTTATTTGTGTGCTGGAATCTGCTTTGTCTAACACTTAATTAACCTCATGTCAGGATGATTCCTAAGCCAAAACTCTTCCTCTGTTCCTCCTCAGATTCATTCTATTTCAAGTTTTTGAACTTTAGAAAAATTAAACTCCTTTTTTTCTCGTGGTATTGGACTTAAAGTAACCCTTTTCCACTTCTTTTAAAAAGTAACCAATAATACTTAGTAGAAAAACTAGATTAGTATTTCAAGTAGCCTGACTACTGTGATAATAGAGCTAAAGTAATATTAGTAGATGCTCCTACAATTAAGTAAAATAACACCTATACCTAAAATATGACTCATAGTTTCCCGCCAAAACATGCTAGGCCTTCAAACCTCTCTATAAAGGAGGGGGGCTATTGGGTGGGTATTGGTGGGGAGTGGAGCACAAAAATTGGGAGGTTATTGACCTACAAAAGAAATTATAAGAAAAGCTGCAGGAGCGACAGTTTTTAACAGTGGTACAGAAAACCAATTACAAGTAGGGCAACTTCTAGAATGAGATAAAACACAATTGGGTCGTTGCAACAACATAAGAAAAACACTACAGAATTAAAAAAACAAATATACAAAAGCAGAATTATCAAAAAATATATAAAACATTATTTTAGAGGTATTCAACTTAATCCTTAATTATCTTTTAGTAGCACTAGAAATAATCTTTAAAGCTTTAGTAAAATGCATGTTGTTGGCGCCGGCGCCAAAGTGTGTGTGATTCACATTATTGAAGGAAGGACGAGTTACTGATGATAGGGGGGTGGAGTGTGTCAGGAGCATCTTTGGATGAGTTTTTTGGCTTTGAGAGAAAATTAGCAATGTTGTTGTTTTCGATGTTAGAGTTTTCATCGTCTTGTAGGTTGTTTAAGGAGGTAGTTTCACTGAGTTTGGATGAGGCGGAAGAGGAAGATGCGAGAGGTGCGTGAACTTGAAGAGAGGAGTTGTTCAAAGAAGCAAGTTTGCTGGAAATGCTGTTGTTAAATCTGTGGATAGAAAGGTTGAGAGCTTTTCGGATGACTGTTGTGTTTCCACTGTTGATTCTTTGTTTGTTGATATGGTTCCATGCTCCATTAGCAAGGGGATTTGGGGAAGGAGTGAAGCAAGGTTCTGTAACGTATACTTCATTAGATTTGTCGATGTAGAGATTCATTCTCACCTTGTATTGTCTGAGTTCGTCTGAAGTCAGAGAGTCTTCGCTCCAATTAAGAGATGTAACTCTGTCGTTTTGCCACGACTTGATCCTATTGTCCCTAGCAACAGTGGAAATGTACCAGGGTCTTTGGAATACATCTTCCAAATCCATGAACATACAAGAGTCTCCAAAGATGCTGAATGGGTCTACATTTCTTTGTTCCTTCATTTTTGGGATCCAGTTCATACTTCTTGCCCAAAGAGGAATCTTCTTCTGTATCTTCGTAGTCTTGAGTCCACCGCTACCTCCTCCTTCTGTCCCACAGCCCTGTTGTTCATCCTCACTGTCTGTTAAAACGTAACATTCATCGGGATTCACGGGAGGAAGTAGTTTCAGACGTTTATGGTATCTCCTACAGGGGCTCTCTCCTATTCTAAGTTTGTCCTTTCCCTCTGTTTCTGAACTGCAAAATCCTTTGTTAATTGGAGTCTTCACCAAATGGCCGAAAGCCGTAGATCCTCTGCTCTGTCTGATAGTATTACTACTTCCCCCACTACCATTGTTGTTCTCTCCAGTTCCAGAGGCTATTGACTGGCCTGGAGGAACCCTATTTGCAGAATGGTGTAAAATGGACCTCAGTCCACTTTTCTTTACGTGGCTAATCCTCTCTGGCCTAACAAAGCCATTCTCTCCCATTTCTACTCTGTTCTTATCCAGAGGGGTTCCTTCAAGTCCTCCCTTAAGAACTGGAGTCTGCTCTCCTTCGGTAATCTCCTCAATACCTTTTTCTTGTATCCGCTCACTGGTTTGCCTTCTGATTGGTCTTGGAGGCAGGGGTGAATCCTCATTAGCGTTTGTAGTAGATTTAGAGACTCTTTCTTTCCCTACTACGGCATGATTCTCAACCTCCCCCGAACCAATGGCTACTGAAGTCCTTATAATTTCCTCTGATAAGACTTCTCCCTGAACCTTTGAGATTGAACTCCCTCTACCTCCACCTCCACATCCACCTCCTCCTCCTCTTTCTCCTCCTTCTCCTCCTACAACTCCCTCTCTCTGGGTCTGATGAGATACTGCAGTAGGGACAATCGGAATTGGAGTCGAAGGAGTAAGGGCCAGTAATGGAGGGCTTTGAAGTGGAGACAATCCCATAGACATAATAGCGTTTGGAGGCCCTGGGGATATCACATCCTCGTTGGAAATAGACTTGAATGATGGTTCTTTCCTAGAAGTCATCTCTGTCTTTGTTTCTGGGGCTGACTCTACAATGGAATTAACTTCCACCTTTATATCAACATCTCTTTCTGCATCACTTTTAGCCAACAAACCGTCCAAAATGTTCATATTATCTAATTTGGTTATTCCTAACTTCGTTCCAACTGGGTTCTTACTTTCTTCATTCCTCCTCCAAATTGAAGAAAGCTTAGGTGTCTTGTTCTCCCAAAGTCGTTTCATACTCGCTACAAACCCACTCTCATCCTTGGTTTTCTTTGGCTTTGGGCTCTCCAAGATTTGCTCGTCTTCACCACTAACCTTAGAAGCTACTATACTCTCTGTGACTTCTTTCACCTCACTCAGCTCTCTCTTTAACTGCTTGAGCTGGATTTTGCCTGCTTCCACAACTCTCCTCAAAAAGCCATTCACTACATCATTTATTTCTTCCTCAGTTGGATCCACCTCCATTTCAGGAAGATCCACATCACACATACGATAATCCAAAAACGATAAATCTCCCTCGTTAAATCTTGCCTTCAATCCTTCAAAGTTCTTCTCCATTAGTGAAAATGCCCTATCCAGCCTCTTTAGACTTGACTCCTTTGCTCTCTCTAATAATCCAATCATTTTTCTAAGGTCTTCCAGGGTCGCTACTTCCATTCCTCCTATCTCTCTGCAATCCACACCTTTTCCACTCCTCTCTAAGTCTGCCATCTCTGCCTTTTTTTCAGTCCTCCTTTCTCTAATGTCTCTGTTTCTATTTATCTTTATCTCTACCTCTCTTCAATTATCTCAACTTACTCTCACCTCAGCCCCACACTTTTGCATGCACTTACTTTTCTTTCTAATTATTTCTCCTCTTCTTCCTATAGCCCCTTAGAATCCTGCAGTTAGACCACTCTTGAAACCAGAACTAAAAAATAAACCAATATTAACCTTTTCTGACACTTCTTGTTACCTTACTCAGGTTTGGATCTTTAAAGCTGTATTTAAAAGACTGCAATGTGGTTCCTACCTATAGATTTCAATATTCAATTAAGTTTCAGCTTCTCAGTTCCAAATCAATACTTTTCCTTTAATTGCTTTTCCACCCTTGCCAGTGAATTTTTTCACATTTATCAAATTTTATTTTGTTCTTCCTACCCAAACCCCTCCCCTCTCCACCCCCTTAATTACTTTTTTTCCTTTTACTTAAATGTATAATGAAAAAATAATAAAGTGGCGCCATCGGGCGGGCGCCTACATGTATTATATACCAGTATTGAAAAAAAATAAATGGTACCAAGATGATTTTTTCAATTTTAATCAATTCAAAAAGGAATAGGTGGGAAGTTGGAATCAAATGCGAATTGATTAAATCTTAATAAAAGGAGAGGCCATTTAATTGACAGTAGTAAGCCTGTCACCCTTTTTTTGTTACCAAACACAGTTGGCGCCAGTTTAACTTGAATCTTGGGACTTGAAGTTCCATGAATTTTTCAGCTTCTTGTTCCAGATCTGACTTTAAATAACCTAGTTGTATATATATAAGTGTATTTATGTGTATTTGGGTACTTGAAAGACTGAAGGGTGAATAATTTAAGATCATGATTTCTATTGAGGGGGACAACAATTTAATTAAGCAGTTAAATAACTGTTTAAGTTGTCTTTTAAGAGGATTTAAATGCCAGGATGTGCTGGTAAGAATCACTAATGAGTATTTAATGCTTTATTCCTTTCCATTTGGTGGGTTTTCTTCGTGCTTCCAGTTCAATTTTGATGGTAGACTGTTTGATGTATTTGAAACTGGAGATATTGTAGAGTTCGAACGAATATATAAGGTAGATTCACTTATTAAATGTTTTAACAATACCCAATGGATTAAAGCCACCAGATTTATTTTTGAAATTTGTGGAAATGATGATGATACTTTAAAGGTTACTGTACATGGAAAAAATGGAATAGTAAGAAAGCACCGAGTATACCCAGTTATTGGCCATCAAGATAAAATTCTTCTTCATGAAATGATTCTCTGGAAAAGAAGACATGGAATAAGGATATCTTCTGGTCTTCTTAAGGACATATTTGGTTATATGGAGATTAAAGAATCCAAAATGACTCTCTCAATTTCATCCCAAGAATCTTTAATTTCTATTAAAGTTCAACCAATTGGAAACTTAGCATATGACATTCCAATAGCTGGACCATCGATTGGAACTGGAAATATTGGTGGAAATAGTATCTCAAATAACTCCACCTATCAAGATATTCAAATCAAAAAAGAACAAATTGAAACACTGAGTTTGTGTAGGAGTATTCTGGAAAACAGTAGTTTCACTTTCAATTCTAGGGAATTTAAGGTTGCTATTGCTTTAGCAGAAAATTGTCAACTTCCCGTATTCCTTACTCTGAGAGCACCAGGATCTCCCCTAATTATTTCCATTGGCCAAAGAGCCATTATTGACCAGATGTGCGTCTCAGATCTTGAAAAAAATATTATACCTTTTGAATATCATTGGGAGAAGCCTCTTTTCCAGTCACAGCTTTTTGAAATTGATAATGATTACATCGAAAAGACCCAAATCACTACTGGATTCTCAGCTGTCTTTCTCTTATCAACTGCCATAAACCCAGATTCAACTTCTGACCCAATAACCTCCTTTAACTCTCCTAATGAATACAATGAACAAGATGTTCAGGACCAGGACCAGGGCCACCATGTTCCCATGAACATTAGTCAAAAGTCCGAACCTGGGAATCAAAATTTCGCTTCTTTTAAAACCAATTCAGACATACCAACAGATAGCTCTCCAACCTTCTCCAAAGTCATCCAAGAAGCCCCTTCTGAAGATCACAAAACTGAGAATGAAGCTGAAGTTCTAAATTTCTCTTTCTCCAAACTAAATCACTTCGATCTTCATGAAATGTTTCAAAGATTTGGAATTGAAAACCAGGATGGCTCTGGAGATCTTGAAAACTCCAGCTACCCTGCAGTTGAGATCCCCCCAAAAGATCAGGGAGTCAAGAGCTTTGATTGGATTGCCACTTTAATGTGGTAATTTTCTAGCTCTCTGAAACTATCATCCTTGTAAATTTCTTATATTAATTTTTTCGATATAATATTTTCTTCGTTCCTCTCTTTCTCTCCCCCTTTTTTCTTCTCTACTCTTCTTATTTCCTTTACTGCTCTTCTGTTTTTTTCTCTCCCTTACCCTATTAATCATGAATTGGATGTTGCATGTAGGGAGATTCGCGCGCGCGCCAAACGCCCCGGTCCTTTTAAAATAATTTGGATGCTTAAAAGCTTAATCAAAATATTGAATAATTTTATGGAGACAAATTAGTAATAAGGTGCTTCAATATATTGGAATAGACCACGAATGAACGGAGAGAGCAAACATCTCGAGGTTCAGGCCAGTGTCACAAAGTCCAAAAGTACATTTAGTCTTTTTGATTTAGGTACTGTAATCCCTGTCCCACCAGGGGAATCTTGAATCCAAAGTCCAAGATTGATAAAGAAAAAGAGAAACTTGAACTTTTGTATATTTCGGGAGGTACTTGTTTAAAAGCCCTATTTCTTCATTTTTTGATAGTATGAAAGCCAAGCTAACTTTTCCTTACTTTCTTCATATTCCAGTAATAAGTTGAAAATAATCGTCCACCAAAGAAGTTTTCTCATATATTTATATATTCATAAAAACATACATCAAATGTCTTCGCAAGTTTTGGAAGAAGTGGAACATAATAGAGAGGCTGAGAACATTGGTAATCGCTCAAATTGTTACTCAGAAAGCCCTCAAGTCAACCTTAAGAACCAAAATGGAGGCCAATTCCTAACTCAAGTTGGAGTTCCATCTCAGGTATCTGAAGTTGCTGACCTTGATTCCTCTGAAACCCCCATCACATTCTCCAAGAATTGGTTAACCCTTGAGTCCGAGCAGCTAAGATTTGCAAGTAATTCAAGCTCTTTAAGTCTTCCTGTAAAAAGAATTTCACAAGAAGATTGGTCTGGTTCAGGTCTTAATGGGAACTCTGATGACAATCAGCTTGTGATACCTTCTCTAACAACGAGAAAGATTCGACAAATTTTAATGGCTTCCAGAAGATTAAACTCAAACCAACAAAAACTTGAAATTGGGGGAACTACTTTTGGATACCATAGAAAGCACAACCTAACTTCATCTTTAAAGTCCACAGATAGTATCTCAAGGACTTCAGTTTCCTTCCAGAGCTTTAGCCAGTCAAATGAATTAGGAACAGTGAGTAAGAATGCTAATCTCGATCAAAACCACTTCAACTCTTCTTCGGATAAATCCAATAACTTTCGTTCACCTAATGATTCTCAAAACCATAGAATTCAACAAAAATCAGGATTCTTGGAATCTTCGAATATTGCAAGGAGTCATAAGTTATACCAAGGAGGAAGCTCAGATATGTGTTTTTCACAGCAATACATTTCCCAGGGTCAATGCCATATGGATATACTCAAAGAAGAAATACACTTGATGGAACAACTGGAGCAAGGAGTATTACTATTTAACAACTCGCCAGAAGAGGGAATCTCTTATATGATAGAACATGAACTTTTGGAGGATGACCCTCTATACATTGCAAATTTCATCCTCCATACTGACTTCTTAGACAAACGTAAAGTTGGAGAACTTTTGGGAGGGCATTCCAACCTTTCTTTGAGTATACTTAATAATTATGTCCACTTATTTAATACCAATTCTTTGGAACCAGATATCGCTTTAAGGCATTTCTTATCTCGATTCTTTCTTCCAGGGGAATCCCAAATGGTTTATAGAATTCTAGAAAGATTCTCTGTTAGTTATATACGAGACAATCCAACCACTTTGTATACCTCAGATCAGATTCACACACTTTGTTATGCTTTGGTAATGTTAAATACATCTCTCCATAACTCCCATGTACGAACAAAGATGACTAAACAGGAATTCATCAATATGTGTACACACTCCAATCTTCCAGCAACAAGTACTCAACTGGAAATCATGTATGATAGAGTTGCTGATAACGAGATAAAACCATTATTGTCCCCTTCTGAAAAGGTATATGGAAGACTTTCTAGAGATCCAAAAGTCTTGAGAGCTAAACAGGTATCCGAAATTAATCCAACTCTTCTTCAAAAAGGAACTGTTTTTAGGAGATTCATAAACAAAAATAGCTCACATAGCATAATTGCTTGGATATCTTCAGATTCCAAATTCTTCTGCTGGAAAAAGGTCAGAAGTAAATCAAGTCACTTATTCAACCCAGGTAACTTTGTTAGTAACATGTCTCCCCAATTTAATAAACTAGTCAGTTACAACAAGAAACGTATTTTTAAATATCCAAATAGTAATAGTAATAATAGCAGTAACAATAAGGTCACAGATTCCAACATTCTCCAAAAAGATCAAGGTCAATTTGAAAACCAAAGCCGTATACTAACAAACCATTCTAGAATTGCAAACAAAATCCGTAAAGCTTTAGGAATGGATATTTCTGATCTTTCCTGTATACTCCTTGATGATATTATAGATATTAATGTGGGTGTCTCTAGTAAGATCCATTTAGATCGGAAATCAAGTAAGATCATGAGAAAGGGAACTACAAGCTTTTCCTCATGCAAAAACAATGTAAATCATTTGCAGAACGAACTTGAATCCAAATGTTTCTCACTAATAATTCGCTCAGGAGAATCCATTAACCTCTGTTCTCTAGACTCCACCTTTCCATCTTTCCTTATATGGGTAAGATTTTTTCACCAAACCATTCTCAAAAACCAAGAAACCAAAGAAAACAATGAAAGCCATGATAGTAATGTTATGACTGTTTACGGAATCCCAAACTTAGACAAAGGAATTGAAAGTGACCTATTGAGAGTATGGCACCATGGAATTTTCATACAGTGGGAAAACCACTGGAGCTTAAATTCATTTATAAACTTATGCAATTCTGAACTTCCCAGTTCAGTTCCTCTTTTAAATAAAGAGGCTCTACCATCAAATTCAAATTCCAATTCCGCTTCTGCTTCTGCTTTGTTTGGTTTCCAAGCTGGGCCATCTCCTGATAATAATCCCACTAACCTGCTCCAAGAAATAGTTTCTGTGCAAAAAGAGAACCTAATCTCAAGTACTGCGAGCTGTAGTAAGCCAAAACCAAAAGTATCTCCTGAATCCAAAAAGGTAGCTTGGATACAAAAGAAAGGAAATAAACACAGAACTCTTCCACAACAGTCATCCTTTTTACATAAGTTTAAGAACATATTTAATCTTCTCAAAATAAAAAAACCCAAATATGCACTTCCAAGCCATAATCTGCACAATAAATGCATTAACTACCAAGCACCAATATCCCATCTTATTCTACACCTCTGGGTTAATAATATCCCCTGTTCCTACAGAGGAATTCTCTGGAATATTGCAGTAGGAAATCAACTCCAAATCCAAATTTCGACTTTTAATCATCTTTTAAAACTCAGAAATAGTTTTCTGGCAGACTTGTCAAAATCATATAGCCCCCCCAAATGTGGGGAAGAGCACATGTGCATGCATACATGCATAGAAGGCGGGCCCCTTAAAGAGGCATTTTTCATTCATCTTAAAAGATTTCATAGAGATATTTCAAATGTATTTCCTGAACTCCATTCGTTTTTTATTGGAGCTGGAGCGGTCTTGGGATACAGAATTTGGGAGCGAATGAAACCCAAACAAAAATCAAAAAGCTCAAGACAGAGACTAATAATTGCCGAACAGTCTGACTCTTCCTTTACCCCTGCTCCTTCACCTTTAGGCGGGTTTTCTCCAATGTCACATATTAACCAGAGTATTCTGGAGGGTGAAGAAGATTCAGAACTTGAAAGTGTATTGATGTTTTTTAACGATAATCCGAGCATATACAGAATTGACCAGAGCACAAAAATTCTGGTTGAATGTTTCATCCTGTACAGACCTGATATAGGTTATGTTGAGGGGATGAGCCACATAGCGATGATTCTTTTACTCTTTAATATCAATTTAATGGAAGCTTTTAAAACTTTTACCAACCTTTTGCATAGCTGTTACTTTTTGGATATGTTTATGCTCAACCACAGAAATGTAAAAATGAGGTTGGACTTTTTTGACATGTTATTTAAAGAATTAATGCCCTCTTTGGCCTGCCATTTTGATCTTCTCAGTATCACATCGGACACCTATTTAATTTCATGGTTCACTTCTTTATTTTCTACATGCATTCCAATCCAAGTTATTCCCAAAGTTTGGGATTCACTTTTTCTTTTTGGAGAACCGTATGCCTTCCAAGTTGCTCTTGCCGTTCTTAAGTACCATGAACACAAACTAATTATGACCTCCTTTGAAGGGTGCATCTCCATCCTCCACAGTATTCCATCTACGTTTGACTTTAGAAGATTCAATCGTGCCCTTGAGCAGTTTAATGGGACTATTTCCCATAGATTTGGGCTCTGGCTTGCCGCTCAAAGACTTTCCGAGCAAAAAACAGAGCTAATGGAGGAGCTATTTTAAAGCCTAATATAACTCTTTTAACAGGAAAAAAAGGGAAAATCTTGCTTTGTTTCTCTTTCTACTAAGTGATTTTTCCTTTTTATGAGGAACAACCCAATTCCTCTAACACAACACTAGTTATACTCATTATTAACTTTTATATGCTCTTTAATTATACAATATCTAAATCCTATATTCTAATTTTCTATTTTTCAAACTCATTCCTAAAATTACTTTAAAACCAGTGAAAAACCTAAATCACTTTCAACTACTTTCAATTCCCCTCCTTTTCTCCTAATTTCCCCTAAAAAACTGTCTATCTATTTACCTTTCCTGTTTCCATTATTTTATTCATTTATGTTCTTCCTTCCCAAAATTTTCCATGTCAGGCTTTTCTTAATTTTCCTGACAGCCGGAGACAAGACGTAGATACCGGTATAAAATTTCTATAATTTATTACCGGCATGTGTGAGTTTTATAAAAAATAGATTAAGGTCAAAAAAAAAAAAATAGAAAAAGAGAAGGTAAAAATTTTGTTAGTTAGTCAACTCAATTAGAAGAAAGGAAATCATGAAAGTAAATTGATTAGGTTGAGAATTGTTTGGAGTCAAATTTAGCATAATAACAGTAAAATTAACAAAAATATACTAAAAATAATCAATTAATTAGCTAATTAATAAAGAATTATATAATAAACTACTCAAATCTCTAGATTCATTAAAGTTAATCAGAAATCACTTATTAGCAAGTATTGAGATCATCAAAAAAAAGATTTATCATTTTCATTTAAAGTATAATAAAAACTATAATGAACTCTTTTACATCAGCTTCTTCTTCCATTTCTTCCATTTCAAGAAATAGCCAAATATTACCAAATTATTTTTTCCAGAGTGGATCTCTAAGTGAAGGACTGGGAAATATCCCAGTTGATCATGATGAAGAATCAAAAGTTACAATACCTGGGCAATCTATTAAATCTTTCAATTCTAGCCAATTATCAAATGATCATATTAGATATAGCCCAGTTCATTCATTGACAGGAGCTCCAATATATAATAGTATTAGTATGGGAAGTGATGAATATAAGGAAATGTTGAGGATGAGTAATGAATTAAGAAAAAGCCAAGAATTTGAAAGAATTCAAGGTAGAGCACCACCTGAAATGTATAAATCACCAAAAAATTCATGTATTCTTAGCAAATGTGATATTCCAGAAGTTTTAGGAGATTGTTACAAAGTTGAAAAAACCAATACTTTAGCGGACAGAAAACAACTAAATGCTCCCATTTATGTTAAAGAAGAAAAAGTTCTCAATTCCATTAGTAAGAATGTTGTTAATAATATTCCATATTCTCAAGTTTACAACTCAAATAATAATGCGAATCAACCTAGTGACCAATTGAAGTCTTTGTTTAGTATTAAATCTTCAGAAATAAAAGAGCCCAGTAATAAAGTGAAAGAGAATGCCTTAATCCAGGAATTTAAAAATAATAATGTATCAATACCTAAAAAACCATTCATTAATAATGAATTTTCCCCAATTACTTGTATGAATAATACGTGTTCGAATATTAAAGGAGCAATCAATATATTAGGAGTTACAGGGAAGATATTTATGGATGTATTATTTCATTTAGTCAATGCTTTTGATTTAGATACAAAAGAAACTTCCAATAATAGTAATAATAAATTTGAAAATATGCCTCATTTCCCTGTTTCATCAATAGGAATACCACCAGATACCGTAATTCTTCAGTGTTTTGATTGTGGGTTAATTTACTATACAGATTTACCATTAAACAAACAACAACTTGGTACTATTGGTATTTTAGATCCAAAACCTATAGAGTTTGGTCAACCAGATTCTGAAGAAATTATATATGGAATATCAAATAGAAACTCTCCATATTATTGCTGGGGAAATTTGGAACCCAGAGACTTGTCTCCAAACCAAATTGAATTCTTAAAAAAGATTGATCTTAGAAAACAAAACCGATTTTCACACCAAGATCTTGTTGATTTATATTATTATAGATTTCGTAAAGATAGAAGATATGAAGAAAATTTTCCAATTTATGTACAATCTGATCCTCAGCTTCATCTTTACAAATTCTATAGAGAGACTATGCATGGTGCCTATAATGGAAATAAAACTCCTCTTCCAGATCTTGGAAATCATTTTCTTCCATCTCCTTGGAATGGAAACAGAACCAATAATAAATTAAATAAATCATCGTCATCTTCTTCTTCAAATAGTAATAAGAGTACTGAAACAAAAAATAATTTTGAAAAAGACCAAGATGGATTTATTATTCTTCCAAAGTTTGATCCTCCCTCAGAAAATCTAAGTGAATATGATCTGGCAAATATGCCTGACAAATCTCATATCTTTCCTTTCATTTTAGATAGCTTCTAATTACTTTATTTTATCTTATGAATAACTAAAAATATATGTTTGATGCTAATTCATCTTCTTGTCTCTGTAACTCTTCTATTTCTTTATCTAATATACTTTCTATGTATTTTAATTCATTTATTTCCATATTTGAAGATTTATCATCTTCTATTTCAATTTTTTTGATATCATCTTTTGATTGGGAAATATTATTAATTACATGATTATTTAATATCTTATTTTCATCTAAACTTATTAATGTTGTAATCTTTTCATTATTAGCATAAATTTCTTTTGGACTTTTTCTATTCAAATTATTAATTTGAATATTTTCGTTATCATCATTTTCATTATTGGATAAATAATACCAATCATATGGATCTAAATGAGACTTAATATTATTCGCCTGTAAATGATTTTCATTATTATTATTTTGAATATCCAAATTCTTGAAATCTTCTTCTTCATTGATTAGGCTTTCTCTAGAATCACTAAAAGAATCTTCCAAATCGTCATCTTTTTCATTCTCAAACTTATTGCTTGAATCCACATGATGAGAAAAGTCATCTGAAATGTTTGTAGAAATATCATTTGTAGTATTTACACTATTAAAATTAATCTTATCTAACTCATTAATAATATTGAAAAGTTCGTCATCAAAATTAACTTTATTGACAATCTGAGACTTTGATTTTTCTTCCAATATACTCAAAATCACGTTTAAGTTATTTTTTTCATTTGGTTCATTTTTTACATTTTCATTAATTACCATATTATTATTTGTTTCTATACAGTTACTATTCATGGTTTTGATTACTTGGTCATTTTTATTAGAAGATTCATTTAGGCCTATTTTTATTTGATTTTCTGACATACAATTAGAAATTTCAGTGTTGAATTTTTCATCATTTTTTTTAGAAGCCATTAAACTTTTTCTTTTAAATAATCCAATATTTTTCTTCTTAGTATTTTGAACATTTGTTGAATTCGAGAGGCTGTTTACACTATCTTTAACAATGTTTTTCTCCTGATTCTGTTTTATGTTTAATTTAACTTGATCTGAAATTATGTTATCGCTATTATTACTAACATTATTATTAACAGTGTTTTCATCATCAAACTTAGAATTAACTCTTTCATTAATAATTTTTTTACTGTTTTGTCTTCTAATCTCCGAAAGTCTAGTTGGCCTCATATAATTTGGTTCTTTTTTTAAATCTTGATTATTTATTTTAATTTGATTCTCATCTTGATTTCTATAATCAAATTGAATTTGATGGTCTTTCTCATACTCAATATTATAAGATTGCTTTTCTGTATCATTACTTAGATAAGAGCTCAGAATAAATGTACTTTTCTCAGTAATTGATAGTAAATCTGAAAGATATTCTTGAAAGCATGTTGAAGTATTTTGCAAAAGTTCATTATTAAATATAAAAAGCATATCTATTATGTTTTGGTTTTCATTTAATTTATTATTGTAATAAAAAGATTCTGAATATTTTTTAAATTCAAAAATGAGTTCTGGATTAACTTCTGAAATATATTCCATTACAATAAACATTAATTCATAATCCCCGAGTTTTTCAAAAACATATATATTAGCAATCAAAGATGCCCAATAAAACGGAATCTTATATGTAACTTTAAAAATGTCCTGATGAGTTTGATTATTATCATAACAAATATTGTTATTATTCTTACTATGAGGAAAAATTGAAGTAAATAAGCTTTGAATTCCTTGATATATTAACTTAATCAAATTTTTCCTTTCATTTTCATCAGGATTTATTCTCATTTTTCTTTCTATAGTCTTTTTTCTTTTATTAAACTTAATTATATAATTTTTAACTTGTTTTGAATAAAGAATTTCTCGTTTTCTTCTAATATATGTACTATAATTCAATGTAAGAAATAATGATTTCCACATTCCAATTGAAGTAAAAAGTTGTATAGTAGCATTATCATCAATTCCATCATTTAATAATAATTCATGTAATTTTTTTTTTGTTATTACATTAATATCATTACCAAATAATTGTTTTTTGTCCCAAGTCATTTTGGAACTCAAGCCTTCATATATCATATTTTCATCATCTTTATCATTTTCATATTTAAAAAAGTCACAAGTAATTACACTGGACCATATAATTTGTCCATGACTTTCTAATTCAACATACCAAATATTCTCAACAACTCCTCTACTTAAAATTATTCTATCTAACTCTTTAGAATACATGTTCAATGATATTTCATTATCACCTAATTCATATTCAGTATCACTCTTCATTATTTCATCAAACCTTTTTCGGTTGTACTTGGTTTCCATATCATCTCTATAATATTCACTTTCATAAAATTTTGGTGGTTCAAATTCGCTTGAATTAACTTCTTGTTGACAATAATCATATTTTATCCATTCTTCAATGTTACTTTCTTCAGCATTGAGCATTTTCCTATTTTTTTTTACTTTTTCACTAAAAAAGATTATTTTATTACTATTTTTTAGAAAGGACCACTCAATACTTTTATTTTCTCCGGAAAAAATATCTTTCTTTTAATTTCTACTTCAAATCACTTCTTCTAATATTATATTTTATTTTATTAATGTTTTGTTTTGAAGCCACATAAAAACACTGCCTGCATGCACAACCACAATTTTGTTGCCACCTAATTGTTGCCGCCAAAACATGTAAAAAAAAGAATTATTCCATGCATGCAATACATAACGGTATGAAAATTACTAAAAGTTATGTAAAAAAAAAGTTTAGTGGTCATGCAGGCGGCTTCTCAATCATTTTTCATGAGAGTCATTTCATTTTCCTTTTTTTTTTAATACTTTTTGAATTAGTTAATTTTTTAGAATTTTGTTTTGTGAAATCTTTTCCTTAGTTTTACATCTCAAAGTTCTGCCTTATTAAGGCTTTGACTAACTAAATTATTATTTAAGTCTCTAATTTTTAAATTAACTAATTAGCGGCGTTTTTATTTTATCTCCCTATTATAGAAAAAGCTCAAAACTAAGTTTACTATTATTATCTATGTTAAATATTTTATCTCACTATTAGTTTGTTATCACATTAATTTTTTTAACCTATTGCTTCTCTAATTTACCCAAAGCCTACAATTAGTTTTGTTTTGATTACTATTGCTGCTACTACTCACATCACTACTCACATCACTACTCACATAACTACTCCCATCACTACTCACATAACTACTCCCATCACTACTCCGTCACCACCACTACTACAATTCCACCCCTACCTTACAGGAAAGAAAAAAAAGCACACTTTGTGTACACAGAAACACTGACACGAATTGAATATTCGCCCAGTCATTTCTAAAATATTTTCTGTCAATTTATAACGAAAAATATAAAAATTCAGGTAATAGGACGTAATTTACATGTGCATGTAATGATCACTGTATAATTTATCTTAGAATCCCAAGCCATGGCGCGCATACTATTACATGATTATTTATATCCAAACAAAAAATTATTTGGAATATATAAAAGTTTAGTTTAAAAATCCTATATCTTAAAAACTTTATCATTTTTACCAATACTCAATGTTACTATAATTTCTTTCTTTCTATCCATCTTTCTAACATGACCCCCCTAATATTCCATTTCCAATGCTAATTATATTAATACCCATTTGGCGGTAAAGTGTATGCAAAGTAAAGGTAGAACTTGCCCAATATAATATTAATCAGAATGCAGGAAAAAAAAAATCGAAATTTTAAACACAAAACTTAATATTTAAATTCTAGTATACCACAACATCTTTATGAAGTATTTCTCTAATCATTTAATTCAAAACCCAAGTTTTTTAAAAAAACTAAAAAAAAATGGTATAAAGAGATGTATCAGTCATTTTCCCTATCTAAAATTTTCCCCCTAGGTATACTATGATATAAGACTTGGCGCCAAATGGGAGTATACGTATTATTCAGCACACCCCGGTAATTCAATTAGTAATTAATAGTCAATTTATCTAATAATTAATGCATTAGACTGAGTTGCGGTATGACAGACGGTTAGTCACGGTGTAACAGTTAATGATAGGGATAGATAAAAGAAAAGAAGCAGAAATAGATTATATTGATTTTCGTGGGGTATATGATTGGAATAGGTCAATGAAAATATAATTTAAAAAAAATTAAGGTTTATGGAAAACTCTTATAAATAAGTTAAACAAAAGATTTAAGGGGTAATTAGATAATTCTGATATTGGTAAAGTTATTATTCATATTGGGTAAGAATTAGGTTTAAGAAATCTAGCTAAAGATTCTTAAAAAAGTTTATCCAAAATTGCACTGCAGTACCAATATCATTGAATTATTAAAACCAGGTACCATTTCCATTCATATTCAATAAACAACTAAAGGAAAAATATTGTATTTTTTTACCTAATAGATATACAACCATTATAAAGTCAAATTCTGACCATACAGTTTATACAATAAAAAAACTGAATATAATTAATACATATACTCCACTATTACCATTAATCATCATTCCAAAAATACTATTCCACTATTATCGTCATTATTATCATTGTTAATACTATACAAATTTTAATATAATTACTGCTAATCTGAGAATCATAACGAGAGGTCATTACTTTAATATATTAACTTCTTTCTAAAATCGGGAATTTAATTTAAGACAATAATCCTAGCTATAGGGTTTTTATTCAGAGTACCAGAAAGCAGTACATGCATTAATATCAAACTAGCTTCAGATTTTTGAAATAGCTTGCTTGCATATATATATCATCCAAGGCATTTTGAATATATATATCTATTTATTTATTTATATTTATATGTATTTATACTTTAATTAGCCTCTGAATGCACTTATAGTAAGCCTGGAACTAAAGGAGTTCATTTACAGACCTACTCAGAATCCCTGATTTGGATATTGTAACTTTATTCCTAAACTTCTTTTGGTATTATTATATTAGAGCATTTATTATTAACCATGACAACGTCTTTAATTAATAAAAATAGGACCCCAACAAGAGCAAGAGGAGAGAGAGTGTATAAACCTGGTGGAAAAAAGGAATGGAGAGTTGTTTTTTGGACTCACGAGTCCACAAAACCTAGTAGAAGACAATGTTCTTTTAGTGAGGCCAAATACGGCAAAGAAGCTGCTTCTCTATTATCTAGAGCAGTTCTTGATTATATAGATGTAAAGGGTGTAGTCCCGGATGATCTCCATGATCCTCCAATTTTAGATCCAGCTAAAAAAGAACTTATCGAGTATTATAGTGCTTTACATGAAAGCAGAAAAGCTTTACAAAAAAAAAACAAGCCAAAAGGTAGTAATTCTAGTAGTAAAAGTACATCTGAGCCAAGTATTGTACCATTATATACTTTAGCTCAAACTCAATCTCCAACTATGAGTAATATATCATGTGTTTCTCCGCAATACCCAAGTAAAGTAAGTAAGATTGATAAATTTTCAGACCTTACAAACCTTAGAGACCAGTTTCCAACTGAAGTACAGACCAGCTTTGGAATTTTAAATAGTAATAATAACTCCCCGAATGAATCGAGAATTCTTTCACCATTATCGATTATCACAAATTCTGGAGGAGGTCCAAATATTGAGGAATCAACAACAAAAGTTGGTCAAGAGACATCCATTTCGAATACAAATAATATTAATAATAGTGGTAATAATGGTCTTCTAAACAATATCCAGATACCACCTATCCCAAATATTACTTCATCTGCGAAATACAGTGGATTTGATGTGAATAGTAACAAAAATAGTAATATTAGTGAAGACGGAAACAAATTTGGTAATATTAATAGTAATAACCATCTTACAAAGACATCATCCTCTGATACTGATGGGTTTAATACAATGATTAACAATGTAATATCTGATATTAACAAAAATAACTCACTTTTGAATGGGGGAGCTCATTTCGCTCTAATGGGCTCCATTTTCCATAATCAATTACCACATGGAATGCATAGCCCTGTACCACCAACCCAATTTCCATCCACGGGTACTTCTTCTTTATTCCCAGATTTACTTTCCTCTAATTGTAACGGACTTCTTAACCCAGACCTAAACCATATTCTGAACCAAACTTGCAATCAAATTGCTCTTCAAAATCAATTCAATTTTTTAAATCACTTAGGGTACTTAAACCAATTAGCAGGGCTAACTATTGCAGGGGTTAGTGGTAATGTCATAGCTGGACATCCAAATTTTATGGTTGGATCACTGATCCAAAACTTTCCTTTTTTTCAAAATCAAGATATTTCTTTTGCCACAAACTCTTACGGAATTGGGAATACTTCTCAAAGAAATGTTTTTATTAATGAAACTTTAAATTTAGAAGAGGGGGGATTCAATGGCTCTATAATTTCAGGTAATCACGATAATACTAAGACTGAACATGTTTCATCTGGACAATCCACTTTGATTTCCCCAAACCCCTTTCAACAAATAAAAGGAGAATCTTTTTCTTCAAACCCAAAGATTAGCAAGGAAATGATTGCTTCAGTCCAAACCTCAACTGATCATTCTTCTACACCTTTATTGGCTTAAACTTGTTTTATTTATTTATTTCAAGTGTCTTTTGAATTAATATTTTGATTATTCAACCTGTGAATTGAATATAATTAAAAAATCAAGAAAAAATGAGAATTTCAGGTTAGTAGGGAATTAGCTATTATAACTTATTTACTATTCCACATGAGTATTTATGATTACGTAATTGCATGTAAATTCCGGTATACAATTTTCTTTAACCTTTTTCCCACCCCCCAGCTCCAAATTAATAATGAGATAATTTTACCAAGTCTGCATGCGCACTATAAAATGAGTACGTGTCTCGTCTCGTAGCATTATTAGAGAAAATAAGGAATTTTGAATAAACAAGAAATGAACTAATATATATATTATATAGTGGAGATTTTTAGTCTTTAGAGGAAATAAGCTTAAAAAATATTAGTTAGGTGGGAATATAACTATTATAACAAATAGGTGGCTTTCTGTATTGGCAGACTCCTTAATCCCTTATATTCTAAGAAATCCTCAATTATATTCAATTGAGACCTTTTTTTTATTAAAAAAAAAAAAGAAACAAGACAGGTGATCTCTGGAAAAATATACTTTAAGAAATCTCAGTCTTCTAATATTATATTTAAAAAGTAATTAGGATGGAGAACCACAGAGCTATAGAATATAACCGGCTTCTTAACGAGTCTAGAGATGTTGCTAGCCTGATCAGAAAAGGCAAGGAACTGGAGTGCAAGCTTATTTCAAATAAGAAGCTATTTAACATTTGCCAGCTGCTGCTTTGCAAGAATCTAAAGGAAATAGAAAGAAACTCTGCTTCACTTTTGGATAATGAACCAGTTGTCATTTGTGATTTAAGAACAAAAAACCAAATAATAAAGTCAAAAACAAAAATAAATAGCTCAATTGAATGTAATAGTTTGGATAGGGTCAAAAGAATCTTCCCAGGATTAAATTCAAACAAGAGCTCTGAAATTGTTGAAATCAATAGAAAACATGTAGTAATTTATGACTTGGAAGGAAAACTTACAAGCAGCAATGATTTGGAAATCTCCCAAAGAGAAGTATTAGAATACTTAAAGAGGTGTGTTCACTCGATTAAATCCATATATTTATTAAAAGATGGTTATTCCTCCTTTTATTTTGAATTTCCATATATTTGCTGTAGCACAGACTCCGAATGTATATCAAGTATCAAATCAATAAAGAATGTTCCACAGAATCTGAAATCAAAGATTATTGCATCTATTGAGTATCCACTTGCTGTTAGTTGGGGAGAACTGTATAAAATTTATCTTGGAAATGTACTTCAAGGTTGCCATCCTCAGATTCTTGGAAGTCTAGAAATAAAAACTATTATGGACTTTACCCCAAATAAAATCAAGTCTGAAGGTAGCAATAAGGTAAGGATCATTCATGTAAACAATACAGAACCCAACCTTTCTGATGAGGATTATTTAATTTATGCCAACCTGCCACTAGAAGAAACAATTAAGTCATTCAAAGAACTTGAAAAAAACTATCCGAACCCAAGAGATTTATTCCCAATGATGATTGTCACGACGAGAGTCACAAGTGAAACCGTCTCCATAGCCTCTATTATTGTATCATATCTCAGAAAATGGCAAATTACTGCAACTCTTATATTTACTCTCAACCAAATAGGGCTTGATAATAATATCATAAGTCCTACCGAAAATGAAGAAGTTTTCAAATTGCTTCATCCATCCAATTCACAAATTGCTCAAATGATTAGTTTCAACTTCTCTTGAATTATTTTTTATACAGCTATTTTTTAAAAAAGTATGGAAAAGACATTTTGAGGACAAATGCCACGTAAATTCTGCAACTTCTTTGCATTAAATTTGAACGGTCTGTTGGTTCAGGTTTTCATAGTATTTATAAAGCTTTTTGTTATTTTTTCCAACCTCTGGTTTATAATTTCCTTATCTCTCTTATTAATTTTTTTATTCTTTCCCCATTTTGTAATCAAATTGTCCTTCGAAACGATTTTATGAAAGTTCTATTCCTGGGAAGCACTCTTGAAAGGTTTTTTTTGGATGTTTAGCTTCCCAATGTTGTTTAAGTAATGGGCCAGTTTGAACTTTCATAAAAGGTTGTAAACAAATCTGGCACTTCAAGCTCATAGCTTCGGCATTTACTTTAAGCTGTGACTTCCCTTCTTTGGAACCATTAGCTACCTTTCTTTCTCTACATTGATTTCTCTTGCAAGCATTTCCTCCCTTACCCATTTGCACCAGACTCTCCTTGAATCAAATAGTACCCTTATAAATTAATCAACAACAAAAACAATATTTATAACAAAAATATCACTTTTTGATCTAATTTAAAATCTGATTTTTCGGTAAAATAACTTTTTTTATTACTTCAAAACTCTTAATTGTAACTTTGACAATAATCTTTAGAATAAATTAAAATGGGTAATTGGCGCCAAATTGATAATTAATTTGATATGTATATATTAACATCACGACAAGTATTATTCAAGAATACAATATTTTTTGTGAGGAAGTAAAATTCACACAAATAAAAGCAATATTTGTGTATGGGTTTACCCTCATACCTTGAATTATACACCACTATTAAATTAATTTTTAAGCTGGAGCATGGATTTAAACTGTCACTCTTTTTTGGGAAATGTTCTTTATAGTGACTCCTCAGTATTAAAGACAATTACTGGTAAATTCTTTCCAAGCAACAAAAATAGGCAATTTCTTGATATTTCCACGCTAAAATACCATGAATTAGTGGTTTTTAGTGAGTTTTTTCCTTCAATTAATGAAGAATTGTCATCAATAACTTTTAAGCTTGAAGATGCATGTGTAGACTTTTGGAACTACTCTCTGGAAGGTAGCCCATTTGATTTAATTTTAGTACTGGATTGTACTCAGAATTTTCACTTGTTTTCTTTGAAAAGTCTCCCTACTCCACATTCCAAGCATAATTGTCCTTTTGTAAAATGTAAAATACCAAATTTCATTAGTAGATTTCCAGACAATACCAATCATTTAAAAATCAGTAATAAAGATTTAATTGACTCGCAGGAAACGAAAGCAAACGAACCAAATATATTCAACAATCAGTTCCTGATAAAAAACGAATTTTCAATTTCACTTTTTAAAAATAGAAAAACTCCAAAAATCGACTTTATTAGGCCATATAAATACAATAGAAAGTTTCTGAACTCAAACCCAATCATAGCTGAAAAACTGATCCCAAAATGCTACATTTCAATAGATCGATACACCGGGTATATTATTGTATGCCTTAATTCATCCTCTTTTCTTATTATTCCAAGTCTAACATTGAACAAAGATGGTATAATTGAACAAATTGAATTGAAAATTCAAACAGAAAATCTCTTTCATTTTGACTCACTCAAATACAAACTTGAAAGCATTTCATTCGTTAAAACTTGCAAAAACCAATCCAAAATTCAACCAGTCGTATTTTCCCTTTTAAGTGACTTGAAAGATCGTACTTTAGTTGGAAAAGCCTTCCTTTTTGACTGGAATAACTTAATAAAAAATCAACCTAATCCTAAAGATAGCCACTACAAACCAATCTCTGAAACCAATTTTATCCCTTTATTCAATTCCGTATCCACGTCACTCTCGCCTCAACTCTATCACATGCGCATTTTTTGCACGCATATACCGGTTGTCCACATGAAAACAATACACGTAGGTGTGGGGAGGTCTGAAATTGACAAGACAATACCGGTGTTTGCATGTGCAAATGTATGTGGATATGAATATAGTTCTGAATGTGTTTGTAAATTTAAAAAATTACTGTTTATATTTAGTTACGAAAGAAATGAGTTAAAACTAATTTTGAGTGATTTAGAAACTGGAGAATTAAAAGAGGATATTTTGATAGTAAATTTAAAAGAATACTATCAAGAGAAAATCTATATTGACTTGAGAGATGTGTTAATGATTGAGGAAAATGCTAATGAGCAAAGAATGAAGTTTCTCATTTCTTCAAAGTGTATGGAGATGTTTCTGTTGAATATTCAATTTAAAGATAATAGGATGAAGGATTTTGATTTAATAAAGATTCAAATCAACTCTTTAAATTTGGAATTATCAGATATTTCAAGTATTTGTCCATACCAATATTCTAATGAAGACAGTTCAATATTAAAAAGTCTACTTGTAAGTTCAACTTTTGGTGTAATAAAAAAAATTAGCTTTCCCAGTTTTAATCAAGAGTATATTTTAGCTCCAAAATCTATTGAAATTTTAAAAGTAGAAAGAGCTATCATGGTTCAGAAATATTTTGAAAATAGCATTATATTAGCAGCCAAAAAATATCAATGTTTTTGGGATATAATTAAAGGTTCTTACCAATTTCAGTATGACTTTATTTTGAGATATATATTTTTGAATTCACCAAAAATTTCCACATTAAGCCAATTTCCCATTAAAAAAAAAGGAGTCCTTGGAATTTCATTAATACCAGTAAAAAAAAACAGCTACTTGCTTTTATACTCAAAGTTGTTTGAAAGCCAAGTATATTTACTTATAAGAAAAGAATTCATTTCTGAAAATAAATATGGTTTTAAGAAAATACAAATCAATAATTTTTTATTAACTAATCACACAACTATTTTATGTGTTAAAATATGTCATAATTTAATATTACAGGTTACAGAATCTCAAATTATACTATACCAAGGAATTTGCGAGCAAATTGAAATCTTGGAAAATCAAGGTCAAACTAACAGTTTTCAGGCCGATAGAAAAGACTTGTGGGATTATCCAGACTTAATAATGCATGCAAGAGTCGCTGATGATAATAACTTAATGATTATTACTCAAGAACACAAGTTGATTCAGCTAAGAGTTGAATCTTTTGAGTTGTTTGAATTTTCTATAAAAGATGAATTTACCTATATTCCACTTATTTCATGCTTTGAATCCAAAAAATTAATTTTAAATGATTCTCATATAATTTTAAGTATGATTGGGGATTCTCAAGGCCAAATATTTGCCACCCTATTCTTCATACAGAATCCTTTAAAAAAGTTCAATTTTATTTTAAAAGTGGATGGCTTGGTTAACTTTGAAATAGAGAAAGTTAACTTCGAACCTGGAATTATCACTTCTATTGAACTTGATAATGCTTTTCAAGATGGTGTTTACTTTACAACAAGCCATGGATACTTTTTTATTTTAAATTTGAAAACCTTAATACAAGATTTACTTCAAGGTCAGATTCAAAAGAATCAAATTAATTACAAAAGAATTATCATAGATTTAAAATCTTATCTTTCTTCTCAGGAAGTTTTGGATTGGAAAATTATTGGAATTCAAAGAAAATACATGAAAAATGACTACCACCAGATATGGAAAAACCGTATTATTTTAGGATCTGTTTCTGAATATTTATATTTGGAATTGCTTGAGACAAACAAAAAAGTTCTCAGAATTCTTCAAGTTAAAAAACTCAAATTTCCAATTTGTTCAATTATAACCCAATTTAAAGAAAAATACCAAGAAGATGATCATTTTTACTTTTTATCACTAGAAAATAGTAAAAATAATCAGCAAGTTAAAATAGTTAAAATGGAATTAAACAAATACCATAGTTGCGACAAAGTTTTGCCTTTAAAAAGTACTCAATATAAAGTTGAAAATATGATCTATTTAAAGAAAAAATCTTGGATAGTAGTTAATATTGAAAACTGGAATACCACCAACTTTCATTCAAATAAATATCTCTCACAAGTTAGTTCACAGCTTTTTCTATTGGATTTAGAAGCTAATTTGTATGGGTTCAAGACTTACTCTAGTCATGAAAATAACCCAAACTTTAAAGAAAACTTCAAATTCAGAATATTCCCAAATAATGGTGAAGATAGTTTCTTTCAGGTTTTCAATCCTGGAGAAAATCATGGTTGTCTACAAAATACTCTTTTTCAGCTTATTTCAGTCCCAAATGACTCTTATGAAATTTCTTCTTCTTATAATGACCCTTTTATTGTTTTAGGGAGTTATTCATTCCAAGGAATTGAGTCTGGAATCGTCTGCAAATCCCCATCTAATCAAAAAAAGTTTTTTTTTTTCCTTGTTGGAAAAGGTTTAGACACTGATAAGACTTTGGAGCTTGTTTCTACCCGAGTCTTTAGCTGTTTAGACATCTCAAGGCTTGAAGCAGTTAATAAAAATCCCAGTATTGATTTTAATTCAAGTCTTCAATCTAACCAAATTATCAAATTTGGCACCAAACTGGTTCTGAAGGTTGAAGATTTTTCTATTACTTTTCCTGGAAAGCTAATTAATAATGCAGTTTTTCAAAAAAATGGAAAAACTATAATGCTTAATCTTTTGGAACCAAGATCAGGACTACCTGAAAAGTTTCTTCTTCATCAAATATATTCAGAGTTGGATACAGACTTTAAACTTATTCAAGACAAATATGATGATTTTATTGGACATTTCTGCCAACCAGATTCCGTTATTTTGGATAATGAAATTATAGAAGATGAGAATATCCATATTTATAAGGGTTTCTCTGATGATATTTCTCTTCTAAGAATTAGAAATTCATTCAATAAAAATTCTAAATTGTTTATCATTGGGTTGCAAATTATATTAAATTACATATACAAACGAAGAAATAATGAAATTATTTCAGCTTTTCCTGCTATCCTCACAAATTTACTCTTTGGGATATTTGACATTGTATTTTCTAATAAAATAAAAACCAGCTCATCAAAGAGTGTTTCTGTTAGTTCTGGTTCATTCTTTTCAAGAAAAAAGGTCAAAATTGAAAGAAAGCAAGTTGAGGACGGGCTGAAAAATGTCCAAATTTTTCCCTATCAGATTTCTGATCTTTATTCTCAACTATGTTCTAAGTGCCTCAAGTGGAAAATATTAATGGTTTTAGTTGTTTGGTATAACCTTATTGAAACAATAATCAACAATCAAAATATAGATCTTATTTATATTAGAAAACTAACCTGTCCAATTTTTCAAGATTGGGTTTTGAAACTTGAAAAAGAAATTCCAATTGACTTTGATATGCTTCTGGATCGCTCATATTTAATCGAAAACTTTTTCAAATCAGATTACTACTATGAAAAATATCAAGAATTGACATTTTTAAAATTAGAAGAATGTGTCACTTAACTTAGATCTCAACAAAATCTTAAAAAACAATGAGAAAAACTAAAAGAAGAAGAAAAAATAAAAGGGATTAATAACTTCAAAATCTATATGGGTAAAGTATTTCTACCAAAAACAGAATCCTTTACTTTGTTCTCATTTATCCATAGAAATCCTTTTTCATCCAATATAAATCATTCAAATCAGATCATTTCTTCCTTGATTATCTCCAGCACCACAGTAAAACTTTTTCAGAGTTTCAACTGCTGATTTCCACATTAACTTTAGTAAATAAAAGCAAATATAAAACATATAGTAAAATTGAAATCCAGGTGTTGAAAATCCCCAACACACTAAAAATGGATTAATATATTAAGTTGTGTGGATAAAAGGTAAAGCTGTCTTGATGGTGCCATAGAAAAAAAAAGGACAAAAAGACTGGAAAATAAGGCCATATCTAATAATAGATTTCCCCAGTAATCGAATTACTGAGAAAAAAATCCTTCCACTTTAAAAAAAACAAATTGGTCATTTCTTGGAAGCTTTCTCGGACTTATTAAAAGGTAAAAATTCTCGATAGTACCCAAGCTTGGCTCTGGCAGAATTCTTTCTGAAAAGGTTTTTAATCCCAAACTTCCTACCTTTAATGTATAATGGACTGGAAGGAAATGGGAATGGGAATTTTGGATCACTTTTTCTAACAACTCTAACCAGCCTGTAAAAGTCACGTTTAATATATCTGAGTTCGTATTTAAAAGCATTACCAGATCCCCTAATGCATTTTTGAAGATCTTGTAAGATTCTAGCAACTTCTTTAGAATTAAATTCAATCTCCTCAAGAATTGCAAGAATACGAAGTACTTCAGCTCTCATTGTCTTAATCTTACCTTTTTTAATACCATTATTTATTATAGTAAAGATTGGGACAATGTTATTTAAAAAGAATTTTTTTTCGTTGGGATTAATGTTCATAAGTACTTGTTTTGGAATTCCAACAAAATCCTCCTCAAGAATTCTTGGATTGGTAGAGATCTCATTTTGAACGGATCTAAGTATTTTGTTCATTTCACTAATAGCATCATAGATTGGTGCCATAGCAATCATAGCATTACTGTATTCCCGTGAGCATGCCTTCTTAAATTTGGGTCCTTTAAACCAATTGTTATAAAAATCCATCACCTTTGAAAGATCTTTCTTAACCTTTCTGGTTTGTTCAATTTGTCCAAGGCGCACTCTTATTCCTTTCAAACCATAATACAATTCTAATCTGGTATCATCCATAAACTGGAATCCTGGGTAATAAAGAAAATTGGTAATATCATACAATTTTTTGTAAAGAAAGTCTAAATGAGCAAAACCATCAATTGCTCCACCATTATATACTTGGTAAATACCATCAGGGTTTGTAACATGTCTCCATTTCAAGTCTGATGCGTTGGTGAATAAAGGTAATGGAACAGATAAAACTAATCCACTAAGTTTAAAAAGCTCAATCTTTTCCTTGATTACATTCTTTGGTAGGTCTTCTGGTTGTATTGTGAGAATATCTTCTCTGGAAAGTTGATTACACATTTCAACAACTTCTAGATTTGAATTAATTCCCTTCAATTTTTTATTGCATTCACCATAAGTAACTACAGAAAACAATAAAATAGCCAAATCAATTTTTTCTTGGCCTACCAAATCAGAATGATTAAGGTCTAAGAACCTTAAGATACGTTCCATACGTGGTTGATTTTCTTCAACAAATAATTCAAATTTGGGTTTCACTCCAATTTCAACTCTGGGATCACTGGTAGACAGCCCTGAGGTAGCATCATGTATCATTGGAGGCTCAACTTTATAATAGTGAATTTTGTTGCTAAGTTGGCTCACTAATACTTTCTCATCATTAAGCTCAACACTTGGGTACTTTAATATGTCACTAACTGTGAGGATATTAGCGGAATCTACTGTTGGGAAGAGGTTATCAATAGCGATCTCTGCATTCTTTGTAATTACAAATCCCAAACTTGAAGACTTTTCTTCAGGCTTAGAAATTTCTGTTGATCGCCCAACAAATTCGCTTAACTTTTGCTGTGAAAGTAAAGAGGGATCAGCAGTAACCTCATGAAACCCAGAACTAAGAGCCTCACTAGGTTCTCCACTCAAATCTAAATGAGCAACAGTATCATCACCACCACTACCACCACTTACAAAATCTTCCTGTATACTTGGTTTGCTCATATCATAACCAGCAGCTTCAAAAGATCCTGAAGAAGTGGTTGCTTCTGAACCGCCTATAATTCCTGGAAAATCTTCTCCTGGAGTTGAGGAATCATAGTTATCTGCAGCCAATGACGAAGGTGAAGAAGATTTTTCAGAAACATAACCAAAAGTGCCGGATGCATATAAATCAGATTCAGAACCAAAGACTCCCCCAATAGCCAGGATAATGCATCCAATTGCCCTCAAAACACACTTATTTTTATTCATATTCACTTAATCCCACTATAAGTTTTTTAAAAGAAAATTTGAATTGAATCAATAGTTGGTACAAGTTTCCGCTTTAGTGGCTTTTTCTCACTTTTTTTCCTCAAAGCCCTCTAAACTGCGTCCAAGTGTACATCCCACTTCTCCTTTATATCAATTTATTGCTTTACCAACAAAATATCTCCAAGCGTCGACAAAACGCATCTGAATCTTTAAATTATTAGACTTGGCGCCATTTTAAGTAGCTTCAAATAAATGATAAATACAAGGCGGAAAAAAATCTGTAAAATAAAAAGGCTGAGCAATAAGATATCACAAAATATCGGAGATATATGTTTATTTCATCCAAGTCCCATCAAAATCTGTTACTTACAGCCGGGAAACTCAATTAGATCCCATAACAAAAATGAGTTCAGTTGTAGGAATTTTTTGGGTATCGGCAGATGAAAACAACAGTTGGCGCCAAGATCTAAGAATCCCGGTGACTTGACTTATATATTTTTCTCTTAATTTCATAAAGTAGTTAGGTATTAATTAACTATGTTTCTTCACTTATATATTCACTAGATGTAAGTTCATCGTCATCCTGATTTGTTTCGTCAAGGCCTGATTGTGATTTGCGTGTTTCAGAGATTAAGATTAGGGACTTTGTCACGATACTGCAAAGCTTGATGATAGACTTTCTGAGTGTAGAGTTTAATGGGGTTGTGAGTGATTGATGTAGAGCCCAATCAATGATTATCTGTTTACAACTGCTCATAAAACCAGTCTCTTCAAATTTGGGAGATGTGAGGAAATTTTTGCCCAATAAATTAATAATTTTACTTGAAATATTGCAAATTTGTTCCTTAGTAACACCATTATGAAGGATGCTGGAGCTCATTGATTTATTTGAAGAGTGTAAAATGGCTGAGAGAATTATCTCAGACAAGGTATCTTGGGTTATTGTGTATTTACCCAAGACCATTACATATTCATTCTTACAAGAGTCTAAAATTAATAGTTTAGATTTTGAAATCTTCGAAAAATCTTCACTAGTAATAATCCTCGAGTTTCTTAACTTTGTAAAAGATACTCCTTTTGGTTTGGTCTCAAATAAATACATGTGAATCCCAGAACAAGTTAGCAAAAGTTTTTTCCTGAGGTCCTTAAGATGCCCCTCAACAGGATAGATCTGAATATCGTTGATTTCATCCTCATTTGAATCAAGTATACCGTCATTATTCTGTTTTAAGACATTCTTTGTAATTCTTTTAAACCCTTGTAAAGCGAATAAAGTTTCTGAAAAGTTCATACAGCTTTCTATAAATCTATGTTCTTGAATTTTCATTAATTCAACCATTTCCATTCCTATATTAGTCAGTTCTATGTTAGGATAAATCTTCAGTAGACTTTTTACTATTACACTTTTAATTCCTTTTCCTGAGAGTTGGATTGGCTTTTGGGAAAATAGTTGCGTGAATTTTCTAATATTATCCATAACACTACATACAAATAACAAATCATCACTATTATCTTTTTCAATAGGAAGATATCCTTTTAAACCAAAAGATAAAACTCCATAGCAAGATTCCCTGAATGTATGAGAGTCTCTAATAATTACATTGACTAATGTACAAATTTTGAGTTTAGAAATATCAAGCTTCGGGATCTTCTTATCCAAAACAAGAATGAGAACATCGGCTAGCTCATCACTGTAAATCTCTGAGCATCTATAGTATGCTGGTAAGCTGGACCTTCCACTTGCTTGAACCCCAGATTTTAACTCGAATCCAAAACTCTCAATTCTTTCCTTAATATTCCTGCAAATTTCATTCACTTTACCCAAAGTAAGGTACCTTGCATCCTTTAAATTTGAAATCATAGTGTGAAACTTTTCTATTTTTCCGTCCCTAAACAAACTATATATATTGCTGGCGCAAGACTCCATAAATCTGGTCTTTATCACTGAAGCTTGTATTGGTCTCGTCCCATATACATGCCAACTTGGAGGTAAAGACTCCATCATTGAATCCCAAAAGTAGTCTATCACTACTTCATTTCTGTGAAACAAAAATTTTGCAACTTCCTCAAGATACTCCTCATCCATGAAAGGAACGTACTCTTCTGATAAGTCTTTCAAAATCTCATTTTCATACTCTGATACATTATTTACCACGTCAAGCCTTAAAACAAAATTCTGAATCAAACTTTGGTGTTTGCTGCTCTTTAAACCAGAATCTACACAATAATCCAATATATTCTGAGCGTTGGCCTTGCATTCCAGTAAAATCGCAAACAAATAAACCCAATATAAGGAAAAAACCATCATCTCACGTCTAAATATAACCAACCAATTCATTAAATTCAAGGAAATTTTTCTTTTAGAAAAACTGAACCAAAACCCTGTGCAAATTTACATACCCAAATGATTTTTGACTTATCTCAAAACTCCTTCCTGACTTCCTCTATACTTCTACTTTGACGGTATATAAACCTCTTTTTGCCCAAATCCTTAAACTTTAAAATTAACAAAACTCTTCAAATCCTAAATCCTAACTTTCTAACCCAATCGTTTTTGAGTTTTTCTACAAATTTTCTCCATTAAATCTCTAACTGATTATATATATATTTTTTTTCTTCCTATTTCTTTTGGGCGGGAAATCCTGAAATGATTTACTGTCAAACCGGTATATGACTTTTTCAAAATACTTGCAAATTTGCATGCAATACACGTAATTATTGCATGTGGAAATAATAATAATAATAATAAGTCAAATGTAACAGAATAGCTGTGAAATATAAAAATTTAACTTTGTATAAGTCCAATTTTAGTGAGAAGACATATATACTAAATAAGTAATGGATTTTCATATATTTTTAAGCCTGGATTCGGAAATCATTTTCTCCAAATAGTCCGTTCTATAGGAAAATTCCCGTTCTACTTCATCTATTTGGTTACTTAAATCTTTTAAGGTATCTCTGCTCTCTGCAATACTTTTACTTAGCCTCGATTCTAATCCACCTAATGCAAGCTTTGTTTGATTGAGGTTATTATCAACATACATTAATAGCATTTGAATAGCAACCTGAATATCTTCAATTCTCACTTTGTCTATCTGTTTTTCTGCAGAAAATCCTTTTAGTTAGTTCCTTTTCTACTAATTAAATCTATGAGAAAATAGGTAGCAAAGAAACAATATAGCTAACCTAGATTCTCACTCATTACTGTTTTGTACTTACCTGAAAAATTCCAAATATAAGACCCATAATTCGCATCAATCATATATATTCCGTTTGTTTTCTCATTTCTTATATATTCTTCTCCAAATATGCTCACAAATAATACACTAATGAATGAGAGGATAAATAGCATAAGAGGGATTTTAAAGACCTTAAAATAGTCAAAATTTTCTAGCTCTATTTCATCTTCTCTTAGCTGTTCTTCAGTAATATCTTCCTCATCACTACTCATCATGGCACTTTTCACTGGGTAACATTCTTCTTTAAAAATTTCTTGTTTTTTCAGCTCATTATCGTTTAACTTTAATGATGAACTTTGTCTTCTTTTACTCTTTTTCTTTAAACTGGGGCTATTTCCACTCATATTGACGTTTTTACCAATATTATCCTTTTCTAATAAAGAGCTTGCCATTTTATTTCCAATTTATTTGTATATATTTATCTAAATAGCTCAGTTGTTTATTTAACCCAAAGATTGCAAAAAAACTTAGGTTCCTCAAAATTATATCCAAACGTATTAGCCTTTTTCACTTTGCTAAAACCAAAATCACTAAGAAATTTACTAAAACTTAAAGAGGTAGCTAATTACTTACTCCTTTCTTGAATTACTATGTTTTTCATATTTTTTACTTTACCAACTCTCTTTCCTTGTCCCTTACCCCCGGACCTGATAAATATAGAATGTCTCATAATCTAAACTAAGAAAAAATTAAGTCATGAACCCTTCCCCCCACCCCCCTAAAAGAAGCAAAAGTTAGTTCCATCTATCTATATCATTCAATTCCACTCTGCTAATTGTTTACAAAAATCAACCCTAAGAAAAAATATACACTTCAAAACATATAACTATAAATCAAAGATTCAAATCAAATACATAATAAAACCAAATCGCAATCATCCTTTCTTAGATTTTTGTAATATTAATAAGTACTAAAGTATCTATCAAATATTAATATTTGAAATTTCAAAGTTCGTATTCTAATGGTGTACGTTTCTGTTATTTCTTGAATTTTATTCAAAGAGTTTATGTTTATGACTAGCTATAGAAAGACTGAAATCCCAGAATTTACTTCAATTTATCCCTGTATTCAACACTAGAGAAATGACACAATCAATGTTTATTCTGACAGTACTCATAGTAATATATTCCTGAAATTGTTTCACTCTCCAAAATTTTCTTCATAATTCCCTCCTACGAAAAATACCAGTGTAAAGAACTTTCACCACGTTACCAGTAATATTCATTTACCACAAATAATCTGGAAAACGGGAGTTCTACTTCTGATTCTGTAAAATAATTCCACTAAAATCACTTATTACTTTTGTTATCAATAACTTGATAATAATTTTGTCCACATTAAATAACACGTAATTAATTGCATGCATGCAATTAATTACGTGAAGTGTTTTATGCGGTAAAGCAAAAAGTAATTATGGAATGAACAGAGAGAATAAAAAAAAATGTCGGAGTTGATACACTTGATGTAAAAATGAAGATTGTCAAATAAGTATAATCCGGCTTGATTGATGGAATAAAGTTGAGAATATAAAAGGCTCAAAATTCATTCGTTTATACATTTGTGAAAATCTGGAGTAATTTATGTTAGGAAGAAGAAATAGGCTGCACCATAAATAACCTTTCTCGGAAGTGATAAAAATACCCGAAATTTTAAGGGGAAAATGATTCAAGTAAATCTCCTCTAAGCCAAATATTCTTTTTACATATTTACTCCTAGTATATCGTTAAATTTCCTAAAGCCTTTTTCTTCCTCATCTCTTTATTGTTAGTTCTCGTTTCTTGCATATATCCATTCATTTTGAAGTTAATCCATACAGACTGTTGTTGCTCTCTTTTTGTAGTATGAATAACAGACTTGTCTAGCGATGTTTGAAAGAGCTGGGTTATTTTTGATAAATGAGGAGCTTTTCAAAGCGGTGTAACATTCAGATGCCATCTTCTTGATATCCAAAGACTTGGTTCCCTTTTCAATGCATACATCTCTCTCTGCAAAGTATGTAGCTCTGCAGAATGCAGTAATATACCATCCAGCAGTACTTCCCTTATAGAGGTATTTGAGAACTCTAAATAAACTAAGAGCTCTTTTTCTTTGGGATTTGGTAAGATCTGGGCATTTAACTAATATTTCTCTAGCGGCAATTTCTGTTGTTAGAACAGATTCTGGAGCTCTTAGAGGTGGTGAAACTTCAACTTTCTCAGAAACTGAACCTTCTGGAGAGTAGCCAGCTAGCGAAGTATCTTTTGTAGAAGGAAGTCCAATTGTTCCTTCTGAAACCTCATCTTCTAATAAAATCTCAGAAGTAAACTTAGTAGCAGGTTCTCTAATGGTCTTGATGAGCATTCCCTTCTTTGGTTTTAAAGTGGTATAAGTCAATGGTGTTGCATGGAATCTTTGTGAAGGTTGGGTGTAAATGTTACTACTTTTTGGAACAAGTTTGTGAAGCTTAGTCTCAAATTTAGATGGAACTTGTTTTACTGACTCTTCCATATCTGGTAGTGGAGAAGGTTCCTCCGAAGTATCTGGAAGTTCGGAAACACTTTCTTCCCCGTCCATTGAATCCTTAATAGATCTTAAGTCTTTGTATCCACGAGTCATTTTCTGTTCCCTCTTCTTTTCAAGACGTTTTCGCTCTTCCTCAATTTTTTTTAATTTCATATTGTGATTATATTCACGCTCTGAGACTCTCTTAAAGTAACTCAGTTGAGGACTAACAAAACTTGAGCTTCCATACATAAACTCTGTCTCGTAATCCCTTGGTTTCATATGAACTTCCAGAGAATTCACAAATTTTCTCCCAGAAGCCTTCTCTGGGAGATTCTCTGGGCGAGGTGGATGCAACAAGCTTTTCTTGAATGGATCATAACCTAAATAAGATCTCGCTGGTCTGAAGATTTCGTCAGTAGAAACTGGAACATCTCTCTCTGAACCGTAACCAGTTCCAGCACGTCTACTCGGTGGACCTGGAATTTCTGGAATTGGAATGGGTCCAGAAATGTGTCTATCTGAAGTTCTAATAACATCGTCATCATCAACTTGCCTAATGATATCACCAACATTGGCTCTAGGATCCATTGGAGTAAGCTTCTTGACAGCAGATAAGTCGGTATCCAAGAAGTAATCTGAAAATGAAATAGAAAGAGCCTTGTAGGCAGATTCCAAAGACATCTTAGCGAGGAAGACCATATCTAGCCACGAACTCGTGTGGCTACGGTGTATTATATAAAGAATGAAAGATAATTCACGTAATCTTGATTCAAAATCTGCATGTCTCTTAAATATAGTGCAGATATCAACCAAAGAGATAAAGCGACTATATGAAAAATTATATGAATAGAGCTCTGATAAAACCAATAATGAAAGAGCAAAAGTTACATCATCTGCATCACACTGATTTGCCAATTCCTTATTCTCCTTAACAAGTCTTTTGACTCCAGAAACTGTAAGGTTCTTTCTTGAAAATGTTTTTGTTGCAACATAATTCAATGCATGGAAAGCTGAATCAGCTATACTCTTATTATCATAGGTATAACCATTAGTATTCAAGTAATTTCTGAAATTAGAGATGAATGACTTTACATTTGGTTTGTGAGAGTTTGTAAATAAGAGGCAATACATAGGAAGTGGAATCTCAATTCCTGCTAAGTCTGAAAAGCTGAATATGAAACTCTGCAAAAAGAGAAGATCCCGTTCTCCGATCATTCTACATTCCATCAAACTTCTCATCGAAGCATAAACGGAGTCAACTCCCTTAGAAGTAGCGTCAATGTATTGAGAGAAGGCACGTTTTGAAACTGGATGAGTATCATATAAAGATTGATCGACTCCAAAGTTTAAAAGCTTGCGAAGAGCATCATTATCAACTACCATAGTATCCCAAAGTGAATTGAATTCTCGCCTCAATGTAGAGAAATCAATATTTGCTTTTGAAAATGGTGAGCTTGGGGAATCTAAAGGTGAAGTATCTCCACTCGATCCCGGAGTAGTTGGTCCAAATGGCCCACCTGGGATTACTTGATCATCTTGAGCTCCTGGAGTGATTTGGCTATCCTGAGCTCCTGGAGTGACCTGTTCATCTTGAGCTCCTGGAGTTACCTGTTCATCTTGAGCTCCAGGAGTTACCTGTTCATCTTGAACTCCTGGAGTTACCTGTTCATCTTGAGTTCCTGGAGTTACCTGATCATCTTGAGCTCCCGAAGTAATCTGGTCATCCTGAGCTCCTGGTGTTACTTGCTCATCCTGAGATCCTGGAGTGGTTTGACCACCTTGGGTCCCAGGAGTTACTTGGCCGTCCTGAGCTCCCGGAGTTGTTGGAAAAGATGGAGTAACAACTGGTTTTCCTTTACCTTTTAGTAAATCTGTATCTACAATAGCAATTAGTTTATCTAAATCTTCTCCTGAAAGACGAATTTCTCCAGGACTAAGAATATCGCGTGCTGGTAAATGAGAGTTACTTTCCTTCTCCATTTGATCCTCAAGTTTACTAATTTCTTCATCAGTCCTTGATATCTCTAGATCCAATTCAGCATTTTGTGGATGTTTTTTCTTGTTCATATTAAGACCTCTTTTGTACCTTTTTAGCATTACCAATTTTGAGAGAGAACTAAACAAATTGCGACCTTTTCTGGGAATAGTAGAAGCATCTACAAGTCCGACGTAACTGTTTAGTCTGAAAGTATTGACGAGTAAAATGGTAATAAAAATGCCAATAGGCGAAAATAATCGATTAACTTTCATTTCGTTGACTCCAAACCAATAAAGATGAGTAATCTGATGATCCTTATTATAAATTGAATATTCTTGTTTTTCACCGATTTAGATTTTTTTCTTTACAAAGGTTAAGAGGAGAGTTTTGAATAATTCTTCTATCTCTTCAACCTTGAAAAGTTTCAAAAAATAAAGTCCTCAGAAAATCTAAATTCCCAGTTTCCGAGGAAATCCTTTCTAAAAACACAACTTTAGTTCTTTTTCAAAGGCCTTCTTTTGTTTATATTCCAATCATTAATAGATCTACAAAGACAATACTTTCCTCGTGATCTAATTTACTTTTGAAAGAACCCGCCATCTAAAATATTTGGCGCACAATTTGGAAATAAGAGAAATTGTCATGCAAAGACAAAAATGAAGTAATTCCTTGATTTTTTTTTATATGGTTATCAAAAAATTCATATTTGAATTCCCTTAGAGACTTGGGTCTCCTGAAAATATTTAATTTCTTGAAAAAGTTGTTCGCTTATACATTCCCGAAGTTGAACCATTTTATCAAGAATTTGGAAGTTTTTGGTAAGCATTAGTGCGACAAAATCAAATCTGGGCGTTCTTTCCAAGTTCTGAACAATCCTGAATATGTGTGAAACGAGTTTGTCTTTAGTTTTAGACGGAGATATACCTTTTAACTCATCAAGAATGTTGGAAATTCTTTCGAGAACCCTTTCCAAGATGTCTCCTTCTATTTCTGTCTTGTTATAAAACTTATCCAATTTAGTGAATATCTGACCAAACAGCAAGTAGTAATCCAGGAAATTGTTGCTTTGGTATATATTTTGCCAAATTTTGAGGAACTCCATGAAATTATTGCAGCTCATTTTGTTCACAATTGGGATTGGAGATGGAATAGACTTTGAATAAGACCCAGATTCTAAATCTTCTTCTAAAAAGCATATTAAGTAGGATCTTAGGTAGTTTGGTTCACTTTGTTTCAGAATCGTCTTTCCTCCCTGCTCTGTGATGTGGTATTGGTTTTCTCTATCTCTTAAACTTGATTTTTTTCCTGGTTCCTCCTCACTCGTCTTAAAACTTTGAGCTTTAAAGGTCTTTTCCACCATGGAATACAAGGAACTAATTTCTTGAGGTGGTGATACCTTCAAACTTTCCTGGTAGTACTCCGAAACCAATTTAATCATTTCAAAAGATTCCCTAATAGAAGCCTTTGAGTTTTCTTCGTGTAGAATATCCTTATTTCCACAATATAAGCTGTTATACAAAGATAGAGATAATCTGTACCTTGTTTTATTCTCAATATTTACCCACAATGTTGGTAAATCCTCTTTTTCTCTCAGATGATGATCCCCTTCTTCCTTAATGTAATCCAGTAACTTTCTGGACTCAGAAATTGCCAGATTGAAGTCCTTTTTCCCTACGTAACAAGCTATACAATTACTTCTTAATACAACTTCTCCCATTATTAATTCAAAATTTCTCCCATTTTCACTCAAACTCTGTTCCAAATCCAAAATCTCCAATGCTTTCAAGTAAAATCCTAACGCTTCATCAAATTTCCCTTCTTTATAACAACAACCACCCTTCTCCTTCATTCTGTTTGACAAGTCCTTTGGATCCATACGTGATTTCTCCTCTCTCTCTTCCTCCTCTAATTGGTTCCCTCCTTTAACAAACCGTTCCAGCTCATCTTCATCTTCAACTATTACTATCGGAATCCGGTGAAACTCTTCCATTCTTAGTTTTTACTCATCACCCCTTATTACCTTTTTCTTATAATATATTTCTTACCAAGACCTTTCAGAAAGCCCGCTTAATTTTTATAAAAGCATAATGCATGTAGTTATTGGAGATGCCAATAGAGGGATTAAGTCTGAAGTTATTTCAGTAAAATCACAGATAAAATAGAAGCTAGTTACTTTGTCTTCTACTGGTTTTTTTTGTGATAAAAATGATAGAGTCTGAAAGTAAAGCCACATCAAGAATTGAATGGTATTGAGAATTTTTTGATTGATTGTCTTTTAAGCTTATACTTTTCAAATCTTCAAGTATGAAACAATTGTGATTACTGGAGTACCTCATCTGATCAGTAGCAAGTTCTTTATTTTCCAACCAAAGGTAGCATCTTCCCAGTTTACTAATCATTGAAATATTGTTATTCCCCTTTCCAAATCGTACCATCCTAATGGAATCATTATCTGGAGTTATGTTCCTAAAAACTCGGACAGGAAACTCAAACTCCTTTAAGTTTGTATGGTTACTGCTTCCGGTAGTATTTTTCCTCAAAAATATTGAGTTAGAGTTGTAATGATCTATACCTGTGAAACTCAGTCCCCAAATCCAAGGTTTTCCTTCTTCATCAATAGCACAACAAGATGTACTCCCCGAGAAAATCATATTAATTTTTCTGGATGCAAAAACCTCTATTTTTTCTGTGGATACTAAGGGAGTTGGGAAAATAACCTGAGAGTATAGTCTTCTATAGTATTCAGAAGAAATCCTACTTTTAGGTATTATTTCTACCTGAAGCATCTCTGGAATTCCAGTTAACTGTTTGAAATTGTTTTGTCCCCATACCCAAACCTGTCCCTTTGTATCCAAAGCAATAGAATGAGCTTCTCCAAGAGATATTCCTTTCCATTTAACTTCTTCCACAGGATCTTTCTCGGAATCTTCGTTTAAAGCTGCGATAGTTAGTCTCGAACTTCTCTCTCCAGTCCTAAAAAGCTGTACTGAAATTTTGAAAGGATTATTTAAAGCTTTTTCATCCATATATAGTTTTGTCCCAAGCTGTCCAGATTCGTTTGAACCCCAAACAAAAAGTTGAAGGTTTTCATCAATAGCAGCAGAGTGAAACATTCCTGCAGAAAATGATTTAATTCTGCTTCCAAGATTGACCTTTTTTGGAGTAAAAGAATCTTCATAGTTTCCTATTCCCAAACATCCATCTCTACCCTGGCCCCAAGAAAATAAGATACCATTAGAATCTAGAGCGAGAGTGAAAAATGCCCCACAATCTATCTTAGTAATTGTGATTTTACCATAAACATTTGAAAAACAAGAAATCTGAGTTGGGTAGAAAACAAGGTTCTCATAGTCTTCAATTCTTTTAACTAATTCTTTTGAATCTCTGTCAACTTTGAACTCAATATTAATTCTTTTACTAACTGTCTTTTTTTCAATGCAACACTGACCCGAGGAGTTACTTCCCCAAGTTAGAATGTTCCCTTCTTTCCCAAGAATTATTATGTGATCAGTTCCATAACCTATTGAGGTAATTCCTTTTACTAAAAATGATTCATCTGGTATCATAACCTTTTGTAAATATCCAGTTTTTTCTTCCTCAACTCCATCTAGCAAATAAGTTCCATTAATTATTGATAGTTCTGGGTAAAGATTAGATTCCAAATCAGAAAAAAGCTGAATTCTAGGAGGCCCTAATCCCAGTATTCCACTTTTGTTGTGTCCTAGAGATAATATGTCAAGTGTTGGTTCCTCCCTGAGAAGATTAAAATAACTTACTGCTTCATTATTGTAGTGGTTTTCTGTATCCATTGGGTTCACCAATATTTGTGATATTTTCTCAAAAATATAGAATCTTATTAGATGCTGGAAAAAGGCTTCCTTTCCATTTTCCCTATCCTTGGTATTTGACGTAATAATTGGTAATATGCTGTTAATTATCCCTGTAAAAGTAATTTTTCCACACAAAGCCTCCAGTTGGACTTGAATTTGATCCTTTCTAGAATGAAGAAAGTGTCTACAAATTCTATGATAAAATAGGAGATTCTGGAAATTACACCCAATATTCAGAGGGAGGTCTTTTGTACATACTCGAAAAACTGAAACGTTGATAAGTATCCAAGTTATCAAGTAATCCAACAAAATGATCTGTACTGATGCATGTCTCATGCTTTCTCTAACCTTATTTAGTAAATCCTCAACCAACTCACCATTAGTTTTTCCCTCCAAATGAATTTCCATCAACAACTGAGTTAATAGTCCAATAATGCTAAAGTATATGGATCCAGCTCTTTTCTTAGTTTCTAAAATCAATAATTCCATCATTCTAGAAAATCTCAAAGATGATTTCCATTTCTGAATATCAACTATACTGAGTGTATCCAATAAGGCCTGACTCAGATCGGAGGCTTCTCCTCCGTAGGACTCATATAAAACGAAGAAAGATGTCCTTAAAATATGAAAAAATAAGGATAGTCCTCCTTCAGAATTATTATTTAACCACTCAAATTCCAATTCTAAAGAATATATACTTCTGTTGTCTCTTAAATCCTCCAAAATTCCCTCTTCAAGATGGAAATCAAAACCTCCAAGTTCTACTAGCAAACTCACTCCTTTATTATAATGAGACATTCCCATTTGAAGCTGGTCATTTCTTTGATAATCCTGTTCTTTAGTTTGTCTCAAATCTCCAAAAATTTGTTTTGAATAAAGTTTATTTGGAGTGATGTCAAATCTTCTCCTTTTTATAGATTCTCCTTTAAGCCACCCAAAATGGGAATAAAAAAGTAATTCATTGTAATTCCGTATACATGGAGAAACCATAAATGTTTGAAACCTTTCCTTTGAGTGATTTTTAATTTCAAAAACCACAAATGGAACTTCAAATAAGTTGTTTAAAAGAAGTTGATGATTTAGTTTAACTTTAAGTGCTTCCAAAAGAATGGGATCGTTACCCATTTCCTTGATGTAAACATTCTCCACTATTACGGATTCTCCACTTTTCATTGGAAATTTAGAAACTACTAAATGTCCAAAATTCCTTAAGTCTTGCAGTATCTGCAACCTACTTTCAAACTGTATTTTATTCTTCATTATGTGTTTGAACAACAAAGTCTTCTCTTTTTCCTTCCTTTGTAGATCTTGAAGCTCTTTTTCCACAGACGGAATTTCTAAATGAAGAAAATACTTTCTTCCAGAATCCATACCAGTTATTATACTTCCAAGACTGTTTGCAAACTTAGAATTTTCAGAATGTTTTCTTAAAATTCCTAGTTCGAAATTTGCCAATTCTTTGGTTATATAAATTACAGCTTTGGAGCTTCCTCTCATAACGGTTTCTAACATTGGAGAAAAATAACTTCCATTAGATATGTATGTTAGACCAGAGAAAAGTTTCCTTTTTCTACTATCATCAGATGTAATATAGTATTCAACACTTGTTACATTTCCGTGAATTTGAGAATCTCTTGAGTCATTATCAAATTGAAAGTTTTCTTGTTCAACAAAGTATTTGCAAAGTACATAAGTACCTTCGTAATTAATTAATTCTTGTGTCTCATGGTACCAATTAAGTAATTTGATTACAAGGCTTTTCTTTCCACAAATGGTGTATTTGGCAGTCTCATCTTTTCTAAGAACTCTTATGGAAGATGCAAGGATCTGAAAATCTTCGAATTCCTTTGGAATTTGATTAGAAAACGAACCTTTCCAAAGAAACTGAGGATTGTCAATGTTTAATGAAAGATAGAGAGATTCTCCTATGCTTTCTCCATTACTAACATTCGTTTTTGATAACCTTTTCTGATCTTGGAATATACGAAATTTGGCAACTGTATTTGGAGGAGGAGTCCTCCAATGAAGGTTACTATTAAAACTTAATGACTTCTTAGTTATCATTTTTCCTTGTATTGTTGAAAAGGGGATTGTAATAGAGCTTTTTTCAGAAGATGACAACTTACTGCTACTTATAATACAAAGAATCTCACCCAAGGGAATTTTACCAACTTCCTTCAAATCAGTACCATAACTAGGCAGGGCCAAGTAGTCCCTACCAAATTGGTCATTTGCAATCATTAAGTCCTCCAAATAACTTTCCCATGTGAACGCCAAAAAGCTCCTAACCAACCATAAACGGTGCCATTCTCTTTTCAAATAAACACCAAAACTTAAATCAGATGATTTACTCACAATATTTCTGGATTTGTTTTGTTTCATTTCATTCATGACCCTGTTCCAAGTATCTTCAAAGTACGATGATATTGTTCCACAAATCATCTGCCCAATTCCTCCCTTTGTAGAAAACCCACTCGAGCTGTCTACGTATAGCTCTGGGAAGTAACTCAGAATTTCAGGAACTCCAACTTCAACCAAATTTTCTTTCCCCATAATACTTCCATTATTCTCCGTCTGAAGACCTATTTCCCCAACGATCTCCTTATTCTCAATCTCTTGAGTCACTTTCCTCCTCAACCTCACCGCATTTAGAATTCTATTCATCTAAAACCTTCCTCACACAATTATCAGTCTAACCTACTCTACTTTTTATTACCAAAATTTGGTTTGCACACAAAATATTCGGTGACCTTCAAAATATATTACGTGGGGTTATTTTGCCGCCTAATGGCATGACAGTATTGCAATACCGGCATGCATGCGTTGAAAACAGAATAAACAAATTTAAACAAGAAAATGAATTATTGTCTATTTTCTATTTTTGAAATAAATGATTAATTGCTAATAAATTTCAATTGAGTATAAAATGATAATCACGCAAAAAAAATCCGTACCCTATAAGCATATACATCATTAAAGTTAGTTTTAGTATTCAGGTTACTCCTTAAACATATATATATATATATATATCCTTTGATTTAATTTGATCCATTCTTTATTTCAATTTTTATGGGTCCATCATCGTATGGAATATTTACCTCCGGATCGTCTTCTACAACGGCAGAGTGACTTTTTTGATTCTTTAACTCAAAAGGCTCTTCCATTTCTTTTTTAATTGTATTATTTGAATCATCTTCAACAGAAATGCTTGATTTTTCTGGATTCTCATTGGAGATCACTTGAATTGATGTTAACATCTCTTCTTTATTTTCTGACTCAGGATTTTCAACAATTGCTCTGTTTGTCGGAGATATATCAATCACATTTGAATCACTAATGGAATTTTTCTGCTTATTTTGATGGACCTTGTGAGAAACTAAAACGATTATATTGTATGAACCATTATCATTAACCATATCGCAATAGTTATTACTTGGAACGAATAAGATTGAAAGTCCAACAACCTGCTTAAAAACCATATTAGTTACCAAATATGCACCAATCATGGAAGAATAATCGTCAGGAGCCACCCATTCATAAATCATTCTAATTATTACATATGCCAACATAATAAATGGAAGGAAAATTTCGGAATACTGTAATATGCGTCTAGATTTGCTAATAACATAAAACAAAGAAACTAGCAAACTCACAAATGGTAAGGTTGATACTATATAAGATCCTTCTATTAAATACAATACAAGAATTGAAAATTCAAATCCCATTGAAATTAGATACCAGTTGAAGGCAGACAATGCTTTGAACTGTAAATTTGTGTTAGTTCTGTAGTTCTGATTTTCAATATAAATATTTTGCTGATTCTTACCAGAATAACCAGAAAGAGAAATCAACAATAACCAAAGTGTAAGAAATAATGATGTTGAGAACTCAAGGATCAACAATGGATATATTTTCTCTTCAAAAGGAGTCTCTTCATTATTCATTATATAATTTGAGATGGATTTCCAACTTAAAGTGGAGGTTATTGCCACAATAAAGAGTACAAAGATAGAGCTATGCTGGCGATTTCTTTCTCCACATCTGAAAAATAATACAAAAATTGAAGTAATCAATGACATTAGTCCAAGCCTAAAAAAGCCTAAAACAATGTCAATAATTCCAAAACATATAAATAGTATTACAAAAAAGCTGAGTAACAACTTAGTTATAGGAAACTCATCAAAAACTAGTGGATTATTTGCCATTTTATTACTGAAAATTTTGTTACTTAATATTACCAAATCAGCGTTGTTTTTTTCAATTTGTCTCTCCTCCATTCCATCTCCTGTTTTTTCTACTCTTGGAGTCATTTCCAGTATTATTGAATCACTCATTTTTCTCGAGTTATTATCGTTAAGTATATAATTCTTTCCCGGTGATTTATTTTTCTTTTGTTATTGTTTACCTCTTGCTTAGTCAACTTTATAGCTCCACAATTTATTGGAAATATTCAGCCAATATATTTTCTTAACCAGTCTGAATATATTACTATCCTTGTCTTTAACAAGTACTTAAAAAAGTCTTAATTATTCACCTAATATTGTATTTCAAATTTTTATTTCCGAATTTTCCATGTAATTTTTTTTGACTTTTCCCCATAAAATTGGCCCTCTATCTATTTAAAATTTACTACTTATATTTTCCCCATTTTTTTTAAATTTAGATTACGTGTTTGGCGCTAAAAACATGTAATTTTTTTAAATGTCAGATTAAGTTAATAAATACATGTGGACAACATAATAATTGTAAATAGACATAAAAGGAATAGTAGGTGTCAATTTTAGCTCGCGAATAAAATGAATTAGTTGGGAGAATTAATGAAAATTCGAGATTGGACAATTATATTTTCTGCAAAATAAATTGCTGCATATTATATTGTTGAAGCAATAAATGTTTGAGATGACGGACATTTTACTCCGGCAACTCTTCCCTTTTTATAATTTTTTCCTCTTTCATAAATTTAAATTGACTAGGCATATGCATGTACATGCATGCAAATAGGCGAAGCGTTATTTTCTATTAGAAAACGGCCTATAAGTGATCATAGTAGTAACAATAGTATTCAAGTTAGCAGTAGTAGTAGAGTAGTAGCAACAATGCTAGTGGTGGTCTCTCACAGAGCTTGATATGCAGAGACCATTTGGGATAACACTATATACAAATAGAGGAAAAGGTCACAAATATTGGAAAGAAAAACAAATAAAAAAAAAATCCAGTGTTATAACACTTCTATTAGTAAAAAAATGACTCAGAATCTTTAGATTTACGTGCTAATTTGTTGCTGAGCACGTTCAAGTACAACCATGGCCTCATCTACCTTGTTTTTAATTTCGATGTCTGAGTTCAAAAGTTCCAATAACTCATTGTTATCCATTTCAAGCATCATTCCAGTAATTTTTCCTGCCAATTCTGGTTGGAACTGGGCAATAATTGGGAAGAGTCTTTCTCCAAGGAGTTGTTTCTGCATACTAGGGGAGGCAGCGGCTAAAGTGGCTGCAGTTAAAGGAACATCAGGTTGAGGGATTAATGGATTTTGGACTAGTGCTCCGTTTGATGGATCCATTTGTCTATTCTGCATCATATCTACACGCTGCATTTCAGATCCCTTAACATTTTGTGGGAATTTGAAGCCTTGCTTTTGCATTTGCTGAACCTGATGACCATGAGAACCTGGCCTTCCTCCTTGTCCACTACCCTGAACATGTCTATTGTGTATTCTTTGGTTGCTTCCTCCAGTTCTATTATTTTGTCCATTCTGAACTCCTGGAACAGCATTACCGGCAACCCCATTTTGGACAGATCCAGTAGCACCAGCAGCTCCATTTGGAGCAACTCCGTTCTGTTGGATAACATTTCCATTATAAGCTGCCATCTGGGGACCACCTGCCATTTGAGGAGGCATACCTCCAGTATATGCCATTCTTGCTGGATTTGGTCTCCATGGACTGTTAATTGGGTTCTGATTTGGGAAGCCACCTGCAACCATTGCTCTGCCGTGTGGCATTGCAGTTGCTGCAACATTTGGATTACCGGGAATGAAGTACATTTGGGGTGGTACACCAAACTGCATGGGAGCTCCATGCACTCCTGGTGGACCTGGTGGGATTGCTCCAGGTCTTAAAACTGGAGGAACTGCACCTCCTCTAATACGTTGCTGAAGACGTAACGCTCTTTGTTCTTTGCGTTCATGAAGACCCACATACAATGGCTTTCCACGTATGAGTTTAAGGTGCATCTCAGTAATAGCTTTTGTAGCCTCATCTGGGGAGAGGAATGAAACAAACCCAAATCCTCTAGAAACTCCCGACTCGTCAGTCTTGATACTAACTGAGGATACTGTTCCGAATGGTTCGAACATAGAGCGAAGATCCTCTTCATTAATCGAGTCTGCCAAGTTCTTTACATAAAGATTTACTCCCTGATAACGTTGGTGGCTCTCTTTTACAGCTTCGTGTTGAGACTTCAAGACCACTTGACGCTCGTTCTTCTTTTGTGCCCTGGAAACATATAGTCTATTTGGCTGTACTTCAGCCGAAACATTTTTGTCAGTTGAGCTATCTTCGTTTGATGTAGACTCCTCGTTAGACGATCCTGGTGATTCCTTTGACACCTCGTTAGATGCCGTCTGTTTTTTATTAGAAGCCTCTCCGGATTCCTGTTTGGATGATGTCTCGGAATCAGCTCCAGTGTCATTCTCGGCTGGTGTTTCAGCTGCTGAGTCCAATTCAACTCCTACCGGAGTAACCAAAGCATTGTGTAAAGCAGCAACTGCAGCCTTTGCAGAATCTGGGCTTTCAAAGTTCACAAAGCCAAAAGGTCTGCCTTTAGAGTCAGATTGTAAGACTAAGGAGCTAATCTTACCATACACTCCGAATATCTTGTATAAAAGATCCTCGGTCCAGCTCTTGGGAATATGTTTCACATAAACATTAGTAAAAGTCTTATCCTTTTCAGAAAAGCGTTCAGCCTTTTTCTGGAATTTTCCTACATAAATTGGACGATCTCCCAAAACAGCTCCGTTTAACCTAGAAATGGCCTCCTTTGCACTATCTGCGTGCTCAAAGTGAATAAAACCATATCCTAAAGATTTGCCCTCAACATCAGTAGCAATCTTGCATGACATAATGTTTCCAAATAGACTGAAAGTGTCAAAAAGAGTCTTATTATCAATCGATTTATCCAAATTCTTAACAAAAACATTTCCATCATTGTTTCTCCTGGATGCTGGGTCACGTAAGCACCACATAATTCTGCATGGACGACCACGGATACATGTGAAATTAAGAGTATCAAGAGCTCTTTCTGCATCCGCTACACTGTTGTAATTGACATAAGCATAACCCAAACTTCGTCTTGTAAGAGCATCTCTGCAAATACGCACTGATGATACGACTGCAACACTATTAAATATCTCATATAACATCGTTTCAGTCACATCTGCATCCAAATCACCAACATAGAGGGAGGCACTAACCGGTACCACATTATTACTATTAGTCATCTTTTCAATAGGCTTTCTTCACAAAAAATCTGATTCTGCTTACTTGGCTAGAACTATAGGCCAATCTTTTGTCTCTATAATTACAACCAATGGTCTTTTTTTTTATTTTTTTTTTTTTGACTAAAAACAGCCTTTTGAAACTTTTTCGTAAATTTACAAAGTTATTCTTGACTTGAACTATTTTCCTCTATTTTCTCTTTGGACCTTATTATTTTACTATTAACTTGCTATTCATTTTATTAACTTTTTGCCCTGTTGGACATATTCCCCTGTCGCTTTTAGTGCATCGTTACTTATTATTACTTTAATTTCATTTACTTTATAATGCTTCCAAATATTTTACGTATAACGCTCCACTTATTTTAGACGTAATCATTTTGCTGTTTTTGATAAATCTAATTAAACATTTAGCGCCCTAATAATTGGGCCTTATTAGTGGATTTACAAGTCATTATAATCCACATACTATTGCTGATCAATTTCTTGTTTGTCAAATCTGACCAAGGATATACTTCGAATACGTGTCTATTAGGCGGTATCTTTCTTTAATCAAGTATTCATTAGTATTAATCTTTGCCTTCTATTCTATACTTCTTTACTTATTCAGAGACAGAATAAATGCCTGTATACAAAAGTGTCATGGCGCCAAAATCCCCCGCCTTAGTGTGGTGATGGTTTAAACCCATCAACATAAAAATTTCGTGTTATGTTAGGAAGACGAATATTTCCTTTAGTTAATTTTTCGTCAACTTTAATTTGGCATGCCAATCTAGAGGTTTCACAAACTTGTGGTGCCATATCTAGCATATCTTCTTCTCTTTCTGATGGCGGTTCTAGCTCATCATAGATTTCCTAAGGACAAAGGAGTGATGAAATCAAGATTAAATGTGAGCTGCTTTAGGGCTTGAGAACGCCAATTATAGTCTTAGATTATGATCTGGTTCCTATTTATATATTTCTATGGAAAAATATTTATTTGTTCTTGAAATTGTTCTTTTTAGACCTTGAAGTGATCTTCATTCATTGTGAATTCTTCTGTTAAGAAGAAAGGACCCTACGGCATTCATTCGGAACTTTAACTCAAAGTTTGGCCGTTTATTTGTTCGCTTTCTTCTCTATTGCTTCCTCATCAGCCCATTAAACTAACTTACCTTGTCCAAAATAACATGACAAGTACTGCATGCTAAAGATGCTTCGCACGCCCCTTCAATATCTAGTTCTTCGTGCTGGGCAGCTTCTAAGAGCGAAACATTTTTTGGAGACTATAATATAGCAAAGTTAGTTGATTCCTGAATTTAGAAAAGAAATATTTTGTGTTAGAACTTACATAAATAACTTTCTTTTCTCCATTTCTCAATATAAATGAGAGCTTTCTGAAAGACAAATCAGTATTTTATTAAAGAATTGAGCTTCAGTTTTGATTTTCTTAGGCTTCCACTATTTGAACTTACATTTTTGGATGATCTTCTTTAGTCCATAATTGTGGATCTGAATGGAAAAAACGTTTAGAAGACCACGAAACCGCTTTCTTACCAATATATGGTAGACCCGAGAAAATACCCGAGGAAATTGGCCTACTAATTCTCCAAATCAAATTATTCGACATTTAACAAACTTCAATGTCATTAAATAATCTATGAGCATTTGGCGGGAACATGAGTGTCTGTAAATAATGTGTTCGGAGGTTTTTAGTATTAAGAGATCGTAAGAACATGTATTGTGGTCTCCTTGAAGTATTTTTAAGTATTTATTGAGATGCAACCCCAAAGCCTTCAATGAGAGATTCTGTGACGGAAAGAAGAGATGTTGCCTCTCCCCATCTGTACTTTTCTTTTGTTGAGGCGATACATTTGATAACTATATTTAGGCATGAAACGTACTCGAACAGTGCAAACCCTGAGTCTCTCATGATAACCATTTCTCTGAATAAAATGTCTACGAGTACGTGGAAGTCCATTGTATCACAATGTAAAGACTTTTGTCTTTTCATAGCTCTAAGAATGTCACTTAAAAGAAGCATTACACTAGAATACTTCTTAAAATGTTCTTTTCCATACTCAATAGAGTTGTTCTGGTTAAGTAGTAATAATATACACTCCATTACAATGTATCCGTGCTTATCTTCAAGTATCTCACCTACAATTGGGCTATCAATTCCATCATATTGACTTGATAAATAACTCAAATATGGGCTGGGAGCTGCAATTTCTTCATTTTTGAAGGTTGGGTATTTGCTTTGCTGTTCTTGATGATCTCTAGTTCTCATCTTTGCATAGTTGTCTAACGCCCACTCATAATGCATTCCTGCAAGCTCATTTAACACTTCAGCAGTGTCGGTTGTAATAGTTTCTGACTCTGAATTTAACTTGGATGCAGAATTCTCTGTTCCAGAAATATTTTCAACTTTGGCTGGGAATAGTGGCTGAATTGGAGCTCTAAGGTCAAGCCCATCCCCAAATATTCTCATGCTCCTTTTTCTATATGTAACCAAAAATTGAATAATTTCAGAGACCTTTTTGCCATTCATCCTTGCCTTCTCTCATTAATGATAAACGCTTTTATAATAAGTGATTTCTGGTTACCTAAATGGGTAATTCAAATTAATTTATTGGGTACGAGGTTCTGTTGTTTCCAAAATACTACTTAAAGCCCGTTGCTTGTTATTATATGGATAACTTATTATATATTTTTATAAAAATATTATTTTTCTTCGTATACATTTTATTCAACTTTTTTTAATTCCTCCCCACACATCACTACATCTATTTCTGAACATCCTCACAGAAAATTGCAAAATTGCCGCTTTTGAAATAAGGAAACCTCCTTTAACCATTTGATATACAGTAATATTGAATGTTTGAGTTAAAAAATGAGAGATTTTGTCTTTTCCCTCAAACCCTGCTTTTTAAAAGCACTAAAAAAATTTATGTTTATTAAATTCATGTTATCTGGATTGTGAAAATAATTACCGTTTGCAAAATTTGCCAGTGCATGCATGCATGACTTCCCGCTCAAAAACGTGGCATAAGATAGCCTGAATATTTAATGTGAATCAAAAGTCCTAGAAATTGAAAGTCAAAAAGGAGGAAATCAAGTAAATATACATATATAATGAAAATGGGCTATGATAGTTTTCTAGTTATAGGCGAGTTTAAATATAAAATTAGATAAAAAGGTTGATGATTTGGTTGATAATCCAAATGGAAATAATGGAAATGAAAGCTATAACAGGTATAGGAACTTTGATGTTTTCCAGTAGTATGTTAATATGATCTTGAATAATCTGATGCCATTTCTGATTAGTCTTTGAAGTTTTACTATATTGTGGCCTTTTATATCTTTGACCCTGTGTTTTTTGCCTAGTTCCTGGCTTAAGAACTGAAGCGGCAGAAATACCATTAAAACACTCTTTATTGTACTCTATGAGACTTTTGGGCCCTGAAGATGAATGAAAGTCTTTAAATGTGGAGAACCCATTTAAAGAGCAGAATTCTGTGGGGTCTGATGTAATTGAATGTAAAGGAGAACAAATAGCTGATAAATCTGTACAAGGAATGAGATTGAGTCTAATAAATGACACATCCTCATTATTACGTATGTAAGAGTTCTGTATGTTATCAAAGTAATCTTCATAACAAGCATCATACCACATATTACAGTAGGATTGGCAAAGAATTGGGGACTTTTGTAGAACTTTTCTTCCAACTCCAATATCGGCATCACAGTATGAACAAAGAGACTTTTGGTAAAAGTTTGAGCATCTAGTAGAAAGAGATGATCGTGCTACTAATGCTGAAAAAAGTCTTGAAATAGCTTCAGAATGGCTTTTTTTACAACAAGTTCGCTTTTCATGTTCTTTACAAATGGGAAACTCGTTCAGATAATAGTATGGATGGTGCCTTTGATCATTTTTGTCGTCATATATTTCTAAACAAAATGGCTCATGTTCCTCTGCTTTGTTCCACACAATAATATTTAATAACCACAAAAAAGATGCCGTTAAAAACTTCAGCACAATCTTGTGCTTACGTAAAAACAATGGTTTATGCACTGTTTCCATATGTATGTGATTTTAAACTAATTCCATCATAAATTAACTAGTTCATTGAGAAGATTTATTTATTCTTCCTTCTCTAAATTGATTTTTTTTTCCTTTGATCCATTCTAGCATTTATTTGGTCTAGGCGTTTTCCCGCCCGAATTTGTCTCGTGCCGGTATATAGATAATTACAAATTAAAAATGTTAGTAAATACAAAATAAGTAACAGCTTTTCTTTTCTCCTTAATCTCTACTCAGTTCTATCTAATTTAAATAGTAATTTACATGCTGGCCTAGCATATTTGTTTTTCGTTTAAGAATCAATGCTTTTCTATCTTAGTATTTAGATTTTTAATAGTGAGGCTCATCTAATAGTGCCTAATAATTACATGCCGATAAAGTATGGCATTTTTCTTTCTTTTTCTTTTTTGAAAGTGTCTCTTGCAACTAAAAATAGAGTTTAATGCACTTTTTGGGCAATTGAAAGTGAGTATACCAAAATCAGCATCTGAAACTTTGAGCAGTAACTCAAATTATTCAAGGCTAAATTGTTAGCGTCTTTTTGGCGCGTAAATGTTTTTGAGGCTTAAATAGACTAAAAAAGATCAAAGATTTGTAAGGGGAGGTTTAAAGAAAGAAAGATAAATCGAATAAATAACCTTTAAAAAAGAATTTCTTGGAAATATGTCATCGGAAAGCTTTACAGAAACGATCCCCAGGTATATTTTAAAAGGAAGTGATGAACCATTGAAAAAGTCAAAATTAACTTTGGAAGAAAGACACAAATTGTGTTTGTCGGTCGGTGAAGAATGCATCCAGGAGGCCGAGTTATTGGAGCTATTAAAGAGGAAGGAACATCCAATTTGCTATGACGGATTTGAACCTTCGGGAAGAATGCACATTGCTCAATGCATATTAAAAACTATTAATGTGAATAAACTAACAGAATGTGGATGTATTTTCGTATTTTACGTAGCAGACTGGTTTGCTCTGCTGAACAATAAAATGGGAGGTGACCTTGAAAGGATCAAGATAGTTGGTGAATATTTTGTTCACATTTGGAAAGCTGCGGGAATGGATATGACCAATGTAAGATTTGTTTGGGCATCAGATTTCATTAATGGTGAAGATTCAAATGAGTACTGGTTAAGAGTATTTGACATATCTAGGAAATTTAATATCACCAGAATTAAAAGATGCTGCCAAATCATGGGAAGACAAGAAAGTGATGAACAACCTTGTGCTTCAGTATTTTATCCATGCATGCAATGTGCAGATATATTCCAGCTCAAAGCAGATATTTGCCAGCTAGGGATGGATCAAAGAAAAGTTAATATGCTTGCTAGGGAATACTGTGATGTAGCTGGGATTAAACAAAAGCCAGTCATCCTCTCGCATAAAATGCTTCCAGGACTGCTTGAGGGACAAGAAAAAATGTCAAAGTCAGATACTTCTTCTGCTATCTTTGTAGAAGATACCCCTGAAGCTGTTGTTAAAAAAATCAAAAAGGCTTTCTGTCCCCCAGGAGTTATTGAAGGAAATCCGTGCATTGAATATATTAATGCCTTGGTATTCCCCAAATTTGGCCATTTCCATGTTTCCAGAAAAGAAGAGTATGGAGGCGACATTACTTTTACTACTAAAGAAGACTTCCACAAGGCATATCTTAGCGGAGATCTTCACCCTGGTGATTTAAAAAAGGGTCTTTCCGATGCACTGAATCTTATGCTACAACCAATTCGTGACCATTTTAACACTGATCCTAGGGCCAAGGAACTTTTACAACTTGTTCAGTCATTCAAAGTCACCAAGTAATCTTTTAGATTACTTCAAATCTAGAAAATTACATTAACAACTTTCCTCCCCAATATTAACTATATTTGTTTTCCTTCCATCTTCTCCTTTTTTATTGCCCCTCCCCCTCTAAATGTCCATTCTCCATTGCTCCATGCACACTCTCCACACTACCACCAAAATCTAATGTACTAATCTATATTGCATGACTTTACCGCCTAAACACGTAATTCTTATATCAAACTCACCTTTCTATTACTATCCATGTTCTCACCATCTCCCCGCCAAATACTTTTACTTTTTTTTTCGCCCCCCTACTGATAACCATTTTAAAAGGCAGTAGACAAGACGCATATATACCGGTATAAAAAATAACAAAGAAAGATTCAAAAGAAACTGGTATTTTGGCTATCGTTTTTTAAAAAAAGCTAATTAAACAAAGGAATAAAGACTTAAAGTCGGAAGTCTTTATAGATATTTAAAACCTTTTTAGATTTTTGAAATTAAATCACACAGTTTATATTGACTAGAATTCATTTAAGTTACAGTAAAATGGAATCATTTTTTGCAACCAATTCTAAAAAGTCCCAGTTCAGTGGGAACTTTTTCAACTCATCAGATTTAACCTCAGTACAACAAACTCACTTACTGAAGATGTATTCCTCCATTATCGCTGGTTCATTCGTAACAGTATTTGGTGTGACTGCATTTATTAATGGAATGGTAAGACTCAATTCACTTATTAGTCTTTTGCTTGGTATTGGGATCACATTTTATTTAACTGGATCATCATCTAACAAGAGTTCCCTCTCTATCACCCGTTTAGCAGCTTATTTGATGCTTTGCTTCGTTATTGGAAATGGACTTGGTCCCATGATCTTATTTGGGAACTATGTTAATCCTGTAATCATTCCAACAGCTCTTGTAACTACATGCATAATTTTTATTTCATTATCTTTTGGAGCTTTATTCACTAAAAAAAGACTTTCCCTTTATACAACTTCATTCATTTTTACAACTATTGCATATCTTGGACTCGTCTCGTTCTTCAATATTTTCACAAGATCCAAATTCGTTGACTCACTTCTATCATATGCTTTTGTTGTGGTCTACTCCTTTTATATATACTATGATACCCAGAAGACTCTAGAAGCTGTCACATATGGAGAAAGAGATTTTCTTCTCCACTCAATTCAACTCTATCTGGACGCTGTAAACCTCTTCACCAAAATCGTAGTCATCTTAATTAGGAAACACCAAGAAGAGGAAGATAAGCGTAGAAAAGGTGATTAGAATTCGCATGGCAATTAGTGAGGAAATCTTCCTCAAAGGCCAATGTTATCTAAAACTCTCTGAAGATGATAAATTTTAAATTTAACATTTATTATTTCACAAATAGAATCAGTATACTAACGTCTTTACTAATCTAGGTAGGAACATGATTTCTCCTTACTACAGTTAATATTCTAACTGAAATCCCAGACAAGGTTCTTCATTATACCCACTCCATTCATGCCCAGTTCTCCTTACATAGGCCCTTTCTCCGTCTTATCTCCTTTCTATTATATTTTTAATCCTTTCTTGCCTTTTTTGGAAATCTCCTATTTTAAAGAGCCAGGTGGATATATAGATGTGCATCCCAGAATCAGGTTATTCACACCTATTTTGCAAGCTTATCCACATAATTGGTACTCTATTTCCACGAATTCAGGAAACAAAAATCCATTCCAAAGTTCGTATTCCCTGTTCCACCTCCTGCTGTTCCTCCTCCCCCTGTTAGGAAGAATAAAGGAGAGCAGTCAGAGTACTCTGAAGAAAGTCCGAACCCCTGGCTGCCTCTCAGAAATGGAGGGATTACGCCCCCACTTGGCGTGATAAAGGAATTACTAGCAACATTGGTATTATCTGAGAGAGATGATGCTGAGGTCGTGGTACTGGAAGTAAACACTTTCGGCGAGTTCAGAAAATGCTCGTTGCTATGACCAACTTGTATTCCTTCAGTAGGTCCAGAGAGAGTATGGGCCTGATTCTTATCCTGATGGTGAAGACCGGTCTTCAACTGCGATGAGGATTCAACAAGGGATTCTCTCAACCTTTGGGAGGCACTCTGGTTGGCGGAGATCTGCATGGGTGAGGCAGAGTTAGGGTTTATTGGGTTACTATTATTAATATTGAAAGATGGTCCCGAAGCATTACTGGAAGCATTTGTAGAACTCTTGATGATAGATGATGCTAAGCTCCAATCTTGAGGAGCAGCTTTAGAATATGAGCGAGAATCATTCAGACATTGATTCAAGTTTTGAGGGATGGTGTTACCATTCCCTTTTGTAAAAGCCTCAAAAGGACCCACTCCCCAGGTATCGGTAATTAATTCGCCAATTTCTGGCTGGTCGAGCCACTGAAAACAGCAGTAATCCTTAGAGGATAGATTCATAGCGTTAGAAAAGTTCTCTGAGTTGGTTGATATCCAATTATTCATCTCTGAAGCCTCGTTAATCAGCTTATTATAGCTATTAAAGCTTCCAAAAAAGGGGTCATTTAGGGATGGAGAAGCCCCTTGGGAGCCCTGGAACGAACAAGAGTCCAAAACTAACCCAGGAATCCCCACTGTTGGATGCCTCTCGGAGCTGCCTTTTTCCAGATAGGTACCCCCGAGTTGATTAAACCCTGCCGAAGTCGAAGTTGCAACAGAATTTACTCGGAACCCGGCATCCTTTTCATTTTGGAACACCTGGAAAGTCGCCGTCTTGGAAGGAGGTGGAGGAGGTGGGGGTACAAGATACCTAACTGATTGTTGCTGTTGTTGCTCCCCTCCTGTCTGGAAAGAAGGCTTTCCAAATATGGAGTTGTTTCTACTCGAAGATTGTAAGGTTGCCAGAGGAACGGTGGAACCCTGGCTAACCCTAGAAGTATACTTCTGAGGCTGATGAAAACCACAATGTGAAGATACCAAATCAGGGAGGCTCTGCAACATTGAGGCTCCTGTAAACCCTGTAGACTGAGCAGAGCCAACACCTCCCTGAGGATGTTCGAGATGGGCAGAGCCAAATGTATTGTGAGAATTTCTTACAGATCCACCAGAGAATGAGGGACCTGGAGAAATTGTAGAAACTCGTAGGCAATCCTCAGACACAACTGTTAAATCTGACTTAGAAAAACCTTCAACACTTGGTACGCCTGCCCCACCAGCTGCAACCCCAAATCCTGGTATGTTTCCAATAGTTCCAACATTTCCAAAACTTCCAATATTAACAGAGTTACTTACCCCAGAAATACTAGAGAGTCCGGATGAGTTAACCAAACACCCTCCTATTCCAGTCCCAGTAGAGCTGCAGGAGTTGGCTATGGAAGAACTGTTAGTTGAAGATTTGTACCTCTTACCTCTTTTTCTCTCCTTATGTTGGAAATGGCAAAAACAACAAAGGACGCCATTCCTACATTTCTTGTTAGTCTTATTGACGAAAACACAAGGCTTGCAAAGACCTAAAACGTGAGTGAAAGACCCCAGAGAAAGTGAAACATCGCCAGGATCCTTAACCCCTGAACCAGATTCTTCCTGCTGTTGGGATTCGCCTTTAACTGTCTCACTCTGAATAAGAAGACTTTCAAATATATGGCTTGGCCAGGAGACATCAAAGTACTTGAGAAGAACCCCCAAAATTGAGGGAGTACTGGCAACATTGGCCAGATTAAGTCCGCTTGGATGTTCAGTTGTATTGATTATATCTCCTATTGTATACTGAGCGGTTTCCTTCCCAAGAAGGATTCCATAGCTTGGGAACGGAAGCTTCCCCAAAAGGAACTGAGAGCTTAATGCATTCTCAGCATTCCTCATTTCTTTAGCCTCTACGGAATCTAACCCTCCTGCAAATTCCTTGATAAGACCCTTAGAATTAGTTCCCAGCCTTTCGATTAAGTGGTCGCCAGCTTCAACTGATGGGTCTATAAGCTTCAAAATCTCCCTCACAGCTTGCAACTCCAACTCTTCTCTGTGAGAATCGCTAATGCAGGACCTATAAAGAAAGAGATGCGATACAAGCAGCTCTTTCGAAGGAGTTGTAGACTCTCCAGAAGCTGGGGAAGAGTCTAACATGATACTTGAGCACCCATTAATCCCCACAGCTGTACAAGAACTTGATGATAATTCCACACTATTTTGAAGCCTCCACCTGATGCAAACCAAAACAATGTATCTAAGTTCGGATATAGATATTAGAAAAGATTCGGTTAAGGCCCCCTCCCCTTCTATGCCAGAGTCTTTTGTCTTCTGGCTGGCAGATTGGAAGTTATCCAAAATAGGAGGGCCTGGAACTCCGCAGTTTGGAGAAGAATCACCAAATTGAACCTTTATTCCAGAAAGGTTCTGACTCAAATCTGACGCAGAAACTAAGTTACAACCAGACTCTGCTCCATACACAAGATTTGTACTTTTTAAAGTCTCAATTCCCCCATTCTCATTTGAAATTCTTTCTTCGAAACTCATTGGTATTCGAACAGCCTAATGGTCATTTCACTAAAAGATTTTCTTTTTTCCAATATGGGTGTATTTACTCCCTCAGCCTAGAGACGTTCACTGTAAGAAACAGCTCCAGGGCTTAATCCCTAGTCTGTTCAGAAGTGACGAAAGCTTCCCTATTATAGATTTTGCTATTTTTCAAAATAATCTCTTACTTACCACACAATTTAGTCTTTTAAAATTATTTTTCTGAATCTCCCTGGCTCCCGTAATCCTTTTATGTTACATTGATTTTCCAAAGTAAAACCGTTTATTTCCAACCTTCAAGGCTGAAATACTCCTATTGCTTGTTTCTTTGTTTATTGATTTTACATTTATATTTATTTGTAGTATATAAAAGAATTTTATTCCTCTTAAAGCTAAAAAAAATCTGTGTATTTTTGTGAGGAGTCTAGTTACCTCTCTTTAATTACTTGTATTATGACACACTTATTTAATACTTTATTTATTAACACTATGCTGATACCTGTATTATTTAACTTATTCCCACCTTATGACCCTTACGTATAAATCTCAAGTTCCACACTTCTCACACCACTCTTGTTATTTGCTGTACCTCAAAATCTCAAACCAAATTTCACGCGTAAATTTCTTACGTTTATTTAATTATTTGCCACAAATTACCTCGCACGTATATTTACATATATGTAAGTACACATTTAAATTTGTCTTAAATCCCCCATTTTTCTGCTCTGATCGCATACACAGTTTTGTATCTATTAAGTCCCGCGCTTAAAACTCAACCTTATCCTCTCATTCAACCCCAATTTTATATTTGAGTTACCTCTTGATTACTTTCAGTTACCCTCACACTTTGCAGCGCGCCTTGCCCACACATTCCCGCCTAAAAGTTTGAGCGGGAGACTTTATTTAAGTTGTTATAGAGAAAGCTTTGTGTTACCTATTTCTCAAGAAACAGTCTTCCGCCCTTATTGTAAACTTCTCCTCTGTCTACCATGTTGTTTATTGCTTGAACGTGTTGTGGCCATGTCAGAGTGTGTTGTGTGTCAGAACTTGGGGATGTCCCAGAGTCATGATTGCCACAAGAGTCTTGTTCTAAGTGTTTGTCTTCACTTTGGCCTGCAATCGCTGCTCTGACTCTCCCAAAGAGCACAGCCGGAGCCATTGCACCGTTTAGTTGAAGTGTTGCTCTGATAAGTAGTTCACACTCCTTTATAATATCGTATTTGGCGTGTTCCCTTTCTTTGCTGGACCTGGCGTTACCAGGGGAAGAATCAAATCCATGATTCTCTTCATCTAATACAGTGGGAGTCGTAAAGTAGCAATATTTTTCCAAGTAGGTTTCTGAAAAACCAATCATTGGAGGTAGATTTCCTCCGCTCACGGAGCTTCCGGGTTTGTTTTCCCCTAGTTTTGAAGAGGAGGGCCCATCAAAGCTTGAAGTTCCTCCTTGATGCCTTAAATCTTGTAATAAGTCCTTTCCTTTGAACGAAATTGTTGTAGTAATTATTCCAGTTGGGAAATTTAGATTTAGGTCTTCATCTTCTTCATCACATTCTTCTTCTTGTATACCATAATCATCAGTTTCTTTGTGCTCTATTGTTAGGTACTGGCCATTGCAAGTCTTTTCTTTATCCTCCCTCCTTGCTCTCTCACTGGATATCTCTTCTGATTCTTCAAGAAAACCCCTTTTCGGAGTCTCCATAAGGCTTGATATTGTAAAGCTTTTCTTGAGGGAGTTACTTCTTTGACAATTTAAACCACCAAATGAAGAGGTTTTACTTCTATTCAGAATATTATTGAAGTCTAACATTACTGTCATGTCGTTAACTTCGGAATTAAGACCACCTTCTCTCCTTGAACTACTGAAGCTTTCGTCTACATTTAATGTAGACGTATCTTGGCATTGTTCTTGTTCCTCAAAACCTGCTTCTTTCCTAACTTTAACGTTGCTAAATGTTTGTGGAATATCAAAACACTCCAACCCTTCCTCCTTAATAGTCATTTGAATAATTCCTTTTGACAACATGTTTTCAACACTCCAACGGAGAGTCTGTTCATCCAACCTAAAATGATTCAAAAGATCCATAAAAGTGATTATAACTTCTTCTTCTTTGTCTAATAATGCTTTATCTATATGAACAGAAGATCTTTCAGTAGCTTTTGGACTGATTGTAAACCAATTTAAAATAGAATTTGAACTTATCAGTTTATCCGAATCAAGGAATCCATCCTTTGAAGCTCCACGTTCTGAACAATCCAAATTCTTTTCTGGACGTTTGCTTGAGATATAGTCATATATGCTTATTTGAAGAAAATTCAAAGTTACATTACTTTTCACAGTACCATCCATTGCTGTTAAGTCTACCAGGCCAATTCCGTATCCGCTATAACAGTTGAAAGTCCTTCCAGGATGCTCTCTTTCAAAAAATTGCCTATATTCTTCAATTTCATCCTGTATTACTGAAGCCAAAGGAAAAGTGTCTTCCCTTATTTCCATGTTAATTACACTTTGTGACCAATAACTCCTTGATATTGTAAATACTGCCACGGTTGGTTTTGAATCATCAGTAATCCTTGACTCTTCTCTATAACTGATGTACTCTTTATTATCAGAAATTGAGCCACTTATATCTTGCAAAATTATGCTACAATTAGTTAGTAATTGTTGTTCATCTTTACTATTAAGCTTTGAGCCTACAAAATTTCCTTTAAGCAAGTTATCTCCACTTCTACCATCTATAGTCATCTTTATCATTTCATAGACTGATTCATCCTTCTGAAAACGCCTCTCATCAATCTTCCAAGTATACTCATCAATTATACTACCTTTTCCCCCTTCATCCACTGAATGTGACTCAAATCCCACGTCTTGCCAACTCCCAATTACCTTTGAGGCCAAGTTAAAGATATAATCGTATAATAGAGTTAAATTACTACCATAAATATGAGAAATCCAATTTAGTACCAATTTTATCTGAGGACTCTGAAAACTTTGTGAATAGTCCTGAATTTCATCAAATGATCTTTCAAACAAACCTCTACACTCATTTCTGTAATTTGGATTGCATATTGAAAATTGAGGGTAAACACCCTCATCGGAACAACTTATAGGCATTATAATCTCAGAATCACTCATAGCTGGAGAGCAATTCTCAAGCATTAATGGCATCCAACTGACTATACATTGTGTTGTATCCCCTCTTTGTCTCAAAGCATCCCCAAACCTAGTCAAAGTTTTGTCCATCCATTCATTTGGGAAATCCAATAATAACAAAAATATAATTGATTTGACATAAAACCCTACAATCATTGAGGTTTCCACGTGTAAATGAAGCAACTTTCCATTCACATAATTTAAGATCTCCCTTGAAATCTCAGAGTACCAAACCTCTTTTAAGATATCACTACTTGGTAAGTAGTTCATAGTGATATAAAGGTCTAAAATTGCACTTTTACTTGCTGGAAAATCAGTGATTAGCTCTACAACTCTTCTTTTCAGACTCCAATTATATTCCATGTAAAACTCCTCAAATATAATTTGAAATGTCAAATCACAATTCACTGGCTCAAACTCTTTCTCTCTAATCTTACTATCTACTTGGTAATCAGCCATTATTGCATTTTTCTTAAAAATATTCTCCTGATTCAGTGATTTTGGATCCTTAGCTTTAATATAACAAAATCCTCCATCCAATAAACCCATTAAAATTGGTCCCATAAACTCGTGAACATATTTGGAATATATTCTCAGATTGCTCTCCTCAGTCTTCCTTCCTTCTAAAAACAACACAGTACTGACAGAATGAATCTTGAACATGGAAATTACTCTTTGTTTCCAGAAATGCTCGAGACCTATTAGCCTCATCAAAATTGGAAGATCTCCAAGTCTGGTCATCAAAGTTATGTCTTTAATTCCATTATACATATAATCTGCCCCTTTTTCCTCTGAACAAAAAAGTAGCCAAATTAACTCATCTAATAGAGTTGTATGAATCCTTGAAAGAGTTTCAAGTGAAAATTCTGAGACATTTGTAGTTAAATCATCCAAAATTGGACCTTGGGAAATCACTTTGAGAATCTCTTGTATCTTTCTTTTGTCACAATAATCCTTATCTTCAACATTGTTGTATTGTACACCTTCTACTCCATTATTGTTGCTAAATCCTGAATTTGTCTGGTCCAGGTATTTTTCACCAATGTTGGAACCAATCAGGTTGATTAATAATTCCAATGTCTCAAAATCTAAATTTGATGGAAATGAGCCATTTAAACTCAATACCTTAGATGCTTTGTGCTCATAGAGATGCTGAAGATCCTCTAATCTGGACTTGCAAATCTCCATTCTTTTTTTTGTATCACCAAATGAATTATTGATCATAATTCTTAGTAAAATTTCCCTCATAATTAAAGGATTTATTTCGTTCTTAATTGAAAAGTCATCACTATTGAGCATCTTCTCAGATAAAGAAGTTATAATCCCAAATATGTATTTACCAAATATCGAATCAAGTCCAGGAGGAATGCTTTCAATGAATAATAGGCGAATCTTTGTCATAAAACTATAAATCACCCTACGAAGAGGAGATTCACTGAGATTATTAGGAAAAACTTCATCATTCAGTGAAAAGCAACTGTTCAAAAAAATAATCTTCTCTTCAACTGGAATATTAACCAGAGAAGCTGCTCCATATAGAACAAAAACAATATTCCATAGTAACCTTACCAAGCCAAAAACCAAACAGGTGTGAAAAGGGAGAATACTTTTATCAACAGGAGCAATGATCCTATTATCTTTAGAATAGTACTTATTCTCATTTAAGCTTTCACCCACAGAATTTGTGTCGTTACTTGTCATTCTCGAATCTATTGTATCAACATCACCAAGTAGAAGCAAAGTAGTCCAAAAAAATGTGATCTCCTTTGAAAGTACATAATCCAGAGAATTACCTAAAAAGTTTTCTAGGATTTGTATCGAAAGGTCATTTCTGTATATACAATCTAAAGCTTCTATTATTTCTGGAGTTTCCAACTTTGAGACCAATCTTTCAAGCTGTAATTTGCTTTCTGGAAACTTTCGACTTGATTTAAAACCACTCAAAGTCTCATCCTGATGATTTTCAACTTGTTCATATGTCTGAGAATTGTACAGATATTCATCTAAAACTTTATTAATGTCACTTAAAAAACTTTTGGCTGATATACTAACCACAACCCACGCTTCCAAAACATGTTCAGACAACTCAGAAAGGTTATCTGCTTTGGAAGGCTCCGAAATATTCTCAGTAACCAAATGTTCTGTGATCATGATTGATTTAATTATTAACCACCTTTTTAATGTGTTCAGGGCCTCTGCTTTTGGTCATCCCAAGTTAATTTACTTACATGCCTCCGAGCCCCCCACGCATATTTGGTGAGTTAGGGCCCCCCTTGCACCTTATGAACCGGCTTTTTTTTAGATAAGGAAAAAGTAAATATTAAAAAGCCTTGGAAATCCAGACTATAAGAAGCTCCTCAGATATCAGGGATGTCAAAAAGAACTAAGGCTTTAGCCAGAGACCCTGAGGGGTTTGTAATCCCAGAGAAGCTGCGTGGTACTCCCAGCCCCGAAACAGATCCAAATCTTAAAGAAAACTGGCCAATTTCAAATAACCAAATATCAAAACTGAACTTCTCTAGGACACAGCTTCAAACCAGATGTAGGCTTTTCAAAACAATTAGATCTGCTCTTGAAAACCCAAAACAGTCCAAGGCTATCACAAACTCAGTGTTTAACCAAATAAGAAAAGGACTATTCGAACTCCCAAGCCATTCATCATTTACCTCAAGTCTGAAGGAAATTATAAAATTGATTTTAGAAGGAGGAGGAATTCCAAGCGTGTTTTTACAGTCAGTCTCGGATTGGACAGGATCAGATTCTGCTGAGAAATGTCTTGAAAACTTAATTTTTGATCTTCAAGATAATAACACTTCTATACTTCAATACTACCCAATTAAGCCCAAGAAGCCTTCTGATTTTCACTTTTCTGAAATATTTACTGATTTCTTTCTTGGAATTGGTGATGCATTATGCAAAAGTATTGTAAAAGATATCCATCTTGAGTCTATTTCAATTACATGTAGATGGGTTAAAACAATAGCAAATGCATCAATTAGACCTCTAAGACATTCAGGATGTGTTGCTTTGAATGGGATTTTAAGGAGTCTTATTTCAACCAAACTTGAGCTCTTAGAAAAGCTCTCCAGATTCAAAATCCAACTTGAAAATGAATCTCCAGGTACTGGAGCTAAAGAAAGTCTGGAAGAAGAGCTATCTAAAGCCAGTAAATTATGTGAAAAACTGGATAATCTTATTAAAGATATAGTATCTGACTCTTGGATCTCAAGAGCTCAAGATGTGAGCCCAGATATACGTAATAACTGCCTTTGCAATCTTTCTGAAGGTATTTTACAACCACATATGGCTAATATAGTTTGTGAATCTGAAATCCCCTCATTGCTTATTGGCCTTCTTCCAGAAGAACTGAACTCTAATCGTATTCAAATTCTTCGTTCTATTTTGATTTGCATAGAGACTGAAGAAATACTTAAGAAATGTAGTGTAATTTTGACGGAAAAGTCTTTTCTAAGAAGCCTTAAGAATTTGGTTGCTCTTGCCTCTAAGCTACCTTCTGATTCTGAAGTCTCTTCATGCGGAGAATTAGCGCTTAGAGTATTAATAGGTCTTCTTAAGAACGAACTTCTTCACGAAGAATTTGTTGATGAAATTGTAGACTTACTTTGGCTTGGCCCATCTTCGGCAGAGATCAGCTCCCTTCTTGCTGAATTTGTTGACTCTTCCCTTTTTGAAGGTGGAATTTCTCACGAAAATATTGAATCACGGGAGCTAATTGATCTTGCAAACCACCAAATTGATAACAAAAAAATCAGAAGTTTAATGAATTTAGACGGGCTCAAAACTCTTGAACCTAGCAGAATTAGATCGGATTTGCAAACCTTACTGGAGTTTATTCACGAATTTGGAAGAGATTTAGTTGTTCTTACGCACAGATGTGTAAATGCTTTTTGGTCCAAAGCTCCTTGTGTTAGAGACTCAAAGTTCCTTGTGGAGATGCTTCTAGCAACAGAATGCTCATCAAGTTCCCAACTTGAACCATTAGATGAAGGGATGAGGAAAGCTCTGCTGCTAGTTTTACATGCTAATGTTTCTCGGATTGAAGATTTATTACTTATGGAATCTCAAGATATTTCAAACTCATCATATTTTAAATCCGAGTCCTTATTGTGTAAATACAGAGCATTCATTGTTATTTCTGTGATTCTTGAATATATGGAACCTCTGATTTTATTACACGAACAAAATATTGATTGTCTTACAATCTTACTTTCAATATTCTCAATATGTATAAGTCTTTATTGCAGAACAGCACAAGATAAAGAGAACTCAAGTTTCATTCCGTCTGGAATGAAACATTTTCCCCTTAAAAAGCTTATAGCTCTTCTTAATAGCCACACTGACTCAAGAGTTATTGATGGAATTTGCATGACTTTTTCTCCAATTGTCAATCTAGATTGTAAAAATCTTCTATTTAATGAAAGCTCTTTAATTGATATTAAATCAGAGATTGGACTCCTTAATAAAAATTTTGTAAACACTTTCTTCACATCTGGAAGAGAGTTTCTGGCAAATACAGACGGACTTTTGTACTCTGATGTAGCTGAAAATACATCCAAGTCGAAAAAATCTAAGAAATCTTCAACAAAACCCAATAATCCACAAAACTCTGTGTTAAATACGATGTGTAACTTCAGAAAAGCTTTTGGAGTTGTTAAATACCTTACCACTATTAATATATACCTGTCAAATCAGTTCAGAGATAACTTATCATCATATAAATCTTCAGAGATGTCACCAGAACAAGGATCAGGGGTTCCCTTATCATTTGAAACTCTTTTTGAGGTTCTTGAAAGAGCTGAAAGAATCATTCAACTGAATCTTGATCAAATTCTCACGCATCAATGTACTCAACTATATAGTCTTACACTTGATATGATAACCACAGGATATGCTCACCTTGTCCAAGATCTTCTACAAGGAATAGATGCTGAGTCCATTGATAATAATGAAATGGATCTTGAGAATAACCAAGCAAGCGAAAATAGTTACCTCACTTTAAATAATCTCAAAGAATCTACAATTGATATTTATAAGGCTGTGAGACACAAGCTAAGCAGTATTTTACTTGAGTCCCTTAGAAATAATATCAAGCACAAATCAGTAAATAACCAATGTCTCAACTTAATTAGCCTTCTTTCTATGTGTTCTATTCTTGTGATGATGGGACTTCAGGGGACTGTTGAAAACAACTTGCAAGATCCAGATGGAGAATGTGAGGTTAAATGGAGTCTCACAGATTCTGAATTAGCGTTAATTACTAAAGAGTTAATTTACTGGACTTGTTCAAATCGTGTTAAGAATATAGATGATTTTAAACCCTCGAAACTTTCATCTTCTTTGATCGAAGGGTTTAATAATATTTTGAACTTTTCTGATAAAGACAAACCGTACTACTTACTTTACCCAAGCTGCAGAATTTTTGAACCTCTGGATAATTTAAAAGATGAATCATTTGTAACAACACCTGAGACTTTGGACACCTATAAGAATAAACTCAACGATTTCCTTAGTCATCCATTTTCACCAGGATGTATTCTTGCCATAATATCTGTTTCTTCCCAGTATAAAACCACATCACAAGTCTTTACTCCAATTCTCGTAAATTACTTGACAGATATTGAGGATATTATGATTAATAACTATTATTTGGAAACCATTCAAGCAAATTTGGGATCTGAATCAAACAAGGAAAGAATTGCATTTTCGAATAATTTCATCAAATTTGCATTATTCAGAGAAGGCCAAGAGAATTTAGGTGTATTTACTTGTATTTTAATTTGTCTCATTATTTCTTATGTCCAAGATAATCACATGAGAGCCCAACAACTTAGTAAAAAACTTTTCCCAACATTATCTTCCAGGATTGGATGGAAAAAATTAGAAGAATTAATTAAATCCAACTCATCAGATCTCTCAAGATCAATTCTTGAATGCTTGCGATTTTCTCTTTTTGGAGAGATATCACTTCCAGTATTTGCAGACATTATTTCAAGAGATGAACTTATTGAGAAGAGCATCAAAACAAAAGGAATTATTAATCTCTTCTTAGATTTTCTCACAACCCAAAATGCTCCAGGAGGAAAAACCGTGATCAGTACGCTTTCTACTCCAGAAATCCAAAGAATTCTGGATCAGGCTAAAGCTCTTTGCGATTTTGATGGAAAAAATTCATCCAGTGGTGGTAGGCTTTCAATTATCTTGAATAAGGAACTCTTTGATAATGATGTAATGAATTTCTTAGATGTTATTTCGGGCCAATCTGTCAAGAAAACTTCCAATAAGAACAAAAGCTCCTACAAGCAGACCACTAATACAGATTCTGAAGATAATTCGTTGAATTTTTCAGGGGAAAACAACATCACTGGCTCATCAAAATGTAAATATAGGCCAAAAAGAAAAAGACCTTCAAGAGCTTCAAAATCAAAAGTTATATACTTGGAAGATGATGAAGATGGTGTTGATTTTGATAGTGAAATAGAAGATGAAATTATTGAAGATTCCAACTCATCTGATAATGAGAACGAACTCGAAGTTGAGAACGACTAGTGGTGGCTTCCATTTGTTTATTATAAATATTAATCTAGCTCATTATAAAATCGATATTACTTTTTGGCTTGTTAAAGTATTTTCCAATAATTATTGAACGAGAATAAAATAAAGTAAAATAAAGGGTTCACAATTACTCCTACTTATTTGATGTTTATTTGATCTGGAATACATCAGACTTCATTTCTCCATCTACAAAGTATCTTTCCGTGCATATTTACAACTGTATCTTTACTTCTACATCCCCAATATAAACCAAAGGCTGCTGTACTATTGTCATTATGAAAGGTTTCTTTATTAATATCCCAAAGAGCCCCAGGACCAGATCCTAACATATATGGTCTATTCAATTCTTCTTTCGAAAGCTCTTCTGAGAACGCAATTCTTGAAATGTTCTTGTATGCGAGATAACCTGAAATCAAAATATCATCCGTAAAGAACATGTGATTAATAGTTTCTGCAGGACAATTATTCTTTAGCGTTAGAATATCTTTACTAATGAATTTCTTTTGAAGAAAGTATGTCCCAACTCCACTCAAAAGATCCACACTTCTAATCACGAAATTTGCACTCTTTTGATCGTGGCTTACTCTGTGAAGTCTGTCTGTTCTATACGTTGGATCACATTTATCATGAAAAGCTTGTCCTCTCCTTCCCAAAGCTGCTTCTGGAAACTTCTCATGAACATAAATATAGTCACAAACTAAATGCCTTGAGTATCTCGTATCATCATCAAGTATTACTAGTCCCGCATCTTCTGGAATATTACCAATTTCTATGGGTAAAAGGAACTTTGTTGCTGGACCATAATCCTTTCCTCTTAAAATTCTCAACAGGGGGAATCTGTTTTTGTCTTGCAAATAGTTCGGAATTGGGGGATACTCCTCTCCCGTCCTTTCAAAAAAATATGGGACAGATAAAATGATTTCCTTAATACCATAAGTCTGTTTGTGTAACAAGTCCAGATACTTACCCAAATTATTAATCCTTTTTGGTGTTGTTGTAAGTAATATATATACTGGACCTTCAAAACTATACTTACATGGAAACAAAATTGAATTCAAAACAAATCCGTTCTTTGACTCCTCTTTAATTATTAACTCTTTTGCTGTCATATTCTTCTCATTTGCCTCTACATATTTAGCAACCTTATTAATTGAAGCACCAATTGTGTCGAACATATCTTTGCTTTCTGACAACTTAAGTGAAATTCTGTGAATTGAATCGTTTAGCTTCTCAAATTCATAGAAACCTCTTTTAGTTACTCCATCTTTTTCTTCCAACTCAAAAAACATTCCTTTGCTTCGGCTTTCAACATATTTGTTCGTATTTACTAACATGAAAAAGGTTGTTCCCATAAATATTAGTATTGACAATCCAAAAACAAGTATTTGGAACTTTATTGCCTTACTACTTGTGAAATCATTAAGGTGAAAACTCATCCTTCAATATTTCCTTAATTATACTTAAATTCTAATCTAATAAATAATTTTATTCAAGAAAAAAAAAAATAATTTTGGAAATTTTAGAATTAATTAATCACCCTTGATAACTAGTCAATTTTCAGTAAACAAATACATACCGGTGTTTACATGCAATTTTACATGCAGTTCATGTGATAATATATAAGCTTCCACGTACTAAATATTTACTCGATTTATTCTTTAAATATTTAGTATTAAGTGGAAAAATCACAAGTTTAAAAATTTATTCATGTTCTTTTCGAGTTTATTATTTTTTCTTGACGGGATTTATATTCATAACGTGCCAAAACAACCGAGATGAATGCAAACACAGCGCAATATACAAGCTGTGGAAGAGTTACTCTCTGGAAATGAGTGAAAATTAACAATCCGATAAAAAATCCTCCATTAGAACTTCATAATTATTATCTTACCTTTAAATCTGGATCACTAGAATATTTTTCAAAGCCTTGAACTGGCAAGTACACTTTTAATTTAAAAAAATAGTTTAGTATAATTCGCCTTATTTTGGTTTAAAGTAACCGAAAAAAACTTACCTGAGAATCCTATTGCAATTCCCAATAATAGTTCTACACCTGTATTTAATGAATAAGTTGCAACTCTTCTATCAAAATGAGTGTAAATTGCAGAAATTGAACTAAAAAAGATTAGTCTAATATCTAAATATCTTTAAATGTTAATAAACTTACAGCAAAAGGGATAGTAATGACCCAGGATAGTTCTTAAATATGAAATTTACAAAAATATATACTGCCTGTACTCCAATCATTCCCACAAACAATTCCCTTAAGAAAATGACATAATTCGGGATCGTTATTTCAGAACTCTCTTCCAAATTAACATCTGTTGTTTTTGACGAATTATCTGAAATTTTTGTCAATTTTTTCTTTAACCTTACTTATCCATTTACACAATTAAACCTACCCACAACTTCGTTTGTTTTTTCTACTAAAATTTCACTTGGTCTGATCTCTTGGTTTGACATTTCAACAGTATTCTTTTGCAATAGCTATTAATTGATATAAATTTCAAAAATATTAAATTTTTATTTTTTTGTTAATTTTTTATTTTTAAATATTTTTTATCCTAATAATTTGGGGGCGTCCACATTAATTCGAAAAAATAATATTTATAAGATTACATGTACGCGTTACTAAAGGTTATCATATGACACGTAATACAAAAATTAAAAAAAAAAATATTAAAAAGAGAAAAAAAACATTTTAAAATGTTGAATTAGAAATATTTATGTAAAGGAAATATTGTATTTTTCAAACTAAGAGCATTCAAAAAAAGAGTACATAATATTTGGTAAACTCAAGAGGTATATAAGTCACTATTGATTCGGAAAGGAATGGAATCAGATTAAAAAAAATCAGAAAGGTGGTAGTGAGAGATATCATTTTTAATTGATTATATTTGAGCCAATCTTATTTTTGAATAAAAATTACTTTTTTTTATATAATAAGACAATGAAAAATCCATGCAATTTTTTAATTTTGTTAGAATTTACATGCATGCTGATAATTTCCTGGGGAGTAATAATTTATCTATACATCCAAGAATTTCCATACAAAAATCATGTAAAAAGTTTTTTCCTGGAAAGCCAACCTCAAATCGACTATTCAGAATGCAATTTGAATTTTGATGGAAATTTAAATCATTTAAAGTTGAAAAATGCAACAAAACAAAGTAAAGAAACAACAAAAGAGATTTGTTTAAGCGATGAACAAATTCGAATTTTTAACTTAACAAAAAATTTGAGGCCTAGGCTAAGCACAAACTATTCAGGTTACAAAGGACCTTGGATAGAGGATGGAGTTTTTTGTAATTGGATTGAACAATATTCAAAAGGAGAAATCAAGAAATGCAATGTATCTGAACCAATTCCTCTGGTATATGTACCCATATTTTGGACATCAATACAAAGAAACAAGGTGGACTTAAATGTAAAAAAAGGATGGCAAATCGAAGCTCAAAATGTGTTAAATTCACTAAATAATGAAACATTGTATTTTACAGTACTTCAGGTGAGTTTTGAAATATTTAATATTAAAATTAAATATCTCATGCTTAAAACCTTATCCCTTTATAGGATGCAGAAGGATTTAAAAAGTCAAATTTGAAATTTAAATCTATGTCCAATTTAATTGTATTTAATGCTGGAGGTGCTACAACTGGATTTAAACAAATTCCTATTCCACTTATTAAAGGAGAACTTCAATATGAAGGATTAGACGCAAAAAAGGATATCTGGTTATCTTCAACTATAGTCAAAACACGTTTTCCTGTCAGGAAGAAATTATTTGAGACTTTTAAATTTTATAATGTAACTGATGAAATGTTAGACAAAATGATCTCTTTTGAGACTTTTAGAAATAACACAAACCAATTTATTCATTACCAAGGAGATAGGTTTAAACAAGTAATTCAACGCTCTATTTTTCACTTGTGTCCAAGAGGCTTTGGAAGAACTTCCTTTAGACTTTATGAAGCAATTCAACTTGGTACTATTCCAATATATATTTGGGATGACGTAAATTGGATTCCATATGGAAATTTGATGGAAAGGATTGGGGTAATTATTCATGTTTCACAAATTGGTGATTTGTTTGACATTTTGAATACATTTAGCAAGGATGAATTGGAATTCAAATTTCAACAAATCAAGAAATACAAACATTGGTTCACTTATTTAGGAATTACAAAGTATATATTAAAAGTAATTCAAAGACTTCCTCCTGATACTATTTTAAAGCAAAATATAGAAATTCAGTATTTAAATTTATAGTAAAAGTAATAAATATTGTAGAGACTAGTAATCAATGATTTAATTATCAATAATCTATAATACGTTCTATAGTATGAATCATAGTTTTTGTGAGAACACCTGGTCTAAAATTATTACAGATCTCTAAGCTTTTTAAAAGTTCAACAGATCTTTCTATACTTTGTTGGTATATTTCTCTTCTTATTCTACGAGTTCTATAAGGCTCAGGCAATGTTTCGGCCAATTGAGCAGCTACTTTCGTAGATTCCCATAAATCTGCCTGAAATTGAAGATTTTGTCCAAAACTGAAAATTTTACTGTTTTTATGTCGATTAATAGAAGGAGCAACAAGATCTTCAATATGTAAATCAGACTTATCACTTTGTTCGGTTCCCCACGAATGAACAAGTGATTTGTTTTTTAGAGGAGAATTTAAATTACTATATTCAGTTTGTTGGTTGGATTCCAAACTCTTTAACTTTTTAATTTCAGACATTTCCTTTCTCAAAAGCTTTTCTCTAAGCCTTCTTTTGGCCTCCTCTATTGGCATTGGGAACTGGAATTCACTTGGAAAGAACTCAGATTCGCAGTTAAAAGATTCTTCTTGATTATATTGAATTTGTAAATTTGAATAATCAGAAAGACAGTTTTCTGAGGAACTGTATCTTGTAACAGATTGATAGTAGTTTGGATTTTGTGATGATAATGGCGATTTTAAAGATAAATTAAATGGACTTGGATTTGGGAAAAAGTTCGAAATATCCGTAGTATGAGAGTTTCTTGGTGGGGTATTATAAAAATCCAGGCTTCTCTTGGAATCAGTTTTTTCAATAGTTCCATTTAGACCAAATTCTGTTTTACATGAATTAGATTCAATTGTTTTGATCGCTTTGGATGGAAAGTAGTAGTTTAAACATATTTGACAACTTTTTATTAAGCTTTCTTTGTCAAGTTGAATAGACCTATCCTCAATAATATTAATGATACATATCAGAATATGATAGGAGTACTTTGCAATACTTCTTCTCTGAGATAAGATCTTTACTCTATTAAAGTCAAAATGTGTAGCAAAGCAGTTTATAAGATCTCCAAATCTTTTGTAAATATCAAGAACTTCAGAATTAGATAAACTTTGTTTGCATTCCTTAAGCTCTTTAATTTCATTAGACATGTGTTTGAGAGACTTTTGTATTATTGACGTTTCTTCGAAAGAAAGGATATCAGTCGAATTCTTCCATATTTGCTCGATTCCCTTTAGTTTAATTACTGGCTTAATATGACTCATTTAAACAAAAGAAATTTTAGCTGGAATATGGGATTTTACTTATAAACATAGTTAAATTTGCCTAGAAAGCCCTTTAGATTTTTTTTTTTCGAACTTTATGAGGGCTTTTAAATATAGCATGCAAATGAGGAATCTTTTGGCGGCACGCAAGTAACTACATACTACAAAGATTTAATCTAATTAGGAAAAGGATAATAATATTAACTGTAAAAAAAAAGAGATTTTAATTTATTTGCACATATTAAAAGACAGTGAGAGTAATTTGCTGGGTTTTTTGTTTAGAGATTAATCGTGGTTAATGCTGAAGTTGATGTAGGTTAGTTTAATTGAACAGAAAGCTTATTAATGGAGGAAAAATTGGGGTTAATGAGTGAAAAAGACTTTATGATCAAAAGCCGGTTAGAGGTAAAGTTGAATGACTTGGAAAAGAAACATCTGGAGACCAAAGAGAGGGAGGCTCAGACTGTAGGGTTCCTTGAGAGGAAATTGAGACAAGTGGAGTTAGAACACAAGACAGAGTTAAAACTAAGAAGGCAATTAAGATATGAAGTAAATAATTTGAGAAAGAAGCTTCTGGAGACCTACCAGCTATATAGTAATACATTGGAGCAAAATGAGCTGATGAGGAGCGAAATTGACAGGTTAAAGGGAAATGATTTGAAGAATCGTGGTAAAGAAATAGATTTTGTTGTTTCTAAACAGGTTGAGGTTCAGATACATGGACCTTTTCAGGATTACTATTGCTTTGGTAACGAAAATAGTGGGTTAAGCCAGAAAAACAGGTTAAGCTTGAGAGGTTTAAATGAATTAGATTTCAAGGAAAAAAAGTTTTCAATGAGCTTTGATGCAAAAAATGGAAAGAATTCTTTTAATAGAGGAAGCTTACATTCTGGAAAGAACTTATTTAGCAGTATTAATAGAACTGTTGAAAGAATCAAGATTCCAAATGAGGGGAGAGCTCTGGGAAGTGCTATTTCTGGTGGTGAAAGTTCGAGGGACCTAAACCTCAAATCAGAAAGAGCCAAGGATTGGCTAAACCAAATTGAAGAACTTTACAAGCCTTTAGAGTATCCAAAGCTATGTAATGGAAGGTATAAAAGTAAGTTAGACTCATTTTCTAGAATAGGGGTTGAGAACTCTTTAAGTTTGGAAGAAGATTCGTTCTCCGACGAAGAATATTACTCTGGTGAATACGATATCTCAGAAAATACCGAGGACGTTATCACAAACACGGGATTTATCATAGACCAAATAAATCAACAAGATAAGGAGCTTTCTACACTGCTAAACAAGACTTTCATTAGTACAAATAATAAAAATAGAATTCCTTCTAGGAGCAGATCTAGGAGTGTGAGAAACACCAGGAAGTAAAATGGCAGCAATATTAATCATTATAACTAAAAAAACCCCTCTAATCTATGTACAAAAACCACCTTCTCTAATTGCCCTAACATGACCATTTTCGCGGTTTGAGTACGACATATAATTAGGTTGAAACTGGTTCTGGGCTCCTTGTAAAATAGGAAAGCTTTGATTCCTTGAGCCATAAACCATTGGATTGGATGGCAAACACTCTTGACAACAATTTTGAAACATTAATAAAGATGATGTTGCTGGGACTACTGGAGTTTTTGGCTTATATATACCTTCATAAAGTGGCGGGTAATATTTGGGCGGGCATTTGGGGAGTTGTTTGATTTTTAAGGCAGCTGTGGGAAACTTGGGTGGCTCAGGGATAAGGTCGGGGTCAATAATACAAGACTCCGACTTTTTGCTTGCTTGCTCTAGATATGAAATAGGGAGATCTCTGATGTACGAATAAGAGTCTATGAATTCAACAGGGTCCTCATCCAAAATGATGTTAACAATACCTTGTTGGATCTTCTTCCCAACTGTAGATAATACTCTGGGCTTTATTTGAGCATTAATCTCTTTTATATGTATTTGAAATGTTCCTTTTGTGGGAGAATACGAAATCTTTATTGAGTCTAAGGTTCCGTTATATATTTGAATGGGAATACCTTTGTCCTCAAATTGTTTATTGATACTTTGAGAATTGGCCTTAGCATGGTCAACTTGAAGGCCTTCGTTGATATCCCACTTAAGATCCTCAAGGTGTAGGAACTTTTTAAGATATATATTAATTATATTTCTAATTATTTCCATCTAGTCAATATTTTAAAATGTTTCTACTTTACAATACTGTGCCAATTTTGACTTTTTTTTAGATCTCACATTCGATTCTTCTCCTATGAATGTGGAGTTTCCGAATGTTGGTTATAGGCACAAGTAATCAAATCAGATCCGTATAATTTGTAGGTTCACCTTACTTTAGTCTTTTAAAACTTTAATCCTTAATGGAGTAATCGAGTTAAATAATCTGTTTATATTTTAAATGAAAGTTGGCGCGAAAAAATAAAATTCTCTATACTAATAATTAAGATATATATTTTCTAATTTTATTCATGTATAATTTAAAAGGTACTTTAACGTAATTTGTTTGAAACTAATTAGTTTTTTTAAGAGAGAACCAACTTTAGTGGTTTTAGATTGTTATTTTTCATGATAATTTCTTTGATTAATTAATAAGCTAGGCCTTCTAGGAGCCTTTAGATTAAGTAAAGATTGAATGCTGTTTCTGGATGTAGAAACGTTAGAAATAATGGGATTGGTTTCTTCAAGGTTTGATGGAGCAACCTCAGAGGAACCTTTTCTTAGTGATTCTTGTTTCTGTCCTGTAATAGATGATCTTGCACTGTTTGCTTGTATGTTTTCATTGTCTGAATTTAAGAAAGATTGCTTTTGGGAACTCTGAGCGCCAGTAGAATCTCTCAATCTAAGATTTTCAAGCATGAGACGAGTATTATCTCTCTTAAGCTGTTCAATTTCTTCAGCCGTACGTTTATGAAGAATTTCAACTTCAACTTTTGCCCAGTCTCTCTGTCTAATATCTTTCTTAAGCTGCTCACGTTCCTTCTTCAAACTTTGTACTTGATCAAATAGAGTTTCAATTTCTGCATTATTTAAATTCGAGCTCAAACTGGAAGTGGATTTCCCACTTTTAAATTGATCTAATTCAAAAGTCAATTCATCAACTTTACTTTCGAGTTCTTTGCAGTGTTTAATGACAGTTTCAACAGAGGAAATCTTTTCATTATCCATAGAATCGACAGTAATCCCAGATCTATTCTTTTTCTGGTTTTTATACATATCACTTAGTACATTATCCAGCTCTTTTCTCAATGAGTATGCATCTTGCTCAAACTTTTGATGTAATTTCTTCTCATGATAATACTGTTCAAGAGTTTTCTGTTGTTCAACTTTGAGGCAACCAAATTCTTTGTCTTTTTGCTTGATTGCTTCCTGACTCAAAACTAACCTTTGGTCAATTTCTTTCAGATCTTTAATTGTTTTCTCAAGTTCTAATGATATACGGTACTTTTCACCAGAGATGTCAACCAATTTCGCTTCAAGGTTCTTAACTATTCTGTTAAGAGACTCTATTTCTGTGCTATTTTTCTCCTCTTTTAAATTCTCACCTTTGAGCTTTCTCAACTCCTCGTTTTTTTCTCTAAGTTTTTCCTCATAATTCTCTACCAATTTGATTTGTAGAGCTTGCATTTCTTTGGCTTTCTCGGTGCTTTTTTTAGTAAAATTATCAATAAATTCAGACTGTTCCCTTTCCTGAATTTCAATCACCCTTCTTAATTCAGAATTCTCCTCTTGAAGCCTAATCACCCAATTCGAGTACTCCTTTTCTAGTTCATCTAGTTCTCTTTGTTTCTCCTTAAGCTCTGATTCCACAACTGTTTTTAGGTCAAGGTTCTTGTTATTGAATTCATACTCAAAAATTTTTTGCTTAAGCTCATAATTCTCCTTTTTTTGTTGCTTCACCAAATAATTCAAACAATCTATTTCATAGCCCATATCAATCTCTTCATTGCTTTTAAACTCATCATCCAAAACTTTAATTGTAGGTTCATCATTTACTTGCTCAAAAACTTCTTCTACCTTTGATTTATCTATAATTGATTCCTCATTAGGCCCATCAAATTCCACGATGTTCACGGAAACCTCCATTCTTACCTTTTTGCTTGCTTTAACCCTTGTTAGCTTCTCAACTCTAGCTTTCAAGTCCTTATTTTCTACCTTCAACAGTTTATACCTGTCTTTATACTTGATTTGTTCTTCGACATCCATTGAAAGCATCTCCAACATACTCAGGCATTTCTTCAAATTATCCCTAAACTCATCCTCAGACTCGTTCTCAAATACATCTTCTGATGATATCTTTCCTCCATTCAATATCTTGTTTATGTGGCTACCAGCATTCATATACTTACGTAGCATTGTCTTCAAATATTCGTTATATTTTTCCAGATTTCTTATCGATTTTTGTGACTCTTTTAGTCGATTTGTTGCTGAAATCACGCCCAAACATGAGTCTATCTCATCCTCTTTCAATTTCTTTATGAAAAGTTCCAAACTTTTTTGATTTTCCTTAAAGTCGTTCAAACGACCTAGTAAATCCGTGTTTTCAACCTCCCTCCATCCTACCTCCCTATTTAATTCACAGTTCCTTAAAAATAATTCCAAATTCTCTTGAAAAATTTCATCCTGCTGCATTTGTGCTATTTTCTTAATTTCCATGTTTTTTGCATGTACCCACATTGATTTACATGCTTTTTTCATGCTAACAACCAATTTACATACGAATTAGGCGGGAAATCTATATATCTCTGAACACCGGTATATGACACTAAAACATGTAAAAATATGTGAGTAAAGATGAAGGCCACACCAATTTACTGGAGTTTTACGTTTTTATTGGAAATTTCTCAAGATACTGAACTTATTTAAATTCCAACATTTTTTGGTTATTACGAATGAAATTTGGCGGCAGAGGATATTTTAATTAATTCCTTCCAGCTTTTTTACCAAAAAAAGCAGCTTATTACGTGGAATTCAGAAAAATCGGTCAAAATCATAATATTTTGTAGCTTAAGAAATTAACTGGCTTTTTAGAACCACAAAACTCCCTTACCTACGACCAAATTGGCGGCAGACCTGTTTTAGCCAAAAGCTTTGCCTAAAAGAACTTGTTTCAAAGCTCCAAAGACATAGATTACAATATTGGTAATCCAAACAAATTATTTAAAAATATCTAAATTACTTAACCTGGGTATTAATCCGGGAAGGAGGGGCAAAAGTTAAATTTTTTCTATTTTACTGCCAAAGTTACTAGAGGGTATTGAATTTATTTCCGGCCCGCAGGAAAGATGGCATAAAATTACCAAACGCAAAGTAGTGGCCAATTTTAACATGTAGAGTACAAGATTAACTGATTCAAACGTGTATGATAAAAGTTGAACCGAGTAGCTTAGAATAACAATTAAGATACAATCAGTGGCCTAACTTGAATTGTATACGTTCAAAGGACGTGTTTATTTATAAAGAAAGAATAATGGAATCAGAACTTGTAATAAACCAAGTGCTGGACGAAATAAAACAGTCAATCATTCTAATTAATGAATCTCTTGGATCGGAAAAGCATGATACGTCTTCACTCTCTAATTTATCTCTCTCTACAATCCTGGATATTTGTGATGTACAAATTGTTAACGAGCTTCCGTTAATACAAACCAGAACTGAAGATCTACTGGTAATTCCCTTTGAGGATTCTCAGACAAACCTGTCTATATCTCAAAGTCATGATGGGTCATCTAATTACATTATTTTAGCCTCCCCAGGCCCCGTCTCTGTTCAGAATGATGTTATTGAAGGTTCGTCTTGGACTTATTATAATGACTGTGAATCCACAAGTGAAGGAAGTTTTTTAACTGAAAATGAAGATGATGATGGAACTTCTGACTCTGAGGTAGACATGAATGATCTCGATCGAAGTTTCAAGAATAATTCAAGTTCCAATTCAGAAAAAAATGAGGATTTTTTACATAAAGGAGGTAATTGTAGCGGTTTTATTGAAAGATTTGGGCGGAGCCACCTCAATGATTCCACAAGTGACGAACACTATAAGGAAGTCTTCCCGATTTCTTTCAGCTCAAATATTCCTTTGCTTTGCGAATCATTTACGGAAAATCAGGAGAACTCCAAATCAATCCCGATAGACTCGGCAAATATCCTTAAAAGACAGCTCGTAACAGAAATTGATGAAGATGAAAGAAACTTCAAGATGGTTAAGTATGACTCTCAACTTCCAATTGGAAGAGACAAAGTTTTCTATTAGGCCTTTCTTCTATTAAACTTGGTAGCAGTTTAGCTATCCATTCCTATATTTGGGTATTAACAATCAAGAATAGAATGGGTATATAATGAAAGCAGGCATATTGCTCATTATAGAGAAGAGAGAAAATATGTATGTAATGTCTGGTTTACTTGATAGTGGAGAGAAATAGTTATTAGAGTTCGACTTGTTGTATGTGAATCCACGTCTTTTTGGGATCCATTCTAGTTGGGACACGTAACTGGTTTGAAAACTGTCTAAGTCCCAGACTAAACCAAAGCCTTATCAATTACTTGGGCTGTCAATATTATAGGTGATGAAATCATTATGTATTAATGCTTGAATAATTCCGCCAGCATTTGGCAACGTGGAAATGAACACCTAATCAAGTTCAGATTCAGTTGAATGAAATTCAAAATGCCATTTTTGGAATAAAACTTACTGTTTTTGGAGGCTTCAAATTTTGACTATGCATAATTTTGCACAGAAGTTCGCTTTGATTGCTCAGGACTTGTCTCAGCTCAGCTCCATCACAGTTTCTTTGGCAACCTCCCAATAGGAAATCTTTGAGATCCTGCTGAGCATTTCCAACACAACAGTTTTTACAAGTCTCAATTGTGAACATATGAGCATCATTCCCGGAGTCTCCACATACCAGGAACCTTTCCAAGGGAATCGATTTCCCTAGGATCTCGTCATACAAAAACAATATAGATAAGTGTTTTCCACCCTTATCAGGAAGGACATCCAAATATTTCCATAGTCCTTGTCCGCTTATGGCAAACCTATAGCTTTTTTTGTTTATCTGTATTTCTTCATACACTTTCAAAGCATATTCTGTGTTAATGGATACCGATAGACGAAATGGATCATGAAAGTTGTTTCCATTAATGTAATATTCTAAATTGTTCTTATTTAAATTTTCTTGAATATCTTTAATCAACTCTTCTCTATTGAATGTTTTACTGATTATTTTCAGCCACTCTTCCAAAGGCCAAGCATACAACCTATTTTTGCACCATCTTGGGAACGAAGAGTTGGTATCTTTGGCCACCCTCTCTATGTCTCCTTCTTTCGGCTCAATATATTCCCCTTTGTCCTGAAGCATCAATAAGGAGAACACCTCTTCTTGATTTATCTTCTTTCCTAGTATAATGGAAAGTCTCTCACAATAGATCTCAAGATCCATTTCTTTATTTGGAAATTCATAGATTTCTGTTCCCACTCCACAAATAGCATAATCTGGCCTAAGTAGGTCAAACTGTTTAGCTGCGAATAAAAAATCTTTGAGGTTCCTCCCAGTTGAGTAAATTAACTTGGATCCATTGAACATGTGTTGGCGAATCCAAATCTCATTAAACTTCTTCAAATAAACATCATGTCCAATCAAAGTTCCATCCAAGTCAGTAACAACCGCAATCGGAGGCCTTGGAATGATTTGACTCAATTCTCCATCCTTCAGACAGAACTTTAAGAGTTTTTTGGTGTCTTTTCCAGATTCTCTCTCTGCGTCTTTGATACTAATAAAGTAGTTTTTTCTACAATACGAATTTGGAGGATTATCCCATTCTGTTTTCTTGTCATTACACAAAACAAACTCCAAAAAGGCTCTATAAAGAATAAATTCAACTTTTTAGAATCATTATTCTAATATATTAACATACCTTTTCGTTTCTAGCTCCACAGTATGCCAGTCTAAAATTTCTTCTACTAGCTTCATTTCTCTGAACACCCACTTTTGCTCACTATCAAAAAGGTTTTCCTGCTCATCACTATAAAAAAAGACTTTCTCCCATGTGGAATTATAAAATAACTGGACTCTGACCATACTTTCTCGACTTAGTAATAGATGACTAGGCTTTCTTGAATCTTAAAATAACTCCCCAACTTACCAACCTACGAGAATAGACTAAGTATAACTTTCAGAGATGCTTTAATTAAGTCTTAGATTCTGGTGTCTCAACTTAAATAGACAACTATATATCCACTTTTCAGTCAGTTTTTTTCTTCCCTTTATTTCAGCAAATTCATGCTCGTAAACTTGTAGATCTATTTGGCGCTCAATGCGCCAAGGTACCGTGATAAAAATATCAATAAGAAAAGACTGGTAGAGAAAATGGAGTATGAGAACAGAGGAGGCCATAAGACTGGTAGTGGAGCTCTGGCAAGCTCCCAGGATGTTGCAATTGAGAGGAGAGAGAGGCTCCGGAGGCTTGCACTGGAGTCAATAGATCTTTCTAAGGATCCATACTATATGAAGAACCATCTGGGCCAGGTTGAATGTAGACTCTGTTCCACAATTCACACAAATGAGGGATCATATTTGTCACATACTCAGGGAAGGAAACACCAAACAAACTTAGCATATAGAGCATCCAAAGAAAAGAATTTGAAGGCAGTTGTCAAACCTCCTCAGAGTGAAAATGCAGACCAAGCCAAACCAAGGGCTCCAAGAATAGGACAGCCAAAATATAAAGTATCTAAACATAGGGAAGGGTCAACTGGCACTAATTGTGTATATTGTAAATTTCATTTTCAAGAAATACTTGAAGATCATGTTCCTGGATTTAGAATAATGTCGTGTTGGGAGCAAAAGGTAGAGAAGCCTAACCCTAAATACCAATACTTATTTGTAGGGGCAGAACCTTATAATACTGTTGGAGTTAGAATACCAAACACAGAGCTAATTAAACAAAAAACTCAAACATACTGGGATGAAGAAAGAAAAATATATCATATCCAGCTATACCTATCAAGCAGTAAACAATAAGTCGAATTCCGGTTTCAGACTACTTTAGATTTGAGAACCTCTTAACCCAGAGATCCTTCTTTCCGCATTTTTCTGAAGATGTCCCTTCCTGGTTACTTATAAACAATTGTTTTTCTATTATGAAATTCCTAACTTTTTTAATATTATCTTTTGTTTCTTTTTTAATTATCCAAAGCTCATTTATCTCGTCTTCTCCTGTCTCTACTGACTGAAGTAGAAGTCCTTTGGAGTTCCCAGTCCTCTCTTCTATTGCACTTATCATATTTCCGAACTCATTGAAAAGCTCTTCTTTTCTTTTAGTGTCTCTACATGAGATGTTATATATAATACATCCATCATTTGTTAAAGAAAGAATAAGTTTTTCTACAAACCCCTTGGAAAGAAACTCAACTCCTGGACACATAAGAGAGTCATTAACACTTCCAGAATTAATATCTACAATAATATAATCCAAAGAATCTTGAATCTTAGAATGTGAATTATCAATATAATCTAAAGCATCTGTTATAATAACTTCAACATCATTTTCCGAAAACCCAAAGTAATCTTTTGCTATATTCATTACTTTTTGATCAATTTCTATTGCAGAAATATTAAGTATGGACTTTGAGTAGAATTTTCTCAATATAGAAGCTAAAATCCCTCCTCCTAGACCCAAAATAAGGGCATTCTTTTTCTTGTCTTGATTCTTAGTATCCAAAATGAGACTTGAAACTAGTACAACCCCAACATAGTAATTTGAAAGTCCACTTAAATAATCAAACTCAAGTCTTTCTGGGGATTTTCTCTGAATAACTACCTCAGACTGTATTAATCTCGGGCTTGATTTAAAAATCATCTGTCTCTTCTCAATTCCAGACTCTTCAATATCATAAACTAGTATTTGTTTACAAAATTTCGAGTCACAACTATAAATACACTTCTTATTCAAATTTCTATCTCCTCCCACAGTTAGAATAGGAAATCTTCCAGAACCCTTCAAAGCTAAAGGAGAGATATTTTTTGATATTTCATCAAGAATATCCTCCTTACTCACTTTCAAAGCTTTCTCAGAATCAGAATATAATCTTGAAATCACAATTAACCTCTTACATTTGGCTTGGTTGCAAATCTCCTCGAATCCTTTTCTAGTAGAATAAAGCCAATCCTGCTCCTCTCCTATAGGCACTAAAAGACCCACTGTAAGTTGCTTGTTTTTTTTCTTACTGATTGTATCATACACGGTAATAAAAAAACTATTTCTTGATTCCTTTATGTTAAGCTGGTATTCTTTAATTTCACCTGGCATAAAATCACCAATATACTTATTATTCCAATACATTGCAGAAAGTTCCTTTAGCCTTTTTGCCAGAGTCCAAATACACTGATCTTCGGAAGTGTAAATCTCATCAACACCAGCTCCTTTGAATCTGAAAAATGTTTTATTGGTACTCTGAGTATCCTTCTTATTGATTATCTCAATATAATACGGAAGAAACTTGGAATCTTTAATCTCCACCAAAGGCTCAACAATTATATCAAGACCTTTATTATAAAATTCCATAGTTAGTGCTTTGGCTACATATTCCTGGCCTAAAGTAACCAAAATATATCTTCCATTTGGAACCAAGAGCCTCATGGACGAAGCCAAATAGTCAGATGCCTTCGTTTTTGAAGATGAACTGTTTTTGGATGTATTATCCGATAAGTAAGCATCCAAAAATCCCTTGTCTATTATTACATCAAAATTACCCAAATTCTCTTCTTTATCAACATACTTACCAAAGTCTTTTTCAATATCCATGCAAATCCATTCCAGTCCTTTCTTAGACTTGTTTTTTTCTCTCATTAAATCTATTACCTGGCTGGAAAAATCTATATTAGTAATATCCTTAAAACCTTCATCATATAATTTAGCTGGAAGAGTAGAATTCCCGCATCCTACATGTAAAATTCTCTTGTACAATTCTGACCTGCCACTGGTCCGAAGAGATTCCACCAAAAGATCCCTCAAAACCTCAAAGTCACCGTACCATTCAAATGCTCGGTTATTTTCCCCTCCATAACTTCTGAAAAAATTACTCCAATACTCACTACTTGTGAAATCCTCCACTGAATTTGGTAATAGTTCCATTTCCCAATTATATTCCAAAAATAATTTATATTTATATATATATATATAAATTTGGCGCCTTTTGTCAAACAAAAACCTATTTCACACATTAATAAAAAAATATTTTAAGTTTGTAGCTTTGTGAATAAACATATAGAATTATTATAACTGATCAATCTAAAATAGCCTAGATTTCCTAGACAGCTTATTAGTCCTTTTAGAAGAAGGAGAATGTTTTCGTTGATAATTATGTAAAATGGCTTCTCCCCGTTTAAAAGCATCAGAGGATAAAAGAGTATCCAATAATGACATACTTGTAGAACTCGATTTTTTAGAAAATGAACTTCTTAAACATTCTTTATCCCTATCTTTCCCATTTCCCTCTTGATTTAAGTAGTTGAATTGTTTGTCCAAGTCCTCTTTAAACATCTTGTTTTTTGTTATATATAGCTCTTGCTCTAATTCTTCATGTGAAACTGGAACATCTCCCCAGACATACTCCCAAAGAGACTGTTCTGGAAGGATAGATGACTCCATCTCACCATATTTATTTTCTGGAAGATTGATTTTTTCGCTGAGAAGCTCCTTATCATCTTCAAATTGTGTTTGTATTTCATCTTCGCCTAACTTGAAAAGTTCCTCAAAATAGGATGAAATATTTAGGTCCTCTATTAGATTTCTTCTAGTAGTTTGAAATTTCTTGAGGTATTTTCCAGAATGCCAAAGCCATAATTTGTCTAAAAACAGTTTTGGTTCACTTTTAATAGCTTCTTTGTTAATATTAGAATTTAAGAGTTCCGAAATAAGCTTAATAGCACCAAAGTACTTTGAGACACTTAACTTTTCCTTGTGTTCAGAAACCGTTCTATAAACTAACCTGATAATAGACTTCAGGAAGATTGTCAAAGTCTCGAAATCTATGTTGTCTATGGGAGATAGATCCCCACATAAGATAAATGGAATAAAACCTCTGTTAATATTTAGGACTGAATCTATGAGAAAATGTATACCCTCAAAAGAATTTTCCTGGATACTATCATTCAAAATTGTTTTTATTATAATTGAAACAAGTTTGCAAAGAGAATATACAACATGGCAGTATAGACCAAATAGATTTTTTAAAGTCAGATGTGAGTGTTTCTGAGAGTGATCTCCAAAGCTTCTCTTGAACCCAGATCTCTTATTAGTATTAAATTCTTGGGATTCCAAGTTCTGATTAGTTTTTTCAATGCTCCAATGAGCAACAAAATCATGTAGAAATTGCATCAAATATTTTATACAGGGTGTGTAAAACTTAAAGTTGGAGACTATCTCGTAGTTTGTAACAAATGAGACAATATAATCTACCGAAGCTTCTCTGATAATAAGTGTCTCATGTGGATTAAACAGTTTTTTAAAGGTAATTTGAAGAAATTTCTCACACCAATGATCATAATGGCAAACCAAATATATGGGAATGTAGTTAACAAACTGGCATTTTTCTATCGCAAGAATCTGAGTTTCAAATATATTCAAAATTGTACTTTCTAGATCAACAAATTGTTTATATAACAGCTCCTCTTTTTTCCCATAACCTGAAACAACGAAATCTTCTACTGCTGAAGATTCTAAGTCACTGCTAGAAAGTATGCTTGAAGCATTACCAGAAACCTTTAAATTTCTAGTTGGAGTGGAATTCAAGGTTTCGGTGGAATTTTCAAAAATTTTAGCGTATTTAAAACCATTTTCATATACTTCAGAAATGAAATCAAATAGTTCTCTTGTAATATTATCAAAAACTTGTGCATTCCTATCAATATCTTCCTCTGTAAATCTTTCTGAAAATTGGGTCTTTAAACCATCAAAGTCTTGGATATACGACTTTGCAGAATTAATATCTGCATATTCTCCTCTTCTGATTTTAATTGCAACCGTCTGGAGTTCCTCCTGTCTCCATTTTTCAAATCTTTCTTTAGTGTGATTATTTGGGTTCTTAGAATGTATTTCTGACTCTAACGAAATAAGCTTATTAATCAGAAATCTTAGTAATATACTCAGTGTTGAGGGGATTAATTTAATTGCATGAAACAAGAGCTTAGAATATAAAATATATGAGTCCAAAGAGTTTCTAATAGATAATGGGTAGATATCCTGCATTGCTGTTATAAATAATTTAAGATCACTAGGAACAATGTTAATTACAGCATGCATAAGATTGATAATCCTTCTTCCAGATTTTTCCCATTTTGTGTTAATTTTTGCTACAGAAGAGACATAACTAATTGGAATGAGCTCCTCTTTATTAGAATTCTCTTCAGTAGAAGACTTTCCATGTTTCTTCTTGACAGCAAAAGTCCTACAACCATTAAAGTCTGTATTTGGATGTCTCACAACGTAAATTTCATAGTCTTGTGGATATCTAATCTCATTTTGAGTATTAAAAAACTTGTGGTGAGAAAATACAAATCTTAAAATAGATAGATCTTTTGGATTTAATATTTGTGAATTAAGTTCGGCATTTTGACAGATCTTTTTTAGCTCTTTCTTTAGATTTGACTTACAATCAAAATATGACCCATCAGAAAAAAGAATATCCTTGATTTCTGGCCTTGGATTCTTGGAGGAAGCAAAGAGGTTTAATGTACCATTATCTAGAATAGTGAGTTTTTTCTTTAATACATCAAACAACCTTTGATTATTGATATTTTCTCCTCCAATTTGGTCCACAACTGTGTGTACAAGTTCTCCAAAATCTGAATCAGAAGACTCGAAAAAGTCAAAGTCCCCAACCAAACTATATATTGAGAAGTCTCTTGAAGGTGCCTCGTTAATTTGAACCATTTTGACTTGGTTTAAGAAATCTAATAATTCTTGGTTTTCTCTGATTTGTTGACTCTCCAAAGTGTTGTTTCAAACATCAAAGCAGATATTCCTTCCTGTTTAAATGATTGAAAAGTATCATTTAATTCCAATTTATTTTCCTTCAAGAATAAGGACTTTGTTTACCTTTTAGTCTTATTTTTGACTTATAGTTTTTTTAAAGAATTTGGCGCCATTTTGCTTAGACTTAAGGGTACATGGGGAAATGTGTTTGAATTAGTAATGATGAACTCTGATAGAAAGAAAGTATTATTAATGGGGAGAGCAGGAGCAGGGAAGACATCCATGAGGAGTATAATCTTTGCAAATTATCTCCCAAAAGATACAAGTCGATTAACAGCTACAAATAATATAGAACATTCTCATTTAAGGTTTTTTGGAAATATGGTATTAAGTCTTTGGGATTGCGGAGGGCAGGTAAGTTCGAAAATCATAATTTCAAATAAGTGCTTTTAAATAACTTTTTTTAAGGACATTTTCATGGAGAATTATTTCGAGAGTCAAAGAGAGCATATTTTCAGAAATACAGAAGTTTTAATTTATGTGTTGGAAGTTAGAAAGAAGGACGACTACTCTTCCAAACAGATAAAAAAAGATTTGGATCAGGATTTTGCTTACTTTAAAAGCACAATAGAGAATTTAAAGCTTCTTTCCCCTCAGTCCCATTTGTTTTGTTTAGTTCACAAGATGGATAAACTTTCAGTAAATGATAGAGAATCTGCGATAGATTATTATGAAAGAGAAATAGGAAAGATTGCAGCAAATATGAAGTACAGGGTTTTCCCCACAACGATCTGGGATGAAACTCTTTTTGCAGCTTGGAGTGAAATTGTATATGCATTGATACCTAATGTTGGGCTTCTAGAGAAGAATCTCAAGATTTTAGCAGAATCTTGTAACGCAGTAGAGTTAGTTCTCTTTGAGAAGTCCACATTCCTTGTAATTTCTCATGCAGATAATTTGAATACTTTGGATTCAAAGCATCACAGATCACGTTTTGAGAGGATTTCAAATATTTGTAAGCAATTTAAACTAACCTGTGCAAAATCTCAGACAAATTTTGTTGGTATAAACTTGGAAACACCTCATTTCTCTAGTATAATAAAAAGGTTTACTCAAAATTCATATATACTGGTAGTTATTAACGATAAAAGTAAGTTAATAAATGACAAAATTACTATAAAAATATCATCTAATTCACGTTTAATTAGGTGTAACCTCTGCATCTGCCTTATATAACATAGAATATGCCCGAGACCACTTTGAAACTATTATTGCTTCTCATCTTAATAGTGAGATCAATAAGTAATTTATTTCTAATCAAAATGAAGGCTACAAATTATTACTAATTTGTATTCATTTTCTATTTTTTTTCTGGTTGTCTACTTTAAGTAAGCTTCTGCTAAGATCAGAGGCAAGAGTATTTGAGTCTTTTTCGTTCTTTATCACTACTTTTGATTTCCTCTTTTTCCCGTCAGTTACTCTGGCCAAGTAATAATAATCATCCGTCCCACCCTTTATCTTTTCCTCCTCCATTGCCTTACGTTTCTTTTTACAACCTTTAATATCAGGATAATCTAAGGTAAAAAGTAGGTTTATTAGTCATTTTTATTACTAAAAGGCAAAAATATTATAAACTTACATCTCTTTATCGTGATCCTAACTGGCTTCTGATTCTTCTCATTTCTGATAATTGAGTTCAACTCATTAATAAACCCACTCACATCCAACTCTTTCATTTTTTATATAACTTTTGTTCCGATTTTCCTAGCTTTACCCGTATAAATATTTTTATTTTTTTTTTCTTTAGTCATTTGTTGAGTTGGCGCCAAAAATTATGCATTAAATATTAATAATTATTAAGAAAAAACAGTAAGATAATTAAAACAAGTACAAATTGTTCACATAACAATCTCACAAAAAAACCCAATTTGTTATTTTTGCATTCTTTATGGAGATTTGTACTACCAAATATATTGAAAACTACTGGAAAAATAACGACTAAAAAGTTAAGTCTACTTGTCAGAATTTTCTCAAAAGACTAAAAATATCTAAATGTAGAATATTTATTACGAATTTCTTACTTTGTTCACAGTTATAAATAGAAAATTGGTAAAAACTAAAGCTGAAAAATAAATATCACATTCCCGCCTAAACAAAAGAAAGTCACCATGTGGGATAAATAAATGTAGCTAAAATTGCTCTTGAAGAAATACTATCTCGGAAAATAGAAAGAGCTTAATATGGCTGAGAACTCAGCAAAAGAAAGATATTTGGACTTGATCTGGTAGGTTTGGCTTCTGTGTGAATCACATAACGCAAATTTGAAGAAAGTTCTAACTATCAAGTTTTTTAAATTATAGTGTGGACGGTGAGAAATTTAAACTTAAATCAATTTTGGCTGAGTATATCACTAATATTAAAGATGAACTATTTGAGACGGGAAGTATGAAGTTTAATTATATTAACTCAACTCAGATGAAGAAAGTAATTGAGTATCTTGAGTATAAACATCAATATTCAACAAAGCACGGAAGGCTACAAGAATTCCAGATTGAAGAGTCTCAAGCAATAGACCTACTCATTATTGCAGATAGACTCGGAATTTGATTCATTCTGTTATTTTTCACAATAAATATATTTATGTATTTTGTTAAAAGTCATTAATCTCCTCAAATTCGAGTTATACTAAACTATTCAACTATTGAGTGATTCTAAATTTACTATTTGGCTAATATTTTTTTCTCCCGTAATATTTCTTCAAATAATTCTATTTCTATCACTAAATAAATTCCTTAATTTTCTCCAATTAAATTACTTTCCCGCCAAAATGCAAAATTGGAGGTGTGAAGGTAAATTTCTAAAAAGTTTAACACACTTGGACCGCATGTAGAAAAAGTCAAATCTTAGATTAATGCTAGAAGGTAAGTATTTTTTTTTTATAGGAAAAAAAGGTTAGGACTACATAGGAGGAAAGTAGGAAATAACAGCCGGTTTGGCCAATGTTTTAGAGGTTTGGGAAATAGGACGCGAATATAAACTGAACAGTGTTTTAAGGGGAACTTACCTAAAAACTCTGTAAAGTATTTATTAAAAGGCTCCCAGAAAAACTAACGTCTTACTTCAATTATTTGTGCCAAAAGAACAAGAGAACCTCTATATTGAAGAACTGAACCAAAATGGCAGAAAACGAAAATTTAGGAAATATCGAGAATGTTTCTGGAACTTCAGGAGCAGGTAATGATCATGCCTCAGGCTCTGGGGTTCACGTGTACTGTAGAGTCAGGCCTCCAAATGAGGCAGAGAAAACTCATGGCAATGGTTTGCTATGTGTAAATGTGAGATCAGAACAATGTATAGAGATTAGCTCATCAGAATCTAAGAATGATAGTGAAACAAAAGAGAGAACCTTCTATTTAGATCACATTTTTCCCATGGATACTAATCAAAGTTACGTTTATAAAACTGCCGCAAAACCTATTGTTGACCAGTTATTCAAAGGTATTAATGGAACAGTTTTGGCTTATGGACAAACTTCTAGTGGGAAAACATTTACAATGGAAGGTATAATAGGAGACAATGAAAAGATGGGAGTTATTCCTCGTATGGTCCATGATGTATTTGAAACCATTAGTAATGCTGAGGAACACATTGAGTTTCAACTAAAGGTTTCTATTTGTGAGGTTTATATGGAAAGGATAAGAGATTTATTGGATACAAGTGGAACGAAAAGCAATTTGAGAATACATGAAGATAAGATACATGGTATCTATGTAAAGGACTTGAGTGAATACTTTGTTACTTCTCCAGAAGAAGTTTTTGAACTTATGGCTTTGGGTCATAAGCATAGAGCTGTAGCATCTACGAATATGAATTCATACTCTTCAAGATCTCATTTAATTTTTATGTTACAGCTTCAACAAAAGAATGTATTCGATTCCAGCATCAAAGTTGGCAAACTTTTCCTCGTTGATCTTGCAGGATCAGAAAAAATCAGTAAGACTGGAGCAGAAGGGTTGACTTTAGATGAAGCTAAAACCATTAATAAATCTTTAAGCTGTTTGGGAAATGTAATTAATGCTCTAACAGATAATACCAAGAACTTTATTCCTTATCGTGATTCTAAATTAACAAGAATTCTTCAAAATTCTCTTGGTGGTAACTCTCTTACTGCTTTAATTGTCACTTGTTCTCCAAGTATTGTTAATGAATCCGAAACTATTGGTACTTTAAGATTTGGAATCAGAGCTAAAATGGTTAAGAACGCTCCTAAAGTTAACCAACAATTTTCTGTTGAACAATTACAAGTACTACTTAACTCGGCACAAAGAAAGTTGGCGGAAAGAGATAACTATATTCAAGCTCTAGAGGACTTGGTTAAAAAGCTCGGAGGAGAACTCCCTGAAAATAAACCGTGTGTAGGTAAAGGAACCAGTCTGGTACTTAATTCTTCCTTAAACATTAGAGGAAGCAAGGAACTTCAAGAAACACCTATTTCTTCAGGCTCAGAAAAGACTACGTTGAATTTGAGAACCTTGGATAATGATGAATTAGATGAATTAGAAGAAGCCAAACAACAACTTAAAGAGAATAGCGAAAAAATCACTCAGTTAAAACAGGAGATTTCAGAGAAGGAAAATAATTTGAAGCTTGTATCTGAAGAAAAGGAAAACTTAAATGTTAAACTTTCTGATATAATCCAAGAATTAAACCAAGTTAAATATCAACAACAAGATCAAGAAGAAACTGTTGAGCATCTTCAGCTTAAAAATAAGTCTCTGATAGGAGAGCTTGAACAATCACAGATTCATATTCAAGACTTAGAAGCTAGGATTGAAGGATATAAATCAGAGGAGTTACAAAAAAGGAATGAAGAAAAGGAAAATGAAGCTAAAAAAGCTTATCAGAACCTTTCTAATGAAATCCAACAGCTTAGGGAATATTTACTTGCAATTAGAAAGGACTCAAATCCAAATGAAGACTGTATTTGGAATTCTGAACATAAAGCATTGTTAGAAACTATTGAAGATAATGTTACTAGAATTGCTAATTTGGAACTCCAATTAAAAGAAAACAACAAAGGTATCAAAAGATTTGATATTAATGATCAAGATACGAAGAGCATGCTTGAGAGAATGTCCCAACTAGACAAAAATATGGAACAGCTTGGAAAACTTTACCAAAAAATGGTTGAGCAAAATGCAAATCTTAAATCACAAAGTCAACTGAACGAGAGGAGGTTATTGAGGAAAGAAGAAAGAATTGAACAACTTGAAAAGTCTCTAATTAATGCAAAGACGAAATATACAAAGTTATTAATGCAGTGTAACTCTTTAACCAAAACTATTGAAAACATCTCCAAACTAAAGCCTATTTTTGCCAAGCTAGCCCCTCCTAATATTGTCAAAGGCATTCAAGGAGGAGGTGGAAAGTCCTCTCTAGTAAAGGGTTAGACGTTTAATTCCCCGTTTTCTTAAAAGAATATCCAATTAAAATAGTGAAAATACTTTAGTTGAAACATTAGAACTTTTGATCTTGAATTGCATATAATGAAATCATTAACCTGTTCACTTAATTTATCTATTTACTCTTCATTTTCATATTCTTCGGATTCCACTTCCAAATCCTCATCAAATTCATAATTTACGTATTTCCAGGACTTTAGAGTTTCTTTAGCAAGAATTGAAGCATCAGAATCTTTGATTTGCATATTGCTGAATGGTCCCAATACTTCCTCTTCAATTACATTCTGATTAAGTTCTGTATTACTTTCTTTCTCATAATCATCGATGAATAGTTCTGATTTATCTATTGTGTTTTGTACTTCTGCCTTATTTTTTTGATGTTGGAATTCACCTTCATCACTGTCGAAGTTGTATCTGAGTCTTATTTCACTAAGAACCAGTTCGTTCTGATCGTTTCTTTCTAAATTTCCATTACTTTGGACAGATTCTCTCCTCCTTCCAAGAATATCATCAATTGGAATAGTTCTAGTTATTGGAACTGGAGTACCCCAGCTAGTTGCAATTGAGCTAAATGTGGGACAAGAGCTTAACCTTCCAGTTCGATCAGAACAAGGAATGGAAAGCCTTTGACATTGATTTCCGAGTAAATTTGGTCCTCTGGCTCTACTAATCGAGCCAGAGCGAACATTATTTCCGTTCCCAATTATAGATCCCAAAGAAGTAGTAGCAGTGGATGCAGGCAAGCATCTAACACCCATCACAAAACCAGAAGCAACGAGACTTGGACTTTCCACCTGATTCTGTTCAGATTCCGGAGAGACTTCAGAAGAATTTTCACTATCACAGCAGTTTCTATACTCATCATTTTCATTATCTTCAAAATTTCTTTGGATGTTCGGATTTTCGTTTGAATAGCCAAAAGAGTTGTTGACTCTTCTGATATATCCAACATCATTTCTAAGTGGTTGATGGTTGAAAGCAATGGAAGGTTGTTGAGAAATGATTTGAGATTGTTTTTCTTGCATTGCATTGATGATGTTATCAATGGAAGTTCTCCATGGAGGTCTATGCTTACTTTTATAGCTATCTTTGAAAAGTGGAGAATTCTCATCGGAATTTTCCCAAACAAAATCCAGTTGATTTGTCTCACAAAGTTCTTCCAAAGGCTCCAAATTCTTACCAAGAAAGAAGCTTTTTTTTTGTTTGGAAATACAATCAAGAATGAGCTGGAATGCGTCTTCTGTTAGACTTGAAGAGCTTAGGAAAAATGCAAATGTTGGACATTTGTGTAATATAGCATTTTCAATCATTTTCCTTGAATCAAAGTCATCAAGAACTTGACAAGAAACACTCTCTAGCAGATTTATACAAGATTCATATAGTGAATATTTATTATTCTGAGATCCATGTTGTAATCCTCTCTCTTTACATAAATGGGAACTAGCGAGAATACTTAAAAAAGGGAAGGTGGGTCTTCTACAAGTCTCCTCAAAGCTTTTTAGAGGAGGTAAAATAGATTTCATGATTTTTCCGTACATTTCCTTCTTAATACTATTACTAAAGTAACCAGACCAATCTCCTAAGACAAATTTATTTTCTAGCTTTAATAGAGTTGAAGTAAAATATTCAAAGAATCTTTTGTGAGACAAAATATCAAAAATGTGGTCTGGGTGAACACTAATAATAATTTCTCCACCTCCAAAGTCTCTCTGAGAGTCAAATTGGTCAATTCGTTGTCCAAATACCAAGTCAAGACCGAAAACAAGTCTTTTGGAAGAAAGCATGTCATAGATAGATGAAAAAGGCTCTTCAAAGTCTTCATGATCACTTTTTGGATGGCCAAGAGAGATTGCAGAAAGTTCCACATTTAAAAAAGGTTCTCCATTGAAGTCTTTGATAATTCTAGTTTTATAGCTAACAGGATAAAGTTTTCTGTTATTGAACAAAATTTTCATGATAATTTTCGGATCTAAGGGAATTAGAGTTAAATTATCATCCTTTTTGGAATTATTTTTCTTCATTAATAACCACGAAAGCCACAGATCTGGATTAGAGTCCATCCAGGTTTGGTATTCAAGCGTATAAAATGCCTTAATACATCCCAGAACTGCCTTTTGTACGCTTCTGTAAAAAGAGAGACCTTCTTTATTCACCAAAGCAAGCTTTTGTGATGTTTTAAAGCTAAATGAAAATTCTAGAATGAGTCTTTGGATCTCTGGGAAATTGGAAATGCTGGTTTTTGAGAACCAGCTTTTCAGCTTTTTTTCGAAAAAGTGATTCTCACTAAAGTACATTTTAATATTCTCTTATATAAGATTTAGGGAGAGAGCCTTAAGTATCAGAATAGTTCATTTCTAATCAAAATTCTCTGAAGAATCAAATTTTATTCTCAAAGTTTTTGTTCTCTAATAAATGAGGTACTCACAATATAATAATGTAAAAGAATTTAGCGCATAAACAATTCAAAATACTAAAACAGAAAATTATGCAAATTAGAAAATAACAGCTTTTCCAGTAAAATAATTTCTATTTGTAAATATTTATGTAATCATTGAAAACCCAAAATCACAAATTTTCAAAATGTAATATTTGGTTCATGAATAACAATTTTAAATAGGATTAAGAATTATCGCCTGGTATTTAGATTTTACTTTTTTGATAGTATTACATAATCACACATTTATCATTAAAAATTACTAAGCTTGTTAGGATTTGAAAAGCAATACCGGTATTCAACCATAATTCGAGGATGGGGCAAAATGTATCAAAGTCTGGAGTAGTGGTTTGGGGCTCAACTGAGTATGGACAACACGGATCTAAAACAGAGGAAGTGAACCCTGGACCACATTTAGTTGAAGGACTAAGGCATCTTAATAGTATATCAAAGGTAAGCTGTGGATCAAATTACTCTGCAGCGATCACAAATTCTGGTGACTTAATAGTTTGGGGATATGGAGGCTGTGGGCAGTTAGGTTTTGGGACTTTGGAAGACTGTTTGGTACCTCGAGTGAATTTGAATCTTAAACATGTAGTTCAAATCAGTTGTTCTGATAGACACACTGCAGCTATCCTAAGTACTGGGGAACTTTATACTTGGGGCTGTAGTAAAAACGGCAAGCTTGGACATGGACAATTTGAGTTGAGTATTTCTAATAATGTGGTCTCCCAACCAATGAAAGTTAAGGCATTGGAAGGAGAGAAAATAATTCAGGTATCTTGTGGTAGTTACCACACAGGGTGTTTGACAGGTGATAAAAAAGCTTTAACTTGGGGCCTAGGTCTCCAAGGGCGACTTGGGCATGGTGACACCCAGGATATATTTACTCCAAAGCTTATAGAAAGTTTAGCAGGCCTTCCAATTAAAGAAATTTCATGTGGAGGGCATCACACAGCAATTTTACTTAGCACAGGAAAGCTGTATATGTTCGGAGGAGGCGCCTTTGGAAAGCTAGGCTTTGGCTCAAAGGATGATGTTTTAATTCCAAAACTATTAGAAGGACCTTTGGAAGATATTGAGATAATAAAAGTTTCTTTGGGGAGTCAACATTCAGCTGTAGTCACAAATTGTGGTGAAGTGTATACTTGGGGGCAAGGTGGAAGACTTGGACATATATTTAACGGACCAGAACACGATTTTTTATCTCCAAAAAAGCTTTCAAGCCTTGAAAAGGCATTTATTGTAGATATTTCATGTGGGAATTCACACACAGCAGCTCTTTCTGATGTTGGAGATATCTACACTTGGGGTATGACAAAGAATCTTGGACATGGAATTCAGGGTGTACATCCAAATATGCCTTCTAAACACCCTGTTTTGCAGAACAAAAACATTGTTCAGGTTGTATGCAGCAGCTCTCACTCTATTGCTTTATCTGATATAGGGGCTTTAGTTCAAAAGACTTCAGATAACTGGAGACCCAAATCTTTATCGGAGGATCAAGAACCCAAAAAAGCATGCAAACCCATAGAAGAGTTCAAGACTGGTCTTAGTAGCCTGGCTCGCAAAAAGATCTGGCAAGAAATTAAGGAGAAACTTAAAATTGGTGATGATAAGGAGAAAATTGATTATTTGATGTCTGAATTGGAAAAGAGTGAAGAACAAAATGCTGTTTTAGTTAGTCTACTTGATGTTTCTGTTCGAAAGTTGGAAGCTTTTAGGAAAGAGAACGAAGAGTTGAGAAGTAAGCTTGAACTAACTAAATCTCCAAATTAGTGACTAATATATCCTATGATAATAGAAAGTTCAATTATTAAATATTTCTATTATACAAATATTAATCCCTTCTCTATATTATACTTTCTAGAGTTAAATCTATTGGGAACAGTTATTACGACTAATTAAACTGTTAAAAGTTCCAAGAGACCTGAAATTTTGCCTATTTATAATTTTCTGAATAGAATTCCACTCCTGGTTTACGAAATTAACCCTCCTCCTTTTGTATTTACTGTTGTTTTTTTTTTTATTATCTTTAACTGGTAATGAATCATCCACTTCTTTATTATAAGATCTAACGCTCATTGGTTCTAATTCTTCATGGTGAGTTTCGTATTGCGACACACCATCCACTTCCAAATAGCATTCTGCGTATGAGGATGTGGAATCCTGGAATTGTGGGAGTTTAAGGTCTCTAAGACTTTTTTCGGAGGCACTAATAGGACCTTTTCTAGAAAATAATGAGTAATCTATGCCTTTCTTTCTATTTCTTGTTCTAGAAACTGGCCCAGAATCTTGATAAATGGTATTTTGCTCTTTTGTAGTATCTTTAATTACTTCAGTTCGATTGTGTGAATAAACTTCAGTATTGGATAACACTTCATCCTTTAGATCATAAATATTCTCTATAAATTCATCCAAATCTGGTGATAAGGATCTCTCAAAAGACCTAGATCTTGTTCTCTTGCTTTCTTTATGATCAAAAATACATCCAACACCTTCGAATATATCTTCGTCATCATCAATAGCTGGTTCAATTTGTCCCTTGTTACTAAGAACTACCTTTTCAGAGCCATATGTTCTAGTGTAAACAGATTCAAGTCTATTAACTTTGTGATCCGAATTTTCCCAATTAATTAAAGTCCCCTCTCCTCCAGAATAATGGTGAAGTAGTGCTTCTTGAAGAAGTAATAGTGTTTCCTGACCCACTGAAGAAAACAGCATTTTCGTATCTGTAGTGTCTGAGGATGAGCTTTTTGATACAGTAACTACAGTTGGAGCTGAGCTAGAATTTGAGCTTAAGTCATATCTATAAAATATAGATGAAATGTTGTTTGCAAAATTATCAGAGTCTCTCCCATAAAAATTTTTACCACTTCTTAAAGTCTCAATTATTTTCATGGAACTATCAGAAACTCCTTCAAACCAAGTTCTTCCGTCCATTCTTAAATATAATTTTTAAATGTATTTTGTTTCAAATTGTTTATTGGACAATATATTGCGACACACTTCTTTCCTGAGGCTTGGGAAGAAGATGGCTCTGTTGAATCAATTGTTAACAACTTCTTCAACTCTTTTTGGTGAGAAGAAAGCTGTACATCTTTAGCATATCTATCAACAACTCCTAAGTGAGTATTATTTAATGACTTAATTTTTGAAAAAAAAGCGGGTTTTTCTGCTGATTTTTCTGAAAATGATTTGGGGCCAGACATAAATTTGCTATATAATTGTTTACTTTTAAGAGAAAGCCTTTCAAAATGAGCTTCCCCATCGGAAATTCTATCCAAACAACTCCCTTTTAAAACAGTGTCGGGTTCATCTCGGTATTTGTTCCTAATATATGAAAAGAAAGACGATTTTGCAGTATAGTTATCACTTTCACTACTAGATTCAAAATTGGCTGGAAAATGTTTGATTACTCTTTTCCTTAGTAATGCACATGGTACATTGTTCAAGTCACTAATCCGTTCTGTTTTCAAGTTAGAATTTTCTCGTGGATTCTCACTTTTAGCCTCTTGCTTTGTTTGTTTCCTGAAAGCTTTACTGGCTCTAAGACTCCTAATGATTCTGACCTCAATTAGTCCTGTCTCTATACAAATTATGGGAGTTTGACACTCCCTTTTACAAAACAATGAGTCGTAATGCAAGTCATTGTGATAAAGTAATCTAATTGGCCTGCTGTTGGAATAATGATTCTTGATTTGATCAAAAACATTTGAAGACTTTGGCTCTATCTTGCAAAGTAGCTGATATACAAATTCGTTGTTTTCATAAAAAGTACTGTCAGACAAACTTCCAGAAAATCTTTCCAGTTTATGCTTCTCTAAAAAGTTAGGATTCAATTTACTATTTCTGACCTTTTCGTATATGTACACTGGAATACGATACAACTCACTCATTGCTTGAATTTCAATATTATCCCCCCAGACGCCTAATCTTCTCTTTTCTTGAATATACTTTTCAATTGAATCATACTCGTGCACAAATCCGGAAAATGATTCTTTATTTAATTCTATGTAATCCATACAAGCAGATCTAATTATACCATGGCTGTCGCTTTCACCGTAAAGCTGGCTTCCTACTGCCCTAAACAAACAGTTCCCATCTCCTTCAATGTTCCTGACTCTGACCTCGGATGGAATTAGGCATTCTTTTATCATCTGCTAATTCTCCTTTTTTTTACTTTTTGCATTTCCTTTTGACCTTTTCTTATTTTTTCAACATTGGCAAATTAAGGCGGGAACATCTTACAGATAGGCGCCTATCGTAAAAGATTGCATATGACAAAAAAAACATGGCAAAATGAGATAGAAGAATAAATAGGTAAGACACAAGACAAAAATAAGCTATAGACACAAAAACAGTAAAATGGAATCTTAAATCAGTAGCCAATTGAATATCATGTCTAAAAGGTTGAAAATTGACTTCAACCCAATATAAACTTTCAACATCATTGACTAGGGTCTTCAAACTCAAATATAGCAAGCAATGCGAATTCAGAGGCGGAAGAAAATCTTTGGTGCAGATGCGTCCAAGTAAATTCGACTTGTGGAAATTAAGTTTCTGCAAAGAATCCTCAGTAATATCTCCAGAAGTGCTCTCCATATAAGGTTACTGAGGGCGTACAGAGTCAATTATGTGGAAAACTAGGGGGTTTTTAGTTATATCAATGAATTCTTGATATTTAAATAGTTTTCAATAGAATGCTTAAAAAGCTCACGCAAGCAAACAGGGGGAATACATGCAAAGCCCTGAAGGTAAAGTTTAATTTTTTCAATTTAGTTGGAGGAAAGGCTTTATGTTTCTTGGCCAAAGTCTGAATAAGTATTATCAGGGTTAAAGCATGATTGACTAATATGTCTGTAACTCATTTAAACATCTAAATTCACTTATCTGTTTAGTTTAATTATTGAGCGTTTCTGTTTTTAATTTGTCTACTTAAATAGTATTTTGATTAAATAAGGCTTCCATTCTTAGAAAAACATCATTAAGATGACGTCCATTAAACAAATTCAACTTAAATGAGTTGGTTGTGAGCATTATAAATGTACCAAAGAAACGTTTGCATAATAAAGAAAACAAAAATCTATTAAGAGCCTCCTTCAAGCCATTACATTTTTGTAACAAGATTTTGAAGGCGACTGGTAGCTGAAATGCACCAAGTTCACCACCAGCCACGACTCATTGATCACTTTGCTTCTGCTTTAGTTAGTTATCTCAGATCTTCAGCTGCTTCTTCCAAAAATTTCTTGTAAAACTATTTGCCAGGAGTGGGGGATTCTTTGTATGTTTGTATGTCAAGTTTCTGTTGTTCCTTATTAATTGACATTTGTTGGTCAGAGTCATACCACTCGTGATTTTTGCCAGGATGTTCATTCAAAAATCCCTTATGATTAGACTCGGACTCTTTTCGAAAGAACTCAATTTTTCTGTTATTATTTCTACCTCTCTCAGGACTTCCGCAAGGTGATTGGTTAAGGCTTGTGCTTCTGTTCCTACTTACACTACAGCTTGCATCCCGGCTTCCATATTCACTCATACTCCTACTTCTGCTCCTACTTCGGTTCCTACTCCTGCTTCTACTTCTACTTCTGCTTCTACCTCGGCTGTAACTACGTGCCGAATCTCTTTGTGGATGATTCCTTTCATAAACTTCAGACCTGTAGTTTCCCTCATTTCCGTTGGAACTACTTCTACCTCTTATATTATGCGAGCGTGGATCATCAACTCGTCTACGATCCTCATTCCGGTGATGATTATGCTGCATTTTATGTCTTTCATACCCTCTGGACGGAGGCGGTGATCTGGACCTTGAAAAATATGATGAATGCCTATTACCATATGAACGCGAGCCTTCTCTGTAGTCTTTTGGAGAAGGATAACGTCTATATGGATCTGATTTGTAATGGTGATGAGATCCGTATCTGTGACTAGATACACGTCTACCTCCTCCCCCATGGAATGATTCATACTCTCTATGTCTCATTGACTCTGGAGACTTTCTTCCTTCCTGAGCAAAAGTTACATTAATTGGGACTCCATCCAATATAGCACCATCCATCTTTTCTAGAGCAGCCTTGGCATCCTCTTCCTCCACATACTCGACAAACCCGAATCCTCTTGGCCTCCTTGACCTGTAATCCAACGGCAGATAAACGTCTCGGATAGCTCCGAATCGTTCAAACTCTCTCCTTACTAGAGAGGTAGGAGTATCAAACCTCAAAGACCTAATCAAAAGAGACCTTCGTGGATCACGATTTCCTCGGACTGGGTTAGCCATATTCTTTTTAAGGCCTACTAATAAAACTTTTTCACAAAGAACCTATTTGGTTCAGAAAAGGTGAGGGGAGCAAATGTGCCGCCAAATGTATGCCTGGAATTTGAGACGCAGATGCATCAATTAGATCTTTTTTTACAAAAAATTGACAAGTAACCGGCATGAATTAGTTTGGAGTATCTGACAATTTTTAAAATTTTACTATTTACATAAACTAATTACTCAAGAAATTGATTATTACTAGAATTTCTTAATTGTAGTTTGGCGTAATTGCCAACAGTGCAGCTTTAATAAGCTTACTATATACTAAAGTATTTGTTTTTAGGCTCCATAATATTATTCTTTGCTTAAAAAGCAGACTCCACAGGTACAAATTACAACTATTAGAATAACTATAAATCCCAGGATTATCCATGTAAAAATTGAGCTGGTTCCTTGATTAGAGGCTTTAACTTCACCATACTCCGTTGCAGGCCTACTATAATAACGTTTTTGCCATTCTCCAACGGTCTTAGTTTCCTTCATTGATCCGTGGTATCTTCCCCCTCTTTGTAGCCTAGAGATTTTTCTATCAATTTGTCTCTGAGCAGCCGGAGAAAGAAATACATAGTTAATATTTGAAACATCTGATGGAGGATTCACAGTACTTGCTAAGTTGAACCTTTGTTGTCTGGCCATATACTGTATCTGTGGCATATTCACTTCTCCTTGACCATTTTCTGTACTCTTAGAACTACGTTTAGGGATTTCAACTTCACTACTTTCTTCATTAGAATAATCATCATTTTTTTCGCTATAAGCTTTTTCGGACTGAACTTTAAGTGGTGCTTTCTCGGGTTCATCGTCATCCCCATCTTCGGATTCTACCTGAGATGCATAGTCAGTTTTTGCAGATTTTGTTGAGTATTTTGGTCCATTTACAACCTCAGATGAATATTTTCCGCTAGTATATTCAGACTCAGAATCTTTTATATTACTGCTTCGAGGATCTGTATCTGCACTATCAGAATAATTGTCATAGCCTGTTCTAAGTTTCAAGCATTGAATGAGATTAATTTTTAAAAGCAGAAAAATAACTATAATTAATACTTCTAATCTCATTTCACTGTTTTGTATGCCTCTTTCATTACAAAATTATAAATTAAAATTTCTGGATTCTGGTTATTCCAAATATAGTTGGTTTTTTTTTTTATAATTAAATGTTTGTGTGTAGATACAAATAAAATCAAGCTAAGCATTCACACCAAAAAAAACCCATCGAGAAAAAATTCGTCATTTACATGACATGAAGTTATTTTGGCTATAATCCACTATTCGACGACTGGCTGGCCTCTAAGTAACTAATCGATGATTATTTGAAAAAGCTACTGGTAAGTAAGTGAGTTTCACTGTTTGGGAGCTCTCAAAAGACAGTCAAAGTAGGATTTAAAAACTCAACAATAGAAAACACAGCTACCCAGAATTTCTACTTGTTTTGTCATGGAGATATCACCGTCATACTCTGTTCTATATAATTACATTTTATACCACCAGAGTAAGATGCGTTCAGGTATTCCCAGAGTCTCGAAGCTAAGCAGTTAAAGTAAGCTCAAACTCATACAAATTACAAGGAAAGTTGAGTTAAGTTGCCATTTCTAATAGTTGGCATTTACATAGTAAAAAATCACAGGATCGAGAATTAATGTCACAAGTAATCATCCATTAATGTATGGCGCCAACCTCATCCAAATGGCGCCACGGACATTAGTCGAATTTTTCCCTGGATAATAGTGTAGTCTAAAAGAGATATCTATCAAAATCGACTTTGAAGATAAATCACAACGAAAATCAGTGATTTTTAGTTTGATATAGGTGTAATATCATTTGAATAATGTTATCTTCAAGAGCTCTACTGCTCCTTGTTTTTTTTGGATTATTTAAGAACATTTTTTGTGGCGTTAATAATGAAGTTTTACAATTTTGTAAAAAACACAATATAACTATTAGCGAACTTAAAGATGAGGCAGATGAGGCAGGGATTGGAGTCGACACGCTAGTTGGTATGATGAATGCAGAATATCCCTCTCCTATTGAAGACTCTGTTCAAGAAAATGGCATTCCTAAGTTAGCCAAAAATGGAAGTTCCGATGGTGATTCTCAAACAGGAGACGAAGACGTCTTAGGCTTTGTTCCATCCAGTAGCAGTATATACTCGAGTGACGTTGGTAAAAATGTAACAATTGAGGAACCATATGCTAAAGTTGATTCCGAGGCCAAATTATCAGCTTCTTTGGATACGGATACTTTAAAATTAAGTGAAAATACTTTATTTTTGAAAAAGCCAAATGAAGGAACGGCTGAGGATAATAAATTAAAGGGCTCAAAATCAAGTTCATACTCAAGGGAAAAACCAAAAAAGAGCAAAATATACAGAGTAGTACTCGTCGATAAGAACCGGAATTTACCAAGAGGTAAGGCTCTCAGAATTAAAAATAACAAAGAAGAGAAAGATAAGGTTGGGGCTAGATATTTCATTGTTAATAATAAAGGAAAAAGAGAGGAATATAGGGTTGTTGGCCATCGTATTAAATTTGTTGGAAAAGCCAAAGCTACTAACCCTCAAAGATCAAAGGTTATTGAAAGGCACATTCAACCTATAATTATTACAAGGCCGGAAAATCCACCCTTTTATGCTCCAATGCAAATGCCAAATATGCCTGTTCACCCTGGTTTTGTAGCTCCACCCCAAGCTCCTCAAATCCCACTTCAAGCTCCTCAACAAGGCCCTCGAATTAAAGATATGAATGATTTTGACGACATGAATAGAAACGAAAATTATAGGTACAGCGATAAGAATTCGTTTATTGGCCCAATGACCATTTCAATCATTGTTATAATCCTTATAATTATTTGTATTATTGGAGGGTTCTGTTTTTGCGGAGCTACTGGAATAAATAGGAATCCTCAGAATACACCACTTATACCTCCTAATCCACAGAACGTTCCTCAGCGACCACCATATAATAGTAGAGCTCCAATTATTCCTCAGAATCAACAAGTGCAGCCTCCTCAAGGAAGACAAGTATTTGGATACGCAGTTATTCCCAATATTCGATAGCTATTTATTTAGAATAAAACGTGTAATGCCAATTATTCTGTGAGATTTACTGAAAGTTCATTTGGAATACCCATTAATTAATATATATATAACCGAGCTCTAATTATCATTCCGTATTTTTGAATAAGCAAATAAGACAAATACGATTAAATTTAATATTATTTGAATTTTAAGTAGAAAACTTGTCCAATTATAAATTTTTTTTTTCACAAGTTTCATTTTGGTTAAAACTAAAATTTGTTAGTCTAAGTAGCTAGTCATGATTTTAGAAAATACAACGTAGGAATTTCGAATCAGCTGGAAGACATAGAAGTGAGAAGGAGAATCTCAATTAGTTGTTAAATAACTTTAAAAAATGACAAGACTATAGATACGCCCCCTTTTAACTAAAAAATTTTCATTTTCTTCCCATCAATAGGTCTGGTACTAAATTTTGTGTGGGGTGGGTTATTTAGGCGGCACTGTGACCCCACTTGATTTCATGTTAGGAAAGGTTTTGCATGTTTAAGAAGGATCGTTCGAAGATCTTCAAAGAGCGGAAAAGACATAATAGAAATTATTTGGGCGTTATTTAATGGGTGAATTTAGTAATATAATGAATATATGAGCGATAACGCAAAGAAGCTGGCGATTCCAAGCCATTTAAGGCTGGATTCTTTATCTTTAAGCTGCATATCTACTGGCTTGACTCCAAGGAGTGAGATAAATAAATCGAGTTTTAATAAGGGGCTAGCAAGTGCAAGATCAGTAAATGGGCAATGTTCAGATATACAAAAGAGGCTATCAGTTCAGCTTCCTTCATGTAGATCACTAAGGACTTCTATGAGGATTAACAGAAACTCCACTTTATCACAACTGGGGAAAAACAATACAAAACCAGACGCGAACCAAGAGACTGGCTTGGAAAAGCAGCCCAGAAATTACTCTAATTCAAGCAGAACTTCTCGTACGAATATTACAACGCCGAAGGGGTTTGAATTTGCAACTTCTGAAAGAGCTGAGCAAAGATTAAAACACAATAGGTCTTTATCATCAGCTTCCTATATGCACAAGCCCGAACTGGGTCTGAACCTCCGTCAGCTTTACAACGGAAGGATTCCACCAGCACCTATGTCGACCAGGTCAACATCATCTATTGGTGCAGAGTCAAGGATAAGCACTTTATCAAGGGCAACAACAGTTCCCAAGCCTTTTAGTTTTGCAACAGACGCTAGAGCAGCAAACAAATCTAGAGAGTTATATGAAAAGTTAGGTTTAAAAGAAAAGTTCAATGAAGAGGTTCTAACTAAAAACAAGGAATTTAACGAGGATAAACGCATTAAAAACATTTTAGAATCTATCAAGAATTTTAATTTAAGCAGCAGTGATTCCTTATTAAATACAATATCAACAGAAGCTAATGGAAACAAAAATGCTCTTGAAAGCAAACAAACAGTTACCAGAAGAAATACTACGGTTCCTAAAACTCCAAAGTTTGCGACAAAAATGCGTTCTGAAAGTAAAAAGGCTCAGCTCAGAGGAGTTTTAGACTCTATGTTTTCTTCTGAGAAAAGAGAAGTTGATTCGAGTTTTTCCAGATCTGAAGCAATTCCCTCTATTTCAAAATTGAATATGGTAAATAAGATCCAAACGCAGAAAAGAAATGATAATTCAAGCAGTGCATCGCCTGAGCAATTAAAAAAGCAGGATTTCGAGCTTAAAGAGGCACATGGCCAAAATATTACCCAAAAACCAGAATTGTATGCATGCATGCAACCACCAAAACTTCCCAAATTGCGCGGTTTTCTATCAATGAATAGTTTGGCACACTTGGGAAGGCCATCATTAGGAATTCTGGAGGGTTCTAAAGAAAATTGTAAGAATTCGGAAGAGAATTGCCCCGTTTTGAGTTATACATCAACTTTATCAGGAATGAGCTCTATTAGAAAGATCAACGAGACAAATACTACTATCCCTAGTAACTGGAAGTTTCAGGCAACAATTGCAAGGAAGCAGCTCCGCCAATTTACTGGTCTTGAGGAGACAGACTTTTCTCTGAAAGAACTAGAACATTGTCATCACACAGAGAAACCCGAGTTTAAGGATGACGAGAGTAGCCAAATATTAACAGAAGACGACCTGAAGACTCCACTACCAAGAATGCATAGGTAAATAATTAATAACCGTTGGTACATATTTTCTTTCTAGTATAAAGGATCTAAATGAATTGGAAGCATATTACGAAGACATTGTTAGTTTAAGTTTCAATAGCTGTGTTTAGCGACGTAAAATTTAAATTAGGAGCAGCTCTAGGCTATATTTTACAATCTATTAGACTATGATATAATCTTGAATTTCTGAATTTGAGTGATCTCGCTGTATAAAGTAAATTTTTCTTAATTGAAAAGTTGTTTGCAAGATAATCGGAAATGATTAGTATGTGAGGATTTCGGAAAACTTAATTTATCACAGCCTGAATATATTGTTTTATATGGGTATAATAACTGTATTTATCTTAAGCTATGCATCACTCTTTGCTCCCATTGGAAACACGGTTACTTAAAATTATATCAAAAAAAAATTGAATTTACAAACATTTTAACTGGTTATGTATCATTACGAGATACTCTTTCTCTTAATTGCCCAAAATTGGCTTTTGTACTGGAGGATCTTTTCCATACCAGCAGAATTTGAAGTTTTCTTGCAATATCTACAGCTTGGAACATGTGGCTGTAAATAATTATTCTTTCCCAAATAATTTTCGTACCAATATGGGGATTCCTTTGCAATAGACTCCATGTCGAGGAATCTGTAGTACTCTTTAATGGGCATAATGTAGAACCCATTCATATCATCAACTGAATACCATTCCACATCATTAAGAAGAGTGATGAATACTGCAGGATTGACCATAACTTCGTCAATTACTATTTCATTTGAATTGAAGTCAGTTTGATCAATTCCTGGAAAACAGTTTATAGTTCTTGAATCTAATGGCTGCAAAATACAGCAGGCTGAGCCCCCATTTCCTAGATGACTGAATGAAAGTGGGATAGGGGAAAATAGAGACCCATGAAGCACTGATCTCACATCTCTTCTGCTGAGGAACTCTTTGCTCCACCATCCTCCCTCCCAGTCTACGCAAATATTTTCAATTCTCATAATAACTAAGTGGCCATATATAAGTACAAGACAGAATTTGTGGTTTGGTTCAAAATATGGAACTTGTACCAAAGCAATTATATCTTTCTCAATTATTAGGTCTAGATCCATACAAGGATGTATACATATGGGAGTGTTAGTTGAAAGTTTTGCTGGGATTTTGTAAATTTCTTCATTTACCGGATGAAAAAGTTCGCTGACTAGTTCTTGTTCACTTACTTCGTTGGTAGCGATTGCGATTTGCTGCAGGTAAGTCTCCAAAATATTGTGACATCTTTTAAGCTCGTACAAATAAACCAACCAAGTTCCACAGGTAACCCTTGCAGCTAGGTTAGAAACCATCAAACAGTCACTTGGTGGTAGAATGTTAGCTAGACTTGTCTCCAGCTCATGTCTTTTCTCAAATTCTCTCGGTTCAAGATGAAAGTGTTCTTTTTCAACTCTGGAAGAATCCTCAGGAATAAGTATTTGTGCAAGTAAGTTATTTTTGAACCCAAAATCATCTAATTCGCATTTTAAAAGTTCAAGCTGCCTAACTAATGAGGCAGAAGGATCATCCAGAGTTAATATTTCGTCCCATATTCCCCCATTATTGAATATTATTTGAGAAACCGTTTTCATGTCTTTTGGCTGAACATTCTTATTAATAACTGAAACACTACAAGTAAGAGAGCTTCGGTTCCAAAGAGAGGTGAAGAATGAAACAAGAGCCATAAATGTGGTTCCTGTTTCGCCAAAATCAATGATATCTGGAACTTTAGAGTTTATAATATTTGAATTAAAATGATTAAAAGGCTTGTTTCGTTCGATCAGGTGGCTGTGGCTTAGATTCTCTATTTTAAAAGTTGAAAGACCTAAAGAATGATCCAGTTCGGATTCCAATAGTTTAGACTCACAATCCCGGTATTCGCAAGTATTTAGTGATCCATTCTGGAATGAGTTTGAAGGAGACCCAAACTCTGTACTTTGAAAGCTGGTTCCAGATGAATGAACCTGTAAGCTTGAAAGCATGTACTTAGCTGGAATGCATATGCTTTCCAGATGCTCCTTTTGAGATCTTGAAGACTTGTTTCCGTTTACACTGCAATGAACAATTGCAAGAAGAAGCCAGACAATACATGGAAGGCCTCCGTCTTTAGCGACTGGGAGTCTCCTAATATGAAGCCAATATTTTATCAGCCTCAAAACTGGTTGGAGCTCGGGATACGAGTAAAGTACGCATTGGAACAGTATAGAATGCATTAAAGAAGTATACATGTTTACAGATACATCGCATTCCGTCTTGAACTTTGAATATCTGCTTTTCAACATCATTACCGGAACTTTTGCTGTTGCAATTACATTCACCTCCATCTCACATAAATGTCCTTCCATACATTCTGAAGTGAGTTCAATATCAGATCTGATTTTCTGATGTCCAACATGCTTTTTGCACCTCAAGCAGTCCTCCTTATGTCTTTTCTTAATATTTTTGAATTGGTTTGCTATTTTTGTTAATGCGAGTCTTGAATCTAATGGAGTAAATACAACCAAATCAACATCACTCATTTCTGAGTCAACTTCCGCAGCAGCTGACCCTGTGAGGAAGAGTTTTGCTGAGTCCCCAAATGTTTCTCTTACCAAAAGTTCTACACATTGTAGAATTATCATTTTTTCCTTTTTCTTCTTTGAACTTGGAACTATCTTTTCTAAAAGAGTATTTAGTGTTCGGTCTATCATTTCAAACACCCTCTTCGGGTTACTTTTTGGAGCAGAATCTGAATTAATGCTACAATTTGAATTCGATTCATAGATATCTTTATAAACCTCAATCGATGAATGGTTTTCTGGCCCATTTAAAACACAATGGTCGAGCTTTAATTTTCTATTTGGCAAAACGTTATTCGACTTCTTATTAGAGAGCTTTGTCTCGTATATTACATTATTACATCCCACTTGTTCGCCTTTCCTTGAATTACCTGGCACGTTAACTTCCTTTGCTTCGTACTCCACCCTTCTTCCTAAAGAAGAAGCTGAAGCTGCTTTCATACTTTGTTTTTTTCCCCTCAAATTCACCAACTTAGCATTATATGAGAATTTCCCAATAATTTAATTTCTGCACTCACAGTTTGGTGGGCGTGTCCTCTTTCAAGCGAGCATGTATTTCAAAGCGAGCATAAATACTCAACTTGCAGAATAAATAAAAAATTTGATAGTAAAACCGATGCCTTGTTTTTTCCTCAGAAATCCAATTTAACCTATACCTTTCTTTGTTTGCAGTATCACACAATCTTCTTAAATGCTTTATTCTTATATAAATTAAACGGATAACTACACTCTGAATTTACAATATTAGCTATTGGCGCATGCAATTACACAAATTTGCAAATTTGTTCGCAAACAATATAAAAAATTAAACTTAAAAAAAATTTTAAGTTTATTTTTAAATATTGTGTTTTGGGTTTGTGTGAAATGTCGGCAATGCTACTTATTTCCTTCAGTGTATGCAAAAAAAAAAAAAAAAGTCCGCAGCTAGCTCATTAAAAAATATGTAATTTTTTTAAAAAAATATATCATAAAAAAATGTTTCAAAAAAATTAAACAAAACAAGAATTTTCACTCATTGAATCTAATGATTTTGTATTGTAGTTCATCCTTCCTCAAATTGAGTGTTTTTCTCCCAAATTCATTTTCCCCATTTTTTAAGGGGGGGAAAAGAAACTGATAATCGCCCGCCGCATTGTAAATCAAATATTTAGTAAAATTGAATAAAATGAAATCGTTTCTAAAAGTCATATTTTTCTTCTCATTCCTTAATACAATTTCACTATGTTCTAGATTAGAATGGACAGGTGATGAGTTTGAGGTGAAACCATTGTCTGATTTTATCTCTGGCTCTTTCCCACAAATTAAAAGAAGTTTGATGTGCGAATCATGCCAGTTAATAACATTCGCTTTGAAAAAATATATTTCTAAGGAGCTGAGCATTTACAAAAACTCACACCCTCCTAAGGGATTTACAGATATTGTGGTCTCAAATTTCTTGGAAAATCATGTTGCATGTTCCAACCATATCTGGCAGCCCTTAGCTGACAATTCTCTCGAGTTTACTATAGAAGACTTTATAAGTGCATGTAGATCAAACCTAAGTACATGGGAGTCTGAGTTGGAATCACTTTCAACAAGCAAGATGAGCTTACCTCAGGAGATTTCCAGAGTCTGCTTAGAGACCGGTTCATGCAAGGACAAGTCAGAATTGTGGAACGAGAGCGAATATCCAGAAAACAGAGAGTCGAAGTCAAGCCTACTAAAGAAAAGATCTGACGAATTCATCACTAAAAACAAGGATAGACAAGGGGTTATTACTACTAGTTCAGGGCTGCAATACATTGTGCTTAAAGAAGGTACTGGGCAAAATAAGCCAGATACAAATGACGAGGTTGAGGTGTTCTATAGAGGGAAGACACTTGGAGGTATTGAATTCGATTCATCCTACAATAGAAAAGAAGAACCCTCAAGAATGCAAGTTTCACAACTCATCCCTGCCTGGATCGAAGCCCTGACGATGATGACCGAAGGGCAGGAAATCATTCTATTCGTTCCTTATGATTTAGCCTATGGTAAAGAGGGTGCAGGAGATCTTATTGGTCCCAATGAGGTCATTGTTTTTAAGCTCAAGCTTGCAAAGATAATTAAAAATGAAGGCAAACAACCAAATGATGAAGATAGTTCTGCATATGTTCCTGACGAACTTTAGTTTTTCTTACTTAACTTTTTTTTTCTTAACACTTTATTTAACTTTTTAGCCATTTTCCCGCCTAATTTGACTTTTTTAAGCTTGGAGACGCAGACTTGCCTAAAGAGAAGAAAGAGAGAAGCAAATTTCCTATATTAAATTCGGACTTTATACGATTTGGATTTAGGTATCAATACTAAAAAAGTGAATTTAGTCACACATCCATAGATACTACTAGTTTTGCAGGAAACATATTTTAAGGCCTTTCTTTTATGAAAAAAGGTGATTGCACCTTGTAGATCTTTAAACTTTTAGTTAAGCTAGGATAAATCTCAATTTTCGCGAGAAATCACCCCTATTTCAACGAATTTGCATTTTTCATGTGGAAAAAAAACACTATATCAAGTCTCCATTATGGCGATACTCTTGCTTAACTACTATTTTCAGTATTTATACAATAAGACAACTATAGAGACAAACTCTAAAAATGTCAAAAGCACGCCAAATTCGCGTGATTTTACTCAAATTTTTATGAAAACTTTCAACCTAACTAAATATAAACTATTCCTCTATTTTCAAAATCAAATTTTCTTTTTTATATTAAAATGCAATAAAATGCAACAGTGTCAGATCTAGACCGCTTATATTATAAAACCATAATTTGAGACACTTTTAAGAAAAAAGTTCTGAGGTACAGAGTAAGAATAAGTATTGTAAATGTAACTCCCCCAATAAAATTATAGTTCTGGAGTGTTATTTTTTCGAGGGATTACAATAAAGTTCAACTTTAAAATGCAGGCGCTTAGTGCAATCCCTGTACTGAAATGCATTTTTGTCTTAAAATATGTCTAGTCTGGATCCACTGGACTCCAGAATGCACGTTTCAATCTCCAATTGTGTCATTTCAGACGTGTTAGGGTACATTAATATATATTTTGGAGAATTTATCTGGAGTGATAGTTCAGTGAATGGTGTTTTTTTTGGAAATTATTTAATATTAAACTATTATTAAAACTCTATTCATTTCCCAGGTATGCTTCCCATTCATAAACTATTAGGAATATTATGGAGCTCCAGTAAATTACGTTGTAATTTGGAGTAAATAGTGGAATTGTATGGAGTGTATATTATTTCCTAAAACTTAGTAGACCTCCAATATAATACCATATTAGGATATTAGATTGCAATAGTGTTATTTCAAAACAAACCAATAGTTTCCTTGAAAAATATACCGGGAAATTCTGGTGCAAGTTTGGGATATTAGTTGGACAGTGTATATAGGTCTAATCCGAAATTGATAAGTTTTCCTATTGATTTGCATTAAATAATGAAACTATGTCGTGTTGTGGGGGTAATAAGGCCCTAAATAGTGCATTACTTATGTTAAACACAGTCATATGAGCCTCACTGAAGCGCTGTAATAGTTTGATGTGTGGAATGGAATCAATTGAAACATTCTACAATTAAGATAAATTAAGAATTAAAGGTTTAAAAAAGAATCTGATTTAAGGTCAAAGTAATCAACCACGAAGGATAGATAACTTAGATGAGAAGTTATCTCTGAAGGGTGATAAAGCTGACTAATTAAAGCTAATATCTATAATTAATATATACTAGACGGTTGTCTAAGTACTTATATTTCCAGTAAATAGGCAATTTAGTAATAATTGTCGAATATGATTGGCAATAGTGAAGAATACATTAGAAAACCATCATTCCTGTTTTGGGAGGATGATGGGCAAAATAAGGCACCTATGACACCTTCAACACTTTCACCAGCGTCTTTGCATGAGGTGAACTCTCCTTTGCTTAATAGTAAGAAAATGATAACAAATTCTATATACAGCAAAGTGAAAGAGAGAAGAAACTTGATGCCTATGGAAGGAAATTCAGAGAAAGAAAAACCCATTTCTGAAAATATTCCTTGCTTGGCAAATAATAGTATTGGAATGTTGGGATGGTCTGAGAATATAATTCATGATGATGATCTTCCAAATAATAATGATAGAAATGGAATTTTTAACTACAATTACTATAATAGCAATGCTGATGATATGTTTCAAAGCGAGGACAAGATTGGATGCCAAGAAATGCTAGATCAAATAATTAGTTCAAAGTTTCTATTAGAAAATGATAATAAGACAAGTGAAAGGAATATAAATAGATCAAATACCCAAACTCAATGCTGCCCAAGCTTACCAGGCGAAAAAATGAAGTTGAATAGTCAAATCACAAATTACTCGGGTAATGTTTCATCAGTTTCAATTTACAATGTCACAGATACCGTCTTTAAAGAGATGCGTTTAGAGGGAACATCTGAGCCAAAGGATATCTCTAGATATATGGACAATGAATATCTAGATATTCTAAAGACAAATCTAATGCTAGAGTTTACAAAAAGTCGAACATGTTATTTAAAGCTTGTTCCAAGTGTGATAGAGATCTTCAAAATTGTGAGGGATGCTCCCAATCGATGCCCAATTCCAATTGTACAAAGTATTGATGATTTAGGGAAAGAAAAGAATATTGAAGAATTTGAGAATTACTTTGTAAACTGTGTTTCAAAGCAAAATTCTGGGTTTTTAGCATTTTGTACTGAAAAAAGGGCTCTGAAGAGTGGGGGAGGAGGTAAATACTACTTCTTTGATAAAAAGCTTCAGTTGAATGGGTGCCATAAAGTTGACGTATTGAATCACCACAGACAAAAAAACATTATGGGACCAGTCTTTATGAAAGTTTTGTTATTCATGTTTGTGGTAGATCCGCCATATCACTTGGATCCAAGAGCAAGAAGTAGCAATCCTCAGAGACTAATGGACTTTTACTATCAGTTGAAATCAATGAACAAACTAAAATCTATCAAGAGGCTCTTAAAAGTTTGGTGCATGGAAATGTGCCCAGAAGAATATTTGGATGCAGGATATCCTTTAGGGAGTTTGTTGTGGGTATCGACATTGGACATTGAAAGTCACATTAAGAAATGGAGATATAGAGGAAAAAAATCTAATGGACAATTTGAATATATGACACCAACTATAAATAATCTCGAAGAAAGGGAATTCAGAAAAAATATGCTTCCTGAGATTATAGGGTTTGGAAATACCGAGCGAAATGTGAATGAGGAAAACTTGCAAATTAATTTAAATCAAGGGTTAGAAGGGTTAAATATTCCAAAAAAAGATTTAATTGGAGAAGAAAATTGTATCGAAAAGGGAGGAAAAAATAGTACAGATTGCATTCGTAGTTCAAGTTCCAGCGAGTGTAATGAATCTGCAGCAGAAATTCAGGCACTAAATCAAGGTTCAATTTTTTGTAAAAGCCCTAAGAAAAATAGAGGAAGAGGAAGGCCAAAGTCAAAGCAAAAACCAGTTTTTCTTGAAGAGGAGGGGCATGAATGCCCACGAAAAAGAATGTTTCTCTCCGAAGAAAATGAAAATAATAATTCAATGATTGCAAATGAAAAGTGTAGTGAGGTATCTCAAGATGAATCGATTGAAGAACTGGAACTTGAGCTTGGGATGGAATTCGAACAAGTTTCAACCTTAGGTTATTCTTCAAACTTTATTTGGGATCTGGTCAGGTCAATTCCCATAGAAAGTCTAAACAAGTTATACATAAGTTGGTTGGATGGAAATATTCCAGGAGTCACCAAGCTAATTGTTAACTCCTCTGTAGTACACGAATACCTAAATATGCAGAAAAATGTTGAGAATTCTCGTTTTGAAGACTCTTCATTGCAAACATATAGCTGCAAAGAGATGAATTCAGATATCTCAAACGAAAAAAAAGATTCAGGAATATTAAATTCTCGAAAGACAATATTATACCATAAAGCTTTATATTTGGCAATCCAGCAGCATCTTCTAATGTACTCAAGTGAGTTACAAGCTCTTCTAAAAGCTCTAGAAGGTAACCATATTATTACAGAAAGGGATACTGAGAATTTAGATCCTTTTCACAAGAATTTAGATGTTGTTTTGAACTCTATATCTCCTTTACAACATTTATCAATGTCCTTCCATTGCAATTCACCATTAGGAATTGTGGAAGAAGACCAAATAGATGATGGAGATATTTCTCGGGAGGGTAGAATTAGAAATAGTTCAGAAGAAAAACTCATTCATGGCTGCGATGAACACACTAATTCAAATATCTCAAGAAACAGCCTGGTGGATGATGACGGGGGAAGTCTATTGGAATCGCAAAACTTGTCGGAAACACCCAGACTTGGGAATAATATGCATGACTCATCTAGTATTTTTTCCATTATTACTTCAGCTCAGTATCAAGACTTTGTAGAGCTTCCCGACATTACTTCCTCATTTTCTGATCAATTACTAAATGATCATACAGAATTATCCAAACATTGCACCAATATCGGTGAGCCTATTGATTTCTTTTTTGCGATTTCCTAGGTATACTGTGAAAATTTATCTGAATTTATTTAATACTATTATTTTAGCTAAATTCAATTATTTACATTTTGGCGGGTTATACATACAAATTATTGAAAAAAATATTTACAAACATTATGAGTAAAAAGCTGAAAAATTGAGTTATTGTTGATTTTTCTAATTATTTTATTTTGATTTGACTAGTTTAAGCTTCTCGAATATTTATAGGTTTTTTTTATTAATTTGAAAATTTACATTTTCTGTTTATGTAAATCAAAGTGTGGGTTCTGTCACAAAATGACAAAAAAGTGCATAAATGAAAAGTAATGTCAAATTTGCAAAGATTTTTACTGAAACACACAGTTCCAAAAAATTATATTTCCTGGTCTGATGTTATTAGCTTCAGAAAACTCATTTCCTGAAAAATATAACAATTGTCCAGATCTACAATTGGAACTCAATGAGGGAAAGGATTTGGTAATTGAAGAAAAATCTGGAGGAGAGCTTGAAATTATTATTCCAAAAAACCAAATATTTGAGGGGCAAAATACTGAAATTATCAATCAAATTGGGTGCGAAATGCCACTTTGCAAGGATGAGAATGTTTTAAATTGCCATCATTCATTTAGAGATGACATTAATAAAACAGGATTGAAAGAATTAAATCCTTATTATATTTTGCAAGGCGACAACTTTTCAAATTCAAGAATTTGCAATATAGGAGAGATCATTGGTCAAGAAACTTTGAATGGTGTAGTTTCAGATAACAATTTCCATGAACTTTTTTCAATGGGGTGTCAAGAATCAGAAGATTCCCATGAACTTAAAATTCCAACAGGTGAAATTGATGGATTAAAACATGATCATTCAAATCACAAGGCATTATCTAATCTTCATTTCCATACTAATTTTAGTATTTTTGGTGAGGTAATTCAGGATAATGGACCAAGAATAGTGCATCCACAATGTTATCAACACCAAATTCGATCGTCGGGACTGGATAAATTTACAGCTGTTGATAGAAATGGGAAAAGGAGTATACTACATGAGGTAGAAACTCAGGCACAACTAATGCCATCAATTCCAGGAGTATACTTTGATAGGAGGCAAATTGGTTATAGGGTCAGATATCATAACTCCTATGTTGGATGGGTTGCCTTGAGTAGGCATTCTTCAATAAAAGATGCTTATGAGTATGCAAAACAGCTCTGGTTGAAAGCTAGAAATAAGAGTAAAATGGGTAAATACCATACAGAGGAAATTGAAATGGGAAACCAAAACATCGGATCGAGAAAGAGAACCAGACTTGGTTTTTATGATGAGAATCGTCAGCTGAATCAAACTCTTTTGTGCAAGCCAGGAGTTATTAATGAAAATAGTGTATGCTTCGACTCTAAAAATATAGAGAATGAACAAATTTTTCAAAGTAAATATTATAATACTGAGTACAGCTCCAGAAAAGATGATTTTGGCCTCCATTCTATTATTGAAAATGGGTATGGTTTTTCAGATAGTGCAATAACAAAACAACCTTTGGGACAAGAAACTTCCAGTGAATTAGCAAAAATGTCTCATTATACTGCACTAGAAACAATGAGAAAACTATATTTTGCTACACAAGAATATATGGAAAAGTGGCCGTCTTCTGATGGACATTATACAATCCATTGGTCAAATATATCAGATCTGAGCTCTTATTTATATGGGGAGGACCACGAACAAAACCAAAAAAGAGATTTAAATAGCAAAAAATCAAAGAACTTTCGGAAAATATACATTAATTCAGAAAAGCAAAATATAAGTTTGGACAATCTAAACATAAATAAGAAACAAATAGAAAGCTTTAATTATATATGGTGATTTTTTAGGGATGAAAAATTATCTGGGATAATCATTCCAATATTATAATTCATTTTTTAATGCATCTACCAAAGCCTTATCATTCATCATATCAATGTTTGAAAGAATCTTCTCGATAATTGTCCTGAACTCTTCTCTATATTTATTTGAGAGTAGCTTTAGGAGTTCTAGGGCCAATGATTTTCTTTCATTCAACTCTTTTTCCTCCATTATATGGTTTGGAAGCAAAATATTGGCAATAGACCTTAAAGAGCTGGAATTAACTTGGCTCAAATCTTGTATATAGGGTTTTAAACGGTTAAACTCATCTTCTCTTAGTAGTTCTTTTGAAGCATTCAATACTTGTTGGTAATTTATCTTTTCAAATGGAACAATGTTGAAATTTGTCCTTTTTTGATTTTCTAGATTACTACTTCCATTCTTACTCGAAGAAAATGTCCATAGTGTTGCGTTTGGAGACTCAGAACCAGGAGATGAAGTTTTTACTCTTTTCCAAGGTATGCTCACCTTTGAAACAAGACCAGGAAAAGGTTTTGGAATGTTTGTTGCATTCATAGCATTGCTATTCTCCTCCTTAAAGTCATCCTTTATTGAGCTTTTATTATCTACTTGTTTCAACAATGTATTGATTTCATTCGTTAAGTTGGGGAAACTAACTACAGAAGGATTTCTTGCATAAAAAGTTTTGTTTCCTGAAACATTATTAGTTAAGGGTTTAGTATAAGCTTCCTTGTTACAATTTGCTTCTGATGATTGAGTAGTAGCCCCAGGTGTACCAACATAAAGCTTTTTTTCAAAAAAGTCCGAAATATTATCAAGCTGCCTAGAGTCAAGCTGAGGCAAGTGTTTTGTATTAGTTCGAATCCACTTTGAAAGCCGAGTATATATATTTGGTTGGTTAAAGCGTTTATCTGCAAGAATAATTGCTCCATAGTCATTTCTATGGCGAACTACACGTCCAATAGCCTGATTAACAGCTCTAATGGCTTGCTGATTGTACCATTGGCGTCCATCCATTTTGCTTTCATCCATGTATTGTTTCTTAAGACATACTCTAGCATCTGCTATTGAAGGAAATGGAAGCCCCGCAATGATTACTCCTCTACAAGCATTATCTGAAAAGTTTATTCCTTCTGAAACTTTCCCTCTACATACTGCAATAAGTAGTGAACCTGAAGAAGAAATCCTTTTTGATTTGAATACAAAGTCTGTCAAGCTATTTTTGGTTTTTTTCTCCTTGAAAAATCCATCACTTTGAGATGAAGAGTCTACTCCCTTCTTAATGCAATCCATATACGAATCTAAAACGGATCCCAACTCAAAAGAGTTTCTAGGCTCTATAAAAATACTTTTAAACGCCTTAATACGCTCAATCAGACCTTGGTCTGTCCAATATTTCACAGCCTGATCCATTAAAGAATATGATCCAAAGAATAAGAGAACACCATCAGGAATTCGTTTGACACAGTCAAAAACCACACTTCCAAGTGCAGAAAAATATGAAGGATTATTTCGGGCCTCATATGAACCAATTAACTGTGTATTATTAGTTGAATTTCCCTTTTCTAAAGTGACAGCCCAAAGTTGTGATTCACTATCAATAACGTGATCATTTTCAAGAAACACATCAAATGATAAATTTGAGCTACTGAATTGCTGAGCCAAGGTATCTAATGGCGAGAGAGTTCCTGATGTGATAATCATTGATCTTACTCCTGCAGATACGAGGGAAGAAAGTGCTGCTGCGGCACTGAAACACCAAAAACTAAGATAAAGACTCATTCCTTGTTCCGGAGTTTCCGGGTCTATAACCGAATTCTGGTCTCCATTTTCGTCAAAGCCGTTAATTTCTTTGTAATTATCAGGTTCATAGTGAATATATAGTTTAAACCATTGAGGGTTCTTCATTACTGTTTCATTGAATGTAAGCCTTAAGCATCTCTGAAACCTTTCCAATGCTCCTATTCTTGCATTTATCTGAACACTATTTACATCCAACTGGCTTGAGACATTACCCCCAGGACCAACTAAGTTTTGTCCAAAGTTTATCATATTTGTGAGACATTCGTCCATAGCTTGGAAATTATCAATCCCAAAACCAGAAGAAGCAAATAAAGAGTAGATATGTGAGCCAGGGTAAGTAACTCCCTGAACTTCCCCCATTTTTGGGAAGCTCTTGAACTTTGACCCATTATTATTTGAAGGAACTGGGCATTGAATTTCCTTTAGATTTCTAGAAAGTAAGTGAATACCGGTTGCCAAAGCCACAGCTACTTCAATGTCAAAAGAAATATCTACTTCTGAATCTTTATCATCAGATTCTTTTTCTTGCAAGAGCCCAAGTTTCGTAGCTTCCAGAATATTTTGAATCGCTTTTTGAGAAAGAGCGAGATCAATATCTCTCAAACCAAATGAATATGCTTCTTCTGAAACAGACTCTACATTATGAGCTTCATCCAAAATCAAGATAGTGTTAGTTAAATCAATTTTTAGGTTCTGACGGGTAATGCTATCCAACAAATAATTATAAGGTAATAGAACAACATTACAAATGTTTTCGATTTCTCTAGTTGCATAAAAAGGGCAAAAATAGCCGGAATCAGAAGATGATGCAATACTTTTAAGATCCTCAATATCCCGAATATCCGCAGCAACCCCTGAAATGTTTGCCTGTTTCAAATTGTTATGATATTTACATTTACCTTCTTTGGTTATTTTTCGGCAGTTTTTTATCAATGTATTGCCTCTAAATTTGGAAATCCTGGGATGAACACAAAGCTGGTCTCTTGAACCCAGAATAGTTGCTTTGAAAAGCTTCTTTCCTCCCTTGATAATTGGACGTTTCTTTGAAGACGATTTTTCAATCTTGGCTTTATTTTCAGCTTCCGAGTCAAACAACTCAATTGTAAAGCCATCTGAAATTCCGGAAGATTTCAACTCACGCATTACTTGAGAAAGTTGACTGTGTGTCCTTGAAGAGTATATTATTCTGGGGATAAGCATATTCGTTTTTGTCTCTTTGCTATTTTCTACATTAGTACGAGGAATTCCTACCAATTCTATAGATCCTCCTTCTGATTTAATAACTCCAGGATAACTCGAGTTTTCTATGGGTTTCTTCAGTGAACCATGGTTAATTAGGAAATGCTTTTGAAATGCAAGGGTAGATGCTAATAAGCATAGTGTTTTCCCGGTACCTGTAGGGCTTTCCAAAAGTGCATGTTTTTTGTGCTTTAGTGAATATAAAACCTTTTGCATATAGTTAATCTGGCATTTATAAGCATCATATGGAAATTGAACACTATAACCTTCAATTATATACTCATTTTTTATGGGGTTCATAATTTCTTATTCCCACAACTTTTAATTGGACAATTTGTTTCATTTTTTATTTTACCGGTATGGCATAGGGGAACATCTTCGCGCCTTATTTTTTAGTATTCATTTCAAAGTTAATGAATTTTTGGATTTAAAAGTAGGACTTAAATATCTAAAAACCTTAGATCATGGACTATTATGGAATTTTGGAGGTCAAAAGGGATGCATCTACCGGTGAAATTAAGAAATCATACAGAAGATTAGCATTAAAATGGCATCCTGACAAAAACCCTGACAACAGAGCGGAAGCTGAGGAGATGTTCAAAAAAATTGCAGAAGCTTACGAGGTTCTTTCTGATCCAGAAAAGAGGAATAGATATGACACGTATGGAGCTGAGGGTGTTTCTGCTGACTTTTCTGATTTTACATCAGGTTTTCATGGATTTGATCGCCAATTTAGTATGGGACATGCTAGCCGTATATTCGAGGAATTCTTTGGTACAAGCAATATTTTTGACATATTCTCATCTTTTGGTGAATTTCCTGGTTTCAATGAACCATCCAGAGGTAGTAGAGGGTTTTCTAGATCTAGAGGAAGTAGACTGTCTCCTTTTGATGACTTACATTCACAAATATTTAGTAATTTCGGTTTATCAGGTTCAGGTTTCGGAAATATGCAGAGCTTCTCATCTTCCTCGTTCAGCTCAGGAATGGGATTTCAAGGAGGGGTTTCAAAGTCTGTTTCTACTAGTACAAGCGTTATAAACGGAAAAGTGATCACAAGGACTAAAACTACTGAAAGGTTAGCAGATGGAACGGTTAGAGAGACTGTTCAAGAGATCGAGGAAGATGGACGTGGAAATAGGGTTATCAGAAACTCTGAAAATTCGTCAGGCTCTTCAAGAAATAGAATGCTTAGACAGGGACGATCAGAAGATCTTAGTGACAATCTTCCCCTTTCTATGGGAAGTCTTCATAGGACACGTTCTCACCGACAAAACAGAAGCCAAAACCGTTAATTATACTTTAAACTTGTATTTTTTAGTCTTTATTTCTATTTTTCATTATTTCATTGATTAGAAATTCATTTTTTTTGTAGTTGATGAATTGAATACAAAATCACTTTTGAAAACTTCCAAAATTCTATTTGAACAATTCTCCGTACAAATAATCGATCAAATTTAGTTGTTCAAAAATTTGGTATGTTTCCATCTATAATGTAGTTTAAACATATCAATTTCATATATTTGAGTAAATAATGAATATGAAGACCTAAAATATAAGGAAAATATCCTGAGCTTAAAACTAAAACCTATTATGTATTTATAGAGCTTAATTGTTATTTTGAATTTTTGAAATTATTCATTATTTTTAAAATTGGAATTATCGGTAATGACAATGGATCTTAAATTATTGGCGGTTTTTTTAATACATGTTTTTCATACAAAAGTGAAATTCCGAATGAAAAATTAATAAAGAACTTTAAGTCAGATTAAAATAAATCACATGGAAATGATCAGAGAGGAAACTGCCTCCAGTGATTTTATCTCAGATTACAGTGAAGAAAATCAAAATGATGTCAACACTAAAGCCAGACCACTTTCACAATCCTTTAAGTTTACATTGTTTATGTGTCTATTACAAGGATTCAGTGAAAGGCTATTTTTTAATATGGTTTTATTTGGATATATTTGGGGGTATTCATTAAACTATTTGAATTCGGAATGGATACTTTTTTCCCAACATCTTATTGGGTGCATTGGTTTTTTGTTTTGGAGTCTTGTTTGCAACTATCTGAAACCACAAGTAATCTTAATTATATCATTTATGATTTGTGGTCTGATATCTATAATTCAGTCATTTTCAAATTCGTTTCTAACTTTGCTTTTTTGCAGATACCTACTATCTTTTTCATATGGAGCGTTGGAACCATCTATACAAATAATTTCTACAAACTACCAACTAAGGAACTCTGAGATGGCAAAGCTATATGGAGCAGTGTCTTGCTACAAAAGTTTTGGATCATTCTTGTCTATTGCAATCTCTACAATGATTTATCTAAAAAGTAGTAGTGAAGTTACTGTAATTTATTCACGTGTTATTTGGATAGTTACTGGAGGATTCTCAATATTCATCTCTATGGTACTTCTAGCCTCTGTATATAAAGAATTTAAGAACTCAAATCAAAATTCAGCTTTTGAAATGGTTCTTCGAGATAATTCTCATTACAAAAAATTGGAAAATTATGTTTCAAATAACGAAAAAAAAAATAAGCTTAAAATTATTTTCATCTATTTTGTAATATTTTTGGTGGGGTTATTGACAAATATAGTGAACGAAATATATAGTTTCTACCAAATAACTTCATCATTCTCATTTGAAAGGTATGAATATCCGGAATTAAAAGGAGATCATTCTGGGACATATGTATTAAGCTTAAATTTAATATACTACGCGTTAAAGAGTGTAGTTTTTTTACTAGGATCTGCAATTGGGTCTCTTATATTTGGACTCTTATATAAAAATATCTATGGTATCACAAAAAAAATCAAAGAAAAGTTTGAGATAGATTCTATTATTGGTCTTGGTAGGAAGAACTCCATTAATATTCTATGTTTAGCATCAATTTCAATTATTAACTTCTTCTCGTTAAATTTCTTGTTATTACAATTTATGTCTGAGATTCCAAAAATCTCCAAGTTTTCAATTATTGACATTGTTCCTAACTCATTCAACTTTTTCTGGCTTATACCACATATGATAGCAGTATTCTTTATGGGAGCATTGTTAACATCACTATTGGAAATAATACCAAGATTCCAGCTCATCACTGTAAATAAATCTAGTACATCAGTTGTATCGTATGGACTCTATCTCATGATAACTCGTGTATTTTCAGATCCAAGCTTATATAAGTATATTTACTTATACACTCCAGATAAGAATTATACGATTGGCATTGGAAATAATTCCAGCTTCAATATTATACCTTCTATATTTCATTATCCAATAAAAAGATGGTTTCCAATCCAGTTAATCTATAAACTTGGAAAAATGGATTTCCCTTTTAATTATGTTTATTACCAAGAATTGCAAATTAGTTCAAGTATTTACTCAATCTTATTCTATACATTGGTTTCTTTTATAACATTACTCTTATTTATTAAATTCATACTTTGCAAAAGAAGCAGAAAAGGTATAGATTTTGACTAAATTTCATAATCTAGCATACAGAATTAATATTTTTAAGCTTTTCTTCTAGCTCTAATTTGGTATTTCTGGTTTTCCATCTAATTACGTGTAAATATGTATATGCGAGTGTATTTCTATCTGAAGATTGTGCACATCTTAAACATGCTTCCATTTCCAAATTAGAAATAGGGTCAGTAGGTATATTAACAGCTTTTTCTTTATCAAACAATTCTACTTGTCCAATTATTCCAACAGGCCTACATTCTTTTGAATTATCTTCCATAGAATTCAGAAAGTTGCAGTCTGCTGGAACTTCTCCAAAAGAGTACAATGTTTGAATTCCTGAGGAGTCATTTAAGCTTTCCATGTGGTTCCAAATGATCTTGGCGAGTTCGATTATGTGATTATATAAAATTTTTGAATCTTGTTCCTGATTATCAATTTTATTTACATAAGCAAGAAGTTTGATTACGTTCCAATTTGTCATAACAAAAGGAAATAGCTTTGGCTTTGAATCGGTTGTTTCCAACTCCAAAGCACCAATCAGGTAGATTGTAAGTGATTTCCAAAAAGAAGATTTCCCAAGGTCCACTCCACATACACAAACTAACTTTCCCATAATATTCTGAAGGCAATTCAGACAAAACCAGCTCAAATCTATTTGTTGTATATGTAATATAGAACCTTTTAGTGAAAAAACTAAATCTGGGTCTATGTTTCTAAATAGATCAAGAATTAAAAACGGATTAGAACTTAAAGTGGAATCTTCTTGAGGGCTTTTTGTAGATATCTCGGTTTTAATACAATATGCTTTATTAAAAGCAATAAAAGAAGCATGATTATTCCTGCTCAGATACAAGAAGCTGTGGGTTATCGGAGCCCCATCTGGAGCAAGAACATATGGATTTGGAATAGTGTGAGGATTAAAGGTCTGATGAGAATTGGTAGAGTATTGAAATGATGGTAAAGAATGAAAAAATTTACTGCTTTCTTCTTTTTGGTGATTAAACTGGATTTCGCCTTCTAAAGTTTCATATAAACTTAAGTAATGGTCATTGTATGAATCAAAGGTTTTTCTCTGGCTTTTCTGTAGATATTCTTCGTACCCTGGATCAAAGTAATAATATGAAACAACCTCTGAAATTGATGTTGGAGAAAAATAAAGATATGAAAAGAGTAAATTTTCTTGAGAATTATTAGGATGTTCATTTAATGAATATATTTGAGTTTGACTACTTTTAATAATCGAATTTTGAATGGATACTTTAAAGATTATTACCCCATTGTTGAAAATACTCAAAGTATTACTGGTTTTGCTTTTCTCATTTTGAGCCTGATCAGAGTCAGAAAATGTTGGTTTCTTTTTGGATGTAGTTTGCGATCGGTTTCGTTTACTATAGTAAATCAATTTGTCTTTTTTGGGGAATTCACAAAATTCATTTAAAATCGTACTCATAATATTAGAAACTGGAGAAAGAGGAAACGAAGAATTAATAAATTTTTCAACCTTAATATTTGAAAAAGATACCGTTTCCCCAGGTAGAAGTAATTTAATGTTGTGTTTCAGAGTTTCTTCCTCAGAAAACCAAATATCAATCCACCCAGAGTTCCAAGGAGGATCAGAAATCAAATAAATACTTTGAAAGGTGGTTTTTTCCGGTTTAAATTTGGTACTTTGATCAGTAGTTACCCTAATTATTGACCAATTTCCATAGATATTTTGTGGATTGAGCCCAATAAAGTAAATGATGTCAAGTATTTTTACACGTTCTAAAGAAATATGTATTTCTGAATCACTTTCATCTCCGAAAGAAAGTTTGGGGTAACTATTATTAAATAAATCCACCATATCGTTTCTAGCTAATTTAGTAGATCTATAAATAAGAGGGTTTTTTCTGGAAAAAACCTGCCATTCATATATATATTCAGTCCAGTATTTAATATCAAAAACAGTATATAAACCAGGTGTTCCCTGCTTTTTACTTCCAGATTTGAAGGAGAATGGTGTCTTCAAGCTCTCTGGCCATAATATAGATTCATCATCGTCACCAAATAGCTTTATTTCAATATAAGATGCAGTTTTGTCAAAATTTATTGCATCTGAAGAAAGTTGAGATGGAAAAACAAGTTCCTTAATCATTAAGTGTTCTATCTTCTCACTTTGAAATGTATTCATCGCCTCAAAAAACTCTTTTTCTTGTATTATAGATAGCAAAACTTCTGAATTTGGTAATATTGGCGTGTCAATAATCAATACAAATCTTGATATGTTGTTGAATGAATACCAGTTAGAAGGTACTTGAAATTTTTCTATTTGAGATTCAATTATCTTATTTTTATCTAATTGAACTTCCGATTTTGAAAGCTTTGAATAAGTTTTAAAGAATGGTAGACAATGAAAGTATAGTTTGTATCCATCAACCGAATTTTCGATTTCTTTGTCACAAATAAATAAAAGAACTCCTTTTGGCTGATTTATTGAAATCAATCCTTTTGAAATTGGAGGTTTAAGAAAACAATCCTCAAAATTAATGCATACAATATCTGAAATGTGAACAAAAAATGAAATCTTTTGATTATATAGTCTTAGCATTGCTTTTTTGATGAAGACAAACTTCTTTTCAAAGCTATATTTTGAGCAACTAGAATTGAATAAAAGGTTTATTCTTGAATTGCAATAAATGAATAATGGGTAAAAATTACTTTCTGAACCACTTAAAGATGGTGTCTTGATGAAACACACATTTGAAATCCAAATATTTGACTCAAGGGTTTTTTCCATGATAATCTCAGCTAAGAAATGTCCAAAAAAACCTATGTACAGAGGATAACTTTCTTCACCAATAAACAAACATTTGAGACTATTAATATTACTCGAAACGCTACTATTTTTATAGTTATTTTCGACTGTTCGTAGTCTGGGTAATTTTTTTATATTACCTCTAATATAATACAGAAACTCTATAGATAAAACATGGTTTAAAAAAACTAAATTAGCCAAATTAAGTTTCTGTGATCTTTCAATGCTTCCAATCAAATCTGCCCATTCTTCAATTGGAGCAATTTTCCAGAGTCCAAAGCATTCTTCTGTACAAGATACTGGACACTGTTGTAAATTCCTTGATTTTAACTCAATCGTTTGGCTGGGATGAGTAATTTTAAACTGAAAATGTGAGAAATTGCCACAAATAATTGAGGAAGATTCCTTACTAGTTTTTGTCCCATCTGAATATTTAATTTCATAGTTTTTGGAAACGGAAATAGGGGAACCACTTTTTAAGTTTGAAATGATTTGAACCAGTAATATTGGAAGAACTTGAGATTTATTAGTTTGAGTTCCAACTATATTAAACAAATCCACATAAAGGCTGTAATGCAAATAACAAAAGTTTCTGATATCCCAAGGATGTTGCCAGGCTATTTCTTTATTGGTATGGGTATTCGAATTGAAATCATTAAATTCCAAATACTCATGGCCAATTGTTTGAATATGTAGTGGTAAATTATTCCAAATTGTTTCTCTGGGAGTGGTTTCCTTCTTTTTTGTAAATCTGGAATGTCTTTCAAGCCCCCAGTCTGATCCTGGCTCTATTGCGATCCCTATAGGAAATGAACGATTTCCTAATTTTGTGGTAATTACACGAAAATTTCTAACCCAGAGAATTGAACCTTTTGAAATTGAGCATCCTAATGATGTCTCATGAAAATTCGAATTATGTAGAAAAAGTTTAATTGGTACCAGCTTTGTCTTTATTTCATATACACCAAACCCAAGTACTTTCTCGATTTGTATTAGCGTTGGAATCTCTAAAATTGGCCTTGAAATATTTTCGACCATTGACTCTGAAATTATTGATGTAAAATTATTTGCTATTAAGCATCTCTTCTCCTTTGGTAATTGCCTAAAATTGTGAATCAATACAGACCCTGCTACCACATTTTCAAATCTGTAAATATTTCTCCATCCAAGAATAAATCTATTGATTAAGAGATTTACTCCAGGGAAGAAAACAATGAATTCTCGATTATTTAATATTGACCTTATTACAACTGAGAAACTTGATTCGCATGTTGAATTTTCTGATGGTCTCAGAATTTTATCTATTCCAAATATACTATGTGAATTTGAATCCAACTCTTCCGAGTCATTTTTCTTAGCTCTATTAATCATTGATTTCTCATCATTAGTTACTCTATCTCTTGAAGTCGTATAATTATCCACTCTGTGCATTACAACAGTGGAAATATGAATAACAAGTCCTGTAATATTAATACTTCTCAATCCAGTTATCATCTGCTCTACTGGAAGATATGAAGATGAAATCCATAAAGTTGTTGATGCACTAAAACACAAAAGTTTTTTTTTTAAAATCTTAACAACACTTGTGATTTCATTTTGTGAATTAAATGGGTTTAAATGTCTATTAAGCAAAATGCTTCTTAAAGGAGCATTAGGGTCTTTGGTCTTCATCTTCACAATTGCCCAATCTCTAATGATTAACCAACAGGAAACAAACGAAAATTCTGTTTCACAACACTTAAGCATTATGTTTGATTTGAATTTCCCAGAAATTTCGCATGGAATTAATAAAAATCTTGGAAGAGAGCTTTGATTCAAAATATTGTCTTGGAGAAAGAGAAAATTACCATTTTTGGTATAAACAAGCCTCCCTACTATACTAAAGCTGGAATTATTTGGTTTTAAAGAAAATGATGTGGATTCAGACAAGTTTGTCAAATTGATCTGTTCACCTCTCTCTATAATGGAATTTATTCGTTTGTAAACAGCATGCGTTTCACAATGCCCACAATTTGGAATAAAATTCTCTTCATCTCTTTTTTTCATAATTTAACATTTGCAGACTCTTAGTATTTTCTTTAAATGCTTTATTAAGCACAAAGAAATGAAACAATATGAGGCCATTGATTTTAGGCAAAAACCGCTACCAAAAATACTGAAAACCTGCCAATTTAAATACTTTTACCACAAAATTAAAAAATGCAAATTTTGGCTCAAACATTAAGAGCCAAATTCGCCAAAAAATAAACCTTAAGCCTAAAATCCGAGGAAATGCTTTTGAGTAAATAAATCTTAATACGACTAAAAGTAGATAAAAATATTTGGTAAAAATAAATATATTTAGACAAAAGGAGTGGGTTTTATATTTAGTGATTAGTAAATCATTCAAAGTTAACTAAAACAAACTTTAAGACAACTCCTAATGCCCTGATATACTGATATAAAGACTGATTAGAAATAATTGATTAGTTTCAAAGCAACGATTGCAACAATAATCATTGCGATTATGTGCCAGAACTCAAACCCTTGTGTGATGTTACATTGGTTTGAAGACTTAAGCTTGGATTCAGACTTTTCTAGTTTTTCTCTCAAAGAAACCACCTCTTCCTTAAGCTCGTTGCTCTGTTTCTCTAGAGCCAAACAATATTGAACAAGCTCATCATACTTGTTCTTAAATTCGGAGTCAATTGAACCTACCTGAACATTGCTACTGGATGACGGCCCAACTCCTGAAGAAAGAACTGAATTTGGAACTCCTTGAGATGCATTTGAGGAGGTTCCGATGGCACTCGATGAAAGAGGCTCATTTACACCCATGTTTTCCTGCTTAAAAATGACCGATAATCTGTGCTCAAAAAGCTGTTCTTTACTGAGGTCTTGCCAGAAATCCTTTGTAAGCTGCTCAACTGAACTGTCACATGTTGTAGTCTGGATTAAAAACCTGTGAGAAGGAGAGGCTTGCTCGACAGATTGTAAAGGCTGAAGAATCACTTGAATCTCCTTTGATTGCCCTGCCTGAATCAGCCCACTGCTTGGACGCACTAAGTAACCTCTTGGAGCTGTAGTCTTAATTTTGAACGCCACTGTCGAAGATGTGATATTCTCTAAAATAAGAGGAGTTGTCACAGAGCTGTACAACACAAGCGGAAACTCGAGAGCCTTTTCTGGATGCACTCTTACCAATTTTGCACCTTCTATTGACATTCTTATAGGTTTGTAACTTCCACAGTATATATAACAGTTAAAATCCTCTAAATGTACACTCACACTCTCAAGCGAGGGAGGAATTCCTTACATTTAATTGTGCTTTAAGTACAATTAATAAATTAAAAAATTATGTACGCAGGATACCCAGACGTACACGCTGTCGATTTCTTATTTTTATTTTTTTTAAGCGAGGCCTTATTGCGCCTTGGAGACATTTAATTGTGTACAGTAAAAAAAAAAATTGTCGAGCAAAACATGTAGGGGATCAATCATATTTTTTCTCTTTAAAACTTTATGAAGAGTTAAGAAAAAAAAAATCGGTGAGAACAATTACCTTAGTCTTTAAAATTTCAGATTGACACCTTCAATATTGGAGAGTATTGGCGGTTTTTGCTAGAATAAATAAGTTAACCCACAGTTAAAGATAATATTTTTTAATAAAAAAAAAGAACTACTATTAAAAAAAACAAAGGAAAGTTATTATAGTAGGAACTTATGATTAGAATGTGATTTAACTTAAATGTGAGTCTATGAAACAAATTGTTCTTCAATTCGAGAGTATATTAGTTTGGGTGAGATTAATACTACATGCAAATTTAGAAGGTTGACAATATTACATGCCCTTTAATTAAAAATATATAACTATATGGATATTGGAAATTGGTCTCTTTTCAACTTTTTTTATTCTGAAGAAAATAGTTTTGGAGTTTGTTGCTCAGAAAATGTCAGCCTTGAATGCAAACATTAAGGAAGAAGAATCTCAACCTAAGTTTTTTGACAACAAAGCAGGAGAAATGATAATAGCCAGTATTAGGCAAAAAGGAAATCCAATACTCTCCCATGTAAAGAATGTTCCTTATGAGTTTCGGAACATTGTTCCCGACTTTCTAGTTGGCAAGTACGATGCTGTGGTCTTTATAAGCATTAAGTACCACAAGCTTCATAATCAGTACTTGAGAAGAAGAGTTGAGTCGTTGCAAAAAAACTATAAGGTCAGAGTATTACTGTGTTTGGTGGATATTCCACCTTCAGGAGTGATTGATGCTGCTATTTTGGAAATCACTGATATTTGCTTTGACTTAAATATGACCCTGTTTCTCGCATGGAGCCCAAGTGAGGCAGGGCAAATATTGGAAACTTTAAAATCACATGAAAATTCTTCCAATGAGAGCATCCGAGGAGGGCTTTCGTTGGACCTGTTCACCAGAATAAAGGATGCTTTAAGTTCTTTACCAAGAATAAATAAGACAGACTCCGAAAACCTTTTGAAACACTATGGGTCAATTTCGAAGTTAGCCAGCGCCTCCGAGGAAGAACTTTCTAAGATACAAGGAATTGGCCCTATAAAAGCGAAAGTAATTACGGAAATATTTTCCACTGAGTTCTCAGACTTTTAATGTTGTAAATTGAATGACAACAAAAAGTCACTAAATCTATTAGAAAAGAAACTTGTCTGAACTAAAACTTAATTAGAAAGATATCTAGATACAAAGATGATTTAGGTATTAATATAATGAATATATTTGCATTTGTTGATATATTAATCATTTAATCTACATTACTGCATTCATGCCTGAAAGTTCAGATAAAAATTATCCAAGAGAATTCCTTTTAGCCAATGATTGAATACTCTGATTAAAACATGATGCGACAGATATTGATAGTTGAGTAGATTTCGGTGCGACAAACCTACCTTAACTGCTAAAATTTGTGTTGGTTTTAGCATAAGATCACATAAGAAAAAATAAAGCGTAAGCTAGAAAATATTGCCTGAAAGATTTGGGCTTCTGGCAAGTCAAATAATAACTTGACAAACTTGTGTTGAATATTTCGCATTAACTGGATGCCTTGTTGCTGCTCGACGAGACTTCGAGCAGATTTTCTGTTTGTTTGTTCGTGGCCTCGCTTGTAAGGGAAGGATCCTCATCTGCTCGAGATGCACCTGGATTAAATGCGTCCAAAGCTGTGGGTTGTTGTACTAGTTGATCATTGTTAGGCAATAACTGCTGTGTGGAATTGAGCTGATTAAACCAAATTGTGGAATCAGGCTGTGAGGGAGCAGTAGATGTAGGATTGCCATTTTGGCCTATAGGAGATGCACCTGGGGACTGTGTAGCTTGACCAGGTGGAAGGGTCATTCCATAATATCTTCCAAACATATTCATGTTCATCTGCGAAGCTGGATTCATTGCGGAGACTTGAGGTATCTGAGTTAATAAATTTGCATTTTGTCCCAACATTGGTGGGATTTGTAGTCCAAAAGGGTTTATAAATGGGTTTGGGAAAAAAGAATTCAATATTGGGTTAGCTTGAGAAGCTGAATTTTCAACTTGGCCAGGAACTGCTGAAGGAAGCATTCCGTTGTTTTGGGAAAAGGAGTTCTGGAGCATTGCCCATTGTTGCATTGCAGCTGCTTGACTTGCAGCTGAATAGTTACCGTATAAATTCATTAAAAGAGGGTTGTATAACCATTCATATGGACCTGGTGGTATAGCTCCAGTCGGATTCTGTAATCCCGTGATATTTGCTGGATTAAATTTAGAAGAAAATTGGGATAGTGGATCTGCGTCTAAAAGATTCTTTGATGCAATATCCGATGGATTCTTTAAATAATCTGTAAGTCCTTCTTCAGAAAAGTGATTAACTCTTGACTGAAGTAGGTGTCTGGATGTATCCGGTGCGGATACTGATGTTGCAGCAGCAGAAGCAGCAGATGCGGCAGCAGCAGCTGCTGCAGCTGCTGCCTTTCTTTCTGCCATTCTTGCTCTTTTTGAGCTAGAACCTACTGCACCATTTGGTAAATGGCGTCCTTCTGCGGTAACTTGGGACCGGAAACGTTTGGCTACCTCAAGAATCTCGCTGATTATTTCTTCGGAAGCATTTGCAGGAACTTTAAAATACTCAAATTCACGGTCTTTACCAGTATAATATACGACTCTCCATCCTTGAGGCTTTTGGCTCCAATAGACTCCAGGTACACCACTTTTTCTTACTGCGCCTCTTACTTGCGGCTGAGTAGTAGTGGCTGGCTGAGAAGATGTATGATTTTTAACTGGAGCCTGATTCTTGTTCGGAGTAGAAGCGATGGCTGCAGCAGCTGCAGCAGCTGCAATTGCTGCCAGTGTATTCAACCCAGAGTTTGATCCAAACCCATTCTTTTGCTTTTCTGCGTTTGCAACGGCATCTCGTTGAGAAAGGAACTGTAATACAAGTTCATCCTCGACAGATCTATTTGCTTGGTTGACAGACTCAGCTGTAGATTCACCAGAATCACCCAATTGCTGACTAAAGTTAGGGTCCTTTATAATTCCACAGGAAGTTAAAGATGCCAAAAAGTTCATTGCATGAGAATATGCCTTTCCCTTTCCCCAACGTTTACAACTAAATTTTCGAACACTCCACCTTCCGTTTTTTGTTTGCCATTCAAGAATCCAGTCCCTGCTCTTTGCGTCAATCCAAAGCTTGTATGGAAGTGAAGATTCTGGCATATTAATTGAGCCAGAGTCTTCCTCTGTGTTCAACATGGTGGATTCTCCAGATAACACATTGATAGTGCCTGGAGACTCTACATTTGAGTCAGTAATGTCTTCTTGTATAGAACTTTCTTCTTTAGTACTTGGCTCCTTAACTTCATCCAAATCTTCATTCTTAATTTCACTCTTATCAATGTGAGCCAGTTCGGATTTCTCAGATTGAATGCTCACTCCTTTTATATCCTCAACTTCATTTTTATGCTCTTGGGTTGGAAGTTCAGTAATTGAAGCCGAGTTAGTATCTAGAATTAACTCATCTTTGTGTCTAAAATCTTCTGATAAAGCATTTAACACATTTATATTGTCTACTGATAAATCCTTTTCTTGGTTATTTGGCAGATTTTCTGCTGAAATATGGCCAGAGTCATTCTCGGACATAGTATTATCTTTCATTAGACTATCAAGTTTCCATAAATTTGCAATTAAATAGCTTTAACTATTCAAACCCTGTGCAATGTACCTTAAAGCTTTGACGATAACTTAATAAAAACAAACTATTATTGAGCTCCGTTGTCCAATATAATATAAATAATAATAAATAAATTAATAATAAAAATATTATTATATTTTATATATTATTAATTTTAAAAATTCAACGATATTGCACAAGATTTTACACAACACAAATAGCTCTCTTGTGCAATGGTCTGTCTGGACTTGTCTGCGTGAATGGCAGTCCGCACAGCAAAGTATACACTCACATTCTGCCACTTAATTGTGACTATTTGCTCACTATTTATTTAATACGTATTGCTATACATCTATCCCTCCGTTTCTATCCCTCTCTTTAACTATCCTATCTGATATTACTAATTCTTTTTGCCTTTTTGCTATTTCCTTGAGCATTAACTTTTTAAATACGCCTCACGTCTCCAGAGCAGGTATCGAGCGGGAAAGACACGTATTCAATAATTCAATTTTTGTGTAAGTAAATAAAAGATATCGCAATACATTGGATAAAATATCCGTATTAAAGAAGTTATTCCATACTATGCTTTCTAATAATAACTGAATAAGGTGAATGTTTTGGAAGAGATGCGTTATTCTCACATTAACGGGATACGGATTTTGCTGTTCATCTAATGGCTGGCAAACTTGTACTTTTAAGTTCGTCTCTTTGACTACGAGTAAATAGAATAATGCATTTTTAATTCGATTTCTTTTTGAATGGCTGTTAATTTTGATATTGACTTTTTTCGTTTTATCCAGTTTTTTTCTTCCTGGCAACCTGTTCTTTTCTATAACTATATTTTAGATACAATTGTGGCTAGTGTATTTTAACTGTTTATAGATAAGCAGTTAAAATACAATTTTCTGCCCCGAATTTACGGTAACTTTAACTTAGGCTTTATAAAGTTGGTCAATCATAATTATTTAACTCCAGTAATTGAAATTTCTGAAATTGATTTGTAGCGCAAAATTATGTAAATTTAATGAGTCGCATTAATAAAAAAAAATAATATTACATTAGAAATGAATATAAGTGGATTTTTACATGCATAACTCCTTCATAGTATTTTGTAGCTTTAGGGAGACAAATAACAAAGTAAAAAAAGCATATTTTTAGGGTGTTTTCTCAAGGGTTTGTCTGAGTAACATGGCTCTGCGTTCAAAGTCATTTACTAACCAGAAACAACAGGTAAATGTTAATTCGAAAAACGCTTCAAATAATATTGAAGCAAACTCAGATGAATTAATTTTATCTGGAAATCAAAGGAAGAAGTCGAGTGCAAGAATCTACAGCTCAATCGAAGAAAATCCAGAAAAGTTGTCAGACAGTAGTAAAGAAGGGGATGAACTGGTTTCTGCCATAGAAAAGAATCCGTCTGTTGACTTTCCAAGTGTGAACCAGTGGGTACTAGCGCTTTTTGAAGAGGAGGGTAAAAAGATGCTTGCTCGTGTAGTGGGTTGGAAGCTTTACGGAACTCAAGTTACACACTTAACGCACTTAGTAGACAAAAAAACAAGAGAAAATAAACAAAATCCTCTGTTAAAGGTTATTTCATCTTCACAAGAATCTCAAAAAAAAGAAGATTATGAGTTTTACGTCCACTTTAGAGGTCTAAATAGACGTCTAGATAGGTGGGTTAAAGGTAAAGATATACAGCTCTCGTTTTATATTGAGGAATTGAATGATCCAGTTTTATTTGAAAGGTTTCAGAAACAAGGAATCAAATTTATATCTTTATTAGGAGTTTCAAATTCAGCAAATAAATCCGGAAATAGGTCTAAGAAAAGAAATATAGGAATTTTGGATATTTCTGATGGAGAAGATCCTGATGAGCATGAAGGGATGGACCATTCTGCAATTCTTGACCATGAGGAGACCACAAGACTTAGGACAATTGGTAGAGTTCGTATAGGCAAATTCATTTTGGATACTTGGTATTTTTCTCCACTTCCCGATGAGTATCAAAACGTTGATACTTTACATTTTTGTGAATATTGTTTGGACTTTTTTTGCTTTGAGGATGAACTTATTAAGCACCTTTCCAGATGCCAATTAAGGCATCCTCCAGGTAATGAAATATATAGGAAAGACAGTATTTCAGTTTTTGAAATTGATGGTGCCTTAACTAGAGGATATGCAGAGAATTTATGCTATTTGGCAAAGCTTTTCTTAGATCATAAAACCCTACAATACGATGTGGAACCGTTTCTGTTTTACATTGTCACTGAAGTTGATGAAGAAGGGTGCCATATTGTTGGTTATTTTTCTAAGGAAAAAGTTTCATTGCTTCATTATAATCTTGCCTGTATCTTAACTTTACCTTGCTATCAAAGGAAGGGTTATGGAAAACTTCTTGTTGATTTGTCATACAAACTCTCACTTAAAGAAGGGAAATGGGGGCACCCAGAAAGACCTCTCTCTGATTTAGGCAGGGCAATATATAATAATTGGTGGGCTCACAGAATATCTGAATTTCTCCTTGATTATTTTCAACAAAATAAGATATGCGAAAGAGGTAGCTCAAAGTATTATACACAAGTAAGAAACTACGGAAAGTTTATTGATAACATTGTCAGAAGTACTGGAATTCGGAGGGAAGATGTAGTCAGAATTTTGGAAGAAAATGGAATTATGAGGAATATTAAGGATCAATATTATATTTTCTGTAACAAGGACTTCCTTAAAAGCATTATTAAACGCTCTGGAAAACCAGGAATCACTCTTATTGACAAAAATTTTAATTGGGTTCCTTATAGCAGAGCTCCTCCATCAGAAATAGAATCATTACCACAAGAATAGATGTGAACTGTTAACATCAAGATTAAAGCTGTTTTTAAGTTAAATATATACATTATATCACTTCAATCTGTCTAAATCTAATTTATTTTATCAGTCTTAAATTTGTCTAAATATTACTATAATTCGCTGGAACTTGGTAGTGCGAATAGTTTTCAAAGTTTACTCCATCTGCACTTAATATCGGGTTCATAGAGAAAATATCATTATTTTCAGAGCCAATACCTTCATTGTATGCTGCGAATATTGGTGGAGGAATGCCTTCCACATAATCAATTCCTTCCTCTTGAGCATTCTCGTTTTCTAGGTCAATATTGTCTCCTTCATATTGGCCAAAACAATCATTATGAAGTCCTTGGTGTTGAGTATTAAAAGTTGGATGACATGAGTCTTCTTGCTCCACTCTGTGAGCTGAAGATGAATGACCCTCACCCTTATTAAGCTCGTAAAAATGGCCAGTAGTGTGATTATTTATTAATATATCTTGAGGAACGCCACTCACAATGTTGAGGTTTTGATTCTGAACAAATTCACTGTTTTGATCTTGAGTTTCCTGATTAAATATACTGTTCTGATATAAATTAGGTTCTTGATGTTGATTTGGAATAACTTTATAATTATAATTGACCTCTGTACTGCTATTTTTAATGCATTGAGGAATGCTAATTTCCTTATTTTGCTCAATATTTCTATTCTCATCAGAAAACTTCATTTTTTCCATGTTATTTTCAACGGTTTTTTGTGGAGGAAACTCATCGCCACTATTTGAATAGCTTTTGAACCCCTGTTTTTCTCTAGAATTCAGAATGCTTTGGTTGTTTTCTTGGATAAAAGTGTTATCAAAATTCTTCTTAGGACTATTGCTTATGGTATTTACTTTTGGACTCAAATCAATCTCTTGAGTATTATATTCCTTAGAATTCAATTTACTGTGCAAGTTGGAACTTTCTAATTGTGTATCCACTTTTCCATCATGCTTAATATTCTCCAATGTTGAACTCTGTTGTTCAAACAAATGTTCAAGAGTTACACTCAAAGCTTTATAATTGAATTCTATTTGATTTAAAACGTCATTTGCCATAGTTTTCAATTTTCCATAGTTTTTTTCTGTAAGGATTGAAATACAATTATCAACCCGGTCAATAATGGAACTAAAACAAGACCCTTGAATTTCCTCTAAAGTGCTGTTAATACACTCATCCCTATCTTTTAGTCTTTGGAGCAAAGAATAAGTAATATCACATTCTTTTGCAGAAATATCTTCTTTACTTCCTACATTTGATATTTTTCTCTCTAACTCCAAAATTCGTTGATTTTTCTTATTTATAATTGTCTTAAGAGAGTTGATCTGGGTTTCAGGATCTTGGGTATCAGGAATGAAAGAATTTATAGTATCACTCATTGGTGTTTGATAGCTGTTGGTGAATTCAACAGAGTTGTTTGGTAGATCTCTGGACAACAAACTAATTTCTTGTAGATTCGAACTATTGTTTCCACTCTTCAATCTTGTATTTTCTTCCAAAAGTTTTTTATTGAAGTCACCAAGTTCAGATAATGCTGACTTGAGCTTGTTTAGTTTTTCAAATTCTTTACGTTTATTTTCAACCGTTTTATCCATCAAATTCATAAGTAGGTCAACTTTGGGTAAAGATGAAGATTTAGATATAGAATTTGGGGCAGTAGGCGGACGGACAGCTGATTGTATTTGATTTGGAGTTAGAGAAATTCTAGAGTCAACTTGGAGATCTGACGAAAAGAAGGAACTTTGGATTACTGGTATAGCATTCTGAGCTTGGGATGGAAATTTTGAGCTATTATTACTGTTTGTAGCAACATTATCGAGGTTTGATTTATTTGAAGGAAAAAATGTAGGTGCAGTTGGAGGTCTAGCAATATCTTTCAACCCAACCATGTTTCTCTCCGCATTGCTATCCATATTTTTCATGGGAATTTCGGGTACATCAAGGCTAATTTGACTATTCTGAGCTGGTTGGGATATATTTAATTTGAATTTGTTGTTGGAACTAATACCTGGAACTTTTGGTGGTAATTTTGGGTTCGGCCTGCTTATATTCTTATTAGAATTAGGCTCTTGAATTCCAATATGAGACACTGAATTTCTTCCACCTTGGAACTGGTTGTGAGTCCTGATTTCCTGAGATTTATTTTGAGAATTTGAATGATGGTAATCATTCGAAGGAGAGCCCATTGATGTTAGCATTGTTCGAGAAATATTTAATTGTTCAAGTCTTTCTTTGTTATCCTGCATTTTCCTGTTGAATGAAGAATCATCATCAGTGTTGGCACAATCTGAAAATGGAACTTTTGGGGGAGGCGGAATAGGTATATTTTGAAAATTAGAATTTTTGTTTGAATTTTGAATAAATGGCTTGGAAATGTGACTTACAGACTGTAAATTATTAAGAGGTTGAGTGGGTCTTGCATTTTTTGGAGAATGATATCGAAACCCTCCAGATTTTGAGGAGCTATTCTGAAATGGAATAGATGGTGGTGGGAAGGCTGAAACAGGAGTATTAATAGAAGTACTGTTTGTTTGATTTTGATTAACCGTTGTACTCGCACTCAAATTCCCCAGAAATCTACCCATATCTGGCTTATTTGCATCAATATCTACATTAATTCCGTTATTCATATTAGTATTACTGGAAGATGGTCTAAAACTTCCATTCATAAAGCTAGATTTTTGAATATTTGGTTTATTAAACTCAGAATCTCTATTGATATTGTCAAATGCACCATATCCATCTAAGTTTGTAGTTGCCATATTATTTGAGTATGGACTGGTAGATATATTCATATCACTAACATTATTTATTTTCCTCTGGCCCTCTTGGTTACCTGAATTGTATTTTGTTCTTAATGTAGGTGAAATAGGAATTTGGGAATACATAGCCTGAGATAAAATTGAGTATATTACGGATTATTTTAGATGATTTATACCTAATTTTAATTCAGTAAAATACTCTTTTTCAACAATATGTACTTTAACTCACTATCAAACAGATTATCATTTCAAAGGACTTTAGTGCGCCAAAATATTGAAAAGTTAAATAAAATCTTACTTAATTGTGACTAACAAAATACACAAAAATATATTCATTTAGCATTCATGGAAAGGATTAATAATTATGATAATGATAAAAAAGTCTTATAACGTACTTAAAATCAAATTATGATTTTTAAAGATTAATTAACATTAAAAAATAAATCTTCCAAAACAGGTGTTTTTTATCGTTCAAAAGATATTAATAGCAGCAAATAGTGAGTTCTAATTATTCATGTGTGTTGCTTAATACTATCTTAACTAATTCTATTCTGATAACATTTTTATTTTTGTATTTTGTTGGGATTACCGCGCCGGTTGGCGCTAAATGTGGGGAATTTTTGCATGCAATTTATTTGAGTCTTGTGGCAGCAACACATCCTACTGACGTGTTAAAATTAAAGTCAAAAAAAAAAAAATTCTTAATATTATTGGGTCTATGAAGGATAGAATTCAATAATATTGAAATTATTAGCTGATAATTCAATATTGTTGAAGGCCAAATTGTGATTTTCCTTATTCAAAATATTTTTTTTAAGAAATATTTATTACCAAAAAAAAAGATAATACTGATTGTGGCATTTTTTTAAATAACCGGATTTATTAGAAGCAAAATGGAAGCATCCAGCCATTCTTATTCCGGTGATATAAAAGGTGGACTATTTCATGGAAGAGGTGTATTAATTTACTCAAAAAATGAAAAATATGAAGGAGATTTCGTAATGGGTAAGAGAGAAGGCTTTGGTAAATTTACTTATGCTGATGGAGCTTCTTATGAAGGTGAATGGGTTGACGATAAAATCCATGGTCAAGGAAAGGCAAATTTTTCTAGTGGAAATACTTATGAAGGGCAATGGGAAAATGGAAAGATCAATGGATATGGTAAGTTAACTTTCAGCAATGGGGATATATACGAGGGAGAATGGGCTGATGGTAAAATGCACGGAAGAGGTGTGTATAAGTATGTAGATGGTGATATTTATTCAGGTGAATGGAGAGATGATAAAAGGCATGGAAAAGGTACGGTAACATATGTAAGTAGCACAGGGGATCAAATTATTGAAAAATACGAAGGAGATTGGGTGAATGGTAAGATGCATGGTCACGGAAAGTATGTCTATGTTGATTCTGCTGTATACGAAGGTGATTGGTTCGAAGGTTCCATGCATGGCAAGGGTACGTACATTTTCCCATGTGGAAATGTTTATGAAGGTGAATGGGTTAATGATGTTAAAGAAGGCTATGGTGTATTGACTTATCAGAATGGTGAGAAATACGAAGGATATTGGAAGGATGGCAAAGTTAATGGCAAGGGTACTTTAACTTATAGTAGAGGAGATAAGTATGTTGGCGACTGGCTTGATGCAAAAAAGCACGGTGAAGGTGAACTGTTTTATTCCAATAATGATAGATTCAAAGGTAATTGGGTTGCTGACAAAGCATGCGGATTTGGAGTATACACTTATGCTAATGGGAATAGGTATGAGGGGTATTGGGAAAATGACAGGAGGCACGGAAAAGGAGTATTTTACTGCGCAGAAGATAACAATGTATATGAAGGTGAGTGGGCAAATGGAAGGAAGGACGGTAAAGGAATCCTCAGATTTGCAATGGGGCATTCAATACAAGGGATATGGAAAGATGGAGTTCTTTCACAATTCCACAGTTTGCAGTTCCCACCCGAATCACAATGGTCAAATCCAAACTTTTAATCACAGCTCGTCTGCACAATAGTTAAAATTTTAGATAATAGATAGCGAGGTAACTACATAATTAGAATGTAACCACTGATAATATATAATCATCTAGTGTTATTTAACTTTTTTTATCAGATTAGTTACACTACCTAAAATATTTCTAATTAATTAAGTTAATGAGATCTTTTAGCTCTCGCAATTCTTCTTCTATGAGAAGTACCCCCTGCTGGATTGGATGAATGACCAACAAAAGGGTTTGGATTGCTATTATTTCCCATTAATGGCGATGCCCCAAGTAAATTGGAAGGATTGGATCCAAAAATATTTGTATTCATTGAAGGTTGACTTGAGACTTGAGGCTTAGGGTCAAATGGAGATACAGCAGGGTTATTTGGCATTCCTCCGAAAATGCTATTTTCTGTTTTGCCTGTTGAATTAAAGATTCCTTGAGACGATCCAAAAAGATTGGAGTTGGTATTTTGTCCCAAGTTCTGTCCAGGAGTCTGAGTGATGGCCTGGTCCAATGGCTTATTACTACTCGATCCGAATATAAAAGGGTTTGAACTATTGTTAGAACCAAAAATAGATGGTGTTTGTGAGAAAATATTCGTATTACTTGTAGAACCTGTTAAAGAGTTACTTGATCCGCCAATACTAGTGCTTGAATCAAAATTCAAGGAATTCTGAGCCGGGTTCGTGTTCGACATTGGAATTTGAGCTCCGAATATAGAATTTACATTTATTGTCGAAGATAAATTTGTAGAAGCAGTGTTTGAGCTTGATTCTAAACCTGAGAGCAAAGAATTGTTATTTGGTGGAACCGTAAACAAATTATTGTTATTTGGAGTAGAGCCTCCAAACAATGATGTGTAGACAGTAGAAGAACCAGTGCTCCCACTGAAATTAAGTAACTTTGTATCAAATAATCCACCAGCTTGTAGGTTCGTCTGTGGCATGGTCGTACCGCTAGTAAAACTTAAACTTGAAGAAGAGTTCAAATTACTTAAACCTGAGGACCCTGCGAATGAAATTTCGGAAGTAGATTGCTTTTTTTCTGTATCATTTGAGCCAAATAATGGGCCCGAAACTGTCTGTTTTTCTGAATTAGTTATTGTTGTTGATGCTCCGGTTGATGAGGAAAGATTGAAAATATCTTTTGTGTTGAAAGCACTTTGATTAGAGTTAGAAATACCAGATGAACCAAATAATTGATTTATGGAGGAACCCTGTTGAGAAGGTAAACTTCCGCTATTAATACTTGTAGAGGTAAATAATGATCCTGGGTTATCTGTTCCAAAAATTCCAGTCTTATTTTCAACATCTGTATGTTCCTTTTTCTCTTCATCTGCTGGAAACTGTTTTCCAAACAATGGAAATTGTGGTTTTGAGATAGAATCTGTACTATCTTTTTCCAAATTAGCAGCTGTTTCAGAAACTGGTTTTTCTGTTTCATTAATTATAGTTTTTTCTTCGTCTAAAGTTTTAGAAGTAATTCCAAATAATGAAACATTGTTTGATGTGTTGTTTTCGATAGTCTGGCTAAACGAAAAAGCGCTAGATTGGCTACTAGGGACAGGCAAAGATGGAGTTTTTTCTTCAGATTTGGATTCTTCAGATGTAGCACTTTTTTCATCAGTCTTGTTAATTTGGAACAAAGAAGGGCCGAATAAAGAGTTGCCTGTTGTAGAAGTATTTGCAAATGAAAATAATGAATTGTTAACTTCGTTATTAGTTGATCCCTCAGTAGAGGGAAGTGAAAACAACCCTGCTGCAGATACTACAGGCTCTTTCTCATCTTTTGTGTCTTCATCTTCTTCTGGCATAAATACTCCCTCATTATCCACCTCGACTAAATTGGGTTTGTTAACATTGGCTAACCACCACGGAACAGCTTCATCCTTTTTTTTCTCAGAAACTTCTGAATCTCCATTTTTAGATGTAACGTCTTCAGAAGTCGCTTCCTTAATTTCATGAATATTATCTCTCTTTTCAAGACTTTTTTCACCAATATTAGTGGAAATAGTAGTTTGATTATCTTTTTCGCCATTGATTGGCAATTTTGAATCAGATTCAACGAGATTAGATGATGAATTTGGCAAGCTCTCTTTATGGCCCGTATTTTCTGCCGGTTCATTTTCCTTACTAGGTTTTTCCAAAATTGGCTTCTTTTTAGTTGTTGATAATATATCGGATGTTTCAAATATGGATTGATCAGCACTCTCAGATTTGGAACTAGCTGTTAATTCTTCGCTATATTTCGAATCCTCCTCAAGATTACTATTTCTGATACTCTTGGTAATTTTTTCTTCAGTATGTTTAACTTCGGAGTGTTTTTCAACCATTTTTGGCGATTCTGAATTATTTTTTGGCTCATTAGAAGTTTCATTGCGAATTTCGATCGTATGGACAAAGTCTTTCAAACTACCAATAGGTTTCTTTGATTTGCAAAATACCTTTTTCATTTCTGCAGCAGATAAGATCCTACATGATGAATTCGTTCGATTTGAAAGTGCGCCCAATAAACTAGATCTATATCTTAATGGGGTTCTTATCTTTTGAATTGAAGAAGGACCATTGCTGGAATTAGGTTCCGTATTGGGAGGCAAAAACGAAGCCTTGGGAAAGTTATAAGGGTGTGAATACTGAGTTAAACCCAAAATACTGTTCTGTCTTTGTGAATCTTGAAGTTTATCAACTGAAAAATTATAAGTTGGAGCTGGATCTGGCTTATAGTCATCTTCTATCATAGAAAGTGGTAAACCATAAGTATTTGTTGGTTTATTTGGGGTGTTATTTTGTGTGCCTAAAAACCCTGTCTGAGCAACAGTCGAAGGAGTTTGGCTATAAGACTTTTTCTGAGGAGGAAGAATATTAGATTTTTTATTTGTGTTATTTATAGGTTCGCCGTTGATATCTTCATCATCGCTAATAGCATCATGGAACTCCTCTTCCTCACATTCTTGTTCACTATTCTGTTTGTAAACTTGCTGTAAGTTTCTTTTCTTACATGTCTGAATGTCTTTTTGTAGATCATAATTGCTAGATATTAAGTTGTATTTAGAAGCACTATCTGATAATCTGTTCATTGCGTGTCTTGTTTCTGAATGGAAAGAGAATTTACTAGGAGGCAATAAAGGAAGATGATTTCCATGGCTAAGTAAATTTGCTTCATTTCTCAAATGGCTATCTGCCTTGTAAACCTGAGGATATGGGGTTTTAACAAATTTACTACTTTTTTCTGCACTCTTTTCAATAACTGAATTCTTTAAATCCTGATAAGAACTTTTACCTAAACCATCAATTGGAGACTTTAAAAGTCCCGAGATTGTTTGTTTCCAACTAGAGTTGCCATTAATTTGGTTCAAATTAGAATATAAAGCGTTACCTTCAACTCTAGTTGTTGGTTTAGGTAAAAACCTGTAATCCTGTACTGTACTGTTTGAATTCGCAAAAGAATTAGAAGGCAAAAACTGGCTTTGGTCATGTAATTGTCTTCTTAGTGCGGAACTTCTCGCCAAATTTTCCGAAGATGATGACGAGAAGTTTATATTCCTCATAATGAGTTGTTATTCGAGGAATGATTTTTTTCAAACACACAGTAATAAATTTGAAATTTTGATTTTTTTCTTTTTATTTTATGGGGTATTGAGGCAGGCGGTAAATTTAGTATTTATTTCATTTTAATTAATGTAAAAGTTATAATAATAATTTTTGCTCATCTCCTCAAGTTATTAATTCTTCCTTGCAAATTATTATAATTGACCCTATTTAATATATTATTTGGCCCTTTTTTTTGTTTAGATGCTGCTTTTACCCACAGAATAAGTTATTGTGCTGCTCCCTATATCCCAAATAAATTCAATTCAAATCTGATTTTTTTTTTTGGAAACAAACTAACACTCTAGAAATTTACTATATTTTTCTTTATTCTAGCAAATTTTTTTATTTTAATTTTACTTTAGATAGAAATTTTTCAAGGCGCAATGGTCTATTCTTTAAAAAATTAAGAAAAATATTAAGCTAAATGCTCAACTATATCGTTTAAAATAAATGCACATGTACTTAAATATTACATATATATACCTGCTGATGTGAATTAAGATATTCCAATAATAATGGACGAAATCAGACGTCAGATCGAGGATTTGATGGGAGGGATTGAAGCTCCAATTGAGAAAAAAGACCCTCATGATAATGACGTTTGCAAATTTTACCTATGCGGACTATGTCCTCACGAATTATTTGAGAATACAAAGCTATATATGGGTCCTTGCAAAAATATCCATTCGGAAGTTTTAAGGAAAAAATACCTCTCTGAAAGGGAAATTAAGGGAAATACTCAAATTAAATACGAGACAGAAAGCTTAAAAGTATTTCAGGGAATGGTAGATGACTGTAATAAAAAGATCGAAAGAAATCGTGTTCGTGCTGAGCTTTCAGGTAGTTCAAAGCTTGAGGACGAAAATATCCGAGCATTGGATCTCGAAATTAAAGAGATTATGAAGGAAATTGATGATTTAGGTGCAAACGGTGATATAGATGGGTCTTTAAAAAGGATGGAAGATTTGACAAGGCTAAATCAACAAAAGATGAAGATATCTGCTACAAAAGAAGATGTTGAGAATGGTATGTATCGTCAAAAACTTCACCCATGTGAAATTTGTGCTGCATTTCTTTCGGAAACAGACAACGATCAAAGACTGAATGACCACTTCAATGGTAAAATTCACGTAGGGTACCTGAAAATTAGAAAACAAGCAAAGGACTTGAAGGAATGGCTTAAAATTCATTCTTCTAATAGGAATGACAATTATAGGCATGAAGGTATAACTCATAGAGGTGATACTCGATACAAATCCCGCAGACAAAGCTACTCTGGTGAAAGCCGTGCTTATCACTATTTAAATAATTATAGGGATAGAAGGCATAGGGAACATTTGGATTACCGTGATCAATATGGTAGCCATTCATACAGAAGAGAAAGGAATCAAATTAGATATGAAGAACATGGAAACTATTATAAGAAAAGTGGGCCTAATGATTCTAATTATCCGGAGCAAAAAAACAAATATTTAGATTATAGATCTAACCCTTATTCAGCAAGTGAACCGAATAGAATAAATTTAGATAATTATGAAAAACTTGCAAAAACAAATGAAAAAAATTATCCACCAAGTGATGGAGAAATTTCTCCAGAAAGTGACTCTTCTCATTCTTTATCAAGAAGTATCTCACCGTGTTAATGTATTCTTTCGTCCAGAATCTTGAATGTAGGGATCAAAACAGACTTTTCCCAAGGTGAATAAACTAGTTTGCTTTTCGAAGAAATTTTATTTAAAAAAAAGAATTTGGGGAAGTATTTACAAATAGTTGAATTACTTTGTAAATTAAATTCGAGTAGTTCCAATTTCTGATCATCTGATGTTTTGTCGTCAAATTCTAATATATTTACATCCAATCCACGATCAATTATATGTTTTTTAATGTATTTTTCTTGTCTTCTATTATATTGAAATGTTTTTACACGTAAATGGTCGATATATGCTTTAAGTTCTTCTTCAGAAATATCTTCTATGCTTGTTTTGTCACCCAGAATATTTATGAATTCTTTATAAGCTATACTTTGTAACAAACCAATATATTTCTTACAGGTTAATAACCTTTCTTTAAGTAGAAAAACTTCTTTTAATAGTCCCCCCTATTGTCAAATAAGATATTGGTTCAATTTAAAAATGTTCATTAGATAATTACTTACATCAATCATTTCATTGATCCTTAAATCAATATATTCTTTTACCTTGTTATTTTTTACCCAAAATAATAGACTATTATTGTACCTAATCTTGTAAGGATACATTTTAGTTAGCTCGGTAAATTTCATTCCAGTTGTTTTATAAATCTACATGAATAGTTAAATAATACGAATAAATATTAGCAGAAAATTTACCTCTATACCTCTAATCATTTTTCTTCGATCGTTTATATGTAATGATGATGCTCTTTCAGGGTCTATTTTTGAAAGCTGTTCAAATAACTCCCTATTCGTGAATTCTAAGTATTCTTCGTCTTTAATTGAAGGATTTACGTCATTATCCGTTTTAGAATCAATTATAGACTCCCAAATCAATGCCTTGAGATACATATGAGTACCACCAACAATAATTGGAATAGTATTTTTGCTAATTAGTCCATCAATCTATTAATTTATATAACAAAAGTTAGTTAAATTTTGTTAAAGACAACTTACTATTGGTATTGCTAGGCTAATATATTTTGAAGCTGTGCAATCTTCATTAACGTCGAAAACATCTAATAAATGATGTGGGATTGTATTACGGATTTCTTTGGATACTTTAGCTGTCCCAATATCGAAGCCTTTGTATATTTGCATTGAATCGCAGTTTATTATTTCTGATTTCAAGCCCTACAAAAGGATATTTGACCATGCACTTTATCATAATAAACATACTTTTCTATCAAGATATTTCCAAATGTCTAGAGACAAACGAGTTTTCCCAGAAGCTATAAGTTATAGAAATAAGAAAGATTCAAAAAAGTTATTCAAGCCTTAGTGAATGTTAATAATTAATCTACCTGTTGCACCAAAAATAAAAATAACTGGAACGTCCTTAATGTATGAACTGGAAGGAATAAAACACATTTCATACAATAATATCATTCAAGCATAGATAAAATATCATAAAAACTATTTCCTTGTGAAGATTGACTAGTTTGCTCGTTTTTTTTATCCTTATTTATTTGATTTGTTATAGCAAAGTCAACAATAGAATTTTTTTTTCCTTTGGGTAATGAACCCGCCTCGTGAGTCTTACTTGTAAAAAATCTTTGATTTTTTTTGAAGTTTGTACTAGGTTTATTATGTGAATTCTCACTTTTTTTACTACCTTGGTGTATTTCATTTTGAATGTTTGTATTTGCAATACTTAAAATATAGTTGGAATAGTCAAGGATATCTTCAGTTTTGTTTTTATTATTTTGAATATTATTTATAGTTTCAGACTTTTTCACATTTTTAGCCCTTTTCTCCCAATAAACTTTGTTAAAAATAAAGTTGCAAACTTCGCATCTAATTAATATATTTTTAAACGAGTAATTAGAGAACTGTTGGCTACTTATTTTACTTTGTTTAAGTAATTTCTTTTTAAATTTTTTCCTGAAAATTCCTTTTATAGCTTTAACTTCTAATTTACAATTAATTCCGATTAAATATACTGAAAAACATTTTGGGCATATTTTACCCGAAAAAAAATCACTATATGATTTTGTCTGATCAATTTCAGATGTTAAATTTGCGACTTTGCATATCAAACGACTAGATAAACTAGGGCAAATTAAATTGTAAAACTTTGATGCATTAATTAAAAATTCTAATTCATGGTTATTGTTGGATCTTCCTTCTTCTACAACTTGGAAGTTGGGTTTCTTAAAATTACTATTACCACTAAATTCGTATGAATTTAACGATTTATTATTGATGGCTTTTGAGATAATTGAGAGCTTTGACTGTATTTGTTGCATTCTAACTTTAAGACAATAAAAATTAAGTAAAAAACATATCAAAGTTGACTACTTTTATGGAATAAATTGCATTATTAAGTTCATAATGATTCGTCATTAAATTAATGATTTTAAGGCGCCATAAAATTTAACAATTATTTTCATGTACTTATTACGATTGTGCTATTTTCCTAAATAATGATTATATTTTCCAATTATAATGGATATGTATAGACACGCTGGAGGAATTTCTAGTGTTGATTTTCACAACTTTGAAGTTAGAAGAAGTTCTAGAGATCAAGGTTTTGCAATTTGGGCTTCTAATTTAACATGTGAGGAAAAGGCAATTACAATAGTTAAAAGATTATACTATTCTGAATTCTCAAAATACCTTTACCTTGGAATATTTGTATTAAATATTTTGGTTCTTTTTATTGGTTTGTTTAAAGCCCAATCAGGAAGTAGATTTTCTATTTTTTTAGAAACAACTATAACTATAACCTTGACATTTGAAGTAATAATTAAATTATTTTTAATGAAAAAAAGATTTTTCAACAAAGCAAATAATGTATTTGATTTCGTTGTTGCCTTAACCTGTCTATCATTATTATTCCTAAATGGTGATATTCACCGTCTTTTTACTACAAAAAAAACAACCCATTTGAAAAACAACCAAATAGTAAGTTGTATACAAATAATTTATATCTCACTAAAATTACGGATCATATTTTAGGTAACAGATATATTCGAGCAAATTCTGACATCATTTAGATTTTGTCTTCAAATGTTAAGAGTTTTTTCTATTGCTAGATTGAAAGGGAAGGCCGATGTAAGTTTGAACAAAAAATGACTTATTGTTTATTTACTCTTAAAGACTGTCGATAATACCGTTAACTTTGATGAGATAAACTGTTTGGAAGAATCCATATATTTTTCTGATAAAAACGTTGTATAGAGTTCGATTTTTAGAAAATTTTGGATTCAATTAAAATTTAATTTATTTTTAACAATTTCTTTCTTATCAAATTTTTAAATTCTTAGCCCTCCACTTCCAGTAAAATCTTCTAATTGGGTCTACACCCTGTAAAAGTTGAAAAGCTTTCAAAACAAAATCTTTATCACCTTCTTCATATGCCATACAAGCCTTAATATATACTACCTGGTAACAACTGTCGTAATGATTAACGTAAATTTCTTCAATTGCGTCTTTGAAATTCTTTGGTACTTGCTCAAAACTCAAATTTTTAATTAAAGTTTCCTTGTTAAAATTCTCATTAACCATTATCTTGCTAAAGAATGAAATAATGTAATTCCATATTGAATCATTATGTGGGGCAAATATTAGCCAATTAACTATGTAATCAACTTCCTCGAGAAAATCTGACTCTTTTAATCTATTCATCTTCTTCAAATTGGTGAAAATAAAATTTCTGTAACACCAAGCACTATTATTTCTGCAATCTTCCGTTATTATTTTTGAGACAAAATCCAACTCTTTAAGAAATAAATCACTATCAATGGAATTATATTTTCTAATAAACCAAGTCCTATGATTCCAAACATACATATTTTTTGCGTCACTTTTTAATTGTTTATTTATGAACTTCAATTCCTCAATATCAAATCCAAGCCATTCTCTAATTATTCTCATATGCCACCATGACTGGTAGCATTTTGGAGTCCTTTCACAAATACCTCTAACGAATCTTAATTCCTCTCTAAGAAACTCCATTTTATTTTCAGTCTCATTTTCAAAATAATTTACACGAATGATTTTCCTTCTAAAATACCATGCTGTATAATGTTGTGGGTTTAAATCTATGACTTGTGTTGAAATGTCTATGTAATCAAGATCAGAAGACTCATTGTCTACAAGCTCCTTTAACTTGCAAAAAAGGGCATAGTGATCAGGTTTAAATAAAAACTTACAAACTCCTTCATTTTGGAAATCATCACTGAATTCTTTTGTTTGAAGATCCGAATTTTCCAATAAATTTATTTCCTCCATTGGTATTATTTATTAAAAAATTTTGATTGAATAATACTATCTTTTATCATATTATTCTTCATTAAACTTTTCTATGCAATTAATTTTTATTTTTTAAATCATATAATTTCGCCCCTGAATAAATTATTGGCGGAAACACAAGATTTTTTTATTTAAGAACTTGTTAATCATGATCTACTTAAATTTTATTCAACTAATTAAAGAAAATCTTTCTGTTGGAAACCCCACTGCTATTTTTATCTCTTTTACATTAATTACCCTATCAATTGTATTTCCTTTTATATGTTATGTTGAGCTAACAAAGAAGAAGGTGAGTTTTAAAGTGCTTAAATTACTTTTTAATTAACTTGAATCATTCATTAAGGTTAAAAAACAAAATAAAAAAAAGGTAAATAATAATCAAAAAAGTAAAAAAGAACCTCAGCAAGTCACACAACAAAATTCGAAATTAAATAGAAAAAAAATTACATCAAAACCATTTATTCCACCTCTGGATACTGAAGAAAGTGAGGATGAACAAAAGAAAATTTCCGAAAAAAATGAACAATTTGTCCCATCAACTAAACATATACAGGGTTTATCATTTGAAATGGATAAAAACGATTCCGGAGGATGGAAGGTAGTCGGAGATAAAAAATCAAAAAGATCACACACCGAAGTATCATTGACAAGCATAGGAAGTGAAGAAACTGATGAAAGTTCAATTAAACCAAAGAGCAAACAAGTTAGACGTAGAAAGCCAATAAATAAAGTCCCGGGTATGACAGATTGAGTATTATATGAGTACTTAGTTATCTAAATTAGAAGTATTTTCTACATTTTTTTTTGGAATTTAATTTTTGTCTTTGTTAAGAAAACAGAAACTAAACTAATCATCAAAATCAAAATTCAAATCAGAATTTTTAAGTTCGATTTCAACCTTACGTTTGAAGTCGTCATATGAGATGTCCAAGTCCTCAAATACTCTACTACCAACTTTTTTTTCTACATCATTTGGCATCTCACCTGTTTGTAGCTCACTCAAAATATCAGCTTCATTAAAAACTTTGTTATTTTCATTAATAGAACCTAACATTGCACTCAAATCATCTGTAGGTCCACCAGTTAGTGCATTTATTACATCAAGCCCTGCCATTAGATTTACTCCAGAGTTTTCTTGCCCAAATTCTATTCCACTTTCTTTTAATGCATTCTTAATTTCTTTATACTGTCTAATTGAGTTATTAATATTAACGGCCATATCTACAGCCGTACTTATCTTCGATATAAGTGGATTGGGTTTTTCATCTTCGGTTCTACCACCGGTATCAATATCATAGTCAATTTCACCTTCGTATTGATTTTTGGGATTAAATCTTCCTGGCATTTCATCGAATTTGTATAAGTCATCAAATTGGAAACTTTCTAAATCACTGTCTTGATAATATGACTTTTTTTCATAATCTTCTGTCTTGCTACTTTTATCCAAATTCTCAATGTTTATTACTTTTGTCAAGAATAATTGAAGTTTTCCATTAGCCTCTTTCCTTTTCAATTTTATAATATTTGAGTTAGCGTTAGATTTGTTTAAATTGAAAACTTTATTTATTTTTTTATCTTTAATTATCTTCATTTTTCGTTTCTTGACTCTTTTTTTCCATTTCCAGCGTCTGTAACAGTTAGTATTTGCAATCTCCTCTTCTCTTCTTTCAAGTTCTTCTTCCTTTAATTGAATTTCCTCTGAAAGGTTCTTTATTACATCATTTATGTTCCCTGTTATATTTCTAACAGTGTAGAATCTAAAATTTTCAATATTCGCAAGCTTAAGGTATTTGTCTGATTCTCCAAGAATTACTAACGACTTTTTTTCTATATTTAAATATTTCTCAAATTCAAGTTCAGATATAAGATCCTCATTTAATAATGTTAAGTTTTCCGATTTGATATGTGGAATGTCTTCAATTCTTTTCTTTAATGTTGAAAGTGCTTTTACATATTTCCCTAATAAAATAGTGTGGTTATTTGAGGATATTTGGTTATTTTTAATATAATCAGTTAAATCTGCTGCATAAGTTACATTATTATGTACAGGTGTCTCAAATGCAAATATTGAGCTTTCTATATTGTAAATTTCATCTTTAGATAGTAATAACTTGGGGAATCTAAAAATTTTCTGGAATAAATTTGCTTTTCCATAATGGTGTATTAGAGTAGTTTTCATGGATTTTAACTTTACATAATTAAAAACAAGTGAATCTGAGGCGGACGTTATTTCTTTCATTTTATTTTGATAGAATTTTAAATAAATGGTTTCTAGTGTATTTAATTCGTCAACAATATTTGTCATTAAGTCATTTATTAATTTTAATAACAATTGAAATGACTTGACTTTTTCAATCTGATTTTGTTCATTATTATTTGGCTCATTACCTTCAAAAACCAAAGATCCCTTAAAGTTCAGTTTCAAACAATCTTCAATAAAGTTTGAAAATAATAATATTTTTGTTTTTATTATTTCTCTTAACCAGTTATTCATTACTTTCCTTATTTGGAGTGCTCTTCTTAATGGTAATTCAATAGATTGGTTGGGGACCCAACATTTAACTCTAGCTAATTTATTATCTAAAGAAATACAATCTTGAATAATTACATCTAAATTTGCGATTTCTTCCTTTTGAAATTCTAAGTCCGAATAAACTTTTTGCAATTTTGAATCTACTCCTTTTAAATTTTGATTTATGGTAGAAAATATAGGAGGAAATTTATCGCAAATTTTTTTGACAATCGAAATATAGTTTTCATCTTTTTTTTTTTCTTTGGTATTGCAATAATTATCAACCCTGTTTTTTAAATCTGATAAATAATTTTTAATTGATGAGACAGATGGGAACTCGTCATCTCCATGATAAGAACCATCTAAATTGGGTGCACTTGTAGTTTCAAACTTTGAAACAAAGCTCTCTTTGTTTAAGTCAGATAAGGAATTATCAACAGAATCCACGTATTTCAAAATAGATAAATCACTTTCAAAATAATTCGAAAACTCTCTCGATTTTGAAACTTGATATTGCAAATAATAATTGTAAGCTTCTTCTGATATTTTGCTTATACTTAATGCAGTTGGATTTCCCACTTTATTTATAATCTTCGAAATAATATCTGACCATTGTTGTATAAACTGCAATCTGAATTGAATTGCTGGCTCAATTATATTCTTTACTTTTGAAAGATTATAATCATTTAAATTAAAAAACTCAAGTGTACTTTCAAACCATTCCCCAAATTGATCAGAGGGCTCTTGGAAAATTTTCAATTTAGAAAAATCAATAGTTTCTTCAGTTTCTATTCCAAGATTAATATGTTTCACATATCCGAATTCAGTTTGAAATAAGTTGAAATCCCAATTAAATCTAGTTTTAATATTTTCATACAATGTTGAAAACTCTTTGGTAATAATTTGTTGTTGTTTTAATAACTCATAAGAATAGTTTGGCTTTTCGAAAACATTTTTATCTTGAGATAAATTGATTGAGTTTACAAACTCTGAAGTTCGATTATACATTGACAATGCTGAGATTAAGGTGGCGTTATTATGTGGCCATAAAAACAAGTGTTTTAGTGAAGAAAGAGAATCAATTTGCTTTAATAAATGACTTGAAACATCATTTAAAACGCTCCTATATTCTTTGTTAATTTTTTTTTTAATTTTATCACTAAAATTTTCATTTGTGCTAAATTCTGACTTAATATTCTTATATAGTGAGCTCAAGTTTTTTGCACAATTTGTAAGTGGATCTTTCAAAACACTTTTAATCAACCCCACAAATACATCATATCCTTGTTCAATGATACTTTCGATATTATTATTCAACCAAATCCACTCCATATAAATCTTAAGTGTACTTGGATCTCCTTCAAATTTGTAATGGTTTAATTGCTTAAGTGTTTCTTTACGCAAATGATTAATAATTGCTGAATTTTTTTCGGAGAAAAATATATTCCAGTCCGAAGCAGTTTTCCTTAAAGTTTCTGAACATTTTGCAAGCAATTCAATAGAGTCTTCCATAGATAAATGTTGTTTAATCCGATTCATCAATTCTTTAGATTCCTTTATGAGTTTAATTGCAATTTGAACCGTTGTTAATCTCTTTTGGACAAATAACCATAAAGAAAACAACCTATTGTTTAATATATAAGCATTTAATGTTATAAGTGTATACCTCGATGAAATGACTGACAATACATTTCTTCTATTAATAGAGTAATTCACAATCAAATTTCCTATTTTATGAATCATTCCTAAAGTATTCTCATTAATTGAATTGGAATTTTGAAAGTGTTTAATACAATTTAACAAATTATTGACTTTTTTTGAATTCATCTTAAAAATGCCTTCAAAACTATCCATAGTTTTATTAATTTTATTAGAATTTTTTTTTAGCCATTTGATTTGATTCTTTCTAGTTGATTGATTATTTTGATCAATACCTTTATCACAAATATCTTGAAGTTTTCTCAATGTTTTAATAAAACTAAAGTTTGAATCCAAATTATTTGGGCCAGTTGAAATCTTTGAAAGATAATCAATGTTTTCATCATTCAGTGTATTTTCAGATGTGTTTAGAAATTTTGAAATATTTATTAATGCATTTATAGATTCTGATCCATTTTTAACAACTTTTTTTTTATTTTTAATACACAAGTCAAAGTTATTGGAATACTTTAAATATTCATTTTTTAAAAGAAGAAGATCTTTAAGTGACAAGTTCAAAGAAGATCTACTCGAGATAAGTATTTTTGTGGATTCATCTTTATCTGAAGAGATAAAGTAATAATCTTTTGCCAATTCAAAATATTCTTTAAATTTTTCGTTAATTTCTTTTGTACGGTTGTCATTTACAGAAAGGTCCAAAAATCTTTTGAATATTTCTTCTAGATTAATTATACTTTTCTTAGACTCATTCTTATTTAAAAAAATGACAAATTCCTTATGCAGTTTCACTATATTTGAAACTTCATGCTTTAGTTTGTTTCTATATGACCAAAGTTGATTACACTGATCCTGAATATTTAACTCAAAAATGTTCAAACTTGAAATATCTTCCGAACTTGGTAGTAGAGTGATTTCATTTATTGACTTTGATATTGAATTCTGAATTGAATCCAGATTATTAGGTAAAATGGCATTGTCAGGACCTGAATTTCCTTCAGAGTTATCTAAAATTTCATTTTCACAAATTATAAAATTAAATAAAAATAAAAATGTTAAAAATTGCACCTGAAAAATGGTCCATATTGTACTGTTTATTTTACTTTTGGATTTATTTGACATTTATTGCTTTTTTTTCCAGAAATATTTTCACCTAGATTTTACCAGTATGAAGTAAGTATTGATGAAACTTAATAAGAAATAAATTTTTGAATATCAATAATTATAGTTTTCAACTTGAATATTACTTCAACATTTATAATAATTTTTCAGAACTCCAAAAAACACAAATATAGAAATTAATTAAATGAAAACTGCCAGGGAATTTGCAAAGAAAAACGACAGTGGCAGGATTTGAACCTGCGCGTGGAGACCACATCAGATTTCAAGTCTGACGCCTTAGACCACTCGGCCACACTGTCCATGTAGGTCAGAGCACAAAAACAGGGTTTTTTTAATATAACTGTAAACTTGAAAAAAAACGAATAAATGCCAGGAATTCTGGGATTCACAAAAATAAAAAGTAAAAAAACAATTACTCGTTATTTAGTAGTTGATTTAATCATATTTAAATGATAGATTATTAATCAATATCTTAGAATGCAATTTTTTTTTGCTATAATTTAAGCGATAGAAATAAAATTAGAATATTTGGAATTTAAAGATAAAAGTTCTAGTTATTTTAGACCAAATCCTTTGGAATGTTCAAGCGCAATAAGTAATAGCCTTTCTAATTTTTCCTTGTTCTGGTAATCCGGAATTAATAGGAAATTGAAGCACGTGTGGGCAATAGGAAGTAAATCAGAGTCTGGGCCATGACGACCAATAACAAAACCCAACTCACCTAAACCTTTCATAGGTACTCTATCTGATCCTGTTACAAAGAAAAGCAGTTTTTTTTGTAACTTTAAATCTAATTTTTTGACAATTTCCCAAAACATAACTACGGTTGTGCTATCTTTAGTATAACCATCCTGGTATTGCGATGCTTCAATCAAAGAGTCAATGTTAAAATCTGAACTTCCACAAATGACCAGAACTAATTCTTCTGGAGAAAATAATTCTAGTGTTCTTCCTCCACATACGCTTTGAAAGCCATTGTAGAATGCTCTAAATTGACTTTCAATAGACTTGTTTAGAAACCAATCTAAATAAATTTCAACATATCTTTGTACATTACTGATTGTAACTGGTTCAGATGGATCAAACTCTCCAGGAGCAATGGGAACTTCAGTCATAACTCCAAAATTGTTAATAGTCGCAGAAAAAGTAAGACATAGTTGTTCCATTTCTGATTCGGATTTTATTGACAAAATTGATAATAGCGAATTGGCTACTTCAGGTTGTATTTCATATAAATCACCGATATCAACTTTGTATCCGAGTAGCTTTTTATATACTGCAAGGGGAAAATGCACATCCAAAATAATTCCATTATAAATCGCTAGTGCCAAAACAATTCCTATTAGTTCAAATTCTCCATTTGACTCGAGTGATGCCATATTAAACCAAAATAATCGGGTATCTTCGTAATAAATAAACATTCCAAAATCTATGTTAAAAATTTCTTGAACCAATAATTGGAAGAACTCTTTTTGAACTCCTCCTTCATCAACTCCTTCTTCTCCAACAAAGCTGACCTTAAGTTGTTTTTTCAAGTTGCTTTGAATAACTAGTTGCTCCATAGAGTCGTTAACTATTGAGTCTCTGTGCACTTTTAGTACAAGAAATGGTTGGATAAGTGCTTGCGTGGGGTTAAAGAGAGATTCCACTGATCCGAGTGCTTGGGAAATTGACGATTGAAGTTCTAATCTTTGTTGCATCAAAGAGTCTTGTTGAAGTGCCTGCGCTTTAATAGAGGGTTCGAGGAGATAAGCATTTTTTAATAAGCCAAATTCTGTATCATTTGAAGGTGGATTAGATAAAAACCATTGTCTGAGTTCATATTGCAATAAAGCTCTTGCAGAATTAATTGCTTCATTTGTGAAAAGGGAAATGTCCAATCTATTGTTATTCGAAAAATCAAAATCTATGGTGATTATCCCTCTTTCCTTATTTGCGTCAAACAGTATTCTAAGTAAATTACTTGAGATTCTTAAATCATTAAGAAATGCTGGTTTAAGCGACTTAATAGCATTTGATGCAATATTTCTGAAGGGAAACCTGGTAATATCAAAGTTTTCATTATGATCGTCATAAAGTTCATAAAACCTCACACTTATCATTTGCTGAAGTGTAGACACGGCTTGCTCTAGATATTCTAATGGAAGTTTAATAAACCAAGATTTTATAACTTCTTGAATATTGCTAGGGAACAAGTAAATAAGGTTCAATGCACTTCTAAGAGCAGAGAACCCTCCAAATCCATGCTCAAGAATATTTCCTTGGAATAATACTAATACGAATCTGACTTGGCAGGGCCTTATTATTTTGGCTCCTATTTTCTCATCAAGATGTTGATTAATTTCAGTAGTTACATTGAAATTGTTCTTGATCATCTCAATAACATTTAACTGAGCCAAACTTATTATACTAGAAATTGGTTCATTGTTTATAGTATTCTTTACAATCGGTAGTTCAGAGGTTTCGCGACTCATCAATTCAATCCAATTCGTAAACATCTTCAAGTGAGCAATGTCAATTTTAATTTCATTATCATCGCCTTCCTCAATAAGAAATAGCTTATTCAAAATATAGTAATCAGAGTAAATACCCACTACGTCAATTAAGCTTTTATTGTGGTATTCCAAGACTCTTTTGCTTTGCTCATAGGAATAATTTATTTGTTTAAGATCATTAATACAATTCCTAATATTTTTAAGACGTTTATAGCTTCCTAAAATACGTTCACACAAATTGTATTTCTCAATCATCATATATAATCCTTCCAAATTAAATTTTAGTAATTGTTTTTCGTCTTTATTGGTACATTTACGAGTCAGTTCATTTGCGAGATTTATTGCGTTGGCTGCTGATTCAGTTGGGTCGCAACATAATAAAAGATACTCTTGAAAGCATCTTTCAAACAATAACCTGAATAATACAGATGAGTCGTCACAAAGTTCCATATTCCTTAACTCAATTTATTATTAAACAAATTGAGATACTGCGCGTAAGTGCAGTATGAGGTAAGCGACAAAGGAAACAAAAAAATCCGAGGTAAAAAAATAACTAGAATTAAAAGAAACTAATTTCACTCCAGCTGTCTAATATGTAATATTAAAATATTAAGTTCATTACAATGTATAGAAAAAAAAGAATACAATAGCTAGTACCTTAAAATTATTTAGCAATGTAATGCTGCCAACAATTTAAATATATATAAAGTTTTAATAAATCAGTGTGTTTGAAAACTTGAATTATGCCTATTAGAAGATCTAAAATTAGAATAATTGTTTGAATTAATTGTCTGGTTGTTCCCAGTCTGAGGAAAAGAATGTTGAATGTTTCTTTGATTATGTGCTGAACTAAAATCGTTGACATTGTTCATATTAGAATTTGCTTGTGGTTCAGGGCCTTTATTGCGATTGTTTGACTGCTGCTGCATTTGTTGTTGGACAATTTGATAAATCTGATTCTGTTCCTGTATCCATTTGGAGTGGATTCTAACTCCTTCCTCTACACTTGGACGAATCTCATCTATTGAAAGTAAATTGCTTGATGGGGGTTCAGAAATAGAGACTTTGCACCAGTTATTGGTATCAAAAACTTGCCATTCAGTAGTCTGCCTTTCTTCATTTTGAACCTTCGAATACCATTGAAAAGATTCGGGATAATATAACCAACCCCTATTACAAAGTTCCACAGCTGCAAAACCCTGAAGCAAGTCTTGTGGCATATTATAAAAAATGTAAAACAAGGTTTCAAGAGCAAATTTCTGGACATATGTTGACTTCAACCCAATTATTTGTGAAACATTATGGGGAGTATTTGCAAATGCTTGAATTATTTCGTTTGTTTCAGATTCTGGTTGGGCCGATTTGTTTGAACTCCAAGGAGAGTCAAAATTGAGATATAAACATTCGGATGAATTCAAGTTGAGTCCTAGTGTAGTCAGATCGGTACCGAGAGCCAGAATATTTAAATCAGAATCTGTCATTCTAATTACATTCAGAATACCTAATAACCCATAGTTCGTTCGGTTGTAAGAAATTGCTTGCTGATTAGTTTCGTATAAAATGTCTTCAAGTTTCAACTTATTATCCACATTATTTTGAGTCGAAGCCTGTTTGTTGCTTTGATCTTGACTGTTTATAGTATTTTTTTGTGGTGGCGTATCTTCTTGATCACATGAAGAAGAAGAACTCTTCTGTACCTGTTTTGTAGCATCCATCAAGGATTTACTGTAGATTAAGATGAATCCCTTGCATACACTTTATTAAGTATTACAGTATCAACAATTATTCTGATTATATTAATTTCTCAAAGCGGTACAAATAATAATCATTTTAAACGCGTTATGCAAACTGGCCTTTTTATTGGTTATTATTTTATTAATAAAAATAATTTCGCGCCGGTCAAAACAAATACCGGCATTTTATTAATCGTAAAGTAGAAGATTATTTATGAACCGTTTCTCATGGAAACACAAAAGAAAAAATCATACAATTGACAAAAATAATGGAATATTAGGTAGAATGTTGTGGTCAAGATATATTTTTTGTTTTTTATTATTTCTTATTTGGTATATTTGCACGTGGTTTGTGGGTGCTCACCTTCTTAGAATTGAAACAAAGGAAGGTATTTATACAAAGTCAACATTCATTAAAGAATTAGCTTCTGTAGGGGAGTTGAGAGATGCAGTTTCAGCGGATTTGAGTTCTCCAAAAGTAATCATTTTTTATTCTTCATTCTGTGCATATTGCCATATGGTTTCAAATTCTTTAAAAAAGGTTGCAGAATTATTGACCCCTACTGGTGTAAAGTTCTACGCATTTGAATGTGGGAAAGGATATAGCGAATGCTCAACTTGGGGAATTGAGGGACTCCCTAACCTTAGATTAATCGCCCCTGAGAACAAAAAAATAAATTTACAATCATTAATTAATTATACGGAATTTAGTGATATAAATTGCACAAGAAAATCAGAGAATCACATTGTATTCCCCGAGAAACATATTCCAAAATTGATTGAGTTACCTTATTTTAAACATTTGAAAAACCAATCGGTTTCTATGTCAGTAATAAATGAAGACACCTTTGTTATGTGCTCAATTATTAGAGCCTTTGACTTAGAGAAAGTATTCAAGCCAGTAAATAATAGCTCAGTGTTGTCTTCATCAGTGATATCACAAATAAAGGCAGGAACTCCTAATTATTTGGGTAGGTGGAGTGAGGAGTCAATGCAAATAAGTCCTTCCCATGTAATAGTTGATGCAATAACAACCAAATTATATATTTTACATAATTGGGTTTTTTTTGGTAACGATGTAAAAGGTAATTCACAGTTTTTAGAAAAGAAACGTTTGAATGCTTTGTATAGATTTGTTGAAACTAGTTGGGTCCTTATTCCAAGCAAAAGAACGAGGGTGCAACTTAGAAATATATTGATATTTCTTAAAAAATACATGGACAATAGAGACAATTGTATTTATTCTAAACTTTCACTAGATGATTGGCAGCGATTCATAAAAACAATTGTGATTGAAGGTATAGGTATTACACAAAATGGTGGTGATCCCACATTTTACATTTGCAAAAAGTCTCTATTTTGTGGAATTTGGCTTCTTTTCCATTCATGGACAGTGTCATTACTTAAAGGTGTTCAAAAACAAGGAAAAGGCTGTCCGTTATATAATGGTCCTTCGCTCACACCTGGGCAGGTTGTGAATAGAATAGCCGAAACTGTCAAATATTTTATGGTCTGCCAAAGTTGTAAGGAACATTTTGAATCTATAATTAATAATAATACATGTGATAGAACTTCTTACATTCCACCAACAGCTGGCGACAAATTTCCAGTTTTACTTTATGAAGCTGAGGGTTTGGTCTTTTGGCTATTTAGAGTTCATAATCTAGTAACGCTAAGAGTTGCAACCGAAAGTAGTTATGAGCATTTAAGGCAGAAAAGATCGTCATTCGTTTCTTATGTAGGAACTGGAGTCTCCTTCCCTCCAGTTGGGCTCTGTTTTGAGTGTTACCGTCCAAATCAAACTCCAGCACAAGTAACGAATCAGATGTTGATTAGTATAAATGATCTTACTGATGATGATTATGATAAAAATATTTTTGAACAAAGACCGGTTGTTGCATTTTTGGAAACTTATTACTGGAAAGAAGGCTGGATTTTGCCGGGAACTGATCTTGATATAAGTAAATCGAAATTAGCATCAGTTGATTCTTTTCCCTCCTCAAATTTAATTGACCCTTTTGATTCAATTAAGTCAGTCAAGGGGTCTGCTGAAATACAGGTTGGGTCAGTATTTGATATCTTCCCTATTTTGTACCCAATTCTTACATTCTTCATTTTTTCATTGACAGTTTTCTATTTAGTTGAAACCGGACCTTTTCTGCAAGAACAAAAACTAGCAATATAGTTTACTAAATGCTCTTATTCTCTAATAGCTTTTATTTGTAATTCGAACCTTTCTGTGTTTTTAGTTTTCATTTGGACCTTTGTATTTGGGTCTCACGTTGAATTATACAAGTTTTAATGGATTCAGACAATCGGGATATAAAAGAAAGAATAAAAAGAAAACTTACAAAAAAATTAAATAGTGGTGCCTATAAGTTAATTCCATCAAATTAGCAAATAGCAACAGTAATATGGGGAGTGAGCACCTCCATATTTGAGCAATCTACAAATCCACCTTCCCTTGGTAATTGTGGAACACGCTTTGTTACAGGTGATGGTAAACCTGCAACGTGGGCCTCGTGTCTTGCAGCATCATTAGCCTTGACTCTCTTAAGGAAATCCTCATTGCATCGACTAAGTCTTACGTGCTCAATTCTTACATTGATTCTCTTGGCGATTTGACGGTTACCAACAACCTTATTGACAATAACACCCAAGGCTCTGGGAGCTACGTTGTATACAACACCGGTGCGCCCATGATAAAAGTGGTATGGCATACCTTTGTGAATAGAGGAGTCGACAACGATATCAACATAATCTCCAACCTTGATGGGTTTCAAATATCTTGACAACATGGGAACACCCTTTTGTCTAAATCCCTTGGAGAACTTTGAGCGAGTTCTTGCTCTCTTACCGAATGAATGAGGCATCTTGAGTTACTTCAACCAAAAAGAAAAATTCAATAAAGTTTAACTCGTTTATTGGTTACCCCTAAAATTTTTTTTAGAGACGCGGAGACACATTTGGACTGTTTGGTGCTACACGTACCTAAATGGCGCCATTTGCGAGTCACCGGTCAATAATTATTAGATCATGTGCTACAAGTATTTTTTGAGATGGCTCCCAATCATTCGGCTTCCGCATTTAGAAGTTATTGCTTAGCTTTACATAAAATTTAAGGGAATTTAAATTTATTTCGAGCCTATTTTCGTGCGGTATTCACTCAAATACGAGCATAACGCGAATTAGTGTCTGACTATTTTTTTGCATGCCAAATTGAAGTATTTAGGCAAATACAGTAAAGCCATCATTGCTAAGTAAACTAATTCAACAGGAATCGTGGCAATAAAAATGGGAGATAGTGTATTTACTCGTGATAACTACAACTTTGAGATGAGGAGAAAAGCCTCATTCTCAAAGTTGACTGGAGCTGTTCCAAGAGGTATGACAGGAATGTACTTGGACGACTTCGATCCAACCGCAGACAAGAGAAGAGAAAAGTTGTGGTATTTAATGGAAAGCTACTTACCAACAGACATTGAGTCTATTCAGAGATCAATAGTTAATCATGTTGAATACACACTTGCAAGAACTAGGTTCAATTTTGACGACAATGTTGCTTATAGAGCAACTGCTTATAGTATAAGAGATCGTCTAATTGAAAACCTGAATGATACAAATGAATACTTTAGTGAAAGAGACTGTAAACGTTGTTATTACTTGAGTCTAGAATTTTTGCTTGGTAGAGCCATGCAAAACGCTCTTGTTAATCTGGATATTGAGGAAAACTACAGAAAGTCTCTGTTTGACTTAGGGTACAACCTTGAAGCATTATATGACAATGAACATGATGCTGCCCTTGGTAATGGAGGGTTGGGAAGACTTGCTGCGTGTTTTTTAGATTCTATCGCCACGAAAAATTATGCTGGATGGGGATATGGAATTAGATATACTTATGGTATCTTTGAACAAAAGATCGTTCAAGGGCGTCAATTTGAGCACCCAGACTATTGGCTTGTGCAATCTAATCCGTGGGAAATTGAACGTCAGGACGTGACATATGGCGTTAGATTTTATGGTCATGTACGTGAATTTGAAGAACATGGGAAAAAGAAATTCAGATGGGTTGATGGTGAAGTAATTCAAGCAGTTGCATATGACAATCCAATTCCAGGTTTTGACACCTACAACTGTATTAACTTACGTCTTTGGAAGGCGACTCCTTCAAGAGAATTCGATTTTAATGCTTTCAACGAAGGGAAGTATGTTGATGCTGTCTGTGCAAGACAAAGAGCAGAGTACATTACTTCTGTATTATATCCAAATGATAACACTGAGCAAGGAAAAGAACTGAGGCTCAAACAACAATACTTCTTCGTATGCGCAACTATTCAAGATATTTTAAGAAGATTTAAGAAGTCTGGAAAGGTAGATTGGAGCGAATTACCTAAAAAGGTCTCGTGCCAACTTAATGATACTCATCCAACTATTGCTGTAGCTGAAATGATGCGTATTTTGATAGATATTGAAGAGTTGGATTGGGACTTTGCTTGGAATATCACAAACCAATGTTTCAATTACACAAATCATACAGTTCTACCTGAGGCTTTAGAAAAGTGGAGCTCGAACTTGTTCAATAAACTACTCCCTAGACACCTGATGATAATAAACGAAATAAACCATAGGTTTTTGAGCGATGTAAGGGCTGTATTGGGAGATGGGCCATGGATTTCAAAAATGTCTATTTATGAAGAAGGATGGGACAAAAAAATTAGAATGGCAAACTTGGCAGTTATTGGATGTAAAAAAGTCAATGGTGTCGCAGTTATTCACAGTGAAATAGTTAAAAAAGATTTGTTTTCAGATTTTGTTGAATATTATAGACGCAAAGGAATCAAAGACAAATTTATTAATGTGACAAATGGAGTTACCCCAAGAAGATGGATTAATTGTGCGAATCCAAAGCTTTCACATTTAATTTCAAACTGGCTGGGATCTGATAGTTGGCTAACTAACTTCGATATGATTAGAAGTCTACAAAACAATATCGATGATTTATCTCTCCAGAAAGAATGGGCTGAAGTGAAATTAAGTAACAAGGAAAGACTTGCAAAGTGGGTTGAAATAAATACAGGATACAAGGTAAACACAAGTATGCTCTTTGACATACAAGTCAAGAGAATTCATGAGTACAAGCGTCAACTACTTAATTTATTTTACATTATTCACAGATATTTAACACTAAAGCACATTTCACCTGAAGAACGAAAGAAATATGTACCAAGATGTTGTTTCTTCGGTGGGAAGGCTGCCCCTGGATACGCTGTAGCTAAAACTGCAATAAAAATGATGAACAACCTCTCAGTAATGATAAACAATGACCCAGATACTAAAGATTACTTGATGTGTATTTTCTTACCCAACTATAATGTCAGTAATGCTCAAATTATTATTCCTGCATCTGATATCTCACAACATATTTCAACTGCTGGAACAGAGGCATCAGGAACAAGTAACATGAAGTTTGTAATGAATGGTGGACTTATTCTTGGTACTCTTGACGGTGCTAACGTTGAAATTCGAGAAGAATGCGGAAACGAAACTATGTTCATTTTTGGTGCTTTAGAACATGAAGTTGAACACATTAGGAATAGAGCGAGAGAAGGAAACTACCCAATTGACCAAAGGTTATGCGACGTCTTTAACTTTATTAGAACTGGAGGGATTATGCTTGGCGATGGAAAGGCTCAAGGAGAATTCTGTGAAATTGTGAACAAGATCTGTTCTAACGGCGATGGTCAAATTGGAGACTTCTACTTAATATGCCATGATTTCCCACTATACTGTGATGCACAAATTAGAGTTGATCAGGCATACAGAGACCAAAATACATGGGTTAAGACTTGCATTAAAGCAGCCTCATCAATGGGAAAATTCTCTACCGATAGAACAATTGAGGAGTATGCTACAGCAATCTGGGAGCTCGAACAATGTGAGAGACCTGCACCGGAGGCATGCAAAAAACTATCCGGATATTTGCCTAATAAATCAAAGTGAATGATTAACTGAATTGCCAACCTAAAATAAACACTCATTAATATTCTGAAAACTATTGAATAATATCCTGTTGCATTAGCTGCCTAGACTAAATTGACAAAGAAAAGGATTTCAGTAAACAAATTTAATTTAATAGTAAATTACTTAGTGTTTCGTTTAAGCAGTATTATATTTTTTGCTTGTAATAATAATAATTAACATTTTGAGATTCTCAGTAATAAAGGTAAAGATTTATATTACCGCCAAAAATGTCAAATGGCGCGTGTGTTTTTCGTGGGTTTATTTTATCAATGACGTAAATTACATGGAATCTAGTATCCCATATTGCGCCATGCAGGTTATAAATATCGATTTGTCAGCATTTTTTTTACTTAAAAAAGGCATAACAATGGAAGAAAAGGAAACTGTTCCAAGCAAAGTGAGAATAGCCGAGGAGGGGGAAAAGGCTAATTCCAATGCAAAACTTAGATTATTTTATGACGTGTTATCTCTTGCATATTTCTCTGTTTTATGGATGATGATGTTTTTGGATTGTGGACCCAACTATTTCAGCTTTTTTTACTATTTGACAAATTGGGGATGCACTTCAACTCTGATATTTTATTTTATAGCAACGTTGGTAGATTACGAACGTTTAGTGAAAGTGAATGTATCTACAAATCTAATACATTCATGCACATTTGTAAGAGAGTTGAGTGTTTCATTACAAAGTGTAATTGTTCCGTTTTTCTGGATAATAGTTTATCCACAAGAAAGGTGGAGATCAATTATTTGGGAGGTGCAAATGCATGGCATGGGGCTCATATTTATTTGCGTTGATTACCTCATTCGTTTGTCAAACTTTTCGTCTCTTTCTTCTAAGAATTTGTTTATGGTTGTTCTTTCATATCTGGCCTTAAATTATTTTGTTGTAAATAAACTAGAAACCATGATTTATCCCGGAATAACTTATAACACAATCGAGTCATGGTTAGTAGTGATTCTAGCTATTTTGCTCGTTCTCACAGCTCACCAACTGGCATCTATCATCACTATTTGTTTGGTGGTGAAAAACAAGATTTGGAGAAAGTATGAAAAAGATGATTTCGTAAGTAAAAGCATAAAAATTGTTCAAAAGGCGCAGAAATTTAGGAAAAAAGATGGGATAAGGAAGAGATTGGGGTCAATTTTCATAGGATAGTAACAGGAACGATTTAGTATACAAGTCTAACAGTTAAGAACCAGAAAAAAAGAAACTTACTGTGAATACAAGCAGTTTTTTATTCAAATTCAAATATATTTCCGATCTCGTAGCGCTTTATTATTCATTGCGGGGTAGTAACTAGAGACGCTCTATAAGACGTATTTCTCAAATAATTACGAGACAAGAACTTAATAACTTGAGGAATGAGTCATGAAAGTTGTCGCGCGTAGCAAATTTTGGCGATCCTTTGAATTTAGTAGGACAAACAAATATTTCTAGAAAATGAGACCTGATACAAAGGCTGATGACACCATCGAGCAAGCTCGTCAAAAACTTAGAGATAGGTTTGGTGTGGGAACTACTCAAGTTGGAGGTAAAGGTACAGCAAGAAGAAAGAAGAGAGCACAGAAACCATCAACCGGTGTAGACGTAAAAAAACTCCAGGCAGTAACTTCTCGTTTTAGGTGCCAAACTTTTCCTGCTATTGGTGAAGTGACAATGATGAGGAAGGATGGTACTTGTCTTCACTTTTCAAACCCAAAATTACAGGCTTCCGTTGCTACAAACACATACATCCTTACAGGTAACCCACAAGAAAAACTTATCAAAGACTTACCTCAGCAAATTAATCCAATGGATCTGAGTGCATTTCTAAACGATCCAAAATTCCAGAAGCTTTTAGAGGAATCTCAGGCAAACCGAGTAAAGATGGCAACGGGGGAAGATGACGACATCCCAGACTTAGTTGAGAATTTCGAAGATGTTGAAGAGTAATTCGCCTTAAGCCTAATATATTTTGTTTAATGAGTCTGGGGATTTTTCACATAAATGATGTGAAGTGGCAGTTACATTTGTAACATCCTTTGATATTGATATTCGTCCAGCCTTTTCGTTAAAAAACCTGAATGCATCTTAGACGGATAAACACGAATGTAACGCATTAATAGGCAAAATATAGCTATTATTGTTTTTTTTCTAATTAATCTAACACTTTCTACTCTATTTTTCCCCTAGTGTTCGAAACTATAAGTTAACTTGTGTTTGACTTGATGTTGTCATTTGAGTTTGTTTGCAAGGTACTTCATATGCTCGTTGGCTGAAACTGCTGCTCCAGAAAGCAGATTTTCTATCTGTTGAACACCAACCACTTTCTTGTTCTAAAATTTATTAATTTTTTTTTTCTCAAAATAAACAATAACTTACCTTTCTAAGAGTTTTTTGTTTTTTAAAGTTCTTTGGCTTTTTAGAGGGAACAGGTTTGTTACTCCTCTCTTTCAGCTTTTGTTGAATTGCTTTTTTTTTATTAATTATTCCCTGCGTCATATTTAATCAATTTATTATTAAATGTTAAATTATCAGATAAGTCTTGGCGGCATTCCTATTTCAGTATCGTAACTTAAAATCCCATTTTCAAATTAGATCCAGAGAGCTTAAAAACCAGCATTTAATTTTATGGACAATACTGTTAATAAAAATACAAATGTGGACGATAAAATACGAAATATTAAGGGAAAAGTTTTAGAATGTAAAGAGAAGCTATTGAAAAGCGAATTTTGGAGTACACTAATAGAACATCTAGAAAGTCAAATTATAGAAAATTGGGTCAAAAAAAGAGTATGCTTCAGTCCAAGATGCACTTTGAGGAGCGGTTGCATTTGCCACAGTGATATTTTGTTCGTTATTGGTCTAGGAAGTTTGGAGTCGAACTTCAATTATAATTTTTCTTCATTTTTCCAGCTTGCAGCAGTGGCTGCCATAAATGAACGCATAAAGCTAGAGGGAATCTACTTTTGCGACCCAGAATTTACCCAAATTGATAGAGAACTTATTTTTGAATTATTTATGACATTCGACACTCACATTGAAGTATTTACAGTACATGATTTAAGTATACCTTTAAACACAGTTCATTACCAATTAAAAAATAAATTGTATGGCAGGGACAGTCACATAAATATATTATTTTTTATGCCACACTGTGATCGCTGTGTTTTTGGAATGTTAATACATTACTTCAATATTGGCGAAGGAAAAGTGTTATATTCAGACTCAGCTCGGATGATTGTATGGGGAAATAATTTGGAAACTTTCAAAATAGATTCAAACAAAAATTTTAACAAAAGGTGTGAATATTGCAAAATATTGTTATCTACACTTTCAAAGATTGACTATAAAAAGACGGATTTTCCTGTCGATAATTATAAAACCGTATTTTACAGTTCTTTTAGTGATCTTTCAATTTATAATCTTCCACTAAATAATTTTATATATTAATAATACATAACTTTTAGTTTCTAACCGTTTGATTGACCCAATTAATGTACTTTTCGTTGCCATATGTAATTTTGGTGGCAATAATTTCAGGTATTTCATATGAATGAATTTCCATAACTTTTTTTTTAAGAGTTGTAAACAATTGAGAAGTGGTTTTTACCAATAAAATAGCTTCATTTTCATCATGAACTTGCCCTTTATATTTATATATGCTTCTCACACTAGGAATAATACTTACACATGCACAAAGTTCTTCATTTACAAGAGTTTTAGCAATTGAGGTAGCTTCGTCTTGATTTTTTACCGAAATATAAATTAATATTATGTTGGATTTGGTTATTGTTTCTGGCATGCCTAAATTTTTTTTTTATCAATAAATAATAATATGAATTACCGCTTCTAATATTTTATTTATTTGAATCTATGTTGCGACACCGTAAGTTTTTTATTGGAATCTTATGATTAAGTTAATAAATTTTCTAATTGAATTTAGAGCCAGGCCTATTAATGTGTAGGAGACAGCCAGGAGTCGCAATTGGGCGTTTATGCGCTAGATGCGAAGGCAGATGCCCAATATGTGACTCTCTAGTACATCCTGAAACTGTTGTTAGAATATGCAACGAGTGCAACTATGGCTCCCAGCAGGTAAGTGATTCTTTTTGTGACCTTCTAAGTAACTGCTATCAATATTTCTTTAGGGACGATGCATAATTTGTGGCTCTGAAGGTGTTTCAGATGCATATTATTGTAGGGAATGTACAATTTGTGAAAAAGATAGGGATGGATGCCCTAAAATAGTAAATCTTGGAAGTTCTAAGATAGATAGTTTATACCAACACAAAAAATAGTATTGCATAAATTTATGTAAAATATTACATTGTAAAAAATGTCTCGTCTACTAATGTTAATTTATCAGAAAAGAAATATTTGGTTTTAGTGGGGAATTAATGAAGTTTGCTAATTATGTCACCAATTAAAGTGTTAATGGTGGCTGAGAAGCCATCAATCTCTGATACTATTTCGAAGATTCTTTCAAATGGAAAGTTAGTCACACGGCGTGCAAAAACTCCTGTACACGAGTTTAATGGGAACTTTAGGGGAATGAATGTTCAATTTAAGGTAACTTCAGTCGCAGGTCACGTTTTTGAAACTAACTTTCCTCAAAGCTACTCCAACTGGGAAAAAACAGATCCAGTTTCTCTTTTTGATGCACCAATAATTAAAAATGAATCTTCATCAAAAATGATTTCACATTTAGAAAAAGAATCGAAAGGTTGTAGTTACTTAGTACTTTGGCTTGACTGTGATAGAGAAGGAGAAAACATATGTTTTGAAATAATTAGTGTAGTTTCGAACAACATGAACAAAGGAAGAGATCAGAAGGACTGGGTTTTCAGAGCAAAGTTTTCGTCAATTGCTCCAAGTGATATTTCTTATGCAATGAAGAACCTAGTTTCACCGAATAAGAATGAATCAGATGCTGTAGATGTGAGACAAGAGCTAGATCTAAAAATTGGAGTTGCCTTTTCAAGATTGCAAACAAATTATTTGAAGAGCAAATTTGGTGATTTTAATAAAAGTTCAATAATTTCTTATGGCCCTTGCCAGACTCCAACGCTTTTTTTTACTGTCCAAAGAAGAGACTCAATAAGTAGCTTTATACCAGAAAAATACTACACAATTTCTGTGACTTTATCTAAAGACTCTCAAGATATAAATCTTAACTGGAGTCGTTCCAGAGTATTTGAAATTCAGGTTGCGAATTGTTTTCTTCAATTAATTCAAAGTAAGAAACCAGTAGTAGCAAGAGTTATTGATATTACAAGCAAAAACACAAGAAGAATTAGACCATTACCTTTAAATACCGTGAGTATGCTCAAATTGGCATCTACAGTACTTGGGATTGGACCATTTCAAACATTGAACATTGCAGAAAAGTTGTATCTTTCTGGCTTTACTACTTATCCTAGAACAGAAACATCAAGATATCCAAAGAATTTTGATATAAAATCTACAATAGCGGTAAGTTCATAATGAAATAATTAATGATTCTTCTTATTATAAATTCAGATGTTTAAGAACAATCCAATATGGGGGAGTTATTCATCAGAAATGCTTCAAAAAGGTTTCAACTTGCCAAGAAAAGATGGAGTAGATTTAGGTGATCACCCTCCAATTACACCAGTTAGGTCTGCAACTCAAAGTGATTTAGATGGGGATTCTTGGAGACTTTACGATTTAATTACTCGGCACTTTTTTGCAACAATATCAAGTGACATAAAAATAATAAACAAAACGATTAAATTTGATCTTAATGGAGAGACTTTTGTGCTAAGTGGGAAGCAAATCATAGACCATGGATTTTCAGTGATTCAAGGAAGAAGTGCTTGTTATGAATCAAGTGTTATTCCAAATTTTGCTCAAAATGAATTAGTTTCAATTAAAAATATAGAGATTATCACTAAAGAAACAAAACCTCCACCTATTTTAAGTGAAAGCGATCTACTTTCTCTAATGGAAAAATATGGAATTGGAACAGATGCTTCAATGCCAACACATATCCAAAAAATTCAGGAGCGTGAATATGTAAAGTTAGTTGCAGGAAGAAGGTTGGAACCCACAAAATTAGGTACTGCTCTTGTACATGGAATTATGAATGTAGATCATGAGCTTGTTATGCCTATGATTAGAAGCGAGATGGAGAAATATGTTGATCTTATTGCTAAAGGTAAATATAATCATAAGGCAGTACTTAAACACTCGCTATCGGTTTTTAAGCTGAAATTTCTTTATTTTGCAGAAAATATTAGTCTCTTTGAGTCATTGTTTCAGCTTGGTTTTACGAATATCTCAGCTTCTTGTAGCAGAATTAGCAGGTGTGGACAGTGCAAAAGATATATGACTTATATCTCGAATATTCTTCCTCAAAGGCTATACTGTTCTTTCTGTGAAATTTATCTAGATATTCCTCAGAGAGGCACTATTAAAATATACAAAGAACTTAAATGCCCAATTGATGACTATGAAATATTATTATTTACTGATCAAAAAGGGAAAAAAAGTATCTTTTGCCCAAGATGTTACAACGATCCTCCTTTTATGGATGCTAAAGATAATATGTTTTGTAAACTTTGTCCTCATCAAACGTGTAACTTCTCGTTAAAATCAACATTTTTTATGGCTTGCCCAAATCAGGAATGTAGAGATGGGATTATCACATTAGATTTAAGTTCTTCTCCTGATTGGAAATTCGATTGCTCTAGATGTTCTACATCTTTCTCATTAAAAAAAAGTAACTCTGCAAAGATTTCTCTATGTGAGCACTGTGAGAAATGTGGATCTAGAAAGCTTAAGGTTAGCACAGAAAAAATACTATCAGAATACCTACTTGGGTGTCCAAATTGTGATGAACAAATATTCAATTTAATTGAAGTAATCAACGCACCTAAAGTTGTCTATAAATCAGATAGAAAGAAAACTAGTTTTAGAGGTGGAGGGAAGAAAGGAAAAATACATTAAATATAATAAAATCCTTTATTGATACTTTTATTTATATTTCGTTATAGTTGACTTCATTTTGGTTTTTTCTACAATTTGAAACGGACTCAGGAAGATTGCAGTATTCGACAACAGACCTCTTCCCACTTTTCTGGTAAAGTTTTATAGTATTGATTAATACTTCACTGTTTATCCCATCTCTAATAGATTCGAATACACGATTTACTGTGTTAATATCATTTGGGGAGTTTTTATCTGATCTTATTCTTTCAACTATCCACCCACCCTGAACTGTAGTTAATGGTTTGTCCCATAAAATGTTTCCATCTTCAGATTTGGCAGGTTTTGAATAAATTACATTTTCGTCGTAGTAGCATTCTAGTATTTGTCCAGAAGTTCTGTATAGCTTGAATTGATCTACCAACTGATTATATACATTTCCTTTTGGTACACAGAAACAGTTGACACTTGCTCTAACACCTCGAATTCCAACTAGAAGTTCAAGAAATACACGAGAATCATAAGACTCTGATTCTGCATAAAATATCGCTGCAAAGTCCGCTGTGTTTAAGTGAGGTGGTTTCCATTTCAATAGTTGGGGGCATGTTCCAGGAATGTATGGTAGGTGAACTGGTGTGAAGATTATCCCATCACTTGGATGTGGTAAACGTTTTGAAAAATTTAATATTGCTGGAACCTCATCAACTTCAAAAAAGTCCTTAAGATACAACTCAAATGGGGGGGGATCAGACAATGTTGCAATCCTATTCTGTTCATATCTACATTTTGGAATTACAACTTTCAGATATGCCAATTTAAGTCGTTCTAATAAAGGCAGGGATTTGACAGTATCATCTCTTTCGATACAAATGCAATCATAGATCAAATATCTTAAAATATATCTTTTTTGTCCATCAACCTCAACAATATCTTTAACCAGTTCTCCATCCAATAAAGTATTTTGTTGAAAGTATTGTGTATGGTTATCTCTACTTGAATCTAGGTTTAGTAATTCAGAGTTTTTTTCCAACAAATTTTTTTGAATTTCCGAATTCTCGAAATTCCTATTTGAATTCTTTACTTCAAAAACCGTATCCCAGTATGAACTTGGAAGAGTCATCTTTACCATATTAATTTGTTGATTTCTATCAATTAGAAAAACCCGTTTACTAGCCGCATATAGAAGGAGACGAATTCCATCAGTCTTTTCACAAGCCACATAAAGGTTCTTTCCAATGCAAGATTCGAGTTTTTGTTTGTTTAAGGATACGGGTTGTGAGCCAGGAAAAGTATCCTGACGCCAACCACAAAAAGATCTCACTTTTTTTAAAATCTCATTTCTTGTGGAGTCTTAATCAGAAATTAAATATATATCCAAGAAAACACAATATTTCAACTTACCGTCATTCAAAACAACTCCAGGAATTTCGATATTTAGTGCGAAATCCATTAGAAAAGTGAAGGGAGTTTTATTCAATGTATCATATGGCGCGCAAAACTCATTTGCTATTTTCATTTTTTAGGTGGCTCATGCTTTCTGGTTTTTTGCATGATTCGAAAAATGATCTATGGTTAATAATTTCTGTGGTTGCAACGATGATCTCCTTATTAATAATTCCCTGGAGCTTTCTAAGAGTTGCAATTTCTCCAAATGTTACTCCTCCAACAAAAACAACCAAACATGAATTGTGCTTAACCGTAGATAGTGTAGACGGAATTAATTCAACACTAGGACCCCACACATAATTAAGTGCCTCTTTAGAAGAATCATCACTACTTGACTTGGTATTGCTAATTTCTCTACACAGGATTTCAACGATTCTTGTACTTATTGGGGCATATCCACTATACACACAACTGATGTCATTTTCTGATTCACTCTCATCAACAAAAAGATTAAGAGAACGTTTTATTAGTTGCCAATATGATTTTTTACTCGCTTCTAGTTTTAAAAGTCCGACCCTTTCCAAAATATTCATTCTATATAATTCCTCAAATCCGAAAACTGATAATATATGCTTTTTTATTTGCTCATAAATTTTTCTATTCTTGAAACCATTTTCAATTATGCAAGAGAGGCACAAAATTCTATATATTTCCTCTATTTGAATACCCTCCTGATCTAGAAGATCTTCGAAGGGAGACTCCTCCGTTCCTCTTAATGAAATGGCTTCTGAAAATCTTGTACTAAGTTCCTTGACAACGCCCGTCACCGATTGGGACGAATCCGACATAATTGAATCTTCAAGTCTTAATCTTGTCAAGGTTTGGTAATCTTTTGTAAAATACTCATTTAAATATGTAGCAATATTAACATGTTTAGCAAGTGTTCCTTGTTCATGTTGCTTACCTTTTAATTTTCTAATAAAATCTCCGATTGCAGAAATATCCTTAAGTTTCTCTTTTTCCTGATATAGTGATTGAAGCTCGTTTGCTTTTTGATGGAGGTAAATCCCCACATCCTTAAGTTTCAGGTCCTTTAATATTGTGAATAATGGATCTCCAAAAAGAGGTAGTTTCCAATGAGTAGATTCCTCACTAACATCTGATGGCACTTTATCCGCTGGTATATCAACATATGTTTTCTGGACGCCAAAAAGAAAGTCAAGTAAAGCATGATAAGAGAATGGAGTTGAAAATGGAGTGACAAGATCACATCTTCTGTCAATTATGATTACCTGGTCAAAACACATCGGAAAATCATTAATCAAATCATTATTTGAAGAATTGTTAATAATAGAGTTCTGAAGGTAATTCTGAGTAAATTCCAAAGTATTTGTTAATAAATCCTTGTCGAAATGGTTGAGCCCTAAATATTTACAATTCTGATCATCTTCTGTTTCAAAAAGCGTATTCCAATCAAAAGGTTTAAGATTATCTAATAAGGAGTTATTCTCTTTGATATATCGCATCAAGTGCTCTAGGACTGTCACTCCTGCTGATCCTATTGAATAAATAGGTACATTTGTTGAGTTTGTAAACTTTAGTAGCCAATATAAAGAATAGGCGACCAATTGTAAAGAAGATTCCTCTTTATAAACGTGGAAGTCAAAAAAAACATTTCTTATTTCCATCAAAAGAGATGTTTCGTCTAAAGGGGCCCAGTATAAATTAACTGAATAACATTCGGGGAAAATATTTAGTGAAGTTAGTTGCTGATGTAGAAGCCGTAATATTAATTTCGAATAAAAAGGAACAAAACCAATATAAAAACAGAGATCAATTTTTTGTTTTCTTATATTTTTTTTTAATAATTTTGAGATCAATTCTATGTGTTTAACAATCGTAAAGGTGGAGCTCAATGATGGGTGGCAAAGAAATACACATTTCAATTCATATACAAGATTTACTCTTGTATTTGAATCAAATTCAAAATCGCATACTAGTGATTCTAATCTTTCCTCAATATCTTCTGAAATGATTAAAGGTTGAATTTTTTTAAAACCAAAATTATTATAATCTGCAATATCAGTGATTAAACTTAGCAGTGAGGAAATTGATGTTTCAATAAAAAGTTGGGGTGCCAAATTATTGCCATTATCTTTGTTGGATATACATTCAAGAAAACTAAGTAATGTTTTACGGGATTTAAGTCGAATTAAATCCATCAGTTTTTTTCAAATTATTTTCATTTTTCGTTTGCGCGATATGTTAAAAAATAGTTCCAGGCGGAATTACAAAGGAGTATATATTAACGGTTTATGCTCAGATCAGTAATAATAAAGTAGTATGAATAATAGTTAAATACAACAAGTAGTGAGAATAACGTATATATAAAAATTTTCGATTAAATTAACTCATTTGGTTCGAGAAATAACAAAAAGCAAGGGAAGGTTTGGTAATGCAAGTATAAATACGATTCCAGTTGATTCAAATGGCCTACTTAATCTTACCTAAATTATCGAATAATTATTGAAAATTTAGCTAATATGAAAAAGCGGTATTGATTATTTTAAGAATAAATATCATGAATTTTTCAAAGGTGAAATTATATGAACAATGGCAATTACTCAGGCTATATGGTGTACTAAATAGCCCTCATTTAGTCCTTATTTATCCGGTTTATACGATCCAACTCAAATCGATGTGCTTACCTTATTTTGAAAATTATCTCGATAATGGCAATAGTATAGAAGATGCACATTTGAAAACCGCAAACCCGAGAATAAGTAGAGGGATTATTTATAATTTAAGTGGACTAAAGCTGGTTTTCGATTCTCTGAGATGTATTTACAATGAGGAGGGGTATTGGGGATTGTATAGAGGTTTTTTACCTATGACTTTACACTCATATTTAACACGGATGATACATGATCAACTTATAAAAATTTATAAAAGACACAGTAATAAAATCCACGATTCATATATAAAATCTGCATATGTAAAGAACAGCACAAAATACATAGCCGAAGTGGTAACTTATCCTTTGCTTGTAATTTCTACACAGCAGGCAATATTTGATGTTAAGCGCTATAATCTTGGTATACAAAATGACCAAGACAGAATAAATGAGCCAGTAATAGGAATATACTCACTAGTTCAGCTCTCAATAAATTCAGAAGAAGGAATTACTTCTTTATGGAAGGGAATTACTGCACACATTATGTTCAAAGTAACAGAAGACCTGATAAAAAACTATCTATATTCTTATTTATATACAAATTTTTGTTCTGTGAAAGATATAGAAACTAGGAAGTCAACAACTACAGTAAAACCAAATAATAAAAAACATCTTAAGCACGGGATCAGTAATTTCATTACATCCTTACTTTCACCGTTAGCCCTTATTTCAACAGTGAAAAGGTGCCAGACAAATGATCATATTGGATTATGTAGGGGCGACGTTGGAATTAAAGAAATACTTGGAAATGTAAATTGGGGAATATATTTTGGTCAGATGGTTGTTAACTCGGTATTTATTGCTATATATTTATTTGACGGAGAAAATTGTACGTTTTAACTAATTAATGCAGTTTCCAAATTACAATATATGTTCTCTTTAGTAGTATTGGAAAATTTGTAACAACCAAAATATATGATTCTGCATTAAGTAAGCAGTAGGGTGCGTAGAAATAATCCAAAATAGAATGACGTTGTGCAAATAGTCCTTTGAATTGTTTTTATTGCATTCTGAATTGAGTTATTTTAATGATCAGTTTTTATTCTAGTAAAAATACAAATTTTGATATTATTTGCAGTAGTGAACACTAAAACACTACCACTTACACCTCCAAATACTCTGCTTGATAAATCTCTAAAGTTGTGCTTCCCACCTAAAAATACATTTCTTATTCTATTAAGCTTCACCCAAAAAAAAAATTAACTTAAAAAGGGATATTTCTTATTAAACTAACAAATATCTAAATAGTATTAAAGCTTCGTTTAAACAATAAATAGTTAGAGCAAAGATTTGAAAGAATGATCTATTTCTAGCTTGCATGCTTGATAGCTTCAGAAGGAACTGTAAACTATGATGATAATATTCGGCTCATTAACCAAGCACTTATTATGAGAAATACATATTTCACTTTCGGTGAAATAAGTAATTAAAGATGGAATTAACCAAAAAAATTTACAAGACAAAGGAACCAGATACTGAATACTTTAATCCTGAATATATGTACCTATATTAGTTTTTTGTACTAAAAAAACTATTATTTCAATAAATGATCTATATGGTATCTTTGTTTTTATAATATGAAGCAGTTATGTTATTGCTTGAATAATTCCAGCAATAACTCCAGAAATAAGTAAATTACTCACTTATTTTCGAATTTTTTTCAATAACCATGAAAATTCATTTAAATAAATATAAAGTCAAAAGTTTAACTATGGATTAACCTCCAAAAATAGTGTAGCCTTAGTTATCCCTCCTAGTTTTAAGAAGTTTCAAAATAAATGGAACTGAAAGTAAAAAAATATTAGGAATAAGCAAGTATTGGTTAACTCTTGCCCAAGAGATTGTTTCAAAATATTTGGAGGTTAAATAGTTCATAATTTGGAAAAAAACAAAACATGTAAAAGCTTGTATTCCTGCTAATCTCGCGAAATTTGAAAATCCAAATGTATCACCAATAAAACAATTTAATGATCCGAAAATAAAGGACCTTAGAGCGGAAAATGCCCAAAAATATAAATAAATGGACCAGAATGGTAGCATGTGGATAAATATGAGTAGAATATGAATAAAACACCCCAAAATAGTAATTAAGCCAATCATGAAATTGACACCATATTTTGTTGCAATAATACCCCAAATTACGCTGAAAATGCTTCCTAAACTCATAATAATATTATAAATATTCATTATCTTAAGAATTTCCTGATTTATAGCAGCATTCTGATTCATATATAATGCTGAAGAAACTATGTATTCACTTTTTGAAACTAAAATGGAGCATCTCCAAAAATTATATGTAAATAGTGCCATAAATGTGAAGTACTCGTAACTAAATAGCTGCTCAAATATTGGCCTGTCAATTATTGTATTTAGGCTACTTCTGGTTTCTGGGTTAACAAAATTTGTTAAATTTGAAGGGGTTGAAAAACTTCTAAGTTTATCAATATTCAGTAAATACCTACATTTTGCTAATGAACAAACCACGCTATACCCACCCATAATTGCAGAAGAGGCTTTAAGGTCGCACATTGCAGAAGATTCACATTCTAGTCCATCAGAATTAGTGCACTTTACCTTCACCTTAACATTTGTAACTTCAGATCGTGCTCTTAACTGTATCGTTGTTGGACATTTAATTAATATATCTTCATTAACAACAGATTTTTCTAACTTTTTAAAATCTTTTTTCAACAGATTTCCATCTGCCATATCTTCCTGGCAAGTAATAAACTGTTTAATTTCGCTGAGTTTTTTTCTTGGAATAAGTTTGTTGAATGTTACTGAAGGCAATGTTAAAAAAAGTGATACTAATGAAAGTAATGAAAGAACTAAATAAATATAAATAAATAATTTTTCTCCAATTTTTTTGTCCATTCCGGAGAAACTTTCTCCAAATTGAGTCGATTTCTTCAAACCAGGCTGGAAGTTTCCTATTAACAACGGTAATAAAATTGAAGCATCAATTAGGCCACCCAAAATTGAAATAACCAAAGACTGCATCTCAAATAATGATGAAACTGAAACTATACTATATGAAATACAAACCCTTCCAATTCCTAAAAATAACCAGCTTAAACTCAGCAAATACTCGGCAACCCATAGAATTTCAAAAATATTGGTGAGTAGAAGCCAAATAAATAGACCCGAGCATACAAATAAAGCTCCAATGGTACCTAGTGCCCTTGGCCCAATTATATCTGCAATTGTTCCTGCAATAGGGCTTGTGATAAGTGGAACACTCAAACCAAATTTCCAGGCGTCAACATATAAAATGTTCTGTAGATTACAACCTATAGGATCGCATTCATCGTCACTTGAAAATGGTTCGAATAATATTAAATCTCTTAAATCTGGGTTCAAACAGTCGTCACCTCGATAGTTTTTTGCAGTTGGGTCACATCTACAGAGATTCGAAAAAATACAAGCTCTTCTAAGTAGTGGCAAAATAGCAGTAAATGAGCCTACTAAGCCGCATACAGAAAACGAGATTAGAAAGTACAATGAAAGCAAAAACCAACGATTACATTTCGGCTTTTCCTCCATTTTTAAGTCAAAATTGAAAGAGTCAATTATTTTTTAATGGAAATCACGCGGTACTAGGTATTGTGTTTCAAGTCTCAATATTAAAAATAATCTCAAAATAAATTGGAAAATCAAATAAAGTACAGATAAACTGAGTGTTCAGTCATTAAACACATAGAGTCAATTAAGGCCAAACATATTTAAATTGTATTGATAATGGCACAAAGAGAAAGAAATGTAATATTTTTTAAAAAACTCATCCTTACAAGCAAAAACAGAAATATTCAATCTGGCGCCAAAACAGGGTGCAGGTTTTAGACATAACGTGGACTTGCGCATGCAGCTTCAAGGCATAAAGTCAAAAGGAAATCATTTTCATTTCAGAAGTATTTGCACCGGATAATAAATTTGAGCTCGATTATAATTAATAATTATCAATATCAGGCAAAATGAGTGGTGCAAGGAGCTCTATATTCATTGCTTGCATAATTTATTTTATTTCGTTGGTTTCAGCAAATGACGTTTGCGTTCTTAAGAAGGGGGCCAGTTGTTTGAGTGCTAAATACTCATTCATTGATGGTGGTATGCAACCAGGTAATGCTATCCGTGTTTCTGTTGATCTTTTACCAACAGCATCGTTAGAATTGACAAATTCTGCATTCCAGAATATTGCAACACTTAGATTTGGTGTGAATTCATGTTCTATTGAAAGCAGCCTAGCTTCAATAAGAGCATATGCACTTTACAAGAATGGTCAATACAATACAGGATCCACAATTTCATTTGATCTGGTTGCATTAGAAAATTCACTTGCCGTCTACATGACTGGAAATAAGATTTTGGAAATCCCATTATTGGTCACTGCTCCATTTATGCTGATATCTGACAGCAATGGAAGCCCACCAACGTTGCAGTTCATAGAATATTCATCGACTGAAAGCGGTTTCTGTTCAATTGCTTCATCTGGTACGTGCAACAACTCTAGCTTAGTAGGTATGTCCAGTGGTATTACTAAGAATTTGACTATCAAGGCTGAATTACCATCAAGTATTCCAGATGATTACTTCAGCTTTTTCATTTCGACATACGGTAATATTTACAAGCTTCCAGTTCTTGAGGTAGCATTTACAAAGGAGGAATGGCTCGCCACAGCATCTGGATCTTTCGTAGGGAGAGGTAAAATTCCATCAGGAATTAGTTTGGGTAGTTCTATTAACTTAATTCTTGTGCCAAGTTCAGGTGGATCAGTAGAACTAAAGGTAAATCAAAGCTCTTTAGGTGTTCTAAAGGTTGATCCAAGTTCAATCAAGTTCATCTATCAATCTGTTAACCAAGGAACTATGAATATCTCCTATTAAACAGAAAAAAATCAACTCTTTATATTCTTTGATTAATTTGCAAATGAAATTTCCTATTTGGAAGCATTGTTTGTATAATTAAACATATAAAGAATAAAGTATTGCTTTGATTTACTGGAGAAATCTAGATGAAAAACCTAACAATTGAAATATTGCCCAACATATTCTTCAAAAGATCACTTTGATATAGTGTAGGGATTATTTCTAGATAGATTAATGCTAATTCTCCGATTATTCTTTGTTTTATAAAGTATATTTGAATCCCATTGCAATTTTGCAAAATAATTAACTGATCTGGGGTTTTTTATGTCAAACTAAATACATATGTACTAACTTAGAGCCATATGAGCTATAAGTTTCTTCGATTATTTTCATTTTTAACAACTATTTAATTATTATGTAAATTTTTGGTCCATATTATTGACATGGAGTATGATTTAATTGAGGCGCTAATGTTTATTTCTCACAACTGTATTCAGTACTCTAAAAAAAATATTATGTATATTAAATTAATGGCTGGATAAGACACATGCCATTTTTGTATTTTAAAACACATGGAGCCATATTATATTTGTCGTATACTAAAAGAATATGGTTTAGATGATGTTTCAAACAAAGTTTTTGAAAAGTTTAAAACAAACTCGGAAATTCCAATCAAAATAAATTATGATGGCACAGAATCACAAATAACATATGAAGAATTAACAAGTGGGCCTCCGGATAATATTTTTAGGTTTATCAAATTATTCTTATCATTTATCAAATTGTGTAAATTTAATAAGAATAGTATTATAGGGTCTGAAAATTTAATTTCTAATCAAGATAAGTTTTTCGATATAATTCATTCATTAAAAAATGAAATCATTGATCAGTCTAATTTTGTTGAAAAAATGAAATATATCTGTTCTAGAACAACTCACCTAAGTTTGAGGGGTTTTAGATACGGGGTTAACGACCAGTTAATGTTTTCAAATACAAAAATGTCTCAACTTCTACCTCATTTTTTTGGCGAGTTTATCCAATCAAATTTTATATATGCACATCAACATATTGAAGATTCTGAATTTGGAGTAGGAGGAGAACCAGCAAGCGTATATGTTATTAAAAAAGATAGAACGGGAAACGTCTTGATATCTGGAGGTGATGATGGAATGATTAGACTCTGGAATACATATACCGGGAATCTTTTGGTTTCTGTAAGAAAACATGCCGGGGATATAATCGACCTTGACATAAACTCATGCAATGCTCTATTAGCATCGTGTTGTGGTAAAGGCCAGCTCCTATTAACTTTATTGAATGGAAATGATTGGGTTCCAATTACAATTATTGAAAATACAGATAGACTAACTTACGTTAGATTTGCATATTCGAAGCATAGCGTCAAATCTAGCAATGATGATATATTTCATGAATCCGAAATGTTAATTTCCGCGGGTGACAATGCAATCATAACTATTTATAAAGTATCTGATCTTTTTATGCACGGGGTTTCGCACTATTTAACTTTAATGAAACGGAAGGAATTTACAGAAACCACGCTTAGTCGTTTCAAATATTTGTTTAAACGTTATGGAAATTTTGCGCAATCATCAGATTCTTTTGAAAGAGAAAAATCATTGTTTTACAAAGCTCCTCCTCTTTATAAGATTGACATTTTCCCATTATCTCCAAAAGCATTTGATATTTGTTTAAATCCTCTTTACAATCATGGATTTTCATCCAATGAAAGTCTTAAAAGCTACTTCTTTTTTTCTGTGGGAGCATCGTTACATTCTTTGAGTTCAACAGAAGAAATACAAATAAACATTTCTGGAAAGAACATTTCCACTGAAGTCATTACCATCCAGAAACAATGTGATGGGCAAGGTTATTCTTTAGTTTTCATGATTTCATTAGAAAATTTGTACGGTAAAAGTGGAATTCATTTGATTGATATGCCACAAAAACACTGTGAGCACCCAGACGTTTCGTTTGCAAATAATTCGCATGATTTAGTTACTGCATCTGATGATGGTACTATTATTATGTGGACATTTTCCAACGAGAGCATTCATAGTCAAATTAACCTTACAACATATATTTCCGACCGAATAAGCAGTAACTCGTATTCAAAAAAAAAAAGTGCTTCAAGAAAAAATGTTGCTGAAAAATCCCCTACCGAAAGTCTTTCAGATGATGACTCGGATTATGTAGGAAGCGGATCAATGGATGAGAACTCAATATTGCGTAGAAATCCTATAAGAACTTCAAGATTTGTTTTGAAGGATGACTCATTTAATAAGGAAAATAACAGATCTAACGGAGCCGATGGTTCTCCGAATGTTGTGCAATTTATTGACAGCATACAATGGTCATGCGACGATTCAATCATTTTTATTGCTCAGTCTGTAGCATCTAAAGGTATGTTGAGAAGAAATAGAAACTCCACCCTTGTAAATTGTATTGAATGTTGCATTTCCTACTTTTCAAGAAATAATGGGAAAAGATTTCTAGATGTAGTTCTCCCAGGCACTTGCTCAAGAATTGCATGTCTAATTCCTCACCCAATGTCTCCAGAAATAGTTTTGTCATTGACATATAATGGAGTTATTTGCGTTATATCTGGCTCAAAATCTGGCCAAATAAATGATGATAAATTGAAAAATAGTTCAAGTATTTTATTTGAGCATAAAAATACCAAAAATCCGTATTTAAATGGAATTTGGATAAAAAATGGGTTGGGCTTCGTAGTTTCACAGAAATATGGGTCTTTTGAAATTTATAATATCTGTAATAATCGAGACTTAAATCAACAAGTTTTAATTCAGTCATATAGATATTCTTTTCCTGAACAATTTTTTTTGAATGATTTTTCTGAAATCCTAAGGGATGATATATTAGGATGGATTGATCCGAACTTAAGAAAGCCAATTTATATGATGCCCAGATCAGTTATAGTTGATAGGAATAAAAGAATGTATACAGAAGATGTTCAACCCCCAACTCCTTTAGGCTCTTCATTAGGAATTGAATCATTGAGAAATATTACTGAAAATGAGCTACTTACAAATAGGATCCCAATATTTTCAGAACAAAATATTTCCAACGTGCATAAAACTCAAAATTCAAATTCTGAGATATATTTAGAAAGAGCTAAAAAAAGATTAATTCACAGAAAAAAAGTTTTTGAATCCATTAAAAATTTATTTAATAACTATAGTACTTCAAATAACTCAACTTTATTTCATTCTGGAAATACATTAGGTAATATTAACGAAGAATTAACATGGGTTTCTTCTCAAACTCAAAATGACGAGACAAGTAGTGTTGAAGAAGCTCAAAGTTATTTAAGCGATTCTTCGAACGACGAAGACTTCGATATCAATCATGTGAGTAATACCAGTACCAATAGAAGGCTTAGAATGGTCGGTAGACGTTCTCCGTCGATTTCGGATATTGGAAGTTCTTCGTCATCAAGTGATTCTAGCTTAGACGAAAATGATTATGATTCTGACTTAACTTCGGAAGATTCTTTGTATAATGAAATTAGAGGTTCAAAAAACATTACTAGGCCTCGACGTGGAGTTAATAACAAAGGATTGATTCATGATTCAAACTCTGATAATGAAATTGTTCAACAAGAAATTGAATTTAGATATTATGCACTTTCAAATCTTGATACAATTTGGGCTCCTGATTCTGAAGAACAAGAAATAAATCATTTGGTTGTTTGTAAACTATGTAACAAATCAAGCACAACAATTATTGGGTACAAATACTTAATTAAGTCAGGAATTGAATTTAACAGTCAAAACATCAGACCAATTCTTCACGGAGTGAATGGATCTATTGACTTGGGGCCATTAATTGGGCCATTTGATTATCGCTATAGTACTCATAGACCAGAAAGAAATGCCAAATTTCTTCCAACACAAGATCTTAATGGAGGACAGTTTTATTTACATTCAAGATGCTTAATCACAATTCCTTTTCTTCAATGGGAACTCATAAATGATCAAATTTATACAAATTTATTTGATATAATAAAAAGAATTTATAATCCCTCCGAAGGAACTCCACCACTTCCAAAAAATGGTTTGTATTCAACATTTTTTGATTCAAAAATAGTTAAATTCCCAAAACTCATTGCAACATGTAGTTATTGTCATGAATATGGTGCCTCTATTCTTTGCCAAGGTGGCAAATGTAGTCGTCAATTCCATTATCATTGTTCGTCACTAGTATATCATTCTTTTCCAGAATCAATAAATTCAAGTTTTATTTCTCCTCGTGAATCTAACATGTATTGGTGCGATATTATGCAATTTTATTTATTTTATTGCCCCAAATGCATTAATCTCAAGCAATCAAATGTTCCATATTGCCCAAAAAGAGAAAATATGATTGATAACACCAGATTAAACCATTGTAATAGATCATGGTTGTTAGTTGATGAAGTTTCAGCAGGGTATGTTCCTCAAATAAACGATTATCTTTATTTTTTTCCAAATGCTTACATTTGCTCGGGACTTGATGATATTTTTTTTAAAAATATACTATTAGAAGTTGGCACTGAAAATAATAAAAAACCCTCAAGAAGATCAAATAAGAAATTTGAATTTATAAAATGCAAATTGGTTAATATTTCATACGCATTTCCGAATAGTGCTGAACAATCTATTAAGGCGATACTGACATTTTCAACAGAATTAATTTCGGGTAGATATATTTACTGGCAGATAAGATGCAGTCCAAATGATGGTCCTGATTACTTGGTTTTAGAAGAAGAAGTTGAGAAAGGGATATACAATTTGGAACATAGACTAAGAATTGGGCAGGAAAATTATATGTTTATTGACAACCAATGGCACGAAATCGTGATAAAAAATATTAAGCAAAATGTGATATGGGAATCTATCGAGGTTTCTTGGAAACAAGAAGAAAGTAGTAATAACTCTTTAATGGTTAGTCCATGGGAAATACATGAAATTGTGCCTGACAAAAAGTCAGTTCCAAAAAATTTAGAAGCTAGTGACGACTTAATTAAAATTTTTTGTTGGATGCTATCTCAAAATGGTCAAAGTAATCCTTTGTCGATCGTTGAATTTTTCAAGTACCCAATTCCTTTTTTTTCAAACAAAAATCTATCAAAAAATGAATATTCAAATCAGGAATGGGTAATGCACTATTGGAAAGAAATTCCTCTTCCATTTAGTTTTATTTCAATAATAAATCGAATTAACAATAATTATTACAGGAGGATGGAAAGTTTGGTATTTGATATATTTTTAGTGAGGTCAAATTGTGAGCACTTCAATATTAATAATAATAATTTAGTTCAAGGTATTCGTTCAGTTGAATATGAATTACTCAGATTAATTTTTAGTAAGAGACTACCAAGATATATTATTCAAACTAGTACGGATATTTCATTCCTGGAAAGTGAACCCGAAAAAAAAATTTCTGCTGTTAATTCCAGTACTTTCGACTCAGACGAAGAAATAATTAATAGGTTAGGAAAGAGAACACGTAGAAGATTATAACAAATTTAAATTTAAGACTGTAGAAAATTAATTCATAAAATCAAGTTAAACTCGTAAATGTCTAATATTAATAATTCTAATAATGCACTTAGCTTGATTCAGAAACTATTTTGTTCGCTATTTGTTATCTATTGTGAATTCTGTTTCATACTCTACATTCATATCATCTTCTTCCCACTCCTCATAATCATCTACATTATTGGTTGTTTCATCAATATGGGCTCGATTTGAATCTATTTCATTCCCAGACAACAAAGAATACAATCTTTTTCCGTAAAAAAATTGTCCAATTTTAGGAAAAATGAGTGAAGTTGGTACAAAAATTAAAATTCCAGTAACTATTCCTGCAAAAATTAACGAGATTTCCAATAATTTATAAGAATCAGATTCATTATCAGTTTCCGGTTTTGATTTAAGGTAAATATCTGATATTTCAGTTCTCATATCACATGTTTGCCCAGGTAGTGAGCAGGTCCAAGTCTCAGTCCTATAAGGACAGTCTGCATCAATATTACCATTAGATATCCTTGTACGGACAGCTTCCCCGCACCCTAATAAATCGGGATCAAAGTCTTCGGGTCTTTTACACTCTGATAATCCTCCCCATGTACCAACCGAACATTCTGAACATGAATTCTCATTAAAACCAGCCAAGCCAGTTGTAATCCCAGGGGCCTCTTTACCACATATCTTATTTCCAGTGTATAATTTGCATCTTGAGTTCTTTGCATCCAAGATAAAGTAAGTACAGTTCACCATTACAGAGCAAAATGCCCTACACATTTCAAATGATTTGGCCATTACATCAGTCAAAAAACCTTTGGTCGAGTCACAAACTCCATCAATATTTGCAAGCGAAGGACATGCAACACCATCAGATGTGCTTAAAAGTTTTTGGTTGCAAGAAGACTTATCACATGGAAGTTCGATAATCGTTACTTCTGGAGCGCAATCTTCCGCTTTTTCATTTACCAAAAATCGAATACCTATCATAACATTCCTATCACAAATACAGCTTGACCAGCGAAAGTCTGTATATTGACAGGAGTTCCTAGTATTTTGACCAATTATTGTTCCTTCCTTATGCTCCGTGCTCTGAAGCGTTAGGGCACTTTTGTGTTCAATCCCTGCCCTTTGAACTGAACAGTAAGAACAGTAAACCAGGGATAAATAAAATAATAATATTAAAACATTCATAATTATAATTTCAAATGATGTTTTGCTGTTTCACACAATTACTATGCAATCCAAATTATCTTGTATTTGCCCACTTAGAAATAGCCGCTCAGGCATTACAAAAAAAAAAAAACGGATATTGAATAATATTTATCCCTAACACTACCTAACAGTTAATGATGTAAGATTAAATTAAAAGTAGTTTTTTGATGAGAATATGCGAGTAAGCATTAATTTGATCTGTTGTTGAGCTTCTATTGATTGTGAACTCACATTTTGTGTCTTAATGTAGTATTCATATATAAAAACCTTTAGAATTTGAAGCCCAAGAGAGGATAATGTTGGGAATTCCAGAATTAGTATGGGATTAATGATCTCTTCGTATTTGTTATAATCCTCTCTAAGCAAAGTGCTAATTTTCGCATTTGATTCTATTTTAGTTTTCACTATATAGTTGAAATGGGAAGCTAAGGGCATACCATTTAGAGAAAGAAATAATCTCAGTGACTGTTTCTCATCGCAGGAGGGTATTCTTGTTCCATTATGTGCACTGTAATAATATCTAATACAACGGATTAAAACACTCATTTGTGCTTGTAACCTACGATGAATGTTTAAAAGTATTGTTTGTATTTTTCCGTCATTATCTAGATTAAGTGTGATTCTTAATATCTTTATAATTTCTGAAGATAAAAGAATTTCGCAGCCGCTTCCATCCTGATTAATTTTATTCCAAGTTGAAAGGATTTGGTCAATATAGTTGCTTAAAATAGTTCCACGCCATGGAGAGCAATTGAATTTTCTATTAGGAATTTTTTGATTACAGACATTATGATCAAATGATTTATTTTCTTCGAGCACAAGAGTATGTGAAAAATTTGTATATAAATCGCTTATTTCATCGCACTGGTTGAAGGTATTGGAATTATTAAATATAATTCTATTATTGTAACTATAATATTTATAAAGCATTTGTTTTTTATATATTTGATCATCAGAAAAACTATAAAGTTGAATCTTAGGAAATTGGTTACTTTTAAGATGCTTAATAATATGATTCGCCTCATTCCAACAATAGCCATTATTTCTTTTTCTAGTTTGAACCCAAAGCTGCCCATCTATAAGTCTTTGAAAACAATGAGTGTTCTTATCTTTATTGAAATCAATTGAAATAGGACAGTATGCATCTCCTATTACTTTAAAATGGATTATTTCTTCCCAATCGGGTAAAATAGTAGGAAGAATATAGTATTCTGTCTTATTTTGGCATTTGATATCTTCAGATCTAAGTTCGACCGAAATTGGAACATATATTTTTTCCTCTGAAATAATCCCACTAAAATTGCAACAACTATTAAGAGGTTCAGGAGAACAACTTACGAGCTTTGGGATAACAACCTTTCGACCGTAGTTAATCGCAGTGATAAAAAGATATCTCAATGGTTGGAATATAATTCCTGGAGTACTAATATCAGAAGAATCTTTGGGATATATTGGGTGAGTTGCTAATAATAAAAATGTGGATCCGAGTTTATCTTTATTACTAAATGAATAATGACCAGCAGACAAGAACAGAAACCCGAGAGCGTTATTATAGGCCATTAATTGACTGTGAACATGTTCAATCGGTGGTATGGAAAATATGCTGAATGGTGAAATAGCAGTTGAACTGGTCCATAATAACTGAGCAGATTCTAACAATTGCGCTCTAAAGTACTTTATTTGCATCAAAATTTGTTTATCACCACTTCCTGAAAAACATAGGGACGCAGTAGTCAAGCAAACTCTAATACAAAGTTCCTTTGACCATCTGTCAATTGTAATATGAGAACTACAAATAGATTTGTCTTTAATAGTAGATGCAATACTAAGAGGCATCTGTATTAAAGGAATTCTATCAATGTATTCGAGTATTGTTGTGACTGTATATTTAACCTCAACATTCTTTTTCCCTGCAAACACTATACCTAATCCCCAAATAACTCCAGACAAAATGGCAATACGTGCTTGAATGCAATGAATCCAATCCAAAGTTCCCATCGAAATACAATGCATAAGCTTTTCATTAACCTTTGGTTCAACTCCTGAATATTTTTCTGAAGTAATAGGAAATGGAAAATTTTTGTCTGAAGGGAGGTACCAAAGGTAGCTAGGGATTTGGTTGCAGATAAATTCTTTATTAGGTATACAACTTTCTTCCCATTCAATAACAATTTTTGCCATAGACATAAAAATAAGCGTCTCTGGTCTATAATTTACCAGTTCTTCTGGCCGATTAAACGGTATAGTTATTGAATTTGAAATAGATTTATTTTTACTTCTTATATGCATAATCGAAATAGAAAGTGCTGCAGGGATTCCTAGTATGGTTGAATCCACAATTTTAGAACAGTAGTTTTTACTAGAATTAGAAAACTTGTTTGTTTCTGAAGATAAATTGGTATTAGATTTTGAGATATTTCCTCTATCCACATTCTCATTTTGGTATTTAAATCTCTTAAGTCCAGAGAATTCCGTATAGTGTTCAAGGTTTGGACCAGATGCAAGATTTGAGAGGAATTTAGGAAGTTTATTCCCAGAAATACAGCTTAACAAAGTATTAGTAATATCATCTTCTATCATTGTATTAGAAGATATATTATTTGACTCCTCACTTGGTTGTAGTACCATTCCAAGAGAAATTGCTGCAGATATAGAGTATAGATTCGGATTAATTGATGCTTGGTCGTCAATATCAGAAACTGCTCTAAGAAACTCAGAAAAGAGGATTTCTACAACCTGACGACTACGACTTTGTGAAAACAAAAGCCCAATTGAAATCACCGCAGAGTATTGATTTATACTTGATATTTGAAGAGACTTTGTATATATATTAGGGAGTATACTGGGAATATGCATTAAATAAAGCCTTAATAATGTGGTGTTTTGGGTTTTAAGAGCAGTAACAGCCGTTGCTAACAAAACTGAACAAGTTTTTATTGATTGGCCATCATTTTCTAGAATTTTGTAAATCTCCCTGGGTTCCAGAATTAAAGGGAAGTTTGTTATTGAATCAAATTTTTCCACCTTGAAAAATCCATTCAACGAAATGCCGTACAAAAAACCAGATATGAATGGGATGTCATCTTGAGAAGAGAATGCGTCCAATTGCTCGATTATCCACAGTTTTTTATTTTTATGAAAACTATCTTCCAATTTGGAGTTTGGGCAGCAATAATTCAGGGATTGAGTAACTCCCATATAAAATTCATTCCATATTGATATATCAAAGCAAACTTCTTTAAATCTTTCTATATCAACGCTTATTAAAGAGTTGGACGCAACTTCATAGATTTTATTTACAAGTGCAGGGCGATTTAGTCTATTCAATGAAATATCAAATGAGGAACCACCGAATGTGCAAGCTGCCCTACCGAGCAAGTTAGTGTAAACTAACTGTACCGCATCCACTATTCTTTGCCTTTGAAATTCATCCCAAGATTCTTCATCAATAGGATATGCGCCTGAAGACCGTTGTAATAATATTTGGGGTGGTTTATTGAGTGATAACAGCTCCAGTGCATCGCAATATCTGTTGTCATAGGAGAAAACTTGAAAGCACCATTTATAGGAGAGTTCAAACGAGCCAATATCTGAATACTCTGTTAGATCGTTTTTCCATATTTCTTTTATTGTTCTTTTTTCAGATAAAATTATTCTAGATGGGTCCATTTTATTCTTATAATAAACTTGTAAATTCTCTAACATGCTTTTTTGGTCATCTACAGTGTTTCTTCCATGCGGAAGAACAGATGCTGCAAGGTTATCAGAATGGTTTTTAGTTGTTTTCGAGCTAATATTAGTGTAAGATAAGTTTGTGTTTTTTGCAGAGCTTAACATGTCAAGCCTTCCTAACAAAAAATATTTTTTATCATCGAAACTTAAGTTTGGTCCATTATTTGAGTAACAATTAAGAAATTTCTCTATTGGAAACGAAATAATTGGGCTTAAAATGGGTAATATAGTATTAGTAATTCCAGCTTTAGAAATAAAATCAATTGTTTCCCGATTTTTAGATCCATTAAATAATTGTTCATAAAGTTTTATAGTGAAGTGTTGCAATGGAAAATGTTCACTAATTATTTTGAAATAGATATCTTCCCTATTCAGTTTTGAAAATTTCGTAAGAAAATATATCTTGTCCAATAATATTGGAGGAAGGTCCCAATCTGAATAATTTGAATTATTTTTTATTTCGTTTATGAAATTAAATGAAGATTCCAAAAATTGGTAATATTCGTAATAATTAGATGAACATAGTTTTTTTGAAAGAGGAATTAAAATATCTTTCATTAATCGGTTTTGGTAATTTCCAAATGCATTAAATTGTGGTAACAAACCTAGTTCTTCATATAGAGCATGCAAAATGTACATGCACTGATTTGTGGTTTTAAATTCTAACGACTGGTATTTAAGGTTTAAATTAATAAAATCTTGTTTTTTACTTTCTAAAAATTCATGAGGAATTATTCCCTTCGATATCAAATTTGAAAACTCAATTCTATCAAATGGAGATTTGCCATTTTTCTCCAAATACTTTTCCCAAAATTTTGTTAATTGTTGCCAATTTTTTGATTTATTGTTTAGGTGAACATCTTTATCTGAAAATAATTTTATCTTTTTGTATACTCCATTTGACATTGGAGACTCAATTGAAATATTTAAACTCGTGTTTGAAGTATTTAATCTTCGCTCATTAATATATTCAGATTCACCTAATAGAGCTCTGCGCAAAATATTCCAATGTTCTTTAGGTTTGCTTATTAAAATCTCTTTAATTAGGTTTAGTGAAAATTCTGTATTCGTAATTTTCATCAACAAATTTGTTAATATTTGGACTAAAAAATCTTCAGGGAGTAGTTTTAATGAGCATCTAATACCCATCAAATGGTTTTCTTTTTTATAATTATCTCTAAATTTTACCAATACATCAAAATTATTTGAGACTCCTGAGCTAATACTTAATAATTCAGGATTTTCTATATGCTCATGTTTAATTTCTACATTTAAAATAAACTTTGAACCCGAATAGAGTAAAAGCATTCCCGAATTCAGTAGTAACAAAAAAAATGTCGGTAAATCATGGAATTTTTCTTGGTTAAAAAGCTTACTTGATTTAAGATAATTAAACCCATATAAATAATTAATGCCAAATAACTCATGTTTTTCTTGTTGGTGCCCAAATGTAATCGGTACTGCATCCCTAACATCTTGTATTGTTTGCACCACTATTTCTTGACTCCCAATATTAGAGTTTTTTCCGTAACAAACATCTTTAAATTTGGATTCAGGAAAAATGACCAGCTTTAGCTCTGAAACAGAAGGGATACGGTAAGATATTAATATTTTATTCTCAAAGATAGTTCTGGAAATAAAAATTGATTTGGCAAATTCTATTTTTTCTTTCGAAGAATCTTCCCAAATAGATTCTATAACTAACGAAGAGCCAAAGTTAATATAACTATAAACATATATACTGTGATTTTTTTTTATTTGGTCATAAGCCATTATCAATGGAAATTCTATTGAACCCCATATTACAATCTTATTAAAGATTGATTGATTACACTTTTCAGTTAAATTAGTTGTACTTTTTAAAGTAATATCAATTTGTTGTTCAAGTGGATGCCCCAATATAGCCATGTTTATCATTGACCCTGTTTCTATTCCGTTGTATCCAACTATTATTACGCCTTCCTTTAGTGGGATTAAATTCACGACTTTTTTTATTTTATCCGTTATAACTCTTTTGTTTTCGTTATTATTAACGAAATATAGCTCACCTCCTTGGCTAATAAACATAGTACATTTTCCCAATTTTGAAAAATAGGTTTCATGCCAAATAATTGGTTTTATATTTTCTATAATTGAATTAATTTCCCTGTTTTTTTTATTAGAAATGAGCCCATAAGAACACTTTTTTTTAATGTAATCGTTTTCAATGTAGCAAAGTTTATTCTCATTTTCTGACCAATAAAACAATTTTTCTGAGTTATCATTTCCGTTTAGTATTTTTCTAGGATATTCCCATTCATGCGTTCCATTTTTTTCGTTTCTTTTTTTCGCATTTAAATGGTTATTCTTGAATTCTTTTTCAAATCTGAAGTGGGAATAATTGCACGCATTTTTTAAAGCAAACTCTTCTAATATTGTTGCATTAATCATCGATGAATCAATTGTAATTTACAGCAAAAGTTCTCACACTGTAGCGTGGAGCTCTTTTTCTTTATTACTCAATACAAAAAATAATTTACCGCGGTAAAACTTTTTTTTTTTAATTTCACAATTATAAGCATAAAGAAAATGATCAAATCAACGATTTGGACTTCAAAAACTAATTGGTTAAATTTCCAACATTATTATCACGATATTATTAGATTTTTGTTAGTTTGACAAAATCTAGATGAATAAATCCACTTAATCTTAGAAATAGCGATAATGTTTTGTTTTTCTACCACAAAATAAATTACAATTTTATTATTCTTTAGTTTTTAGATTATTTCTCCTTTCCATTAAAATATTATCTACGTATTATTTAATTTGCGGCTTGCTGTGCGCGTTTAGCTTAAAATCATTTTTCTGCTATTTTAAATATTTCTTCGTAATGTGGGTAGGCGAAGATGAACTTCCTGATAAGATAAGCTTTCTTACATTTAATGCAGGATTACTTGAGTATCGTATTTGTGGAGTGAAGTTGTATCAAAATCCACCATATACTTCTCACAGGTTACTACAAATCCCGTCAGCATTGAGGGGAATAAATGCTGATATTATTGCATTGCAAGAAGTATTCGACGAAAAGCACTCTGACTACATTATTGAGTCTTTACAACCAGTTTATCCATATTTTGCTCGTGAATCAAAGCAAAATCAAAAGCAAAAGTCACTAAAGAGATGGCAACCAATATCAGTTATACATAATCAGTTGGCACTACACAACGGATTATTGGTGCTTAGTAAATATCCAGTATTAAATGCAAGATTTACATGCTTTAGTGATGTAACATTGATTGAAGAATGGTTCATAAGCAAGGGAATGTTAGAAGTAACAATTCAACTACCAGGAATGGATAAATCACCACTAACCTTATTTAATATTCACATGGCAAGTGGGGCAGTTAATCCCGAGTCAGAAACAATCGAAACACTCAGAAACAAAGAAATCGAACAACTTTTAGGGGCATGTGACCATGCAATCCGCAGAGGGGAGGTCCCTGTAATTATTGGAGATTTAAATGCGGCTCCGAATTGCTGCGGTAGTAACTATCATTATTTTACGGATAGAGGTTGGAGAGATTGTTTTGAACATTTAAAGCATGAAAATAAAGATAGCACGTCCGCCTCGTCAAATATAAGTTCTCAAATAAACTTAAAATCTAGGCAGAATGACTTTGATTACAAAGGGAAGCAAACATATATCGATATGGATGACCTTTACGATGATTTAAGTAACTATTCAAAAGAAAACTTTACTCACAGAGAGGAACAAATTGAGGAGGAAGAACATGTAACTCCCTCAAGCAACGATTCTTTTTCGACTAGGATTGATATTGATACAACCCCGATGATTAACATGAACATCAGTACATCCAAAATAAATAAGGGAAATGACGACGTTGCAGTTGTAAACAAGCTTGTTTCATCATTTGCTGTTGCAAAGGCTGCAGTTGAAGCAGCTAAAAGAGGATTCTCATCATGTTCTCCTGAGTCTACAAGTATTGAGGTTGTCTCAACTACAAAGTCTTCGAATTGTTCAAATAATATAAGCGAATTTCAGGGCAACTACCCAATTAAACAGTACTTTCCAGGTAATAAAGAGTATAATAGTAGCAAATCATTTTCATCCGATTTTACATGGGATCCAAATAATCCTCTTAATGTCATCGGCCCGCATAGTAATTGCCATGGCCAAAGATGTGACCATATATTTCTTCCGCCAACCCACCTATCGAAAAAGTTGGCTCAATACGAACCTCACAAATCAAGCGTTATTCTTAGAGAACCTAGGGTTCTAGTTGATGGCTGGTGTTTCGGCTGTGTTGGGTCAGCAGTGCTAGTTACTCTCAGCGATCATTACGGGGTTTACGTAGAACTTAAGAGGAAACTTGACAATAATTGCAGGAATTCACAATATTAATTATAACAAGTTTCATAGCTTAGAAATCTAACTACTTAATACTTCTTTATTGATACCCCGGTGGCTACCGTTGTAATGATAATAGTAAATATAGTAGCAATGAAAACGTAATTGATATCTTCACTGTTACCTACAGGGATGTTAATTATTATCTCTTTCTGTGATTTTCCTATCTTTACATTTTGATTTGGCGTTATTTCAAACCTAAAATTCGGAACTAAACAGTATTTATCGCCCAAATCTTCCTCATAGATAATAATTGAAGGGAATCCAATTACTAAAGTTTTAAAGTTGCAGCCATTACATGCTGATTGATACCGTGCATGTATTGGTATATTTGATGATTTTCCGATGCTCAGTAATAATGAACTGTCTGACTCTTCGCTAGGTCTTTCAATATGAACTGGATGAAGAGGAATTAAAATACCATCAACTTTCCTTTCATTCCTTTGAAAAATTTCATCGATATCCAGAAATATTTCTCGATTAAATGAGTCAATCATTACTGGAGTATTTTCAAAGTGAATTATTTCTGTCTCTAAATTCCAATGAAAACCAGATCCGCTCAACCTTCTCACAACTTCTAAGTTCCCGTATTCACAACTGTCCCCCTCTTTGCTCTCACCAATTTTTATTGAAGTAATTGTTGTTTCCCATCTATTACTAAAATGATCCATAATAGATAATCTATGTAAACTTAGTGTTGAAGTATTAAATGAATTTAATTCAAATAGGCTAGCAAGCAATTCTTTTAGAATTTTATTTTCTACTTCTAAATGAGGAAAATAAATAAAAGCTAATTCTTCACCTTTTAGAGAAAAAAATTCTGGATGATTTGGTGTAAATGGATTAGATTTACTTAAAATATCCAAATATATGACTTTATTAACTTCATTTAATCCATCAATAATTTCCCCTTCTGAGTAAAGCTTGGTGAATTTATTTACAACTGAAGTATCAAATCCCATATTGATTTTTGGAATTGACAAAAAGTGTTTTTTAAACTTTTCGTTTACATCACATTTTGATGTTTTTTTCTTAGAGAAAAAAATAAAGATTCCATTAGGTAATGACGGTACAATTGAAAAACCAAAATTATTCGAAAAAAAAATAACTGAATACCAATCAATACAATTGTTTAATTCCTCATTCACCTTGCTATAAAATGCATTGGCAGAAACATTGATCGTTTCATTAGCAACTTTGTATCTTTTTGAACTCAATTCTTTTAATTTAATAAAAGAACCTAAGTATGCATCTGTTTCTGAAAATAAAGCAATACAAAATAACAAAAGCTTAATATAGTAATGAAAATTATTTATTATTTTCATTTTCAGAAAACTAAATCCTATTATCCGCGAACTATTTAGTTGTGGGCGGAATTTGAAAATTTTCTTAATTAACATGATGTAGATTAGAAACTCAAGCGTATATAAAAGTTTTAATTCAAATATTATATTATTTACAATTGTTTACACTTTTGACGCCCATGTTGGAGCTTAAGTACTTATTAGACAGTTTTTTTTTAATATCCTCTCCAGAATCTTTTAATACGAAAATGGTGTGTTGAATATATAATATATACGGTAATACATATCTACAAAATAATATTCTTCTTACACGATCTAGTGGTATTGTGTGAAGGAATATTATTGATGCTGCAGGGATAGAAATTGAAATTATACAAGGAATATATTTCTCAATACTCCCTGAAATAACCACAGTAAAAATAAAAGAAAATAGACCCCATATTAAATATACAATAATAGTTGAAGATACTCTCAGGTTCAAATATGTCCCTGCAATCAGCAAACTCGACGAAAGAGTTATAAATCTTAATGAAATATTACCCATTAAAATACAATCGATAATATTACAAAAAACTGTCCAAGAACCAATAATTATGCTTAGCCATTGAATGTAAGAATGAGCAGATTCAGAAAACTTAGGATATATTAGCATTTTTCTTAAAAAAGCGTTGATTATTTTTTCTTTAATGGAATGCCGTTTCCCAGAATGCTCTTGATCATTTTTGCCTTTGTCTCTTCTTTTACCCAAAGTTATTTTATTAATTTTACATAGGATATATATCATTCCGATTAAAAACATGGAAATTATAATTTGAATTCCTTCTCTAAACACGAAAAAAATTATTTTCCTTTTATTTGAACTTTGTATCAAACATACATATGGTGAATAAATGCATAGCAGTTGTTTAGATTTGTTAGAAAATAACAATAGCCATTCTGCTGAAGACATGAGTGGAACAATAATACAAGATAATAAAATATAATGAATAGAATGTTCTATTGTGTTACAAGAGTAAAATTGCAACCATTGAGTATACATGCCTTCAATTTCTTGGTCAAGAAAAACTTGAGAAACGGCTCTTGTTGAAATTGGAAGAGTAGAATCAGGAAATTCTGCAAATCTAATAGTTAATATAAAGCTTTCAAATTTATACATCAAGTTTCTGAATAATTTCTTTGTTCTCTGTCTATATTTATCAATAAATGTCATTGATGGAGAAAATCGTTCAAAAACTTCATTTTTTTTTTTTACAAGCAATCTATTATACAATCCTTGTAGAGTTGAAGAATGGGGGATAGCTTCAAAGTCGTCAATGGACTGTATCGGAGTATTCATTGAAATTGAAGATCCTAATGAAGATGATTCATTTGAATTATCTGCAAAAGATATTGCCCTAGATATATTTGTGGAATGTATTGAAGACGGATTTATTAATGACATCGAAGACGAATAATTATGAGAATCAACCCTAAGTAATTCTGTGTCATTAGAATTATCTAAGTCTTCTGATTGCTTCGATAGTTGCTTTAATGAAATTCCAAGACTTTTCGAAAGTTTTATCAACTCACTTTCATTTTCTATAATAACTTTAATATCGTATAATGATTTTATTTTATTAACAGTAATATCTCTTATAATAGAACAATTCGTGTAGATGTTATTCAGGACTATCAAACCGACAGAAAGTCTCGTAAATAACAAAGTGAAACTAAGTGCTTGAAGAATACTTTTTTCATAAAAGTTAATGTCTATAGCCGATAGCATTCTGAAGTTTGCCCAAGATAAAGAACCAAGTCCAATTATTGCGTTAATAAAAATAAAAATAGGATGAAAACCCGTGAACCAAAATAAAAAAAAGTATGATAAAATATCCAGAATTCTAAAGTAGAATATATCAATGCTAAAAATGGGAATAATGCAAATATTCATAAGTAATACTAACCATAGTAATAGTAATGATAGATCTCCTTCTCGCATACGATTTGAAACCAAATAGCATCCTATTGTAAAAATGAGCCTTAATGCATTTGCAATAACCATGGCATTACTTCCATCATATCCACTCAAAATAAAATATAAAAGTGATATTGCGGATAAAAAAAGAAAAATCTCGTAAGTCTCCCTAATAAATGCATGTATAACTATGTGCCTTGTTTTGTTAACCTTCCTTATATTAAAAATTGAATCAATATTCGAGTTTAGTCTTAAGTTATTACCAAGTCCATATTGCATTTTACAAAGTATTTTTCATGGAATATTTATTTCAAAGGTTATGTTAAAAAATTCAAATATTTAAAAGTAAAACTATTTTTGCGCTAATTTTATATCTGTATTCCTAATTTTTCTAAAGCCGCTGTAGTTAAATTTTCTAAATTATCTTCATCATATATCCCGTTTTCTTCCTCTTCTATATGTTCAGTAAATTCAGCTTCATCTACTTCATTTAATTGCTCCTTTCTAAACCCACGTGAAATTCTTCTTTTTTTAACATGCATTTCATGCACTCTTTCTCTGTCTCTTTCTTTGTCGTTTTCAGTTTGGTTTTTCAAACGGCTCTTAACCTTCTCAATAAATTTCCTTTGGGAGTCAACATCTGAATCTTTGTGTGTATTATCTTGGTCAAATGTGCTCGGTTCTTCATCACTGAAAAATACGTGTTGTTTTTCAAAATCAGAATTTCCATATCCTCGTATTTTGCCAGAGTAATCAGATCTAAATCTCAATTTATCAATGGCAGTTTTTTCATTTAGTGAAGTAGTTGAGAACTTTTCTTGATAAACGATAGATTCATTATTTGAGTGAAGAATTGTGTAATCTTGAAAAGTATCTATTGATTTCCCCTCGTTATTTTGTAATATATTTGATTTATTATAATCCATATTAACTTTTTCAATAGATTGTTTCAATTGCTTCTTTTGTCTCATTTTCTCCTTAAATTTTTGAAGCTTGGAGGAGTGTTTTGATATCAAAGCTTTTTTATTCTCCTCTATACTGTTAATTTTAATTTTCGGGGGGATTGCCAATCCCAAAGACAACGCAAATGCAGAAAACTTCAATTGTTCAAGGCCATCACGCTTATCACTTGGAGTTAAAATAAAGAGACTTTTGACATATGCAGAAAATGCTCTTTCTGCCATATCTTTTATATTTTGATCTGATGCGCACAAGCTCTGTAATGAAGAGTGAATTGTATATCTCATCTCGTACTCATTAGGAGTAACTTTTTTTAGTGTATCTATTCCTTTTTCATATAGATCCTTTAAAAAATAAATTTCATTATCCATAAGAAACAACAACGATTTGCCTCTAGAAACATACCTTGCCGTCCTACCAATTCTGTGAATATAAGTATCTGCATTCTCAGGAACATCTAACTGAATAACCCAATCAATTTTGGGGAAATCCAACCCTCTAGAAGCAATATCGGTACAAAATAAAACTGAACCCTCATTGAAAAAATTTGAATTTCTCCCAGTACTTTTCAATCTAACTTTTTCATTTAATTTGGTTGAATTGTCATGCGTATAAAAGCTGTGAACCACCTCGAGTCTCTTTTGTAATGATTGCTTTCCATGTAATTCTAATATCTTGCATCCTATTTTTAACTTTGTGAAAACAGTAGATAAAAATCTAACTTGCTTGCAACAAGAAACAAAAACAATGATTTTTTTATTGTTATGAGTGCGTAAAAAGTTGAATAAAGTATCAATTTTTTCATGAATATCAACTTTGATATATAGTTGCTGAAGATATCTAGGTAGTGTTCCTACATTGTCAAGTGAAAAACATTCAAGATTGTCAGTTCGAAATAAATTATCAATTTTTGTTATAGATAACTCAGATGAGTAAATAGTAGCAGAAAAAACCATAGTTTGTCTTCCAGTAGATGGAGATGGGATACCATCTAAAATTACTTTTATGTCGTTTAAAAATCCCATATCAAGCATTCTGTCCACTTCATCTATCACTAAAATTTTTAAATTATTTGCATCCCAAAGTGGTGACTCATCCATATGTTGAATAAGTCTTCCAGGAGTTGCAACAAGAATATTCAGCATATTTATTCTTGATGATTCCGACTTAATATCCTTCCCACCAACAATGCACCCGGCTGATAAGGTTGAGTGAAATTTACCAACTTCTCTAATGACATCAAATACTTGGCTGGCAAGCTCTCTGGTTGGAGTTAAAATTAAAGCTAAGAGACCATCCAGAGAACAATGATGATCCCTATATAAATTTTCTAATATTGGTATTACAAATGCTAACGTTTTTCCACTACCTGTTCTGGCCTGGCCAATTATATCTCTTCCTTGTAACGAATGAGGCAATGAATTTTTTTGAATCAATGTCATTTGATGATAACCTTCCGCCTTCAAACCCTCCAAAGTTCTCCTACTTATTGGAAGATCAGAGAATAAGTCAAGGCTCATGATATCCTCAATTTTGGTTCTTTTAGTAAGGAACTCGGTATTTTTGCTGTCAATATTGCTATTCTTTAAAATATTAGGATTATTCCAGCATTTTCCTCTACATGGAAGCTCTATAATGATTCTATTCCTAAGAATTTTAATTTCCTGCTCATCATTATACCTAGTATTTATTTTGTTTTTCCTTCTATTTGCTTCACTCATCTTTAGAAAATGTCAAAATTTACAATCCAAATATTCTGCGCCAAACTCAGGCGCCGATTTTTTTTTTTTTTATATTCGAAAATGCCAAATATATCAAGTATAAAGTACATGGTGACTAATCCAAAAAAAAAAGTTAAGGCGGTAACTTTCTGTTATTTTTTCTAGAATATTGCTGTTTCTTTACAACAAAATGGTAATTATTCCCACATGTGCCGCTAACATATTTATTCAAATTATACTCCAGACATTAAATTAAATAGCGCAAATTCTGCAAAGTATTAATTTGTAACTTAAGAGACACCCATAGATGTATTGTCGTTGCAACGATATCAACTTACTCCGTAGTGCCAACAGCATGTACCCCACAATTATATAATAAAATAGAATATAAATTCTTTTTTAGTTAATACAATACCGTGTTAATGGCATTTCTCATGATACAAAAATAAATGCCCCAGGAGCCTTGGAATGCAGAAGAGGATGAGCTGCTGTATCAGTTAGTTCAACGACTTGGACCGTCAAGTTGGTCAGAAACGGCTAGATTACTTAATTCAACACTGAACGTTAATAGATTAGCAAAACAATGTAGAGAGAGATGGATATCTCATGTTGACCCAAGAATTAGAAGAGGTGATTGGTCACTTTCTGAAGATAGATTTATTTTAAACCAACAAAATCTGTGGGGAAACAGATGGGCCGATATTGCAAGACATCTTCCTGGAAGAACTACACATGCAGTGAAAAACAGATATCATCAACTACAAAGATTGCTTAACCAAGGAAAAACGAAACTTGAGACTATTCTTAATGCACCATTAATTCACGTTGTACCGCATTTCCTACAACAAACAAATTGCTTTAAAGATAATTCCGAAAAAAACATCGAATTTGGTAATCAACTTAAGGTTAAAAAAGCTATTATCAAAAAAAGACGAGAATCTATTCATGATTACAGATGCTTGAATGAAAAGGAGTCAATAGATCAATTTAAAAAAAATAAGCAAATCTACTCTGAAAATGAAGTAAATTGCACACAAATTGAATTAGAAATAGATAAATTCAATTCAGAATTAAATAAAAAAACGATTGAAAATTACAGTGGTTTTGAAAACTTTGAAAAAAAATTAGAAAATAACATTAATAATGATCCTGAAATTGATAAGCAAGGAATTCAGACAATTGAAAGCGTCTGTAAGATAATACCATCCAATTCTGAAATAGAATTCTCTCCTAGAAACTTCAGGCATACATGCCTTGAGTTCCAACAATCTCCACCAGGGGTATTACTTACAAGCGATGTTGGGATTTACCCTGTTACGCCCTCATTTACTGAAAATTACAATACTTATAAAACAAATAACGCTATTGAACCTTCTACTTGTGAAACGAACCAAGATAATCAATATATTCTAAAATCAGAGTTTTTGACACCATCATCAGAGTTGAGCGAAAGTTTGCCAAGCAAATGCATTCAATCAATTTGTGCTTTTAATGAAGATCCAAGTATTTACGGGGAAATGGAGTATAGAGATCCCAATTGGTACGTTTGGAATGAGAATTCTAGTGGATGGGATAACAATCCAATACATAGGCTTGACACTGGCAGCATTGCCGATCCATTTCTACACTCATTCCCTGATATTTAGTTATTTCGCAGGAGATTCTCTAATAAAAAAAAATTCATACATTAATAATTTATAATTTTTGCAATTACTAGCTAATATAGTTTTATTTCTTTAAGAATCAATTCCTGAGAGATTTTTTTTCGGAATAATAGGAATTACATTGCTGTTTTTATAGTCGTCTATGTGAGCAGCCAATTTATCTACTGCGCTCTCAAATGCCTCTTTTACAGAATTAAATTTAGTTGGGGTAAACGACGTTGCTGTCCAACAACCGTCATTTGATCTCCTGTATCTTACTTTAAATCTTGCAGAACGGTAACACCAAGTTATTCCGTGTGGAAAAGGTCTCAACTCATCCGCTTTTTTACTATATTCAATTATTCTAGCCCTACTTAATGGATCGGATGGTGCGGGTAATGCCCTTATGATTGTTCTGCATTTTCTATTATTTTTTGTTCGAAAAGAAAGATGAGTATCATTTGAATTAAGTGCATCATTAAGAGAGTTTACCTTCGGATGCTCATTTGCAAGCTCACTAGTCTCAAGTTTTGATTCACAATAAATATGAGAATTTTCTTCGTTTGAAACATTTAATTCCGCAGTTTGATCTTTATATGAACAAGTTTGATAACTTGGTTCGTTTGTGAATTCTTTCATGTCATTTGAATTTTTTTGTTTTTTTTTTGATTTATTTACAGATGTTTCTTTTTTTGTCTCCAAAGAATTCTCTTGTTTATTTACTAACTGCCTTTTGGATATTTGCTTTTTTATTTGAATAGAGTTGGTATTACTCTTTACTCTGGAGTTGTATTTCCTAATTTTTCTACTGTAAAATTCTTTATCAAGATTTATGTTCCCAATAGCCAAATTGTACGCCGATGAATAGCAATTTACAATATTGAATTCAAACTTATCAAGCTGAAATGACTTTCTTTCTTTATTAGGCAAAATTACTATGAAAGAAAACGTAGAATTACACCAATCTAAATTATCAGGAAAAGGCCTCAATGAATTAATTTCATTGTTAAAATCATTGATCGAATAAACAGTTCTATCCGGATTATTTAAATTATATCTGGCCAAAAAGTCCTCAATAGTGTTCCCCCACTCATTAAAAATAAATTTATCCAGTGGATTAGATATTTCATTGGTAATTTTTGTAAGTTTTCTACGAGTACTAAGCATTTTAATCACTTTGTTATTTGTCTGAGAAACAGAAACGAATTTGCATGCTCTTAAATACAATGATTCGACTGTTGCATTCTCATCAAATGGTATTGTTTTAAAAAACTTAGAGATTTTCTGTCCTGATTCATTTAAATAAACGACTTTCCATGAATGTGTTTCATTAATCCACTTAATTCCATTTGGATATGGCTGAAGTGTTTGAGCAATCAAATTGGCCTTCTGCAACCAATTTTCTTCCACAAGTTTCGTGTTATAATCCAAAATTAATGAGTCACTTAAATCATCTTGGGAATTTTGCTCATTGGTGATATTCTCATGCCTATCTATTTGTTTAAATGTGCCATCATCACTAATATTCTGTAAACTTGTTTCTATAATAGAAATCTCACTCAAGCGATTCTGGGTCCAGACAAGAATTTCTACTGCTGAAAATTTAATAATATTCAATATTTCAGAACTTACATCAATAGAATCAACTAAATCACCTTTATAAACAACAAAGTCATTATTCATAGTTATAGGTATGGTTTTAATTAAAGCAACATTCCCCATATAAATTTTGGAAATAATATTAAATGTGGTTGTTTTGTAGCTAATTCGAGAAATATTCACACTAATAAAATACCTTATCAAATTTGATTCAATTTTGAGTGATCCATAAATATTATTCCATTCAGGCTTATCAATATATTCATATTTTGGGGTTTCTCTAAGTAATATGGCACTTTCACTGGCTCGACCTATTTTACATTCTTGAATAATAAATTTGTGGATCAATTTAACTCTGTCAATAATTGAATTGCCACTGATTTTTTCATAATTTATATTTAAAAGATTGTCATTTTTTATTTTAATCATGCCAAAATCAAAACTTTCGTATTTGTGTAATTCTTCAGATAATCCGAATATTGAGCACCTTTGGGAATTATCATATATCAGAGATTTCTCGAATGTTTGTTTACAACTTTCTATGGGGTTATCATTAATTAATAAGTCTTCAATATCTGTTCTATGATTCTTAATATCATTAATTAATAATGAAATAAAATCAGAATACTCTAAATCTTCGCGGTCTCCATCAAGATACTCTATATGAAATATTCTCTCTTTTGGGTAGTACCTTGATACAATTCCTTGATAAAGCTTACCAGAAAACTCCTTATTCAATATTGTACTTCCAAGTTTAATACATAATATCGGGATCATACCGCTTCCTTCAGTAATGGTTCTGAAATACCCATCCTGAATTTTTCTTAATTCCTCAAGTTTATATAGCAAGTCCATTCTATGTTTTTCTGATTGATAGAGAGATTGCCTAAGAAAACAAATGATTCTCCTACTTCTTTCAACAATATATCTTGAACCAGAAAGTTTCTTTAAGTGAGGCCTTAAAATATCTTCTGTTTGGCTTTGCGAGGATACCGCATACTTTCGTTTACCTTGATCATCTGTTACCAATGATAAATAAAGAGAATTGTTGTCTATTAGTTGGTTGTTATCAGAATTACAGCTATACTGAACTGAGTTAAAAAACTCATCATAGTCCGGAGCAATATGAAGCCTGTGGATTCTGCAAATTGTTGCAATACCAACTGTATGATTCGAAATAACTGATGAAGAATAGCACAAATAACAAGGTTTGAGTCTTGTAAGGCCCTCAAGACCTCCATACTCATTAAAATATCTTAAATTATGACTGAAATGCTCTGGAGGTCTGAAAGCAATGGTTTTCGAGTTTTCTGTAATAACTTCATCTGTCGACCTTAAAATGACATTTCCCATTGCATCAATTACGCCAGGAATCAAATCTTCAGTAGAATTATAAGTATTTTGAATAGAGTTTATTAGTTCAAGAGTTATATTAGGAACTCTATAAGCCAAGGATGGAAGAACTCTTAAAGTTAACGAAAGGCATTGAAAGCAAAACCAATTTTTTGAGCTGGTTTTAAGATCTTTTAATTCAGGTCTATTTATGCAGTACCAATGATATGCCCGGTTACACCCATTACAAAGTAAGTAATCATATTTTGAGTTCAAAGATAAACCTTTATTTTCACTTTTTAGTTTATAAGAACCTTTTATTGGAAAAGATATCAAGTTTTGACAAATTTCGCAGATGTCATATGAATTTATAAGTCCATTAATTCCGCAATTTGATAAAGAGTCTTTTAATTCAACTCCTTTAAATGGTGTATTCTCATTTAACATCGAATCGTATTCTTTACTTTGGCTATTATTTGTGTTAAACCTTAATCTCCATAAAATTAACTCACTTCTAATATTATTTTCAGAGATACTTCTAATCCTGGAAAACCAGTTTTCACCAAAATCTGCAGCAAGCTCATCACCTAATTTAATTCCAACACCGGGAATGGAAGTTAAAATAACATGTGGCCAACCATCTATATAAACAGAGTGCCATTGAACATTTATTCTGAAGTTAAAATTATTATTAAATACACACTCATAATGATTGAGAAATGCCATTTCATTACAAGCTTTATCCGCTGATAATATATATTCATTGTCATTTGGAAGCAAGAGCCTAGCACCAATTTTTTTAATGTTACCATCAGTAAAATGTAATTCATTTTGGTTTTGAGCGAATGGCTTTGAGAAAAAAAAAGATTTATTTTGGGAATTTGAATTTTCGTTGGTTTCAATATATTCAAACCCATCAAAAGAATAAGTTGGTTTATCAGCTAATTTGTTTGTAATATTTGTTGAAAATTCATCTGAAAGTTGATTACTTGATTTAACCACGCCGGCAAATTTAAATGCTGAACTTTTAAATGTAAGTTGGAATGAATACGACTCATCAATAATCTCGTCATCCCCAACGTACTTCACATCCCCAGTATACTCCCCTAATACTACAGGAGTATCATGTATTTCAGATAAGTCTTTTTTACACCACACAAGACTATAGCAGGTTTTGTCAATCGGAGTGGCTAATCTAACAGGATGAGAATGGTCTAAAATTTTCACAATCCCAATATTACTGGATATATATCCTTGATTAACACATTTTAAAATAGATTGATACAAGTCACCTTGCAATTTTGGGTCAATAAAGCCATTTTTTAATCCTAGTGTAGCACAATAAATATGCGGCAAATAACCATTTCTATGATCAAAACTTGAAAACAAGCTATTCAAGTCATTTTTATTTTCATCTGAATTAGAAAAATTTATCAATTCATCAACAGATTGAAAATCCCTACATCTTCTATTAATTTCGTTTTTTAACTGTTTTGCATGAATATCAAGTATTTGAGTGCGAGTGTAATTAATCCCCCTCTCGCTTAGTATTTGATTTATATTGATTTCTTCCATATTACCATATTTGTCGCTTCGTTTCTTACTGCCCACAGACAATAATAAGTTGTGAATAGTATATTGTTAATTTAGAGTTGTTTAATTACCATAAAACTTTATCTTATACTCGATAATGTTAATCAATTTATCTAAATGAAACGACAAGACAAAGTACCGGCCTTACGTTAATTTTTGAATAAATAACGATATGAAATAGATGTAAATAAGTAATTTTATTTTCAAAAAATGACTATTTATTTAGTTAGAACCTATTCTTACTAAAGTTTTGAACTAAATAAATTTACTTATTTTCATAATGTAAATTGATTTTTCGTTTAGTTAAATTCTTAAATTTGTTTTGTCTAATGTTGTACTTGATCTCATCAATCCGTTCCTTAGATGCAGCAAAACTACCATTTCTCGATTCATCCAAATAATAGTTACACCATATATTACCATTTGCTGCCCAGTAGTTCATCGGATATATTTGGAGGTATGAAAATTCGGAATAAGATGTGTCTAAATTATCTTCCATCTCATTGAAAAACTGAAAGTTATTATTAGAAAGATTACCTAATAATACAAATGCTTCATATGAATTGAGAATTGGTTTCGTATAATAAATACCCCAGTCAGTAGACAGTCTGGGGCACGCAAGTTGTATCGAATAATCCATTCCTTCTAAAAAATTATTGTTTATAGATTCTGCAGACAAATCTGAAGCGAAAATAGAGCAAGCAAATAACTTTGCTTTACAATTTGTGCCCATGTTATATTTTTTAATAAGTTTCTCTAGTCTTTCGAGTATCGCAAAACTACCTTGACGGCCTAATGTGCTAAAAAATATCCCAACAATTATAATACCATTAATCAGATTGTTTCCACCCATTTCATTTATTTTAAATGAATTAATTATTGAACTTTTTCTCATTTCATGTAAAAGCCGATGGTTATATATTTCTCGAGTAATTTTTTTTGAAAAAGGTTCATATAAATAAAATATTTTATCCGGATTTTGCATCATAGCACTTTCAAGATGAAATCTGCCATCAGAAAGAAAAATACACTTTTCCACATCGTCGTCAATAACTGCGCTAGTGCATCCAAGAGTTTCGCCCCATGCCAAAGGATCACAAACGGGTATTTTCACGGGATTTGAAAAATACTCATTCAAATGCTTTAAGGAACTAACAATTGTACTATGATATTGAATAGTTGATAGCAATGCAATCTTGTCTTCTTGCCTGAAATTATGCTTTATAGTTTGAATAAAATGCTCTGATAATAAGTTAATTTCGACAAAGACATAAAGAACATTTGCAATATTGGTTTCATTAGGGCTAGCCAATTCCTCAAAGGGAATTAAACATGAATGAGCATAATGTACAAGTAAAGATAGGTTTGATGATTTTGAATTTGAAGATTCAATCATGTTCATTAATTGATCTTCTATACAACAACCTCCGTATGTTATATCCCCTATTATCACTACATTTGCTTGGGTAAAATGTTGTAGAATAAGAGAAATGGATTGAGAGAAAACTAACAACCCTTCTGGCATTTGTAAATATACGGTAAAGTGGCCTTTGTCATCTGAAGTAGATTTTAATTCGTTAATTCTTTTAATTGTTTTAAATATTTCAAAATCATAATGAGGAGGTAGCCCAACTCTAATCGCCTCTTTTAGTAATTCAGCGTTTTCTACATCAGAATATCTTGAGTCCAGAATTTTATAGCTAGCATCACCACTTAAAGAAATGCTTTGGTTTTCAGTTATTGAACCCATAACTAAGGATATTTCCTATGTACTATTTTACTACACATAAATAAGCGGGAAGCACATAGTTTCAACAACACGAATTCAAATTCAGCCTTTAAATTAGCAGTGAAATGAAAAAAATTTATCTCATATCCTATTAAGAATGATTAAAACTATAAAATTCAATAATATGGAGCCGAACTATAGTTTCATATTAAAGTTGCTAGACCTGTTTTTACTTAATTGTCTTATCTAATTTTTCTCTTATAGTTAGTGTTACTACTTTATGAATGAACTTCGACATTCTTGTCTTGTTAAAATAAATTAAGGTATGTATTTCATGCTAACAATAAGTAATCAAGTACCAAAATCCTCATTATTGCTGCATTTCAACCCCATATGGATTCTGAACACTAGAGACTCCAGATGCACCCGCATAAAGTTGATAAGTAAAATTTGGCTGATAATTGTTGACAGTCTGATTCTTTTCAATGCTCATATCATCTAATGGAGTTTCTTTTGGCAAAACATCTGCATTGATATCTCGAGAAAACAATAAGGGCGAGTTGGACTCTAGAAGAGGTTCAAATTGGAATGCCCAAATACATGTAACGATAAGAGCAGCTGCAAAGAAAAGAATGAAGAAACTACCAAAACCTGTAAAAAGCATCAACAATTCGGAGAGTCCAGCCAATGTAAATAAAGTCAACATCCAATAAGCATATTGTTCGCCAACTCCAACATCAGCATATGACTCCACATAAAAGAAGCTAATACCGTACATTATTAAGCTGACTGCTTCACAAACAATTCCGAAGTTGTACAGACACCAGTCACCTTTTGTTTGACTAAATTTCCCATACCATTTCTGATTAAAATAGCTGTAGGTAAATGAAAACTGTGTAACTCTAAGGGCAATAACGATAATTTGAATAACATTTGCTGTGTTTAGTAGCCTCGAGCCTGCCCTAAATCCCAAAGGAGCTTTCGAGTTATCTGCAATAAATTCCTGGAATCCTGCTAAGAACAAGACCCCAACAAAATACACACATAGCATAGAAACAACTCCTGCATAATAGCTCAAATCTTCAGCCAGCGTCCCGCCATTTCCGTATAAGTCAAATGTAAATAACCCCTTATTACCAAATACGTTATAAAGGATAATCAATACTAATAAACTTGTGCATTGCAACAATGTTCCCGTCCTAAGAGTAATACAAGAAAAATTTGATATAAGTGGAGTAATTTCTTCACCTCTTTCATTTAAGATTTCATCATCCATAATTCCGTCGTTCATTACCTGCATACCATTAGTTGCGGAAATATTAAATTGGTTGGTAGAAGCCTTGCTTGGACCTCTACCTTGATAAAGCATGGGTTCCTCACCGGAATATGGTTGAGAATACATTCTTATTATTCTTATCACTTAGCTATACGAGTTTCTGTTTATAACTCACGAAAATCAAGATTGGTTCCTCAAAAAAAAAATATGCGCTAAGCCAATAGAATCTAACTTGCCTCCTGTGCGTTTAATATTTAATTTTCACAATAATCTTCTGCAATATTTCTGTGTGTAAGTGTTTAACGTTTTTGTATCCAAGCTATATCATGTAGACAAATAAATACATATAATACGTCTATTAGTACCTTTAATAAACCAATTAATAGTTGGTGTGCTGCTTAGCTCATATATGTCGTTTTTACAACTATTAATATATATACTTATTAATTATTACGTATGAATACCACACAAATCCGCCATGTCGTATTGTCCTTATTGAAATTATTAAATTCATTAGCGGGCCTAGGTGCATGTCTTGTCGTACAGAAATTCTAAGAAAGAAAATTGAAGATTATTCGTGATCCTTAAATGAACTATTAAGTAATTTCTAATGGTAAAATATTCTATTGCTAAATCACCCACAAAATAAAATTGTTCACCTGAACTTTATTATCTAATTCAAGTAATATATATTGTCAATATTTCAGAAGTATATCATCTAAATTTTGTATTATAACATAGATCCCTTAGTTAACTATTCAATGAAAATGTCTCGGAGATAACTTTAAGAACAATAGGTATTAATATACTGTATTTTGAAAAGAATTTTAGTCTTATGATAAACGTTATGTTTTGTCTATTAAAAAAAATATTCCACATCCTCATTAAAATGGGGGAACTTTCTTGTGGAAAGGTGTACTCACGCACGGAGAACTGTACGTGCAATAAAAATTTAATTACGGAGACATGCTTGGGTTATGCAATAAAAATCAAAAACATTACATGTACTATTAGTGCCCTTATTGATTTAAACAGCTTTTAAAGGACAAATATCGTTTGATTTTAAATTTTAAAAGCTTTGATCATAAAAGTTGAATCTAGATCAAGATAATGTTTTTTACATATGTGGTTCGTCCAGGAGATGCTCCTGAAGGAAGAGGGCCTTCACAACCATTATTTTTCGAAAACTTTCTAGTAAACAATCTTAAACTGGGATTTGGGTCTATGCTTCTAGGTTTTATTGGCCTGACAATTTGTTCTCTATTTAGTGGGTTTGGATTACACATAACAAAGTTTTTAAGCCCTTTCAATGAAGCAACAAATTCAACTGGAGTAGCACTGTTCTTTGTGATATTCATGATTTTTGGCGTATTATGTCTAAACATGTCAACAATTCTTATGGATGACGATGGCAGTATTAGCCAAACACGCGGGTTTAGGTCAGGATGCAAAGCGTTTGGTCAAGGTTCCCTCGTTATTTTACTGGGATTGATACTTATCGTAGTTACATTGTACTCGAGCGTAGGTTACTATGAAGGTAATGCTCTATCTGGGTTGGATCTCAACCATGTTATTAAATGTATGTATAATGCAGGTTTGGCCATTACGAGCATTGGATTAGCATTACTTGGATTTGCGGCATTCCTCGTCGAAGTTTATTCAAGTGATGGAACTAGAGAAATACTGGGATTTGCAAGTGTACTTCTATGTAAGATTTCAGGTATTTTCTTGTTCTTAACCATCATCTTTCCAGAATGCAGAATTATTGGTTCTCTTTCCACATTAATAACAATTGTTGCGTTAACTCATGTAACACTTTGGGCAGGAATTTTTGAAAGTATTGCCCTCAAATCCCGAATTAAAATGACTCAATCAGCAGTTAGGAATGAGTACTATAAAAGTAGAAATGCTCTTGCATACTTTGGTCCACCTGTTATGGCTGAAGGAAATTATACTCAACAGCCAACCATGTAATCTAAAAAACTCTACCTTAAAATTAGTAACTTTAAATAGATATTAGTTAATTTTCGTTAGAAATATTAATCATTTTTAAAAAATTACCAATATATTTTTGTATTCAACAGAAATTTTTTTATTATAAGATGTCCTCTAAACTCTTAATTGATCATTTTATCTTAAGTTTTATTTTTGCGCACAAAAAAAAAAGTTCCAATATTCTGATAAACTGGCACTGAACAATGTGATTCAGCAATAAAAATGTTAGGTAAAGCGGAATGGTTGTTTTTGACTTCAAATATTGAGGTTAATATATCTGGAAGAAAAATCATGCAAAATTTGGGTACCAAAGGTGCAGGAGTATATTATAAATTAAATGCTAATGATATTGAAATATGTATTTATGGGCTCAATCGCGAGTTTAATTATTCAATAAAAAGTGATATTTTATCGATATTCTGGAAGTTCTACAAAGATGGAAAATTTACAATTGTTAGCAAAAAAAATTATATTTTTTTTTTTTCTAATGGATTATCGAACTCAATTTATTACTTTATTAAAAATGTTGCAGCTATCTTCCCTCAATGCTTATCTCCTAACTTCGATCCTAATAGCTATTTAATATATAAATCCTCTTCCCCAACTTCTAATAATAATTTTCTTGGCTATTCTGGCAACCAGGCAATTACTAAAAAACAAAAAATCATGAAACTGGAGCAGATTAATCATCAAAAGTTGAGAAATGTTTCAAAAAATGAATTCGAAGATGAAAACAGGAAAATTTTCGGTATAAATAACTTAGATAATCGCAAAACTATTTCATCTAACTTTCTAATTGATTTACCAGAAGATCTAATATTTTATGTTCTTTCTATGCTTGTTAATCCAGTCATAAGCGAAGGAAATGAAAAATCATACACGAACTACAATTCATTTTATAAAGACGACTTAATTAAATCAACTAATTTAGTATTTGTAAATAGCAAACTACTAAAATTTTTCCAAAAAAATGCTTGGGAAATTTCAATCAATCATAAAGTACATAAATCAAATAATATTAATAATTACAAAAATTTAGGAAGTTTAATAATATCGAATAAATATATTAAGGACTCGGAAATTAAAGAATTCGCTTCTTCAAAAAACCTTCCAGTATTGGCTAATAAATTAAGTATAAAGGGAAATAATAACATAACAGACTCTGCACTTACACTTCTCCTTTTAAGATTAAAGAATTTGGAATTTTTGGAAATTATTAACTGCAATAACATAACTGGAAATTCTTCTTTCCGGTTAATTGGAACAAAGTCTTCAATTAAATATTTAAAAATAGGTTCCGTAATAAAACAAAACTTTTCAATAAACGATGATTCACTGAAAGATTTGTTCAATATAAACTACAAAAAAAGGTCAGATATAAATTTCATGGATAAGCTTACAAAAACAAACATTGTATATTTAGAATTAATAAATTGTCTAAGGATTACTAAGTTCCCAATTATTAAAGAATACTATTGCAATATTGAATATTTAGACTTAACGGGATGTAAGAATATTATAAATCACGAATTCGAACTTTTTCTTGGTTATTTGAATAATCTTAAAGTGCTCATTTTATCCAATACAAATATAAATGATCAGATACTTAATGTTGTTTTTGAAAGATGTTCTGGAATAGAAATATTGGATGTTTCTTATTGTAATAATATTTCAGAAGAAGTATTTGATAAGATACCAAGTAGATTAAAATTAATATCTGGCCTTAAATTATCTTATTGCTTGAATCTCAAAGCTAATGCCTTGATAAAAATTCTAACTGGTTGCAAATTTTTGGAAATTATAGATCTGACAGGATGTTGCAATATAGATGCCAATTTAATTAATTATCGAAATAACACTGCCTTTACTTCAAGAATAAGAAAGATAGGTGTTTTTAGGCTTTCGTTGGACTTAAGAAAACTGAATGATTTTATATCTAATAATATTGAAATAAAGCCAAATAATGCAAAAATAAATATTGAAATCCGTAATGACAAAGAATTCCTAATAACAGAATTTACTTTTAAATACGAAAAAAAAAAAGATCAATATCTAGAAAGAAGTAAACCAATTTGGGCGAATTAAAAAATAAATTTCATTAATTTAATTTTCCTTTCTTAATCTCTCAATATGGCTTTTGCAAATATTATACTTCGTTGCCTTTCTGATCAATTTAGATGGTTCAGTGATATTTTTTGCAATATTTTTCAAAACATTCATGCATTCTTCCATATTCACTGATGAAAGTATCTTCTTTCTATTCAAATCTAACAATGCAATTGAAATATTGAATAACATGTCACTACCAAAACAAAAAATGAAGTCTAATATCTCCATAATTGATGTCAAAGGCAAAGATGTAACAAAGAAACAGAGGAACCACTCCAATGCAAACCATTGGAAATTTATTCCCGTACTTTCTAATTTCTGCGAAACTTCGGGTATAAATTTTTTGCACAAACTTTCTAAAATGATAATGTCCTGTATTATTCCATCCATCCTTTCTCCATAATATGTCTCCAAATTTCCCCAGCTACAAACCATAAATTCTTTGTTTCTATTATTACTAACTAGCTGTACTAGAGACCAAAAAGCAGCCTCCTCGTTCATATTAACTAATAGAATTGCCACTATGAAATTCATGCTTTGGCAGTATCCAATTGACTTATCATGAGATGCAAATGCGTATAAAACTCTGTTTAATGTGTTAGCTTTATTAAAATTTTTAGAATTAGAGTAATATTTTGAATTTGGGAAAGTTCTGTGTAAATCCAGGATAATTTGGTTCTCAATTTTTTTATCAATATTTCCATTTAGTTCATTCAAGTATACATTCAAATTGTTTCTCAACATTCGATCACTTCCTAATAAATAACACCAAACTTCACCTCGAATCTCACATGGAATTCCACTAATGCATAACTTCATTAATTTTTTTTGAGTAAAATCTTTATAATTTGCCCAATTACTAAGCTTAACTCTAGAGTTAAAAATGTTATTAAAAAATAAAAGATCATATTCTCGATGCCGGAATTTACTAAATTTCTGGCCTCCAACCTTATTTAGTTCATATTCTAAGTCCCATCCCATTCCAATTGTTTTTTTTGAATCGATCACATTTATTAGTGAATTATTTACATTCCAGAAGTCAAATGGAAAAATTTCAATATACCATTGAGATTTCCAGCAAATATTCTCCAGTATAACTGATCCATCGTAATCATCCGGATCATCTTCCCCATCTCCAATTTCTTTGTCTTGCAAAATTTTTAACTTTTTTTTTTCAAGGTTTTCAAGACTGAATTCAAAAACAGGAAGATTAATATCCATTATTGCGCCGAAAAAAGTAACATAATGGCAGAGAAGTATGCATAACTACTGCACAGTTTAATAACTCTTTAATCCATTCAGCCCAATTTAGTATTTTTAATAATCAAAAGTTTGAGCAAACCAAAATTTGGAGGGTGCGGGTTGATGAAAGAATTTAAAAAGCAAACTTCAATTCAATAACCTAAATATATATAGAAATAAAGCGAATCTAACCTTGAAAATATAGAAGATAAAAACAATCATTATATCAGAGTTACAAATATAATCTAGTTAAGGAATTCCAAACGTTTTTTTTAACTGAATAACTAATTTCCAGTCATCCTTAGACAGTTCATCTCTAAAATGTTGTTTTAAGATATCAATGGAATCTCTAGTAATACGACTAACTAATCTATCGTTATGGTCAAAATGTCTGCCATAAGTAATGTTTGTGTCAGATGCAAAAGGTTGGATCTTAACAGCAACTTCTTGGCCTTTCTTACCTTCGCTTACAGGCTTCTTGTTGAATTCCACACTAATTACACGGCCGATCATTAAGTTGTCCTTTTCAGGAACGCATAAAGGTGTACCTGGCTTTAAGATACCTTCTTCCACATAAACACCACAAATAATTGGATCCCTAGAATTAAAAATGTATTGAGGAATAATTTTTAATATACAAGGAAATACAACTTTCTGTGACTTTTCCTTCTTTTTTTCTTCTTGAATATCACCATAATATTTAGAAAACATATCGCAAAGATGATAAATAATATTTGCCTTCATTATTCTTACATTAAGTTTCTTTGCCTCAACCTCTGCCTCTGAATCTACCTTGATGTCAAACGCAAGAATAACTGCCATTTCAGGGAAACCTCTTTCATGCATAATGGACGCTCTCCTAACGTCAGACTTATGAACAGTACCGATATTTAAAGCGACCACCGGAATATTAGAAGACTTTAGAAAAACCAACAAAGCTTCTAGAGAGCCAAGAGTTGAAGCCATGACATAGACTCCATTCCCGGTTTTATCTACCGAACTAAAAATCTCCCCCATATCTTTCATTACTTCTTCCTTTAACAATTCGATATCCTCCGAAGTTGAATTCCTTGGAGGTACCAGTAACTGCGTTCCTGCAACAGCGTCATCAAGCCCATTTGCACATATCTTCACCCCCATCGAAGCTTTGATAAAACGGTGATGAATATATTCACCCTTTACTCTCATTTCATGCATTGGTTGAGGAGTTAATAGCGCTCTAATTGTTGTTACAATGGGAGCAGATAGGCCACAAACAACAATTGTATCTCCCTCTCTCAATATTCCAGATACGAGAATCACATCAATTGTCACGCCCAAGCCATCAATAGCTTTTACTTCTAAAATAGTACAACTTAGTTCACGTGTATTCAACTTTAAATAGTTAAGACCCATATAATTTTGAGTTAACTGAGCAATTAGATAAATTAAGTCAGGTACTCCTTCTCCAGTAACAGCGCTAGTTGGGACAATTGATACATTACCTCTGAAATCGTCGTTCTTCCAATAAATATCACAATTTAACCCTTCTTCGGAAAGCTCTAGAAGAACTCTATTGAGGCGAGTATCAAACTCATCTCTAGTACTATCATTCTGAATTGAAAGTGCTGATCTAGAAGAAGACCAACCCTGCTGAATCCAACCATAAAGTCTGTCAATCTTATTTAGTGCAATAATAAAGGGGCATTTTCTGCTTCTAAGTAACCCAATACTTTCTCTCGTTTGTGGTTCTAGTCCATGCATAATATCTACAACGAGAACAGCTATATCACATAAAGAGGAACCCCTAGATCTTAAATTATTAAAACTTTCATGACCAGGAGTATCGATAAATAGTAGTCCAGGAATTTGCAATTTAAAATCAGCATCAACCTTCCCGACTTGTTCAGAAAGCATTTCAGGTGGGAAGTAAGTTGCACCAATTTGCTGAGTTATTCCACCTGCTTCATTGTCCTGAACATTTGTTCTTCTCATTTTGTCAAGAAGTTTTGTTTTTCCAGTATCAACATGCCCTAATATACAACAAACTGGAGATCTAAATCCTTGATCTTCATCTGATTCTTCCGTTAAATCCTCAATGTAGTTTTTATCTGTGATATTAACGGTTTTCTTTGGTGAAAGTGTGTCGTTTATATTGTCTTTAGAAACATTCATACTTTTCTGTTCCACTTCGCTTTCAATTACTTTTTCCCACGAATCTAATACAAATTCCTGTCCTACAGCCTGAGTTTCTATATAATTGCAATTTTCACCTTCTTCTATATTGTTAGTAGATAGAATATCTTCTTTTTGGTTAGACTTGTTTTTTTTCTTTCTTGTTGCAAGCCCAACGTTAATATTTGAATTAGCGAAGCAGCCATCATTTGCTGATACTACGCCCTGCTGTTTAAGGTATTCAACAAATTGCTCACGCTTTTGTCTTTCAGCCTTCTCCTTAGCAGACAAAAGTTTTCCTTCAGCTTTTAATTGTTCCCTACGTTCCTTTCTTTGTTTCTGTTTTAAAAGTTTTTCCTCATTAATTCGCAGCAATTCCTCTTCTTCCAACTTCCGTCTTTCTTCTTCTTTCCTTTTCTCTTCTTCTTCTCTTCTTTTCATCTCCTGTTCGTTTTCTTGAATCAACCTCAATCTTTCCGCTGCTGCTTTAGCTGCAGCACTTATATATTTGGGTTTTGCATTGTCTTTGTTTGCTTCCGAACCAGCATCTTCAGTAGCTGAAGCTTGTGATTTCGCCTGCTTCTTCTTCTGTTTTTTAAGTCTATTTTTCAAAGTTTGTGAAGATACATTCTCCTCTACCTTCACTTCCTTGGGATCTTGTAATTCTTGTTTTGCCTCTGCATTATCAACCGTTCCAAATTCCGCTAATAATGCATCCAAATCCTCGAGATCCTGGTCCGGTTTCTAAAATAACAGAATTACATCCGGCACAATAATCAATACAAGTACTACTTACCTTGTTTGCATTTTTCTTCTTGCCCGACATTTATCTCACAATGTAATTTTTATTTTTACTTTAAAGAGCATTAAAGAGCATCGCGCCCAAAGAAATTACCCGCTATTGAGAGACGAAAACCTGTCTCAAAAATATTAGTTAATTAGTTCAAATAAACGTCTACAAAAACAAAATTGCTGGAACTGGTTTTTAAATTTCAGTTTGTACAGGCATCCTACAGATCCTTTAAGTTGTTATTTTTCAGAATTTAAATCATTAGAATTCAATATGACAGCAGAGGCGAACCCTATGAAGAATATCAAAATAGAAAAGTTGGTTATCAATATTAGTGTTGGTCAATCAGGTGATCGCCTCACCCGTGCAGCAAAGGTATTGGAACAATTAACGGACCAGAAACCCGTTTTTGGTCAGGCTCGCTTTACTATTCGTTCCTTCTCTATCCGTAGGGCTGAAAAGATATCGTGCTATGTTACTGTTCGTGGTGATAAAGCCGAAGAGATTCTCGAGAAAGGTTTGAAAGTAAAGGAGTATGAACTTCGTAGAAGAAATTTCTCTGCAACTGGTAATTTTGGTTTCGGAATAGATGAACATATTGATTTAGGTATCAAATATGACCCCAGCACCGGTATCTATGGTATGGATTTTTTTGTACAATTGACTAGACCAGGTAACCGTGTTAGTCTAAGAAGGAAATGTAGATCTAAGGTTGGCAAGCACGGGAGAGTTACAAAGGATGAAGCTATGCAATGGTTCCAATCTAAATATGACGGTATTATCTTGAACTGAAAATTGCTGCACGTCAGTCAGCAATATCGACTCTATTAGTACTAGATTGATCTAGTGGTTCATAGTAATAACTTATACCTTTAAAATTAATATTTTTAGTATCTTCTAGTTACCTTTCTTTTTGCAACGCCTTCCTCAGACTCACTATCTGTACTGGTTTCATCCAAACTCTTAAAGCACTCCTCAGATGCTACATGTTCTATGAGCGAATTTCTAAGAGGAATGTCTTCATCCCAGTCCAGTTGTTTAGTGAGTTGAGGTATAGTGAATCTAAATAGTGAAAGTAAGAAGATATCAAAAAACGATATTATGTCACAAGAGGGAATTAACTTATCCCTTAAATCTTCACAGTTAGAAGAAATTACATCGTGAAATTCGCTATACTTAAATAGTGGAGTGTTTTCCCCTTCTAGAAGTTCTGTATAATATTCAAAAAGTTCTTTCTTCCTTTTATTCGTAATTTCCCAAAAAGCTAATACAGATATTTTAACCATTTTCTTAGTGTGTTCATCATTAATGCAAGATTTATTGTTTTTTAAAACTTCTTTATTTACAAAAATAGAAACTTTATATTTTTCTTTACCCTTATTCAGTGAAAAAAAAAATTCAACTTTGTTATTTTCAAGGCGGCTATTCACAGAAATATTATCTAACTGATTTATTTCCTTTAAGACTAGCCTAAAATCACTACCAAGTGAATGCTTATGTTCTTCTGCTGTATTTATTATCAGATTTTTGATTTTATCATTTATCATCATCAAAAAGTAATAACCAAAATTCTGGTTGGCGGCATAGGTTATTTATTTGAATTCATTTAATGGGTTTTGTTTTTAATTAATTATTCTCTAATGGATGGAAAGAACACTACTAGAGAAACATCAAGTAATCAATCTAATTACAATGTAAACAAAACTGTTTATCTTAATAACTTAAATGATCGTGTGTCTATTCACAAGCAAAAAATAGCTCTTGAACAAATTTTTGCAAAGTATGGCAAGATTGAATCAATAAAAATCTTTAACTCATATTTCAGGAAGGGCCAAGCATGGGTAACATTCCTTAATATTGAATCTGCCGTAAGTGCTGTGAAAAACGAGAATGGAACGCAACTATTTGGGAAACATGTTAATGTTTCATTTGCTGTTAAGGAATCAGAATATAGAAACATTACAATTTGCAGTTGCAATTCGACCCCACCGATGATACCGAAGTCCATATCTACTCGTATTGAACTATACAGGCAATATCTAACTCAGTGGTTAAAGAATGCAGAAAACAACGGTTTTCTCCAGCCTCTAGACAAACCTGAAAAAAACAAAATTAAAATACTTAGTAGTCAAATTTTATATGATACTAACTATGCAAATTTGATACGTTCAAATAAATACAAACAAATTAGCGCACAGTTTTTCTTAAATAATGAACCTGCAGTTAACTCTCTCAAAAGAAAGCCAGAAATACATGTTGAAGATGCTCCCTCATTTAGATACAACAAGTTTTCAAGTAGTACAGTTCCACAAGAGATAAGCAACACAGTATTCGTACAGATCGAAATGGGATTATGTAAAGAAGAAGATTTATATATTTTATTTAGTCACATAAACGGATTCAGAGAACTTCGTTTTATACCAGTAAGTTTCAAAAGTTACTTAACAGTTTAAATCACTCACATCAGAATCACCAAGTTGCATTTGTAGATTTTTCTACTCAAGTACAAGCAGCAACCGCGATTTCCAAGTTGGATAACTTTTTATTAAATAACTCGACAAGGCTCAAGCTCTCATTTGCAAAAAAAAAATAAGCGCGCAGTTTTCTGTCTCATTTTTTGTTGTCTCGTTCTAACGTGCGAAGATCACTTTGCAACTAGTGTGTACAATAATGATTGTATATTCCCAATCGGTATTGAAGAGAACGTTGCTATAATTTTTGGAACTTAAAACACCTTATGGCAGTAAATTTAATTGATGTCTTTTGTTTTAGTTCCTAAATCTAAATATTGTTTACATTTTGTGATGATGATCTTCTTAGGACACCTACAGACATCAACTTTGATGGTTGAGTATTACGGTTATCCCTGTCTGAGCAAATAATGTAAACACTTTCTACTCAAGGACGATGATCGAGGTTTTCCATTGCTAGATAGTATCTGATATACTGATGTGAATTGGATATGCCAGTTGGCTCTTCTGAGTCCCTGAGATTCAAAATTCCGACAGTTCTTTTTTTTTAGATTAGTGGTTCTTTTTCATATATTAGTGGATTTACTTCCATTTTCATTCTTTTTATTGAGCTTGGCGAATTTTTGCGCTTGATCTCCTCTTCGGCGTCGTTTCTTATGTACATTTTGACTGTTTTCGCGTTCCTCTTTATAGATTCATTCTTCTTCGTTTCCTTTTTGTCACCTTCGTCGTTGATTGCATCACCTTGAGTGCAGCTTGGTGAATGCTCACTGCTAGAAGTAACTTCTACAACGAATGTCTGTTCTGGTTGTGAATTTGAAGGATTAGCGTTTTCAAAATTAATATTTGATTGTTCAATATTTATTGCGCCGTCTTTTATATGGTCAAGATATGATCTGAGCTAAGTTTTATTTTAGTAATAAGTTTTTTAATGTTAAATCTAACTTACTCTCTCAATAAATTCATAGATTGCTTCAGACCATACATCCCTATCAATTTCTATTGTTTTAAAGAAAAGATCGTGAATTCCATATAGATCATGGTACTTAATATATATTTGATCTCTATCAGTTTTATCTGGAATTACCACGCTCATAGCAAGAAATGGATATCCTCCTAATCTGCTACTTCCTTTTAGATAATCTCCTTCACTTGCCCAATAACACCATTCCCATCTGAAAATTATTAAAAATTGTTGGATTAATATTTTTATTAACTAACCTATTAAAAGTAACCTCCACTGCTCTGAAATAAAACATTCTCAATTTATCTAAAAAAAAGTAAAAAGCTAAAAAAAAATTACAGAAACCTACCTTTGTTCCCATTTTCCAAATAATATAAATTTCCCTGCAATGCTTTAGAAAAAAATACCAATTGTTCCTTTTCTGACATTTTATCAAAATCTGCATAAATTGATTTATTACCCGAAATGTCCGCATCCGTTTGTAAATTAATCATTGCTTGAAAAAGAACTGGATTTGTATCATCAACTATAATATTTGCAGAAATCCTATAAAAAGATAATAGTAGTTTTGCGGCCACTTTTCTATCTTTTTGAATACTATATGTTACTTTCTTTGGAAACTTTGCATCAATAATATCCATAATGCTAATTCTGCATTCTCCAACTACTGAACTTGTAAAAGTACCATGGCTGATTAATTCAATGAATAAGTAATTTTCTCTTTGCCTCACAAAAATAATACATTTTTCTTTCCAACAACACTTAAACGACTTTTTAAGGTTATTAGCCATCTTATTAACATCTTCAGAGCAAGTAGTTATAGATGAATCATCAACTTCTCTACCGCACTTAATTCTTATTGAATATTTTCCTGGTTCTGGAATATCACCTCCTTCGAGAATGTCCAATAATAAATTAAAATTTTCATGTTTATGTATACCAAATTTTAAAAAAAACCAACTAAAAGGAAAGAATTCAGACGGATGTGGAATATACTTGCGAAATATTAGTAATAAACCTCCGAAGGCAGCACAACACAGAATACCACTTGACAAATCAATCAGTCCTCCTGCCTTTGTTCTTAAATGTTCTATAAATCCCCACATTGATTTATTAAATTCTAAAATAGTTTAAATATTTTGGTGTGCACACACTCAAAACAAGAAACAACTATCTACCGGAAAACTCAAATAGAAACAGTTATATGAATAAATAAATAAATAAACAAATATATATATATATATATATGTACATCAAACATCTATATTATAAGAAATAAACACAATCTCCTATGTTTAATTTAAATTTTGGTGGTGGGCATGATATTATAATGTGACTTTCACAATTAAAGCATTCTTTCAGAGAATTATCATTAATAATTGATTCTAATTCTCCCAAATTTGGAGAGAACTTTTGATTCTTTAAATCTTCCCTTTTATTGAATTGATGTTCATCAACTCTAACTGGCCTATAAATGGCAATTGCCAACCTTCTATGTTTAAGAAGTTGCTATTTTACATATTTAAACAATCATGAATAAATTTCGGGTTAACTTACCGAAAATAAGTTATAAAATGTAGAATTAACAAATACGAATGGAATTTCTTCCATTTGTAAATTACAGTTCTTTTCGTTATACCTAATATTGCCAAATGTTTTACAGGTTTGGTTGCCATCAATTATTTGGTTAATAAATGATTTATTTATTGGATTATTATCCAATATTGGTACCAAAAAAGGAACCAAGGAGTCAATAATGTTATCCACAAAAAATTGTCCACTTAGAAATTGTCTTGAATAAAAAAAATCCAAGTCGTTTTTAAATGAAACAGAGTAATCTGACCCATCGATTCTTGCTGGCCAATAATCAGAATATTGAAATAACAACAACCCAATATCCGTTTCCTTAATATCAATGATCAAAGGTGGAATTTTTCGGGATCCTACTAAGGAAGAATTATCTTTTTTTTTGTGTTTGGAAAATAAATAACATATTGTTATCCACGTATTAATCGCATGTTTCCCATGTCTAACATTAATTAACTCGTCTTTATCTTTGTTTAAAACATTTCCAGTTGAATCAAAAATAATAATTCTCGATGCAACCAGTGCCCCGGCTTGTTTTAGATCATTCTCTGATGTACCAACACCAGATACTCGGGCAATTTTTCCGAAAAATTCCTCATTTATAAAACTCAAAGCAATATTTTTCTCGCATAAAACAATAAAATTGGAAGGCTTAAGTGAAAAGGTAAATTTTATCAGCATATCAATCCTTTCATACCATCCAATGATTAATACAATTGGATATTCTCTATTTATAAATACCCTTGAAACAGCTTCAAAATAATTTGTAACTAGCGGAATATTAATATTCACTTCATGTAATAAGTTCATATTGGACTGTGAAAGATTAATTGAATTAGAAGAATTTATTTTGCACATCTCAAATTTGCTATTAATATTTGCCATATTTGATATAGAATCTTCAAAGTTATTAGGCAAAACAGCGTTTTTCATTTGATCAAAGCAGCATTGGTCGTCGTAAGAAATCGAATATTGAATTGAATTTGTAAATTCACGATTATGTTGGCTGTTTTGTGTATTTTTTGCAGTTTCATTAATATTAGTAAAATTCTTATTTATAAAATTTTTATCAAAATCATTTGAATCGTACTGTTTCTGAACTTCAGAAATTAATTTGCACTCATCAATGTTCAAATGTTCTTTATTTTCAATATATTCTTTTGAGTTGAGCTTTTTAACCCTTGTAAGAAATACATTAGATGGAGAGCAACTTCTCCTTCCTATTTTTTTAATAAACTCCTCAGTGTAGTTTTTTGGTGATTCCAGTAATTCTGCTTTTTTCAAAAGTGAGATACTCGAAGTTAGCACAATCCCAAGATAATTTGAGCCTTCATAATGAATATTTGAAGTATCTCCAATAATGTATTGATGAGGGTTTAAATATGTTTTATTTGTATTAGGACAATATATTCCGATCAAAAATATTCCTAAATGTTTATAAATATATTTAGTAAAAATTTGTATTGGATATCCAAAAAATGAATTCGGGAATCTTAATGTATGAACCTTAAAATGAAGTCCTCTCCACCTACACTTCCATTCATATGAAGTTATTTTTGATCTATCAATATTACTAGTAAAAAATGTATTTTTTGGAGGTTCTTGGAGTTTTCTAAGCATGTTTTCATTTTTTGGTATAATTAAATGTAATATTATTGGCAAAAACCCTGGACAATTACTAATACTTTTGCTTAGTAGTTTAATTTTTAAATTTTCCAATGAAAGACTTCCTAATACGCCAGTTATCTTTGACATACTTGCAACTTGAGATGAATTAAAAACAAGAAAAAATTTCTCTTTTAACCCCAATAAATTAGTTAGACCTAAAATTTGTATTATTAATAATAATTATTATATTTATCACTTACACATAGCAGTAATAAATGCATCGAAATCACTTTTATACATTTCTTTATTCAAAATCATTTCTTTATGCAATAGTGGTTTTTCTGATCCATATATTAAAACAATAGAGCTGAACTGTACTAGGTTGTTTATTGCAGACCCCAAAGAACCTTGTTTTATACTTAATCGAATATAGCCTCTTTGCTGTGATATTTTGACTATATTTTGGTACTCTAGTATTTCTATCGGTGTTATAAGAATTATAGATTTGAATCTTCTCTGTTTTTGTAGAGAGAGAATTTTTGTAATAAATAGTAACTGCTTTAAGAAAGTGTTAAAATTCCATTTAAAAATCAAAACAACTTACTTTTGGTGGGATTGCTCCAATAATACATAAATATGTGTCATTTTTTCTAATAAATGACCCAATTGAGTCGGGCGGTGTATTTAATGCTTCTTTCAGTCTTTGGAATTCATGTGGAAGCAATACAAGAGTTAGAGTGATTACAATGATTGTAACAAGCCTTCCCTCTCTTTTTTGTGGAGAAAAATCACCATACCCTACTGTACCAATAGTTACCACCGAGTAATATAAATAATCAAATAAACTATTATAGTTTTTTTCTGAAGGAGACTCTATTGTAAAAATTGCACCAGCATGAGTTAAAATGATTGTTATTGCGCCTGCAAAAATTCCTATTTATTCAAAATTAAAGATTCTTTAATTAAAAAAAAATTTCTTACCAATAACTCTTCTTTTTATCGCAGAAATATGTGGCAATAACATATCCAACACTTTTTCTGTCCGAAATAACCTTAAAAACCTTAACCATCCAAATCTAACTTAGTCTTTAGTCTTTGAAAAAATACGCCAAACTTACATTAAAAGCCAGCTTTGACTTGATTCGTAATGTGGGCTGATTGTTATGATGAACAGTAAGAACGGAGGAAGAGACAAAAAATCGATAATCTGATAAAAACTGAAAATATAACGAATTGTACTCTCTTTTCTATACCAAATTGCTATTAAACCTGACAAAAATAATTAAATTCTTTTTTCATTTTATAACATACCAATCACATAATCATAAGAAAGCATCCACAAAAACGTCGATTCAAAAAAATAATAAATCTCTGGAATATTTTTAAAACTCCAAGGATCATTATTATTTTCACGATACATTTTTGTTGTTGCCCAAATGTAAACCCCAGACCACAACATTGATTTTATAATGTGACCTAAACATAATAATTAGACAATAGAAATAAAATAAAATCTTACCAGTTTGATATGCAGGAGTTTGTGTTTGTCTAAAACACATTTCGATGAATGAATTTGATATTTCTGAAATACTTTTTATTAACTGTGAAAAACTTGGGTAACCTGTGTGAATTCCCCAATGAATCAATTCAGCACCTTTTAATGTGAAAAATTTATTTGAATAAAATTCATTGCTTATAACCTAAAAATGATGATTCCCCAATGTAAAAATTTAAACTAACTTGTTTCTGTATTCGAGGAATTGCAGCTACCCAATCATCAGAAGCAGCTTTTGGAATTATTGAATGATGATCAAATGCATAGTTATATATTCCCGTTTCATTTAACGATTCTGAACTACCACTTTTACAGTCTATTTCAATGCACTCTTCCAGTTCTTTTTCATTCTTTTTAAGATTTGATTTTTTCATACATCTAAATTACTTATTATTATTCTAAAAAAAAGTTGTTAACTTACGATCTGCTCTTTTTATGAAAAATTCTTGACAAAAGCTTATATAGCTTCCTTTTAATCAAACAATAAGAAGTATTCCAATTTAAAAATTTTGGAAGATTAAACCATTCAATAATTATATAAAGGAAGAAAAAAACTCCACTATTAAATACTTAAGATATGGAATTTAGATTATTGTATGTATTATTTTTAACTTACAAATTGCAACAATTCCAGGAAACGAATAATAATTATTTAACACTAAAACAGCTGTTGAAAAAATAAAAATACTGTAAATAAAAGTAAAGAATGTTCTGAATAAACTAAAATCTATTATTACTGTAAAAATTAATGATCTCGAAGCATACCTTTTAAAGTTAATGTTTTTTTTTTGATCTTTCGTTATTGAGAATGGGTCATCTTGAAAATTTAAAGACATCTTCAAACGAATAATAATAAATGTTCATTAAATACAAAACCCAGTGCTTTGGTCAATTTATTTTATATTTTGATCGTATCTTTCTTTTAACCATGTAACAGATCTAATCTTAATGCAGATTATAGCGCCAATAACTGGAATTAATGTTTGTCATTAATTCTAATGAACTTAATAATTATTGATCAAAAGAATATTAATGAAGACCTAACTGTCGAACTGTCTTCTAGACAGTCAAATCATTGTGTTTCGGTCCTGGAGGTTAATATTGGCTCGAAACTTAATGTAGGAGTTAAAAATTCTGGAAAAGGAACAGCAACGGTAATTAAAATAATAAAAAAAGAAACTAATAAAGACGGGAAGATAAAATGCGAATCAATATGTAGCTTCTATAATATTGAAGAAATAAATAGCCAAATAATTAATAAATCCAGAAAACCTATTTCGGAAATCAATAACCGAAGTAATTTGCAATACACTGTTACAATCAAATTAGATACGCCTATTCACAAAGAAACATATAAACATGAATATCCACTAATAGACTTATTAATTGCCCTTCCTAGACCAAAAATATTTGAGAAAGTACTTCAAAATGCGGTTACAATTGGAGTCGGAAGAATTATTTTCGTTTGCACTGATAAATCTGAAAAGTCTTATTTGAATTCATCTAAGATAAAAAAAGAGTCGATTGATGAAATTATACAACTTGGACTTGAACAGGCATCAAAAACATTATGTCCAGATGTTTACGTTTATGCTTCATGGAAGTTTTTCCTGCAGCACTTAAGGTAAGAATTATTCTTTAAATTATAAATATTTACGCCTTTAGGGATTACTTTTTTTGTAAAGAAAACATGATAGGAATTGTTGCTGACGTAGCAGGTAGTAGCAAGATTACCGAGATAGGGCTACAAAGTCACGTCGGACCAATTATTCTTGCTATCGGGCCCGAAGGAGGTTGGACAAAAGAAGAATTAAAAGATTTAATTACAGAAGGGTTTAAAGTTGTAAATATAGGTGATCGAATTCTTAAAGTGGAGACAGCGGTTATATCTTTATATTCAAAAGTGAGTTTTTATACAGATTAAATAAAGTTAAGCTAATCTTCTAGGCCGAATTGTTATTAACCGATTCTGAGGTCAGAAAAAATGCAAGTATTGCAAAGAGAGACAATTATTGGTTTCCGTCTAGCAATGGGCCAGGTATGTTGAAATTCAATTATTTTGGGCCAAATAGTTTTTTTAGGGATTACCGTTTTACCAGTAAAAGGAAGAAAGTGGGATAATAAATTTTTTTATACTCAATCTCCAGAATTAAAAAACATTTAGTTATATATTACCGCTATAACTTTACCCACTTATAATAAAGTTGATTTTATATCATACTAGAGCATGAACACTATATTTCTCCCAGAAACACCAAAAGAGCAAAAAGGAAATAATTTGGAATTAATCAATTTGGTTTCCGAAAATGCAATAGAAAAAAATTTTTCATTAACTGAGGAAACAAATTTACTCCTTAAAATACAGAATACTGAAAGTGAAATTTTTAAAGAACACTTAGACTATATTGAATCTGACAATCAGTTTTTACTTAATGATTGTTTAAAAGGAACCCCAATCAGAAAAAGATGTGATAAAGAACGCTCATTTACACAATCAAATAAGCTTTTAATTACTCCAAAGAAATATTTTGGGGAAGATATTTTAAACACTGTTCCAAAAAATATGGGAAGATTCGTAAATTCTCTAGAAAGATTATCAATAGATAAAAAAAACAACATAACATTAAGTAACACGCCACAGAAAAAAGAAATGAGGTATTCTATGATTAAATTAAAACCTTCAATATTTAACAATCAAAACAAGTTTTGTCAAACGGAATCTTCATGCCCACACATTTCGGTAAGATTGGCTAAGGAAAGCTCCAAAAAATGGTTTTTAAATTTCTTCAATACAATATATGAATTTTTGATTTATCAATTACCACTGGCACTAATCTTTTATAGTTTTGCATTATTTCTAATTAGCGGTTTATGAGAAAAAAAATAAAATATTCTGTTAACCTATTCTAACTTTATTTAAAGGATTTATCATATTAAATGCTTCGCTTCTACCCAGAGGGTTCGAAAGTTTATTAACGAGTTCACTTACACTATTTTTCTCTAGTACAGAAATATTATTGAGATTTATTTTTTTTTCTGAGATCCACATATTTATCGCATTTGAAATTAGTGCGTCCGAGTCATATTCTGAAAGCCAAAGTTTCATAGAATCTAGAAAATATGAAAGCGATTTGCTTTCTGGATAAGAAACAATCAGTTCTTTAGTTGCATGCACCAAAACTTCCATTAGTGGTACTTCCAGTGCACTCGATACCTTGAATGCAAGTGAATATTCACGAATTAGAAAGAGAATTACTATTGTATCTCTCCTATCTTTATAATTTGGACTTAAAATCGATTTGCGTGCATTTTCTCTTAATAAGAGTTTAATAATCGAATTCTGCAGTTCAAGTAATTTGATTATTTTTTCTATTGATAATAATGAAAGACCCCCCCAAGGAGTTGTATTAATCTTATAAATAGGTATATCAGCAATAAATGGAATAAGTATATCGTTTAATTTTCCAGAATTTGTTAAACTTTGAGATGTAGAGGGGTTTTCTAATGTTTTTTCAGAATTGTGATAATTTATTGTGGGGAATCCCTGTTTGTTATTCTTTTTATTTACTCCAGACTTTACCTTTTTTTTCAATATTAATTCTGCATTTTTAAAATGGTACAAGGCTGACTCTAAGTATCCAGTCCTCGAGTCAATATTTAAATGGTTTAACAATGAAAGGTGAATTGCAATTGCTCCTATAATTGCATGAGGAATTTCGATAGAAACTGATAATGATAGAAAAGACATATATAACATTTCCAACGCTCCATTAGATTCTAAGTACTTCTGTATTATATGCTTGCACTTTTTTACAAATATAGAAGCCCTTGGGCCTCCCAATGGTACTGCCTCATTCATTGCGCTAATTAGACAATTTAATTGGTTTTTATAATGGGCATTTTTTATAACTAAATCAAAAAATAATCCTTCGAAATTTTGTTCACTATTTGTTTGCAATTCACCCTTTTTTTCTGTTAATAAAGATCTAGATTTAGAAGCTCCAAGTTCAAAGCTCCATCTTAAAATGTAAACCATTGCTTCCCACCAAAAATTTAATTTCACAAAAGTATTTATTGTTAAATAGTGATTCGGAATGTTTTGTGTCAATAAGTGGTTGATGAGATCAAATTGAAAAAATTTCTTTTTATTATTACTCTTTTGGTTGTAATAAATTAGCGTAATGTTTGGTTTTTTTACTTGGATGCATTTAATAATCCTAGATTTTTGTGTATCTCTTGTGAATATATTATTTTTAATAGAATTTGTTATTCTCTCCAAAAAAAACGTAGTATATGATGAGCTTAAGTTATCATTCGAATTTGTAAAGAAATCAGAATTATTTTCAATTCCGACTGATAAATTATTCAAATTAAAAACGAAGTCTGGCAGACCGTTTATTGCGTTCCTTCTAATTTTAATACTAGAAATAAATGTCCGTTCGTATAATTCAAGTAAAATTGGACTAAAAATATCGGAATTGAATAATAATGATAATGGAAAACGTAATATATAATTTTCTCGACCTCCAGTACAAATTTGAAGCTTTTTCCAAGAATGATATGTTAATACTATTATCAAAATATTCAAATTCAATATATCGGGTTTTGAAAGCATAATATTTTCAATTATTCTCATTGAATCATTCATCGGGTTCTCAATTTTAACTATTTTCCCTTTATTTACATTCCATTTACTGCAAAATATTTCCATTATAATTTCATTTCTTGATCTAGATGTATTTAGAGTTATGGAATCCATATGATTCTTTTTTCCGTTATAAAGCTGGTTTATTTTATTAATTATAATTGAATCTGCAACTATATTATGAACAATTGAATTTCCAGATTCCAAATTTTTTATTTTTGTAGTTGATTCTAAAAAGTTATTTTTACTCAAATCTTTTAATAAGTTTAATTGATCAGAAAAAATTAAAATTTGAATTATATTCTTATTCAGAAATACTATGTCTTTTAATGAAAAAACTATTCCAGGAATTCTTTGCCAAATTTCAAGTAAATATGATAGGCTTCTAATCGCTACATTAAATTCATTTTTCCCAATATAATCGCTTGCCCAAGTTAATAAAACAAATAGATTTCTAAATAAAACTCTCGACTTAGAAATATTTTCCATATTTAATTCATTCTTTACGCTCAATCCTCTCTTTTCCCCTAAATTTGATCCACATTTATATACATTCATATATCGATTCTTGGTATAATATGAATTCTTTCTTGCACTAGAAAATTTAGAAAAAGGATGAAGATTCTCTGAAATCGTTTTTAATGAACCTTCCTCAGTAACCCAAAGTTGTGAATTACTGCACTCAAACCTTGGACGGATTAATGATTGATCTGGCATAGATTTTTTAAATATTTTGTAAAGCTGATTTGACATTTTGTCAAAAATATTCAATAAAAGATCATTAATGGTTTTTTTTTTTGGTATAATGGAAATTAGTTTTATAGAAAAATATACATCAATGTTATATGATTGAGTCTCTTCTACATTTAAATTTAGTTCAATCTGATTTTCGATTGTTTGAAATAATTGTAAACACATATTTATGTCAGCTTGTCCAAAAATAAAAGAAGTTTTAATTTTTTCTATTATGAACTGCTTATTTTCAACAATTCCAAATGATTCTTCAATTAAATATAACAAAACGTCAGATTTTAAAAAAATATCAATGTCTCTTTTCAGTATTTCAATCAGTTTATTGTTCCTTGTCATTATTGCCAGTCTAATAATTAAATATGGTGAAAATAAGTTTGATACTTGAATATTTTTTATTCCAAGATCTCTTACCAACTTTAGGGAAGTTAATATAGTTTTCAATACGCTGACTCTATTCATATCTAATAATGAACTTGGTGAATTAATATAAGCATCCAAAATTTTATATTTTTCGATTATACCAGTATTACTAATTAAAAGTCTTCTAATATTTTCAAAGCTACTAATATTTTTTGAAATAATTAACTTATATAATTTGCTAATATTAAGTTCTTGAAAATTGTAATCATCTTGCATATTTGCTATAATATTATTTATGTTTGAAACCAAAGAAAAATTATTGTAATGAGTATTCCTTTTTACCTCCTCAAAAAATTTATACCCAGAAAAAATATTTGTTATAGATTCTTTTTCCGAATATTTTATATCTCTATCATATTCTATAACTTTTAATAGCAACTTTTGTGATACCAGTTTTGCGATATTGAAAAACTTTGCTTCTAATAAACAGTTCAATAATAATACAATCCCTTTTGTAGATTTCCATTCCTTAATTAAAATGCACCATTTATTCCACAAACTTGTGTTATTCTTAAAACGCTTAATATATGAAATGCAGAAAAGTCTTTGTATAATTAAAATAATAACAATATTTTCTTCAATAAATTTTCTTTTCTTATTTGTTTTTGAGTTTTTAAACCAAGAATAACTATATTTCATGGTATTTTTGTAAGCAATTTCAACAATTGATAAAACAAAATTTGGATCAGATATTGGCTGAATTTCAGTTATCAACTTATAAATATTATAAGGACTGTTTAATTTTATTATTTTTTTAAAATTAATCAAATTCAGGTTATGAATTATATTCTTATTTTTCAATATTTTCCTGGATAATTTAAACACGATTTTATCCACAGTATTAACACGATTAACAAAAGAAATTGAAAATAAATAATTAATTAAGCCAATTTTTTTTTCAAAATTCTTTATAATATATAAATTATCATCATTTAGAAAAAAAAAAGTATCGATAATTGATAACCACTTAAATAAATAATTAAAATATTCCAAAGATTTTGAAAAATAAAACCCAGATATTTTATCTATATTCATATTTGATAATTTATATTCAAGTTTTCTATTTATATTGTATTTCCAGATACGGTACTTCAATGAAGTTAATAATATTTGTTTTTTTGTGAGAATGTGATTTATTTGGTTTTCTAAAACGAAATTCCATGTTGAATAACTATATTCTGCATTTCCACTTGGCAAAATATTGTGAATTACAATTGTAAATGTCCCTTTAAATGGATAGAACTGATTGATTAAAAACTCCATTTCGTTGTAAGAATTTATTTCAGTGTTTTTAAAAATTAATATTGAACTATAAAGGCAGTTAAGAGTTTTAATCACAACAGAGATTAAATCTGCTCTCATTATTTGAGAAAGTTCATTACTACCAACGTTTAATTTTCTTTCAAAAAATGAGTATGAGATTATTTCATTTGGAGTCAAAGCTAATATTGGGAATGCCTTATGCTTATCAAAATTTAAAAATAATACCGATATAATAGATTTTATATAATGAAGTACTGAGAACAAGTAGCCTGTGTTATTAACATTTGAAAATAAGTTTTGCTCTAAAATTTGATTAATATTTATTAAATTTTCACTTTTTGATTTATTTAAGGAAAAACCAGATAAGTAGTTTAATGAATGAGTTAAAGCTGTAGTAATCAATTTTCTATCATGTATTCTGTTTAAATGAGTTTTTATCAGTGAAGTTTGTTGTGGTAATGTATCTATTTCCATTATATATCTTGTTAGAGAAATTGTACTAGAAGAATGATAAAAAATAAGAAGCCTGCTCAAAGTTGTTTGAACTACTGTATTGTACTTAATATCTAAATTACTTGTGTTTTCCTCTATAATATTTTTGGCCTTTCCTATTTGTTCCAATGATATATTAACATTTTTATTTCCAAAAGAAATAGAGAAATCTATGAGTAAAAATGCAAAATACAATTTGGAAAAAACCTGTAACAACCATGCTATTTCATTTTCACAATCAATCAATTTGATTTCAATAAATGGAAAAAATGTTTCCAAGACTGAAAATAAAGATAACTGGTTAAAACTTAATATATCAATATTTGGAAAACCTTCATTAATATTTTTAACTATTCTATAAACAGTGTTAATGCTGTAATAATTATTATCATTTTCTTCAACAAAAAGGGCATGAAAAACAAAACCATCCAAAGCTATTAGTGTAACGTTAATAGAAAAATTAGAATTTAATATTAATTCATTGGATTTTTCATAGTTCTGAATAGACAAGAGCTTGAGCATAAGAATGGGAGAAGAAAGTAAAATATCTGAATAACTTTCACTGGTCGAATCGTTGTAATTATTTAAGACACAAAATGATTCGAAACTTAATGAATTTGAATACCATGGATTGTTTTCATAAGTTTCACGAAGAACCCATCTATTATGAAACAAGCTATGAAAATATTCAGAACTTTGACTATAACTTATCAGTGTTTTCCCAGTATTAAATACTTTTGATGGGATTGATAAAATAAAGCGATACCACCACGTAAATATTTCAAAATTTTTTGGCAATACGTTTGGAATTTTAAATGGAAATGAAAATAAAATCAACTCAATCATCAAAATAGTTTTTTCAAAAGTTTTCTCAATAACTTGCAACATTTCAATTTGAAAATTCTTGGACAATCGATTACTCCAAATCAATAAGTAGTATAACAATTGAGTGATGAAAAAAAATCTTTTGTTTGAAGATTGAATTAACGAATTGCTTATTTTAATTTTCCTTAAATAAATAAAGCTTTGGCAAAAAAAACAATATATTAATTCGTTGTGAAAGTAATTAGTTTGAATATTTCCAATCTCAATAGATATATTTTGTAAATTTAATCCAAAACTTGAATTTTCTTTCCCATCAATAATCTTAAAAACTTCTTTTTGTAGTAAATAAGATTTTATACAGTCTCTTTCTTTTGTTAATAACAATATATCGTTACCAATTGTTAATGGAAGAGAAATTAAACTTGTAATAAATTTTTCTAGTGATGTCCAACATATTGTTGTATAATTTTTAGAATGCCTGAAATTGTCAAAATAATAGCTGATAATTGATTTTTTTAAAATTATTTCTTCAAAAATTGTTTTAGTATTTTTATCTGAATAGCATCTGAATTCATTAGAATAATTTGAATTTAGTTTTTCAGAAATAAATATAGATATTGCATGTTTTCTTGATATTTCATCTAGATTATTTGCCAAAATTTCGCTCTCAGTGAATACTTTTTCATTTTTAATTGATCTAAATGGTAACCATAGGTTCTTTATTAGCTTCCAATTAAATACAGGATCATTTTTTAATCCAAGAAAAACACAAATTGCTCTTAAATGAGGAAAACAAAGAATAATTTTATTTGCAGCCTCAAAATAATTATCACTTTTGTTTTGATTTATTTTGTTCAACAAATTTGATACAAAAATAATAGGTAGCTCCTCAAATTTATTCCTTGATAAATTTAAATATCTTAAGTATTCACACCAAAAAATTGGATTTTCATCGAATTTGTAATGAATTGAAAAATCGTCGATAACAATGGGATACAAAATTACTTTATTTTTATTCTCAATGTATTTTGGTAACGAAAAAATTCCTAAATAATTATTTATTCCAAAATTGATATTAAACAAAAAATTGTCAAATTTTAGCACTATTTTTGAAATTAAACTTTGGTCCAAATTTGAATCTACAAGCATCCCAATATTATCATTATATTCGCCATTTTCAACTAAGTTTATTGTATTTAAATTATTCAAGTATTGATGAATAATTTGAAAATTATTTAATTTTTTAACAATATCTTCCGAAAACAAATTTTTAACATTCAATAAAACTTTAGATTCAATTGCACATATATTACATATTTCTTCACAAGCCTTTAGTGATTTAATCTGATCAATTAAAAATTTAACAAAAATTTCCTTTCTTAAATCGTATTTACAAAACAAATTTATTATGCAAAATATTGCAACTATTATTGAAATTACGTCTTCCGGTTCTTTAGGTTCTGTAAAGTGAGTATTAAATGGAATATTTTCTTTATATAGAAAGTTTTTAGAATCTAAATCATGATTCTCAAAAATATTTTCTAATCTAAGTATTGAGATACTTTTTGAAATCATTTTTACAAGTGAAATTGTGGATATTGTTCTGTGATTCTCCTTAAAAAAAATTAGATCCAAAATACAATTTTTTAATAAGATCCAATTTAAGCTAGTATTAATAGCAGATAACGTATTTTTAAGTGATGAATTACTTTTTAATGAACCAATTTCAAATTTTGATATATTTAAGCAATCCGTTAATAACTTTGCAATTTGAATAAAATGACTTCGAGACGTTTCAAAACATTCAAACATTTCACTGATTATTTTTACAGAAAAATACGCTTCCTCTTTTTTCGTTTTATCAACTGATAGATTTTCAAATAATTTGTTCAAATTTGTTGAAAATGAAGGAAATCTATTTAGATAAGGTGGTAATCCAACCATTTTTGGCAAAATTCTCAATTCTGGAACTTTAACTTCAAGTCCATTAATTAAAAAAGCAAAACAATAAAAATATCTTAACTTTTTAATTATGTCAAGGTTTATGTTAATATCAAAACTATCTATTATCATTTGACCAATTAATAAATCAAACTCGGTTCTACTAATAATGTAATCTTCAATATTAGCACGATTTCTAAAAAATAATTCATATTCTTTAATGCATGCAAGCACAAAATGTGCTGAAGTAGGAATTGTGACAGAAAGCTGCCAATCTGGGGGAGGGCCATAATATATTATGGAGTAAAGTAATTCAGAGACTTTTCTAAAGTTGATTAAACTTAGCTGAAAAATGGTTGATCTTGCTAATTCAAATTGGCCCAAAGAAAGATAATTGCACGTCAATGAGAACAGAATTTTTTCATTATTATCAGATAAGAATGGACAAAGATGTACTAAATTATCTTGATTTAAGTTAATTGAAACAAATCTTGACCTTCCGCTACTTCCACTTTCAAATATGTTAGTGTTCATAATATTTTAATGTTTGTAAAATCCATTTCTGAAAACTTGCGCCCAAAAAAATTGTAAATTATTTCTAATAGAAATCATGATAATTATATCAAAAACTATTGAAAAAAACATTTAAAAAAAAATATTTAATACTATATTTTTATATTTACATAATTATAAGTTTATTAACTTTATTGTTTTGCAAATCAATTTTAGATTGATCTCTAATATGAGCACTCACGAAATTTTGTGATAGTTGTATCGCATATACGTTAACAAGTGTATCCTCGTAATATTGTTTTTCCTCAATTAACGGTTTTTTTCCTATCATGTTCAATTACTATTTGAATATCTGTCCTAATTTAATAATTAGGTCAATTTCACTAAATAGTTTTTTTTTATTATGAAATATATTTTATTATTTTCGTTAATTATTGGTGCGTTTGGTGCACCTCAGGTTAAACCTAACATTCCTGGTGTAGCTTCTCCCTTGCCGCATACAAAAGGCCAGGTACCTACGTATGTCGAGACTCCACTGGAAAGTTGTCCTCCAGGGTATTTAATGGAAAATGGAGTTTGTGTTCAGCGCATCCAGGTTCCTCCAATGCCCTTTTGTCAAGAACCAGCAATTTATCATGAGGGGCACTGTTTAATAGTGACAGCACCTCTAAAACAATGTCCACCAGGATACGAAATATCGGGAAAACAATGTACTGCTACTAAAACCGCCTCTCAACAACCATCTTGTCCTCCAGGTACTACATTGCACGGAACAGAGTGTATCTCGAAACACATGATAGATACTGTATGTCCCCCTGGTTTTGTAGATAATGGAAGAGATTGTGTTGCATTCACAATGCCTGAAAAGGCTTGTCCACCAGGATTCGTTTTTTCAGGAAAGCAATGTGTTCAATCTGACACAGCTCCTCCGAATCCAGAATGTCCTCCAGGTACTTTGCTGGAGAATGGTACATGTAAATTAATTCAACAGGTTGATACCGTTTGTCCTTCTGGCTTTGTTGAAGAAGGAAATAGGTGTGTTCAATATCTTCCTGCAAATAAAATCTGTCCTCCTGGATTTAATTTATCAGGCCAACAGTGTATGGCACCAGAATCCACTGAATTAGAATCGACGTGTCCACCTAATTCAGTATTTGAAAATGGCAAGTGTAAGGTGATAAAGAATATTGATATGGTCTGCCCACCAGGTTATACAGACTCAGGAGATGACTGTGTACTTTACGTAGCTCCTGCAAAAGAATGCCCACCAAATTTTATATTACAAGGTCTTCAATGTATTCAAACTAGTTCTGCTCCAACCCAACCTGTATGTCCCCCAGGTACAGTATTACAAGATAATGCTTGTATTTCAGTACAAGCTATTGATGCCATTTGTCCACCAGAATTTTTGGATAACGGTAAAGACTGTGTGAAATATTCGCCAGTAACAAAAGAATGCCCACCTGGATTTACCTTGAGTGGAAATAGATGTATTCAAATTGTAAATGCTCCTATGGAATTTGAATGTCCACCAGGTACAATTTTAAAAGATGATCAGTGTCAATCAATAGAAAGAGTTGATACAATTTGCCCACCAGGATTCGTAGATAATGGCGAAGATTGTGTTCAGTTTTCTGCACCAGAAAAAATTTGTCCTCAAGGTTTCTCTCTTTCTGGAAAACAGTGTGTTAAGACAGAATCTGCACCAAGATTAACAGAATGCCCACCAGGTACAACTTTGGAAGGTAACAATTGTGTTTCATATGAACTAGAAGATGCCGTTTGTCCCCCTGGATATCTTGACAACGGATCAGATTGTGTCCAATTTTCTCAGCCAGAAAAAGAATGTCCAGCAGGTTTTGTATTAATTGGAAAACAGTGTACTCAGACCACACAAGCTCCACCACAACCAGAGTGTCCCCCTGGTACAAACTTAGTAAATGGACAATGCCAGAAAGTCGAAAGAATAAATATGGTTTGTCCAACTGGTTTCATTGACAATGGAGCAAATTGTGCATCTTTCTCTGCACCAAGCAGAGAATGCCCATCTGGATACACATTGTCTGGATCACAATGCGAACAAATAAAAGAAGCACCACCTGTTTCAGAATGTCCACCTGGATATACACTTCAAGGTAATCAATGTAATGCATTAAAAATGGTCGATGCTATTTGTCCAGATGGATTTTTGCCAAATGGAGATGATTGCATTCAATTTTCTCCTGCTTCAACTGTATGCCCAACCGGATTCACCTTACAAAACCAACAATGTGTTCAAACAACTAATTCACCAAAAACACCAGAATGTCCACCTGGTTCTGCATTGGATGGGGACTCCTGCACAAGACTTGTACCTGGAGCTCTTCAATACGTTTGTCCTGTTGGGACTAGGGAAGGCGATGTTTGTGTTGAAAGATCAATAAGTTCACCTGTTTTGGAGTGCCCACCTGGCTATTCATTAGAAACAGGCAAACAATGTGTTAGAAGAAGCCAGTATGACTGTTCAATAACAACTTACGTTACAGAGTGTAAAACTCCTGACGTTAAAGCCCTTAGAAGATTAGCAGCTGCGAAAGAAACATCAACAGTCTATGAGACATCCGAAATTCAACATTCAGGACACCATCATACTTCTCACTCTCATGGACACTCACATTCACAAGTTATCCCAATTCAAACTCAAAATATACACACACAACATCATAAAGAAGCACCAAGACCAATCTGTGAGGATGTTCCGAAAATTACTCCTAAAACTTGCACCAAGGCAGATTCTGTTCCGGCAGTACCTATTTGTGAAAATAACGCAGAGCTTGTAGGAAAAGAATGTGTATTAACAAACTACTATCCATTAGAAGCAATTTGTCAAGATGGAACAAGATCAAAGGAATGTGCTAAGTTTGTAAAAACTCCACCCACTTTAAAATGCCCACCAGGTTCCGTTGATGTAGGATCTCAATGCCAAATTAACAAATATTCCCCATATGATCTTGCATGTCCTGCAGGATATGCATTAGTTGGAGATAAATGTGCTATTACTAGAGAAAGAGTTTGTCCAAACGAAAGTTGCCAAAGGGTTGTGACTGCACCTGTTTCAATGACTTGCCCACCTGGATATCACCAAATAGATGAGGTTATGAATATTTCCACTCATTCCCACCACAGGCATCTAGCTGGAGTTCAGTCCACTTCTCAAAAAGGATATTCTCATGGGCATCATAAATATGTTCCCGTAGTTTCTCAACCACAACCAACTCCAGTCGCCGTCCCTATTCAACAAATGAAATGTATTCATGCAGACCATGCTCCATATAACCTTATTTGTCCTATAGGCTCTAGGCTCGTAGCAGATAAGTGTGTTACATACTCAGACAAAATATGCCCAAATGGTAATTGTGAACGCATATACAATGAACCTGCTGAGTTGGTATGCCCACCTGGATTTTCCTCATCTAAGCCAATTCAACCCGTAAATCATTCTCATGCCAACAATCCAACTGTTCCTATTTCTGTTCAATCACAAACAATTAAACAGCCACAAGTAATTCATCAAATGGAAACAATCCAACCACAAGTAGTTTATCAGACAAAAGAAGTTCTCACAACTTACCCAACTCAAATTTATCAATCGGGGTCACTTTATCAAGGATACAATCATCATCATCATCATCATCATCACCATAGACATCTGGCCGCCCCTGAGTGCATAAAAACAGTTTCAGTACCTTATATTTTGAAATGTGAATCGCCATTTATTTTAGATGGTGATAAATGTGTTGAAAAAACAGAAAAAATTTGTCTACAAGGTGATTGTAGAAAAAAAGTTGTTGTTCCACCAACTCTTTCTTGCCCTCAAGGCTATAGAAATGCACATGGAATTCAAACAGCAATTTCCAGCAAGCATTCAACAGGAACTCATCATTATTCAACACCTTCAGCAGAATGTGTAAGAACTATTTTCGAGGAGTATAGTCTTGTTTGTTCGTCAGGGTTTGTGTTGTTAGGAGACAGATGTGCATTGTTTACAAATAAAATATGTCCAAATGGAGATTGTGAACGATTAATAAGTAAACCTGCCAATATGGTATGTCCACCTGGATATACTAGACCACAATCAAATCATCATCATTCGGATCATGTAAGTCATGGACATGGAGGTCAATTGTTACAAGAATGTACGAAACAAATATATACTCCTTATGACCTTTCTTGCCCAGACAATTATTCAATAATTGGAGATAAATGCGCCATTCATACTGTTAAGGTTTGCCCAGATGGGAACTGTGAGCAGCTCATTCGTTCTCCACCAACTATGGAGTGCCCACCTGGATATTATAAACCTCAGGCTGGAGTTGCAATTAGGGCCCATGGGCATAAAGCTAGTGGTGCAAGCCAATGTATGAGAAATGTTTATGAACCTTACGCATTACAATGCCCAGATGGATTTAGATTATTGGGAGATATGTGCCAACAATCGACAACAAAGGTTTGTCCAAACAATAATTGTGAAAGAATCAGTTATGTACCACCAGTTCTTTCCTGCCCTCAAAACTTCGAAAGAAGTGGACAAAGATGTATTGCCAATGAATATGCAGATTACGAATTGGCGTGCCCACCTGGATTAATAGTTATCAGTGATAAATGCGCAAAATATACAGATAAAGTTTGTCCAAATGGTGATTGTGAGAGAATAAAAACATTCCCTCCAGAGCTTGTTTGCCCACCAGGTTACACAATGGAGGCTGGAGTTGCCCAGGGAACTAGAAGATCACTAGGAGCATCTTCAAATCATCCACATCATAGTTCTGGACATCACCATGCTTTAGGAAATCACAATCATCACACGGTTATACCAGAAATAAGCGTTGTAAGAACAACTGTATGTTCAAGAGAAGTTTTTGCTCCCTACTCATTAAGCTGTGCTCCTGATAGTCAACTATTGGGAGATAGATGCGCAAGATTTGCACCTAAAGTATGTCCATCAGGTGGGTGCGAGAAGATAGAATCTACACCAGTAGTTTCTAGTTGCCCATCTGGGTACGTTACCGATCAAGATGGTACATGCTATATAGTTGAGTATGCTCCATTCTCACTAACATGTAATGATCCATATACTCTTTTCGACAACAAGGAATGTGTTTTGGTAACAAAACCAGATAGTAGGTGCCCCGACAATACAGAGAAAACGAGTACGGGTTGTGTCAAGAAAGTTATAACAACCCCAATTGTGTCGTATGAAACAACATGTATTGGGCCAACTTGTAACGCTGCCTAAATCTAAATTTCAATGAACAATTCTATTATCGCCAAAAACTGATCTATTATCAAAAAATTGTCTAGAAAAAACCAAAGCATTCGATAGTTCAACAAATAGGACTTTAACTTTTTTTTACTCTGCAATTTTAAGTCAAAAAGTGATGGGAACGGGATTCGAACCCGCGAAAACTAGCACCTCGAACTAGCGCCTTAGACCGCTCGGCCATCCCACCTGCTCGAAGTGATGGGATATTTACAAAGTTGCTTTCTAATTTAGCTAAAGTTGCATAAAAACTTTTTTTCGAATTGAATTTGTATGAATTTCATGCTCTAAAAAGAGATAATAAATTTTGAGTGATTTATTAAATTTAAAATGCCTAATTTTGTCTAAATAAACAACTCAAATAGAATTTGTATTGGTTGTTTTTGGATTTTTAGTATATTTTTGACGACCATTCTCAAATTGGTTTAATATAATAGACGGAAATATCGATTTTGCGGCGGGTTTTTTTTTTTTTTTTCAATCAGGTTATTTATAACCTTACTATTGAAATGGGGATTTCTAGGTTCTACAGATGGATATCAGAAAGGTATCCTCAGATTAATGAGGAAATATCGGATGGAATTACACCATCATTTGATAATTTATATCTGGATGTCAATGGAATAGCTCACAATAGTGTGAATTCCACCGAAATGTGCACTCCAAATGATGGTATTAATTTATCTGAAAAAGGTTCTCCGGAAATTTGGTCAGCCATTTTTAGATATATAAATAAGCTAGTGTACATAGTTAAGCCTAAGAAGTTACTCTATATTGCAGTCGATGGTGTTGCTCCCAGAGCCAAAATGAATCAACAAAGAAGTAGAAGATTTAGATCTGCAAGAGATTCTGATTTGATTAAAAACATGGAGAAAAACAATTCGATTGACACTAAAAAAAATGTTTTTGATTCAAATTGTATAACTCCTGGTACAACTTTCATGTACGAATTACGAATACAATTAGAATTTTTTATTAATCATCAAATAAATACCGATCCATTATGGAAAAATTTGGAGGTTATTTTAAGCGGAGCAGATGTCCCTGGTGAGGGTGAGCATAAAATAATGGATTTTATTCGTTGTATTAAATCCCAAAGAGACTATGATAATAACACGACTCATTGCTTATATGGACTGGACGCTGATTTAATAATGCTTTCTCTTGCATCTCACGAACCGCATTTTTCCTTATTGAGAGAAGAAATAAAATTTTCTGGCTCAAAAAATTCTGAAAGTAGAACAGTTTGCACAAAGGAAAAGTTTCAATTTTTGCATATTTCTATTTTGAGAGACTATATTATCAATGATTTAGATCCGAGAAATTTAGGAATTGAAGAACTTAATTTATGTTCTGGCTACAAAACTGGACTTAATGCTGTTTCAGAGGTTCAGAGAAATATTTTTGATAACACTTTAATAGATGGTGAACGTTTAATTGATGATTTTATTATCTTGGGTTTCATTGTTGGAAATGATTTTCTGCCTCATATTCCGTTCCATACTGTTGATCAAGGGTTAGCGAGAATAATTAACAGCTATAAAAAATATCTAGCCCATTTTTTTTTACTAAAGCTAAATAATTCTCCATGGATACTTGAGGATTGTGGTAGAATTAATTATGTAAATTTACTTCGTTTTTTAATTTGGCATACTTTATCAGAAAAAGAAGAGGCTGAAAAACGTATTTCTAACCCGAATTATTGGAAGGTTATCCCTGAACAAAATAAAACCAATTCTGATTCACTGGGGGTTCCAAGGTTTATGATTTCGGACTCTATAGAACAAGACAATTACAGGACAAAGTGGCAGGAAACCAGGCCCGAAAATTTTAAAGTTTTGCGTTGGAGATATTATTTTGTGAAAATGGCAATTAATATTGATAAGTTTTTACCAGAAAATTCAAATCTTCTAAATCTAGATTTAAAATCTAAAATAAATTCGGACAAAATAATGACTAATTCGATTGAAGATATTGTTTTTTGTTACTTAGAGGGTTTGCAATGGGTGAGCTATTATTATTTCAGAGGTGTTCCTTCTTGGAGATGGTATTACCCCTACAGATATGCACCTTTTGCATGTGATATTGCTATTATTTTAGGTTATTGGCTAGAGAATAAGAACATATCATCGTTAAGTAGAGACGATATAGCTAAATCCAGTTCTTCTAAATTGATGTTTATTCATTCAATGTATTCCGAAGAAATTAAACTGAATGGGTTGGCATTTCGGTTTATTAAAGGAAATCCGTTACAACCATTTGAGCAGCTTATGGGGGTACTCCCTTCGAATAGTAAGGAACTTTTACCCAAACCATTTAGAAAACTATTCGTGAATCCAAATTCACCATTATTAAGTTTTTATCCAGTTAAATTTGAAGTTGACATGGAAGGTGTGAAAGTTCCATGGGGTGGCGTAACATTGATTCCTTTTATAGACGAATTTCTTCTATTGAGTTCAATCACATATGTTCTTTCAAATGATGGATTTTACGACTCTGACTTTAAAAATTTTGTAATTAAGCAAAAAAATAATTACGAAATCGAACTAAAAAATCGTTATGTATTTTATGTTAACAAAGATGAATTAGATAATTTAATAGATTTTAACAGCAATACTCTCTCATCTATTATTAATAATTCGAAATTTTTAGAAATTGATGACATAATGAGGAACCAGGAAGGGAGTCCACATATTTTTTATTTTGATAACTGTGCATTACCAGTTCCAAAGATTGAAAGCAAAGTTGCATCATATTTGCCTTCCATTATTAATTCGAAAGTTGTTTCAAAATCATTTTATCATCCATTTTTTCCTGATGGCGTATCAAACTTTCCTAATTATTTGCTTGAAAATACCATAATACCTTTTGACGGATTCCCAAATTTTTGCAGAATCCCTTACAAAACATATTATAATACTGGGATAAATGTTTTTGGAACTGAAAGTAGTAGTGAATCAATTTTTTTTTCAATATCTTCATCTCATGTTTTAAAAGATTTTTTAAATCAACTTTTTTTACCTTATATTCATACCAAAAATCCTGGTATAAGAATACTTGTTGACTATCCAAGAGTTAAGGTTGCTGAACTGGTTTCAATAAAGACTTTCAAATATATAATAAGGCCAAAGCTATTGACAAAACCTGACATTGAACCTAATAACAATCCTAAAGATTTTATTCGTTTGTTATCTAATGAACATTTATTTCTAAAGAAACGAGGAATTGTTCTTACTCCCTCAAATTCAATTGATATTGACGAAGCATTACTTTCTATTTCGAAACTAGTTAAAGTCAGGGATTTTGTAGACTCGAAAGATTTTGAGGTCGGATTGAAGGATTTATCTGATCCAATTAACTGTCTTGTAGAGGTTAAAGTTGCTGAGAATAGCTACACTAATGAAAGTGGTGAGATTGAATTTAATTTTTCAAAGGTTTCAAGACACTATTTACTACCACTAATAGTATTGTATTCAGATTTGAAAGGAAAAGAAAACAAATGTTTTAAACAGTTTAATGAAATAAATTTAGGCGACAAATTCCTTTGTATAAACAAGCAAAACCCCAACTATGGATATGTTGGAACAGTTGTAGATGAAGTTCAAAAGTTAGCAGTATTTCAACTCCCAAAGAACAAAATTAAAGTAGAACAGATTCAAAAAAGAATTTTCGAATATGCTTTGGAAGATTTATCTTCTATACAGTGGTTTTCCATTGAAGATGTAGCGAAAATAATTTATAAGCCTTTGTTAAATTGTTTAATGGTAAATTGTGGTTTAGATGATACTACATCTCTTAAATATATGAGTTATTCGACGTTCTTTCTCAAGAAATTAATTATGGGGTCGATTCAAGTGAAGTGCAATGACAATACTGTGCATGAAATATCCATGAACCTTTTTAAATATGATAGCAAACTAAAAAATAGGTTTTATCTACCACTTTACAGTAAATTCGTGGATAAAAATTCATTTATTACATCATCAAATACTAGTGTGGATTTTGGGACTCCTATTGTTAGCAACGAAACAATAAAATCCTTGATAGAATACTTGGAATTATTTCCTTGCTTTGTTTTGGCTATTTTCAAAGGCTTATTATTATTTGATCGAGAAGAATTAATTGAGGCAAACACAAATTTACAAGAACCTAATGAAATTCACTTAAAAGTTGATATTGACAGTATTAATGGAAAAGTTCAATACCAACAGAATAATATGAAGAAAATACATGTTAAAGACATTTTCCCGGATTTGGTCAGTTCAAAAGATCAGGATTTGAAATTCAGTCTATTGATGAAGATAATTAAGGGTAAACTATACAGAAATGTACCATTTTTATCTTCTCAGACGAATTCAACAACAATGCTTCCCTCAACAATTTCAAGATTGGAAAGATTAGTTTTGAATTCTCAAGTTGAAACTAATACAAGGTATTTTGATTCATCAAAGTTATTTAACAATGAATATTTTCACCAGCCGGGAAACTATTTTAACTCAAGCATGAACAAGGTAGTTTCAAGGTTTGGATATCCATTGGGAACTAGGGTGGTTTATACAAATACAAACAATGGATTAATACCTTTTGGAACAACTGGGACTGTTGTATCTGTATATTATGGTGTAAAGGTTAATAAGGAACCTTATCCTTCAACAGTTCTTGATATTTTGTTGGATGAAACACAAATTAATGCAAATAATTTAAATGGGATGTGCTCTAAATTAAGAGGTATCAGCATTAAATCTTCAGAATGCATTCCTCTATTGCCACATATTCAGAATATTAAAGATGAGAATCAAATAGAAATAATAAGTAAACATTTAAAATATTTTGATTCTTTATTTAACACTAAAAATGAAAAAAACAAAAAAAAGGGCGATAATTGTAATGATTATTGGTTAGAAAATCAGAATTCTAGTTCAAAAGAAACAGGGAAAAACAACTTATCAGTAAAAGACAAAAATTTTAAAATTAGAATAAACAAAAAGAACAATAAGCACTCAGATCTAAATGGTCAAAAAGTAAAGAGAACGCTTGAATTGAGAAGAGAAAATTTGGATGAAAAGTCCATAGCTAGTGAATTGAAGTCATTATTGTCAATTGACAATAAAAAAAGATACGAATTTAGTCAATCCAATTTAAGTGAACTTGATAAAAAGACAAATGATGGAAATTTCAGTGAGCTGAACGGCAGAAAAGAAGTGGCAGATTCTTTGGAGTTTAGACTTAAGCAAATACTGAAAATTACTTAGTTTATTGATACATCAATTTAATTTGTTTCTTGTGAATAATTTAAGGAAACAGAAATTAAAAAGGGTTATCTAGCAGCCGTGTTGTTTTTTGAAGATTCCTCAGAATTTTGAAATCTTTTTAGACAGATAATTAATAATTAGTCTTCAACTCTAAAACATTACTTATGATGAAATTCACTAACTATATTTTCAATTTATTTATTGCTTTTCGGCATAATACAAAATTATAAATTATTTTTGATATTTAATTGATTTTTTTTTTTTTAAAGTAATAATTCCCTTAGTTTAATTATGTTTATACTTGTCTTCTATGAATATCAATTGCATTTGTAAACATAAATTTAAGTATAAAGTTTGATTTATCAAGCGATTAGTTTATATTTGCTGAAATATTTTTTATAAAAAAAAGTGCAATTTGGCCCCACTGAAATTGTAAAGATATTTATGAATTAGAATATAAGTGTTTTATAAAAGTATTGCAAAGTCATTCCCATTTGACTTTGCTTTTTTAAATAATTTAGTGTTAAAAATAGGAAAACATTTCTTACCCGCAGCAAAAATACTTGTATTTATGGCCCTCACAAATTAGTGGACGATCTAATATAAAAATGAAACTAATTTAAATAAATGATATTCTTGTATTCATATGTATTAATAGAACATGGAACTAATTGAATATGAGATTTCCAATCTAAAATCAATTTTGGTAAAAACTAATGACAATTCAAAAAGAGATCGTCAACTTACTTTAAAGGATAAAGAAAAAATTATTTGGAGATTGGTTTACATAAGTTTAATGGGATATGAAATCGATTTTGGATGGTTTGAAATTTTAGAGTTGGCCAGTTCAGACATTTCTGAATATAAACAATGTGGATATGTGGCTGCTTCAACAATTTACAAACAGAATGTGGAATTACTTAGATTATTAATCAATACAATAAAAAGTGATTTAAATAATTGCTTTGAAGTTTTAATAAATAACGAAGAATTTCTCTATAAATCCAGGAATTTTAGACCTTTTTCAGTAGAAATAGGGAAAAATTATTCGGGTAAAAGTTTTGATGTAAGGAAGCAAAGAATCAAGAATTGTTTACTTGCATTGAATTTCATTGGTAATGTTCCAACTTTGGACTTCGCGGATAATCTTTTTATTGATGTGAAGAAAATTGCGGAGCTACCTCTTGAAAAACAATTAAACGATACAAACATTGTTAGATCAAAGGCAATTTGCTGTTTAACAAAGTTATTCCAATGTTGTCCTGATCGACTGAGAGCATACGAGTGGGGAGAAAGACTTGTAACGTATTTTCAATTTGAAAGGAATTGTGATTGTCTAATTTCTCAGTGTATTTTTATTAGAAATAGTTTAAAGTATTATCTTGGCAATGATTACTTTGAGCCAAAAGAAAATTCTGAAAGAAACCTAACTGAACAAGAAGCAGATAATTCCAAAATTGACAGTGAAAGAGAAATCATGGATTCAAATTTTAGTATTGAACTGATAAAGAGTTGGGAATTGATCGTTCCAACTTTAATATTTACATTATCAAGAATCAGATCAAATAGGGAAATTAAACATTGGAAATTTCATAAAATTCCATTGTTTTGGCTTCAGGTTAAGTTAATAGAGATATTGCAGTTGCTTCCTCAAGTTAATAACGATCGTTTTGTAAATTACAAAATGAATAAGATAATGGAAGAAGTTTTTTTTAGTGCAATCCAAGCAACTAAATCAATAAATGAATCTAATTCAAATATTAGTTCTACCAGTGATGAAATTGAATTTCAATGTGTAATTGGTATTGCAGTAGAGATGACGAAATATATCAGCAAGACTAGTAGTAATCAGGAGTTCCCTGTTAATATAGGCCATTTAATGGGAACATTTATTGAAGGTTTGCTCTATACCGAAAATAAAGATTATATTTCTATTTCTATTTCACTAATTTTCGACTTTAAAACGAATAGAGTAATCGAAGAATTAATAAAAAAGAATATGGTCGTGCTGCTGAGATTTATATGTTCTATTGATGAAGATACAACATTGAATCTTTTAAATATTTTTTCACACATCTGTAGCAAAAATAATTGGATTTTTATTACCAAGGAAATTCTGAATGGAGTACTTTACAAATATATATTAAATACAAATAAATTAAATAATAAAGATACTCCTAGCATACAAAGATGTTCAAATGACTATTTTTATCCAGGAAAAGCTAAAACACTATTGGAGGAGATAATTTTATCAGTTTGTTACACAATAAGAAGATTTTCAAACATAAGTGGAGTTTCATTAAAGACAATTAATATACTTTTTCAACTCCTTGAAAAATCGATGTGCGATCTAAATCCAGTCTTTGAAATTACAGAGAATACCCTTTTTCAGATAATAGATATTTTATTTGATTCTAAATTGAAAAATGAACGTCTTGATATGATTGAAAAAACGAATGAACCTTTAAAGTACGATTCAAGTATTCAAAAATATGTAACTATAAAATCATACAAATTATTGTATAAATTGGGTAAATACAGAAATAATTTTAACCCTAAATCTGGAATAAGATGGTTATGTTTTATATTGGGCGAATATGGACAGTTAATATCAAATAAAATATCTATCATTCAGCAAGTTGAAGTATTATTAAATATTCACGATGTATTAACTATTGATTCTGATGAAGAACAAATTCCATTAATAAAAAGTACAATTTTGCTTTCTTTTACAAAGCTTTACTGCAATTCAGATCATGATACTCAAAATCAAATCTACGAAATTCTGAAAATTGGGGTTCGAAATAGGGGTAATTCCATTGATTCACCCGAGTTTTTGAATGCAATTATTGCAAATACGCAATACAGTATCACTCCAACAAATGGGAATTTAACTCCAGTAGAGAGATTATCGAATAATAATTCATGTTTAAGATATAGAAACCAATTGTTGAATGGAGTATTTGTTCAAAGGAAAAATAGCTTTTTAGTATCTAGCCAGTTAAATAAATACGGTGATGATGGCTATTGCAATAGAAATACTTGGCTCTCTTTATGTCTCTTAAACAAAGGAAGTTTATATAATTTTAGCCTATTATCTATTGGCTTTTCAAATGGAAACTTCAAATATTCTTCAGGAGAATCAACAATTATTATTAAGTTAGAAAACAAGAAGAAAAATAAAACATTTAGGGTGGAACGTATTTCTACTATTAGTGAAGAGAAAAAAGTTACAAAAAATTCAAATTCATTTTCAAATATATTTGATTCAACTTGCCAAAATCTTCATGTTGAAATTTCTGGTGAAACGAATAATAAAGATTTGGATAATGAAGGAACTTTTGAACAAAGAATTAATTTAATTTGTAAAGGCCCCTACTTGAATCCTCCAATGGTTTCGTTATTGTTAAGAATTTTCTCGAACTCAAAGGATGAAGTTTTGGATTTAAATGAGAAAATAGAAGAGATTGATACGGAGAATAATTATTCAAAACTGATATGTGTAAATTTCAGGCTTCCAGTGATACTTTCAAACTTCATGGCACCTACTAAAAAAATGGAAAAGAACGAATTTGAACATTTCTGGGGAAAACTCACTCAATCTTCAGTAAAAGGAGTTCTTGCAATTTCTTATTTTGAAATCCCAATTTATCTCCAACTGCTTAACTTTTGCATATATAGTACAATTGATGAAGTAAACAATTCAAATCTTTCAAATTCAATGACTTACAGCGGAACATCCACTTTATATTTATCCAACCGTAAAAGAATACCTTGTATGCTCAAAGTAATGCCTTGTGAGAACACATACAGTGAATCCCGTGCGGAAAGTAAAGTACACGAAGACAGAAGCAATGAAAAATCGGTCGAAATTAGAGTAAGGTCAAGCTCGCTGATTGTTGCAAAAATATTAAAGCAAATAGTATCAACTTATATTATAGCTAACTCCAATTAGAGACTAAAATGGACATATTAAATGCAGGGTGAATTTTCATGTGGGATTCACTGAACTTGTCTTATTAGGACCTTGGCCTAGACAAGTCTGAGCAACAGACTGAAAGAGTTTCTCGACTTCCGGAGCTAGATGCACAAATGAACAGTTCCAGAATGAATATTTTGGGTTCTTAATCAGCTCGATAAATGTTATTAAAAGACCCCATGGGTGCGGTCTGTGTACTATAAGTCTTTCAAGGAGTATCCTTGTGATTTGTTCTTGCACAATAGAGTCATTGCTCTTGGAAAATAGCCATAAAATAAGTGAGCTAAAGTAATATGTATAAGAGTTAGGATATCCAAGAAAGTTTGCCATCGCAGATATAAGGGCAAAACGTCCTTCCATATCCAGGTCCCTGCAAAGAAATAGAATGATTGAAAGAGATGGGTCTTCCACGTTATCTAAAGGAGCATTTTTCCGATTAACAGTTTGATCCGACTTTTGCGTGGGCTCGATGTTGGAATTAGTTGATAGATCAGAATTAAATACATTGTATATTCCATTGTGATAATTATCAATAGTTGAATTAGAATCATTTCCATTTGGGAGATATATTCCAATATATAACAATAACCCGGTTATTATTTGGAAAGAGTATTTAGTGCCACATTTAAGTGCTTCATCCTTTGGTAGTTTAATAATCTCGGTAATATGGGGAAGAATTGATACATCTCTGGTTACCCAAAATTTGTCTACACTTGCTTTCAAATCATTGTGCAGGATATAGGCACCATAATTTGCAATCATCCTAGGAATTAGTTTCATCTCAGGAAGGCTCTCAATTTTCAAGGTAGGTAAAAATGGATCGGGGAGTTTCATGTTTCTAGGGAATGCTGATAATATTAGGTTCCTAATCTGTATGCAGTTTACGGGTAGTACGTCGCAGAAGCTGCAACTGTAGTCGCATAGAAACTCTGGAAAGTCGTGTAGTAATACCAATAGAATTCGTAGTAGTGCCCCATAAATCGTCTTAATATTACTTGATAATTGCACGCTTCTCAAAAACGGTGAAATAAAAATGAAAAGTTGTAATAATAGAGCTTGATAGGGCTGCCAACCTTTTACATGACGCAAGAGATATGGAAATAATCGATTACTCGAAATAATCTGAATCCAAGAGTACGTGAAACCGGGTAATCGGTTAGGATTTAGATATTGAAGGTGATGAACCACACTTAGTATGCATGTGAAATGTATCATCTCAGTATTAAATCCAATGCTTTCGTATTCTTGTAGTAGAGAATAAAAAATTCTGTAATATGGCCTTTGATTAAAGTTTGGAGACTCTGCATCTTTATGAATAACTCTAGTCAATATTGACAAAAACTTGTGAGTTATCACGACTGCAGCCATTTGCTGTGGATCTACATATCTTGCCATAGTTGTAATTAACCTTACCAATGAATCTATTGGAAATGGATCCATATTATTGTTAGAATCGGATGTATTTTCTGACTTGGAACGATTCAAAACATTGAAATCACCTGTTTTTTGATTCAAACTCAAATAAACCGCTCTTTCTATACAAGTGGTGAACAGTTTTTCTGTAGTATCATCCATTCTTAATAGTCCTTGCCTAGAAAGTCTCTGTAGAAACAAATTCCTGTATGGGTTATTACGCTCCGATCCCCCAACCCCACTGAAAATAGTTATTCTCAGTAGCAAAATCCATTCATCGAAAATCATGTTGATTCCCTTTGTAATATCTGGAAGTGGTTTCATCGGGATAGGCAGTGCAATATATTTTGGGTTCAATGCTGTGTCTAAGTTACATTGAATTATTGAATAAAAATTCAAAATCTCTGGGCGTTGATCTCCTATCCACATTTCATGAAAAACAATCGATTTGTTAGATTCCAATTCCAATAGAATGCTTTCTACCTTACTCTTAAGTTCACCCAAATTAGTTGTGTAAGGGTATGGCTTGTAATAAAGTCCCGGAAGTACTATTTGTATTGCAGACATAGTGTTATTTTGGAAAATCAAACCATTATTTGATAAGCGGTTCAAGTTCTGTGTAGTACTTGGCAATTTCTTAGTAATTGGATAATGCCAATCTTCAATACTTCTAAAAAATAATTTGTAAATAAACTCTATAATTCTTATGCATCTACTATTGCCACCAATTACTGAATTTGTGTCGTTAAGTGTTGAAATTGCAGTTTCTAAAATATTTGACAAAGAAATATCAAGTTCGCTTGAGGAAATAAGATCATATCTCAAAGCTCCAATTACAATATCAACCGAGTATTTTGGATCCTCTATAGTATAAATGAACCAACCTATTGCTTCTTTCCTAAGCTTTAACCAGAACTTTGAGTTGTAAAACGAAATCTGATTACAAAGCCCTAAGAATACCTCGATATGTAACTGTGCTGCATCAAAACCAAGAGAAGATGCTATGCATCTGCTTGAAGGAAGTATACTAGTTGTACTTTGTTGAAAAGCAGCCCCAGCATCAAAGAGAGTTTTAAACAATTTTTGAGAAATCCCAATTAAAACATCTTCTCTCTGTGATGCAGACTTTCCAATAGAATATAATACTCTGCATAGATAAAATAAGATATGGTCAGATTGAAGAGAAGATAGTACAGCAAGAACTGGATGTGCAGTCGATTTGGGAGTATATTGAGATATATTAGAACCAAGTGGGTTTGAGCAAATTACATTGTTACTATTATTTAAGCTTTCATTAAAGTTATTACTGATTGGAGGTATTAAGTGCTTTGGAAAAATTGGGGGGTAAAGGGCTATTTCACGTATGACATCTTTTATTTGACCTAAGCATTCATCAATACGCATCATCAGAGGTAGATATGCCAGCTCAAAAACAAGAGGTACTTTTACCGGTTCGGGGGGTTGGACAATAGTTGAAGATGCAACGTTTGTTTGGGATTGATTAGAAGCCTGAGAGTTTATATTATCACTTCTGACTGAACTAAAGTTTTGGATATTTTCAGGTTGGTGTGAATATTGATTTGTGCTAGAACTGTTCCATTGTTGATTTTGACTTTGGTTATTAAAGTGATCATTGTTTCCATGCTGATATAAAGGTATTATTGACTGATTGGACTGAATATTGTTTTGTAATTCATATTGAGCAACAGAATCCCTTCTTTCCATATTTCTAATAAGAGTAAACTGTAAAAAATCTTTATAAAGCTGCAAATGCCTCATAGAATTATGTCTGTATTTTAGATTGTCTGGTAGTGAAGACCAATAAGCAACAGAATTCTGGGTGTTTGGCCCACCATAAAAATCTGTGTCAACAAATTGATGTCCAGACTCTCTCGATTTTCTCCTTGCAATAATTCCAGGAGAAATAATTTCATCTAATTCCTCAATAGCCTTTTCAACTACAGCCTGTTCAATAATCTGGCAACCCAAATCAATATTATCACTGCAAATGACTTGAACAACCTGTTCAATCAATACATGGTCTTCACCGTCTCTTGACGGTGTTGGATGTAATACTTGTCTTAATTGAGCAGTGAATGCAACTCTAAGAGGCTCACGACATGCAGCGATAGCCATAGAACCGGATAGAGCAGCAACCATTAAGTGAGCAGCCCTTTTATAAATATTTTCGTCCGTCTCAAAAGCAAATTCCTTACCAATAATTTCTCTAGTTGTAATTGCAGCTATTCTAACTGATCTTGGAATAACAACCTGTAATATTTCTCTTATTGATCTATCTAAAGCCAATGGTACTAATGGTCTAAGTGAAGGTTGTATCTGAAATAAGACAATGGATGGGGAAATTAATACTTTGTTAGCCCAAAACTGTATATCAGAAGATGAAATTTGTTGTTGATTTTGCTGATGTACCATTTGAGATGGGTGATTAGGAGGCATGAAAGTTGAAGCAAGCTGTGTATCTCCAATATTTGCATTAAGTTGATATAGGTTTACTGAGGGGTTTAAAGAGTTGTTAATTATATTATTATTGTTATTACTTGGACGTTCGAATGAGCTTCCTAAGTTTATGTGGGGACTTTGTTCAGTTTGGCTTTTTAGGTGAATATTATGCCCTCTTTGCTTTTCATTTAAGACCTTATGTTGTTCAATATAATTTGGGTGGCTATTCAAACCGAGATAGTTTGATTTACCAATGTAATCATCTAAATTGAGTTCTATCTGTTTAAATAAAAGTTCTACCTCAAACATATGTGAGTTTGTATTGTTGGCGAGTGAATGAATTTCTGCCAGAGTAAATAAGATATTATTAGTCCAGGGGTTGGGTGGACAATAATAACTTCCTTTAACATTTTCTAATATCTTACAAACAAAAGGTAAAACAGAGGCTACACAGCCTCTAGAATAACCTTCTACCAGCAATTGTCTGGGGTTCAAATATTTGTGGATAATTGGACGGTTAATACCAATAGTAATTTGCCCCAACCAGTATCCTAAATGGCGAAGTACATTTACAAATGACGAAACTTCATTCAATATACTCGCATAGCGCAACAAAGCCTTAATGCAATCATAGCTAGCGAGCGTAGTAATCTCAATAATATTTATTCTATTTTCTTCTTCGTTTCCATTGTGAGTCAATGGCACTTCCAATTCTACCTTTTCTTCATTTAATGATGTACTTGATATCTTTGGCATCAATTTATTTAATTTAATCAAAAAGTTTATGTAGGTAGAATGGTTGTTTTTCTCTTTAGACGCCCTATTTTTTACTAGATAAAATGCAAACCAATGACAATATTCCGGGTTTCTATTAAGAATTTCAGCCATTTCAATGGCTTTAGTTTCAATATTTGTACTTGCAAGTGTATTACATATCGTGAAAATGTGTTCAATTACATTTTCCGAGGGAGTTATAATTGTATTGAATATTTGAGGATCATTCATTAGTTTTTCCAAACTACCCAAACCAAAGCCTTGAAGTTGATCAATTGTAATTCCACTTGGAAGTGATTTCCTCTCTGATAGATTCAAGGCTACCAAACTTCCAAGTTTGCTAGTTGACATATTCGGTTTATTAGCGCTAACGATATTCTCCTTTTGTCTGTATTCAAAGTTAAGAATCTCTGGATAGGTTTTTGAAATAAGACTTTCAGGTTTTGGTGGAGGATTTATGTTCAGCGACTCAAGTATGTTCTTTTCTATATATAGCTTACTTCTTAAATTTTCTGGAAGAACTAAAATGCAGGACTCGCAATAAACTACGTATGGCTCAATTGCATTTTTTAAATGTTGAGACATATTAACTATTGCAGAGAGAAATTGGGGGAAAGAAATAAATCTGTCAATGAACTGTTCCATTGCAAATATTCCGAAACAGAACATTTTAGTCCAATGACCTTTTCTAAGAGCTTCAATAATACATCGCAATACAAATACTAATGCATTTCCAAATGAAATAAGCAAGTCTTCTTTAACTAAAATTCCCAGAATTTCTGCGGTGATTTTTAGCTCAGGATTAGGATACTTGGGATAAGATCTACATTCATCAAATAACGTCTGGAGAAAAGTGTTAAAAATTTTAGCATTGTTGCTTGGGTCACTTGAAAGGGAGTGCATTTTCTTTAATTCAATAGTTAATTCGGAAATTGTGATTTCACCTGAGTAACATTTGGTAAGGAATTCATTGACTTGGTTAATTTCAAATCCTTTGCTTTCATTTTCAGCCTCGGTAAATTCAGAGTTAATATTCATTTTAGTATTATCTTTATGTTCGGGATCTTTATTGTTAAAAAGAGCTTTTGAAATATTATTATTGAGATCTCTTTCATCCTTTCCATTTACAGAAGAGTTCAAAATCATTTCTGAGCCAATATCCTTATTCATGGAAACCAAAGAATTGCCATTATCTTGTAAATTATCTGAATCTTTGAGTTTTTCAAATTCAAGTAAAGCATCAAAAAGTTCGGAAATAGGAGTATTCTCATATCCTTTAATATCTGCACCAAACTCTAAAATTGCATTTTGAATAGCAAGGATGGAAGAAGAGCTGATGCGCCAACAAGAAAACGCAAACGAGTGAGTTTCGAATGAAGAAATCCAACATTCTTTAGGCTGATATAGTTGAGAAGAACCCAGAGATAAGTTTCTACGAACAATCCTAGCAGCAAAAACCTTAAAGCTTGCGGCTTTATCAACTGCGAAAGAAGGGAATGACGTTCTTCTATTTACTAGAATAGTTTGAAGGTCAGCTGAAACATAAGTCATATATACAAGCCTCGCCCGAATATAGTCCATAATAGCAATAATAAACAACGGCATTTCCATATCTTCATTCTCCAGTTCTTCTTTAAATAGGGTAGATAGGACATTAACAGCACGAGCGCTAATTTCGTTACATACATCAGAAGATAACCCTAATTCAAAATTTTGTGATGCACTGATCCCAGAAAATATGATATCTATGCAGAGAAACCACCAGTGATAATAGTCGATTGAATCATGAGAATATTCCAGATTTTCCAATAAATCTAACTGATCTCTAGATAAAATGTGAGACAAACAATTAGAAACATTCATTTTATAAAAATGGGGTAGGATACACCATTCAGAGTCCAAGAAATTCCACAAGTAATCCCTTGAAGGTGGATTTAACTTCGAGATTAGAAGAATAGATGAGATTCTATAACAAAATGCTATCTGACTAATGAAGTCTCGCATAAATTGGGATTGATTGTTACCATTCCTGGATTTTTCTGAAGAAGCAAAGATAATTTGCATAATTGCCCCAAAGCGTGGACCAATATCATATTCTTTCTCATGAGAAGTTGCAACTATTTTTGAAATAGGAAATAGAATAAATTCTTGAGCGCTAGAAATAGCCATTTTAATTAGTGAAACTTTTGTAATTTCATTATTAGGCACTGAAATATCAAAAGAATCACATATTTTGCTGACTAGCTCATTAGATATTGAAACAGTTTGTGGGAAGTCATCATAAATTGCCCCAAGAGATGAAAGTAAGCCGATTGGCGAATATCTAGGAATCTCATAAAAAATGAGATGTTTAAGAAGCTCTAAAAGTTTTTGATCATTAATTCGATTACATATACCAATTATTACCTTGAGCAAATCATGACAGATTAGTAATCCACATGACCCTCTAGAATGAAAAATGCCAATTTTCGGCAGTTTGGATTCGAGTAGATAATCACATGGGGTTCCAAGTAAACCATCTTTAACAAGCTCCAAAAGGGATTCATCTGATTCGAACATTGAAATGATTGAATTGTGGATTTTTGAGCTTGCATCCAATATAATTGAATAGCTGTTAATATCAGTGTAGACTGAATCAAAGTTTACAGTATTTTCGATCAATGTATCTTCTAATATATCATTTGAATAGTTTTTTTGTTGTAAGTTATAACTCCTGTTATTTATTTCGTAGCTCATTTTACATATTTTTAAAAGAAAAAGAGCTTGAATGTTTGGGTTTTTCCATTCTCTTAAAAAAGGATCTAATTTATAATAAAGCTCGTTGTACTTTGGGTTATAAGTTCTATTCTCATCCCTTCGATATGATTCTCCAAGAAGTGAACAAAATAATTCAAAACTTCCATCGTTTTCAGTTAAATCTAATAAGTTGCTGTTGTCGATAATTTCATTAATAATATCACTCCAATTAGTATTAAAATGTTTATTCTTAGACTCTTGAGTTTTCATTATTTTATTTACTCCTTCAACAAATACAGAAGAATTCCAACCTGACCCAATGTCTTCTCTAGATCTTTGAACCAATAAATTTTGATCATTTTTGTTATTGCTCAACTCATTCCATCTGGCTCTCAAAACTTCTGAAAAATCGTTATTGCCTTTTTCTTTAGATTTAGGACTTTTATTGTGTTTTGAGGTATCATTTAGCATATAAATAAATGAAATAGCAATCTCATGTGTGAAATTACTTGAATTATCAATCCACTCTACAAGAATTTTGTCAAAATTCTCTTGATTCGATGTGCTACTCGGACCAATTTCCTTTATAATATCAATGAGCTGCCGTATGGGAACATTCTCCCCATAAGGGAGACTCCTTTCTACCATTGTGCATTAATCTATACACACTGCAAGAAACACTAGGAATTGATAATTAACAGTGACTAATTTAATAATTTGAATTCCCTCGGTATTATTTACACTACCTATAAATGTAACCGCATTCTCGTCTCTCAAAAAAAAAGGCGCTAAGAATTTGACATTTAGAGAATAATAAAAACAAAGCTAAGATTATATTTGTTAATAACCTAAACAACAATACATTGAATCTGTTGTTACACGAACATATAGGTCCACAAACTTTAAGAATCTTGAATCTGAGTTCCGTGATTGGTAAAATATTAATACAACAGTACCAAAACTTATTTCGTATTATGTGTTAGTAAATAGTATTATGAATTTCAACATTTTATCTAAATATTGTAGCAAACATTTCTGTTGTTTTGAACAATTTATCTGACACATGAGCGTTATATTGATGATTATTTTCTTCCGATTCAGACGAGTTCTTTGAAAAACTGCCCACAATGAAATTATTATTCTTGCAAATTAAAATAGGGTGGAATTCGTCAATAAATCTAAACGATACATATAAAATTGTAGTAAACTTTTGCATACAGTGGTTAGTTTGTATGTACTTCTCTTTTGGCCAACGTTTGGTCACACAAAATGTTGCTATCTGAGTACCAAAGATTTCTTGAATAAGAGAATCATAGTAAATATGATTGGAAATACAATGGAAGGGAATATGGATGCCATTAGCAGTTTCAAGTGGACATCTACTTTTACCCAAAAGGATCGGTAGTGCCGGCGCATCTACTGGAAACTCAATTGGAAGTTCTTGATGGAACTCTTGTATATCATACTGTGATTGATCACACGATATCGAATAGTATGGTGCTTTATATCCGGTCAAGTCTATGTAATTATTAATATAACCTTCACTGTCTGATTCAATTGGGTATTCTGGAGAATATCTCCATTCTCCATCCACAATAAATTTGTAGAAATGAATACCTCTAGTAAGTTCTATTGCAATTAAATGGTCATGACCACTTTTAAACAATTTATATTCTTCCTGCTTCTGCCAAGAATTAAAACTACCTGCAACAAATACTTCACCTCCACCAAATGACCATCTTATCACACACTGAATTTTTTCGAAATCCTGGTCATTCATATGGCTATTAATGCAACAGGAATTATTTCGATCATTTAGGTTGTTGATTGAATCCAAATTTGTTGATTTCGATGAACCCGTTCCCATAATAAATAAAAATTCAATATGCGCCATTAAATTACCTGACAGAGCCACACAGCGACTTAAGATTGAGACATTAATTAAAAGCTATAATTAAGAAAAAAAAGAATAAAAAATTCCCATTTAATTGCAAAATTCCTGATTATATATTCAATTTTATCTGAATGCTCCAAGTTTATCATGAGAGACAGAAATAATAAAGAACCTGAACATGTTTACAAAGAAAAATCAATCTTTGAATCAGCTGGGAGAATTTCTCCAGTATTATTGTTTCTTTCAGTGGTTTTAATTATGGGTCTTTGTATTTTTGTGAGACTTTTTGCTGTAGTAAGATATGAAGCAATAATACACGAATTCGATCCCCACTTCAATTATAGAACTTCGAAATTTCTCTCAAAACACGGTTTTTATGCTTTCTGGAATTGGTTTGACAGCAGAAGTTGGTACCCTTTAGGTAGGATTATTGGGCAAACTCTATTCCCTGGACTTATGCTTACTGCTGCTCTGATGAGATATATCGCCCACCAATTAGGACTGCTTGTAAGTATTTTGCATATTTGTGTTTTTACTGGACCGATAATCTCAAGCCTAACTGCGCTTGCTTCCTATTTGCTCACTTTTCAAGTAACTAAGAGAAACGAAACGGGAATAATGGCAGCTCTTTTTACAGGTATATCCCCTACATATCTAAGCAGGAGTGTTGCAGGAAGTTATGACAATGAAGCAGTTGCAATTTTTGCTCTTGTATTTAGCTTTGCACTGTATTTGAGAGCAGTAAATGATGGTAGAATATTGAGTTCATTTTTTGCAGCCCTTGCTTACAATTATATGACTATGAGCTGGGGTGGCTACGTTTTTGTGATTAATACAATCGCAATATATACGTTGGCTCTTGTATTATTGAACAGATTTACATACAAACATTTTGTGGTTTATATTGTATTTTACGTTATTGGAACGATACTGAACCTCAATATTCCGTTTGTTAATGTAGGTGCTGTAAAATCCTCAGAACACCTTTCATCGCACTGCATGGCGTTTCTTGTAGTATGCGTTGTGGCATTGAACTCTTCAAAGCATATTCTAAGTACTTCTTCAAGCCAAATACTTCTAAAAACTATATGGATTTCTTGCTTTTTAGTTTCTAGCTCCGCTTTTTTGGTACTGACATTATCTGGAAAGACTAAATGGGCGGCAAGAAGTATGACTCTTTTAGACCCTACATATGCATCTAAGCATGTTCCTATAATTGCATCAGTATCAGAACACCAAGCAACAACATGGTCGCAATATATTTTTGACCTTCACATTACTGCAATATTTTTCCCTCTGGGGATACTTGTTTGTGCGTATTCAATTTATATTTCCCAAAAAAAATCACCAAAAAATTCACCATTTCAAACATCTCATAGTACTTGCATTCCTGACACTGCAATTTTTTTGATTGTATATGGAGTTCTTGCTGTTTACTTTTCTTCCGTTATGATTAGATTAATGCTGGTTTTTGGGCCTGCAGCTTGTTGTCTTTCAGCAGTGGGATTTTCTTTTATATTATCGAGTTTAATAGGTAGAAGGCAAACTACAGGAAACGCTCAAGACACTGTAAATGAGGGAAATTTTGGTATCCTCAGGTTGTTCTTTGTAATTGTAATGTTCTTACTTTGTGTGAATTACGTTGTACATAGCGTCTGGAGTTCTGCTGTGGCATATTCTCATCCATCAGTAATAACTTCAAACCGGCTTAGAGACGGAACAAGACTTATTCAAGATGATTTCAGGGAAGCATATTATTGGTTGAGAAAGAATACTCATTACAACGCAAGGATAATGTCATGGTGGGACTATGGATATCAATGCACTGAATTAGGTGATCGAACTGTAATAGTAGATAACAATACTTGGAATAATACACATATTGCTACAGTTGGGCTTGCATTGGCGTCTCCCGAGGATGAAGCTTATGAGATAATAAAGAAACTTGATGTAGACTATGTTTTTGTTGTTTTTGGAGGATTCGCAAAATATTCTTCAGATGATATTAATAAGTTCTTATGGATGGTAAGAATTGCCTCCGGAATTTATCCACATATTCAACAAAACGATTATCTTTCAGATAGTGGGCATTACACAGTAGGGAGAGATGCATCAAATGCAATGCTCAATTCTCTGATCTACAAACTATCGTATTATAGGTTTTCAGATCTTCAGAAAGACGGCTTTGATTTGGTTAGGAATTATCACATAGGAAAGACTCAATTTTCACTTAATCATTTCGAGGAGGCGTATACAACAGATAATTGGGTTGTAAGGATTTACAAAGTGAAAAAACAAAACAACCGTTCAATATAGACTTTGCATTAAATCAAAATTTACTTGAATTATTAGATATTTTCAAATCTAGATAAATATTAAGAATATTTCGTCGATTTAATTTTAATATTTTTAAATTATACTTGATCTTCTGAGTTTTGAATTTCTTCTTCATTTACAACCTAAAATAAAATGAATTTGAAGTAGGGAAAACATAAAATAACTAACCAGATTCAAGAAAAGGAGAGGCAATAGTAAGAATGCAGATGAAATCCAAATTAATAACCCCAGGTTTGAAAAATTGAATGCAGTAATTCCAAGTAAATATGCCAATCCTGCGGAGATAACTTTTGAAACTCCTGTTCCAAGACTTCGTATTGACATCATAACTGCATATACAGACCCTTCAAGACCTTTTGGGCAAAGCTTCGTAGTCATTACAAGAAGTGGTAATAATTGTATCTCTGCAATTGCTTCGATTAAAAATCCACCGGATAAGGCAAACATTCTATTTGAAATTCCAAGATTTAGGTTGAGCCCTGTGACTAACACTAGAGGTAGAATATAGATTGGAATCGAAAATAAGGTGGTCCAGAGTAGTATTTCACGAAAAGGGGTTCTTTTAAGAATGATTCTGTATAATACAATTCCAATTATCCCTGCAATCCCATATGTTAGCCTTAAACTACCCATAAACGTTGGTGAAAAGCCAAGTCTGTTTGTAAAATAAAAAAACATGGCATCATCATAATCTGGCCCTGCTGTATAAGTAAAAATATATATTGCTGGCCCCCAAATAATAGGTCTTTTCAAGAATTCTTTAAGTGATAATAGTTGGTTCTTTGCAGTCAGTTCTCCCGTCTGTTTTTTATCTTCCATTATCAAGCTAGCAATAAATACAAATAATGGGAATATCGATGTAGTAAGAAATATTCCTTGTTTACTATAAGTATCTAACAACGACCCAGAAAAATATGCTGTTGTTAATGCACCCAATGCTTTTGAACCAAAATAATCGGAAACGGTTTCAGCACCGCCATTTATTCCAGAAGTCTCCACAACTAATGCCTATTTTTTTAAAGATGATTAATTCAATAATTGTTATGGTAATAGCTTACCTCAGCAATGCTACTACAAAATGCTGCGCTTAATGATATTAGTAACAAGCAAGTCGCAGCTTTTAAAACAGTATCAGCCTTAAAATATTATATTCATCACTATTAATTTGAAATAAACTTACATTTGTTGCAAGCAATAAAAATCCAATAACTTGAAGTATTGAAAAAAAAATCAAGTATGGCTTCCTTCTCATTCCTGTAGTAATTTGATTGTGAAATTATATTATAAAAATTAGTTTGATGAACTTAATACTTACCTGCTATAGGTATTGAATCACTACAAAATGCTTTATATCATTTATCTATACTTCAAAAAATGGTTTTTAACTTACCAAACAAAGGCTTCAAAAACCATGGTATTGCAGGAATTGCGTATATTACCGATACTTCAGGTGGGGAAAGATGTAAATCATCTTTCAACAAGTAGTAAATTGCAAGTGTTGCAAGATGAGTTAGCCCATCGGAGAATCCGACCAAAAATATTACGAATTTGGTTATTGTAATGGACCCAAGCAATGAAGAAAATTTTAATGTGCTTGAAATATCTCTTTTCTCGTCTAATAATGAAATAATCTCATTTTGATGTATTGTAGTATCCATTTTAATATAAATTGACTATAAATGAAAGATAAGGAGTAGAAAATTTATTATTTTTAGTGTAAGTAATTATTGCATGCATTAACTAATAATTTACATGCATATACATGTAATTTAGGGATCAGGAGTTTTTTTTATTTACATTTATCAAAGTTTGATATTTTGATTGTTTCTGAGAAACTTTAAAATTGAAATTCTTTCTTCCTTTTCAAAAAAGCTCCATGCTATTACCCACTTATCATGCTTTCCTTGTTTCAATGTAGTATATCTGAGTGATTTTAATTCGTTGTTAATTAATTCTTTTCCTAGAGTATTTCTCAAAAATCTCAAATTTTTTAGCTTAGAAACTTGGGAAGTGTACCAAATTACCTTTTTTGAAAAATTCTTACTTTGAGAATACAACTTCAAAATAAAATGAGATTCACCTCCCTGAGTTATAACTTCGTGTTTTTGGCAATTTCTAAAACGACCGGGGTGCATACTAATTTCTGAATCTTCAACTGAATCGTAATATGGAGGGTTGCAAATAGTGAATGAAAAATTCAAATTTTCAATTTCAGGTCTGTTAAGTATTCCGAATAGTATATTTTCCGGATTTTCCTGAAGGAAGAGATTTATACAATTTGAGAGGTTGTTTTCTTTAATTATAGAGTCTGATACTTTCAGGCTTTCAGTTGAAATGTCAGTACCGATCATATTCCAAGAATAAATTCTGTTGCATAGAAGCGAAAACACACAATTTGCACCAATCCCTATATCAAGCCCCAAAACTTGTTTTCCTCTAGGAACAAATTCAACAGAATGAAATTCCATATTTCTTTGAATTTCAATTGTTGATTTTTCATAGTTTAGAAATTCTGGATTAATTATTTCTGTATTGTAATAATGTTCTGGAGTTAAAAGATCAGCGACAAAATGTACATAATTAGCTCTCGAAGGTATAGTTGGTACCAAAAAATTATCTGGCATATTCCAGATAATATTATATCTATAATGCAACAATACTTTTGAAATATAATATAATGTGGACGAGTTATTATAATTTATGCATATATTACCATTAATTATTTTAATACATTTTTTAAACTCCGGATATTTTTCAGACAAAAGTAAGAAATCATCATTAATGTGAACATTCCTATAATGCAATTGATTTTTTTTTTTTTGTATTTTAATATTTTTGTTAGTTGGGGCCATTTAGAAGCGTTCTTAAAATAAAAATTGTAATAATTGTTGTTGATAAGAAAATGGCAATATAAATAAATAGTAGAAAAACATTATCTTTAAAAACTTGCTGTACAATAAACAGTATTTGGTTATTCACACTGTAAGTATCAAATGGTAAATAATCCAGCATTACTTAAATTGTAATACAGAAATTTCATGTTGCCGCGATATTTTTCTGTTTTTTTTTAAGTGGGGACGATTTAGTTACGAAGTTCAGAAATAGAAATCAATTATCATTGGGAAAATCAAGAAATGGTTTTAAATGTTGAGCAAATTGTTGGCTATTTTGCTCTCCCAAATAAATTTGATGTGAGTTTAACAACTAATGAAAGAAAAAAAGTTACAAGTATTTATTCTGATTTTGGCAAATTTTATGGTAATGAATTAAAATTATTCGATGATTTGCATATTGCCTCAATAATCAGTAACGATCAACTTCAAGTTTATAATATATCTACTATATTGTTTTCTGGGAACAAAGTTCAGGGTAAATATAGGATCCCAAACATTTCACCCCTAATTAAAATAAGCTTACCATTCACTCCAAATTGTAATTGTAGCTTGTTTTTCGACAAATGTACATCAAATCTCACAATTTCAGTTTCTTCTAGTGACGGGCAATTATATATTGTTGAAATATCTGTATTTGGCAAATTTGATTATAATTTTACTATATTAACAACTAGAAGTTTAAAAACATATCTTTCGGATTTGACATCGCTTACTCAAGTAAATAAATCTCTATTTTTGATAAGTACTGGGTCTGGAATTTTTACGATAATTTCTAGTTCGAAAATACTGAAGAATGAATCTTCACCATTATTTACTGCAGAAAATTTGTGTAAAGAATCCATCAACGTTTCAACATTTCAGCTAATAAAAAGAATGGTAATCGGTAAAAATACCGAAAATATTTATTTAGTTACATTTTCTGAAAAAAGTAAAGAATTATGTCTTTTATTAATAAAATTTAATTTTACGGAAAATAATGTTTGCACTAGCATTATTGATCGAAGATCAGATATTCAGATTGAAATGAACATAAAGACTACCCCTATACTTTCTTTTGTTGAAGGCACAGATTTCTTTGTGTTATTAATTAATAGTACAGTCTACTTTTATAGAGTACTGAACTTTGATGATTGCAATTTAAATAACATTAAGCTACAGTTTTTGAGTTATCTTGATTTAGATTTTGAACATGGTAGAGATAAGAAAAAAGAATTGATATTCTCTCCTCAAGTTTATTGTAACAAGTCAGAAATTTATGTTGCGAGGGCTACATTTTCTGAAAATATAATATATTCTTATGATCCATACTTTCCAATTTATGAGATTCACAAAATCTGTTTGAGTAAACATGCCTCAAACACTGTTAAAGCAAATGATATTGATTTTAACAATTCTACATTAATTTGGAGCCAAGGAATTCAAAATTTTTGTTATGAGTTTAATTATGATGATTTAAAATACCAGTTAATTTTTGATAAAGAAAAACTATCAGACTTAGAAATTATTACGAATTTACTTAAAAAATTATTTGATGAATGTAACTCAAATATTATATTCGAGATGGCTTTTATTAGATACTTAAGATTCCTTAAAAACGTTATTTTAATCATGGTTCGTAAGGAGAAAAAATACGAAATATTAAATATCTTGAACTCAACTACTAAATTTGAGGACTTATTACACTTAATTAAGAATATTTACCTACATCTTGAAGAAAATAGATTGCTAAACACTGAATTTGGCACTTACGAAAAATGTAAATTCGATGAAGAAAAAATATTATTCTTGATCGAACCATTTCTTATCTTAATTAATTACTTCAAACACATGGGAAACTATTGTATTCGAATTTTTTCAGACAAAAATAATACTTTTGTATTATCTCCTATATCGGTTTCTACTATAAGCTGTTTACCAAAAGAAAAACTGGATAAATTATCATCAATCAGCTTTTATAAATGTAAGAAATGTTTGTACATGCCTCTAGAACTAATAACAAATTATTTGAAATTAAGGTACTTGATATTTAAAGTGATTCTTAATAAAAATAAAGCAAATTTAATGAAAAATTTGTTTGATTTATTGAATATTTACACTACAGATGGAATAAATAAAACAACGATTGCACTCGCCTTAATTATTGAGCTGATAGAAATAATAACAAAAAAACTTAAGATTTTAAATAAATTTGAGTACATTTTTAACCATTATAAATCATCAAACGAAATTAATGAAACTAACTCTGATCAATTAAACCATATTAACTTAATTCACTATGACACATTGACACAAAATTTCACAATTGATGAATTAAAAACATTAATTCAAAATATTAATCAATGCTTTATCCACCTTACATCAAAAACAAATGATGTTCCCAATTTTATTGATAAAACATTCAGAGCAAATTGTATTGAAGGCATTAACGACTTTTCACTCTTAAATTCCGAGGAAAAAGCTTGTAATAATAATATCGAAGCAACAAATATAGATTTGATTGAAATCTTGAAAATAAAAAATACCATTTTGTTTTTGAACATTTTTTCAACTATTACAAAAAGCATTTTCAAGTATTGTATTTGGAAAAATAAAATTCGAAATGTAAAATCAGCTTATATTTGTAGCTTTGAAAATATTTTACAATTTTTTTCAGACGATAATTCATTTTTGAATATTGGGAAATATATGGCAACTGGCAAATCTAATATAATTAAATATAATTGGGGCTTTGAAGATAACGAAATTACTATTAATTGTGGAAAAATCAACGCATACAAATCTATTCTGTCAGTCGATCAAATTTACAGAGTTTATTCATATTACAATTCAATATACAAATTTTTTTCTTCCAAAGTTTTCCTCGATTGTGCTGCAGAAAAACTCTCTCTTTACATTTGCTCGAATAATGTTTTCTGGGAATCATTTATTGATGATTTTTGCTGTAAGCACGTTATTCGTGAAGTTAATATCCATTTGGTTGACTTAGTCTATGATTACCTTGAGCATCAAATTATTAATGGATGTTTTGATCGCAATTATGTAAGTTATATATTCTACTTAATTAAATTGCTTCCTTATAAAAGATATACTTCATACTTGTCGCTTTCAATATTTAATCAATTAATAAACGATAATAAATTGGTTAATGAAGTCATTGAATTAATTAAACTAGAAGATAATGAAGATCAAAAAAATATATTTGATGGGTTTTCTTCTTGGGATATTAGGCTTATTTATTTCATTTCATTAATATTTAAATTATTTAATCATTCAAGAATAAGAACTTACTATAATTCAGTTTACTTAAGCTTGCTAGAAACTTCGATTAATCTAATATGTAAAAGTATGCCCAGTTGTTCCCTTAATAAGAAAAAATTATTAAATATGATTCACAGAAAATACTTAATACAATATATATATTTAAGTGACAATAATGCTTCAGATTGCTCAATAATTAAGTTAATTAGTGAGTCGTTGTTGTTTTGTGATTCAAAGTATGAAAAAATACTTTTTCTAACAGCACTATGGATTAAGAATTTTTTGTCAATAAATAAGAGCGAATCAAAATTTTCTGCAATTTCGTCTTCAGTTTTTAAAAATGAGCTTAGAGAATTTTATTCACTATTAATTCAGATATTTTGGGAAAAATTACATGTTTTAAAAAATTCTAACTCGGAGATTTTATTAAAGTTATATTCAAAAAAAAATTTTGTAATTCGAACAATATACAAGTTTTTGTTAAATGAGTGGAAAAGGGAGGAAAAGTATCAAGAAATAGTTACTTTGTCGTATTTAAATGCATTAACTAAATACTGTGACTTATTTTTACCTAATGATAAAATTAATGCTTTATTTCCTGGGGATTGGCTTGAATTTAGATTTAGAAATGGTTGTATTGATCAAGAAATAAATTCGCTTCAAGTCTTAACTGAATTGTTTGAGAATCTGAAAGGTTTATTCCAATTTATAAACTGTGAAAAAGAGTTCATTAGCGCGGATTCTGAATCCTTGAACTCAATTATTTCTTCATTAAGCACGTACATTACTTATTCCAATATTAATTTATCAAATCAATTTAAAAATCGTAAATGTTCTGATAAGCCTATTTGTATATCCAACGTTTTTTTCGGTATTGAACTTCCAAAAATAATTAATCAAAAAAACTCTTTGCTAGAAATTCATCATAAAGTCACATATTTACCGTCTATTGAATATATTTCTTACTTAAAATGGTACCTTGTTGGAGTGAAAAAGCTAGTTGCTTCAAATTTAACTAGAGTTGAAATTCGCCAATATTTCAGTAATATTTATTGTAAATACCTTGAAAGATACAATGATTACTTGGGGAACAATGGGATTTATTTCAAACCAGCAATTGACTCACAAAACCTTTCTTCAGAAAGTATTGCTAATATTTCTAACATACCCATCATTGAGTTAAATTATTACTTAGTAATTAACGGCTACTTTGAAACTGCATACAGATTAACTGAAGTTGCAAACAAATTTATGGACAATTATCTGAGAAATTATCATAAAAATACGTCGAATAATGACAGAAACATAATTTTTTCAGATTCTTTAACAAAAATTCAAACAAAAAATATTTATAATACCCTTGGATTTTGGATGTTTACTTATTCGTTTTTCTTATCAAATAATACAAAATATTTGAATTCATTATTTGAGTATGCAAATAACTTTCTAGTAAAAACCAATAGACAGAAGAAGAAAAAATTATCATATGACTTACCTGATTCAAAAATCACAGCATTTGAAGAAATAATTCTACAGAACTCTAATTTTAGAAGTGTTCGTATAATAGAAGAAACAAGTAATTTGGGTTTCGGTGTAAATATCAATTTTTGGAATTCAATATTGGACCGTATGCATTGCTCTCCTCATTTTCTTCGAGGCGTTCACATGGCATTATTGATAAACGGGCAAGTTCACACTCTGACGAATGCAGAAAATTCATTAAATAACACATATACTTCGACCCTACCAAGTAAACTAATCAAAATTTACGAAGATCCAGAGTACTTAATGGAAATAATTAAAAATTACTCAATTACAAATGATCAGCACTTACATATTTTTATTAATATAATCGAAAACTTATTTAGCTTCAATTTTTTTGAGGAGGCACTAAGGTTTATTTCAGCTATTGTTTTGAACGATCATTTTGAATTACCCACATATTTTGTTGCAAAAATCAGGTATTTGATTAGATCATCAAATAACGTGAATAATAATGCATTTTATGAAAAATTTGAGTCAATAATACATAAATGTATTCCAATAAGCACTTAGTTTTATAAATATAATTAATAATTTTCTTTGCTTTCCTTTTTTCCCACACAATTAGGCGGCGCGAATGCAATCTTGCAATTTATTAAACAGGTATTTGAAAAAACAACAGAATACGGGTCAAAAATACATGAATTTTAGAGACTACCTGATTTTACTGCCACGTATTATTTTTATATTTGTTATCCCATGGCTATCTCTGATTATAAAGACTAATTCGCTACCTTGGATTCCCGAGTATGAATTTAACGATCAACTGAAAGTATTAGAAAGAATTCAGAAAAATGGCCTTCAAAGTTTAGTAGAAAAAAAATTATTAAGTAAATATGAAGTTAAATTTACTGAACAGCATGAAAAATTACGAAATTTAATAAATAATACAAAAGAACAGATTTATTTTAACCAAGTTAATCAAATGTATGATTTGTTAGCAGATCAAATAAGGAATATTGGTTTTAGTTGTCCAACTACATCAGCCATAAAGAATCGCTATTGTAATGAAAAAAAATTGAAAGGGTTTGAAAATGGAAGAGAAAGAAGTTATTGTGAAAGTGGCTTTGACCCTTCTCCAATTGCTTACTCATATCAATCGAGTGAATATTCTTATTCTGATTCCGGAGATATACTATTGAATTATGAAAATGAAGACTTAATTCTAGATGATACCAATTGTATTTCGGTTATTGTAGATGGTGATGTTTTAATATGCGGAGATCTTGTTGTTGCAAATGGGCAACTTAATACTCTAACTTCGTTTGATGCATTTGAAGCTCAAAATTTGTCAGTTGGTAAAATGCAATCTATGCACGCAAAAAGAAGATGTATAATTAGAAGAGGTTTGACAGTAAGAGGGTCAATGATACTTCCATTTTCTAACTTAATTGTTATTGGCAAATTGATTGTTGGAAAAAATGTGTACACTGCAGATCTGCAAGTTGACCTGTCATCTAATCTGTTTATTGGAGTTTTATATTTATTTTCAGATTTATACCAGAGTAAAAATGACTCAGATACATGGAACCCATTTTCCATCACAAGAATTAAACTTTTGCATGTTTCTAACTCATGTTCAAATGAATTTAATAATACTATCATTTATAATAGACCTCAAGATAACTCTAAGTTTAATGAAAGTGGAGAAATAGATCAAAATATGGGTTCTTTGTGGTCTAGTAGAAAAATTTATGTTGGAAACAGTGGTAAATTGTGGGTAAGAGGCGACATTCACGCTGGCGAAATTGTGATTTCTGATGCAGGGCTAGTTTTTGATACATGCGGTAATTTGAAAACTAACACTACACATGGGTTAGGTATATATATTAGGGATTCTGGAAGCCTTCATATGATGAGCTCTTCCATCTTTACAAGTAGATTATCTGTAATAAGGTCATCAGTTGTTATAATAAAAAAAGGAGAATTAAATGTTAACAGCATTTTATTGTTACACTCAGGTTCTAAAATTCGAATAGGTGGAAATATAATACTTCATATTGCATCAATAAGAGAATCGTCTACATTATATGCTGACTCCCTTGAAATATTGAACCAAGATATTGAAAATATTGAACATTATCGTAAAAAAAAAAATAATTCAAACATCTTTAGTCATAACAACACTCAATATATAGGAACAAATAGTATTGACAAATTAGCTGGCTATTTACAAGTGGTTTCAGCATCAACCGTAACAATATATGGTGGGATATTTGTACAAGGCTCAATTGAAATAAACGATGGATCTGAGCTTTTTTCAATGGGTAAAATTAGGATATTAGAAAATGTAATCATTAATGATGGTTCAGAAATCTTAATATTAGGTGATTTTAATTATTCAAACAATTATGATTGGAATGGTATTTGTGAAGGCTATGCCCATTGTATTCTTGGTTCAGTCCTTGTTTCAAATTCAAGCAATATGTTCATAGCTAACGGAAGTTTGAAGGTAAATGAATATGTTGATTTAATAGAGGGGAATTTTATATTAGGAGAAAATATGGAAGTTGGCAAGTCATTTATTTCAACAAAAAAATCCAACTTTTTTATAAGTGAAGGTGATTTAATAATTAATAATGCAGATCTATCCCTTGAGACAAATATTCTCGAAAAAAAAAGTTTTTTAATTTCAAACGGTGTATTTCTGATTAACGGAAAATTGCTTGTAAGAAATGGAGATGTAGCTTTAATTACGAAGAGTTATCTAAAAGTACAGCAAATTTACATTAATCAGGGGAGCTTGGGTATGTCAACAAAGTCTTTAACTGTAGTAAATGGAGGGAAAATAAATAAATTAATGGATTTATTTCTTTTTGAAAACAAAATTCCACTCAATATTCTAATTAATGGTAATCTTACGATCGATACATTTTCCGAAATGTTTGTTCTTGAAGGAAGTATTTCAATTGAAAGTATAATACTGACATCTAACTCAAAAATAAATATTGAAAAAAAAATGAACAGTGGAGTTGATCTTTATCAAATAAGCATTCATAAAGTAGTTGTATTACAAGGCAATTCATTTATGAATATTCCTGAAGGGTACTTATTAGAAGTAAATAGTGGTATAATGGTCGATGAATTTTCAATAATGAATTGTGATCAATCAATTATAGAAGGAGACTTGTTTATTGATGACGGTGGTTTTTTTATCGCCAAAAGCGTTATAATTTTTTATCCCTCAACTTTAGTATCACAGGATTCATCAAAAATATACATTGAAAATCTTCAAGTTTATTATAATACAAAAGAAAATACTTTAAGCCAATCTTCGGAAAATTCTAATATTCCATTGTTTATTTCTGAAAATGGTGGCTCCATAAAAATTCATCAATGTGAATACAATTGTGAGAGATCAAAATGTGTTAAATTACTATTTGGAATACGAACTGTAGAGTCAATTATTACAATAGAAAAGAGCCATCCCTGGTTTATTCCAGTAAAAGCTTCTGTACAATTTTTTGATTTAAACTCAACAAGTTCAAAAGAATTATATGAAGTAATAGACCCTATTGCATTTATTGTTAGAAAAAATCCTGAAGAAAAAAAACAGATCGAAGTCAAACCCAGAATTACATTTTCGAAGGGAGAGCAGGTTAGAAGAGGAAGAACCTGGGAAATTGATAGGAATACATTCAACCTATTTAACGAATCCCAGCCTATACAATGGCATTAATATTAATTTATTCAAACATTATTTTTACTAGAACACTAATTATTCTTAATTTTTTTCTTTGTAGCGCCTTTAATGCTTTTATTCAGACGATTTAGGGCAAAATAAAATGAAAGCACAATTACAAGTAGTGCGAAAACAAAATATAAATATCCATAAAACCCACTTAATTGCTTTACAATTTTTCTGGAAGTTTTTTCACTTGTATTTTTTGTTTTTTGTGAAATGACACGTTCAAGAATTTTTAATTGATATGATGAAAATTTTAGTGGGGTATTTTTATTAGCACTGAAGATTTTCATTATACTTTCTTTTGACGCCTTTCCATTAATAACAGAATTCATATCTTGCATATCAAAGTTGAAGTAGCAAGTAACGAGATTTTGGTGGAAAAGTGCTCTAATTGCATCATCTGGAGTTATTGATTCTTGATCTTTTATTGAAGCTGCTATCTTCTGATAAAATTCACGTTTCTCTATCAATTCTTTTTGAGTTAGTTCAAAACAAATTTCCATTTTTTTTTCCTTTTCACTTTCGGATAAATTCTTGTCTAAAGAGTCTATATAAATTTCGTCCTCTAATTTGGGGGCTTTCTTCGAATAGCAAACTGAGTTAATAAGGGCGAATATTAACAATAAATTTCTTATATGCTTCATTATTTTAAATTGATTTGGTTCAAGAAAATTTGCAATTTAAAATCTTTAATTAGCAGTTTTATTCCAGTATTGTATGCGCCGAAAAAAATTGTACTAATCAAAAAAAAACAAAATTGTTATACATATGCGGTTATTTATGTTTCATATAATTAATTTCTAGATAACACTAAGTTATTTAATAACAGAAAATAGTTCCTAAAATTCAAGACTAAAATTTCTATCTATTCAATTTTTTGAAACATTACGTTTGAAAAGGTAAATGTAATTAACATTAATTTTTTGTGGTGCGGGCATACATATAATTCAATTACTGCTTTTTAATTGATTACAAATAGCTAATGAATATCGAACAATTATGTAATTATGATCTTTTGCTGTCTTTCGAAACTGAATCAAAAAAGCTTTTAGCGTTCTTCAAAGATGATATTAATAACGATGATCCAAAGTTAAATACTTGCAAACTTATTGCAAACATTGGGGTTGAAATTTTGGATAGATATTACAGAATAATTCATTCCACATCATTTTTAAGGGAAAGTAGCTTTTTAAATAGAAACAGTTTTATTGAAGCATTAGATGGAAGAATTACAAATGTTTTGAAAGTATGTAGATTCTGCATAGAATTTCTTATTTATCAAGATGAAAATATAGTTAGAAAAAAATATTCAGATAATAAAGAAGATAAAGATGTTCTATTTGAATTGCTTTGCAAGGTCTTATTCTATCAAGGCGATTTTCTGGAATGCAGTGTTATTTTGGGGCGTATTTTGGGTGATTGTTCAGAAGAAGATATATTTAACCAAAAAATTAAAATAAAATTCAGATATTTATTCGAATTTTTTAGTTCTTGGAATCTACTTAATGCAAAGGAAACTCCTTTCAATAATATAAATAATAATATGTTTGGAGATATTATATTAAAAGAGCTGAAGTTACGAAGTTTATGTTCTGTGATTTTAGATGAAAATAATCATTGTAAAAATGATCAGACAAGTTACGCTGAAATTGTTAATGAAATACAACATTCATTTGTTAAATTTTACAAAGAAATAAGTATTAAAGACAAAACTTTTTCTAAAAAAATGATTCAAGACCAATTTTCTACTATTTTGGAAAATATATTAATAAGGTTAGAATGCTGTAAAAAGTATCAAAAAAAGTATCTTGATAATAAAAGATTTGCCTTGATGAATGATCTCAGTTTGGAAAAAAATTACATGAAATCAATAAAACTCTTTTCTTCCATTCTAAATCAAGATAATACTAGAAATAATATTTTTAAGTACCTGGAAGAAATTATGTTATTATTTGGAATAAATAACTTCGAGATAAGTTGCGACCCATTTCAATCTTTGCAAAATTATTTAAGTGATTTAAGTATGAAGTTAAATATATCAAATTCCAGAAACGAATCTAAAGTAACTACCGATAGAATAACAAGAAGCAGAAACAATATTAATAACGAATTTTCTAATTTTAATTTGAATAAAGAAGCTATTGAATACGATTTAGTATTTAAGCTAGAGAATCCATTAAAACAGATAATTATTGATATTTACAACAATACTTTAATATTTCCTAAATATAACGATAAACAATACAAGATTTGGATCCAAACAATCCCATATTATTGTTACAATCTTATTTTAAGCATATTAAAAAAAAAAGAAATGAAATGTGATGATATTTTTAGTCTAAACTTAAATAGCAATTTTCCATCAATTGAACAATTTGATGAAATGATCATTAAAGAAACAAACTTGGTAACTGAACATTATGCAACAATGATAGAAACCAAATCTGTCAGTTTTCAAGATATAGAACTATTTTTTAATAGATTAAGGCATGATTTTTGTGACAGTTTTAATGGGAAGCACATTTGTGAAGCTGTTGATAATAAAATACAATTTCTTTCAACTAATTTACTACCATTAATTGATGAATTTTTAATCAATTTTAATATTCTATTGAACAAAATATTGAAATTCATATTCTCAACGCCAAATAAGGACACAATAGTTTTTGATGAGGAGATATACACTTTATTTTTTAATCTAATAGAGGGATTATTCAAATATTGTACAAGAATCATCAAAAATGTAGTTTATTATGAAGAATCATATAGAAATATGAATAATAGATCAACAATTAGATTTGAATATTTAATTGATGGATTAGAAAGTTATGACGAAAATAATAGTTGGATAGAAGTTACTAACAGTCTCTATTATTTATTATTTAAAGTTAATGAACCAGTTCAAAAGGATATTTTATTTTTGTTTTACAATATTATGAAGACATTAGTTATTTTCATTTTTGTTACAAAAAATATTTTGAATATCGAAAGCAGGCAAATTATACTTTTTTATAATGGATTAAGATCAAAATTTTTATGTTTAATGGATACGTTTTCTTTAATAAAAGAAAAATTTGATAATAACATTATAACTGAAATTGATCTTTTAACTAAAAAATTATTAATATTGTTTAAAGTTTTTGAAATACCTATAGTAGAAATATACTTAGATAACGGGTTTCTACTTTTATTGAAAGAAGATTTAATGAAAATATGCAAATATATTGAACAAATTAATTTGATAATAAATTTATCTGTAGATTTCCTAGGCCATAAAGAAATTAATAATAATTTTTTAATTGGTCATGCTTTAACACTTTTTTCAAATAAAAGCATTCAGATAATTAAAGACAAGTTTATGAATTGGAAAAATATTTTTTATTCAAAATTGAAAAATGATTTTTCCTCCGATTTTATGATCTATTCAACATTTCTAGAAAATAATTATTTTGAACATTTAAAAATGAAGAAAATAAATTGTATGAAAAATGAGTTAATTGATCAAATATTTCTTCAACACATCGATAATATAGTGTCAGATGTATATTTATTTGTGGTTTTTGAGAAATACGAGCTATCGGAAAGTTTTTATGGATTTTTAGTTTCATTAATGAAAACTTTAATAATTATTATCAATGAAGATGTGCGATATTTGTATTTTAATGGCATTATAATAAATTCAATAATTTCTAATATTACAAAGTTATTGATTAAGTTTACAGAGATATATGAGTTCAACTCAATAATACTCAATGAATTATTTGAAGAAACATTATATAATTTATTATTTGAAAGTATATTAATAAACGTCACATGTATTCATAAGATTTTTATGAATCATTTATCAGCAAATAAGTTAAATTTATTGATCATGAAAAATTTAATGAACCTTTTAATAGTTCTATTTGATTTTTTCAAGTACTCATGTTCAATAAAAGAAATATCTTCAAATTCAATAATTAATTTAATTAGATATCTAACGTATTTAGAGTTCTCATTTGAATTTTTTAAGGATGAAAGCAGAGAAATAAAAGACATCAAAATTTTTAAAAATAGTGAAGATGAAATTTATAAAAAACATATTTTGAACAATTACTGTATTACAATTCCAATTATAGAACAAACTTGTGATTTTGAATTTCTGAACATTTCTGAAATCGATGAAGCTAAATTAAGTCAAAAATTTGATAAATTCCTGAATTCAGTTCTAAATACAAAAATACTATTATTATCCACTACTATAAAATTTGCTTTGTTTTCAAACCTTTCAACTATTGAGAATTGGTTTAAAGAAACATTAGTTTTTGTTGAAAAATATGAAGTTAATAATTATTTAATGAATTGGAATTCACTATACTACGAATGTAAAAAAATAGTACAAAGATATTCAACCGTAAATAAATCTTTAAATATGAGAAATTTATACCCGAAAAATAAGCTGGACGAAAATCATTTATCGCCTGAGCAAGAAACTGAATATTTAGAGTTGCTTGGAATTCAATTCCAATTACTTTATGGAATCCCAGTTTGTCCATTGCCATCAATGCCATTTAATAAAATGCCAATATATAATCAGGCCTTAGTATATGATTTTTTACTTAATCTAAATAATTTTGTTTCTAATTCAACAAATTTCAAGAATTTATTTATTAATTGGCTAATTCATAAAATAACAAATACTCAAAAGGTACAAACAACTGAAATTCTAGAATACATTTCTCCATACTCACCATTAATAGCTATGTGTTGTAATATATTTCATACTTTAATTAACTGTACTTCCTTAACAGAAAAACAATATTCTGATAGCAAAATAAAGTTCTATACATCTATAATAGGACTAATTGAAATACTATATTTTAATGGAAGTTTTATAGATTCAGAGACTAATGAAAATATTTGGAATATTATTTCATCTCCTTTAATTTATCCATTATTTATGGACAATTTATATAAAGTGCTTAATCATGAAAAAAATAATTACCATGATATTTTTAAACAAAACCTAGAAAACGGTTTTTCTTCTATCCTTTATAATTCACATGTTTCCGATCAAATATTAAATTTTTATGATAATATCATGGTACTTTCCCCTTCATTTTTGCACTTTGAAATTAACAGCTCAAAAATGGATAAGCACGGTTTTGATGAATTGTTATTTGATGATATTTCAATGTATTTTAAAGAAAATAAACTAACAATGGTTTCATTAGAACCACTTTTATATTGCAAATATTATTATGCATTCCTTTTGGATAAACTTATAAGATCAAATATGGATGTTAAATTTTTGAATGAAAAATATTCAGATAAAACTTTAATTCAAATTCAAAAAAAAGCCGGTGATTTCGTTTCTTTTTCTAATCAAGACAGTATTTTTCTTAAAATTAACTGGAAGAATATCAAGAAATACATTCCTTTCAAATTTCTAAAAGATTGTTTTATCTCCTGTATACCTATTTCATATGTAGATAGATCGTCAAGTTTATGGAACCCAGGTAGATTTGGAGCAACAGGAAATAATAATATACAACCTAGCCTAAATACGTTATTTAAATATTTAAGATGGTTAAATATTAATCTTTTTTTAATTGATAATTATGATATAAATATAGTTACATGCTGCAATAATATATTAAAACAAATTATCTGCGAGTTTGATGATTATAATACTTTTGAAAATTTAGAAAATGAATATCCTATATTGCTAAAAAGAATTATTGCACAATTAATCTACTTACTTGAATGTGAAATCAAATATTTCATTAAACTTGAAAATGACATACAAATGCCTTATTCTCAAATTGTAAATAATATTCTTTCTGTGGCTTTTGATCAAATAATAATAAGGTATATCAATATTAAAGGTGTATATAAGAAAACGAATACTAAATATTTAATAATTTATCTAAATAAAAATAAAATTTTATCTAAATATAGATGCTATAATAAGATAGTTCCAAAAAATTATGAAAATAGCCTAATAATAAATTCCATTGAAGTAATTTCAAGGTTAAGAAAGAGTTTATTTACAGAATTTATACCAAAAGTTTCTACTCAAAATAAAAAATGGTATAGTATTTATGCAAATTCTTTCTCACAAATTCATAATTGTATTTGGCTTCCATCATTGTTAGAATCAAAAACTAGATTCAAACTAGCAAAAATATTGATTTCTTCATTTTTATTTAATTCAGAAAAGAATCAAGATGATCTTAAAAGAGCAATAATTGAATTGAAAAATGCTTATAGTCTTTCAGTCGAATCATTAGTTATTTGTCATTTAATCTTAAGCGGAGATGAAGATGAAGTAGAAATATTTTTTAAGAGCTATGAGAAGAATTCACAAAAAAACGAATTAATTAACTTTTTTAATTCAAAACTACTAATTATTTACGGTATTTTTTTCAATATTTATTTGAACAAGTTTCCTGAAAAGAATCCATTGGGTAATAAAATAGGATTTTTGAGAACTCAAATAAATGATGCTACTAAAAATATCAATATTTCATATTCAAATTTAAGCTCAAATCTTGCCAGTATATTATTTTATTTCTATAAATCCTTCATTAATTATCAATCAATAAAGCAATTTATTATCATTTTTATTACAAATAACTCAATACCCTTATTAAATGATGACATAACAGAATTTAAAAATTTAATCAAAATAAACTCTCATTCAGTTTATGAATATAATATAAAAGAAATGTTGAACGAATTAATTTTTGATGAATTGAATTCTAGCCAAACAATTTTGAAAAAAAACAAGTTAATTCAATCAATATTTACACCTATAATAAGCCAATCATTTTCTCATTTCTCTTTAATTAACTTTATTCTTTTGGAAGAAGATTCAAAAAATTTGTTATCTTATTACCAAAAGTTTTTATTAAATAAAAAAGTAATGAATTTTTGGGGTTTTGAAACTAATAAATTCATTAATGATCATTATAATGGTCTGTACCTTAGAAGAAACAGAAAGTATTTATGTAATAGATACAAGTTTATGTTAATACCTTCAATATTAATTTTGGTAATCAAAAATGAAATTATTACAAATATAAAAAATCTTCTGGCGAACTGTATTAATTCTGAAACAAAGTTGTATAATTGTTTCAACAGGGATCAACTAATGTATAGTTACGATAATTTTCCTATTTTCTTCACAATTTACAATTTATTATTGGAGACAAAAAGTAATAATTTTTCTAATATCAGTGATATTTCATATCATTATTTGGGAAGTTTTAACCTGATATTGGATTATTTAATTGATGTATTAATCGGTGAGTTTAAATCTATTAGACAATTACCAGCTGTTGAAAAGTTTGAATATTTTATAAGTGACCAAATTAAAAATTACAGCAAGAAGAATATTACTACAAGTTTAATCGATATAGGTGTGATCAATTGGAATGATATTTCCGAGTCTGGGCACTTTAATATTTCTTTAAATGCGATTATAAAAACTTTGAATAACATTCTTGAATTATTCGATTTTGTTGATAATATTGGTCTTCCGATTGATGGTAAGCTGTTTTCATATTTGTTTGGTTTGGTTATTATATTTCATAAATATGAAATAGTATATTCAGAAAATGATAATTCGCAGATTAACAATGAATTTGTTCAATGTATTCCCTTAAACACTATAAAACAATTGGAAAGGCAATTAGGGAATTTTGTACTAAATAATATCCCTTTTTCTATTATACCTAGAATTGGCGAATTCAAATTACTTTTCAAGAATATTTTTATCAATATTTTTAATAAATGTTTTGTATTTTCTATAGATAATAAAATTGAATATAACAAAAATTATTTTTTTGAAGTTTTCAATTTAATTATACAATTTTTAGGAGTTTCTTCTAATGGGGTAAATGCTGTCAATCTAACTTCAAAAAACAACGAAGGAATTGAAAGTATTTCATTATACGAAATGAAACCAGAGTTAAAAAGAATTAGATATGATATTTCATTATTTGAGGAATCGTAATAGATAAACTAATGTTTTTCTTAAATTATTCCCCTTTTTGCGCAATCATTTATGATTTTTCTAGTAATTAAATATAATTATCCATGAATAAACAAATTTATTTATTAAGCCAATCTGATTCTAATAAGTTAGATAAGGAGCTATTAAGCGAAAATTTTGGATATAAGCTAGATCAATTGATGGAGATTGCCGGTTTCAATTGCTCTTCCTGTATTTTGCATTGCATTAATAACAATTTCTTAAGCAAATTTGGTATTCATTCGATTAAAGAATCTTCTAAAAGTAAGCCAATTACAATATTCTGTGGTCCAGGAAATAATGGTGGCGATGGACTTGTAATAGCAAGATACCTTAAACTATTTGGTGGTTTTCCAATTGTAATATATCCAAAAATTGGCAGACCAGAATTTTTTAACAGCTTAATATTATTACTGGAAAAGTTTGAGGTTCCAATTTTTAGAAAACTCGAAGATGCACAAAATGTTGATAATTCAATTTTGTTAATTGATGCAGTATTTGGTTTTGGATATAATAGCAATAAAACTGATAACTGTTATAGTGAGATTATGAATTTTTTAATAATAAATTCAAAAGAGCACAAAATACCTGTAATTTCGATTGATGTTCCTTCTGGATGGGAAATCGATATGAAAGAAAGCTATAGTGAAGATAGAATAGAACCTCATGTCTTAATTTCATTAACTGCTCCAAAGTCGTGTTCAAAGTATTTTAATGGAATTCATTTTATTGCATCACTTTTTGCAACACGTGATATATTGTACAAGTATAAAGTTGAGTATATTTACGATCTTTTTCTGAAGGAAAATGCAACTCAATTTATTCTATTTAACCAAAAAAATGTTGCTTCCACATTTTCTTAAACAAAATTTCTTCAGAGTCATTCTCTTTTTGACAATTCGTGTAAAATATTTGTGTTTCTCTATAACTGCCTAAAGTCGCATTAGAATACAAACAATAACTGTCGCTATCTACTCCTTTATTTATTGGAACTTTAAATTCCTCTGCCCCACCTGTCGTATTTGATATATGTTCATCTCCTGCCCAATTGACAATTCTTCCATTTTTATTTTTATTGTTTTTCCATGCCCAGAACTGATTATAATTTCTTGCTCTCATCACAAGATTCCAGTCACACTCATATAATAAAGGTAATTTCAATATAGTATTAGATTTTAAACTTTTAATTAACTCTATATAATCTTCCGATTTTATTTTTTCAATTAAATTAACTGAAATTACTTTATCTAAACATTTTCTTGATTTATAATTATATAACATCCGATTACCAAGGATAAAACTCCACTTTTGGGATTCGTCAAGATAGTTACACGTTTTTAAAGTTAATATGTCATAATCAGTAGTTGTTTTTATGTTATACCTGGACACATCATTCGGTACTACAGTCATTGGAATTTCAATCTCATTAGTTTTCTCAATATCAATCTTATCTTCTTGTTTATTCAATGTAGACAAACATAATCTACTTTTTAAATGTTGAATATGGTGGAAGTCGTAATATAATTCATGCTGTCTTTCAAATGCTGGCCTAAATTTTTTTAAATACCACTCAAAAGGTTTACATTTCAATATGTATTTTAATGAGAGTCTTTCACTTAAACCCTTTGTATAACTAAGAGGTAAATAACCCATTACATGATAATTTTTGAAATAAGTTTCATAAAATTGTTCACTTAACCATACAAATGCCGTTCTTTGATGATTAGTGTTCATATTGTCAATTAACATTTTTTTATATTCAAAATCTTGGTTTCTTTTATTTAAATTATTTCTATCAAAAATATGTCCAACTAATGAATTTCTTACCACATGTATTTCTCCACCACAAAGCCAAACTCTAAAGCTTTGCTCAATATTTTCACCACCCCAATAAAGCATTCCCGGATCATACTTGCCACTTTCTTCCCACCATCTTTTTGTTATCATTAATATTCCTCCTGATGTAATCGGAATTTCTGGTAGTCCATCATCATACCAATGAAATGCAAAATTCCATTCTATCATCATTTTCGCACCAGCCGTTCCTATATCACTCCAATCAGTATTAGAGATACTTTGGACTATTGGACAAACAATTCTCTTATAGTTTTCTCTAATTGATTTAACCAATGCTTCTGACCAGCCCTTTTTTGGTTTACAATGTCCATCTAAAAAAAATATATTAGGGCCTAAAGCAGCATCTGCTCCAATTATTTTTGATCTTATTAAACCTTCACATTTATTTAATCTTATTATTTTCACATATCTTTTATAATTCTCTGGGAGTTCTTTTTCAAGTATTTCATGTACTGGATTTTCACTGAAGTCATCAACAACAATGATTTCTCTCAGCAATTCCACTGGAGTCGCTTCAATAGTGTAGATTATAGTTTTACTGATAAACTCATCTTCATTATAAGCTGGAATTACAATACTTATTCTATCATTTTCATTGTAATTACCTAAACCAGAAACCGAATTAGTACTTCTTGTTAAATCGTTCAAATTACTACTTTTGATTTCATTATTTACATTTGGTAGGGATGTTTCTTTCTTCAAATTGATAAATGTATCAAATTCAGTCTCGATATATTCAATTACTTTTGTTTCAATGTTTAAATAGTCAGAAAATGAACTTCGCGGATTTGAGATAGATCTATAGGACCAGTTATTGAGCAACCAATTTGAAAATTCGAGAACGGATAAATTAATTGGAGGGCTATATCTGAAAATTTTGTTGAGATACCTACTTTCTACCGAATACTGATCTTTCGAACTTATTATTTCTTGTTTATTTGAATGTTTTTTACCAACAATATTAGTAATCCAACTTTCGTAAAACGATGTAAATATCAATATTAATGAGGCTATAATTGTAAGCATCCAGCCATATCCTTTACTTTTTTTTCTCCCAATTTTCCTAAATCTTTTATCATCAACTGACCTTTTAATTGTTTTTTGTTGCTTTTCGGAATTATTAGAGTTATTACTGGAAAATTTTTTAAGTTCAATATCATTTTTCTCACCAGAAGTCAAACTTTTGGAGTTTCTTGGATAATTAACCACTTTTTTTTTCCTCAAACATTTTGAAAAAAAAACGTCAATTAATACAAGTTCAGCAATTAATAGAAGGTCAATTGCCAACCTCCGCTTAGAGAAAAAAATCAGAAAAATTAGAATAGTAATTAGAAAAGTCCTACAAAAAACTCGGTTTTTGCCGAGTTTAATAATTCTTGAAGAAAATATTTTAAATTTCATTTCAATGGATTAAAATTCTTATTATCAATTAGATTCGGCGGTCTAAAGCGTGTGTATTGTGTGGAAAGTAGAATAAATTAAAGAATCATTTAGATTAGCACTTAAAAATCAAGCATAACTAAATGTTTGAAAAACTTGGTTAGAAATCAAGAGTTCTAATAATTATTAGTTATTAACCAGAACACATCATACATTCTTCACCATCCTTTAAGTTAGATGGCCTTAATGGACAGGCAATTATCTTTTTCTCTTCTGGTTCAATTGCTTGGCGTTTGTTTCTTTCCAATGAATCCTTTTCTTTATTAGTTTCTGATTTAAGAAGTTGCTGATCTACGGTGAATTGTATTGGACGTGTTGCGCTTTGAGTTCTTAGATAATAAATGCCAGTTTTTAATCCTTTTTTCCAGCCATAGAAATGCATCGATGATAACTTTGCAAAGTTAGCATTTTCCATATGAATATTTAAAGACTGAGACTGGCAAATATATGGGCCCCTATCTGCAGCCATATCGATTACTGTCTTTTGCTTAATCTCCCAAACTGTTTTATAAAGTTCGCGGACGTCCTCCGGGATTGTAAGAATATTTTGAATACTTCCATTATTTGCAATGATATTTTGTTTAAGCCTGTCATCCCATAGCCCAAGTTCAAGCAAGTCATTGAGTAAATGAGGATTCACTACAAAAAATTCACCAGAAAGTACCCTACGATGATATATATTTGAAGTAAATGGTTCAAAACTTTCGTTGTTACCTAATATTTGCGAGGTAGACGCAGTAGGCATTGGAGCAATTAGAAGTGAATTACGGAGCCCATACTTAGAAATCCTTTCTTTAAGTGAATCCCAGTCGCAAAGCCCAGAATCAGGCTTAACTCCCCACATGTCAAATTGTAGAATACCTTTACTCGCGGGTGACCCAGAATACGTTTCATACGGCCCATCTTTTTCTGCGAGCTCGCAACTAGCCTCGAGCGCCGCATAATAAATAACTTCAAAAATCTCCTTATTTAATTTCCTAGCCTTCTCTGATTCATATGGCATACGAAGCATCATAAAGCAATCTGCAAGTCCTTGAACACCAATTCCAAGCGGGCGATGTTTTAGATTTGAGTTTTTACATTCTGGGAGAGAATAATATCCGTGATCAACAATTTTGTTTAAATTCCTCGTAATAACTCTCGTAACTTCCTTTAACTTATCAAAGTCGAATGTTTTGTTATCTTTGTCAACAAACTTCGGAAGACCAATGGACGCCAGGTTACAAACAGCAATTTCATTTGCGCTAGTGTACTCTATAATTTCGGTGCATAAATTACTGGAAACAATAGTCCCCAAATTTTTCTGGTTACTCTTACTATTCGCAGCGTCCTTGTAGCAGATGAAAGGCGTTCCTGTTTCAATTTGAGCTTGTAGGATTAAAAACCAAAGTTTCTGCGCCTTCATAGTTTTTCTTCCGCGGCCCTGCTTTTCGTACTCTTCATATAGTTTCTTAAACTCATCACCCCAAACATCTTGCAACCCCCTGCATTCATCCGGACACATAAGAGTCCAATCTTGGTCTTTCTCAACCCTCTCCATAAATAGATCAGGAACCCAAAGGGCAGGAAAGAGGTCACGGCATCTCATCTCCTCTTTTCCATGATTCTTTCTTATTTCAATAAACTCCACAACATCTACATGCCACGGCTCCAAATAAATTGCAATCGCACCCTTGCGTTTCCCTCCACCTTGGTCAATATATCTAGCAGTATCATTATAAACGCGTAACATTGGAATCAGTCCATTAGACCTTCCATTGGTACCCCGAATATACGAGCCCGTTCCTCTAATATTACTCACTGCCACTCCAAGACCGCCGGCAGTCTTACTAATATTTGCACATTTTGTTAGCGTGTCAAAAATACCATCTATAGAATCCTCTGGTATTCTGAGTAAAAAACAAGATGACATTTGAGGTCTTGGAGTGCCGGAGTTGAAAAGCGTAGGTGTAGCATGGGTAAAATACTTTTGCGATAATAATTTATATGTTTCGAGTGCAGCCTCGATATCACCGCAATGTATACCACAAGAAACTCTCATTAGAAGATGTTGTGGTCTCTCTACAATCTTGTTATCAATTCTGAGAAGATAGGACCTTTCTAAAGTTTTGAATGCAAAATAATCATATTCAAAATCTTTTGAGAAGTCAATTTTTGAATTAATTATTTCTTTATTTTCCATAATAAAATCATAGACACACCTTGAAATCAGAGGAGCAGGGTTACCTTGAACATCCTTGAAATAAAATAGTTGTGATACAACATCGCCAATATCAGAAGAAGTGTTTTTATGTAAATTGGAAGTTGATATGCGAGCAGCAAGTTTAGAAAAATCATTGTGTGTAGCTGCCATATACGCACAAGTTTGCGAAGCAAGCTCATCCAATTCAGAAGTTTTAATTCCACTATACATACCATTTATTACTGCCTGGGTAACTCTCGCTGGGTCAACAAGTGGATGCAGTCCATATGATAATTTGGTGATTCTACTAAGAATCTGGTCAAATGATACTGGCTCCACCTCACCCTTTCTGTTCACCACGTACATTATTTACGATTACTGGGACACAAGAACCAATTAATATTTTAGAATTCGTAGTACTAACCCTATTCGATGTTGAAACATTCAACAAAAGAAAAGTAAAACAAATTCTTTTATTTCTTCCAAATAGTGGGGTATTGCGAGCACTTCCACAAACTATTAAGTGGGGAACAAAGAAGTTTCCGATGTGGGGTGCCGCCATGTATTCCAAATTTAATAGGCAATAATCCACAATGAATTTCAGTGGTGTTAAAAACTATCCAAATATTCCAATCCCGATTTTGCTCATTACTTAATTAGCAATATTTAGAATGAAATAAAATGGCATTCTGTCATATATTCTAGCAATATCGAGAGCACACCTTCGCATTTTTGTAGACTTTATTCCACAAAAATCAATAGTAAATATGGCAGATACAATATGAAATAGACCAAGAGAGAATAAAACTCTACAAATGTAATGTGTAATTTTTTTTTTCTGTGTTTTTCCCCCAGAAACTTACTAGGATGTAGTCGCCAATCCCTAAAATGTCATTAGTCTTCTCAACATAACTATTATAATTATTCATTCCAACATTCAATACAATGAAAATTGATGTCATTGTTAGAGAAGAAATATAGCAAATAATACCTAAGAAAGCATAATAATAGAGAATATTAATATTTTTGAAGTAATTTACCTGAAAATCCCTTAAATCCCAGAATCCCTGCTATGATCCCAAAGGTGATTGCTCCTATTAGTCTGCATTGTTTCAATACCTTATTGTTATTTTCTATCGAGGAATTAGACGTTGTTATAGTTTTAATTTTATCTTTCATTTTTTTAGTAAAACTTTTAGATAAAATGTCTTAGCGCAATGTTAGTGGGATTATATAATTACCATAAGTAAATATTAAATATTGCAAATATTGAAATCAAATACTTCCAAAAATATAAATCTTTAATTTATTAATTATTTATTTCAATTAATATCACAATTAAGTTATTTTTATCTAAATGATATTTTTAAAGTATTTTTAATAAAATGCATAAACCATTTGATATTTCAACTTTTAAATATAGAAAAGAAAGTACCAACAAACAGGCCAACTCTATTAAAACAAATACAAATGATATATTTACTCCATTTGGGGTCTTGAGATCATTTAGTAGCCGTAAAGATGATTATGATTTAACATTTAAAAAATCATGGAATTTGTTTTTCAAGAAATTTCTTAACAATATTAGACTTGAAATGAGCAATGGAATGTCAAAGATACTCGAAAATATTAGCTCTCTCGTAGATGATGGTATAAATTACGAGCTACATGTTATAGGAGCGTTATCGGGGTCAAATAATTGCGACCACGTTATTACATTCAATGTTTTGCAAGAATTTCTTAATTGTTCAGGCCAGCCATATACAATATTGTTAGACCACGAGAAAATAGGTGTTGAAGGATTGAGTATATCAAAATTATTGGAGACAATCTGGTATATAATTAAAAGTACATTTTTAGATTTGCTTATTGAAGAAATTAAGATTATAGATTCATGTAAAGAATATGATTACGAGAACGGTTCGTTAATTTTGAATTCAATGAATCTAAAAGATTCAAAGGCAGACTGTGAAGAAAAATTAGTTAATAGAGTTAAAAGGAATAAAAGAAAATGTAAAACTGAAAACTCAGTAGTAAAAGAAATTCAGTTAGATCTACAGAATAGAATAATAAATTTTCAATTTACTCAAACTGACAATATATACAAGCTGCCATCTATTCAATCAATTCAAATGAATTCTAAAGCTTCAAGATTCTCTTTATCAAATAACAATCATAGTCAAAAATACTTAAATATTAATAAAGGCCTTAAAGTGGTTGGTTCAATTTTTAGAATAAAGAAAAAAAACAATTTGAATATTAAACCCATAATTATATTGATTCCAAGTAGTGAATGTTTTTCACCAGGCCAACTTGGGCAGCTGCTTGAAATGCTATCTCAAATTAAAGAAACTTATAAAATTCCATTTAAAATTGTTCTTGGTATTTCAACAAGTACATTATACGTTCAACGTATTATTGGTCAAACCGTTTTTAATAGACTGAAATTTGTTTCCGTAAAGCTACTGGACTCAAAAAAAGTTTTTTTTCAATCAATAATTAACTCACTATTATATTTAGATGATTTTGATTCAAATATTTTACTTAAAGGAAATTCTGTGAAATCACAAGAATCAAATTCAGAAAATTTGGTTGAATTAAACTACTTTTATTCTAGTTCGATAACTAATTCCGAAACAGAGTTATTCTCTTTTCCACTAATATCTACTGCATGCATAAAACACATAAAAGATAATTTCTTTCAGTATGATTACAGCCTGACTTCTTCTTTAAAGACAGTTTTCATTGTATTTCAATTTTACTTCACGAATAACAAGTATGATTTCTTTTTTCATCAATTTAAGGAAATAAAAATGGAAGGCTTTGATGAAGATATAATAGATAAATTGAAACTCAAATATCAAATTAATAAAAGCAAGCTGCTGCCAGAGATTGATAACGATTTAAAAGAAGCAACGATAACTGAATTATCTCAACTTCAATTGAATTTAAAACTAGTCGCTCTAGGAATATCTATTCTAAACATCATTTTTTACGATGCTTTAAATATTTTTGATATTAACGAAAGATACAACTTAATTATTGAATGGTTGGAGATTATAGAAAAAAATAGAATTGAGGAATTAATTAAAAAAATAAATAGTTTAACATGTGATATAAAAAGTATTGAAAATTCCACTTTAAATAAAAACTCAGTTTTCTCAAAAATAAACAAAATTACTGAGTTATTTTTAACAAAAAACAAATCCTTGTTCGAAAAAAAAAATCAAATCCTTGGTAATAAAGTTCTATGGGATATCAAAACTTTTGAGTTCAATATTTCAAAACTCTTCATTCCTTCATTTGATAGATCAAAATTTTCCGGGTACATAACTGACAATGTTTTTCATTCATTAATTTATGTAAATTTTAACGTTTCTTTTGAACATTTGGATTATTTTTTAGATGAAATGCTAACACCCAATTTTATTACAAATATAATTGACGATTTCAATCAAACAGATGACAATGAAAATATTTCAGATGACTTTTCGATCATTTATAAAATTTACAGTGCAAATAAAGGAAATAAAATAAACTTGTTTAAATTTTTTGCTACATTTTGTAATAAAATAAATGGTGATTTGAATAAATGTTACAACATTTCGGTTTCTAAAAATCAACTTGAAAAAATAAATAATGAACAAACAAGAATAAATTGCCTACCTGACCAATATAAGAATTTATTTATTAGATTCGTGCGAGTAATAAATACATTTCAAATTATTGGGTTACTTTATTTGCCATTAAAAAACACAAAAGTTGAACAGGATATTTTTCGAACCAATTCTGATAATAATAAAGACCCCGAAAAAAAATATCAATGTTTAAATAAACACTTAGATCAGTACTTCAAATTTGCTCTTAGTAATATATATGCCCATAAATTATATTGGGGAAATGATATGGCAATATCTGACATAAGAACAATTGATAAGAGAAATAAGCCCGAAACTCACTTATTCGATAATGAAGAATTCAAACTCTTGGATTTTGCCATAGACACAAATAAGATCAATTCTAACATTAAATATAAAAGAAAATCCATTTGCTCGAATTTTATTGATGAACCGAGCAAAAATATAAACATTAAGAAAAGCAAATTGGAAGTCCTCAAATTACGTGCTGCGGAGTCAAATCAAAAAAAAATAATTGAATTTAAAGGAATTAAAATGCAAAAAGCAATAAATTCTGCAAATAAAATAAAAAATCTGAGAAATTCAGCGAATGAAAAACAAATGACTAATTAGTTATATTTATTGAAACGTACATCCTATCTCATCAATCATTTTGGATAAATTTTTTTTTTTTTGAGTAATAGTATTTTTTTCCCGTCTTTGATGCGCAAAATCCTCAAAGTTTCTTTTATTCACTGGTGATACAACGCTTACTATCCTTAATTCTTTATCTATTGTTTTCTCCGGAAAATACCCAATTTTTTGTCTATATGACCGGCAACTTATAGGAGCTTGAATCGAGCTTTCCAGAAAATCTGGTATTGTTTTGATTATTGCAGGAGATTTGTAAAAATTACCTCTATCTGTATAGTTCGAACTTTCTTTTGTACTTTCTTCGTATTTACTATTATTTTTTGGTATTGAGCAATATATTAAGCTGTTAAAATTATCGTCACCGCTTTCAATGAAATCTTGATCCAATTTTAAGCAATTTTTATCATCTTTTTTTTCAGCAAGACAATTATTGTGTTTCCTTCTCTCAACTATTTCATCTCTTTCCTTATATTTATTTATTTCACTAATCAACCGTTGGTTTTCCTCATGCAATATTTCATGGCTTTCTTTCAACTCATTGTAATTGTACAATAAACCTTGATATTTTTTTTCAAGAGACTTGTTTTCTTCTTTAAAACGAATTATATCGCTAGATAACCTATCTTTCTGTGATAGAAAATGCTCAACCTCTTTCTCATATTTGTTCTTCTGAGTTATGGAGTTTTGAATTTCAAATTTGTATTCTTCTGATTCTTCAATTGCGACTTTGAGTTGTCTTTTTAAATTCTTGTTTTCTATTTCTAATTGTTCAAATTTGTCCCTTTCTTTATGAATAACATCGAATCGGTTATAAAGATAATCTTCTAATTCTGTTATCATATGAGAAATTTTTCTTATTACAATTTCGTCTTTCTTCAAAAAATAATTGTTCTTTCCCTTATCTGAATTTAAAATTACTCGTTCCAATATAGATTGAAGAGAAATTTGTAACTCCCTAAAGTTTGAGAACATTGTTTGGCCTTTCCAAGGCAAAGTTTCAAATGAATCAAGGTATAATTCGCTAGTATTGCAATTCTCATTTAATGAGATGCATTGAATATCAAATTCAGTTTTTTCATCCGCTTTTCTAGTTTGATAATTTAGAGGAGTTTTTTCTGAGCCACAATTTATATCATCATTTTCCGAATTGTGATTTGTCTCTTCTTTAATACTTAATATCCTTGTAACTATTGCTTTAGTACTACAAACTGATGTTTGGCTTAAAATATTTAAGTATTCTTTTAGCCACTGTAATATTGAATTGCTAATATCAATGAGCTCCAAAAACATACTTGAGTTTTCTTCCTGTGGTATTTGAGTCAATACATCTTGCCAATATGCAGATGAGCCATCATTACAAACGTTGGAAATTATTTCAAGTATTATTGTATGTATCTGGCCAACTGTTATACCAATACCTTTTCTAGGTTCATATATATTATTAAGAACACTTATTTGAGCTAAACTATTCATTTTTCCGTGACTGATTAATTCGTTAATTATCCTATCTCTTAGGTATACCATTCCATTTAGTATACCATCATAATTTTGCAAAAAATTATATAGACCAGAATATTTTAACAACTCTTCATATAATCTCCAAAATTCAATAAAACTAATGAAATCGGGTCTAATAAAAAAATTGCCGGATTCAGATAGAAATGAATCAATATCGATGCCAATTTTATCAGATAGAAATTTTTTTGTATCTTTAATAGGAACAAAATCTTCATTTTCATTCTTTATGTTATCCAATAGCTCTTCAAAATATTCAATAGAACATATTGCACTCTCCCTTATAGTTATAGAAGCATTAGGCATGTCAAAGATGTAATATACATTAATGTACTTCACAGCTACACCAATAAGTGGACTCAAAATTGACCAACAGATTCCCCACATGCATGTTCATTAATATACGCGGTAATACATTTCAAATAATTTTTTTCCTAGCCTAAATAATTATTACATAATGCACTCTGAATAGTAAATGCCTTATTTGAATACTCTGTTTTCAATTATATCAAAATACTACGCAAATATATGTATTCTTTAATTGTGTGGAATGAATTTCAAACAATTCGAATTTGAAAAGGAACTCGTGGGCATTCATAATTGATAATACAATGGTAGATTCACGTAGACAGTCTCTTCAGCAGTCTACAAAAGAAATAATATCTAATGATCACTCTGGAAGCTATATAAACATTGAATCTACTCAAAATAAAGTTTATTCTCATTCAAAATCAGCATTTAGTGTTGCAATAAGGTTCCGCCCGTCTGTTAGCAATGAAATTAGTGAAATAGAAACCAGTTCAATATGGGAGCTTTCACATAAATCTGTCTATGATATATCCAAAAAAACTTACCACTACTTCGATTATGTGTTTGATGAAAAATCAACTAACCGTTTAATTTATGATAAATTAATTAAGGACGCCATAAAAACATGTTTGAGTGGGATAAATGTAACTATTTTTGCCTATGGGCAGACATCATCAGGGAAAACACACACCATGTATGGTGATAATAAAGGAAGTTATGATGGGATTATACCACTAAGTATAAATGAGATATTTAATCTTGCATATACTAATTCCAACCAATCTATTAAAACAAGCAATAACATAACAGTGTCATATTTGGAAGTATATAATGAAAAATTATTTGACTTACTTGCACCGCAGAGCAACTTAAATAATAATTCTAATGATAACAATTCAAGAAAGGTTAAAGTAGTTGATGGAGTAGATGGTGCTGTGGACTTTATCAATTTGACTTCAAAGAATGTTTCTTCTCCAGAAGATGTTCATGTTATCATTAAAACTGGCTTAAAATCAAGGAGAGTTGCTGAAACATCCATGAACGAGAGATCTTCTAGAAGCCATACAATACTTAGGATTAAGATAGAATCTTACATTAATTCGAATGATGTTTGTGTTGGGGTATTAAATTTTGTAGATTTGGCAGGAAGCGAAAGTATTAAAAGGACACAATTGGAAGGAGACCGAAGAAAAGAGGGAATGAGTATAAATAGAAGTTTATTAGCACTTTCTCAAGTGATTTCACAGTTAAGCGAAAATGAATTTATTGAACCGCTGGCAAATAATTATCCGAATCAAATAGCTTTAACAGATGGATTATCACAGTCAAAAAATAAGTATATTAACTATAGAGACTCAAAAATTACGAGGATTTTGTCTGATTCACTCGGCGGAAATTCAAGAACTATTATAATATGTAATTGCTCTCCTGATAGATTAAATTACTATGAAACATTATCTACGATTGACTTTGCAAGAAGGGCAAAAAAAATTCAAAATGAAGTTAAGGTAAATATCTTGAAATCGAGTGAAGAAAAATCTCAATTAGCAGAATTGAAACAAAAAATAAACAAGCTAAATAAACAAGTTAAAGATGTTACTTTTCTCAAGCAGGAAATTGAATTGCTAAAAAACCAAAAAGCTGAACTATTATTCGAACTAAATACTATTAAAGTAAAATCAATCAATTGCCCATCAAAATTGACAAGTTTAGATATTGACTTAAATAATAGCTCATATATAATATATGAAGAATATTTCAACCACTTAATTGCTGAATACGCTGAAATAATAGATTTAAAAGATCAAAATATCAGAAATTTAAATGAAGAAATAAATTCTTTACAAATAAAGGTTCGAAATGTAGAAAAAACAATGAATGACAACTATAAAATGAAAAACGACTTAGACCAAAAAAATGACAAAATTATTAAAAAAGAAAATGAAATCAAGCATTTGTCTAAATTGTTATCTGATTCAAATAATAAATTAAAGACATTTCAGGCACAGTTAGATTGTAAAGATTCAGTTATTGAAAACCTTATTATTAAGAACGAAAAAAATTCATTATATTGTGTTGAATTGAAAAAAAGTCTGGAATTTTTGTTATCGGAGATATATAGATTTATAAACTGGTATATCTGTGACTTGAATAGTAAAAAACTAAAAAAAACGGAATATATCGAATCAGATTCAATTAATGAAAATTTGGATCGCTTAATTTCAAACGTAAGGGACTACTTGAATTATATTTCCATATACAATCAAATATTGGAAAAAGATAGAGTCGATTATAATTCAGAACTTTCAAACTTCAGCAATGAAATTTTACTGTTAGAGTCTGAAATAAAGCATTACGAGGAGGAAAAGAATAAAATTTATTTGGAAACTGTTAACTGCCAGGAACAAGCAATCCAAAATTTAAACTCGATTGTTTTAAATTTATTCGAGCTCTTGTGCACTGTATTTCCCAGCAAAAGTAATTATCATTTAATAGATAATTCTCTTCCAAATTTGTCCATTTCTGACTCATATGAATTCACAAGAAAAATCCAAGATTCTGAGAAGCTTATAAAGCTGCTTGATTCAGAACTAAATGAGAAAAAGGATCTTGAAGTGGAATTTAAAATTCTTCAGATGGAGATTGAAAATATTAAAAATGAAAACAGAATTTTAAATGAATTTATAGAATCTCAAAGAAAAGAAAACAATGAGCTAAGGACGTCATTAAATCAATTGAAACATGAATTAAACTTTAGACTGTCTTGCTCTAATATCAAAAATTTAGATAGCCAGGAAATGCCTAATAATTTCGATTATAAAGTAGAAAAATGTGATGAATCGAAAGCGAGCCGATTTTTTAACGAAAAATCCGAAATTCAAACAGAGAGCATGGAATACAAAGAAAAAAAATTACAAGGAATTAATGGTTTTAAAGAAAATAGATCAAAAGAAAATATCATTGATTTGGCATCAAAATCCATTCTAAATCAAGAAAATTCCGAAAACCCTAGTTTTGATAACGAAGAAAATCCTATTACGGAATGCAACACACAATAACCAATAGTAGATTCACTTGATTTACCGCTCGAAATAAATAAACCAGTTTAGGCATTTTAAAAAATGGATAGAGAAACTTTCTTATTTTTTTTATTTTTCATCATTTCTGAGATTTTTAGTGTTTCAAACTCTGCTGAAATGTCATCTAATGGTGAATTGAAATCTATAGATGCTTCGGAAAGGATTAAACTTGTAAATTTAGATTTTTGCAACTCTAAAGAGGCGATTATCGATATTCAAGACATAAGTAGTGGAGACTCCGTGAAATACTCAATCACTGTTGAACCTGGAACAACAATTACTGTGAATATTAAGGGTAATCCTACAACAGGGTATAGCCAAAGGATGACTACTAAGCCAGAAGAAACCATTGTAAAAGTTGTTGGCACTGAACCAAATTATGTTCCGGTCCCTCATGAAGAAATGATGGTTGGATACGGTGGAATTTATGTTTTCAAGTACTTGGCAATTAAACCTGGCACAACATCTTCAACTATCGAGTATGCCAGATACTTCGAAATCCCACACAGATGTATTTTTAAGACAGAAATCCAATTCAAAGTCGTTGATCACTGTGGTGAACAAATACTAAAAGAATAGCATAAGTAGCATGAAAGAACAGTCAAATCTAGATATTAAGTTATAAATAGGAAAATTACTTTTAAATATTAACATTGGAATGGATTTTTTCTAGTTAGTTTTCATCACATTTAAATGTTTGGTAATTTATTACTTTAAGAACTTATGAAACTTTCTTAGTTTGCGATCTTGTCACGGGCCTGTTAATTTTCTTTATTTCTGGCAAGTTTTCATCTTTAATAAACAAACTTGAATTATTTTGATTCAATTTCACGTCGATGTTATCACATTTAGAATTTAATATATTGATGTTTGAGTGAGTCGATTCATTCTCAGGAGTATAGATAGGTTGCCAGTACTCGGCATTAGTTGAGCAATATTGGCAACTTTTCGAGTTACCTAGAAATGTCAAGTCATTTTTCGAAAATTCATCCTTTTCAACAACTCCGTTTCCTGCCACTTTTCCATTTGTGCATCTGCCAGAATTGCAATCAATTTGATTTAACTTTGGTTCGCCTGGGTTAAATGTTTCTTCGGATCCTTTAGTGTTTTTGTGCTTAATTTCGATTCTACTCACTGGATTTGGTTTCTTTGCTTTATTTACACAATTGTTAATGCTTGAAGCTGAGCCTTTGGGAATTTCTCCAAAGTCAATGACTTTTGATTTTTTAGGCTTGGCAATGTTTAGTGGTATCTTCCCTTTTATCATTTGTGCTACGCGACTTTCAATATTTTTGTATGAATTTTTTTGGCATGAAGATTCGTTATCCATTCTCTCTGTTGATTTTTTTTCGTTTTTAGCTTCAAGTGCACGATTAGTAGCATTTAAATGCGAATTCTTTCCACTAATTATTTTATTCGAAGGTCTAATAAGGTTAATTTTCTGACTTGTTAATGTGTTTTTCTTTGATTCTGAATTATTTTTCGAATCCGTGCCTATGAATGATGATGCGATTCCAATGTACTTTCTCATAATTGAATTGCTGCCGTAGCTTGGAGTATTTAGAGTAGCATAAGTCTGCTGGAAAAATGTGACTGATGGAGAAATTGTACAAATCATAATGCATCTCAGGCAATAAGGGGAATATGGAGGATCTGCACCTCCGCCCAAGTATTCTTGTAATAACCTAGTAAGTTTACTTTCTCTATATGGTATACAGTTCTGAGTTGATTGAGTACCAGCATTCTTCTTTAATGCATTGATGACTTTGCTCAATGATAATAGTGAAGAGTTTATGAAAGTGCTCTCCTCCATTCTCTTACCAGTGTTATTTGTTATCTTGTTGTTCTCAAATCCAGACAGATCAATAAGATTAACAATTGTACGCGGATAGTTCAAGTTTACTTTTGGTTTTACATGAAATGAAATACTTCCTCGTCTTCTTCTATTCTCGATTGTATCTTCATTTCTAATTTCGATTTCATTTTTAGTGATATTAGACGCAGGCGGAATATAATTTACTTGAATACAGGCATGGCTTCTGCTACTATTAGAATTCACCGCAGTTTTACCAGAAGTGCGTTTTTTTAATGCAGATATATATTTTGTATTGAAATCGTCCCAAGTTTTAAATTCCGAACTATTTGCCCCAACAACTCTAATTCTACCACAAATATCTGTTCTTATAGAAACATCAGATTTTGCTGAATTTATAGGTTTACTTGAATTTTCTAAATTGTCTGTCCCAGTTAATAAATCTTGTATTTTTTCGCAGTAAACTTCAAAAAATGAGAAAGAAAAGCTTCCTGGCTCAATTTGTTTGTTGTTTATTTCGATAAGCTGTTTAATTGTTAGTCCAACAATTCCCATTTCACTATTCAAATCGCCATGCATAGTGAAAGTCTTCCCTGTTCCAGAACTACCAAAGGCAAAAATATTGATACAAGAACACTCTGATAACAATGGGTCAACGTAATCTTTAATTTCCTTTGAATAAATATCTTCTGTAGTGCATTCAGTACCATATATTTCGTCGAACTCATATCTCTTAGGTAGTCCTCGGTGGCGTGGGTCCTCCAAAACTATTTGTTTTACTTGGTTGTGTTTTTCACTTACGACGCTTACGCAGCTCGAACTAGATTCATTATCATCTTGAATGGGTCTAACTCTCACAATAACTCGCACATTCTCTCTGTTTAAATGTATCTTATTTGAATTTGAAATTTTTCCAATAGACCTGAAAACTTGACTGGATTTTTTTGACTTTGGATCTGAATTTATCGCACTTTTATATTTTTGTAGAGAAACCTCTTCCCTTGATTTATGAGATTCAGTTTTAGTATTTAAATTAGAGTTCAGATGGATTTGCCGGTTTTCCATTGAAATATTACACAAGTCTGCCAAATTTCTCGTTTATTTTCGACAACGGTATTAACAAATGCTAGAAAGCAACCGCTAATACAAATTCATAAATAAAAGACCATATGGTTACTTTAATCGTACGGGGCAACGATAATTTATTTACAATTTACTTATTTCAAAAAACTGTGATAGATTTCGTGGGTGGGGGGAGTGGGTGGGGGTATTAATGAGATTTACATACAATTTAAACCGCAAAATAGAATTATGAAAAAAGATATGCAAAAAAATGTGTTAAAGTTTTAACAAGTAATTTAGATGTAAGTGAAATATTAAAATTATATGGTGCCTGCGTAACAATGGTACCTAAGAACACTTGAGAAATATACAAAGTGCCTACGAGAATACGTGTGGACGACGCTCTAGCCACTAAAATTTTCAGAAACAACAGTTGCAATCAAATGGGCACTCTGGAGTGCCCCCTCCATTACCTTTTTAAGTTAATAACCTGAAGTATTATATATCGTTACACTTACCTAAATTTATATCTTCTAATCTGTAAACCGGTAGCCCATCATCCAAATACCTCACAGGCTTAATATTGCTACTTCTCAAATCTAATTTTTTGTTAGAGTTGCTTCTGATTACACTATCTTTTTTCGTCCTTTTATTCAATTTACTTTTCTGCTTTTGTATTTCTGAATTAACTTTAATGACAGTTTTTTTCTTAACTATCGTGTCAAATATTTTATTTATTTCTCCAGTAGCCTGTGCCATCACATCTTTATTGTAGCTACCATCACTTGAATGTATATTCTTTTTTCTTTGAGATTTCATTTTGAATTTCGGTCTACTGAAAAAAAAAATATGAATATTTCCGCGCCATCGGTCTCTATTACCAATGATATTTTATTTCTTAAATTATAATTAAGCAATTAGTTGTAGAAGTATTTCTGTGTTCATAAATATGATTCAACTCGTAGTTATAATCATGTTTATTGGTAAAAATTTATTTTTTTTTTCATGGTATTTCATCAAAGGCGCGTCTTAAGTTTTTTACTGTTGTTTAACTTTCAAAATAGGTTATAAATGTAGCTTTTAGACTTTAATATCTAATCCTCGTATGTTTTTGAAATATACTAATTAAGTTTGTATTATGAATTCAGAAAGAAATATACGAGTTTATGAAAAATTTGACGATTCAAATCCTAAAGATGAATCTATTGATGGAGAAATTTTTTTGTCAGCACCTGAAAACCTACCTATGAGAAAAAGGGTTAAAAGGACTGACTCTGACTCAAGTGATAATGAATCCACTATTGATGGAGAATTTGAATTTAACGATCCTAATGAAAATGACTACCACAACATAAAAAATATTCTCTTAATGTCAAAATACTCTCAAATTAAGGGAATTCAATTTCATGAATTTGTCGATCTGATTTGTAATCAAGGTAATATTGGAACAACTGTTGCTATTTCCGGCAATATTATTGCGTTTTCTACGATCCTAAATTTCCGTCAATATAAACACGTTTTGAACAAAATAGTTGATTATTTAAGTGGCATTATTTCGAAAAGTCACAACAAAGATTTTGAAAGTCTTTTTAATTCTGTAATTTACAAAAAAAATGTTGGATTAATGATTAACGAAAGATTAGCAAATTCTCCTCTTGAAATAGTACCTGCGCTTTGTAATTGCCTTAAAGATGACATACAATGGACTATAGATAACTTATATAGTGTTATTCCGAGCGATGAAAGAGAGTATTACGAATGGGATTATATAATTTTACTTACGACTAGATATATTTCATCCGATGGTTCTACCATTATATACCAAAAATACGAAGAAGAAAAGCTGGTTATTAATTCCCTACATACTATTATTTGGAAAGGAAAGAAAAGACAACTTTGTGGAACAGGTAAGAAAAATGAGACGGAACTAATGAATCAACAATTTTTGCTATCAATGATAGATTATAATCAATTTAAAAAAAACTACAATTAAAAATGTTGTTTCCTATACTAAAACTTCTTATTTTTTTTTTTTAAATTACTCTTTCCATTGTTTGAATTTATGCTTGCACTGCTAGAAGCTACAGAGTGTGTTGCTTCTCTCATTTTTCCATTATTTTCAGTTTGAGTTTCATCGTTATTTGCTTTGTTATGTTTTGGATCAATATTATCTCTAATAGAGAATGCGACAATTTGTCTATTTTTTAATTTGGGTATCATTCTCCCGATTTGATCAAGCAGCATTTTTTTCGTAAAAATTCCGTCATTAAAGGCCTTCCCACCATCATCAAAAAGCCGAAATCTAATTCTTCCAAGATTTCTGTAGTCTCTAGGGTGTCTCTTGCTTTCAAGCTTACAAGGTATTCCCAATTGAATACATACTTCAGCCATTTCTGCAACTGTTGGATTTTCTACGGAGTGAATTAAAGAGGTTAGCCTACCACCGGACTTTGTGTTATTACTATTCAAATATAAAGGATAAATAACTTTCCATTTAGAAACATCCTGGCCTTCTGAAATTCGTTCTTTGTTCATTTTATTCACAAAAATTAAAAATAATGCGCGTATAATAAATGTCAACCTAACATTTCTACTAAACTATTTGGTAATATGTTTTTTAATATTTGTTTCTTAAGACTCTCTTCAAATATGTATTTTAAACATGAGTATCTTGAGTAATACCTCAAGATATATATACTCAAAATTAGCCCATAAAAAACCATTCCATATTCATATGCATCCCATATTAGTACCATAATCCATGAAATTGAATATATTATGATTTTTATTCCAATTGCCATATACTTTAAGAGTGAATTTGGCTCATTGTATTCCTTGAAGTTGTCATCTTTGTAATATTGGTAATTGCTGTACTGGAAATATGCTATCAAAAAATCTATTATTTTCATAATTTTTTTGAGTTACGGAATGAGAACTCGATTATATAATATTTAATATATTAAATACTAATATTTGAAAATTATTAACAAAAATATCATTATTTCTTTTTAATTTCCTACCTAGTCTATGTGGAAGATTATATGGCTAGGTTACGTGTCAATTACGAATTAATTTCAATAAAATTTTACAGTTTTAAATTGCGCATTTTTTAAATTTTATCTTAAGACTTGATACATCTTTGTGTCAATTGATGTACCCATTTTTATCGGTTGTGAAATTGGAACCCTGAAAACTCTAATCAATTTTTTAGTTTATACTTTCAACTTACTTTCCTACAACATTACTGTTTACTTCTCTTGGCCCCCAAACTCTTATTTGCCTAAATGAAATAAATGAACGAATTCAAATAAAAACAATTTACATTACCTGACGTGTGTATCTCTTCCAGTTTGATGATTTGCAAGTATTGCTATCTAAACTGAATAAAAAACTCTATTATACAAATTATTTCTTACCTGAATGCAAAATGCAGAAATGTAATTTTGAGAATCGCATATTGTCTTGATTTGCATTGGCCTTATGAATGAACTCTTAATTAATACGTTTAAGTTACTTATTCTTTACTTACATTGCATCTTTAAAAAAATTATCTGCGATTTCTCTTGGAGAAAGAGGAATTCTTACCCATCCATCAGGTTCGGTTAGCTGCATTTCTTTTATTTCTTCCAGATCGCTCTCTTGATTACCGGATCTAATAGAAATGATTTGAGGAGTATAACTTTCATCTATTTTGTATGCAAGGTAAAGATCTATTACAGAAATTTTTGTTTTTTTAGGGAATCTCAATGTAATTGTGTGTGGGCTTTGGCCGTCACTCTGCCAAAATGTACTTGAATTATTGTCTCTTAACTGTTGTATTCCATTTCCTGGCTGAAATGTATTATATTATTGCAGACAGAAATAAAAACTTACTTTTGCAGAAGAAAGAGACCAAGATGCTAAGTCTCCTATTTCGATTAAGTTGGATAACAATTCATCACAAGCTTGATTTGGAAGGCTCGGTATTCCAATATTTGACTCTAATAATGTAAGGTCCATTTATAATCTGTTAAAAAAATCTTCTAATAAATTTAAATATTATGGCGCCTTGAATGTTTTATAAAGTATTTGTCATGAAAATAACTGGAATAAATTATATCAAATTGAGAAAAATTTCGACAAACAAAAATATAGTATAAACTCAAATTAAAAGCTGAAACCAATAAAGTATTTTTCATCTCATTTGAATGGTGAGGTGTTTTGAATTAAGTTACAAGTATTTTTCTACTGTGATTATTTGCATATTGATTTATCTGGTCATTTTAAGATTGAATGATCATTGCATTTTGTGTGATGCTTTACAAATTAGCAAATCAACAAGCAATGAATTAGTATCTGATACAAATGAAAGCAAATATAAAACGGGTTCAATCGAATTTTATTTATGTATTTTATTTAGCATAGCACTGATTTTTTTTGGAGGAATTTTATCTGGTTTAACAACAGGTTTAATGTCACTAGACAACGTTCAATTACGTGTGCTGATTGAGGCAGGAAACGAACACGAAAAAAAATGGGCAAGAACTGCTCTAGACCTTATTAAAAGACACCATTTATTATTGGTTACTTTACTGCTCGCTAACTCTATATGTATGGAAGCACTGCCATTATTTCTTGATAGGATAATCCCAAGCTGGGTTGCAGTGATTTTATCAGTCACAGCCATCTTGATTTTTGGTGAAATTTTACCTCAAGCAATTTGCACAGGTAAACACCAACTTAGAATAGCCGCAAGCTGTGCAACCTTTGTCAAATGCCTAATAATTTGTTTTTTTATATTTTCGTGGCCAATTAGTAAAATCCTGGATTACTTTATTGGGGAGAATGGAAAAACAAATAATTTTTATGCAAGGGGGCAACTTAAAGCATTAATAGCTCTACATAGAAGAACTGGTGACTTTGAAAATGCTCCTATATCACTATTTTCAGTTGTACCAAACATATTAGAAGGGCAAACTGAGAAAAAAATATATATTGAAGAAATTAAACTAGATGATTCAAAGAACGCAAATTCTGGTATTAAAGGAAAAATTCAGAATTTTAAAGAGATGCATTTAAACCCTTCATTTTTTCAAACATTATTGAATAGTAATGAAAGAATGATTGTTGATTCACAAAAACGAATAGTAAGCAAAAATCCACCCGATTTTAAAATGATCGAAAACAACGGATTAGCAAATGATGAAGTCACTATTATTCAAGGTGTGTTAGACATGGCAAATAAATCTCTACTTGAGCTATCCGTCCCTTTAGACAAAGTATACATGTTACATATTGACTCAAAGTTAGACCACTTACTTTTAGAAGATATATTAAGAGTAGGGCATTCAAGAATTCCCATCTATTCAGGAAATAGGCATAATATTAAAGGGTTACTTTTAGTTAAGTCACTAATTACTATTGATCCGGACGATTCAATAACAATCAAATCTTTATTTGATTCGAAAGCTTGCAATAGGTATATAGTGGAGCCGATCTTTACTTCCCCAGATACTAACCCTTATGACGCTCTAAACATGTTCCAACAAGGTCGTTGCCATGTTGCAATTCTTACAAACTATGTTGATGAATACACATATTCAACCAAGACAAATACGCCCTTGCCAGATAACTGCGAAATCATAGGGATTGCAACTCTAGAGGATATTATTGAGGAAATAATACAAGAAGAAATTATCGATGAATTTGATAAAAACCAACGCAATTCTAACATAAAAAATAATTTTAGCTGTATGAATGAGAAAAGTTCAATTAGAAGGAGCTCATCTTTTTTTAAGTTTGATAAGTCCATAAATGATTACTTGAATTATGGGTTCAAAATATCTAAAAAAAACTACAACTTTTACAAAGAACATTTTGTTTCTGCACCTGAATTGTGGAGTCCTATATATTATAGTAAATAATCCAAATTAAAATAGATCATTTAGAAAAATAACTACTTATAATCCATCCATTCGAGTTTATCAACCACTTCATTAATATAAAAGTCAGAGTTAGAAACTGATAGTAGTTCTTCCGGAACAAATCCTTTTATACAACTGTTATCAATCATGTTGTTAGGCGAGTTGTTATCCACTATTCTCAACAAATCTGAATCCAGTTCTGTCCCTTCTTTTAGTAAATGGAGCTTTAATTCAAATATATTGAATAATAGGGTTGAAGAATATAATAAAGGTTGTATATCAATTATTAGAATAGACGATTTATCTTTATGGTTTGAAATATATATATCAAGTGCAATACAAGCTGTTTTAAAAATATCAAATATTTCAAGCATCAACTCTTTTTTTGAATAAAGAAAAAAGTCCATGATAGAAGATTTAATTTTGGCCCTCAATTGAGAATTTTCATGTAAATCTTTGTAATAGCAAGATGTATGCCTTTGGCTGATACCTAAAATTTTATATTCGGAATATGGGCCTACCCCTCCTATGAATACTCTAAATTCGAACATCTCGTTTAATGATGGGATATATTCTCTAAGAAGTAACACATTACTTATCTTTCTTTCCTTTGCTCTATCTATATCCTCGGAAACTTTAGTAGATGCTTTTAAAAGAATGAGTAAATCCTCCAATGTCTTACAACAAATATTGCGATTTGGATTGATCCAGATTGCGTCTGTAGGAGTCGACCATGTAAATTTTGGAGCGAACCCCGCACTAAAGAATTCTGAATTTTTGTTTATTGATTTATTAATATCTTCCAAAAATTTCTTTGTACTCTCTGAAAAGGATTCTTGATTCATGTCGAAACTGTCTGATTCAAAATATTCGAGTATAAATGAATCCGGAATGTTTAATAATATTCCATGTATTGTAACTTTTGATTTGAAACTAATAAGCTTTTTATACCATTTTGATATTCCTAAGTCACATATTTTGTTTTCCCCCCAAAATTGATTGTCGAATCCCCAAATAAAAATTATGAAATTCATTAAAGGGTATAAAGTAGGTGTGCTTACATTTTCAAAGGTTTCATTTGTATTAAAATATTCCGAATTTTCTCCAATAATCGAAAGAGGATCAGTAATTTTAATTTTATTTTCCATCATTAACTCCCCAATTAAAGTATGTTCATTTTTTTTGTTATGATTGTATTTAATCTCTACTGGAAAGAGCTGAACAATTTTTTTACTAACATCAATCTTCAATTTTAATAATACAACCATATTTTTTTTTAATGTAAAAATTGAATTATTGATTATCGCATGATCATCATCAATGATTATTTGTTTGAAATTAATAACTCCATGTAATTCCTTTGGTACAAACTTATAGTCTAACTTATAGGTATCGTTTAAAAAAAAATCAAGTTTATAATTATTAATTAAAATATATTTTATAAATATTAACGTTTTATCCAGAGAAAAACTGTTTTCATTACGATCCAAAACTTGTAAATGCATTATTAATTAGTGCTAGAGCGGAGCAACACTACACTAAAGAGCTTGTAGAACATAACATTAAAATTTCAATTTACCCAATTTGTTAGATGAACCATTAGCGCGCAATCGTTTTGGAGTCAAATCGTACCTTTTGATTAAATAAAATTAAATTATTAAAAAATGAACGATCCAGAGTTGATATGGAATACTATTAGCAATAATTTTTGCTCATTTAAAGTAAAGTAAGTTTGGTTATAATCCTATGACTAATCAACTTTTTAATTCCTTTGTTTGACTTATTAGATGCGACAAAACCACTTTCTGCAGAAATGAATACAATGTTACGGGGCTTTGTAATCGTACATCATGCCCCTTATCCAATTTATTATACGCAACAGTTATTGAGCACGAAGGTGACTGCTACTTATATATGAAAACTGCTGAGAGAGCTCATGCTCCTAGATTTCTTTGGGAAAAAATTAAACTGAGTAACAATTTTTTGGTTGCAATCTCTCAAATAAATGACAACTTAAAGAATATTTATCCTGAGCATCAAATACTAAAGTGCAAACATAGGTTAACTAGAATCAGACAAACTCTTATTCGTGCAAGGAAGATGGCATTAATGGTAAGACCCAAACTTGTTCCAATTAAGAAAAAAACAGAAAGAAGAGAGGCGTCAAGAGAGTACAAGGCACTTAATGCAGCAAAGATTGAGAATGAAGTTGAAAACGAGTTATTACTTAGACTTAAGGAAGGATTATACGGCGGAATATACAATTATCCAACTAATAAATATGAGATGGCACTCAAAAACGTTGGAAACATTACTCAGGACGAGGAAAACGAAGATTTTCTTGAGGATGACTTGGTTGAATATATAGAAGATATAGAAGATGACTCAGAAGATGAGCTTGACACGATACATAAGCATGAGCTGGAAAAAATTCTCTCAAAAAAGAAAAAGATTAACCTCGAATATGAAATAGAAGAGGAAAGTAGAATTTCTAGGTAATTCAAACACTCGCTATCATTAATATTTGTGATTAAATTTTCCAATTTAGTTACAGTGATGACTCTGAATTAGACGAATATATAGATGTATTATAAACCCATGATTTTGGGCAGTTCATTAGGATATCTTCAAAATCCAAGGGAGACATAGGAAATGGGCCACCTGTGTATGTATACATACTTCCATCAATCACATCTTTGATCTGGATATAGCAAGGGGACAGAATTACCATTCCAGAAACTTGATTTGAGCCTATGTGTCCTTCTCTAAACCATACTTCAGTTCCATTTCTTCCTTGAACAATCCCTGTAACTTGGCTCTTTAGAGCTCTTTCAACTGCAATACGAAGATTTTGAACTGGAAATAGAACATCCCAATTTGTATATCCATCAGTCAAATCAGTAATGTACTCTTCTAGAATTTTATATTGGCTTGAATTCAACCAATTTGAAGCTCTGAAGACGGTTAAAAGTGCTAGTAAGTCGTAATCAACTTGTCTTGATGCAACCGGATTTTTTTGCCATGAATAATAAATTTGTTTGACGGTGTCAAAAAAACCAGATACGTCTACTATTTCATTTATAGTATCGAATGATAACTTACTATTGTAGATAATAAACTGAGTAAGTTCTATCAAATCAGGAGTGGAATACGAGTATTCGGAAAGTTTTTTAAGTTTAAACTGGCTGTAGGTCTTACATTTATCAGAGGAATTTTGTATCATTAAGTATAGTCAACTAAAAGTTTTCAAATATCAAAAAAAAACAAAACTAATTAATAAAAACTTTCATTAAAAAATATAGCGCCCGAAATGATTATTTTACATGTAAAACAAATGAAATTATTACATTGTATTAGTCGATAGAATGATGTACGGTTCAAGTGATGGAGATATTTTGTCAACATTAAAACCGCACTTTTTGGTGTAAAATCTCATTGCATCGATATTTCTTCTTAATACTGTACACATTATTTTTTTGATTTTAAGCTTATTACATATGAAGAAAAGTAAATCAATAAGTAGTTTTCCATATCCTTTCCTTTTAACCGAGGACTGCAACTCATACATATATCCCACTATTTGTTTATTTATAGGGCCAATTTCATCTTCTAATTCAAAGCGAAAACTCAAGAACGATAAAATGTTGATATCCGAACATAAATCATTGTGGAAGCTGATTTCTGAGCAGCGATCAGTTTTTATTGTATTAATAACAGTATTATCCATATTTCTCTCATAAATGATCATGTAATTGCACATGTAATGTTTTAATTCGTTCATTTTCAAACTATCATCCCACCCTCGACTCCATATGTCACCCCATGGATTTTCGTCATAGAGAATTTTCATATTATCCCTTGTAATTTTTAATATTTTTTCTATATGAATATCTGACAAGTCACTGCTTCTTGCAATATGGAGATTAGAATAATTTGATATTTTTGTTAATTCTGTCTTAAAATAAATTAAATCGCTGTCCTGAAACAAATTGGAAAAGAAATCTTTAGATTTTAGAATTTTCCCAACTAAATCTTTGTATTTCTTTTCTCTATATGCGACAATTGCTTTTTTTCTTGAAATTTTCCGATCCTTAATTACCTGAGTCATTATTAATTCTTTGCGGGGGTGTTAGGCAAATTTTTTTACAAGAAAAAAATATACCAATTATCTTGTACGGTTAAAAATTTCTGAATATATGAATTCAAACAGAAGAAGTGAACCAAAAAGAAAAAGAGATTATAAAGGAATTTTGTTGGGATGTAATTTTAAATCTGATAAAGATATCTCCGGCGAATACATTGATAAGATTCTAGATGAATTAACGAGAAAAATTCCTGAAATAACTTTTGATTCGACCAAAATTTATAATGGAGTTAATATCAAAGATAGCTGGTTATTTAATAACATTCTAAAACTCTTGGAAGAACTATTTGGAGCATTCAACTCTAAATTTTTGTTCACTGAGGAATTAAATTGCTTTACAACATTTAATAAAATAAAAAGTATATTTGAAAGAATAATCATTTGGCTTTCTGTTAACGATTCTAGAATTTTGACAAAAATTATATACTCAATTCCCTTAATAATTAATATTTTAATCAAACTAAAAAATCAATGCATTAATATTAGAAGAGTGAAAAAACTGTTTGTAGAATATTCAGAATTGTCCGTTATTTGTCAAAAGTGCATGAAAAGAGTTATTCAAATATTCAGCTGTTTAAGCGTGTCTACCGAAGTTAAAATCAGGGTTGCATGTGTTTATTGCACAACACTACTAATTAAACTGGACGAGTTTGAAATGTCAATTATTGAAGATGCTTTTTCAACGCCGATTTCTCCAATTAACTATATTAATTCTAAAGTAAAAGATAGAATTTTGATGCAAGGTGATACCACAAATCCAGAATCATTTGTTAAATCTATACCAAAATTTCAAGAAGCGGATTTAAGACAATCATTTACTCACTCATTTTCTGTTTTGAACTTTAATAGAATATATAACAATAATGGCTCAAATAATGATTTACTAGACAAAGGTTGGTTGTCTAGGCGTCTAGATGATGAATCTCCTGCAGTAAGATTCGAAATTTTCATATTGATTTATGAGTTGGTAAAAATTGGAAAAATAAAAAATTCTAAGGAGTTTTTAAAATCGATAAACGAAATTGTGTACGATTGCTTTTTTGATGAAAATATTGCAATTCAATCATTGGTTTCAGAAATTATTACTATTCTATCTGAAATTTCTCCAATCTCAATAAATAACATAAATAAAATATTACCCATAATTAATGATAGCAATATATATACAAGGTACAATATATTTAAAGTGATCTCTCACTCATATTTTGGGAACGCAGAAGCTCTTCACAAGGCATTAACAGCCGTGCTTGAATCACCGTTGTTACATTTTGATGAAAAACTGGTATATAATGTATTTTCCTCAACCGCAATAAAAAATTCAACTTTTGCTCCTGAAATCATACCTATTTTATTTGAGCAGTATTATGTTAAGGAAGAAGAGATTTATCATGCATCAATATCAATCTTTTTATTTTGGGCAATTTGGAAAACTCCTTCCATTATAAAAAATATTAATTTCGATTTATTGTTACTTTATCCTGTAGCAAAATTTAATTTTTCATCAAATATCCCAGATCTTAGAATTAGAGTATCTCATGAAAGTAAATGCCCATTTAATTTCGAAGTTAAACCCCAACTCTATAATTACAATGTTTTGAACTATTCATTGGGGCTTTACCCTATGAAGTCGCATAATAAATATATAAATAAGGATTTATTTAAGAAAGAACTATTTGTGTCTATTGGGAATATTTGTTCATATCATTTTTTGAATGACACAACCATGGAAATGTGCCTAAGTGATAACTCTCCAATCGAAAGCTTATTCCAATTTTCAATAAATAACTTTACTTCTGGTACATATATTTCTATGAACAGAAAAAGTTTTTTTAGTCGATTAAAAACATTGATTTCATACTTAAAAACCAAAAATTTTAGCCCACGTATTAATACCCAGTTTAATATTTCAAATATTCGATTTCAATTAGGAACTAAATTGATTATGAATTCTCATGTAGTCAAAAACGATGCCAACAAAATTAATTATGGTATTAAGTCGAAGGAAATCAGTATTTCAAATTTACCGATATACCACTATCTATGGCCAGAAAACAGCAAGTTCAATAGTGAGTTGTGTAAAATATTTGATAGTAAAGTGTTATCGTGTTCATCTTTCATTATTTCGACTACTGAAATATGTGGTTCAATATCATTTTCATATTTTTTTGAAAACTATATGCCAAGAAAAAACAAAAATGAAAAACTTTGTTTAATATTAGGGAACTTAACTGATAGATTGATTGAATTCAAAAGTTTGTTTTGCCAATGTATTGTATGTAAATTTAACACATATTATCAAGAAAGTTACCCAGAATACTTAGATGATTCTTCAAAAGTCGTTTTTTCAAAGACTAAAGATGTTATTCTCAAAAAAACCGGGACGAAGTTTTATTCTTTCCCATTCAAAGTTTTACAAAAAATTCCTGTAAGTATTAGTTTTGATGTTTATTCATCATTAAATAATGATATATCAATTGATCAAAATATTAACCTGTTTGTTCAAATACCACAAGCTCTAAAATTTAAAAACTCAAAGATAGATCAATATTGCATAAATGATAACAGAAAATTTTTAACTAAGAGTTCTCACAGTGTTTTGAATGAAGTTGACTCAATGAACTTCGAAAGCTGTAATAAAGTTAACGTATATTGCCAAATAGATAAATCAATAGCATTTAATGTGATTAATTCTAGAAAAGATGAATCAATTATAAATTATACCACTCCACTGGCAATCAACAATAGACAATCATACGTTTTTCCTATCGCAAAAGATACATTAAGAATGTCAATTACCAATTCAATACAAATTAAATTTGAATATCCCATTGCTTCTCCAGTGACTATGAACGCTATTTTGATTAGTAAAAAGAACAGTTTAGCATCGCCAATCTCAAATATTCATCCAATAGTTATTCATCCTAATATTATGGCATAGATTAGGTACTTTTGTGGTGTTAGTTAATTTGGCGCGATGACAATTTATAGGTCATTATTTATGTTTTCAAAAGATTTAAATAAAAATGAAATTCCTGGTGATATTAAACTCAAAATAAATCATAATATAAGATTTTCAGATTTTAACCTTCATAGATGTTTAATTGATGCGCTTTTATGCAATGGTTTAATTTTTCCATCACCAGTACAATATCACGTTTTGAGCCAGGGAGCCATTGAAGAAAACTTAATTGTCCAAGCAAAATCTGGGACAGGAAAAACTATTGCATTCGTTTTATTCATTTTAAATAAACTATTGAATCATCTAGATCATGATTTGAAACAGTTTCATGGATGTTTTGAATTGCAATCGCTTTTAATAGCACCAACAAGAGAAATATGCATTCAAATAAACAAAACTATATCAATGTTTTTAAATTCAATTAAAGATAATTATCTTATAGACAATATTTGCTGTATAGGGGGAAGCCCTATTTCTGAAGATTTTGAAGAATTTAATCTCAATACTCCGACAATAATGGTATCTACACCAGGGAGATTTATTCAATTAATGAATTATGAGCCGAATAAATTTTTGTCCGTAAAAATGCTAAGGAAATCACTGTTTTTTCTACTTTTTGATGAAGCTGATCGTCTTCTTGAAGATTGTTTTATTGAACAGTCAAAGCATTTACTAGAACTATGTTTGGGTTCATCCACTACACAGTTTATTGCATGTTCAGCAACTTTCCCTATGGATAAATTACAGCTATTGAAGAGAATGTTACTTAAAATTAACATAAATGCAGGGGATTGCAAATTACTTAAATTGAGGCAAATTCAACTCTGTTCATCATTTGGAACGAACTATAGAAACATTGATAATATTGAAGCAATAAATTATGTTCAAGATGTAAGAAACACAGATGGTATGAATTCTATATCAAAATTAGCAATTTCGAATACTCTTGAAAGCCCAGTACTAAAAAATATGAATTTTTTTCTCTATGATTTGTTTTTAAATGAAATATTTCAATTAAATGCATTCGATGAAAACAATTACCATCAATGGGCATATTTATTAAATTCAATAGTTGATGTTTTGATCAGAGTTCCATTTAGACAATCGCTCATTTTTACTAATAATGGCTCAGTTGGATATAAAATTATGTCTGCTTTAAAGTCTTTAAATATTCCTGTCTCATATACTAGTGGGAAAAGATCGCAAATTGAAAGAGAAGAAATAATTACTTCATTAAATGAAAATAGGTGTAGAGTTGTAGTTTGCTCTGACTTACTTGCACGAGGAATTGATATAAAGATGATTGACCTTGTAATTAATGTTGATGTACCTATTGACAAAGAGACTTTTTTGCATCGTGCAGGCAGATCTGGCAGATTTGGGCAGAAAGGCATTGTAGTTTGCATACCTTCTCATAAGCAAGATTATGACTCATTTTTATATTTTTATAATCAATTGGAAATAAATTTTTTAAGTTTTTGTGAACAATTTAATCATGTGGAAAAAAATAACAAATCATACCCTTCTTATGATAATACGGACTTAAGTTTAGGGATAAATTCTATTCTAACTCCACCAGTGTTGGAATCATCTGAAGACGTCTTTGCTGGACTTGAGGATTCCAAGGACAACAATTTGAATGAAAAGAGTGAAAATATTGATTTATCATGTTCAACTATTAACGTGACTTCTCTAGATTATTACAAAACAATTAATGATTTACAAATTACTAATATAGACAGAGATATTTTGGATTTCTGGAGGCTCTATAAAGGAATTACAATTTAACGAAAACTAAATATTTATTCTAACAAGATAATGAAGCGGAGTTATGAAATAGATTTGTAAGTTCCAAAATAAGCATCCATGAAGTAATAAAAAATAAATATTTAAACGGAAAATACAATGTTTTATAAGATGATAAACAAATTAGAGAGTTGATTAACTCTCAATAATTCACTTTCTAGTAAAAGAAATCCAGTAGAATCATATAGTAAGCAAATACCTATAAATCATCATATTTTATTGAAGTTCTAATGTCATTTGATGAATTAATAATTGTTTGTTGCTTAGGTATATCCCAGTCTTTAAAATACCTTCTCTTTTCATATGGGTTAGAACGTAAGTGCTTGTTATACCTCGGTCTATATATGCCTTGTGGATTTCCGTGATTACCTCTTCTATTTACAGAAGTTGCACTGAATTCATCAGCATTTGTTGGATAAATTAGATGTGGGAATTTTTCCGCTGATGGTTTAATAATTCTCTCAAAGGTAATTTCTTCTCTAATTGTTTCCAGGAAATCTTTGTGTTTCTTTGCAAGATGTTTGTGCACAAACTCCTCGCCTTTAAATTGCTTTAAACATTTACCGCATTGCCATCGATCGGCTTTTTTTCTTAATGTATGCTGTTCACAGTATCTCTTCCAGGAGTATGAAAGAGAATCATCATCATCTCTAATTGGATGAGGTATCATATCAAAAATTGATGGTAGATTCAGCAAAATATTAACGTTTTCTTCAAGTTGGTTAAGTAGAGCTTGATTTTGAAAATCATCCAATTGCCCTTTATATATTTGTGGTTCAGAAACATTGCCTTCATCTCTTTGAGACCAAATTCTGAATTTATTTTTAAATAAAATTTCAATATACCCTCTAGATAAAAATAGGAGGTTATTATACATATTTAATGATTTTTCGTTATATTTGATTGAATTTTCATTATCTTCTTGGCTAATAGTGGTATCTGATGAATTTGAGTTCTTCGTATTATTTGTATCTGAAAGACATTCAACAGGCCCTACATTTGAGGGATTATATGTATTAGTCTGTATGGGATGCGACGCAGATAATAAGTAATAGTCTATTCCATGAACAAATTTTAGATATAATGACAAAACGTCAACAACAGCTTTAATATTCATAGACCCATCCTGTACTAAATTCTCCATTATTTCATTTATTGCTGAGCTAATATTTTGTTCACTTTCAATCTTCTCAATTATCTTTTTCATGTTATTTTTATCTATTGATAGTCTTTCCTGGGTAGAAAAAATCTTTGGAACCTGTCCAAATTTTGTAGAACAATTTTCATTATTGTAACCCTTGGCTTGAATAATATAAATAGAATATTTTGAACCAGTTTGTTGTACCACAGGGTCCTCATTTTCATTTGTATCTTCCATCTGGTTATTTGTATCATTATAGGACAGTAAAATTGAGTTGGTAGTAACTGAAGATTTAATCGTTTTACCTTTTATTAATTCAATTGCAGAGTCTCTATTTCTCATATTATCGAATAAAATATAACATTGCCTGTTCAATATACCGCGTGTAAACTTGGGAGGCGAGAGAAGAATATCCAAGAAACCATTACATTTCCCAAGGCCTCCATCTGCTAATGGAAAATCGTTATTAAAGAACTTTGTTATATCTAAATATGAAATGTAGCTGGGGATATCTGTAAGTAACATAAGATGAGACTTTAAGTCAGTTTCGAAATGAGGGAAGCTTCCAAATACTGTAATTGAGTCATTTTCATCAGTGTAAATACTATCAGAAATAGTATTGGAATGATTTATTTTTTCAACATCATTATTTGATTGATTGACCGTATTGAATCCTCCCCTTTTTAATTTTGAAGAAAAGACTTCAATGCGTTTCAAAACTAAATTTCTTCGTTCATCAACAACTTTTCTGATCCAAATTGGGTGAAATTTTTCGAAAATGATTGGTGAGTTTCTATTATTGTCTAAAAATTCGGATTGATGTTTTTGTACATATTTAGTTTTGTAAGAATCATACATTTCAATAAGTTCGTTGGGAGCTAGGTTATCGTCTTGGCTTAAAGTAAATTGTTTGAAAGTCATCAAGCCTGGGGAATGAAAATCTTTGTACCCATTAAAATTATGATTTGAAAGATGCAAGCAAGTTTGGTGATCAGGTGATATACATCCTTGGTTTTGAATTGAATAGCCTATCAACGGACTAGGTCCTCTTCTCGATTTATCGATCATGAGTGCAAAAAAATATCGCCTTACTTTAATGCATTTATGTTTTTAAGAGACACTTTTTAATAAGAAAAAAGGCGGTAGACTTTCTCTGGTAAAAAATACCGGTAATACTAATTTTTAGTGTGAATAATTTATTCATAGGAAGAGATGCAATAGATAAACCAAATTCAATTACCAATGAATATCAACATAGACTACATTGCATTCTCATTTGAGAAAATAGAAAGCAAATATTCATTTATGAATATGAAATATTTTCCAGTTGCATTAAGAATTCATTGTGAGCAGTATTTGATAAATTCGTCCGGCAAAATTATTTCAGATAATAAAACTGCAGCTCAATCACAGCTAATTATTATTGAGAAAAATATGAATAAAAAAGATCAAGGTTTATACACTAATTTTGAGATAAATATGTCAATTCATGGAGAAATTAATCTTTCATCATTTTGTAACTATACCAATATCTACATATTTAAATTATTAGATGAAAATTACCTTGGCAGTGAAGAATTTATAATTGGGTATTCAATACTTCTCTTAAATTCGGCTTACTATCATGAAAATGTCTCATCTATAGATTTGCCTATTCTAATTAACTGCTCAGAAATATTTCAAGAAAAATTGATTTATGATATTAATACACAAATATATGAAATTCTTTTCCTAAAAGAGAAATTACCTCAAGATAAAAATCACCTTAACAAAGTTAGTAATAATTTACTTGGTTATTTACATTTAACATTAAATTTTGGAGAAAAAATGAATTTCAATCCATTAATAGGGGAAAGAAATATTTCTGAAACAAAAAAATTAATAAACTGTGGTCCCATTTTGAATACTATTTCGGATTATATTGATCTATCAAATACTAAAGTTTCTGAGCAAAGAATTGATTTCACTTCTCTAATAAATAATAAAAGAAGTTTATTTGACAATTTTCCTTATTTCTCTATAGATAATTCACTCATTAAAAATTATTTTTTAAATAAAGAAATCTTGGAATTGGAAAAAGCCATAAATAAACTATATATTGGATACCTTACAAGACTTGATAATGCAAATATGTATGAAAATGAATTCGAGTTGATCTGGAAATACAGGCTTTATTTAATTAAGTTTAAAGCAGGAATCCCTATGCTACTTCATTTTGCCAATTTAAATGATAAATCCATAATGATTGAAATTGATAATTTGATCAATTGGATTATCCAAACCATTAAAAAACCTATGAATAATTGTAAAAATAGGATTTTAAACATTGAAGACTCATTAAATTTGCTTTCAAGAGAATATAAAGAATTTTTGAATATTCGTAAACTTGCTGTAGAAAACTTGGAATTTTATACCAAAGATGAGTTATTCCTCATTCTACCACAACTAGTTCAGTCTCTTAGATATGAAAACGGAACTAACTTAATGATGCTTCTAAAAAGGAAAGCAATGTGTGATCTAAAATTTTGCGTTGAATTATTTTGGTTGTTAATTTCAGAAATCTCAACTCAAGAATATCCCAAGGTTTTTGAACAAACAATATACGAAATAATCGAGGGCCTTGCTGATTATAAGAATTATAATATTAATGGAACTGTAGAAGAATCTTATTGCTGTAAATATCATTTCTGCCTAGAAATGATTGATTTAATTCTTTGTCAAATACAATTTAGGGCAACATTATTATGGATACATCGTATTTCAGTAGAAGATTGCAAAAGAGAAAGAGCTGAGAAAAAAATACAAAAATTTAGAAGCGTATTGAATGATTTTGAATTGGGGAAAATACCTCATTCTCAATCAAAGATTTCTTCACGCTCAACAGGTATAGATAAAATAACTGTTAAATTAATTAGCTCGATGAAGGTTATGTTAGAAGTTGAAAATGAATTTGCAAATTTTTGTAGCAAAAAAAAAAACTTAATTTCCTTAAAATTTATTTGTAATTACGAGTTTGAACATTTAAAGGATTTTTCTTTAGAAATGGAGGAAATTGAGTTACCTTTATTAAATATCACTAATTTGAGCGATCTTTTACTTCTTCCAATTGATGTTAATAGAGCGTTAATTGGTATTGTTCCAAGTGAAAGTTTCATTATAAAGTCATCTCAATGCCCAATCATACTTTCTTGCAGAATGGCGATTCTTAATAGTTCAAATAAAAAAGGAAATGTTCAGCAAAATATGCCATCTGATGATACTTACGAATCTGAATCCATATATCCTGTAGTCGAATCCAAATACATGTACAAGGTGGGGGATGATTTAAGACAAGATAGATTAGTAATTCAACTTTTGGAAATATCTTATAACCTGCTTAACGAGTGGAATGCAAAAAGTTCGGCGATTACATATAAGGTTACGCCTTTTTCACAATTTGACGGATTAATTGAATTTCTCGAAGATTTTTCCTCAATTGGCTCAATTAGAAAAAAATATGGGAAAAATTGCATATTAAACTACTGGGCAGGTGCTTATAATACAAATATAAATAATATCCCTCATAATGTATTAGCTACTTTTATAAATAGCTGTGCAGCATATAGTGTTGTTACTTTTATACTTGGTGTTGGAGATCGTCATCTTGATAATTTATTAGTTGGGAAAAATGGCCACTTTCTGCATGTTGATTTTGGATATATTTTTGGAGAGGATCCAAAACCTTTCCCACCTCCAATGAAAATATGTTCGGAAATGATAGAAGCTATGGGTGGCCTAAACTCATCGGGGTTCAAGCTCTTTGTTGATAAATGCTGCGATTGTTATAGATACATTCGCAGAAATTCATGGCTAATATCTAATATTTTGTTACTAATGGTAGATAGTGGAATAAAAGATCTAAATTCGAAGCCCGAAAATAATTACGCCATCATTTTGGAAAGAATTAAAGAAAAATTCAGGCTCGAACAATCAGAAAGGGAGGCAGAAAGGTATTTAAGGGAAATAATTATGACATCATCAAATGCACTATTTCCTGCAGTTGTTGATACCCTTCATGATTGGGCTCTTTACTGGGCTTAATAATGCTGTTTTTGTATCCCAATATTTATTTATTACCGCGAAATATTGAGAATATATTTATTGATAATCGTATATGCAAAGTTTATTTATCAAGAAATTAAATTTTAAGAGACACTATAAGTTTCTATTGGATTTGTACTCCAATAGAAATACGGTTAGTGATTTTCTCAGTTATCCCATCAAAATGTCAGCACTGTTCTGGGGTATTGGAAGTATGAAATTATTACATAATAACCTAGAAAACAATTATAGAAATAAAATTAAAGAACTGGAAGATCAAGTTTTTGAATTTGTTGAAAGCTGCAAAATTTTTGTTGACAGAGATATGACAATGGTCGGTTATTCTCAGAATAAAGGATTAACTCCCAATATTGTTTCTACACACTATGCTCTACTCATTCTGATAATGATAGACAAGCTAGATCAAGTTGATTCAGATAAAGTTTCGAAATGGATATCTTCACTCCAAAATAGGGATGGATCATTCAGTTGTGACCAATATTTGGAAACTGATTGTAGATTTACTTACTGTGCTTTATCAAGCCTAACCATTTTAAACAGAATAAATGAAATCAATATTGAGAGCGCCCGATCTTATATATTAAGGTGCTATAATTCTGATGGAGCTTTTGGTGGAATTCCTTGCTCAGAATCACATGCAGCATACACATATTGTTGTGTTGTTTCACTTGCATTTTTGAATTCATTAGATATGATAAATGTTGACAAGCTTGCTTTTTGGCTATGTGAAAGGCAACTTCTATGTGGGGGTTTTAATGGTAGACCTGAGAAAGCACCAGATGTTTGTTACTCATGGTGGATATTTTCTTTGCTCTACTTTTTAGGTAGAACAAATTACATTGATAAGCGCTTATTGGAAGACTACATTTTTTCTTCTGAGGACATTTCACAAGGCGGATTCTCAGATAGACCTGGAAATGTGCCAGATGTATTTCATACATTTTTTGGGATTTCTGCTCTTTCCTTAATTAGATTTGGCACAGTTGTTAATGCGATTAGCCCCATTTTTGCAATTCCGGTTAATTCAATATCTAATAATAGCTAAGCTAATATTTATATATTACACTTTTAGACATTTAAATAATTAGATGAGTAATTCTATTTTAATCGAGCCCTAGTTTACAATTTTAACAGTTTTTGCCTAAAGAGAAATCTCTTCATACGGCAATTATTTATTTTCAGAGTACCATTGACACTTGTAGACATAAATAACTCCAGTACCAAGATCTTGCGTTAATTATGCGGGATAAATTATTGTCACAAAAATTTGTGAAAGAATAGATGTCGTACTTTTTCTGAAAAGTATTAATAAAACTATAGTAAATAATTCGAAGGGGCCATTTTATTTATTCGAGATTCTGTTATTTAATACTTTCGAATTCACGTAGATTAATTGTTCTTCACAGAACTGATATGATTTTTTTGTTAATATGAATATTAAAGAAATAGGCGCAAGGCTTAAATCATTCGGCCAAAATGATTTGAATGAGGAATTAGAGTTTCTAACAAATATCAGAGATCATATTGAGCTATATACAACTGACAAACAAACTTACTTTTCGTTCCTAGAGGAATGCTTAGATGGTATCAGAAACATATTGCTAGTAAATGACACAGCAAAAAAACACGATTATAAAAAATCAAGTATAATATGTATGGAAATTATATCATTATTACCTCAAAACGAAGTTATATCAAACCACTGTTCAGATTTAGCGCAGCTGTGCCTACATTTGTTGGATAGGGATACAGATGATATCGGGGTACTTGCAATTCGTAATTTAGTTTTTCTACACAAGAATTATACGGACAAATTAGAAAATTTGGTTGAATCCTTTCTTGGATTTGCATCTAGATTATGCACTGATGTACAACACACCTTACCACAGCTTATTCAGGAAGTTATTTCTAATAGAAATAATAATTCTAACCTAGAAGGACAAGAAATTTATATTCAAAGTGGAAACTCAACAATTAAGTCAGAAAGAATAAATTCAGTAAATGAAGATCCTGATCAACTTTTCTTTCGTGGAGGGCTTTCATCGACCCTACCGGAGTTTACTGAAATAACAAATCAAGTAAGATCAAATGTTCATAGAGGTTCTGCTACCACTGGTGTAAATAATGCAAATCTTACTCAAAATATGATCCTTCCATGCCACCGTTCATTAAGAATTCTGATAGAATTACCACTGGCTCTATTACACATTTTCCAGCTATATCCTCATTTTATTGAACGTTACTTTGCTATTTTTGCTCCAAACTTGGTTTCTTGCTTAAATATTGTGAGTCTTTTCCCTAGAGATTTCCACCCAAAGTTTATGGGGTCGCCTTGCATATCCCAAAACCATACAATTAATCAATTAAAAATAAACCCAGAACAAATCCCAGAAATAATGCGTTCTTCCTCATTTAAATCTCTAGTTCAAGACTACATGATTGCATGTAGCAAAATTATATTATGGTTTGTTCATTTTTTCAGAGGTTTCAATGGTGACGAACATATATCAGAGACTCTAAGACAAACTCAGTCAGCCTTTATACAGGGGTTTATTCAGGTTTTGCTTTTTTGCCCTCCTTATTGTCTTCACCAACGCCGCGAGATACTTGTATGTCTTAGGAGTATTTTGAGTACTGAGTTTAGGCAGGGATTCTATGAGAGGATAGATATTTTAATAGATGAAGCAGTTCTTATTGGGCATGGTCGTACAGGTTATGAAACACTTAAAGTGTTATCTTCGGCAATATTGCATGAGATCATTGTATATTTAAGAGTCGAACACTCTTTTAGTTCATATTGCAATAATTTGAATCAAGATTGTTTCTTTGATTCTATAATGAAATGCTTACATTCTCTAACAAGAAACATTTTAGACACAGCACTTCCTTTACCTGCACAACACTATTGTATCAGATCTGCTGCATTCTTACCAGATATATTAAAAAAAGAAGGTTTTATTCCTAGTAGTAATACTCAAAGAAATATTATTATTCGGGATATTTTACTGAATATTTTGTGTGTTTTCTCTTTGAAAATTCACCAACTCCGACGTCAGATTTACAATCTAGTTCTTGTGTCTATGGATAAGGAGCTACCAGAATTACCAGACTCAAAGATTGATTCATTCTCATTCACACCTTTGAAGCCATTAATAAAGGATTTCCTTGATGAATTTAATGAAATTTCTAATATCGGTAATTGGCTGGATAACTCATTTTCATACGCAAATACACAGATTGGGCATTGTGAAGTTTCCATCACTGGTTGTAGCGCATTAAAAAAAGGACTTGATCTTGAAAGTGATACGGAAAATCAAACCAAGCCATTGATCATTGATATTTTAAGGGAGCTAAGACCTATTCTTCGTGCTACAATAATTGGTGCACGTCAAACTATCTTCCACATTACAACTTTGAACAGAAATACATTTTCTAACAATAACATTAATAATAAAAATCTATTAAACAATACCCCTTCAGGAGTAGTTGGTTCAATAAATAACAACACAAGCAATATTGATATTACGCGTTATGATGTAAGAAAACTTGCAAACGGTGTAATGCTAAATGAGACTGAGAGTAAATTACTTCAAAAGATATTAATTGAGGGTATAATTTGTAGTGTTGAGTATTGCCAATGTTTTCAATATACGATGAGCTCGTCAAGTTTGGTTACAATAAAAGAAGGTGGTAGTGAGTGCCAGATAATTCCAACGAGTTCTTTATTCATTCCAAACAACACTACTCAAAATAATAATGGCCCAAATCATCTTAGCACTACTTTAAGACAGAATAACAGCATTAAGTCGCATCAAAACTCGCTGTTGTCAATTATGCCAGAAGAGAAAGAGCTTTTGGAACTTTTAGCATCCGTAATGTGCTATATTCATCCACAATCGTTTGGGGATATAATTCAAGCTACATTCTCGCTCTTATTTGAGTGGTCAACGAATATGAGCCCACAAATTTCTTTAATATTTCATTACTGGGGAGTGCAACAGCACACCGCAAAGGCATTTTATGAATCAATTCTACCACATCTAATGCTAAAATTAGATACCTTAGCTGTTGAACCAAACTCTGAATTTACTGAACTAAGAAGTAAATTATTTCCTATTCAAATTTTACTTAAATCATTGGATAGTAAACAATTATTTTCTGAATTTAGCCAATACGATATTTCTACATTCATTGCGCAGGCGAATAATATTAGCATTCCTTCAACACCGCTTTCATACTCAATATACCCAACAGAACATTGGAAGCTTGCTCTTTCAAGATATGTGGTGGACCCGCATATAGATAATATTGAAAACCATTCAAAGATACCATATTCTCGTGGAAGAATCTCTCATTTTGGAACACCAATACAATTTCCTGAATCAGTTCAAACTATTATTGATCCTAGAGATGACCCAAATAATTTAATTAATTTTGCTCCAACAGCTGCACCACATGGAAATCCGGATGATCATCCTTTCCCATTTGATATTCTAACTCAAAACATTAATGTTTCACTATTTCAGATACAGAAGAAAATTATCGATTTACCAATTCCAGATACTTTTATTTATGGGGGAAATTCAAATAATTTAAAAAAAGATAAGCCCAATGAAATAGCATCTGGGCTCGTAACTACTAGGCTACTAAAACAGCTCTTTAGATATATTGGTCAGAATCCTCAACATGAAACTATTCTAATTCCTTATGTGGTAGATCTATGCACATTATGCACATCTATGGCATCTAAATATCCAAATAATATATTTTTTCTATCAATCTTAAGGTCTTTGTTTAGAAGTATAACACCTGGTGGTAAAGCATCTGGTATTTATAAGGAGTTCCTGGTTATTCTTCCTTGGTTCTTAGACACAACTATTAAAATGCAAAAAGAAACTAAGTCCCCTTTTCGCGAGATTTGGCTGGAAATTTCCCTTACAGTTCCCGCAAGACTCAAGTCACTGTTACCTTATATGGGCCAATTAATTAGTCCAATGCTAAATGCTCTTGAAAGCAGTGATCCAGAACTTGTTTTATTGGCACTAAGAAGTTTAGATCTCTGGATTGATAATCTTCATCACGACTTCCTATATCCAATCCTTACAAATTCCCTTCATCAGCCTCATCGATTTCAGACTAGGCCATCAATTCTTGTTACACTTTGCAGATTATTGAAACCCGCACCTCCAATTCCTTTACCTGTCTCCCAAGTATTGCTAAGTAATTTTCACAGATTTAAAAACAATAGTTTATCCTTCTATGCATTGCAATCTATAGCGTTTCAACATGCAACACTTGTTGGAAGAATTTTAGGAAAATTGGGAGGTAAGAATAGATGGTTTCTAAAGGATTCTGCGATTTTAGACGCAAATGAACCTTTCGATGTAAGATTACCGATATTAATTAAATCTGACCCAATCAACAATAAACAACACGCAACTTTATTTCTCAGAATTGACGATACACTACAGCATGTTTATAAATACTTATCATCTATTCATAATAAAGATTTTTCAACTTCCAATCGAACAGTTAATAATATCTGTAATTTGCATATAAGAAATTTACTTTTAATTTATCTGTCAATTTTTTGGACTAATACTGGAACAATGGAGCCCATTAAAACATATTTCAACTTTTTAAAAAATTACCTTGAGAAGCATTCTGAAAAAATTGAGAATCCAAATGAAACAACTCCCTTTACTATCGACTATATTTCTGAGTGCGATAATTTGAAACCAAAACCATTATATGCGAACAATCTCGAGCTCTTTACTAAAACACTTGTTTTGGCATCATCATTTATTGAAGAAATTAATGATTCTGTCGGTGATTATTGCAGTGGATTAACAAATTATTTAGCAATTTATTCTGCATCCAGGTCATTTATTCCCGAGCACTGCAATTTGAATTTATATTGGTCAAATACCAAAACTGACCCAGTTGCACCGATTTTGTCTGCTTTATTTGACACAATTGACATCCAATTTACAGTTTCTCATTCTAACAATTTAAAGTATGTAAACCCAAGTTACATAGCTCTTGTAGCTATAAAAAATACGGTCATTATTTATTATAATCTCGTCGAAAATTTTCCATTATTATACTTTAATAGGGCTTTTCAAACTGCTCAACTTCCAAGTTTGCTTGAGTCAAATATTGTGAATTTGTGCTATGATATCTCATGGAGCAAAAAAACAGCTGCATGCATGTTAATTATCGAACTACTTAATCATATTCCGCCTATTTGGGCTCAAACATATTTCCAGAAGCTTACAGAGGCTCTCTTTTTCATTTCAAAAGACTCTGGGACAGATAGCAATCCTTTTGCGGAAAGATGTTCTGAGGATGCATTGGATGCACTCATTTATTCTGTTTTCACCGGCATAAAACCTGCAGCACTTTTTGGCAATTGTGATAACTCTAATTTTAAAATGATTAATTTACCTCTATCAAAATATGGGGTAACCATTTCAAAAAGTAGATTATCTTTATTATCAGGCGAATCTGTTAATATAAATGATAGAAATTGGGAAGATTTATTAGCTATTATAAATGAAACTAATAATTTAAAAAGAAATAATTCAGATTTATGGTGGAACAAAAGTTATCGTGTTTATATGGAAATGCTAATCATTGAATCGAGAGATCAATGGTATTCTGGAGTTGCAAAACGTGAAGAAATAATGAATTCTTTAATCAATAATACTCCTACAGACGATATTTTGGATATTTTGCGCAAGCATTTATTCCATTTATGCGTAAACTCAATAACCCCAAATATATTATCTTTGAGACCTGCTTGCAGAAGAATGGCACAAAAGTGTCTTATCACTTTATCAAAAATCACTGGTGTTTCTGTTGCAACTTTGCTCAATACCAGTTTCAGTAATCAATCTGGAAATAATGATACAAATAATCACCTTAATACTACTTCACAAACGACTTTACTTCAGCAGTTGTTAAGTAGACTCCAGACCAAATTGATTTCTACTTGTAGTACTCCATACCAGCTTGCTTTCTTAGACACTCTATGCTTTATAGCATCTCTTAGGCCATCACCTATTGGAATTCCGTCAACAATTATCAGAAGGTTTGTTGAAGATGTGTTTGTTGTAATAAGAGATGAAATCGACTGTGAAATGAGTGAATCTCAACAAAAAAATTCCAACAATAACTTTTCTCAATCTAATAACCAAATGAATAACCAGAATAATAAAAGCAATCCCGAGTTTAGGAAAAACAGGGTACAAGTTCAAATATATTCAATTAAGTTTTTAAAACTTATACTTCTTCATCCGAATTGGTCTGAATTTCTTAGAAGTCGAAACAGTCCCTCGATTTCAATTTCTGTTTCTGCAAATATTTCTCCCATAATTTCTCCAACAACTCCTTCAAACTGTTCAAATCCTATAAATCAAAGTTCTCACTACCAACAAAGCAATCAAATACAACACAGTTCTCAAAAAGCAAATATTAACCAAAATATTCAACTTCAACAGACACAACAATCAATTCCAGCATTGGCACAACAAATTGCCACAAATCATTCAACACAGATTAATACTCAAACTAATCATCAAAACCTACAAAATGTAAATCAAACAAAAACACAGTATACACACCAAATCTATCAAAATCAGCAACAAGCAAATATAAACCAATTCCAAATGGGCAGTCAGTTAGGAATCAACCAAACGAAAACATCTCAAGATGAACTTAGATGGAAGATCATTGGAATTCTTTTCCGTTGTGTTACTAGAAAAGATCTAGAAATTTGTAAAGCTGCGCATCATACTCTAAAAGTTATTGTAAGGTTGGAAAGATATTTGATAAATACGGCTAATAGCGAGGATTCAAGTAATACGTCGAACGTTTGCAATACATCCAGAAATAATTCATGTAACAATCAGTATGAGCTTTTACCTGAAGATCAACTCAGGCATTGTCTTAGACCGGTACTTGTTCATTTAGCGTCTGCAACGAAATTGACAGTTCATGTACTCCAGGGATTGGCACGTCTTTTGGAGCTGCTATGTTTTTGTTTTAATGTAACTTTAGGCGAAAAGCTTTTGCAGCACTTGCAAAGACTTTGTTGGCCAAATGAATGTCAAAGAGAAGCACCAAATCCTGGCAGTCAAGCAAACTCTTCTCTAAGGCAAGTTCAAAATTCTTCTACAGGATTGGCAAATACTCAAATTGATAGTATTAATAGATATGAAGAGGATCTACATATGGCAATTGCAATGGTATGCATTTTTCACCTGTTACCTCAGGGATCTGACGAATTTGTATCAAAAGTGGTCGGAACAATATTAGGTACTAGAAATTTTCCAGGCCTTGATAGAAACAGCAATACACAATCTTCAATATCATCATTCATCACGTCATATACAACATCTATGACGATTTCGTCACCTTTTCGTCTTCCTTTAGCACTTTTTGCTACTCATTCTCCGCATAATGTTGTCTTATTTCTAATTCAACAACTTGCTTCTGATCGGTATGCTAATTTCCTAATCGACTTGATTAAAATGAGCCCATGTTCTGTTATTCGAGTAAAACTTTACCAACTTAGAACTCAACTTATCGAAGCTACAGTAAATAGGGTATTGGAGGAGGCAGAAAATATTGAGAATAAACGTGACTCGTTTGTCCCGACCACAAATTTTTGCCAAATTACAGGATCTTCATTCCAATTGAATGCCAACAACTCCGTTTCTGGTGCACAGAATATCAACAAAACAAGCCATAATATTATTCCCGTCTCTCCTGCATTCACTGAATCATATAGTAGTGCATGGAATGGAATAAGAGTTTTAAACAGTCTTTGTGAAGAATGGCCAAGCTTACTTGTAATCGATTTCCTTGAGTATTATGCATCTAGTAACAGATCTGCCTTAACAATGATTGATATATTATTAACTATGTATAATACAATTTTTAACAGGCTCATTGTATTTACAAAGGGTGGAGGAATATCTACACATGGTAATTTTGATAATAAATTTGAACTATCATTGGCATATCAAGGTACTGTAGCATGGCAACATCCTTGGAGCTTTTTTCATTCAAACGAGTGTTTTATGTTATATAAGATGTTGATTGGGTTTTATACCGCAACAAATAATCTTGAGAATGTACAAAATAAGGAATACCTTGAAAAAAACGATCATGGCAAAAAAGTAGGGGACGAAATTATTAGCGACATTCTATCTGTCCAGAATTCGATGAAAAGTGTCTTATTTTCGACGATAAACCTTCCTTCGAACTCCTCATCAATTACAAACTATTCTCAATCTTCAGCTTCTTTTCAGAGACAGAATCTAAGTGATGATCAGGGCTTTTCTAATAACTTTTCACTGAATTCATTACAGAGTCTACAGAATATACAAAATTCAAGTTCTAATCTGAACTCTTCTTCTCACACAAATAACTCGCAAGCTTCAATTAGTTCAATATCTAATTCTACGTCAAATAACCAAGCAATATACCCATCTCAGGAATTAATTATTTCATTGCTTTCAACAATTATTCACGGACAGGAAGTGAAAGAGCATTTAAAGAGAAGAAGAATCGACGTTATTTTGACAATTGCAACTCTTTTTGGTACAAGTTCAACTCTTGATAGTGGAGCTTTTCGTGATTTTCTCATTTGCACTGTTCCAAAAACCCTCGCAAGCCAAGAAAAGCGTTTACTTTTCAACCAACTTATACAGAGATATTACCCTAATGGGCCTAATATTGATACTTCTTCTATTCTACCAGGTACTCAGATTGCATGTATACAACTTATATTAATCCCACTATTAGAATATGAGTTCAACCGAGCCAATTCTAATGAGAAGAACCATTTTTCCAATGAAGATTCGTGGTTAAATGACTACATTTGTGAAGGTATAATAACTAGAATAATACTTCCAGGGTTGGAAAGAGGTGTAATTCCATTACATGGAACTAATGGACTTTCTGCAACAGACGATCCTCTTAAAATAGAAATACTTAAACTTCTTATATTACTTGTGAAAAACAAATATTGTGTCGAGATTTTATCTAATAGCAGAAAAAGAATTATTAAAGATGTATGGAATATCTTGAGAACTGAGTCTTCTTTGCTAAAATCATGGGGTTACATTACTATGTGTTACTTTGTAGAGAAATATCCATTTCCGGAGAAAATTTTGTTTTCAATGCTGGTAGCGCTAACCAGACTTTATGGAGTTTCTGAAGTTAGACTTACTGTTAGAAGAGCTTTGAATTTATTCATCCCACTATTATATAAAATTAAACCAATAATTAAAGATGATCTATTAAATATATTTTCATCGGAAAATGAAAATAAGAACTTATTTTCGCTAATACCATCGCCTCCTAAATTATTGATTAAAGACAAAACACCTGAAACTTTGTTTTCTAATTGGCTTAAGTTGATGATTGCAATATTAATTCAGGACAGCTATAATCTACCTTTGCAACAACAACTGTATCACTGGAACATTATTACACTTCACCCTAATATATTCGTATTTGAATTCATTTATTTTCTTTCTCCAATTTTGTCAACTTTGACCAAATTGCTATGGGGATTTAATTCAGCTGGTCAAAATAATTCTCAATATACAAACACACAATATACAGGGAGTACCTCAGGAATGCCAAATAACTTTAACCAATCTACAATCGCATCCAACAATATTTTTAATGTTCCCTTTTTACCTGAAATGAAAAGAATAATTTTCGATGTATTAACCGTAATTACAAATTGGGTTTGTAATTTTGATGATGAAACTGATTTCGAAATTTCCAAGAATTGCATTGATCCAGATGGGAGTTTAGAAATAAAAAGGAGAAGAATATCGCATTCTATTATTAATCATGAAAAAAACAACCAGATTCCTTCTTTGGAAAAAAAAAGGGAGACTACAAATGTAGCAAATTCAACCATTGATATTTCATCGATTCCGCAACTCTCAGCATTGTTTAAGACTGAAGATGACAAATCGACTATTTCTATAGTTGATCTAATCATAACCATTTGGTTCAGGCTTGCCTTGTTGTCATCTAGCACTGATCACAAGATTGTTGCAAAATCATTTAATACTATCTCAAAGATTTTGTTAATGTTTCCAGGTTCTAGGGTACAACTCAGTTGGTTGGATATAGGTTTCAATTTAAATAATAATTCTAATTTCTCATCAATTTCTGCTTCTGGTAGATCCAACCTTTCGCAAAACTCTAACACAAATGGCCAAGGATTAAATAACCAACCTCAATCTATTTCACTGAATTTCATCGCTTTTCAATTGACACTTATCGCAGGACTTCAGGTCTTGTGTGTATATCAATCATTTAAGATAATAATTATGCAGTTAGACTCAATTTTACAAATTCTTGAGCCTGCTTTTGTTTCAAATGAAAAGAATATTTCTGATGCGTTATATGTATTAATATGCAAGTTAGTTCAAATTGTTCCACATCCTTCAAAGCAATTGCAGGAATCTTTAAACAAAATTCTGAACTGTATATATTTAAATGAGGAAAATAAACAAAGTGATGATCGGTCTAAAGAGTTGAATTATTATTATATTAGTCATTATAAAGTTCCGTTATCAAAAAAAGTGCGTGCAGATAACAGGATAGATTCATTTTACATTAGATTAATCGACATCTCAACTTCTGGTATTTGGTCTCTAGTTAATCAAGAATTATCGGTATTACCTGAGTTTATTCCTTTCAAAACTACATCAAATAGTCAAGATAATATTTTTGATAATAACTCAAATTTTATGAATTACACAGAACAGAATGTGAATTGTTCTGGAAGAAATGTCTCATTTTACACTTCCACCAAACTTATTTCGTCTTTTTTGGTTCTAGGAATTACCTCTGACAAACAAAATTTGGCTAAATCCAAAGAAGAGTTATTCAACACTGGTCTTCTATTTCTTAGATATTTTTCTCCTTTAATAATCTATATATTGGATAAGACTTTAGCTTATTATAGTAATATAAACCCGCAAAATTTAAACAACTTACAATCAAGCATTTTGTCTGGGAAATCTAATTTATCAAACTCTAGTAGAAACACAAATATCTCAAATTCAAGAGTGAACAGTCCAACTTTAAACCCCGGAAGCTCTAATTTATTACAAAATTTGAGTGGGTCTAATACTTCCATACTAACTAACTGTACAGAATTATTTCAACTAATTTTGGTATCGCCTTATTTTACATTCAGAGCCCTAGAAAACGATCTCTTTAGACACCAAATTATTTTTTTACTTCGTGATTTTGGACTAATTACATTTCAGGGGGGGGTTGTTCATCTATTGATTAATATTCTCGGAAGGTGGATATTCAATACTCATTTAGATATTAATGGCTACTTATTAGAAAAACTGGAAGTTAATACAGACGAAAGTTCTAATTTTTTTAATTTCGACACTTTAATAACTAATAATAGTGAATTAATTGAGTCTGGAATTCAGGAACGAAAAAACACCAAAGTGTTTAGTTTAGATGATATTTTGAGATATTATTCTTCAAATTTCGAATATCAAGTTGTTCCTGACGAGATAACAATCAAGGTTTTGAAATACGAATTGGTGATTTCACTTTTGACAGGCTGGTCACTAGTATGTGATAGAAATCGCCGATTTGAGATGCATTTGATTTATCATTCGTTCTTAGAGGAAATTCTCAATAATCACGAAGATGAAATTTTAAAACTAGTTTCTAATTATGAAGAAAAACTTAAAATAGAATTTGGAAACCCCTCCAATAATGTTTTAAAACAAGCTAATCCATTCATTTTAACGGACAAGGCACTAACACAACTTGAAAAATGCGCAATTTTAGGTCTAGCTTCGCCCCATCCAAAAATAAAACTTGGAATATTAAGATGGTTCAATAGAAAGCTGCCAAAAGATTTGTTTGGAAGGCTTCGTTATTTGTTCACAACTTCTAATTTTGATGTGCTCGCGGAGAGACTATATATTACCCAATTCTTAGAACTCTTAATGCCAGCATTGATGTTATGCGAGAGTAGCTCGATAATCAATAGCAAAATGGGAGGTTTTCCATCTATTCTTCCTTCGATCGAACAACAAATTGTTGAAAAATTGGATAAAGCTGCGAAAGAGAGTTGTAGATCATCTAAACCTGTTGAATTTGTTAATAAGTGTAATTTAACGGAGGTAGAATTAGAATGGTGGGAACTGCAAAATTTGCAGTTAAAAGGACATTATGAAGATGACAACGTGAGTACTAGCAGTAATGTGTCTTTGATGGGTATATTGGGCAGCTCAAATAATGAACAATCCAATTCTTCGTCATTCATGAATAAGAAACCTAATAGTTTTGCTATTGACAAAATTGAGTTTAATTTATTAAATGATATCATTGAAAACCTAAGACAGAATCCAAAGTTAGCAATTGAATCTTTGTTGTTTTTCTCCAGTACAAGCGAAGCAATTTCAATTTCTCTTTGGAAAACTATTTTTCCGTGGATTTGGGACAACTTGGATGATCGAAGAAAAAGTGAATTAACAATTGATATTATTGATTTTCTTTCTAAAGAAAGGCACCAAAGAGTGAGTTCAGCAATGCCTTCTGAATGGACAATACCACATGTAATACTTGAATCCTTACTAGCATGCGATACACCACCTATATTACCACCAACTTTACTTTTACATTTATCAACTAAATTAAGATGTTGGCACATTGCATCTAACTACCTGAGCAACCAAATGAATATAAATAATTCCAAATTGAGTGTTAAAAAGCATGAAGATCACTTTTTTTCTCGAGTTAACAGTAATACTGAATATGATAATAACTTCATTCAAGATAATGGGCCAGATCATTCTTGGATGATATTAGCACAAATATATGGAGAACTACAGGAAGAAGACATTGTTATTGGTATTCGGAGATCATTTTCAAATTGTCTTGAAACTCATATGGGGTTAGCATTAATGCAACAGGCAGAGTGGAGTAAAGCACAGGAAATATTTTACAATAATCTGGATGTCATGTTTAATTCAAACTTCAAAACTAACGATAATAACACAGTTGATAAACAAAACACTTTAAATTGGGCAAGAATTTTTGAAAACTCTGACTCATTACCATTAAATAATGAAACAATGATTTGGATTGATAGTTGGGTTGCCTGTGCAAAGCATTTGAATCAGTGGAATACACTAAATGAGTTTGCTAAAGAACGCAGAAATCCTCAACTTCAATTGGAGTGTTCATCTAAGCTACAAGATTGGGTATTGGTCGAGAAATTAGTCAACAAATATATTATGCATAATCCCATTACAAAGTTGTGCCAAGCATATCACTCTTTATATGACTTACTTTTGGGAGGAATTAATAACAATTGGAACGTAACAAGTCAAGGAGCTCAAGAATCTTTATCTAACTCTAACATCACTATAAGTGGCCAAAATCGAGTAGGAAATTCAATAAATGGTTTAAATATGAATAATGGGGTTTATTGTCAACCATTTCCACAAAATGTAATTCAAAATAACTCTTCAAGATCAAGATTAACAGAATTTGAACGTCATTGTTCAATTGGTTATAGAACTGTGCTGAATTTTTGGGCAATGCTCCCAAGTATAGTAACTACATGTCATGTTCCGTTATTGCTAAATTTCCAACAATATATAGAGTTGCAGGAAGGATTTAGACTTTCCTCTGATATAGAAAGAAAACTGTATCCAGACAGTCCGAACAACAATATGAATACCTTAAATAATATTCAGAGTAGTGCTAACTTTGGTTCTAATTATTTTATTCATCATACAAACACGAATAATTTGGTTCAAGGTTCACAATCTATACATTCAGTGCATCCAAACTCACACGGGAACAATATACATTCGCATTCAAATGTCCAGAATACAAACAATTCAACCCCTGGATATTTTGAGGCTAGAATGTTGAACGTATGGAGAGATAGATTACCAAATAAATGGGACAGCATGATATTATGGAATGATCTTTTTGTATGGAGGAACTTTGTTTTCTCCATCATTATGAACCTAATTAGTAGGTCAGACCATTTAACTTCTCAGGCTAAATCTCTTTGGCCTAGCTATCTGCAAGACATGCCTTGGACTATGATAAAGTTTGCATCAATTGCAAGGAAATCCCATCGCTTACCCGAAGTTTCAGTTGCACTGCTGCAAAGATTACAAAACCATTTACAAGTTTCAGGAGGAGATGCATATAGGGCTGAGACATTTCTTGCAACTTTAGAAAAAGTCAAACTTTGTTTATCAGATACTACTCAATTAAGAACAGGCCTAAATATTCTTAATATGACAGATTTTCAAAAATGCCCTGAACCTTATTTTGATGAATATAGAGCAGAATTTTTGAGGTTAAAGGGGATAATTTCTAATAAATTATATCCAAATTATTATATTGATGGTGATGCAACAAATGGTGGAAATTCAGTTACTGGAAGCAACTTGTTAAACTCCGAGCAAGGACATACAGGTCTAAATAATGCGTCTATGTCAGGTACAAGCACTTCGGTTGTTCGTGTAAATACTGACTTGCTTTCTTCCTTGAAAGTCTATCCACTTTTCGCAAGGGGATGGATCACCTGGGCTCAATATACAGATAGATTATTATATATTCATCAGAATATGAGCTATGCGGTTAATGCTGTGATTTCTTATTTAATGGGGATATATTTAAGGCCAGACAAATACTCCATTTTACTTTCAAGGGTACTTTGGTTGTTACCCCATGACTCTCCTGATGGAAAATATCTTTCATTAGCATTTAAAAAGTATTCAGATCATCTACCTTGCGCTGTTTGGCTTCCATGGATCCCACAATTGATAGCTGGAATAGATAGAATTGAAGGAAGTGCTATATTGCATATTCTAAATAAGATCGTATTAATGTTTCCACAAAGCATTTATTTCAATATTAGAAGTAATTATCTCGAGAAAAGAGAAATGGCTCACATGTATTGGTATTTATCTTCTAATTCTGAAGGTGAAAATGCAAATCAGGGTCCACCGCCTCCACCTTCTTCCGGAATTTATCCAAGTTTTATTTCTCTGGGATGGCAAAGAATTGAGTCACTAATGAACACATGCAGAATTAGGCATGGTGCATTAACTTTGGCTCTTGAACATTGGGTTGAAGATATAGTATTGCATTGCAAGCCTGACCCTCTTGATGAGCTCTTGTGTGCCATACGAACTTTATTCCAAATGACCATTGAAATTTCTCCAAATTCTGATGAAACAATTATCACTCAAGAATCTAATTTGAACGATACAAAAACATCGGATTTTTTCCCAAATTTAGGAACTCATTTCTTGGAACATAATATTATTCGAAGATATGAACAATTGCTGAATAAATCTTCATCTTTGAACAATAAATCATTTGAAAGATCAAAAAATATTATCAGACAATACTGGAGTGAATTCAAGAGCGACTTTTATGTTTATTTATGTAGTAGTACAAATCCCCCTATTGAGAAGGTCTCAAAACATTTGAAACTTGACTATGTGCTGGAAAAATTAAAGAAATGGAAAGACCATTTTTCAAAATGTACAGAGAGGTATTCAAATGAAAATATTAGAGGAAAGTCATTACTATCGGATTTGTCGACTAGTCTTTGCGATCTATTCCACAGAATTAATATTCGTTTGGAAGTTCCCGGCCAGCATTTCAGAATTGCTTCTGAAAGTCTTTACTTAAGAAACTTTGCTGTTTTGGAAAATTCAAATTGTAATAATCCTATTGGCGGAGTTCTATATTTACATAGGTCGCTACCTACGGTCGAAACTGTTGTAAGACAGTCCTACACATTAAAAAGAATCGGATTTATAACTTCTAGCGGAAGCATAATACACTTTCTAATTCAGCCATATAGTGGACTTCAACAAAAGGTTGAGGAGCGCATTCTACATCTACAAGTTACACTAAATACACTTCTATATAAATATAAAGAAACTAGATCAAGAAATATTTCTTTTGCAATACAGCCTTGTATACCACTACATCCACGCTGCCGTATAATTGAGGACACAGGAAACAAAAAGAGCTTTACAGAACTTTTTGAAGAAGAAGCCAACAGTAGTAACAGTACATGCCCTATAAAAGACTTGGACTCACCAATATCAATCCATAGAAAACTTCTCAATATCTCACTGAAAAAGTTGAAAAATAATAATAGTAGTTCACAGCTTGAGAAGGAAATGCTAAAAATTTATGGTGAGCTATGCGATAATTGGGTACCTGATAACATACTTAAAAAAAGTATTTTAAAGAAGTTCAGCTCCCATGACCAATCATTTTTATTTATAAAGCAATTTACAACCCATTTGGGTTTACTCTCAATATTTTCATATATACTAGGTGTAAACGATGTTACGCCCGGTAAGTTGTTTGTTTCATTGGATACTGGACAAGTTTATCAATCTGAATTAAAGTCATCTTATGTTTCATCTACGCTGCTTATTGATAAAACTGAAAAGGTTCCCTTCAGATTAACAAGAAATATGGAGCATTTAATGGGTCCCTTTGGAAAAAATGGTATCCTTCCCGGTACAATGCTTGCATTTGCTCACTGCCTCCAAAAATACGAGTTCCATGTAAGAAATCTACTTTGTTCTTTACTCAGAGACGACTTACATGCATTTTCAGTTCATAGAGCTTTACAAGTCCCCCAGAATCGTAATTTATATCATAAGTCAAGTAGCTCCTCCACTGAATCAAACTTCGAAAATGGCTCACAACAAACAATTAATTCGACTAACACAACGACTGATCATTCTCAGAACGCAATTTCTCATGTAATGCAACAAAGATTACTTTCCAACGTTGAAATTAGGGAGAAAGTCGACAGAAATGTTCGCAGGATGATGGAAAAAATAGCATTATTAACGAACCCTAGGCCAATTAATGATAACAACCTACTAATAGATAGGAGCGTACTTGAGCTTATTGAATGTTCTACAGATCCAAAAAATCTGTCTGCTATGAAGCCGACATGGATGCCATGGTTATAGTAGATCAATACCAAACTTTCAATTTACTAGATTGCTCTAATAAAGTTTTTGATAAGACAAATATAGACAATTACTAGGTTTTTATTTAATTACTATTTGATACTTCTGAACAAACAGCTTGTGCATAACTCTCTTTGCAAATGTCTTCCAATACTTTTATAATGGAAGATGTCTCCGGATCCATCTTAGGTATTAGGCTCTTGTCTTGTATTATAGACAATAGAAATGAGTCTGGGAGAAAATCTGGTATTTCGTGTCTTGCTTTTGGCTCATGACGCCTTTTGCACTTCGGGCCATATTTACAGAATCCCAAGAAATACTGTGCGCAAAGTGGTGTGTCGTCTGCCTTGTGTTTGAAAGGACAATTTCCCAGCGCCTCATCGACGCATACACCATACTTTTGATATGTAAAGCATGGTGGCATTCTTTCATAATCATACTGATGCAAAAAGTCACAAAAATCCCCTTTCATACACATGTTTCTAATCCAATGCCTACATACAACGGAATGACGGCCTCTAACATTTGGGTCATATCTTGTAACAGATTGATTCTGTAGGAGACGAAGCTTCTCATCTTCCATTCTCTCGATAATGTCTTCAATACCTAACCTCGCATTCATTTTTATTGAGTTTCACGCCATTCAAAATCTTTTAACTTGAGATAAAATATAACTACTCAGGCGCTAAAAATAAGTGCTTGCTAAATAATTATTTGTCCGAATTCAATACAATAGCCTTTGCAACATTATTTAATCGTTTTTCTGCCCCTAGAATATGGTCGATTCTCTGAGTCAAATTATCAATCATTACTGAAAACTTTCCAGTTGTAACCTCGTATCCTGTAGCCATTAACCTAATATGTTCTAGTTGTTCTAAAGAAAATTTTTCGTCGTTGAGTATATTTGGATGAGACAAATTAATTGAATTTTCCTGGTCTTGTTTGCTCTCCATCCTTCCTCTTAACTTTGGCTCGTTGACTAGCTTCATAGCATTCAATACCTTACTTTTCTCAGACTCGATTTTTTCATTAAGTCTGACTGGATATTCAGACCAAAATTGTTTAAGCTTTACTAGAAGTTCTCTCTGTTTATTTATCTTTTCATTTGCAACAGATCTCAATAAATATACATCTATCATAGACTTGGTCTCATTATTTGTAAAATTTATTATATTATTTTCTTCTTGTTTAAGTTTTTCCTTTGCCCAATCTGTATCGAATATCACACATTTTTTTAGGTTATTGAAATACACATTTTCTCTATCTAACAGGAATTTTCTGAATAACTCACACTTCCTCTTACTTTTTATTTTTCTTTCTGTATATGTAAATATAGCGTCCCTGAAAATTTGCTTATATGGCCGAATATAATCTACACACATTTTTTCTATTTGTTCCACAGGAAAAGGAGGTCTAGCAAATCTTTTATTTATTCTTGGTATTGCTCTCACTACAGCAGGAGCGGATTTTCTAAAACTTTTTCCTGCTTTTCTTGCTTCGAAAACTCCCGGAGAGTGAACATTAAAACAATCTTCATCCATTTTAAAACGATCTATATACTGCTCTGTCTTAATTATTTTGATTTTAAATTAATCTTTCCAAAAATAAAAAAAAATAACTATATATAAATTGGATTTCCATTCTAAACGAAATAATATTAACCGAATATTTTTTTTTCAATTTCTCCGCTGGTTTTTTGTGATAATCTTCCAGAATATTTTAAACGTGTGGAAGTTATGTGGACAGTAACTTAAATGGCAATTATTCAAGAGAAAAAATGTTTGAGTTTAATAAAAAAATATATTTGAAATTTTTTTTTGAAAATAGATAAATATTTTTCAAGCTAGATTAAATGATCGTTTTTTAGAATTTTCTTCTCCCCACAAATTATGCTTTTTTTTTTGTGAAAATTATGAGTATATGCTACTATGGAAATTCATGAAAAAAATTCGAACGAAAATAGCCAAATATTCGAGGAAAATTCAGGTTTAATTTTGGAAAATATTTTTATTCCAAAAATTAAATTGCAAAAAATTATTGAAAATGGTAACATAATCAAATTGTCTGGACTAGATCAAATTAGAGTAATTTCCAAAGATGAGTCTAGGAATAATTATATATTTATTGTGTTTTATTCAATTTCAAATGATTTAAACCGTTATGATGATGTTAACAAAAGATATGCTATATGGAATATCACTGATCTTAGAGACAATAAGTGCAGGCTTTATCTTTTTGGAGAAGTATTTGAGGAACTCCAAAATGAAACTATTGGGCATTTATATCTAATCATAAACCCATCAGTAATTACTTCCGATTTGAAAAATTGTAAAAGTTATTTGAGTATTTCAAAAATAAACCAAGTTATTAAGGTGGGTAAAGTTAAAGGATTCGGCATTTGTAAGGGGATTAATAAAAATGGAACAATATGTACAAATCCAATCGACTCCAACTATCAGGGACCACTCTGTAAATATCATGGTTCTTTTAAATCAAAAGAAAATTCGAAAAAAAATTTGAATGGCAATCTATTAATATTTTCTTCGATGATAAAAAATGGTAGAAACGAGCTTATTCACACTGAAAGCACAGAAAATATGAAAATAGACGCACCTAAACACAATTCAAATGAGAATAAAATACATTATAGGAGGTTAGTCAAACAAAATTTGAACAAAAGCGAGTATTTCAGTATTAATGAGGAATCAAAACGTACTAGAACCGATTATATTGAAGATATATTAAAGAAAAACGAAATTTTCGATCTTAACAATAAATTAAATAATGCAATTAAAGAAAATAATACTAGTGAAGTACTAATTATTCTGAGATACCTTTCAAACTTTGACACATCCAATACAACCCTTGATCAAATAATTAAAAGCGGAATTATTTATTCTATTTCAAATCTGGAACTGAAAACTACAGAAATCGAAACTGCAATATTTGCCTTGAAGGTTAGACACAAGTTCTGTAATAGTAAGGGATACTGGCCAAGAATTGTAACAGAAGAACCTGACGAACATCAAAATTTAAAAGTATTAGAAACGCACTTAGATTTAAGTTGGAAAAATATACACAAAAAAATCTCGTCGTTTGAGGAAGAAATATCAGAGAAAAAGATGAAAAAAGATACAGATTTATTATTAGGAATTACAAAAACCAAAAAGCAAATAATCAAAAAACAAAGCTCAAACTTGAATAACGTAATATCCAAGATTGATAAGGTTGTATCACTCAATACATCATGTGATGACGCAATTCGAAAACTAGAAAACAGTCAACTTAAAAAAAAACTGATTGAACTAGAAGAAGCGGATAATAAAGCCGAGTTTAAAAGAAATATCAATTCCATTAAAATTTTAAATGCAATAAAATGCAAAAAATGTGGCATTTGGACAGAGGGTAATGCAAATCCTGTTTGTAAAGAAGAGCATCCAGAATCCATCATATTTAATCAAAGTGCAATAAAAGAATCTTGGCTATGTAAGTCATGCAATGAGCGGATATATAGCATAAATGGATATTTAAACCCGTATTGCCCAAAATGTAAAGCAGATACAGTGTGTAATTTAAAAAGGAATTCGATTTATAAATTGAAAACAAAATTCCCCAATTTAAATGAAACCTTGTTAATTCGAAATGGAGAGACAATGGGCGAAATGGAGCGCATAGATTTAATTTAAAATATTAATTTGGCAATTTATATAATCAATAATCTGGATAATTATGAGATCCGTTTCCATTTTTCAATTGTTCAGATGCTTGATATTTATGTTTATTATACCTACTATGATGTGAACTATTAAATATACCACAATAATTCCTTCCTTTTCCACCCTGGCTTCTTTTTTGATAACTCAAATTAATTCCGTGGGAAAATTTATAATTCTTAGAATAAGTAGTTGTCTCAACTCCATCAAGTTGACGATCGAGATCTATTTGAGTTCTTAGCTCATCACGCCACTGAAATCCTGTATTTCCACGTCCATACCTTCTGCTACCTGAGATATCTTCTCCAGAATCCCAATCAACACGTATCTCTCTTCCATCACAAAATGAACGATTTAGAAATGTCACAGCAGCTAAAGCATCTGCATGTCTATAAAACTGCACAAAACAGAAGCCACATGGTTGCATTGTTTGATGATTCAAACCCATATAAATAGCCTTTATTGGCCCGCATAAACTAAAAGTTTCGTTAATTATTTCTTCTGTTGTGAAGAAAGAGAGATTCCCGACATAAACGGTTGTAGATTTGCTAATCTTAATTATCCAATCATCTCTAGAATAATTCTTTTTGTCAAAATAGGAATACTCATGCCCAATTGCGTGAAATAAATGCGACATTTTTATTGTTAATGGAAAAAATAATATTTGGAGAAAAATACAAATTTAGATGTTATGGCGGTATCTAGTTACCTTAAAATGACAGTTCCCCTCAAATGTTAAAAGCCATTAGAGTAAAATGATCGAAGGATATTTCGAGATCCCAGCATAAAATTAGCGAAATATTGTTATTTTTAGTATAATTTAGTTTTTATATAGCAAAAGAGTAGTCCTAATGATTTTTAAATTTACATTCTGTGTGCAAAGTTGGTAGAAACACACACTTATTTTTACAATTCATAACTTACTAATTAAAACGATAAATTTCACTAATTAAATTTAAATATTATATTTTCAAAGAAATTAATGTATATCGTAATTTCTTTATGTGATGGTAACACCACTTGAGAGAAGATTAAATAAAAAGTATCAAAAAGCACAAGAAATTAAGCTAAATGGGAATATTAGCGACGCATCAAAGGCGTTTGGAATACCTCCAAGATTTAGTGAGTCATTGATCATGAATACTCATGAAGGTAAAAGACTTCTTATTTCGGTTAATTCTCCAAATGATAAGCTCAATATTAAACGTGATATTAATAGGGGTAAAAATAAATTTAATTTTCGGAATGAATTATTGGAGAAAATAGATCACTCTGATAATTTGTCAGATATTAATTCATATTCAGCTGAAGATAATAAACCCATTATAAAGGAAGGCAATAATCCCATTTCAAAGTTGAACGTAATTGATCACGACAGCTCAAGTGAGTTTGAATCTATATTTAGATCAGTAAGCAATGATCTAGAGCAACTTTCAATGCAAATGTCAGATTCACTCAATGTTAAAAATAGCTCCGTCATCAACTTAACTTCTCCAAATATTGATTCCGGAGCAAACAATAAAGGCTATGCTGGCCAATATTTAAACTCCAATATTAACTCTGCTAATAGACTGAATACCTCAAAGGAGAGTTTCCAAGACAGCGATGAATCAATAAGTTACAGTAAATCTATAGATTCTTTAATAAAGCCGTCAAATAGTCAATATAATAGTTTTTCAAGCCAAAAAAGCAACGGAAAATATGATTATAGTGATAATCACTACGAAAACTCCTCTATTATTAATGAATTGATCCGTAAATTGACATTGTCAATATCTAAGTTAAAAAAAATGGTAATGGGGAAGGACAACTTCGTTGCCATTCTTAGAGAGCAAATGCAGAAAAGCAACTTTGAAATAATAAAATTATCTCAAAAGGTTGATTTTTTACAAAAAGAACTTACAAATGCGAAAAAAAGTAAGGAGAAATATAAAGATAGTATGAAAAAACTGTTGAATGATATTCAGGATGGTAGAGTTGACGGAACAATACATAATTACATAATGGAGATAGAAGCCATGAAAATTCAGAATGAAAGAAATATATCTAACTTAAATAATTCGGAAATTGCCTTAATTCAATTACAAACAGAAAAGAACAAACTTTTAACAGAAAAAACTGAATTGACTGATAAGATAATTCAATTAGAAGAAAAAATACATAAACTTAACCTAGTCGTTAACCAAGTTACAGATGAAAAACTTCATTTACTAGAGACAAAGGAAAGTGCAAATAAGGAAATTGAAAAATTATTGGAGAACATTAAATCATGTAATGATGAAAACAAAATATCATTAGAGGAGCTTAAAAGAGGATATGAGCTAAATAATGTTTTGCAGGACCACGTAATGCTACTAAAAGCTCAACTGGAGATTTCTACAGAAGAAAAAACGTCCCAAGAAAAAGTTGTGAAGGATTTGAAAGATGAAGTTGAGACTATTAGACAAAACATGAAATCACTTGAACACAGAGAGTCGATCTTACTTTCTGCATTAGAAGACAGTTCATATAGAATGACCGATATAGATAAGGCATTAGAAGAGCAAAAATTAGAGTATGAAAATATTATTAAGAAGGAAAATGATAAATATATTGAAATTCTGCATACTTGCAAAAAACAAACAGAGGAAATAGACACATTAAAGCAGAAACTGGAGGAAAAAATTTCTGCTGAAAAAGAACAAATTAAAGCTAATGAAGAATTAAAGCGTAAATTTGGCTCATTTGAAAGCCATATTAGAAGACTATTAGATGCCAGGGATAATGAGATCATACAGTTAAATGATTACATGGATGGAAAACTTAGAAAAAAAGATGAAGAAATTAACTTAAAGATTCAAGAAATTTGTAAAATACAGCAAGAAAGAGAAAAGAGATTAATTAACCAAATGCTTGATCAGCATGATGGCTTCGAACGAAAGAGAATTGAATACGAACACGAAATTGATTTAATAAGAAATAACTTCACTGAAAAGTTAGATAAAGCTGTAAAATTAGAAAATGAGAAACAGCTTAGACTTGCAGAAACTTTGGTGAACAAAGAACATGAGTTAATGATTAAAGAAAACATAATACAGGAAATAGACAAAAAGAATATGTTTATTGAACAACAACTTAACGATTTGAAAGCTTGCTTAGATGATTTATCAAAGGAAAAAAATGCAACCGTTGAAAAATTATTATCATTGGAGCAGTGGGGAACTTTGATCCAGACAATGAATCATATGAACCCTGAATTACAAAATTCACTGAACACAAGGCTAAATGAGCTCAGAAACAAAGTGGAACGGTTGGAGAAACAGGAAGATACTTTGAATGACGTTATTAATCATCACTCATCTATTAAAGGTGAGAATGAAAATGAAATTATAGCAAATAGTGATAAATCATTGAATTAATGTATTTACTTTATAAATTATTTAAATAAGATTTATAATCTTCGAAAATTCTTTGTCATCGATAGGATCACACCTATTGGGTTCACAGGAAATCAAATTACCTTTAAGAAATTCATGCTCGCAATAATAAGTTATTTTTATATTTCTTCCAAGAAACCTCATTTTAAATAAATCTACCTTAGCCCTTATTGCACTTTCAACACTAAAAAAAAAAATAAATGCTCTTCCAAAATAAGGGTCGATGCATTGATCCTTACTAGAAGGCGTTTTTTCTGGCTTTGGAATGGTGGTTTTATATATATCTCCATACTTTAGGCATTTTTTGTGAATCTCTTCATATACAGAAGAATATACACTAGGAATTAATAGTTCTTCAACTGTGAGAATCTTTGAAAGTAAAATACAACGACAAGGTTTTTGAGGAATTAGCAAAGATTTTAAACCTTTATTTTGGCAGTGTTTAAATATTTCTGACTTTAATAATAGCTCATTGTTTTCTTTGATTCCATTTACCATACTTTTAAGATAATCGTTAATAGTATAAAGAATTTTTGAATTAAAATTTTTCATTTTTAAAATTTGAGCTTCTGTCCCAAGTTTGCTTATAATTCTATCAGCTAAATTTGTATTGGAATCTAATTCACAAATAGCAATTTTATATTTATTACGGTAATCAATTAGTTCAAGTACTTCAATCTTTTTATTATCAGCAAAAATTTCTTTAACACGTTCTATAGTAAATGCCTTATTTATTCCAGTAATTAAAATAGTTTCCTTTTTTTTAAAAATCAGAGGAATATTATTAAAATATGAAGATATAATTGTTGTATTTTGTATAATTTGGTTAATTATAGCAGAGCTGTTTGACAACTGATCGCCAATATTATTTTCACTAACTTTAGGTTTTCCAATTCTAAGCAAATTCCCCTTGAAGCTAAGTAAATTATTAAGTTTTAACAAAATATTTGCTTCTTCTATTGACCTACATTCGCAAAATGCATATTTACCATCGGAATTAATCCATGCAGATATTACCGGATTTCCAGTAATGGGCGATACATTATTGTTAGTCATTGAACGGTTTATGTATTCTAATAGTTCTGTAACTGTCAAACCTTGTGGTAAGTTACCAACATAGACTTCTCTCAAAGACTTTGAAGCCGTTGAAACAGAGTTTAAATTAACAGACCCCACTGGTGTTGTTTCCATCAACTCATATTGATTTAAATCAGAACAAGCTTTCTCATAATTATTGACCAGATATTTGCTAGAACATAGTTTTTTTGAAGAGTTTTCTTGTCTATTTATGTCATATTCTCTATCCAGATGTTCAACTTTAGCACCAATTCGAATATTATTATTATGAATTGAGTTAGTTTTGCCGATTTCATTTAAATGCTTGGCATCGTCTTCATCAGAAAAACTAGATATCTGACTTTTTTTATCAGATTTCGAAGTATTAGAACAATCCAGTTCATCCTGATGTATAAACTGCATTTTTCTCTTTCATCAGCAAAAAGGAATAAATTTTTTTATAGCAGTTTCGAATATGTTGATTAAATGTCAATATTCATTATTTAGTATAAAAAAATAAAGCGGTATATTTTTCTTAACATTTAATTCATTTGCCCTATGACCGAATTATAACGAACACAGCAATGACATCAATTCAAAAGGAATACATAATTGGATGTGTTGGTAAACCCTCTTCTGGAAAATCTACATTCTTCTCATCTATTACTGACAGTTCAGCCAAAATAGGTAATTACCCATTCACAACCATTGAACCTAATGTTGGAATAACTCATTATATTGCAGAATGCCCATGCAAAAAATATAATGTAATATGCAAACCTAAATATGGAAGTTGTAATAATGGGTACCGAAATATTCCGATAAAGATGTTAGATATTGCAGGATTAATACCAGGTGCCCATCTTGGAGATGGACTTGGTAATAAGTTTCTAGATGATCTTAGGCATGCACATGTTTTGCTACATATAATTGATATTAGCGGAAACACAAATGAAAAAGGCGAACAAACAACTAATTATAACCCAATAAATGACCATGAGTGGCTTCGAATAGAAATTGAAATGTGGATTTTCAATAATATTTATTCAAACTGGTCCAGTATTGTTAGGAAAAGCAAAACATCGGATATAACAATTAGTAAGCTTTTATTAAACCAACTATCAGGTTATGGGTGTAATGAATTAATGATTAAAAAACTTATATCTTCAATGAAGCTTAATGATTCAGCCGATTTTTCAAATTGGGACAAATCTGATATAATTTATTTAGTAAGGCAATTCATCAAAGTTAGATTTCCATTTGTACTTGTGCTAAATAAGGCGGATGTCATGAGTGAGAATTGTGATTCAAATATTGTAAAATTTTACGAAAAGTATGGAGATGATCATGAAATTGTAGTAGTATCATCTTTGGCTGAGTATTTTATTAAAAAAATGGTTAGTCAAAATTATATTAAACTGTTGTATGATAATAATAGTTACAATTATTCTTCGTTCATTACAAGTGAAGATACTCATATTGAAGGATCTCAAACTCTTAAATTGATAGATAACAAATTAAAGTCAAGACTAGAAAATATCAGGGATATGGTGTTATTTAGGCATGGAGTCACAGGTGTGCAAGATGCTATTAACAAAGCTGTTGATCTATTGGGCTTAATACCAGTATATCCAGTAAAAAACATAAAAACTTTCACAAATGATTCATATGATGAAGGGAATAATTTTGCATTTCGAGATTGTATTCTTGTTCCTAATGGGACCACAGTCAAAACACTATTAAAATCTTTGCACATAGAATTGGACAAAAATGTGGTAAATATAGAGACTGTGGGAGGGGTTAAAATTTCTGAAAACCATCTTTTATCGAACCAAATGAATGTGATAAAAATTACTACAGCTAAGTACGATGAAAAAAATGTATAAATTAAATGATCAACGGTTACTTATCGCTTTGAAAGTAAGCAAAACTTAAATACTAATCTTTTATTTCATAATTTTTTAATGCGTTAAAAAAAAGAGAGTTAGAATTACACATGGTCTTTGCTCCTGGTTTTTTAAAGTATTTTTCTTTACCTTCTTTATAAACTTAAGCAAAAAAATCGCCTTGACTATTAACCAAATTTTCTGAAAAAAAAGGAATCCGGGGATTTGTTTCAATTTTTTCGTTTTTATTGAAGCTAACAATATGATTTCCAAAAAAATAATTGAGATACACAATTTGTGTCCGAGAAAACATATATATTGAGTTTAAATATTGCTGTAATTTAAGTTATGTTTGTTCATTTCGGCTCGTTTGCAGTTTTGACTTGTGATTATTGTTATTTGTATGTTTAAATAATTCCTGATTAATTAATGTAGAAATTTCATCAATTTATTTCTGTGGGGTAACGCTTATATAAGAACAATTTTTTCACTCTGTATTCTAAAGTTTGAAATCAGTGTTACAGAACCCAATGATTCATTTTTTTAAAAATTCTTCAGTCTAGGAATTATTGGTTGGTGTGTATTTTGGAGATTCAGATTTTTATAGCACTTGATTATTTATATTCAAACTGCTATTCGTTGAATCGCCGAGATCTTCAGCTTAAAAATCTTCCAATTTGAAACTCAAGCCCTCCTAAATTTTATTTTGATTAATTTATTAGCTTAAAGAGAACGCTCTTCAAGAAATCCAATATTTTAATCCTTGTTCATACCAATTATTGTCTTCTTATTTTCTGGTGATTTTTGATACAATACTTATTTTCATCTAAATGAAATCCAAACAATGATCCCTTTTACTAGTTCCGTGTTAACAAACTTGTATTTAGACGACTAATTACTATAGTTTTGATTATGGTAATTTTTATTACCTCCAAGTACAATAAAGTCGGAATTAAGTTTTTAGATACACTTGATATTTCTTAAAATAACATCTCTTAGAATATTTAATAAATTTTTCATTACATTTGATACTGAGTTGCCGCGACCATTATAACCTTGTAATTTAATAGATAATTTGATGTGTTTCTTTGTATCCTCACTTTATACTAAATTAATGAGCTCTGCCGATGTTTTATCTATTTTAATACATAGTTCGAGAGCATTGTTTTATATTTAAGCGTTATTTTTCGCAAACAGTGAATGTTCCTTGCAGTCTAAAGATATGAAATTTTTTTAACTTTGTTACTAATTATTGGGGTATTATCTGAACTATTAATAAATTATTTACATTTTTTATTTTATGATGACTAATTTGGAGAACTAAAAACCATGAATCTACTCTCTAGAAAGCAAAAAAAAACATTTTTTTTTTGCAATCTGAAACAAGTGTATTTATATAATCAACACAACTTTTAGTTTCGCAGTTATGTAACTTTTTTCCTCTTGCCATCATCTCTTTATCAAAAAATTTTTTAGTTTCTTTATCACAAATTTTGTTTAGTTTGACTCCCAAGATGTTTAATTATTTTCGATTAGTGTATTATCACACAAATTCCGCTACTAGAGCATTCATATGCTCCTTCCATTACGTTGTATCTCATTTCTGACTTGTGAATAATACATTTTTTTAAATTCAATTAATAATTTCTTTAGAATTCAAATCTTTAGAAAATGGAAAATTATTTTAATAATATTTTCATTATTTTAATTTGGGGATGTCGAAAATAAAGGAATTTTTCACAAATTTTCTTTTTCTCTAGCTTAGTTTGCCCATATTTAAAAATTCGGTTAGTTAATTCTCTTTTTCTCTTTTGAATAAATCTCCGTCTTTATTACTGCAACTGGACAATTCAGAACATTTACTTGTAACTAAGCTTTTGCATAGACCACCTAATAAACGTGAAAGTTTCCTTTTTATTCTTTTTTTTCTTCCGCAGTTTGAATACTTTACTTTCCTCTTTTATTTGATACCAATTCAGCAGTCTGCTTCTCTGTTCCGAAATATTCACAAGTTGCTTTAAAATTTTTTGAAAGACTTTCTCTGGATAATTGATATTCATAAAACCCAATTTAAATGCAAAACCTTAGGTTTGAACCTGTATCTCACATTTCTTTAGTTTTTCTTTAAGTTCAAAATCATATAACTGAATTCGAATATTAAATTTGTATTTGTTTTTCCTCTTTTTTGAATGCCCCATACATATCAATTTGTAAGTTTGCTCCAGGTTGCCCACTTATTGTATTAATTACAATTAATTGAAAGTATCTCTGTGTTTTCATGCAGTAAAAAGTTGTTATTCAAAAATTCAAAAGTGGTGTTTTGATCAATATCAGATATTTTAAAAGTATCATTAGAGCTTTTAGACTAATTTGTTTAATTTAATATTTTAATTGTTTTTCTAAATAAAAATATCCTCTTTCTCATTGCTTAAACCAATATTTTCGATTACCGAAGTCAATATCAATGTGGTTCCCCTATTAACTTTTGATCTAATTACATTACACAGTCTACTCAAGGTGACATCAAATTCATGGTTAACAAAATTTCCTCTTGAGAAAAGTTCTCCCAAGATTCTAATTTTTAAATTTGCTATTATTCGTGAATTATATTGGCACATGACTTCTTTAAAGTTAAAATCTATAAGTTTGATCCATGTTTCGAAACCATATTAAAGAAAGTCCTCTAGATTTATCAAAAAATTACTATTCCTACTGGTTTAAATCTCTTTTTTATTTTGCTCTTTATTTTTACACTTTATATACTAAATATCTTATATTCAACATTTTATTTGAAATTAGAACCAAATTTCAAATCATTACAAATGATTGAAAAATCAACGGACAACAAAATTACTGTTAATTACTTACAGAGTATATCTTATTTTTTTCATTATCACTTATATCAAAATTGTTTTAATCAATTCGATTTTTTGTATAACTTGTAAAGTTTTCGTAATTGCCACCATATTGTGAATATACATGATTATAAAAGTGTTCTGAAATAACTTGCTCATTTTGCATAGATTGCATCTGATATTGCCTTTAATTATCCAATGTTTTTCTTATTGAGGAATGAATTTCTAAATTAAGTTTTATTGAGGCCATACTATTATTTGAATCAATATATAGTTAGCTGTTTTTTGTATTTGCAATATGAGTTATTATGAGATTTTAATTTCGAACGGTTGATAAGGATGAATTTTTATCGCAAGTTGTATTCCTGATAATCAAAGTGGGTTTGAGCTCATTAAAATCATTATTACTTCGATTTTTTGCCTGAATTAATTTTTTTCTTCGACACTGAACCGTTTTTTTCAATTTGATTTAAATCTACTTTGTTTGCGCAAATCAGATAAAGTTTAAAGTGTTCTAACCCCAACTGTGAAAATATTGCTAAGAGGAAATAAATAACGGAAAGATTAAATTTATTTAACACTATTTTCAAATAAAAGCTTCATCTCTTTATTTTTAGTTAATTCACATGTACATATAGTCCTTACACACATTGCGGGAATAATTCTAGAATAGTGGCTATTTAAAATTATTAATACAAGACCGTTGTGTAATTTAAATAGCTCGTTGTTTATATTTATAATATTGATTTGAATTCGAAAATATACAGATATACTGTTCTAAAGCTTGACGGATAATTGTTTACTTTATTGTATTTAAACAAAATTGATTTTTAAGTATCGTTTTTTGGGCGCTAATATGCTCAAAAAAAATTATATTAATAATTATTTTCAAATTTGATCATAAAAAATGTTTTGGGTCTTATTATTTTATACAATAATTGGGGTGTTAGGAGTTTCTCTCCTCCATTCTCTCAAGTTTGTTAAATTTTCTATTTATTTTGCCAATTATATTATAAACAATATTGTATTAAGCGTTGAGAATACTAAGTCACGGAATACTTACTCGCTGATAATTGGCCCCTCTGGATCGGGTAAAACCACTCTATTCTATAAGGTAATATTTTGAATCTACTTAATTTCCTTTAATCTCATTTTAGGTTAAAGAAAATAAAACCACAAAAACAACGACCTCAATTACTCCTGGACTAACCAAAGTAAATGATAATAGATATTTGGTTGACATCCCTGGGAACAGGAGAGTTATTCATGATTTTATTCTAAAATATCTGAATAAGTCGGTTTCAATCATTTTTGTGATTGATAGCAATGATAAGTCATCTTTCAAAGATGCTGCAGAGATCTTATTTTCAATTATAAGAGAAGTTAAAAAGATTAAAACATATAAAAATGATGTTTCAGAAACTAATAAACAAGTATATAAAGTGCTAATATTATGCAACAAATCGGATCTAATTTCTTCACGAAATATTTCATATATTAAAGATGAATTGGAACGTAGCATGTAAGTTTGTAAAAAAAAAAAAATTTAAAACTTTAACAAAAAGTAGAGAGCGATTGTTTAGCATTCAGTATTACAACTTTGATAATGATTTATCCGACCTAATTGATCATGATAAACCATTTAGTTTTGAAAATTTACATTTTATAAATTTTCAATTTATAAAGCTTAGCTTTAAACATTCGTATGACGAATTCAAATCTAAGATAGATTTATTCCTCCAATAATTCCTTCCAGTAATTTTGATTTTTTTTTTCATTTAACTCGATATTTCTGTTTTTTGTTAGCAGCGCTAAATATTCTCTAATTATTTGCTTTTTTCAATGTTTTGGGAAACAGATAAATTACATATAGAGCTGTCTGATAGCCTAAATAAATATGGGATAGGACCACATATTATTAAATCTTTCTGCGAATATGGGATTGCTCGATCTGAGAAAAATAATCCGAAATACAATTTAATCGAATACTCTCAGGATTCATTTAAAAAGAATATAATACCGCACTGCAAAATTTATCCAAAGTTTGAATATGAATCCCATTTAGAGAGAATCAGGAGGATAAATGGATCAAATTACTCTGAAATCTCTTTCACTAATAAGAAACCATTAATTATAATATTTTTTGTTACAATTGATCTATATGACGAAATATTAAGTATAAATAAACTTAATATTAAAGAGTATTTTGGGCATGAAGTTATTGACTTGCTATTTCTTGAAGCTAAGAAGTTTGCATCAATTGCGGGAGCTCGCTGTATAGTTATTTGGGTGGGTATAAGAGATTGTTTGTCCCAGGAATCATTATTTAGCAAGGGAACTCAAGAACTAAAATCCAACAATGGGATTGAAACCATAAATAATAAATCAAACCAAAGGTTGATTGATGGGACATGTTTGGACAAATGCATAACAAATTTGCTAGTTGATTATTCTATTGATAGTTTTGAAGCAAGAAGCGAACTAGAGGCAAGTCAGTATCTAATAAGCATTGTTTCAGGGCTGCAAGAGGTTCAAAAAAGACCTATTTCCTCAAAATACAAACCCAAAAATATTTCAGGAACAAATAATAATCCATGGATTACTCAAATTATGCAAATACCAGGTCTTTCAGATGACTCTGCAAGAGGAATAGAGGAAGCTTACAAGACACCGAAGGAATTAATTAGGTATATCAAGGATAATATAACTATGAAAGGATTAGTTTCAAGTAAATCAAGTTTATTCCTTGAAAGCTTAGACGGGCATTCCAATTTAGTAGATATCGAAAATTCTCCATGGTTCAATAAACTGGCAAATATTACATATTTCTGCTCTAAAGGTTTTTGCGTCCGTAAGATAGGTAAGGCACGAGCCAGAAAATTAGTTATTTTATATGGAAATATGTCGCTTCCATCGAAAATGATTGGGGACCAAATTTTATAAATTAAGTGATTTATTCAGGATCAAAAATATAAACCTCAAAGTATTTGATTTTTGTTCACTTTTTCGGCAGTATAGATTCAAATTGAATAAAATTCTGTTATTCAGAGTAGCATAGTCTTTTCAAATATTAATTTCAATAATTACTCATCTAGATGAGGCAAATCAATTTTTTTTAGATATATAAAATTGATAGTTTTACTAAAAAAAAATTAATAAATTAACGAATCTTTATTATTCGAATTAATTGCATTCGGATTTGAATGTGAAAATTGAGAAAATAACCGATGTTTTCCTTAAAAAAAAAAATTGAACTGATCGAAAAAAGTCAAATTTTTAGCAGGATTTCTGTAACAAAAGAAATCTGAAGTTCCTACATTTAGAACGGTAAAAATCACAGGTAAATCTTTATCAACCTCGATATTCTTATTCTCAAGAAAAAAGGCGAAGTTGTCTCAAAAAATCGACTAGAAACGAACTGAATCTGCAACATAAAAGGAAAATCAGTACATAAATATACTATAGTCACCAGTTTGGTATAAATTTATGATTAACTTTGATACTAATCAAAAGTTACTGTCTTATTATTGCTAAAAAATTTTCTCTAGGTCTAATGCTTGTGCTCATGATCGCAGCACTCACTCGAACAATCTGGCCTTTCTTTTGGCTCCTCATCATCTTCATCTTCAGGAATATCGTCTTCATCAAAATTCATATTTCCCATACCGCTCATGTCACCAAGTTGGCTCAAGTCAAATCCACCCATTCCACCCATTCCACCCATTCCACCCATCATCCCATCCATTCCACCAAACATATCAAACTTATTTGAGGGATTTTCCTCTTCATCTGTATCTATCCATCTATTCCAGTCACACTTAAGCCAATTCTTTGTTTTTGAAGAATCTTTTACAATAGAACTCCAACGTTCCTCTTCTTTCTTTGTCAACATAAAATGGAGAGCCCTTGTAACTTGATACCTGCTTTCATCTTTATTTATAGGTTTCAGAAAATCTAGTTTGAATTCATATTCATTATTTTCTACATTAGCATGAAACTTCAAGTAATTTTCTTCCAATTCGACCTTATAGTCCTTAAGATCAGGCAGGTCAACAGTGACAAATAGTGCCTTTTTTGTTTGTGCCCACAAAACAGTTGGAAATAGCATATTCTAAAACAATCGACGTTTAACAGTACTTAATACTTCGAATAATACCAAATAATTTGACTATTAATATTCTTTGACGAAGAAAAATGAGACGGGGGCCACTATCATTAGTGCGGCAATATAAGGGGGGGTTTAAAACCAAACAAATTCAGTGAGAACAGTAAGAAAATTAATCAAATTAAATGAAAATTTTGATCCAAGTAAAAATAAGTTTCTGTATTAATGAAATTTCTCCGAATTATCATGTATTCAATAATTTAATTAATATATTGATCACAGTTACCATACCCATGCTGACTACTATATACATAAGTTTTTATTGTGCAAACATACCGCCTAAATATCCCGCTTTGTGAGATAAATTGGGGAGAATATTTTTAGGCATGTACCTAAAAGGATCTAATTGATCACAATAATTGTAATATTGTTCAGAAGAGCCGACAAAAAAATACAATATTAATTCCATGCAATACAAATGTTGAACTAACTTTTATTGCGACGAGAAGTGTGCCAGTTTTATTTAAGAAAACCTTGATATGAGCTAGTAGATTCAGATTTAAGGAATAAATATAATATATAGAGAAAATTTATCTCATCATCTTTATTTTATCTAATTGCCTGCATATGAAAAGAAGCACTATATATATTGACGATAATTTTATCACTTTAAAATTATTTAAAACTTATTTCTGATCCACCAAACATAAAATCATTATCAAGATTAATATATTTAAGTAACGAATATGAATTCCTATACTGCATTTTGTATGATGGCACTTGTTAGTGGTTCAAATGGTATAATAAGCCTGATTATGGGTGGTTTGTACTTTTTTAAGATTCTGATTTTAGAGTTACCATCGGAACACAATATCACCGACTCAATAGCATTACTTTTAACAGGCACATGCTACATGGGGTTGTTTATTTATTGTATTATTCAGATTTTCAAAAAAAAAATTTGGGAAACAACTGGTTTTTCTTCTGTTGAAATGAGACCTCTATTAAATAATTGAACTTTAACAAAATAGCAGTCTCAAATTAAATTAGCAGTTTTGCAATAAGTAAAATTTTTATACAGAAATGAGTAAATATTATTTATGAAAAGTAAAAACTGTCAACTAGCAAAAGATAACATAATTATAACCCAAAACACGTATAAATTAGTGAATTAGGATGATAAGTATTTATTCACAGTATTGGTAAATTATGTTTGAAGTATCTTTTTCAAATATTTGGATAGGCATGCTAGTTTAATTAGTCTTGTGCCTTTTCTAAAGTTGGACTTTAAATTAAAGTTATTTTACTGGTAAATGTTATTCATGTCCAATTAAAATAGGTAACGTAGTCATAAAATTAGTGTAGTTTAGCTCTTTTTTTGTATATGAAAATTACTCTTTTTGAGTAACATGTAGTCCATGAATATTCTTTCTGGAGAGATAATTTATTCTGATAATGAGAGTCTTAGTTCCTTAATTAACAGTACTTCCAAAATTTAGCAAAAGGTAAACACGAAAAAATGATTATTCAAAATCAAAAATACTAGGTCAAATGTAGGGTAAACAGATATTTTAGTAAAATTTTGTAATAGATGGTCAAAAAAAATTCGATGGGTACACTTTTCTACCTATCAAATTTATTCAAAAAATCAGCTAAAGTCTTAAAAATTAAGTTTTACTTTAAGCCTGAACCTCTATCAACATCTTCCAGTTTTAGGTAAATGAAGAGGCTTAGTTATATTTTGAATGCTTTATTTGATTTCAAATAAAGTAAGTTATTAGAATTTACAGAGGAGCAATATGGGTGGCATTGGGTTAATATTTCGAAATTCACTTTTATAGAAAAGTACAGTCGGATTGTTCTTCTCACATTTAAAACAAATGATCTTAGTTTAGAAACAAAAGAAAAAGTAATATGCAAGCTAAATGCATTTTACAAATTTAGGCAAAAAAAGAAAATAAAACTCTAATAAAAGCACCTAAAAGTGAAAGTTTTAGGAGAAAATGCAACAAAGTTTTGCATGTAAGACTTGAGCAGCATCTACTAATAGTAATGGACACATGAAACAAAGAGAGTTAAATAAAGAGATATACAGGACTTATCATTGCTTTTCCGAACAAAAATCAAGTGAATTAAGTGGAAAGTCTGCACCTAAAGAAGGCCTTCCAAACATTTCAATTTACCAGGCTCAAATGTTTAGAAGTAAACAGTTCAATGCGGCATTAAGAGAAACAATTGAAATGAACTTTAAATACAAGTTAAACAAATTGAATCAGTATAAAAAAGAAATGAATTCTAGCATGCTTCAGAAAAATGATAATTATGTAAGGAAATTAAATGTGTAAGAATGTATAGTTGAAAACGAAATGGATGGTTTGGGGTATTTTTTGCAATTTGATAATAGAAATTGAGCTTCTAAACTTATCAGTCCATGACTTTTTATTCATCATTTAAAAAAGAAAACATATTTCAAGTGTTATTATTATCAAAATTTAACAATTACCTAAGGATTTATGTTAAATGCTCTCCTGAAAAAACACACTTAGGTTCTTTTCTATTTTGCAAAAGCAAAGGATATCTCTAATATATTCCCTCAAAAGAGATTAAGTGTATTTGATTTTCAGAATCCGTTTAAAGATACAATAAAAAAAGAATTGAGCTTTACAGACCATTAATTATAATACCAAGTCCATGACCACCTGAAGAAGATTTTATAATAGAGAACTGAATGGGATTGAAAGGAAGTTAAAATTATATGGATTATTTGATATTAGCAAAGAACAAATAAGATAATATAGATCCAAAAAGGAAGTGTTTGAATGATCATGGAGATAGCTTTACAACGTACATTAACAAAACAATCCAGCTCAATACTTAGTAATTGGATTCTTATTTTTTATATCAGTTTTTCAGGGCTAGCCACCTTTCGTTTAACTTTACTTTTTTTTTGGGACAGCTTTGATGGATCTACCACTTTTATTGTTGGATGGATATGCAACCCATCTTTGATTTCGAAATTTTCTTCTGACCCGCAGTTTTTAGAAAATTCATCCTTATTTTTTAGATTGCTATCGAATCCTTTAGATACAAAATCTAATTTATTTTTCCCAATATTCTTATTTGAATTACCTGAAGGGGGACTTGATTCCATTTTAACTCCAACGTCCTCAAGTGTCAATTGTAAAGCGTCATTCTTAATTAATTTTTCTCTTATATATAATTGTTTTAATTCTTTATGTCTTTCGTTCATAATCTTTCTTTCTTTTAGGCACTCCTTTCTTGATTTTCTATTATTAAACCAATAGTTTAAAGTGCTATTGATCAAGTCCATTTGAATATTGGAGTTACAGATAGAAAATCTAATAATTTCGTCAATATTTGTTAGCTTTGTCAAATCAAATAACTCAATGTTTTTTGTTTTAGTATATTTATCTTCAATTTGCAACATAGCATAGTTTTTAATTTCTTTCCAGTCGTTTTTAAGATAAAGCCAGCACATTCGGCCTTCTCCGGAACCCATCATTTGAGTTGGTATTCCATGTATCCTCTTTGCCTTTATACTAAGTGTTTCAATTAAGTCCTTTCTATATGAGACATAGCAATACGTTGTCTTACTCATATTAAACAAATCAACAAACTTTTTGATCATCCAAATAGGCATTGCAGCATCAAAAGAATAAATGTGAGTAACTGGTTCAAAAGTTTCTAATATAGTTGCGTCTCCTTTAAAGAATCCAATATTAATTTTCTTATTGACTTTTGAATTAGTATGGACTGAATAAACGTTAGAATTTTCAATAGTAGGATCCGCAACTACCTTTTCTTTAGATTCTAAAATGTGTAAATGGTTTGAGAGAGATAAAAAAAATGCCTTTTCATCGAGTTCAATACCAATACTTGAAAATAAATTATTCTGAAATGAAGCCACAATATTTGGTACTCCCCTGCCAGACCCTATATCTAACAAAACTGAAGAGTTATCCAACCCATATTTAGCCATTTTCAAAAATATTTTTCTTAATCCCTTTTCCCTAGTTTCTCCATACATTCCTTCATCAGAAGTTCCTAAATCCACATTTACACCTCTCCATAAAAAAGATGTACATGTGCACTTAGTTCTATTACAGCAATTGTTCGAAATTGATTCTCCATCACAATTAGTGGGAAAACTTTGAAAATTTGAGTTAGATGAAGAACGATTCTCTTTTTGCTTCGATCTTGGTATTCTCCCTGTCATTTTTTTAAAATAGCAATCAGAAAGTAAGTAACTTAGAACGGTCTAAACAAACTCGCTCATTCAATGAAATATATATATTGTAGTTTAATTAAGCTAAATTCGGCCGATAACATTGAAAAATCTTGATACAGTTTTCCATAGAATGGATCACATTATTTGCACAATATCCAGTAAATTTATACTTCCACATACAGATTAATTACCGCCAAATATTTGAAAATAAAACACGAAGTTGCATTTTAAGCATTGCTGAATGGATTAACAATCAATATAATAAGTTTATAAAAAATAAGTAATTTACAAGCAAGCTGAACATTAATTTTGTTTAAAACTAGAAATAAATAACTTTTTGAATTATAAGAATATAAGCTTAAAACTTGTTAAATATAAGCACTTTTTCATACGAAATGAGTTGTTTGGAGGAACAGAAAGTTGAAAATACCCAAATCTCGGTTTGTTTGTAAAGTATATTTGTTTACTTAATAAAAATAATCTTATTTACTGCGATAAAAAGTGAAACTCCTAATTATTGAAAAGATGCATTATTTTTCCTAAGAATTGAGAATTGAATTGATAACTGATAGTATATAATAAATTACTATAATAGGAAATTCAATTAATCTGAACATCTTAATTTTGTGGGTAAATATTTCAGATACAAGACAAGAATTAAAGCAAACTTAATCGTCTTGTTGCAAACATATAGACTAAAACATATTTTCAATCACCCAATTAAATAATTTGAATATTAGAAATAACTAAATCAGTAACCATATATAATTGAATATTTATTAAAATCAATATCAGGTGATTTAGAGCCATACAGTTTTTATAGAACTTATACTATTTATTTCAATCGATAGCAGACGAAATATCATTAATATTTTATTTTAATTATTCAGGTTGAAACTAACGATTGCTTAGATGATTAGCGATTTTTTCGAACAATTATCCATCTATTTGAACTTTTTTATTTGATATATTGCCGTATGTAATAACTAATGGTCTCAATAACCAATAAACTTGTTTTTTTTGTTTGACAAGCAATTTACAAATGATCAAATTCGTAGACTCTTGGATTTGAAATCAAATAATTCGTACTTTAAAAACTTTAATTCGTTCTTTTTATTAAAACTAAAGTTTTTAAATAAAAAGTTTTCAATTTTGGTGAATAATTTTAAAACAGTAAATTTATTTGTGTTCAAAGAAATTCTAAGATTTCAATTATGATAAATTTCTCAAGAAAATAGTTTAACTAAATTACGGTTATGATTCTATTTAAAAAAAATAATTCGAGTGTTCTTTATTTTTATGAAGTTCACTTAAACAAAATAATCGGAAATGATTATAAAATAGTAAAAAAGTCTATTTAAATTTTAAAAAAACAAAAAATTTTTTTCATTAAGTAAAACTGAATTAAGATCAAAACAATTTTTGATGTTCAAATAAGGATAGTGAATTATTCAAGTCCCTAAAATGTAGAACTAAATTAAAGAAAATATGACATGATTCTGTTTTTCTGCTGATTTTTAGTTGAAAATTTGGAGTTTTTTTAAATAATTGCTTTTTCTTATAGAAATTCATCGCAGTGGTTACTATTTTAACCTTTTCTTCAGTTATATTAATCAGTAGATTATTGGAATATATAATCTAAAGTGCGATTGCTTTTACAATTACCTATGTAATCCAAATATTCCCTTTTCAGTCGATTATATTCTCTTTCCCTCCATTTTAAATGATCAAAATTCCTATTTAGATCATCATTATCATCAACTTTTGAAAGCTGATCTTGCTTATTTTCTATTTCATATGCGGCGTTTAATTTAGCACGGTTTACATCTGAAAGCTTATTTTTTATTTTCAAACTATATTTAATATGTTCATTTAATAACTTTGAGCGATTTTTCTCTTCAATTATCGTATTTCTCCTGAGCTTTGATTTATATTTTGGGCGATTCATGTTTATGACTTTTTGCACTTGAACCGCGTTAAAAATTTATAATTTACAATTCATACTAACATAATTTTTATGAAAGTACATCAACATAATTAAATGAATCATTAAACAGTTGTTTCCAATCGTGATGATCAAAGAAGAGTGTGAACTTTACTACATTTATTGAAAAAAGTGTTACACTTTAAGAAACAAGTGACTGAAATTCTAAATAAGTGAACAAATCTCAAGTGACAAAAACTCAAGATTAGGTTTAAATAACTTAAATCCAAAACACTGAAAGAAACACTTTAATACTATTTTCTAATTAAATAAACAATTAAAAGTATGTTTATACATAAATTTTCAAATATTTCAATATGATCAGATTATATACTCAACCTGCTAAAACTATGTTTGCCGTTTGCAAACCATTTATTAAATTAACTTAAAAGTAAATTAGCTTGTGAAATAAAATCTGAATCGAATACTTGTCCATTTGAATCATATTTAGAAATCGCATCAGTAATAAATTCAGTCAAAACAATTTCTTTAAATTGTGGTACGTCAATTAGAATATCATCCAGAATACTGGGCTGTAGAGCCATTTTAATTCCTGATTTTGCTGACTCGCCATTCATATATTCTTTGTTTTTAAGAGAATATAGGATGAGAGCTTTAAATAATGCATTTCTTTGCTTTACCTTGTATTCTGCTATACGTATAAATATACTTTTGTAAACACCATCAAAGTATTCTGGAGGAATTTCCAAATCATTAATATGGCCAAAAAACTCATCCAGATCATAACTTGCTACATAACTATCCATTAATCCTCCAATACTATCTTTTATATGTTCAGGTATATAATGCTCATTTTCCTCATCTAAAAACTCGTCATCTACTTTTTCTCTGGAATAATCCTTATTGATATTTTTGTTATCGGCTAATGAGCTAAAATTCAGGTTTTTATCAGAAGATTTTGAAGAAATATTGCCACTTGAAAGCCCTCCTTTTGAAGAGCTCGATGGAACGTGTCTCTGCCAAGGATTGGAAGCCGAGTCCACGGATTTTGCGTTATTTTCAGCCGTGGAACCTTTATCTGAAGTTTTGAATGAACTATTACTCTGAGACTTATACTGTGACGAATTATTTGCTTTGGAAGAAGCATTTCCTAACTCCCCACGTTCTGCATTGATCTTCGATTTAAGATCATCGAGCATCATGGGGCCTTCCTTAGTATTTTTGCTTTTCCAGTTATTTTTTCTACTATCAATTACATCATTAATCAAAAATCGAATTCGAATTGGTATATCTGTATTAGTCGAAAACTCCTCAAATTGAAGAAATAAGGTATTGAAATCTTCATAATGTTTCCATCTTTCACTATCTAGAAATGGCCCTACATGGTGTAGAAATACGCATAGAGCTTCCAAGTGGTGAGGTAAGTGGAATTGTAGAAGCTCTTCCATACACATCAAAACAACGGTTGATGCAATGACCTTTTTGCGAACTAAACTAGCCATAAATATCATATTACCTTTCATCTTATTTTTATACTTCAATTGCCATTCAAAAGAGTCTTCCTCATTATCTTGAATATGCTCGGGTAAAACCATTTCTGATAAGTTCTCTACAAACAATTCCTGGCAAAGATCTACTAAAATGCGCCTAGTTTCTATGGTTGTAACATCTTTTAAATGATCACGTAGCTTATCACAGAGCTCAACATACATAGGTATGAAATGATGTTGTGTTGTCGCTTTGTCGAATACAAGTTTTAATAATCCAATCATCTCTTCTTCATTATTTATACCCACAGACAATATTTGCTCATATAGCTTGTCAAATTTCTCAATCGTTAATTTATTCAAAATTGCTCTATATTGACGAAGCTGAGTTTCAAACTGGTTTCCCTTTGCCTTTTGTTCTTTTTGCTTGACAACCCAACTTTCTGCAGAGCTTTCCAATCTGAACATTTTTCTTTCATCTCTTGTCCAATCAAGCGTTGAGTTTTGAGCTCCTCCATTTATATTATCATTAATTCGCTTACTTCCTTGAGGGTTCTGACTATTCCCATGACCTTGAAATCTATCTCTACGATTATTTGGGCCATAATTACCAGCATCACGATGATAGTGCTTATTTCCGCTTGAGTGGTTTAGGTTACTTGGCCAACCACCTCTTCCACGATGGCCACTATCTCTGTCCAATTCTTTTGTACCAAAATTCCGTTTGCAAAGTTCTGGAGGAGAGAAACTTATATCTAAACTTTTGAATTCTCTTGAAACAGTCCTTAACGCAAGTAAAATATATATAGGAAAATTGCTAGATTCGAAAAGTGAATTTTTATAGATGGTAGCTTTCTCCTCTTTGGGGCATTCATAATCTGCTATTTCTTTATTTTCACTTAGATTGTCAATGTTTTCAGTAAGGCCTGATTTATTATCAACATGGAAATCTTTACTTTCAATTTGTTCGTGTATATTACCTTCTGGTTTTTTTAGTTTTAGTTTTTCATCCAGATCACTTATTTTTGGTCCTTCTCTTTCTGAAATCTTCGAATCTTCTGGTGAAAGATGCCTTTCTTTTGGCTTCTTAGAATCCTTTGTCTTATTATAATCTAAGTTATCTTTTAAAGAGACCTCTGATCGATTTTGTGAATTGCTGAAATTTGATTTAGCATTATCATGTCTTTCGATGTTTGTTTCTACATGTGGCTTACTTTCACTAGGAAAGGTTGAATCCAAATTTGTTGAACAAGGATCACCTGTTTTTTTATTATGGGTAACACAAGTGCTGTTTTTGAGTCTTTGCGCCCAGCTAACAGGCCCTGTATCAGCTTCTCTTTTTATACTGGTAGCATCACTTAAATTAGTTTTAGTTGTATTGTTCTGATTAGAATCTTGGTTTTTCTCATCTAATACTTCATTTTTGGTATCATGCTGTTCCGTTTTATCGATATGTTTCGTTCCTTTTTTAAAAACTTTTGTCTCGTTAGTCTTGTTAGAAACCATATTTTTAATTATTTCAGAATCTTGTTTATCCTCGGTGATGTTTGTTGAACATTGATTAATTATTGCACTTGAGGCATTATTATTATTATTATTATTATTATTATTATTATTATTATTATTATTATTATTATTGTTATTATCAATATTATTATTATTATTATTATTGGTAGTAGTAGTAGTAGTAGTAGTAGTAGTAGTAGTAGTATGAGTACTAACGCTTGCTAATAACTTATCCTTAAAAGTAAAGTGATTTGATTGATTAGACGAATCACTTGACAATAGTTTATTAGAAATCGGACTAGAAATACTTTGATCTGACTTATGGGGTGACAGATCCAAGTCGGATTCTAAACTTTTTTTGTGAGATTTCAATGATATATCTGTTTGTGGATTGTCTGTTCTGTTAACTGCTTTAATTAAATTATTGGAAGGAGAACTAGATTCCATCTTAGATTTTACAGACTCAGTAGAGCTACGTTTAATTTGCTCAGATTTCAAGTTGGACGAGTTTTCAGGTCGTTGAGAACTTGTTTGATCCAAATGCCGAGTAAAAATATCGGTACAAGCCGGTTGGCCAACTCTCTGATGTTCTAAAGTTCCTGTTGTGGATTCATTCGTAGGATTTACCCAGCCTCTGGGAATAAATTCTTGAGCATTTGGATTGAGATGAGTTGAAGATTTTGACGGTTCTACATTATTTTGTTTTTTAGGGCCCTTATAATATGTACCACCCACTCGGTACCCGTCATATTCAATAATATGGCCATAATTAGGCATAATTCCGTGATAATAAACACTTGAATTAGGAATGGCATTGGAACCAGTAATTCCGAATGTAGGCTTAAACTCCTGAGCATCCGCTCTTAACTGACTTTTAAATTTGGAAGAATGGTTTCCTGAATTCCCTTGTGAAGGGAGAGTATCATTATTTCCCGTGTTGTCGCTTAAAGTCATTTTCGAAAGTTCCAGTGAAGTCCTTTTACAAGTGAATGTGAAGGCGATACCTCACTTGTTTCAAAATAAGAAGCAAGCCTTCTATAAACGGACCTTTTGAACCCGACTCTCACCACAGATCAACCTCTCCAAATATTAAATCTTTAAAAAAAATGATGAATAAAAGAGATCGTTATAGAAATGGTCTTACGAGCTTCCATACGCGGCGATGATAGAAAACCGATATTTTATTACCTCCTTTACAAGTCAGCAAGTAACATAATAGAGCCACTTATACCTTGCCCCCCCCTGCTTTGTAATATCGTGTCTACTTCGGCGCGCAGAGCACCGTCTGAGACATCTAAATTCTAAATTATAATCAAGTCAAAACATGTTTTTAAAAAAAAAATGATACTTAGGAGGCGCACAAGTATAAAGAATTTGTTCTAAAAATGAATAAGAATAAAATATTAATACAAACATTTCTATTTCTAACGCTTGTAATAATAATATAGATAGTAATAACTGTATCCAATTTTTAATATGCTAGTAGGATGGTGATAGTTACTGCAAGATTATTATTACTTATTATATTTCAATTTATCCTGTTTTCCCTATTTATATTCTTTGTTATTTTGCATGCGAAGCGGCAACGAATATTATTTGTGGGGACTTTGTCGGCAGCCTACGTAAATTGAATTCAGTCTCCAATTGGGAGCAAAGTAAACAAATAGATTTGAAAAATAACAATTTGTCAGTTTGATGCCACTATAACATATGGGGATACAAGGATTATTACCTAATGTTGATAACGCAAGCATTAAGAGCAAAATAGATTCATTTAAAGGAAAAAGAGTGGCAATTGATACATATGGATGGCTTCATAGATCAGCAGCTAACTGTGCAGAAAACATTGTATTAGGTAAACCTACTAGAGTTCATATTAATTATTGTATTGAAAAAATTAAAACTCTTCAAGGGAAAGGAATTATTCCGGTATGTGTGTTCGATGGTGCAACTCTTCCTATGAAAAAGGTTACTGAAGAAGAAAGGAGTAAAAGAAGAAACGATGCTAAAAAAGAGATTATACGACTACAAAGTGAAAAAAAATCTAATTCGTATGTTATGAGAAGTTTGTGCCAAAAAGCTCTCGACATCACCCCAAGTATAGCTCACCAGGTTTTAGAAGTATTAAGAGACGAATACAAAATTGAATGTATTGTTGCTCCATATGAGGCGGACGCACAACTTTCATATCTTTCGAGAATAAAATACGTTGATGCAGTAATAACTGAAGATAGTGATATGTTAGTATTTGGAAGCATTTGCACAATTTACAAATATGATGATAAGACTGGCCTCTGTAGAGTAATATATTGGAAAGATTTGTATAAAAGCGGCGTTATTCCAAAATCAATGTTCTCATACGAGACTTTTGTATTAGGGTGCATATTAACTGGCTGTGACTATGTAAAATCGCCGCAGGGTGTAGGTATAAAAACTGCGATGAAGCTTGTGCAAGAATGTAATGCAGATTTAGAAAGGATAATATTACAACTCAAGGAATTGGGCAAGAATATACCAAATAGTTATTCGACTGATGTTCAGAATGCAATTATCACATTCTTCCACCAAACAGTATACGATCCTCTCGAAGAAAAAATGGTCCCACTTTCAAATAGTGATCTGCCCAAAAGCGAAATTGAGACCAATATAGTTTTGGCAGGTGTACCAATATTTATTGATTTTAATGACCAAATGAAACAGGGTTATTCTATTGAATGCAACGAAATGAAAAATTTTATCGGACCAATTATTCAAGGCAAGATGGCAAAAGAGATTTGCTTAGGATTTATTCACCCAGAAACTCACCTTTCCTACAATGATCCAATAAATCATCGCTTTGAATTTCAGTTTGATATTAGCCGTCATCATGATAATGGAAACAATTTAATACAATCATTCTTAGATTCTAAGACTTCTTTAGAAAAGGAAAATTTAGATGTTAATATAGGGAAAGCCGAGTATGAGATTGAAGAATTAATTAAACAATCGATCAGATCTCCATTAAACGTGAAAAAATCAAACATTAGGTCATTTTCTCATGAAGAAAGTCATCTTGATTTAAAGAAAAAAAGAAGAGCAATTTGGCTAAATTCAAAAATAGAAGATGATTTAAAAATTAAGGAAGAAATTAAATTGCTAGATAACTTTGCGTATAGAGCATAATGTATTTAAAGACCAAATTAGAATTTTTGGATGTTTTTAATTTTACGATCGATCTCTTTGATTATTTCCTATACAAATTCTATCCCTTCATATTTGTAGTTTCCAGGAACCTCTGAATCTTCTAATAAAATTTTCCCGTTTATTGTGAATATGGTTAAGAAGGATTTTTGAGTATCAGATTTTGATTCTTCAACGCTTTTTGTTGCAACTATAATCTGGTCAAATGACCCAGGGAGAAACTTTAAAGAAGAAAACCCTCTTTCAGGTATAATCAATCCGACATCTATAACTTCCAAAATCTCAAACTCATCGGTCATAATTATCATTTTATTCGAACCTCTCTTTTCATCCTTTTCTTCATCATATTCTTCAAAACTAACTCTTCTTGGTAAGAATATCCACTTTCTCATCAAATGGCTCCAAATTACTGCTTCATGGATACAATAGCCTGGATATTGTGCACCTAGTGAATTCCTAATTTTTTCATAAACAGAACTCCAATTATACCGTGAAACATATCCCCTCTTATCGATTGTGGCTACCCACATATTATCTCTCTTTTCTATAATTCCATTTGAAACAAACTCTTTTCCAAAACTGCCAACCCATAGTACACCATCTCTTACGGCTAACCACTCAATCTTCATTCCTTTGCTTGTTTTTCCATTACCCTCAGATAATATATATCTTGGTGAAACCCCTTTTCCATCATCGGTTATTTCAAAAATGATGCCAGTCCGATCATCGCCAGCAAGCATCATTCCATTAAATGAAATCAATTCACTCAATTCCATCCCTCGGCCATACTCATTATATCCACTCTTCAGTTCCAATTTTTCTCCCCAGATCACTTTATAATTACCTTTTTGGTCCTGTAAAATTGACCCTTTTTGAAACAAACTTTTGTAATTCTTTTCCCCATTCTTTGGTCTTGATTTCAAGTCCAAATCTGCAACCATTCTGAAATTACATGGTATTTCTTTGGTACAAATCCTCCTTTCCTGTGCATCTCCCACACCTAGGTTTAACAATAATGATTGAGAAAGTACGCAAGGAAGAATAACAAAAAATTTTATCAGATAATTAATGGTGCTTAATTCTTTCATATTAATTCGAATTAAAAAAAAAAATATATATATATATATATATTTATTTTTATTATCGTTTTTTTAAATTTATGTTAATTCAGCGCTTTTTTTCTAATGATTATTTACATGTATTATGACCAATTTTTCGATTAGGATGTAAATCAATAAATAAACTAATATTATCTTTATTTGTCTTAGAAGAGCTATAGATAATTCTTTGGGTTAATAAAAACGTTGAGATCGTTAATTTAATTTTCAATAAAGAACTAATTATTAATAAACTAGTGGAAGATGTGTAAACTTTGAAAATAAAATTTTATAAATAATTATTTAATTAAAAAAAAAATTAATAAATTATTTATAAAATTTTGAAAAAATTCAGCCACAGAAATAAACCAAATATTAATATTTTCTAATTTAAAAATATCTCTTTAACAAATAATAAACTATTATTGGCCTTTACAAATGCTTCTAGCAGATGATTGAAATGATAATAGGGTGTATATAATTGAAATATGATTGTGAGCCGCACAAACAATTATTCTGCAGATTGCTTTTAACATATATACAAGAAATGAATTCAATCAACTCGAAAACTATCTTTACAAATATAAAGGTTTAACCATAATTTAAGTAAAAAGAAGTATTGGATCACACAAACCCATACAAGAATATTAAATCAATGTAGTTATAACCATCTTTTTTGTCTTTAAACTATGATTAAATTAAAAAATAGTATACAACTGAGGTGAAAAATTTGAAATAATATTTGACAGATCATAAAAATTTCATATTAACTATAAATTGTAATATTTTTGATTATTTTTGTAAATTTTTGAATATAAAATCAACAAATTTATAGAAAATCTAAATTAAACTTTATAATGATCTTAAATGCTAAATCAAAAAAAAATGAATAAAGGGTAACTTTTACTTTTATAATGAATAACAATTACTTTTGGACCTGAGATTTTTGTTTAAGAATTATGCGTAAAAAGAATATTTTACAACTTATTGTATGAAAGCATAAGTTTTAATACACAATTATTAACAATATTTTTTATTAAATTGAATATTTAAAACTCAAAAACAAGATTTTAAATGATCAAAGCAAGAAAATGTGAATAATTATTTTAGATTGGAATGGATACGAACATATATATTATATAGAAATATAATTGATCTTTCAAAAGCTCATTTTAATCAAGCCTCTGTTTAAATTAAATATTATGGTTTAAATCAAAAAATTTCAAAAATTTTAAATAGTTTAAGCTTTTTAAAGAATGTGAAAGAGAATTCAGTCAAGTAATCAAATTTTTGATAGAGATTATTTTTAAAAATTTGATTTAAAACTAAAATATATGATAAAATCATCATTAAAATGGTTTTTAAACTCGTTCATGTAAGTGAATAAATCATTTAGATCCTATTTCTGACAGAAAAAAAAGCTTAGCTTAATCTTGAATTTTGAATGATTTTTCGCTATAATTCGTGTTTAGGTTAAAATAGAGTAAAAAAGTATTTATATAGAACAAATTACTTTTTTATTTAATAGATTTTTTTGAAACAAATTTTTTAAAAAAATTTAATATTTTGGAATGCCTCACATCTTTAACTTTAAAATTCTGTTAATATATACGCTTCCATTTTAATCCCTTGCCGAATAAAAATACAATGATTAAAAAATTGTTTTGAAAAAAATAAATATTTAAGATAATATTATATAGTGGTAATTTTTTTCGTAATTTAGAATTTCGCTAGATGTTTAAAATAGTTTAAATATGTTAAATTGGACCACTAATTTTTAAATATTAAACTATCTTATTAATATAATTAATTAAACGTTTTTGGATAATCGAACTAAGGTGAAATCTCAATTATAGTATTAATTACTTTAAAATAGGATTCTGAGAATTATCTAAGCATATCTATATATTTTTAGAAAGAATTCAATTATTCAGAAATCAAATGATTGCGAGTTATTCAATGGTTTGAACAAAATTGTTTATTTAATCTTAAAAATTCTGATATTTAGATAAAAGGTCAATTTAATTTTACTTTAATTACATATTATAGAACAGTTTAAACAAGATTAAGTTTTGAAATTTAAGCAATTAATTTTAGAGAATTGTTAATACTCAATGGGGGAATATCAAAAATGATATTTTTATTTTTATTGAGTTTACTCAACTACAGACAAGAAACAATTGAACGAAAATTTATTTGAAAAATGTTTTCCTAGATTTATAAAGTTCTTGGTAAAATAGAACTTTAAAACAGGTAAAATATTATTTGAATTTTAATATTGTAATTCTTATAACCATATCAAATCAAATAAAAGAATCCTAAAATATTAATCATTCTATTTGAGTCAAAGAATTTCAAGTTCATTTTTTCCTTTACATTATATATTTCTTAGTATTTTTGTTTTATTTTTTATGAGAAAAAATAGAAATGAAACAACTAAAAAATTATTTCTATTAATAGGTAAGTGAAACGAATGCAATTCTTCTAATATAATAACTTTATTTCCAAGAATTAACAGTCAAGAATTATCTAATTGTTATTTAAATTTTGAAATTTTTTTTTAAACTGAACTAAAGAAAACTCAAATGTTTTATTGCTAGTTAAAAACTTATTTTTTGATGCTCAAAACACAAATTTAAATAAAATAGATTATCTTACATAGGTTGAAGTTTATTTGGAAAATATTAACAAATTAATTTTGAAATTAGAAATATAAAAAATATATTTAATACATTTTTTTTTTAGGGAAATATGAATATAGATTGTTAATTAAATCATTAACAAGTTTTGTAATTAAATAATATTTGTTTCTAAGCAAATGTGAAAATTAAAGTGATTAAAGTTTTGAATTATAACTCGGATGGCTTTCCTTTCAGTAATATCTTTAAGCTAACAAATTTGTTAATTTAAATAGTCAAAGATAATATCTCTTCAAGGTTTTAGGATGGTCCTGAATGAGGTTACGAGATATTAACTGATTTAATTTGAATAAAGCTGTAAATGCCTACACAAATCACTAATTTTGTGACTATATTTATTATTAGGAATATTGTTTAACATTACTTGAAAGATTTTAACTTATATTATAATTGATTAATTTCACAATTAAAGATAATTAACATTTTACCTAAACAAATATAGAATATTAAAACTCAAAATATGATTGTGAAACTTTTCAACAATCAAATAGAATTTCAGAGATGTAAAAATACAAGTTCAGAAAAAGTTCGAATCTATGCAATAAGGATATTAATTAAAGCAATTAATATCTGAATTAAATTGTAATCACAGTCAATAATTAAATCAATTTTTGTTATATTACTAAAACTGATTTATATAAATGTTTTTTTTAATGATGAAAATTGTTTCTCCATCGAAATAAAATAATTATTATAAAATATGAGCAATTTCAAAAGACTGTAAAACTTAAATTGATTTATAAAGAATATTGTATTATTTTCATTTTAGTTACTAAAAAGAGCATTCAGAATGAGTTTTGATACTCAAAACAAAAATATAGTCTTAATTTTTTGTTTAATTAAATGATTAGAATATCAGTGCCACTTTAAAATGGCTCTTTTCTAATTTGGGATATGTTCTATTTGCCAAATGTATTTTAATTATGTGAGTTAGATATAAAAACAATATAATAATCTTGGGAAATACCATGAATTAAGATATTTAGAATTTCGAATCAAGATTTTATCCAAAGTAATAGGGTATTTAAAATAGTTAATATTCAATTGTTAATATAACTATTAAAAAATCCGTTAAAGTTGAAATATTTCTTTTTTTTTTCATTAGGAATAACATGATTCTACGATGATTGGTAAAATAATTCAATTACATTATTTTTTTAATGAAAACCAAATAAGATAAATCTGATTAAGTTTTTTTCAAGCCATGCATAAAAAATCAATAATATTCAAAGTAATATCTAGGACAGTTTACAGAGCCTAATTTTTTTTTTCAAATTGGACTAAATTATCAATTATTTAAAATATTTGGGATTAAAAATATATTATCAAACATTTATTTTCTTTAAATTTGATAATCTTATTACTCTGATTCAGAATCATAGTAATTAAAAAAAAGATTGGTTGGATTGCTTTCCTTTACCCTAACAGGAAAATTTGGTCCCTTTAGATCTTTTGAATTCACAATACATACTTCTGATTTTTTTTGATATTCAATGCTTTCTTTGTAAAAATCAATACACCTCCTCACACTATTTGTAATTAGGTGTTTTTCTCTATCCACTATAATATCTTCACATGCATCAAATGTATTTGTTTTCTTATTATTTGTATGAATTATGAATTGTTCTTCAGGTAAATCATCGGTGTCATTATCATCAATTACATACTTTAAAGCATTCAATTCAGTAATATCCCTGTTCATTAGCCTTTTATTCAATTTCTTTAGTATTTCAAGCTCTTCTAATGACCTGGATTCTAATACAGAGCTAATTACTTTACTCTCAATGTTGTTTTCGTCCTTTTTATTGATCATTTCTTTATTATTTATATTATAATTTCGCTTAGCTCCAGACTCAAGTATGTAATCACCAGATTTTGGATCTGTTTTAAAGATGATTATATTTCCACATTGAGTACAACGACCATAAAATCTCCAAATAGGTATCCCAAGATATGATTCATTTTGTACCTTCTCTACTTTTGAGTTAAACTTGGTCCCAACATAATGATAAACTTCACAGCCATTACATCTAACAGTGAAAGGGTATAACATTCTAATATTTAATAATTTTTTTTTTCTGTGGCCTCCACCTTTCCTATTTTGTTTTGGTTTCTTAAAAATCTTCTTACTATCTTCAAGTTTTTTTGGATCAAAATCTGGTGGGAAATAACGATTTAAAACCTTTCTCTCAGACATTTTGCAAACAATGAAAACCTTCTGTTATTTAAGAAAATAATCTAGAATTTATATTTAAGTTATCATTTTAAAGGCAATATTACGGAATTAAACATTCTTTAAAAAAAATTATATATTCTAAAGCGCTCCATTTGATTTGAACAATTTTTTTTCCAATTTAGACAACTAATGAAACAAAAATTAGAGAATAAGGGAAAAAACAGTTCTAGTGAATCTCAAAATACACAACAAAGTAGTAATCATCTAAATAAAGATTCGTCAATATCCACAAATTGCTACTCAAACTTTCCCCATTGCAGAAAACTGAGTAACGAGATGGTTGCTCTTAGAGAGAAGGTTCAGGATGAGTTGGTGGATATTGAGAGAAAAATATATGAACTTGAGACATTTTACTGGAACCAAACCACCGATATTGGAAATATGTTAAAAGGTTGGGATGGCTATGCGACATATAATAACAATACAGGAAGTATTGGAGGAAGAAAATCTAGCATAGGGGGTAACCGAAGCTCTTGTAGGTCTACACCAAATGTATTTTCTGAAAAAGATCGTTGGTTTTCTTTATCTTCGGTCACTTCTCCTGTAGATATAGAGGCTTTGGGCACTACTCCAAATACAGGAGCATTTTCAGGAGAAATGTTTTCTGCAGCCGGCTCAAATGTAGGTTCAAGTATTTCCCATCATTCTGAATCACAATGCTTAGGAAGTGAGGCAGACAATTCTGTTAACGGCTCGCGTAAACAGCGCCGATAATATTCAAACTAAAACCTAATTAATTAGAACTCATTTGATTGGAAGTTATTTTTATAGACGAATTCCTTAGTGCATATATATTTTACTTTGAATTTCAATTATATTTTAGTAAAAATTTTATTGTAATTTTCGAGATCTTCAATTGACGTCTATTGTTTTGTTTACCCCCATTCTGACAGGCATGCCCACACAAGGCTTTCCAAAGCGCAAAAATATAGAATTGAGGCGAGGATGTCATTAAATTGAATATAGTGTGGAGTTCAAATATTTAACAATTTTTATAAATTATTTAACCATTGTAGACTGGCATTATAACAGCTTCAATTTTCTTATTGCTCTATATTGTAGGAGACAAACTGTTGTGATTGATGACTGAGAACTCTACTCGTGAAAAGTCAGTAGTAAGTAAACATGGCTGGGGAGCTGTAAGATGGGCAGATCTGAGTATAAGTGACGCATCAAACAGTTGGATACAAACTCAAAGCGACACTAAGAATGAATCTAAATCTATTGGGTTAACTTCTCTTTTACAAAAAAATATCAAACTGAACGACAGCATAAGTGAATATCAAGGCAAAAAAACTATTAAAGAGAGTACAATCAAAGTAAAAAATAGGGGATTTTTAACAATTAATAGTACTGAAACAAATAATGAAATTGGATTTGAAAAATCTGATTTTTCTTCAAGCTTAGGCAGGGTAGGCAGTAAAAACTACGAAGAAATCGAAAAGGACCAGAACATTGAAAGCCAGGAATTTAGGTTTGGAGAAGGAACATACCCAGGTAGTTTAACTGATATTAGTCAAACTGATCAAACAATTAAATGCCTTATTCAAGATGCAAACCTAAATTCACCAAAGGTATTTGGTAGTTTGCCACAAATATTAACTAAAGATTCGTATAATAATAATAAAAAAAGAATTAAAGATTATAATGAAAAACCAGAAGACAGTGAAAATATTAATTTTAACTCGGAAACGCAAATTGATCAATTAACTATCTATAAGAAGGTCAAACATTCGAAAACGAATACTTGTACAACAGAAAATCCAAAGCTTAGTAGAGAAACGAATCAAAATGCCATAAATGAAAGGAACACACAAAAAAAAATGTTAAGTAATCAATTAAGCACTCCCAAAAGACAAAAAAATATCTTGGTTAAATCTCCAATAGTAAGCACCCCAAAAACACCACAATTTAACAGTAGCCATCGTAATAACGACTTCTCAGTTGATATTAGTGCAAGCTCTAATATTGATTGGAATAAACGGATTTCAAGTAGGTTATTTCAGATTGCTATTGGAAAAGGAACAAGAGCTTATCAGAATTTTTTAAGATTAAAACCTAGAAAAGAAGATAGAGAACCTAACGACCCTCAGACTCCAAACGCTCATATTAGGTGTCCACAGAAACAATTCACGGATCAACTAAATCAATGGAGAAAGTCTCTTCACCAATATGATGACCTAGACTCTAGCATTTTGGAGCTTTGATTTATTAATATATACTAATTAATTTTTGAACATTTGTAACTTGATAACTGTGGGTAGTGTGGCCAGTAATTAACTTTTACAAACAAATCAATCAAATATTAGTGAACATCGTTACAGTACAATAATACAATCAGTTGGCAAATAAATCTCTTGGTTATTTTTTCATTTCACTGTTTTAATAGAAGCTGATTTTTGCCGCCAAAATTATGTAAATATTTACATAGAACCCGTACACTACTAGCAAAGGAAATAAAATTCAAATGAATATTTTGATAAATTCAGGCTGCGTTACACTTAAAGCTAATATTTATGCAAAGAACCAAAAATGATACGAGATTGGCCTATATTTTAGGTTGGTTGATTCACTTAAGATTTCTTAATCGAATTGTTGACAACATATTCATTAAATCTCACATATTATCGTTGTACCTATATTATAATCAGGAATATGACAAAAGGGAGAGTATTAGGGAAATATACCAGTGGTTTAGAAAATATTTCAAAACATATTATTTGCCCAATGAATATTGGATTTACAAACTCCACGCCTTTGAATCAAAAAAAAATAACTTGTTTTCAAAATCCGACTGGATGAATATATATTATTCTTTATTTTCAAATGAAAGTAAAGAACTCATTCTAGACTCCAGTAATACAGCAAGAGACGAAATCGGAAGAGTTGAAACTAATCTTTTTGAGAAATTTCAAGAAATAAACAAGTTATTCATCCCTTCGGTGAACCAACACAGTTTCTTTCTTGGTAAAATTCTTAGAAGAATCTTAAGCTCCATTTTATCTGGAAAATGTAGTGCTGAGGCTAGCAATATTCTTTTTGCCACTTTGCTCCGATCACTGGGATATTATTGCCGTTTGACATTATTTATTCCTCCCATCATTAACTTTAAAAAAAGTTGTGAACTGCAAAGCAACGATAGAAGAGCTGAACTTTGGGTAGAGATTTTTGAGCCGAGCTTTAATAAATGGATTTCAGTCGATATTCACCGTGGGGGGTGGAACTTCACAGGATGTAATACTAAAATTCCTTTTGTGGCTGTTTCAGAAGATCGTAATTTTTCAAATGAATACAAAAGCAATAAAGGATTGTTTTCAAAACTTTACCTAAATGACTTCAATGATGACTCTGACGATTCAAATAATGAGGGCTCTAATTTTAAAAAGATGAAACCTATCCCAATTATTCCCTTAAAGAAGAAATCTGAAGTCAATCACAGAGCCATTAAATATGAAATCAGCAATGTTGTTGAACAAGAAGAACAAAGAGAATCTTTAGCATTTGAATTTTCAAATAAAAAAAAAATTGAGTCATTATCACTATTTCAATTACAGTGTAAGATCGACATGTCAAGAACAAATATCAAGTATAAGATTAATGATAACATTGGATGGTGGGTTATTTCGGTTAATGAACATGGGTATTTAAAAGAGACAACTAGTAGGTATGTCTCAGATTGGTCTCAAGTATTTCAGGCACAGCTAAAAAACTCATGTAAACAAAAAATTGATTTCCTAATTTCAACAATAAATTCTACCTCAAGTAAATACAGTTCCAGGTTAATCCAACTAGAATTATTGGATGATTTTGAATTGGAGAAAATTATCCATGAAAATGATGTGATTCCGATATCAAAAACATCTTTTAAGAACCATCCAAAATATGCCATTATTTCATGTCTTAATTCTTTGGAGATTGTTCACCCTAAAGAGCCGATTGTTGGCTACTTTCAGGGTGAACCAATATATCTGAGAGAAAATGTCCAAACATTAAAGACTAGAACGCAGTGGGATCAAGAACAACGTGAGATTAAAATTGATCAACAGCCAATAAAAATTATTTTCAAAAAGAAAAATGGCAATGATAGCTTAAAGGGTAAAATAAAATTGGAATACTTTGCAGAATTTCAGACACAGATTAAACCTCTAGTAGAGTTGAATCACCTTGACAAAATTCCTAGAGATAATTTTAAATCGATTGATATTTCTATTAAAGGTAACATCCCTGATTCATGTGTTCATATAAAGGATTCATGTGAAGGCCTTAAAAACAATAAATTTATATATATTTCTAGATATTTCTCTACATGGAAGACTGAAAATATTATTGACATAATTAAAAGAAGTAATATTGATTATGCAAGAGCGTTTGTTGGTTATGACTATAAAAATGGATCAAAACCTAAGTATGATGGAATAATTATTAAAAAAAAGGATGTTATCTTGTTACAATCACTGAAAAAACGGCATGAATTAATTAATATAAATAAAATGGCAAATTTTATTTGGAATGATATTCTCCAAAGTATTAAAGATGTTTTGAATTGTCTTTCTCAAAACAGTTCAAGTAATTCATTTAATAAAAACTGCGATTCCATTTTAGGTCCCAAAAAAGATCAAAAATTGATTAATTTCAAGTCAAACTTTAGCAAAATAAGGAGTATATCCGAGAGATTATTGGAAGAAAGTTATAAAGCGATTGATCGAAAAAAAGAGGAAACTAATCGATGCATAGAAGACAAATGATTAACGTAACTATTTAATTGATAACAATACCTTCTATATGCCATTTATGAGGTTTTACTAGTTTTACCATTGCATATTTTCCTAATAAATTATTATCCATCTTAACTAATACTTTATTGTAGTATTTTGTGTGCCCAACTGTGTGATCACTTTTTTCAGAATGTTCTATAAACCACACTTTGACAATTTTATCATCAGGCAATTTTTCGAATATATATTCATTATGATTGAAAGACTGAAAAATATTTGTAATCTCCGAACTTCTGCTTTTTGAAATCCCATTAGGTACAGGTTTCATTTTTGCAGCAGGGGTTCCTGGTCTCGGATAGAATTTTGAAATATTTATAACCGGGAACTTGTAATTATTAATTAATTCAACAGTTTGATTATGATCCTGGTCACTTTCTCCAGGAAAGCCACAGATAATGTCAGTAGCAATCGTTGCTAACGGAATTTCTTTTAGTATTGAATCAACTAACAAACTAAACTCCTCTACAACATACTCCCTCTTCATCAATTCCAAAATCCTGTTGCTACCACTTTGAACAGGAATATGCAAAAATTCAAATACATTTGGATGTTTCATAACTTCGATAATCTCGTCAATTTGATCCAAAATATGTGGTGGGTTTGTCATCCCTATCCTTATCATTACGTCTTTTGGTATAACTTTTAGTATTTCTCTTAATAGCTCAGATAAATTTGTGCCAATGTCTTTTCCGTATGCCCCGACATCCTCCGAAGTCAACCAAAATTGTTTTACCCCTTCATTTAAGCTTTGATTGATTCTATCAATAATCGTTTCAATAGGATAACTACCTAAATCGCCCCTAGATTGCTTAGTTTTACAATAAGTACAATTTCCAAGACAACCAACAGAAATGGTAATAATTTCAACATAAGGGTTGCGACGAATTTTTGGTAATAACAAAGGAGGCAAGCTAGCTTCAAGGGTATCTATTAAAGGGGCTGATTCTCCTTTCATTTTATCAGGAATCAACAAAACAACGTTTCCCTGTAATGTTAATTCAACAACCTCAACTATTCGATGAATACTTCTGACACCAATTATTGAAACATCTTTTAAGAAGTTCAAATTTATATCTGCCTGTGGAACACATCCCGTTACTACAACAAATTTATTTTTTGATTTTGCTAGCTCTATCAAATTTTGGCACGAGTCTTGGCTTGGCCCTTTGACAGTACAACTATTAATTACTATTAAATTGCATTCATCTAATTCATCAACTAAAGTGTATCCATATTCGGAAAGAAGGCCCATCATACTTTCAGAATCACTTCGGTTATGGTTACATCCAAAATTTTTTACCATTATTTTTGCAATTCCAGGAGCAAAGCTTTCTTCAGATTGAGTTATATGATTATCCATTGCTCTAACAATTATTCCTGAAGAACTCGGTGTTTCACATTTTCTTGATCCCACTTTATTCAATTTATTTTTGTTAAAATCACAATCACATTTGAAGCAGTGCTCTTTTCTGTTTATTTTTTTTCTATTGAAGTAAATTTCTTTGATCATGGAGTAAACACTTCTTTTTTTAAACAACCTCCACCCAAAATAAATACCTACACCTGCAGCACCTAATAACGTGCAAAACTTAACTATTTTTATTTTTTGGTAAACCATATTTAAATTATTGAAAAAATTTAATTGAAAAATAACGAATTAATAATCTAATTTGCTGTTTACATTAACGAATAATACAGATTTTGATATTAATATTTCTTTTAGTCAAAATGACTGATTACCGCAATTCAGGCTAATACCGGTAATAATAAAATACAAAACAAAGAATATTAATATATTAAATTTCTAAATACCTAACATTAAATACTTTTATATAATATACGTTTTATTTAATTTTAGTTCGCTTTTAAAAGTGGAGTTTTATTATCTACAGAGTTATTTGTTGGTGATATTACTGGTGGAAGATGAAGTGCCATATCTAACACTACAGACTCTTCACTTTCCTTTATAAGCGCTCCAAGTCGTTCAATTGTATCTAATTCCTCTTGCAGTTCATTGTGAAACCCAAAAATAAGCTTTGCCTGATACCATAGAGATGCAGTAACTTTCTTCATTCTCATTGGACTCTCAGTGTTCTTTGTTGCTATTGCGTAAGAATTCATGATAATTGTAGTAAACATATTGAGCAGAATTGTAACAAAGAGGATTTCAAATAGTAATAACATTGCTGCTGCACCGTATGCACTTTTTTCAAAATACGCATTTATCCCAACTTCTGTTCCAGAAAATGGACTTCCAAATGCAAACAAGAACAGTGAGTAAAATGATATTGAAATTGTTGAAAATTGAATATAAATAGCTCCATACATAGCATGCATTATTATTGAGAATGCGAATAACAAAATAAGGAATATTGCGGTGAAATGCATGAAAGGTACAAATGCGAAAATAAATGTCATAATTAAAAAACTTGTGTTGTTAGAAAAGAGTGAGATCTCTAATAGCCTTATAAATAACAACAAAACTGCAATCGCATGTAGTTTAGTCTTAAGCCATAAACTGAAAAGTACTTGACCATAATACTCCGCACCAGTTAAATGAAGAGTTTCAGACCAAAATAAATGAGGATCGATGCATTTCTTATACACTGTCTCAATACAAAGTTCAGAGCCGAAATGAATGGCCAAACTAGAAAATATGAATCCTAAAGTAATTAGTATTCCTATAGTATTTTCTAGTAATATTTGAAACCAGCTTAAAGTGTAAATTCGATTTCCAAATGGATCTATAAAGTGGCCAATGATATCTCTAAATTTACCATTTTTTGAAGTTAACCTATATACATTATAAGGAAACATTAGTACGCTTGAAAGTGCACCAGGAAATAAAAGCCATGAAAATAATAATAATGTTACAACTGGTAACAATATTGAAATAGGATGGTGTCTTTTATATGCCAAACCTGTTGTTATTTCTATTTCTGGAAAGTAATGATTTAAATATGGAGAGTTACGTGTAAATTGAAGCTTTGTTTTCCACCAAAGTGGATATTTTTCTTTTTGAACTGCGGATACCTCAAAAACAACTGCGACCCATTCGGGGTCGCATTTAAATAGTAAATCCCAATGATGATTCCTATCAATTACTAATTTAGTACTAGTTTGTTTTGAATTCATTTCATTAATAACTTTTCCCATAGCAGCATTTCGTTTATATTTCTCACTTATTTCACTAGACTGTACAATTTTTCTGTCATTAAAAATATTAGAATCCATCCCACTAGGATTTTTTTCTAATTCTTCCTTAAAAATTTTCTTACCTATTAAATTGAGCTTTTCATGAATTGAAGGAATTGGGCCCAAATTGTGGTCTGGGGAATTAGAAAACAGAGGAAGTAATAGCTTTGAATCATGATACATATGAAAGATCGGTTTTGATTGTTGATCCAATGGTACTTTATTAGTATCATAATATTTTTTTATGGCAGGTGGAAATTCACCTAATGGGGTATTATCACCTTCTTCAACATACTTCTCAAGAGAGGAATTGTCGCAAGGCAATTCAGGATGAGAAGGGTTTGGGTGAGTTTTCTTCCAATCTATTCTAATTATATCACAGTTGAAAAACTCAGTCATTCCATCTTCAATTAAAGATTTAGATTTACAAGATGCTTGAAGCAAATTTAATATGTCTGAAACTGTAGAACCCGATATAATAGATTCTAATTCCGGCGTTCCCAATTGGTCTTGAATTCTATTCAACTGTTCAGATGTAGATGCAAATAACTTTGATCTTATCTGATTGGATATTGGTGCACTTTTATTATAGCTATGTTCCATCAAGAAACAAGATACATAAAGTATTGTAAAAATGAACATATAAAAGATGTGCTTTAATCTAATTTTTCTCAATTCGTCTTCACTAAATTCACCATTTTTCGGATCATCCAGAGTTAGCATTCTCCTTATAGAACCGTACATCTTCGATTAATTAGTATTAAATAAATCCTAAACACAGATCTAATACTTAATGCATTTTCTATTAATAAATGGTTTTAAACAAAAATCTAAAGTTTCTATACTATCATGATTAATGTACGCACTCAATAAAAAAAAAATCTGCACTCATAATTTAATTAATTATTTTATTGTATTGTATGAAAATTTTGCTTACTGCAAGGTGCGGATTGTGTTTTCGATACACATAATCGTGTTTACGGTGTGAATAAATGTTTGTGTGTAAATAGCGCCACACAAACAAATACCGCCTTACAATAAATTTAACGGCCTTCAATAAATAGATTAATCTAAAGGATTGCTGGCTAATATTTACACAAATAACATAAAAACTACGTTAATTTATTTTTGAGTTAATGATTACTCATTTCAAAACTCATTCTAGTAATAACATAGAAATATGAACATAAATTATATATCATTTTTTTTATATACGATTTAAGTTAGAATAACATTTTCTGTAACTTTGCTGATTTATTAAAGATATAAAATATTGGCTTAATAACTCATTATTTTTTATATATACAAATTGCAATTACTCCATTGTTAAGACTGACAATAGACAGGTGCTTTGCCGTACTATGCTAACACTCCCCACGTAAAAAAAAATAATAATAAACATAAAAATACGTATATTTTGTGTCGTGTCGTGTAAAGGATAAAGAATACTACATGTGAGTATAAACAGATTATTTTTATATGGAAGAAAACTCGGGAGGAAATTATTTAATACGAACAAAATAATTATTTTTAACAATAATTGTTAAATAAACACTAAAAATTTAGAGTTTACTTCAATACTTTTTGAATTGTTTGAAGATCTAAGAATTAGAGTTCCTTCGGTTGAATTTAATAATGTGGCTATCAACACGAGTTGAAAATGTAGATACAGGAATAGCAACTAAACAAGGCCCAAGTATTCCAATTGAAGGCATGTTTAATACTCTACTCCGTATGGGATTGCTATTCGAACTGATGTGCTATCTTGGACTTACACTGATAAGCTACAACTATACAAACCACCTCAGTTTAAATTACCATTCATTAGGAGAGATATTGGTACAAGGAAATGCCCCGAAATATATTTCGTTTTGTTTTTTCTTAGGTATTGTTGGCTCTCTTTATTTAATGTCATTTCAATTGCTGCTCGCCGATGATACATGTTTTGCAAGAGGATATGTAACTGGTTCAAAAATAATAAAAATTGCCACGCTTTTGGACTTCATTGGAAAAACTATTGGTTTTGTGTTTATGATGCAGCTTGGAGGTGGTGATGATTTAGAGTCTGCATTCAATATGGCAGTTGCCCAGGGAGGAGTTGAGATTAATTTCCTAACTTTCGGGCAAATATTGTGTGGTATTGCCTTTGTATCCTATGGTCTTGGATTTCTACTTTTAGAACTCTTCCAAGATGAAGGTGTAGGTAATTCATATGGTTATATAAATTTCCTTGCGTTTTCTGCATCAGGTATTTCTTTATTGTTACATGCAACCACATTCAAATGCACCGGAGCAACATTATTTGCTTTAACATCTTTTTCTGCCGCATTATTATGGGCTCTTTTGTTCGAACCGTCAATAAACGAGTTCTCTCCTGCATTCGGTGAGACCGAGTTAACAAATGATGTCGAAACACAGGTTGAAAAGTTCACTCGTACAAATCAATACTATAATGTTGATGAAAATTACGGAAGCTACTCACAACAACAATCCTCAGGCTACATGAATTAGAATGGAGTAACAATTCTCGAATTAACGCTAGTTAATATAAAATATTTAATAAGTCTAATTAATAGCTTTTAGTGTTACTAATATTTTTCTAGTTATTGAATCGATTAATATTGTTTTAAAAAGTTATTTCTTTCTCTTTAATTTACATTCTCCCAAATGATGTTGAAGTGTCAAAATAGACTGCCTTCTGTATGGCCATTCTAAAAGCCATAAACGCCTGTCCAAAAATAAAAATACTTCCTGCATCATCTACTGAAGCATTCTTAAGCCCAGCTTGAGTAACTAATCTAAATATCTTAATTGGTTCAAATGGGAGCTTACAGATTGGTAGATCTCCAAAAAATGTATTTTTCAGAGGAATGAGTGCAGCAAACAAAATACCTACTAATATACCTGATTTCATCTTAATCATTGAAATCTTATAATTCAAGTTCGTAATACTTTGCTCTAGAGATTCAATTTTAGGATTTTTCTTCACTTTGTTTGAATAACTCGAAGATAAAGTTGCATTCTCAGTGATTATTCCTGTCCTATCCTTTAATTTTAATTTGTCTAACTTTGCTCTTGATTTAAATAAATTGTCTTGTAATTTTAGAAAGTCACTTTTCCTAAAAAATAAAAAATAAGACAAAAGTTCGGCAGCAATCGAGGCAACTAGTGCCGTGAAAATGACTATCAATATCTTGTATTTGTTAAATTCAATGACTGTGTTCAACTCTGAATCACTCATTTTTCAATTTTTGTATTTTCAATTTAATATTTATTATCAGCGCTTAAATATTTTAAAACTATTCCATTCAAAAAATTAAATAAATATGCTGCTAAAGTGCGCTGCTTCAAAAATAGAACATTCATCTACAATCTAATAAATCGTTTCTATAATAAATGATTTAACTTACCTAAAATTTTTGAAAGTGGAATTTTACTATCTTCAAAAAATAAATAGAATGTGCGGTCAAGAGATTTTCTACATACAATCCATCCCTCATTACTTGATTTAAAAACAAAACTATTTATGTTATCACTAGAATTTATCATTCTTGTTGCCCTTAATACGCAGTCACCTTCTGCTGAAGACATTAGTGTTTTTGTAGTCCCAAGTAATCTATTTGACCTTCTTATCGCAGAATTAGATTTGTTAATGTAAAAGAAACGAAATGAATCTGTAGAATTCATGATGTTCATGAATTGTTCAAATATTTGTCCATACAACTCTGAAAGGCCACCATTACAATCTATTATGTGATTCTTTAAATCGATACAAAACTGTAAATCTTGGTTTATTTCAGACGATTTCTCCTCGTCAAAGTTATAATCTACAGATTTAGTATCGAATTCTGTTCTTAACAAAATAACTACCATAATTTCATTATATGTAAATGCCAATAACTTATACCACTTTTGCTGAGTGCAAGGAAGGAATATTTTGGGTGAAAAAACTAAGTTTCCTTTGCTTTTTTGACCATTAGTTGAAGTAGGACCAAAGATGAATCCATCAACTGAAAATTTATTACTTCTTCCGAAGGCTGAAAATCCGCCTCTTTTTTCTAAAGAAGATGCTGTAGGAAACCTGCCATAAGGTACATTACAAAGTTTGTCATTCATTGCAATTCCATTGTGCATTACTAAGTAATTGTAAAGTACTCTGCTTGATAGAGAATCAAGCGTTGAATACAGCATATGAGCGTCAAATAATATTGAAATATGTGAAACTTGATTATTATTGTTTATTATGTTTTCTACCAAATTTATTATTGAAATTTGAACTTGTCTTTCAACAGGAGCAAAATAAAAGCCATTCATACTTGTAGTGATAGACAAAGTATTGAGGTCGATAGTTTCAATGAATGCAGGAACAAAATCTTCAAGAATGTATATTAAATATTTCTTTTCTATATTCATAACTTCTCCATGTAACAATGTAAAGGTTTCTATAAATTTGTCCAATATTGATAAAAGTGGTTCTCTATTATTCTCTTCTTGAGCAGGGTTTATACATTTGCTATTGTTTCTAAATTGGTGAGGTAAATAATCAGAATAGTCACTTGAAATTTTACTATTTTGTTTATCATATATGTCATCTTCAATAAACTCAATATCAACAACTTCTCCTGATTGTATTTTGATGTAATGTGGTAATTGCATCACAATACAAACGGCTATTTCTGAATCTTTTATTTTTTTAAAAACAATTTCATGTTGGCGTGTTTTTACATAATTTATTAACTCACCGCATCCTATTATGAGTGATGACATTGAAATCAATCCTTCCACTAAGCTCATTTGCTGATGTTTTATTAATTTTGAGTCACTAGATGGATAATAATAAATTAATTTTTCATCATCTACAACATTTTCCGCAGTAAATTCATTGCATGATTCACTTTTAATGCTCGAATCGAATACTATTAATGAACTTATCTTTTTATCTTTAATTTCAATCTTCGTCTTACTTTGTAGAAGTGTTGCCGACACAATTTCAGGGCCGTGCATGATAATAAAAGAATAATTATGATAGGAACTTAACTTAACTCGTGGATATTGAAATTTTTTAAAGTGCCTAAATCACAAAAACTTAGATGCTTAATATTTATATATTCAAAAATATAGAATTATTGTACTGCGATCCTACACACAATCTTTGTGAATTTATTCTTCATATACAGTGAGGGATTTGATGTATATGATTAAATATAAAGCTACTTTCCAATTAGTTTTGATATTTCAATCATAATATTTTCTTCTTATTCATTACTTAAAAATCTGTTTTATCCCGCTTTTTTTATTATGAAGGCAATTAAGACTATAAAATATAATTTAGAATTAACAATTGAGTCAAAAAAATAAAATGACTATATAATCGACACTATCTAGTTTATCCATGCTTATGGTTCTATTTATATTGAGAAATGAGTTTCCAAACTACTAATGATCAGAGTAAAACTAAAAATATAAGTAGTTTAACAAGATTCGAAAACAATCAATTATTCCCAGAAAATAGATATTTAAGTAAAAGAATACTTGAGTTAGGAACGGGACTTATCCCACTAATAAATAATTCTGAAAAATGTAGCTGCGAAAAAACATGTGCTGATTTTTGTTTTAATCGTCTGAACCACCAGGAATGCAATAGAAGTATATGTGGACTTTCTGACCATTTACATGATGTATACTGCAATAATAGACCATTTCTTAGATTTAAAAATCAAAAAACTAAGAAATATGTTGTTGAGTATTTCAGATTACCAATAAAAAGAGAAAACAGGAATTCAAATACAGAACATTTAAAAGATAACAACTCACAACATTTAACAAGACTTATATTATTGGACAAAGTGTCAAAAGGTGAATTAATAATTGAATGTATGGGAGAAATTTTAACAGATTCTGATGTGAGAGACAGGTACCAAAAATATTTTGAACTTAAAAAACGAGGTGATGAAAATGTTATGAATTATAGTTTTGAAAAAACCGCTTCAGCACCTGATAGGCTTTTTTGTCTAGTTGAAAATTTTGTTTATTTGGATATGACTCAAATAGGTAATGAAGCTAAACATATTCGGCACTCATGCAATCCAAACTCGCAAGCAGAAGTTTGGATTTCAAGGCCGAATTCTCATTTTCAAAAAGCTAGATTAAGAAATGAATACACATTATCATGGTTAAGAATGGGAATATTTGCTTTAAAAGATATTGAAAAAGGTACAGAAATAACGATTGACTATGAAAACTTGATGTCTCGATGTACCCCAGATCTCGTGAAGAAAAGTGAAGACCCCATTCGTTTTTTAGGATTGCTCAAGTGCAACTGTAATTTCGAAAATTGTAGAAAAAGTATCGGCACTAGGAAAATCCATGAAGCAATTGAATTTAGCGAATTTTTAATTCCAACAGCAAATAAAAAAAGAAGAAAGGATTTAAATACCATCTCAATCTCAAGAGAGCAATTAGAGCCCGATTCCTTCTCATATAACAAAAAATCGCTAGATTCTTTCCTTTTTTTGAGGGAAAAAATTATTGAAGATCAAAAGATTTGGAAAGAACAACAAATTAGAAAAAGACCAAAAAAAGCCACACAAAGAACCTTAAATATTTTTGAGACTGACAAGAGGCAAATGATTGAGGCTCAAAACTTAATCCTTAATCTTCATTCTAATAATTTTTTTGATCCTTCTAATAAGTTACCACTTTGGCATTTGTTTTCATCATTGTGTTGGCAAGGTTATCATGATCACCAAGAATGTTGTAATAAGCATATTATACATAATGATTGGTGGGTGAAATTCAAAGAAATGAATGAGAGTAAAAATAAAGTTTGCAAAATGAATTTTGTAAAACTTGAACGACCTAGAAGAAGTTGTTCAAATAACTTCGGGACGTCAATTAAAAGAAATGAAAAATTCTTTCGTGCCTGCTCTTTAAATCAAATTAGAAGAACAAGTGTTTTCCTACATATCATGTCCCATCCATGGCTTCTAGCACTTAACAATTTAACAAATATTGACATTGAACTTGGAAAAGATTGGAAAATTTTGCTTGCCAGAACTATTGATTTGGGCAGATGGACAATAATTCAAAAACTATCATTTTTTTTCAACAAATATAAAATTACAGATGAAGATTTGTCGTGGCCTATTATTGACCAAGGTCTTGGAGACGATGAAAAATGCACTGTTTGTTCTTGCCACGGAACATTATTATCATGCGATATATGTTCCAAGAGTATTCACAAATCATGTTTAAAAAAATGCAACCAGTTTATTGCTTCTTCCTCATTTTGTCTCCCTAATTGGTTTTCAAGAAATAAAATTGGGAAGGAATCTTATTTCAAAGAATTGTTAGATTATTTTTGCAGATCAGAAAATTCGGCTAAGACGAATAATATTTGTTTAAACAAAAAAAATAATAAAACAAAAATTACAGTTATATATAACCCAAAATATTCAACTAACAACTTCAAATTTGATTCAACAAATAAACAAGATCATCAATCAAATCTTTTTATATGTCATAAATGCAGTAATTCTGCACATACGAACTTCTGGCTTAAATTAAAGGGCAGAGAAAAACGTGTTATCTCTAAAAATGCGATGAAAATTAGATTTAGTAGAGCATATCAGTCGAATTTCTATATGCAAGATAATAAACAAATTTTTCAAGATCGTATTGAAAAAGGAATAAAAGCCAATAAGAAACAAGTAAATAATAACAACTCGCAGAAATATAACGCAATAAGATCCGCAAGATTGATGATTAGTCATCTATTCATTTGGAGGCAAAAAAATAGTACATTTAAAATGCCTAAAGATTCACAAATTTTCAGTGAATTGTCTAGAAACTTCAAATCAAAAAGAACAATAGATACAAGGTGGGATACATTGAACCTTATTTCTGACTACTCACGAAAAGACCATATAATTACTAACAATAGTCAACAAAAAACAACTTCTCCTTCAGAACTGAATTTACCAAACAGGCTATCGATCTCAACACAGGATAATTGCCAAATTATCAACTCTATTTCAATTGAAGAATTTATAGATTCCTTAAGAAAGTAGAATTGATCAATCCAAATACGATTATATGGAAAAAAGACCTAAACTACAAGGAATTCATTTATAGTTCTATTGACTTAAATTCGTAATAAATAGTTGATATTCTATTCATCCAATACCGTTTAAAAAAATTTCAGTTTTATTTTCTCTATAACGAATTTTTTATTGACCATTTCTCTTTATTGCGATTAGTTAATTAAATATTATTCATTTATATATATATATTTTTATATATTCACTTTTGCGCCAATATTTTTTAAATTTAAGTGGAAAAAATATTAAATTTTACTGAATGAATTTATTACATAAGGTTCACATGAAATAAAGGCATTCAGGTAAATTTAGGTGATAAATTTGCTTAAAATAACATGAAAATTCGCTGGCCAAAGGGTTTTGGGCATTTATCTAGCAAACATGGTTCAAACGAAATAGACTATAAAGAACAACAACTTAAGTTAAGTAACTTGCTTGAGAACTTCAATTTGGATTTAGAAAATGTCAGTGAATCCGATTATAAACTGTTTTTCAGATTTTTGAAAGCAAGACAATTTAATGTCGAAAAATCAACTGAAATGCTAAATAAATATTTTGAATGGAGGGGAAGAAAGAAAGTATCAGAGCTAATTAATACAATACAAATACCAATAAAAATTGACTTATATCAAAGAGCATATCATGGCATTGATAGGATGGGCAGGCCAATATATATTGATTGTATTGGGAGCAGTAATATTAAGAAAATGTTGGAATTGTATTCTGAAAAAAATTTTTTTAATCAATGGATATATGAATATGAGTTTCTTGTTAACGTAATGTCAATATCATGTCAAATATACAATGCATTGAAGGAACATCTTCCTAAAGATTCAGATATTACAAGCATTAATAAAGACGAAATTATGAATTTGTTAAATATGGGGGAAGTTCAATTTCAAAGTTTTTCAACATTAAATATTATTGATATGAATGGCTTTAATATGAGTAAATTTGATGGGAATTGCAGGAAAGTTATAAAAGAGCTTGTGAATATTAGCCAAAATTATTATCCAGAACTGCTTGGGAAAATGATCATAATAAACGCACCTAGTATATTTGGAATTATTTGGAATTTTTTGAAGCCTTTAATTGATGAAAAAACTGCAAAGAAAATATCAATTTATACACATAATGACGAATGGAGATCAGTTTTATTTGATATGGTTGATTCTGATCAATTGCCTAAATTTTTGGGTGGGTCTCCTAAATACGACGGAGAATGGTTCAATGCAAACATAGGACCATGGTCTAATCCAGTCATCCTTGATTGCATTGCAGAAAAATATCCAAATATTCCAAAACCTCTAATTTTTTCGCATTTAACATTAAAAAATAACGAAAACGTTCCAGAAAACCAGCAATTTTAGAATAAATTGCCTTTAATTATAAGCTATTATCTAAAGATTAATCTATAAAGGTATTTTAATGGTTTGCTTTTAATTCTTTAAATTAATTTACTGGTTCAATTTCTTTGATGCGCTAACTAGCGCATCAGAAAAGTCATCATACCAATTTGACAATGGGCAGTTAATAGTCCATGTCTCTCTAAAACCCATTAATTTCCCAAAGGAATCACCCATAACGATATGTGAAATACCTAAAAGTGTCAATAAAATATGACCATGTAATCTGTTCGTTATTACAATATTGGCTCTAGATAAAAATGCCATTCCATCTAATGTTCTTGAAACTGACTTTTCAATGTAATCAGAGTTAATTAAGTTATTGTAATTTGCATCACTGTCTAACCAATCGTCAATTAATATTGTCAAATAATCGACCCATTTTTGCCTTTTTATTACAATGTTGTTTTTATCTGAATTTTGATTTTTCTCCACATTTTCAAGTTCATTACCTTCCTTTATCACTTTTTTAATACTTTCAAGTTTAATATTATTCATCTTTACCGAATTATTATTAAATAATATATCTGGAGCCTCGTTGTCTGCTCTAGCATGTATCAAGATGTCGAGGGAAGGAATCCCTCTTTTCTTTCTTTGGTCCCCAATTAAAAATGCCATATCTGGCAACAGCTCAACTCTGATATGGTTTACATCTTTGAACATTTCAGTTAAAATTTCGAAAGAGCGATTGTCTCTAGCTGCAAGGAATAACTCTCCTTTATGATTAGCAAAATTTTGTATGGTTGTCACTTTATTTGTTTGATTTTTGAAAAAGACGGTTTGAGGAAACATTACAACTTTATAATTAACAAAATCATTGAGTACAATGTGCCTTAATTCGTGATGATGTGAATATAAATCTCCAAAGTTGCCTCCACCATGGAAAATAACAGCTCTTTCTTGAGTTTTAGCATTAAATGAATCAAAAATTTCATTTGCATTATACTCATTCAATAAATGAACTACCTTAACAATTTTTATTTTTAAATACTCCAATAATATTAATGCACCTGTGAAAATGGCAGAATCGCCTCTGTTTGGATGATCTGGGAAACCAACAAATAAAACTTCTTTAATTCCAGTAAAAACTTGTTTGTAGTAACTTTTTAATTTGTGGGAATATTCTTCTATCAAATTTTTGCACGGATGCTCTATTTCCAATGAGTTGTATTTCAGTTGTAATGGAATATTTGTACTATTAAAATGATTATTATATTTGAATATATCTGTAACTCTATTATTTGATAGTTTATTATATTCTGGATAAGCCATAGTTATTGTACTTTTTTGCACAGGTTTTAACCCAACAACGCCTGAATTATATATATTAATAAGTTCTGCTGATTTAAAATTACTTGTATAAACTGCATTTTCTCCGAGTATTTTTGAACTATTAGAAGTCAAAGGACCAAAGTAAACTGGATCCCAGTATTTTGATGATATTGAGAGATCAAATTCAGAGATACACGTATTTGTAGATTCGTGGTTGCATGAATATGATGGAGGCCTCATTGATCCATTCAATAAATAATCCAAAAATTCCATTTTACTTGTATCATGCATCATATGAAACGTTACGGGTCTAAATCCTCTTTTATCAAATCCACTGCGATAAGAAATTTCAGGATTATGAAAATGGAAACCAGGAATGTGTTTTATAGATTTTTGCCCCACCAACTCCGTAACCAATAATGATAGGGAAGCATCTTCGAATGTTTTAAATTTCGATCCACCATTGTTGCAGATATCTAAATATCTCTGTCCATTTTTTATAAATAACTTGGCCAAAGAATTACTCATTAAATACCCTGCGCCGCCTCTAATGCCTTTTATAACTTCACCATGATATTTCCAATGCAGATTATTTGACCTCCCACTAATCGAATTAACCAATGAATCTTCTAATGTTAAGTAAATTTGGCCACCAATTAATATATTGTCATTTGAGTTAAACACACTTAATTCATCAACTAAGCTTGATAAAATCACAAAAGTATCGTCATCAAGTTTCATGTACCACTTCTTTTTTGGCCAATTTCTAACCATCCATTCATAAGATGCAAGAGTTTTACAACAAAGGTTAAGATAATTTTCTTCACAATTAGGTATCATAGTTGGTATATCGGGATGCTTTTCTGACGAAATCAAGACATAATTACTCGAATATTGCTGATTATTACTATTTCTACATAAATGCCTTAACCAGCTATTTTTTAAATCTTCTACTCTACTTTTAAAGTATTTGGGGGCCGACAAAATTGCAAATCCAATGTCACAAAGCGAAATTTCAAGATCCTTATAATCCATTTTCATATTTGAATTTGTATAATCTTGAAAAATTTCGTGATTTTTTTCTTTTGTTCCAAATCCTTTATTTGACAATTGAAGGAATACTCCGTAAAATATTTGATCATTATTCAGAGTGTATGTACTCAAATGAATTATAATAGATGAATAGCCAAGGAAAAGGAAAAGTGACTTTAAAGATAAAATTCTCATATTGAAATGATAATTTAATAAGAAAAATTTTTTATAAAGTAACATTGCACTTTCGTTTTAAAAAAACGGCATTTTGTTATGTGGTGCATATGCATTTTACTATGTGGATTAAAAGCTCCACATAATAAAAAAAAATTAAAAAACTAGAATTGATAATTAAAAAATTAATTTATTAATTTAAAAAACTTTGTTTTTTAATCATTTTTTTCAGACTAGCTCTTGTTTCGAAAACTTAAGATTTTTTAGATTCATCAAGTTTAACACTCAAGTCATTAACTAATTTGAACATACTATCCAACTGTTGTTGTAAAAGTTTGTTTCGTTGTTTTTCTTCCATTAGCTCCTGCTTAATTTGCTTGTTTTTTTCATAAACACTAAAGTATTCGTCTTCCAATAGTTTTTTATCATGTAGGACTTGCTTAATTTCTTCTTGTAAAGGATTTATTATTGCAAGCTGACTTGCGCAATTAGAGTTGGATAAAATTGATGGAATCAAATATGGCAATTCTTGCTGATTATAAATTACTTTTCCATCATTAACATGCTTGTCCCCAATGATCAATTCATTAACACCGTTACAGACAGAAAGTTTAAAATATTTATTGGCATCAATTGATTTCTTTGTAACGTTTTCATTGGATACTTTGTTATTTTCAATATGATCAACGATATATTTGTATTGAGAAATTCGAATGTCATATTTTTCGATCATATCTCTGTGAACTTCATTTACTTCTTTTAATTTGTTTTCCAATATTTCGTTTTCACTTCTATCTTTGGCTGATTTTTTTTTTAAGTTGTCTATTATCATTTCGAATCGTTGGAGTTCATTTGAATGCCTTCTTCTTAATTCGCTGAGTTGATGTTCCAATGTACTTATTCTAGTAATATAAGGCTTGTAATTATTACCTTCTATATCTTTTAAATTAGATAATTTTAGCCGAAGTTCTGAAATCTCATTTTGATAAGTTTTCAGAGATTCAATCCTATTTGCTTCGCCAATAGCCAATGCATTTTCAAGTTCTACTATTTTCTCTTGTAGAGACTTAATCGTATTTGATAGTTCCTTATTAGCGTCTTCATTTAGTTTTAAATTCAGATTGAGATTTTGTAACTCATCTATTTTTAATTTATATTGGGTTTTTGAATTCTCAAGTTCGTTAATATAGCTGGCCATTGATTTTTTTTCAATTTCTAATTTAGAAAGTTTGGAATTAATCGAATTTATTATTCTTGTTTTCATATTAACTTTTTCTTTAAGTTCAATTGATTCACTTTTCATTTTTTCCAGTTCATTTTCCAGTGAATTATTTTTGTCTTCAAGCTTGGAAATTTTTTGAAAAACAGTTAGTGGATTTAATTGTGAGTTATTCGAATTTTCATCCGATTCGCTGTTTAAATAATTTCTGGTTTCTGAATTAACTTCTTGAGGGGTTTCCTGTGGCTCAATACTCGATATATTACGACTGTATATGCTAGGATCATTCTTAAAATTATATTCGTGTTTGGCATTTGAAATTTCGATTAAATTTTCAGGTATTGCTGATTGAGAAGTCAAAGAGTTAGTTTTCTTCTCATGTTTTTTCTCACTGTTAGAAAAACTTAGCTCATCTTGTAAATTTTCAGAGCTAGAGTTGTCAAGATCTAGTAAGTTGCAATCAATATTTGATTTAACGTCGCCTGTCAAAATCTTTTCATTTTGTGTTGGCTCATTAATTATTTCATTAAAACTCAAACCATCAGGTTGAATATTTGAATCTCCAAGCATAGCACACACTTCATCCGAATTATCGTTTAGATTCAAGCTACAAATCGGTGGGGTTTCAGAATTATTCGTTTCATCTGTAAAAACATATTCTGTTTGACGCGTCTCTCCATATGTGCTTTTTGAATTATTAATAACTTGAGAAAAGCTATTATTATCATCATAAAACTTATCAATATTATCGATTGTGTCAAATTCTCCAGAAAAATAATCATACTCGTTCTTTTCTTGGTACGATTTATCTTGTTGATATGATTTTTCCGAGATAAAATTGTTCTGAATTGAGATATTGCTTGTCATACCTTTTAAGCCGGTCGCTAAATCCCCAACAAGCATACTTGCACTTGACTTAATATTGTTGGCTTTTTCAGAAACGTGATTTTTCTCTGCCCAATTAACAATACTAGTGGATATTGAAGATCCTGAGTTAAATACATAAGAAGCATCTCTAGTGTTGTTTTTCACAGCTTCTTCAATAGAATTCCCAACTACGTCCTTAATAACTGATACTTTATCAAACGCATTTTTGATAATGGATTGCATGTGTAAAAGTCCATTGCATTACAATTTTATCACAAAAAAAAAGAAATCAAATCAATTATTTAAAAACGGGCGCCTTTTTTTGTATATATATAAATGTTACTTGTGAATTATTAAAAAGTAAAATTCTTCCATCTAGAAGACAATTATGTCTCATAGATATGCTAAATACTCTATAATTGTTAGAATATTATTCAAAATCTCTATTCTAAATTTTATTATTTCGAAATTGCCATCTGTTTAATAAATGACCAAATACTACAAAACATAGATTTTACACACAACTAAAAAAGAGTATATGCAATGAACATAAAAATAATTTGTTTGTTTTATTTTTTGTAAATAAAATATCTGGCAAAAATATCGTTTCAAAAGTTGTATATTAGTAATTTAATTAATGTTATATCACAAATTATTGCAAATAAGCGCTAAAATAGACATTTTGCATGCATTAGACAAATTCATAACAGCAAGAAAAAAGTAGAAAATATTATGAAGGTATCATTATAGTTCCTTAATAAATATTGCAACAATGCAAAGATCTTCTTCATTAATAAGGCCATTAAAATCTGGCTCATTCATAAAAGAAAGAGTTGAGCATAAAAAGACAGATGATTTACCAGCATTTAGTCCTATAAATATCAATGCGTCCTCCCATACAAAATCAAGTTCAAAATCACAAGCTTCCAAGCCCAAAAAATACTTCATTATTTTTATTGTATTTGCGCTTCTCATTTTTGGTAAGTTATTGTTAATTCAAGATTAATTATTGTTGATTAATAATAGTTAATTTTGTATTACTTAGAAGATTTTTGTAATACAATAACTAAAATCAATCAATAATTGTAGATAAGATTCAATAAAAATATTAACAAAATTTACTTCAGGCATTATTTTACATCGTATTTTCTTAACAATAAGTTTTTCATATTTAAAGTCAAATACAAAAAATTCAATCAAAACACGTTCAGGTACGTTCTTTTCTTTTAAAATGATTTCTTAAAACTTCTTATTCAACGCTCTGTTCTAAATTCGATAGATTCGAACGATAATATAAGTCATTCTGATCAACCAGATCTTAATACAAATATGGTTATTAACCCACCAAAGGATGAAAAACAACTGAGTAAAAATATCAGAACACAACCATCAAACAAGCAAGCTACCATACCTGTTTCTAGAAGTGGTACGGCAAAGAAGACAAATTTAAGAAGAAAAATGTCTGAAGAAGAACTTCAGAATGAGTACGAATACGAACTTTTAGCTAACCCTGTTCTTGAAAACCTTGATGAAGAAGGAATTAAGCAAGCTATTGAAGAAGGAAGGATAGAAGAAGCAGTTCAGGAGGCAGAGGAAATAGAAGAAATTCTAGAAGAGTTAGAGGAGATCAGAAGAGAAAAGCAACAAAGATTCTTCAGAGGTAGAAGGAATTAATATTAAATTATAAACTATTCGCGCTAATAACTTATTCCTTATTATATAGTTTCCAATATATAAATAATCATTTCAATTACTAATCTGTTATTAGGGATTTGTCTAATCACTCAAATGAACTAATCTTACATTAATTCTAAGCATCAAAGTTTGTGATTCAATCACTAACCAGGAGATTTAAAGGTAAAATTAAACGCTGATACTAAGAGCTAAGAACGATGATGTAAAAGGTTGGTGGCGGACCACAAATGAGAATAAACAATGTAATTTCTTCATGTACATAAATATTGAGTATTACTCATTTTTACCAAAAAATTAAATTAATCCTTACATTAATTCCAATCAAATTAATTACTTCTCATAACAGGTGCTGATCTTAACTCTGGAAAAAGAGCATTTTTGTGTTCAATTGTTAGATTAATTATAAAATCAAGCTTTTAATATAATTATAGGTAACATTAGATAATATATGCCTAAGCAAATTTTCATTACGAAATCTTAGAAATTAGCCGGTTTATTCCGTAAAGCCATTGATATTTTCATTCTGACCCACGACTCCAGAGCCTGAACTTTGGTCTCCATCCATCCTATGTTTGGCTGTACCATGATTTGTTTCGGCAGTTTCCATCCAGCGAGCATCGGGATGATGAATTGAAGGGACGGTACTGGTTCTATTTGACCCACCCATTATACTCCCCCATAATGCACCTGTATTACTATTAGCTGCGGAATTTGCCTCATTCGTTTGTTGTTCAATTGTATTTGGAACAGTAATGTTATCCTCTCTTATAGCGTGACCTGCATGTGATAATGAAAGAGAATGCTGCCCTGCCGCAGTTCTAGAATTAGATGCCCCACCAGTATGGCTTTGAGGTCTATTTGTGTGAACAGTTGCTGCATAATTTGTCACTGCTCCTCCAGTTACATGTGCGCCAGTTGCGTTAGTTGCAATTGTGTACTGGTCAACTATATCAGTGAAGCCGAGTTGCTGGCAGGCCTGTAGAAGTTGCTCTTTTCTTTGAATAAGAGTCTTTTCCATAACTTCGTACTCCGAGTTTGAGAGAACTTGTAGCTTGTTATAACTATGGAACCAAGGGATAGTATCAAGACTCTCATCATCGATGCTTGGCGCCAGTTTAACACTCATATCAACTGTACCAAATGAAGAAAGTACTGCATCACGCTCCACAAGAACCTCTGGTACAGATGCAGAACACATGAATGCATTACGGCCCATTTTCTTAAGAATTCCAATTCCTTCCAAAACATTCGTTATGTCATAAAGTCTTCTCCTCTGTACATCCATATGGGCTTCTGCCGCAGCTAAATCAATAATTCTGCTTTCACCTTGTTCATAAAGATACTGAATAAATCGCTTAGTCATTAACACAAGGCCATTCTCAAATCTGACTGAGTGTCGTGCATCTTCAGTACTAAATTCATTATATTGAGATCCACTATGATGCGCGGCAGGAGTCCCCAACATACTAACACCGCCACTATGTTCTAAAGTTTCCATTCCATCATTGCCAAGAGACGGAATATGAGGGAGCAATGCTCCAGATGTTGGCATTCCTGACCCATCGATAGTATGATGACGGCCTGGGCTTCCCCCTCTCCTTTTATTAGCATCTGTAGAATCTCTTCTCCCTCTCATTCCGCCTAATGGGGTGGTTGAAGTTCTTTTCCTTGCTCTACCCCTGGAGTTAGTAACTGGACCAGCATTGGAAATATTCATGGTATTCGAAGCCGCAAAAGCCGCTGCCGCTGCAAGGAGCTCCGATTTGTTATCAGCGCTAATATTATTTCCACCACCGTAAATCATTTGTAGATGTTCTGCAGAATGATTAGATCCAGTATTGGAGTGGCTCAAATTTTGATTATTTTGTATATTTCCTGAATTAGGACCTGGAACCATGGGTGGTAACAAGTTTTGCAATTGTGAAACAAACTGATTGATATTACCCTGTGCACCATTTGAACTTCCTGTTGAAGAGACCAGGCTATTTAAAAGCGTTATGTTTTGGTCATTATTAGAGCCAGAACCCATGAGTAAAGGCAAAAGATAGGGAATAGAACTAGCCATATTGTTATTGTTCGTTGTATCTATCAAATTATTGGGTTCACATGAATTTGATGCATTAGGGGCGCCCCCTTTAATTCCATTAGAGTTGGATGAAACTGCGCCGTTTATTAAACCGAGAAGCTCATTTATCGTTACCGGGTCCGCTATTTGAGGAGGAGGATTGACTGAGGAGCAATTTACATCACCGCCAGAATTTGGAACAAGATAGCTCAACAAGGAAAGAACATCCTGAGTATTTGAATTTGTGTTATTATTACATCCGCCGGTACCATCATGAATTATTTCAGAATTTATTCCTGATACAATGTCTCCACCATTACCAGAATTAGTAGATGTTGATGAAGTTCCCATCATTTGTAGATTGTAAGGAACCTCGTTAGTCATTCTACTAAACAAGCTTTACTATCAACCTTAATCTGAACTTATCTTTAAAAACTTTTACGTGGAAAACTACAATATAATAAAGAAATATATATAAGAGCGGAAGCGGGATATGAAATGTAGCGCTTTATTATCCTCGTACTACATATATCAATAAATTTATTATATTAAAAGTATGTTAATTTGTATATAATAATAATAATAATAATAATAATAATAATAATAATATATTTCAAGTATTACTGTTAATATAGTTATTTAAACATAATATCTAATATATAATCTGTTCCCCATTAATATCTAGTTTACCTTATATATCCTCCCGCATTTAATGGATATACACATTTTTAATTAATTGAGCTATTTAAAATATTAGACGGTACTTGATGCGCCGCCCAACATGTCTTTGGCGCTTTTAAAGTGTGGAGAAAAATCTGTTAAATTTCTCAGATAAAAAGTATACTGTGGGTTTGATGCTAATGAAATTCACTGAATTCTAGGTGAAGTAAGACGCTCAAAATAAACTGATATTCAGCACTAAATGTTGACTATAGTTTAAGTCTTGGAAGGTTGTTTTGGATGGATATCTGTATTCACCTTCTATAGTCACGATATTCGTTCTTACTCTTGTTGTCATAATACATGTTTGAGCCAGTACTTCTTGATATGTTATATTTACTCGAATGCTCGCGTGAGCTTCTTGGAGGCGGCGAATTCCTTTTCCTATAATAGTTTGCGGAGTAGTTAGACGATAGGTATGTATGGTGTTGCGGTGAATGAGGAGGAGTTAAGTGCTGTGAGAGATTAGAACGGCTCCCGTTTGGGCCGTCTCTATTGTACCGCGAACTGCTTGAGTACCTGTAATCGTAATATGCTAATTCTCTATCTCTGTTGCGAGAATAACTATCATCTCTTGAATATTCGTATCTTCTTTTTTCATACTCGTCCTCTCTTTCACGTTCTTTCTCTCTTCTGTCATAGTGTGTGTTTGACGAGTACTTTTTGTCATATTCTTTAGAGTATTTTCGTTCACTTGAGTTTCTTATTTTCCATCTTGATCCATTTAGGCTATTTTCAGATTCTCTACTCCTAGATCTCTTGAATTTTCTTTCATCAACATTAAAAACTGAATCCGTATTAATAGAATTTGTTTCATTTATTTGTTTCCCCCTAGTTTCCGCACTTTTTGATGTGTTCTTTGTCTTGATATCTTCTTCAATAATCTTTTTTATCTTATCTACATTGTACGCCTTCCCAATTATTGCGTTCAAAGCACCACCTACCTCTGAAGATGAAGGAGCCTTGAGCCTACCTTGAAGTTTTTCGCGCAATTTTCTCGCATTTAAAGAATGGAATTGTTTTTTTTGACTAAAAATGGACATATCTAATTTATCAGGAATTACTTCATTGGGATCGTTTGAGTTCAGCCATGGGTGCTCCAAAGCTTGGCGTGCAGTTAATCTGTTTTCTGGTGAATATTGTAGCAACTGTAATAATAGATCTAATCCTTGCTGGCCAACCTTTTCTTCAACACGTGAAGTAAATTGCCTGAATTTAGATCCCATCCCTGAGCCCAAAATTTGTAAAAGTGGATTATTATCTTGATCATTCCACAAAGGCAGTTTTTTTAACTCAAACAGCATATCCGAAGGAGGAGAACCGAGAGTATCACCAATCGATTTCAATACCCCAGCTTCCGTTTCACTACAAAACAATGGTTGTTGTAAAACCAGCTCACCAAGTATACATCCAACTGACCACATATCAACAGGAGTATCATAGCACTGCGCACCCAATAAAAGTTCAGGTGGTCTGTACCAAAGTGTGACAACTCTGTTGGTGAGCATCCTATTACGACTATTGAAGACTCTTGCAAGACCAAAATCTGCCAATTTAACAACTCCATCTCCCGAAATTAACAAATTTGCGCACTTTATATCTCTATGAATTGTATTATTTAGGTGGCAATACTCTAAACTTGAAAGAAGTTGTCGAATAATTACCTTAATATCTATTACTTTAATTACCCTACCTTCTAACTTAAGGCCTTCTATATAGCCTGAAAGATCATATGGTAAGTACTCAAATACCATCCAAATAGATCCTCTATTTGGGGAGTTTGACTGTAAATGCGCAGAAACCCCATTAATCGGATTTCCTTGTGTATTATGTTCGTTCAAATCATTATGAGGCCTTGAAAAAACTACTCCATACAATTCGACAATATTCTCATGTTTTAAGTTCGTTAATAAAACTATCTCCCTAATTGCTGTCTTCGAAAACCCGTCTCTACTTTCCTTTGAAATTAGTTTTTTTAAAGCAACATGTCGTTTCTTCGTTAAGTCCTCAGCAAGCCAAACGTCTCCAAATGCACCTTGACCTATACGCATAATTTTCACATAAGAACTCAAATAGTTTTCGAGTACCATTATGTACTTTATACAAGAAACAATAATTGAAAGCGAAAACTTGCTTCTTATACAAAAGCAGTACTTAATTAAATCAAATTTACCCTTATAAAAATACAAATATATTGCAAGACTTAAATCATTTTAGTAAAAAAAATTTGCTATAAAATTCTTTTAGTACATTGGCGGTATTATATATTAGAATTAAAAAAACTAGTTAAATTATATAGTAAAAATTAACAGGAGCCTTACTTTCTTCTTTTTGACAATCTCCAAGCATTTGGATCTTCATATTTGTTGTATAATGGCTGAATTTTTTCTTTTTTTTTCCTCTTCGAGAGCTGATCTTGGTCAGCAAATTGAAACAAATTAGGAGCAAAATCAACAAGCCAATGAGGCTTAATAGTGCAACAGTCTCTTATATACTCCTTTGAAGTAAAAACTAATTCATGGTAAAGCACCCATTCAGGTGATTTATTAAATAGTGTGCTAGACGGATGTAAGTAAACTTGTTGATTGTCAACTAAATTTCTATATCCTTCTTGAGAATCTTTCTTACACGAGTTGCTAAAAAATCCAGCACAAATAGCTTTCCTTATTTTATCATGATCGTTTTCTGCAGAAATTATGTCTAGTTTATATTTGTCAAAAATATTAATTAACTGTTTGCGAACATCCTGCGCTCCCTTGAGTGCTCTTGACTGAAGGAAATTATCATAACACCACGGAACGGAGTACCTTTGCTTTTTCCAAGAATTATAAACATTTAGATATGTCAAATGATCGCCATGTGGATGATAAAATTTAGACTTCTTTCTATCTGCCTGAGCTTGTTTATCTTTAGGCCTATAAAAAACATTCTGTACAGAAAGCATAGAAGTAATTGTTATTATTTCATCTGAGCAACCCAAATCAACTGAAGAAAGAACCATTTTGCTCAGCTTCGGTTCCATTGGTAACTCCGCCATTTTTCTGCCTAGCCTAGTTAAGAAGCCTTCTTCGTCAAGTGCCCCAAGTTCGAATAGAGTTTCCAAAGCAATTAATAGAGTCGTAGTAGGTGGAGGATCCATAAAATCGAAATTAAGTAAATCATTAACTCCTAATGCTTTTAGGAGTAGTACTGTATTAGCAAGATTAGTACGTTGTATTTCAGGAACAGTAGTTGGGAGCATTTCTGTATTGAAAGCAGCCTCAGTGTACAATCGATAACACTTTCCTGGCCCAGTTCTCCCAGCTCTTCCAGATCTTTGTTTTGCACTAGCTTGAGAAATTGGTGTGACTGTGAGACTGTCCATTCCTGTTTTGGAATTAAAAACCATCATTTTTGAAAACCCTGGGTCAACTACGAAGAATATCCCGTCAATAGTAAGGGATGCCTCCGCAATATTTGTTGCAATAACGCATTTCCTACAACCAGGAGGAGCGTCTTCAAAAATTAAAGATTGAATTTCACTAGGTTGAGATGAGTATACAGGTAATATAATTAATGGAGGGGGCTTCATATTTTCTAGTCTTTTCATTCTTTCGTGTAGAGTCTGACAAGCATTATCAATTTCTTCCTGGCCTGTTAAAAATACCAAAATATCTCCGGGAGGCTCGCGCAAATGAATTTGAAGTACAGTAACTAGTGTTGCTTCTACATAATCTTCCACTGGTTCTTTGGAATACAAAATTTCAACGGGGAAAGTTCTTCCAGGAATAGTAAAAATATTACAATTCATGAAATATGCAGAAAACTTGTCTGCCTCGAGAGTAGCTGATGTCACAATTAACCTGAACTTTGGGCGTTTTCTACATGTTTCCTAAAAAGAAAGTTATAATATATATTGGAAAATTAACATTTAGCAGTCAATCATTGTATCATTGGTATCTGTCCAATATTACATTCTCAATAATTATTAGTCATCAGTCAATGATAAAGCTCAATTTAGTTTATGTTTCAATACATTAACAATTGAATACTAAATCAATCGTCAAGCTACCATTCTATATAAAAACAAGTAGCAGTAAAATTGAAACAGTTAATTTACATGACTACTTAAATGTCCAAATAAATTAAAACTTACCTTTAAAAGCCCAAACAACACGTCTGTCGTTATTGTTCTTTCATGTGCTTCATCCAACATAATTACGCTGTATTGTGATAAACAGTTATCTGACAAAGCTTCTCTAAGAAGCATTCCATCTGTCATATATTTAATTCTTGTTTCTGGTGAAGTAATGTCTTCAAATCGAATTGCAAATCCAACCTTTGAACCCAGTGTACAACCCATTTCCTGCGCAACACGTCTGGCTATTGAGGTTGCAGCAACTCTTCTTGGCTGAGTACAACCAATTATTCCTCCATCCTTGCAGAATCCTTCTTCATATAAATATTGAGTAATTTGAGTAGTTTTACCACTACCTGTTTCTCCAATCACAACTATTACCTGATTATTTCTTATTGCTTCAACTAGTGAATCCCTCATTGGATAAATAGGTAAATTTTTTCTCTGATCTGATATAGAAACATTAATATTCTTTTTACCAAAACCCAAACTTTTCCCCAAATATTGGCGTTTCCATTCTGGTGTAGTTTGAGAGTTCATTCCAATACCCCGTAATGCACTTGCGATCGTTCTCTCTCCTGCTTCTGGATTTGGGTCTTCCCAAGGTCTACTCATATCCCTAGGAATACTGTCTAGCAACGCCTTTTCTTGAAATTCTCGAATTTCTCTTCGTTCTCTTGCAATGTTAGATGCTAGTTCAGCCGCCTTATTCAAACTTCCTTCTGGATTTACCACAACTTGTATTGAAGAGTCAACACTAAACTTTTTAACTGACTGCCCTCTAAGAAACAATGGCTCGTAATTTCTGAGCTCAATTTCGGTAGACACTTCTACATTTTGTGAGTCCATTGTATCTCTAACGGTCTCACAAATATCATAAGGAATCTTATCTCTTGAAATAACTCCCGAATTAAGAAGTTGCATAATTTCCCACTTCTCATAATCATTAGGTATTCCCTCTTGTTTATTGTTAGAGTATTGAGATTCTGTATTACGGCTTTCAACCAGTTTAATACCTGAAATTGCCCCAAATCCTTTCTTAGCATGAATGTCTTTCATTCCAAATCCAGAAGAAATTGTTTCACTTTGGCATTTATTTCGTCTGTTAATGTCTTTATAATTAGGGTCCTCCTTTCTAAGAAGTTCCAGAGCACGTTTACTTAATGGTGCCTTTTCATTTGGCATCGCAAAGCACAAATTATCATTTCTATTCAAATTCGTTTCTGGAAGTGGCGAACATTCATTGTTTATTTTCTCCGACCTAGATTCACCTCCATTTATTATGGAATATATATCATCTAATAGCTTGTTCGAAACTTTCTCCCCATTAATACTTAATATCTTTTCATTAAACTCCTCAAATGACTTACTTTCTTTTCCGATATGGCACAAATATTCGGCAAGATCTCTGTCATTAGTTTTCCATTCTTCAAATATCCTCTCTTGAACTTTATTGAGTATTCTAAGGTGCTTTAGCTCTTCCATAAATACTCAAGTGTTTAAGAATTCAAACTTCACTATTTAAGCGCGCATCATTATTGATCTCGTAGATTTCTCCTAATGTCATATTCATTTTATTTTCTGTATCACTCAACATTATGCTCTTGTTTATTGAGTCCTCAACGTATTTACTAATGCTGATATTTAATTTATCTAACACTATTATGCATTCTTCTGATACATTGTTTAATTCTCTAATACAATTTTCGTTTTTAGCCTTTAACTCTTCAATTTTTTCTAAGAATATTTCTGCTTTTTCTCCGTTTAGTGGTTTTAAATGACGCATTTCAGAAATTAAATTATTTGTGCACTCGAATCCTGTCGAAATATAATTCGCTCTGTAAAGTATATCATGTTTTGCAGCATTCAACTCTTCGCCTTCCTCTAACTGCAAACTAGAAGTTACCTTAGGCGCAAGATCTGGTAATAAATACAACGCGTCCTGAAGTTAATTCGTTAAAAGCAAGTATAGTTAATGGGAAATCGATAATAATACATCTAAAACTCACAGTCAAACAGTGCAAAATATTATTTAAAGTAGTTTGGAGTTTTGTAATTTTATCATTACTACTTGGAGATGGAATAGGTGCTCTATTAGAAAAAAACATAATCCAAGCAAATCGCAAATGCTTCCAAATTAAGTTAAATTAAGATACTTTCGACTAAGCCTAAAATCAATGCTAATTAATCTTTCGGTTCATTTTTTGCTTGTTTGCCCAAAAAATATTATATATATATGTTTGAGCGGCACTGTGACGGCGCTTAATTGTACTATTTATGTCGTCTCTTTAAGAGACAAATTAAATTTTATATATATATATATTAAATTAAGTTTAACACAATTCTTAACTAGCGGTAGACCAATCATTTGAAATTCTATAATTCAGTTAGAGTTTGTCAATATTGATTTAACTCATTTAATCAAATTATCTTTTTTGTTTTTTGAGAGTAATTACGACTGAAAGATGGGTTCAGGTAAGTGATAAATTATCATCACTTTTGTTTTTTTCTGAAATACTTTACTTCTTAATCAATAGGAAAACCAAAGGGTATCAATACTGCACGTGAACTTCGCACACGTCGTAGAACTCAGAAATGGGCAGATAAACAGTACAAGAGAGCGAACTTAGGTACAAGATACAAGTCAAACCCATTTGGAGGTGCTTCTCATGCCAAGGGAATTGTTGTGGAGCGTTTTGGTATAGAGGCAAAGCAGCCAAACTCTGCTGTTCGTAAATGTGTTCGTGTACAACTCATTAAGAACGGCAAAAAAATCACAGCATTCGTTCCACGTGATGGTTGTTTGAACTACATTGACGAAAATGATGAAGTACTAGTAGCTGGTTTTGGTCGCAAAGGTCACTCAGTTGGTGATATTCCAGGAGTGCGTTTCAAAGCTGTGAAGGTGTCCGGAGTATCATTGCTTGCATTGTTCAAGGAAAAGAAGGAAAAACCTAGATCTTAAATCTATATAGACAAGTTGACTCTATTATAGTAAGAAATAATGTCGATATTAGGTTCTTTTAGGTTTAATCAAATAACTTTCTTTTAATCTCTAAAATGAAGTTTTAGACGTCTATTTGCATTCTAATACCTATCCGTGATAATTGTTTAACAAACTTATCCGCTCCCACGGACCTGATTAATTCATGTAAAAATGCAGTTAGAAGATGTTGTACTAACCAAGTGCTCGATTATTGTAATCAAGTGTAGGCCATTCTTTCATCTCGTCATTAACATCCTGATGCTGTTCGTGTTTGATATTGTTACCGTCTTTATAATCATCTGTATTCTTATTAGAATTATATAATGGAGGGAGTTTCTCAGGTACATCATATGCCGATATTTGAGATCCAACTGGGAGCACATAATCCCTAAAGTTTTCGCTTATTTTCCTATAAACTTCTTCACAATCTTGCCTGGAGTTTAGATTCTCCATGTTTGAGGTTCTAACTGCCAGAGAAAAATCAGGGCCAAAGTATCCATAAAAATTTGATGAATTAGGAAGTTGTTCGTCAATATATGTGTCAACTATCAAACTTGTTTCATAAGTCCAACACTTTGGAACATTTCTAAGTGTGTAGCCACCACCTCCCAAAATCAGCATTGGAACATTAAATTTCTTTAAAAAAGAAACGGCATGTCCATGTCCCTTTAGTGACAAATTAAAACAACCCAGTCTATCGCCAGATAATGAATCAGCTCCGCATTGTAAAACTATCGCCCCAGGTCTGTATTTTTCCATTACCAATGTCATAACTTTAGTAAACAAGTCGATAAAAGTTGCATCATCAACCCCATCTTTCAAAGGAACGTTTACAGAATATCCTAAACCTTCTTCAACACCCACATCATTAAGTGCTCCAGTTCCAGGAAAATAGTCACCGTATTTGTGAAATGAAACGCACATACATCTCGGAGAAGTGTAAAAAGCTTCTTCAACACCATCGCCATGATGAATATCAATATCAACATAACATACCCTGTGTTGATATTTCAAAAACTCTAAAGCACCCAGTACGCAATCATTAACGTAGCAAAAGCCACTCGCCTCGTGTTTTTTTCCATGGTGAAGTCCCCCTGCCCAATTTATCGCATACTGATACCCAAATTCATTAACAGATTGAGCCCCTCCAAGTGACCCTCCAGCAGATAACTGGCAAAATTCCCACAAACCATCAAATACAGGGCAATCTTCACCTACGTTGAATCTAGCTAGCTGATCAGAATAGTCATGCATATTGTCAGTATTAACGTTGCGTAAAAAATCTACATAGTCATTTGAATGAAATCTTGTTATAGATTCGACTGTTCCAGGTGTCGGTACCATAACATCCACTTTTTCTAATAGGCCATATTGAGAAACAAGATCATGAGTCATTCTAACTCTATGTGGTTTCATTGGATGGCCCAACCCATAGTGGAAATTTCCAACTTCTTCATCATAAAAATATGCAATCCTCTTTTTGGCTCCCATTGAAATAAATATATCTTTAATCTACCTTTCTATATATATGAATATATACATATATATCAATTTTTAATATTATTAAGAAGAAACTAATATTTTTGTATTTTCTTATATCTTTCTTGTAATCTAATTCAGATAAATAATTGGTTTAAGTTGAATTATTGTTTTGCTACTCACACACTTTTTCAGTAATATAATATACTGAATCCCCTAAATCTTATGATTAAGTTATTAATGAAATTACCCAAACCAAATCTACCAATTAGAATTGAATATTTAATTACCATATATACCCTCCCTTTAATTATGAGAAATACAATAGTGTCAATTTTAGTTATAAAATACAAGGTAAAAAAAATGTTGGATGTTCCCGCCTAAATGTTTTTTAAAGAGGCTAATATTTTAAACTGATTGCCACTGTAAGATACAAGACATTTTATTATTAAGAAGTCCTTGTCAATAACAGTTCCCAAAAAGATTTAAATGTTTAAATAGCCTAAAGGTACTTCATGATCTGACTAATCATTAGGTATTTGTTTAACATTTTATGCACGAATTTCCCTTACATACATGTTCCTTTTCCACCCCCCATTTTTTTTGCAAGATCCAATTTCCGTAAAATTGACAAGAATAACCCAATTTTAGAATTTTAGTTCATTCATTAGATTAATGGTTATGGCCTAAATTATCCGAGATGAAATTTAAGGCCACTCTTTTACAAAGAAAGTCTAGTATACTCTTAGAAAGTATACAAGGATTTGTGAAGACGATGAAGGGACTACCGAATAAACAAAACAATCGTTTTTATATTAAGTTTGAAAAAAACTCACTCATTTTATTGCTAACAAGCTACTGCAATTGGGATGAACAAATTGCAGATGTATCTTGCAGATTAAAATATGAAGATATTTTTTTTTCAGAACCGGTAATAGAAAGTAAAAATGAAAATATTATCGGAATCAGTTTAAACCCTGAGACTTTGATTCTTCCCCTAAGATCTTCAATATTAGCAAGAGAAACGACGCTGCGGCTCAGCAAAAGAGACTCACAAAATGTTCTATCATTTTCAATGATAATTGAAACGAAAAAAATGAGTACATTTCAACTAACTCATGATTGTAAAGTTGATGTTTTGAAATCAAAGATAACAAATAACTTAATACCTTTGGGTGAAGACAAGAAAAGATTTGCAAATGAAATCCCGAATACACATTTTTCTTTGCCCCCACCAAAATCCTTGTTAAGATTACTTGAAAAAATGAAATTAGTTGATTCTAAGTATGCAGAAATTGAAATAATTCAAGACTGTAACAATAAAACACAAACTAATCATGGTGAAGGACCCAAATCCCCAACTTGCCACTTTATCTGCACTTCTGATAAGTCTTTAAACTCCACTGTTTCAATAAAAACTTCTTTCAATAATTGCATTGTATTTCATACTGAAAACAACGATGACTCCAGGATGATAATTTCTCAGGATCAGAACAATCCAATCGATCAGAAACGGCCATTCAGAGTTTCTGCTGCATTTGATATTAATCACTTAATGTCTGTATTACAATTATCCACTAATATATCAGACTCATATTGTGTTGCCACAATAACTCAGAACAAATTTTTATCTATGTTGATATTTTTCCCTAGCATTGAATCGCAAATATCTGTATTCTTGGCATCAATAAATACTGCCAATACTGACTGAATAATTTAAATAGGAACTAGAAGCATTAATTAATATTCACTGCTCCAAATTTATATTTGGGCCTAATCCTATCCTATGATAATAGAATTATATATGAAATCATCTTAAAAAATTTATCTTGAAAAAAAAAAATGTTATGAATCTGATATTGTGTCAGAGAAATATCACTTTAAAATAAGAAATGGATTTAATAGTAGATTACCCTATATCCAGAGATTTTCACAAGATTATCTTGACTTTGTAACAAGGGAAGTCTTCTTGCATCTAGATTCAGTTGAACCGCTTCTTTTAGAGGACTTGCATGCACCCATCGTTGTATTTGAACACTTCTTAGTTAGCTTTGAGGATGTTTTTTCAGTCTTTAAAGTACTTTTCAAGTCAGTTTTACCGGATAATTTTCTAACTGGTGTTTTTTTTGATTTAATAGTTCTTGAAACTGGTTTAGTTGTTTTTTCAATTTTTTTTACTAATTTAACTGGAGAAGGGGCCAAGCTCACTTTTGTTTTAGTTAGAACTGTATTTTTTTTTGTTTTAGTATTTTTTGTTGGTGCGGCTTTGATTTCTCTTTTTATCACCGAATTTTTTGTATTAATCTTGGATGCTTTTGATATGTTTTTATTTACTTTAGTGTTTCTTGAAAGCTTTTCTGATTTTGCATTCTTTGATATCTCTTTTTTGATTACCCTTTTCATTCCAGAACCAATCATCTTTGATTTTCCTGCAGGTTTCTGAGTTGCTTTTTTTGTAGTTAAACAACTCTTTACACCAGAAGAACATCTTTTAATATCGTTTTTTTTAGTTGAAACTTTTGTTGAGCATTTTGACTTGCAAACCATTTTGATAGTATTATCTCAAAATATTATAAAAATTGATAATATTATGTATAAATATACAATCTCCTATCTTTACAATTACGGTAGTAATTTAGAATTAAATTACATACGTAACGTTCTTTTTCTATTCTTCTTGTAGACTGTAAATTCTGTCGCTTATTTACAAAAAAAAAAAATGTAGATCTTGTAGAGTATTTACAGATATTTTACAAATTTGTTGTGTGTTTCAATTTGTCAAAATTTAGAAATATCAAGAGAACATTTATAAACGTTTCAAATACTGAAATCACTGTTTTAGTCACCACACACCACAAATCCCCCACTTAACAAAAATATTACATGTTTTAAATGATTATTTATTCAAAATTAAAACAAGCAACAGAAAAATATTAAGTCAAATTTATTGAATTGAAATTTATAATATAGATCTTAAAAACTTTAATTAAAATTTTATGTCAATATTGACCATTCAATAATATAAAGATTTAGTCAATATTCGAAAATAACTAATGTTTTCTCATATTATATTTGCAAGGGACCGTTTCTAATTAGTTGCTTTTTTAATTCAATTCTGTTGGATTTTTGACAATATTTGAAACAATTTCTTACAGAAATTTCTTGTAATTTCCCTATTATAAACTAAATTATTATTATTAAATTCGTTTTTGGTGAATGTGAACTCTTCTCTGTACGTTGATTCATCAAATGTTATGCAATAACTCATATTTCCTGACAGATTGATTTCAATATAAATATTTTTATTATTGACTTTAATTATTAGTGAATGTTTGTTGCATTCATTAATTGTATTTAAACTATATTTTTCCAAATTTATTTCAATTACTTGGGTGTCTAAAAATTCAATTTTTAAATAAAATAAAATAAAATCAATAAATAATTTAGGTCCAATTGATGCTAGATATAACATAAAATTGAAAAAGACAAAGTTTTGAATTCTATACTCAATAATTTTGAATATATCACTAGGATCAATATTCATCTCAGTTACTTTTAAAGGAATTACTTCTTTGTTATTAACAAAAAATTGTAACCAATAATAAGGTTGTCCATAAATATCGTTCGGCAATATATCCATGGTTTCTTCATCAATTAATGGAATATTTTCACCACTGTCTTTTTCAAACAAAATATCTGAAAAAATATGATACTTTAGCTGTTTTTCTGTATTAAAAACGACAGAAAGCAAAATAACCTCACGAGATGAGAGAGTATTCATAGTAGAAAATTCTAATTTAATGGGAAAAATGCTGACTAAAAAATCTTTATAATTTTGTGAAGCTTTGTCATCTACTAATTTTGATAATGGTTTATTGATACTAATAATAACTTGGCCATACTCATCAACAGTTACATGAACGACTTTATCATTATCATTTTTAGAGTTGATTTTATCCATAAAAGAATTGAAATATATGTAAATTGGTCTCAGATATTTGTGTAATTCTAGTAACGTATCTGGACAAAAACCTTCACTATTCTCACCTTTTGAATCATCTAAAAAATTAGTGAAAATTTCAAGGCTTTTTTTAAGTGGTTCAATATGTTTGTTTAGCTCTTCCTCTTGATGATTCATGGATTTTGACTCAGTAACCAATTCGGAATATTTTTGTTTTATTGACTCAAGTTCTACCAATTTTTTTTTTCTATCTTCCAAATCAAATTCTAATGTCTTAATTACTTTTTCAAAAGATTCAGTACTAGATAACACTAAAGAATTTAAATCTTCGTTTTCATCAACATTTCTGTGGTAATACATTTCAAATGCAGGGTGAATGTTGTTTTCAAAATTATTTGAGATAATGTTGATAAAATTTTCTCTCACCTTGCATTCATCAATGCAGAGATTATTTTCGTAAAATTCTTTAACAAGATCATCATTGATTTTGTTATCAATTTCTTCCAATGAAATAGACAATTCACGCCAACTCTTTCGGAATGCTAAAAGTTCTTGAAAAATATCATATCTACAATTGTTTTCTAAAAAGTCGTAGTTTAAAATATGATTCCTCAGAGACTTTAGAGACTTTATTACTGGTTCTGATAGCTTTTCTCCTATTTCATTATATTCAGACATTTATTTTTTAATATTCAACAAATAATTATCGTGACCATTTCGATTTACCGCCAAAAATTTTTTTATTAAGAATAACGAAATAATTTACATGTTGATTTTATAAATATTTCGCCAACTATTTCCAATCAAAAATTATATATAAAAAAATATTCAATAAACAATAATCATTTATTTTTAAGAGTTTGCTGATATTCAATCATTAGTTTCTATATTAACTAGGATTTAATGTTCTAATAAAATGTTGTTGTGACAATAAATTAATTGAGAATTCAAATTAAAATACGGATATTAATAATTAAAATAGATTAATTAATTAAATAAAATTTTAGAACAAATAAAAATCAAATTAACAAAAATGAGAAAAAAAGTTTTCCGGCGCAAGATTAAACTCGAAAAAGAGTATTGGTATGAATAGTCAATATGTGATGGGTCAATTTACCTCACCATTTTCTCCTAGAGAGTATTTGAATTAGAAATAAGAAGCCAAATAATATATTTTAAAAATGCTAATATGAAACCATGGACCTTGGAAAGTATTTTTCAGGTTTCTTTACACATTCTTTAACAAGATCTGTAAATGAAAACCAAGGTTCATTTGAAGATAGAGAATCATATTTTTTGTTGGTTTTAAAAAGAAATAATGATGGAGACAAAATATATAAAGGACTGAAGGAAACCAATGAGTTTAATATATATGAACTTAATGATTTAAATATTCCTAGAAACCTTATTTATTTAGTTATTTCATTGAGATTTACTAACGAAAAAATTTCGATTAAAGCTGAAGAGTTACAACCAAACAGAAATGATAACTTATTTTGGGGTGATTGGCCACCTTCTTACTCTTGGGTTTTTTTTCTTGGAAATATTTTATTTCATGAAATAAGTCAATTTGAATTCTGGGAAAATGCTGTTATTAATGTCATTGCGTTGCATAATGGGGAATCATTATTTGAACTTTATGAAAAATCCACACGTGTTTTTAGTATTAATGGAAATTTCCAAAATAAAAAAAAAGAACCTTTAGAAACTCCTTTGGAAAGAATTCATGAAAATGAACAATACAGTTCCATTCCGAGATTATTTAATATTTTATGTGAATGGTGTGACTACTTTGGTCCAAATATAATGACCATTTTCTGGCTAATATTGGTGTTTTTTATTATTTCAATGGTAATTTTCTGTATTAATACTGTTTCTATATTTTTTTATTTTATATTAACCGATTTGTTGAATTACAAATATTCGTTTTTTAACTTTCCTTATTATTCCAAAAAAATTACTCCATATTTGATATTAATGATTCCCATAATTACAAGTATTGGTCTTATTTTCCTAAAGAGCATATTGGATGATTTTCCTTTGCCAAAACACAGACAAGAAGATTTAATATATTTTTCCAATAATAAATGGAGAAATCCTATTAAGAAACCGGAAGATTACTTAAATTTGTTTTATAATATGGCTATTCCGATTTTGATTATTTCAATATACATGCCATTAAGTAATAAAATTGAAATACTAAAAAACGAGTTTTTTAAATTTATGATACATTTTGTTCTTTCATTAATTATTTTCCAAATAATTAATAACATTAATATAAATATTGATGTATCTTGTGAGACATACGACACTTTCTGGTCATTTAAGTTACCTTTAATAATAAAAAATGTGATTTTTTTCTTTTATTGGACAATAATTAAACAAATATTAACATATTTCTATTGCAATTCAATTGACTATTTTCCTTTTACAATTGGATTAACTATACTAACGAAAAATTTATTTTCAGTAATCAATTCAATGCCATATTCCAAAAATTGCATTGGTTTCAAATTGGGGCCTAAAGAAGAAATGAAAAGACTTCCATTAGGTGATTATGTTACATACGACAATGATTTAGTTCTTAATCAACCAACTTCAAGATCCAGTCACTTTTGGAATAACTTTCTTTTTATAAAGAATAAATATACTCTATATGAAGATATGTGGCACTATAATTTATTGAACATGATAATACTCTCAATTTGTACGGAATATCCAATTATTTCATCATTTATATTGATGATAAACAGTGGACTTACTATAACTTTACTCTTTTCAAAGATTTTGACCGATTCGACAAGACCATGGCTTTTAAATATTACTTTATCTCATCAACTTTGGAAATTTATTATTGATTCTAGTATATTATTTTCAATTTCATGTTTCTCATCAACTCCAACTAGTTCAAATTTCAAAACTTATTTGTTTATTGTTACATTTGTATTGAATTATGTTAATATTAATTCAACAAAATCAGGGAATATGATTTATTTTAGCGAAAACTTAGTTTTCTACATATTTAAACTTGTTCCTCTATTCAAGTATACGAGACAGGCAATTGAAAAGAACAAAATGTCTTTGAACAAGGCAATAAACAAGGTATTAAGAATGAGAAATCCTCAAATAATAAACAATCATGATGATGATAATTTAAATCTTACATTAAATAAATTAAGAGAAAATGGATATTCTAATGTGAGAAAAATTGAGATTAAATCTCCTATAAAGGAATTATTAGAAAAATTTGAAGGTTATTGGGTTCTTTTGAGATCAAATTCTGACTCACTTCAAGAAATAAACGCAGCACTGGGTGTCTCATGGTTTATCAGAAGAGCAGTTGATAAACTCAACCCAATTGTACATTACGATGTTGACACAATAAGAGGAATAGTTTCAATATCAACAACATTAATAATGGGATTAAATAATAGAACAACATTAATAATTAATAAAACGAAAAACTTGGGTAAGAATAGTCTTGAAGAAATAGAAAACCATAGGATTGAAGAATTTAAGATGGAAGAAGAAAATAGTGATAATTTATCATTACCTCATGATGATGGGGGATTTTATAAACAATATTCGAATAAAAGAAAGAAGTCATTTGAAAAGTATATAGTTTTTGATCAACCAAATACAACTCTTGAATGGAGTGAAGATAAAACAAACATCATTTTGGAAACTAGACAAAATAGAGAAGATTTTAAAATGATTGAGACAAGAAGTATAGTTCCTTCTTATAAACTCCCATTTAAGATTAAAGGTAACGATGGGAAAATTATTGAGAATAGACGACAAGATATTTTATGCTATAAAATTATTCTTAAGGGTGGGAAAAGGAATTTTGGTAATAAAAATAATTTGCTTGTATGTTGTAGATACTTTATAAAGACCGAAATGATAAAGTCTAAGGATTCTGAATTGAATTCTAAGCAAAGTAATGAATCAAAAACAAAATCTAGCCGATCGAAGAGTTTGACTTCAGTGAATACATTAAATGAAATTCAATCAATAGAAAGTGTTAAACCAACCTTTATTGGAGAGTTAAATGATTTTCCTCTAACAATACAACAATTAATACAAGATGAAGATAGCATACTAAAAATTGTTACCGATAAAAGAACAGAACTTTTAGAATATACTCGAAAGCTAGTGTCTGAAATTGATAATGGAACACAGAAATGGTCACTTGAGAGAAATTCAAATGGAATGAGAGTGTATAAGAGAGAAATTGATGGACAGCCATTTATGAGTTGTGGAATCACTTCAATATTACTGAACTGTGGTGTTCAACAGTTCAAAATATCCTCTAGTAATGAAATTGAAAATTCAAATAAATTATGTTCAATTAAAGATATTGTAGATTATGTTTGGGATTCTAATAATAAGATGTATTATGATCCCATGGTTGAAAAGTCTGATCCAATCTATTATTTTAGAAATGACGAAAACATTTGCATATTCTACCAAGCATTTAAGGGACAATGGGGTGTCTCAGGAAGAGATTTTGTTGTGATATGTTATAGATTTAAACCAGACGCAAACGAATCAAATAATTTAGATGAGTCACAATATGAATATATTCTCACTCAATCTATTGAGTGGCCAATAATAAACTCATCATATGTAAGAGCTAAAAATTACTTTGCAACATATGTTTTTCGTCCAGAAGGGGAAAACAAAGTACAAACCTTATATTTCAATCAAGTTGATTTACACACCGATATATCTGCATGGATAATAAAAAGAGTAATTTTGGATCAAATGAATTCGCTAACTATGCTTAGAGATGTACTACAAAAAAAATAGAGCTCGTAGGTTTATTATTAGGTTCCTCACAAAAAATAACAAGATAATTATTATTAATAAAACTTTTAATATTTTTTTCAACGTGAATATTTTATATTAATTAAATATTTAAACTAAAAAAAGACATTTTTACTGATTATTTATTACAATAATTAAATATATTATTTAATTTTTTTTTTCGCGAAATATTAGTTTTTGCATGCAAAAGCTCGTTAACGATAATATAGATTAAAGATAAATTATTAATAAAAATGTGAAAATCATTATTTTGGTGGAAAAATAGAAATAAGACAATTAGGGGTGGAATTAAAGATAGAGATAATAAGTATTTAGTAAAACCTTATGTTTTATAAGTAATAAAAAGGATAATACTTTTTTTGTTCAATTTTTAATAGTATTATTTGTTGTGGAAGAAAAACAGCTCTCTATTAATCGTATTCTAAGAAAAAAAGATATTAAAATAGAAATTATGCCTCAATTTTATAAGACAAAAAAGTGTCCTTGGTTTGCAGTTGGAAGATGTAGAATGGATAAAGATTGTAATTGGGCACATTCCATTGATGAATTGAGACCAAGCGTGGATTTGACACGAACTAAACTTTGCGATACACAATTAAGAGAGGGTATATGCAGAAACCCACAATGTAGATATGCTCATTCGAGGAAAGAGCTCCGAGCAACATCAGATCTCTTCAAGACTTCACTTTGCGTTTATTGGATTAAAGGGAGCTGTGTAGTTGGGGATTCTTGCAGATATGCACATGGGATAGAAGAGCTCAGGTCTAAACCACAAAAAGGGGAGTTTGTTCCATTAGACGTTGAGACGCTTCCAGTGCCAATTCAGAAGATTACAGGTCAAAAACATGATTTACCAATAAATTTTGATGGAAGGAATAATTTCAGTGATAATAAATTATACCATCCATATAGTGCAATTTCAACCACATCAAGTTTAGGTTCTATAAACAAATTTGGTTCAGAAAATATTGATAAATCATTGGAACCAATGCCTTCTTTTGTTACAAGTCTTTTTAATGTTGATAATAATAGAATTGGTCAGCCTTTAAGCGAAAGAAACACGTGGCAGGCTGAAACAATACATCTTTCTAATCAATTTACACCTTTAAACCTTCTTGATATACCACTTGCATGGAGAGAGAAATCTTCCGGGCACCAAAATAATAATCTTAGCAATTTGCATGAACCATTATGTAGTATTGGATCAAATAACCAACACTTCGAGCAATTTATTAATCAATCTCATATGAATGATATGATTTTTAATCGGAATCAAATGAGTAATAAAAGGCAGCATAATAACGAGTTTGATGGAAAACTTGATTCAGTACAAACTACTAAAAGATCATATCCTGGAAGTATTGAAGAAATGTACTCTTACACGCCTTCAACTGCATCTAGCATCAGAGATAAGATAAGTCTTCACAACTTGGAAGTATAGTAAAAACTCATGAGGTATAACAATACAAGTTTAGCTTAATAAAATGTAAATGCATCTTTATAAGAAATACCTTCGGAGACCGTATTAATCATGTTACTATATTTGAGTCCAGAGATGATTTTATGTACTTATGAATAGACTATACTATAATACACTATCTCATTTGTGCTGAAATATTTTCCAGGCCATTTTGAAATGCCTTTGTCTTATAGTAGTTATATAAATCAACATATTCTTCATAGCTTATTTTTGTCAAATCCATAGGGAAGAGAATAAATACAGGGTGTGACATAAATCTGAAGTTGGGTAAAACTCTTCTCTTTCCATCAAAAGACCCATTATTTATCGACCTCATGCGGCATAAGGGAGCTATTGAATAATCTAAAATGCCTGCTCAGACAATATGTCTGATTATTTTTCAATCTTTTGTTAATTCTAAACTTAATATATTTTGTAATTTCAAAGTTCAATTAATTTAATTTGGCGCCAAAACACATTTACATGATTAAAATATTTTGGAATCAACATGATAAAACAAGAATAATTATGAATGCTCTAGAAATCACGCAAATTAATTGGTAATTATTTAATTCAGGAAGAATCTGACAAAAAGAATACAATTTTTTAAAATTCTGATTTTTTATAACATTTTTATATGTCATTAAAAACTAATATTTCAATCTTGATTTCGGATTTAATATGGAATACATACTATGATTTAATAAGCAGTATATTTTATGGTAAAAAATACCACCCGAAGTCACCGAGACCAAAATTAACAGTAAATAAGGTTATAAAGTTAGTTTTTTGGTTATTGGGATGGCTTTCAGTTACTTTTATTGTGCCACTTTGTGGGATAATCTTAGCATATAGTATCTCGCCAAGTAGAATCGACATCGTTCCTGCAGTTTTCGATAACAACTATTTGATAATATCTAAACCTCTTTTCAGAACAAACAGTCAATCATCTGTTGTAAACTTTACAACCTCTTTATCATTTCTATTCGAAATTAAATATGTTAATCGATTGTTTGTAAATAAAATTTTGATAGAAGGTGCAGAAATTGCATATATTGGAAGAATTCCTGTTGACTCAAACAATAAAAGCAATTGTAATTCAGACAATCTGGACTATCTTTTTCCTGATTTTACAGAACTTGAATATAAGAAAATACCAAGCGAAATGATCAGCTTTACTTGCACAGATGACTATACAAATTGTATTGTTGGAATTGATATTCCATCATTTTTCATCGATTCATATGATGAATATTCATATAATCATGATTCAAATTTTGGTTATTCAAATTTTGTAGTTAGAACTTTTTTTACGAGTTCACAATTTATTTCAACTCTTGTTTCGGGGCGACTAGGGTACAGATATAATCCTCTTTCTATACCGATTAAGAAATAAACTTAAAAATTAATTACTTTTTAGTATTACCAAGTTAATTTAGAATAAGTAATAGAACGTTTTAAATATAATCTATGTTTAACTATTTTTGTTCAGAAATCTAAAGAGCTATACTACTTTTCCAAAATAGTCCCTTTCAGTTTCGAGGTAAATTTCATCACTACCTTGTGGTAACACAAATCTTTCAGGCTTACTTACTGCAATGTTAATGTATTTTCCCCTACAGTACCATCCCAATGCAACTTCCTCAAATTCTTCATCATTTTCTTCCTCCAGATTCGTAAATCCAGTTGAATTCATATCGCTAAAACCAATCAGGGTTTCTGAGTCATCACTAAGTATATTTAACAGTTCTCTATGAGTTTCCGAAAGTTGAGTTATAAAGCTTTCTGGTTTTTGTTTCCAAAATCGGAAATCTTCCGGGTCATGAATATAGATAAGCTTGGTGCGACGTATTCTATTTTCATAAAATTTACTTATTCTGCAGGCTGCTGTCATTTCACAAGCTTGATCACCTGCAGATATAACATCAAATATTGGTGGCACTTCACCGGCATGCTCTAAACTATTCCCCCAACAATCTAACAATACCCTTTGAAATTCATGTAGTTTTGCATTTGTATAAAATTCCCGATATTCCTCTTCTCTAAATGGAGATGGAGGAGGTCCTTTTTTTCTAATATAATCTTCTGTTGATTTAATTTCAATATTGTATTTTTTCAACAAATCACCTAATTTCGGAAGACAGTATTTTAGATAAAACAATTCAACAGTTCTTAGTCCTGCATTTGTAATTATTACAATTTTATATGCTTTTCCAGTATTCCATAGGTCAGAAAAGAATTTTTCAAGTGTTTGAAACAATCCTACCTGAACTAATTCATTTCTAATTTGTTCTGTCAACTCATAAAGGTTATTTTCATTTTCACCGTAGTCTATACTATCTCCTTCATTGCCCATTTCACATTGAATGTTTCTCCATGTTTGCATAATCCAATTTGTGGGGATCAATGTGTTATCTAAATCGAGCATTATTATTCTACCAGAATCTTGGTTATTTTCAACATTTAAATCACGATCTAAACAAATATCATAATTTTTTGGCTTTTGAATCCCTTTTATCTCGACAAGATTACTAGAGTCATTAAAATTTTCCATATCTTCATTATCCCCAGTTACTTCAAACTGTTCATCACTTTTTTTAAATTGCTTCGTTTTATTATCCGCTATACAACTGTCATTGTTTTCATAGGGAAAAACCTTCTTTCCAGTTAAATATTTGGAATCACTGAGTTCGATACTAACATCACTTTTTTTTTTAAATGAATGGTTATCTAAATCAGGAAATTTATCTAGCTTAACATCTCGGAAGGTATTTTCACTAATTGTCATTTTATTTATTATGCCACACTAAGTTTTCAATTCCTTTTTGAAGTCGGAAGTATAATCAAATGTTAGCGAAATACCCCCTGTTTATTTCCACCTCGGTTTATTGTTCAAAAATTTTTTATTTCCAAAAATATAACTTCCTCCGGTTCTTGAATCCCAAATTATTGTACATGAAACCAAAGGATGCATGAGGACAAATGTGGGGACAAATACCCGCCACAAAATTATACTTAAATTATATATGCTGTAAAAAGGTCACAAAAGATAGTTATTTAATTGTTTAACAAATATAACTATGTAATCTAAATATTTAAAATGATTTTAAAACTTATTATAAAATGTTCAATGATAACTTATCATTCTTATTTTCTAATTATATTGAATTTGAAAAAAGGTTCTATTATTAAAATGTATAATAAACTATTAAGTTTTAAAATTAAAAATTATGAGATAAAGTTGTCATAATCTGATATATCATCGCACAATGATTTTTCTTGGAGGTCTGGACATTCCAAGCCACTCTCATTATTTTTCGTAATTATAGATCTATATCTTTTCTTATAATTCTGTCTATCATTTGGATTAGGGGTACATTTTGACCAATTTGACCACATTGATGTAACACAATCTAATGAACATGCTTTTTCATAGATGTTTGTTTCAGAATTTCCAGAAATCCAGCCTTCAAGTTTAAAAAAGCATCCTATATAGTTATAAACGTTGACGCAAACAGGGACTCCATCTTCAATAGAAACCACATCTATTTTGGGGAAAATACTTCTTTCGCCAATTGATTGATCCCATATACCATGTGACCAGGAAACACAGTCCTTATTATGAATACATTCATCTCTACATTTTTTAACATCAATATTTTGAATAAGTTTTGAACCACCACCAGGAATTTCAAACGCACTGCAACCCCATCCTAGGGTGACAATTCCATAGTCCGGACAATTTGTTGGACAGCGTAATTTGTCGAGCTTACATGACCTTAATTCACTCTTGTTTGGACAAATTTCACCAGGGAACATAGGTGAAAAAATTACATTTCTCGTACGCTCAGAATATCCTCCGCATGGCCTTGAATGAGTACACGATGACCATTGTGACCACTCACCCACAACACATGTCGTAGAGCAGTATCCAACCATTGATGTAGGTATTGATCCTGATACATATGAATCGTCTCTTGTTGAGCAGTAAGATGAGTTTGACTTTAAGGTACACAAAAAATCGGTTGCTTTCCAAGACCAGTACTTACATTTCCTATATTTTGATGAAACCGAATGCCTCATACATTCATTTGCGCAACTTATCCATGACTCAGTCTTAAATGATTTCAATTTATTTAACCCAAGACAGAAGAATCCATGAGAAACTGAACCATAACTTGGACAATTAGCCATTACTGGTTTCTGCTGCGTTGCGCAATGAGTGAAATGGATTAAGACAATGAGAAAAAATTCCAATGCAAACTGTATGTAACTAGTGGTAGACACCAACATTTTCTCATCGGAAAACTATGCAATATTTATTTTGTAATTATTTGAGTAAATCAGTCATATATAACAACTTAAAAGGCGGGGACGCAATATTAATTAAGATCTTTCAAATATATGATTGATTATTTAATTAATTTTTGTTGATAAAGACAGTGAATTTTGGAACAATTAGCTTTTCAGGAATTAAATTTCTTGAGTTATGTATTTCAGAGAATTCAACTTCTTCATAGCTTTGAATTCTATTGATTGATTGCACTATTTCTCTTTCCCGAATGTTTTGATTATATATTGAAATAAGATTTATATTACATAGTGGGCAATTCGACTTTATCTTTACCCACTCATCTATGCATTTAAAATGATAAACATGCTTACAAGGAAGTTTTCTTACAAGGTCTTCATCGTGAATATTATTTAAACATATAACACATGAATAATTGTTTTTTGATTTTTGTGTAGAACCAGACGATATAAATCCAGAGAGGGAATTGTTCCTGCTATAAATATTATATTCTCTTTTATTTTTATTTGAAAAGGAGCCATACTTTTTTACAGGAGCAATTTTTGAAAGCTCTTCAGTGCTAATTATTTGCGGAACTATTGAATTTCGGTCGGAAATACGAATTGAAAAGTTATTCCTATGCCGAATAATATTTCGATTAGCCTCGAATTCACACGGTATTCTTCTACAAAAAATTAATGCAAAGTTGCAAAAAATAATGGCTGCTAAAAGGCATACGGAAAATGCGATTAACATTGCTAATCTATTCCTTTAATAATTACTATTAGCATTTATTCCTAGAATTTAAATATAAAAAATTAATTTTTCTCATGATTCAACGTCGTAAAGAAAATGAGGGTGACGTTTGGGATAGATTACATTACAAATTTCAGTTAATATTATTTTGACGATCAAGTATTTAAATCTGGCAAATAATTTCGGAATTAATAAAGTAATTTAGTAATGTCAAAATATGTTTTACCGCCTTAAGCTAGCATAAAAATTATAAAAAGTTTGTGCGTAAATGTAATTAAATACTAGCGTGACCACATAAATAAAAATAGCTGATAAGCAGAACTACATATGATTCAGTAAACGATTGTAAGCACTGTCTTTTTCATCCTTATACCTATTAATTATGAAAGGTATTCGACGCAAAAAGAAAAGAGTAAGAAATACCGACGTTAAGGAAAACCATCATACTTTCAATGAGGAGAAAAAAAACTATAAAAAATGTAGGGCAGTGAGAAGCGTGCAATATTCGAATGTTTTTCTGAAAAAAACGTTTCAAAATAAAGCCAAATTTGAAATGGAAGATTGGATCCAATTATTTTTAAAATCATTAATCGTTAAAGACTTTATGAGTACAATCCCACATTTCAGAATATTTGAAAGAATGTTAAGTATCACTTCAAAGCATATTACTGGTTCTAAATTGAAGAGTTTTTTTGCAGAGTTTATTAGCAGAATGGAGGCTCTTGATATTTCAGTAATACCATTATTCTTTGAATGGTGTTATGTATTATATAGACAAAAATTAAATCTTTCAAAAAACCAAATAAGAAAAAACATAAGACATGATATATTGAGAGATGCTCTCGTTGGAATAGTATCCGGAAAAGCACGAAACTACATTATTATGCTAATCAGCTGTGATTTGGAAATCAGTACCAAATATTTGTTTCCAAATAGTCAAATCTCGAATTGGAAAGAAGAATTTGAAGAATATTTTGAAGACAAATATTCCTTAAGAGATCTAAGGGATGATTTCTGGAGTTTTGCACTACAAATTTTCAAGTCATTGGCTGAGGAAAATTCAATTCACGATTCTTTGTTTGAATTTATATTACACAATGAAAGAACTTGCCTATGTAAAATTGATGATTGGATAATTGAAAATTTGAATAGAAGTACCCAAATTGAGTGGTTTAAAGAGAATTCTAGTTTTCTTTCAAATAACAAGCTCTTGCTTATTCTATTCAGCTCCTTTATCAATTTTTTCCCATTTACACTTGAATTTTTTCCCTTAACAATCGAGTTGATTTTAAATACGAAAATTGAAAAATGTAATACAAAAACTCAACCTAATTATAACATCAAAAGTGAACATTTGGATTGTTCTTGCGTCCATAATAAGATTTCATTTAACTCATTTAATGAAATATATAACTTAATGATGTATTTGATTTCATCATTTATTTTTATTTACTATGGTATTGAATATGAACAATTTGATGAGTTCAATTTAATATATGAAGAGTCATTTAATATACTTCATTACTTGACCAGCAGTGGCAAGAATTACAGCTCCTCATTTTATAAATATGATATATCCAATCATTTATTTCAAATAGAACAACTCATTAATCAATTTAGAAAGCACCCAAGTTTAATAGTTAAAGTGCAAGAATTTAGTAACCAAATAATTAATAATAACAATTCTTTTATAATTTTAGTATTTAAATCAATATTGAATATCTACAAGTTCAGAAATAAACAGGACAACTTAATTAATAATGAAAACTATAGGAAAAATGAGATATTTGAAGAGATATTAATAACACTATTATTCCTTGTCATACTAAATCCAAATACAAGTGATGACGCAATTCTTTATCTATTTAATAGTATTTATGAGGAACTATATTCATTTGGATTCTTGTTAATTGGGAGTTGCATGACTCTTTTATACAAAAAGGATATCTTTCCAGAAGGAATATCCAAGAGAGTTCAGCTGAACATTTCAAATTTTAGGAGTATTCATTTGATCAATTCTCGAAATTTTCCTTATATACAATTTATGAATTGCATCTATCATTTAATTTCAAGAAATATTGAAAATTTTAGGGTTATTAACATGATTTTTCAATTGTTGGAAGGCAACTATCTTCAGTATATTCGCAACGTTCCTCAAATAATTGATTCAAAAAAAGATAGAGAAGAAAACAATTTGTCTATAAATATTTCATTGACATTAACATCCATCTACATGAAACTGCTTGAATTTTTTCATTTAAATCCTTCACTTTGCAAGTTATTCTTCGAAATGAAACATTACATACGAAAAAGTGGTTCCATTAATCAAAAGACTTTCGAAGATAGTGATTTTACCAATCTAACCAAATTTAATCCAAAAGTTTCATTGTTAAAAGTTTTTAATCAATTATTAGCAAGTAAGGAGCCTTATATTTCTAAAAACTTTTTTTGTGAACCAGAAGATAAATTAATTGGGAGCTTTCAAAATATTAATGCTTCAAACGATCTAAATATTTTCAGGATGAATTACACTACAATGATACATTTACTTGCAATTCTTTACATTCCAGTTATAAAGCGAGTGAATATGTCATTATATAAATTCAAATATTCAATTTATCCTTCCAAATATATTATAGGAGAAGATACTTACTTTAATGACAGCGAATGCGAATTTAATGATAAGATATTTGAAATCGAACATCAAGGAGTGAGCATACCAAAACAATTTTGTATAGAATTTTTGGAAGAAGTTATCAATTATTGTAAGAATCTTGGTATAGAAAGTCCTTTTGACATTGATAGGTTCATCTTAAAAAATGCATTTGATACTTCGAGCATAAATATAAATGGCCAAAGTATTTCGAGTTTGATTCATACATGCGAAAATGATAAGAACAAAAAAAAGTGTTTCGTATGTTGTATTGATTCATATGCTGAATATTTAGGTATTATCAATGCATTTCAGTTAATTGGAGAAGAAGCATACCAAAATTATTATGTCTCTAAATCATGGGTAAATCATGCAATAATTATCTCCATTGTTACGATTATTAATAGTAATATAAATATTGACGAAACGAATGGAATTAATCTATCAGAAATAAAAACTTTAATTAGACTTTCAAATAAAATGGAACATTCTTTTTACAATAATTTAACTTTTGAATTACTAAAAGAATTAATAAATATACTAATTAATGAAATTAAAGATGACACTGTTATAATTAAAGAGTCAGGCGACCCCCAAAGAATTCTTTTTAGAAGCTTGATGATATATCTATTAATAGTCATGTCAAGAAATGAAATTGGGAAAACAATATTATCAAACATTGATTTTCATCATTTACTTGTGAGACTTTGCTATTTGTTTTCATTTAGAATTGAATGCCTTGCTACTAATATTTATAAAAACATTGAAACTCACGGGACAAATGAATTAATTAATTCATTTGATGGAATTTACACTCCAAATATCAGAAGAACTCCTAATTCAAGTAATGGTGATATTAATGATGGAAATATTACTCCATTAACAGTAACATCAAAAAAATCATGTAATACAATCACTCCAACAAACAAAAAAAGAATAACACCAATAATTGTTTCAAGAAATGGCTCCGCTAACGGGAAGTCTATTTCTATGATAGATGAGCACACCAATAAAAATACAAATGGAATACCTAACCTGGCTTTGAAGGATGACACAAAATCATATTCATGCATTTTTCACCTTAAAATTATTTTAAACGCAATAAATGTAATCAGAGAATTGATCCCTCAAAATTTAAACACTGTTGATAATAAAAATGATTTATTAAGAGAGAAAAATAACGGAATTCAAGATTCGAGTACAGAATTTGTTTTAAATATAATGGAGGGAAGCTTATTTTTTTTGTTGCCATCAAATACAATTTCTAAAAGGTCAATCTTTAACTGCAACATAATTGGAACTAATAATGAATTCAATTATCAGGGTTTGAACACAATTCATGAAGGTTCAGAAAGCAGTGAAGCAGAAGAAATCGATAATTTGAGCGAAATAGATAAACAAAGTTCTCAGCTTAGAAATACAAAATTCAAAATATTTATGCCAACAAATATCCCATATTTGTTAAATGATGATGATTTCTCAAAAGATTGGTACATGGAAATAGTAATTTACTTAATTAAGTTTATAATCAATAATACTCAATTAGTTAAAGATATTTCAAGTATTATTACTGATATTGCTTCAAGAATAACACTTTGGAATCGCAGAGATAATAAGTTACTCATATTTAACGTCTGTGTTGAAGTTTTCAAATTTTCCTATGATTATTTTTACGACGAGCTTCCAGAAATTTCTCTTTGTATGCTTAGGAATTCTGGCTTCCAATTATTACAATCTATTAAATTTGTTTTTGTTGCAATTCTGGATCAAAATTCACTTCTAGTCGACAATACTTTAAACGATTTACCTTCAATAAATGCAATGATTGAGCTTGAATCTCTTCACAGAGTAATATTTGTTTTTAATAACTTGGTTGGAATTTTTGAGATTTGTTTCCAAATTCTTTTTTTCAATGGAAGTAGTGTAACTGATAGGGACAATCTATGGCTTAGAAACGCTATAAATCTGATTGAAATAGGTATTGAAACACTTAGTGCAGAGCTATCAAAGATGGAAAGAATTAAATTACCTCCAAAAATGGACGATGATTCGGAATTCTTGGATGGAGATGAAAATATTACCAATTACACAGAAGATTTGGAGGAATTAAAGTACGCGTTTTCAAAAGAATTATGGAATGGTATGATATTAGAATGCAACAAATTGTTAAGAGAGTGCGAATATGTACATAGTTTAATAAGTTCTAATTGGTTTGACCCAAATAGTTCTGAACAATCAAGTTCTAACAAACAAAACAAGAATTGTAACATAAAAGAAATAGATGATGACCTTGACAATTTTATTACATTCGAACAGTGTGACGAAGGAATTCTCCAAGAAAATGAGTCATATTCAGATATTAAATTAACTCCACACTGGAATACGTTTATTAAATCGTTATTTTTGTAGAAAATTAATGCTAATTATATGATAATTTGAGAATTTCCTATTACTTTTTCTTTTTTTTCCGATAACGCGCTTAAAAATAGTGGGGATTGCTTTCATGAAACTATCTAAAATTTTGCCCTTTAAAACATCAGAAAAAAAGACATTATAGTTACTTATTTTGACATATGTATTCCTATATAATAATTAGAACAGGATTTTAATCATTATAAAGCTCTCTATCATCTTTAGTTTTCCCGAAAATGTATTTTTTAGTAAAGTTATTGGCACAGATTATTACAAGAACATTTTTTAAAAATGTTACTGTTTTGGGTAAAGAGAGAATACCTCTATATGGGCCAGTTTTATTTGTTGGGAATCATATGAACCAATTCGTGGATGCAGCAATGCTGATCGCAATTTTTCCACGTCAAATACGATTCTTAATGGCAGAGACATCCTTTAAAAGACCAATAATTGGAAGGTTAGCTCAATCTGCAGGTTGCATTCCTGTTCAAAGGCCCCAGGATTTAAGATATAGAGGGATAGGTGGTTTGGCTTGGAATAGTTCAAGTGATGTGAGAATTAGAGGCATTAAAACAAGATTCAAAATAGATGCAAAATTCCAAGATACATTAATAATAGAAGATTTGGGAATAACAAGAAAAGTATTAGAAGTTGTTTCAGACGATGAGATTATCATCGATAAGGAAATAGGTGTGGAATACTCGGCCACTTATACAGATGGCTTTCCTTTTTTCATAATGCCAAAAATTGATCAAAGCACAGTCTATGAAGAAGTTAGTGATGCAATGAGAAATGGCCATTCAATAGGTATTTTCCCAGAAGGAGGGTCTCATGATAGGACAACCCTTCTTCCACTTAAGCCAGGTGTTGCAGTTATGGCTCTTTCCTCTGTGTTAGAGGGAGCTGAGGATCTACTAATAGTTCCTGTGGGATTGAATTATTACGAGCCACACAAAACACTCTCAAGTGCTGTTGTAGAAATTGGTCAACCAATCCCAGTTACGCTGGAACTAGCTAAAAAATATGAGGATTCTCCATCAGATGCGGTTAAGGAGCTTTTGTCTATGGTTGAAAAAGGAATGAACTCTGTATTACTTTCTGCAAGAGACTATACAACTTTAACTTGTATCCGTCTTTGTGTCCAGTTATATCCTCCAGATAGAACTGCTCTTTCTCAAGATAATTATTATTTACTTCATCAATTATTTTCACAGTTTTTTTGGGCATTGCATGATGATCCAGAGCTTGAGCATTTGAGAAAAGATTTATGCGAATATGAGGATACTATTAATCACTACGGAGTCCCCGATAGAGAGGTTTGGCAGCTTAAACAACCAGTTTATGAATGTATTAAACTAATGATCACTAAGTTCCTTCTTTTAATTCTTGTTAGCATAGTTGGTGGTTCTTTCTTCCCTTTATGGGCACCAATAAGATATATTCCTGCATTCATGGCAGAGAGACACAGAAAGAAAGCATTAGCTAATTCAAAGGTGAAAATCAGGGGGACGGATGTATTGGCGTCATATAGAATTCTTGTAATTATTGCATTACTACCATTGCTCACAGTTTTTTATGGCCTATTCTTCTCATTAACGTTTATGAATGGCCAGAACTTAAATACTAAAATTGCGACAGTTATAGGTGCCTTTATTGCATTACCTCCATTATTCTACATTTCAAGAGTTTCTTTTGAAATGATAATGCCATTAACAAAAAATATCCGTACTTTATTCTATGTTGTTGTTTCAAATGTCAATTATCTTAGAGGTAATGAAAGAACATTATTACACATGAGAATTAAATTGCAACAAAAAATCAGAGATTTAGTATACACAAAAGGTCCACAAGTTTCTTCAAGTTTTATTCATAGTTTTACTACAGTTGTCCCAGATGCTGTTATTCAGGCTGACAATAAGAGAATAAATTATTCTCTTGGGGAGTATGTTCCTGTGTTAACACGTGCCAAGTACGATGCAAGAGAAGAGATACTATGATTAAAAGAAGTCTTATTTTATTATTGATTTCTAGCTAAATTAAATTCATTATTAAATTTTTTTAATACCATTAGTTTCTATAAGTTTTTTTATAATAACTTTTAATATATTTTTAAACTGTCCAAGTGATATTTTCAAGTCCTTGTTTTTCAATTTAAATAATAATTTGTGGGAGATTTCAAGGAAAAAGCTGCTGTTATATTCTAAGCATGGATATTGATCAACATTAATTGTTTTACATTTTGAGTAGAAGAGTAAATTTGAAACAGATTTTCTCCAAGTATCAAATTTTACATTACATTCCAAGTCAAATAAAAATACTTTTGGATATTCATATAAAGAGAAAGAAATAATTTCTTTGTCATAAAATAAATTTGTATCGATAGTTGAAAATAATTGTTGTTTAATTGAATAGTAAAATTTTGATAGAAATATTATTCCATCGTTATTAAAAAATAGTTCATTCCAAACTCTTAGTTTTGGATTATCTTCTAAATCTAGTAAATATATATTACGTAAGTCTATCCAATTATTCACAATATTTTCTTCAGAATCAGCATTATCGTTATTATATTGTAAATCTTTATTAAAGCAATAATTAAATAGAAAAGAAGTAGAGTCAGGTATCAGTATAAACAAAAGTAAATATGTGATCACCACAGTACGTTTTAAAGAGACATCTCCAGATTCAATAAAATCTTTATATAAGAAGTTCAGAATTTCTGATTCGGCTGATTCATTTTTCAATGAATATAAATAATAAAAGTTAGCCAAATATATCAGTTCATAATTGATTTCTTGGATTTCAAGATTCAAATAAAATTCGTGAATAATTTTGATAGAAAGTTTGTTTTCAAGTATAAGTGCATCCAGAAAAAGTGGATGAATGCTTTTCAATAGATTTGAAATGATACTTTTCTGATTAATTGAATTCAAAAAATCGTAGATAGTATTTATTAAAAGTTTAAATGAGTTTATAATTGGGTTATTATAGAATCTATGTAGTTTGTAGGATATCTCTCCCAATGACTTAATTAAAACATCTATTTTAATATTAATTAGAGGTTTTTTAAAAATAGCTGCTGAATTAAAAACTGAATTTAAATTAACAAATAGTGTAGTAATTTGCATTTCAAAACTCTCCAAATTTGACAATGTATCAAAAATATTAATTATAAATTCGTGTAACTGAGAAAAATTTGAGTCACTTGTAAATAAAATAACTCCAACAGTTCTCGTGAATCCGAGCATAATTAAGTTATTGAATTTTGACTTCTTAAAAATATTAACCAATGAATAACCAAATTCAATGACTTTAGGTGCAAAATTATTATTTGAGCTCAAATAAGAAATTAGAAATTTTGTAATCAAAGTGATAAACCATTCTAATATTAATTTATTTTCATCATCTTCACTTTTTAATAAAATCAAATCACATAATGGTATGATTATTTGGAAAAAAATAATATCAAGTGAGTTTGATATGTCAAAATTTGTGAACTTATCACAAATCTTTGTAGTTTCAAACAGCTCAATAATAACACCAATCATTACTAAATCTTGCAAAACAATATCTCTAAAATTCAACTTTTTATTATTAAGTTGTATATTTTCTATTTTATTCTTTAGTCTGAAAGTATAGCTATCCAATTTTAAAATTGATACAAAAAATAAAGTGTTTTTGTTTAACATTTTAATATCAAAGTATTTTTCTTTGTTGTGAAAATTGAGTTTATTTTCTAAAGAAGTAGATAAATTGATCGTTTGAAATGATAATAGTAGTATGCATATACTCATCTTTATTGGATCATTAACACAGGATTGTAGTAGCAAATCAATATTTGAATATTTGTCGAATAATTTTACATTTTTATTTTCAGTTTTAATACTAGATAATTGGTTTTTATGAATTATTCCACATATTTCATTTAATATGTCAAAATTGTTTAGGGATTTGTTATATAAGAAGGATATCCAAGGGACCCAGTAATATCCCTTTAATAACTTTATGCAGGAAATAATAAATGCCTGATTTTCATTAGAGCTATTTTCATAAAATATTGTTGAAATGAGATATTTGACAATATTCATATTCACAACAGTATATTCTTCAATCATGAATATTTGCTCATTCTTCAATATTTGCTTGCCATTAGTGGAGATCATTTTCTTCAGATAATAATTTACAAATGAAAAACAAAATGCTCTAATTAAACCCAATTGAAAATTAATTTCTTGTGTGACTCCGTTATTAAAGTGATTAATACTGTCACTTAAAATGAAATAATGGTTAATATATTCAAATATTTGATATACTGTGAGCATTTCATGTTGAAACAATTTAACTGCAGATGCTGTTCGGAAAACCAAATTAGCAATATTTTTTGGATCATTGTTCATAGAAAGATAAAGATAAAGTAAATGGTCCAACAATTTGTCCTTCTCAGAAAAACTATCAAATGCAATATCAAAAAAGGAAAAAACACCAAAAGTATAACTATTTATTAGATTTGCACTTGATGTGACACAGATCTGTTCTAGAAGCTGATTTTCAGTTCCATAATTCGTATAAATGTTAAAATTATCCTCATTAGCAATTGTGAAATATTTATTTAGTATATCAAGATGGTTAAAACCGTGTTGATGCAAATGTTTCAATAAGCATGAAACAAAATCTATGGTGTTAATTTCTTTATTTATATAATATTGTTGTTGAAAAGCTTGAATAAGTGTGTTTCTTTCAATAGTTAATGGTTCCTTTGCTATGAAATACTGAAGTAAGCAGTTTTTGTTTGAAAAATGTTTATTTATCATTATATCAGAATTAACAAATGTAATGAATAGTTTGTTCGGTAATATTTCAAGATTAGCAATTTCCGAAATGTAACTTTCATATAAGTGATTTAGTATGTCATACCTAAGAATCACAAGAGATGATAAAAACAGTATTAAAATAGCTTGGTTTTCAATAAAAAGTTCATCAAATAATTGTTTTTCACCATCTCTAATAAGTTTACATTTCTTGATTAAATCAGAATTTTCATTAAATATTGAGTCCAAGTTATTTACTGAAGGTAAGTACGATAGTAACAAAAAAAAAAGAAATAAAGTTTCTTGTTCTATGTTGCTAGTAATTTTGTTGTTTTTTGATCTGGGAACTAATTCAACGAAAATAAACTCTAATTGATTAAAATATTCCTTTAATATTTTAATGAATTGAAATATCATTTGCCATTGAAATGTTGCACAAGAAATAAATTTAATATTACGAATAAATTTAAATAAATCTTTTAATACATTTATTTTGAATTCTTCAATATTAATTTGGTCAATATTCTTCATTACCTCGATTCTAACCTGCTTTGAATTATATAAAAAAAGTCCAAGAATTTCCTGTATATAATAGTTATGAGTAGTTTTTGCCTTAATTGATTTCAATTTATTCATTATTAATTCACTGGATTCTTTAATATTTGAATTACCTTCTATACTTTCAAGAAAAGTATCTTTCATGGCAAAATTGTCTTCTATTGTGTTGTATTTAATATTCATATTATACATGCCAAATTGTTGATTATTTGTTTGTTTTTTAGAGAAAAAAATTTCATTTACAAGTTCAAAATTCAAAATAGTTTTTAAAGGACTCGATATATTTAATAAAAAGAATTGCAATGTATTAAAGTCAATCCTATTACATTTATGCATAATGATGATAAACTGTTGTAAAATATCCAAAAGATCAAAGAAGTTACCGATTTCAGCTGAAAAACTTAATTCAATACACCATGATAAAAAACTCTTTAAAGTAATATCCATATTTATATGTTGGTAAAAAAAGTCAAGAATAATTTTTGAAAATATACTAAGACAATAAACTGATTCAAGTCCTGCTTTATCCCTGATAATTTTTGTTAACATGGACAAAATATAAAACAAATTATTAGGGATTTTCTTCTGATAAGATTCATTTTCTGAAGGCCATTTTTGATCAATATAGAGCCCAAAAAATCTAAGAAAGCTTGATAAAATTTCAACAGGGTATGTACTATTATTAGTTCCAAAATTTTGATTATTAATAACTTTCAACTGGGTAATATTGTTTGGCAGATTAAAATCAATAATCAAAATATTAGAATGAATTGCAAGAAGAATTTTAATACATTTATCGTAGTCAATAATTCCAAATTTGCATAGTTCGATTAAACAATGAAGTGAATACGAAACAACATCTTTGTTACTTGAGTTTAATCCATTTTGTATTTTTCCAATAATAACTTCATCAACTATATCAGGTTTATACCTTATAACACAAAATAAAATCTTGATTCCATTTTGATATTTGTCTAAAGCATTATTGGTATTGGAAAGTTCGGAATCAATCTGATTAATTAAGAAACTCTCTAACTTTGAATATGGCAATTCACCTTTTAAAAATAAATAGTAAATTTTCTCTAAAACTTTTGTTTTAAGTTGATTTTCAGCAGATATTATTTTATTATATACAATAGGAATCGTGTTTTTGTTATTACCAAAAGAAATTATTGAATAATGAAGAGAATCAGTAATTGTATCAATTTCACTAATTTGTTTCGATTGTCTCAAGATAAATTCATAGATAGGAAATAATGAATCAAATATCTTAATTTGGTACTTATTGTTGAATATTAAAAACTTTTGAGCAAGTTGGACTATTTCTTGACAATATTTTGGATTTTTACTTTCAATATACTTTATTATCCTTTCTATAAATATGCTAATAATTGAAAAACAATATATTTCATCGTAAATATAGTTGTTCACCAAGTTATTTTCCAAAAAATAACGTATTTTAACATAATTCAATGCTAAATAGAGCCCATTATAAATTATGCTGATCGCCTCATTCTTGATATCTTCAGTATTATTGTCCCATTCGTTTTTAATGAATTTCTGACTATTTTCAGTCATTAATGTATTGATCTCATCATAAATATCTTCTCCAGAAAAATGTTCAGATGAAGAATAACTAAATTCTATACTTTTAAGTTCCTCAATCCCATTGAATTTGAATTTCTCCTTTAATATCTTTTTTGAATAACAACAAAACGGATCATTTTCAATTAAATCGCCTTTAATATGATAAACTAATGCGGATATTAAAATAATAACGTTAATGTCATTGAAATTTTTTAAAAAAAGTTCTATTACTTCAACAAGAACTTCAAACTCAGAAATATCTTTAGATTTATATAATAATATTGTAAGTATAATAAACATGAGATCTTTAATTTTATCCAGTTTTCTGTCAATTATCCCATTGATCCCTCCATTTTCAAGAGTTAATTTTAATAATCTAATCATTTGGATAGGATCTCCCAAATTATTAGATGTTTTCTCTTCTTGTCTTGAGTTCTCTATTATGGAAGATAGAATTATCAGAGACAAAATGATAAAATTGGTTTCTTTTTGAATATTAATATGAGGGATGATAGTAATCAAAATATTAATCAGCGAAAACTCGCATCTATTATTCACCATCATTAGATATAGAATATCAATAAATCTGGAATTTATTTCATTATGTTGACAAGGTGAGTTATGTAAGTTGAATGTTATTATTTTTACGTTAATAAAATTAAAAATATTTGATAAAGTATTTATATCAATAATAGGAAGAATAATTAAAAGAAATTTGTGTAGTAAATCATATTCTTCCATGTCAAAACAAATTCCTATCATGTTATTTATACATTGTCTATTGTGAAATAAAAAGTTGATAGTTTCATTAATTATTTGCATGTCGTTTTTATATTTATTTACTATTCTCTCCAACAGTGGTCTAATTACATTTGCTGGAATCAAGTATTTGGAGTCTTCGTTTTCAACCCCACTAATAATTATGGATGAAAGTCTCCTAATAATATCAAGTTCATTGTAACAACATGAATTTAAAAGAGTGGTCATAGATTGAAAACGAATTATATTTGGAAGGTCTAAAATATGTGGGATGTCTGAGACAAAATGATCCAAATTTTGAATTCTGGAATCTACTGTTGAGTATGCTATCATGCTCATTAGTATCTCCACTAAAATTTGTTTAACATTTTCTAGTGAAGGTTTACTCTTGCATTCATCCAAAAGTATACCAATATTTGTGACAGCCGTCTGTTTAAGTATCAGCTCATTTTCTCCAAGCTTTATTATTGAATCTATTACCTTTCTTTTAATTGCTTTGAATTGTGATTTGCTATCCATAAGTAAAACTTCAACTATTGAATTTACCATAGCATTAAAGCGCCTTTTTTTTTTTTTTTTAAGTTAGTATTTAGATTTACATAAAAGGCATGTTAAATTTTATTATATTTTAAATTAAATAATTATCTTACTCAAAAGTAATGAATAAGACAGACAAAGTCAAGTATAGTTAGTTATTTACTTAATATGAATGACAAAGAACACAATTCATCGAGGTAATTTTGACCCGTTTTGAAGTGTACTTTTAATTAAGTTTTAGGGTAAAAAAACTTGGAAAAAAAACGAAAAAAAAACCTATCAAGCAGGAAAAGTTTATGAAGAGGAGACCGGGAATTAAGCTGGAAACTCCCAATGATATAGACTCAAATACTTGGGATGAGCTATGTGTTTCATTATATCCATCATGGTGTAAGCAAAGTCGTGGGATTATTTTGGCAAAAAAAAATCACGAAACTTTGGAGTGGGATGTAAAAACATCGTTACATCCAAATGTAGACAAATTTATTTTCGAGGAAATTCAGGATTTTTTTGATCAAAATAATGAAGATAATAAAAAACAGCTAAATATTGACCTGTGGGGAAAGCAGTTTAACATGAGAAATACAGAACCTGATGTTAAAGCTTCCGAAGTTATATGGCTAGTAGATAGTTTAAATAGTTTTGGACTAGCAATAACTTTGGTTGAAGATTTAAGTGCAATATTTTTTTATGAGGTAAAAAATGAAGGGGAAATTGACAAAGACAAAATATTGAGTTTTGTTAAATTAATAGTAAGAATGACATAAAGGAAAAATTTAATATATAAAAAATAATATATTTGTATCTTAATTTTTAAATATTATGTATTTTTCTTTTTACATTTTTACGATTACTTGGAACTTTCCCACCCGAAGAGATCCCTTTGACAATGTATTTTTTTTTGCAAATATATGGTCTTGAAGTACTGAAAAAGTAATTTTGAGGAAGCATCATTTCAGTAAGTTGTAAAGCATTTACTTCTGATAAAGTACTTGAAGGTATCCAACACGGAGCAGTTATAACAACACTGTTTGACTGATAGTTAATGTGATGTACTATTCCAAATCCAATACAGGGTAGAATAATCTTCGTGTCTAATATATCTAACTTTTGACTATCTGCAGAAAATTCTGGAATAAATTTGTGCTGCTCATCATTAAATATACATAAAGCTACTATTGAATTAGTTAACCTAGCTGGAATGTGAAATTTCAATTGTTCACTCAACAAGGTCGTACTTGGACAGGGAATAATGCATATAGAGTTAAATGGAAAATGAACAGTTTTGCAAAAATACTGAGGAATGCACTTTTCCACAGAATAATATCCCATATATTCATCAAAAAAACTAAGAGGGTTGACATTCTTTTTTATTTCGTCTATTTGTATATTATATGAAAATAAATCACTTAATGTATTTACAAATACTGTTGTTTTTAAGTGATTATTAATTAAAAATTCCTTGTTTTTAATATTTTTCACTAAGTTCAGGTCAAAAGTTGGAAAAGAGAAGAAGTTTGTCTGATTAAAATAATTATCTTCATTATTTTTAGTCATTGGCTCAAACTCTTTTGTAAACCCAATATAAACATGATTTGAAACATCAATACAAAATGCAGTAATAATTGAAGCGATTTCTAACCCAACGCCGGTGATCCACCCAGGCATGTTTAGAATGAGAGTTATTTTCTTCTCTTCAATACTACTGATGTATTCAAAGCATTGTTTTAGCCCTTTCAAATACCTTAAAGGGTGAATAATAGGACTGTTTCCCCCTATATAAAACATTACTTCCGGCAAAATATTAATATTTTTTGAGTTCCCAATAAAAATATCTTTTATATCCCATTTAACTAATTTAACACAACTCATTGGCGATATTAAGGGTTGGCCCAAGTCACAGTCTAAAATATAAACATTATTGTTTAAACACCTGTTATCATTTAAAATTTCTTTTGCAATATATAGAGAAAACGTAGTTTTTCCACTATTTTTTGGCCCAATCAATATGACACTATTAATCTTACATGTTTGTTTATTGCTCTCTTGGAGTATTAGATTTGAAAATTCCCTCCAGTCAAAAGGAAAAACAAATTCTCTGCTCATATTTTATCAATCAAACTCATAATATACTTGCCCGAAACCCTTATCGAAATATTACTCCAAATAAAAACTTATTACTTTACGTACTTTTTTATCTTAGTGAAGGTGATAACAATTTATTTTAGTTAATCAAAAAATTGTTTCAAACCCGGCGGTAAGTCAATTTTTACTTCATCAGAAAATAAATTATTTTATTCTTAGAAAAATATTTTGTTAATTAGTATTATCGGAATGTGCGCTTTTATTCCATTTTTAGTAATTTATGTAACTACATGTAAAAGTAGTTGAGGGTTAAATCATGCAAAAAACTTATTCTTTTAATGCATGTTTACAAATTAATTTTTTTTTGTATATTTAGCTTTAAAATTTGAATATGATATTTTACTCTTTATTTATTATATGTCAGTTAATTAATGGGTTACTAGCGATTGAGTTGAATAACATTAATTCATAGTAAGTCATTATAACAATATTAAATGTTGAAATTAACTAAACAAAGTTCTGCGGTGTTAAATGTCGAGCAAGATAATGAATTATTAGCAGATAAAATAAAATGCAGTAATGATTTCGAGATTAAATTAAAAAATAATGTGTTAATAAGTACAAAAGGGAGATTTAAGTGTTTTTATCCTATTCAGCTCCTAGATAATTCAAATACAACCTTGTATTCTTGGAATTCAAAAATTGAAAGTAAATGTAATTATATTTATTTCAATATAATTAAAAGATCGAATTATGAAAAAAAAAGTAATCTGCTTAGAAGTATATTATTTAATAATTCTTGTAAAAGTATAGTTTCGATCAATTTAAATGGTTGTAAAGTAAATAAAAGAGAAACTGTAACAATTAAAGAAAATATGTCAATTATTCACCAAATAAATAAATACAAGCTAATAATTAAAAACATTAAATTCAAAACAAAAATAATAATTGGGATAATAATTCATATTATATTATTTTTGTTTGCATTTATATTTGCACGAAATAGAAACTGTCACAAAATGACAATAAAAATATATACAGACGCAAAAACGGAAAGTTTTGAAATAAATTCTGCATGCGAAGTCACGACAAAGGTAAGATTTTTTATCCATACAAATTTAATAAAACTTAATATTGTCTCTTTGTAACAATATAGGACCTGTTGAGTATTTCAAAAATAAGTGGTAATTCCAATCTCATTATGCTAATGGAGTAAAGATTGACATTGTGCTAAATGGCGCGAAAGTTTTCCAATATTAAAATTAAGGTTCAAATCATAAAAAACTGTACAACTAAAAAACTCTGAATGATAGAAACAGATAATGAAAGAAAAGTCTATTTCTCGTTCTGAAGAGATTTGGGAAAAACAACCATCAACTAATGAAGGTATGCTAGATGGGTTTATACACATACATGAAATAGATATTGACAATAGTTCATATTTTATTGAAACTTTAAAAAAGAAGCTTGGTATGAAAGCGGATGAGCTTTTTGAATACGGAATAGATGGGGGCTGTGGAATTGGGCGTGTAACACCGAATTTAATGAAACACTGTAAAAAGATGGACTTGAATGAACCAATTCTTAAACATTTAATGGTTGCAAAAAAGAACAACCCCGATTGCATTGAATTAATTCATTCAAAACTTCAAGACTTTAATCCGGCTAGTGGAAGATATGATTTTATTTGGATCCAATGGGCATTACAATACTTATCCGATGATGAGTTTGTGGATCTTCTCATAAGAATCAGAAATTCGTTCAACAATGGTGATGAAACAAATAGAAACAAAACTAGACGGGTTGTATGTATTAAAGACAATGCAGATTCTCATGAGAATGAAGTAGATCCCGTTGATGAAAGCATTATTAGGACAGAAAAAAGCTTTCTAGAAATTTTCAAAAGAGCAAACTATAAATGTATATTAAAGATGGAGCAAACATTTCTTCCATCTTCATTTAAGCCAATAATTTCATTTGCAATTGTACCATGTGAATAAGTAATAAAAAAATAGATTTAATTTAGAAGATTAGAATTAATTTACACTAAGTAAATTTTAACTATTTTTTCCTATATATTTCAAAGAAACGTTGTTCTATTAAATGCAAATCTGGATGACAAATTACTAGTGAATGTAATGGATTTCCGAAATCAGTATCAGAAAGCTCACTAAGTGTACCTGAAACGATTTTCTGGTCGCTTGAGCCAATTCTAGCTACTCCTATTGCTATTGATTTAGGCGATATAACATTTTGTTTAAGTTTATCCTCTAAAATAAATAATTGAGAAATGGCTTGATTAATTGTCATGAACCTAGGAGGTTCAAAAATAGGTCGATTCCTCATCATATTTTCAATCGTTTGCTCCTTAACTTTTATATCAAGAAGACATAGAGTATGTAGTCCTCTCTCTATGTTAGCCTTGATTTTTTCATAGAAACTTGAAGGTTGCCAATTTTCATCAAAAAATGGAATTGAAACCACTTCACCAAAACGGTAAACTTGTAGTCCAGTGCACCCTATAGCAGATATAATACTTGCATTGTGTATTACCTCAACTTTGACATTTTTTTCGTGAGCCCTTAAAACTAGATCAGAATGGGTTGTTGCACAAAAAGGATCGCCTACTACTAATAGCACTACAGATTTGTCCCTAGCTTCTTCAATCATATTATCGCAATTTTCTTCTATCATTTTACGATCTGCTTCTATCAGAGGTTTTCCATTCGTAAATTTCATCAAGTCTGCCCTTTGAGATAAAATTGAAGTATATGATTCCAAATATACCTTGTCGGCAGTTTTCATAAGCTCTATGCCTCCCAGAGTCATATCTCTCTCATCATTTAATCCAGTTCCAATTAGATACAAAACCATGATAATAAACTCTCCAATATCTTGAGTTGTTCTTTTTATACCTTTTAAATACTATAAAATCAACCCTGACCTCAGACTGGCGCCCAATTGAAAATTGAAATTTATGATAAAATTTATCGTTTTTTCTTTTTATTCTTTACAAGATTTTCCTGTATCTCCTGAAACCTACTTTCATCAACCTCTTCAAAATCAGCATCATTAAACCTGCTAATTATGTTTGCAAAGTTCCCCATTCTCTTTTTAGAACTGCTTTGAATTGCTTGAACAAGATCCTTCATATCGTTTGAATGTTTAGACTTATCGCGTTTCATTCTGGCCTTCCATTTCTTTGCTTGATTATGCAATTCCTTGATCGATCCTTTGAACTCCTTTTTTTGAGGAAGTCTTCCTTCTTTTATGGCATCCTCAATCATACACACATAATAATCGACATCGTCCGGCTCGGAAAAGGGAATATACTCAAGTAATAGTTTACAATTCCCATTAAAACGTACGTAGAAATTTGATAAATCTTCCCACTCATCATCAGACCCACGGTACTGTTCTTTATATTCTTGGATATCTTTCTCTGATATTTTTTTGGTAAATTGTTTAAAGTAATCAATAATATCCTCAAAATTTTTATTTTCTTCTCCCTCAATTATTCCAGTTTCATCATATAACTTGCGAGATTCTTCATTCCTCAATATCTCATACGCCTTCTGTAATTCCTGGAACCTTTCCTTGCTAGTTTCGTCATTTTGATTTTTGTCAGGATGTAAAGCAAGAGCCCTAAGTCTATATCCTTTTTTTATTTCTGCAGCAACGGCATTTGGAGATACGCCAATTATTTCATAAAGATAATTATTCTTCACCATGAAGAATGATTAATTAAACACTCAACCAAAAATTCTCAATTTAATTCATTATTTAACTCCAAGCTAAACATTTAATGCTAAACATCAGGCGCCAACATGGTTTTCCCACACTTAATTGAAAAAAGTAAATAGAAAAAAAAAAATATTAATACCTATTATAACTAATTATTTGTGTACAAATTATATATATACATATATATATATATATTCATATTCAGTATATGCTTGAGCATATAGGTACTTCATGTATACAAATTCATTGCACCTGTTCTATCTATCCAAATTCTCTGATTCGTACTACCTAAGCGGAGTAAAGAAGTTTTCTTTTGTTCATTTCAATAATTTTTGAAACACCATTTTCTACTTCTATATACGTTTTGTAATTAGGTATGTAAATCACCAGCAATAGTGGGTCAATTATAATTCTCTTTTCTGAATTCTTTTCCTCATCTAGTGGGATAGCAACAATTCTGATTTTTCCAGCGTAGGCTGTGGGTGGGAATATCGAAAATTTACCAGTAAATGTTGCAAAAAAGAATCCTACATCAGTGTATGTAAATGAATTTAATGCAGTATGGAACCATTTAATTACATTCCGTTTATGAGCCAGTAAAATATCGTCATTTTCAACATAAAAAAATGATGTCAATAAACTTTTTACTAAAACTTCATTTTTTAAATTTGTACCTATATACCCTTGCGAAAAGTAAAATAAATTTGAATAATTAAATGATCTCAAGAATCTTCTGGGAATCATATCATATACACCATTAAAAAAGCTTTCAATTTCTAACTGAAATTTTTCAAATCTTATAAAATTGGAAATCATTTTTCCCAAAAACCTAAGATTGCTAAAATTATTAACCTCGAATAAATTAGAATTTCTGGATTTCAAATTCTTTCCATTCATTTTTTCATATTCTCTTTGATCAACATAATAATATATTGGTTGATCTTTAAAAACTTTCTTCTTTGCATTCTTAAAATCCATATTTTTGTTTAAAAAATTCTTTGAATCTAGTGTATTAAAACTTAAATTAATCATGGTTTCAAATTTTTCGATTCTATTGTCCACATAATTTTTAATATTTGACTCATTATTTGGTTCACCAGTTTTTAAATACCTTAAGATAAAATTATTAAAATAAAAATTAAGTGGCTCACCAATTAATAAGCAATAACCATATACTCTTCCAATACCCTTCATTATTACTTCTGGCGTCAATCTCAAGCTATCCCCAATAATGTGATAATAAAATTCACTATCATTAAACAAAAACTTTAAGTACCTTTTATGCAATAAATATCTTTCTCTAGAGGTTTTCGTTCGAGTTGAATTTCCTGTAAATTCGCAATATCTGGAAGTTTTCCCTTCTATATGTCTATTTTCTCTATATACTGAACCATTTTCAACTCTAAAATAATAACACTCAAAAAATGGGTTTAAACCATTGTCTGCATTACGCATTATTTGCTTATTGAAAGATTGACAGAAAAATCTTTTTCTAATATGTCTCATTTCTGTTGAATTTATATCGCCTTTATAATAAAATAAACTGTCTTTATACAAACTTCTCACAAAATCAAAGTTTTTAAATATAAAATCAGTTTTTGATATTAATTCTGAAGGACTTCTATCTAGAAAAAACTCTATTGCTTCAAGTGCAACAAAATTTCCATTCAAAATTAAAGTAGTTGGATTAATATTATCTCTTAGATCGTAAATTATTTCTTTATTTAAAGTTAATTTTTTAATTGCATTTCTAAAAATGTAAGAATTATTAATTATTGAAAAAGCAAATTCTAGCTGATCATCATTACTATATTGATCGATTATGTGTCTTATTGTTGATTCCAAAATCGTAGCTGATATTTGAATTTTTTTATCACCACTTATCAACTTCTGCCTACTTTCTAATATATTCATAACTCTATTTAATGCAACTCCCTTACTTAAGAGCTCATCATAAAGAATGTTATTCTCTATATCCAAATTGGCAATAGGCCCAGTAACTTTATTACTATCCGAGTAAATTGGGACTACAAATAACATTTTTACAAAATTGTAATTTGTATAAGATGTTAACCAATTTGCTAAATCTGGGGGCATGAATTTTAATACTGATTCTGAGGATATTTCTTGTGATATTTCAAAAGGAGGAGCATTCATATGAGTTTGAAAAACTCCCAATCTCTTTGTCTCCATCAAAAAATTAAACATTATCAATGCCTTGGCTAATTTTTCCTTATTTTTTTCTTGAACATCTGACTTATAAACACTTTCGTTTAAAAACTTATCCAAATCTGTTTCAATTTTCTCATCGCTCACTTTCGATTTTGCATTCAACTTCTTTTTTTTATTTATTTTCCCAATACCTAATCTTTTATAAATTGAAATAACTTTTTTTGGATCTTCTGGATCAGGTAAATAAGAGTCAAACTGTTCAAATATATAGTCAATGTATTCATTCAAAACCTTTTCATATAGTTTTTGAACTGCTAGTGATGGTTTACCACGTAATACCTTTGAGACATAGGTCTTTGAAATGAATGATATATTTTCTGAAGTAAAATGAGTAGAATAATATGATGCAACCTTGTTATTTATTGAATATAACAAATATATATTTTCAACTAGCTCCGTATTTTCAAAACTCAACATAGTATGCCTACAAATTTTCTCAAGTTCAGTATCCCCAATCTTAGGAAATATCCTATCCTTGTTAATGTTCATACAATCCAATAATAAATCCTTCTCACTCAAAGTATCTAATCTTATTACTATCTTGACTGAATTATATATCAAACCCAATGTCGAAAACTCGTATTTGATTTCAGATTTTGAATTCAATTCATCCAATGCATTTTGGAGTCCAATAGTTATTAATGTAACCCTAGGAGGCACTTTATATTTATTTATAAGTATATGAGCAAGCCCTTCTGGATGCATATAATTTGGAAGATATATAAAATTTCTAGAAATATAATCCAAGTTATTGTCAAAGAATAAAAAGTTCCCCTCATCTTTAACAATTGCTACAAACATTTTTGAAATAGATGGCTCACATTCTTTTTTCTTCTCAATAATTCTAAGACCTAGTTCTTGTTCGTACATTTGATCTTTGGGAAATAATTTTTCAAAATATTCCGTACATATTTTAGCTGTGTCTAAACCAGTTATCGAAATTACTGAATTACCCGATCTGTCATTTTGATCAGAGTAATTATTTTCTAAAATATAGCAAATATCATGAAAGTTCATTTCATTAACAACTTTTTGGTTTTTAAATAAATTATCTTTAAGCATTGGTACTACAATATAATTGTAGAATAAGTTAGAAAAAACTGAATGATTAGAGAACTTTTCTACAGCACAAACCCTTGGCCATACATTTATTTTGCTGCATATTGTCTTCTCAAACTCTAAGGGAAACTCATAATCTAAATTATTTAAAAACTTCTTTAAAACTTCTGCACAGTCTTCAATTCCAAATCTTATGATCTCATTCGCTGTCTCACACATATTATCCTTTCTCCAATAAAAATCAAAATCAGAAAATTCATTCTTAATTTCGGAGATAATAATATCTGAGACTCTATTGATCTCATCTGTGATTAATTTGTTTGAACTAATGTTTTTACAAGAATGCATTAAATTTATGTCATTACAAATATCATCTATTAACAATTCCACACCATTTGTATTTGAGAATTCTTTTTTAATAAAAGTACTCATTCCAAAAATTTCAGTAAATAAGTCTTTGCATTCTTCTTTAAATCTATGAGTATTATAAAACATACTTAAAATCTTTGAGTAAGAACAGACGGTCTTCTCTATGGAATTTAAATTATTATATTTACCAAATTTTATCAAGCGAGACAATATTATAGAAGCAAATAAATCAACCAGATTATTTCCTGTATTACAACTCATCATTAACTGCTGAGAGATGCATACAGGAATGGGAATGTGAGGTATCTTTGGATAATTGTAGCTTACAAAGTCAAGACAATTCTTAGTATTTAGAAGCTTTTCTGGGAATTCTTCATCATTAATAATACCACTTTTTGTTAGATTTTCAACAATTTCGCAAGCTTTTTTTGGGCTTAAATAACCATTACTCCAGTGAAGGAAGGTCTTATTAAAGTTATTTTTATAGTTCCCACTTAGAGAGATTTTATTTAGTAGCTCTAAGCTTCTTTCGTTGTATTTATCAACACTACAATATTTTTGCAAAGTATTGAGTGGATTATCCTCATGAGAAATATTAAAAAGAGTGGAATCTCCAACATTATTCATATTTCGATTAACTGATGACAGGTTTGTAACTTTGTCATTAATTTGGGCTTCCCCATGTATTTGGTAATTATTAAGTAATAAAGATGCAATTTCGGAGGCTAATAGTGCATTATCTTTGGTTATTGGGACTGAAATGCTTGATAAGTAAATGTAAATAAAGCTTGCATTTTTAATAATAAAGTCTTTATTAGTCAAATCGATAGTTAAAGTAATTCCTTTCTGTTCTAATACTTGTAAACTCATATTATTACTAGTATTAGTTGAAATATAAAGCTTTACATTTGGGTTATTCATAACTATTTTAAGCCCAAACTCAAGTGCCTCCTCGACAATTTTAACACCATATTTTGATCTTTCTTCTCCATAATAGATAGAATCATCGGATTTACTAAAGAAATTGTAACAAAGTGAATAGCAACAAGGGAAACACTTCTTTTTTTTTTTAGCTTTAATGCTTTTATAAACGAGTGATGAGGCTTTGCTACAAGATTCATGAATATACCACTGAATAAAATTTTTAAATTGAAGGTCAAATCGATCATATAGGATTGAATCTCTAATATTGCTTGCAACGGTTTCCGGGAACTCCAAAAGTGATTCGTCTTTAAACATTAATAAGTTGCTTATTTCTTTAAGACTAAAGTCAGAATTACCATCTTTTACAAGTTTTTTAAAGAATATTTTTGTTCTTTTCTTTCGATTTAATAAATATTCTTTATATTTACTGGAGTCTGTAAGTATCGGAAAGAATTGAATATCTCCATTTCTGAGCTTTCTCTCTAGTAAAGTTTTGCAAACGGAATCAAAATCTGAGGGTTTCTTGAACTGGCTTAAAATAAATGAAGATATACTTTCTTCGTCTAAGACAAATTCTTTCCAATCATCCAAATTGGCTCCTTTTGGAATTTTATGTGCATTTACAACTTCCTTAAGAGCCATCAAATCAGAATAAAATAATTCGACATTGTTATAAGAAGTCTTAGTATAGTATTTTTCTTTAATCCGAGCTAAAAAGTCCGTAATTCTCTGCTTTTTCTTAATTTTTTTCAGATATGTTAACTTCTTCTTCTCAAAATAGCCAATAATTGCAGGGTTTATAAAGTACTCGGAAATATTACAGAGACTTTCTGGATTAAACCCTGGATTATTGAACCTAAAGAGAGAAGGTAAGGTTTCTTCTTGTATTACAGATTGGAGTTTTCCATCCCAGATAGTTCCAATTACTTCTCTATAGTAATTGGTCTCTCCAACGAATGAGCTTGCTAGTGCAAAAGCGATATTACCAGAAAAAGTATTAATTGTATTAGAAACTTGGTATGGGAAGTAGTAAGGTGTTTCTATATTACATTTTACCTGTGACTTAATTATTCTCAGACAAGCAGAGTCTAGGTAATCAATGATATGGATAGAATCAAATTCATCATATTGTTCTAAGTCAATTTTTCCATCTTCCAAAAGGCTTAATATTCCTTTTCTGCAAAACTCTATACCTTCAAGGTTATCACTAAATTTCCAGTATTTAGTTTCTTTCATTTTGGACTTCTTGTGTTTTCCATTTTTTCTTGTTGTGAACTTAGAGAATAGTTTAATATCAAAAGGAACAATTAAAGAAAAAGAAGAGGCCAATCCACAGATTTTTCTGAATTTTACACTAGGGAAAAGAGCATGAATTTCTTTGGCGATATTAACAGCAATTCTGTCAGTCTTTTGGACTCTTTGTGGGTTATATTTGTACCTGATATCACTATTACTATTTTTTAAGGCAAGTTCTCCCTCTGGACAAGTAATAATATACGGGAATTCATTCTCAAATTCACTAATAAAAGTACTAATAATTTCAGAGTTGATATTAATATCTCTATTTCCAGTTGCCCATTTTGGAATTTCTTCCATTTGATCAGTTTTTTTACTTAACTTCCTATTTGCAATATATCTTTCACTCTGCAAAAAAGAAACATTGTTAGAAATGTAATAATCTGTGGAGTGAGTTAACCAGTTTTTTGTAACAATCCACAAATCTCTTGCTGTTTCAATTGAAATGAACAATTTTAATAAGTAACGGAAAATGAAGTAAATTACAATAACTCCATCAATATCTTTCGAATTTTTGTGTGGAATTGACATCCCCTTAAATTCCATAAACTTAAATAGTTCATGATCCTCAATTCCACCAGTCTTTTCTTTTCTGTGACCATACATTGGTGGCATTAAAACATCCCATGACGGTTGTAATTGAATTAACCTTTCTAATACAACAAAAAAGTTTCTTTCTTCAGGAAAATTGTCTTGCTGATCTTGCGTTAAAATTGCTTCTGCATATTCATCATTATATTTGGGTATGTTTCCACCTCCTCCAAGTGAGTAAACAAGCCCAGTAATTTCCCAGGCTTCAATTGGGAAAATAATATTGCCAGTACAGTAATAGATCATTCTATAAACGAATGAAACTGTGGAAATTAAATCCTGGTAATCAAAGGAAGGAGGGTAAAGTTTCATGAGAATGGGTAGATAGTACTCGATATTTGAATTAATCAGAGGAGTGTTATTCTTTTTTATTTCATTTGGAAAAAGTATTTTACCTCCAGTGAAATCGGTTGCAAACTTTCCTCCCTTATATATTCGAGTTGAAATAGAAAGAATAAATAAAAAATCATCTTTATTTGGGTATTGTCTGAGAGCCATTTGTTTTCCTGGAATTTTTGGTATATAACTGATTATTTTCCTATATTCAGGCAGAAAATTGACGGTATCCAACGTATTAAGGACCCTTAGATTTTTCAAAACTGAGATCCAAATTGCATAAGATTCAGCTTCCATGATAAAAAAATTGTATTTCATTCTGGAAATTATCCAAATATATTGAGCAGACTTTAGTGGGTCCTCTAGACTAATCTCTATGTTTGACTCTTTCATTTTCTTTTCTATTTCACCATTCTCATCAATCTCAATGCAAATTTTCTTCACCAAAGTGGGTAGGTCAGCAACTAAATAACCTCCAAAGTATTTATATTTACTCATCAACTTTCCAGAAATTTTGCATGATGTTTGATATATCTCTTCATAAACAGTTTCAATTGGAATTTGTTCATTGATTTTAATGTAAGGCTTAGTACTTGATGTTAAAAATAGATTCAAAGTAAAGAAAAATACCAAAAGGAACCCATTGTAAACTATTAGCTTTAGCTTAATATAATTCGCGATTTCCTTTTGCATGATTGTTTTTTTAATAGGATATCTGAATTTTCTGGTTCAGATTCTGTTGTGAATAGATAGTTCGACTTGTCAAATACTATCACTATTTTACAGAAACCAAATAGTTTGATTAAAGACAAATTTTCATCTTTATTAATTTAGGTTTGCTGAAGCAATTCTTCGCAGGCCCCAAGATTTTTTCAATTATTTCTTTGGCTTTAATGCACCATGTAATGATAGATCTTAGGCGGCAAATAACTCTAACATGTAAAGATCAGTTTTTTGAGTAAAAAAAATAATAGAATTAAAACAAAATAAGAAACACAAATTACGAAGTAAATTAACGAATTAATAAACTGGGGTTTGATTGATATTGAGGAAAAGGGCTTATATTTAATCAGGTTCAAATTTGTTTAAATAATCATAGCAAAAATTTAATTTGGAAGAATAGATGCGGAATAGGCATTATGAATAAATACATTGTTTTCTTAATCCAAACATTTGGAATTTTTTTATTTGGTTTGGAATATGTAAGTTTGATAGTGAGTTACCCAATTCGAAATTAAACGTTTAGAATGGGGTAAATAATATAAACTAATATTATTAACATTTTAATTAGGTGAGCTCGAAGACAGAAATAGGTTTTATTGTTCCAACACCTGAACAAAACTACAACAACTTAATGGAAGTAGCAAGTGGAATTAAGTCTGTTAAAGTTTCTCAATTACACAAAAGAGATGATTCACCTTTAGAAAGTGTAGTTAATGTTGAAAGCCAATCAAGTAGAATAGATATGGTGTCTGAAGAAGAAAAAAAAATCGAAAGTCCAGAAATCATCCAAAAAAAAATTGATGTTGAACCAGTAAAAGATGATCAGCAAGTAAAATCAATCGAAAAATCTCCAAAACCACGTTTGGTTGAAAAACCGAAGAAAGAAAAGACATCAGAAAAAAGGGAATTATCGTGTAGCACACCAGAGAAAATGGGGAGTTTCCCGTTTAAACCATTTGCAGAAACTGCAAGAGCCGTAGGAATACCAGCGTATTCGTCTTATAAGGCAATATCTGATTTACATACTTCATTCAACGGAGTATTAGACTCTACAACCTTACTCGAATTATATTACTTTGACTATGATAAACTCGCAATAAAGAGGCCCAATTTTGATGGGAAAGAAGACGCGTGGATATCAAAGTCTCTTTTATCATTAATTTATAAATCAGAGCAAGAAGACCCTTTATCATTTTTAATGTTGGGTTATGGTATTACATCTACCCACTGGGAAAGTTACATACCTCAAGATGATCTGGAAACACCGGAAATAGTGGTTGAGGATATAATACAAGAACACGATCATAGTCATGGAGATATTATTTTTAAAAACTAATTTCCAAATGTACAATTCGAACTTCAAACAAACTTTTTCGTGCTTAAAGTGTGGAGCTTAGAACACTTAGTACAAAGAGATAAATCCTAAAACTATGCTGGTTTCTAAACTAACAAAACATTTTCTAATAAAAATTTTTATAGATTCTAATTATATAATTACATGTAATTTAAGACTAATGTAAAAAATAGATTAGGCGCCACACTTTACCCCCCAACATATTAAAGTACTTAATAGCTAAATTATGCTTTTAAACCTTTGCGTCTTATTATCTAGGATAAGATAAATATTTTGAAAAATAATATATTCAATTTATCATAAATAATATTAATATTTCATAAGACGAGGCGTAAGTAAATAGTTAATTAATTAATTTAATACAAACTACTAAGGTTAGGATGGAATATGTTGCAATGTCGTGGCAACTTTAACGATAATTTGAAATGAATAGTGTGCGCCTAATACTTTCTGAACCTACCTTTTAAAAATAAATCGTACATAGTTACTTTGCTAGAAAAGGTATCCAGGGAGTCTTTTCTTGTAAAGCTTTGGTGAATCTTCTATGAATAGAACACAGTAATATAGGGCTATTTTGTATTTTCATGATTCATTTCGAGTAATATATCGGCAATTGAGTAGGCTTGTATCAATGTTGATAATATGAGAGATGAATCGGTGAATAAAATAAAATTGAACTCAGAACAGAAATCTATAAGTTCAAATGGTGAGGTGTTAAATGAAAGTGATACCAATGCAGTATTTAAAGAAAGTATCCCAAAAAATTCGGGGGAAAAACCAAAACAATCTAAAACGGATATTCTGAGTAAGATGGATGGGAAAATGCCGGTAGCTGAATATAGTAAGGAGAATGGGAGTATTGACATTGGTTTTGCAGACGAAATGATTGTTAAAGCTCTTTCAATAAGAAAGAAGAAACAAAACTCTGAATCCGGAGTTAAATTACGAAGAATTGAAAAGTCGTCAGGGTTAGATGAAACTAACTCGGCTCAGAGTCAGATTTTCACTGAAAGACCATTTTTTCAGAGATTAACAGATTCTATTTATAGGAGACTAATTATTGGTTCATCTAATCAAATAAAACTTGTGGGTCTTATTTCAGCTGCAAGGCTTTTAGTGCATCTATATGAAAGTAACACTCTTGAAATTCCACAAAATGAGGAGGTCCAATATCGTATTCCACTTTTAAATTGTCACGTAGGTGACTGGCAGCCTGTAGATTCGGATAAAGTAGTTTTGTCTAAATCAAGTATATCTAAGGATATATTAGGATGCTCTAAAGCTCCACACGCACCACCATTAGTTAATAGAACACGAAACATTTATATAGTAACCCCTTTAAACTACGACGGAAACAAGGTTGGTGGAGGATATAGAGGGGGTGGAAGTGATCCTCTTTCTCGGCTGGTCATGAAATGGAGAAATTTGAGTGTTTCTGATATTCAGGATTTTACTTATATTACTGAGAATGGTTTCGACCTTAAGTATAATGGTTTTTATATTTTATATGCCAAGTCAAATAAGCCAGACTCACAGTGGAAACAATTCTACTCTGCTAGAATGAGAACCAATGCATTTAATAGTCGTCATCAAATCCTGATAAACTCCACCCACTTTTCTAAACTTATTAAACTCCACACAGTTCACCTTCAGAAAGATGGAACTGATTTACCCATAGGTATGGCCTTATTTGAAGACCACACAGAGTCCCTCACAACTGAAGACATAAGGAAAGATTATTCATTTCAATCATCTATGAATGACTTGAATAATATTTCAAACTCTTCTAATGAACATAAATATCCAAAGGGAATTGAGAAGAATTCAAAAACCACTCCGGAAACAAAGAATGATATTAATCACCTGCTCGAGACAAGTAAAGATACAGAGTTTAAAAAGTTTTTTCAAGCTTATCCTGGCCTAATTTCATATCAGAATCAAATTCTGAAACAAATTAACAAAGACACACCTGTTTTTACATGCCCAGAAAATGGGAAAGTTGTTGGAAATCTTTCCAACCAGGAGATAATTAATAATGGCAATGTAATAACCTCAGGACAAGCTCAAGACCAAAATAACATTTTCTCTCAAAGTCAAATTACTGGTTCAAACATTAACTCAAATTTTGCTAAAGATTCTCTTGAGCTCTCCTTGCTATTTAACTTTCGTTCCCTTAATCCCAAACTTCAGACGGAGATTTTGCATGCAATTTCTTGTATAAAGTTCCTTAATCAAGATATGTTTTCAGCTGCATTACGTTCTGCCTTAGACGCAGCATGCGTTCATAATGGCAGTTTATCAGAAAATCAATTAGTCTCTACCAAAGGATTTGGGTTTATGCAACCTTTTCCCAATACTCAAAATGTGTTTGATAAAACAAAAAATGAACTTCCTTTATTTATTAGACTCCTTCAAGATAACAATACAGAAAATGTTTTAAATTCGAGCTGCAATAGTATTCAGGAATCTTTCATACCTTCGAATGAAACTAATAAACCCAGTTTTACCGGATATGGTGGAATAGATACCACGAATTTTGGGTTCCCTTCAAATCTCAGTAACGCCTTATTCCCCATTTTCTGGTCGTCTTTCTTAGCTACTCAGCAATTTAACAATACCAATAGTTTTATAGCAGAGAAAAATTCAAGTAAAACTAATACATTCAACTTAAATAAATCCTCGGTTACTCCTGATTCAAACATTAGTGATATGGATAATCAAAATGATATCCAAACATCTGCAATTAGTACGCCTATATGCAAGCCAATAGAAAAGTAATTATGAGTTAGTCGGCTATGATAGTATATTTACACAGGATTTAGTTTTTTAAGAAAATTATATTGACTAAATATAAATAATATTTGTCTACCGATATAGTAGTTACTCCTATATTCGAATTTTTAGCATTATATTAAGCTCGAATATATGTTAGAATTGAATTCATATGTTGTATTTACATTTGGGGTTCCCCCATTATATTCAACTTGGTCTGTGTCACTACCATTCATATTTTTATCTTGTAAAAATGTGTCATTTGCATCCAGCTCTGAAATTTTGTATTTATTTATTTCAGTGTTGTTGGCAATTTGCCTCGGAACGACGAAATCATCTCCAGACAAATGTACTGGAGGAGCTTCTGAACTAAAATGCCTTTGGTGGGTCTGGCCATCCAGATAACTGTTAACTTGGTTTTGGCTCTCTGTTGATTGCCCATTATTAACAGCTGTAGAAAATGGAGCACTTGTGTGTGAAACAAAGTTTGGTGAATTTTGAACCGGAAAATTATTTTCAAATTGGTTTGAAAATGGTATTTGGTTAATGGAGCCATGATATGTGTTGCTTTGTCTAATTAAATTATTTTGAAGTTTGTTTGTTACAGTTTCTGACCAAAAATTGGAGAGTTCATTTGAGTCAGGGAAATCGTTTTGATCAATATGAAATGCAGATATGAAATTGTAAAGTGACTCAGTTATTTCAGAGGAAATATGGGAAAGACTATTAATAGAGTTTTCTAGTCCAGAAATTTCGTCGGCAAAATAACTTCCTCGCAAGCTAGTTTCTTCCCCATTGTTTTTCTGAGATTTATCTTGTTTGCTTTTAACAATACTCTTTACGAGCCTTCCCAAGTCATGATCCAAATTATCTATTAAAGCATCCTTTTTCTGAAATTTGCAACCCTCATAGCACTTATAAATATTAGAATCTGTGCAAGTTGAATAAAGCTTGCAGAAAGTTAGTATTAAGAACAAAATAGTGAGAGTAGGCGTTCCAGGAGGAGATGAATCCCAAAATCTAATAAGTTTAATTAAAAGATTTTTTGAACCTAATAATTCAAATGCATTAGAAACTAATTCATCTCCACCCATTAGGCCTCTATTGATTATTACGGTTAAACCAATTAAAAAATGGGAATATGGAGAATCGAAATCATTTGAGCTAAACCTGCAAAATTAAAGAAATAAATTAAATACGTTTAGAACAAATAATACACTAAAATCTCTTACCTCGTAAAGTCCCAGTATCGCTTCGAAAATACCTCAAAATCTGAGATGCTCCTATTATTATAAAGACCAGCCCCAAATATTAGGAGAAATGGGATGGTACAGATTAACAGCCGATCTTTGATCCACATTTCTTGAATCAAAGAAAAAATGCATCACGAGGATAGCTACCTCTCAGTAATTAATGTGAAACAGCCATATCTTTCCTCACTTAAAATAAATTTCTTTAATTCAGATTTTACAAGGCGGGCCAAAAATTACCATTTGGACGGCATGAAAAGCCCCCCCCCAAAAAAAATGCCTCACACTTATAACTCGACATTTATGTAGACCCAGACAGCCCGCCTAACATTTTATTATTAATTTGTTAAGATCTTATAGAGGAAGATATAATAATATTTAAAATCATCACTATATAGACAAAATCAAAGATATTGGAACAAAAAGCAAGAGTATGGTACCAAATAAAGTGTGACTTGGTCTGTCATCTTTATAGAAGTGTGAGGTAGTCAAGAGTTCTAATGAATCAGGGATTTTAGGGTCCGAAGAAGAATTGCAAGAAAATTTCAAGGAATTAGAGGAGGATTAAAGATTATTGACAAGTTTTGCCCTAACTAAATCAGGGAATAAACAGTTTATGGGATTGCCAGAGGATGCAACATATTTACAACGGCTATTTATCAAACTATCTTTGTGGAGCAAGTACTTCGTCCAACTCAATATTACCATCGTTTTCTGCTTCCAGTAGAACAGCTAATACAAGTAGCTCTCTGAACATATCCCTCAGTAACGATCTGAATCCGTATTTGCAACAAACCTTGAATAAACTTCCGGTAGCTTTGAACTCAAATATTCCGTATTTCCAACATTCGATGATAGCTTTCGCAAACCGAATTCCTTATCAAACCATTCCCGAGGCTCAAACTAACAACTCAAATCCGACAGAGTCATCTGACTCTATAGGCTCTGATTTTAGGTTAGATCAGAACAAATCTAATGACGAAGAGTTTAATTGTTCTGGACCGAACGGTAGTTTGCCTGAGGAGCAATCGAATCCTACAGATTCTACAGAATTACCTAGTTCTGGCACATCCACCATCTTTTCCTCTATGTCTGATGCATACTCTGCTTCCCAGACTAACCCATCGCCGATCCGAACTGCCGATGAGAAACATACAACAGGTGTTGTTAAGACAACTGTATCCGATAGTTCCGTTCAGAAGCCTCTCCACACAAAAAAAGAAAAGGCCATAAAGGCGATCAAACACAAGCTTGGTAGCAGCAACCATGGGGGAGGAGGGGTCAGTGGTAGTTGTGTTAGTGGAGGAGTTAGTGCACAAGACCTCGATAAGGCAATGAGCCTTACAAACAATGGTTTCCGCAATATGTCCCTCAAAGGAATATACTACGACCGAAGGAATCATGGTTGGCAAGTACGTATTCGTAAGAGACAGACTGAAATATCTAGGTATTTCTCTGCAAAGAGGTATGGAGTTGAGAAATCGTATGAAATGGCTCTTAGGTTTTACCAAGTCAATATCATCGGGAACTTAGGCAATGAGTTGAAATCAGCCAAAAGTTCTGAAACTTCCCATACTTTAGATGGAAACTCCGATATCCAAGCACCTACAGTGCTTTCAAAGGATGACCAACAGGGGTTTCATGAACAACAGACATCTGGACAAAAGAATTTTGAAAGTAATATTGCCAACAATAGTTTTTTTGCCACAAATGGAGGCAATACTGTAGAAAATAGCAATAGCCAAACTAATAGCATTCGCAGTAACTCCATCGATGGATCATTCAAATCACTCAATACTGACTCCACTTCCCTGAATGGAAATTTAAATTGTTTCTTTCCATATTCTGCTCAAGGAGATTTAGAAGTCAACAATCAATTGCTTTCACATTACATAACTAACAACATTCTTAATAACATTCTTGTAAATCAAATCATTGCAAACAATTTATTTGCTAACACTATGATAAATGTGAGGAATGCGGTTAACTTACATGGGACAGGGCATCCAATCCACTGTTTTTCTAAGATAATAGCCCCTCAAACGTCAGCTCAACAATATGGATCAAGTTTAACCACTTGCGTAAACTCTCCAAATATTGTTCCTTCTACTCCGATAGTTAATCCGAGTATAGGAACAGTTTCATACGACTCACAGCTAATGCTTAAAGATATCATAAGTAATGCACTTTCTGATTCCGAAACCCTATGGAAGGGCGTTTACTACGACAATCGCAATAATGGCTGGACATTCTGTCTTGATGGATATCCGGAGAAGTTTTTTGGCTCAATTGAATTTGGGGAGGTTGAATCTTTGGTGTTAGCTTTCACATGTAAAATAAATGCCTTAAAACTCAACTGTGATGTTTCTCAAATACGTTCGATCGTTTCGAACAATATGACTGATCTTCAAAAGATAATGGGAATAAGCAATGAGGCTTCTCAGAATTCGCCATTAAGCGATGATGAATCCCACATTGATAAAGAAGATCACAACAAAAAAGCAGTAAAGAGTTTTAAAGATTTAACTTTACATGAAAAAATGGATAATTGTAGTTTAAATGAACTAACTGAATTTATTTCCATTTCTCAGCAAATCAAGCAGGTCATTAATAACAGTATTCTAAAGTCTGGTCATCAAACTCTAACAAGCATAAACTTCAGTGGGGGGATCCCTATGGGACATTCAGCATCTTTGGATATTTTAAAACAAAATTTTAATGTTAGGCAGCCTATCTTAAGTAACTTTAGTGATAACTCAATTTTTTTTCAAAATGTTAACAATAATCAATCTTTACTACATGGTCAATGTTTATTAAATAATCAAAACCAATTTGGGATGTAATTTACAATAATTTGGAATTAAAGGCAAATGTTCTTAAGAAGAATATTTGTTGTGAAGATTAAATGGTGTAATTTGGAATTTATTATTTTTGATATTGCTGTTGTCCAATTTTTTTGTTTGGTATTTTTTCTTAAAATTTGTGAATTTGATTATTTTGTTTTTAACCAAGAATGAGCATTTAAAAGTCTATTTTCTTAAATTGTCCACTGAAATACTTGGGATTCTACATTTTTATTGCTTTGATCATTAAACATAGATATTAGATTATTAACTTTAATATTTTTCTTATTTTGTAAATGCTAATGGATATGATTGCTTAAACTTGACAGACGGCACACAAATTGTTTTCCCGCCTATCTGTGTTACTGTATCTAATTCTTTATGTAAATTACTGTTATTTCTAATTAGTTTAGTTAACAAATATTACAACGCAGGAAATAGATTTTTAGCTATGAAGTTTAAGTTATTTACATTTTTTGTCCTTGGTTTACTTAATGTATTTTGTGGTGTATCACCTCCAAATGTTGGTGCACTGAAAATTGATACTGTGTTTTCTGAGAAAAATACAGTATTTGGTAAAAATCTCAAGAAGGCCTATAAAGATGTAATTGCTTCATTAGTAAAATCTGAATCCCACGAAGTAGATCAACTTTATCTCGAACTTCTATCTTATAATTCAACCTTTCACTATATGATTATTCTGAACAATAAAGAAACTGAGGGATCTTTACAGTATTTTTCAGAAAAGGAGAAAAAGCTATACTTCTTATGTGAAGACAAAATTGTTGATTATATTGTAAAAAATAAGATCAATAAAATAGAATTTTTGAAAAAGAATTGTATTGAGAAAAGCTTTGAAAACTACTTGCCTCAATCAACTAATAGAAAGTTGATGCAGAAAAATGAAACAGAATCCGAAACTGAGAAGGAATTAGAAAAGGATGAATTGTTACTTGATATTGACAAAGGAAATACCAACGAAGAATCGAATAATTGCGAGATTGGTATCAAAGAACCTCTTGAGACAAATTCAGAAACAACTGAGAAAGAAAGTTCAACCTGTTGTTGTTTTAAAACGAAAAATAAATACAATGACTTGGAATCCGCAATTTCAGATAATAGTGAGAAATTATCTGGAGAGGGTAATTCTACAAAATTTGAGGGATTTGACATATCAGAAACTGTTGAATCAAAAGATGGGACAGTGAGTTTTGAAATTGAAATTAATGATAAGAATTCAATTTTCGATGAAATCTTGAATGCCATGAAAAGTGAAAATGAATCTATATTGGACTATGCATCCATTGAGGAGCGAGATCTGTCTAGTTCAGAACTGAAAGAAGCTTTGGAAGAAACAGAGAAGGAGATCAACCAAAGAAAGGTGGAGATTCGCAAACTTAAGGAAACAAATGACTTGAGGGGATTAAATTCTTCATCAAAAACAAAATCACTAAGGTCTAATCAAGGCAGTGACCTTATTAACCTCTAAATTAAAGATGAAGTTTCTGGAGTTCCTTTGTTAAAAATTGCAGAAAGCTTAACACAAAGATTTTTTCAAACAGAACAGAAAGAATTGGAAAAGTATTTCACTCCCACAAAAACAAAATTGCTACAATTAGCAATCTATGAATATTTAGTTATCCATTCGACATTAGAAGATAATCTTGAAAAAGTTGTTGAAATTATCAATAATGAAAATGGAATCACCAGATTACGTTCTTTCTTCGGAGATCACGTCAACTTTACTTCAATTAAATATGTTTTTGAACAATACTTTGCCATATTTGATCAGGTTCAAAAGAAGAGACTTTACCACAAATCAGACTTTATCAGATTTATGTTAAATCTAAGTACTAATAAATCAAACCCAATGCTAAATAGTCCAATCTTCAATCTAAAATTGGAAATTGGATCTATGATAGTATTCTATTCAGAAAATGACCCAAGAGTACAAAGAATTGTCATTGAAGAGGAAATCAATAATACTAACAAACAGCTGTTCTATAGAGATCATTCTTTCTTCAATTTTTTGCTTGGAAAACACTTTTCAATCAGGGAGAACGATGAGATATTTAAGAAAACTCACGAAATTATTGCAAAAAACAGAAATAATAATCCTTTGGACAGGCCAAAGCAATGCTTCCTCCAGACAAAACAGCTTTTACTTGAATACAACATTTTTGAAAATATTCAGAATGATGAAGTTCTGAAAATTATTTGTCTCCAGACCTATGGTCTGGTTGGTTTATACTCTACTATTGATCAACTTTAGATGTTTAGGTATCTGTTGTCAAAGTAAAGTAACTTAATGTACAAGAAGACTTTCTTTTTCTCCTTAATTAAAGATTTTCTTATTAACGAAAAAATGTGACTGGAAGGGGATTCGAACCCCTGAAAACAGCAACCTGAATGCTGCGCCTTAGTCCACTCGGCCATCCAGCCATCTAGAGTCCCGGCGCAAACTCATTAGATATATCAAAAATTATGAAAAGTAAACTTGGGAAAAAAACACATATTTTGTAATTTTAATTGTAATAAAAACATAAAATTGATGAAATAAAATTAAAATATACTTAAAAGTGATTAACTAATTTTCGTATAAAAATACACTTATTCCAAAGTATTCGGCACATGATATTTTCATTATAGGTTTAATATTATGTAATGAAATGTTATTTCGATAAATTGCGGTACTTTTCTGAGAAACTAGAGATTGTGTACATGCTTGATGAAAATTATAAATTTTCTGTGAAAATGAGTGGTTCAAAGCCCTAAGTGCATTTTTGTGATCAATTAAAATTTCTTCGGGAAGATTATGTTGTTTAACCAGAGAGTTTACTGTACGAACTAAAGTAAATCCTGTAAGCCATGCATAATCTTGAGTGCTTAAAATGTTGTGAATAGGTTGTTCAAAGATCATTGAGCAAACTTTTTGAGCAAACTTATAGGAATTATCATTAAAACTTTTTACTGATTTAGTAATTGATAAAGTCATGATAAATCTAGTACATAATTCATAAAGACTCGGTTCATTAATTGTCTCATCCATATTTGGAGATGATAATTCACCTTCTAAGGGATGTCTGTATTTTAATTTTTTATCATTTTCAAAAAAACTTCTTAATTTCATCATTCTATTCCCTTTCTGATCTTTTGATAAATTAATGTGAATATTTTTATCTTTAGATTCCAAGTTATCCGAAAACTTAGATTTTTTGGTTGAAGGACGTCTAATTAGAGGTACAAATTTTTCAATAAAGTTTAGTCTGGCTGAAGCAATTTCGTTTGAGTTATTGGAATCTAAGAATTTTTTTAAAGCAATTAGAATTGAAAGAATTTCAAGATGTTTTCCTCTATAGAAACTAACTTTATCATCCTTTTCCTCACCAGTATTCATTAAAGGGTCTGTATTTGAGCGATTTACAGATGATTTAAAATGAATGATTTTCTGTGAAACAAGCTCAATTAGTCTTTTTCTAGCACCAAAATTATCGACTAAGCTTTCTGAGGTGGACCAAATTAAATTATTATCTTTTTCTAGTGGTAATTTAGCTCCAAAAGGGAATAAATTCTTATCTAGCTCCATCATTTCCTCATCATCCAAATGTCTTATTAATATACAAACATACTGAAATTCAAGACACTTTATATGGTTTATGTATTCTAATTTTGAATCATATTTAATTTTTTTTCCTAATTTACCTGTATTTTTATTTATTTGTTCAATATTTTTCTTTTTAATATAAAACTTTACTTCTTCATCATTAATTTTTAATGTCTCATGGTTTTTATCAATAAAATGAGATTGTTCAATGTTATTTATGTTAAAGTTTTGGGTAGAATTGTTATCATAACAATTTTCTTCAATGTTTGTATTTATACCCGGTTCAGCACTTAGTATAGGAGAAATAATATCGATTTCTATTTTTTGACGTCCATAATAAGTTTGATCAAAAACTGGACTTTGTTTTGGTTTTGTAAAAAAATCAGAGTCTACCAACAATTTATTTGCATCATTGAATAATAAATCACTTTCATCGTTTATCTCGATTCCCTTCACAGTATCTGATTGATTAAATGATTGATATTCAATAGGTTTATGGGAAGATGTATAATTTTCTTGTTTATTATCTTCAAATACAATAGGTTCTTTATTTGAATTTGAGACATACTTATTACCTTTAAACATATAATAATTGTTGCATGATTCTCGCATATATTCCAAATTTGGATAAATAACAAAACGAGTATCTTTAGAATTTAATATTTCAGAATCGCCATTTAAATTCATAATTTTAGTAATAGAAATTTCATGGGGAGATTGGAAACATCCATTTAAAAAGAATTCAAAACTAGTCAATAAGTGTAACATTTTCACAAACTTCTGTAGCATAGTTTCAAATTCATCTGATTTTGTTCGGTTTTTGGAATATAAGTAAACAATTTTAGTGAGCTCTATTTCAGTAGCAAGTTTATGTAACAATATTACACTCTTTAAAATACTACTTTGACTTTCATACCTTATATAAAATAAATTCCTTATTTGATCAATAAGTTTTGTTTTATCATCTCTATGGGTTTTCTCAAGAAATTGGATGCTTTGATCAAAAAATCCACTATTCAAATAGTTTAGCAAGTTTTGCCTATATATCTGGTCATGTTCTGACCTATAATCACCATTGACAATTTCAATATTAATTTCTTGAAATTTACTATTTAAATTATTTAATAAATCAAAGTGAATATCTAAAGAACTTTTGATATCCTTGTATAAGTTCTCTGCGATTTGTTTAATCTTTGTTTTATATTTCTGAAGTGTATATTTAAAATTTTCTTGCTCAGAGACTTCCTTTAGTGACTCAAAAACATCTTTACTAATAACTTTCAACTTAGTGTAAAGAAAATCATCTTCTATAACTTGAAGGTTCTGAAACTCCAAGTTTTGTAGAAATTTATCTATCGCTAACTTATGGGCCAAACCCATATTTAAACCAAAACATGGCCTAAATAATAGGTAAAATAGCCCCAAAAAAATGAACGATATAAATCTCATATGTAGATACTCCTTCATAAATAAATTATTATATGTAACTTTTGTTATTTTAAGTAAATGGACTTGGAAGAATATCTATCCTTTTGTTCTACCTGACAGAATGGTCATGTCATTTTTTACATTTTTTGGCGGGGAATGAGGAGACAGGTTCCATGAATTTGATTTTTATTCTTAAATTAATTTTTTTTTCGAGTATTTCTTAGAATTTCAAGTATTTAGTATTATTATATTTTTAAAAGAATTATATAAAACTTCTTTACTAGTGCCAGAATACAATTTTTTTTTTTTTTTTTAGTTTTTTCTCCTTAAATTTCTATTAGACTATATTTAGAGTATTGCCATTTTTATTCAACATTTATGGATGAAAATAATTCCTAAAATAATTTAATTATAGATGTTTGAAACAGTTTGAGGAGGGATTTTGCTACGAGAGGTTTCTACCTCAAGACAAAATAAGGGCGATTGCATAGTTGAAACCTTATCTGGTCGATATTTCCAAATGTTTAATGTAAACATAAGGGGGGAATTTGAGAGAGTAGTTTGAAGGGGTGATTTGAGGCGGAAAAAGAATAACTCGATAAGAAATAATTTAATCTTTTTTTTCCGATTATTTGTTGAATAATTTAGTAATGATCAAGCTAGCACAAAAACAAGTATTTTGAAAACAAATAAAGAGATTAATATGGTCAAAAATAAAATAAATTATTCACAAAATCAAACATCGTATCCCATATACATAAGTTGTGAAATAATTTAACTTTTATTATTTGAAATTATTGCATTTTCCATATTTTTAGATCTTTGGAAATTTAGGCGCCATACACTGTCTGGGAAAATACTTTGATAAGGCTTTAACAAAGTTAAAAAGGCTGGGAGCACGATAAATTATTATAGAATACTTTGAACAATGTCAATACCAACTTGTTTAGAATATGGACATTAAAATATATTTGTTACTTCTGTTCTATGTGAAATTTGTGAGGGAAGTAATATTAACTAAGGCTGAAGAAAATATAGATAGTGGTTTAATAAAAGAATTAGAGGATGATTCGGATCTTGAACAATCAAAATTAATGGATAGTTTATCCAAAATAGGTCATGGTTTACAACTTACTGATTCATTTCAACCATTTTCAGATATCTCTGAAGAAAAACAAGATGAAAAAGAAACTGTAACAGATGGAGCTAAAGTATTATCGATAAGGAAAGGTGAAAACTTGGCACAGTTACCTGATAAAACTGATTTAACGGGAGTTGGTGTTTCTGACTCTAGAAAACAGGGTGTAGCTAGAGTTTCAGCTGCAGATTTCAGGTTTGGAGAGCCTCTGCCTTTAGTTAGAGAGGAGGAGTTATACATGTACGAACATCCATCGGAAGAACTTATATTAGCAATTCCAATACCTACAATGAAACCAGAACAACAATTTAATACAATAAGACGACTTTCTGGATCCAAGTATAAAGGATTACCAAAGGCTCATCAAAACGAAAGGTCAAATGTTAATTGGTGTAAAATTGTTGCTTCGAAAGATCCTGAAGCTATGACAAAAGCCAATAGCATGTATAGGATGATTCAAGTTGACTTAATTAGTATACTTGGAGGAATAGGATCAGGTGGATCTTCTAGTAACCAAGGATCTTCGGGAAACAAACTGGGTTCAGGTTGGACACAACAACATATTTGCGAGGGGATTTTTCTTTTGAATACTTATCGTGGATATGGTGATTGTGAGAGAATTTTTATTGATCTTTTGGCAAGATTTCATGGTCAATGGAGTCTTTTTTACAAGATGTTTAGACAAAAATTCCGAGAAATATGCACAGAAGTAGGATATAGCAAGGGGCCATGGGATGTCAATAACGATAGAGCATATTCTCAATATACTGTCTTAAGGTCAGCAAAGAAACCTATCAAAGTTGAATTATCTAAAGAAAGAAAGGATTTTGTTAGATTACTTAGGACTAGAAGCGGTGTATGTAGCTTGTTATCACATACTCTTAGGGAAAGAGCTTTGAGACTAAAAACTTCTGTTGAAAGTATTTCCCAAATCAAACATATTACCCAGAGAATTAGCTTGGCAGACTACTGCGATATAATCCTTGCAAAACAATCAATTATAGAATGTGCGGAAGCTCTTACAACCTTTTTCAAGCTTAAGGCAGAAAGCCATTTTGAATCTAATGAAAGGTATCGTTCAATAAGGTCTTTATTAATAAAAGCTTGTAATGATGCTCTTTTCCATGAAAAAGATTCAAACACAAAGTCAGAAAAAGCTAGCAATTACGATCGAATTGAGAATAAAGAATAATAAAATAACACATTAAGTCTGATACATTAAACTAAATAATATATTTTTTTATTTATTTAAATTATTTCTTAAAATAAGAGTATTATGATTTATTCCATAAAAGAGAATTATTATTTACCACTGGAGAACTAACTTCCAGTATATGACTATATATAGATATATATTATGATCATTATATCCACTAGTTTCATTATATTAACTTCTAATCCAAAAGACTGATTTCAGCTTCACTTACAAGACTAGAACTCAAACCATCTAAATCTAGTCCACCTCCAGTTCTGACAGAGTCAATTTTATTGTGCTTTTTTTCCTTATTCTTTTCCTTTGGTTTTTTGGGATTTTGCTCCGCTAGACCTCTGTGATTCTGTATGATTACGTGAAGATCAGGAGAATCTGAGATAGACGGAGATGTATACAGAGATTTCTTTTTTGTACCTGAATTTTCTTGTCTCTCTTTTTCCAGTTTTTCTTTTTCTAATTTGTCCAATCTCTCTCTTTCAAGTCTTTCCTTTTCCAATTTTTTTTTCTCTAATCTCTCTTTTTCAAGTCTTTCCCTTTCCAATTTCTCTTTTTCCTGTATCTCCACTTGAAGTCTTTCTCTTTCCAATCTTTCCTTTTCCTGTATCTCTATTTCTAGTTTTTTCTCTACATTTTCTGGTTGATCCTTGCTTTCTTTCTGTTCACCTTCAATCACTTTCTTATACTCAGTTTCGTCATTAATTCCATCATCTTCCTCTTCATCAAAGTCGAAGTCAAAAAAGTTATTACCTTTCTTAGCATTAGAAGTTGGTGGAAGAGCTTTGGGATTGATTTCTAAATTGTAGTTAGATGAGGAAATACTATCACCAAGGGTATTTGAGCTATCTAGAAAGTTATCTCCTTTTTCATTTTCTTTGGTTATTTTCGAATCTTGAGTGTTTTTATCAGTATTAAGGATTTTATCCTTTTCAGAATTGTCATTTTCTTCAATAATTACAGGACCTTCTCCAGAATTCATTATTTGAGGAAGTTTAAACTGTTCCCCATCATAATTAGCCTCTTCTGGGGAAATCTGAGCAAGACCTCTAAGCTTTGGGATACTCTTTCCCATATCTGATTGATCAAGGAGAGATGTGTGAGATTGATCAACTAAACTGTTCTTAACATCGGCTGTACCTGGAGCAGCATCACATGATATTCTTAAAAACTCCTCTCCAGAATTAACTGGGCCAGTTTTGCATAATACAATGATTCCTGAGCATCTTGCTTTAGATTTCATTGCTACTCTCCCAACAGATCTAGCTGGCCTGGAAAGATAGCCAAGCTCTTGACCCTCTTTTATGTATGCTCCTTCTTTTACATAGTATCTTGCAGTAAAAGCAAGATCATTTCCTATAGCTGTATACCATTTAAATCGGTCAGTATTAATCGGTTTGTGCTCTCTAGCGTCACAAATAATGCCTAAAAATCTTTCTCCTTTCATTACAGTAACTTGTACGTTTGGGTAATAACTTATTATACCAAAACAAGGTGCCACCAATTCTTCTGCTAATAATAGTCCTGGTTCGTATATCCAAATAACTCCAATAGATGCATTACGAGCAATTTTCTTCCCGAGCTCAATACCCTTTTGTGGAGTAAATTTCATAAGATCTTTCTTAGCCCTAAACCATCTTTTGTTGCCTTGTTTAAAGTTTTTCGGCTTTTTGCTTGCATAATCAAGCTCAAGATCTTTTCTGTTACTTAGAATATCTGAATCTTGTTTATCAATATTTTCAATAATTGCTGAGATCATATCGCCACATAGGCACTCCGAAAAGAAGAAAAATAGCAATAACAACAAATTATATATAATTTTCGACATGATTAAACTAGAATGATTTTTTTTGGTACTGTACAACTTTTATATTACAAAAAATAGTTTCGGTTAGAGTAGTGTTAACCACAACATAAGTAGCTCAATTAAGAAACTATTTTTTTTTCGAGTATTGGAGACAAATCTTGTATCTAATTATTTGAGGCGAGCGAATTTAATGTCAAATTTTTATTTATTTTGGATTTTCGTCTTTTTTCACTACCCCTCATCGCTCAATTAAAAAAAAAAAACTAATAAATACGAACAAAATGGAAGATTGATATTTTTATTGCTAATTAATGATTTAGCTTCTTATATGTTTAAAGTGATAATTAAGTTTTCTAGGAATGTAGTTTTTTGTAGTTTACACTATAAAATTTTTTTTTTTGGCCTTTGTGTAGATATTACACACACCCAAATTACATGTACGTGTTCACACGTCTAAATACAAATTTAATATAAAAATAGGAAAAAAAGGGTAAATGGCCTTAAGTTAGATAATAGTAAGGAACAAAGTTTGAGTATAGATTAAACATAAACTCATACAGATGCGTTGACATTTGAAGATTCTTTATAAAATAAAAATTATTTATAAGCTCGATATTCCAGAGCTTAAAAATACTTAGAATTTTTGCCAAAATTACAATAATGAATGCTCCAAAAAAATCAATAAAAGAATGTTGTGAAATTCTGAATCTTAAGATATCTGATTTAAATAACGATGGAGAAATTAAAAAAGCTTATCATAAATTAGCAATAAAATGGCATCCAGATAAAAATATGGGGAATGATAGACAAAGGTGTGAAGCCAAGTTTAAAGATATAGTGGAGGCTTATGATATATTAACAGACCCTCAGAAACGGAGTCAAGCAGAATACGACTCGAAAAAGAAGGAGATATTTTCTAGAGGAGTTGTTAGCATAGCAAGAACAACTAAATTTGATGGGTCATTATTTGGAGGAGGTGCCAAGTTTGCAAAACAAGGAACTAATCCAGGGCTAATACATATATCTCATAAAGATAGGCAGAGTTCTCAAGGCTCAGTATCTGGGCTGAGAAAGTCAAAGGAAAGTGATTTGAGAGTAAAAGAAAATTATATACAACTATCAGAAAAACTAATCAACGGAATAAACACTATCTACGAAACAGTTTCCAATGCAGTGAATGGGAGTGAAGTAAGTGTAAGTACTGCTGCCTCCAAGATTCTTGAATTTAAGAACACAATCCTAAAAAACACGATTAATAGTAAAACTTCCAATTCTTTTGATGGTGAACTAGAAAGCACACAACAAAACGGAGATATCTTTAAGCCAGCTTCTGAGAATATTCAGGAGCTGATCCGTAGAAACAAGACTTCTCATGATGAGGATTTAGCTTCTACAAACCCACCTTCTGATAGCACGAATAGCGATACTGAAAAAACTCCTTACCTTCTCTCTAAAAGTCAAAATACACCTGATTACAGGATGAATATGTTAAGTGCCCCCAATTACAGAACTCCTAATTATATTCAACAACAAACTCTCTGTAGCGGATCAGACGGTCCCCACATGTTTGGAACTTCAGTTACAAACAATTCAGATAAGTGTAGACCGAGGGTCAACCTTTTTAAAGAGGATACATTTGAAAAGGTCCCTGTGAGACATGCACACAAGAAGATAATAGAGAAAATAAAGATATATCCAGAAGGCAGCCATGAGACAAAAAAACCATCAGAATACAGGTTCACTGGAGGTAAATTGATGAACTAATTTTCAAATGCTTAGGTTTGATTCTTGAATTTTATGTAATGCATCAAAGATAATATAACATTATAATAGACACGCATATTTTTTAATTGACAACAGAGAAAATAATTCGATTTTTTTTTGGATTTATGTGCTGAGAAAGATGTCCCCATTAAGAAAGATAACATAAAAAACTCTTTAGTATTAAGTGTATCATTTTTAACTATTTGCATTTATTCATTATATTAGTGTGTGTTTTCCCATTTCGTTCACATTTTTACCAGGATTAAAATGCGCCTGTATGACAATATATTTCCACAACAAATTAGGCGGGACATATCCACTCGGTTTTTAAATAACTATAGAATTACTACCAAGAATTCCCCCACAATAAGAATAACATAACTCAGTTTTTGAATTGTTAGAATCACCAAAAACTATTTATACATATATACATACACACATACATATATATATATATATATATATATATACATAATATACATTTCCAGATTAAAGATTGAAAATGTCGAACGCTCTGATAGTTGTCTGGGAAAGGCTTAAGAAGTTCTCTACACCGACTGCGTCGCCCCAGGATAAAGGTAAATACGTATTGTTTGGAGTTTTGAACATAATCATCTTTGGTTTGGGAATGATTATTATTGGAATACTAAATAATGATGCATCCGACATTATTACCGGAGTTCTCCAATTATTATTACCATTCGTCGGATGGGTTTGGGCGATTGTATGGGGTATTGCAATAATCTGTAGGAACCTCTAATGTTAATTATTTCTCTACAAATTCAAAAAAAAAGAAGAAGAGAGGAGCGGAATGCTAATCTAGCCTGAAAGTGAACAATCACCGTTAGTGATACAATATTAAAGATTATGTCTATTCATTGAATTCCCAAAACGAATAAATCTGTTCAACTTACCTATGTACGATTCTATTCTACTTGTTTCATTAATTTTATTCTGGGGACATCTTTCTCTTCAGCTTTGTTAATTCTTGAAGTTTGTTCTTTGTGTTTGTGTTCGTGCATACATTTCCTCATAACTTTTCACTCTAGAGAGGTATCGATCGTGAATGTCGGAGTAGATGTTATATTGGATCAAACGCTGACGACTCTAGTCTCCTATTCCTCTTTCGAGTTTCCCGTTCTCCTAGAATGGGTAAGTATGAAAGTTGTTAAATTATCAACAACTGCAAATGTGAATTGTTTGTAAAAGCTTTAAACAGAATTTAGTGTTATAAATAAGTCAAAATAGTGATCTGCAGTAATGTCTTTATGTATTTTTCAATATTGGATCTTTTTTTGCTAGTTCGAATTTGAGATTGCTGGATGATCTTTGAAGGGAGGAGAAGAGAGGGGAGGGGTGGGGAGCGGAAAGGTGGGGGGAATTAAAACAGGAAACGTGCAAAGTCACTTTTGAAGAAAACTTGTGTAAAAAGAAGAGATATAATTAACATTAAGTTGAAATAATTCTATTTTATACAATTAGATTCAACAATTTTTTTTAATAATCATTCCGCCCTGAAAAATAAAATATTTATGAAAAATGAAGGTATTTTGAAAAATTTAAATAATCTATTAAGGGATTCTATTATTATAAGTATCAAGTTGTTATTATAAAAATAGCTTTTTAAATGCTGATTATTATTTATTAAGCTTTCCTTTAGTATTCAAAATTTCATTCATTTATTTCGTTTTTTTGGCGTTTTCCCCCTAAAAAATACAACAATGCCGATGATTTTTAAAATAAAATATTATATAATCCAATATTGAATTAAAGTTTAACACCATATTTGGGCATTTAAGATAGAATACAGAACAAAATTACAAATTTTAATCCTAACTAGCTAACGGGCCGAGTTATTACAAAAAAGCCAGTTCTTTGCATCTACATTTGAAGATTTTAGTATTGATTAAAAAATACTCTGCACTTAGAAACCACAACCTTTAAAACAAATAAATCACAGAACTAGATAAAATTGAAATTTAAGACGACTGATATGTAATGGGTGAAATTAACTAAAAAAAAATCACTCTAACATAGTTTCGCTATCTACATGTTCACAAGTCCGAGCACTTATTCACATTTGTGCCAAAAATAGAAACAATGAAGTGAATTTTAGTTAAATTTAAATATAATTTTAACTTTAAATTGATTTTCGAACCTTGCAGTGAAAGTACAAGAGGATTAGAAAACAAAAAAATGTTACGCCCTTAAAAAGTGACTTTATTATCAATTCATTATAAATAGGAATTTAAGGAAATAGCCTTTAAATTGAATTTGTTCAATTTTGTCTTTTAATATAGACACCTACACTGAAAAAAATATAATGTCGTCTTCACATGCATGTAAAAAATACGTGGACGTATTCTGTCCACATTAAAAATATCTAACCACATTTTACCCACACATCTGTAGCGTCGCTGCGTATAAATTAATGACAAAATTTTACACACTCATGTTGACCTTTTCATAGGTAATAATTAGTCAGTCTTTAATTAGTAGGAAACTAAGGATAAATAATAAAAATGAGATTTTTACTCGCTATCGTATCACTCTCCGTTTTCATCTCAGTTGTATTCTCAGCTCCAGGTGTTCCACTCAGAGGTACATTGAAAGAGGATGACAGTACTAACGTTAGCACAACAACAGCTGCTCCAAAGAAGATAATCGTCAGATCTACCGAGGAAGGCACAACACCTACTGCTCCTACTACTACTCCTAGTACTACTGCTCCTACTGCCGCTCCCACTACTGTTAGTACTACCGCTCCTTCTGGCAGCGGTGTTGATCCTACTAGCACTGATGGAGATGAGAAGACTGATACTGACACTGGTAGTGGTACTACCGACGAAACAGTTACAACTACTCCTGACCCAATGGAGAAATGCGGTACTTCATTCGTCATGTGGTTTGTTAGTGGCGTTCCAGTTACAACTCTCGAATGTGGATCTTACACCATGGTATACGGACCAGTTGAGAATGAGACTAACCCTGCAGCAAGGTATGTCTCTGGAACAGTCACCACAGTTACTTATGATGCAAGCAACAAGAAGCTTATGGTCAATAACCAGGAGTTCGCCACTCTTTCCACTGATTCATCACAACCAACCACAGCTACAACAGCACCAGCAGCTAGGTTACTTGCAGAAGATACTGTTACAGAAGCCGTCACAATGACTGATTTATACACCTTCACCTTAAAGGGTGGTAAGGCCATTAGCGTAGGCGTGCCAGCTAACCAAGACGAAAGTAAGAGAGACAAATACAGTTTATCCGCTGATAACCAGGTATTCTATACTGGTACTGCTAGCAATAGTGGTGTCACTAGTGGAATATTCAAATTGAACGAGAATGGTGACTTAGTTGATCCTTCAAATACCGTCGTTTTGAAAGATGCTGACTCAGCCGCTTTTGGATTCAGATACATCATTCCGTCCGTATTTGCAATCTTCGCTGCATTCTTCATGTTTTAAACATTTTTGAATAAATTTTAAGAGTTTAAGCGCTTTAAAAAGTAGTGGTGAGTCTTCTATTTGGGAGGCTGGCTTCACTACGGGATAAGACAGACGGCTGTTTCTTACTATGCTAAGGAATGGTGAATAATTAAATTTTAATTTCCAGAATATTCTCACAGTTCCGCAAAGCTTTTTCGTATGCATGAGTTAAATTACTACTTCCTATCGTAGACTTAATGCAGCGCAAAGGGTAGGCAATTTTGGCGAGACACTTTGAAGAATCATTTCGAGGGATTATGTACTACTTAGTTTTCAATGCGTGCTAAAGCTTTTAAATGATTGTGATAGATCGAGTGAGGATGACAAATGAAGCTAATTTTTGTTTAACAGGCTTTAAAATTTTTTAAGTTTCTTTTTCCTTTTGAGGTAATGAGTGAGTTTCTTTCAAGTACCAATTGCGTACGCTGGAAATGTGTGAGATGGAGTGTCGGAAAAGAAGTCTCCGCGGTTGACGGGAATGAGCCCCATTGTGCCTAGTTTAAAGAGAATGAAAGCTATTCCGAGGAGTGAGTATATACAGTATACTGTTTTTTGGATGGCGAACGATTTTCTTGCAGCACGCTCGATTTCAAGAAAGTTTTTGTTGGCTTGGATCAATATTTTTACTGCATTGACAAGTGCATAACTTACGATGAGTATGCTGAAGATTCCGGCGTTGTTTCCGCTCATGTATAACATGAGGAATGTCATTCCCATGGTTTTGAGGGGCAGATGCGCAATGTTCCATGCCTTTTTATCAAAATTACACATTTCTGTCGTGTTTTGGGTACTGGTTGACTGCGTTTCTGTATCTTTGTTTGCAGATAACCTTGGGTCTTGATGCTTTCGTTTGGGATTTGATGAACTTGTGGGATGAGTGTAGCTGCTACAGCTTGTGACGCGGCTTTGATTTACACTATCGCAGTTACTTGATCCTATAAGTGCTTGTTTTAAAGGGTTTTTATCGAATATTTTTTCAATTTGTTTTGGATGGAGTATCCATGTGTCGTATTTGCTTTTGACGTTTGGGCTTTTGCTCATCTCTTTGTCAAAGTTACCCTTTGGTTCTGACTGGTTTACTGTTTTCGCCTGCATAAGTTGATAAAAACTTAATGGTTTTTGTCTTTAACTCCGCTTATTGGCTTGTCAAAACTGTGCTATGGCGGGAAGTTACGAAATTGCTCTTACTGTGGGTGTAATAGGCAATAGAATTTGAATTTAATTATTTACTAGCAACTATTTTAATGAATAATCAAAAATAATCGTGAGGCGTAATGATTTTAAAATTTGGAGTCTGTTGTCTTTTCTTGTTCCTCCTTAGGCACTACACTTGGTAGTCGGTTATTTTGTGATTGGCCTTGTTTTTTGTTAATTATGATAGCGCAATAAGGGCGGGTAGTTTGTGATTATTTACTTTATGTTATTAGGGGACACAATAACTGGCGGATAAACGTCCTTAAAACAATTTAGGTGAGCATGCAACAGAACATGGAAATAATACTATTGGAATACTAGGGAAGATCGTTGTGAGACAATTTAGAATAAAATTATGTCAAATTAGTTGGGTGTAATTTTTTTTGTTAGTATAAATGATTTGTTTGTAGTATGTGGGTATAAGTGGGGTGTGGGGGGATGAAGAGGGAAAGCAAGAATAATAGGAAAAGAAAAAGGGTTAGAAAAGGCTGAGAAAAAAATATATATTCATGAAAGTAGTTAGAGAATGAAAAATACTCTTTCTTTTAAAGTTTCAGTTAAATGGATTTGAATTCAGATATTTTTGCGACATAATTATTATATTGGAGATATTCATTATTATTTAGTTACCAATAAATTTCCATCTACAGGAAAATAAATATATGTTTGGCCATCAAATACAATTTAAATAATAGATTTGAATTGAACAAATAAATTTTTTTTGAAGAATTATAATATTAAATTTATATCTGAAAAGATCAAGTTAATTGAGCTTAATTAATAAAAACAAGTGTTTTGCAATAAATTGACTAAATTATTAATTTTCTAGAATATTCTTATCCATATATACAAATATATATTAGCTAACCATTTGCATAATTAATTGTTTTTGTGAGAAAATAAAGTTAAGTTGTCTATAAACACATTTAATTGCGATTCTAAAGTAAAAAATTTATGGTAAAACAACTGGAGAGATTAATATTTTGAATGAACACATATTAGTTATCCACATTACTATATAATACTTGCGGGGTATTAACAATTACGTGTGCATGCATAATAATTAATAAAAAAAATTTGGCATTTATATAGACAGACATGTCAAAACCAAAGAGTTTAAGATATGAAAGGGCAATTGAGACAGGAGTTGAAATATTAAGAAATGCATTAAATAAGAAAGAAAATGAGATAAGAAATTCATTATTGGAGCTTAAGGAAAATGAGTTACAATTGAAAAAAAGGGAATCAAATTTGGCAGAGTCTTTGAGAGTTTTGGAACAGGAGAAAAAAAACAATGAGTATTTAAGAGTGGTGAATGCAAAAACTGAGAAGATATTTAATTCTGCAATAGAAAGCTTAAGGTTAAAAGAAAAAAAAATGATAGATAGTTTGGATTCGATAATTAACGAGTTTAAATTAGAGCCATCTGATCCTGATGAAAATATGGATATTGTTGGCAAATTGGAGTTGCTTAGAAAATATTTAAGAAAGATCCAAAGAAACGAGTCCGAATTTTTAGAATACACAAAGAAAATTCAAGCTGAAAAGTTTGGTAAATCTACTGGAAGATGTAAATGTGGGTATCCTGTTTTTATTATTAATGGAGAAGTTGTTGCGGGAAGTTCAGTATTTGGTTCAAACTTCGATGGAGACCCAGAAATTGTAGAGCTGGAGTTTAAATCTATGGAGCTCGACTGGGAAAGAAGGGCTTTAGAACACACTAGAGAAGCTCTAAGGCAGGAAAAGTTGAAACAAGAAGAGATTTTACAAAGCAGAGAGGAGAAGATCAGGTATAAGAGCGAAGAGCTAGAGACTAGACTACGTGAGGTAAAGAGAATGGAACATATTTTAAATTTAAGAGCTTTAGAGAGAGAAAAAAATGTATCTACTGGTAATAACTTGCATTCAAACCCAAGTTCTGCATCATCCAATAGAAGGGGAAGGAATGGATCTCGGACTGGTAGAAACAGTTGTCCTGTACGTGTACAAAAAGAGAGCCAAAACCATTTAGGGGTAAATTATGACTCAGGTATTGGCTCAAATTTTGATAAAAATAGGAAAAAACAACAGAAAGAAGAGGAGTGTGGTTTTAACTCATTTAATGATAATTCTATTACTATTAATAGAGCTAATGATGGTTGCGACAGGAGTAGAGACTTGAATAATAATTACGGATCTGGTTCTGGATCTAGATCGTTCTCCCAGATGGAAGCCTTAAAAACGGAACAAGCAAGAGTTAAGAGTTCGGAAACCCCTCCTTCAGAAGAATATGAACTTTACTCACTTAGCCAAAGTGATAATGAAATTCTCTTCACTTCTCCGGGTTACAAATTAAGCCCAAGTAGAACTACTAGGAGAAGATTTATTGGTAAAATAACTGGCTCAGATGAATCCACTTCAAAGAAAGAAGTAAATTCTCTGGATAATGCTGGGAAAGTTACAAATGATATAAATTTCTCACACGAAACTATTAAGAACAATTTTTCTGACTTTAATATGGGAAATAATTCTTCTTTAGAAGTTACTCCAAATGACTTACGTGGTAAAAGTTTCAATGACAGCTCAGAAAGGTTAATACCTCCCAGGATGTCTCCTTTACTAAGAAGTCAAAGACAAAGGCTCAAGCAAATTCTTCAGGAAGAAAACGAAGATAATGATGAAAACTATGCCAGAAATTCGCTTGGAACAGACTATAAAACATCTAGTTCAGCAGATGTTGACTACGAAACTTTTGAAATAAATAACTCCTACAAATTAATGTATTCAACTCCTAAATAATAGACGCTCAATCTTTTTCGCACAAGTAATATATATTTATTTGCTTATTTCTTAACTGAAATACTAACTTTTACGAATTTCAATTCCGAAAACAGTAGCGATGATAATACTCACAGCTCTAGTAAACAATATTAGTTAGAAATAAGACGATTTCGAGCAAAAATAAAAGTCACATGTTATCTTGTTATTTTATATTTAATTACATGTTTGGGCGGGAACATGTATTTCATAAGTTATGTTAGAAGTGACGTTTTATAGAAATAAGTAAAAAAGCGATGTTTAGATTACTACTTGTAATGACCTCTAGGATTATTTGATGCTTTTAATGACTCATTTGATATGTAGATTTTTCAATTTAAGTTGAAAATCATTGTGAGTGTTATTGGAATAAAAAACAAAGGTGATAAAGGGTTTCTAAATAAGATGCAAAAACATAGCATAATTATATAAAAGGGCGGCAACTTTTCTACTAATGAAAAGAATTAAAGTTCTATTCATAAAGTAAAAGTAATTAATAAAGGGAGAAAGTATAAGCAACCCATTAGTATAAATCACCATAGATTAAAATAAAATTTGTGGTGATAGGAATTCTGAGTTAATTTTCAGTGAGAATTTAACTATTCCAATAATGATTTGGCAGTGAATAATAATAGTATATATATACAAGTAAAGTGTGACAAAGGGAGATAAAAACTTTGTTTAGCTATCATTTAAGATAATCCTTAGTCTTTTGCATAGAAGAGTTGGTAGCCAGAAAGCATGAATTTGAGTGTATATATGGGAAAAATATTGGTCACGATTCTTGTTGTTTCTCTTGATAGTTTTTAATTGCATGTTTAATAGCATCTTCAGCCAATAAAGAACAATGTAACTTGATTGGAGGTAAATTTAAGTGATTTGCAATAGTCTTGTTATTGACCTTCAAAGCTTCTTCAGTAGTTTTTCCAATAATTAGTTCAGTAGCATAGGATGTACTAGCTATAGCAGAACCACATCCAAAGGTTTTGAACTTAGCATCCTTAATAACTCCATCCTTAATGCTTACCTGCAATTTAACAACATCTCCACATGCAGCTTTACCAACAACAGCTGTTCCGACATTCTTATCATCACTAGGGAGACTCCCTACATTTCTTGGATTCCTAAAGTGATCATTAACAACATTACTATAGAAAAGCCTTTGACATATCGGAACACATTTCTTTAATAATATTCTTTTATCAACAAAATTTCTTAACTGCAACATAGTTAAATCTTACATTATAATACCCAGTTTTAGTAATTTAATTTGTGCTAGAATTAATAGAACAAAGATGGTTTTGTAATAGATTCGCCTTTCTTTTTTTAATAATAATGAAAAGGAAAAACTCAACTTATTTTAAAGTTGAGCATTAAAGCCGTCAACTTTAGCATATATTAAAATATTTTCTTAATGAACTATATAATAAGCAGGTACTTTTATAAATATAAAACACATAAATATACATATAAGGATGTATATTAAATATTTTTATATTTATAGCATTTGCAAATATGCATAGATCCTTTTTTTCCCTCTCACTCAAAGTTTAAAAGGATTATTTTTTAAACCAAGTTAAATAATATTTGAAAAATTGACGTAAATTTTCTATTCACTAATAACGCACATATAATAATGTTAAATTAAAATTAATTTATTTCAATAAAGTCAAATTAACTATTACCCATATTTTTAAAGTAGTTTTACTCATGTTTAATATATATATATTTTATTAATAAACTATTTACTCCAGCCATAAGACGAGACGCTCCAGCTATCAATTATTACTAATATTTTAAATATTACTAAAGGTAATACAATAAGAGTATAGACAGGAATATACGTACATAATTAAGGTAACTAAAAAAATTAATGAAATAAATTGTTTTTAAATATAGTAATATTAAAATAAATAAATAGGCGGGAAAGTGTTGAATAATCAATATTTAACTATATAGTTAAAATAATAGAAAAAGACAAAAGTAACTTAAAAAAAAGAAAATCAAATTGGTAAATAATTATCGACTAGAAAAGATTTAGCAAGACAATTATGTGAGGGAGAAAAATATATAGGTAGTTTGCATGTTTGCATTTATAAGGAAATTTAATGACTATTTTGTTCTGAGAAATGCTTAGGATTTAGATAGTAAGGATGGAACCCAATTTTAAACCGAATTCTGAGAAAAAAGGAGGAGGTTCATCTGTAGCACCAGCTTATCATAGAATGAACTTCCTTCTACAGGTGAGCCAACAATATGCATTACTTTCGAATGAGCTCTCTAGGTATTGTTATAGTCAGGCAAGAGAAATTTCAAGAAAAAAATTAGCTAGAATTGATCCTGAATCAAGGAGATTATGGTGCAAAAGATGTAATACCCATTTTATTTCGGGCATTACCTGTGAATTGATACTTGAAGATAAGATTATTCACAATAGTAATGATAATAACAAAAATAGCATTAAAACCAATATATTTAACAAGTGTAATTATTGCAATTGGAAAAAAAGACATTCATATAGGGTTTTTGACGATTTTGAAGATGACCAGAAAAATGCAATTACTGATCAGTAGAAAATATATCTGTTCGTTTTTTCAATATTGAAAAATTTTGGAACATCTGCACAAAAGTACATGGTTTTTTATATGACTATACCAGTTACATTAAAAATAATTTAATTGATATTTTTTGGCAAATTATTCATTTTTAACTATTTCTGCTTCTTAATATTAAACTTATTATTGCTACTGTACTTATAATATTAACTTTAAGCATATTCTTTAACATTATAGAACATAAGTAATCATATTTTTAATAAATAAATCTCAAATAAGTATTTGTTTTGTAGTTACATATTATTTAATCATTGTCTTCAAAAATATTACATTTTTTTAATAATCACTATCATCTATTACATGCTTTTTTTTTGTATTTTCCCGCCTAAAACATTTGTATTTTATTAAAATGGCAATTTCACATTTATTATGAAAATAATTCTGTGAAATTTATAGTTCATATATTAAAAAGTATATCTAGCTGTTTTTGATTTTAAGTTTTTTAAACAGAAATATTGATGTTTAGTTTATGCGGTTTTTCAATATTTTAAAGTATATTACAATATTGCACCTTAATTATTATGAAATAAGGTATCCACATAATATTGAGTTAGTTTCCTTACTTCCTTCTTCTTAATTAATCTCTTATTTGGTGATTAACCCAATAAATTATGACAATCTAAGTTTAATTTTAACCTATTTATTACAGAAGAAATTCTTTAAATTTTTGACTATAAGAATTAACATCATTTGTGGGGGGCAAATTAAACAATTTATAATCATATTAATAATAAATCGAAGGAATAAATATTAGTAGAACAAGAAGATGGGAAATGTAGGTTTCAATGGAAAGGCTTTATAAAAAGTAAAGTCGATTTTATAAAGACCAGAGAATTCATAAGTTAAGAGATTTCAAATAATGTGTCAAATAGATCATTAAGGAGGCGGCTACACTATGATCTAAAAATTATATTCACTGTATGGTTTTTAATTTGCAATAGTGCAAGAAAAACGAGTGTTATTTTCAAGGGTGGTCTAAAGGCACATGAAAGTAATTGTTCCTTAAATAACATATTAAAAGTTTTGTTTAAATAATATACCAACTAATAGAAAATTTTAGGTGGGGGCTTAATATTACATTAATATTTCAACTAGAGATATAAGAAAACTAGTAATTAAAAGAAATGGGAGTTCTAAGGTTACATAAATTTAAAAAGCTTTCTTTAATATCGTTATTTCTTCTAATAACTTTGTTGGTTTTTAATTTTGAATTACTTAATGCATTAGTGGCAACTGAAAACAAAAATGATACAGAAGTAAATAATAGTGAACCAAGTAGTGAGAAAAGCAGTAAGTCAGAGAGCTTATATGATCAAGATGAAGCAAATGAAAAAACAGAAGTCATGGATGATGAAGTTTCATCACAAGCCATGGGGCTTTTCCAAAGTAACGATTTTGATTCCGGTATTCAGAATGGAAATTTTGATAAAAAAGAAACTACAGAAAAATCTCAAGAAAAACCTTCCACAATTAAATTGATGGAGGAGATGCCCCCAGCCTTAGATTTGGGAGACATACCTGGATTAGATGGTGACACCAATATTAAGGAAGTGAGCAACGAATCAAAGCCTGAGTCTAATGATCCGGATTCAAGCTCCCCTTCAAAACACATTTCTGCTTCAAATGATCAGGAACAGGGCTCTAGTTCCGCTTCAGGTCCTGCTTCTATCTCTGAGTTGGCCTCTTCAACTTCAGCTTCAGGTTCAGCCTCAGTTTCATCATCAACTTCAGCATCAACCTCTGATTCAACTTTGGACTCAGCATCTGCCTCTAATCAAGTAGATGAGGAGATTAAGATAGAGAATGGTACACAGAATCCTGAAAACTCTGGCCAAGATTTTCAAGAGTTGCAATCTTCGATGATTCCAAAAGGCCTTAGAGGGTATAAAAGACTTCAATCTGAGCTTTCTTCCGGAGGAATAGATTCAGCATCTGACTCGAAGACTAGTGAAAGCTCAGGTTCAGCTTCAGGTTCAAACTCAAGCTCAGGACTGTTACTTCCAACAGTTCCAGAAGATTCTTCTGATGAAATGAAGCTTCAGCTATTATTTAGACATACTACCAACAAATTTCCAATGCTTGATTCAACTTCTAAAGAGCAAAAAACTAGCAATGATGAGGGAACTCAGACTAATACAAACTCTGATTTTAGTTACAACCCACAAAAAGGACAGGAAATTAATGCCAATTTTCCCGGTTCCCCTCTAGAAAAGCCATCATCTCCTCAAATGGAGAGTGAAGTTGAAGAAAGTAAGAGCGAAAAATCTAAAACTGACACAGAAATAGACGAGTCAGAGTTTTCTTCTGATGTTGAAAACAATGTTGAGTTCCCAGAGGATAATAGCAATACGTCTTCTTATGCCGATGCTAGCTCAAGCACAGATTCTAATAATAAAAACACAAAGGTTAGGGAAACTACATTTATTTTTGAAAAACCAGGTACCCAAGAGGTTTCCACTGTAGCTGAGAATTTGGAAAACTTACAAGAAAATCCAAATAAACACATTTCTGTTGCAACACAAACAACTCCTGTTAAAAGACATAACAAAAACAATGTAAGGAGAAGGAGAAGAGGAAGAGTTATAACAAAGAAGGGTCTTTCACAGTTAATTAAAGAGTTGAATAATTCTAAAACAAGAAAAAAGATGAGTTTCTTTAAAAAGCTCATTGGCCAAATAAGTGATAAGGACATTAACTTAATCTCCAATATTATTGAGAGAGAAAAAGCAAACAGAGAAAAAAGTAATTTATTAAGAAAAACTTTAACTAGTAATATCCCAGATAGACCTCTCTTAGGTAAAGAATGGATTGAAAGAGAAAAGTCAAGAAACAAGCAGGATTGACTAGTAGATATTAATGAACTGAGTTAGTAGTTATTAGTAACCTTAACTTTCTGATATAAAGAAAACTATAATTTAAATATGATTTTCAATTCGGAGCTAAAAAGTAGTCTAAGAAAAAGGAAAGAACAGAGGAATAAAAATAATAAGATGAATCCTTTAGACTACTTTTATTCCTCTAATAATCAACTCAAATAATATACTCTAATTCTGAAATCCCTGTAAATTAATACTAAAAAGGCGGGAAGGTTTGAAATTAAAAAATGTTTTTCACAACCTGAAAAACCTCCTTATTAAATTATCTCAAATCTCCTTTAATTAGCATCAGATTTAGTCTTTGAATGAGATTTAACTTCAAAATGAGGAGGATCGCAAGACGAACCATCCAATAAGCTGCTCATTAAAGTCTCAATTTCTTTAAGGAGTGCCTGGTGAGCTGCTTGATTAGAAAAGTCTGAAAACCATATCTCAACTCTAATGTTACCCTTGTTGCCTCCAAGTTTGTCAACCAACCTGATTCCATTTACAATAGAAGAATTTTTCAAACTTCCTCCTATAACCGCCAAAACCAAATTATTCCACATTGTATCCAATTCTCCAGGAACTACCGAAGATTGCCATGCTCTAAAATGAATGTGGCCGCCTGTTGCATTCATAGGATCTTCCCACATTGGTTGAATACCTTCTTTGAATAGAATGACAGCATCAACCACACTCTTTGAGCCGTCTGATGATTCTCTAATCATTCTTTTACCTTTTAATAACTCAGAAGGCTGAGGAATATGATGCCAAAGCCACCAAAACTGTTGAACTGATGAAAACTTTGCCACAGGCTTTGTAGCATTTGAATAATCGGAATCTTTCCTTGTCTCAACATTTAATTGTTCCCATACAACCCATTCGTGAGATAATGGTAATGGTCTAGATATTAAATCATCAGGTATCTCCACTTCATTACAGTCAGTTGGGAGCGTCAAGCTAGGTTCTATCGACTCATTAAAGGATAAATACTTTGAAACAGCTTCTTTCTCCGTCATCTGATATTTTGATTTTTTCCTATATTATCGATACCTTCAATTTTTGTCAAATATATTCTCCTTTCTTTTTTTCTTCTTTTTTATTTAATCCCCACGTCCAATTAACTATTACTAGAGAACCGCCTTTTGTCCCGCTGACGAGAGGCTTAATAAACTTTTTATTACTATTATTTAATTAATATGTTGGCGCCTTTTTTGAATTAAAATAAAAAGAATAAAGGGAAATTAATAGGTAGTAATAATATAAGATTTAAAGCGAAAAGAGGGGGGGAAGAGTAAAATAAATTAAAAGAAAAAAAGAGGTTTAGAAGTTAAAGGTGAGAAATCCTCTGGATTGTGGTATTTGCTTGAGAATCTTTGGCATCTTTCCTTTTCTTCCGCGATAAAAAGTACATTGATTCAGACTGCATAACTTTTTATTTATTTATTTTGACAGAATCCACTCTTCATTGAAGTAAATTATCAATATCTAATAATAAATAATTCGGTGAAGTATTGAAATATGAAAAATCGTAAAAACTAGTTAATATATATATGTTTATATACGTATATAAAATAAATATTTGAAAATAAAAATACATTACTCTTTTTTTCGTGAAAACGCATTACATGCTTATATTAAAAGTTCAATTAGAGAAAAAATCAACATTTTTGGCAAAATAAGGCTTTTAGAGTATAACATTATTTTGGAGTATACTATATTTTGTGTGTGTGATCGTTTAAAAAAGCTAAAACTAATTAGGCTTTGAAAAAAGGAAGTTCTATTTGGAAATTAAGGAATAATAATCAAGACAGTCGACTTTACAAATTTTTTTGGTAATAAGCAATCTCTTTCTGGCAAGACTTTAGTAGGTATTTGGGTTAACTTTAAATACTTTTATCTTAAGAATTAATCATATTCATTAATTTGATAAAATATTTCAGAAAATGAAATCGATTTTAGGTATTTAATTGTTTCCAGGTTTGGAGAGATTTGCCTAAGCTTTAATCAATGAATTGGTTGGTTGATTGGGGAGTATCTTGTTCCCAAGGTGGATGCAAGGAAAATCAAGACGGTTGGTTTGTGTCGATACCAACACAGAAAAAGTCTGATAAGAAAGAAAACCAGAAGAAGAAACTGATTAACAATGCAAACGATTATTGCCATAAAGATGAAAAGTTGGATAAACTTGGATTTTCCAAAGGAGTTTGGAATTTTGACCCAATTCAACCTAATTTAGCAAATGCTGGAACTTTTAATCCTCAGGGAATGAATGACTTTAAAAATGATACAAAATGTTTGAATGATATGATAAACAAGGCATTTCCTCCTGTATTTCCTTTATTTAACTTACCACCATTACCTCCAAAGAGAAACGGTCCTGGATGGGCTTCTCACTCAACAGGAAGCAAATTGGAAGGCTTGGACAAGTCTTGTTTTTTTGGCCTTTTAGACGGGCATGGGCATTATGGAAAAACGGCATCTCATATAGCTGCTTATTGTATATCTCAAACTTTGAGCAAGGAAGTGCCAGATATTCCCAATAGCTTTGCTATCAGTGAATATATTGAGCAAGTTCTTGGCATTTTGAACAGGGGGTTTTCTTATGCTCATGACAGTGTTATTAGTGCAAATATTGCAAGCAAGAAAGATTTTGGAACCACTTGCATTGTAGTTGGAATCATTGGCGAATATCTAGTGACTGCCAACTGTGGAGACTCATCAGCAATTTGTATTATTCCCAATTTAGACAGAAACGTCGACTGTAGGTTGAAATTGGGCGAGAAATATGATGCTTTTAATTCTAACCATCTTTGTTTTGGAGATATTGGAGATAATAGTAATATTGGCAATGTTCATAATGGCAACGTTCATGAGAGTAATAATAATAATAATAATAATAATAATAGTAGTAGTAGTAGTAGTAGTAGTAGCAACAATGACAGCAACAATACCAGTCATTTCGAAGAATCCAATTATGAAACTTCCAAAATTTCACTTCCAGATCTTCCAGTTCCTTTATCTAACGGTAAATTATCCAATAAATTGGTCTCCAGCTTTCATGGGATATATTACCTTTCAAACCCCCACTGTTTAAACAGAAAAAGTGAAAGACAAAGAGTAGACCAAAGTGGAGTAGGGAAAGTTGTTTTGGGTGACTACGGCATGCTCAGACTGATTCCCTCTTATCTTTCATATTCACAGGCCAGAGATTTAGGATTGAGCATTTCTATGAGTAGATCCCTTGGCCATATGCATCTTTCCAGATGTGCCTTGTTGCCAACCCCTGACTACCGAATTCTGAATTTAGGATCCGATCCTCCGAGAAAAGAGTGCATTAAGTCCATTAGGCAAAGTTTGGATAAACAAAAGAACAAGGTTGAAGATGAAAAGATGGCATGTTTTTCTGAGGCTCTCATTGAGCAAAGCGTTATTGCTATTGGGTGGGGAAGCAGATCCAACATTTCTCAATACAAGAATCATATTGAGAATATTGAATTAGACTGGAGTACTGACGATGAGAGTTTTTCAAAACATCTAGTTGCCAAAGCAAAGGGTAAACCATGGCAGGACTCCTACGTTGTAATTATGTCAGATGGAGTTAGTGATATATTGGATGCTTTCACTATTGCTGACATTATTGTCCATTCCCAAGATAAAAGCATGCAAGAAGTCGCCGGTTTGCTTACTAATGAAGCTGAGAAGAAGCGGAGAATTAATAATATTCGGGCTGATAACTGCACAGTCATTGTTGTCCGACTTAGAAACAAATTTTATAACAAATCTGAAGATGATTGCAATTCTGTTTTGGAATCTCCCACTAAATCATGCGTTAATTTAAATCAAAACAGTGGCATTTACCTTGAGAAATCTTTTCTCAGGAGTCAAAATAATAGTACCAATACCATAAATAATGTCTCTAACTCACTTACGACTGTGAATTCGGATTCTTCAAATCTCAATAATCACAACTCTGGCAATTTATTGAGTAGTCCCAACAAAATTAATATTTGCAAATCTTCTGAAACTCCAATTCGTAACTTCAAGCCTAATCAAATGTACTTTCACAGAACGGTAACACCTATCCAAAGGAGAAGAAAAATTGCCACTCCCTCTCCTGCAAGAGCAAGGACTTGCAAAATTAGAGAGGTACCCAATATTTTTATTAAAAACCACAATTAAGTTCTATTTACTCTTTTACATTTATTCTAATTTTTTTTTCTTTTACTTTTTTCAATATTTTTATTGTGTCAATTGTTGTCCACATAAAATTTGGTTCGGGGGATAGCAGTGCATGTATATGCAGATTTGCATGTTATTTTTATGCCACGTAATTGCATACTAAGACAATATTAAAGAGAAGTTTTAGTTAAGTTAGTATATAAATTAATCAATTGTTTACTTGAACTATATTTTCGTGTTTAATAAAATCTAATTTATCGTTTACATGGTTGTCATGTATTGATTGTAACTTATTTAATTCACTGGCGTTTTCTGCCTCCATCTTAACTACTGAATTCAAAGCTGCTACATCTCTCACAATTTGCTCTTTTATACTATCAACTAAATAACCTAAAGCATGTATCTGAATAATCATTTTTTTGTCTTTTCTTAACATTCTTCTCAAAAATTTTAATTTATAATCCAACTTATACAAACCTTCCATAATACTTGTGTGAATTGAACCCTGTTGTTCTCCATCCCCACTCTCTTTTTTATCTTCAGCTTCCTGACTTTCAGCAATTTCTGGACCTTCATCAGAATTTCCTTTATTGTCAGTAATTCCATCTTCAATTTCAGTGTTCTCTTCAAATTTTTGGATTTTATCATTCTCTACTTTCTTCTCTTTTTCCTCTTCTTCCTTATTTTCTTTATTCCCTACTTCTTTATTATCCTCTTCTTTATTTTTCTCTTCCTTATTATCATCTTCTTTATTTTTCTCTTCCTTATTCTCGTCTTCTTTATTATTCTCTTCCTTATTCTCTTCTTTATCTCTTTCTTCCTTATTCCCCTCTCCTTTATTCTCCACTTCTTTATTCTCATTTTCTTTATTTTCTGTTTCTTTTTTCTCTTCTTTATTCTCCCCCTCCTCTGTGTTTTCAACATTTAAAGAATTAGAGTCCTGATCAGAAGCCACTATATCATCTCCTTTTTCGGAAGTTTCATTGTTTTCAGTATTTGTAGCTGTTGAGTTATCTTCATTTGTAACATCGTCCTTACCAAAACAATAATTTGAAGAAACAATTATTGCTAAAATGAGCACTATTAGACTCAATCTCAATTTGCAACAATTCATTTCTTTTTAAAATATGATTTCTTTAAATTAATTTCTTGAAAAAAAAAAAATATATTATTTAAAATTTACAAAATATTAAAATTTTGTCATCCAAGTATAAATTTGAATAATTAAAGCTATAAAAATTCACAAATTTGCAATATAATTGTTTGATCTGGTTCTTATTCGTATATTCTTTTTCACTATATCTGCAATTAATTTCTTAGTTATCTTAAAAAGAAGAAATGTGTGTTGAATTTTTTACATGCCTTTATTTTTTTTTTGTGTGCATTTATTTATACACACAATAATTAAATATGGTGATAAGAATAATGTTAGGGTTATTAAAATATTTTTTGAAAATATTTAGTCAGCCTATCTATTATTTTTTCATAATATATTAATTCGCTTATTCTAGATTACTAATCATACCTAGTAGGGAATAGAACTTCCTTGTCTTGAGTATCTAAACTTCTTGTTACCAAAGTTTCCGTAATTCCTGGATGAATTATAATTACCTCCATGGCTATATCTATCATTTTGTCCCTTATAACCGTAGCCTCTATAACTTGTTTGTTCTCTATGTCTATATGGCTGCCCACATCCAGAATTTACATAATTACTTCTGATTTGTTTTGAACTATTGTAATAAGTATCATTGTTAGTACCAGAGTATCTTTTTTGTACAGGTTTTTCTTGCCCTCTTACTATTCCTAATCCACCGCCAAGCCTTTTTGGTAGCCAATTCTCAACTGTTCTACCTCTTTCAACATCAACTAATATCTTCCACCCATCTACAATCTTTCTGTTAAATGATTTATATGCTTCTTTTAGAGATTCCTCATTCTCGAATTCCGCGAATGCATATCCTCTAGATTCACCTTGGAAATCTTTAACTATATGTAAATTTACTAAATTACCATACACTTCCAGCTCTCTCTTTAAAGTTCTTTCTGTAGTATCATAATTCAATCTTGCTATAAACAATGTATTGTAGGGATCTCCTGTCTTACTATCTAAATTTTCTTCTTTTGGATTAAATGCCTCAACCTTAGCATGCATCTTATGCTTATATTCCTGAATCCTTTGTAATTTCTGCTTCTCTTTACGCATCTTTGTATCTATATATGGTTCAGGAGGCGGTGGATTCACCTTGTCGAACAAATCTGGATTCTCATTTAATAAGTCTGCGAGGCCTTGGTATGGTCTATGTGGCCTTCTTTTTGGATATGGAATATGTGGTAATGGTGGCCTTGCTTGAAAAAACTTTAACAAGTCACTAGACATACCAATAGCCGACATCTTTTCAAAATCTTTATTAAATAAATTCGCTAATTAAGAAAAAGGAAAGCTAAATTGACCACTAGTTACCGGATTATTCTATAATTTAACACTTTTTTCACCTTTTTACCTCTTTTTTAATACTTGATAAGATTAAATCTTCAAAGTTAAAGGAGATGCAAAAGTTTGATTTTAAAAAATTTAAAATGTTCTTACATAGCTCTAATGCTGCCACCAATACGTTATTATTCAACTTTTGTTCCGATTAATTCTATTTCTTAATTCTTCTGTAAACTCATTTTAAATTAATACCACACGAACCTTCCCGCCAAAAAATTTTAATATTTATAATCAAATATTATAAAGAAATAAAGAAAAAATAAAAGTGCTGTTTCTGTGTGGGAAAGAGTACATTAGTTTGAGATAAGTTGGAAATCGTATTCAGAATTTAAGTAATAATTATAACCGAAATGCACCAAATTGTTGATGATGATGATTGGTTGTCGTCTGAGTTACAAACAATATTCAAAGAAACAAAACAATCAAACACACGCTTTGAGCTCAAGAGAGCTTTAGTTAGATTTGAGAAGCGTCTTTCTATGAATTCTAGTCGTGATTATGTTTCTCCAAAATTAATCCTAAGTAATGACAATGAATCCAAGGCTTGGATATCATTTGGAAAAATTTCACAAGGGGAGCTTTTGTTAGCAGAGAAACCATTATGTTGGGTCCTACCTAAAATCCGAGACCCCACTAGAGAATATTCATTTATTCTATGGAAAAAGTTGATCCAAAAATGTAAGGATGATAAAAAATTGTTGAAGAATTTGAAAATGTTATTTCCTCGTACGCAAACTGATATTAAAAGAATTCGCCAAGAATCTGAAAACTATCAAATACCTATAAAAGAAATCAAAGATTACTTTGAAAGCAATATAGAATTGGCTAGTCAAATAAGAATCAACGAAGCACTTAGAATATATTTGGTTGTAAAGTACAATCAAATGTCAGTAAACATGTTACCTGAACTTTGGAAAAATCCATTTAAGTGGTCAGAAAGGTTCTCAATCAACTCTCTATATCTCAAATCTTCATATTTTGATCATTCATGTAGTCCAAATGTTGCAAGATTTTATATTGGAACTGTTGCAATATTTAAAGCATTAAGGCCAATTAAACACAATGAGATTTTATCTATATGTTATATAGAAAATGAATACATTCAAGACCCACTTTGGGTGAGAAATAGTGAACTCAATTTTTTCTGCAGATGTAAATTATGTCAGAAAGAGGGTGGATTTACACTTCATGAACAAACGTCGAAAGTTTCTGAAATTAATAAGACATCAAAAAAACTTAATAAAAGATGTTCATTGTTATCCAGAAAGTATATCTGTATGCTTCAAGGTCTAGCTTTAGAAGAAAGGATATCAATTATTGAGGATGTTCTAAAAGAGAGCTTTCTTCAAAATGATCAAACCATTATATCCAAGGTTCCAAGACTTGTTGGTCTAGATGCTTCAAAACTTATTGGGTTTTTGATACATGATTATATAATAATTAAAAATTATGAAAAAGCTCAATTCTGGCTAAATATTATGTATAAAACTAATCGTATTAAAGATGAAAATAACATCCCCATATTAATTTTGCTTGGAATGATTTCAAAAGATATTGAAATTCAAAAAAAATACTTTCAAAGGGCTGTTAAAATTTCAAAAACTGTTTTCGGATCTCACATCAAGTTTTTTATGAAACGATATTGGCTAGATATTAAGTATTTTGGTAATATCCTATATGAAAATACGAGAAAAAAAGTCAGTTACTTGCGTCATATTTCACTATTAATTAGACATATTTTTTCTAAGAAATAATTTTCGCCATTATTTGAACTTTTCTGCCTTATATTATCATCATTTTATTTTGATGAATGCTGGCTATTAAACCAGGGATGGTCTAGCACTTGTTCACAGCCCCCCTGTGAACCTAATCTAATTGTCTCATCACTGTTTAAGAGTTTCTTAATCAAATCTTCAATTTCTTCCAGATTCTTCTTGCTGGAAATAAAATCCCCCATTAAAATCACTGGCTCAGGAAAACTTAGAGATTTTGGAGACTCATTAATTCTTTTAAGAAGGTATTTATTTTCTTCTGGATGATATCCATATGGAGGTATTCTAATATTTATTTATTTTCAAGATTAATTATGATTAAAGTTACATTTGTTAATCAAAAATCTCAGTAAAAAAAAATTAGAAATCATTTATTTTAACGTACCCAAATACCATTTCGTAAATTAAGACTCCAAATGACCACCAGTCAAATTCTATACTGTAATTTGGCTCCTGCATGCAAATCATTTCTGGCGCCATAGAATGAAACGATCCACATAATTCTGATAACCTTTCTTTTTTCTTAAAGTTAACAAAACATGCCAAGCTCATATCTGTGAGTATTACTTTTCCTGTTTCAGACTCAATGATAATATTGCTACATTTAATATCTCGATGTATAATACCTTCTCTATGCAAAGTACCAACAACTTTTGCCACCTAAATACATAAATTGAGAGAATTCATTTATAGTTAACAGGGAAATATTTATAAACTTATTTAACTGAAATTATTTCTATGTGCATTAGTTTTTTCATTCCTTTTCCATTATTATTATTATTGTTATTACTGCTAATACACGTAATTCTACTTACTTGTATGAGGATCTTCTTCAATATGTCTATATTTATATTTTTATTATTCAAATACTTGTCCAGAGTTTTCCCCTGGATGTACTTTAAAGCAATACAAATGTATGTTATTCCAGTATTTTTCTCTTCTAAAACAAGCGAATCGTATCTAATTAAACAAAAAGTGTTTTAATAAATAGGTTAAAGTTTAGTTTTCGGGAAATAGATAAGTGTAAAAAAAAAACTTACATTAAGGGCAAAGAAGATTTTTCGTCTTCTTTAATTGTTTGGCTTTCTCTAATGTACTCTAAAACCTTCCTTTCATTCCAAATATGATTATGGTTAATGACCATATCTTTTCTATACATTTTGAGAAGAATTATTTCTGAACTTCCATCAGATCTGAAAACTCCCTCTGCAACACAAACTTTAGACACTTTTTTTGAAGATATTTCTGCTTGAATAACAACCTTTTTAAAGATACCTGATGACTTTATCTCCATCTATACCTCACACAAATCAATCACACACATTAACACATTCAAATTTCAAAGGGTATCTCACTTATCTGAACTGTGGTCTTATTATTCAATGTATATTGTTCGCCTATTTAATTTTATTCCCCCCCACCACCACCAAACCAGTTTAAATTTACATTTTCTCTTCTATCCACCTTTCCCCTAATCCAAATATTCTATTAGAATAATATTCAGATAATATTGCAAGTGGCGGGAAAATTTGAGACGCCAATTAAATGTAATATAAGGTAAATATTAATATAATTCAATTAAAAAACAATAAGTTATATTATATTTTATATAAAGCTAAGTAAAGCCAATCCAAACTAAGATTAAGCCAAGCAATGTAATAGATATTAACCAAATAAAATAGATCAAAATGTATTATTAATAATATTATTATTGAAGCAAATTAATTTTTCAAAAGTAAATTTGAAGTAAGAATAGCCATATTTAAATTTTAGAAATGGGTTTAAATACAGCAGAAGGAATGGCTGATTGGATTCCTCCAACAAGAAGTTTTTCAAATATTGAATCGGGAGACTCTAATTTCACATCAAAAAAATGTTCTTATACCACTGGATTGGTACTAAATAATAGTATGACAGGAGGAAAAACAGAATTCATACCAGTGAATGGTAGAAGAGTGAACTGGTATGCATGTGGTCCTACAGTATATGACTCTGCTCATTTAGGTCATGCTAGAAATTATGTAACTTTTGATGTGATTAGAAGAGTACTAGAGGACTACTTTGGTTATGATGTTTACTTGGTTATGAACATTACAGATATAGATGACAAAATCATTAAAAGATCTAACGAGCAAAAAAGAGAGAACTTTTTAGACTTGGCGAGAGAATTTGAGCTCGAATTTTTTAATGATATGAAGGCTTTGAATGTTAAGATGCCTGATGTTATTACAAGAGTATCTGAATTCATACCCGAGATTATAGATTTTATCTCTACTATTATTTCTAGAGGTTTTGCCTATGAATCAGATGGAAGTGTTTATTTTGATGTGGAGACATTTAGAGCAGATGAGAAACATGTATATGGAAGGATGGAACCAAAAAGTGTTGCTGATGTTAACAGAGTACTAGAGGGTGAAGGCGAGCTTGGAGAGCATCTCAAGGACAAGAAAAGTCCTTTGGACTTTGCTCTTTGGAAAAAAGCAAAGCCTGAAGAACCCTCTTGGGACAGTCCATGGGGAAAAGGTAGGCCAGGATGGCATATTGAATGTTCTGTAATGGCTTCAAATACACTTGGATTCCCTATAGATATTCATAGTGGAGGTATTGACTTAAGATTCCCTCATCATGACAATGAACTTGCTCAAAGTGAGGCTCACTATGATCAAACCCAATGGGTTAACTACTTTCTCCATTCTGGTCACCTTCACATTCACGGATCCAAAATGTCTAAAAGTCTTAAAAACTTTACCACTATTCGGGAAATTCTAAAAGAAAACTCTCCCAGACACGTCAGGATCCTCTTCCTCCTTCATAGATGGGATGCCCCTATGAATTACTCACCAGAAACTTCCTTGCAAGAAGCTATTGCTGTTGACAAAACTTTTGTTAATTTCTTTGCAAATGTTAAAGCTCGTCTAAGGACATCTTATTTAAACAACTCTCTAAAACATGATATCGAAGAAGAGAAGCTTAGACTTGCTATTGAATCATCTAATGAAAAGGTAAGTTTTCATCATAATGATCCACTCGTACTTTTTTTCTTTCTTGCCAAAGTCACAAATCTGGTTGTTTAAACTTTTTAAATCAGTATCATGCAAGATTCCACTCCTTCAAGCTCTTTAATTAATAGCTTTGTTAGGCACTAAGAGCTTGCTATACTAACTAGAATATATTTGCATGTATGCATGCATACATGACACGTGTATTCTTACGTGTAAGCGTAATATTACAAATGTATTTTTTTTCAAAGTAAAAATACATTTTTAATGCTTTCACGAACATTCAAATTCAAGCTTGTTTATTTTTTCTTTTAAAACAGCCAGAGGTTTGGCAAGTTGGAGAATAAATACGAAAGAGTTCAGAATAGGTAAGAGGTTTCAGTCACCTTTTACCTATTTAAATGTGGATTTCATATTAAATGTCTATTTTACTATTTTTTTTAGATTGATGAGTTCCTTAGAGATAATATCAATACTCCTGAAGTCATTCAAACACTTCAATCTTTGGTTTCAGTTGCAAACAGTTATATGAATTCTAAGTCTGATGATCAAATTGTCGGTACCATCTTGAGACGATGTGCTACTTTTGTTTATAAGATTTTGGCGGTCTTTGGATTGTGTAATGACGATAATGAAAAGCTCAACTACAAAGATATCTCTAGTTCTGACTGTGACAATTCAAAGGTTGAAGAACTCAATAACGAATTTATGGAAATCATTGGAGGGTTCAGGAGTTGTGCTAAGGATGAGTCTAGAAAACTCATGGGATTATGCAGGAAAGAAAAGAAAACAATTTCAAACAATGATTTTAGTAATGTAGGAAACTTTATTGATGAAGTGAACAAGTCTTCATTATCTATACTTTCTAAATGTGACCAAGTAAGAGATGAGCAACTTGCCAAATTGAATATTACCCTTGAGGACAGACCAGATGGGACATTTATTTGGAAGTCTGCTTCTTAAATACTTAATCTACTCAATCCTTTATTCTCGATTTGTAGTATTCTACCCCATGTTTACCTTTATTATTACTAGTTGAATTTATTCTTATGTACACATATATATATATATATATGCATATATAAATGTTTAACCTTCTAATGTCCCGTATTGATGTAAGCTTTAAACTAAATATATACTCAAATCTTGGCATTAACTTTTTAGGTGGATTAGGCTGCGTTTAAAAGGTCTATACAGCCTAATCAAATTGAAAATTGTAACTATTATGATCTGTCTCAACATGTTTACCTGGTACATGATAGATTTTCTCGGTAAATTAGGCTCGGAAGAAATAAGAATGTAAGTAAATAAAATGAAAGGAAAGTATCAAATAGATTTATTTTAGGAGTTAAGAAACTTGAAAATCAAAATTAAAAAAACTTGGTAATTCGCCCTGGTAATTTAATCTAATTATTAGATCAAAATCTGGCTTCAAAATAAGTATTAGTGAACATTAAAATCTAGTCATTCCATCTAAAATGTTTCTCTTTATTACTGTGTAGTACTTGTATCATCCAATACATCAAAATCATTATTCTCTTCAATCTCCTCTGACTGTTGTTGATTTAAAGGATTGAAAGGTTCTCCAGGTTGGTGACCACCATCCTCAACTGGTTCATTTGGATCAATGTCCTCATCATCTAACAATGCAACAGCCAACCTAGGAACTTCAGTTGGGTCAACTCCTGTTGGTATCTTTACTGCAGCTTTTGAATGAGGATCAACAATAACTGGAATAGGATGTTCGGGAGTATAAAAGTTCTTTTGACAAAAATCACAAAATTTATCAAAATCATTATTTTCTTTTTCCCAGTACTCATTTGGGTCAAAAATATCCTCGCAAGACCCTCCCCACTCCTTATCCAAATACTTATCATCAACGTATGACCTAAGTACAGAAAAACTTTCTATTCCATTAGATTCAGAATCGATTAAGACAAACTTTTCAGCAGTGTTACCTGGGATACATGGACTAATTAATCCCCATACAGCTTTGAAAAACCAACCTGGCTGTATAATGAATGCTCTATTTAGTCTCTCAGGATAATGATCAACCATTGCCTTGGCAAATTTAAGAGACAAAGAAACTGGTGGCTGTTGGGTGCTTTTATAACCAGTAAAATCAACTATTAAGTTAATTTTGTTATCACTTGTAGATACTTGATCGATATACAAGCATGCCCTCTCCATTGAATACAAAAGAGAATTCAAGATTAGAGAAGCATCAATATTTGAGTCACTATACCTTGCTCTCATAAATATACATGGTCTGCCCTCTTTGTCAATACCATATCTAATTAACCCTTCGACATTGTTACCAGAACTAATATTTCTTGGGCTAATGAACTGAGGTGCGTATTTACGTCTAAAGTGTATTGTTTTTGCTAATGCTTCAAATGATTTAATAACTTTGAGGTTATATCCTCTTAAATAACGTAGTAAACATGCATCAGTACACCAATCCAATTCATATGGATTTAATGGAGCTTTGAGAAGAAGACGAGTTTTAATAATCTTTCCTGGTTTGTTTGGTGATGAGACAGAAGATATTACACATGATTGCTTGTTCTTAAAAGCTGAAGAAGCAAAGTGTTTAATTTTATCAAATACTGCTTCTGATGTTGACTGTTTCTTCGTTAGACCATTTGCTGCTTTTTGTTTCTCCAAGTTTTGTTTGTTTTCTGCTGCTTTATTTTGTACTTCTAAGAGCTGCCTCAAACTTGATAAAGCCTTTTCTTCTTTTTCAGTTTTAGCCCCTGGGCCTTGAGGGGTCTTTTTCCACTCTGGCAATATTGGACTTGTTTTGTAATTCACCATATTTTTCTTTATCGTTCAATTACACTTTCCCACAATTACAGAGCTTCCTTTATCGTTTTTTTTAAGTTAAAAAAAAATTCAAATCTTTTTTTTTCTATCTAGAAATTTCAGAAATTCTCCCCCCCCATTCACACATTTTTTTTAATCATTTTTTATATTTTAAAACAGAAATACAAGATCTACTCGTATGGCGGGAAAAATATTCTATTTTCCATGAGGACAAAATTTGTGCATGCAGAATGAATATAATATTTGAAGAATGAATATTAAAAAAATATCAACTTATAATAATTTATAGAAATTAATTTTATTTAATTACCTAATCCTGTCTTTACTTTTTGAGAAAAATATTGGTTTTAACAATTATTAAATCAATATTTTTGGTAATTCATAGGAGTTAATATTCAATATATTTTATAACTGAAATACATATAAAACCAAATAGAAGAGAATTTTAGTAGAATTTAAATAATATAAGTGTAGGAAAAATGCATATACATATATATATATATATAAATTTAACTTTTTCTATTTAGATATAAAGTTACTGCTATAAAGCCCTGCAAAGATTAATTTCTTGATTCTTCCTTTTAGATAAATATAAGAAATTGGTTCATAAGTCAAATCATTTCTTCTCATTTAGTAGTTTTCTTCGGGACTCCAATCTTTCCGCCTTTTCAGAAGCAATCTTGTTGGAATATTCAATTCTCTGTAATAGTCTCTTGTGTTTCTTTTTCAAAAGAGTTTTTTGTTGTTCTCTCTGTTCTTCTTCTTTACGCTTCTTTGCAAGCTTTCTAGCAATATTTACCTTATCTTTTGAATTACTGAACGAATTAGGCTCTGTCTCAAGTGAATCAGCCATATTTAAATCAGAAAATGACTGTTCTTTCTCAATAGAGTCAAAGTAAGCATCCTCTCTGGCCTGTTGGACTTCAATATCGGAATCATGTTCTGAAAGGTCGTCAATTTCTGTGGATTCATCTCCAGACAAATAAGCTCGCGACTTATTGCTACTTGATTCCTTAATTTCATCAAGAACTTGTCTTTGTGTTGGAACATAACCTTGAGTACTATCATCAACAAAAGGAGAAAGATGGGGTGGTAACTTTTCTCCAGGGCCATAAGGACGTGTAGGTAGTCTAATTGACTCGTTCATAGAGTCAAATACCCATTGAGGTTGAATAAATTCACAATTTGGGTGTTTATCTATGAAACTCTTAAGAAAATTAACAGGTCTATCAACAATATAGTGTGTAATTGTCTCATCACCTTGTTTAATGCTCGAAAATTGGTTTTCCCATCCAACTTTTCCTCCAAAGCTTCTTATTACAAAAGCCAAAGGAAGGAGTGGAACTTCTCTCGAAATAAAAAATGTGAGTCCTTCAAAAATACGTTTCTTTTCTACCTTCTGTTCAATGCTTGAAGGAATACTAGAGTTTAGTTTAGAAAGATTATATGCATGAAGAGCCAGGAATCTTCCTCCGTTGTCAAAAACCTGAGTATTAATTGATGGGGGGTAAGTCAAATTATTAAGTTGGTATAACTTAAAATTAACAAACTTTAATAATGAATGATAAAACTCTAAAAATGTCGACATTACTTTGAAATCTACTTCATCTGGAATTTTTTGTGCAAATTGATGTGGAATAAGCCATGTAATTGTCTCACCAAGAATCTTAGCTTGGAAGTAGAATCCTTTGACAGAAATAAAAGATTTGGTCAAGAATCCAAGTTCTGAAACCAAATACATAAACTCATCAATTAAATAAGTCGATTTCTTGATCATATTAGAGTGAATACTATGACTATCATCAGCTCCTAGTGATGCAAATAATGAACAAGTTGAAAGTGCGTCATCTAAATCTCTTAATGCATCAACAAAACATGGATATCTTTCCTTAACAATATGTTGTAAAGTAATTATTGGTTTATTTTCTCTAATTGAACGAGCCTTAGTTTTGTCATTGCGTCCCATTGCTTTTCTATATTTTCTCAAATGTATCTTTAATTCTCTTACTTTTGATAATATTGGGTCATACTTTAAATGAATAATATCTTTTAAATGATAGTAAGTCTTATCCAAACCACTCAATTTCTTTTTTGGCTCTCTTGGATAAACTCCTTTCAAAATACAAAGTCTTCTAAAATCTGCTAAAGATACCTGGAGACGTTTTATTGCTTGTGCTCTTGTAATAAACATTGCACTTTCTCCTCTAGTTCCTTTTTTAATCTTTTGTCCACCCATATTTTACTTCTTTTCTAATCAATGTAATAAAATTCTCAATATTCTTTTATTAGGCTCAGCTTTGTCTCACCTCTTAAACTTATTTATATCTTTTTAATGCACTTTTTTCCAACTCCAAATGTTAATCTTGACTAGTAAATTCGCAATTTTTCGCCCAACTAACTAACTAACTATATACAAATATATACTTAAATATATACTTACAATTAATTTACTTTGTAATATATTACCATAGACAAGACTTACTTTTTTTTTTTTTTATTACCTCTTGAGTAATAATTAGTTACCTTATTAACTTAAAGTTTTGGCGGGCTCTTATTTTTGTCATTACCAAATATAAGGTAAAGGTATTTTAATTTGAGATTAAAAATTTTGAGATTCACTCTTTTGGAACGACATTAGTGTTTATTGGATTTTTTAAAACTTTACTTGGAATTTGAACCAACTTTTCTTTTTTTTATATGTGCAGCAAAAATTTACTTAGTAGTATTTCATATTAAATATGGTAGTTATTAGGAAGGAATACTTGACTAAGAATAGGCCTAATAAGCTTAATATTAATGAACTATCAGGAAAAGTGATTAAGAGTGGATCTGGAATTCAGAAACAAGCTCAAGGTTCTCAGAATTCTGCTAATAATAAAGGAGGTGGTTCCAGTTTTGTTAATGTTATTTTGGACAAGAAAAAAGGTCAACACCTTCTTAAGAATACCGGTATTTTAGATAAAATTATATCAGCAGCAGATATTAAACCAACTGATACTGTATTAGAAATTGGACCAGGTACAGGAAATTTAACTATGAGATTATTACCACTAGCTAGGAAAGTTGTTGCTTTTGATATTGATCCAAGAATGGTTGCTGAAGTAAAGAAGAGATCGGTTAATTCTGGGTTTAGTAATTTAGAAGTTAAAGAAGGAGATGCTTTGAGAAGTTCTTTGGGTGATTTTGATGTTTGCACAGCAAATCTACCATACCAAATTTCGTCTCCATTTGTTTTTAGGCTACTTTCATTACAAAACAAATATAGATGTGCAGTATTAATGTTTCAAGAAGAATTTGCTTTAAGACTTCTAGCAGAACCTGGTGAAAAGCATTACTGTAGACTATCTGTAAACACTAAATTATTTAGTAAAGTAACTAGAGTTTGTAAAGTTGCCCCTGGAAGTTTTAATCCTCCTCCAAAAGTGAATTCCATGGTAGTTAAACTTGAACCAAAGAAGATACCAGTTTCAGTTAATTTTAGAGAATGGGATGGGTTAATGAGAATTTGTTTTTCTCGTAAAAAGAAGACAATCAGAGCTAACTTTAATAATACTACTACTCTTAATATTCTTGAAAATAACTATAAAGTTTGGTGTTCTATTCATAAAAAGAATCCTTCTGGAAATTTACCTTTCAAAGCTTTTGTATTTAAAATTCTTGAAGATTCTGGTCTCTCATCAAAAAGAGGATTCACTGTTGATATTAATGAGTATTTTAGACTTCTTTTTGAGTTAAATAAGAATGGAATCCATTTTGTTAACATTATTAAGGGAAATGCTATCAATGATAACTCAGATAACTTTGACTTCCTTTTCTCAAATGCTGATTCTGATATGGATGAAAATATGGAAGGAAATCATTCTTCTGAAGATGAATTCAAGATGGATGACTGATTCTAATTATATTAAGTTCAATATACATAAATATCTTACCTCTTTCTTGCATATTATGACTTTTTAATTCAGGTAAATGTTTTTTTGTTTATTTAAAAACTATATCTAGTAGCTATTATAACTTATATTAATTATTTCGTGTATTTTTCTACTTTAAATCTGATATATAGTTTACCTCGTAATAAATGTTTTCCTTTTATATTCCTCTAGACTAGCTTCAAGTACTAGTACATACAGATTAAAGATATATATATATATATGAAAAAAAACCTGAAAACAAAGTTTAAATAATACCATTATTATTTTAGCATCCGATATTATAGCATCTAAGAAAATTTTAAACTATCATTGTAAGGATTTGTGATTAGGTACCGATTAAGTACCGGTTATTATGTGGGCATTGAGTATGAGGTAAAGAATATAGAGAATGCAGATATAAAATATAGAAGTTCTGCAATACTTGGCAGCTCTTCTCTCCTAATTGTTCGAATCTACTTCCAAAGCTTCTTTAGACTCATATTCCAATCACTGTCTTTTTTCATAACCCTTGAAACCGCCATCTCAAAGTCTTCTTGAGTAACATGTTTTCTTCTCTCTCTCAAGGCAAACATACCAGCCTCAGTACAGACAGCCTTAGATTCAGCTCCGGATGCTCCCTGCATCTGCTGAGCAATTTTTCTTAAATCTATCCCTCTGACCAAGTTCATCTTTCTGCTGTGAATCTTAAGAATTTCCAATCTAGCATCCTCGTTTGGATTTGGAAACTCAATCTTTCTGTCAATACGGCCAGGCCTAAGAAGGGCATCATCTAATATGTCAATTCTATTGGTTGCCATAATAATCTTAATGTTCTGAGTTGATTCAAAACCATCCAATTGGTTCAAAAGCTCAAGCATAGTTCTCTGTACTTCACTGTCTCCACTCTCCCCTTCTGTCCTTTGAGATCCTATTGAGTCAATTTCGTCCATAAAAATTAGAGATGGAGCATGCTCTCTAGCCATAACAAACAATTCCCTAACCATTCTACTTCCTTCTCCAATATATTTTTGAACAAGCTCAGAACCTGATACCCTAATAAAAGTACAATCTGTATGATGAGCAACAGCTCTTGCTAATAAAGTTTTACCAGTACCAGGGGGTCCATAAAGTAAAACCCCTTTTGGCTGAGCAATTCCCAAACTTTCAAATATCTCAGGATGCTTGATTGGAAGCTCAATCACTTCCTTGATTTCCTTAATCTGTTCATCAAGACCTCCAACCATATCATATGTACTATCTGGAACCTTTTCGACCTTCATCAAAGAGACCAAGGGATCCACTTTGTTAGGAAATATACGGTGAAGCTTAAAAGAATCGCTCAATAATGCAACTCTAAAATAAATAAAGGAATTAAATAATTAACATCCAATTATAAATCCTCATCAAACAGCTATTTTTATCTTAAACTTACCTTGTATTTGTAGTACACTTTGAAATATCTATATTCTTAGAAACATCAACCAAAAACTTTCCTTCTGGGTTCAGCTTTACCAATACTTTGTTCCTCCCCATTACCTTTATAACTTCTCCAACATAACTATTAGATTCCAATAAATACTGTAACTCCTCCTTTAGCTCCCGAACTAAAAATAATAGCATATATTCAATATCACAAAGTTAATAATACTATATAAAACTAGGATCTTACTGTATTGTAATTTAGTAACTCACCTTTAGAATTTAGCTCATTTCTCTGTGCGTGTAATCTACGTATATCCAACTTTTTTGAATCTATAGAAACATTCAAATGTTCTATTCTTTTTGAGTAATAGGATGATGCAGGATTGATTGATTCCAACATCTTCCTTTAATGCCAATTCAAATATTCTAGTATAAGATTCAAGAGATTAATAGATTTATAATTGTCTTCTTTATTTACAATAGTATTTACTCAAAAATAATGTTCTCTTCCCTAACCAAAACTTAAAACCAAAAATCCAATTTATTTTTGAGAACTTGTTTTAATTTATTTTTTTTTTCAGAAATATTCCTTTTTAAAAAACTCCCTTGGTAATAATAAACATGCAATCTCAGTCTTATGATTTGTTATCCACTAGAAGAATTACTCTATACCAGTTAATCTTCTTTTTCCCCCTCGGTTTTTTTATTCCAATTTTTTTCCCACAAATTCTTTTATTTTATTTTTAACTATATTATATTTACTTTCATTATTAATTTAATTAATTTACCCTCTAAATAAATAGCAAAAAGGCGGGCACATTCTAATTAAAATAATACAAATAAATTAGCTGAAAACCTGTATAGGGAATTCCAATTTAGAAAAAAAAACAATAAAAAGGCTAAAACCAAACAGAGAAAAAAAGAGATATAGGAAAAGAAAATGATTGATGATCAAGAAACGAACGAATTGCAAAACCAACTTTTTGAGACTAAAAATAAAATGAAACAGGAAGTGGACCGTTTTCATAAATCCGAACAACTTCTTTCTGAAGATGGAAATTCACTGCTTCAAGCAAATGATACCTATAAACAATATGGAGACAAACTCTCAAGCAACTTCCAAAAATTCCTAACTATTAAAAAGAAATCTGAACAAGAAACTCTTTTCTTATGGTACTCATTTTATTTCCTTGTAATTGTTTCACTATACATAATTCTTCGTAGAATAGGAATCATCTATATTCTAATCCAAAAACCTATTATTCTCATATTTAGAACCATCAAATATATTTTTACATTCTTCCTAATTAAAAACTCAGATGGTTCCATAAAATCTGAACTATGACTAATTGTTATATATATTTAATTTTTTGCATGAAATTTCTAATACAAAATATTGGCGCCAAAACACACAACTTTTAATATTAAATCCTTTATCTTTCTTTTTCTTTTCTCCCTTCAGGTCTGGGGCTAAATTTAAGTAGATTAACTAGACTTTTCTCTTTTTCATTCTTACCGAATGGGGATTTGTTGAATTTGTTAATTAGTCTTCCCATTTTATAGGAAACTTTTGAAACCAAGACAAAAGTTGGTATAATTTTAGTAAAGTGCAAAATTTAAGTTTTTTCCTTTCAAAAATACCTTCAAACTCATTTATCTAGTTCTGAGAAATTTTTGACTAAATTATTCAACTTAAAGGTAATTATTTTTTTTTGTTTGTATTTTTTTAATTACTAAGAGTAAAAGCTAATTGAATAAATGAACAAATCTGAGATAACAAGATAAATATGAGCATCATAGAAGAACTGGAAAAATTCGACATTCATATTTTGGGTAGTCTCCTGAGTAAATTGAATACACTTGAAATTACACAAGATGAAATTGGAGAGTCATTTAATGTTAAATACTTTGCAATTGGATATTATCATAAAAATAGAAAGTCAAATAGAAACACGGTAATCATTTCAGATGTTGTTAAGCTTAACTTTCTGGATTGGGATAAATCTATCACTGAGTTTATTGAAGATATCGTAATTAGTCTTCCAGAAGGTTTTACAGTATTGGGTTCAATACAAAGCAAATCTGATTGTATGGAATGGCTAAATATAACCAAAGTAGATTTCAAAAAACATAATAGTAAATATGGCAAATTTTGGGACCCAAATAATTTCCCAAATTTATTAATTGTACCAGAATTTGATATGCTTTCAATTATATCATCTTTAAAGATTTTTCTAATAAATCATAATGCTAACTACTTGTTACCAGATTCTAGAATACAAATCATTAAAGATCTTTCAGAGCTTGGAGAATTTTACTGTTGTGAAATTCATATATCTTTACCATTAATATCTACAAACTTCCATGAAAGTAACAAACTTGATTCAAATATTTCATCTATAGAAGAAATTATTGAATCAAATCTTGTTGTACAAGCTCCTAATTTTCTAAATAATAATCATCAGTTATTAAATATTTATAATTACAACAAAAACTACAAAATTATCAATAAGGATTTGGATTCTCTTCCAATTCAAATTCCAGTCTTCTTTTCTCAAAACATTCAACCAGTTGAAATAAATTCTAATGAAACTTCTACCTCACATTTCTTTACATCTTACACTATTATTAACAATGATGAGAAATCCTTTCAGAAAATTAACTTACATCTCCAAGCTTGTATTTTTAAACTAAAAAAAAATGATGAATTTATGCCTTTTCAAAATATTATTAAGAAACGTTTTATTGATCAGTGTAATTATATCAAAGAAAGAGTAAATAATCCTACCCGTCTTTTTTACTATTCCCAATCCAATTCTTCATCTTCAATACTTTCAGATAACTATGATTTTGAATTTTACCTATTCAAAATCCCTCAGATTTCCTTTCCAATAACCCTTCTTAATACTGGAATTTTATTCGAAAAAAACCCAGAAAAAAAAACTCTTAGAAAACTTTGGTCCAATATACTTAATATTAATCCTCTAATGCCTTTTATTACCAAAAATCTCGCACTAATCCCAAAGCTAAAAAACGAATCAGAAGATTTGAAATATTATAATGAAAAACTGGTATCTCCACATTTACCTCTTATTGAGAAAATGAAATCCAAAAATTTGAAGATTAAAAACAAAAAAACGGAATCTGGTTTAAATCAGAGTAAAATAACTTCAGAATTAGATCCAGAATTAGATTTTGATTTTGAATTAAGCTTAGATACAGATTTTGATTTTAATTCAGGTAAAAGTTATTCAAAAATACAAAAATTAAAATTACCTATAATTTACCAATGTTATGGAGACTTTTACTACTATCATTATAATCATGATAATTTCAAAGATAATGGTTGGGGATGTACTTATAGATCTCTTCAAATGGTATTAAGTTGGTACCTTATTAATAATTATACCAATAAACATGTTTTATCAATACCAGAAATACAAGACTTCCTAAAACAGAATGATCCAACACATAGTAATCTCGAAATAGGGTCAAACAGTTGGATTGGAACAGTTGAAGCTTCATATATTTTATTAATGTATCTTGGAATATCTTGCAAATTAAAATACTTTTACGATATTGAAGAATTTCTTAAATATTATGATAAAATTTCTGAACATTTTCAAAAAATTTCAACACCAATTATTCTAAGTATTGGAGATTATTCCTACTTATTAGTAGCAATTCAAATCTCAAAAGATCCTTCATCTCCTTTTGACACTAATAACGTTCAATACTTGCTAGTAGATCCCCATTATACTGGAAAGGATGATTATGAACTAATATATAAAAAGAATGGAGTTTCTTGGAAAAATGCAAGCTTCTTCAAATCTATATCTAAAGATAAATATGTAAATATTTTGTTGCCTCTTAACACTTCTGAAAAAGATTCTCAAATTATTTATTAATAAATATTATTTTTTATGATGATCAAAATTTTCATTTCCCCTGATTAAATATTTTTAATTCAAATTCTTTCTTGGTTTAAAGTAATTATGTGTTTTAAATGGATTATATTCTGGCTTTTCTGTATCTCTTCTTAATTTTACCCTTAAAGAAGGAACAGTATAAGTAATTGATCTTGAATTTTCCCTAAGTGAATACTTTTTTATTTGGTTATCTTTTTCTTGAGTTTCTACTTTTGAATTTTTATTTTGACTCTCTAATAGGCTAATACTCTGATTTTCTTGTGATTTATCATATTTAACAAATATTTCTTGAGTATGAATACTCTTAATTTCATCCATTTCATATTGTTTTTCTGTCTCATCCTTGGAATCTTCTTTTGATTTTATTTCTATCCTATTTTCACAAACTTTAGATACCATTCCCAAATCTAAATAATCTGTTTGGGTCTGAACGTCCTTCATTTCCTTTTGAATTTTTGGAGATGATTTACTTACATCCTCTGACAATGGAGATTGTGCAATCGGTGATAATGTAGGTTGGAACTTTACTCTTCTTATTTGGCTAAGCTGTGGAGGAGTTGAAAGCATAATATTTCCACATATCTCATCGTTTTGTTTCAAATACTCTGCTCTTATTTTTGCTCTCAATCTGATATTTTCATTGAGTAAACTCTGATTCTATTGATTCAAATATTAATGATTTATGTCAAACAAATAAATATTTAATTATTACAGAAAAAGCTGGGGGGGATAAATTTGTTGCATGCAACTTACCGTTTTCTTTTGTGATTGTATTACTATTTTTATATTTAATATCCATTTTTTATACAGAAAAAAATTGATTTGATTACTTTTTTCCCAAATTTAATATTCTATCTAAACTTACTTTTCTCGTAGAACCTAATTATCTCATCAATATTTTCATTCTTATTTGCCATTATTTCATTCATAATACTTTATTTGTGTTATTCTCCTTTACGCACACATTTATCCATTGAATTTACTTTATTCTATTAATTCAAAGTTTCTGATAAAGATAATAAATTAAAATTAATGTAAAATGGTCGGGAAAATTATTTAAATTTCCTCTTTAGAAAAAGATCATTAATTGACCTCTTATTTGATCTTCACAATTAATTATTATGAACGTCCACATGCAATTACGTGTCAAAAAACAATATAATTTCATGTATGCAATGAAAATAATTAAATATTTAATAACAAAAAATTAACAAAAATTTTTTATTTTCTTAAAATTCAAAATTTAAAAACTCTTTAACACTAATAGTAATAAGTAGAATTATTATTATTTAAGGATGAAGAAAAAGAGAAAAAAAAAGATTGAGATTTGAACTGTATTGGTCTTACTTTAAATCTGCCATTTTTTTAGCTTAATAAAGCTTTAAAAATTGATTTAATCTACTTTTTGTTTATTATAGATGTGAGGAAATACAAAATAGTTCCAACTGACCAGGCTTGAGCAAAACAACTATCCTTGCAGAATGATCCGTTATCATTAGTAAGCTCTGGCAAAGAGCCCCAATTGTCAGAAATCAGGTAGTTTCTGTGATTAATAAGATGTTTCATAGTTTCAGAAATAGCTAATTTGGTGGCTTTTTCAGCACCGATAGTCTTTTCATTTTTTTCCTTTAAAAGTTGGAACTTAGCAATCAAAAAATATCCCATAGGCCAAACCCATTCAGGTCCTTGATGATAATTGAATCCATGAGCTACACTATAATCTTCAGAATCATTAGAATTATCGTAGTTTGGTCTGTAGTTATAGTCTGAGGGATCCAAGGTTTTAATTCCAAGCATATTTGGAGAAAATAAGTATTTTTCAACGGCTTGAATACTTTTTAAAGCAAATTGAGGATCAAATAGATCTTTTGACACCCCAATTGCTACAGCAAGGTTGCATCTTAGCTGATAATCTGTCCACCCATGGGTGGATTTAAAAGTATCTTTATAGATTTCTCTCCTATTCACAATTTTATAATCAACCAAATATTCATTATTATCACTAGAGGGGATATAGAAGCAGCGTTCAAAGTTTGTTTTTATAAGTTTTGACCAATCTGAATAAGAGATGAATCCATGAATTGGGTGAGTAACACCTTTATGAGGGAATTTATTAGAGATTTGCAAATTTATTATATGGTTAATACACGAATATAAAAGAGCAATAATCTCAATGTCTGCTCCATCCCTTGGTGATGATGGAATCCCTTTATTTTTGGCTTTCAAAGAAGATCCCATCTTATCCATCCAAGTTCCACAGTTATGGATATTTCCACCAAAAATTAATCCATTAGAAGGGTCCCAATTTATTTCAATATTGAATCCCAAGTCAGTCATTTGTTCATCTAACTGAATTCCAGCATTTTCTTCTCTAAAACTGATTCCAATTACATGTTTAGCCATGATATATTGTATAACCTCTGAAAGTTTTAGTATTCTAATGCTTGTAAGATCTCTATTTTGGCTTTGGCTGTAATCAAACCTAAGTTTAAGCCACTCAAACGCTTCTTTGCATCTTGATAAGTCCTGTTCTAGATTTATTGGGAATCTAAGCTCAATATCTTCATCCAGAATTTGAAATCCATTTGGAACATTAACACAATACTCAAGAGCAGCATTCAAAAAGAACCATGTAGCATCTCTTGCATTATATCTTGGCCTGTTTCCTGAATCTATCAAATTTGGAATCAAACCATGTCTCATTAACCTTGCAACTCCGAGGATCTCTTCTTTTCCTTCTAGGTACCTTTTAGAGGAAATCAAAATTCCATTGAATGCAATAAAAGTGTCTCTTCCCCAACTTCTCATAAATCCTGTTGAGAAGTGAGGAAGACCTGCAGAAAGAGATGGGATCTTGGAATTCCAAACTAATGGAGATGATGGTACATACGAATATACCTGATAAGTCGCTAGTTGAAGATGGATATATAGAGGATCTAATTTTATTAGAAATTCTGAAATATCTTTTGAACTTGTCTCAAGTAAAACTTTGCTTTTCTCAACGTTCAGAATATAATATAAGATGTTTCTGTATATGGAGGAAAACATTATATCTATGTAGGATATAATATACTCTATTGGAATATTAGCTACTTTGTTAATCAAAGAGTACTGTGTCTCAACCCATTTAGCTAGTTCTGATAATGGACGGATATCTTCAGAATTTGACTGTTCCAAATAATTTGGATAAGATTTTTTATGACCATTAAATCCGGTACCTTTATATTCCTTTAATCTTTGAATTGTATAATCAATATACCAAGGTCCTTGTTTCAGATGTAAGACAAAAGGATGACTTATACCATTGTCATCCATTTTTCTTGCACTGTCCAAAGCATGAATACAGCTGTAAATCCCAGAATAGGTAAAATCTCCAAGATTTGGAACATTATACACTCCTCTACTTCCACAACTTCTATCAAGTTCTTCATTGTTACAACTAAATAAGATGTAATTTATTGCATCAGATGGATGACAATTATCGGATTCGAAACAATTGTTTAGAACTTTAGGTAGGCTCTGTTGTGTATTTCTATAGAACTCTAGTAAGGCATTCTGAGTAACACTGAATCCTTTATGCCTAATTGTATGAAGGATAACTAGAGATCCTGGAGGAAATCTATTAAAGTTTAAAATGGTAATATTCTTTACAGGGTCATAAGAGTAGCTCGAGATCTCTTCAAGTTTTTTGTATTTGTGAAGCTCTGAATCTAATCCATGTATTCTATTTGTATCATTTTTGTATACTGAAGTGTAGTTTGGAACAAACAAGGAGCCAGCAAAGACAGTGTCTTTGATACAACCATCCAAAACAATGGTTTCTGGTAGCTGGTCAATCTTGTTTTGTGTAAAAGAAGAATGGGTAATAAAATATATGTTTTCTTGGATTTTTGGATTATACCTCTGAACCATTAATATGTCTTGAGTAAGATAGTAAACATGGGATTCATTGAAACCAAACAAAGCCATCTGTTGATGTAGCTTATTTAGGATTTTTCTGGCACTCATAATTCCGGGAAGTTGATCACCATGTTTCCATTTGGATACCATAGCAATCGATCTTTGTCTTTTGAGAAGTGTAATGATGTTGTTGGTATTCCCTTTGTTGTCAGAAGTGTATGGAAGGTTTGGGTCATGCATCCAATTCCCATCTACAATGTATTTGTATTCATACTGAAGACGGTGGCTAATTGGATAAATGATTTTGTTAGAATTTTGGCTTTTTATTTCCTGTTCTTGTATATTAGCTTGTTCTGGTTTCATTCCAAATCTGATAAAAAGTTTTGTAATAAAATTTCCATTTGGATGTTTTTCAAGTTGAATACCTTCTTTCCAGTCATCCCAGTCTCCACGTATTTCAACAGTATTAGCAGGATGTCTCCATTCAACAGTAATTTCTGTGGAGATATTTGAATTATTATTTTTAATTTCCCCAAGATTCCAATTTATAGTGGAAAGTTCTGCCAAATAGTTACTACTTAGTTTCTGAAATGGACCAAAACTATTAGATCTGGATTTTAAGCTTAAATCTACAGAGTCTTCAGGCTTAAGACAGGTATTTCCATCCCCATAGACATTGATAATATAGTTCTGATAGAGTCTTCTTTCTGAGACTACACTAATGTTATGAGGTACAATCTCATCAAAACCTCTTGTAGATCCAAGAGCACAGTTAGTTGATGCGACTAAAGCTGCTGTTGGTAAAGTATCAATTGGAGTTCGGATCTCACAAGGAGTTTCATTGTCATGAGTACAATCAAAGAAGATCGCTGGACATGGGAATCTTTTGAGAGGTTTAGCTCCTTGTAGAATAGGTAATGAGATAAGGACTTCTTGGTTCTCTTTATCAAGATTTTCAGAATTAACTGTTTGGAACATACTTGGAACTGTGGAAAGACCTCCTATAGGAGCTGTACTGTAATTACTTACGTAGTTACCTAAAGAACCAGGTGTTTCAGCTCTCATAGCCTCTCTGATTAGAGCATTGAGTCCAAGAGTTCTCTCAAACTCGAGATCTACTTGGTAATCTCCTGTAAAAAGTTCAGCATATACCCATATATTGGGTCTAGTCTTCCTACATACTCTTAACATATGTTTTGCAACATGTAAAGGAGTGGAGTGACAATTATCAAGTCTGATTGCATGGAATATGTTTGCAACACTCCTACAATAGTCAGACATCCAGTTCCAGAGAAATGGACAATCAGACTCACACTTTCCATACTTGAGCTTTACACAGTCGGACCAGACAATTAAATCTCTTTTAAGATAAACAAAGGATCCAGGAGCAGCAAAATCCTCTTTAGCATTCCACCCCATTACCCAACCATTATTTGCAAGGTAGTGGGTATTACCTGAGTGGTCTTCAATTGGAGTAAAGTATCTTGGAGTCAGGGATTCCCAGTGATTCAATCCTATTGGTCCTTTACTACATTCAAGCCTTTCCCAGATTACCAGACCTCTAACTGAGTTACATATATTGTTTGATATTTGCTCAGTAAACTCGAAGAGTCTGATCTGGACCTTCTCTAATACTTGTTCATGTATATTTAAAAGCCCCATCTTTTTGAGGATATAAGATGGAATTGAGATTCTTTTGGATCTACTAGAGCATGAAAAGCAGAGAGAGAGGTTGTAGAGCTTATTTTCAAAAGTGTCGTTTGCATTAATTTTCTCAATAATATCATCATAGTCTCTCTGTTGTTTTGAATCTAATCCAAATTGAGAGGATTCCTCAATTTTTGAATTTTGGATGATTTCGTGGATATTTAAAGTAAAGAACTCTTTGATATTAAAAGGAATAATCACCTCAGCCTTAAGAGCAGAAATAATCAAATCAACATGTTGAATACTAGTAATGTTTCTGTCAATACCATAGGAATTTGCATACTTTCCATGATAAATGTTTTTTGAGAACTCTTGCAACTTCTGATCAAGTTCAACAGCTGCTGTTAAATGAGGAGAGTTGTCCAAATTATAACCGGATTCTGGGTGCTCTCTCAACCAAGGCGAGTTATCTGCTGTATGATTTAACACTATGTCACAGGCAGACAAGATTCCATAATCAGTCTCTAGTTCACCAATCACTTGTTTAAGGATATTATACTTTTCTTCAGGTGTATAAGCCTTAGAAGCTTCGGAATTGGTCTCAACATCACCAAAATTGACCTCTTTTTCACTCAAATTTTGTTTTTGGTCTTGATGGCCTTGATCAAACTTATTATTAAAGAACAAAGACGATATTTCATTCTGATTAGCTAGGGAATAACAGGATCCAGATTGACCGAAAATTTGTAGAGGAGTAAAATGCACCATGTTGTAGTTAAGTTTTGAAGTAATTTCAAGACGTCTCTTCCAATTCTGAATATTACCCAAACACTGACTAAGAATAGTCTGCATGCAAATACCTGAGCTTGGGATAAAGCTCTTGTTAATATACAGTTTTGGCTCCACAATAATAATGTTACTCACTAATTCGTCGTTAAGCTGGTTAATTTCCTCCCTTGATTTTTGAAAACAAGTTGTAATAGAAATAGAAATTTGAATAGAACCAGGCTCAGTCATCTCTAAGTCCCAGTAAAAATTCCCAAGAGAATCGGTATTTTTCGGAGGAACAACTTTTCTGTCACCAAAAAAATCCTCTAGAGTAACTACAAAATTTTCTCCTTGAATAATACCATTATATAATCTTAACGTCAAGGTATCCCCAGCTAAAACCCTTATATTTCCGTGACTTCCTATACAAGAGATCTTTCCTTTTTTGTCAAATTCTCCGTGCCATTTTGAATTGAGAGGGTCTACAGCTTCCAGATTCTGTTTCTGGTACTCACATAAAGTATCAGACTGGAAAAGTACACACTCCTTTTTAGGTTCCTTTACTTGTGTTGAAATATCTGGTTTAGAAACATTTACCTGATCATTCTGAATCACTAATTTAATGTTTTCTGGGTTATTGTGAAAATCTGATTCCATTATTTCCATCCTTTCCATTTTTGTTTCCTTGGTAAAATTCTCATCTTTTTCCTGCTTTGATTTGTTTTGGTTTCTGAAATTTAACGAGAATAAAGCTGGCATTTTTTTAATATATTATTCAAATATATCTCAATTCTAGCATGGAAATATATACTATTTTAATACTGATTTTGACTTTAATGAGTTGTCCAGATATTTTTTTTTTAACCCTTTAATCTTTAAAATTGCCTATATGGTAATTACTATTATAGTGGTAGTAATTGTGGTGATGATGATGACGATGATATTGGAGTGAAATTAACTTGCGATTAAAAGTCCGAGAAAATTTGCTTTTGTGCACTTTTCTCGTAATTTTATATATTTTCAAGGTATTACTTTCATCCAAATGATTTAACTTTCTCTTTATATATTTTCGAGTCTTAAAGTATTATCTAAGAAAAATAATATATGTGTAAGTATATTGTAATTTAGATTCGATTATGATATATAAATATATATATTATATTATTATATTCACTCTTCCAGGGGGGAAATTATGAGGGGAAGGTCAATAATCTTTTTTTTTTTTTAAATTTATACTGCAAATATGCAGTCCTGCATGTATGCACATTTTGGCGCCAAACACATTAATTAATTTTTGAATAAAATGGGGGGATAGGGAAAGGGGATAAGGAGATAAGAAAAGGGAAAGGGAAGGAAAGAGAAAAGTCAGGAATTAAAAATTTACGTAATGAATATACTTTTTAGAGACCAAATTTGAAAGTTAGTAACCATAGTGCTTATAATCATTTTGTATACTTGACACCATAGTGGAAAATGTAGGTATATGCAAACTAAGTAGCTTATGATTAAGAATCTATTGAATACAGAGACAATTTTTGATAATATTAGGCCTTGTTAAGTGTATAATTGATGCATTATTTCAAGATTTCACATTAAAAGGAGTTTTTGTGGTAGTTTTTTTGTAATCATTTTTACGACCTGTTTCCCGGTTTTTCTTTATAAAAAAAAAAATTACTTCGGGTTCTACATTTAATTGATTTATAGCTTTCCACCTTCATAATTCTTAATAAAATTACTTCAAGAAATAAATGAGCTAATTATCTAATTTTGTAACCAATATATATTGCTAATTATAAGTACTTTACTACTCTTTTGAAATAATATAACTATGATATTTGGTCATCCTAAACGTAGCGGGTTTGGTCTAGTGGCTATGACGCTCGCCTAACACGCGAGAGATCACGAGTTCGATCCTCGTAACCCGTATAAGAAAACACAGGTCCGGATTGGGCGGTCCTTTTTTGGCTGCATATTTTTGGGGTACACTGCCTTATATTTGTCTTTTTTTTGGGCGGTATATCTTCCAATTTTTTAAACAGGTGTATATTTACACATGTGGTTTGTCTTTGACATTAAATTATATTTTGTTTAAATTGCGTTTTAATTTTTGTTTTTTAAAATATAATATATGGTTACATTACTAATGGTATTAAAGCATTGAGAGTTTTTTTTTAAGGGAATATGGATAAGAGAAGAAATGCAAATTTAGGAAGAGTAGATATATATTGATATGGCTAAAAGAGGCTAAATAAAGAAATGGGAAATACAGTTTAAAAAAGAATTTGAACATTTTTTTAAAAAATAATTATATGCGTATTTAAAGTGTTTAGTTTCCAATTTTAGAATTTAATGAAGCTGAATTACTGATATTTTTTTTTTCACAAGTAATAATTTGAGACAAATTGTTATTTAAAATGATTTGTAATAAATTATGAATCAAATGGATAATTTAGGATAAGTTATTTATAAGAAAATGATATGAGAAGAGAATCTAAGAAAAAAGGAAAGTAATAGGGTGATTGGATTCGGAAAGATTTGAGAAAAGATTATTTGTAATGATGTTGCTTGAATTTCAAGCATTGGGCTCTTATCTATAAGATGATGAAATCTATTTATTACTGAACAACAATCTTTTTATTTTCCGTTCCTTAATACTTATTACCTTCTTTTAATCAAACAAAATTTTTTGTAATGATTTATAGTTCTTAATGCTAAATGGTAATTATATTTATACTACGAAAAATGATTATTCAATTTATTTCACCAAGATAGCTTTTTTTTTTTTGAAGTTTGAGCTATCACATATTTTTAGTAATAATATATGGTATTTTAGTAATTCTATTTTATCTGACCTTAATTTAAAAGGGTAAGATATTTTGGAAGATAATTATTGTACTAATCTATTGAATTAAAGATTTATTATGATGAAAACAAGACCTAATAAGCCAGTTCTGCTTATGATACCCTTTTCCTTGGTTGTGATTAGAAATGGTCTTTTTTTTCTGAATATGTCTTTTGATTTAATAGAATGTATTTAGGCATTTGTATAACTAAAAATTTTAAGGTAGATTGAAGAATTAATTTTTTTTTTTTTAAAAACAATTATGAATCTTTTTTATAACTCTCTATTTGTTCATTTATTTCCTACCTTCTCATTCTAATAGAAGGTGAGAAACACAAGTATTTGTAGTTATTTTAAATCATGAGTTGAAAAAATAAATAAATTCGGAAACGTAACAAAAAACGATTAATAACAAAAACTTATAGTAGTAATGAATAACATTGTAAAAACTTGGTTTGAGATATTTAAAAGATGAGAATGTAAAGAAGAATGTAAAGAAATTACTTGAAAATTAAGAAATATAACATAAGTATTTATTTACTGTTCATCAGTGCTGAACATAGAAAGAAGGTTAGATAACATATTAAATGATGCATTTTTTTGCCTATTAAAGTATATCTGGTCAATTTTATCAATAATTCGAGTAAAGCTGGGATCCCGCCTAATTAATAAGGCATATTTATTTTTTATAATGTCAAAAAAGTGCATGGCGGTTTTTTTGTCTGTAAGTTCACAGGCTGAGATTACAAAGAATGCCATTTGTATTGGAGCAGATGGGATATTTGAATCAGGAGTTGAGTTAGAAGAGTACGGGGAGGAGAAAGAAGAATCATTGTTTTCATTCAAAAGTTGGCAGTATCTATCAAGAAGGTCATGCGCAAATTGGGTTTTTTTTAAGGAAAGTAATATAAGAACAGCTCTAAGGAGAAATATATCTTTTTCAGATTGATAACCTTTCTTGCTCCACTCAATAAGAATATTGGCAAATAATTCAGGGTTTTCAGTTAAAATAACATAAAGCTGAGCCTTGGAGAAATTTTTGTGTACAAAATAATAATTTGAGGCCCAAACATGTAATTTGTAAATATAATCAATATTATCATTTTCGTGATCTTTGCACCACAAAAGTGTATCATTAAGTAATTTCCCCTTCTCATTGCAGAAACTACCTGAACTTAAAATGTACATAATGGAGTTAAATTGACTATTTGTAATCTTTAACTTTTCTTCTCTAGCTTTTTTTATCATACTGGTACAAACATGGCAAGCTATTTCATTGAACCCATATTCATCAAAATACTTTGCTTTTTCCAACCCAAATTCCACAGAATCACTTGGATTAAATCGGGATAGTCTGCTAATAAGTAGCTGGTAAGCATCATATGAATCTCCTTTTTCTAGACGCGACTTTACCACATTCCAAATTCGATCCATTTTTTAAAAATTATTCCAATTCTTTCTAGTATTAATTCTAGATTTGTATTAACTTCACCTCGGAAACAGTTGGAAACACTTACAGATAACCCCAATAACTTCAATCCCAATTTCTTTTTCTAGTTTATTTATAAGCTACTATTTTTATTTTACTAGAGTATTTTTTTGGAAATTAATTTCTATAATAGAATATGTGGCGCCAAATGTCTGTATATAATAAAAAAATATAAAATAAATGTAAATATATATTAATTTGTAAGTAAAAAAAAATCGAGTTCGTTATTCTGGGAAATTTTGCTTTTAATGATGTGTTTTTAAGGTGTTTCCGGATTCTGTTTTTCTATTAGTTTAAAAATTACACTACTCGAAGCTAAATAACTTATTTATGGTGAATTAACATTAAATTATGTAGTTAAAATAGATAAGTAAAATGGAAGTGTGATTATAGTATTAAATACTAGAAATATTTACTTAATACACACTATAGGTGATATTTAATATTTCAGACTTGTTCAAATGAATTAAGCTAAATTCCAACATTCTCTTTCTATAATCATATATTATTAATTTCAATTCCACTCTGTGTAGTAAAAAATCAAAAGATAAGAAAAAAAGTTAATTAGTATTTACTCTAGTTACTAAAATTGATTATAAACGTATTTAATAATAATAATAATGGTTTCAATACGAAAGTAGTCGTCTTTAGTTAAATGTGAGAAATCATTAGATTCCAAGAATCTTTTGATTCTTTGCATGCAATGTGATACATGGGGATTATATGAGTCAATTACATGCAGAGAAATAAGGGCAAGAGTGACCCATTGAATGATATTAGTATCCAATATGAAGGAATCTGAGGTGTTTTTTTCAAATTGGTCAGCAAAATATTCAAGTAAGCTGGACCAATTGTAAGAATTCCATTTACCTAAAGTAATACACGGATTTTGTGCTAAATTAATGATTTCTTCCCAGTTAGAAGCAGAAATAGTCTCTTCAGTTTGTAGAACTTCCGTTAGATTTGAAACCTTTTCTTTTTGTGAAAGTATATAATCAATTATTTTGGATTTACATTCTTCATAAGCCGGGTCTTTCCTAATTATTGATAAGTTCTCAGAAACACTGTAGTTGATTAAACAATCAAACTCATTGTAATGACAAGAATTCTCAGATCCATTGTTTTCTATATTACTTTTGTTATCATAAATATCTATAGTCTTTATATCCTCTTTTTCAGTCTCTGTTTCATTTTTATGAATTATACATGATGTTATTAACTTTGATTCTTCTCTTACACTTCTTAAGTAATTCATAGCTTCTTGGAATTCTGGGTCCTCAGTAACTTCATCCACTGGCAAAGTAGGTTTTTGTGTTATTTCTGAATCATTGAAAGACTGTTTCTGTCTTCCTTTACCCATTTTGAATTACCTATTGTAATAGGTAGTCAATTAAGCTTATAGATACACTTGATTTTTGTTAGATTATCCCTAAGTTGAATAAATTAATATTTAAATCTACTTATTAGAAAATATTGTGTATCCTTTAGCCATATATGAGTATATATTTTATTATTAAAGAAACTTGGAAAAAAGTGGTTTTTTACCTTTCCTTTTTGGATTCCACCAATTCAGGTTCTTCGTCAGAAAAACGAACTGTATCACTCAAAGAGCTGTTGTCCAGTTCATTCTCTGATTTTTCGTCTTTGTTTTTATGAATTTTGTTTTCCGCCTTTGGCGCCATTTTTTGCATTTCAGTTACAACCATGTCATCATGCAATAAATAAGAATCTGCGAGGTCTCCGAAGAAAATAAGACAACAGAATACTGTAAGCCCAGCAACTATAAGGAATGCAGTAATAGTGACAAGAACTGCATGAACCCATGATTTATAGAAGATATCACTGATGATTACATTAAGATCATAAAAAAACCTCCTGATTGTATTTGGGTTAAAAAAAGAGTATGCTTTAAGCCTGGGGACTTTTGGATTTTGATTAGAGATTAGTTCAATGGTTTCAAATAAAACAGGAATTTTCATCATATCTTGACGGTTATAATAGTATTTAAGACCGTCAGCAACCACAATTTCGTATCCTTGTATAAAGTTAAATTCAGTAATACCAAATTCTCTAAAAAGTGATGAATAAGATACAAAATCAACAATAGCAAAAAGAATTCCTCTTGGAATTTCAGATGTTGAAAATTTTATAGGCAAAAAAAGCTCTCTTCTAACTTTCTCTGCAATTAGACCAAAATCAGTAATAAAATCACCACTAATTTCGTTATTTACCTCAACATTTTTCTGAATTCCCATAATAACTACCAGATTCCCGCTATTAAGATACTCAATAAATTCCATTCTAGATGGAGCACTTAAGAATGGGAACCTGTATTGTTGCATAAAGCGGAAAACAAATTCAGCTTCTTTAACTAATAATATAGTAGGCGAAAAGTTATCTTTTCCAATTATAGTAATACACGGAGATGTTGAACATAAGTCAGTGGTACTAAATTTATGATCTTTAGTACTTTCTAAAACATTGCTTTTAACACTTTGATTATATGTTACTGCAATAGTTAATTCGAAATCATTTCTCTTGATAATTTCTTCAAAAAATTCCAAATTTTGCTCAATTTCGATTTCCGAATTGAACATCATCAATAGAATTGGGTATTCTGATAAGTCGTGACTAATTTGATTAATTTGGTCAGGTGAATTAATTTTGACTATATCAGGCTGAATTCCTCTTTCAATGAATTGAATAATATCCATATGGGTTCTTCTTGCACGTTTATATTGCTTTATGAATTTTCCTCTTGAAAAAATTCTCATTGTTGGGTAACCATTCACATTTTGTTCTTTGCAAATTTTTTTCTCAACACTACAATCAACTTTAGCTATTTTTATCTTATCATTATCTTTATAGTGTTCAGAAACTTTCAATATTTCCGGATACAAATGTCTGCAATGTCCACACCAAGGGGCATAAAACTTCACAAACCATATTTGATCTGTCAAATTGTCCAGCACTTTTTCTTTGAATTCATGGTCCTTCAAATTGATGAGATTTTCACTTTTTGGATAGTCCTGGTTTTCAGCATAAACTTTAAGAATTAACGAGAATAAAAATAATAAAAAGATTGAGTAAAGCTCCATTTTTTTTTTCCTCAAGATTTTATTATTAATTTGAAAAATGAGTTTTTGTTGACTAAAATGTTTCAGAATAATCTTTCTTGCAAGATAAATTTTATTTAATTATTTTTTGGAACTTAACTCTAAAAAAAATATTTGGACCTATTTTTTATTCCAGAATAGTTTGTTTCTCATTTGTAATTTTTTTTCTACTCTATTTTTTCCCCCTTGCAAATTAAAATTCCCTATACCGGTATTACACGTAATTTATATTAATAAAGAAATGCATCCACATGCAAAAACAAAAAAAAAAAAAGTGGAAACAAAATAACTACTAATAAGTATAAGAGTATATAACTTTTTCCTATTTCTTTTTCTCCTCCTAGTTTCATTATGTAATTAACCCTAAGGTATTTTCTTAAAATTAGGTAGAAAAATGAAACATAGAAATTAGAATCAATCACTCTTTCCATGTTTTAATTCTTGCGTTTTTTTATTGGATGAAGTATTTTTTTGTGACTCATCCTCCTTAAAGCCCTCTTTGGAGTCGTTTTTTTCGTCATCAGATTTACCTTCTTCCTCAGAATAGTTCCAAGCCTCGGTGGACTTGTTTCTATACACTACAGAGCAAATCATGCTAATAAGGCAGAATGGAACTAAATAAAGTAGTGCAGGCTGAGCCGCTTTAAAGTATAACATAACACAAGCAGTTGTGATCAGTCCAAGTAAATATGCAACCAGAACAGTAGAAAAGGTGGGAGCTTTTGGAGAACTGGAAATCAAGTGGTAAAGACTTTGATTGTGTTTCTTAGTGAAGTCTTTAAGATCAAATCTCAAACATAAGGATATGAAAAATCCTGGAATAACTATATCTCCAAGCCCAAGTATACTCTGCTTCCATGGATCAAAAGATACTGGGAAAATAAGCTTAGCTGGACCTTGGAAAGATTTCGCAACCGTCACCATAACGTCCGTCCCAAATACCCAAAAGATATCGTAAACAAATAGACCAATGAGTAGAATAGCTCCAATCTTAAAGCTCCCAATGGAGATAAGTGAAATTGCTTGAATACAGAATGCAATTGCAAATATATTGTGAATAATCCAGGAATCAGTTGCTATCCAAGTGATTCCAAGCGCCAAGCTAAGTAGAAGTGACCACAAGTGGTGAATAGTTATCTTGATTTCATGGCCTCTTGGGTCATCTGGGTTCTCAAAGTATCCAAAGAAGTTAAAGTGAGTATCAACTACGACAATTTTAGTTTCCTTACAGATGTCGTCACATTTATAAATAACAATTGATATGAATTGTAAAATAGTTTCCATTAGGGCAACTGCACCAATTAAGAACAGGTAAGAAGTCAAGAGCAGGTTGACCCAATAAATAGGAAGGAATCTATATGCTAAGTATAGCGAAAATAAGGCAACTGAACCAATAACTGGAAACATCATTGCATCTTTCCTAGAAAGTGATTCTGTACTTCGATCTTTTTCTCCTGTTTTGGGATCAATGATTACTTGGGAAAGGGATAAGTACGATCCAATATAAATAATTGATGAAGTGTACATGAGCATCTGAATTATAATCGGTAGAGGTTTAAAGTGAGTAATGAGCATAGCAAGAGCTAAAACTAAATGGCTCAGATAGTATGCCATTAGACTTTTATTACAGCAAGCTTGCCCCATTGTTTATTCGTAATTTTTTTACAAATGTGGCTTTGTGTGAATCAATTCAGCTCTTTAATCACTAAATTGAAAGAAGGCTATAAAGAATTAAAGCTAAAATATCCTTTAAAAATTAACCCTTTTTTTTCTTTTTTAAATTTTTAATGTTATTAATTTCTGGTTGGGGGGTTATCACCAGTTTTTTCATTTTAGTTAATTTTTCCTTTGCAGATACCAAAATATTCAAATTTAAATCTTCATCCCCCCACATCAACCACATGCCGCCCATGTGTTGCCGCCTAATGAACACCGGTATTGCCAAAATAATAAGTAATAAAATAAATAGCAAATAAAAAAAAAAATTATTAACGGAATACAAAATTTAATTTTTAACAAGAGTAATAAAAAGGTTGAGGAAGAAAAAAAGAAGAAAATTAATATTCTTGTAAAAAAAGATAAGGTCACAAGTCCTTGAAAAAAACACAAACAAATTTTAAATTAGGAATTTTTCTTTGTATGTAGGGCTGGTCTTTCGCAGAAATAGTTTGTAATTGTCACAAGATCAAGGAAAGAGAAAATATTGGGTTTCCTATATTGCAAAGGGTGATATTTGTAGAGTAAGAACTTAAGTTGTTCTAATAGTAAAGGATTAACATACTTTTATGTATAAGCATTTGTAATTATACATATGTACATACATATGCGTATGCAAATAAATAATATAAGATAGGCTTATACAGAATTAAAAGTTACTAAAGGTTGTGATTGGGGCAAAATCAACAGTCAAAGTAGTCAAAAATCAAGTTAAATATTGATTAATTACCTAAATTGAGTGAATTAAGATGCAGAAAAATATTTACAATTGAGATAATTGTTGATTTTCACATTTTTTAAAGAGTCTTTCTTCTTTACAAGCAGACATAATTTAAGGTGTATTAATGTAAATTGGTTTCAATACATATGCACAAAATTTTCAGGAATTATTAAAGATATATGTTATCAAGAATATTTAATCAAGGTAAAGTATTTTTAGAATTAAGTATTTCCGTTAAACGAGATAAGAACTGGATATCTTATATACAAAGCATATATCTAAATATATCGAAACTTCAAACTTGAATCAAATTGAAAGAAATTGTTCTCTAAGGGTGATTTAGAGAATTTGAAATAGTCCAGGAGGAAGGAATCTTGACTATTTATTAAGGCTTAGGCATATAAAGGTTTTAATTACGAGAGGTAGAATAATAATGAATAGGAATTTGGTTGTTAATAACAACCAAGCCCAAGACGAAGTAAGAAGTATGGAAACAGCCAAAGAAGAGAAAATTTCTTCGTGTCCCGAAGATTTGGAAGGAATTTTGGAAAATGATTCCAAGATTCAAGGCTTTAGAAGCTCAGAAATTAGCCCTTCGGATATTGAGGGACGTCAGGATTTGTCAGCAGAAGAGGGAATAATGGATGAGCAGATTAGTGAGAAGGAGATAAACAGCGAAAATGAGAATGGAAGTAATCACAATAATGAAGAATGTAGTAGTTCGAATGAAGGGACACATATTGAGACGGGATCGAAGATTCCCAATAAAATTTTTGAGACTTTAATACTGCCAACATCAGCAAGGCTGAATCCTACAGTAGGTTCCTACTTGGAGAAGTTGAGTCCAACAGCATTAAAAGGATTCCAAAAGAGGTTCTTTAAACTGAATTTGACGGATAATGCTTTGTTATATTGGAGAGAGGAGCCAACATTTCCAGACCAGCAACCAGCTGGATGTATTAACTTGTCAAGTGTGATAGCTATTCACATAGAAGATGCTTTAAACTTTGTTATAAGAACTTTTGGAAGAGATTACTGCTTAAGGGCTTTGTCACCTGGTGACAAAGATATTTGGTTGGAATCTATTTGCATGGTAGTAAACGCAGTAGCACACAGAGAAACATTAAAAGATGCTTCCAATCATTATAATTTTAGCAAGGTTTTGATGGATGCTTCTGGGGGTATCCAGACATATTTAACAGAGGCTTTAAAGACTCAGAGGAAAGTTAAATGGACAAAAGAGGACAGAGTCCCTTTAACATTTTCTCTACGAGGGAAGAAGATGTTTTTGGGGGTTAAAGGTATCCAGAACTCACTTGCAAAGTTGTGGTTTGACTGCGTCTTTAGTGTAAATTACTTGTCTTCATCTTCTTCACCTTGCTTGTCTTTATACTCAGATGTTTCAAGTAGCTCTGCAAGTAATCAGTTTTTGGGATTAGTACATGGACAAGCACAATTACCAAATTTATCTTCACCTCAACCTTCTCCATCATCACTTTCTTTGAAAACATCTAAAGGTATTGCCGGGACTAGAGGAGGTGTTACCGGATTTAGAAGATGCTACTACAGGGCCAGGAGCTCATCTTATTGTACAAGCACCTATTCAAAGTCACAACAGGTTCCAACGCATTCCACGACATCATCTCCACCTACTGGAGTTTTGAGACAGGATGAAGGAGTTAATTCAACCACCAAATCAATGGGAAGTTATAACAGAAGGTTTACACCTGGATATTTCTATGGGACTTACAGAGGCCAAAATCTGAAGATAAGTAAGAACATGATGGGTACAGGGCTAAACAATCTAAAGAGAACGAAAACTTTGAGGGATTTGAGCGGTTTTGGAAATCTTAACCAGGCTCCAGAAGCGTTTAAGCACTCAGAACCAAATGTACAGAGCTTCACAAGGATGAGGTCTCATCTGGATAACGTCTTGTTTGGGACAATTTATATTGAAATTGGTCCTTTGCCTACACTCCAGCACCTTATTCAGAGTATTTCACTCAATTCAGGTGTTTCTGGAGGGGCAGGGGGAGGTGAATCTTCTTCATCGTCCTCATCTAACAACTCAAACCCTCCCTTATCATCTTTACAGAAATTCTTTGCTTTACTGATTTCCTCAAGGCCAATAGCCAATAACGAAGCATTTTTCCCTTTACCTAATAACTTTTCATTAAAGCCTTGTGATGCCAGGGCATTTAGTTCCAAGCTGGGTTATTCCCCAGCCTCAGAACCTGGCTCAGTTCCGGGATCAGCATCAGCAACAGCATCAGCGTCGGTTATGGGTAATTGGAGGGATTTTGAAACCCTTCCTTTTAACATTCAATTGGACTGCTTATACTTATTTTCACCAGAGTATGATGGTTCTCCTCCTTTATATGTTATTGAGCTGGATAATATCCAGTTATCAAGCAAAATTCGAGAAGTTCAAACTGGTTTTCAGTTTAGACTTCAAGTTCCTATGGGAAACATCTTGGCAAGTTTAAAAAACCCAGAAAATAAGGAAAAGGACCTGGAGGAAGTTCATATCATATCTGAGGAAGATACTGAATTAAAAAAGGAACCACAGAAAGAGGACCAGAAATATAACCGTCAACCTATTTTGGAGACAGGATTAGATGGTGATTCGGAAGGTTGCATAAGTCAAGATGATGAAAAGGAAACAGATAGTCTAGAAGAGCAAAGCCAGGCTATTCATACCGAAGCTACGAGGTTGGATAAGGGGCTAGATACTAATTCTCAGGTTCCTCGCTCAGAAACTTGCCAAAACTTAAAAGATTCGAATGCCTTGGCATCCAATATTGAACCTGAGATTAATAATGGTGAATCACCTTTACCTGCTTGTGGGATCAATGGTTTAGGACAAAATTCTCATTTTAGAGATACTAAATACACATCTATTACAAATCTATTTCATAATCCATCACTAATTTTATTTGGTTTAGGCGGCAAGAAACAGGCGGGCAACACATGTCATAATGAGTTGGCCAATTCAATTTCTGCCATGTCTGTGGCCCTTGCAAACAATGGAATAGTCTTTGGAGGCAGTAATATTTCCAATGAAAGTATTGGTTCTGGTATTATAGGTAATAACAATGTTAATGTTCTTTCCATGGAAAAAATATCAATAAGAATAATTTCAATCTTTGGCCCTGACGCAGAGATTTGGAGAGAAGCATTAATTGCTAGCTGTAGGGCTAGACATGCAGCAAAGGAAAACAGATTAAGAACTTTACATGATGAACTAAGAGCCTTTGACAGCATTCCAAAAGAACTTTTGGATGAAAATATTCATCATTTATTTTATAAGACATTGATTTATATTTCTGTTGCTTCTGGGATAAAAACATGTGGAATCACGGGTATGGGTTTTGGAGGAGGAATGAATAGTGATGGTGGAAACATGATGTGTAGCAGTGACTTTAGAAGAATATCTCCAATGGTAGGAGTTTTGAATGATCATTATAGTAACAACAATTTTGGTTCTGTGGGATTTGGGAATAATGTAATTAGAACTTGGATTAAAAGATTAGTACACCATATTTCAAGTAGTTTTGTTACAATCCCGATATTAAGGATACTACAAGGTTTAGAAGTCTTTAATTTAACTGGGAGGGATTTATTACAAGCTTCTACTCGTATAATGTCAAATCCAAGAGTTGACATATTAAGATTTGTTCATGACAAATATATGGTACCGATATTAATGGTAATACAAGAATGTTTTACAAGAAGGAATGATTTAATGAGAGAAGTGGATATTCTATTGATTTTAGAGTTTTTGGTTGATTTAAGACTGAGTTATGAGTATTGTGGGATTTATGATTCTAAATTCAAGTATTTAATTTTGAGTTTTTCTTCTTTATATATGAAAAAACTTATTCAGCCTTACTATAAAAAGATCTTCAGATCTATACACAACACATGTTATTTGGGTAAGACTTTTAGAGATAAGGAATCGGGTACCTTACATATATCAATATTTTCGGAGTTATTTTCATCCTTAAATTCAATGGTGAATTTATTCACATCTTTAAAGCTTTATCACTATTCAGTTGAGGTGAGGAGTGTTTTGTTTATAGCTGTTCAACATGCTTTAATGCAGTACCAGTTGGCTATTAGAGATGTTGTATTGCGTAATTTATGTAGTCTTACAGATTTGAATCATGAGAAGCAAAAGTTCTTTTTTCAACATGATTCCAAGATAATTCAGGAAGGATTAATAAGAAGAAAATGTGAAGGAGTAGAAGATTGTTGGTGTTGGAAATGTTATTGTAATCAAAGGAATTTACTTGAGGAAATTGACTACTCTAGGATTTCTATTTCTTCAGAGGTAATTTGTGGATTATTAAATGGCATGGAGTATTGTATTTGTAAGTGTGATGAGTTGGATTTATTGATGGAGAGATGGAGTCCATTTGTTTTTTATAAGTTTGAACAGGAATACTTTAGGGAGGTTCCTGCGGATACTGGAATAGTTGGTAGCACTACTGTGGGTATTGCCACAAGAGTTACTACCCAATCTATGGAGGTTGTAGACTCTAATATTGGAAATATTAGTGGTTTAATGGGAGGAGGGGATTCTTTAATGGCAACTGTTAGCTCAGGTGGAAGTGGGAATAGTGTTGCTGGTATTGTTAATGGTAATGGTAATAGTAATAATAGTAACAGCAATATTGGATCTGTTGGAACAATACTATCTGGGGATCTGGGAGGTACTGGGAAAGTTAGTATTGGAACAAATAACACTAATTCTTCATCTAATTCTGCATCAGTTGCAACATCTTCCTTATCACCATCATCAGTTCCAATTCCTGTTTCAATTGTAGGCTCTGGTTTAAATCAGGGAGCTTCTATATCAGGAATTTTGGGACAATCAGGATCAGCGACTTCTGGTGTTTTGCTATCGGGAGTTCAGTCTTCAGATTCAGCTTCTATTCCAGCTCAGGTACAACCACCAGTTCAAGTTCAAGCTCCAGTTTCAGTTCAGGTTCCAGTTCAAGTTCAAGTTCCAGTTCCAGTTTCAGGATCAGCTTCAGCTCCTCCAATGGGATCCGGGGCAAGTGGAGTAATAGTAAAGACTACAGGGAATAATCCAGGTTATACTAATATAAACTCTTCATCTCCGTCCATGGTTTCAAAAAGTAATGCTGGTATGGTATCTGTTAAAGGATTAGTAGTTCCAATGGGCACTAATAATAATAATAATAATAATAATAATAATAATAATAATAGTACTAATAATACTATGAATACAACAATATCAAGCCAGATGATGACAATATCAGCTTTGAATGATGAGAAGCTTCAGGATATGGTAAGTATATACTCTGCAGGAAACTTAAGAGAAGAGGCGAGAAGATTTACTTTGTTGTTCCATATTTCAAAAATGTACTTAGCAATTAAGACATGTAAGGAATGGTATAGAAGAATACAAACACATTTTTTGAATGCTTTAAAAAATGTTGGTAATAATATTTCAAAGGTACCGGGAGAAGATAATAGTTTCATGAAATATGTATTATCTTTGGATATGGACTCATTACTTAAAGAAGCTTTGAGACCACAATTAAGAGTATTGAAAATTTCTCTAAAGAAGAGTTTGTTTAGTAAAGTATCGAAGTTGGTTTTAGAATATATTATTAGAGTTTACATTGAGTCTTTATTACTATTTGCATTAAACTATTCAGTGATTCAGGCTGGAATTTATGATGAGACTTATGATACTTTGGGAGTAGGATTAGAAGGAATGGTAAAAGATTCATTATCTTCATCATATTCTATGGTAGGAGGAGGTATAGATGATATGAGTAATATGAATATGATAGCAGCAAAGTTATTGGAGGATTGGGATGTGATTGGCCATTTTTTTCAGGATTGTATGTCAGAGGAAGCTACTAGAGAATGTTTGATTATTTTAGCAGATTTGCATGATATATTAACTTCTCAGAGACTTTCTTTATATGAAAAATGCCTTGATTTTCAAGAAAAGTACCGTATTTTTGACTTATCTCTATTTATTAAGATTATCTTAATATTAAGATTGGAAGTTAGATTACTGAGATCTTTTAATAGATTAAATGGAACTGGGGATGGTAACAATAAAGGTAATGATTGTCATCATCATAATGTATCTTATTCTTCTAATGTTGAAATTAGCCAATCATTTGGTTTAAATAATAAGATTATAATGGTACCGATAACAACTATGAATGATTTATCAATATCGGTACCTTTAAATGAAACAGCAAGAGATGAGGTAAGCCGTATAATGTTGGAAGGTATTCATGAGATGAGTCTGACAAGTAGTAATGATAATAATAATAATAATATTAGTTTTAGAGCAGAAGTTTTATCATCAACAGGAGGAGAAGTAGAAGGAGGTGGGGGTGGTGATGGCGGGGGGGCAGTAGTAGGTAACGGTACCAATAGTGGGAGTATTTCTGAGATGGCGAATGAAATGGATGTTTTGGGTGGAATTTCTCCTGGATTAATGATTTCTTGGACCAAGGATAACTTGTATTACTGGAATAAACAGATGAATATAGTTAAGAATGTCTCATCATCTATAGTTCAAAGTGGTACTGGTACCGTTAATAATACTAATAACGCTGTTAATAATAATATTAGTCATAATAACAATAATAGTGGTAATAATAATATTAATAATAATAGTAGTAATAATAATAATAATAATAATAATAATAATAATAATAATAATAATAATAATAATATTAACAATAATAATATTAATAATAATAATAATAATAATAGCATTACTGCTAATATCATCACCTCCAGTGGTTTAAGTGATCCTTTATTGTTGAGAAAAATCAACAATCTAAGCTCTGAAGAGATGAGTCTCATTGTTGGAGATGGGCAATCTATAAGTTGTGATGGTAGTGCTGGAAATCATCCAAGTGTTGTTTTAACAAATAGCAATTCTGGCAATTCTGGGAATATTGGAGGATGTGGTACAACATTTGATGGTACTGGGTCTGGAAATAACAACAATCCATTGCTCTTAACTTCTGGATCATCTAATTTGGTTTTATCATCAAATTCTATCACAGTAATGAATACAAGTGGAAACATAAAAAACTTGGCTGCTGTAACTACCAATGTGGGAACTTTATCTTCGTCCGCCTTAAATACATTGGCTGGAGCTGGAGTTGCTTTATCTTCATCTTCTGCTAATGTTGCTAATAGCAGCTCAGTTCCCTCTGTTTCGACTCCAGGATGCAATTCAGGCTCTGTTACAGGCACTCCGACTCAGGCTCAGACCCAGACTCAAACTCATACTCATACTCAGGTTCAAGCTCTAATTCAATCTCAGAATCAGGCCCAGGTTCAGACTCAAACTCAATCTCAAGCTTTTGCTGCAAATTCAACAACTATAGGAGTAGGGAACAATATTGGACTTACTTTGGGTTTGAACAATTGCACTGTTTCTTCGAATATCCCCACATCCACACCTAATAATGGTGGTAATAGTAGTAGTAATGGAAGCAGTGGTAGTAATAGTAACATAGGTGGGGGAGGAGCTCCAAGTAATCACCCCAATCAATCAATTACTTCAGTTTCTGCTACATCATCTAATATGAAGAGGTCATTTTCATTGGAATTTCTTTCTCAAGTAACAGGAGATGAAGCTCCTGAGAAAGGAGTAATTTCATCATTTTTACTTGGAAAGACTTCAGTATATTCCCCAATTTCTGTATTATCATTATCAGGTTTAAATGGAGGAGCAGGATGTACAATTCTGCAAGATTTCATGGAAAGAGAAGAAAAGTGGTGGGAAAACATTTACAGTTATTACTCTCAGATTTATATCCCTGCATATTTGTTCGGAATGATTTCTACTCGCTTATCAGTTGATGATCATTTCGAGGAGGGAATTGAAGGAGGAGCAAAGTCAGCAGTAGTGACAGGAATAGGAGCAGGAATGGGAACAGGAACGGGAACAGGAACGGGAACAGGAACGGGAACAGGAACAGGAACAAAAGCAACAGGAACGGGAACGGGAACAAAAGCAACAGGAGAGTTCTCTATCTCAAATACTAATTCTGCTATAGGTTCTAGTAACACAAATTCAAGTTCTAAGGGTTACCAAAACAATACATTAAATACGCCAGAAACATTGCCTAATCTAAATGGCAATGAAGGTAACAGAGACTTTATAGTTAATTTAGCAATAAATATGTATCAGAAATATACTCATTTATCAAGAATCCTAACAAATACGTTCTATGGAAGATATATTTCTGATCCTGGTAGCTATCTTAAACCTGCAACTACTGAAGGTACCGCTTTAAGTTATTTAATTGGATCAGGAAAATTACCGGTACAGATGACAGTATCAGATGGAAAGTTGAAGGATAAAGAAAGCAACATGATTATTAATAATAATGGATGTAGTAACAATAGTGGTGAATGGTATCACCAAGCCTTGAATCATTATAAGCTTTGCCAAAGTATGATACAATTCAAGTATTGTAGTAATAATGGACTTAATGATAACAATAGGGATTGGAAACCTGGTTATATGGTCATTGAAGATTTTTCTATTCACATATATGATAGTGTATTTAAACATAAACTACTGGATATACTTTCAATACGCCCAAATAATTATGGGGAGAGAATTACTAGTATTTGTATTGATCCTCAAGATTTAACAAGGACAGGATTTATTATCTTTTGGGGAGAGAGAGAATTTGATGGTTTTAATAATAGTAACAATAATAGTAGTAACAATAGTAATACTGGAACAGGAGGAGCAGGAAGTGCAAATTTATCAAGAACAGCTAGCAATTTATCTCCTGTACAACAAAATGTCATGAGTTCCAATTTAACTGGTAATTCCAACTCAAGTTTGCTACAAATGAGTGCAAACAATACTACAACTGGAGGTTTGACTTCTAACTCTACGATAAATATAAATAACTTATCCACTCAAGATTCCCATAATAATATTCAACAACAACAACAACAGCAACAAGGTCAAAATTATAACATTAACAATTATGTTGATGTGAAAAATTGTTCTTTACATGTAAAGGCGCCAACCCCACAAATGGCGGCAATTTGGGTGTCAGAAGTTGACATACTTATTCAAAAATCAAGAAACAACTGGGGAATTGGGTTTTTAGAAAGCTTTGAAAGAAAGAAATTTTGCCAGTATATGAGAGTTGAATAGCTTTTTTTTTTTTTATTTTTAAATTGGTCTGAGAAATTTGAATCATTGTTTATTTTCTTTTTCATTAAACAGTCTATTATTATTTTCAATAATAGTTGACTAGATTATAATTATATTTGAGAGTTTATTTTCTTCTATTTGTTTTTTTGTAAATACTTGGTTACTTTTTTTTTCTTCTATTTGTTGATTTAATTTTATTGAATTTGTGGTGTTTTTTATTTGAAGCTTAAGCTTGGAGCTAGTGATGGAATTATTGGTATTGAAGGGTATATTTAAGCTTTAAAAGATAATATAAATTTCAAATAATGCAAATCCTTTAAATATGAATAGTGTTATTTTCAAATAACTTACATAAAAAAATCATTAAATTAGAAAATAACGAATTATAGTATTGATAAAAATGGAAATAGGTAATAGAAAGATACAAAATAATTAGTTTTTAATAAATAATAATAATACATGTATTAATATTAATAGTAACTATAAGAAAAAAAATAATATTATTATTAATTAACAAATATTTGATATATTTAATTCAAAGAAGATAATTAGTTAATATAATAAATGTTAACAGTTATAGAGAATTCTCAAATATCTAATTTTTTCTTTTTTCTTTTTTTTTTTCTATTAGTAATAATATTACTATTATTATTTTGAATCATTTTTTTGCTTGTAATTTTTCCAATTGTTTATCTAATACAACAATTTCTTCTGCCAAATAACTCATTTGTTGATTAAGTAATTGATTTTCAAGTGTATTAACATCTGATGGATTTTCAACCATCTTTACTTCATTTGCTCTGAGCTTATTTCTTAAATCAGTCATTATAGCATCTTTTTCATCAAGTAACTCGTTAATCTGATTAATCTCTTCATCCAAAAGCTTCTTCTTTTTACCTTTAAGTTTTTTATATTCTTTCATTTTTATCATATGTTCTTGAGTAGTAATCCAATTCTTACCACCCCTACATTTAATAATATCATGAATTGTCATTAATTGTGTTGGATCAGTTTCTGGTGCTTGTATAACAATAATTGGTGCTGTATAATCAGAAACAATTTCTGATGGTTTTGCTAATGATTCAAGAAATTCACGAGATTTTGCTTTTGCTACCGATTTTAAACTCTGTTTAGTATCAGTGGTATTTACTGATTTCAAATTTTTTAATACTTCACTTGCTCCTGTCATATCTGGTTTTAATACTGATTGACTTATTTGTAATCCTTTTGCTGCATTTATACTTGCTCCTACTGCCATTTCATTTACTATCTCACCAACAGTATTTAAATCATTTTCTAATATTGGCATATTCTTCAATATATCTTGTTGTACTGATGTTATTGACCTTATATCATATTTTGGATCAACTAATACTGACTGTGGAATAATTTCTTTTAGAAATGTTTCAAATATATTCTGAATCCCTTTTGTTACTCCATCAAATAAATTTCCAATACCAGAAAAAATTGATAATGGATTAAAAAATTGACTCTGAACTGTAGATGCTTGAACGAAAGTTATGGATAATAATCCAATTATTATTGAAATTATTATTTTTTTATTCATTTTTCTTCTCAATTATTTATTATGATAATTTCTTCCAAAATGAATTGATTATACTCTTTTATGTATTTGTGAATATATTCAATGAATACCTTTTATTCAAATAATATTCAATTTAATCTTAATTAAACCAAATATTAATTTAATCTTTTTTCCTCTCTTTTTTATTAATATCTTGGTTTTCCTTTGCAATATTATACTATTTTCCAATAAATTATTCTTTTTTTAAAAATGTGTATATATATATATACATAATATATATATATATATATAATATTATATATATATATATATAATATATTATATATTAATTAATTTATGAAAAAAATCTATTCTTGTTCAATATTTTAAGAAAAAATTATCTAAACATTTTTATTGTATGTATTATACACGTCATTTTCAACATTTAACATGCATGCATGCATATTATTTCGTCCACATAAAACAGAAAAAAATAATAACTATGCATGTACCGGTATGTTTGGGGGGGGGCAAGAGGAAAGAAAAAAAATAGGAAATAAAAAAAAGCAGAAAATTGAATAAAAAAAAACATATATACATTTGTACATGCATGCAAAAAGTAAAAATAAAATTATTGATTAATATTTACATGTTGAGATAAATGGATGATTATTTTTAATAATAGTAAAGAATTCTTAATTTTTCGTTAAATTGTGATTAGATTTTTACTGGTGTTGATTTCCTGCTTAATTATAGAATCAAAAATAAAGTCAATTGAATGGGTCTTAAAATTTCTAAAATTCAAATTAAAGAAAAATGATGAATTAATATTTTATCAATTGTAATAAACTTACTTGAATAATTTATTAGGATCTGAATTAGTTCCAATAAAAATAATATTTGACTTATTTTGAATCTTGTTTGCCTTTTCTAATTCAATAATTTCAGCATTACTTGATTTTAATAGCCATGAGATTTCATTAATAGAAGGAACTTTTATATTTGGAGAAATAACAAATTTATAATTACTAAAGATCGGCATATTATTTTGTGCCTTATTAATGGAATTTTTAAGAGAAAAACCAAACTTCTTTTCACCTTCTAAATCATTAAGTAATTGATTCATACATAAATTATTAAATTCTTTAAAATTTAATTCCTTATTTCTATATAAATTCAATATTTGCCTTAAGGTAATTGGAGATATTATAGGAAGACCCTTTGATATTGCCCATAAAAATTTTAATGTCCTCTTAATTGATGATGAAACCACATGTGTAACTTTATCTGACATAAACTCAAGATCCTCAGAATCTATAGAAGTTAGATTTGCTCTTCTTATTAATTCAATATCTTTATTTGTTGGAGTACATCCTGTCCATAGTAATACTACCTTATCTGTTTCATTTTGTACTGATAAATGATTTATATTTTTGTCTTGTATACTTTTTGGAGATTTCCTCTTTGGTCTATTTGAAAGTAAAGAATCATTTTCAATATCCTCATTAAATGTTGATATTGATTCATTTTTTGGAGATTTTTTGTTTCTAATAAAATCAATATTTTCTATTTGATCAATTTTTGGACTTTCTTCCAGAATTTCCAGTTGTATTTGGTCATTCTCTTTATTTTCAATACTATGCCTTTTCCATTTTGGGGTCTCTATAGATTCCATTGAATCGTATCTTATTAATTTGGTTTTTAAATTCCCAAAATATAAGTCTTCACCAGGAATTAATTCGTACTTGCAATTTGGTTTTATTTTATGTTTCAAATTCTTTCTAAATGTCCCAACATCACTGTTATTATCTTCAACAAAAAATTCACCTTGTTCAACATGTATGATTGCATGGTAATCTTCATTATCAGTTTTATGGTTTCCTTTTAATTTTGTATTCTTAACTCGCTTTTTGGTTTTTTCACCAAATGGCTCAAAAACTGACTTTGTTGACCCACATATATAATTCCTTCCTTCATTTAATGGAAAAGAATCAATTACGGATTTGTAAGTTTCATCAAATATTAATAAACAACCGACTTCATCTATTTCTTCTCCGTTTTTCAAATCTTCTTCTGTTTCATTCCTAATATACATATTAATTTTGGTCCCCAAGTTTGATTTCTTTATAAGTATTTATAAGCAATTGAAATAATAATTAATAAAATAAAACAAATTTTATTTAATAGTAATAAACAATATTCTTTTTATTCACAATTATTTACTAATTTTGTGGGTATTCTTTTCCCTTCATCATATTTAATGTTACCTTTATTATTTTATTACCTAATATTTCCCTTCTAATTATTCCTATACCGGTGATTTATGGCGCCTGGCCACATATAAATAAACAAAGAAAATGCACACAAAGTCATGCAAAGAAAAATATAAAAAAATATAAAAAAACAAGAGTATTTGTACTTATATATAAATATAGATATATAAATACATATATATATTTATATATATATTTATTTACTTGTTTGCAGTTCAGGATAGAGTGGCAAGAATGCATTACATTGCGAACATTAAAAAATACCTGAAATGTCAGCATTGTTATCAAAAGCTGGTGTATAATCATTGAAAGCATATTCTTGGTTATAAGTAACTGGTGTTTCGGTAATAGGTGGAGGCCTTGAAAGGAATGTACTTTTTACTATTGCTCCAATAACTATTTGTGTGGCAATGCAAAAAACAAAATATACCCACCAGGCGTATTTCTGATTCTCACAAAACTTGCCATAGTAATTTTCAGCACATTCACAAGAAAATCCACTATTTGGGATGTCGATGCAGGTTCCACCGTTTTTGCAAATTTCTGTGCTTGAACAAGATTTTTCGCATTCCTGAAGATTACACGAAGCACGTTCAGTAATTTCATTTTCTGACGGACATTGTACTCCACCAAGATCAGCTTGAGCTAAAATAATTCTATATCTCATCTTATTACCTGGACCACAAGTAGATGAGCAGGAACTCCAGGAAGTCCAACTTGAAACTCTACAATTCACTGGACAACTTTGTTCATTGCAGGATTCGACATCAGATTCACTGTCCTCGCACCTTCCCTTAATATCGGATTTCCAAATCAGCTTCCTAGTTCGAGTACGAAATCCACCTTGGCAAGAAACACTACAACCAGACCAACTTGACCAAGAAGAATATGTACAATCATCACAAGATATACTAATATTACACCCTTCATTTTCAATCAAATTTGGGCATGTAACGCCTTCAAATGAAGATGGCCTTAATATCAATCTAGTTCTCGATCTCGTACCTATTTTGCAGCTTGAACTACATTGTGACCATGAACTCCATTCTGATACAATGCAATCAACTTGGTCAGCTGAAAGATAGGCATCTTTTGAAACTACCTTGACACTAACAATTGGCTCATTTAGACATCTTTTCCAAAATAAAGATTCTGTATAACCTTGGTTGAAGGAAATTGAAATACCATATTCTTGTCTTTGAAAACTAATGACCCACTTATCAAAAAATGGCCATTGATCAAATCTTGGAGAATGATCTACTATGGATTTGAGCCTTCTTACAACTTTTCCTTCATAAGTACACTCTCTAACTACTGTAGTAAGTTGTGGATAAACTGAGATGATTAATTCATACGAATTTTTCTTTGCTGTTGCAAACAATATTTGGAATCCACTGTCTGAAACAGTACCACCAGCTGAAAGAACCTGATTTAAAGGCCAAATATCATCATCTATTAACGGAATATCAACATTATCTTCTATTTTAAAACCAAAACTTTATTTAAAAAAAAATCAAATAAATTTATTACTTTTTTGGTATAATTAAGTTAAACTTACGTATATGGATTGGTACATAATATGGTTTGTGTTAAACGAAAATCTGCAATTTGCGAACTTATCACATTAAATCTTAAAAAAAACGTTAAAACAATTAATATAATTCCATGAATAATATGGCAAGACAACATTGGGCATTAAGCCTTTTTATATTCTCTATTAAACTTTAGTATTTGCTAGTTCCAATCAATAAAAAACATAAAGCTTATTTGGATGGGCTAATTATATTAACCAATTTAATTAAAAAATAAAGCAATTATATAAATTATAGATAAATTTTATTTTCTGGATTATTTTATCTATTATATTACATATGTTTTTATTACATGGATCATATATATTACACAGAATTTTTTTTTTAAAAGTAAGTGGGGCGGGTTTTGGCGGGCTAAGTGGTACCTATACCTGATATGATATCAAAATAAGATAAATTTAAATGAAGCATGGAAAAAGGAATTAATAAGTTAATTACACACAAAAAAAGTAAAAATAGTATTTAAAAATAATAGTAATATTAATATTATTCAAAGCAATATTATATTACCGTTGTTATGGAAATTTGCATAATATTAGGATTTGAGTTAATTAAGAGTATATTTAGTAAGATCTTGTGAACCAAATAAAAATATTGGTTATAAAACAAAGATTAAGAAATTAATAAATGAGCAAAAATCAAAGGGAAAAAGCAAAGGAGCTTAAATAGAAGAGGTTTGAATTCAATGTAATCAGAAAAATAATAACGGAAAATGCTAACATTTAAACAGTTTGATTTAAAGTTTATGAAAATTAATACCAAAATTAAAAGAATTTTATCTTTGATATTACTATATATACAGTATATTTTATTTTTAAATCTTTTAGAGGTTAATTCTCTGCCTCCAAGTTTTAATTGGAATAAAGCATGGAGAGATGTAACAAGTGAAGGGCTAGTATATACATTTAGTTCAAATAAACAACCATGGTATTCTGGGGTATCTTTTAGAATAGTGGGGAAATTTAAAGCAGTGAATAGTCAAGAGACTTTAGTAACAATTCAGAATGGCGATTTGTACCATTGTAAGTTGACGATAAACTTTGCATCACAAACAGTAGATGCGTTATCTACAGGATATACTGCAGAGGATAAATGGTCTACTTCCTATGCTTATTTTCCCTTCCCATATACACCAAAGGAGATGGATATTGACTTAGTTGTTGAAAAGTTAAGATGGCCAGGAGGATTTTACTTTTATATTTCAGGGCAAGGACCATATTATCCTTGCAACGGTATAGTATATTCAAATGTAAACAAATTAACTTTTGGAAATGGAAAGGATAACTTCAGTGATTATAATATTAAAAGAAATGTTCCTCTGTCAGATCCTTACAAAAGAGCTTATTTTTGGGATGAATTTGAACAAAGATATTACTTTGATGATAAAAATTTGTATTATGTTAATAGCACAGGTATAGACGAAAAATCTGGAATACCAAATGGTGACAGAATTCCAAAACATTATGGTGGTTGGCCAGAAGAAATGGAGGTTCATGTATTTTCAGCAAGTATGTATCCAGTAAATGATAATAAATATAAGTGGGGAGGCTCTGTAGCAGTGTTTACAAGTGATCAGAGTCAGTTCTACTACAGAATGAACGGTTTTTTCTTAATCCAATCAACTAATTCGTATTGTTTAAACTCGGGAGTTATTTTAAGTGGTACAAGTTATACAGTTAATAATAATTATCCTTTTGATTATGATAATCCTGGACAACCTTTCAGTGTAAGTTTATTTATTGATGATTACAAGAATTATGGGCCTGGTCAAAGGTTGCAAGTGACTGGCCTAGAAGTTTATTATATAAAACTTCGTATCTTTTAAACTATTATTTATTCTTTTTTTTATTATAGGCAATTTTGATTAACAAGAAGTTTGGAGTTGATGTTTTTGTTAGAGAGTCATTATGGTCACTGGGAACTACATTTCACTGTGGAGTGCATACATATCAGGCAGATGCAGTAGGATTAATTTATCCAAATGAAGCGGGAGTTTATTCAACTACAAGATTTGCAATATCTCCATTAGATTGTGAATATTCTCAATGGTCATCATGGCTTCCATGCACAAGTACATGCAGGGGTGGAACAACTTATAGGTGGAGATATCCACTGAATGAGGTTATGGCGGGAGGGTTGGAATGTACAATAACATCTCAGATATCTTCTTGTAATTCTGATGTAGAATGCTTAACATGTGGATTTACAGAATGGGGAAGTTGGACTCCTTGTTCAGCTTCTTGTGACGGAGGAATTACAATTAGAACAAGAAGTTTGAATCATTCTGCTCCTGGATGTGATTCTCTACTTAAAGAGACATCTTCATGTAATAGTTCTCCATGCCCAGTAGATTGTGCCCTTTCCTACTGGTCTCCTTGGACCGCATGCTCAAAGTTTTTATGTGAAGGAACGAAATCAAGGTATAGGGTAATTACAAGGGAGGCAAAAAATGGAGGCACCGCATGCCCATTATCTAGTCAGTTAAAACAGGTAGTGGAATGTACGGATTCATGTGATGGAATTTGCGAAACTCAACTGGAACCAATATGCCAAAACGGTGGCGAATGTTTTAGTATAGGCAATGATAGCTATTATTGCAAATGTGAAGAAGGCTTTTATGGCAGGAATTGCACAATATCTTCCGATAATAAGTTTAATATCATTGTAGGTACATCTTCTGGGCTTGCTATTGGATTACTGGTAGTATTATTTATATTACTATTAACTAGATCACGCCAATGATTAGACAGTTATAGTAATAATTATATATATCAAATGGTTGCTTATTATTTTTTTCATTTCTTTATATATAGCGACTTTTAAGATTTTATACAAAGTAAATGTAACTAACTTTTTGTAATTAATATATATATATATATATGGACAGAAAGGAATTAAAATTCAATGCATCACCTTTATTAGTTATTCTATTTTGATTTGCTAAATTAAAATATCATATTTTGACTTTATTCTTAAATTAATATTAAATATGGCGGGAAATCTCCCCACGTAATTATTTTTTTCTATAAAGAAAAATATTGCATGCATTAAATTATCTGCTCGAAATAAAAAAAAATAGGCGGTAAATGTTTGAATTAATGATAATTGTAAGATGGTGATAGGGAAGGGACAAAAATGAAAATAAACTATGGGGAGGAAAATGAGAATGAGAAATAAATGTTTTCCAGTTAGGGAGTATTGAGGAATATAAGAGCTATTGCGAAATAGTTATATTTACAGGATTTAGAAACAGCATTTTTTTAAAAAAATTTTGATTGTATATTAGCCTAGGAGGGGAAAATCTGAAAATATGATAGGGTATTCTTATAGCTCGTGCTCGAAGATAAGTAAAAAAAATTCGAATAAATTAGCAGAGAGTTAGAATGATATAAGTAATATTGTAAATAAAAAAAATAATAATACTAAAAATCAATTTAAATTGAAGTATTAGTTGCCTTAGTAAGTACAGAATGTCATACACTAATAATACAAATCAAATAGCATGCCAATGCGGAAAACAAGATAAATTGCTACCAGTTTTGCCACAAAGTTCAAATAGTAGGATATTGAGGATGATGCAACAACCAGGATGTGGTTGTATGACACCATCATCATTTTCTAGTGGTCAGAATTATTACACTGATAATCAGCCAAACTTATTGGGATGTTTTTATTGCCAGAAAGCTCAGCACTGTTGTATTTGTGATTTCTCAAAGAGAGCAGGAGTGATGAACCAAAGCAATATGCTTTGTTCTTGTTGTGCATGCCCAATACAACAGTTCCCATCATGCCAATGTGGAACAAATTATTCAAATATTCAACAGTCTAGTCCAATGATTTCTACACAGGCACAAATCACAGAAATTACAAATTCTAATGGCGGAAACGTAGGTGGAAATGGAATTTGCAATGGAAATGACAGTACAGTACCAAGCACTTCACCCTCAGGAACTGTATTAGTATCCACAAGTTTGAATTCAATGCCAAATCAAGGACAACAGATTGCTACACAACCAGAATTGAATGGCAAAAGCACTTCTATTAATCCTGAGATGATTAATATTGCACTCTCAGGCCAAACCCCGGAAAGTCTCTCTATTTCTATTGACTCCAGAGGAGTTATTACACTCGGAGTTAATAATCATCCAGCCCCTACTTCTAACATATCCACCTCAAATTCCAATGAGGAGAGCAGAAATAGGATTAGAAATGCTCTAGGCGATAGACATTAAGCAAACTCTCAACCTTTTGTTTCAATCATCATAGCAACTACCATTTTTTTTTTTAGAATTTTTAATTGTTCTATCAAACTAATTTTCTCTTTATGTAAACCTCGAAATATAACCTACCCCACGTGTGGTTGGCGCCATTTAATTCTAAAGGTACAATCATATTGAGCAATGTAACTGGCTAAAATGATTTAGCGCCAAATGTGAAAAATGATACGAAAATTACATAATACTTTTGTACACATTTTTACACTATTATTAGGAAACATTGGTTAATATTTTCTATTTAAGATTTGGTTAGTTTGCTTTTTAAAGCAAACTTTGCTAGGGGATTCTTAAAATTCAAATCTAACCGTTTTGAGCCAAGCCAAACTGAGCCAGGCCAAGCCAAGACTAAGTAGAGAACAATTAAAAAAATATTCAAATCACTGAAAATCTAAAAATGCTCACTCGCCCAGGAACTTTAATAGAGTTAAAGATTCAAGATATTAACGATTTAAAGGAGAGAATTCAAAAAAAAGCAAAACAATTACAAGAAAGTGAGGATTTGAATGCCATTCAAAGTAATCTCAATCCAAACTCTCAGGAAAATAACTCACGAATCCTAACTTCCCAACAATCTAATAGTATCTCATCAAACAATAATATTGTTCATAATTAACTCTACTAAATCGTTTCTATAGGAATTATATTTTCATTTTTGGCGGGGAAATGCCAATGCTATAAATTTTTTGGGTGAAAACTAGAAAACAAATTTTCTGACTTTTTTCCCCATTTTTAAAATATTTTTTTTATTAATACAAATTACATCATACATATTAAGATACGTATTAAAGATGATTAATTTTTCCAATTTTTTGCTCTTTATTTTTTTCCCTTCCCCCCTGAATGTGTGTGAATAGAATTAAATTGAGACTGTTCTTAGTAGCCATAAGCCACTTTTTTTCAAAATCAATTTCTTCTAAAAATTCTATTCCTAAAATAATGAATTCCCAAACTTAATTTATACTCACCTTTTCATTCTATTCACTTTCTTTCTTTCTTTCTTTTAAAAGCTCTCATTTCCCGCTCTACAAACATGCCATAAAAATTAATGGCCTGCAAATTTTACCGCCAAATTGCCATCTGTCTATTAAAGACTTTTTGTGTGTACGTAAACCAGGAATGCAAGATTAATTTAAAAAAGATAAATATATGGGTTTACAGTAATTTCTTGAATTTTTTTCTTAATCTCTCTTCTTGTATTTGGAAAAGAAGAATTAAGCATATAGGCTGAGAAAGAAGTGGTAATATATTTCTAAATATATTAAATTTATATAACTAGGTAATACAAATATAAATGTATTGTGCAAGTAAATTAAAGGATTGATCTTTTCTTTGCATGCAATATTATTATTTTAATATAATTTTTTGGAGGATTTTGGAATTAAAATTAACAGAAAAAAAGATACTGTAATACCGTTCGTTTTTTTAGAGTACGTTTAACTAAAGTTAAGTCTGACTAGTTACAGGAGTGTCAATTAAGTTAATTTGTTAGAAGCAAGTGATTTATGGGATATATTTATTGGTAATAATAAAAAGAATAGTAAACAGGCTAAGAACTTAGTCTGAGAATATATGATTGAAAAAAGGAAAATAAGTAAAGGAAGAAGAGAAAGAAAGGAGATAAATAGAAATTAAAGGATAATTAAAATTCGACTGGAATATATATTTAATTCTCCATCTTCATCATCTATCCAAATACCTTATTGTTCCCTAATATAAATTCAAAACATAGTTATTAGGGAAAAATAACAAAATGGATATGTCCGATTTTGCATTAAAAGATGGAGGAAAGAGACCCATAGTTAAAACTATCCCAGGTTCAGTAGGATCACCAGTATCACAAGTAGCAGCCCCACCCGGGTCTCCTTCTATCCTTGGTGCTGGCGGATCACGAGCTCCAATGCCAAAATTTAATGGTGCATCAGGTACCTCTCCAAGATCAAGTGTAACTCTTTTATCACCACAAAGATCTTCATCTTTTAAAAGGAACTCTTTAACTGGAAACAACATTGTTGCTGAATCAAAAGCAAATAGTTTATTTGGAATGAATAAACCAGCAAAAGTTTCTCCAAAGAATCTCAATGGATCAAAGTATTCAACCAAAAATTCCATCAAAGCAAAACCAGCATTAGCAACTGAGAGTACATTCAATCCTCCCCTGGTGAAAAAGATATCAACAGACAAAGAAGTTAATTCAGCTCAACCTTCTCCCAGAAAGTCTTTAAGATTGCAACCAGATTACAAAGAGGATAACCATAATAATAATGAAAGGAGGCATCCAACTAATGATGAATTAAGATTATTTAGTGTTCCTCCAGCTAGTTCTGATGAGAGGAAAGTGTTTACAAAGAAATTTTCATCAAGAGGTAGAGATTTGACAGAGAGTGCATTCCCACATTCAAATAAACCAGGAGAAAAGAGAACTTCAACTTCTCTTTATGGTAAGGAAGCTGGACTGGGAAGAACCGAAATAATTAATGGAATGGAAGTAATTGTACCTTTGGATGAAGCTCAGGAAAAGAAAGCTGAGAATTATATGGTTAATGATAGTTCCAACTTTATTAGAAAGAGTTCTTTTTCCTCGCCTAGGGTTAGTGTTGCAACGGATATTCCAAATATAAACGATACAAAACAAAGAAATTCAATTTTAAATAATAAAATTGTCCCAAAACATGTGAATCACCAAGTAATACCAGCACAAGCTTCAACTTTAATTTCCCCAACAGAATTATCAGTTCCAGCCAAATTATCTGGTGGTAATAATGAAATTGGTAATTTGAGAAGATCAGTTATAAATAAGAAGGGATTCACAACAATTGTAGAAGCTATGTTAAGCATAGAACCAGAAGATAATGATGAGAACAAAGGAACTCAAGGAGTTGTAATAGGGATGCCAATAATGGTAAAAAATAATGTATTGGGAATACCCAAATTATCACCAGATGCCACTCATAGAATATCAGAGTCTCAAGTAATAAATTACGATGAAGAACTTGCAAATGAAGGCAAGGCAGTAGGTAGAACCAGTATACAGATGGCAAAAATGGACGGAACTCAAAATCAGGACCAACAAAAGTTAAGGAATTCAGCCAGTCTGGAATATGGTAATACATTCAAACTTGATGAACATGGTCTTAGCGGACATCTTAAATGGCTTTACGGAGAGGAAACAAAGATTGATATAGCTGTTGGACCTTATGCAAAAGAGCTTCCTTTGGACGCAGTTAAGGTAGATAAATCATATCATGTTAATGAATTAGACCCAATTTCTCAAACTAAAATTGCTTCTAAATTCAGAAAGTGGATAAATCCAATACATGGAAGAATATTTGTAGTATTAACAACATCATTTGCTTTAGTTGGTGTATTCTTTCAATCTTTGATATTTAATCGTCTCAATAGATGGGAAGATGCAAACTGTGGTGGTGTATATGTTGAATCCTTTAGTATGAATTCTATGCTTGGTCCTTGTTCTAAAACTTTGAGTGCTCTTGGAGGTTTAGTAGTAAATGAATTAAGACAGGGTGAAATAGTTCGTATGTTTTGGGCAATGTGGATGCATACTGGATTTATACATATCGGATTTAATGTAATATCTCAAGCTCAATTAGGATATATGATTGAACCAGACTGGGGTATGTTACGTTTTTTCTTATTATTCTTTTTATCAGGTATTGGTGGAAATCTGGCAGTAGCGGTAATATCTCCCTGCTCACTGACAGTTGGAAGTTCTGGTGGTTTATTTGGAATTACTGCAGCTTCAATTCCATATGCTTTTGAGAATTGGAATAATCTTCCTGCTCCAATGTTTATGTTTATTTTTAGTTTATTTTCATTAATTATTGGTATGGTATTATCATTCACAGGTGTAACGAATCCATGGGCACATATTGGTGGTTTTGTAGTTGGAATACTTTACACATTTGCTACTATGAAAGCTTGTAAGGGTTGTTCTCCTGAAGATAGGCTGGATAGGTATAATAGAATGGCAGCTCTTCCTCTATTTAGGCTCTTTATGAAGCAAGATAAAGAATGGATTAATCTTCAGCTTGAAGAAAAAAAGAGACGAAAGATTGAGAAGAGAAATGCCAAAATTGCTGAACAATGGAGAAAGAACCAACGTATAAAGAAGAATGCTTTGATTAAACAGATGAAAATTGAGCAGATTCAAGGTGAAACTACTGATAGTCTTGGTTTAATTGTTGATGAAAATGGAGTAAAAAGACGAACAGATTTGACAATTTTGATTGATCGTACTCCTGTTGAAAAGATACCAATAAAGACAAAAATTAAGGTATATTTGAAGAATCGTATTAAAAGTCTTCGTGAAAAGAAATTATTATGGACTTTCAGAATCTTGTCAGGACTTTTACTTTTATTTTACTTTATTATTGGTTGTCTTGGAACATTCTATCCTCCATTATACTGGCCAAATCCCATTGGTGTTATTTCTTTCTCTGAAGGAGCTACTATGTGTGGATGTTGTTATGTCAATCAAGTATACACATGTGGTAGTAACCCAGATTTCATTACATGGTGTGAGAAGCAAGGAGCAGCTGCTCAGCCTGATAGATCTTTGTTCGGGTATAACTTTTCCTGATTTGAAAATGACTCCAGCCAAATCTTTTCTTTTAATAATACCTTCATTATCCACCCAGATCTTTATGGAGTGAGTGTTGGATAATTATCAAGAAATTTTTTAAGGTAATTTTTAAGTAATTAATAATTTAGACTGATTAAACTTTAATATGATTACTATTTCTTTTTCCCTTTTTTTTTTTTTTCTTTCTCCCTCTTAAATCAGGATCTTTTCTTAGTTTTAAATTAGATTTGGTATATAATTAGATATATAAATTTTAAGAAGTCTGAATAAAGTGTATCTCACCACTTCGATTAATTGGGATTGCATCTAATTGAGTAATCCAAGGTAGAATTTTGATAACAGTTAGTCTATATGAAGGACCTAGTTGGTTTTGAATTGGATTTCTTTCCAAATACAAAGTTTGAAGGTTCTTTAAATTTCTCAAAAGTTCAAGCTGCTTAATATCACCAATTTCATTATCATTAATCCAAAGTTCTTCTAAAGATTCAATCTTAGAAATTGCTTCTAAGTTATTAATCTTGTTTCCACCCAAATCCAAGACTTTTAAATTTTTAAAAAAGGAAAAGTAATCTCTGTTTGGGTTATTTAACTGATTATCACTTAAATATAATTCTTGAACATTATTAACATTTTTTTGAAAATTAATAGACCAATCTAAAATACGATTACTCTGTAAACTTATGATTTTGATATTTTGAAATAAAGGAATGTCATCCAAAGTGGTGATTTTATTTTTCCCAAGCCAAAGCTCTTCCAGGTCACTCAAATGATGAATATTCTCAATTATCCTAATATCATTGCTTCCCAGTTCCAGTAATCTCAATTCTTTGTTATTATTTAATCCTTGAATAGTTTTTATCTTGTTATTTGTAAGAAAAAGTTTCTTAAGTTTTCTTTGATGATCAAGATTCTCTAGCTTTTTTATACGATTGAACGACAAATCTAAAACCTCCAAATTGACTAATTTCTCCAAATTTTCAATTTTTCTTATTTTATTCTGATAAAGCTCCAAAACTCTTAATTCTATCAATTCTTCAAGATTCTTGATTTTTCTTATATGATTAGAAATCAAAATCAGTGATTTTAGTTTCTTGCATTTTGATAAATTCTCAATTTCACCAATTCTTCCACATTGTATGTTAATTTCTTCATCATCGTCATATATTAGGTGGTCAATTCCAATTTTCAAACTTTTTATTGGTTCGTCTTCTTTTTCTTTCTCTCCATTATCTTCAGCTGCAGTTTTTAAACAATCTTGTTTTATCTTCTCGGAATCCATGTTTTATTGATAGTAAGGTTTAAGGAAAGGTTTAAGTAGAAAGAATATTTAAAACAACCTTTTATTAATTTTGAACCAAATGAAAATTTGGAAATACCTGGATTAAATTCTCCAACATTAATATTTGTTATCTTTATTAATTCTTGTTTTAGAGTTTCAACAGGTTTTTCCTGTTTTTTATTATTTCCTTATTCTATATATTTATTAATTTTAATTATTTATATTAGTTAAATTAATTTCTTTCTCACCGCTTATTAATTTTATTATTTAATTTCCACATGTAATAGCTCTGAAAAGCTTAAACATTAAATATATTCAACCTGGTTATAGAGAATAGTAAAATGAGCATTTCTTCTTGAGCTCATTCTTTATTACTACTCTTAATTTTAGGTATATTTTAGCAATCATTTGCTGCTTATGAGCATATCTTCGACAAAATTACTTTGTTTATTCCATGCAACAACTCCTCCCACTCCTCCAACACCTCCAATCCAAGGCAATACATCAATATTAGGATGTATTGTTAACTGGTTACATAAGTTATTGTTTCTAACAATATTATTATTATGATTAGCAGTTGTATTATTACCACTATTTGTATTACTATGAGCCGTATCACATATGGAACCCCATATCCCAATATTTGAATACTCATCAACAGGAACAAAATCAAATCCACAATCAATTTCCTGATTTTTAACTCCAATATTATCTATCTTAGTCTTACTTTTTTCATTAAGTAAATTATCATTACAAATAATATTGTGATGATTAATTTCTGTATCTTCACTTCCAAGACTATTTCTATTAGTAATATTAATATTATCAATTCTTTTACCTGAGATAATATTTCCATTAATATTACTTAGCTGAGTATTCATATTATAGTTAGTAAATCTATATCCATTTTTAATATGTGAAAGCATTCCTTCTTGCTCAAGTATAGCTAATTGTTTGGCTCTAAGTTCTTGTAATTCGTTAGTTAATTCAACAATTTTTGCTCTTAAAGACATATTTTCCTGTATTAAATTTTGTCTTTCTATTTTTTGTTTATCTCTATGTTTTTGAGCAGATTGTCTATTTCTTATCATTTGTAATATTTTCTTTTGCATTGAGTGTGGCATTGCATTAAATTCTTCAGAATTAGTATCTATTAGAGAAGTGAATTTAAAGGAATTTAGATTATAATTTCTCGTATTTAGATCATTTTGATGATTTATTTCCATTTCAATTTTGGAAGAAATGTTTCTAGAAGATGATGGAATCCTTCTCACTTTTTTTCTTTTGCTATTACTCAGTCTTTGTATGACAAGATCATCTATATTTTGACCAAGTGATGATTTGGTTTTATTTGATATAATTTTTTCATTTTCATGGGTAATCATCATATAATTTTCTTTATTAACTCCCATAATATTTTTACCCATATCAACAGTATTGTTTCCTGAATCATATATCATTTCTCCGATTATTTCGTTGCTTTTTGGTGAGCTTAATGTATTGTTTGTGGAAATTGAAGTTCTGTAACTATTTCTGTGTCTTAAATTGTGTTGATGATTTGGGCGATCATTATGTCGTTGATGAGTATGACTACTTTCATCGCTTGTATATGGAGAAGATAATAATTTCTCATTCAATTCACTTTCAAAATCTAGTAATTGGGTGGAATTCTCGTCCACGTATTTATTTTTTTTTGGTGTTATATTTTGATTGCTCATCTTATATATATATATATATATTATATATATATATATATAATATTATTAATTATTTAATTTAAGAACATAAGTTAATTATGCTTTTCTTCTTTCATTCAAACCCGATTAGTTTATTCCAACAAACTTTAACTGTAACAAATTCTATTAATTAATACAATCCAAGTTCTGATTTAACTCAGATTTGAATAGGATTGAATACACATAAGCGATTTCTCTTAATTAAAATTTATTTTGTATTAGTAATAAAATAATAATAAAAATAATAATTCTGTTTTTATCCACAAAATTGCAGTAATATTGAATTATTCCAAGTTTTCTTTTTTGGCTTTAACTCTTTCTTTTTTTTTAATTAATTATTAATACTATTACTTTTATTATTATTGTTAATATTATTTTTAATCTTTCTTAATACTCCTTTAAAAAAAAATTTAATTATCTGTTTTTTTTTCTCCAAAATTTATTTGTAAAAAAACACGTGTATTGCATGTAACTGTACAAATTTTATGCATGCTACAAAACAAAAATGATTTTCCACATGCATTATTTTTGATACCGGTCTTAAAAGTCATGTGGATAAAAAAAATATTGCACTAGTCTAAGAAAAAAAAATTAATATAATACACATTATATATATATTATAAAAAATTGAAAATTAATTATTAAAAAAAAAATAGAGAAATTATGTAGACTTGAAAGTGATAACTATTAAATAAGTTAATCAAAAGAGTATAAATGGGAGTTTTTTCTTGAAGTATAAAATATTTTAAATTAAAGTATTTCTTTTTAAAGTAAATATTGACATGTTATTTTGCCGGGTTAATTTTAGCCATAAAGGTGAGTACCCCACAGAAACTACATGTAAAATTAAAAAGCGGGGGAAGAAATTTAAAGAGTATACTGCAAAATAAAGTTAAAAATAGTATTAAAGTAGGAGAGAGCAAAATAATAGATTATTAGGATTCAGTGGATGAGAAGGGAAAGACTCTGTGAGAGTTAAAGCTGCAAAAACAAGTATGAGTAAAAGACATACTCAAAGGATCGAAATTGTTGCAAGTTTAGACAAAAACACAAAAAATGTTGAATTGAGTGGTAATTTATCAGCAAGGAGGCAGACAAATGGTAATAGTGCTTCAAGAAGGATTGCAGGAAGTGCAAAGAGGAGTTCAGTTTCAAGATTAAATAATTTATCTCTACAAGAATTTGATTTAGAAGACGAAGAATTTGATTGTTGGGAGTATTATTCAAAAATAGAGAAAGGGATAATTGATGTTAATAATGAAATTGACGATATAATTGTTGATCATTCAGAACTTGAAAGCTATGTGAAGTTATTTAATGTATTTTACTCAAGTTTAATTTCAGGAAATAGCAATTACTTGAATGAAATGTCAAATTATTGGGATAATTTATTAAAGAATCTGGAGGAAATTTTAGAAATGAATAAATCACTTCTGGAAAAGCTAGTAAAGTCATTTATTGGGAGAATTTTTATTAATATTAGTTCTTTTCAAGATGCTAAATGTTATTATTCAGCTATGATTTATTTGATGATTTCAATTTTACCAAATAGACCTCAAGTTATAACTACAATTAGACCATTTATTATTAGAAAAATCATTGGAATGATAAATGAAAGCCAAATAAAAAAGCAATTTAATCAAAAAAAAGATAAAAAGAAAACTAGACAAATTTCTAGCAAAAAGAAAAGAACAAACAATAGTGATACGTCTGATTCTGAATCCGAAGAAGAGAAAGAAAATAACTTTTCTGGAATAGAAAAAATACGAGTGAACTCTAAAGGTGTTAATAGTTGTATTAAAAACAATGATTTGGATAAAATTTATATTGATAATGAAAACAGGTATTTTGAACAAGAAGAAAATTGTGGAACTGATGGTAATTTAATTCTTCAGCTCAAGTTATTAAATTGTCTTATAGCATTTTGCAAAAATTTAGATATTTCTAATAACTTGGCTCAAACGGGTCTTGAAGGTCTGAATGAATTAATAGAAGGTATGTCAGATCTTTTAATATTTCATGATTACTTTCCCAAAAATAGCCACTGTATTAATGAGTTATCAAATTTGGCTATAATAATTTCAAGAATGAATGATTACTTAATCAATAATTCACCAGAAATTACCTCATTCTTACAAAAGAAAGGGGATTACAGTATTTCAAGAATAATTACTATTGCAGTTATATTATTATTTATTAATATTGGTGATAATAGATATATTAAATTGCATACAATTAATGGTGATGTTATTAGAAGATTTAGAACAGTAAGGATAGAGAATAGACACTTTGAGGTTGTTTTATATTCATCAATTATTCTTTTAAGGAGAATGATACCATTAACTTTGATAGGAAGCGAGAATTCTTTTGTAAATAATCTTGGCCCTTCTTCTAATATTGGATCCAAAAATCAAACTCAAACACAAAATCTATTAATTCAAAAAATATTTAACTTAATTAAGGAGCTTACAATCCTTTTCCCAGAGCTTTCTCACCCAAACATTTTATTTATCATTAATAAAATTGTTGAAGTTCAATATGGAGTCTCTTCCAATACCAAGAAAAGTGTTCAAGCAAAATCTGCCCATAAAAGAAAATCCAAAAAAAAAAATAAACATTTAGAAGAAGACAATGATGAAGATGAAGAAAATGATGATGAAAGGGAAGAAGTATTAATGGAAATAGGAGAGGAAGATGAAAAAACAGACGAGTTTAAGAGTGATCAAGAAATTGAACATTTTGGAGGTGTTTTAGTTTTGGAAAGACTCAAGAAAAGAATTTCGGAATTAAAAAACGAGGAGTTTTATTACATTGACAATTTAATTATTAAGAGTTTCTTTGATGATGGATGTTCTGAAAATGAAATTTTTTTCAATGATCCAATTTTAGGATACATTTTTTCAATCTATTTATTATTAAGTGAAAAATCAGAAGCAAGACAAAATATCTTGGATCAGCTACATAATGGGTTAATTCCAGCTTTAGTTGAGGTAACTGAGACAAAAAATTCAACAAAGATGTTGTTATTTGATATTTTAAAACAGACTCTATTCAACTCTGACGAAAATCCTATTGGAGGTATTAAAGAGGTAAATTCTTTTATTTCATTTTTGTCCAATCACAGAATCGAATATAATATAAATACAATAAAAGAAGTTAATCACGAGATTACCCAGAAAATCAGTGCATTTCCATTCAAGTTTCCTCAATTATTATACAGAAGAATTATTTCAATTCTCCCAATTATGTTCCATTCTTCAAAACCAAATTATAGAATTATTGCTATTGACATAACTGGATATATATTACAGCTTCGTTCTTCCATTGAATTATTATCTGTTTTCATTCAAAATATTTCATCTAAATTGAATTTAAGTGAATTAAACTCTGGAAAATTTAAACTTAACATGATTGAAAAACAAATGAACATATTTGGTAAAATGCTTTCAGTTGTTTTTGAAATTTTCCAAGATAACAGTAATTTAGTTGCTGGAGATCAATTACAATCTCCAAATAATACTCGAAATCATGGTGATTTAGATTTGAGAGCTGAATTAGCAATCACTAATTCTTCAAGGCGCAATAGCAGTGCTAGACAAAGTATTGAGTGGTCTGGAATAACCATGTATAACCAACAAACAAACTTCACAACAATTCTCAACTTTGCTCAAGGAGAAATGGCTATTCAACTTTATAATTTAATCATTTTCCTATTAGAAAGAAATAGGGATATTTCCCCAAATATTAGAATAAAATCAGTAACAATGCTTTCAGTAATCATTTCTTCAGCTTGTGAAATTTATCAAAAACTAAGTGAAGAAAACGCTAAGGTTTCTACTGAAGGACTTTCCATTTTATTTGGAGATTTTACAAGTAAAAATACTTTTAATGAAAATATTTGTCACTATTCAAAATACAATTATGCATTAATTCCTTTAATTCAGTTAATTCTGGACTTTATTTCAGATGAAAAAGCAATTTGTAGAAAAGGATCTCTTATATTATGGGATGCCTTATTTTTATACTTAAAGTTAAAAGGAGCTCAAATTCCAATTCTCAAAAAAACACTGCTAATTCTTTTTAAAAGCACATTAACTGATTCTTCTATTCTTGTTAGAAGACATTCAATTCAAAGTTTACATAATTTATATATTCATTCTCCACAATTAAAATGGGTATCTAATATTTGGATCAATTATGGATTACCTACTATTATGGATAGTGAGAACTTTTTGGTAGACAAAACTACAGAAATATGCTATAATATGTTATTAGAGCAAATGAAAAAGCTAACAGAATTTATTAAAGGATATGATACAATTAAGGGTAACATTAATGATTATATTAAAGAAATAAAACAAGAATACCTATTTTCTTGGGTTTCTTTAAAAAGCCATAAGGAAAATCAAGTACAAATAATTAATTTGTACAGGATTTGTATTAGAAATATATTAAGAAAATATCCTTTGGTTTTGCAACCTTTAATCCAGTTTTTAAATATATTTATCGAATTCTTTACCCAAGTCTTACAATCTATTATTATGGAAAAACAGAAACATGAACAGAACAAAACTAAAAATATGTTTGAATTCCCAGATTTACCTTTTGTAATAATGGAAGAATTGTACATTTACTTGAACCAAAATAATATAAACCAGACAAATAAAGACAATATCTTTGCAATGACTCAAAAGATATATGATATTTTAACAGAGTATATAGTAGGGGAAGAAGAAAACAACACGATTATAAGTATGATAATCCCAGAAAACAATTTATTAACAATATCAAACTCTTTGTTTGATATTTTTAAATTTTACTTAACTACATACTTTAATAATAGACAAAGTAATAACATACTTTTAAGTCCAGAACAAGTAAAACTGATTTCTTTATATGAAAAGATCATATTTATGAAACCCGAATTCTATTCAAGATTGACAAAAACCTTGGTAATTTATCAGTATCCATCTCAGTTATCATTATCTAATGAGAAGAACCAGTTATTGAAAAAAATCATTTCCTCATCATCTCTTTCCACCATTATTTATATATTATATTTATGGGACGAATTAAATACTGAAAATGAATCAAAAAAGAAAACTAAACAAACTAATTTAACAGATATTGTCAATTCTATATTTAAGTTAACAGGTATTTCTCAAAATGAAATTAAATCACAGTACAAGAATTGTTTTGTTCCTAATATTAAAGGTGAGATGAAATGTATTGAAGTTATTTATTTAAGTTCAATCATTTTACTTTCAAGCCAAATTAAAGGTTTAAACCAGGAAATGCTTAATATAAGAATTTTAGGAGAATTATTTCTTCTTAATTATTCAATTACAAATATAAATATGAATAATTCAAAGAAATCAAGTATAATTTCAATTCCAAATTCAATTGATTCAAACAATATTGAAAGTTTGGTACCTTATTTGGAGGAATTATATAAAAGATATAAAGTAATGTTACATGAAAAAGGGAATAGACAAATATCAATTAACTTGGAATCATCTTTGTGTATTTTAATTTTAGCTCTTGGACAAGCAAGCTATTCTACTAGTAGCATAGCAAAAAGAATAATTATACAGTACATGATTCCAGAACTACAAGACCCAAATATTCATCTTTCTATAAGAAATAATATCTTAATAATACTTCATGATCTATATATTCTACATACAGCCTTAGTTGATCCTCATTTAATAAGTATGTTTAATATAATAGTTAAAGAAAGAAAGAAGGGAAATGAAGAATCTAAAGATAAAAACTTAATACTTAGGAAACAGTCACTTTTATTACTCTCTGATTTAATTGGACAAGGTTATATTAAGTTAAGAGGATCATATTTACTTAGACTACTTCATTCTTTAGTAGATAGAGATAATAATATCAGAAACATTGCACATGGTATATTTGAAAGAATTCTATTAAAGACCAATGTATCCATTTTGGTACAAAATTTTGTGGAGATTTTATGCTATTTAAACAATTGGTTAGATCACCCAAGCATTAAATCTTGGAATTTAAGAGAAAAAACAATTCCCACAAAACAATACTCTGCCTCAACAGAAGACTTTGACCAAAACGAAAAACAATATATATTAAAATTTGTATTTGATCATTTAAGTGATAAACAAAAACATGAAACTATTACAAGGATTGTAAATGATTTTCTTGCTTTATTTATTGATCAAAGTAGTGTAGTAACTTTACCAGAATCTTATGAGCATAATAATGGAAAAACTTTGAAAGATGCTCTAAGTTTACTATATTCACCAGATTTATGTATATATCACAAATATTCAAAAAGGTCTTATACTGGAACTGGTGGTAATCATCTTACAGGAAAGTCTTCATCCAAATTAGAAATTGAAAGTTATTCTATTGAAAATAATCACTTAAATATCACAAATACTTCAGAATCAGGATTTGGAAAAGAGACCGATACTTGTGATGGAAATAAAACAACAACAACAAATGTATTAAAAGAGTTAATTCAAGCCAGTTTGGCTATTGAAATTATTCCTACTTTATTATCTCTCAAACATTTGATGAAACAATCATGTTCTCCATTTATTAAAGATATTCACAAATGTATTGGAGAACTTTTGAAAGATTATAGAAATAACCTTTCTAGTATCATCCAAGATACAACTTTAATTAAAGAATTGGAATATGATTTTAAGATGGGATATATATAAATTTAAGTTTTTCCATTTTATTAATATTTATTTTATTATATACCTTTATCAAAATAAATATGGAGTTGATTAAAAATATGATTTATAAAAAAGGTACCAAAGATGTCAAATAATACAAGGAATATTATAGTTAATTGATGGTATTTGTTTTGTAAAGTTACTAATGAAAATAAAATATTTAAATGTGGAAATATTCCCATTATTGAAGTAATTAAGAAAGAAATAATTAATGCTGAAATATAAATAAGGTATTTATTTTTCGATAATGGAGTAGTAAATGGGTAACCTTGAGCATTTGAAAGAAAACAAGCTAAATGACAAGCTGTATATAAATAATACATTGTTGTATTGATAATATTTGGTTCAAAAGGTCCATCCATATTTTTAGAATAATCTAATGGCATAAATGAATGTGAAATCTTCCATCCAAAATAAATTACAAATAAGTGAATTAGAGCTTGAAATATAAATGAAAGGAATACCATAGGACTGAATATGCTATTTGGTGGTTTTTGTGGAACAAGTTGTTTAGCTGGTTTATTTTTTAATACTAAAAAGAATAAACCACTCATAAATATGGATTCTACAGTAGTTTGAAAATCCCCAAATTTTACACCATCATAAGCTAATACACTCATTGCAAAAGCAGATACTATACTATTTAATCCCATTAATTTATACATTAATAATACAGTAATTAAAGTTGATCTTCCATATCTAACAAGCTTAATAATACAATTGGGAGATTCTCCTTTATAAGTAAATGGTGAAGCAATAGAAGCATCTCCAAGTTTTACTTTTGGCATTTCATCCATTCCTTGTAACTCTTTCATAATTTCTTGTTGGATTTGAGCTTTGGTAAGTTTTTCTCCACGTTTAATTCTGGTTTCAATATCTTTTTTAATTTCAAAAAAGTTGGATTTTTTCTTCTTATTATTTGTTTGGCAATTATTATCTTTAATAGAATCAGATGATTCATTTGAAAGAAGAGAAATACCAACATGAGAATGTTTTAAAGCACCAACATCATTTGTACCATCTCCACACATTAAAGTCATTTTACCCATATTATTATAAAGATTAATAAGAGATTGCTTATTTTTTGGAGACATTCTTGCATATATTCTTGTAAATAAGAGAAATTTTTCAAGTATTTTGGTTTTTTTAAAATCTTCAATAAAAGATTGAAAAACTATACCAGTTATACCTATATTAAATTCATCATTAATATGAATAAGATGATTTAAGTTGTTATCAAATTTTTTAAATACAGTACCATTTGAATATTTCCATAAATAATTATCATTAATATTATTAGATATTTCATCATCAGATTTTGATAATATAAGAATATCCTTATTATTGTTAGTTATGGATACATTTTTTGCAACATGGAAAGCTGTTAAGATATTATCTCCAGTAATCATAATACACTGATGTTTACTTTGGTTAAGTTCTTCAATAACAGATTTGGAATGTTTCTTGATTGGACAATATAATGCAAGAAAACCACAAAATGTTAACTCACTTTCAAAGAATTCTCTTTTTAAATGATGATTATTAACATCATTAATAGAACAGTATTTTGAACCAAGTGCTAATATACGATAACCTTTTTTAGTACATTCATGAACTACATTCTTATAAAGGTTTTGGTTGAATCCATCTTTTTTATAGAATTGAAGCATCATTTCTGGACTACCTTTGGATATTACTACTCCATAAGTATTTTTATTTGGTTTTGAAAGATTTGAGTGGAATGTTTGAGAAGAAGAAGAAGAAGAAGAAGAAAAAGCACGAGATATAGGTGAAGCTTGGCTTCCTGAAGAAACCTGTAAAATTCCAATATTAGTCATTCTTTGCTCTTCTGGTGAAAATGGATATCTTCTAATTATAGAAAATGTTGAATTGTCTTTCAAGCATTGGTAATTATTTTCAGATGAATGATGAATTCTCCAAGAAGATTTCTTTTTAATAGATTTTTCCATAGGATCTCCAACAAGAGTTTTACCATTTAGAGAAAGTCCATTACAGCATCCCATAATAAGATCAGATAAATATGGTAATTCTGGTGAAAGAGAAGAAGAAGTAGAGGATAATTTTTCATTATCATTGCTACTATTATTCTGAAAAGTAATATAAGATGCCTCATCATTATTATATAAATTAATTCCAAATAATCCATGTGGAATCATTTTATCACTAGTTAAAGTACCAGTTTTATCAAAAGCACAGATTCTAAGCTTCCCAGCAAATGGAATTCTAAATGGTTCAGTACAGTAAATCTTTTTTTTAGTTAGTTGAACTACTGCCATAGTAACAGCTACTGAAAGTGTGATAGGAAATTCTGGTGGAATTACTGAGGTGATAATATGAATACACGAGATAATTAATTTAAACTTATTTCTTGAAGGATCATTAATCCCATTATAAAGAATATAAGAGGATGCCATTAATGAACAGAAAATTAATATTAGTAAAAAAATAAGTGATTCAAAGCTGTTGGATGAAATTTTTTCAGCTGATGATGAGATTGTTCTAATAAGTTTTCCCTGATAAGTATTAAAACCAGTTCGAAGAACATATCCAATACATATCATATTGTCATTATCATATTTAATATAAGATATAGAATTCTTATTATTACTTTCATATGAATAATTAATTTGTTGATGATGATTATGATAAGAATTTAAATGATCAGCAGAATAACTATGATATTCACTTGAAATCTTTTTAATAATGGATTTAAACTCTTTATTTTCAGTTACTACTGAAGATCTTGTAAGAATTATATTGGTACCTGCAAATACTACATGGTTTTTAAATCCTTCAATACAAAAAGTTTTTTCATCAATTTTATTTTGTTCCTTATTTTCATCAATATTCATAGATACCTTCATTTTTGGAGTACATTCACCAGTAAGCATTGCTTCATTAACAGTAATACTACCAGATAATAATACAAAATCACAAGGAGCAATAGAAGTTGCATCATCTTGACTGTTTTCTTCTTCATTAATAGTTTTGGAAGGATGAGAGTTATTGCAACAAGAAATAGCAATAATATCTCCAGGTAATAAATGATCAGTATTAATGTATTTCCAAGTATGCTCCCTATATACAAAAATAAAACATGATGGTCTTCTCATATTTCTAAGTTCATCAGACTCTTTTAATCTTCTAAATACCATTTGAGCTTCTAAAGTACATAACATAAATAAAGTAAATAAACTCATTTGCCAATATTCATCAAGAATCCAAAGTAATATACAGAAAATTTGAAATAAGAAGAAAGGAGATATAATTTGTTGAATAAATAAATCAAGAAATTTTTCTCTGGGTATTTCATAGTTATTAATTCCATATATATTATTATGATATATAATCTGATTCATATTCAATCCTCCTTCATGAGTAAATTTATTAAAATATGATTTAATTGGGAGATTAATAGGATAACTAGCTTTAACAAAAGTTTCTTTTGATTGATCATATATAAATATTTTCTTTTCAAAGTTAATTAATTTAATCCAATGTATATTTGAAGAAGAATTGGATGATTTATTTAAATTGGCCTTATCAGTATTTAAAGCTTGGTGATTATTATTTTTTAATAGAATTTTTTCAAGCTCCAATTTATACTTATAGTAATCAGCTGCATCTAATTGCATTATAAAAGATCCATTCATATTTATAATAGAACATGATTTAATTTTTGTTAAAGCATTAAAGTCTTTAAGTTTTCCAACATGTTCTATACATGTAGAATATTTTAAAGGACAAAGTTCACTTGGGTATTTGGAACTTTTTACCATAATATGGGTAGTTTTTGGATTCAAGCTTGAAGATTGATGTGATTTCTTTTTAATTTTGTTGAAAGAAATAATACTTTTAAAGTTTAAATTCCATTGAGTCATAAGAAAAGTTAATAAGTTAATCAAAATTGTGACAAATAGTGCAATCAAATATCTAATTGGAACATTATCAATAATAAGTTGTAATTCCTCGCTTATATTCATATCGTCCAATTCTGAATTATTTAAAACTTGTTCATTTGGTACCACTACTGTTGTATTCAAACTATTAATATTTTGAATAAAATTCACTAAATAAATGAATGAATCAAAAATATCTTTATAGGAAATTTTCTCACTTAATTTGAAGATTTCTCCAATTAGGATTGAAATCAGAGCTAAGTATATGGTAATGAATGGGAAAACATCCAACCTGAAAATGATATTCAGTTTTTTATATTCGGTAAAGGTGTATTTTGACATATTTCAACCGTTTACTTTTTTTTTGAATAATATTTCAAATTTTTAATAAAATTAATTGACTTTTTTCTATTAGTATTCCCTTAAAATTTATTTCACTTATTACAATTGAATAAAAATATAGGCAAAATAAAGTTTGTGTGTGTTAGTTTATATCCAAAAATAAATATTTATATATATGTATTTATTAGACAAAAATTTTATCAATTACTTTATTAAGAGTTTCATAAAAATGAACTCTATTCTAATTGTCAATAAAAATTAAATAATCTTTTTTTTCATGATCAAAAATATTTAGGTATCGGCCCGCCTTTTTATTTAGTATTGACTTCTACCGCCACGTTCTCTACACCACCCCTCCACCCCCCATTCATTTTTTTAGTAATTAAAAATAAAAATTCTGAGAAAAAAACCCATAAATAATTACCGATTTTAATTTTTGAATTATTCTTATAAAAATTATTATATCGAATATCTTATTAGCTTAATATTTATTTTAGAAATAACTCATTTCAATTTAATCAAAAAATTGCAAAAATTCTTATTGTGCTACCTATAATTTGTCCACATAAATGCATGCATGCACCTATTGTTAAAAAACACGTAATGTAAAATATTAAGTTGGGGGGCAGAGGGGTGATAGTACATGTGGAAAGATAGATAGGTGATATGTGAACTGCATGCAAAGAAAGCGGAAAAAGAATATTTAGAAAGTAAATCTCGAAATAGAGAAAATAGTAAATAATGATAATTAGTTGGAAGAAATGGGATGAAAAAGTTATAAATAAAAAATGAGTACAAAATAAAATTGGAATAAATTAGAAAGTTGTCAAATTTGACATAAATTTGGAAGTAATTTACAGTAAGGAATAAAAAGTAAACAGTTTGTAAACTTTTAATATCAAGATGATGAATACTAGTCATATATTTAAGCTATCTATATTTTACTTTTTTTTGAGTTTAATTTTGGATTTTGGTAAAGTTAGTTGTATTCCTGGAGGAGTTTCGTCTTCATTACCACAACAAGGATCCTCATTTCAGCCAAGCTCTGGTAACATGGATTCATTTAGGAATAGAGCACAAAATATTTCAAAAAGAGTTGTTGATCCATTAATGAATAGAGGAGATAGAAGTTCACAGAACATAAATACTCTTTCATACCCTAATGATCAAAGAGTTGAAACTAAATCGTTTAACTTTGGTGGTATTCCAATATTTGGAGGACCAAGAATGGAGAATAGAAACTATTTAAGTCTTCCTTTCACAAGAGATGGACATTGTGAAAAAGGTACAATTTATAATATTACAAGTGTTGATGATTTAACACAAAATAGTCGTGATTTAATGTGTATTATGGAAGTTGGTTTACAACCTGATAAAATTCCAACTGGTATGATGTATGGTACAATGTTAGATTTATTAACTGATACAAGAGATATTGATATGAGAGGTATTGAGAAATTTTGGGGAGGTAAATTTGGTGCAAAGGGTGTTTGTAATAGAGTTCAAGATGAAGTTGTTTTTGGATATAATATGGTTAAGGGTAAATTTGCTGTTCCCTCTGTTATGTATCTTAATAGTTTACCACAACATTGTAGTATGTCACCTGCAGAACATCAAGACAATTCTCAATCACTTATTTTGGATTATATGATTGACAAGAACCAGGTATGCAGAGCAGAGACTTACACTAATGGTCCATTCTTTTCTAAGTCTGAACATTTGAATGTTTGTGCTATTGTCAAGGCTGTTGGTCGTCAACCAGATGGTGGACTTATTTTACTTGGTAGAGCATTAAGCTATCCATCTTTAAAACCAAATGTTAATCCAACTGGATTAATTACAGTCTTATTCTTTGCTGTGGTTACTTATGACAATGTATTGCCAGAATTTATCCCAGGTACACCTTTAGAACCATTGCCAGCCTCTTTTGACTACAGACTCATTGGTATTGAAAAAGATAACAACTCTTTCTTCCCAGCTTTTGGAATTTTTAATAAGGGAGAGGCCTTGTCTTTAAATAACTTTACAAACAAATTTGGTCCACCAATTCCCACATCAACCTCAACTACCACAACAACTTCCACCACAACATCTACAACAACCTCTACAACAACCCCTACTACAACTTCTACAACAACCACCACCACAACAACTACAACTACTACAACAACTACCACCACAACAACTACAACTACTACAACAACAACTACTACTACTACTGAAACTACTACAACTACTCTTGATTCCGCAGAAGCCCAAAATTTAAACTCTAGAAGATTAATGATAAGATCATAAACTAAATATTACATGCCATTAAAACATGTATTTAATATTCAAATCATACAATAAATATTTATAGTTTAAATTTGGCGGGAAATCTTTGACACGTCATTATTAGTAAATGGAAGTTCTAAATAACAATAATTTAGAATAGCAAGTTGATTTAAATTACTAAAGAAACATAAATAACAAATTTTTATTAGAACGAAAATGTTTATAAACTGAATGTATATAGGACAGGATATATGAGCATTTTGTTTATTAATTTGGAACAAATTAGTATCCAAAGTAAAAGTGCTCTTTTCTCCATATTAATATTTATGTGTCATTTCTCTCTCTTTTTCTTCTTTCTTACAGTGTTTGTGTACCGTTTTGAATTACATCTTCTAGTGGACATTTATTAAAAAAATCAAGTGATTCTAAACAAATTGGTTTATATTATTACTTATCTAACATACACATGCTAACATTACCGTCAAAAGAACTATACTAAGATAAGTGGGTAACAAACTAAGTTTTTAATTTGGATATTTTTCTATTAAAAGTGAGAATTTTTATTTAATTAGAAATCTTGAGATGTTGAGAATTGGTTATTAGAAATCTCTTGGTAAGTCTTATAGTGAGCGGCCTTAAGAGTTTGTGTAAGAGTCTGCCTAGCAATAGCTTCTTCTTGAGAAGGAGCCGGAAATTCATTAACAATATTTGTAAATGGGTTGGAAACATTGAATTGTCTTGGGTATTTCAAATCCACGAGTATTTCGTCAGCATTATATAAAATAAAAGCAACAATATCTTCTCTTTCAAGCTGGAGAACTTGTGGATCTACAACTGAAAATATGAAATTCTTCTCTAACATAATGGCCTGTTCTAGTAAGGTAACTACTTGATCATTACTTGGTTTAGTTTTCATAGATTTTGCAATATTCAAACAAAATTCAACTTGGTACTGCTCATCTCTACGAATTCTATCCAAACCATCACAAAGTTGAGTAGGTAACTCAGATTCTGGTCTATTTCCCATTGAGAATGAAAATCTAAGTAAGTGTATACTACACGAAAATATCTTCTTAATTATTGAGTAATACACCAGTTTTTCACTAAATAAGGTATCCTCATCAAAAAAGTTACCCATCAATTCCTTCATTTTGGTAAAATCTTCCAACTCATTAAGTTTCTTCTCCAAGTTATATCCATATTCCTCTTTTAAAACAATATTATCCAGATTCTGGCCACTAACATTTTCTTCATCTTTACTCTTTTCTTCAATCTTTTCTTTCTTTGTTATGTTTTGACGTATCATTTCAATGTAATTCATAAATAGTTCTTTATATATATTCTCCATACACATTGTAAATGAAAAATAACCTCTTGCTTCTGGTACCTGTACTTGTCCTAATAATTCACATGTTAACATAACAGTATCTAAACAAGTATCATCAATATAGATACGTTTTGCAAAAATCATTTCAATGTAATTAATGAGCTTCTCATCCAAGTTTTCTAATTTGGCCTTATCTTCCATTGGAGATATAACTTCTGCTGTCCAAAACGATACCTCGTATTTTTTATATAAACTCCACAGTCTGTTATATTTTATTGGAAATAATACCCATCTAAAAGGATTATCTAATAAGACTGACTCATTATTCTGCTGTTCTAGTAATTCCTTTCTTGATTGATTCATTTTCTTATTAATTAGTTTTTCTAATTTATATTTCTCACAACTTTGTTCTTTATACCTTTTTTTTTTAAAAAAACTGGAGTTATTACTATTTAAAATGTGCAATTTCAATACGTAATTGGATTTACTTTATTTTCAAATATTATAATTTAATTATTTATAAAAAAAAATTAATATTGTACTCAATTATAATAAATAAATTATCTATTTCTACTTAATTAATGAATTAATATTTTTGTGTGCAATTTTTTTTTTGTATACCGGTATCTAGACGGCGTCTCGTACTTGAAAGTACTGAATGAAAATTTTCTCCTTTTTTATATTAATAAAAAAATGAAAATATTAATTCAAGTAAAATAAGTAATAGACCCCGTTTCACTTCTTTTCTAACAGAAAAGTCACGGCCGTAAATTTGACCATTATTTTTATTTTGCTTAGTAACTATTACTCTTTTCATTAATACTGTAGTTTTCTACTTCCTAAGCCTTTATTCTCTACTTTTATAAACATAAACTAATACATATTATTTATAATCATACATGTATTTCTACTCACTATAATTTCTTTAATCTCCCTACTACCCCACTTTTTTTCCCCCCTCCCCCCATCATTTATTTTATTATTACTATTATAATATATATATATATTATATATATATCGGTACCTTTTTTAACACGTCATTAGGCGCCAAACAATTTATTTAAAATAAATTTCTGGTAAATCAATAAATTATAAAATAATTTGCACAATAGACAAAAATATTCATAATTGGAATGTTTTTGTTAATCGAGTTTTTATATTCAAACAATATTCAGAATTAAAAACATATCAAATATACAAATATCATTAATAAAGTAATTAACTAAAGAAACTTAAGGTTGAGAGAAAGAGTAACAGAAAAAGAAAGATGACAGGAGAAAATAATGAAAAGAAGGTAGTTATAATGAATGAAGAAGAAATTGAAAAGCTAGTCAATGAAGTCAAAGTTAATGAAAAACATGAACCTATTCTGAGAAATGAAAGAAAAGATAGAAATGATATGAGAGATTTAATTAAAGATATTTGGTTTATGTATAAAAAAGCAGAAGCATCGTTTTGGGTTACTGAAGAGATTGACTTAAGTCAAGATACTAGAGATTGGGAAAGTCTTAAAGACCCTGAGAGACATTTTATTAAATACGTCCTAGCTTTCTTTGCTGCTAGTGATGGTATTGTTATGGAAAACTTGGCTGTCAATTTCCTAAGAGAAATACATATCCCAGAAGCAAGAATGTATTATGCATTTCAAATGGCTATTGAGCAAATTCATAATGAAACATATTCCTTGTTAATTGACAGATATATTACTGAAATAAAAGAACGTCAAATGCTTTTTGAGGCTATTTCTCATATTTCTGCAGTTAAAAAGAAAGCAGAATGGGCAACTAAATGGATGAATAATGAAAGATCTTTTGCTGAGAGAATTATTGGATTCTGTGCTGTAGAAGGAATTCTTTTTTCTGGTAGCTTTTGTGCTATATTTTGGCTTAAAAAGCGTGGACTTATGCCTGGACTTACATTCTCTAATGAACTTATTAGCCGTGATGAAGGATTACATGCTGACTTTGCTTGCTTAATATACAAAGCTCTTAAATATAAACTACCAACTTCTAGAGTACAACAAATTATCTCAGAAGCTGTTGATGTAGAAAGAAACTTTCTTTGTGACTCACTTCCTGTTGATCTTATTGGAATGAACTCTAGACTTATGGCTCAATATATTGAATTTGTAGCTGATAGACTCCTTTTTGCTCTGGATATCCCCAAAATTTACAATGTTTCTAATCCCTTCGATTGGATGGATCTTATTTCACTCCAAGGTAAAACCAATTTCTTTGAAAAGAGAGTCGGAGAATATCAAATGGCTGGAGTTATGGTTAATCAAGATGACCAAAAGTTTGACTTAGATGCAGAATTCTAATTTAACCTTGTTACATTGTAAAACACTCAATTTTACTTTGTTATTCATAAAAGACTAAAAAAAAATAACCATATATAATTTTATTTCCAAATCAAGTCATCATTTTTCCTATACTAATTAGAAAGAAACCTTTTTTACAGGTTTTTGCTTTTGTGTGTAAATGATTTCAAAATATTAGTAAAAATAAAATAGTGGATGATAATTATTCACATAAATATTTAATTTGTAAATTTAAATATATTAATTAGTTAAATATTTATTAGTTTAATTTCATTACCATTATTTTAGTCCAATAAATAATTAATTAATGTTTTATTATGGATTTAATAATTTAAGTTCAGGCTCGTCATCATCGGAGAAAATGATAGAAGAAGCTCTTTTTTCTTTATTATCCTTTTCTTTATCTTCTTTTAATAATTCCCTTGGGAATTCAGGAATTTCCAATTTATTTAGTTCTTCAATTATATCACTTTCACTATTCTTTTTGTTTAAGTCCGAATTATTTATATGTTGACTATTTGAATTCATATTAATATTACTAGTATTACTATTATTGTTATTATTATTGCTTGAATGATCACTCTTTATATTTCTGGAATCATCATTTTTGCCTGCTCCAAAATTCTGGTTACTATCTTTAAATCCCCTAGAACGTTCTACTGAATTAATTTGAGTTTGATTAATATTATTGTATTTATTACCTTGAATCAAATTTACATTATCATTTGATATATTCATTTTTTGTAATAATTGAAGTTTTCTAAGTTGATTAGATTTTAAAGGATGTACAACCAATATTAATATTCTTATTGATTGAATATTATTTGGCCAACTATTAATATCTACTGATAAAGAAAATATTGATCTTTTGTCAGTTTCATTAGATAAAAAGTTACATTTAAACCAAACCTGTTGAGCTATCCATTTTGGTATATTACATGGAAAAGTTAATATTGCATATTTCATCCTATATTTAGCCGGTACCGTTGATAAAAATGATTCCCTCCATTTTAAAAATTCACATTTATTTTTATAATATTCACGAGTATATGGATCAGACATTTCCCATTTTCCTAATAACTTTAACCCCATTCTTAAAAATATCATATTATTATTTTCAGTATTCCATCTTGTACCTATAGTACGTGATTTTTGAAATCTTTGGATCTGTACAAATCTCATAATTTCATCATGAATACTTCTACAATATGAATCTAATTCAGTATCCATAATTATATTATTCTCTAAGAATTTTTTCTCTATACTTGAACGATGATTATCATTAATTTTTAAATTATCTTTTTGATGTTCATTAGAGTTATTATAATTATGATCTGACTTTTTTAATCCAAAAATCAATTTTGGAGATAATACACCACCAAGGTTCTTTTTAGATTGATTAACGTTATCTTCATTCCAATAATGATCAGTTCTACTTTGAAATAAATCACTTTGATTATGATCATAAATACCTCTTTCTTTGTGATTCTTTTTAACTTGATTATTTGTTGTGTCAGTTATAACATTTATTATTGGCCATGAAAAACATGCTGATATATTAGAACTACTTTGTGTAATAGGTAATTGATTAAATAATCCTTTACTTTCCATTTCTTGCTTAATTTTACTATTCATATATATATTATTAAAATGATCAATTTTTCTTGGAAAAAATGAAAACCATAATTTATTATCATTTAAATTATATGATAACTTTAATGGATCATTTATTTGTTGTATATTTGCATATATATTTTTATTATTTACTAATAAGTCCAATGTTCTATATGGTAGCTTATTGACTACTTTTAAACAGAAATTAGGTTTATATTGTATATTTCTATATTTATCTTTATAGTATTTTTGTTGAGAAAATAATGACTCTAATGCAGATTCATTTAATTGTTTTATATCATATCCCTCCTCTTTTAACCAATTTATAAACTCATCATGTTTTGACGGTTGAACAATATCATTAACTCTATAAACGACATGTTTGACAGTATCCCAAAATAATGCATAAAATTGTATAGGATTTTGTTGAAGATTGAATTGAGCTTTAATAGGATTAAATTCTTGATCACCACTGATTAGTTGTGTTGATTTACTAATACCTGAGATATTTTTAGGAGATGATATATTATTGAATTTTTGGCCAATATTAATAGATCTGGGAGATAATGATCTCATTTTACCCCTTGTTGCAATTATATTATTTTTTTCAGATCTATGATTTTTTCTATCACTGTTTTTCATAAATCCTGGTGATATTGATCTCATATTACTATGTTTTTTACTTCTTCCAAAATCGATACCTGATGTCTTAGTTCTACCCCTAGTACCATTACCTTCTTTATTAAATATATTTTCATCTTTATTATTATTGATATAGAAATTATCATTTTCATTCATAATATACTCATAATGTATTGTTACTGCCCATGAATATGGATCTCTATTCAATAGAGTACCACATGCCAAAAAAGCTACCCTATTCAACCCCAATAACAGACAAACCTGTAGTAATGTGTGATCAAATGGAGTACCTTGTCTTGATAATAAGAATAAGTCAGGAGTCCTCCAAATTCCATCATTACTACTTGGTATATATGGAAATGAATGAACAAAATGATGCACCTTTGAAGAATTATCTACGCCAGTCAACGGTTTTAATGGTTTTAAAAATGATGGAAGTAAGTGTCTTACTCCTCTGGAATCCAAACTATAATATGAATACTGTCTTCCCCAAGTTTCAAATGATTTGGTTACATATTCCCAATAAAATATATTAGACATTATTTTTGAATTCTTTAATGATGGGCCAATGCCTGACCATCCAACTATTTGGCTTAATCTATCAACCAAATATTTAGATACTTCAGCTTTAGTCTCATTGTTACCTAAAGATGATGATAAAATATTATACATTTTACTCAAATCTGGTTTTGTCCATATTTCTAAATACACTCTTGGTGGGGCGCCTCCATATCCAGAGGATTTTGATAAATTTGGTCTCTGACCCAAATTATATAATAAGGTACCATCTTGATATACTCTTGTTTCATATATGACTTCCTTTCCTAGATTACGATCATAAAATTTTCTGTATTCTTGGCGCCTTAGAACATTGGCGCCATTACATGCATTTCCAATATTGCCCATTATATTAGGGCTGGTAGCTTCAGATTTTAAAGGAGAGAGTTGATTCATTTTTAAATCTCCAAATCCAGAAAACTTATTTCCATTATAATTACTGCTTTTGATTAGAATATCTTTCCAATGAATTTCAGTCCATCCTAAATGTTGAGCCATTGAAGATTTGTTTTTTCTCCAAACGTCAATCATAATTGGGCCTTTTCTTTCCAAAAGTTTGACTAAAGAATGAGAATCAAGTTCACTTGGTTTTTTTTCATGATCAATATAATCTAAAATGAATGTAAGCTCAGTTTGAAAAAGCGGATGCAATGTACCCGAGACAACAGGTGTTTCTTTTCGATTACCATCAAAACTTAATTGAACATAAACATCCATAGAATCATCATTTTCAGTTTCTTGAAGAATATTGTTAACTTCATGTATATTTAAAATCAAATTGTCAATTCTAACAACCTTTATTATTAGATATAATTTATTTTCATCATCAATTTCTAAAATATTTCCTAATTGATGATATTTTGGTATATTTCCAAAATCAATTTTTCCCTCAAGAATACAAGTTTCTCCATCTGGAAGCTTAAGCTCGGTCTGAATATAAGGATAGTAAACAATATTTTTGAGGCTAAAAGTACAATTTACTTGTTTTAAAGATTTAAAAAAATGATTAACTTTGCCCGTTAAGTCAATCTCCAAATTAGCTTGTAAAGTATTTCTCTCTAATTCATGTATTGTTCCTCTAAAAGGGATCATTCCAATATTATCCCATCTAATGATATTATTTTCTTTTTCATAACACTTTGACCAACCTGAAGTACATTTAATAGGAAAAGGGTTATCTATCCCAAAAGATGGAAACTTAATATTTAACCTACAAGATGTTGATTGATTAGAGATTAGTTTACCCTTTTCATCATTATCCTGCTCGTCCCTTAAGTCAATTTTTATTGTATTTTGATCATTAATTGTGTTTTCATTACTATCTTGTTTATTTTTTTTTCCATCAGTGGTGTACTCAATTTCATGATCATGATCATAATTAATATGATTGTTTTTCGGCTCAGAATGACTAGAATTCTCACCAGTATTGACATTTCTTAAAGAGAATTGAGATAAGCTCAGTTGAAAATCATATATTTCTTGAAATATAATTTGTAATGTAATTCTGAATATAGGATTTGATATATTACTTTGGGTTCTCTTCGATAAGGTAATCATTTGATTAACACTTCCTGTTGCGTAATTCTTTAAGATATCTTCATTGTATCCTAATAAATCATTAACGGTACCTGAATTAGCTCTCCAAGCGATAATTCTAAATAATTCCCTTTCCATGTGTAAATAGCTTCCTCTCCATTCAAAAGTTTCATCCAATGAAATTTCTATTGAATTGTTATTTTTAAGGTCCATATAATCTTTACCTTCATCATCTGGTATGTCAATAAGTAATTCATCATTATTTTCAAGATAAAATGGCTTAATATCAACAGTATGCGTAAAAAACTCTTTACAAGGTGGGTATCCTAATAATCTTGGGACCTCTTGGCCAGTACTTTTGTTCAATAATCTAACTTCTGTCAATGTTCCTCCAAATGAAAATTCCAAAAATACGTTTTTCTGTTCAACTTTTGTTAAGTTTTCAATCTGTACTGATCGTATTGTAGTCCTAAATCTTCTCGGAGTTAACCATATCTGTTTTTCCATTTCGGAGTTCCCCCTATTGGTTACTTTTATATCTCTACTAAGTAGTTCTGTTAATCTCTTAAATTCTTGCTCTGTTACAACCCGATCTCTAAAATCTAAAATTGACTCATCGTCTGATGATATTTGACTCAAATCACTATTTGTTTCCTGATTTTCTTCATTTAAATTTTTCATTTTTACTCCCTTATCATCATCCACTTTTTTTGGTAACATAGAATCATCCAGATCATCACTATCGTTTATATCAGAACTTTCTCTATGACGATTATTGTTAGCTTTACCTCTATTCCTCTTAGAGCTACTATAAGATCTAGGATCGGTTTTTTCACGGATCTTGCTCACCATTTGCTTAGTTGCATGCTTTGCTGAACTAACCAGGTTAGATCCAACCATTCCCATCATTGATTTCATTGCTCCCACAGGATTCATCTTTATTTTTGTTATAATTTTTTTTAAACTCTCTTAAGTTTACGAGGGGTATGCGAATGTAAAGATTTCTCAAGATATATTCATAATCGCCACGTTTATTCATAAATATATGTATTTAATTAACAATTTAAAAAAAATGAAAAAATTTTTCTTTTTAGTCTAATTATATTTTTTTTTAATTTGATTCATGTTTACCTATAATCTGTATATTTTTATTTCTTGCCACGTAAGTGGCTTGGCGCCTTTTGCATTCCAGCGCCTTTCGCATGCAGACCGGTATATAATTGACACCACATGCAAGAAAGAAAAAAAATAACAATTTTTAAGTAATAGAAAATATTTGGGGGTGAATTTATTAAAATGAATTTGGTATTCTTAGATAGTAAAATCATTTTCAAACCTAAAATTTTAAATGAAAGAAAATTATTTAATGAATCATATAAAATATAATGCTAATTAATAATAATATTCGTTATCAAGTAAGATTAGAGTTCTGGCCAAGTTTACAAACAACAAATTTAATTATGTAAAATAATGAAAAAAAAAATAATTTTTGTATTTCTGGTTACTATTAAGTTAAGTTTATTTATTCAACAAATTTCAAGTTTTTTGTATTTATCCGAAAATTATGCTCAAGTGGACAACTACTACGGTTTGGAAAGGTTCAAAGTAAAAAGTAGTAATGCTAATGCTACGGAAACAGGTGAAAATAGTAATGATAATAATATTAATGAGGAAAATAGTAGAAAAGAACAAATAAGGGGAGATCAAAAGATCTTGAAAGAGGAAATTAATATTGAAAAAGTAAGTAATATTAGGTCCGAAAAAAGGACTGAGAATGTTTTAGAAAAAAGAAATTTAAATATAAGAGAAAAAGCAATAGAATCATCGAAAAATAAAAATAAAAAATTGGTATCTGAATATTGGAAAATATGTTCAACTATAAATAAAGAAAAAATCAATGAGAAAAGGTATTGGACACATTTGATTTTTATTCATGCAGACAATAACTTGGAGTCAATGTCTTTGGTGGATTTAGGTGAAATGACTAGCCCATTACAAACTCAGTCAGCTGACCATCTTCATTTGGTAGTATATATTGATAGGTGTAAAGATTATACGAACAAAGATGTATCAGCTCCGATAATATCATGTCCAGAAAGTGGATTAACAAATCCCAGAATAAAACAAGAACAAGTTCTACAAAACTTTACTGGTGCTTATATCTTATATAGATGGAGATTAACTCAAGAGTTAAGGGTACAATTTAGGAAAAAATTTGTATGGATTATATTAGAAGATTTGGGAGAGGTGGATTCGAATTCTTCAGAAATACTTTCAAGTTTCATTTCAACAAGTTTAGATAAATTTCCTTCGATATATTCAGCTTTAACTCTATGGAATCATGGTTCAGCATGGTCTGGCTTTGGTGATGATCATGATAATGCAGATGGTAATGGAATGTCTTTGAATGAAATGTATAGAGGTATAAAAGAAGGAATCATAAATAGTAAGGTTGGAGGAAAAGGTGGAGAAAATTTCTCATTTGAATTTAAATTTGATGTTCTTGGATTTGATGCATGCTTGATGATGCAATTTGATGTATTAGAAGTCATGAATTCACTGGCAAGTTATATATTAGCAAGTGAGGATAATGAACCAGGTCATGGTTGGAATTTTAGATCTTTAAATCCAGTAACAAAAAGAGGATCATCAGAGGATGAAGTTCAAATTTTTGAATCTAACAAGGTTCAAGAGTATAGAATTGCAACTCCCTTGGAATATGCTTCAAGAATAGTTTATGGATATACTCTTCATTCACAAAGTTATCCATTAACTTTATCACTTGTAAATACTGAGCTTTACAGGGTTTTTAGGTTTAATCTTTATAATCTATTTACTATATTATATAAATGTGGAGGAGAGAAAATCAGTGATATACTCAAGAAAACAATATTAAATTCAAAAAAAATTGAGAATTGTGACATGTCAAACTTATGTAGTTGTTATGATATGGGAGATATGCTTGAATTACTAAGAAGTTACTTATCTCAGGAATTTTCTTTAGACAATTCTATTCAAGAATTATTGGCATTAACTTTGGATTCATATTATAGTATGCAAATTGCAAGTGTAAATATTCAAGAATGTAAAGATCCTGAAAGTGAGTTTTACGGTAATTGTGACGGGAAATTACATAATAGTAGAGATTTAAACAAAAAGTATGGTATCAATATTTTAAATGAAAATGATAGTTCCTTTGAATCAACTCTAACAGGAATATCTATATATTACCCAGATCCTGATCAACAAGTATTATGTAGAAATGAAGCTGCTGCAAAAACACTAGCAAAGAAATATATAAAACAAACTAATAATAAATGGGTTCAAATAATTAGTGATATATTGATTAATAAACCAGGTCAAGTATGCAATTTAGGCTTGGAATATAAAGATAATGATTACTTTGGTAAATATAATATTGGAGAAGCTAAAGAAGATTTTGATTCTGAAATAAAAGTAAACAAAACTTTAATAAGTGTTATTACTGGAGAGAACTCAACTAATGAAATTTTGTTTACTTCAAGAATTGATCATCAAATAATATCATCACAGACTTTAATTACATATCCAATAAATCAAAATATTAATAACATGGTACCGATCTCACTTATTTTTCCAACAAGAATTAAATCAAATGGTAAAATTATGATAAATTATAAACATGTTGGATATGAAATATTTCAAAAGAGAAAAGAAGAAAATAAGATCAATGAAATATTTTCTAATATAACTTTAATAACTGATATGGAGAAGAACCATTTTACTGGCTATTTTCTATATTATAATAAAAAAGAAGAATTAGATAACGATGATAGTGGAGCTAATATTGCATATTTAGTATTTAATAAAACTTTAAATGGATCAAAGTTATTAATATCATCTTCTGAAGGTATGGTAGAAAAGAAAAAAGAAGAGGGAGGGTTTTTGGTACCTATTATATATTACTTAAAAATGGATTTAAGAAGAAATAAATATTTTGACGAGATTTATCAGCAGATGTGTAATTTATATTCAAAATTTTCAAATTACTTGAATGGATTAAGTTATCCATTAATAGGTATAAATATATTACCAAAATATGATGAAATCTCAATAAAATCAAAAAGAATTCAATTAATTACTTTAATACAAAAAGAGAAAGTTTTTCACTGGAATGGTGAAATAGAGTTAAGAGAAAAGAATTATGGAATGAGTCATAATTTAGAGGATACGGAAAAGAGAGTACTTATAAGTAGATACTCAATAACATCTGATGGATATGATGAGTTATCTATATTAGGTATTAAAATAGATATTGGAAATATATTGAAAAATTATTACTTTGATCAAGATTTGGGACAAATAAACACTGGAAAAGTATGCCATGAGGATTGGTTGGATGATGATATATGTGATATATTTTGTATTAATGATAGTAATGATTGTGAGAAAATATTGGAAACAGGGATTCAAAGTAAAAAAGGGAATGATGAAATTAAAAAGCAACATAAAAAAGTAATACCAAACTTTTTAGAAAGTTATTCAATGCATGTTGAATGTGATAATATGGATGGAAAAACATGTTGGAAGAATTCGAAATGTTTAAAGTCCAAAATTACTAATATGGGTAGTTTTCCCTCTTCTTCATATTTTATGAGAAGTATATTATCTGAAAAAGATAATGAAAAGCTAAAAAATTATCATACTCTATTTACAAATACAGTGAAAAATTATTGTATTTGTGATGAAGGATTTCAACATCAGGTAATAAGATTAATAGATAGTAAGACAGGAACCATATTTTTTAGGCATAGTTGTGAAGATATTAATGAATGTGAAGAACATAATAGACAATTTAAAATAGAGGAAAAAGAGCAGAGCCAAGGGGATATTTATATGGGTTACAATACAAACAATGCAATATATCCAACCTTAGAAAGAACAAGGGAGATTACTAATATTTTGAATTCTCCATTTTCATCAATAAGAAGACATGTAGTGACTCCTTCTGGGTTAAAAAGACCGTGCCATCCTCTTGCTTTATGTATAAATAAACTGGGAAGTTTTGACTGTGTTTGCAAGCCTGGATATTATGGTGATGGTAAAAAGACTTGTATCCAGGAAAATGTTTGTTTAAACAATTTTTTTGAAAATGATGTAAATTCGGATGGTTTAATGAATTTTTTTGGAAGGCCAGAGAGAGAAGATGAGATAAGCGATGGGGGAGAAGAAACAAAGCCAGGAAGAGAAAATAAAGAAGAAACACTGGGAAAGTTAAATGAGAAAAAAACACCAAGAAAAGCAAATGAGAAAGAAAAAGATGGAGAATCGAGTGGAGTGAAAAGTATCTCTTGTCCGAAGGGATTACAATGTCTGGTTCAAGACATGGGAGTAAATAATAAAGGCTTTGAAATTTATCAAAGCAGAATTAATGATAAAAATAAGGACTACTACCAAAATCAATATAATTTTAATAATAATCAAACAAATTCACTATTGTCTTTAATTTCAACAGAATTGAAAAATAGTTACAATCACTATTGTGGATGTAAAAAAGGTTACAAACTTTCATCATATGGAGATTTAGGATGCGTAGACGTGGATGAATGTGAGGAGAGAAATAATGGAAACTTATTGAATGATTGCGGTGAAGATTCAATATGTACAAATACAATTGGATCATATATATGTTCATGCCCTATTGGTTGGTTTGGAAATGGTTATATATGTATTCCTAAAGGAGAAAAAAGAGATATTGCCTTAAAGGTGGAATTATCTGGATTTTTTGAAAGAATCATGTTAATGGGTTATAATAACTTTATTAATTCATTTAAACAGTCAATAATTCAAGTTTTGGGAATAAATGAAGATGGAATTGAGATAGTAAATGTGAGTTTGGATCATTCATTGGGAATAATACAAGTTGTAACTCACTTTAAAAGTGAAATGAGAATTAGTCAGGAAACAAGAAGTAATCGAATATTAAAAGAAAGAGAAGAAGAAATAAAAGAAGATAAAGACGAGAATGAGTTTTTTAATTTAAAAAAAGCAGATGAATTTGCAAGTAAATTAAGAAATAATACTTCGGATTGGTATAAAAAGACTTATTTGGGAATCAGTTTTGGAGATATGGTTAATCCCAATAAAATTGAAATGAGAAAAGTGGATAAAAGAGAATTAATGGAGGGTAAAGGTACAATAAATAGGTTAATGAACACTCTAATACCAGATAAATTTTACATATTTATTAATTCTTCTCCATTTGGAAAGATTATTATGATTTTAATATTAATTACAATAATTATTTGGTTAACTTTGGGATTGCTGGGAATAATATTATTTTTCAAAATTATTAATGATAATAAAAGAAAAAAAATCATGTTGAGCTCTTCTTTAGAAAAGAAATATGAGAAAAACAATGATCTTGAGATGGAAGATCTTGATTTGAATAATTCAAGTGTGAATAAGATTAATACATTTAAATTGGAAAAAAAAGAAAAGATAGAATTATCTGAAGAAAGAGGAATTTCATAAATAAAAATAAAAGTAAAATTTAATTAATTAAAATAAATATATCTATTTATTAGAAAAAGAGATTACTTAATATTGGTGGGAATTTCCAATTTTCAGATAATTTTCCATTAAGTTTAGTCCAGTAAAATTCTGCTTCATCATCATTAGGAGGTACAAAAGATTCATTAATGGAAGAAAGTTTGTTATAAATATATTTTCTGGTATCTTTATTATGTTTAGCTTTTGCAATTCCAACAACAGAACCAATTTTGGGAATATTTTTAGCATAAACTGTATAATAAGATCTCATAAATAATGATCCAAGTAGATAAGAATGTCCATATTCTCCTGGAACATCAATCATCATAATCCCTGGTTTACATTTACCTTCTTCATTTGGTGTTAAATAAAGTTCTGGTGGGATTATAAGTTGGAATCCATCTTTGAATGTATAAGTAAAATTGGGAAAATGTTCAGTTATTTTGGGATCAATCTTTTTTGAATCTAAATGTATTTGTGAACAATCACCAAAAGGTTTATATTCTTGAATAAAATGTTTATATTCAAAATTTGGTAAAGTATAGAAAGAAGTGCCAGAATCAAAAATAACATATCCAGGAGTTCTATTTGTTTTATCAATACTCTTATTAAAAGTTCTGTAAATATATATATCCATAGGAGGATCTTCATAAGGTCCAAATTTATTATGTAAATGTTCATTTTCAAGATTTTCCCATTCATAAGCAAGTGATCCATAATCACAACAATATTTAGTGTCTCCAATATAAAGTGATTCAAGTTCAACTTGCCAGTAATGTTCTCTAATAACTGGAAGAATATGAAGATCATCATAAAATAGATTTTGGTCAATTCCACCAAGTAATAAAATAGCAGAAGGCTTTGAGAGTCTATCATTATTATTAATTGGTTTAATACGATAATCATTAATATATATAGAAAAAACATTATCTTGAATAAGATTATGATTTTTTAGTCTTTCAATTAAAGGAAGTTGTAATTTTTTTGATGAAGACATTTCAGTGAATCCAAGACCAAGAACTCCTTCAAGTTCAATAGCATCAAATATATCAATTTTACTATTATCAGTATTTTCAACTTCTTCAATAATTCCAATTACATGTTGATTAAGCTGAAAATTATCAAATTTAAGTGTTTCTAAAATTAATTTACCATAAATCTTACCAGTACCAAAAATTACTGAAATATTATCATATTTAGATATTCTTTTAAATGACTTTGAAATATATTTGGAATATCTTTTAACTTTTTGACAGCTTGACTGGTTACATTCATCTCCAATAACCCAAAGATTACTACTTCCTGTATCAATAATAGGCCAAAATTCTTGTTCAGGCTCTCCAATACGAATTCTACATACAAAAAGAGAATTTTTAATTTCAAATAATGGTATTGTTACATTTGTAAGATAAATATCATATGGTATTATTTCTCCATTAACATTCAATACATTAATGGTTTTATAAATTTGTTTATTATTTGAAAAATTATATATTTCTTTCAGTTTTGGGTTTATAAGAAAAGATTCTGAATCAGAGTAAACAAGTTTTGAACTATTTGAGTTATGAGTATTTTGGTAATCATCATTATACTCTTGGTAATGGTTTTCATCTTGATGATAATTTATATTTGAATCAGAATATGAATCGTAATCAGAATCAGAATTGTGTTCATTATCAATTTCAGTATCTTGGTAATCATAGTCACGGTATGATGATGACCATTTATATACATCTTCATTTGTAAAATTGCCAGAAATATCAAAAAGTTCATTATTTTCCATAAAACTTGTATGTTTAATATTATTTGAATAATATGTTGAAGGGATTCCACATTTTTTTATATTAAAAATAGTCAATAGCAATAAATAATTAATTATTAAGGTAATGGTACCCATATTATTAAACAAAAAAAAAGAATTGGAAGCAGTGAATAAGGATTTATGTAATGCTTTAAAAAGGGAAATAAAGAATTTGAGAATAAGAAATAGAAAAATAGAGAGAGAGTGAGTGAGTAAGTGGTGGGGAATTGCTCTCTACTTATCTCTCTTTTTCTAGCTTTAATTCTCTTTCTTTATTTGTTAATAAATATGAGAAATATATCAAAGTGGGGTTACTTTCAAATGAATAATTTTAATATACCATATTATATTACTATAAATGATTAAAAAAAACTTGTAAAAATCTTTATTACATAAGGTTCCAGATAAATATTTAAAGATGATAATAATAATAAAGCTTAAATTAATAATATAAATTATATATTACCAAAAATTGTATTTTTCTTATTAATAAAATAATGATAATAGACAAACTAAAAAAAAAATAATAATAAATAAAATCGAGGGTACCGGGAGTTTAATAAATTAATATTTAATTTTATTAAGTATAAAAATAAAAAAAAGAGATATATTATATTAAAATTAAAATTTGGGAACAAAATATCAAAGAATAATGAAATTTACAATTTAAAATAAGAAAGAAAAGAGAATTTTAACTGGGATTTTCCACGTTATATTTAAGACTATATTATTTACGAGATGAAGAAATTATACTCAAGAACTAATCATTATTTATATATATTAATATATAAATAAAATAAAATAGAAAAAAGATTAAAAAAAAATTCAATTTTTCCAAGTTTTGATTACAATAATATTACTTAAAATAATATTTAATAAAATTATAATATCGGTACCTATTATATATATATATATAATAGGTACCGATAATTATAATTATTAAGAAAAAAGATGTTAACCATGAATAATGCTAATAAAAGTACTAAAAAATGTGGTTATTTATCATACAAAATTAAAGATTATAGAATTGGTCAAACTTTAGGTATAGGATCATTTGGGAAAGTAAAGTTGGCAATTCATGAGCCAACTGAAAAAAAAGTTGCAGTTAAAATAATGAGCAAAGCAAAAATGAAAGCAATTAATATGTATGAGAAATCTATTAAAGAAATAAGTATTTTAAAAAGTATAATACATCCTCATATTATAAGATTATATGAGGTAATTGATACTCCTTCAGATATTTATATTATAATGGAATATGTAACAGGAGGAGAACTATTTGATTATATAATACAAAAAGGAAGGATATCAGAAGATGAATCAAGAAGATTGTTTCAACAAATTATTTCAGGAATGGAATATTGTTATATTAATAGAATATGTCATCGTGATTTAAAACCAGAAAATATATTATTAGATGAGAATAATAATATTAAGATTGGTGATTTTGGTTTATCTAGTTATATTTATGATGGGGATTTTTTAAATACATCTTGTGGATCACCAAATTATGCTGCACCAGAAGTAGTATCAGGTAAAGCATATACAGGACCAGAAATAGATGTATGGTCTTGTGGAGTAATATTATATGCATTATTATGTGGATCATTACCATTTGATGATGAAAATGTTGGTAATTTATTTAGAAAGATTAGACATGGAGCATTTAATTTACCTGGTCATATTTCTGATTTAGCAAAAGTTTTAATTGCTAAAATGTTAACAGTGGATCCATCTTTAAGAATTACATATAAGGAAATAAGATATAATACATGGTTTAGATATAATTTACCATTTTACTTAGAGCCTCAGTATTATCATTTACTATTATATAAATTATCACCTAAAATTCAAGAGAAATCAAGTAAAAAAAAAGAATTTAATTTAATCAAAAATCAAGAAAATAAATGTTTAGATAGTAATCAAAATACTAATAATAATAAGATAATGATAAGTAAGGTACTTTCAGATAATATTACTCAAGAAGGAGCATTATGGGCTCAAAAGCAGAGAAGGCATAACAAATTACACTCAATTTTTTCAAGGCAATTACAGAAAAAGATTGGTGTTTTATCTCAAATATTTTCAAATGCTTCTATTCGGGACTCTTCAAAAAAATCATCATTTTTATTTACTTCTAATTCTTCTTTTTCACGTTATAAGGCTGTACAAGATAATGGAAAGTCTAATATGAATTTTAACAGATTAGATAAATCAAGATATCATCCAGTATCTACTGCAGTAAGTAATTCAACTGTTTCAACTTCAGCTTCTACTATGATTAATATTCAGAAATCATCTTTTAATATGACCAATAACACTTATAATACTAATGTAATAAAAAGAAGTAATAGTAATAATAATAATAATAATAATAATAATAATGCTGGAGCAAGACAAAGCATTTTTAAAATGTTATATTTAAAAATAAACAAAACTTTAGTGGATGTGGAAAAAGGTAGAAGTGAATTAAATGTTATAAAGTACGAGAAAGGATTCCTTGACAAGGAGGAAACCAAAAACAATAAAAATTTGTTTAATGGGAACAGAAATGTTAGTATTAATAATTGTGATCATAATGGTAATTACACTAGTATAGGTACTAATAATAGTGATGATAACTACGGTAACATCTTGGTTAATTTTAGAATGGAAGAGAAGAATGAGGTCAAAAAAAAGCAGGAAAAGGGAGAGTATGAGAAAAAGAAAGAGTTAAAGAAATTAGAGAAACATGAAGAACTTGTTAATACCCATCTTTCAGATGAAATTAAGCAGGTCAGATTAAATGGTAGTGATAATGATAATTATAAGAGTGGGAGGTCTCTTGGAAATTATACAGAATATCAAAGTATACCTACAGAATCCAAAATGGTAGATGAAAAACAACAAACTTCTTACCGTTCTGAAAAGCTTGAGGAAAGTGAGGAGAATAACCAAAAAGTGAGAAGAGAAAGTAACGATGGATTTAAAAATATAGAAAATATAAATAGTGAAAGCAATTGTAGTGGTATTAACAGTAAAAGTAATAATGGGAGTTATAGTGACAGCAGGAGTGGTAGTAATAACAAAAGCAGTGGTAATATTATACCAATTAGCATTAAAATTTCATCAATTCCAATTAATACCTCTTCTTCTTCGTCCTCCTCATCCTCGTCCTCATCCTCATCCTCGTCCTCCTCGTCCTCCTCCTCCTCTTCTTCCTCTTCTGTATGCCAAAGCTCAGTAAACACAAATAATGGAGCAAATAGATGGCTCTTAGGATTTGAAGTTTCTGGAAACTTAGCAAGAATTATCAAAATAGTCCTATTCACATTAAAGTCTTCAAATTATGAATGGAAATTCATTTCATCACATAAGTTAAGATGCAGACCAAAAGCTTTTCCATCAATAACTAATTCCAATAATAGAAACAATCATTTATTTAGTTCAAAAATTAATTTTGATCAACATGAAAATAACAATGATTTACACAATAATTACCCATCAAAATTCAACATAAATAATATAAATGTAGAAAATATTCCTGCTGATAATGTTATCACTGTACAACTATTTAAAATTAATCCATTCAAATATCTCATTGATATACAAATTTATGATGGACCTTTAATTACAAATACTTTTCAAGCATTTAAACTAACAAGCCACATATACTATAATCTTACAAATAATTTTTATATTAATATTTTCTAGACTTTAAGCTTAGTACTTTTTGATATTGATAGATTTATAATTCCTGGTATTTATGTAAATATGCAACCATTTTCAAATAAATAACTTTATGTGTCATAAAATCATTGCTAAAATTCTTTTAATTTATTAAATGTAGAGTTCCCGCGCGCGGTAACTCAATTTATAATGCAAAAAAGCATGTGGTCAAAGTTATACTTGGCACACAGGAGAAACTAAATAAATTAAATAAATATATATTTTAGATTGTAAAATAGCATATATATATATATGTATATATAGTAGTAAATAAATGAGTAGATATAACAATATTAAATACAGATTTTTCTTCCCCAAATATATGAGTTAAAAAGAACTGGAGAGAAAAAAGAACAAAATTCTAGTAATGACTAAATCAGAAAGAAAGAGACTAAGAAAAACAAAACTAGTTAGATAAAAGTCATAAAAAAGTAAGTCAATAATTAATCAGGTTAATAGGTATAACTAATGTTAATTAAAGAGAGGGGAGTTAAAGGCAATATGTGGGAAGAACTATTTTGGCGGTAACTCAAAAGAATATTAAATATGTAAATATATAAGATGATAATAAAATGACAATGTTAATTTAAAAGTTAAACAACATAAAATTCCAGTTAAAATTGTTTGATAGATTATCCAAATACAAGAAATACCACAAAGTAAATCAATATATTCAAGTTATTTAATTAGTTCATTATTTTTAATTTCTTTCATTCATTTAATTATATTAATTTAACTTAAAATGAGCCAAGTATCAAAATTAGGGTATTTAGAAGTGGACGAAGAGACTTTAAATAAATATGAAAAAGAAGAAAAACTTGATATAAAACAGGAATTACTTGTGGAATCTCAATATATATATTTTAATTCAACAAATGAAGGAGATATACTTATATATAATAAACTAAGTAATGTATTATTCAGATTAAATTCTAATGAAATTTTTGAATATCAATTACCAAAATTATATGAGACAGAATTTTCTTGTAAACCATTATATCTAATTATGTATATTAATACTAAAGAAGAAACTAATAATTATATAATCTTTTTAGCTTATATTCAACAAGATGATATTAATAGTCAAAAATTATTAGTTTTCAGAGAAATTAATGTAGAGAAAGATGAAGATAATGGTAATCATTATAAATGGAATGAGATTGATTATATTGAAACTAAAATTCATATTGAAAATAACCAAATTTTAAGAGGAATTATTTGGTGGGAGGATTCACCTAATGATGAAGAATTTAAAGATCAATATCGAGTATTAAATAGTAATCAACAAAAAAATTCTTTTAATGGGGAATGTTATCCTTCAATTTTGATGATTACAAACCATAAATTAATACTTTTCTCTTTAAAAGAACATGGGATTCATCCAATATGGCAAATTAATGAGAATAATCTTCAACTTTGGTATAATATGGAATTTCAGTGTTTATTACTTCAAACTGGTACTAATATACTTACTCCTTTTATTAATATTGGAATGAATCCTAAACAAAAACCAATTAAACTTCAACCTCTGGAATTAATTTTAAATTCGGAAATCAGACAACAAGATATATTTCTTTTGAATGTTTATCAAAATCTTTATTGTGTTCATATTGATTATAGTAATAAAAGAATTTCACTTAGAGATTTATTTAATCAAGATTCTTCTGATCTTGTTTTGGATATTGGAGACACTTTTCAAGAATTTACTTTAATGGTAATTGATAATATAATTGTTGTAGTTAATCTTCATGGAAAGAAAATATTTGGACTTTTTGATATTAAACTTGTTAAGGATAATAATAACTCTTCAAAAAAAAATAAATTAAATTCTTCCCAAAATCAATCTGAAAATGGTAATAGTAGTAATTTATGTCATTATTATATTGTACCAACATTATTTAGTGATGAGTTTAATGATAATACAATAATATGTTTATATGAAAATAATAAGAATGAAATATACATGAAATCTTTGAAAAAGATTAAAAGTTACCATTTGAATAATTATTATATAATTCTTATAAACTCATCTTGTAATTTAGTAATTAAATTAGACCTTAATAAAATCCAATACTCAAGACTGGGTCTTTGTAGTAAATTATTAATTGATAACATAATTATTACCAAAAATAATATCAATACTGGTGTTAGTAATGATAAAAATAATGGTTATGATGATATAGTTAACATTGAAAAGATGGATATCTTACCTTTTATTTCGAATAGAAGTCTTTCATGGGATAATGTCCTTTTAGAAAAAATAAAATTACTTTTCAATAAAGAAAAGGAACATATAATGAATAAAGAAAATGACCATAATAATTATACCATTACTTATCCAAAAATCTTAACATTATTGATGGAAATAATAAAAGTTAAAATTGATTTGAAAATTAAGATTAGTCAAGAATATTATAGTATTCTTCTTGAGATAATTTTACTTATTAAGAGAGAATCCCTTTTACAATATGTACTTCAATATCATATAATTGAAGATTCAAATAAGATATTAAAAGAACTTTATAATATGTACTTGTTCAATAAAGATGAAGAGAAATTACCAAATGAAACAAATAGAGGTCATGTTAGATTTAACAGCAAAGTATTGGATGAGCATGATAATAATAATGTCCATCATCATTGTAATTATACTTCTAAATACTTCAAAATAAAGAATATATCTTGGTTAGAACAAATTTGCTTAGATACTGCTTATAGAATGAATAATATTAAGATCTTGGTTGATATTCTTATTTACAGAAAAGAATACAGAAGGGCCATTAAAATATTAAGGGAAAAATGTGAACAGAAAGTTATTGTTAATATCAATAATAAAGAAATATCCATAAAGAAGATAATTTTAACATTATCAAAAAATAATCAAGCTTGCAAATATCCAATTTATAATATATTATATACATTAGGAAATGATATTGAATATCAAAAAAATGACCAAAGTCTTCTTGGAGATATTATTAAAGAAATCCAAAATTGGATAAACGAATATTTTGATCAAGTAAATAAAATTAATGAAGTCATTTTAAATAATAGAACAGATTCCAATAGTATTGAAAAATACAATTTTTCTATTGTTGGAAAACCCAAAATAGATAAATGTAATATTTGGCTTCCAGAACTGATTAATTTAAAAGATTTGAATGAAAATGATGATGAAAATACAACAATTTCTGATTGTGAAGTTGAAAAGAATAACTCAAATAATAATGCCAATTATTCAACGTTTGAATCAATATATATATCAGCAACTGAATCAAATGAAGCATTTATCATTGCTGATAATGATGAAAAACAAAACAATAGTAGCTGTAATGAAGATACATTGAAAAGTATTTCTGATAGTGATTTTATAAATAATAATAATAATGGAAAATCACCACTTTTACATCATGAACCAGGATTTCTATCACTTTCTAGTATATATATCAAAAATTCATCTGACTCTTCATCTTACACTTCTGATTCGTCTTCTAGCTTTAATAGTTATGAATAAGTATGATTAATAGCCATAGTAATAATTATTTTAAATTAGAAATGAAAATTAAAGTAATATTAGAATGATGAGTTAAATGAATATTTCAAAAGTAAGAATTATTTTTACTTGACAATAATTATTGAATTGTGTGTAAATATATTATTATTTAAATTCAAATCGGTAATGGAGTGTTCTTATTGGATGAAAATGATAACTTGCTTGTTAGACCTGAATATAGATTGTTACTTATATAATTCAATGCACTATATCCACCAGGAAAATTTGTAATTAGAAATGAGATTAATGCAATAATTTGTACCAATGAAAACAATAATGTCAATAAGTAACTCTTCAAGAATAATGTTGCATATAATGTTAGTGATAAACTTGAAACATAAACAAATGAAAAAGGTAACCTTTCTTTTTCAACCATATATTTAGAAAACCCACCAAGTCCTTTTAATACTGCAAAACCTGCCATAAAAAAAAATGAACCAAATGTAAACAGGATTGCAAATTTATGAGGTGAAACCACAATTATTGGCAAAAACATAAATGATAGAGACAAGAACAATATTGACGTTCCCATGCATAACAAAAATGTTAGTATTTTTTGTGGATTCAAAGTTTCTGTTGTATCTTGAACTTTTTGTTGTGCTTTATAAATCACATTCTTAGCTGATTCTGTTGTTATTTTTGCTAGCATCATCTTTAATTAATATGCTTCAAATTTTTACTTAAGTAATCTTCTGCTTCTAGTAATATACTTTTACTCTATGTTTTTTGCTAAATAATTCACAAAAACTGCTATTAAATGTATTTCCATCCAATTGAAGGATTAAAACGTTAATCCTATAATGAATATAAATGAATGAATGAATTTATGTATGTATGTATGTATGTATATATATATATATATGTATATTTATATATATAAATCTAATAATTCATTTACTTTTCTTTTCACTTTTATTATTTATCTTGAATATTTCTAATTATTGGTTTTTTTTTAAAATAAATAATTAAATGTCACCCGCCTGGAATAAAAAAAATGGTTTGCCCGCCGTTTAATGTATAATATTAATAAATATTTGTATAAATAATATAAATGATCAATACAATATTTAATAATTTTTTTTTGTATATATTAAATTTGTTTTAATATATATAAATATAATGTAATATAAGTTTATCAATTTATTTATGCAATATTTATAATATTATCAATGTTTTCAATTCATTTCCATACAAAAATTTAATGCTCTTCTTTGTTTCTAGGATTCTGTGAATTATGTACTTGCAATGTGTCTGTTATAGTTTTAGTTTGAATGAAGTATAATTCGTATTTTTAAAAAATAAAAAAAAAAAAAAAAATCGAGTTGATTTTCTTAATTAGGCAATTTTAATTTGGCATTATAATTATTGCAATGATTACTGTTTCTTCTTCAAATAATTTATCTGCATACATTGTACACGTAATGCAATTTTAATTTTTATATACCGGTATGTCCACATAAAAAAATTATTTACATGTTTGCACACAAAAAATTATCACATGTATCAATGTTGCATAAAATTTAATAATGTCTAATAATAATGGATTAAATTAATTTTTGTTTAAGATGATATTTACAAAATAAAATGTATAACTTGGTATTATACTTCTTCCTTTGATTTACAGTATATTATTGCTAATATTATGAAGAGAAGCAAAGATATGAAAAATAATTTACATTAAATTTAAAAAAGAAATTAGAACATTAAACATGAAATTTAATTTATTCATGGTATTACTTGGTTTAATTATATTGTAATTATATTGTAATTATACAGGAAAAAAAAAAAATTGTCAAGGATTAAAATGATGATCTTAAGTGTAATAAATTCATTAATTAAATAAAAATAAATAATTGTTAAATTAAAGATATTACTATCTAAAATAATTTTGAATAATTACCATCAGTTAAAAATAATAATAATAATAATAATTTCAAAATTTTCTTGTAAATCTTACAAATAATCAAAAATTAATTTTTCTTCAATAACAACCAAACCCGCTTTTTTATTTGGCGCCAAACTATGAGACCTGATATCAGCTTTAAAAAGAAATTGGGCAAATTAACCTGAAAAATATTTTTTTTCAAAAAATAAAATTTGAAAATTAAAAGTTTTTTAAAGAAACAAAAGTGAGAAAAAATTTACTCTAGTAAATGTAAGAGATTGTAAGTTAATTTTCAAGTTTTAAAAGTAAGATAAGATAGATATAATATTGAAGAGAATATTTTATCATTTTTATTTAACTTTATATATATATATATGTATATATGTATATTTATTTTTCTAGTCATTAGAAAATATTTCAATAATTAAAAAAATGAGCAACAATAATAATTCAGCCAATAAGTGGCCACTTCCAAGATTTTATTCAGATATTAATATTTATAAACCTCGAGAATATTGGGATTATGAAAACTTTCAGATTGAATATAGTAGTCCGAATAATTATGAAATTATCAGGAAAGTTGGTAGAGGAAAATACAGTGAAGTATTTGAAGGAATAAATATAGTAACAAATGAAAGGGTAATTATCAAAGTACTTAGGCCAGTTAAAAGAAAAAAGATTAAACGTGAAATAAAAATATTATATAATTTACATGGTGGCCCAAATATTGTAAAATTGTTGGACATAATAAAAGATCCAAGCAGTGGTACAATAAGTCTTGTATTTGAGTGCATTGATAACGTTGATTTTAAAAGCCTATTTCCAACATTTACTGATTATGATATAAAATTTTATATTTATCAAATACTAAAAGCATTAGATTTTTCTCATTCACAAGGTATTATGCACCGTGATGTTAAACCACATAATGTAATTATTGATCCAACAAAGAAAGAATTAAGATTAATTGATTGGGGTTTAGCAGAATTCTATCATCCTAGACAAGATTACAATGTAAGAGTTGCTAGTAGATATTATAAAGGACCAGAATTACTTATTGATTTTCAATACTATGATTATTCTTTAGATATTTGGAGTCTAGGATGCGTACTTGCTGGATTAATTTTTAAAAGAGATCCATTCTTTTGCGGAGTTGATAATAATGATCAACTTGTTAAAATTGCAAGAGTTTTAGGCACTGATGGTTTATTTGAATATCTAGCTAAATATAAAAAACAATTGGAACCTTATTTTGATGATTTACTTGGTAGACATACTAGAAAACCTTGGAGTAAATTTATCAATGCTGACAATCAACATCTAGTCAATCCTCTTGTTTTGGATTTACTTGATAAAATGTTAGTTTATGATCATGCTGAAAGAATTCTTCCTAAAGAAGCCTTGGCTCATCCTTATTTTGAGAAAATTCATCAAGAAGAACAAAAAAAATGAAAATTTATACTGTTTATAAAATAATTACTTTAAATAAACCTTAAAATATTAATAAATTTCCAAGTAATAATTAATTATACTACTTTTATTAATTTACTTTTATTATTTATTATTTTTCTCCTTAAGCCTAATGTTACTATAAGTTTTTTTTTTAAACTAATTCCAACAATTTTTATCTAGTGGAACATTATTACTAGATATATACCCTCAATTTTTTTTTTTGTTTTTTTATTCTTAATCTTAAAATTATTTTAAGATTTTTTTTTTACCGGTACCGTACCCTTATTTTAAAAATACGGGTACCCCGGTACATTTTTATTAACATTTTTTTTTTTTTCTCAGCAAAAAGAACAAAATTAATGAAAATGTCAATAACAAAAATTTAATCTTCACAAAAATAACTTTTTATAAATTTAATCAACAAAATGTAAATAATTACTAAAAATAAGACTAAAAATATATCTATATTGAAGAATTGCTCTTATATTTTGAATTTACAAAAAGAAAAAATGATTAACACAAATTCAATCAATATTTTAAAAAAATTCAATCATAATTCTTCTTGTAATATTATTCCAAATATTATTTATGGAATTGGTCATAATATTTCAAAAAATTGTGGTCTTTTTGGATATCTTATTAATAAAATTATATTATATAATAACATAAAGAAAATATCTCCAAATTATTACAAAAGTTCAAATTACTCATTTCCACTGTATAACAGAAATATTTTCTACTTTTTCCATAAATCTTCCACATATATACCTTTTAATACCATTAATATCAATTCTTCTTCAACTTTATCACTACCATTACCTCATTCTCTTCATCTAAAAAAATCACTAATTAATACTCGTTCTTTATCCTATTATTCATCTATTACTGACCATCATAATCAAAGAATTGGTCAAGTAATCTCTGTTGCAGATGGAATTGCTCAAGTTAACGGTATTAGATCAGTCAAATATGGAGAATTAGTTGAATTTTCATCAGGAGAAAAAGGTATGGCATTAAATCTTGAAAGTGATCATGTTGGTGTTGTTATATTAGGTGAGGATAGAAATATTAGAAAAGGGGACAAAGTTATCTCCACTAATACTATTGTTAATTGTCCTGTTGGTAAAGAACTTCTTGGAAGAGTAGTTGATGCTTTAGGAAATCCAATTGATGCTAAACCACCTATTACTTCTTTAGAAAAAAGAGAAATTGATGTTAAGGCTCCCGGAATTATGGATAGAAAATCTATTAATGAACAACTTATTACTGGTATCAAATTTATTGATGCTCTTATACCTATTGGATTAGGACAAAGAGAAGCTATTGTTGGTGATAGACAAACTGGTAAAACTTCTCTTGCCTTAGATATTATACTTAATCAAAGAAAGTTTTATGATGATATTAAAACCAGAAAGTATTGTATATATGTTGCTATTGGTCAAAAAAGATCTAGTGTTGCTCAAATTGTTAAAATACTTGAAAAATATGGTAAGTTTAACAATATCATTTCTTTTATCTTATATAAATTCATCTTTATTTTAAATTATTCATTATTATTTAGATGCTTTAAAATATACCATCATTATAGCAGCTACAGCTTCTAATGCTGCATCTCTTCAATTTTTAGCTCCATTTACTGGTTGTACAATGGGAGAATGGTTTAGAGATAATGGACAACATTGTATTATTGTATATGATGATTTATCAAAACAAGCCAATGCTTATAGACAAATTAGTTTACTTTTAAGAAGACCTCCTGGAAGAGAATCTTATCCAGGAGATATATTTTATATACATAGTAGATTATTAGAAAGATCATCCAAATTATCTGATGAAAAAGGCGGTGGATCTTTAACAGCTTTACCCATTGTTGAAACACAATCTAATAATTTCTCATCATTTATTCCAACTAATATAACTTCAATAACTGATGGCCAAATTGTACTTGATAGTGATTTATTCTTTAAAGGAAATAGACCTGCATTTAATCTTGGATTATCAATTAGTAGAATTGGATCTTCTACCCAAAATAAAACAATTAAAAAAGTTTCTCAAAATATTAAATTAGATTTATTGCAATATAAAGAATTTCAAAAATTCTCTTCAAATTCAAACCAAAATAATTTATATATTAATGATAAATATAAATTACTTGAAGAATTATTTCAACAAAATCAATTCCAATTCTTTGAGCCAGAATTTCTTACTTGTCTTATTTATGCCATTAATCAAAATAAAGATCAAATTATAATTAAAGATTTTAAGTTATTTGAGAGATTATTTTATGATTTTCTTCATTCTAAACAAGAATATAAAGATATACTTAATACCATCAAAGTTTCTTTAGAATTTAATGATTTAATGAAATCCAAGATAAATAAAGCAATTCATGAGTTTTTTTGTATATATAATAATATATAAATAAATTAATGATAATTTGTTATATATTTTTTTATTATTAAAAGCATAAGTAATATATTATTTGATGATAAAATCTTTTTTGACTTGAGATGATTAACATTAAAATAATTTAAAATGTTATAAATGATTGACTTATAAAATTTTAATGCTTTAATTATTTGTTTTTTATTCATATTTGGATAAAAATACAATGGATTATCATTAATTACTGAAAATGATCCTTTTACAATAATTTTATTTGGTGATGGTATCTCCAATATATTTGAAATAATTTCCAAATAATGTAGTGAAAATCCAAGTGATGTAGATATTTCCAAATCTTGTTTATTATCTAAATTCTGGATTACATTAATTAAAGGGAGTAAGATGTTTCTAATTTTCATATTAGAAGTTTTTTTTTCATAAGTAATTGGATATATACAATAGGATACTTTATTGATCAAGTCATTTCTATATAAGTCAATTTCTTGATTTAATTCATTAATTTGAACTATACTTTTTTCCATTTCTATTTTACTTTGTTGAATTAACTCATTATATTCATTATGTTTATTTTTTAAAACTTTAATATATTCCTTAATATTTTCTTGTTCACGTACCTTTTCCAGCTTCTTTAATCTAATTAAATCTGAATCATCATCTTCTAACATTTTGGGATGATTAATATCATAATTCTCGTTAATATAACTTTGAATTGCATGATCATGATTAATATTGTTGTTATTATTACTATGATTATGATGATTATTGATATTACTAAGTTGAAAAGAATCATGATTAATAATAATCAATTTATCTGGATTTGGATGACCACACTTGACTTTAATAGAATGATAATTTTCCAACTGTCTCCTATACTTGACTAAAACTCTATGTAATTTAATACTTCTTTCAATCATTTCTTTAACTTTAAACTTTTTAATTCCTTCAAGGTTAATCTGATTTTTATTAATAACTCTATTCTTTGATTCATTATATATATATAAAACATTTTCATTTTGCAAAGTTGTTAAATAAATTAATGTATCTTGATTATTATGATTATAATCAGAATCAATGTTTTTGTATTTAACAAAATTACTCATTAAAAATGTATTAGAACTCCAAATAAATTTCTGGGTAACTGAGGATGTTAAAGTTAAGAATAACCTAGAATTTGAATACTGTAATATTGATGTTGGAAAAACAAACTCGGAAATAATGGATTGAGATAATAAACCCACTAATTCATAATGTTTTTGTTTATCCCTAACATTCCATTTAATATGAAAAGAAATATCACCATTTTGTTGAGAAATTTCATCAGATAAGATCTCTAAATCATCACTCTTTGATAATAATATAGTAAACTTCTTCTTGCCATTTTTTGTTTCACATTCTTGTATGATTGTTTCACACAGTATACAAGAATGAATGTTATCATTTCCATTTTGATTTATATTTCTTTCACAAATTCTTCTATTCATTAAGTGAATATAATCTGTAATTAATTTAAATATCTTATCATCTTTTGACTCAAAAATTATTCTAAATTCAACATTTACTTTTTCTTGGCCAATTTCTCTTAATTTCTCAAAAATATCCTTCCCAAACTTTAACTTAATGCTTTTTATTCCACCTAATGTCACAATTTCCTTCCTCATTGATTGGATAAACCGAAAGTTTTATTTTACTTTCATCCCCACAGAAAAAAAAATCAATAATATTTAACAATATTAATATTTTTATTTTTTATTGGTTATTTTTGTTTGATTTGATTTCTTTTATTATAGAAATTTTCCAAGACAAGGCGGGCTTTTGTAAAATAAAAAATGCATGCAATTTTAATTAGACTATTAAATTTGCATGGTTTTAACAATTTTTTTAATATAGTTAATGTGAAAATAAAAGATATTATTTCTCCATTTATAATCAAACATTAAACTTGAGCAAGGACATTTAAATATGGGAAATGAGTCGTACTGAAATTGATTCTTCCAAAAATACTGATAATAGTTGATTCTTAAAAGTAATGCATTTTCGTTTAACTCAAGAGTGTATATACTATGAGGTTCCACAAGAAAAAATCTGGATATGGAGTTACTTTGATCAAAAAATAAAAGTTGAAGAGAAAGTGGAGAGGATATAAAATGTTTAAGTAATAATTTTATGATTGAATTTGAAATTGAAGCCTTGAACTTAATTAGATATGGTGGATTTAATGGAGTATATGACGATAGAATTGAATTATCTGGAGAAATTTCATATGATGAATAAACATCAGATGATCTTAATTGAATTAATGTAAAATAATAATTGAGTAAAATTGATTTAAGTTTTCTTACAATTCTTGAAATTACCAATGAAGGACAAGTTAACCATCCAATAGAAAATTTGAAAGGTAAAAGGGGATACCATATAGAATCATAGTATATTACAAACCAATTGATTGGTTCAAATTTATTGGAATTTTTAATATGATTATATGTATTTATAGTTGTGTTAGTATTATTACGATGATTACTGTTATTATTTAAGTTACAAGAATTACTGTTAAAATTAATTTTGTATTTTTCTTTTAATTCAGATTCATATTCTTCTTTAATAAACTCAAAAGATTCACACCAAGAATATAAAATTTTAACAGATTTTCTTTCGTTCTTGTAATAATTATGATCATTCATAATTTCAATATCAAATGAATGATTAATCTCTGAAGGTGCATTCTTAAAGAAGAAGGATTGTAATGATTTAATTAGACTTTTAATATTCATTTCTGAAATCCTTTTTAAATTCTTCATATTCAAGCATTCATCACTTATGTTTCCAATATTATAATCAACCATTTCTTTTAATTGATTATTATTTACTGAATTAATTTTAATCCAATTATTAAGTATACTTTCCAAACAGCAATCTTTATAATAGTTTGAATAACAATCCAAATAATCAAATTTATCAATTTCATCAAACTTTAAAAAATCATCTGTTACATTTCTAGTTTCTTCTATTTTATTAGTATAAATAGTATTACTATTTGTACTGCTATCACTGATTTTGACATAAGGAATGAATGCAAAGTGAATGTAACTGATTGATAAACCAGATATATATGATGTTAAAAGGTAATAATAATCCAAATTATTTTTTTCAAAGTAATAGTTAAGTAATTCATTAAAAGATTCATTAATTAGTTCATTAATAAAAGGAACTTCTCTTTGCCAAACCAATATTTCATCCAAAGTACTAAAGTTAACATTTGATAAATTATTAAAAATTGTATAATATTTAATATATTCACCTTTTGTTGATTTTGGAGAAATTTCACAACAATTATCATATTTACTTCTATAGAGAAAATACTCATATTTGTAGTTGATAATTACATTTTTTAATTTGTTTGCATCAATTTCCATAATTTCTGAAGAATTCATGGATTTTGGTAAGAATGTATAAAAATTGACGGAATCATTTTCTTCATTCAAGGAAATAGAAATTTTATTTTCATCTATATTTTTAACTTCTGTATCATTATTGTTAGTATTTGAATTAAAACTTGAACTCAAATTATCGTTTCTAAAACAACTACTAGTGTTTGTATTTAAACCAGTAGTATTACTGTTAGTATTACTATTATCTTGTATAATTGCATCAATAACTTCAACCAAGATGTTATTATCATCTTTAAGTAAATTTAATTGGTGAATACAATTATAATTGAGAGTAATATTATTGCTTGAGCTATTGTAATATTTTAACATTTGTATGTTTTCTGAATTGTAATGAGTTGTAATGTTATTTGACTTTAGGGTTGAAATTTGAAAAGACATTGACATTCTGTGTACAATTAAATCGTAATATATTAATCTCAATATCTCAATATTGATGTCTTTATATTCAGATTTATCAATATATACTGAAAGCTCATTAAAATCGTGTTTAATTAATCTTGGATTATTTACTTGATAATTCTTCCAAATATATGCCAGAAATAACTCTTTTCTAGGAGTTAAAGTCCAATTTGATGTTCTTTGTATTTCATTTATTGTTAAATCTTTTGAATTAGAAATATTATTTTTAATATCAATTTTGTTTAAATTAATTGTAGTCAAAGGTAATAAAAAAGTTCCAAGTAAACAGTTAAATGACTCGTTTTCATTAATATAATGAAATTCCTTAGACTTTTTATTTATTGAAAGATTTCTTGAAATATTATCAGAATCATACACATTACATTCTAAACTTTCTCTTTTATCCACCAAACCGGATATGTTTCTTACAACCATATCTTTACCACTAATAATTAGATCAATGTCACCTTGGTCATCATCTTCTTCTTCTTTCTCTTGGTTTTTATCTTCTATAGAATTGATTTGATCATTTATATATTCATCTAACAAAGTTATAGTAGATGATAAGTTAAATTTACCATTATAATCATTATAAAATTTGTTTTTAATTTTATAATATAAAATGTTCATAGAAAGCCTTAAATTAATTACTTTAAGTGTTTCTTGATAGAGGTTGTTCTTTATTTTTACTATATATATATTTAAAGAATGATACCAATTAAGTTCAGAAAAAGATATAAAATCACAAGTAATTGATGTCTTTAAAAATCTAACTTCTGTAATTTTTGATAAATTGAGTAATCTTTGATAGTTTTGCAAGTCACCAATTATTATTGGTGGGCCTGAGCTAAGTACCTTAATGTTTCTCCCTGTCCAAACAAGGGATCCATCAATTAAATCATTTTGTAATTGTGTTAATGCAAAATTTATAGACTCCAATATATTTGATTCATAATATGATACTAAAGTTTTAATAAAGTTTTGATCCTTTTGGAATGAAATAATTATTCTTCTTAATTTCTCAATCAACTTATTTATATTTGTCTGACTAAGTGTAATTTGAGAAAGAACCCCTTCCCAAAAAACTTGGTAATAATCCATAGATTTTTTTTCTTTTACAGCTTTCCATGTCAAAAGTATTGTAATATAATGATGTTCTATTAATTGTTTATTTGATGTCAAATATTCTTTAAAAAATGAAATGATTCCTCTCCACCATGGAAAACCATTACTAGAAAAACAAAAGAATTCTTTTGAAATTACTACAACCATTATAATTCTTACAGATCTTGGTCTTATAATGAATTTTGTATCATCTGTAACCAATCCTGAAATAATCGTTTTTTTATTGTTATTGTCATCATTTTCATTTCCCATTCTTGTAATACTAATTGGTAAATATTGGTTAATTTCAAAACTAATTTGTGGTGAAATACCATTATAAAGTATTTTATCAATTAATGATTTCTCATAATACCACAAGTCTCTTGGCGATATATGTATTTCTGGTAAAGATAATTCAACTATTTTTAATTTCATATCTTTTTTTGAATTAACTTTTCTTATTTCCACTTCTTGCCTAATTAATGGTATTCCTGAACTTTTAACCAGATAATCTAAAACTGATATTACTCCTACATTTAAATTTTCTGTAATACTTTTACAATTTAACTGGAAATGTATAATATCATTTTCTGGATTCAAACTACTAACAATTTCAAAGTAATTATCTTCACTACCATACTTTTTAATCAATCTTTCTGATAACTCATGAGATATTAATATTGGAAAGCTAAAAAATAATTAAAATAATATTATTAATAAAAATGATCAATTATTCTTGATTTTTTTTTTTAAATGTATAAATATACATATTTTTATACGTAACTTACCTGTTTTTCTTTGAATTGTGGAATGACAATGGAACTAAAATCTTCCCATCCATATCCTTTTCTTTATATATCTCATTACTTTTTTTCATTAATTACAGCTTATTCATATATTTTTAATTTTTTTAATTAAATATATATATATATATTGACTTCATAATACCATTATTTTAATTATATTTATTGTCCGCCTTATGTGGACAATAAATATTTTAAAAATTGCATATTTGAAATTGCGCAATAATGCATGCAAATACCGGTATACAAGTTTAAACAAAAATTTTTCATGTGGAAAAATAATTCAGAATAAAAAAAAATCAATAACACGTGTATTATTTAATTAATTTAAAATATAATAAATTTTGGAAATTTTTTATTTAATGCTAATATTTATAGAAATTATAAAATAGCAAACTGATTACGAAGTATTCCCCTCGCAATATAATAATAAGGGTGAAGTGTAGCATGTAAATTCCAAATATTCATATCATCCGTATTGGAATTGCTAGTTAAATGATCACCTCTTTGAACATTAAAAGAAGAATTATTTTGGTCATCGCAATTAATTCGGGAAATTTGAAAATTTTTATTTAAATGATTTGATGAAAATGCAATAGCATTATTAACAGACACAATTCCTCCATTTGGGGATATATTAATAATTGGAAGAGGATTTTGTTTTCTCATTTCAGAAACAATATGACGTATACCACGTGACTTTGAAAGCAATATTTCTTTATGAAATTTCTTTCTTGAAGGATTGTAACATTCTTTCTTTTTTACTCTATCAATTAAATTATTTAAAACAGAGTATGGAGATTGGTAATTTTTGGAAACTAATGATTCATCAATAAAATCTTGGCATTCAGCACTATTTATTAATGAGTCAGAAACATTCATAACTTTTTCTTTATCATGGTTACATTCTGTATTATTTTCCAACTTATTATTCTTAACAAAAATTACTTCATTATTCTTTAATAACTTTGCTGAAATATTATCAATTCTTGCAAAGGCATAATAACTTGAAATTGAGTTGTTATTATTCAATGAGGACTCCTGTAATGCAGCTGAAGGAGCTGACCCATTTTGAACAAGCTGAAAACCACCTGTAGAAACGTCATCCCATACTGAATTATCAAACGAAACAATTTTAACACTTTTGTCCAAAGTAAACTCAATCAAGTTATTATCACTAATTTTCGATGAAACAATGTTTTTTGGAGAATTTGGAAGTGACATTAATAAAGATTTATAATATCTTAAAATATTCTCCTCTTTTGAATCTTTGCAATCAGAAAGTAATATAATTGTTTTTGGATTTGAACAATTTAATAATGGTAATAATGATGGTATTTCATTCTTAAGTTCTAATCCATCGGTTAATATTACTCTTGATCTAATTTCGATTTTACTCATTTCATGAGAAATTCTAAAAGGTTCAGTGCCACCCAAGATTTGTCTAAAATGAATCCTCCATTCTGGAATATTACTGGTAGGAACTGCATTATTGCTATCAATACTTAACATACTTAACAATCGCGCACCATGTTTTGTATTTCTGTTCAAAATGGTATCAGAATTTCCATTGGAATCTAAAGTTACTTCTTCTTTAGTTTCTGATGATAGATCATCCTTAACATTTGACATGCCCATGATATTTCTTCTTCTTCTTGGAGCCAAAATATGTATTTTATTGTTATTATTCCCATCATTATTGTTGGAACTATCAAAATTGGATGTAATTGATTGATCAACAGTTTCTAATTCGGAGGATTTGTTATCATCATTTCCACTGTCTTCATTTAATTTCAAATTATATGACGAAATATCGAGATCACTAGATGCATCTTTCCAAGAATCAATAATGGATTTCAATGTCTGTTCATCTAATAAACATCCATAATCATCTTTAGTTTGCTTTGTTATTGAGTTTTGATTCGAATTGTGATCTTTTAAAGAGGAAGAAGAAGATGATGATGATGATGAGAGTGAATTTAAATTCAATAACTCATCGTCAACATTTACAGGCACTAATTTTGATCTTAGAGCTTCAATTTTTGTTTGAATTGAAGAACTAATACTATGGTCATTAACATAATCAATCCCATTACTAATCTTATTAATTTGATCAATTTTACTGCAATTATCAGAACTATTATTATTATTATTATTATTTGAAGATAATAGCATAGAATATGTGGTGTTATTTAATTCATTATTTTCACCAAAATCATCATTATTATTATTCTTACTTTTATCATCACAATTACTAAGCATAGCAGTGGTATCGTTCTCAATATTCATTTCAATATCTTTTTTATTATCATTAATATCATCCAATTCATGATTACCATTATCAGATTCCAAATTTGCAGGATTAATCTTTTTTTCATCAGATTTTTGATTAATATCTTCAGAATTTTGATTCAAACTATGACTAACATTGGATTCTTTATGTGAAAGATACATTGCATAAAGCTCATCTTGTCTATATGGAGTAAATCTAATCATTGGAAGTTCAATATAGTAAGATAACTCATGATTATTCTCAAGAATGTTTGTTGGAATTTGCATATTATAATTATCAGAATGAATTAAAGAATGTATACAAGATTGATCAGATCTACGAAGCTCTAGTTCTTTATTCCAAATATAATGAGCAAATGTATTTTCTTTTGGTTCTCTGATAAACATAATAGTATTATTTTCATTAGTTGCCAGTTCAGTAAATAATTCTCTGGAATAGCCGTAATCCATAGATTCAGGAAAAGCAAATATTATTTTTGGTACTTTTGATAAATTTTCACTTCTAATAGTCTTAAGATTTGTTTCAAGTATTATATTCTTTAAATCATGAAATGGATTAAATCTGGAATCACAAAATTCTGATCTTATTTCTAAACTCATCCATTCAATTAAAGTTTTTACAGATAATAAGAATGATTTTATTAATGGTGAAGTGACAAAAATTGGATATAAAATCTTTCCCTTATTCCAAATAGCATCCAAATAACATAATATTTCTAATAATAAACTATCTAATTGTATTGGTATTAATATCGTACCAGTTTTGTTTTTTCTAATACAATCTAAAATTGTATTAACAAATTTTTTAATTGAAATTAAACGATTATTGCATTTCTTTAAATCATTACCAAACTCTGAGCTTAACGATAAAGATAAATTATCTGGTATTGTTGATATTTTTGTGTTAACTCCGAACATTAATAAGTCTGGTTTATTTAGTCTACCTAAATCTGAAGGAGTAACATGCCAATATGGATGTGAAGCTGACTCGCTTACATAAACAAATTCCCAGCTATCAGAATTTGAATTAATCGTCATATTCCAAATAGTAGAACCAAGTTCAAGCCCACTTGGTAATGCTTTTAAGTTAATACTTGTCAAACAAGAATCTGATGAATCGTTATCAGTCATATTATTATCATTATGTAAAAGTTGAATATTAAATGATTGGTAATATCTCAATCTACAAACATTTTCGCCAAGAATTCCCTCAATATCTTCATTTGTAAAAGGCAATTGTTTGAATCCTTTATTATCTTCTTTATCGCAAGTATATTGTAATCCTCTTTCTTGATCTTTAATACTCATACTTTGAATAATATCACTTAATATATTATTTCCAAATCTAAATACTGGTTCAGTGCATATTACTGGAATCTTACATGATATACCTTTTTCTGTTAATAATTTATGTAAAATAGGTAAACCACCAATAAATGTTTTTGGAAAATTTGTTAATAATATTAAATGTGGTAATTCCAAGTCCAATAAAATCGATCTATCAAAATTTGACTCATTTTCTATACCAAAATCAAACCAAATTAAACAATTATTAATACGTAAGGCGTTACCTTTAATAACACCACTACATATTGGTTTTAAAGATAAATTAATCATAACATATATTATAATAAATACTTAATAAAATTATATTTGAGCAATAATTATTAATAATTATTACTCAAATATATTTAAACGACTGTAAGTATATTAACTGATTTAGAATATCGGTACCTTTTATTATTATTTAGTTACTTTGATGAATTTAAGTATTTTAAATAAAAAATCTTTATTTTTTGTAATATTTGGGTTATTTTCTTGTCAAATATAGAAATAACAACTAATTAAAATAAATATATTTCAATTTTAATTAGTTAATTTAATAATTTGCTTTTTTACATGATCATGATTAAATTAGTATATTAAAATTCAATCAGAGCCCGCCGTTCTATTCATTATTGTTTTTGTCAAAAAATAAATTTTGTTTTAAAAAAAATGTGTGCACAAATGTGCAATTCATAAAACATATAAATATACTTTTATAATACCGGAGAAATTACAATTTTTGTCAGCATTTTCTCAAAAATTAGTTATCTAGTACATATCATCAAAGCAATATTACTAAATTGAAATAATATTTGAAATATACAAATATACAATGTATCGCTTTTAAAGAAATTTACTCCAAACTTCCTGCTCATATTTCCCAACTTGGCGCCAATGCTATCTTTTTTTTACCGCCAATATATCGCCCATCTAAAATAACAACCACCCCTCTCCCCAAAAATTGTTCAAAAATAAGACACATCAAGCGGGTACCGTCACGTATATGTCTCCACAAACTATATTAAAAATTTGATTGAAAATAATTCAAAAATGTCTCAAAAATAATAAATAAATATTACATTATATTTCTTTAATGAAGTTTATAACCTAAATTAATTTATTCTATTATTTTAAATAGTATTTATTTAAATAAAATTGTTTATTAAAAAATGGCGCTCAAAAAAGTTGTCTCAAAAATAGAATTGAATTTACAATAATAGTCAAATTCAGCGCTATTGTTATTATTAATTTATAAGACAATATAAATAATCTTATAATAACTATAATAGTTTTTTTGGAGATTAGCTACAAGTAATCCCAAAAAATAAGATTACCCTAATTTAATCTAAAACTTAACTTATTTCCGGCTTCATTAATATAATTTATATCTGAGAGAAGATGAAGAGAGGAAGAGGTGCTGCAGGTGGTGCTAAAATGAGAATTACTCTTGGTTTGAATGTTGGTGCTCTTATAAATTGTTGTGACAATAGTGGTGGTAAAAACTTATACATCATAGCAGTTAAAGGTACCGGTTCATGCTTAAATCGTTTACCATCCGCTTCTATTGGTGATATGGTATTGGCAACTGTTAAAAAGGGTAAGCCAGAATTGAGAAAGAAGGTATGGCCAGCAGTTATTGTACGTCAACGTAAAGCTTTTAGAAGACCTGAAGGTACCTTCCTTTATTTTGAGGATAATGCAGGTGTAATTGTTAATCCAAAAGGAGAAATGAAAGGTTCTGCAATTACTGGTCCAGTTGGTAAGGAATGTGCAGAATTATGGCCAAAGATCTCTGCTGCTGCTCCTTCTATTGTTTAAATTTAATTAAAAAGACATTATGACTTTTTTCACGGTTTCCATTTCTTATATTAATGGGATATGGAACTTCTATATTACTAATATATTGAGGTCTTATTATGAAGTAATTTGTGATCTTTTCCACTTAACTTTACTGAAAGTACAGTATTCCTTCAATGTATTAGATATAGTTAAATATTCAATAATAGACATGGGATTATTAGATTAAGCAGCTATAACCATTATTTTTTTTCTCTTTATCTTTTTAATCTCTGAATTTGTTTCAAGTATTGAATTAGTTAGACCTAAAGAAAGAATGACATACTGATTTCAATTTGAGATTCAATATTAGTCTAAAGTTAGATTTTTGTCATTAGAAAAATTCTAGAAAAGAAGGTTAAAATAATCTAAAGTCTATATTCAGAACATAGAACTTTCTATCAAAACAAAAGTTAATCTTTCTTATATAAATGATTCAAATATTATGTTGCTTTAAAAGATCTAAAGCAAGCTTAACCATTGAGTCAATCAATTCAGCACCATTCTTAGAAGATCCAACAGATCTGAGATCCGTTCCTCCACATTTACCATTGCATAATTCAATAGTTGATTTAAGCCAATTAGATGAAGATAGTTTATCAGATTTAGATTTAGGCATGATAGAAATTACAGAAACTCCATTATCATTAAACTCACCAGATGTGAAAAGCATGATTGGAGTTTCTGGATATTTCTTAGAAAGATCTTGTCCAATTACATCCATTGACTTTGAATCTCCTTCAATTTGTTTAAGGTTCAAAATAAGACTTGGAAATTCATCTTTTGAAGGTAAATGTTGAGAATAATCCTGTCCAATTTTTGTAGCTAATTCTTTAGCCATATTTAATCTTTCTTTTTGTCTCTTTTTAGCATCTGCAATTATTTTTTTATAATGTTCTTCAATTACTTGAGAAAATTTTCTTCTATATACCAAAGGTAATAATTTAGTTTCATCTAATTTAGCCTTAAGAGAATTTAATAAAGTTTCAAGTTCTTTACCATTTAATTCATTAAGTTTATTAAATTCTTGTTGAAGCTTCTTAGCATTTTCTATAGCAGTTTCAGATTGATTATCAGTTACTGCTACAATTCTCCTAATACCTTTGGCAATACCCTCTTCACTTAAAATAGAAAATGAAATAATTTCACCGGTATTTTCAATATGAGTACCTCCACAAAACTCTATAGATACCTTTTCTTGATTATTAGAATCATCTTGTGAATTGACTAGAGATTCAATAGGTTTACCAACAGATAATACACGTACAGGATCTGGATAAGTTTCACCAAATATAGCTCTAATATTAGGTATTTGTTTAGCTATAGATAATTCAAGAATCTGACAATAAACATTTTGCTTTTCTTGTACAATATTATTAATCATCTTCTCAATTTCTTCAATCTGTTCCAAACTAAGTGGTTTTTGAGATGAGAAGTCAAATCTTAATCTATTGGGATCAACAACAGAACCTTTTTGATCACAGGTACTTCCAAGTATTTGTCTTAATGCAAAATTCAAAATATGAGTTCCTGTATGATTTTTTTTGATCAGATTTCTTCTACAATAGTCCACAGACATTAAAGACTTTAATTCTGTATTAATTTCAATCTTCCCTTCTAATAATATACCTATATGTAACACATATTTACCAAATTTTTTGCAATCAATTACTTGAAATTTACTGGTTTCACAATCATTGTATAGAAAATCAATAAAACCAGTATCAGCAACTTGTCCACCAGACTCTGAATAGAATGTAGTTTTATCAAATATCAATCCAATAATTTTACTTTGTATTTCAATGCTGTTTAATAATTGATTTCCATCAAAAATAGCAATCAAGTTAGAATAAAAGTTTTTAGTTTGAAACTGGGAGTGGTATTTGTATTGGTCATCAGTTTCTTTTAATCCAAAATCGAAAAGTAAGGCATTTTGTATATCAGGTTTGAGAATTAAATCATCAAAAGACTTATTATTTTTCCCTTCAGAAGCTAAATGATGGTTTTCCATACAGATTTGGAATCCTTGACGGTCAAAATCAAAGTTTTGTTCTTTAGCCATTAATTCTGTCAAATCCATTGGGAATCCATAAGTAGAATATAATTGGAAAGCCTCACTTGGTGGGAATATTCTATTATTATTTCCATTTTCCTGATTTTTTTCACAAGACTTTAATTTATTAATGACCTTGTTAAATCTCTCAGTTCCTTTAAATAATGTTTTAGAGAACTGCTTTTCCTCATCTAGAATGACTTCTTTAATAGTCTGGATATTTTCAGGTATTTCTTTATAATAACCACCCATAATATTTGAAACACTGTCAACTAATTTATAAAACCAAGGTTCACCATTATTGCCAGCTTTTAAATACTGAGATCCATATCTAATAGCTCTTCTTAAGATTCTCCTTAATACATATCCTCTTCCCTCGTTACTTGGGATACAACCATCTGCAATTGCAATAGTTAAAGTTCGAATATGATCAGCAATAACTCTATATGACATATCAATCATATTAGGATCTTGAATCTCACCAACTTTTCCAGAGTAAGGTGGAATTTGAACTCCTGAAGAAGAAATGACTTGATAAATTTGGTCAAATATTGGTTTAAATAGATCAATATCATAATTACTTGTTTTATTTTGTAATATAGAAACCAATCTTTCAAGCCCCATACCTGTATCTACACATTTCCTGGGCAAAGGTGTTAATGTAGTATCAATTTCTCTATAATATTGCATAAATACAAGATTCCATATCTCAATAACGTCAGGATCATCTTTATTAACCAGTGATGATGCATCTCTTCCTCCAATTCTATCATAATGTATTTCAGAACAAGGACCACATGGGCCGGTATCAGCCATTTCCCAGAAATTTTCTTTGCTACCACACGATAATATTCTTCCTTCTGGTAAATATTTTAGCCATATTCTTTTAGCCTCTTCATCAGGAGGACAAAGTGGTAACTTAGGATCACCTCCAAAATATGTTGCGTATAATCTATCCTTTGAAATACCATATACTTGGGTCAACAATTTGAATGCCCAACCTATTGCTTCTTCTTTAAAGTAATCGCCAAAAGACCATGATCCCAACATTTCAAAAAATGTATGATGATAAACATCCTTTCCTACATCGTCTAAATCATTATGTTTCCCTCCAGCTCTAATACATTTCTGAGAATTTACAACTCTTACTAATTTACTTAGTTCTGAATTTGGTTCAACAGTTCCCAAGAATATTGACTTAAACTGATTCATTCCAGCATTAATAAATAATATTGTTGGGTCATTCAAGGGAATTACCGGAGATGATCTGTAAAATGTGTGATCCAATTCTTTAAAGTATTCCACGAATTGTCTTCTAACCTCATCCCCTGTCCATACTTTATTTGTTTCCGAATTCATCTTTTCTAAAGATTATTGCCTATATCTATAGATCAAAAAATTAAAATCTTGAAAATTTTATGAATATGTTGTATTTCTAACCAAATTGTTCGTTATAATAATTTCTGGCTAGTTTAGTTTAGATTTTATTGATTTCTTGAACCTTAATCAGACATAGAAGCTTTTTAAAATACTTCTGGTCTACTTATATTATTAATACTTTTCCGCTTTTTGTTCAACCCTTCAACTATATATTAATTTTTATTAATAATAAAATTTATGCAATTTAGACAATTATCACTGAATTAATTTATTTTAATATTAATTTAGTCTTAAATAATGTATATATTTATTCTCGATACCCCCTTTTACTATTTATTATAGTAATTTATGACCATTTATTTGGCGGTAAAACTGAATAATGATCTTATTGTAATTCAGCATGCAGGTAAACTGAGCGGGTCTTTCATGAATTAGTTTAAATGATAGTGGAAGTAGTAATTTATATGAAAAATAAACAATAAGAGAATTAAATCTGATTTTGATTTCCAATAAATTATTTGATTTTGTATTATTGGATTAAAACAATGTGATAATTAAATTCGGAGTTTAATATTGCTGCAAAAAAAAAAAAATGAGTATTAAGTGAAGTCAGCTTTTTACCATTTCGGGTTTTTCATTAACAATGTACTTCATTTTTTCAAGAAAAATCTCAATTTCTAGAGGAATACCATGATGATATGAAGAAAGTAAGGAAACAAATGGTAGCTTCCTTAAATTTCTACCAGAAAAGCCATCAGTAACTTTAGATATGTAGAGTAAGTCTTTGGATATATTTAATTGGAAATGATCATAATTATTTTGGTTCTTATTTTGAGTGATTTCTGTGTAATTTACATGATCATTTTTGTTAATATTAACGTTTGAATGTTTTATTATTTCTTTAAAGGTTAAAATTTTAATATAATCATCATGCCTGGAATAAATGACTTGCTTAAAAATAAGTTCTTCAATACACTCAAGTAATATGGTATACCTAGTATAAAGTGAAGGAAGAGGTATATGCAATTTTAAATCAGCTCTATCCAAAAATGCTTCATCAATAGAATCTGGAATATTGGTAGTTGTCATAATTAATGTATTAGAATATTTTTTTAGAGCATCTATTTGAGTTAGCAAAGCATTTACAACACGAATGCTATCGGATGGTTCATTTCTTCCTAAGCTTTGTTTTCTGGCTGTTGAAATACTTTCAATTTCGTCAATTACAATATTCACAAAAGAGTCAGGTTCTTCTAGTAAGCTTTTGATTTTGGAGAATAGTTTTACAACAGTTTTTCCACTTTCTGAAAACCATTTTGAAAAAAGCGAATGTGCACTGATTTCTATTAAATATATATTTTTGTATCTATTACAATATCTCATTCCAATTTTTTGTGAAATGGCTCTAGAAATTGAAGTTTTACCAGTTCCTGGAGATCCATAAAGTAGAATCAAATGATTCCAATTAATTACATTAAAATCAATTTGACAATCACTTAAAATGAGACTGGTTGATGTGTAATCCAATAGTTGTTGTTTTAAATTATTTTCATAATGCAGTACATCCCATAAACCATGGAATTCTATATTTGGAAGAGACCAATATCTCCAAATTGGTGGATCTGTACTTTTTTCTCCAGATGTATTACTTTCCATATAATATTCTTCCTCAGACATATCATTAAGCTGGTAAATATATATATTAAACTCAGCTTGATAAATTGGGATATTTTCGTGATCTTCTCTTTGATTTATAGAATTGGATTTACAGTTATTATTATTATTACTATCATTGTGCTTTTCCTCAATTGAGTGAATAGGATAGTTTAATGATAGATTAATGTCAGTACAAACTTTTCTTAACATTGAATCTCCAATTTGATCAATATCGACTTTTCCTAATCCAACATTTGCTTGCAATGAAAAATACTTTTTTATTCTTTGAGTTAAATATTTCCTGCTTAGCTGTGATTCATTCGAATTAGCTTCATCTTGAGTCAAATTAATATTTGATCTAATGCAAACTTCAACAGAAAGTGGAACTTTATAAATACTCTTTTGTTTCTTTTCCTTATAAATATTATCTATCTTATTAAGATTACCAAATTCTTTTGATTTTAATTGAGATTTTAAAGGGTAAAAATTCGCTTCTTTACTACTTTCTTCAGTAATGGTTTCTGTTTTCCTGTATTTATTTGAATTATAATCATATACTGGAGTTGTTATCTTTGTGGTTTTGGAAATGCTTTCAGGAATACTGACTCTTCCATAATTATTATCTTGTTTCATAATTTATTAATTAAAATATATTTATTTTATATCAAAATATTTGCTCTGGTATTCTAATATTTTTTCGTTTATTTAACGACTCAACTTTAATAAAATGCTCCAATTTCTTTTTTTTCAAAGTTATTTAATATGCGATTAATATATTACAAATATATTATATTATAATAATATATGATATATTACACATATGCATACACACATACATATATATATATATATATATATAATTAAGTTTTTTTAGTTATATTTACATTGAATTGTGATCTACAGAAAACTTTCATTTACTATTAATCCATTCAATAATTTATTCTTCAATTTTTTTTATGGATTCTTTTTTTTTTGGTTATTATACCAATCCAAATATTATTATTAATTTTTTTTTTGACTGATATAATTTCCACATAAAAATACCGGTATAGTAAAAAATTTTGCATTTTCATATTGAATGCATGCTACATGCAAAAGCGGGAAAATATGTGGACAAAAAATTTAAAAAAAAGAAAAGAAAATGAACGAATTTTTAGTAAGACTATAGAAGATAAATATAATTTTTTGCTATTTTCAAACATATGGAAAAGTATTGATAAAATAAAGTGTTTATAAAAGATATTTGAAATTCATTTTATAGTGGTAAAATAAGACATTTGTACATTAGTTAAGTATATGTGTATAATTAAAAGGGATTAATTAAAAAAATAGATTGAGAAAAAAACCAAAGTAAAATCAAGTAATCTTATAAACTATAAATGATAATTTGTAATTCGTATTTAACCAGTTTAATTAAAAAATTAAATTAATAAAGATATTAAAATTTTTGTTAATTATTAATATAGTTGCAAGCAAGCGGCAGACAATTACAAATAAAGTTAAAAGAAAATTGAATATATTCAACTAAATAAAAAAGTGTCTTAAAAAATGTTTGAAGTTCTTTAATAATGGAAAAAGGGGATGAAAATGATGAAATTGTTCAGGAATACATAAAAACTAATGTGATATGGATTCCGAGATCTCCATCAAGACCAGAAGTCTTTGAAATACAAGATTTTACAAGCATACAGTTGAATGAAATAATAGCAATAAATGCAATATATGGCTCAATAACAATTCATAATGATAATAGTGGATTAATTAAGAGATTAATTGATGATCAGGAAAACTTGATAAGTTTTTCAGCAGAGATTTATAATGGATTTAATAATAGGGATAGCACAGAGATAAAGGTGTTATTTATTCCAGGAAAGGATGAAATTATTAATAAAGAATTCGAAAAATCAAAGTATCTGGTTGATTCAAATTATGAAGGAAATATTTTTACAGTTTATAGCTTAATTTTATCCAGAAGTTTAAGTGAAACAATGCCTTTTAAAAATAGGCGTTATTGGAGAAGAACTCATCTATATGCCCGTCTAACAGTATATTATGGAGAAAAATATCCAATAATTAACCCAGGATTATTATTCGAGTTTTCTTTAGAACTACCAGAAAGCATTGAAGTTAAGTTAATAGAAGAAATTCAAGAGATTTTATTAAATAGAAGTGGAGATCAGGAATGCATTTTTCAGGTTATAAATTGTTTGGAAATGATTTTGGAAAATTTATGTGATTATCTACAAATTTCTGAGGACTTATGGGAACAAATGAGACGGCAAAACAATCAGAGAGAATTTGAAAAACATTTGGATAATAGTGTTATATATGAAGATGATGGAAATAATTATATGAATAATGAAGATTTAGAAAAATTAATTGATTTGAAGATTTCAGGAATAAATTATTCAACTAAAGGAATTAACGATAAAGATGAAAAATTGAATGATAAAACAGCATCAGAGATGGTGTCTGGATTTTTAGATGATACAATTCTTGATTATCCTGTAAACACAAGTGAAATTGTTGAAGAAAATGACACTTCTAATATTATATTAAATTTGGATTTATCTTATATTCGAAAAGAGATTTTTGAGCACAATATAAATTATTCATTATTTTCATCAAAAAGATTTACTCAAGATTTTAGAGTATTGGAAGTACTTTATTCTGGTAGAAACGTAATCATAACAAAGTCATTACATCTAATTGACCAAAATAATTATCAAGTTTCTATATATAGAATACCATCAAGTAAATTTAATCAGATTCAAAAAAAAGTATCTTCATTAGTAATGCTTCAACATAGGTATATGGTAAGATACTACCAATGTTGGGTTGAAAAATGTGATAATAAAAAGGATGAAAGAAATGATCAAGAAGATTTTTTATTATTGTATATTCAATCAGAGTTTATGGAAGAAAATATTACATTATTTGAATTTTTTGAAAAAGGAAAAATAACAACTAGAGATAATCATTTAATATGGTCTTTATTTAGGCAGATACTGGAAATAATGTCATATTGTCATAGAAATGAGGTTTTTCATTTGAATTTATCTTCAAATTGTATATATATAGAAGAAGATATATATGGATACTCAGTGAAATTATCTAATTTTATTTTTGGATCTCATTTGGACTTGAATTTTGATAATAATAATGAAGAATTTTCATTACCAAATATACTATTTACAGAAATTAAGAAATTTAATGATGAAATATTATTAGTAGATATTAGTTGTACTTGCCAGATTTTTTTGGAAATGTGGTTAAAAATAAAATACAAAGGATTGGAATATGAAAAATTTAATGAAAATTTACTTGATTGGTTAAGTAAATTAAAAATTGTTAATGAAAATGTATCATTTAAAGAAATGAATCAATTATCATTGGAAATTTCAAAAAATATTGATGAATTATTTGTTTTTAATATTGATATACCGTTGGAATTTAAATATATACCAAAAACTGCATTAATAATTATGAGAAAATTAAAGTATGAAACAAATTTTAAAAATAATAATAGTATTGATGATTTACTCAAAAGTGATTTATTACCTAGTTCAATAAATAAGAATGAGTTTCAGTATTATTTATCAAGAATATGTAATCCAAATACTTATGAGAGTCATATAACTTTAAACACATTATTTGGAAGAAATGTAGATAAGATAAGTTATACAGCATTTTTAATGGATATAAAAAGTGATGAGAAAGTAAATATGATTGATTTAACTTTTAGTGATATTGTTAAAACAAGTATTACAAAAATATTTGATGATCATAACTTCGTTTTATGGAAACTTCCTATATTATATCCAACACAATTTTTAACTGATAAGAGAATAGATACAGTAAATAATAGTAAAGATTTTGAACAAGTATTATATGATTGTGGATATAGAACAAGTGATCCTCATTTTTTATTGGATATTTCAAACAATTTATTATGTTTGCCAAAATCAGCTCCATTTTCTATGATATCTTCTTTAATTTCTTTGTTATTTGGTGATCATTTTAATCAAAACACAGTATCTAGTAGTTATTTTTCAGATTTTGAAAATAAATCCAAAAAAAGTTCAGGTATTGGTATTGATGGAATTAGTGGTACAAATAATGGATTTAAAAATGTTTTAAAAATAGATGATTTACATACTAATATCATATCATCTAATAATTCGAATATTTTACCAGGATTATATTGCAGAGATTTAAGTATGGATATTCTTGAGGATTCTCCAATTCAGAGATACGTTTTATTTCCTATATATGAACAGCCTAATAATAGTATAAATAATGGCCTGGATAATCATGTTTTTGGTTCACCAAGAACAAAATTATCTTTGGCTTTTGATATGATATACAAATTAAATGAATCTGATTTCAGTACAGGAATTAGTTCATCTGGTGGTAATTACAATGATTTAAATATGATTAATTTAAATCAAAATAATCAAAGATTAATAATTAACCAAACTTGTGGTAACTTATTATGTGATGATTTAAAGAGAATATATCAATCAAATGATAGTGGACAAACAATTAGTATGGATAATATTATTTTGGAAGTTGAAGGGTTATTATTATCTTTAAAGCTTATCTTACCTTGGTTAGATTATTTGGAGGATGTTCCTATTGTTAGGCTGACATTTCCTTTAATGTCAAAGATAATTTATTTGGAATTACTTGAGAAAATGCTAAGTGGAAAATTAGAAGAGGATGATATTAATAAAAGAAAGGAATTAGATTTATTTACTCAAAAGTCGATTTTTAAAGAAATTTATAATATTAATATAAAGGAAAATAGAAAAGACAAACAAAGAGAAGATGAAGAAGAAGAAGAAGAAGAAGAAGAGAAAGAGGGAGAAAAGGAAAAAACATTTATAAGAGAACTGTTTTTGAGAATGCATGCTTTTGAGTGGAAGTATGAAAGCAATATTGGGAATTACAGACTGAAAAGTGTATATGAAAATAATTTCATAATGAAAACCTATGAATTTATTCGTGACAACCAAATAATAAAGCTTTATGTTCAAGTATTGAATGAGGTTTTAAATTTATTATCAGAATCAACAGAATTACTGATATATAAAGACAAAAAGGTTAAATTTTATTTAGATCCAATTATGGATTATGACGTTAATTTATATGATCAAACAACTTTGGTATATTCAATAACTTCAGAAAAAAAAGGAATTAATATGATCTATGGAATGGGAGGTTCTTATTCATATAAGATTAATGGGATTATAAATAGTTTGTTTAAACAAAATTCTAATATATCTGGAGGATTTAATACTGTTAATATTGCCTCTTTAACTACTGGATATGGCTTTGATAATAAAAATACATTTACCAATTTTTATAATAACAGTAATGAAAATTGTATTAATAATATGGGAGGATTAGGTATTTCTAAGTTTCCAAATTTTTTAAATTGTATTATGGGAGAAGTTTCTATAGAATTGATAATAAATCAGGTATGTGAGAAAGCTAAAAGATACAGAGCAGAATTTGTTAATACTGGTGGATATATTAATGGTATTTCAATTAATGATCTTTCTATGATGAATGGAGGAATTAATTTGAATATTTCTTCTTTTGAAAAAACTATTGGTAGTAAGTCGAGAAGAAGTTCATGGGCTGGATTCAATAATAATATTAAAACTAATATTGATACCAGTTCCATTCCTAACTTTGGAAACAAAGAAAAAAATTTCAATATTTCAACTTTAAAACAATTTAATCACCAAAGTGAATTATCTTTGGGAATATATGATTATGAAGAAATAACTGATTTATCTAAAGAGTTACTTTTAAGGCCAATATCTTTATTAAAATCTTGTTATCCAAGAGTCATCGTAATGACACAAACTACAAGATTACAACCAAAAGTTTTAAGTCTAACAAGGAGATTATGGCAGAATGGTGTAAGAAGTGAATATAGATTGTCACCAGTACGTTCTTTAGCAATTTTTTTGGAAAAGCTTAAAAGAGATACTTTGGTTGAGTTATTAATTGTTGTAATGTTTCAAAACAGTAATATTGGTTCTAATAGTGTAAATTATTTTCATTCATCATTGTGTAATTCAACATCAATAGGAATAGGAACAATGGGATTTGGAGGAGCACCAGGAGTATTAGGAGCACCAACTTTTGCAAATGGAGGAGTAACTATACCAATTGGTGGAATAGCAACAGTATCAGGAGCAGCAGCAGGAGCAACAGTAGGAGCAGCAACAGGAGCAGCAGGAACAATAGGAACAACTTCTGGAGCAGGAGTCTCAGCACTTTCAGGAATTTCTTCTTCTATGGTTGATGAGAGCCCAAGTCAATCTTATAGTAGTTCAAACATGATTAATCAAGATGGTTATAGTGGAGCTTATCTTGGGAATATTATTGGATCTTCATCTACATTAGGAGCTGTAACAGGAGTTGGAACATCTGCGTCAGGAACTACTACTACTACTACTACACCAACAGTAACAACAACTGCATCATTATTAGCAGGAACAACAACAACAACAACAATGGCAATAGCAGTAGGAGGAACAGGAATAGTACCAGCAACATCTCTATCAGGAACTGCAATTGGAACTGGAACATATGCATTAGGATCCTCAAATTCAACTGTTTCTGAATGTACTAAAAATAAGAATGTTATCTTTAGGATAGAACCAATTTCTGGCTTTTATTATGAAACAAATGCATTCAATAATATTAAAGTTATTATGGATAATGAAGAAAGTGTGGTAAATTATGTACTAACAAAAAGGAAAAAACAAATAATTAATTAATTAATTACCCAATAATTAACATAATCCTAATAATATTAACTCTCTAATAATAATTTATTTCAAGTCTAATTTGGTAATAAAAAAAAAAAAGTTGATATTTCTATCAAAAGTTCAATATATACCTAAAATAAGATTTTGAATATTTGGTAATAAATATTAAACATAAGTATGGTGTATAAATAATATAAATTATCCCATATCTAATATCAAGAAAATTAGTTAATTTCATACTTTTTTCCAACATTTAATGCACCAGATTGGTTATTATTATTGTTGTTACTACTATTACTGTTGTTGTTGCTGTTAATATTATTGTTATTATTATTATTACTATTATTATTACTATTACTTGAGAATCTACTAAATACATTTTGCAAAACAGCTTTGATTGAACTACTTTTATTGGTTTTATGAGAGCTTTTACTGGTTTGTAATTTGTTTTGATTATTAATAATACCATTTTGGTTGCTATTGTAATTGCAATTACTTTTTCTATGGCTATTTATATTATTATTACCACTATTTAAGCAGCTACTGCTTGTAATAATATTCCCTATAACAGGTATTTGTCTTTCAAATGAAAAACTATCTTCATTAATTGTAGCAGCATAATAAATGGAATTAAGATCTGGACTATTTCCAATACTTTCTAATAAAGATTCTGTTTGTTTTATTGGATCATGACTATTTAACATGGTATGATTCATTTTACCAGTATAGTAATTTCCAAATTCATTAATTATTTTTGGAGAATTATGGTAATTATTTTTTTCTTTAATTAAAAATGAATCTTTATTTTTATTATTAGAGGAAAAATCATAACAATTGGTTTCTTTTTCTTCAAGTTTACTAATACTTTCCTCTAATTCACAATTTATTCCTTTATTATTAATATGGTGATTAATGATATGGTAATTAATATGGTTAATATTATTTTTTTGAATCAATTTTTGTTCTTCATCTTCATCTTCAACTTCTGTTAACTTTTCACTAACACTATTGTTATTACTACTATTACAATAACTTCTGATTTTGCTGGGATTTTTACTAAGATTATAGTGTTGGTTATTTATATTACTTCCAAGTTTATTATTATTACTACTATTACTACCACTACTTTGTTGTATGGAGGAATTCTTTTTATTGGATTGATTTGAAGATGGAATAATTGCTGATCTTGGAGAAATTTTCATGGAATTTATTGATGAGGAAAATTGAGAATCTGTATATTCAAGGGAAGAAATTGAAACTGATGATTTATTATTTGTATTTTGATTATTTGAAGAATGGGAAGAATAAAATTTTCCATTAGCATAATTATTATTGGAGCATTTCTTAATTGGTGAATTTCTTGGAAAATTAGTTAAGCATGATGAATAATCATCTTGGAGAATGATATGATCATTTTGTCCATTAAATAAATATTGATCATGAGGTGAGCAAGTTGATAGAGTAATATTAACATTTATATTTCCATTTGATTTGACTATTTGATTGGAATGATCATTTTTATTATTATTACTATTATTATTATTATTATTATTATTATTATTATCACTATTTAGAGGTTGAGGTGAGGAATTTGGCTTAGATTGAGATGAAGATGAAGATGAAGAAGAAGAAGAAGAAGAAGAAGAAGAAGATGATGATGATGATGATGATGACGATGACGAAGAAGAGGATGACGAAGAAGATGATGAAGAATTGTAATTAGATTGGTTATTCACCAACATATTATTGTCATTGCAAGTTATCATTAGTCCAGGAGAAAGTTCAATCTTTTCAAACCAAGGATGATATATAGCTTGAGCAGCAGTACATCTGGATTCTGGATCTTTTGCCATCATCCATTTAATTAAATCTTTAACAGAAGATGATATATTCTTCCATCTAGAACTAGTAAATTGAACATTACCTTGAATATTCTTTTTAAGAATTTCTTTCATATTATTTCCAGGAAAAGGAGGAGATCCACCTAAAAGAGTATATAAAACAACACCAATAGAAAATACATCAACTTTTGTACTATATATTTTATCTTCTAAAATTTCTGGAGCAACATATCCAGGAGAACCACATCTCATTTTCATTGCTGGAGATCCAAGAGAAGCTGCTAATCCAAAATCAATAATTTTAAGTGATTCTGGACAATTTCTATTTTCCAAAATCAAATTTTCTGTTTTTAAATCTCTATGTACAACATTATTAGCATGAAGCCATTGAAGAGCTAAAAGAACTCTTTTCATAGCAATTTTTGCTTGATCTTCAGAATATGCACCTTTTTGAGCAATCCATTCAAAAAGTTCACCACCACCAAGAAATTCTAAAACTAAACAAACATGATCTTCTTCTTCAAATGAAGCAATAAAATGAACAATATGTGGATGATGTACTTTTCTTAATACTTCAATTTCTGTATATACATTGGATTCTTTAACTTTTTTCTTATCAACAGCTTTTAAAACAACATCTTCTCCAGTTATTACATTTTTACCTTTATATACTTTTGCAAAACTTCCTTCTCCTATTAATTTAGTGGTATGGAAAAGACTTCTAAAACTACATAAAGAAATTCCAATACTTGTAAAAAAATTACACCAAATATCAAAATCTATATGGCATTCAACTTCATACATATTAACTGAATTTGATGATATTTTTGATGGATTTTCTTCATTATTATGTGATTCAATATCTTTACAACCAGTAACAATACTATTATTAATCATTTTTGTATTATTTTTTTGATCATTTTTACTTTCTCCAACAATTTCAATGGTTTTATATTTGGATTCATTTTTAGGTCTAATACATATACATGGTCCTTTTTCTGTTACTCCTTTATATATATTACTATTTTTAAGATTAATAATTTCTTTTGGATGACGATCTTTTCCATGTTCAAAACATAATAATAATGGTGTATTATTAGTTATGGTCTTTACTATGGCTATATATTTTGTATTAATTGGAGTTACTTTCACATAATATTTTCTTCTAATTTCAATCTTTTTATTATTATTATCATTATTATTATTATTATTATTATTACTAATATTATTATTTATACGAGATGAAGATGAATTAGAGGATGAAGAAGATTGATTAGAACCAGTTGTTGCGACATTAACTAAATTATACTTTTTGGATTTTGTTTCATAATTACCTGAATTTGAAGAACTATTTTTAGATATTTTGGTACCGATATTAATTTTTTCTATTCCATTAACAATTTTGGAATACTCACCAATATTTGCAGAATGATGATTAATATGATTATTATTTATACTTGAAGATGATGAAAATACTTCAGGATATTGATTATGTAATTTTTGTTTATTATTTTTTAAATTGGATGTATAATTTGAAGATTTATATTTTTGTTTAAGTATTGAATCATTAATATTACTATTATATCCAGATCTATGATTATGATCATGTAAATTGTAATGATCATATTCATGATGAAAACATTCATTATTTTGATAATTATGATTATCAGTAACACCTTTTAAATGTATGGATTTATCTATAAGTATTCCATTTTGGTGTTGTATTTTTTTTAAAGATGAAGAAGAAGGTGATGATGAAATTTTCGTGGATTTTTTATCAGCTAAATTTGATTTTTTATAAGATTCCACTCCTTTAATCACATAATTCCCTTCTTTGGTTTCTCCAATTTCGCATATCATCAGAGAATTTTCTTCTTCTTTTTCTTACTCAATAATTGATCTTAAATTCAATATATATTTATTTTTAATCCTTTAACTTAATATTATTACAAAAAGAAAAAAAAAGAAGTTTCCTTAGTTCAAGTTGTAAGCTTTATATATACATTTATTTAATTTAACACAAATATTAATAATTTCCAATATAAATTAAATTTTCATTTTTCAGCTCAGAGTTTGGCTTGGATTTGGTTGTTGAATTGAATTAGATTTGATTAAATTGGATTTGTTTGGCTTGAATTGGAATGTCTTGGCCTGTCTTGACTTGGCTTGACTTGGCTTGGCTTAGCTTGGCTCGGCTCGGCTCGGCTCGGCTCGGCTCGGCTCGGCTTGACTCGGCTCAGCTCAGCTCAGCTTAGCTTTGCTCAGTTCAGCTCAGCTTAGTCAGCTTTTTCCTTCTTTAAATTAAGTTTTTGTTGATTTAATTTGCAGTTTTAACTAAAGTAAAAGAAATTGATAATATAAATCTATTTATAATGAATATGCAATTTATATTATAAATACTGATAATAGTATATATAATTTAATATAATGTAATTTAATATAATCCAAAATTTCTTAATAAACTAGTTTTATCTGGCAATCTTAATGAATCTATAAATAATAAAATTGATTGATATTAATGGTCTTTTCTTTTTTTCAATTTTAGTTTAATTTTTATTTTTGATTGCTTTATATATTAATTACTTGAGTAACTTAGAAATAGGTTACTTTATTTAATATATTAATAGTCAATATTATTATTATTATTATTATTGTTTTATATTTAATTAGAAATATTAATTCTTTCTTAATCTTTGCCTTTTCTGTCTTAATCCAAAATTAATTATTTCTATTTATAAAAACTTTTTTTAAAAAATTTTATTAATTATTTATTACATGTAATCTAAATATTAATTGAATTAAATATATGTAGTAATATATTTGTCTATATTTTTTTTTTTGTTTTGATTAATTATTATTACACATTTAATAAGGAAAATTCTACATATTTAAAGTTTTTTTTACTTTTTTTTAAAAAAAATATTAACACATTCCCTTTGTGTATTATTTATTACTAAAATTATTCATTGACATAATCTAATAATCAGATCTGACTATTTAATTAGACGTTACCTTTTTTTTTTTTTTTAATTATTTACGATACCTTTATTTATAATAATTATACTTAATAATTACGCATGTACCGTATGCTGCCTTTTGGCGCCATTTTTAGGCGGGTAATGTGCACTATATTTAATATTTGTTTAGATAAATAATTAAATAATGGCTTTAGGTATACATCTTAAAATTGAACTAAATAAGTTTGTCAAGAAAAAAGAAAAAAAAAAGTTATTATTGAAATAATTTATTATTTTCAGAGGGGAGAAAAGAGTTGGTATTATTATTTATTTAATTTTTTTTTTCTTTTACAAGGAGAAATAAAGAATAAGAATATTAAGAATAGAAAATAAACAATAAGTAAATAAGTGGTGGTACTTAAACTGGATTAGCATTAAAAATATCGCTTTTGAAATAAAATTTTTACATATAAAATTTATAATATATATTTAAATATTTAAGAAAAAAAAAAAAAAAACATTAATTTTTAATCACATTTTGGATTCAAGTGAAATGAAATTACTAAGTATTTTACTTTATAAATGGGATAAAGAACATCCTATCTTATTAACAAGCAATTATAATTTAGTTGATTATAATTTTTTTCAAAGAAAAACTATTCAAGAACATATAGCTTTTCATAGTAGATTATTATGTTCAAGAGTACAAGAAGGTAATAGAGTTACAGTAACTTTTCCACAAGATATTGGTAATTGTCATATATATATATCAAATAGTGGTCTTGGTATATGCTGTATTACAAGCCCTGACTATCCTGTTAGATGTGCTTTTTCCTTATTAAATGAATATCTAAAAGCATATATGGATTCTAAAAATCATGACACATTGATTTCTTTAGATTTGAATAATATTGTTCAAGATCAAAATGAATCAATTCCAGAATGTAATGAAATATTTAAAAAATACCAAGATCCTTTAAATAATGATAAAATTTTTAAAGTACAAAAAGATTTAGATGAAGTTAGAGATGTTATGCTTAAAAATATTGAAGATTTACTTCATCGTGGTGAAACCTTGGATACTCTTATGCAAAAAAGTTCAGATCTAAGTGCTGCTTCTTATCAATTTTATAGAACTGCTAAAAAAAATAACCAATGTTGTCAATTATATTAAAATTAGTATTTACATTTATTTATTAATGTATTCATTCCATCCCATTCTATTAAATTTTATTGAATTCTATGGAAGTTTATTGAATTCCAGTGAATCCTATTGAATCCTATTGAAGTTTATTGAATTCCAGTGAATCCTATTGAATTTTATTGAATCCCATTGAATTCCATTGAATTCCATTCCATCCCATTCCATTCCATTTCATCCCATTTCAATTTAAACTAATCAAATACATCGCTTAAAGTTAAAGCAAACATACTCATTAAGCAATTATTCTTAATATATTTTAAATTGACTTTGTCTTTAACTATATGATTATGATTATTGCTGTTATTATCCAATAATAGGTATTTCTCACATTTAATTCGATTAATAATATTGATATATTTATTATTATTAACAACTTTTTTTAATATTGATTTCTCCAAAACATCTTTTCCTCCTATTGTATTGTTTTTTAAATAATTTAAATCAAATTCAAATAATTTACTAATATTATTACTCTGATTATGATTGTTGTTATCAATTAAATTCTTACTATGTTTTAACCATAATTCTCTATTCTTCTCAGCCTGATCAAGTAATATTGTACTTTTAGGTATTATTCTAGATAATAATCTCCATTGTGGTATTACAATGAATTCTAAAAATCCTATTTGTGCTTCTATTTTTAAAACATCATCTTTTAAATCCATAAAAGGTGTTATAGGAAGACCAAATTGTGATTCTAATTTTGTTTGATTAGAAAATTCTTCTAATATTAATGATGCCCATTTTTTACATATTGGAAATGGAGTTAATGGATTAGAAATATCTGCTGCATGTAATATAATTTGTATTAAAAATTCTTTATCTATTTTAATCAATAATGCATTTTCGTCTAATTCTCCCAACATTTTTATATTAATATTATCATTATATAATTCATATTCATCTAAAATAATATTTTGATTATTACTTATTCTATCATTAGATGAAATAAATTCTTCCAAAGTTGATAGTAAATGATTATGACAATTCATATCAGTTGATAAAATTGATTTAATAAATATTCTTCTAAAACTCTTCTTTTCAATTTCATTAAAATTATTTCTTATATCTATATCTTTACATTGATCTAATAATGAAAATAAATAACTGCAATGATGATTTTCAAGTATTGAATTATCATTATATTTTAATGCCAATTTTGAATTAGAAATTGTTAAAAAATAATTATTTACACCAGGATGATCAATATCATGACATAATGCTGCAAATAATAATATAAATTTATTTAAATCATTTAATACCAACATAATACCAAAATTTCTTAATATAATATAACATGCTTGTACAACTTGTATTGCATGAAATATATTATGATAAGATGTATTAGAATTATAAGAATCATGTATTACATCAAATAATGTTAATAATTGTTTATGATTCCAATTCCATTTATTATCAAATCCAAAATATTTAAATAGATTTAATAAAAATTCTCTATGTATTGACCAACCATGTGCCCATATAGGAAGTCCCCATTCTCTATATAAAGTTAATAATGAATCAATTTTTAATTTATCATTATTATGATATAATTTGATTTCTTTTTTATATTCATCAACAGAACTCATTCTACAAAATATTTTTTGATGATTATCATCATATTGATTAATTTCATATTTTTCAGAATTATATCTTAAAGGTTCTCTGATTGATAATTCTTTGTTAATTTCATTATGATCAAAGTTAATATTTTCTTCATCATCTTTTTCTCTGTAATTATTAATATAATGATTTTCATTTAAGTTATCACTGAATAAGATATTATCATTTTTATAAAAACGATCATCTTCGTATTGTTTAAAATACTCATCTTCATAATAACTTACACTTTGACGATATTTTTCATTATCTTTTACTTTTTTCTTTTTTCTCCCTTTTTTTTTCTCTTCTTTTTCTTTTTCTTGTTTTTGTTTTTGTTTTTGTTTTTGTTCTTTTCCTTCTTCTTTCTCTTCTTCTTCTTCTTCTTCTTCTTCTTCTTCCTCCTCCTCCTCCTCTTCCTTTTCTTTATCTTCTTCTTCTTCTATATCTTTTATAAAATGATGATTTAAATTCAAAAAATCACTAGATATATTTGTATTAACTTCATTTGCATTTTCTTGTGAATTTTGAGTCACCAGAATTTTTTCACTATTAATTTCTTCATTAATTATATTCTTTTTAATACTTGAAATATCTATTGGTGAAAAAGAAGATTCTCTTGAATTTCTATTTTCATTTAAAATAATTTTATTAATATAATGATGAGGATTACAATTATGATTTTTGTATTTCTGCTCATCAAAATTCATTCCAAATAAATTGTTTAATGAAATAAATGTATTTGAATTATTTGTATATAACTGGTTAAAGTTTGGATCCCAAATAGATTTATAGTATAAATGAATGTTTAATGTCAATAATTGTTGATGAAAATCTTTCATTATTTGATTGACTAACATTCCGTATATATACAAATCTTTCTGTGAAAAGTCAATAATACTCGTGTTTGAAATTGTTCCATTTTCTGTTTCACATAAATCCCTTTCTTTTTCTTTCAATTGAATATTATCACCAGTACTCGGTCTTAAATAATCTATAGTGTTTACACGTTTCATTAGTAGGGATGATGAAGAGGAGGAGGAGGAGGAGGATGATGATGATGATGATGATGATGATGATGAAGAGGAAGAGGAGGAAGAGGAGGAAGAGAAAGAAGAAGAAGTGAGTGATGGCTTGAGTGATTGTGATGAATTAATAGATTGCCTATGATTCCTTTTACGAGCAAAACTTATGGAATTTAACGAAGAATTTGAAGATTTTGCTAAATCACTGTTTGAAGTCTTTAAGTTAATTAATGAATTAACATAATCATCTGAGGATATTGAATTATCTTCACGTATTGCTCCATTTGATGAAACTGTATTTGCTCTTCTAATAATTGAGTTGCCACTACCGCTTCCACTACCACTAGAATAACTATCAAAAGTACCCATTACTCTTCTACAAGATTTTTTCCCTGGTAAAATATTAGAATGAGTGCTCATAACAGATGACTTATCGGCCCATAAATTCTTCTCAGTTATAGTAAAATTAAATTTCTTCTGTTCATTATTACTGAAAGAATAACCATCTTTAGTTCTATTAATTAATTGAATTATTATACTAATATTCTCATTTTTATTATAAATAGGTATAAATGTGGTATTTTTTAAATTAATATGGTAATTTGTAAATCTCTTTTCAGAATTTATAAACATATTTGAAAAATCATTTACTTCATTGCATATACTTACACATTTATTTTTGATCAATTTAAAAATTAAATAATTTCTTGAACAAAGACGTAATCCTATAAATTGTTTTGGGCCGTAAATACAAACATATTCATGACTAGATTCCATTACATAAACTAGTGTACATTGAACTGGAGTAAATTTATTAATTAATAAACATAATCTTGAAATAACTTCCATAGATACTGTCCAATCCCAGTTTTCTGCATGCCTTCTATTTAATAATAACGGTTTAAATACCCATCTATATAACTCATAATTTAAATTTAACTGTATTGTATTGAATAATAATCTTTTATAATCTAAAAATAAGCAAACAATTGCTTGTATTTCTGTGATCAAACTTCTTAATAATATTATGTTTGGATTTTGTGGTTGCAAGCAAATCACTATCCCAATAATTTTTGATTTTTGATTTGGATCCTTATCTTTATCTTTTTGAACTCTTGTATCAATGATTGGACAAGTAATAACAGGAATTTTAAAGTTACTATATCTTTGATAATGATTAGAAATACCAATTTCAATATCAGAAAATTCTGAATTTAAAACTATATCATTATTTTTTCCATTATTAAAATTGACATTTTTATTTTTATCACATATACAACACCTATTAATTATTCCATCATTAATGGATGGAGGAGAAACCAATATTACAGGACAATCACTCATTTTATCAGATATTTCTTCATTTAATTTATTATTTTGAATTATTTCAATTCCTGAATTTCTTCTCGAAATATTTTGATTTTGATTATGATGATTAATTGTATCATAATTTAATGGTTCATTGGTTTCTGAATTTTTAAATTCTGATTTTGTAATATATTTATTATTATATACATGAAAATGACAAGAATCCATATTACTATTTGTAGAAAATTCATTTTTAATTATTTCCATTTTACTTTTTTTAAATATTAAATCTTCACTAGTTTTATTATCATAATATATGTGTCCATTTCCATAATTACCATTAACTCCTCCAAAACCAAAACCAGAATCATTTAATGAAGAAAGTGATGACGATAAATTTGAAGAATTGGATGATGATGACGAGGCTAATTTCATGTTTTGAAGACAGATCGGACATTGAGTAGCTGTTGCAATGTCACATGGTAATTGTTCAGCATCTTTTAACTTATTATAAAAGTATAAACCAAATGATATATCAACATTTTGAATAGAATTATTTGATAATTCATTTTCCTTATTCTTATTCCTGTCTTTATTATTATTATTATTATTATTATTATTATTATTATTATTATTATTCTTATTATTATTGTAATTAATATTTATTTCATCTTCTTTAATATAATTCGATTTTATTATATAATCACATATATTTGAAGAATAATTAAAATAGAAAAAGTTCTGTTTTTGGCTTTGTGATAATAATTGATTTAAAAAACTCTTCTTTTGATTATCTTGATGAGATGATAATGATACTGATGATACAATATTATTCTTATTCTTTCCAAAATATTCATTTTCAATCATGTTTTCATTTTTCATAGAAAATCTTAACAAATCATACTCAGTTCCAGTATTTTTACAATCAATTTCAACCTTTTCATTATATGTAGTTATATTATTGTCTATACAAAACGTATTATTGTAAATATCTTGATTTGAATGATTATTTTCTCTATTAGCTATTGATAATGGTGGAAATGTTGCTCTTCTATTGATTATATTATCTTTAGACCCAGTAGAAAAAGTTAATCTTTGAAATTTGTTAGTATTATTTACAGGATTTTTTATTAAAGATGATATAATTTCAGATTTTCTTTTTTCTTGAAAATTTAACATTGAAGAAGAATTAGATGTAAAATTTGAATAAAGATTATTATCACTTTTTTGAATTGGACCATCCACATTAAGATGATTATGGTAATTATTAATTATACTCTTAGATTGTCCAGGTTCTCCCATTGTCTTAAGTTTAAAATGAGAACATTTATGTTCATTATGTACACATGTAGTTTTATAATCAACCCATTTATTTGTTAAACTCTTCGGTATATATGAACTCCATGTTCCTTTAGATGGAAATGAACCGATTAATTCATCAGTTTCATCATCATATAATAATACTATAGACAAAGGTGTTTGAAATAATATTGAAGAATATATACTTAATAATTTACATAACTCATAACCATCCATTTGTGGTGTTAAATATTTTTCAAAATGTCTTCTAACTGCATTACATTTTCTTTCACATAGGAATTCATCATTGTTATCATCCGCAATATTATTTGAAGATAAAGAAGAATTAATAGACGTCGGAGTTAATCTTCTCCTCATTGTACTTAGTAGTAAATTTCCATCATTATTATGATGATTATTAGCTTCTGGGCTACAATATAAATTTGAACTTTCTGCAATATTTGAAAGTGAATGATTTTGTATACATCCAAAACTACTTCCTCTGTGGCATACTGATAATGATTGAGATACACTGTTATTGTTGAAATTATTACTTATAAATGATAAATTACCTCCATATCTTTCTATTTGTTTTAATTCATCAAATAATTCATGCAAATTATGATTTGTACACTGTTGATAATTATTTGTTTCACCAAATAGCAATGGTAACAATGATATCTTTTTGAAATGACCAAAATCTGACTTTTGTAATATTGGTGATACTGTAGACGATAATGATCGAGATTCTAATGAAAAAAGAGAATTAGATGTACTTGTAAAAAAACCAAAAGATGAATTAGTTGATGAAGAGGAAGAAGATGATGGATTTTGTAATATTGGCACTGAATCCATAAATTTTTCTTTACTTCCTCCTGTAGAAGATAATTTTATTGAATCTTGGGAACAGCGTCCATTTAATGAAAAGTTATTCTTATACTCCATTTTTCATTTATTATTTAAATTATTTTATTCAATTAATAATTACCATAAATTTTTATTAAAAAAAATCAAGAATATTTATTTTTTGGTATAATATTTTGGATTTCTTTTTAATGAAATATTCTTTTAATTATATTTTTAATTATATTATCACATGAATTATTAGTTGATTTATTAAATTAGAATAATAACATTACTCTTCAATCAATAGTAATGATTTTATTATGGAATCACTTTTTATAGAGATCTAACTTCTAAATGTAATTTTTAACAATATTCAGGTTTCATTGGATTACCATTTATTATTATTTTTTTAATATCACACATAAATAATGTAAAAATTATTCATATAATATATTTACAACTTTTTTTTCTTTTTAATTATTAATTTGAATCTTTGTTCTATGCCCACAATATTATTTACTTATACATGTTTTTTTTTTTTTTTTTTCTCAAGTCTACTTAAAATTACCTTGTAAATAACCCATTTGTTAATTAAAATATACCCGCCTCAATTAAATTTTATTTTTAATAAAAAATTCTAGAGCGCCTTAATCTTTTTATTAATTTTTTATTAATAAAAAAAACTTGATTAGTTTTACTCTAAATTTTTTTTTTTGAGATAAATTTTACTTGATGACTTTTCCTCTTTTTTAATAGAATTTATATACAAAAGAACATTGAGATTATTTTATTATTTCGGGAAAAAAAACCTTTAATCCCGATAAATAAATTATTGATTTTATATTAGGTATATCATTACATAAGAACCATATGGCATGAAACTTGTTCCAATCAATGTTTATTTTTTAATTAAATTTAATCAAAAAAAAATGATTAACCTTATTTATCATTTTATTTTTATTAAAAGATTTATTTTAATTATATTAACTTCTTTTTTTTTCATCTGCATGTACTGCATGCAATTATGTGGACAAAAAAAAAACACGACTACGTGTATAATAGTGTAATGAAATATATACCGGCGATTTTAAATAATTGTATAATGTAATTTATGATTTGTTAGTAACAATAATAATATTAATTTTGTCAAGCAAGAAGCTAAAATTTAATTAATATGCATTAATTGGCTTGTTTAAAAAAATGAACATAAATATAGTATATAAAAAATAGAATAAGTTCTTGTATCTTTATATAGATTGTTTTTATTATTAATTGAATTCATGGTAAATTAAGAAATTGTCTAATTGTTTCCAAATTATTGTGTAAACTTTGTTTTTATTTAATTTACAATTAATCTACAAAATAAAGAGAAATTTATCCAAATATATTTAAAAAAAATGTAATATTTATTAGCTATATATTTATCTTATTATTTCAATTATTAATTTAATTGTCTCGAAAATATTAAATTTCATTTTTGGCGCCAATGTCCAAATACTTATATATATACTAGTGCCTCAATGGTGAAGAATAGATATCTGTATTTAGAACAGAAAAAAAAAGAGAAACATAAAGATAATAGATAATAATCACAACTATATTATTATTATCAAATTCAATATTTGTTAAATGTTTATTTAAAACAGTAATATGATCATTTAACATATTATTAATCTATCAGATTAATTGATCAGTCACTTCAGTTCAAGTACTTTTAGAGAATAATTGACGGAGTTACATTACTAACAAATTCAAATATAAATACATATTATATCCAGAACAATTTTATAAGGAAATAATAATAATTATTATTATAAGAGAAAATGAATAAATTGATATTGAGTAAGATTTTGTCTTTTATTTCTGTTATTTTTGTTGGTGGTATTGGAGTATATATCCCAATATATATAGGATATTTGAATCCTATTTTTTTGCAATACATTAATGTTTTTGCAGGAGGAACACTTTTAACTTTGTCTCTTTGTCACCTTATACCAGAGGCTGAAGAAATTGTTAGAGCAAATAACATTAGTTTGAAATTTATTGGAGTCGAAATTCCTATCGTTGCTTATCTTACTTTATTTGGACTTACAATTATTCTATTCTTTGAAAAAGCACTTTTTTCACCGCAAACTGTTGCTCAATTTCACATGCATGATCATTCATTCCCACACAATAGAGACCATCATCATCACCATCATAAGGATCCTGGATGTGTTGGAATGAATAATAGTAATAGGCAATCAACAACTAATAGTGATAAAAATAAAAATAATCGCAATCATAACAATAACTTCAATTCTACATATCCTTCAAATGGTAGATCTGGTTCAAACGCAATTATTCCAATTAATTCACAAACTTGTGAAACTAATAATTTTAATATGTCTTTTGAAGAGTCTGATTCCAGAAACCTTGGAATAAAATTACCCTTAATTGATTCATCAGATTCTCATGATGAAGAATCTATTAATAACCAACATCATGACGTTTCTTCCTCAGATATTTCTAGTCAAGATTCAGATATTCAAAAGTCTAACCCTAGTTCAACGTTAAATGTTTACTTTCTTGTTTCTGCATTATCAGTTCACGCCATTTTTGAGGGAATGCTTGTTGGAATTTCCAAAAACCATATTTCTGTTATGACGATTACTCTAGTAATTATTGCACATAAATGGGTTGAAGGAATTGCTGTCTCTGCAGGTATTAAGAAACATCCAGAGATTTCCAAAGCTATAATTAATCAACTCTTGGTATCTTTTATACTCATGTCTCCATTAGGCATAATTATTGGACAATTATTCTCATTTATGAATAGTCCTATAATTAATGTATTCCTTACATGTATATCATCAGGTGCTTTATTATATGTTGCTCTTGGAGAAATGGTACTTGATGAGTTTAATTGTGGTGAAAACAGAAAGCAAAAGTTTATTCTTTTTCTTTTTGGCATCTTCCTTGTTTCTGTAATTAATATTATTCAACACAAACTTGGAGGATGTACATTACACTATAACCATCATCATCACCATCATCATCATCACCACCACCATAACTCGCATATACATACACACTAATTTTATGAATTTTTTCCAAATATTTTTTAATATCATTCAAAAATCGAACAATTATTCATTTTTTTATATGGATAAATATATATTATACTTTATTCATAAATTTCATCACCTTCTCTATAATTCAAAATTTTGTTCAATTGATAAATATATAAATAATTCCAGCCTTTTCTATTTAATATAGTATATTCAATTATCAATAAATTATAATATTATTTACTAGTTTCATTATTTTTATTTATTTGTTGTCTTTGTTATTTTGAAAAAGGAGTTTAGTGTTTGTTGTTTACTTGTACCAGAATTCGTATTTGAACTCAAAGAATGAGACTTCTTTCCTTTGTTTGGTTTTTTTAATGTAGCATTATCATTATTTCCAAGATTTTTCTCTCCCAATTTTGAGATTTTATTTTCTTTCTCCATTACAAAATCTACATCGTCTTCAACAACTAGATAACCTGTCTTCGCATCCTTATACATTCTCTCTTTTCTTACCTTGCTTTGTATAATTGGTTCAACTTCTAAAGGATCAAATTCTATCTTATCTTTATCATCTTTGTTATCTTCATTATTATCACTACATATTTTTAATTTAGTAGTTTTTCTTCTTTTCACTGGTTTCAATTTATTATCTTCATTTTGGACAAATTCATCAGTAATACTTATGTTTTCATTTTCTTCATCTTTAAATAAGTTAATCACATCTTCATTTTCATCAACCTTGTTATGTTCTTTTTTTGTACCTAATTCCGATACATCAACTTTGTTATCTTTAATATTAATAACTTTATTCTCATTCTTAAATTCATGTTTCATAGGATAAGGATCAGTATTGTTTTCAATATCCATGGAATGATCATTCTCCTTTTTCTTTTCATTTTCAACGCTTATATTCTCCCTTATAGATGACTTAATTCTATCCTGAGATCCTTTACCATTATTAAATAATAAAGGATATGGCTCAGTTTTACATTTTACTTCTGAATGCTCCAAGTTAGTGAAATTGGAACTAGTAATAGATTCTCTAGATAGATAAGACTTTGTGTTACTTATATTTGAAAATCTTGAAATCCATAATTTATCTGATAAAGAATTCTTTGCTTTTATTGACTTATAAATATCATCACATTCTATTTGAAATTGTGATAAATTTAATCTTAAATTACTTTCTTGTTGCAATTTTTCATGGCTTTTTCTTGAAACTATTCCATATATATTCGAATTATCAACTTTTAATCCATTTAATGGCAAATCTGAATCATAAACTAACTTGTATGTAATTTTATCAGATAATACATCACCCATTAATAAATATACTATCTCTGCTCCTAAATCTTTTTTCTCATCAAGTAGGTATTTGACAAATAACTTCAAAATATCTCTACATATTTCCAAATTCTCAAATTTAGGACTATGGTTGCATAAACTATAAATTGACCAAATCTGTTGTGTTTGAGAACTTTTTAAAAGATCTTCCAAAATATGAAATTGCTCTCTGTACATTTTTAATTTCTATCAAAAAATAAATCTGTCGTATTTACTTTACTTCAACTTTCTGTATATTAGATGAACTATGCGTTGATTTCCTCTTAACTATATAATATATCATTCATAAACCAAATTTCGTATTTAAATTTTGTCTATTTATCATTGTTTGATAAGAAAGATTATATATATTGTTTTTCACTCCCTTTAATCTCACACTCCAGTTGATAACTACTTATGTGGGCAACTTTACCGCCAAATTTTGTTTATTTAATTTTGTAGAATTAAATGCTATAATTGTATTTTATTAAATTATTATTTTTTTAAGTTAATTAATAAAATTACAAATATTGCACTTTCTGTGATAAATATTGGGAACATTGATTCTTGTATTTGGTTGGATTAAATGTTTATTTTTACCATTTTACTGTAATACTAATATTTATTTTGTTTTGAACTTTAGCAATTAAAATTGGTATCACCATAATTTTAAAATTATTATTGTTAATATTATTACTTAATTAATTATACTATTAATTTATAAAATTTAATCAACAATGGATTTTTTTGAGTACATGAATATTTTTTACCTTTTAACATTGTACACAATTCAAGGTCTTCCCATGGGTATTAGTCATTCCATTCCATTCCTCATACAAGGTAAAGTATCTTATACAGAACAAAGTATGTTTGGAATGGTTGTTATTCCATTCTCGATTAAGTTACTTTGGGCACCTCTAGTAGATTCAGTATATATTGAAAAGATGGGAAAGCGAAAAACATGGATTATTCCAACTCAACTTATATGTAGTATTCTCATGATTATTGGTAGTTATAGTCCGTTTCTTCCAACTTGGTTATGTGAAAGAGTAGATATCTCAAATTTAACTGGTAAATCTACGCCAAACGTTATTTTACTGACAATTTACTTTTCAATTTTGTACTTTTTAATGGCTACCCAAGATATTGCAGTGGACGCTTGGGCAATAAGTCTACTTTCCCCTCAACATAGGAGTTTAGCATCAACTTGTAACATTATTGGGCAATCTTTCGGTTATATTACATCATATTTAGGATTTTTATTCCTAAATGATGCAAAAATATGCAATAAATATGTTCGTCCTTTATTTGGATTAGAAATTGTTGAGGATAAGCCAATATGTGAGATGAGTCAATTTATTTATTTCTGGGGTATAGTTATATTATTAGTTACTATAATTACTGGAATCATAAAAAAAGAAGATGATTCTTACATAAAAACAATTGATAATAAAAAAGATGATGATCATACTCAAGAGAATCAAAAAAGCGAGTTAACTATTAAACAAGCTTATTTTCTTTTATATAAAATTTTAATATTGAAACCAGTAATTTTACTAATAATTCTGTTATTCATTATTAGAGTACCATCAGCAGTAACTGAATCATCTCTGGAATTTAAATTAATGGAGTTTGGCATGAAAAAGAGTGATATTATGCTTATTGGACCAATTTTGATTCCGTTTAGTTTTATCACACCATTTATTATGACAAAATTTGTTTCTAAAGGGAAAATGCCACTAAAATTGCTAAATATAATATTACCATTGAAAGTTTTACTCTCACTGCTTTCTTGTATGTTTTTGATTTGGTCCAGAATGATCTATAAACCATGGATTGATAAACAAGAACTCATTGAAACACCACCTTTATTTTACTATAGTTATTTGGCTTTGTCAATTTTTTCCTCCATTTTATGTGATTCGCAATCACTAATATTTATGACCCTCTTCAATTTAATTTCAGATGTCAGGTTTGCTGGAACTTATATTACTTTGTTTAATACAATAAATAATTTAGGATATAAGTGGCCAACAAGTCTTAGTTTATGGCTTTTGGATTATACAAATTTTAACTATTGTGAATTAAATAAAAATCAAGTTGAATATAGTAAATTTTCAAATTATTTTCTTTTACTAATTGGGAATCCATGCAAAATTGATTCCTTCTTTATACAATTTACATTTGCTTTTATTTTCGGAATAATTGCAATTTTATTCATTTTCCCATCAATTATTTACAGAATTGAGAAATTTAATTTGAATGATTGGAAAGTTAAAAATATGAACACATCAGAATCTTTAATTGAAAAGAAGAATAAATAAAATATTTTAAGGATTTCTTCAATCTTGATATCATATTATATAATTAATCTGAATACTCTTATCTAATTGATTTTTGATTTACTTTCTATTATGAAATTATTTTATCAATTAATATTTTATTTTGCATGTAGTTATTATTTTATTGTTGCTAATTTTTTGTGCATATGCTGCTTTCAAAATTTGTTAATTATGACGTAATAATTACGTGTCAAATTTTATTAAAAAAAATTTCTATACCGGTATAACAAAAAAATTTCCACATAAAATAATAATAATAAATTTAGAAATATTTATTAAAAAAATTCCTTGTTATTTTGAGTTTCATGGAAAAACTGGAATATTCTTCAAAAGAAGACGACATATTATCAAGGTTTTTAAATGTTATATTTAAAAAAGAATCAGGTTTTTTGTATGTAACGAGGAACAATTTAATATGGATTTCAGACAAAATTAATTCCCAGCCATTCGAAAATATTAGTGCATTAAAAGAAAATTATTCAAAAATTATCTCACCCACTGAAAATAATTTAAATTACAATGATGAAGTTTCTATAAATAAAAATAGTGTAAATCTAGAAAATGATTTTGTTGTAGAATTATGGAAAAATCTGTATGCACATAGAAAGAGAGAAGATAAACGTTTAGTTGGATTAAGGTTTGAGAATAAAGAAGTTAAAAACAAGCCTAAACCAGTTATATTTATTGATGTTAATCTTACATTGAATTCCAATGATGACTTTAATAATTTTTTAAAATTAATGACAGAATGCCACAACAAGGCTATTGAAAGATGTAAACAACTTCAAGAACTTTTAGAAAAAAAAAAATCCGAAAAATTTACCTCAATTGAAAATAAGATATTAGAATTTAGTAAAGTTGACAAAAATGACAATAAAAGAATAGTCATAGAAAGAAAAGTTAAACCGAAAGAACATCATTCAATATATGATGATCTGAAACAATTATTACAATATAAACCTGAATTGGATAATATCTATAAGAGCCTAGTACTAACAGGAAGTATTTCATTAGAATCTTTTATTGAAATACATCGTCAAGATATACTTCTATCAAAAACACAAGAAAAAGGAGTCGAAAATTCAGATTTTTTTTTGAAAAAACCACCAAAAGTTACTATTACAAATTCTGGAGGTATTGATGTAACAATTACTGCTGATGATCTAAAATCAATTCTTGAGGAAATGCCATCAATAAAAACAAAAATTAAAGAATATGTTCCCCACCGCTTAACAGAAGAAGAATTTTGGAATCGTATTATACAATCTCCACTATTTTTTGATTTACTTGGTCAAAAAAATATTCTGGTAAATAATAGCGATACATTAATGATTGGTGAGATTCCCAAAGGAGAAGAATTATTATGTGAGTTAAATACACTTAATGATAACAAATATTCGAATGGAATAAGTGAATTACTTGGGAATTATGTTAGTTCTGAAATTAATCTCTTAAATAATGATACTTATAATAAAACAGGATATGGTACATTAATTAATAATGATTTAAATATTGCATCTGAAAAAAGTGCAAATATTAATACTGGATTTTTTGAAAGATTTAATTGTCATGGAGCTAAAATTCTTGAATTTACAACTGGTAATAATGAAATATTTAACAGGCAAAATGAAATTGATTTAGAATATTCTCAAGATTATTTACAAACTGAACCAAAAACAACTATTGCAAATAATAGCCAGCTTTTGGATATTAATCCTGTTAATTTCTTCTCATCATCTAGAAATAAATTTGATAATGAAATAAAAAAAGAAAAGGATAATAATATTAAAGGTGTCAAATTTAATTCAAAAAAAAGAAACAAAAATACCCAAGACTATAGTTCTTTATTTAATAACCAAATTTCGAGGAATATATTAATTAATTGTACAAAACAGATACAATATGAGCAAATTAATCAACTTGGGTTGTTTAATAAACATAATTTAATACAACAAAAGAGTAGTGAGTTCGATTCAGAAAATCTGAGTCTTCTATTTCAAAAGAATTCTGAATCCAATGACATTAATAAAATTAAAGAAGAAAAACCGATTTGGATGCAACAAATACATCATGAGCACATACAAGTTATTGAATTATTAAAGTATTTTTGGGGATTATCATTGTCTCCAAAAGACAATGATGAAAGAAGAAAAACAATCGAATCTCTAAATAAAATTACTCATAATATTGAATTACTTGTGCATGATAATAAAAACATCTCAGCATCTTCATTAAGTACATTTGGGCAGTCTTCAAATACCATAAGAAGTATATGTTTGCCTATTTTGGAAACAATTAAATCAGCACGTAATTTCCATATTAAATTAGAAGAAATAATTAATTCACTATCAATTAATAAGTAAAAGTCTAAAATTATTCTTCATATTTAATTTAATTTAATAATACTACCATACAAACTTGATTATCAGTTACACCTCTAAGTAAAGATTCAGTTACAATAGAATGAGAAATAATTGTTGAAATAATTTGTTTATTAAGTGTTGGATATTTACTATATATCTCATTCAAGATACTTAAAATCATTTCATTTAACTCCTCTTCTTGAAAGACCTGCCAAATACTATCTGTTGCAATTACAATGAATCTATCATACTCTGAAATAAGATCAATACTAATTACTTGTGGTACATTATCAACTTCAAACTTATTTTTGAATGGAGGCTTATAAAATCCGAATCCTATGGCACTATTTGCAATATTTTCATTTTGGATAAAATTCATTTCAGATATCATATTATTGTGATAATCTTCATTTTGAAATTTTAATATCTCATTATTTCTTGAAAGAAATCCTTTACACCTACCTAAGTTACAAGAAAATAACACATAATTATTATCCAATTTCGAATGAAAAATAAAACATGATATTAAACCTGATCCAACATTCAAGGAGTCCTTAGTTGAATTTGTGAGTACCTTTTTATCAATAGATAAAATGGTTTTTAGGAAAATCTTGGCTAGATTGTATTTATTTAAACAACTTTCATTATCAATATTTACATCAAATTCTGAAACTAAAAGATTTTCAAGTTGTGATGTAATTTTGTCACCATTATATGAATCTAAAATACCAAAAAAAGATCCACTAGATAATTTTGAAATAAACCAACGATCATCCATTGTATTATTCATTCCTTGTTCAAACCAATATCCTATACCTTTAATTGGAGTATCAAATTGAAATACATTATTTAATGTTTCATAACTAATATTACCATTAATTTCAAATTCTGGTTGATTTTCGATTATATTAATTATTCTATTCATTTCATCTTTATTATATTCTTGGATAATATTCTTTATATCATTCAATTCTAAAGAGTATTTCTTAAATATGGTTGAATGGCCAGTCTCGATTATATTGTTTACCCCCTCAATAAAATGTTTCCCTATATTACTTAAGATATCTTGAACATTTATTTCTTTATTACTTTTATCTAATTTCTGGTCTATTACCGAGAGAATATTTTGGTTTCTTATTTTCGTTACCTCATTCTCTAATTTGTCCAGTTTTTTGAATATGGAATTTCTTAATTGATCAATTTCATCCTCTTTACTTACTTTAATTGTATCTGCTTCAAGCCCTAAATCCATTTTATTGAGTAAATCCTTATATTCTGAAAATTCATTTTTTAAACCATTTTCTTCACATTCTATTTTATGATTATCTTCTTTTTTCTTACTTTGGATATTTGGTTCTTTATTAATTCTTGTCTCAAGAATTTTGTCAGTACATTTTAAATTGATCAATTCATTACTTTGCTCTTCAGAAGTTAATCCATTTTCAATGCAATCATTATCACTACATTCTTCTATTTTTAATTCATTAGATTTATTCCATAACTCTGGAGATCCTTCTTCCCAGTCACTATCATTATTATTATTATAAATTTGTTCTTCATCATAATCATCTTCTTCTAAGTCATAATCATCGGACTCTAAAACTGCATTGATTGTTATTATTTGATTTTTAAATAAATCTTTTTTATATATATCAAAAAAACCTTCTTCAATAAGTTTTGGTGTATGAATTCTTGAATTTGATCTACTTTTGGTAAATATCTTAAATTTCATTATGAATAAACTAAATTAAGAGAATAAATTATCTAAAATGTTAATTATAGTTCATTTGCTACAGCTATATATATACATGCATAACATATATTTTCAAAAAAGTGTGGAGAATTATATAAATAAAAGTTAATAAATAAAGCTTATAATAAGTAATAACTTAATATTAACTATTTGGATGTGAAGGCTCTACTATTTCTGAATTTGGTAATACAAATCCACAAAACTTATTCTCCCTTAAATTTCTCTCTGAAAGATATTCATGTGGGATTAGTGACAAATATTGGACAATATATCCGATTGTTGCTATAATAATCAATATCAAAGTAGTAGTGATTCCTGCTAATCCATAACAATCTTCATATGGAATACACTTATTCTATAAAAAGATATTTAGTCGTCCAAGTAAATTCAATATTAATTAATATAATTCACTTACCACTATTTTACATTCACATATAGAACTATTAATTTGATCTTTTTCATTATTGTCTAGACTACTTGATGTATCCTTTATATTTAATACATTTATATTCAAATTATCATGGTTATTAGGTATTTTTAATTCTATTTTATCAACATTACTTTTATTATCATTACTAATATTCACCGAATTTTGTTTATAGATTGTCCCCATATTATCTATAAAAATATTTACTTTGCTTCCAAGAATCATTTGTATTACTGAAAAATAGAAAATGATAGTTATATAAAAATTTAATAACAAAGCATTTTTTCTTTTCATTTTTATTACTAAATAATTGAATATGAAAAATAATAATATTAAAATAAATATATGCTATTATTTAGATCACAAAAGTAATTTTCATAATCTCCAAAAAACAAGGATGATAAATAATTTACATGTCTAACTCTTTTTTTTTTTACTATTTTTAGTCATTACGTTTTTTATTTATTTTTTGTTACGTATAATTTTTAAATACCGGTATTTATTTGCATTAAAAATTTTTTTTTAAAATGTGGCGCCAAAATGTGCATGTATCAAATTTTAAATAATTATTTTAATAATTTATGTTAGTATTATATTGACCTTAAGAGTGGGAATTAAAAAAAAAAAATAAAGGAATAATTACTAGAATTAAATAAAAAAAAAATAAAGTTTATATAATAAAATGTTTATAACCTATTTTTATATTAATAATGAACTAGAAAAATGTTAATAGAGAAATACCTTTTAATTACAATGAAATAAACAAATTAATTTGTATTTGCATGCAAAAAAAAAATTGGATTTCTATCCCCCCTCCCCCCACTATGCCAGGCCGGTATGGCAAAACTGACTACAAGTGCATGTAAACACCGGTATATGAGAAGCCTTGCAGTTAATTAAATTCTCAAAAAAAAAGTTATCCACATGACGTATTAATTTTTATAGAATTGATATTTTAAAAAAAAAAAAAAAAAGAAAAGAAAATAACAAAAAATATTAATTCAATAATATAATATTAGTAATAGTAAATAAAGAATAAAAAATAAGAGTTAATAGGAAAAAAAATAAAGTATGAGAATAAAAATATTCTTCTTAATACAGATATTGGTATTAATTGCGTGTGTGAAAGGAGAATTAAGAAGAAATGAATTGAATCAAAAAAATGAGTATATATTGGTTAATAGTGATGGCCCTCAAGTTCCAGTTGTAACAGAAACAAAGATTCCAATAAGATATCCAAGATTTCCAGCTCAAAAAATGAGAACGAGCCATTCGAAATTAGAAGAATTATCCCAAAAATATCTAAATCCAATGATGAAAATCCCGGAATTAAATTATCAATATTTATCATCAACAATGAGTAGATTTATGACTATCATTCTTTCATTATTAGTTATACCATTTTCACTGCTATCATTATTCGGAGATACTGGAGATTTAATTTTTGCACAATTTGGATGTATTAGTGGTATATTTGGCTTTACTATGGGAATGATGGTTTTCGGAGGATTTGCTTCAGATATAATAGCAATCATATTTTCAATTATTATTGGTTTTGCAAATATTTATAGCACTTTAAAACTAACGAAAGTTAGAGAAATGCCATTTGTATCGATTTTGTTCTTTTGTTTCCTGCTTTCAAATTTAATCTATCAATTATTAGCAGGAATTCCAAACTATTCTATAAATCCATTATATACAGGGCTAAGCGGTGCATTATTAATGAGAATATCCATTATGTTTGGTTACAAATTCCAAAATCTCACATTATTTATTATGGCACTCAAATTCTTTTACATTACTATTGTTCTTTGCATGGCCTCTTTGATCTATTTTATTTTACCATCAAGTCTAAAAAAAGTAACAGGTAATGAAAAACAAACTGATGAAGAAATTTCAAGTCTACAAAAATATACACAAAGTATATCTTCATTTATATTAACATTTCCAATTGTATCATTTATCAGCCAAATCTTATATGTATTTGGAATATTCTCCACATCTCCATTTGATATGCTCAGTTTCTTTTACATTCCTTCTCAGCTTCATTTTAATTATTATTCAACTTCAGTTCTTCTTGCAGTATGGATATCTTTGACTGTATCTGTATTCCTATTTAGAACCAAAATTTCAAACAGAGATTCTTATCAGCCCAAATTTGTTAAATCACTTATTTCTGATCACTGGAAAGTACAAGAATTGTAATGAAAACCATATATTACTATTAATTTCAAAATAAGAAAGAATATAGTTAAAAGAATCTGAAGAATAATTTATCCAACGATTTATATTGTTTGATTAATCAATTCAAAATCTCAATAGATCCTTTACATATATAATATATATATTCTCATAAAAAATTTAATTATACTCCATCATATTATATTGTCTACCTACCTCGGACAAAAAAAAACTTTGATTTAATATCTGTGTTTAATGGTTGGTTGGTTGATTTTTAAGTGGTTTCTTATCAATACATTCGCATATCTACTATTAAGGACAACAAGTAAAGGATAGGAATTACGGTATTGATTGCTTTATTGATTGATTGAAAGGTAATGAGGTAAAGAAGGAGTGATGAAATATTTCTTGAATCAAGATGAGGTACTTATTGCCAAGACTCTATGTTGAGGAATAAGTGGATGAAGAGGATTAGGAATATAATATAGGTAGAAGAGGAAGGGAAGAAAAAAAAGATAATACCAAGTATTACATCAAATCACAAAATTAGTGATAATTATAATAATATAATTATTAATAGTAATATTAATAAAGTGAGAAATAACTTCACTATTTCCAGAAATATATTGGTGGTAGTAGTTGGAATAATATAATAAATGTTCGGGTAACTACATTTCCGTAGTAAATTAAAAGAAAAATTTCCAAGTCATTTTTATTTAATTATTTATATTCATTATAATAATATTACATATTCAGTAAATTGTTCAAATTATATTACTATATATATATTCTTCCATTTCTTTACATGATAATTAATTCTTTGATTTTCCTATTGCTTAACATACAAAAAAATTCTTTATATTCACATATTAACAATTCCACATATAAATCAATAATATATTCATTGAGTAATTTTGACCAATTATATCGTCCTTTTTGATTATAAAGTTTTAACTCAATAATAAAGAAAAACAACATAAGTAAAAGCAATTTCTCTGTAAGAAAAAGAAACAATTGATAATAACCATAAATAATAATCAATAAGGATTTACAATATGTCTATTACCTGAATAACCACCAACTCCCCCCCCTCCCTTATAAGATTTATAAGGATTACCATAATAGCCACGCATATTAGGTCCCGGACCGCCAGACATCATTCCTCCTCTAGAATAACCTCTGAATCCTCCTCTTCCCATACCCCCTCTAAATCCGCCTCCTGGTCCCATTCCTCTTCCTCTATTATATCCGGGTATATTCTTTCTTTTTGTGGAGACTTTGATTTGTCTGCCTCTAAACATAGCTCCATCAAATTTCAAAGCAGTTTCAACAGCTTCAGGTTCACAAAATTCCAAGTAAGCAAACCCTTTTGGCATTCCAGTTCTTTTGTCATTCATAATTGTAATTCTGTTAATACTTCCACAACTTTTAAAAAGATCTTGTAATTCTGTAAGTTTGGTGCCATAATCAACATTTCCAATATAAATCGATCTCTTCATCTCCTCATCATCTACTGATCCAGGTAAATCAGTATCCATCATGCTTTCTCCTGTATTTTTATTTGAATCATCATTTAAGGTCTTGTTCTCAGTTAAATCAAAAAGATTAGTTCCAATAGCACTAGGTGTTCCAGTAACACCAGAAGAAGAATTAGAAGCGCCAATTGTATTATTAGTTCCTGTATTAGATCCAGGGATAATATCGCTTCTTGATAAATTAGGATTATTTGTCATCTTAGTATCTTTTAATTCATTATTAAATGATTCCTCCAGCTTAATTTGGTTAACTGAATCCATCTTACTGATAAGCCTCAGAAACCCTTTGATAATGATATTACTTAATAATTTGGAATTTCTCGATAATTGTATGTAATGCTAATCTCTTGTGGTTAATTCTGACTTAAATAGATTCTGAATGTATTTTTCTAGTTTGCTTCTATCTATCCTTCTTGCTAATTTACAATGATTTCCCACCTATCTGGTAATTAGTCTATTTTTTTCAAACAAAATTTCAACCTATTCACCAGAAAACGTAGCAATATTTCAGATTTGTATTATGTGTAATATTTATATATAATATATATATTTTATATTTCTAATTCCAACTATTTTTTTTCTATTTGTCTACTATTCGACTTTTTTTAAATTTTTCTAAATTTATATAAATATATATATATATTTTATCTTTTTTTTATTTCCTTTTTCCTCTCTTTACCTTAATTATTACAAGCCCAAAATTATTTTTTAGCTTAAATTGCTATCAAAGTCTAATAAAGAAAAAGCCCGCGCAGATTTTACATTTAATAATATCATTTTGACTATACAAAGTCTAAATATTACTATTTATATATAACATATATAAATAAAAAGTGGTAAGATAAGATTATTTAAAATATTTAAATAATATATATTATATAAATATTTAAATAGTAGGTATATGAAATATCAAAGTAATTATTAAATATTAAATATATTAAAACATTTGTTCAATAATAATAATGTATACCATGCTTATTTTTATTAATAATATAAATAATAATAATAATAATAATAATAATAATAATAATAATAATAATAATAATAATAATAAATAACAATAATAATAGTAATTGTTAATATTATGTACACTAATATATAAATAACATTTTAATTATAATTAATATATTTTCATTATATACACAATAATATTAAGTACATATATTCAGTATATATAGAATAATTAATATATATAATTAGAAATTGATTAGGTTAATTGAGAAAAAAAATCATGTACTAGTAGCATCCAAAATATATGTATTTTAAATATTGATCAAATCTATATTTAAGAGTCATTGGTTACTTGCAAATGTGTTTATATGGACAAAAAGAGTATAATTAATAAATAATATTAACTATACATTTATCAACTAAATTTGAATGTCATTTAGGAAAGTTAATAGGTGAAATTAATTTTAAAAACTGATATGTATAATTTATAAATTTCTTAAGAATAAGATAATTTGATTATATTGAGATTTAATAAATAAGTAATTAAATGACTGGTGATAGCTTAGAAAATCCCATTTTGAAGAATAATGTAATAAAAAATGAAGATTATGATGAGAATGATAATGAAGATAATGATGATGACGAAGATGTGACGTTTTTAATATGTGGAGGAAATGAAGAAGGTGGCTTGAAAGACTTTTCAAAACTGAGTGATAAAAATAATTCAGCAGAAGTCGACAATTCAATCAACTTGTCTTCAGATATTTTGAAAAAAGGATTAGTAGATTATAGGCCAGGAATTACAGGAACAAATAATGGAAATTATCAAAATATAAATGATCAAAAAATGAATGCTGTTGAACAAGGCTTACATGCTTTAAATGTATCTAATACAATATATATTGATAATGAAGACACTGCTACTGAGGAGAATCCATGCAAAGATTTACAGATGGTTTGGGATAATAATCCAGAATTAAGACCTTGGAGCAGATTACTGGATGTCTCTCCATGGTTTAACTATGGTTTTACAGAAAAAACGTTTAAAGAATATATAATTAGACAATTGGGTATTAGATGGGAACGCATTAAAAAACAAAACATTGAAACAAGCGATGACCTACTTAACAAGAGTGTAATCGCACCGACAATTTCAAACTCTAATAATGTGAATGCAAATTTGAATATGAATATAAATAATTCGAGTCCAGGCATGCCAAATTCTAATATCAAAATTATGGGCAACTTACCACCTCCACCTATAACTGGTTTTCCTTCAAATATGATGTATTTTCCACCTCCACCTCCTCCACACCTAAATCCACCAATTCCTGGTCACCCAAATATCTACCATCAACAACACATGTTCAACAACTTCCCTCATCATATTCCTCATCATTCACACCTACCTCCACCAATTTCCTCTCACCAAATTATGCACCACCCTGGATTACCGCCAAATAATATGAATCCGGGCGCCAATATTGTATTTAATACAAGGGGCAAAAAAAGACCTCCGGAATGATAATAAATTCAAAATTTTAAGTAAAAGTTTTATATATTTCTGATGGTTAAGTTTTTTTGATTATTTAACTGTAAATATAACCAAATTTCTTAACTGGTTTACTCTTCTTGCATATAATATATATTTATTATATATTAGAGAACATAAAAGTCTAATTTAGACTTTTGTTTTTGGATTACATTTTAGATGAATTACACATTAAATCTCCGATTCCCTAAACCAAAATATATGTGTTTTTTTATTGGGTTTCTAAATTCTATGTTGTTCTTATATGTAAAAATGTCACTTTATTCACCAACTAAATATGATGTTTTCACACATGTTTTTATATTTTTAATTATAGGTATATTTTATATACCGGGATAATCTAAATTTCATTATCACCTTTTTAATGTGGAAATATAATTACATGCATGTAAAAAATGACACGTGTCAGAAAAATATTTAATAATTTGAAGTTATTCTTGCGATAAATATGAATTAAATTGAAAAAAAAAAAAATGATAATGAATCTATACTATTTTTAATAAATAATAATAATAATAATATTAATATCAAAATTTTAACAAAAAGGAATGGTTTAGCATAAACACATTTTAATGTGTGTGCAACTCAAAAAATCCAAATTAATTGGAAAAACTTCCATGTAATAGTATTTAGAGGAATATAATTTTTAAAAGAAAAAAAAATTATATTTACAAAAGTTTATTTTTATTATTTTAATATAATTTGAATTTAAAGTTTACTAAATACAAAACAAGCCTTAGATAATGCAATTATGATGAATTATTGAATAAATAAGTTATTAAATATTAATTTTAAAACGTGGAATTAAAGTTTTAACCAAAAATATATTTTAATTCAAAGAAAAAAAAAATTGATTAAAATAAAGATGAAAAATTTTAATCCAATGAGTAATAAAATACCAAGAAGGTATAGTTTAACAAGAAATGAAAGAACTACACTGGGAAAAAGTTTATTAAGATATATTCAAGTTTCACATTATTTTGAAAAGCCAACAGTAACAATACTTAATGAAAATGTAAGAAAAGATTTGATTAACAAACAAAAGGAGGAAATTGAAAGAATGGATTTGGAGGAATTAAAAAAAAAAAATGAAAAAAAATTATGGAGAGAGCTTGATTATAAGTTAAAAGAATGTATAGATGAAAGAGTAAATCTTCATAATATTGATAAACAAAAGAATTGGTTTAAAAAAATGGTAGATGAAGATCCTCCTCCAGAATGTAAAACCGAAATAGAAAGAAAAATAAGTTTTGGTAAAAATATTGGTGAAAATACGAATCAAGGTTATATTAATAATGAAATAAGTAATACTAAAGAAGTCCAGGAATATATAAAAGGAGAAAATATTAGCAATAATGAAGTAAGTAATATTCATATCAAATCAGAAAAAGGGTTTCCTTTTTTGAATTTTCAATATAATAATATTGAAGAAACTGTTAAAAAATGGAATCCTCCACCATTTAATAATGTAATAAACGAACGAGATTTTTCTAGAAAATTAAGAGTTTTAAGAAAGGGTGAGCTAGTTAAAACTAGTGATCATACTAGAGAAGATGAAAATAGTGAGAGTAGTGTTTATGATGATAGTGAATCAGAAAGTGATAGAAATAATTCATACTACGAAATTCCTGTGATAGGAGAACTAATTACAGAACATGAGTTAAAAGAAAGATTTGAGGAAGAAGATAATATATATTTGAAACAATATTTAGATGAAATTAAGCATGATACAAATATTATTGATTTTGTTAAGGAAAAGAATAACTATAAGAAGTTTAAGAAATGGTTAAAAAAGAATAAATTGAAATTAAAGAAAAGAGAAATAGTTTCTGATGATAATTATTTAAATTTAAATAAAAGTCATATTTTTGGTTCGGTTGGTGGAAATAACGATGAAGATGACGAAGCCAGAGATTTACATACAAGAAATGATTATAGAAGATTTGATATATTATTAGATTCTAATTTATTTGGATATTGTGATTATGACGAAACGGATAATGTTTTAGATGGGATTATAGAAATTGAGAAATCAAAAAGAAAAGAGGATAAAGGCAATCAATTAGTTGAAAAAGAACAGATTAAAAATACTCAATTAAAAGAAAAATTCCAGATAGATAATGTTTCTAAAATTAATAAGGATGTAGAAGGTGATGATGATGATGATGATGATGATGATGATGATGATGATGATGATGATGACGATGATGATGATGATGATGATGACGATGACGATGATGATGACGAGAAAGAAGAAATTGAAAAAGAAAAAAAATATGAGTTTGAAGAAAATAGAAAAAAATTGAGTGGTATTCTCTTAACGAATTATGGTAAAAATTCAAATAAACGAGAACAGAGTAAGAATATAATAGATAATTCATGTTTTAATAGAATGTTAAATATGTTATTAAAGGCTGGTGCTGAAATTGATGAAGATGAGGAAAAAATAATAAAGGAGGAAAGAAAAGAGGAACAGAATTTGGGAAGATTGAGAATGCCTAAAACACTTAATAAAACTGGCAATATTGAAAATAAAGAATATACAGAAAGTTTGGAAGAATATTATGAGAAGAAAAAAAAACTTAGAATAAATTTAAGAAGTAAAGTATTGAGGGAAAAAAAAAACGAAAGAGAATATTCATTAGAACTATTTTATAATAATCCAGTAATGTTGGAGTCCTTTATAAAAAAAATGGATAATCAAATTAGTGAGAGAAAAAAGAGTTATGAACATGAAAAGAGTGAAAAGTTTAATTTATCATATAAATTAAAGTTTATGATAGAAAGAAATGCTCAGTTAAATTATTCAATTGAGAAAGCAGAAAAAGAAATTAATTATTTAAATGACGAATATGCAGATAAAAATGCATATATACAAAATTATTTGAAGAAATTGGAGGAAGAATTGAGTGGTTTGGAGAAATTACAAAGTATTCTAATTAATTCTTTAGGTATGTTAAGCCATTGGTGTGTATGTGAGCCGGAATATTTGGATCCAAAATGTACTGAAAACTGGGAAAAATCAAGTATTGCTTTAGTACCCGGTGGAAGATCATCGCATGCTTTATTAATATGTAAAAGAATATGCAATTTTGATTCTAGACTTTCGAAGTTATACAATTCAATGTATATTCATAATTATAAGCTTGGATTGAAGATATTAAAAAGAAGAGCAGCATTACAAAATGCCAAACAGAAGAAAAAATTGGATGACAAAGAAAAAGAAAGAGAAGAAGGAGAAGAAGAAGAGGAAGAAGAAGAGGAAGAAGAAGAAGAAGAGGAAGAAGAAGAAAAAAAAAAAGAGGAAAAAGAAAAAGAGGAAAAAGAAAAAGAAAAAGAGGAAAAAGAAAAAGAAGAAGGGGAAAAAGAAAAAGAAGAAGAGGAAAAAGAAAAAGAAGAAGAAGAAGAAGAGGAAGAAGAACAAAAAGCTAAGAAAAATGATCAAAATCAAGATGATAATGGGGATTCTGGAAATAATCAAAATCGTATTAATAACAGTATGGATCAAAACGGTCATTTAGGTGAAGAAAAAACAAGTAGCAATCAGGAGGGAAGTTTTAAGAATCTAGGTAATAAAAGCAATAATTATGAAGAAAGTAGTGATATTAGCCGTGATAAAAATAATAATATGATTAAGGATGATACTCCAATTTATTAATCCAGTGATTGAATATGTATGGTGTACATAATAATATTTAAAACTATGGCAATGCTGTATTTACTTAAATAAAAGTCAATTTCAACTTTTACCACACCAAATTTACAATTTAAGTATAAATTATAAAGATGAAAAAGTAAATACAAAAAATGAAAAGTTGGAAAATTGGTATTGATTGGAAATAAAATTATTTTGAATTATATGTAAATAAATCATGCCTAAAAGAAGTTCTTCTGGAGGTAGAAAGACATCATTGAAGATATTTATATTGCAATTACTATGGATAGGATTCTTTATAATATTAATATTGGGTGGATTATCAGATTTAATATTATATTATGATATAAAAAGAATGGTGTTAAATGTATTTATACTATTAAGTGGAATAATAAGTTTATTAGCAGAAGCATATTGCTTTAAATTTTATTCATATATATTATTTATCTATACTCCAATAGGCCGTGGATTGTTTATGGTTGTATTATCATCTTTAAATTTGAATGACAATTTATATTCATTAATAATTAGTTCCATATTATTTTTTAATTCAATAATATATTTATTAATATCAGTAATATTTGGAGGAATTAATAAGCCATTATTTAATAATTCATTAAAACATGAGTTAAATTTGAATGCATTAGTATATTTTATTAATGATAATTCAAATATTACTACTTACTCTTCTGAAGCAACTAAAGGGCATAGTAATTCTAATAGAAGAAGGCATGTTCAGAATGACTCTATATTAAACAATAAATCCGAAATTATTCATCATAATCATCATAAGAATAATAATTATAATCACAATCATAGTCATAGTCATAGTCATAGTCATAGCCATAATCATGATCATAACCATCACCGTAGTCACCATCAACACCATAAATATTATGATGGTAATCAAGAAGAACATCATCATCAAAATTCTAAGCATAAACACAATAATCATAAAAGTCACATTAAACACGAATCTAGTAATAATCATCAAGAACAAAAAGAAATTATTAATTTGGAATAATTGGAATATTCAAGGTAAAATTATGTGGTACATGCAATATTATTTATTAATCATGATGATTGGCGCCAACATTAATTAATTAATAATAAAAATTATATTAATGATAATTTAGATTGAATAATGTATGAAAAATATATGAAGAGATTTTATAGAGTAAAAAATGCAGAATAATATGGTAACTTCAGCATGTTTGAATATACATTTTCAAAGGGATTATGAATATATACATGATATAGCATGTGACGAAAATGGTAAGTAATATAATATAATTCATATATTATTAAAATTAAAAAAAAAAAGAAAATAGTGGATATTAATCATGTATATATATGTGAATAAAAAAAACTAATTCGGTAATTTAGGTGAATACATATATGTTGTTTGTACAAATTCATTAAAAATTTATAAATGTGAAAGAGATAATGATTTGAGTTTACTGACAATAATAAAATCACCACATGAAAATGCAATCACAAAATGCATAATATGCCCAGTAATATCTGAAAAGGTAAATAAATATAACCAAATAACTTTATTAAATTAATAATTAATGTTTAGTATTCATTATTTGCAACAATAAGCGATGATAATACAATAGGAATATGGTTATTGAATAAAAGCAGAGATTTATTAAAATTATCGATGGAGAATACAAATTCATTTTCATTATTGAATATTGATACTGAAAATGTTGTTATAAATAATAATGCTGATAATAATAATAATAATAATAATAATAATAATACTGATAATAGTTTTAGTAATGACAATAATATGAATAAATTTGGTGGAGTATGTAATATGACAGCAAGATTAAGAGATTCAAGAAACAAAATAATAAATTCAAGTTTTATATTAAATTATGAAGATAATAATAAATTATCATTGAATATATCAACAAGAAATATATCATTGATAGTATTCTCAAAAGATGGCCATTTTAGAATATACTCATGTCAAGATTCTCCATTATTTCATAATTGGTCAATAGTAGAGCAATTTACATGTAATGTAGTCATAGATAGTTATAAAATGACATCATTTTCATTTATAAAAAATTTAAACATTATTGAGAACGAAATATATAATGTTAACATGATAGCAATAGGTTCTAATAATGGTATTATAAGTATATTTGTTAAATTGGATTCTATAATGGAGAATAAATTTAATAATAATGATATTAACAATAAAAATAATAATAATAATAATAATAATAATAATAATAATAATGTTTTAACTGGTAATATTGATAAAAAGAGTCATGAATTTGCTTCTTGGGATTGTTTATATGATACAAAGGATATTAATACAAAAAATAATAATAAAGATGAAGATGATGTATTAGCAGGATTGTTAAAAAATGATGTATTGGATGTTAAATGGTGTCCAAATTATTCTCGAAAATTTGAAATACTTGCTACAAGTCATGATTCTTATATTTATTTTAATAGTAATAGTAATAATAATAACAATAATTGTAATAATAATAATAATAATAATAACACTAATAATAATAATAATATCAATAATAATTACGATAATGATATTAATACAATTATTAATATTAATAATCATCATCATATTACCAAAATTAATGAAAATGAAGAAGATATTAATCAAGTATTTAATGAAATAAATGGAATACCATGGATAGGTATATGGAAATGGGAGCTATATGAGAAAAATAGGGGTAAATTGATATTAATTTATTCAATAATAAATCAAACAATTTACCCAACAAATTGTATATCTTGGGATATTAAGGGGACAGAATTTATAGCATGTACTGAATATAACATTACAAGGTTTATTCAAAGTAACAATATTAATACAAATGACCAAGAAGATGATGATTTAGATGATATAATATCTAATAATTCTCTTATTTTTCATGGAAAATATTTTATTGATGGTATCAAATTAAAAGAAAAATCTTCTATAATTAATCCTATTATTACTAACACTAATAATTATTATCATAATAATAGTCAAATAAAAGAGCAAGAAGATAAATATATTATGGATTTTCCTTTATTTGTTAAATTTATTAGGCCAATATGAAAATTTTTAATTTAAATAGTAATAATTGAATAATTGCAAATTAATTAAATATTTAATTTGTTTTCATATAAAAGTATGGATCTAATTTATATTTTTCATCAAATCTAGATATCCATCTATCAAGAATATATTGCGGAAGATTTAATGGGATTTGATTGGAGGGACTATTGGTATTATTACTATTATTATTATTATTATAACTTTCTATAAATCTGAATAAATTTAATGCAATCTTTCTTGCAATTTCTTTATTATAATCAATTGGTGGTTTAGTCTCTAATTTCTGTAATAATACATTTGCAGGTTCAATTACTACTATAATTTTAACACTTGGAATAGATGAAATACCTTCCATAAATGGCCATCCTATTATGTATTAATATTTTTAACTAATATATTATAAACTTAATTTAAATATAAAATTAACTTACCAGTAGTAAACATATCACTTCTTCTTAAATTAGTAAGTACACCAAGAAACTCCCAAGATTGATATGGAAAAAAACTGAAGTAAACTCCAGCTAATCAAATTTATATAATAATAATAATAATATATTGTATAAAACTTACCACCAGAATCTGCAGTAAATATTTCGCCATTAACAGCAACAACAACATTTGATGCAGTCTGTGGATTTTGAACAATTGTTGAAATTATTCCATTGCCTTCATTAACAACAATTTCAGGATTTCTTCCTGGAATAATAATTGAGATTGAATTTGAATTACAATTTTCTGTGCAAAAATTTGTATTCATTATAATTCATGTAAATAAATCTTTTTTCTGAATTTAACTTCTCAAAATTAATTAATTAAAAAAATAATAATAATCACACAGTTATTTCTTCTAAAAAAAAATATTATAATAATAATAATAATGCTAAAAACAATTCAATTGTACATAAAAATTTTATTCAAGTTTGCAAAAAAAATAAATTTTTATTATTTATAATAAATAAAAATTTGAGCGGGAAATTGGATCAGAAAAAATTATATTAGTAATTATTACGTGGTTTTATTGTATTTAATAAAAAAAATATAAAGGGGAGAAAGAAGAATAAATATTAAGAATTTTTTTTTTTTTTTAAGTTTGATTAATGCAGTGTAGTAAATTGAATAAGTTCTAGTTTGTTGATGAATAAAGTAATAAAGAAAGGTTTTGGAGTACAATACTTAAATTTACATCAATAGCTATTATTTTTAACTACAGTGTTATACAAACTTTATTATTGTAATTATTAATATTGTCATTTCAGTGATAATTTTTTGAAAAATTGAATGCAAAAAAAAATTCGTGTAAATTCAAAACTTTCATAGAAAGTGAAAAAAAAGACTAATTAAAAGATAATTGGAAATATTATTACTATAATAAATCTAATTTTTTTTTTTTTCGCTTTTAATACTAATACCTTCAATAATATTACAACTATTATTAAAACAGTAACTAATACAACTAAAGTCACTACTATTATTATTATTATTACTACTGCTGCTATTTCTACCACTATTATTAAGCTGAATTATTTTATGAATAATCATTATCATCAATAATACTGACAATATTTCTACCGTTTCCACTAATAATTATCCAGAATACAAACAAGAACTTTGACTTTTTTTTTACTTTTCTTTTTTTTTTTTTTAAGTATTAACCAAATATAAGTACACTAAAGAAGTTTTTTTTAAATAATTCAACTTGAAACAGAAATATATGAATTAGATAAAATTTAAAAGTGCTCAAAAATATTCAGAATTTATCAATATTTTTCAAAAATTGAGATAAGTAACATAATTAAATACTTAAGTTAGGAATTAATAGTAAAAAGTGAAGTTATGGCTGTAAATCCAGAACTTTTCAATCTAAGAGAAACAGGTAATTTGAATAAATGAATTAATTTTAAGAAATACTCATTTTAATTTAGGAGAATTAATACCATCACTATCAGGAGATGAGTATATGATAATGTCAAGAAAATCAGTGAAATTTGGATTAGATGATGCAAATGAAAAATTTAGAGGACATGGTGATGTTTTTGTTACTAATAAAAGAATTATATTAATAAAAAGCAAAGCTGCAACAGTTGGATTAAGTAATTTTGTATCTTTATGTATTCCACTTAAAAATATATATGATCTAGAATTTAAACAACCTGTATTATTAGCAAGTTATTTGGAAGGATTTGTTAAACCATGTAATAATTCAATATATCCTTTATCAAGTGACTCAAAATGGTGGATTTCATTTCACAAAGGAGGATGCGCAACTTTTGTGAGGTCATTTTATAAGATTTACTTAAGAGCTACAAAGGAAGCGATATATGAAGAAGATTCTGAAGGTAAGTGTTGTATTTAAAAATTTTAATTATATAAATAATATATTTGAAATATTTATTATTAAAAAATGATTCTGATATAGACAAACAAAATAAAAGTGATAGTAATATTGCTTACATTGATAAGACTGACCCTACTGTTATATATATTCAAGAATAATAATTGAAAGAATGAACTGATTTATTATTAAAACATTCTCTTTTTATTCTTCTTAAAAATAATATAATAAAAGTAATTCATAAAACATTAGTAATAATGGAATTCAACATTGTAGAATTAGTTGAACATGTTGAAAGACTTGGATTACAATCAAATTTTGAATCATGAGCTACAGAATGATTTTCATTATTTAAATTATAAGTAAAATCGGAATTGTTATTAATATTGTTACTATTTACATCATTATAATAATTATTATTATTATTAAAATCTTCAGTGTATTCAATTTCTCCAGTATTCATTAAATCACCTTGATAATAGTTTTTTGTATTATTTTCCTCCAATATATCATCGCCAAAACTCAAAATTGAGTGATTATTCATTTGTTCATTAACATAATCTTGATATTGGGTTGTTTGTTGTACCATTAATGCTCCTTTTGATGTATAATCCTGGTTTGAAAAAGGTATCTCAAAATCATCAATATCATACTCATCCAAAACATATGATTCTAACTCAATTCCGCACCTTTTGTGATATTCATTACCTGTCACATCTTCCAGTTGATTTAAAATACTCGATGAATATTCAGTATTAGCTGATACAAGTATCTGCTGGCTGACAAAATCCATATCTTCTTGACGATTTCCTTCAATTAACTGATTATTCAAAATACTGTCATTAAATGACGTGTAATTATCTTCCATATCAATATGGCATTTTTCTTCTTCAATACCGGTATTAGTTATTGCCGCCTGATTATTATCCACATGAATGCATGCAAGTTGATTATCATTATATTCTTCTTGAGGAAGAATGATAGTATTGTCAATATGAAATTGACTAATATTGTTTAGATATTTAGTGTTTGGAAGCGAAGGATTTGAGTAATTATTGGATAAATTTTGGTTTCTAGATAATCCAAGAAGACTTTCTAATGAAGAGTTTATTTTTTCTTTTTTAACTTTGAAGAAATGAGTAATTTCTGAAAAATAAGAAAATTTGGATTGTAAATATAAAGAGAGTTTGTTATTATTGGGATCAGGTTTTTGAGAAGTTTCAGTGAAGTCAAAAATATCATCTTCATTAAATGAATTAGCCGATTCATTTACATTATTTAATTCATTATTTTCATTTGTTACATTTCTATTTGCTCTGCTTATAATATAAATTCCCAATACAATAAGAAATTGTCCAAATAAAAAGTTGATTTGGAAAAAGAGTCCCAATATAGAATTTGATATATATTGTTTATCATAATAAAGCATTAAATTACAAAATCCACTAGATGCTATTAATACTGAATTAACTATTGGAACCACAAAAATAGCTTGAAATTTGGATAATGCAGTATTCCAAAATGCCCATTGTATTGATCCTGTAATAAATATTATAAATAAAAGTTGATAAGTTAATCTATGAAAAAGAACATATATTCCATCAATTAGTATAATTTGGATTAAATTCTGTACTAAAACGTTTGTATATCCTCCAACAAGTCCTGATACAGAACAAATACAAAATCTTTTTATTGCTGTAGAAATTTCAATTCTTGGAAATTTCTTTGTTAATTCAAAAAATATTGAATTAATTACTTCAAACCTTTTTTCTATTATATTTATATAATTAACCATTTTATTATATAACCCTTCCTTAAAATCTTCTGTAGTATTGTCTTCTCTCCCAAATCCATATTTAATGTTAGAATTACTATTCATACATGTTTCATTCACAATATGATTACTTGGAATATTCAATGTTTCAATTATGTTATTATCAGAATTATCCATATCTGGGATACTTTTATCATACTTAAAATATTTATTTTTAGTCAGATAATCCTTTATATTAGAAATTTTTAAATGCAAGGTATTTTTATTTAAAATAATAATATCTTGACTGGATTTTCTATTAACATTATTGCTATTATTATCTTTCTCAGTATTATTAAAAAAATTACGATTATCATTTTTAATATTACCACAATTATTAGTATTGCTTAAACCTAACTCATTTTTGTACTTAATTTCTTCATTCCCATCCAATCCAAAAAATGATAAATATGTACAAACTAAAATAAATGAAATGTTTGAAAGACAGTATAAAATAAACTTTGGTTTAGTATATAAAATACTGAGCTCTTCTACACTATAAACCGGTACATCTTTAATACCAAAAAGTATTATAATTAATAATCCAGCAATTACCAAACCAGTACCTTTATAATGTCTTGATTTAATTTCTTCATTTAACATATATTTACTAAATATAATACTCCAAAATATATGTAAACCAGAAAATGGAGTTACTATCATAGCAGATGCAAAATTCAGACTTATTATTATTAATATTGCATTCAATATACATGAAAAAAAAACTCCTAATAACCAAATTGGTCTTAAAACAATTGGTCTTTTTTTTTTAGGACATAACTCCTCTTCTAGAATGAAACTTAACCTTATCAAATTATCACCTAATCCACCTAATATTGATGATAATAAAGCTGTAAATATTCCAAAATACCACATTTTATTTATTTAACTCAAATTCAGTTAATTTAATTGATCTTTTTTACAAAAAAAAATTCGATTAATATATATTTGATATATTTCAATATGAATATTCCACAAATTCAATAAATTAGTTTTTTTTTTATTTGAATTAAGCCTCCCAATGATTTTCTTACTAATATGAATATATTTATAATAAAAATTAGAGACCACAAAGCCCAATCTCAATAAAATTAATTAGTCTCTATCTCACTTTTTCAAATTTAATTCATTGCCAAAGTAAGCAAATATGTAATTTAATTGTTAAATAACTATTTAAATAATTAAAAATACAAATATTGTTTTCAATACAACACGGTTCTAAACCTTTTCCAGTTCTCCTCCTCTCCTTCCTCTTTTCTGAATATATTCAGCAATACTTGTATTAATTAATAACATAAATAATACAATTAAGAATTTTTTTTCTGCTAAATTTTTATTTATTTAGTTTTATTTCTTTGAATTTTTCTTGACTTTAACAGTAATCAGCAAGTCTCCCGCATAAACCTTCTATTGAGTATTACATGGAAATACTTAATGTAGTTTACGCGCCACATTTAATTTAATTATATAAATGTGTTTACTAATTACCAGCATTTCACACAAATTTAATTAAAAAAACAAAATAGTAATTAGGCGCCGACATATGTACACATTATAATATAAGAATATTAAGAATAATAAAGTTGAATTGATGAGTTATTGGTTTTGCTATTTTCTTGGACTTAGGTTGATTTAATCTCTTACTTCCATTTATTAATCTAAATATAATTTGTTAAGAAGTTTTTTTTTTATACGGCAAATTTAAAGAATATAATTTTTAATGAATAATATTACTAGTAATACAAATTTATAATGTAAAAATGATGATAATCAAAAAAAAGAAATATGAAATATCTCCATTTTTATTCAAATTAATGATTCTTTAATACTGAAATTAATTAGTAATATTAAAGTGATTAATTGTAATTATGTATTTTTTGGAATAAGTTGATTGTTAACCCAAACATTTAAGGAATTAGAAAGTTCTTCTTTAAGAGCAGTAGCTTTTTGATCAAAGAATTCTGCCATTTTTGAACTATAAGCATATCTTTCTTGATCATCCATTTGATCAAGAATATCATTTTGGTTTGTAACATCTGGTGAGCTCTGTTGATATTTTGAGAAAAAAAAGATTAGAAGGTAATAGTTTATTATTTATTTAGATAATTATTAATTTTAAACTTACCAATAATTCAATTTCTTCATCAGCATCTTCTAAAACAGATGCTGCACAATCCGATAGCTCTGATCCTTCTGGTGGATATAACATTTCATCAGCTGATGTCTTTTGTACCAATACAATTGGTAAACCAGCCTTATCTATATATAAATACAAATATATATATCAAAATTAGTTAATTAGAATTTTATTGTTATTCATCTGTAGTTTTATTAATAACTTACCTGGATGAGCTTGGTCATAGGCTGCTCTAAGTAATTTTCCAACATACTCCAATCTGCTCATTAACTATTAATGATAAATAATAGTTAATTGTTTTAAATTTTTTATAATATAATTATTTTAAATTTGAATGATTATAACTTACTTGAGTCTTACTGGCTGTCTTAGTTTCTAATACCTCGTTAACAGGGCCCATTAACTCATCTCTAAACTTGGAAATTCTCCTTTTTGCTGATTCATATTCTAATTTAATATCAGTTGTTGCTGTATTTAAGTCTTCAGATAAATCATCATAAGGTCCTTGTAATCTATCTTTCTACAAATTTTTTAAAAATTTATTATTAAATATCAGCTTAACTTTTTTTTTTTTTTTTTTTACCTAACTTACAGGAATCATAAGTGCACCTCCAATTGGCCCATTTTTAATGGATTCAACAACTCCACTAAGTACTCCTTTTGCACTTTCAATGGGAGATTCAAATTTAGTACCTGAAGCTAATTGCACTTGATAAGAATTTCCAAATAAACTGGTTATTATTAAAATTCCACTTGAAATATATTTGAGCTTCATTTTCCTGGTCTACTTGAAATATCTTTAATAAAAAATTATCCAGTTCAATCTAAATTAAAATTTTATTATTTTCCTCTTTCAATATTAAGAAAAAAGAGTTTTGAGTTATTTTTTTTTTTATTTGATTTTTTTCCTTACATATCACTCATTTGCATTTTTGCATTTTATTTGCATGCACTGGTATAATGTAATTATTTGTCCACATGAATATATAAAAATGAGTAATTACATGCAAAAAACATTTGTTTTTTACATGTAAAATTAAATAGGGAAAATAATTAAAATTATGTTAAATTAGGGGATAATTGATTAAAAAGGATAGAATATGAGTTATTATTGTTTTATAGATATAATAAAAAAATAAGATTGATTATATTTTGAAGAGAATTAAAAATAACAGAAATTGAAATTAATTATGGGAATATAAATTTAAAATAATTTAATTTTTGGCATGTAACATGTAATTTGTCAAAGTTAACTATTACTGTTTGTTGGATATTCGCAAACCAATAAAGGTAGCTTTTTAATAGAATAATTAGATTTCGTAGAAAAATCATAAATGGTTATATTTGGGCATTTATAAATACCAGGATAACATATTTTAAGTGGATATAGTAAAATTGGATGCTCATAAATATTTGATGAATATGATGAAGAAGAAGATTCTGGAAAATAATTAATTGGCATTGAAACGTATAATGGAATAATTGGTGAAGCTTCATTATATTCCACAGTTACAAGTAAATTTAAAGATTTATCTTTTTCATTTGGAAATACTTCAATAAGTAAATAAACTGTTTCACCAGGATATTTTGAAATGCGATCAAAGGTACATGTTGCTTTAAAGTTAAAACTTGGTTCAATCTCTAAATCATTATCATTACTGGGAGTTGTATTAGTATTATTTTTTTCAACTTCAAAATTATTATTATAATTGCTCGAGTTTTCATCCAAATTCGATTTTGAAGAGAAAGAAATCTCTTGAGTAAACGGTGAACAAATTGATTGAGCAGAAGCTTGAGGAGAACTTGGACTAAATAAATATGAGGAAATTGCTGAAGAAGATGAAGATGATAACGAGATATTCATATTATTTTTTTCATTACTATTGTCATGTTTAATCATACCAATCATATTGGAATAGTTTTCTTCTTTTGAACGAATAATGTTAACTTTTTGATCATAATTGATTTGTAAAGCAAATTGGGTAAGAATTAATTTTGAATTAAATTTTGTGGATTTCCATTTAATAAAAATTGGGATAATTATGGGTATCAAAGAAACATCACCATTATTTTCGTCTATATTTTTATTGGATTTGTAAACCTTTTTGTCGTTTACTCTAATTAAAGAACATCCTAATGATTGATTATTACCTAAAGTAAAAGGAAGATTAAGTGGACTATTACCATTTAGCTTTAAATTATGACTGAAAATATCATGAATCATTATTGAATCAGATGATTCACCAATATTTAAAATCTCAATGAATAGAATTTGAGAACTTTCTTGAAGATAATAATTTGAAATTGTAAGTGGTAACTTAATAAATATTGGTTTAGAAAGTGAGTACGAAAATATCTTTGAATCTGAAATTTCATTAACTATTAGCAAATCACCAAGAGGACTACCATACTTAAAATTTTTGTCTGATTCACAGTTATCACTAATCTCATCATTTTCATCTTTTATTATTGAACAATCAAGAATGCTATTTTGATGGTATTTTATCAAAATGTCAAAGTTTAGTAAATCATTCCAATACTGTGGTTTAATAATAATGGAACATTGAAAAATATAAACTTTTGATTTTAAACTATTCAAATTATAAATCCCTATTAAATTAATATATGATCCATCATCTAAATTCATCAAACTATTTTGTTCTTTTCCCTCATTATAAATCTCCAGGTAATTATTTTCCTTGGTAACTAATACTTGGTATTGACCTTCCCATGTAAAATTGCTCAAAACTGACTGTTTTTCGGAGTTTGATAGGTCAAAAATTACATCACACAATTTAAATTCTTTCTTTAAAATAATGCCAACAAGTATTCGCCCACCTTGATATATATTCAACATCTTTTCATTAACAAATATATTTTTTTGATTATTTAAATACTCCTCCAATAATTTATCATCCTTACTTATTTTATCCAAACTATATTTTAAATTAATTTCATCGTTTTCTGTGAGAAAGATACATTCCATACCAAAAATATCTGAAGCTGACAATTCTGGAGAATTTTTAATATTTGAGTCAGCTATTTCTATCATTCTAGCTTTTTATTATTACTTTTTGGGTATTATTCCTATAATTTCTCTAATTCAATGGTCTTAATTACATTAAGAATTCATGGAAAAAAATATGAATGAATTATTTCTTAATTTTCATTATTTGAATATCTAAACCTAATTAATTTAAACACACAATTTATCTTCTCAGTGTGGATATCTTCTAATATTCAAAAAAAATGTCAATTTTACTGTATTTTTTTATCAACTTGAAATATTATATTACTTTCAAACATAATAATATTAATAGTCAGCCCGCCAAAATTTTGGTAAAATAATTATATATTAAATATATTTAGGAGTTATTTATGAGGGGGGAATTTATTTTAAAAAAATGCATTGCATGTTTAAGCTTGGAGTCCATTAAAAAATACATATATAATATGTAATATATATTATATATATTAAATATTATATATTAACAAATTATTAATTGATATAATCGGAAGAAAGAAAAGATCCTGATGAATTTTTTTTTTTTAGATTTATATAATGGAATAATTTAACATTGATTTCCAATAAATAAAAATTTTAATATAATAATAAAAATTCAACAATGAAATATCGTAAAATAGTAAAATGGTCAAATTTATATAATATATACTAAACTTTATGTAGAAAATAAATTTGGATGACTATAAAAAGTTCAATTTTACCAAAATTATATAATATGAAGAAATGTAAGATTGATTAATAAAAAAGAAAAAAATAGTTAAATAATAATAAAATAAAGAAAAAAAAATGAAGAGAATTCTTCAAATTAAAATATTTATTGCTTTTGAAAAAACCAGAAAAACATTTTGTATATTTATAATATTAATAAATTGGTTATTATTTGGAATAAATAAAGTAAATTCTCAGTATGTAACAGAAATATATCAAAGTAAGTTTAATAAAGCATTCAAATGATTATTATATTTAACTCTCAAACTAATTTTAGCATGTAGTGAACAGGAAGGCCAAAATGCAAAATGTGGTCCAGGAGCAAACTGTTTTATAATAGGAAAACAACCAACATGTCATTGTGCTGTTGATGTTGCAACTGGAATTTCATTATCAGGAAATCCATATAGAGGTTGTACATGGGATTTATCTGGAAACTGGCAGTTATATACTGGAGAAGAGTCATCAAGAGTACAACCAATACTAAGTCCACTAACAAATGAAGAATTTTTGTTTAGATTTGATAGAACAGATGCAGTACTAGCTACAAAATATATTACTGGTTCAATATTTACAGTTAATGGTGTTACTCAAGCTGCTAATGGGTTATTTTCAAGACTCTTTTTGGATGCAAATGATAATACTGCAGTTTTACTTGAAAATGCTGAAGGTTTTGTGGATCAACATGGTAGAACAATAACATTAAGAACAAGATGGGCAGATACAACTTTATCAAAAGCAAATCAATCATGTAAGTTTTAAATTCTTAATCAAATTATATTCAAAATCTATTTTAATTCTTAATTTTTTAGGGTTGTTTGATAAACATGATTTAAGTGGTGATTGGTTAAGACCTGATGGAGTTAAAGTACATATTATGTATATAACAAAACCAATCAATTGGCCAGTAAAATCAACTATATATAAATGGTTAAGAGCTTATTGGTTTGATGATGCATCATTAATATCTCCAATAAGATTATGTACAACATTATTTATGGATAAAACTTATAAAGATGAAAAAAACTCTATGTCAACATCAGCAAGATTTGTTCAACTTGGTTTCTTTGGTGCATTAAGATTTGGTTCTAATAGAATTGATATATATTCTCCTTCAAATGGATATCAAATATTATCATTAAGAAAAGTAGGTATCAATTTACCACCATATGTACCATTTAGTTTGGGATCTGTTATTATACCAGAAAGTGATTCATATAAAACTAATACAAATATAAAACACGCATATTATGGTCAAAATCAAGGTGGGTATTATGTTGATGATTATAATTATTATGGAAATCCTAATGATTATAATTATTATGATAATGAACAAGTTATATTCAATGGAATGGGTTTAGTTGAGAATATTACTACTAATCAAATGAATATTACAGGAACAAAATTTAATACGGATAGAATTAGTAATCATACTTCAAAAATTCTTAAAGAACCAAATAATTTTCAAAATTATCAAAATCAAAGTAATTATTTTAAATATGATTTTGAAAATATTGACGCGGAAAATAATTATATTAGAAGAAATTTATTATTTAATTAAAATATAAAAATAAAAATTTTTTTCAATAAAAGAAATGACGTGGAATTTTTATTATTGAAATCAAATTATTTAACTATATATATATATATATAATTTAAGCTATAAATACAAAAATATAAATAAACAATATTTTTAAAATTTTTATATTCATTACAAGTAAATATATATGGGAAATTCAAGTACATGTATTACTGATAAATATTTTTATTTTGGGTTTGTATAATTTAAATAAATATTATTTATATGAAAAAAAAAAATCATTTTCTCATATTTAATAATATTATTCAAATTAAACAAAATTTCAAAGTTTAAAAAATTACATTAATAAATTGAGAAAGGAAAAATAAAAATAAACAAGAAATAAAAAACAAAAACAAAAACAAAAGAAAGAGCAAAAGTTGTTTAGAGAACTAAAATTCAATGAATAAAGTAATAAAAGAAACATTCATATTCAAAATAATAAAAGAATAAATTATTAAGTAATTTATTTTAGTAAACAGAAAATGGAAAATAAATGTTATGAAAAAGATTTAATCAAGGAAATATTATTGGAGAATTTACCAATAAATGATAGAATTCAAATTAGAAATAAATTAAAATTAGAAGAATTTGATTTACTAAAGGATGAAATTTGGGAAAAAATCAAGAAAGATATAAAAGGTAATATTATAAGAACTAGTATTATTGGGTTATTTAATATAATACAAAATTTAAGATTGAATTATGATAAAAGTGACAAAGTTTCTCAATATTGTGATAATATACAAGAATTGGTAATATTAGATTCAAATGAAAATGAGGAATGGAATAAATTATTGGAATTATTATTTAAAGATAAAAATGAAAATATTGGAATAATTACATTTAAAAATATTAATAAAATAAAATTTATAAATAATAATATAATATTAAATAATTTTGAAATGAATTATTGGTTAGATTGGTTATTTGATAATATAACTTTAAAAGGAAATCCTGGAATAGAATTATATTTTAAAGATTGTAGATTTTATATTAAATCAAAATTTTCAAATTTAAAAATTGATAATAAGAGAAGAAGAATTTTAGATATAAATAATAATAATGATTTAAAAGAAACTATTAATATGAAAGAAAATGAATCATTTATGTATACATTATTAATAAAAATAAGAGATTATCAACAAAAAAGAGAAAAATCAGATAATAAAGAAGATCATAATTTTATAAATTTGAATAATTATCAATATAAAAATCATATAAAGGAGAAATTATTAAGTTTTAATTTGGTTAATATTGTAATTGATGAAGTTCAATTAAAAAATATATTAAATTTAATATTAAATGATATTAAACTTAATTTGTCAGAGTTAAACATAAGTCAATTATTAATATTTAAAACAAATCAATTAAATAAAAATCAAATATATTTAAGTAATATATTAAAATATATGAATTTTAATCAAATAAGTTCAAATTTAGTTAATTTAAGAATTTTATCATTTCATGGTAATCATTTAATTGATGAAGAAGCATTATTTATATTAAATTATTTTATTAAAATGATTTTATATAATAATCAAAATATTAATACAAATTTTACCAAGTATAAAATTTATTTTGATTTTTCTAATAATTTTATTCAAGATAATTTCTTAAATAATATTGAAAAATTGATTTTGGAATTAAGTAATAATAATAATAATAATAATAATATAATAGAACTGAAGATTAATTTAACAGGAAATCCAATCAATAAAGTTTTTATATTAAATAAATCATTTCCTGATAATATTCATATTGTTTTTGATTATTTGTTACCCTTAACATTTTCAAATGATTTACTAAATAATTTGAATAATAAAAAAAATTCAATTTCAATAGAATCATCTAGTCATGAAAAAAATCAAGTATTGAATTTAAATAATTCTCAATTACAAACATTATTACCACCAATAATATCATCGCAATCTATAAATAATGAAGAATATCAAGTAATAAATGATAATTCTCAAATTTCAAATGAATCTTTTTTTGACAAAAATATTTCTTTAAACAATATTGATCAATCTAATGACGATTCCTTGTATGACTCTGATGAAGATGAAGACTATGAGTCAGAATCTGAAGAGTCGGAATCGGAATCGGAATCGGAATCAGAATCAGAATCAGAATCAGAATCAAAATCAAAATCAGAATCAGAATCAAAATCAAAATCAAAATCAAAATTCGAATCAAAATCTGAATCCGAATCAAAATCTCAGTCAAGGTCAGATGATCATAATCAAATTATTGAAAAGAATGGAAAAGAAGAAATTGAAGAAAAAAAAACTAAAATTAAAAAAAAAGATAAGGTCTTAATTGTACAAGAAGAAAATGTTATCGAGTCATTAATATTTGAAACTAAATTAAATCACTTGAATTTTAAAAAAAACCAAGAAAAATGGAATTAATTGTTCCCCACAATCCCTTTCAGGCGCCACAAATTGCCCGCCTCATTTTAATCACTTATTTTATTATATGTATATTCATTATATGTTATTAATAAATAGTGATTAAAAAAGGAAAAGGTAAAAATTAGTAATCATAATATAAAGTTAACAAATATTAATCCAAGTTAAAATGCAAGAATAAGGTTATTAAAATAAACCGTATTTATTAAGAATAAAGAGGGGTGTGAAGCTTTTTTCTTTTTTTTTTTTTTTAATCATAATTATTAATTCAATTTAATTGAATTAAATTATTTCAAGAATTCATCTTTTTTAAATATATAAACGAAATAAAGAAGTTATAATATTCAGTGATTTAAAGTTAGCAAAAAAATTCATAAAGATAAATAGATATATAATATATATATATATATGTATATAATATATATATATGTATATATATATTTCAAAATATAAATAAGAAAATATTATTGGTTATTCCTAATTTCATAAGCTTTTGCCTAGTTCCAGTTATTTTTGAATAAAATTCTTGAATTTAAGTAAAGCTTAAAAGGAAGTAAGTGGAGTAATAATTTAGAAAAATATATATATATTGTAATAATGTTCGAGTATGAAAAAAATTGTACATTATTAGTCCCAGCAATTGTTGGTTCAAATGCACCAACCAGTTCAGAATTACAGAAAAGATTGGAAGATCCAAGTGATCATGAAAAGTGTAAAGCTTTAAGAGAATTAATAATATGGATGACTCATGGAGAGTCCTATAATAGATTGTTAATGACAGTTATAAGATATGTTGTACAAAGTACAAATCATAAGGTTAAAAAATATTTGCAACTTTATTGGGAAATTGTGGAAAAATGTAATAGTGATGGATCACTTAAAGAAGAGATGATACTTGTTTGTAATGCGTTAAGAAATGATCTACAACATCCAAATGAATACATTAGAGGGTCTACTTTACGTCTATTATGTAATTTAAGATTTATTAAATTAATTCAACCATTAATAGAATCAATATTGGAAAATTTACAACATAGACACTCTTATGTAAGGAGAAATGCTGTAATGTGTATATATTCTATTATTAAAACATTTGGAATTGATATTATTCCTAATGCTGCTGATGAAGTTGAGAAATTATTATTAATAGAAGGAGATATTTCAACAAAAAGAAATGCATTTCTTGTTTTAACATATTGTGATGTTGAAAGATCTTTAAGATATATTTTATCTATTCAAGAGAATGTAACATATATGGGAGATGTTATTCAAATGGTATTATTAGAATTATTAGGAAAAAATTATAAAGATCATCCAAATTATAGGAATAATCTTGTTCAAATTATTATTAATATTACTCAATCAGGATCTTCAGCAGTATCTTTTGAAGGAGCTAATACATTAATTAAAATTGGAAATTCTACACCAAATAGTACTATTAAGATTGCTTTACAAGCTTATATCAATTTATTATTAACTCATTCAGATAATAATGTTCGTTATATTGTATTAAATAAGATTTCTAAAATAACTTGTATTACTTCAGCTTTATATATTCTACAGAAATGTTTTGTTAAAGATATTTTAAGGGTATTATTATGTTCAAATTGTTATTCTTTACAAATTAAAGTGATTCAAATAATGTTAACATCATTATTGACTAAGAATAACTGTTTGGATATTTTTCAGTTTCTATTAAAACATTTACAGGATATTTCAATACAAAGTCATAATAAATTTAATAGTAATATTAATAATAAAAATAACAATAATAATAATATTAATAATAATAATAATAATGATAGCACTAATAGTATTAACAATGATAATAATAATATCAATAATAATATCATTCATCATCATATGGTTGGATTTAATGATAATGGATACGGTCATGATTTTAATCATACATATAATTTTACTTCAGATATTGATTTTAATTTTTATAATGATGTTAGTTTTAGTATTGGTGGAACTGGAGAAGTTTTTGGTGGATTAAGGAAAATGAATTATGGAGGAGGAAAAATATCAGATTTTCAACAATTTCAAAACTATCAGTTAATATTAATTAAAGCATTACATGAAATTACTAGAAAATATCATAAAATTACTCTTAAACCTATGATTAATGCAATGATGACATTTTTATCAAATTCAAATCCTATAATAGTAAATGAAATTACTCAATTTCTAAGAGAAATGGTTATTAATTATTCAGATTATCAAAATTTAATTGTTAGTAAATTAATATTACATTTACCTTTTATACAATTTAGTAAACCATTAAGAACATGTTTATGGATTTTAAGTGAATGTGAATATGAAAATGATCAGAAAAAGATTATTGAGATTATTAATGTTATTTATAATTCTTTAAAACCTTTACCTTTAAGTAAGAATAATCCTGGAAATACTAATAGAAGAAATATTCAAACTTTAATAGAAAATCCTAATAATGATGATATTGAATTTGATCATAATGATTTCTCTGATGGAAATTATAATAAAGTTATTGATGATGATGATAATAATAATAATAATAATAATAATAATAATAATAATAATTTAATAACAGGAGTAGGAAATACTACTTATTCTTCAAATGTTATAACAAAAACAGTAATATTAGAAGATGGAACATATGCAACACAAGATGTAGAATATAATACTAATGGATTTAGTCATGATCATTCTAATATAAACAATTTAATTTCTTCATCTTCTAATCATGAAATAACTAATAATTTAAGAAATATTATTATTAGAGATGAAGATTTACTTTTAATTGCAAGTATTGGTGTTTCTTTAGTGAAATTAATATGTTTTTCTTCTATAATTAAATCTAATAATGAAGAAAACAATATATTAAATTTGGGAATAACTGTTTATAATAAAGTATTTCATATAATTGTATGTTTTTTAAGATATTGTATAAATGATCAAAAAAGTGGAGGTATTCAAAATGATACAACTCATAGATTAAGTCATTGTTATCTTTTACTCAAATCAATATATGGTGATTTAGAACAATTAAAAAAAAATCAAGGAGAAATAGGGGAAGAAAGAGAAAATTTTAAATCTCAGAATTATATTAGATTAAGTGAAAATACATTACTATTAAGAAAAAAATTATTTCCAAAATTACAAAAAATTAAAAAAAATGAAGATGAATTTGTAAGAGAAATGAAATTAAGAGATTTTTGTATTGAAAATAGACATAATTCTAATAATAATATTTTCAAAAAATATCCCTATAATTTGGTTAATTTTAGACAACTTAGAGAAAAAGTATTTTCAAATAATATGGATATAACACAAATAAATGATGATGATGATGAATTTGAATGTCTTGATAGTAATATGGATAACTTGAAAATTAGAAATGGAAAATTAAAAGTAGAAAAATCAACAAAAATGGATCAATCAGCATCAAAAAGAATATATCCAATAACAGGTTTAAGTGATCCAATATATATAGAAGCAATACTTCAAGTACAACATCAAGATGTTTTATTAGAACTTATAGTAACAAATCAAAGTTATAAAGCAGTTCAGAATGTACAAATAGAATTATATCCTTATGGAAATTTAAGAGTAATAGAGAAACCTCAAAATATTAATCATTTAGATCCTGGTAATACTATACATGTTTATTCTATTGCACAAGTAAAATCTATTGAAACAGGAATATTGTTTGGTTTTGTTACATTTCAAACAAAAAATTCACAAAATGATGGAGGAATTACAACAGGAATGTCAGGAGGAGGAGGATCATCTTTTTCTTCTTCTTCTTCTTTATCTATTTCTTCCTCACAATTATTAGGTTTGAATGATATTGTGGTATTAAATGAGATAAATATAGAATTGATTGATTTTATAACTAATTCAAATATTCCTCCTCCTTTATTCAGACAATTATGGTCAGAATTTGAATGGGAGAATAAGATTCCAATACATACAAGTTGTGATTCTTTTATACAATTTTTGAAATATTTGATTAAAGAAACAAAATTGTCATTAGTAGGATGTAATAATATTGAAAATATTAATGGAGAAAAAATTATTACTAATAGTAGTAATAATAAGAATAAAATGAATAATAATAATAATAATGATAATGATAATATTAATAATAATAATGAAAGTACAAATAATCTAACAATGATGAATGAAAAATCGAGCTTCTTTGCTGCAAATTTATATGCAAGAAGTATTTTTGGAGAGGATGCTCTTGTTAATATAAGTTTAGAAAAGCAATTATCATCTAATAATCAAAAACATGGTAGAGAAAAGGAAGCAAAAATGATGATATCTGGAACAGTTCGTATAAGAAGTAGAACACAAGGTATTGCTTTATCTTTGGGTGATCACATAGTTTCTCTTCAAAGAAAAATACCAAACGATGAAGATATAAAAAATTTCAATAACACTAATAATAATGATAATGATAATTACAATGATGATGAGAACAGAAAAATTTATGTGGCAAAGAAGGCGGGAAAAATGGGAGGAAAAGAAAAGTTCGTAATTGAAAATGAAAACAGTTATGGTAGGCATTCTCGTTTGTTGAATATAGATTTTGGTGAGATTTATTAAAACTCTTAGATAAAATAATATTATTTTTATAATCAATTTTTATTACTTTTTTTGTTTTTTTTTACTATTTGTTGATTTTGAGAATAAATAAAAAGAGATAGATGAAAAAAAAAAATTAAATCATTCAATATTAAGTTCTTTTGATTTAACTTTTATGTACCTTTCAAGTAAAGGATTATCTTTAAAAAATGACTGATAAAAAGGAGAATAATGATTGTAAATCCTTTTGAGATTTTGAACATAAATAGAGTGATACTTTTTAACAATCTCTCTGGATGGATTATTATTGTTTGTTGTGAAATTTGAAGAATTATTAATAATATCACTATTAATAGGTTTTCCAATAACTATCAAGTAAGGTACACCTCTAACTGGTAATAAAGGATTCCACCAAGTTTCCCCACAAAAAATGACACTTGGTAAACTAAAATCATTAAGTAACCATCTAATTTTTTTAAAATATTGAAATTGATGAAAAGATAAACATTCACCAAAAACATATACTGGACGTATTGAATAATTATATTTTAAGCAATATTTTATAAATCCAAATCTTTTTTCAATAAATATACTATCTTTACCCCAATTTAAAAGTATAGTTTCATGAAATCCTCCAGGAAACATGATTAATGGTCCTTCTTGCCTTTTCATTGTTTGTTTAAAAGAAATATGTGAAGCTCCTCTTAATTTGACTGTTGAATTTAATATTACACTAATTATTGGTTGTAACCATACTAGTGATTCTGTGACTATTAAATGTAGATTTGAAAAAATTCCACTGATTATTATATACATAGATCCTATTCCTAATATACCATGCGGATGTAAACATAATAACTGTTTTGAATTAATTTCAAAATCTGGGTCCTCAATAATAATTTTTCCAGGGCCTAAAATAGATTATTATTTTAATTTTGTTTTTTATTAGAAGATTATTTTTATTAACTTACCAGTCCAATGATGAACATCTCTTGTTAGTAAATTACTTAAATATTTAATTACATCAGGCACATTATCGTGCCAATTAAATGTTATTGGAATAAAAATAATGGTTAAAAGAAACAATACCATGTTCCAATTTCCAATAAATAACCAATAAACTAATCCAACTGGTATAAATATTGAAAACCCCCAAGTTAGAATTAATATTGTATATGAAATACAACCTAAAATTGGTCTAATTCCTCCCTCATTATAATTAACTGGAATATCCACAATTCTTATCTTAGATTCAGATTCATTAATTAAAGCTTTATTTTTTGCATTTTCCATATTAACTATTATCACAATTAATACGTTTCTTTTAATCTATACTATACAAAAATACTTTTGATAGCATACAAATTTACTTTCACACATAAATATTTACCAAAAAAATAAACCAATTTATTAAGTTTTTAAACTTTTATACTTATAATTAATTTTAAATATTATATAATTATAAATATATTTTACGTAATTTGTTTTTTTTTATACAAATTTAACTCATATTACGAATTGCCGGTATAGAAATTTCATAAAACAAATTATATTACGTGTAAATTTTTGACCGGTATATATATATTATTTCATGTGGATAACAATTATTTTACATGAATACATTTAATTAATAATAAGTTATTAACTAGAGAAATGCATAATAATAATAATAATAATAATATCAGTAATAAATTATTTTGAATTTAGTATAAAAAAGAGCATAAAATTGAATATTTGGTAAATTAAGGATGCAATTATAAAGGTTTTATTAGTTTTTTATTAATCAAATAAAGTTTGAATAATTATATGATTAGAATATTTAGAAGAAAATAAAAGATATAGACAGAAAAAGATGAATATCGGAATATAAAATTAAATCTTTATAGCACTTTAAAGTACATATTATGAGTGTTATTATATATTTGATTAATAAATTGAGTAAATGATATTTTCGAATTTTTGGAATAAATCTTAAATAAAATTTCACAAACTTGAATAATTTTTACAGGTTCATTTCTTCCCTTTACAAGTTTGTCTTTTTCCCATTTTGAAGGTCTATTTACTTGAGGAAAGTTTGTTTCAATCAATTTGTAACTGGAATGTGTTGGCTTTATATCACACCAAGGAGAGTCTGTTAATTAAATTAATTAATTGAAACAAAAGAAAAATAAATTATTTTTGTTCATATTATTGGTAATATGTAACAATTATCAAAATTTAAAACATTACCTGTTTCAATGTGTAATTTATTTATAGGAATATATTTTACCACATTTAAATTATCTTCAGTTTTTAAAGAACATCCATTTACTCCAATTTCAAGATTTGTATCTAAAATCATCTTAAGTTGGTCTAAATTACCAGTAAATGAATGTGCTACTCCACCTCTTTTAATCCAAAGATTCTTTTTCTTATTAATTATTCTAACAAATTTTGAATAACAATCTTGGTCACCTCTAATATGAACAAACATTGGCAAATTGAATTCTTCAAGCAATTCAAATTGTTTTTCAAAGTATTTTTCTTGAATTTTCATACTTGAAAAATGTAATCTATCAGAATCTAACCCAAATTCTCCTATTGCCTTAATTCTACAAAGATTCATTTTCACTAAATCTTTCATTTTTTTTAAATAATTATCAGAATATATTAAACAATCTTTACAATCCATTTCTAATTCTTCATCTTTCTTTTTCTTACATTCTCTACATAAAAATTCCTTTCAAATTTAAATAATTGTTAGAAATCATTCCAATTTATTAAAATATATATATATTTTAGACAATTTAACTTACTTTTGTTCTCGTTGGATGTACTCCAATTGTTGTGAATAATAACTCACATTTAGGATCCAGTCTCTCACAGATCTCTAATGCATCTACAGTTTCTTGGTAACTCCCTGCAGTTATTAAAATTTTATCCAACCCTCCTTTAATTGCTCTATTAATAACACTATGAAAGTATACATAGTAATTTATTTAATATCAAGAATTATTAAGTTAGATATTTTTTAAAATAATAAAAAGCAAAAATCTATTATACTTACATTTCTAAATCAGATTCATGTTGTTTCTTGCCATTATAAATACCTTGAAACATCAAGTCAGTTAAATTTGACCCAATATCTATAAATTTTAACTTCTCCATTAATTTAATACTCAGAAAAATGCTACTTATTCATTCAAATATATTTATAATAATAATTTTTTATTTAAATTACAATTAAAAAAATTAATATTATAATTACCTTTTATTTATATCCCGGTTAAATACTAAACTAGAAATTTTTAAAAATCAAGAATAAATCATTCAATATAAATACAATGAACCAAAAAACACAATAAAAACTTTTGAAAACTCAAAATAATATAAAAATAATTCAAAAATTCAAATAAAATCACACAATTTATTTCTAGTTTTAATTTAAACAAAAAAAAATATATATATATATATATATTATAATATTTATACTTAATCTTTATACAACATAATAAATAGAATCTTTAATTACTTGTTTGGCGCCAAAATGTGGGGAAAGGTATCGGTAAAATAAGATAAATTTAAATTAATGCTGAAATAAATATTTGCAAAAGCAAGTATTAGTGCATATAGGTATAATATTAAGGATAGTGTGAGAAATCAATTGGAAATAAATTCAGTGATAGAAACTCATATTTAAAGAACAGAGAAATATAAGGGTCCGAATTAAAACTAATAGAAGCGTGGAATCTAATCTTGCTAAGAAAAGATTTATAATTATATAATTCTTGTTTTTTTTGTTTCTTTTCAACTAAAAATAAATAGAGAAAATGTCTAATAATGTAACCTTTAATTCGTTTCCTCCTGCTTTAGAACGGACATTTCTACATTTTTTAAGAACATTTAAAACTGAAGAAGGTGTGCCTAAATATGTGAGACAAGTTGAACAATTATTATCATCCAGATTAACAAAAACTGTTTACATTGATGTAAATGATATTTTAAATTTTTCTATTGAAGGTGACAAATCAAGAAATGATTCTAATCTAGAAGAAAGAAATAATAATGGATTCATTAGTGGGCCAACTATGTTACTTGCATTAACTGAACAATATGGCGAATATAAACAATCAATAGATAACTTAGTAACTAGCTTTTGTAAAAGTTTTACTATAGGAGATGAAAGAGGAGGTGGGAGATTAGATCCAGGTGTTGGAGGTTATACTGCTTCTTTTTATGGTTTAAGATGGATAGAAAGTTTAAGAACATTAAGATGTGAGAAGCTTGGAAAGCTTTCTAGCTTAAGAGGAACTATAACAAGAACATCTGATGTGCGTCCTGAGTTACTTAAAGCTTGTTTTGAATGTGAAATATGTGGATGTATTGTAGATAATGTGGTACAACAATTTGTTTATTCTTTACCTTCAATTTGTCCTACTAAAGGATGCGGAAATAGAACTGCTTGGCAGCTTAGATTGGAGAATTCTGATTTTGGTGACTGGCAAAAGCTTAGAATTCAGGAACATGCAACTGAAATTCCTCCAGGGTCAATGCCAAGGTCTATGAATGTAATTTTAAGAGGAGATTTTGTTGATAAGTGTAAACCAGGAGATAAAGTTATCTTGACTGGAATGTTAATTGTTGCTCCTGATGTACCTTCTCTAATGAAACCTGGAGAAATACCTTCAAGTGTATATAAGGACAAAAGCAGAGGTCAAAACGAATCTTATAACTCAGGGGTTAGTGGACTTAAGTCTTTGGGAGTAAGGGACTTAGCCTACCGTCTCTGTTTCCTAGCTTGTCACATTGAAGTTGTTAATGCTATTGCTTCTAGCGATGATGGACGTATTATTGAACAAATTAATCACCAGCATCAAAATCAAAGTATAGAAAATAATAATGAATTGAATGATGGTGAAATGAGATTGAATGAAGATTTGGAAACAAATACAAACGAGATTATTGATCATTTAAAGGTTTTGAATGTTCAGGAAACTTCACTAAGAAAGTTTCTCGAAATTTCTCAACATCCTAATGGTATTAATATGCTTGCCACATATGTTGCACCACATGTATATGGTTATTCTCAATTAAAGAAAGGAATCTTACTTTTATTGGTTGGTGGAGTAGAGAAAAGAACTAAAGATAATATTAAGTTAAGAGGAGACATCAATGTTTGTATTGTAGGAGATCCATCAACTGCAAAAAGTCAGATTTTAAGATTTGTTAATGAATTCTCAACAAGAACTGTTTATACATCTGGTAAAAGCTCAACAGCTGCAGGTTTGACTGCATCTATTCATAGAGATCCTGATCAAGGTGACTTTGTTATTGAAGCTGGAGCTTTAATGCTTGCTGATAAAGGTATTTGTTGTATTGATGAATTTGATAAAATGGATGAAAAAGATGTTGTAGCTATTCATGAAGCTATGGAACAGCAAACTATATCAATTACTAAAGCAGGAGTTTTAGCAACACTAAATGCAAGAGCTTCAGTTCTGGCAGCTTGTAGTCCAGTAGGAGGTAGATATAATCCTTCTAAGACTCTTTCTCAGAATGTTAAGATCTCTGCTCCTATTTTGTCCAGATTTGATCTCTTCTTTGTAATGATTGATGATCCAGAAGACGTTTATGACGAGGTATTAGCATCATTTATTGTTGGATTACATTCCAAAGCAACAGAAAAAACAGGAAAAGAAACTATTCATGATAATCAATCTGATTATAATAGTGAGAATACATTTAATCAAAAACAGTTTGCTGATCATCTCAATTTCTCGGATTCAAATAACCTTCAACTTACCAAGAGCGAGCTTAACCAGTACATAGCTTATGCAAAAACCTTTAAGCCTTGCATAACTCCAGCTGCAAAGACCATCCTTGTGAGAACTTACAAAGCTCTCAGAATGGGTGATGCTACTTCTGGAGCTAAAGCAATGAGAATTACTGTTAGACAACTTGAGAGTCTGATTCGACTTTCTGAAGCTGTTGCAAAACTTAGATTTTCTTACTTAGTTACTCCAGAGCATGTAGAAGAAGCTTGTCAAATTTTTAAGAGTTCATTAAGCAAGATCAGATACAATGATATAGATTTAGGTGAGATGGATGATTATGATGAAGAAGAAGAAAATGATTTGGAAGATATAAAACAAACAGAAAAGGATGGAAAGATTCGCAAAACCAAGATAGGAAAAAATGAACATGACGAAAACTCTGAGACAGAAGATATTGAAATGATACAAGAATCAAAGAATGAAAAGTCTTCATCTAAGAATAAAAAGAAGGCAAATGTAACAATAGGATATAATGAATACTTCCAAATAGCTAGGAGATTTGTGGACAAGCTTCAGAACTGTGAGAATTCCGAAATCTCAATAACAGATTTAATAGCATGGCATATTTCAGAGTATGACCATCCAGAGAGCGAGGAGGAACTTGGTGAATTAGAAGAAAAGTACCATAGAGCAATCCAAAGAATGATTCACAGGGATATGATTTTGTATATATCTTTCCAAGAGGAGATATCTAGTCAGAGGAATGACCAAGATAATACTCAGGAAGAAGAAAACGAGGCTATCTTAATGGCCTATGTTAAGGTACACCCTAACTACAATGTAAATGATACCATTACATTACCTCAGCCATCGTCAGGAAATAAACCTCTTACGAGACATGCAGACTTTGGGTACCGTACATTCCAAAATACGGAAGAGGCTAATGAATTATCTAGAGATTCACAAAAAGTTGAGGATGATATTTTGAACTTGGATGGGAATTTGGAGCCTGAAGACTTTTTACCAGAAATAAAAGATTCCCAGCTCAAAGAGTATCAAATTGATAGAAGACTAGAAGAGAACGATGATGATGATGATGATGACGATGATGAAGAAGACGAGGAAGTAGATGACGGAGCATCGAATAGAATCTAAGCTTAGACTGAATTAATTAGATTTCAAACTTTCAGGCGATTACTTTTCTATTTGAAGATTTATTAGGATTAATATTATTAATTGTATTATGTACTTAAGGGAAAATGGAAAAAAAAGAAAAATTTAATAAAAACTTGTCTACTATTTCTTATTGTATTATTTAATATAGTAGTAAGTTAGGAGGGACTATTTAATTTTTTTTGAATGCTTTCACAAGATTTAACTAATAGCCATTTTAGGTTGATTAGATTCATGCTCATAGCTCTATTCCAGGATTCTCTTTCGTTGAAGAGCAAATTAGGGCGGATACCTCCTATAGTGCCGTTTATTTGGTCAACAGGATAAGGTAGACTTTCTTCTGTTCCAGGAATTGCATTATAAACAGAATCTATAAGAAAAACAAATAAAGATATTCCCTTATCAAAGTTAGTACATTCGTTATAATCTGAATTACAAAGAGTGTTGCCATGAAGAGGCCAAATTGAACAAGTTGAATCTTTGATAGTAGAATAACTTCCACTCGGATTAATACTCAAAGGAAGTTTGTGACGTTCCAAAATAGTATGTAAAAGCAGAGCTGAAGCACCGAGAGCTGCATTTAGCTCATTCCAATTCTCAAAATCTGCCTCAAATAATGCAGGACGAAGTCCATTTATACTTGAAATGCCATCTTTAACTTGAATATAAAAAGATAAGTTCAGGAAATCTGTTCTTTTTAGCCTTTCCAGGTACCCTCTCAAAAAAGCAAGATGGTTTTCCATTCCTTCTTTTTTTGTTTCATACTGATTTAATTCTTGCTTTAAATTTAGTTCCAGGTTTTGGTTTTCTTTAAGCTCTACAATATCTTCCATTTCTATGGTATTAAATACTTGAAATTTGCATTCACCATTTCCTTCTTTTCCCTCTTTTTTTATCTCTTTATTATCATTATCATTATTCTCAATACTCTTATATTGAAAATATCGTTGCATCTTTAAGAATTCATTATAAATGTCCAAAATATCAGAATGTTCTTTGCTAGACATGTCAAAGCTCTCAGAAAAATTTGTGACTTCTTGTTCGGATCCTTTATTTCTAAAATCTATATTATCATCATAATTTTCAGAAGAAAGTATTATGTTTGAAATGTCTCTGTATTTGTCCATAATATTTATCTCCTTGTTCAAGGCCATTGAAAATTGGGATATTAAGTAATTCATACAATCAATACAAAGTGATTCCTCCACATTTGTTTTGTTACTCAGAGTTCTATTATCCTTTTCTATAGAAACTTCCATAAATTGTAAAATAAAGTCTTCAAAATTATCCGGATTTCTTTCTTCTAAACTTAAGTAGTCTAAAAACATATCGTGCACTGATTCAGTTGACTCAACAGTGGTCACAATTTCGGAAGGTTCTAAATGATTCTCAGAATCATAAACCACCTCGAAAAAATTCCCACACTTGGAGCAAGATCTAATTACATTTTCTTTCAGTTTCTGGCCCTCTTCCAGCTTGTCCTGAATCTTCTTGCTTCCCAATCCTAACAAAAACATTTCAAATTACAGTAAAATCAAACTTTCTAATTAAGGCCTTCCTTTCCCCATAATATTAGTCAAAACTTTTGTTCAAATCCATGTATGTCTGTTTTTTTTATTTAATAATAGTACTCACATCTGCACCACTACCTTTAAAATAAATACGTGTTTTGGCGCCATCTCAAATTTATTTCATGAATTCAAAATTAATAGGGAAAATTTTGTGATTTAATTAATGTACAAAAAAATGTGCATATAATTAAATTTGTGGAGTTTAATGTGAAAAAAGGTAGATAAAACTATATTTAACAAAAATCTATCATTTTGAATTCTATCTGATTTTTTTATGTTACAGAAAAACCAAAGGGTTTTATAATAATTATTAGTTCTTGAAACTGTTTAAAATATATATTAGAAATAGATAAAAGAAGATATAAACAGAAAAGCAGGAAATTTCTTAAAATAAAATGCAATATGGAAAGTTCAAAGTTTAGTTTTTCGATAAAAAAATCATCTGGAAAAAATGTCTCAATGGCAAAAAGTAATTCCTTATTTATGGGTTATGAAGAAAATGATCGTAATTTTGGAATAAAAACTGAAAGTAATAATAAAGGTGTTTATGGGAAAAACTCAATTCCAGGAAAAAGAACTCAAATTACTTCTTTCTCAAATGCTAAATCAGGTATTGAGCAACAAAATGGTGATGAGGATGAAGAACTTATTATAGAATGCAAAAACTCACTAAAATCGTCAAAACCTATTAACAATATCGAAATACTTTTAAATAAGAAAAAATCTTTAAAAAATAGAAATGAAGATAATTTAGATTCCTCAATTAATAAAGATAGTTTCCGTATTCCTGTAGATAAGTTTGGTATTGCTATGCTAAGAGGTATGGGATATAACCCAGAAATACACACTACAAAACCAAAAATATTTAAAAAAAGGAGCTATAATCAATCAGGACTTGGAGCTGATAAAGAAATTGAAAGTATTTCCAAAAAATAAACTTTCAGTTAATTCGACTATAATCCGAGCACAAATAGTATTCCTGACTATATATGTAATTAGAATAATCGAAATAATTCAATTTAGAATTGGAATATAAAAAAGCTTTAATGAAAATATTTAATCATAATGTAATTCTATGTTATCTTTAATGTGAAATAAGGGTAAATATTTAATTAAAAAAAAAAATGTAATTGTTAAAAAATAATTACTATATTATAAATATATGCAAAAAAAACTATGGAAATCAATTTATTTAAAAAATCAATATAATAATTTCCAAATATTTGAGAATCAAAAGATTTATTTATTTAATTTATTATGTTTAGGGTTTTAGGTTCTTATCGGAATTATTTCAAGAATTAGATAAATTTTTATGTTTCAATTTGAACTTATTATTGTATTATTAATAGCCTTAAATTCCATAAATACTTCCCAATGTAACTCAAGTAGTCATTTACGCAAACTTTCAATTCAAGTTGGGGGTACATCATATACAGATGGAGGATCAATACCTTCCTTTAGACCAATTTCCAATTCAAACATATATTCAGCACAAAAGCTTCCATCATCTTTTGGTAAATCAAAGAAAAACCAACAAAGCACTGATAATCTTTCAAATTTAATTGAAAACAATGGAAATATTATTCAGAAATCAAAAGATTCATTTCAAGACGTTCCATTTTCAATTACCCATACTCTAAAGTTAATTCTAGCAAATAAAATAATTCAAAGTAACCCAATTTTATATCCTTTTGAAATTGAATACAGTGATATAAGTTCTTGCCAATGCAGAATTGATTTTGAAAAAATTAAAAAAAAATATATGGAAAAAAACAATTCAAAGGATTCAACTAATAAAGATGACTTATACGAATTTATTTATTATTCAGATTTCAACGTCCCTGATTTACCACCAAACTGTTCATGGTCAGATTCTACCAGAGAAATACTTGACAAATTGTTTGGTAATAATCTTGTAAATGAAACCAATAATAATATTAATATTAATAACACAGAAAACTATGCATTCAATAATAATTCAATTTTTTCAAATGATTCAAATTCTAATAATAACCTGGAAAATTTGAATCTTAACCCCCAACTCAATATGCATGCATTAAAAGAATTTCATGTGGACAATTATAATGAATCAGAAAATAAAAAAAATGAGTATGAAGAAAGTATAAGAAATGATGATAAGAGTGAGAGTGAGAATTTGATTAATATAACTAACAGTTTAAATGAAACACAATTATCAAATTACACTAAAGAAATTGTGGATGATGGTGTATTGTTGGAAAATGCACCTCCCACATTAAGCAGTGTGGTGATAACATCTTTAAATGGTTTATTGCAATGTATTTATAGAATTCCAGTGGATTTTACTCCTTGGAGGAAGTCAAATCCAAAATATGATCTTGAGAAATTATCAAATAATAGTGATTATTGGTTTAATTATACTGCATTAAATTCAGATATATGGAAAGAAGTAGATTTTAGTGGAAACCATAGCAGAATCAGGGATGATGAGAATATTAATTTAAAAAACAAAACAAAATTTTCAATTGAAGGATTTTGGGACTTGATTAGTTTAATACCTAAAAAGGTATTATCTAATTTAAATATTAAGGATGAGAATACATATAATCTCTGTAAAAATGAAAGAGATGATCTAGAGTTGATGCTAATAGATGAATTAATTAAGAACTTAAATATTTCAAGAGAAGAGTATATGTTACCTACATTTTCATTATTAAATATTCAGCCATACAATTTAACATATTGTAGTAGACCAACAGGAGCAGAACTTGATATAATTGGAATTTGTCCATCAAATGGTTTGAATTCAGTATATGATTATGAAACAAAAAGTTGTATTTCAATTACATATACAGATTCTGTTGCATTTTGTCCATTAAATTATGTTCATTCAAAGCTATGGGGCTCACATAGAGGTGGAGGCGGATGCCATGTTAAACAAAGAAAATATTTACCATCAATACCAAAATGTGACCCTCCATTTGTATATAATAAACCAAGAGAAACCTGTGTAATTGAAACTTTTGCACCTGGATTTCCAGGATGTGTTGAGGGAAGTGTATACTATGACTTACAAACATGTATTATGGCTTATCAAGTAATGAAAGAATATGAATGTCCAGAAGGATACACAGCTGATTTAGAGGTAGACTTTTTTAAAAAAGATATTTCTGATGTTGATTATAGAAAGGAAATATTAAATGAAGCAAGTGAAAACTTCAAAAAGTATTATCATCCAAATATCCAAGAAGATCCAATATTGACAAGGAAGGTGAACGATTCAGAATCAGGAATACAAAGCAAATCCATCACAAGAAAATTTCAAAACTTTAAAAAAAAAGTGAAATGCTTTAAAAAAGAAATAGATGAAGTTAAGTATAATGGTATTGGTGCTCCATATTGCCAAAATAGTACATTTAGTCTTAGATATGATTATAATAACTCATGGATGTTTGAAAAAGGCCCAAGACCTTATTGTAAATATCAGGATATTATAATGGTAGATTACAAATGCCCAAAAGGTACAATTTCTTATGATTCTTATATTTCAAATGGTAATGATCCTCCAATAGTATATAGGCAGGAATTTGTTAATCCTTTTGATACTTGTATACAAATAATGAAAGTTCCAATACAACCAAAATGTACAACAAAAGAAGAAATTCCGTTTATATCATTAAGAGAACCATTAAATTATTTTGAAAAAACTGGAATTCATATTGTTACAAAGGAAGACATAGAAAATATTGATAAAGAATCTTTGTATAATCCAAGTGAGGTAATTGATAATTCACTACCCAACCCAGATAGATTGTTTCCCGATTCTGTTGAGGAAATGGAATTGGAAAATATTGACAGTGACATTTTAAATGAAACAGAACTTAATATAGAGAAGAATGAAACAATTACTCCTTCGTTTGGAAATACAAAAAAGGATTTAATAACAGAATTTATTGCTCTAAATCAATTTTCAAAAATAGAACCTTCAATTACGAGTAATGATTCAAAGAGTGAAAATGGTGAAAATGTCATAGGGCGTAAACTAATCGAGGATTTTGAAAAAATTAATTTTATTGATGAAAATCATCATAAAAATAAGAAATTACAAATAGAACCAATAAGTTTATATAATGCAATAATTGGAAAAACTGATTATGTAATTAAGATTATTTGTTTGAAGGTTGTTACTGCAAAACCGTATTTATCTTGTCCTGAAAATACAGTTTTGGTACCAACAAACATGTGTAAAATGAAGGGTTATACAGATTTTACCATTGAATGTCCGAAAGGTTATAAGTTGGATGAAGAGGCTTTGTTACTTTTACCTCCCGAACATTTTAAAAAAGCTCCTCCACGTTGTGTTTCAAAGCAGTCAGTTTTCACTCATTACTATTGCCCTCCAAAATTCCCAGAAAATGTATTCAGACCTTTTGAGTATAATATAACCAAATTATTTTCTTTAATTATTGAAAAAATGGAAAATAAAACTCAACCAGAAAATAATCAAACTGGTGAGATATATCCAAATAATTCAACATTATTAAATAATCTCTATGGTACATCTATAAATAATGGAAATGATACTACTATAAATGGTGAAACGGTTAAGTTTGGTATAAAAAATGAAGATTTAAATATAAACGATACTATTGGAGATGGCTCAGATGCTAATTTTGATCATTTCAATACTAGTAATTTTAAAATCGAAAATATCGAAAGGTATAATATTACTAATACTAGAATATTTTCAATGAAATCATTTGGAAGAACTGTGGTGCCATCTTATTCACAAAAAATGTGTCATGAAGTGGAATTAATTAAACCTTTATGGACTATGCCACTATTACTAAGAATATTCTTAAATAACATTAATTTAGATAATAGTTTTGAAAAGAAAAATACTAAATAAAATATATATATTATTTAGTTGCGTATTTTTACTTTTTTTTTTTAAAATTTCTAATTTATTTTTCATTAAAAAAAAAACAATAATTTTTTACTAATTAACACATAATTATATTCTTCATTCTTATTAATAATTTATCTTACTAATTTATATTAATAATTATTTATGTAAACAGCAATAATAATTATTAATTTGTCCACATATAAATTAATAATTATTATTAATATGATATAAAAAAACAAAATACCGGTATGTAAATTTTGATGTGCATATTGCATGCATGCAGTCATGTGGACAAAAAATGATGTGATATTATTCATAAGAGGAAATACACCAGATATATGGTTGTTATAAAATAAATTAGTGTCACTTTTTTTATTATTGGTTATTTTCTTAAACAAATAAAATATCAATAATAAAAAAATACTAATAATTTTTTTTTAATTATTTTTAATATAAATAAATTTAATTTTGACTAGTATTAAACAGTCTTAATTAAATTAATTTGTTAATAAAATCTAGTTAATAAAGAAAAGGTTCATAATAATAAGAAAATTTTTTAAAATTTTTTTTGAGAAAGAAAAATGATATCGTTAAGAAAGATAAATACAATTATTATGATGGCAATGTTGCCACTAAGTTGTTATGCAGGGGACCATCATCATCATCATCAACAACAAGCAGTTTCAACCGTTTCTGTAGTCAATGTTCCAACAATGGTATGTCCAAGTGGATATACTTTGGATTCAAATAGACAATGTGTTGCTAGGGAGGAGGTGATGCCAGAAAGAGTTTGTTTGAATGGAGGTGAACTAACAAGTGACTTTAATTGTTTGAAGACAACAAGTCCAATTATGAAATGCCCAGTTGAATATACATTAGTAGGTGAGAATATGTGTCAAAAGAATATTGAGATTGATCCAGTTGCAGTATGTCCTTCTGGATTCACTTTAACAGATGGCCAAATGTGTACAGGTTCAAAAACTGTTGCACCAATCAAGAAGTGTATGCAGGGAGTTTTGAATGAAATGCAAACAGAATGTATTTTGCAAAAGAGTGTGTCTCCAATTAGCCACTGTCCATCATCTGATTATACTTTAGTTAGTAATGAAAGATGTGTAAGAGAAGTTTTGTATGATTGTACTCCAGCAGCAACAGCAATACAATATACAACTTCACATCATGGACATGGACATGGTCACGGACATCATCATCATCAAACAAGCTATGTAGTTCCCCAAGCTGTTGTTTCAAGAACATGTTCAAGAACTGAGTCAGCCCCAGCACAAATGATGTGTCCAGAGGGAGCAGTCAAAAGTTTGACAGGATATGGATGTTTATATACATCAACAACTGAACCAACTTTAGGATGTGCTAATGGTTCAATGGTTGCAAATGGAGAATGTGTTGAAGTTGTAACAGTTCCAGCAGAGTTAGAATGTCCAAACCCAACACCAAAGCCAACAAATGAGTTTTATGATGGTAAATACTATTCACTCAGAAATTCATCACAACAATCTGTTAAGAATCTTGGTTATGGAAGTCAATATGTATATGAACAAGGATCTCAAAACTTCAATCAGCCAGCTGGTATTATTACTAGAAGATTAGGAAAGAGAGGTGTTTCACATCATCATCATCATGCATATTATCCAATTCAAACATATGTACAACAAACATATGTACAACAGCCAATCCCTGTTATCCAGGAAATTCCAAGAAAGAAATGCTTTGAGACTCAAACTGTTCCAGGTGAATTAGGATGCCCAATTGGATATGTTGATGGTGGTGAAAAAGGATTATGTAAATCTATTGTGCCATCTTCAATGAATTGCCCAGCTGGAACAACTCTAAACTCTAATGGTGCTTGTATAAGAAATATTGTTGTTCAACCAACAATGGCTTCACAACAGCAAGAAATCATCCAAACTACAATAACTGGTGGACGTCATCATCATCATTAAGAATGTAAAATAATGTTATCAAAATAATCATTTCAGATATATTCTAGTAAATAATTATATATCTTATTTGAAATATATATATATTCTACTTGAATCTTAATAATAATTTACTGATGATTTATTTTCTTATTTGATATCTTAACCTCTTAATGAATTAATATGGAGGAATTACTGAGTTAAGATGATTCATCCATTTATTACATTCGTCTTCATTTGAGCATCTAATGGTAATTTTCTTGGTTAAAAATTTCTGTTTCTTAAATTTTATACTAAGACATCTTTTTCCTCTTTTCTCGTTATGTTCAATAGATATATCAGGCGATCCGATGAAGTAAGTCCAAATGGGTTTTTCATCATGTTTCAAAAGCTCCTCCATTTCGATATCATCTTTAGGATTAAGTAGATAAAGAAATCTATCTTTGGTGAGGATCAGATAGGCTGATTGCCATTGCCCAAGAAATATTTTTCTTTTAAAAATTTCAACATGTCCATGATAGATGATAAGAGAAGATTTTGGAAGATTGTTATAGTTCATCAGTGTTGAAATTTCTTGTAGAATTGGACAATTTGAAAGAGATTGTGAAATTTTTGAAAAATTTAGTTCATTAGTTATTGGAATTGGAGGTGGCCTAAGACCAGGTATGGATGTAATAATATCAAAATTTGCATAATTGTCTTGAAATAATGAGTTTTGTTTACTTTGATTGTTAATCAAATCTATTATAGAATTCCCAAGTTTTTGAAGAAATTCAAAAAATTCATTCTGTTTAACTAAAAAGTAATTAAAAGTAAGTTTAACAGAAGTTGCTCTCCAGCTCTCTAATTCCATAAGATTATCAATAGTAACCAATAAAGTATCAAAAAATTTTGTTTGAGCTTGGATAAATTTATTGATATTATGTCTATATATTTGATCAAAATACCAAGTATCACATGGTTTACTAGTTTTAACTGAATAATTTACATCTAAGTTAAGTCTTTGTGACTTTTTAAAAGCATCATCATACTTATTCCAAGATTGTTGTGCATTATTTATAAATGCTTCAAATTCTTTTCTAGCAATACGTAAAGTTTTTAAATATCCCTGAGCATTATTAAGATATCTTTTCGAGATCCATGAAAGATGTCCATTAACTACATCAGTTTCAACACTTTGAGAAAGCTTTTTAAGAAAAGTTGATTCATATCTTCCATAGTTTAAAAGTAAAATTGGCCAGATTTGTTGGCTTGAAATTGAACTCAATAAATTATTTGAAACAGAGTTTTCATATTTTGTATTTTTATTAGAAATGCCATTAATGTTCAAACTATTATTTGTATTATTATTATCAGATACAGAAAAATTCATTTCTGAATTATTTTTATTGGATTCTTTAAATTCATGTTTAACAGTATCATCGTGTAAATCTTCTTCATTAACCTGATTTTGAATATGTTGGTTTTTTGATTCTCTTGGTTTTAGTTGAAGAGGGAAATTATTTGATAATCCAAAAGTAACAAAAGGGTATGAACAAGAACAAGATTTGGCAGAAGAGGAACAAAAAGAACAGGTATGATTTGAGTTATGAAAATGGCTATTACTGTGTCCATTTTTTACACTATATTGTGAAATTAGTTCCAAATTCTTGGAGTAAATATTCCAAAACTTGCTCTTTTGTTGTAATATAGAAGCTAAATCTTTATTTATTTGCATAGCTTGGGAAATTGAATTTGAGAGTTCAGAAAAAATAGGGTCAATGGCATTAACAAAATTTTGATATTTTTCAACTCTCGTTTCTTCCCAAAGTTTAATTTCTATAAATTTCTTATTTTTTTCATCATTGGTCATTTTATGTAATATATCCTCATTGTGTTCACCTTCTGCCTGAGAAAGGCTTTTTGATTGAATTTTAAATACATCTGAGTATTTTGAAAGATTTGAGTCTAAAACTGCCAGCTGTTCTTCTGCTATTGTATTACAACTTTGACTGAATGAAATAGAATTGTTGGGTTCTTCTGTATTATAATTAACTGTTTCAAACGAATTTGAGAATTTGTGTTGGTCCATTTTCATTTAAATTAATAGCTTAAGTGTTAAATATAAATAATATTATTACATTATAATATTATATTTTTTATAACTGTAAATAAAACAGTTTATTTAGAGGGGGTGATTTTAAATTAAAAATATCTTTATTAATGAATTGGTAGAATCTATTGGATATATTGACACTTTTGAAAAAAAAACTAGATTTTAACTTTTAATTTTCACTATTTATAATTATGGTCCCAAGAAGTAAAAATTATTTCTTAAACAGTACTTAATATTACTTTTAATAAATAAATCGTCTTAATTCCAATTAGCACAGTTTAAATTAAATACAAAACAAAGAAAATATGGTTATAAACTTTTGTACAATTTAAAAAATTAGAAAGTTTCTTTCTATTAAGAAAATTCACCAAGTTCTTGGAAATGATTATATCTCCTTAATTTTCATATCAAACTAAAATATTATAAATATATACTATACATGCAAATTATTTGTGTGGTTTATTTTATTTGTTACATGTTGAGGGGAATTTGGATGTAAGCAAAAAAGTGCAAAAATGCAAATTTTGTGAGTTTTTTATACTAAATATATTTCTGGCCTTTAAATATAAAATTTTGAATTTTTATGATAGAAAAAAAAGATAAGAGGTTCAGGAAATTAAGTGAAAGGTTGAAAAGTAGTCAAAAATAAAAAAGATAAAATTTTTTTTAATAAGTCATTTCTTATTAATATATAATAATTAGGACTTGAAATTTGCTTCAGTTTAAAAAAGTAGTATACTATAAAATCAACAAAAGTTATTTTTTTTTTCATGATTATATATTATATAGGGTTAACACGTAATTTTCTGTGTTTTGGCGCCAAGAGAAAAATTTTATTTAGGCAATGTATAGAATAATTAAATGAATAAATCAAACATAGGCTGTTTTAAAGTTTTTACTTTAGAAGGAATTTAAAGAGGTTTGGAGTAGGAAGGAAGGGGTAAGCAGATAATATTTTGGGTAGAAGTATATTTATCATAGTTAAAAGAAGAAAGTCAATTATTTTTTTGTGTGAGAAGAAGAAAAAATGAGCTCTGTAGACTCTCTAAATATATACCTAAAGATAATAGATCGTAAGTTTTTCATATATTAAATCTGATTAGTGTTAAACAATGTAATGAAATGAATAATTTTGCTATTTCTATAATAGGTACCATTGAGAAATCAAGAGGATTACAAACTCCTGAGATGCTTGAACAATTAAAGCTTAGGTGGATTTCCAAGCTAAATGATTTATGTTTAGGTGTTACAAAAGATGAGAAATCTGATCACACTCAAGAATGGGTACCAACAGAATTAGAAATAATTGCCCCTAAATTGGATGGGGTTTTACCTGTTAAGATTCAATTAAACTCAGAAAAATCCAATAATGATAGAGTCAATAACGGTAATGATATCGATAGTAGTTGTAAATATAAGGGTAATGGCTCCATAATAACTGAAAGTGATATTAAAAATAAAAGAGCTAATGAGGGATCACTTGAAAACATTCCAACTCCAATATTATCTTCAAAAGAAATGAGAAATGTTAATGAGTTAAATACCGAGTATGATTTTTGTAAGATAGCTTCAAAGAAGCCAAAATTAGAAAATCCAGGAAATAGTAATAATGATGATGAAAAAGAAAAAAGCTTTTTTTTGGAAAATCACGATACTATAGAAAAAAAAGAAGAAATTATTGAAAATTCTAATAACGAAAAAAGCCAAAACGGAAATGGAGATGATAATGAATTTGAGGACGACGAATTTGGAGATGCATCATGGGATGTAGTTGCTCCTGGTGAAAGCGAAACTTCAAAGGTTGATCAAACTGACCATTTTCAAAAACAAAATAAATATGAAACGTCTACTAGTGATAGTTACAATGGAACAGTTACTGGGAAAAATGGTGGAAATGATGGTCATTTTGATGATGATTTATCTTCAGAACAGGGTTCAGATCTTGACAATATTTCCGACTTAGATGATGAAGAACCTGAATGTAGTGACGTAATTATTGGTCATTTTGAAAAAGTCATTAGGCCGTATACAAGGAAGAAAAACCAAAAAGGTAAATGGAGAGTTAAGCTGAGAAATGGAATTGCTCAAATTGCAAATCAAGAGATTCCCTTTGATACTTTAATTGGAGAATTTGAGTTTTAATCATTTTCTTATATTATTTCATACTATTCTGGCGGGCTTTCATGTGAGAAAAATTACATGTATTATAAACTGAAATTAAAATAATTTTAAATGGGTATTCAAAAAAAACAGATATTGCTGGGAAACAAGAAGATATATTACAGCTTTTTGGGTTTAGATTATAGATTATTTGTTTTTTGCTGACTTTGGTAGCGATACAATGGAATAGATTCGCAAAATCCTTAATTTATATTACATTTATATATTAAATTAGAAATGAGGCGGTCTCAACTTGAAATTTTTATTGACAATAAAAAAATTCTAATATGCATTAGCTTCTAAGATGGTACAGAATCCCGTTTGTATTTCCAATTAAAATAGAACCATTGAATCAGTTTTAGCCACTTTTGTTCATAAATTAATATATTTTTACTTTTCTTTCTTTTATTATATTATAATAATCCATCACTCGATTTAATGCATTAATGAATTTTTAACTTATTAAGTAATTTAGTAGTGTAAATATTTTTTAAGAAATTTAAAAATATTTAAACATACAAATTAGTAGTTCTTAATTAGGTAATCATGTCAATTATATATAGTTTGGTAGCAAAAGGTATGTTCAATGGAAAGAAAGAAATAAACCTCCTAAGTCTCTACCCTAATATTTTGTTTAATTTATTACGTGTACAGATGACGTGGTACTAGCAGAATATACAGAAAATACAGGAAATTTTCCATCAATTGCAAGATTTCTCCTAAAAAAAATTAACAAAAGCTTAAATAAGCAGTCTTATACATACGATGTTTATTGTTTTCATTTTCTGATTTGTGAACCAGGAGTTTTATTTATGGCGATGACAGATAGATCATTTGGTTTAACAATACCTTATGAGTATTTAATAGATATTAGATCAAAGACTTTACCATTTGTTGAAATGCTTACATCTCCAATAACTTTAATATTGAATGGGGTTGTTGCACCAATAATCAAAGAAAGAATGGTAAGTCAAATTGCTCATTTGCTATTCTACTTAATTAGCAATTAAATATATCTTAGATATACTGGAACAGTTCAGAACACACTGATTATGATATGTTAGCAAGCCAAATTTCAACAATTCAAAATGTACTTATTGAAAATATAGACATTCTACTAGAAAGAGGAGAAAAAATTGATTTACTGGTTTCTCAAGCAAAAAATCTAGCAATAGAATCTAATTCATTTAGAAGACAATCACATAGATTACAAAGAAGTACAGATTGCTTTCCTGCAAAAAGGATTGTTGTGTTATTTCTTTTTGGAATCTTTGTATTAAATGTTTATATTATTCTTGCTTTCAATTGTGGAGGCCTATTTCTTACTAATTGTTTATACAAATCTTCAAATAACTATATCTCTGAGCCCTTTATTAGAAACTATGAAGATGAAAAACCCAATATACAAGTTCTTAAACAAGTAGATGAGTTTATAAATGAATTAAATACCAATGAAGATCAATTAAAAAAGAATATACCCTAATCAAATACAGATAATAATATATAACTAACCTAAATGCTACTTTTAAAAGCCAATATAATTATATATTTGGCTTGTCTATAAAATATACAATATATAATAAAAACAAATCTATTTCTACTAGATTCTACTATAAATTAGTATTTCTGGATGTTTTTAATAGGGGAATTAATTCTCCTTTTGTATTGATCATGAGATTGAAAACCTTGTAGACTAAGAAACTTTTTAAACTTTTTGACTGGAAATAAAGCCAGACATTCTTGTAAATTCAAAGACACACTTAGCTCTGATACTTTACCTAGACTACTTTTATGAGGATGGATAAGTATTTCAAGCTTACTAAAGACTGACTCTGGCATGTTAGTTAATTGTGAAGGAGGATCAATTACAGGAACTTGTGTACTATATACTCTGGAATAAGAACATAATTTCAGTAATCTTCTGGACTTGGAAATCGTTCTCCTGTCATAGTAAGATTTGGATTTTGGGAAAACCAAACTAAACACTATTTCTCCAGTAGCTTTATCTATAACTGATATTCCTGCTTGATATAAACAATTTGTTTTAATATAGCTTGAATTTGGGTAATTTCTGCCAAAATAAACTCTTAATTCAGCAAAGTTTTTATTTGTACTTCCACCTGCTGGTTCTAAGTCACCATATAAATATAAAGGAATGCTTGCCCTTGTATCCATTAATTGCAACTCAATATTATAATATGATTTTGTATATCTATTATTCATTAATTTAAAAGGTATCAACTTTAATTTGGGTCTAAAGCTTAAAAGTGAAGGCTTATGGCGTTGGCTATGTTCATTTCTCAATAAATTTGAGTCCAGCTTATCTCTGCATGTTAATGATGATGATGGTATTATATGATTCTCATCCAAAGTATGATCACCATCCTCTAATAAAAGTAAAGATTTCTGAGTTAAAAGATTATCATATTCATATTCAAAATCTAAAAAATCATAGTTTGAATATTCCTTTGTTTTATACTTTTCAGCCAATACATCATTATTAACTCCTAAATACATATTATCTTGCTGTATACCTTCGATTATATTGTTATTTGTATTAATATTTTCTTTAAAATCCACATTTATATTACATTTATCCGAATCCTGAATACTTTTAATTGGCTTATTTGAGTTTAATAGGTTTTTTGAATTGGAAGAAAAGTGATTTTTGAGATTTTCTAAAATAAATACTACTTGTAAAGTAATGTAAATAGTAATTTTAGAAAGTGCCTCATTTATACTCATTTCAATACCAGCAAAACTACTCAAACTTGATAGAAAGTAATTAATTCCATTAAGATCTGAAATCTTATTACCATTTGAAAGTAGTAAAGCATGACAGTTATTACTTAGCTGAATGCCATTATCTATTTTATGAAATGGATTCTTATGATGATATAGTAAAACATGTTCATTTTCATTGAATAGACCCCAAACTGCAATATATTCCATTATTACCTTACCTATATCCCAGTATGGTATATCTTCTATCTGGAACTCCGATTTTAACACAATATTTTGAGATGTTATTGAGTTAACTTCCATATCCCATATATATCCTTTCCCTAATCCTCCAAAATCCAATTCTATGTTACTAAAACTTGTGAGTCCAAAAAAAATTTCATCTTTGCCATTAATAAAAACATCCTTCAGTTTGTGTTCTTTCCAAAACTCACAAGTAAATGGAGAGGCTTCGGAAACATGATTATTAGATCTACTGGTATTATTTTCGATAAATTTGTTAAAAGCAAAAACACTTTCTAAATTTGAGGAGTTTTGTATCGAAAAACAAGAATTCGCAGAATTTAACTCAAACTTCAACTTATAGAGTAGTACCTGCAAAACTTCATTTATTTTTTTTTGATTAAATAAGAACATTCCGAGCTCAGAAGTATTTAGAAACTCAAAATAACCAAACCAACTTTTAATACTTCTTGAATTACCAAAATCTTCAAACTCATCATTATTTTTTGCCACACCATCAACCAATACTTTAACTAAATCAAACCTAAAACCAAACTTATCAGTAGAAGCTTTTTGCCAGTATCTTATAAAAGAACCTCCTAAATAATGACCCCACTCGACACTTAATAGTGCTAACTCATATACATCCTCACAATCTAGATATTCTACCAATACCTCGTAAATTCCGGAATATAAAATACAAGAAATACCTGGCATATGTTCTTCCGTCCTAAAATGTATTTTTTTCCTGCCTCTTTTACCTCAATTTCTCTCTTTATATACACACATAAATTGTCATTAATATTAAAGATTGTTTGTTTTGATAGATTATTATCTTTAGAAAAAAACTTAATTAGATACTAAGTACTAAGTTAGTATATATTGAATCCACTAATATCAATCCCTGCCTGTTTTCTCCTCCTTTCTCTACTTTTCCTTTTTTGGGAAAATTTGAATTTTCAGATGTACTTAGTCCGGGCTTGCCTTAATGTTGTGGCGCCGGCGCCAGCGTGCATCTTTATTTTTAAAAATAAATCATCTAGAACGAGGTTAATCTATGAAGGAAAATTACGTGTTTTTGAGTGGGGGATGAAAAAATAGTTCTCAGAGAAGGTTGAGAATTTTGGAAAAAAAGATGGAGTGGATTCAAGAGATAGTTTGAAGAGAAAAGAAGGTTTTGGTATTATTATAGCAAGTAATTAAATTATATAAATACAACTATTTGATAACTTAAAGCTACAGGTTGAGGGATTTAAAATGATGTGTAAGGGACTTTAAGTAACAAAAAATAACTTTATGTAACCTTAATATAGAAATGAAGGGTTAGTTATTGTTAATATTAGAAAACCTCTCGCTTTTTAGCATATCAGATGGCAGGGAATATAATTCCATGCTTTTGTTGGCACTACTGTTCATTTTTGGTAAGTGAATGCTTTCTAAGTTTGAGTTATGAGAAATATGGTTATTGCTTGGAATGTTGTTCGGCAGTATATCCTTCTCTTTCTCATATCCTAAAATGTCACTAGTGTCAAGGTAGTGCTTATTCATACTATAATTTCCAACCATGTTGGGTACTGAGTTGTTAAATCGATTCTTAGGCATAACATTTCGGTATAATAGTTCATTACTATGATCAAAATGAGATGCACCCAAATGGTTTGAATTGCTTAATGTTGAGCCTGGTAATATTGAGGAACTATTCATAATATTTTTTTCATTTGGAAAATTTGGACTGTTTTCCATTGGATACCTCCAAGTAAGTTCCAAAGCTTGTAGCTGAGCAAGCTCTTTTTTATTTCTTTCCAATTCCATTAACATAGAAGAATGGATGAACCTAACGAACCCATATCTGCACGCATTAAAAATAAATGAAGGACTATTGGTACTAATACTCATAATAGAATCTTCAATATTCTTAATTCGTCTCTTTCTTTCCAATATCTTGTTAGAATCCTCCAAAACTCTATTAGATTTTATCTCATCAACATAAAATGTGTGATATGGAAGCAATCTGGCTATTGCTTCACTCAAATTATCAAAGTGTCTCTCAAATTCTGTGGAATCAGAAATTACTAATTTTCTGTCCAAATAATCAGCATCCCTTGTCCTTTTTCTTGCTGCTGCTAGCTTCTTTTCAAATTCTTCCAACTCCTTATACACATTGCATTGTTGTGCATCCTGTTCTACTTCATTAGATTGAATTGGCATTTATAGTTTTAACTTCTACTTAAATATATTACATATAAATATACATAGATAATTTTATATTTATATTGCCTTACATATATATTAATTACTTAAAATACTTTCTGAAATATTACTCAGCTAAAACTTCAGATTTGTTATTATATAATTACGGTTACTTCTAGCTCTCCTTATTAAATACCCAAAGATTGCTATTAAAGTCTTCTTAAATCCAAGTATTACTGCCCACACAAGAATCAATCACAACTTTAATATTATATTAATTTATTTTCAACCTTGGTGATAAAAGTATCAAAGTCTCTCTAACCTCACTGCCAAAGCTAATCCAATAAATTTTCGCCTCCTGTTACTTTGATCCTATTTCAGTCTTTATTTATCACCTTACCTTTTATTTACGAATTTTTTAATATTTTTTTTGTATTTAATATATTTTTAATCAACTTTTTTTATTTTGTATCATTTCCCGCTGACTGCCTATTAACATTATTAATAGCCTTTTCGGTACCGCCTTTGGCGCCAAGCTCCTAAAAAGTAATATTGAGAAAAAATTTTGAAAAAAATACACATGCTTAAAAAAACAGAAAATAAGATGAAATCCGTTGTAATTTTATTTTTAAAAAATTTAGTTTGAAATTTTTGTTAATTATATAATGTACTATATGTATACATTTAAACTAACGCATGAACAAAACATTAGGAAAATTATTGATAATAATAATTTACTCATTCATTGTGCTCTTAAATTGATTGGGTCTCAGCACCTTGAGAAATAAATGCATCAAGAGCCAATCTTTGTTGTTCAAGTATATCAGTAATTTTCTCTTCGTCTTCTTCTAAAAGTACACCTCTAGAAACTTCAACCGAAACAATCTGTTCTTTGACATTGAGAAGCATATTAGTGGCAATAATTGCAAGACCTAGAACATAGTAATTAGTAAATTGGTCGCGCAATCTTTGCAGTTCCTGTTTAGCCTGAATCATACGTCTTTTGTATGAATCCAATAAAGAAGCACCCAAAAGACATTCTACCTCAAATCCACCTGCCTTCATAAGATCTTTGTTAGCATTTATAAAAGCAAACAAAACCTCCATATCATGGAGAATCTTTTCAAAGTCTGACTGCCACATGTTAAAAATGAAACTAGGTCTCTTTGTTGACCTTAAGTCGCTTCTAATTGATTCCCACTCAACAGTAAATGGGCTAGTCTTTTCTTCAGGACTTGCATGATTTGCCTTGTTTATTGCCTTTTTTAAAGTTAAAAGTGATGTACCAGAAATAACATGTTTACGAAACATTAAGTCATAGCTTTGCCAGCAAGTATTGAAAACCATATTACACACTAAAAGCTCCTGTTCTGCAAAAGTATGTAAAGATCCTGTGGCCATAAGTAAAGGAGCAAATGTGGGACTTCTACCTTTATTCTCATCAGTTTCTGTGTAACCCAATATTTTCTCTGGAACTGCATTAACTTGAGTTGCGTCATCGTATGTATGTCTCTTATTCTGTGTAATTTCATCTTCCTGTTCTGATTTGACCAAAGGAGCAGACTCAGAAAGCGATCTTTCCTCTTTAATAATTGTACTGCTACCTCCAAGCAAGGCTGAACATTCACCACTACCTGAACCAGAATTTTCAATCTCTTGAATTGTGCTACTTTCTAACTTTCTCTTATTCTTAAAGCTAATAATGGACGCATTTTCGTCAGGTTCGCCCAGTGCATTGTTATGTTCTTCCAATGAAGGGAGAAGACTTCCTCTTGCACTAGAATCCACAGATGGCTGACTCTTTGCCATCTTTACTGATGTTGCAATAATGTTCCAGCATCTCTCATCAATATCTAAACCATCCACACCAACCAAAGCTGATCTAGACCTTTCTCTTCCTATGCTACCACCCATACTATTCAAATGATTAAATTCATCATCCCCATGTTCAACATCATCTACTGCCATACTACGATATTTTGAATAATCTTCCACTTGTGACTCGATACCTTTTACATGCAATCTTGCAAACACATGCGGAGGGGGAGTTAATAATATGTGTAAATCGCCATAAAAATCCAAATAACCATCTTTAAGTCTTGGAACCAGTAAATTTGCTGCATCTAAAGCATTTGTGTGATTACCAAAAAGCCAATGACATTTAAGCTCCTCAAAAGCTTTCATATATTCATCATCTATCCCCTCCATAACTTTGAGCAAAAAGGCTCTTCTGAAATTCTGAACGGTATAGATCTTCAGCTTCTTATAAAGTGTCTCTACAGTAGTCCCATTAACTAAAAGAGATAAGGAAACTGCGCCAGCGACATAAAATGCTACTTGAGATCTAATAGAGTCTGTTACAGAGGAGTCTCCTTCAAAAACCATAGCTAAGGCCATAGAAACTCCACCTCTTAAACCTCCATATATAAGAATCACAGCTTCTTTAAAAGATAAATCTGATCCAACCTTATTTAATAAAGGTAATAAAGTTGCAACCATAATTCCTCTGACAATGTTCATAGCAATATAAACCAATATTAAGTTAAGCCACATTCTTCCATCCGACCAGTAAGGTCTGAAGATTCTCATACTTACAACTCCTGATAAGACAAAAATAAGATGGTTTGCCAAATGAGCAAAAATTTTTACAAAATGGAAGTGTGATTCTTGAGCCTTTGGTCTGAAGCATGTTGGACCCCAAGCTGACATAAAAAGTCCAAAAACTACAGTAGCAAGTACTCCAGAGGTGCGGAGCTCATCAGCAATGAAGAAGACAAAGTATACAGAAGCTGTAACGCCAATTACCTGTACTCCACCAAGTGCTTGAGCAGCTCTTAACCAAACAGAAATTAGGAATCCAAATATAACACCAACAGCAGGTCCTCCGATTGCTAATCTAATAAATGTCCAAACATAATGACTATAAGACGACATACCAGAAATTATAACTTCTCTAAAAACTTCGAAGAAAACTACAGCCGCACCATCATTTAGCAATGACTCACCATCTACAACGGAAGCTAGCTTTTCAGGTGCATTCAGCTGATGAAGAGAAGCAATTACTGCCACAGGGTCAGTTGCTGAAAGCACAGAACTGACTAGGAAACATAAAACAAAGTTCATACTTGTGATAAACTTAACTGCAAAAGCCAGTAATACCATCGTTAAAATCGCTCCTGGGCCAGCTAAAAGTAAAGCTGATGGGAGATTTCTACTAAAAACATGAAAGTTTAATGTAGCTGAAGATTCATATAAAAAAATAGGTAGTAATATATAAAATATAACGTTCGGATCTGTCCTCTCAACAATACGTACTCCTTCAGCCAATGTACCTAATGAAAATGATTCACATATGTAACTCAAAAACATTCCATAGCAGAACAGAGCCACAGTTGTCGGGGGCTGTCGAACAAAGACTACTGATAATATCCATTCCAATAATGCTGATCCAAGTAAACATGTACTCACAAATCCAACAAGTATCGGTACTCCTCCTGCTTCATGCGACATCACTGCTTCTGCCACAGCTGATAATACCGTCATTCTTAATTAATCAGCTATTACCAATGTGTACTTCTTATAATTCTTCTCGTAATTTATAACTTATAATTTACTTGTTCCAATCTTTTTTTTGTCTAAAAATCTGCTTTATTTCCATTAATAAACTATTCTACACAATACCGCGCAATTAATGGATAGCGGGATTTTAGTACTCATTTCACCGCCAAGACTTGTCCTGTCCTGATTTACTTGTTGTTACCGCAATTTCTTGCAAAAATAATAATATTTCACAATAAAAAATTTACATGTAACTGGTATTTTGAGAACTCCTTGTTCAAATTTGAATAGAAATCAAGCTTTAAAAAATCTTAGGTTATCCTCTAAAAGAGTTGTTTTTCTACTATGACCGCCTTCAAGTTGTTACTCTGAAACCACTAAAAATAAGCCTTTCTTCTATTCCCCTCTTATGTGCTTGGATTTGTAAAATACAATCTCACCGTTTAGTGGTTATCTCTATAATTCAATACCTCATTTCTTGCTTTCATCTTTACTCTTTTCTCCCCCCCATCTTCCCCTGTTTACTTTTCTTAGTATCAAAAATTAATTATAAGTTTTAAAGAGTAGCCCGCCAAAATCATATTAATTCAGTTTTGGTCTAAAAAGAACAATTAGATTGTAAAAAAGTAAAAATTGAAGGCAGAAATATAAATCTTTCAAAAATACCAAAGATAAATATAAGCTACTTCAATGGAATTGTGAAGAAGGCTTTGCATGTTGTGATTATACAAAATTGCCTTTTTTTTTGGTTAAATTTGATATGTTAAATAATTGTAGCAAGAATCCAACATTAAATCATTAAATTCTTTGGCCTTATAGTAGAAAAAAAAATCTCTATTTTGTGTGTATATTTTTTTAAAAGAAATTAGTAGAGCAAATACGAAGAAGTTCCTTATACTTAATACCTACAAACTTTCCTTTGTTTTATTTGGCCAGACTTTTTTCCTATTCATTTCCCTTCTCCATAATATTTATTCTCACTTTAACCTGAATAAATGGAGCAAACAAGTATTTTTCCTCCTGAAGTTACAGGAGAACAAGTTATGACAATAGTCTGCTTGTTTGGAATTTGTGCACCGTCTTCAGCACTTTTGGAATCATTTTTTGGGCATAGAACTATATTTAATGGGAAAATTCGTCTTCCTCTTAGTGTTGTATTATTTGGATATGGAATTCTCATGGATTATGTACTCCGAACTTTTAATTTTGGCATTTTTAGTATGGCAATAAAACATGCGGAATCAATGCATCCTAATATTATATTCTCTATTTTACTTCCAATATGTCTTTATGAATCATCTTCACAACTGAATTACCACATTTTTAAACGTAATCTTATCTCTTCTGTACTGTTAGCACTTCCAGGTGTTGTCGTCTCAATGATTCTAACTACATTCTTCATGTACTATTTTGTTGGAGGAATCTTTGATTGGACATGTTCACTTTTAATCAGTTCCATTCTTTCAGCTACTGATCCTGTAGCTGTTATTGCATCTCTTCATCAGCTTAATGCACCTGATAAACTTGCATCATTGGTGGATGGTGAATCATTATTAAATGATGGAGCTGCCGTTGTTTTCTTTCAACTTTGCAAAAACATTCTTTTGAACAGAATTATGGAACCCTCATTAATTTTAACTTCTGGCTGGATATTTATTAGATGTGCACTAGGTGGTCCAATACTTGGTTTTCTTTTTGGATGGGGAGTATATTTATTCTTAAAGGTTGCACAACCCACTAATGATGTTCAAGCTCTTATTGCAATTTCCATAGTTTACACTTTGTTCTTTCTTAGTGAATTAATTCACTCATCAGGAGTTCTAGCAGTAGTCTCTTATGGAGTTTTTATGTCTTCAAGAAAAGCAGCATTATTTAAGCCTAAGGCACAAGAAATACATAATACAATAATTCATTTTATCGGAAAGCTTGGAAACCATATGATTTTCTTGTTAGCTGGAATAGTTAGTGCAAGGCTTTTTAGGCCTTATATTGAAAACACAAATATGCTTTTAAATCTTTTCCTACTATTCACAGCTTTATGTGTAATTCGAGGAATTATGGTGTTTGTGTTATCCCCCCTTTTAACTAGAATTGGCTATGGACTAACAATTAAAGAAGCGATCATTTTAATTTGGGGTGGACTTAGAGGTGGAGTTTCTCTGGCTCTTGCAATGAGCTTAGAGTCTGAAGATTACATTGACTCAGAACTAAAAGGACAAATAGCATTTTACGTAGCAGGTACCGTATTATTAACATTATTAATTAACGGTACAACTGTCGAGTTTATATATAAAAAACTCCAGTTATATACAACTCCTAAATTTCATAGGATGTTTTTTAAAAAAGTAATGAAGTCTATTAATGAGGAGTACAGATTGGTAGTAAATGACCAGATCCGCAAACATTGGTTCTTTAATGCTCATCCAGGGCTTCTTGAGCTTTGTGATACTTTTATTCCCAATGTAATAGATGCCAAAATGACTGAAACAGGAGAAATTATACTTTCTAGTCAACTTTCTCAACATACATTTATTAAAAACATTAAGTCAGTGTCCATACAACTTGTAATGCAGGATCCTACAAGTCCAATTGATTATGATTCAAATAAGTATTTAAATCAAAGAACTTTGTCGTGTTTAACTAAGGATGATGAGTTTGAAGATAGGTTTATCAAAGAATTGGATATTAATAATAATCAATTTGAAAGTAATTCTTACAAAACTAGCTCAAACAATTTCTTGGGTGCTAAAACTGAGGATAATCAAACAATTCTTTTGATTAATTCAATTCCTATTTCAAATTATACAAATAATGACAGTTCTTCCATATCAACTTTAAAGAGAGAAAGTCTTATTTCTGATACTTCTAAGAGCAAAATAGGAAGGCATGTATACATTGGACAAATGGTTTTGAGCACAGTATGGCAATCATATGATCTTCTTTTTAAGAATCATGTAATTTCTGGTGCAGCTTTGGTTATACTTAAGAAAGCTATTTCAAAAGTTTTTTATTCTTGTGAGGAGCTTAATTTACCAATTCATTTCGCATTTTCAAGTGAGTGGGATTCTATCAGAAATCAATTATGGATCTGCAAAGAAAATCTATTAACTGATGGAAAGGCTCTTACTCTTTCAAGTGAGTTACTTAACGAATACAATCAGAAGAATATTTCAAGTACTCTTTGTTTACCTTCCTTCATTAACTATTATAGAAATAAGGCAAAGTCAAAGAATCTTTTCCTTGATATTGAAGTTCTTTTTTCTTTTATTACTGCAAGAGTTGATTTACTAGAGCATGATTTCCATGAACTTCAATCATATCTTGGCTCTTCTAGCATTCAGCTTTTCCAGAACCAAATAATTGAGGCACAACAGTATCTCGATCTTCTTTTATGTTACTCTCAAGAACAATATAACGTTGCTATTTCTCATATTTCAGTTAATATGCTCTTTAATGCTCTTAGAGACTCAATGAAGGTACTTGTTAAATCCAGACTTTTGCTAGAAGAAGATGAAGAAAAACTTCTTGCTCTCTGTGAAGACAGAAGATTTATTTTCAGTTTTTCTCTTTCAAGAGAAGTTATTAATGAATACACTCCAGAAAACTAATATATACATAGTTTTATACCTATTTAGAAATAAATATAATTAAGTTTTTCAGTAGATAAATGGGGGAATTTTCTTTTATGTTTGTTTTATTATGTATTGACTTTTTACAAATAAATATTATTTTATTCATTAGTCTTTATATTGGCATGCACAGATATTTGCATGCTAAGGGGCACAAATTTACACGTCATTTTCCACATAGTCAAAATTAAATAATTAAGGAAAGTCAGGTATCTTATAACTGATAATTGAAAGATCTCAAGCATAACAGGAAGTAATTATACTGTTAGAATTAAAGGGGAAAATAGCAATTGAAGTAAATTAATAGTAATTACGACAATAACTCGTACTTCCTAGTTTCTAACTACTTGGACAAAAAAAAACTTAGAGCTCATCACGAGACTCTTTTTCCTGAGGGAAGGAGGAATGCTCCTTAATGAATTCCTTGAAGGCTTCAACAGTTCTTTTTCCGTCATAAGGAATTGGAGTTCTGGTTCCGGCCTTGACAAATAAGATAGTCGGGAAAGCTCTTGGGCTGAAACCTTCATATGGAATATCGTTTTGTGGTCCGTTGATCTTTGCAATCACTACCTTGTCGTTGTCCTTGTACTCTTCTCCGAGCTGGTTGTAAATTGGCTCGAGGTTTTTGCAGTGTCCACACCATTGGGCATAGATTTCCAAGAGAACGTCCTTGTCACTTCTAAAAACGATTTCCTCGAAAGTCTTTCCAACAACAACGGTAACTGGACCAGATTGTTCAGCTGGGATTGGCTCAGACTTAATGCTGAGTTCATGTTTACCCTCAGAAACTTGCTTCATAAATTCCTTCAATGGTTCAACCGAGTCAAATTTAGCTGGGCCATACATGTATCTAATTGATGGAACATTAACGCTCTGAATAACAAGACCTGGGAAGTTTTCAATCAAGAGATGTTGAGTGGCGTGGGAACCAAACTGCTCAGTATCAAGAAATACGAAGGCATATTTCTCTCTGTAATCAGCTGCAACCTTTCTAATATTTGCAGCATATTTAGCGAAGTCTTCATTGGTACCACAGAACCAGGCGGTGTAACCTTCTCTTGACATATAGAGTGAGTAGTTCTCGGCGCTAATTGCAGAGAATAATGGGACATTCATTATGGAAATCTTGGCTTCCAACTCTTCAACAGTCTTTGGCATTGGGAGAGATACTGGGTCTTCATCCTTATGTAAGACCTCGAGTTTTTGATCACCAGCTTGGAAGAATGCAATGAAGGCATAGTTGTGTTCACGGTGACCATTGGCAACCTTCTCGAATACAGCATACTCAGCTGAGTCTTTAGAAGTGAATCTTCCAACAAAGGCTGAGGAAGAAGAGGCAAAAATAGTCTTGATAGCATCTTCAGACTCTGCAATCTGAACTGCTGGTCCAGTCAACTTCTTAATATACTTGATAAATGCATCCTTGCTTCTTGCTCCTGAATAATTCTGAACATTATCAATACCGGTGAAGAACTTGATGGTTGGGTATCCGCTAACACCATGTTGTTGTGCAAGTTCCATATTCTCAGTTGCATCAACACTACCACAGAAAACTGGAGGAGATAGCTTTGAGATCTCAGCACAAGTTGCCTTGAATTCTGGCTCCAAAGCGGTACAGTGGCCACACCATGGGGCGAAGAAAGTGATAAGTACGTGGCTCTTGCTCTTTACGAAGTCCTCAAAATTTGATGAAGTTAAGGAAGTGATGTGTTCTGAGATAAAGTGAGCTTCATCCCCACCCAAAACTACCTTAGAAAGACAAGAAAAACCTAAAAATGCTGCTGAAATTAAGCTTTTTACTCCGATCATCTTTTGTTTATATAATTCAAATAATAATTAATATCTCAACGGGCTTATGCCTCTAAAAAAAATGGATTCCCCTCACTTTACAGTTTGACCTGAATCTTAATATCTTGCCAATGATATATATTATTTTCTTTTTATTTTATCAATATCAATAACTTATTATGTCTCTCTGTCTCCTTAATCACTTTATCGCTCCCCCCTCACTCTAATACTTCCCCACGTAATTATATTACCGCAAAACCCTGCATATTGTTGTGGCGGGCTGACAATACATAATTCTTCAAATTGTTAAACTAAAAACTCTAACCAATTAGAAGTTAACGATATCTCTCGTTTGTTCAATATTAGAAAGATAAATTCAACTCTTAAGTTATCTTTACTTGTAAGTATATTGAATTTCTTTTATAAGCTAGTCTACTAGAGTCTAAAATAAGATTTCCTATTTGCTATCAGTGTAAGGTTGTATGTAGAATTCTCTATTTATTTCTCACTTTTTGGTGTTTTTAGTATTTTTGTGTGTGCTACAAAATAAATAGATTCAGAACATTGAATAAATATGAAAATTATACACATTATTTATTAAGTTGCTTAAGAAATCAATTTGGGACATTTTTTTTTTAATAGAAAATTGCTTTCCCTCAATTTTTTCCCCTATTGTTCTGAAAAATTATTTAAATGGCGGCAAACAATTATGATAATTGTTTAAATAAAATTAATGTACTAGTTCGGTTTGTCACAATTAAGCCTTATATTTTCTCATACAAATGAAACAAGTTTCATTTGTGTTATTGTTATGTTTATTTTTTTATCAGTTAGATAAATTACATGCAGAAGTAATTTATGCTGTGAATTGTGGGGGCCCAAGGCACTTCTCAGAGTCCGAGAATATTTTGTACGAAGAAGACAATGGATATAATGGAGGCATCAGCACAGATGCAGGGAAACAGCTATCTCCATTTCCGTATGTGGAAGATGACTTTGTATATCAATCTGAAAGATATAGTACTGAGAAAACCCTACAATACATGATTAAATTGGACAAATTAACTCCTGGTAAATTTACTATAGTATTAAAGTTCAGTGAAGTCCACTTTAAAGAAGCAGGAATGAAAGTCTTTAGTATAGCTGTTGGGAATGTACTATTCAAACAACATTTTGATATATATAAGGAAGTAGGATTTGGCGTACCTATGGAGGAGTACATTGAGTGTATGTTTGATGGTGAAAATATTTCTGTGCATGGAATGAACGTTACTCAGGGATACTCAAAAGAGGAGAAACTACTGATTTTGGCAATGTTTAAACAGGAAGATAATCCTAAAATTAATGCAATCGTCGTATACAAAGGAGGTCAAAATGAAATTCCAAAAATTCAAAGGCCAAAGGCCAAAATTTCAATAGAAAGCATTCTTCAAAAGATTAATAAAGATGGTCAAACCCCAGATGCTTCAAATAATCACATATACCTTATAGACGAGCCTCTTTTCACTGTTAAAGAATTAAATATTTCTGACTCTTTATATAACTTAATATCAACAATTCCTGGAATCATTATTTTTCTAATTATTTCAGTGGCAACTTTAAGAATAGGTGTGATACTATCGAGCCATCTGTACGATTAAAAATTCTAAAGTTAACAAACACTAATATGGACTGATTAAAATTTAAAATTAAACAAATATGTTAGGCATTCTAGCTCCAACCATATAAACTCATATTTATCTAATATTTAGACTTTTTTACTAATCGTCTTGTTTAAAGAATTGGATTTACTTTTATTTGGGTTTTTTCTATATTTATTCTTATTGCTTTTCTTGTTATTTGTTCTGTTTTGTTTACTGGGTTTCGCAATAAAACTCCCATTCAATGAATCCAAAGATGTCAACTTTTCCTTAATCAAATTTAGAATATTTAATGAATTTGACTTGTCACAGGTACCATCTGTTGTGATACATGGATTTTTGGAAATATTTAATGATTTTAATTTTGTTAAACTTAATAAAGGTTCTATTTCAGTAATATAATTGTGGCCAAGCTCAAGAATCTTTATATTACCCATATAAGCTATGTCTGGGGATAATGAAAGAATTTTGTTATTATTAAGTCTTAGCTCCTGAATCATATTAAAATTTAAGCTGAATGGGAATTGTTTAAGACAATTATTTGAAAGGCTCATCTTTTTGAGCTTTTGACAGTGATTCTTGGGAACCTCAATTTCATTAGCCTCGTTATGAGATAAAATTACAGTTTCAAGCTCTTTGAAACAGCTAAGGTCAGGAATATGTCTAATTTTATTATGATTAGCAATTAAAACTTTAAGAGATTTCTGAAGGCCTGGACTCTTACATAAACTTTCTATAGACTTAATACCATTATTACTTATATTTAAAATTCTTACATTCTCAAGTTTACAAATATCATCTACCGAAGTTAAATTATTGTTACTCAGATTTATGTCCGTTAAGTTCCAACAATATTTAAGGAATGAAATCGATTCCAAATTATTTTTTGAAACATCTATCTTCCTCAAATTCTTTGCTTGTGTAAGTTCTTCAATACCTGTGATTTCAAGTTCTCTCAACTTTAACTCCTGAGAACCTAAAATATCCCCATTAGGGACATACTTTGAAAGCTCAATAATTGATAAGAACTTGCTCATTAGTTCACAGAAATTATTACCGAATTTTAAAATCCTTTATATTCACGTTTGCTTAAATAAATTCCCTCCTTTTTATCTATCAGATTTAAACTGAATGCCTACTTTGTTTAGTCAAAAGTATCCAAAGGGGATAGTATCAAATCCAATGATACTTAGATTTTATCTCTATGCCAATATTTCTGTAGAATTTAAGTATCAGGTTTCTCACCAATAAAAACACAAACAACCTGAATAATCATGAAATAGAATCAAACCTTAAGTATCCTTATTTTTACTATCCTTGCCTTATTACCTCGTTTTTTACTTACAAATTACGATGCATAAAGACCTGTAGACAAGACGCCGAGCTTTGAATTTTTTGGGTATAGGATGACAATAAGGCAAAATAGGATATAAAAAAAAAGAGTATTTTAGAAAAAAGGTGCAAACTTTTGTACGGATTAAGGCTGGAAAGGAAGGACTCGTAGAAACAACAAATTCATATAGAAGTTGTGTTCAAATTATATACATTGCAATAACTTAATTTCGAGTTGAAGAGTAGATTTTATGTTAAGAAAGGCTCCTAATAAGCATTCAGAAAGTAATGAAGAAAGTAAAAAGACTTCTGTTTCCAGCAAGGGTTCAGAGGAGTTCTTTAGATCTCCTTCAGTGGTTGGACAAGAAATAAAGAAGGAAGAGGAGGAGGAAGAAGAAGAGGAAGATCCACGTAATATATGGCTAAGACTATTTTTACCAGATTGGTCTCCTTTGGGCGGATTTTTTGTAATAATTGTTGCAGTTGGAGTTTCGATTACATATTTGAAGAAGATTGGTGATGAAAATCCATTTACCTATCCCCTTTTTATCCTTTTTTTGGATTTGTTTACTTACATTGTGATAATGTGCTCAAGGCATATTATTGCTTTATATACTCTGTCTAGATTTGGAGAAGGAAGATTTTTTGCAGCATTATCTGGATCTCTAGATCCAGAGCTAGTATATTGTATTTGGTCGACATTATGTTTAGTATTAACAATGGGAGAAGTGAATACAATAATAGATACTTCATTAGGTATTGAACCGGTCCATACATATACTTTAAAATGGTTTGACAATGTATTGCCTTCTCTAAAGATTCCAAAGGTACCTTGGGATTTAATTCAATGTTCTCATATTGCAATTTTGATTATGACAGTAAGAAGACTTTTACTTGCAATTGTAACATTTTACTTTAGGTTAGATTTTATTATGAGCATAAATCCGCAAGTCTCACAATTCCTAAGGCAATACTCACTTTTGAGAAGGATAGATACAAAGCTTTACTTAATTAAACCTTACATTCAGAAAAAAGATTTTCTTTTATATTCAACTGGGATGGAATTACCTAACAAATCCAACTTTCCCCAAATTTATGATCCAAAATCACCAAATAGAGTCACTACAAATAATATACCTAATGTTCCAGCCATGCTTTTGGATAATAACATTGACCATACAGCAAAAAGCTCATCTGAAAATTGGCTGGCTCTTCAGTTTATTAAACAATACAATGTTTCCATTTATATTGATGATGATAAATATGAAATTAGAACTAAACAACAAGCAAGAGATTTTGCAAAGATTATCTTCTACGACATCCTACAACATTTACATGCTATTATGCTTTACCATTATATTGGAGGAACTGACCATGTTAAGCCTCATAAAGAACCCCAATTAAGATCAGATACTTATTCAATTATAGGAGATGATACATTTTGTCATGCATTAATAGATTTCGAAGAGAGACATGATGTTAAAGGTACTGATTTCAAAAATGAAGATTATTCAAGTAATAAAGGTGCTTTTGGGGCTTTTGGAAGTAGGAGGGGCTCAAAGTATAAGAACTATAACATTCAACCAAAGAATGTGGAGGAGCAACATAATTATGACAACCATTCCAGTGTTAATAATAACTTTAGCAATGAAAGATCGCAGACTCAAGGTGATAACAAGAACAGAAACCAGTCTTTACCTACTACTCTTCCGAATTCAGTACTTGATATTTTATACGACAAACCTCTGGGAGATTTAATTAAACAAATAGATACAGCAAGGCGTGGACAAATTACTGAAGAAGAATGGGTTAGATTTTGCGTTGGAATTTATGATAGTAGAAAGAAGATCTTGCGTGCTGCATCTAGTCAGGAAGGTATTGTTCAAGTATTCAGGAGAATGATTTCAATTTTTTCATGGTTTTTCACGGGAATCGTTATTCTTCTTATGGTTGGAATTAATGTCAATACATTGGTTATTTCCGGAGCTGCTATTATATCATCCCTTTCCGTTGGTCTTTCTTATATTTACTCAAATTTTTTCTCTGCAGTAATTTTTGTAATATTTCTTAATCCATATAATGTTGGCGACAGGATTAGAGTAAATAACGGAGGTGCAATGATAGTAAAAAAAATTGAAACATTTTATACGGAGTTTCATACTGTATTTGAGGCACCAGTACTTATTCCACACTCCTGGTTATCTTCGCAAATGATATATAATGAGAGCAGAAGCAAATGTTGTTCTTCTGAAATCCAGTTTTTAATTTCGGATACTACATCTCCATTTTCTATAGAAGCTCTAGCCTCAGCAGTACAGGAATATATATCCGTTAGACCTTCGGAATTTGTTGCATCCAATTTTTGGTGTGGTATCAATGCAATACAGCCCGGGCATTCGGCTACCGTTTATATGTGGATTACTAATACCGATCCGTTTCATAACAGAAGAAAGCTTTTAATAAGCAAAAGCAAACTTCTACTCTTTATTCTTCATACTTTGAGACAATTAGGGATTCAATATACTCTACCAGTTAGTAGGGTCAGAATTGAAAATGACTTCAATAATCACCTTTCTAATAGCAACTAGTTTGCTACATTTCCATAATCCCAATGTGGAGATTAGAGTTTATTATATACATTATTGCTTTTATGATTCGATCCACATGAGAAATAAATCCAATTTTCTTTGGATGACTTAATAAATTTAAATTTTCAGTGGCATTTTATTAGAAATTCTCTATTTTCTATTCGCCTAATTCTAATATTTGTAGCTACGACTTTTTTAGATATCACTACTTAATTAGAACAGACAAACCATTCTGAGTCTAATCGACATTTTTAGTTAAAAAAAATGGACCTACTGAAGTTATTTTCAAAAAAAATAGGAAACAAAATAATATGTAACAATTATGAATTTGTTGTCACTTTTTCCAAAAATATTGATTTTTTATAAAAAGTAAAATTATATAGTAATCTACATTTAATAAAATAAAGGGCGCCAACTTAAAAATTGACAATTTGTCACAATTAACTAAAATTCCAACTTTAAAACTGAAACACTTAGGTTTAAACACAAGAATTAAAGTATTAGTGTAATATTGTATTCAAGGAGTGTAGTATCTATCGATAAAAAATTTTCAAAGCTATAAAAGTGGCATTCCCACTAATTGCTCTTAATGCTAATTAGAATTTGCTATTTAAAAAATAGTAATTTATGTGTTAAAACTGATAAATAATAAATAATTGGTCTTTCAAATAATATTGTGGGAATATCTTGAAAGATGGCAAAGAGAGTTTCTTACTTTTATGACGGAGACATAGGAAGTTATTATTATGGTCCTGGTCACCCAATGAAACCTCAAAGAATTAGAATGGCTCACAACCTAATCCTTTCATACGACCTATATAAGCATATGGAGATTTACAAACCGCACAAGTCTCCACATAGTGAGTTGATCTATTTTCACGAGGAAGACTATGTAAATTTTCTTTCTAGCATTAATCCTGACAACTCCAAAGACTTCGGGCTTCAGCTAAAAAGATTTAATCTTGGAGAGACAACCGATTGCCCAGTTTTTGATGGTCTCTTTGAGTTTCAACAAATTTGTGCCGGTGGCAGTATTGATGGAGCCTATAAATTAAATAACGAACAATCTGACATTTGTATTAACTGGAGTGGCGGACTTCACCACGCAAAAAGATCTGAAGCTAGCGGATTCTGCTACATCAACGATATAGTTTTGGGAATTTTGGAGTTGCTTAAATATCATGCTAGGGTTATGTATATTGATATAGATGTACATCACGGAGACGGGGTGGAAGAAGCTTTCTACCTTTCGCATAGGGTACTTACGGTTTCCTTTCACAAATTTGGAGAATTTTTCCCAGGTACTGGTGATATCACAGATATTGGAGTTGCTCAAGGGAAATATTACAGTGTTAATGTACCGCTAAACGATGGTATTGATGATCATTCATTTTTATCATTATTTAAACCCATTATTAGTAAGTGTGTTGAAGTATACAGGCCAGGTGCAATAGTTCTTCAATGTGGAGCTGATTCTGTAAGAGGAGACAGACTTGGTCGTTTTAATCTATCAATTAAGGGTCATGCAGAATGTGTAGAATTCTGCAAGAAATTCAATATCCCCCTGCTTATACTTGGTGGTGGAGGTTATACAATAAGAAATGTTGCAAGAACATGGACATATGAAACTGCTACAATTTTAGATAGAACTGATCTAATTTCGGATGATATACCATTGAATGATTATTACGACTACTTTGGACCAGATTTTAAGCTTCATATACCTCCTCTTAACCTACAAAATATGAATTCTCAAGAACACCTAGAAAAAATCAAAGCAAAAGTTATTGATAACTTAAAATATCTAGAGCACGCCCCAGGCGTAGAATTTGCCTATGTTCCGTCGGATTTCTTTGATAGAGAAGCTTCAAACCTCCAAAAACAAGATGAAGAGGAGCGAGAAGAGGAACTTTCATCCTGGCAAGGAGGAGGAAGGGCTGCGGGGAGCGTGGATAATCAATGCAGCTATAACGAAAAACCTAAATCATCTAAAAAATTACAAAAAGAACACCCTTCTGAATTTTATTAATTTTTTCTTTACTTTCATGTGTTTTTTTAATTAAAACCTTCTTGTCACTTTGGCGCCAAAGCTATGGCTGTCATTGTTTTTTTAGTACAAATTTCTGTCAAACTATTATGAGGGGCAATAGGAACAACATAATCCAATTCTCAGATAAATAGAAATTTCTGTGGAAAGTTGAAGGTGACAATTAAAAGGCTATTTCAATAGTTATCATTCTATTAGTTAAGACTCTTCTCAATAAAGAGGGGGTTTCTTTATATTAAAAAACAGAAAATTCGGTCATTTAACTTGTAAACAGCATCAAAAAAATTTGTACTTCTTATTATTAAAATGCAAACAATATTCGGAAATCAGCTTGTTAAGGGAATTTTCCTGATTAATTTTATCAAGTATTTACTTTATTTGTATGTAGATTTCAGACAAAAGAAATGTTATGAAATCAAAGAGGTTCCAAAATATATATTAGAGGCTTATAAAGATTGTGGAGAACTTTCCAATAAAGAATTTAAGAAATCCCAATCGTACAGCAATTCTAAAATGGTATTTGGAATAATTAACAGAGCTGTCACTTTTTTTATTAATTGGGTATTCGTATTTTATGTCATATACCCATTAATGTGGGAACTTATTTACACAAAAATTACCTCAAATGAATATTTCTCATCTTTATTATTTTGTGCAGCAGTGATATTATTAGATTATCCGATCAGTCTTGCCTTTCACCTTTATTACACCTTTGTTCTGGAAGAAAAGTATGGTTTTAATAACTCTACATTGAAAATCTATATAATGGACCAAATAAAGTCAGGAATTTTAATTACTGTATTTGGAGTTGTTCTGATTCCTCTACTGATATATATTGCTAACAATACAGGTAAATACTTTTATGTATATATAGCTCTCGTACAGTTTGCTTTTATATTCATTATTTCAATAATATATCCGATTATTATTGTCCCTATTTTTAATAAACTTACTCCCGTTGAGGATAAAGAACTTGCAGAAAAAATTGGCGTTCTTTGCAAAGATGTTAAGTTTCCACTGAAGAATTTATATCAAATGGATGCTTCGCTTAGATCTAACCATGGAAATGCATTCTTTTCAGGAGCATTTAAGTCAAAATCCATTATTTTGTATGACACCATTCTCGATTTTCCTAAAGATGAAATTGTTGCCATTATAGGACATGAAATAGGTCATTGGAAAAATTGGGATAACTACAAATTGCTTTTCTTCTCTTTCATCCAAACTTTTGCAACTCTTTTCATTTTCCACCTAACATTTTCTTGGGATGAACTTTACTTATCATTTGGATTTTCTTTAGACCCAAAACTCGGAGGTAGAAATTTAATTCTATCTCTTCTTGTATTCTCCTATGTATTGAGTCCTTTCAGCTCAATTTTTGAAATTCTCCATTCTATTATGTCTCAACATGCAGAGTACAAAGCTGATGAATTTTCATTCAATCTTGGGTTTGGAGACTTTCTTGCAAATTCACTATTTAGACTCTCAAAGAAATCAAGTTCTTGCATGATTTTTGACCCAATTTATAGTTTTATTCACCTATCTCATCCTAGTGTCTGCGACAGAATAGTCAACCTAAAAAAATTGAAAGATAGAAAGAACTAGCAACACTCATATCTTAATATTTCTTACTATTTCATAAATTTCTACTAAAAACTAAATAACCCAGATTCTAGGTCGCTACTAGACTCTAATTATTTGAATTGTTTCTTTTCTACAAATCCTCTTGGCCCTAATTCATTATTTTGGTGGTGGAGGTGGAGGTGGAGGTGGAGGTGGAGGTGGAGGTGGAGGTGG